TTTCTATAATATTAGGGTCTACTATAGGTTCTTACTATTTCTCCAGTAACTAGTATAGGAGCTATAGTATCCTTGTTATTAGTACTTTCTAGTTTAATTTAGAAACTTCCTCTTTTATAGGTAAGTATTTGCTAAATACTTATTACTATTATAAATATAATATCTTAGAATACTTCCTATCTTAAACTTAGTAGAATCGGTAGTATTCTAATATCGATTACTATCTAACTTAGATATAGTATTATAATATAATATATTATTATAAGAATTGGAATATCCTTATCCTTATAATGAAAAATAATGTTTTTAAGTATTATATTGAGATTAAGAAGATAGTAAAGAGGTAGTATAAAAGGATTAACTTACTAGTATTCGGGTTAAATAAAATATTTACTAAACTTATATAGCTAACTAAACTATTTCCTTATAGGTTTCAGGTTAATAAGAGATATATCTATTAATATATTATATAATTAGGGTTAAAAGCTTTATATAAAATAATAGAATATAGCTCTTATTATCTTATAAAGGAAAATAGTCCTTTAAGAACTCTAGATAGTAATAGAAGTCTATAAGTAACTGGTTTTCTCATTATTATATATTATTAAGTTATTTTATAATAGTAGAAGTCTAATTAGCCTAGTCCTATATATAAATTTAGGTCTAGGTTTTAAAGAGATTCTATATTATTTTAGTAGTATATTACTTCTTAGGTAAAAGGTTCCTACAATAGCTATACTAGTAGTTCTAAAGTTATTTATCTATCTAGTTAAATATAAAAAAGATCCGATTAAACTTAATAGTAAATTATTAGAAATCTCTAGTAAATATTTATTATAAATCCTAAAGCTATTCTTTTTACTAATAATATATTATAGATTTAATAAAGTATATAAAGTTCTTTATCTTAATAGTATATTTATAATTATAAGAATTAGATAAAAAATTAGAGTTTTATCTTTATTTTATTAGTTATTTATTTAAAGATAATCTAAACTATCTTTATAGCTTCTTTTCTTAGATTTATAGTTATTATAATTACTCTAAAGCTTAAATTTATTATTAAGCTTATTCTAAAAGTAATCCTATCTATAGTAGAGGGAAAGGTTATTAATTAAATAGAGTTTAAGAAGATATATTTAAATAGCTTCTTAACTATAATTAAAGTTTAAAGGGTAATCTTTTTAATAACCCTTTATTACTACTTTAACTAAGAATCGGTAGTATCTTATCCAGTAGGAGTAGAAGGATCAGAACTTATCAGGGGTCTCTAACTAAAGAACTAGAAACTAAACTCTTTAGAGAATTACTATAGAAGATACTAATACAGATATAGGCTACGGAACTAAGGCGATTTACAGGTAAATAAAGATTCAATTCCTAGCTAAACACTCTTGTTCAGACCTGAGGTTAGGTCTAGGGGGCAACTGGAACTGATCCTTAGGGAGCTTCCCCAGGATCGGGCTCGGCCATACTTAAAAGGCTCCTTACTGAGCCTTATAACATCATCATCTATTCTGGGGCTCTGAGGCCCTGTTCCGTAATAGGGGAATATACTAGGTACTAATTGTGACTCTTTTGTGCGGCTAATTTGTATGTGATGTTAGGTATCTCCTTATCTTTGCTTGTATTTATCAAATCTCCTGTAGTTTAATTGATTGGCTTCATTACCCTTATTATAGCCTACTACAAGTTATATGCTAACGAATAAACTAGGGGTGGACTGTAATGTGAAGGAAAAGAAGATCCCTCCTGTGTGGGGAAAATAGCGTGTTTGGCATGCAAGTTTTCGATGTATTGTGGGCCGGGATGGTCTGTGCGGGAGCCTCAAAAATCGGTGCCAGAAGCTATCACTGTGCCTAACGGCCAAAAAACCTGTGTTATGAAAAAAGGGCTTACGGGCTGTTTTGCGCTCTCTCTTCTTGGCGACTAAGCCTATCGTAAGGAACTAAGCGAATGGCTTAGCGCGGTACATTGAGTCTTGGCAAGACAAGGAGCTTGCGTGATTTTCTTGGTTGTACCGGGAAATTTTGGACCCTAAAAGGGAAAGGTGCTATCCTTTTAGCTCTGTTGCCTTTTTTTCGCTATATGACAGGGGCTGGACAGGGGGCTCTATTCCTTTACATTACATTACTTTGGCCAGCCGATCAGGGCCCTAGCGCCCTTACTCTTTCTGCACACACATGTATGTAATCTGTAACTCGGGACTCAAGGTTGGTTAGTTCGGCTCTCTGCCATAGTGGCTTTCGGCTAGTTCCGCGCACGTCCCTCCCCTCAACTTTTAGGGGTTGTTCTCGTCCAGTGAATGGAAGCGGAGTGCATAGGTGGCCTGACCAAACCCCCTAGAACTGACCTGACCAGACAGGGGTTAAGCAAGGTACACCAAACCAAATCAGGGTGGTACCAAGGTATTTAGCGCAATGGTTCCGAATCATTTCGGAAGCGTTCTACCTATTTTAGTAGATTATATAATAGTCTAGCTCTATATAGAGGATTAAGTTATTTTTAACTTATCCGAATTCCTTTCCCATTACCTCTAAAAACCTTTTTTTTTTTACTGTCCCTCCTACTTATTTTATAACTATTCTAGAATTATTTCGGCGATTTTTTCCCCTCTAGTAATATAGCTAGCTATAAGAAATCTATAAGAAGAGAAGTATTTTAAGAACTATTTAGAATTATTTCGGAATCTAGATATAATTAGTTCCGAACTGCTTCCGAACCGCTTCTAAATAGGTTTAGAAGTATTTACTAAATCTTTAATATTTTCTACTACTAGCTAGGGCTCAGGCTCTATATTAGGTACAGGGTAACGGTTAACCTCTTCTTCAATTTAGGCTATAAAATAGTTGTAGGGGGGAAGAAGTTGATCTGACCAGTCTGATTTGGTAAGAAATGCGCCGTTTTTGCCCCGGTCAGGTGAAGTTAAGCGAGCTCGCTTAACCCCGGTCTGGTCAGGTCAGTTCTGGGGGGTTTGGTCAGGCCACCGATAGGCACATGGAAGCGAGTGTGATGCCCCCTCAGTACCGAACATGGGTGACCAATGTGACGAAGCCTCACATGGCTTTGAAACAGGCGCTCCAGAGTGGTAGAGTCACGTCAGCTTGCTGGCCCAGCGAGAAAAAAAGAATGATCTGCTTTCGCACCGTCGATTTCCACGTCCGAGGAGATAGGCCTGGACCAATGTTCACGCTTCGATCCATGTGGGGTAACTAAACTGGCTGGGCAGGAGAGCTCAAGTCCTCGACGACGCTGGGGTTCCTTGTCTGGGTCTGTTCTCGCTGAACTCTGTTTTTCCGTGGATTTTTATGACAAGAAGACGGGGCCACGAAGGGCCATCCTGGAAGCTCGGACGTCAGCACCCAACAGTGCCAATGTGGACTCGGGCAGTTTGAGGTTTGTGGTGTGTCTGTTCCCTGTCTGGTCAATTTCATGAAAATCGGCAAGCCAATCGTTAACGTTAACGGTGATGACCAGGCCTGGACCACCCCGCACTGATCCTGCCAAGTGTGCGGAGAGGGTGGGTCTGGTACGGAGTCGCTTCTGGGCGGTCGAACGATGGGGTCGAACTGTGGGGTTAGTGTTCCTGGTGGAGAGATTGAAAAGCTTTCAATAAATGTCAATGGTTGAGACGTCGTGTCATCCAGTAGGGCTGGACCGAGTTGGCAGTGATATTCGTTCCCGAGCTGGAGCTGTGTTGCATTCATTTTCAAAGCTTGACAGTCGAACAAGCTTCTCCGGTGAAGCTTGAAAAGGGGGGTTTTGTGTCGCTTGAGGGAATTGCGGGTTGCGCCCGGCGGTGTGCCAGCTGGAGGCTCCGTGCCCGTGCCCGGTGTTTGCTTCATTGTGATTGTCGGGAATGCAACATCTGCCGTCTGCATAGTACCAAGTAGCTCCGGAATGCGGCTCAAGCCAGACCTGCGGGTTGCTGTCTGGTGTGGCTTGTCGAACTTGTGAAACAGTCGTTGACCACTTGTCACCCCGGATCCACATCGGGCAAGGGACTCGCTGACTCGGTATGTCTGCCGGATGGTTGAGTCCTCGGCGATGTTAACAGACTCTGCAAGAAGATCGACATCCTGGTCGACCGAGACCTGAGGACGGCCGTGGGTGCGTCGATGTCGTTGGGAATTCCCGCCATGAGTAAGGGACCAAGCCAAGACGTCATCTAGCTGGGATGCATCGATGCATCGCCGGCATGGCGACAAAAAGCAAAAGCGATCGCTCCATCCTTGGACCGATCCTGGAGATCGAGAACACCCTTTGCCAACAATGGCCTCCGTCTGATGACTCTGGACATTGATAACAATGTGAAGATGTCTGTGCTGTCAAGAATTGGCCGGGGGTTGGGTTGAGCACAAATCTAGCAAGGCGAGTCACAAGCGCTGACGTCTGCTAGCGTGGATGGGAGATGGCGATGGGCGCTGAGGATGGAGAACGAAGGGAGTTGAGGGAAACGGTCAAAACGGATACAGCAAGCCGACACGCGACGCCCTGCCGCGCGTTTGGTGGGGCGTTTCCACGTGGTGAACGCCCATCCTTGGCCTTTCGAACATGATTCCTTCCATTTTTTCAAGCAGTGGAATGCACTCGCACCTCACATGCTGGATTGCGGCAGATTGTTTCATAGGGGCCACCCCGAACGGGAAAGAGCACCCCTCGGAGGTAGAAGATGACTGACTTGCCTGCGCAGACCTGAGCGAGGGAAGCACGGTTTTCGTCTCATCATGGCAGCTTGCAGGAAGATGCCGTTCGAACAGGGCGGATCCTGGGCGACTCCAGCAAAAAATGCCACCCCTCCGTCATCAACGAGTGTAACAGTAGCAGGGGTGAAGGGGGTTGGCATTGCAAGCCAAGTTTACCCGCAAGGGTTGGTTGGGGATGTGTGAAGTTGGAGGGTACGAATAAGGTAAGCTCGTAAGGTAAGTGACTCGGTGGAGCGAGGGCGAGCTTGCCCAACTGCCAGACCCCGCCACAGGACCGTGAGGCACTGTGGAGGTCCAACAGCCTTTGGCGTGTTCTCTTCCCTCTGGAAATAGAACTGTCAAACTTGTAAATAGCCGTGTGGAGATGTTAGGCAACCAACTATCTCGCTTTGTGAGCAAACCGGGCGGAAAGTGCCACTTCGTTTCAGAGCTTCAGACAATACGCGCACATGTACTTCGTACACCGGTGCATTATGCACATGAGCACACACACCTCAACACCGAAATTTCCTCAGATCGCTTCCCTGTCACGCGTGTCTCCCCGGTTCGTTCGTTGCCACCCACCGAGCTCTTGGAGCACAGCCAATTACGGGCCTCCCCAAGTTTCGAACCAGACTCCCCCTGCGTCACCCCGTTTTGGCCGTTCTTTGGTAAACGGAAAAGGGTTCCTCGCTTGGGTTAGTGCGAGCTCACTTCCGCATGGGATCCCACAGATCCCCAGACTGGCAGGGGTTCTCGATGGCTGGCAACGGGTGTGGTTGGTGTGGCTCTTGTGCTCTGCTTCGGGGCCTGCGTCTCGTCCGGGAAGATCTCTTGAACGCTTGTGGGCTTCGGCCCATTTCAGACATGGTCGAAGGATGGCGCTCCAGTGCGCTCCAAACATCCCAGCTAGCCGTCTCGGGTATCTGTCTGTTGTCGGTCGTGCTCCCGGCCGAGTACTTGAATTCACAGGTCCCCTCCTCAATGCCGGTCCCACTGCTTGGGTCGTAGTTAACCATCCTGCTGGAACGACCACATCGTCACATCACGCCCCTCCTCCTTGGCCTCGCTGTGCCTCTCGAAACGACATCAAAGAATAACTCTCACTCGACTTTGTTGCGCCGGCGTCAGCGCCCCATCTTGGTATAATCGAGGACTATTCTCGAATAAATAACCAGCCATCGAGCTGAGACTCCTTTCAAGGCTCGCCCCCAGGGCCAAACACGGGGCGGGCCGTTAAAGACGAGCACCATACACTTTCGATAGCATCAACATCGTCCCATCGACATCAACTCCGCCCCGTGTGGCGCCCCGACGCAGACATGACCACCGTCGATCCCGGCCTGTCGGGGTCGGAAATCGACGTCGTGAGTGTCATCGAACGTGCCACCTCGGTCTTCTCCATGTTGGGGTCCATGGTGGTCATCACCACCTTTAGCTTTTCCCGCGCCTTCCACAAGCCCATCAACCGGCTTGTCTTCTACGCAACGTTCGGCAACCTCATGACAAATGTAGCAACGTTGATGGGCCGGTCGTTTGTCAATGACATCAACCAGGCTGGTTGCCAGCTTCAGGCTTTTCTCATCCAGATGTGCGTCTCCCGGAAGCCGTTTTAGGTTTTGGGGTTCTCGGTCTTGCTGACTGTGTGTTTGTTAGGTTCATGCCCGCCGACGCTTTCTGGATGCTGGCCATGGCCCTGAACGTGCACCTCACCTTCTACTTCAAGTTCGACGCGCGGCAGCTGCGGAGGATGGAAGTGCCCTATTTTCTGCTGTGCTATGGCATACCCTTCATCGTCTCCCTCGTCTTGATCTTCGTCTCGTCCCCTGAAAAGGGCCGGATGTACGGAAACGCAACGCTGTGGTGCTGGATTGCTCCCGAATGGGACATCTTCCGCATTGCTATCTTTTACGGGCCGATCTGGTAAGCACGTGGTTTCATAGGGTAGGGACACATTTGAACCTAACGATGGATATAGGATCGTGATCATGATCACTTGCACTATCTACGTCCGCGCGGGCCGCGAGATCTACAAGAAACACAAGCAGCTGAAGGAGTTCAGCACCAGCCACCACGACCCGGAGCCTCTCCACGCCATCGACGACCTCTTCAGCTCCACCAAAACGACCGAGGTTTATGTCACTACCGAAGTTATCGACAAACCCGGTTCTATCGACCTCGCGCCCCTGGGCGCCGGCGAACGACGTCGATCACAAGGCACATCGCCTCAACGACCGTCCAAAGCAGCCTACTCGGTCACTATTTCCTCACGCCGCCACGGCGAGCCCCACGGCGACAACAACACAGGCGGCCAGCAGCAGCAGCAGCACCACCACCACCAGCAGCAGCAACAGCAGGTCCAAACCACCATCACCGCCGACCCGCAGGCCGCTGGCCCGGGCCTCACCCGCGTCACCACCAACACCCACAACAACAACAACAACAACAACAACAACAACAACCTAACAACCACCACCACAACCAGCACCAGCAGCAACCCGCACCACCACCCCACCAACTCCCCCTCCGCCCAACAGCAACAAAACCCCAACCCCCTCCGCCGGCGCGCCGCCTACGAGGCGACCAACGCGACGTGGTCCTACACCAAGTGCGCCCTGCTCTTCTTCACCGCCATGCTGGTGACGTGGATCCCGTCGAGCGCCAACCGCGTCTACAGCGTCGTGCACGCGGGCCAGGCCTCCCTGCCGCTCGAGTACATGTCGGCCTTCGTGCTGCCGCTGCAGGGGTTCTGGAACGCGATTATTTATTGTGTGACCTCGTGGGGGGCTTGTAGGATGTTGGCGGGGGATGTGCGGTCGTGGTGGTCTAGGGTGGGGGTGCGTTCTTCTTCCTCTAATATGAGGAGAAGGCGGGGTGGTGGTGGCGAGGGGGAGGGGGTGGGGATGCATTTGGGGAGGGGGCCGTCGAGGAATAAGTTTAGGGTTATGGGCGGCGGTGGTGGGGGGAGGGGGAGTGATTCCAAGACGTACGAGACGGAGAGCATGACCGAGCTGGCTGCGAGTCGGCCCGGGTCGAGTGGCAGCCCGACCATGGTGGGCGGGACGACGCCGATGCCGCCGCCGCAGACGGCGAAGATGGGGGTGTGATTTATTTTAGGTCGGGCGGCGGCAAGGTGGGTTTCGTTATTTTTTTATTTTTATTTTTTACCTACCTACGCGAGGATGCCATGCCGGTTGCTTGCGTTCTTTTCACTTTACTTACTCTAATCGGATGGGTGGTGCCTTTGCGCTAGCTGGTGCCTCTTATGGTTTTTGTAATTCTACCCCGGGCTGAGCACATGCTCGACAGACTGGACCTGTATTTTTTCTTTCTTTTCTATCATCTTAGGTGGTTTTGGTTGGGGGATGATGGCAACGAAAATTAACGGAAAGTGACGGACGGTTGACGGCAATGGATGGCATATACCCCTTTTTTCCTCTTCTATACTTATCAACTAATGAACAAATTGGGTTGGTGTCTTGTTGGTTTCCTCAATGCATCACTGCAATGCATGTCGCACCTCTGCGAGTGATTGATTGGGCTCGGAAATGCGGCAGCTGTTGGGCGGGCAGAGGGAACGAGAAGCTGGATGGTGCGTGTAACCAAGTGCGTCCATACATAGGAAGGCATTTCAAATTGCTTGACTTGCTGACATCCTCCTGACGAACTGCATCGGGGTCCAATCCGATTTGCGCTGTGCCTTGTGCCTGGGCTGTGCCTCGCGGGCCGATGTTGTAACGTTAGCGACGGGATGGATATTGGACATTGCGGGAGGTAAGGACCTGACAGACTGTGTACGAGTAATATTTGTTCTGGCCCACGAGAAAATAATTACTGTGTAATCTGTACCTTAGTGAGGATAAATGGAAGCATCGACTTGCCCACTGAGGGCGTTCAGGTCGTTGCAGGGCCAAGGCAAGCCACGTTCAGCCAAGATTGGCCAAGTCCTTCGGTTACTCGCCGTTTTCTTCTCCGTTTTTGTTTTGACTGCCGATGATGCGAACCATCTCACGAACCGCTGCAAGCCACCTCGGTCATTATCCGAACCGCGTCTCACGGACTCCTGTCGCCAGGGAGGCATGCTGCCCAGTTCCCGTCTTGCAACCGAGTTCGTGGCTTGGTCAAGTTACATCAACGCTCTGACCCTTTTTTGACCAAGAATTCAAGAGCCAAGACTCTCGTCTTTCACCGCTCACCAAGTTACAGGCAACTGCCGAATTGGCCAAGAGCACCGGACCACAAGACGCCGTCGCCCCCAATTGCGAAGACCGTGACGATGGAACTCTGGAACTCCGTGTCGAGCAAACAATTCGAAAAACTGCAACAACAATCATCTCCCGCCCTGTTTCCGTGACCATTTACCCGTCCTGTGGTTGGCTGTCAAAGCAATATCGAGAAGGTTACAGCCGATGGCAGGCTACCCCATCTCGTCGTCCCAACAGCCCTGCCCATTGTGCCCACCCTGCCGCCATGCTGTTTTCCGTGGATGTGGTTCTGCCGCTCTCGCTTCTGCAAAACAAGACTCTGCAGAGGAGCGCCGCTGCGACCTTCTTCGGCTCTGCCGGCCAGGGAGCAAAAACCCGGTTTGCTGACTTTACGACGTCGTATCCAGGGGGTTCGGCTGACTGTGTTTCATGAAGATCCAATATGTCGAGCCTGATCGGGCAACTTCATCGCGCCTTTTCCCTTTCACCCTGCACCGCGTCGATTACATACACAGTTGGTAACTTTGTACCGTGTAGCTGCCCCTGAATATTCGGGTACCGTCAGCCGAGAAAATCTCCGTCGTATCCGGCAATGAGAACAGACAGACGGCAAAACCAGTTGAGCCCCTGGGACTGTGTCAGCTGGGAAACCAAGAACTGGTGATCAGCAACAGGGGCGTGACAGAACTGTGCCAACGGAACCATAGTTCCGTTCTTGTCCTTCACAGCCGAACTGGCAACTTCTCGGGCAACAATAACAACAGAGCCAGAGAGATTATGTATGATATTCTAAATGCACCTCAACCACTACATCCGCATAACTTGATGTCGGCGAGAAGGTGTGAATAGTCCTACCCAGCCCCCAACGCATATCAACACCTCCCATCAGTGACACCCCCTTCACAAACTCTCCTCCCTATACAAACCCAACCGCCCCCACCCCCTTCTCCCCATACAACAAACCCCCATTACACCGTCTCACTCACTCCCCCTCAACAACGACCCCCCCCTCCCCCTCAACCCTCACCACAAACTCAAACCCCACCCTCAAATTCTCCGCCCCGCTCAACGCCCTCTCCACCATCGCCTCCCTCCTCTCCCCGACCAGCCGCCTCAGCGCCGCCACCAGAAACCCCCCGACCACCTCCACGCCCCACCCCTCCGGCACCAGCTCCAACACCTCCACCACGTCAAACCACCCGCCAAACCGCTCCAACAACGCCCCCGTCTGCACCAAACGATCCTCCGCGTCCGCCAGCGCGAGGAACTCCCCCAGCAGCGCGCGGAACAGGCGCGTCTGCTCGTCCCACGTCGGCGGCAGGTCGCTGCCGCTGTCGCGGCGCTGGCGGCGTTGGCGGCTGGTGCCGGTGCCGGTGGTGGCCGGGGTGAGGGCGGCGGCGCCGCGGATGCAGTAGGATACCGCCGTGTCGTGGTCGCCGAGGCGGTGGACGAGCAGGCGCAGCGCGGTGGTGTGGTGGCGGGCGCGGGAGGCGAGGATGATGGATTCCGGGACGAGGAGGGGGTGGTCGGCGGGTGGTTGGGGGTTGGGGGGGAGGCCGTTAGTGGTGGTGGGTGGTTCTTTTACGGTGGTGGTGGTGGTGGTGGTGGTTGCGGTTGCGGTTCCGTTTAGGTGGGGAGGGGGTGATGATGGCGGGAGGGCGGCGAGGGAATCGTCGATGCGGGCGCGGATCGCCGTCACGTCGTAATCGTGGCCGCCGCCGAGGAGTTGGAGGAGCCGTAGGCGGCTCTGCCAGACCTCGTCGTTGGGCGGCGCGTTGTCGGTGAGGAAGTGGAGATAGGTGGGTTTTGGTGGGTGGAGGGCGCGGTAGGTGTCGTAGGAGGCCGCGATGTTATCGCGCGAGGCCGGCGACGTCTGGAGGTCGGTGATGACGATGTCGAGGTAGTAGGTGATGAGCTCGTTGACGTAGGCTGTGTTGCCCTTGCCGAAGACGAGGTGTTCGAGGTAGTATTTGACCGCGTCCGGCGCCTCTTCTCGGAGGAGGGCGACGATCTGGGCGTGCTCGAATTTCGGGGCTTTGCCCTTTTCGTCCGTGAAGACTTGTACGCCGAGCTTGGGGTTGCGGCTGGCCAGCCACAGGCCGTATTCTTGAACCAGCGCCTGGTTGCTGATGTTGGAGAGGTAGCTCCTCAAGCGCTGCTCGCCATCGCCTAGTTCACCACCTCTATCTTCCTCGCCCTCAATAACACGTTTCCATGTCCCTAGCACGTCTGCCGTCATCTTGCGATGTTGATAGAGACGGCTGAGGACGAAGAGACGGTGGTATGTCTCGAGTAGATCCACGGCTCTCTCAAAGCAATCGACGCCGTGGTCGACAAGCTCGTATAGGTCTTTCCGTACCGAGCCAAGTGTGCCGGGCTGACCTATTGGTGTGCTCTGATCGAGTTCTAAGAGCACCAATAGTAGGGACGCATCCACTGTCCGGAACACCTCGTCCGGTATACTACCAAATCCCTTTTTCTTCCTCCAGGCCGAGAGGAAGCGTCTTAGAAATTGGAGGACGTTGGGCGGCAATGAGCTGATTCCTTGTATGACCAAACCGTCCGTCTCGGCTGAGATGTAGCTTTCAACAATACTCTTGATTCCGCCATAGATCCATATCCCTCTTCGATTCATAACAAGCTCGTTACGCAAGGCAGGTATCAAAGACAGGACTACCCGGGCGTCCAAATCCCCGTTAACAAGGTTCTCTTCCATTGCCCTCGTTTCGGCATCCGTGAATGGCGGCTCCGGCGACCTTAGGAACGTCGTCAGAAGCATGACACTCGCCTTCTGCTTGATGTAACCCAGGGTCATGAATTCAAGTTCCGTTGTCGGTTCCCGTTCCTTGATGGTGTCGAGTAGGGAAAGAAGCTGCCGCCTCGTCTCTGTGCCGTTTGTGGTTGTTTGCGGAGCCTGGTGAGCTGCTAGCTCCAGCACAGAATCTAGTTGCGTGAGCAATGGATTCCGCACCGCCCACCATATGTTGTCCCCAGCCCAGACAGCTAGGCGTGATGATGTCTTGGCCAGTCGTCGCACAAATTCCTCCCCTTCCTGGTTCCTCGTGGCTTCCCACCCTGGGGGTAGCTGTTCGTCGTCCGATTCGGGATCCCGGTCGAAGAGTGCATTTTCCTGGGTAAGGCGTTGTAGCGACAGGGCCGTCCGAGAATCGCTACTCTTGAGGGACATGGTCGGGGTTTCTGGATGGCCCTTGAAGGGCGAAAACCGCCTTTGGCATAACCGCTCGACGACGTTCTCGAAGACCATCTCTTCCTTCTGTAATAATAACCGGATACCAATCGGGGTGCCAGCTGTCGACTCCTTGGAGCTGTCATCGCTCACCTCCAACCACCACTTTTCTGGCTCGTCTTCGCCGTTGTTCACGTCACAGCGCTGGATCTCAAGGCCGTGGTGCAAGCCGTCCTCGAATTCTTTGGTCATTGACGCAAGGACATAGCCCTCCTGAGCACCTGGGGATGGGAGTGAGGATGAGAGGTCGGCCGAGCCCCCGTCAACCGCGATCTCACGCGGGTACCTTTCGAATTCGAGTGTGGGGCGCGTCGGGTCTCCGTCGAGGTTCACAAACATGCCGATGCCTGGTTCAAGGGGGCCAGTTCCGGTGACAAGGAGGAACTCTTCTGCAGTAGGTGATACGATGTGGGGTTTCAGGAAGACGGAGCCGGGCCCCGGAGATGGCGTTGACCGCACCGGAGGTGTTGCTATCCTAGGTGGGGGTGTTTCTTGTACTGTTAGGAGGTCTCCGGGGTCACGCGGGGGGGCGGGCAATGGTTTGTCTGCCGGCCCTGGGCTACGCGAAGGTGGCGGGGCGTCAGAAGCTTGGAAGACGGTGTCCTCTGCGTCTCCGGGCCGCCCACCGTTCCGACGCCTGCCTGACATAAAGTTCCCCAGGCTTGTGCTCCTAGAATGACCTTGGGCGTTAGCTGGAGCACGCGTAGTCGCCGATGATGCGCTCCGGGCCAGGCCGCCGTCTGGGGCGCTGGCAATGTTCTGAGTCTGACCAAAACCGCCATCCGGCTGTGAATTGTCGAGTGACGATATGGTCATAAGCGGGATTTTGAGTTGGCGGTCAACATCCAATAAGGCATAATTCCTCGAGTCTGCGACGCAAGCAATCGAGTCTCTTCGTATCGAGAGGGTGCTTCCGGCAAAATCGATTTTCTGGAAACCGCGTCAGATAAATTCCTCAAAGAAGAGTTCAGGCAGCTTACCCGAAGCACCCGCGCATCTTCTTCCCCTATTCTGACCACCTGTATCCGACGATTCAGCGACAAGAGGATGGTGACCCCAGCGGCTTTCTCGTTGCCGCCATCCCCGCTCTCGTTCAAGTCCACGCCGCCGATCCAGTTGCAGTTCCTGACCTGGGTGGCGCCAAACACGGGGCTCAGCTCGGGCAGCGAGTAGAAGGTGACGGTCCAGTTGCATAGGACACAGGCCTTGCCCACGCGTGGCAGCAAGAGGATCTGTTGCACGCCCGGCCGTGAGCCATTGATGCCACCCGCGGGTTCGGAGTATACTGGGGGAAGACGAGAGGCGAGAATAAAGGTAGAAGGGCCGCTGGGGTCGCTAGGGTCGGGAGGGATGCGGAAGAAGTGCAGGAGTTCGGAGGCACTGGTGCCAACATAGAGGTTGCCGTCTAAGAAGACGATAGTTAGCAAGTGCCCCAGCCATTTTCAACCACAACCAGCCTGCGCATACCATAATAATCGACGCAGTTTATCTTGATATCCTCGTCGCTGCCGTCGGCGGACAGGGGCACGTCGTGGAGTAGCGGGCGCAACGCATAGGGTCGAGCGCTGGGGGGTGCTGCCTGGCCCTGCTTCCTCTGCGGGTCGGATGCCATGGCGCATCCCGAACCATTGTCGCCCGGCCGTGGATTCGGGGTCGCCGTGGGATACGGCGCCGGGGGGGATCAACCGAGTTCGGAGCGGAGCGGGTGTTTATGTCGGCGTGTGTCTTCCGGGTTTTCTAGAGAATGGAGGGACGGGAACCCGGAACCTGGAAGTCGTCGTCATGCAAGGGCCGGGCTGGGGAGCTCCAGGCGCTAAATTCTAGCATGGGGGAGCAGCGCAGGGCAGCTGCTCAAGCCCCTGTATCCCGCGGTCCACTTGCGCCTGGGCGAACAAGCCCCACACCCAACCGCAGTTCTCGAGGATCAATCAGCCTTGGCGCTGTTCCAACGGCCACCTTACACAGTAACAGCTTCGCGCCGACCTTCAACAACCGAAGGAACATTCCATAAACAACGGCAAGGTTGATGTCAGCCACACCACCACACCGGATCCATAACCGTCCACGGTAGCCTTTCTGCGGATTGTGTGAGCAACACGACGCAATGGCCGAAAGAACTAGCTCAGACGCCCCCGGGCTCGGGACACCCGCGCCGCCATCACCAACAACCGACTCCGGCACCGTCAACAAGTTCCAGAACGCCATTTCGCAATGGAGGAGTGCGCATTGATTTCTTATCGCGTTCAGTCAGAGACGCATCTAACGCGCATCTAGGTCTCGACTTCACCACCCTCGTCTCTAACCTCGACAACACCGCCTCCGAGATCGTGGCCTTCCAGCGGGACTCGACCGTGCAGAGGAAGGATTTGGCGCAAAAGACGAAAGACTTTAGAAAGCTCGACGACGCAAGCAAGCTTACCGAAATCAAGGGATTGCTCAAGGGTACGCCCTCGCGCTGGAGCTACGTCGACTGTCCTTTTCGAGACTAACAGGATACAACAGCCTACCAAACCTTCATCGATCTACTGACGACCAGCTCCAAGTCCGTCAACTCCGCCTTTCTACACACATACACATCGCTGTCCGAAGCGCCGGATCCGTACCCATTACTTGAGGCCTCGGTGGATTCGATGCTTGTCTCGGAGGACACACTGCCGAAGCTCACCCAGGAGAACCAACACTTGCAGGACAGTGTTTCCCGGCTGACGACCCAGCTCGACGACACAGAAGCTCGACTCCAGACGGAACGCGATGCGAGGAAAAAGCTAGAGGAGAACCTCGAGAGTAAGGTCAAGGAGGCCGAGGAGTCGTGGACCGCCGTGGTAGAGGAAAAGCAGGATAATTGGTCAGCAAAGGAGAAGGCGCTGGAGGACAAGATCGAGAATCAGGACCGCCTGCTGAACGAAATCAAGGCCAGCTACGAGGTCAACCAGCGACTGGGGAAATCCGACGATACCGAGGAGGGCCGAGGGCACGTCACGAGCGCCGAGCTGGAGATGGTGCATTCTGACTTGGAACGGACGAGTACACGGCTTGCCGAGGTTGAAGCCCGCAACGAACAGCTGCGTCTGGATCTGGCCCAGGCCAAGTCACAGGTCCCAACTCAAGCCTCGGTCAACCTGGAAGATGAGCCCGGCTACCTGCGGGTGAGGTCGGAGAACTCGTCTCTCATCCGGAAACTTGATGCGGCGCGAGTGGAAAAGGAGGGCCTAAAGAGGGATCTGAGCGTCAAGCTCCGGGGGCTTGAAAGAGAGGTCGGCATGCTAAAGGACGAGCGGGACGGCCTCAAGGCGAAGGTTCAGAAATGGGGCGACTACGAGGAGGTCAAGCAAGAACTGGAAGTTCTCAAGAGCATTGAGTTCTCGACAGGCGATGACGACGAAACGCGGGATATCGGTGGGGGCGAGAACGGCGCTGCAGCCCCGGGCAAGGGAGACACACTCGAGCAGCTGCTTGTGGCCCGAAACAAGAAGTTGAGCGACGAACTCACCATTTTGCGTGTGTCGCATCAAGATCTACAAAGCAGGCTGCAAAATCTGCAGGAGGAGCTGTCACGGACCAACGCTGAGCTCGAGAAATCGCAAAACCTCAACGAGAAGCTCGAGAACGAGCTCTCCACCGTCCAAGCCGAGGCGCCCAATGCCTTCCCCTCAGGCGCTTCCGTTGCGGGCACCTACGTAAGTCGCTACGCACCCTCCATCGCGCCAGGCCGTAAAGGAGGACGAACATCACCGACCTCGTCCATCATCAGCGGCTTCAACCCGCGCGACTCGTCCGACGACCGACCACCCATGGGCGGCGGCTCAGGCATCCTACCCATGATCACGGCGCAGCGCGACCGCTTCAAGAAGCGCAACACGCAGCTCGAGCAAGAGCTCTCGGAAAACCACCGCACCGTCTCCCAGCTCCGGCAGGAGATCGCCGCCCTGCAGCGCGACAACCTCAACCTCTACGAAAAGACGCGCTACGTATCCACCTACAACCGAACAGCCGCCGTCGTCGGCGGGGGCACGGCAACCACGTCCTCCTCCTCGGCCTTCGCGGCCAACCCCAACCCCTCCTCCGTCTCCCTCACCTCCTCCCCCCACCTCGGCGGCGGCGGTGGCGGCGGGCCCACCAGCCCCGGCTCGGCGCCGCTCGGCCTCGACCGCTACCGCAAAGCCTACGAGTCCAACCTGTCGCCGTTCGCGCAGTTCCGCGGCCGCGAGTCCGCCCGCGCCTACAAGCGCATGAGCCTGCCCGAGCGCGTCGTCTACTCGGTCACCCGCATGGTCCTCGCCTCCCGCACCAGCCGCAACCTGTTTGCGCTGTACTGTCTTGCTCTGCACATGCTGGTCTTCTGCTCGGTGTTTTGGATGGGGACGGAGGATGCCGATCGCCATGCCATGGCCGGCGGGGCCGCGGCGGCTATGGCGGCGCAGGCGCCCGGGGTGGATTAAAGGGGGGTGGATGGGGGGGGCTGTTAGATGGGTGGGGGGGTATGAGTGAGTGGATGGAATTCCTCCGGGGGGCTGCATGGTATGGGTGGATGACGCGCGGTGGATGACGCGCAGGCTTTTGATGGCTATTTCTGTGTGTACATGTGCCTAGATATGTGTATAAGGTCTTTTGTATGGTATGGGACGGGAGCCATATGAGTGGGCGTTGGTGTCCTACAATCCCGGAACGGTGTGGTGGAGGGGAGGCGGCCAGCCGTCTCGGCGGGCGGCTGCGGAGATGAGCCCCGGGGATTGGCTGCGGCCCGGCTGGTTGTGATTGCTGCGTTCCCGCTCCGCGTGGTGTCTTTTCATGGCGTGGTCGATGGCTTGGGGGGATGGGATGTTCGATGCTGGTTTTTTAACTTCATGTTAGGAGAAGGCGGGGCGTTGCGGTAGCTGGAAAGACGACAGCGGTTCCATGAGAGTAGTCTCGCGAGGTGGAAAGTTTGCGTCCACGCTCAATAATGCATATATCAGGATTTCACCGTGTATAGGATAAGTATCATGGCCGCGTTGAACTGCTAGCTCATCCAAGAGGCGTCTATCTTTAATCACAGTTTCCGGTTGCAACAGCGTTGGAGATACCTCGAACCAGCGCATCCGCCACACCCGTAACAGTCACTAGTAATATCATAATCAATCGCAACACTGAACCCACCCAAGAAATTACCCGTAACTTCCTCAGCGCCTTCACAACACAGCCGAGGCCGACCCACCACCACCACTCGAGAACGTCGGCGGAACAACAGGTCACGTACAATAACACGTTACAACTCGCGCTCTCTGCCCTCCGCGACAGGCTCCCTGCCGCCGGCCGGCTCGGTCAGTGTTTCTACTAGGCGGATTACCACGCGTAAGACAAGCAAGGCCTAGCGGATGGGGGATCTGAAGGGGGGCAACAGGTGGCGCTCAACATGTTGATGCCGCGGAGACAGGATCAGTCCAATCTCCCGCACGTCCACAACCTGGTTGACGTGTTACTGCAGAGACGGGGCTGTATCACGAGGCCGAACGGGAGGGGAGGGTCGTGAGGGGGGATTGACTGGATGGAAAGCTGGGGGAGGTGTCGCCGCAGGCGCTGGGCACGTTGACGGTATCATTAAGCGGACGGGGGAGGATATTCCGTACGCTGCGTATAGGGAAGAGCAGCGCGAGCTGGCGAGGGAACTTTGGGATGGGTTAAGAGGAATGAATGAAAAGAATTAGACGGGGTGTGAAGTGGATGGATCGTCATGTTTGTCGGATGGGTAAATGGCCCTCGTCACCAAGGTAGCAAGGGTAATCTGTATGTTCGGAGTTACCTTTTGGGTGAAAAGAACTTTGCAAGTATACAGGCGCTGCTCTCCCAGCGGTGACGACTGTGTATTCGTCATGATGGGTTACAGACAGGCGCCGACCTCAAGACCCAAGGCATGGCAAGGCATGGCAAGACCACAACCGACAAAAGACATTTCCGACATTTCCGTGTTAAACACCGCGTCGAGAAGCTGATGGGTTGCTTCTGGCGCCTTGGCCGGCTGGGCATTACAGCATATGTAAGTGCAAGCGAGCCGAGATGATTTGGAGAGGCCGAAACGGCAGACCTTGCCCGTCCCAGGCGCCCGCACAACATGTGGGTGTGGAACCGGAATCGGCACCGGACGCAACCACGGGAGTCGTACGTAGCGACCAGGCCGCAGCAGTGGCCAGCGTCTATTCCACGGACATTATCTGGCTCGCTAACCGGTAGGGTTGCCACATGGCCGGCGGGAGGCATCCAGTAGATGGGGTTGGCGGATGAGGGTTGTTTTGAACTTTTGGAAGAGGGTTGGACGGAACCTGGAAGTGGGCATGTGGTGGTCCACTCGGAGGCCAAGCTTTTACTTGCCCGCGGCTAGCCATTGCTTGCGACCGGGCCCGGACGCGACCTCTTACGACACGCAGCTTGTTCCGGCCGCGAGGTGAACGTCACCTTCCTGGCCTGAGATCTCACCCTACCGATGTCTGATAGGTTGAATGAGCCCCAAGATCTGTGGAGTTCAAATCCCTTCCAATATGGGAGATGCCAGGAAAAGAAGCGGATGTTGACAATTCCGCTGCGGGTAGCTATTTACCTAAGTCCCAAGGCAGTTTTTGACGGAAGGCTACCACAGGATAAACTTAATTTTATAGCTAATACGGCCTAGCGGAGTACGGGGCACGCGGGAGAGGTGCAGGAAGCGATCGGGAATCTGGGCGGATCGATATTGCGAGCAAAAAAAAGCTGCTTGGCAACGAAAAGAATGGGTTGTGAACTCGGAGAGACGACTTCCCGACGACGAACGTTGATGCGGGCGGCTAAGGCTGCAGGGTTTGTGAGGTTGGGCGCGGCAAACTTTGTGGGCAAAAATAGCACAAGCCAATGGAGTTGGAGAACTTCGTGGGCTAAATTCATCCCAAAGCGGGGAAATTAGCCCAATTTCCTCACGATCTGTTCTGGACGAGCAATAGCGATAGTCTCACGCCTTCCGTGCCAATGCGATTTTGACTTTTGATCGTCGCTGTCAAGTTCATCATCCCCATGGTTGGGCGGCCTTGTGAGATGTCCCAGTGATCGGGAGATCTACGATCTAACGGGATTGCGAGTAACTTGAGCGGCACAGTAAACACGCTAGAACAGATAACAGAGAAGGTTGGGAGAAACTATGGTTTGTTGGTGTTTTTGCGCATATTCTCTTCTGAATGGAAACATCTGCTCGTTTGACAAGCAGAGCTCGGGAATCGGGCATTTACTACCACCTACTGCGTGTGTCCACACACTCTCGGGCTCAACGCTCCGAGGAAACCAAATAACCAAATAACCGACCGTTGAGAGGATTAACGAAATTTCTCAGATCCGTCCTACCACATCGAGACATGTCCGTGAATGCTGGGAGGATTCCGCCGAATCCATTCGTTGAGTCTTCAAGAGCAAACACCCGCTTAAGAGGAGGGGTGTGTGGATGAAACCTAAAAGCAGGCGGTGGAACGGCGCTTGCCAGGGGTCAGATGAACAGGGGTCAACCAACCCCTCCAATGAATCCAACAGCCAGTCAAATGGCAGCATTCAGCGTCAAGACCCTCGTCCCGCCGCCGTTTGCTGTTCGTTCGGCGGCTGCCCACCGGACTAGCGAGTCAATGGATTCTCGGCCGTGGGAGCGCGGGACCTGGCGGGACGAGTGCGACCCGCGGGGCTATCGAGGCGGCTGGACACACTAGCCTTGTGCCGCCATGTCCGGAGTCTTGTATAATAGTCATCCAACCTCCCTCAAAGCCCATCCAAGTCATGATGCTCATACTCTGTCTCACCTCTATCCTCCATATATACATCCCTCCCGGATAAGCCTCCTCTTTTCTTTTCTTTTCTATTAGTTCCTTGTGTTCTCTGCTCTTCGGTCTGGGTTTCCTTACTCGTCTCGTGATACCAATACCTCCTCGATCTGCGATCGACTTGACTGCCGGCCACTCGACCCAACACATACACTACACAACCACAACCATGCATGCCTCACTACTCTTCGTATCGGCACTAGCCGCCTCCGTCTGGGCTGCCCCTACCTATCCCAAGATCGACAAGGCTGCCAGCATCCCTGACAACATCCGCACCGTCTCCGAATATTTCAACATGCTCGCCTCGAAGGTGCAGGACAGCCGGTTACTCGACATCCCGCCAGTCTGCGATCTCTCCCAGGTCTCCCTCCCAGCCGGTAAGCACGCCACCTTTTTACCCCCCCCCCCCCCCCCCCCCCCCAACCCCCGATGCTAACAACCTCCCCCACAGGCGCCGCTGGCCTCCCATCACCATCCCCAGACCTCCACCTCCAACACATCGCCATCGGCCGCGGCACACAAAACTACACGTGCGATCCAGCGGAACCCGAGGCGGCACCCAAGGCGGCGGGCGCGCTAGCAACGCTCTTCAATGCGTCCTGCCTGGTAGCGACGAGCCCGGAGCTGGCCAACGCCCTCACACGGGCGGCGCTGCACTTCGAGGTGGCGCAGAGCGACGCGAGCGAGCAGCTGGCGCCGTCCAACATCGGGCTCAGCGGCGTGCACTTCTTCACCGACGCCACCACCGCGCTCTTCAAGCTGGACGTCGCGCCCGCCCTGCAGATCGGCGAGCTGCCCTGCGGCAAGAACGCGAGCGTCGCCGCCCCCGTCGACGCGCCCACCGGCCTCAAGGGCGAGGGGGCTGTTGCGTGGCTCAAGCTGGATGCGAAGCCTGGTGCTACCGGTGGCCTGCAGGAGGTCTTCCGCGTCGAGACCGTGGGTGGCAGCCCCCCCGCGACTTGCAATGGCTTGCCGAGTACCTTCGAGGTGCAGTATTCGACACAGTGAGTTCCCCCATCTTAGCTATCCGTCTCTTGGAGTCGAAGAAGACATGGTGCTAATGAGATGGATAGGTACTGGTTTTATGCCAAGTAAGCCCTCGGAGAAGTGTTGAGGGATATGATAATGTCGAAAAGGCTGTATATCAGGAGGGTCTTGGTCATTGCATTGTGTGGGAGTTCCGGTATTGGGGGTATTTTTATCTGGGAGGGTCAACTTTTTAATGTAGCGTTTCTGTTCTTTTGAGGGCGAGGGCGAGTGTGTTTGCCAGGAGCAAAGAAAACCGGAGGGAATGACAGTCGACCTCGGTTTAGGGACACGCGCGCTTACTATGCCTTGCACATATTGCCGAATGAAATAAAGTTCACATATAAAGCTCGAAGCCTGTGTTCTGGACTGTGATGATAAGGGTCGGAGAGAATGGATTACAGATGGCACCGCGGTAGGTTGTTCCCAAGGGCGGGAAAATGAAAAATGGTGCCAGGGTTGATCAGGGTTAGGTACCGGTAGTTAAGTGAGGAGTGAAACATCACGTGGAGAAAAATATCCCGAGTGTCCGGTTCAACGCAGCAAAAGACCAGATAAAATAAAGTACACGAGTTACAGCAGCAGAAAGAGAACGTGCAGGACTCATTCAAGCTGAGCCGTGGTTGGTCTAGGAGGGCAAGCAAATCAGGCACATTACATACCTACACGGCTACCTGCGCTCCCTACCTAACCTTAGCCTTGCTAGAATTTCTTGAAATGAAGAAAGGGCGGCCCGCCATCTCACTCGCCTTCTCACGACGATTTTATTCTTCATGCCGGAATCTACCACCGAAGGCTTTTGGTTCCCCGGCGACGTTGCTTGTCGCAAGAACCTCACAACAATATTATTTTCCTCGCCCACAACAGCATCCAGTACATATCGCTTTCTCTGACCTTACCGACACATACACTGGGAAAAACCAACCGTTTGATCTCCCGGTTACAAAGAGGCCAGCGTCGACCCCCGATCGCCAGCATTCTCAAAGAGTGCCATTAAATCCACGCCGGTGTCAGGCGCGACAAAAAAGTGCGTCCCAAATTATCTTCGTTTTTCCGTCCGATCGCTAACTGGTAACCAGTCCCTGCGCGATTCGAACACGAGAGGATCTCACAGAAGTTTGGTGAGCCTGAACGGAACCCAACCGGATCACCACGTACCGAACGGGCTTCGTATTCTCTACAACATACCAAAATGGACCCGAGTCAACCATGGAACTGGCGCCAACGGGGCCAGGGCCAGGGCCAGGGAGAACATACCCCGCCAATACCTAACGTTCCGAACCCATTCGGCATGCCGTTCAGTATGCCACCGAATTTCAACACCGGGTGGATGCAGCCGACATTCCAGAATCCCTTCTCTCAACCAGGCTTCCCTCAACCAGGCGAACCGCAGCAGCAAAACGACGGTAGGGCTTGGGCTTATGCTACGTTCGGCCTCGCAGCGCTCCCCCGGCCATTCTCTCAAGGACCCCTCCAGCAAAACGATGGCAGAGGTCAGGGTCACGCGCCCTTTGGTCGCGCAGAGGACCAGCGTCATTTCTCCCAAAGTAACCAAGCCCGCCCGCAGAGTGATCGCAGAGGCCGTGGTCAGGCGCAACCCAGTCAACCACCCTCGTGGGGCCCTTCTCGAACTGGCCAGCCTCGCCAACGGGACAGTGCTCGGCGCCAGGGCGAAGGGGACTTTTATCGCCCATCGCCTCAATTCGCTGCCCCCCAAACCAACCAGGAGAATCGACAGTATGGGGGCGAAGCCCGGGGAGACGGTGAGGACCACCCCTCACGTCGCAGGGAACGGCAGCGGAACCGAAGGCGGGCCACTGCTCCTGTGTGGAATTTTCCCGAGAACCCCCCTCTTCCCTTCCCCATGGACAGCCCAGCCACGGGCCCCTTCCGTTCTACCAGACCGGTCCGGCAGCAGAACAACCAGCTCACCACCGGGGGAGGCAACCCTGCCTCGCTCCCACCCCGTCCCGACACCAACACCAAAGTCAAGAAAAAGAAGGGCGGACCCCCACCATACGTCGCGCGCGCGAACGCCAACAAAAGCCTCCAGCGCAGCCCGCCCAGCGCCACCGAGATCCGCGACACCATCTCCGCGCCCTCCGCCGCATCCGGCGGCATCCCCGAGCCCACAGCTGAATACCTCCAACGCGCCTCCTTCATGACCTACCGCCTCACGACCCCGCAACCCATGCTCGTGGTAATCGACCTCAACGGCACACTCCTCTTCCGCCCCAACAAGCGGCAAGCCTCCGCCTTCGTCGAGCGGCCGCTCGCGCGCGCCTTTTTGCAGCGCTGCATCGACAGGCACCACGTCGTCATCTGGTCGTCGGCGCGGCCCGACAACGTGCGCCGCATGTGCGCCCAGCTGCTCCCGCCCGCCTACCTCGCCCGCGTCGTCGCCGTCTGGGGCCGCGACCGCTTCGGCCTGAGCCCGGACGACTACAACCGCCGCACCCAGTGCTACAAGCGCCTGACCCGCCTGTGGGAGGACCCCGTCGTCGCCGCGTCGCACCCGCTGGCGGCGGCGCGCTCTCCCGGTTCGGCCGAGGGCGAGGGCGAGGGTTCCGATACGGAGGGCCTGGGACCCGGCGAGAGTGTCGGCGGCGGCAGCGGTAGTGGGGTGTGGAGCCAGGCCAACACGGTGCTGATCGACGACAGCGCGGAGAAGGCGCGCAGCGAGCCGCACAACGCCGTGACGCTGCCCGAGTTCGCGGGGGACCTCAAGGAGACGCCGCAGGTGCTGCCGCTGGTGGAGGAGTACCTCGACGCCCTGTCGTTCCAGGGCGATATCAGCACCTACATCAAGGTCCGGCCGTTCAAGATGGGGGAAGGCCAGCCTGTGGCGGTTGTGCAGGAGTCGTCTTGAGGAAGGGGACGTCAATTTCTTTTTTTGGGGCTAGGCTGTGTGCGATGGATGGGAGGGCGCTATCGCTGCTGTGAAGGAAAATCGTAGAGGGAGCATTGTGCCATATGTGAGCGGGCGATATATGAGCGGGAGCTGCCCAACAGTTTGGAGTTTTGTAGCGAGACTTGATACCCCTTGGAAGTTAGAGGAAGGAATACACACACGTCTCAAGCACTTCGTTACACTTCATATCATGATCATTGGTTCTCATTGAGCAACAAGCCCGCAGACGCGGTAGCTAGTGTCTATTTCGTCGAGTCATGCTCGACTTGACTACTGGTGATATCAAAGCACAATGAACCACCCAGCGGGCCCATATGCCTCCCGATTCCCCGTCCATTCCCGTTCATCAGTCATGTCATGTCCCATAGTCTAGCACACCGCCACGTCTGGCCTGTCATGCGCTTCGCTTTTTTTGATTTATTTGAAGACCTTGCCGGCGGCATGGGGGTACTCCTTGCCGTTGACAACAACCGGCTTCTCCCACGTCCACTGGAGCTCGACGAACTCACGGTCCTCGGGCTTGGAGGGGTCGAGCTTGGTGAACTCGTAGCTCTCATAGTCGGGAGCGACGTCAAAGACGGGCTCGAACTCCTGGCCGCGGATGACGAAGGCACCCTCAATGACCGAGTCACTGTTGACGCCGTACACCGACGCGCAGCCGAAGACGTACTTGCGAGAAGCCTCAAGGCGGGTGTTGAAGCCGCCGATGAGGTTGCTCGACATGAATGTCAAGGTGAGCTCATCGTTGTACTTGTAGGTACACTTCCAGATCGAGTACTCTTCGAAGTTGACATTCTCCCAGAACCACTTCATGGCATCAGGGGTCTCCTTGTTAGAGTACTGGCGCTTCCACTCGTCAAGGGGAAGGGAAGCCCGGGGAAGAAGATCAAGGGGGTGCTTGGGCTTGGGGGCCGGGGCCGGCTCCTCCTCATCCTGGGGCTTGGCCACGGCGGCAGCCGGCTTGGGGGCCGGCTTGGCCTGCTCAGGCTTCTTGGGGGCGACGTTGGTCAACTTGGGGGTATCGAGAAGAGAAAGCTCGGGGACAACAGCCGAGTAGATGGGCTGCTTGTAGACCGTCTCGTACCAACGCGAGACGTTGGGGTTCTTCTGGCGCCACTCCTTGTCGAAGAAGTACTCGAAGCCACGCGAGATCAGGCCGGCGGCGAACACGTCAGCCAGCGTGATGCGCTCACCAACGAGGTAGGTGTTGTCGCGGAGGTGGGCCTCGACGACCGAGATGACAGAGAGGGCACCCTTCTGCGACTCCTCAACGGCCTTCTTGTTGTACGGGTCCTTGCCCAGGAGGGGGCGGAACCAACCGCCGAGCTTGGGCAGCACCTCGCTGTTGAAGAACGACATCCACCTCAGGATCGAGGCATAGCTACCAGCACCATTAGCGACCCGCGGGCTCGGAACCGGTCAAGGTTGGACTTACTCCTGCTTGGTCTTGCCGAGGAGGGTGGTCTTCTCGTTCTGGGAGGTGACTGAATGGTTGTCAGCATTTTGGTCAAGAAACATGCATGCGGTAACAATCCAAGCGGAGAAAAAAGGACAATCAGAAGTTAGAACTAAGTCAACACCGTTGTTTTCAGATAGGGATAACTGTTATTGAGAATGTCTCGGTCATCATTGTCGGAGGGGAAGCACCTGGGCAATCAAGGTGCCGCCACCTGGGGGGAAGCGGGGCAGAGGGGCATGAGGGGCAGCCCAGCGCGTAGCAGAGAAGAAAAATGCCACATACCGTACACAGCGATGGCGATGCACTCGGTGAGGACAAAACCATCAGCGCCGACGAAAGTCGGGACCTTGTGAAGGGGGTTGAGCCTGAGGAACTCGGCGCTCGGCTTGGTGGTGTCGGTGTCGACCTCCTGGAGCTCGAGGTTGTTGGCCTTCGCGACGGCGCGAATGCCCGTCGAGCGGGGGTTGCCCTGTGTCGCGCAGAGAAGTCAGCAACGCGCGCGCAACTAGAAAAACGACGCCAATTAAATATTTGGCGCCATCCTAGAGCATCGTGAGACATACCGCGTAGGTGTAGAGCTGTCCGAACGCCATCTTTGCTTGTGAGTTGACAGGAGGCTGATGGTCGAGGGGAAGGGAGTCGGGCAAAGAAAGCTGTCGATGAGCGAAAAGGGGATTCACAAGAAAATTTATGTGGCGGGGTAGTTCAGGTGGGGTCAAGCTTCACGCGTCCTGACTGGTGGGCGGCTGAGGTGTGAGACCAGGCCGCAATCTGGTCCGGGCTCGAGCTCCGTGCCGTGTCTGGAAAAATTGCTGCGAAAATGTTCCGCCGAGAGCCGCAGCCCGCCAAAACCCCCCCAACGATCTCGGCCGAACGACGGGACTCTCCTGGCGCGACCGCCGATAAAAGACGGTGGACGTCCGCGCGGAACGATGGCATCCTCTTCACGACAAGGGCTCACCTCTGCCCTGCGCGGCGTTTCTACTCGCCCAAATGGCGGGCAACGGCAACCACTCGAGCAACAATTCCAGTCGCTGCAACTGACCCCAGCGATCGTACACCGAAGGTGCATGGCGAGCCAGTACAACGGGAGACGGGATAATAGGAACAACGACATTACCGCCGCCCCTGAATTCGACTTCGGGTCATTCGCCAGGAAATTCGCTCTTGCTAACTATGCTCGACCGGTGCCTGTATCGCCCTCCTATTTCTCGCGCACTCCGTCATTCAATGACCGCTACCTCACCCTCGAGAAGCTGTTCAGGGCGTACAGCAACCTCCCGTTGATCCCCGCCGCCGACGCCGAACGTATCGCCTGGAAGACTTTGGCAGACCTGAGACAGTCGTTTGGTGAGCCCGTAAAGGCAACGGATTACGTCAAGTGCCTTACCATCGTCAAGCGGCTACACCAGATCCACCCCGAGCTGAAGCCGGACGCGGTGAAGAGCGCGCTGCAAGACTTCAAGCGGGATGTGCAAGCCTTCCTCAACGTGACAAACCCGATACCCATCGACAAGTTTGGGCGAGCCCTCGGGGTCGGCAAGAGAAAGTCCTCAATCGCCAGGGCGTTCGTTGTCGAGGGCGATGGCCAGGTGCTAGTCAACGGCAAGACGCTCCCGGATTATTTTGGGCGGGTCCATGATAGGGAGAGCGCCGTTTGGGCTTTGCATTCGACAGATCGGATCGACAAGTACAATGTGTGGGCGCGTGTTGAGGGGGGCGGCACCACCGGGCAGGCGGAAGCGCTCACGTTAGCCATTGCGAAGGCCCTACTGGCTCACGAGCCTGCGTTGAAGCCTGCGCTACGGAGAGGTGAGTGATAAACTTTTTCTAACCGTCAACCGTGTTTAGAACTTTGCTAACCCATGGTTTCCAGCCGGCTGCGTCACTCGCGACCCGAGGAGAGTGGAGAGAAAGAAGCACGGCCGGGTCAAGGCGAGAAAGGGATTTACATGGGTCAAGAGATAGTTTTGGCTGGGCGGGTCGTTGTGTACTTTGGGTCTGCGTGGTCAACTATCCCCATGCGCTTGGAGGCTGCGTTTATGCTTATCCCTCTGTAAGCTTTATCTTTGTAACAACTGTACCACGGATAACTGTACAATACAAGACATGGAGTGTTTCAGATCTGCGTCACCGGATGGGGTACATGTCAACCGATCTATCTGCTACTCCGCCATGGCCCCACGAACGCGGGCATGACGTGCCACGTCCTTTACGGTAATGGGGTGCGCTTTCACTAATGTCTGGGTCTTCACGCCGTTTATCAACCGCAGCTCAGCATGTGGTGGTACAGTTTATGAGAGGCGAGTCAGTTGTGACGCATTTACTGGAGATTGCTGACCGCAATCGGGACCTCAAAACGTTCTCTGAAAACCACCGACACACCAGCGTCCCCTTCCCGCTGCATATTGCCAACCCTCTTATCCCTCTTTCCCCTCTATTCGCTGCCCCTCTCCCGCTCCCGGGAACGAGCAGCAACGGCAGCGGCAGCTGCGACTGCTGACTACCGCACCTGAGGGATGGGATAGCAAGTGTTAGTCAAGGCCCTAGTAGGATCCGGCGGCTACCTGGCCCATGGAACCGGCACGGGGGATGGAAACGGAAGCGGCGTTATTATGAGCGGCTCTGGATCAAGATCAACCTCCATTCAAGAGTATGGGAGCCAGAGGCTATCCAACGAGAACTGAGAAAAGAGAGAGGTTGAACGTGGCCTAAAGGAGTTGTAACGTTGAGGGCAATCGTCTGTGGTATGATGTGCTCTCACAGCCCCTTGTGAGAAGGATGTGGCGTTAGGCCCTCTCTCTGTCTGCGGATTAGGTCTACTCTTACTCAAGCATCAGTTAGTATTTCCCCTACCTCATGCGTACTTCGTGGGGTGGGGGAGGGGGTTTTTTGACTCTCCCCTCGAAGGCGCGATTCAAAACGTGAACCATGCCCGTGAGCGAAGGAGAAGGAGACCATAATAGGACTACTAATTTAGAATAGACACGGCAGATCATCTATTGCGTTAACGATAGCTTGGGTTTCCTGTTTTGAAGCAGTTGATAGGTGTTCATTTTATACCAACCCCCGCTGTCACCCTCGACGCACTGCCTGTTACTTATAGGTAGTCAAGCTGGTTCTTCCAAGCGACGTTTGCGCCTCAGACATGGTCTAGGGGCATCGGATGATCGGGCTCTACCAAGAAAAAGCTGATGCAGGGACGACTGCGGCTAGGCTGCTGCGCCGTCACACGGGCGGGACTACCCGCCGGAAGCACATTATGCTGGGTGGCAACAGGCTTGATATAGCAACACCTGTGGTGGGGAGCTGACGGCGCGCGATCGCCACTCCAGGCATGAAGGTCGTCTACAGAGTACCACCAAGCATGCACACACGCGACAACCCGACCCCGCCCGCACATGCACACGGCAGGTCTGGCAGCCCTACCAGCCCGACATCCCAGGTTCATGGCATTCCAGTCGTCTAGATGCCTTGCTGGTACCAGAAACCGATGTTGGCTATAGCCCAGCGGTCATAAGCTTCGGTTACTGGCATCGCTTAGGGTAAGCAGTCTGTCTCAGGAACGAGCATGATACCGCACCAGGTTCGTGCACTTGCCATGGGCGAGAGGGAGGTTGGATTTAAACGTTGCCAAGCAAACCGCCCTGTCGTCGCCTCACATCAAATGATCGACCATGGCCTACGCAGCACCACCCAATCGTCGCTTCTTCAGGGCTGAGATCTACGCAGCAGTGTATGTACATATGTACTCCATCTCCCGGTCGATTTAGCTTCAGCCATACAGTAAAAGACCTGACGGCAACGTGCAGCTGCGGGGCGATCCCGTGAACGTGTTTCGATGCGAAGCAGCCCAAGGTCGTCAAGATCCGGGCAATCGGTCCGGGCGCGTTGCAGCAGACATCATGCCGCAGTTTCGACGGATAGCATCTCCGGGTCGAGGTGCACCCGGAACAAACACCTGGATCCTTCCGCCAAGCGATGATCGAGTCAAAGCAGACCGTGAGCTCTGAGACTTTGCCGAGGACGTCGCATTTCAATGTCGCCCACACGGGTGAGCGGGTAGGTTCCTGCGTTCCCAAGACAAGCCCCTCGCAGCCCGTTCTCTTCGGTCCACGACGGAGGCGAGCTTCGGGTCTGGCGTGAGGCATATCCGCACCAGAAAGCACGAGTCCGCGGGCCCCATGAAGATGGCTGCTGGCGCGAGGGTTGACGTACATGTACTTGCTTCCGGCTAATGTCATCCTCTCATGCGTGTCAACGGCCCTCGGCAAATGGTTCCAGAAGCTGGCTCGACGTCGTCTCTGATTCGTGGATGCTGGGGCTCATGAAACCGGGCCTTGATCCCGGTCAGATTGCGACGCAACCCACTCGCACGGACGCGATCGACCATGGTGCATCGAGTCCTGGGCATCTGTTTCGACGACACACCTCGACGCCTCATCCTAGCAAACTCAACCTCTTCGACGACAAGGATCTAGGATGTTGGACGACCCTCCTTCCCACCCACAGCGGTGGCGGTACCAGTACCTCGGCGGGTTCGACCAAGCAACGGAGGTGACTTCTTTCTGCACCGAAGCCCTGCATGGAACAAAATTAGCAGTTTGGCCAGGCATCTGCCATGCACTGGGAGAGAAGCAGCTAACGAGAAAAAGCAATTCGGACCTGAAAATCGCTGCAGCCAAGGCATAAACATGCCGCCAATTCCCTCATCCTCGCCCACTTTCAAGTGTGAGCAGCAAGCCGCCTGGTGCCCGGTTATCGTCACAGCGCCTTGCACCTACGAAGTACCTCCACACCTTCCTACACAGTACTGTGTAGAATGTGGTGGTGCAAATGCCTGGGGGTCCGGGATCATCGCCATGACGGTCTCAAACATCATTGAGATACGAGCAGCGGCACAACGCCCGGGTGGCGAGAACCCTCCGGTCGGCCCGTGAGCCAGAGCCTGTGGGGAGTGTGGTACTTGACCCGGGTCTGCAAGGGGCATCTGTCTCGGTCGAGGAGCTGCATACTGTGTATTGGGGGGTGCGGAAGACGCCGATGAATTCCGGCAGAGGGCCCATGACCTATCCTATCGAATGAGTACCGTAAGATGGGTGCAAAGCAGGCCGCCTAACGCCAGAACCAAGAGTCCGCCATTCTCAAAGTTGTCGCTTTTCAATGCGCATCTGGGGAAGCAAGCACGCTCGGATCGTTGGCTGCCTGGTGGTATGGTGCGCTGCTACTTCGTTTGTGGATTTAACCTTCGTTTCTTCGCATGCGGAAACACACTAGCAAACTGTGCCTTCCATTCAGGTTCTTGGTGGATGCCCTGTCTCGGCGATGGCCGGCCACCCGCGGGCAATGGACCCATTTCTATCTTCAATTCTCACTGCAGCAAAAACCCTTGTCCATCACCTAACTGGTATCCCGCCACGAGCCACGAGCCACGAGACACGCACACCGGAGCCCAGCCCGATCATGCGGGCCTGCAACCAACCGATTCACGTCCGACACTGATTGCATACAACAACCTGGAACTGCGGAGAACAGCAGCCAAGCCCCCCCCCCCAGCGAAGTCAGAGCGTCATAATTCGGGAGGTGCCGCCATAGTTATTCGCCGGCATGGCTGGGGCTGCCTCGTTCTGATTGATCCGAGCATCTAAACACGGTCCTGTCAGAGTCTGAGATAGACAACAGGAGGCACCCCGGCCGTTTGGGCGCGTGTCTCGCAAACAATCTCGCCCCTCCTTCCTGGAATCGTCACCGGCGTTCCAGGAGTGCACATGGCCATAACCCTTGGTTTTATCATGTTGCTTTCCTTCGATTCCGGCACTCGCAATCGGTGATGCGGTCCCCGAAGCTTGTCTGTGACGGCGATTTCCTCACGGCATTGGTCCCGCACCGGCCTCCCAAACACCGTAAAGGAAGAAAAAGCATCTTTTCTCTAATAATACCGGGCGTCGAGATTACCGTCTTTACCAAACGCTACCCGGCTTCTGCGCGCTCTGCAGAGACACGTCAATTCGGCAAGCCTCCCGGTCGCAGATCCACCCGCCCCTCTCATCAGTCAGCGATCCGGTTCTGTGGGCGCATGGCGTCCTTCTTGGTGGGGGGGTGTGTCGCTGTAGATCTCGGCCCTGTTCGCGGCTTGAGAATCCTTGAATGCCATCTCGAGACACCCCTTCAACACACACACCTCTCCCATGTCGAAGCCAAGCAGTCCCTCAGGTACGTAACTGCGACAACTAAAATGGTCGGCCCTGTGGAGCAGCGCGAGCGTCCTCCGGATCGACCCCAGAGAACTAATCGAGATGCCATTCCCCATTGGTAGTCTTCATGTACAGCATCTTCCCCAGCTGCATCCTTCCCCCTTCCCACGTTTGCCAACCTGCGTTGTGTCTTGCACGAGCATTTCGACCCTTGTTGTCCAGGATACCTGGTCGAGACGTGCGTCTCTGTCTCCCTCTTGAAAAACACCAGCTCTTCTTCTTCGCCGTCCTGGTTTCCAAACTGCCCGCCCAGACGAGACGGAGGTGGCTGCGAACATAGCTGCCGCCGAGGTCAGTATCCGTTGGGTGAGGGTGAGGGATCGCCGCTCGCGATATATTTGTGTAAGTGAGCAGCAACCTGGTCCCGGCCCGCTCAACGAAGACGGCGGTCCCCTGTCTTCGACAATCCCGTTTCTCCAAAAACTCTTTCTATCGCCAGCCCCAAGCGGACAGAGGCTCCAGCGCTCACTGCTCTCTCTCCGGACAGAGACTTGTACGCATCGGCGGAGGGCTGGTATGCGCCAAAGTGCAACCCGAATCATACCCACCAGCACAGCTTCCGCTCCTTGGGGCTTCACGGAACAGCCGCACCGACCTGTTGGTCAGAGCGGAAGGCGCCAGCTGGTCCAAGTGGAAGGTCTGTTCGAGTTCTTGGACCTTCCGCGCCTTTCACGCCTGGGTGTATGATCCCCGCTCGCGTGGTTGAGCGAAGTCGTCCATCCTGGTCTCTGCCACACAACCCTAATCGGCGACTCGCGGTCAAGTCCCTCTCGACCTTGGTCAAAGTTTCGTCATCCCCACTTTTGAGTCGCAAGTCCAGATCTCCTAGCACGCGGTATCCTTGGGAGTTAGACCCATCCGTCAGTTCTGCACCAGTCATCAACTTTGAGAAAAAGCACGCACGGAACCAAGACGACGTTGAAGGCCAACAGCAACCCTCCAACGCGGCGGTCTGCGACTACAGACATCGCATACACCAGACACAAGATAATCGGGCGTGCGTGCCAGGAGAGCTCTGCGACGACGTTTCGCCTCCCGCGACGACAGTTCGCCTCCCGTAACGACGTTTCCCCTCCCCCGACACCCGCTGTCTTTTCGCCTTGACCATTTTAGAGCGGACCCCCACTCAGCTCTCGCGCAAATTTGGCAACCACGCAACGCATCGAGTACTTGTTCGCGAATTTATCGACATCAAGAAGCTTCAGGGGCTGTCCATTTCGTGACCAGATCGCCGAGAAATCCGGTTTCGGTATCGCAGACTTGCTCCACTTGTAGCGGGATACTGGGCGGACTGGGTGTTTTCGGTTGCTTGGGTGCTAGTTCTCGGATTTGGGGGTAATGGACGACAACAGGGGCCAGCGGAGGCAGAACGAACCGCCCATCTATCCCGCTTCCAGTTCACGGCACAACCCATCGCTCCATGAGCACCCGCAGCCACGGCGGCCCTTTTCGGGGGCCCAGGGTGATAGGTTCAGAACGGGCCCCCTCGGCACATCACCGTCAGGGCCATCTCGGGGGATAGGCGGTTCGACCGGCTACAGCGGATACTATCAAGATGCGTCGACGACGGGCTTCCCGGCAGCGGCGATGCCTCAGAGCGGAATGAGCTACCACCAGTCGACAACCGACTACGGGCAGCCGGATTCGCGGCAGAGCCAAAGTTTTGGCGGCACGTACACGCCGGGAATGATGTACAACGTGCAGCAAACGGGAGGGCCACAGGCCACTGCCGTGTACGATGCGGGTCAACAGTTTTCCTCACGGCAGGCTGCAGGACTCCCGATGATGGCGACGGATGTCACGGGCGCCTACTTTCCAAACGAGCCAACCAACGCCGCGGCCACATCCAGCCTGCAGGCGCAGACGGGGTCTTCGAGCACGCCCCAGGTATATCAGCAGCCGGGCATGCACGGCTATTCCACCGGCAGCATAGCTACGATTGGAGGGATGGCCGCGCAAACGACTCCTACTACCGACGTGAGAATGGAGGAGGAATACGCTGCCGGTTCGGCTCCCGAGGTGTCGTATGCCCATTACCAGACGGCGCTGAAGGAAATCTTTCGGAACATACAAAGCGGCGTTCTCGCGCCGGCCAGCGAGACGCTCCTTCAGATTTCCCAGTGGCTCTTGACACATGTGGTGGAATTGGGTATGTTTACGAGGCGCTGCCGCCCTTCTGCGAACAGGTGGTTGGAGCACAGACTGATAAACCTTCTCCGTTCTAGGTCTCACTTCTGACGACCAGAATCTGCACAGCGAAAGGATCAAAATGTGGAACGACTTCAACCATGCCTGGCTGGCCATGTTCCAGCGCCAGAAGGAGATGATGGAGTCGGAGCAGCAACCGCAGCGACCACAAAGCCTGGTCACTGCGGAGGGCCTCCGGAAGATGGGGAAGGAGCTGGTTAAGCACTGTGACAGCATCGAGAGACACGGCCTGGTCGACTACCAATACGGGGTCTGGGAAGAGCGGATCATCGAGAGTAGGTTATTGCATCACCTAATGGCTCGCGTGAGAATTACTAACAAAGGCGGTGGCAGTCCTGGAGGAATGTTTGGATCTCTATGAATCTACCAACACATCCGGTAGCGGCGGCGAGGGGAGCTCCGATAACCGTCGTCGCTGATGCGCGCGAGGCACACACAATGGGACTGTATAATCTAGCCAGTCCTCTTTGGCTTGCCCGACGTTCCAGTTTAACCTGAGACCCGTGTATCCCCTTTTTTTCGGTTTGTTTTCGCTCATTCACATTCTTGTTTCCACAACCTGTCAACAACATGTCATGGATTATATGCTCCAATACGGAGTCGGACCGCTGCCTTCGTGCCTCGTCGAGGTCCTTGGATTTGGAGTTGGCCGAGGTGTTTTTGGTGTAAGACATCACACAGGGGGGTGGGGGGGTCACGGGGGGGCATTCTTCCCGCTCACACACCTGTTCTTGCAGGCGAGACTTTCCTACTTTGGGCTGGAGCGTATGACAAGGGGGAATAGAAGGCTTGCTCTACGGCGTCTCCGATGAAAGGGGTGGCGGTTTTTTGTTTTCGGGAGGGCAGCGTCCACTAACCCTTGGGCGGCTGGTGATGCTGCTCCTTCTGCTGGTTCTGGCGTTTCGGTGTACCTGTTTTTGCTCTGCTCGGGAAGGGGGGACAAGGGATGAGTGGACGGACGGCGTCTCACGATGCTGATTCACAGGGAGGAGGAAAATCGGGGTATACCACAGCACAGATCCGATTGGCGACCCTCACGGAACTCGGCGGGGACTTGTGGGCAGAAGGATAGGCGCATGACCGGACCATGTTGTACACGAAGGAGATGGCACGGAGTGACAAGACTGGAGACAGACAGGATGGCTACACGGCATGGTCTTGAATCGGAAAAGCAAAAGGAGGAAAGGGGTCGGCTGGGCTGACTGTTTCGCTTCGTGGGTGCGCTGTACGTAGTTCCCCCCTTTATGCATAGACTGTAGTACCTATAGGTGGTAAAGTGCTGCGTTTCCGAAATATGCAAAAGTACGCTGATGTTCAACTCGGGTCATGCGAGATGAGCGAGAGAGGGGAGGCGCGGGCGGGGGCAGATTGGGGTCACTCGGGCGGCATTGAGGGCGTGTGGAAGGGCGGATGCAATGCAGAGTGCAGATTGCGGCAGTATCCGTTCAAAAGATAACTAGGGAATGACATGACAGCTATTCTGTACACAGTACACACTCGCGGATACCTGCCTCTTCACTGTTCATCCCAGCTGAACGACATCCCGTTCTTTCCGTCGGCTAAGATAGAGTCAAAGAGGGACTTTGGGTCAATTGGGCAAACAAACAATGTAATTGTCATCAATCCGTCAATAAGGGGTCCATATTTGGCCAACGAAATCGTCTCCGTCAACGGGCGGTGGCAACGCTTCGACACGGGCAGCTGAGGAGACGCACTCTTTCGCGGGAGACTTGGCGTTATCCCAGCTGAGCATGCACGCATGTTGCGACATCTCCCATGCGACTTCGGAATTGTGGTCGGCCGATGAGAGATGCCGGAAGGCACGAGTTTTTTTCGGTTTGGCTGGGCAAATCGGCGGTGCCAACGACTAATCAGCCAATCGGGGGCGCAGATCGACGTTCAAGGACCGCGCTAACAACAGCACCCAGTCTGCTGGGACCGCGCTCCAGTGGCTTCGCAGCCAATAAAGGCTCGAAATCGCCCTTTTCCTCTTTCTTCCCTGCTCCTCGCAACTCACCGCATGTCGGCGACCTCGCAACAGTTTTGTTGACCGGCCGAGGCTCTCACTCAACTGACTTGGCCATGAACCCCGTTTCTGAGACATCTGCGTCATCCCCGCTAACTTCTCGCCGTTACACTACGTCCACTCCCCCGCATCCGATCAGACTCAGATGTCTCGAACGCAATTGGACCACGGGTTTTGAGGTGGTCCCTTCCGGGTTTGGACCCTGCATGCAGGCAACGCCGAGTGTGGGATGGCCGCGGTGGGTTTGTGGGTGGTTGTGCTGCAAGACACAGCTTTGACTTGATTCTTGTCACTGTCGAGTCTGAGACCGCACCACAATCCACAAGCCGGCGCGCACTATCCCGTGGGTATGCGAACCAACCACGGCGCTGAAACAACACGGATACCTCTCGATTTGTACCCTACGAAGTACAGAGAGGAGACACACCTCCGTTCCCCCAACGGCAAAAAACACACATCGGCTGTTTTCCCTTTTTTTTTTCGGCCGTGCGGACTGCCGTGCCACGCCGCCTTAACTACGTATCTCCGTTTGTGGTGGGATCCCTGGACTGACTGACGCCTTACTTGTATGTACATTGCTCGTTGCAGCTGGAGGGCCGAGACAGAAACCGGGGAAAGGTGTGGTTTTCGGTATTGCCGATCGAGTTCACGAGATAATAACGGTTGTGGGTTTCCGAAATAGGGCGACCCCGGGCGAACGGCCACAGCCCTCCTCTCGACCGAAGATCCTAACCATCCCTTTTTCCATGCGCAATTTCGAACCTCGTTGCCGCGGTCGGGCACCTCGACGGCCTCGACTTCCTCCTCGAGCGAAGTGAAGATTGAGAGATTCGCTAAAGACGCGCCAAGAGCGACGGCCGCGTGCCCAACGAGATCAGATCTGCCACTTGGTCTCGGCAGAACCCAGACCCGGGCCCATGGATCATGCGCCCCACCCGATTCGGAGAGGTTCGAACAAACAGGGGTCCTCCATCCCCCCTGTCACATCCTCGCTCTGTCCAAAAAAACCGATACACCAAAAGTACCGAGAGCTATCTTAGTGCGATCCTTCTCGGCCAAATCAAACCCAAATTCAGCAGAAAGAAGTGCAATAGAATCTCTGACGGTTGCTCTATTTATTTCCAGAGTATCGTTTATTTATGTTTTCAAGTGGTCTTGCCACAGCTTGTTTGGGACTGGTGTGTTCGTGAAGGGGACTTGCAGGTGGGCCCACTGAAAGTTGGTTTTGGTGTATCGGTTTTTTTGTCCACAGGGAGACATCACGCCAGCCGCCCACCGCAAAACCTTGGAAGCGACTGCGGCTGCACTGTCGATCCAGAGCCTCACTTCCACGAACACCCTGTCCAGCTGGGGCTGGACCTCGGGGTCCTTATCAAGTGGAATCGCCGATTGGCTTTTGCTTTTTGCCGTTTGCCATGTACATGTACAAACAACCACAACTATGTGCATACGGATACCGAGACCGGGTTCACTACCCCGGATTTCCCGACCGTGAACGAAACGACAGTAATATCCACAAGATGAATTAGGGCGGCCGCAGGTCGCTTGGGGCAACGTGAGACAGCAAGGCAAGGCGGGGGTGGTATGAATGTCGTATGCTAGGTACGTACGGAGGAATGCCCTGCCTTCATTTTTGAGGCTGTCTGCGTTGCAGCCGTGCATCTGCAACCATTCATCATCCAAGCCGCCGCCGCTGCTGCTGCTGCTGCAGGTGGCCAGATCTCGGGCGGCCCGCCTTGCGTCCGCATCTGCCAGATTCGGCGCCTCGCATCGCGCCCGGTCTGTGTATGTGTGGCCGCGCTAGCTGAGGTGGCTTCAAGCCGCCTTCCTGCACGGGCACACCGAGGCTGACATATTACGCCCTGCACAAACACGCACCCTGGCTTTAGTCGGGTGAGCCGGCTCGTGAATGGAATTGACAGCATGGACAGGGCGGAGATGTTTACTCGGGAGAAACAATGCTGAGCGCAGCCCGGCGAAAGGGGAGGGATTGATTGATAGTGCAGCGGATGGTTGAGTTGTTCGATATATTCTCGTTTTTGCCGAGTCTCGACCATGGCATAAATCTGTTCGGGTATGATTAATCTACATAAAATGCATACAAGGGGTTAAATAGAGCATTATCAATGAGCGTTTCGTTCCCCAGAGTGTCCGTTGTGTTTTAGGGGCGCTATTGAAAACTAGAGGCTTCTGTGTTTGCCGTACATCTCATTCCCAAACTCAATATCGTTGCCTGTACTTCTTCTACTACTCGTTGTTTACATGTTTGAATAACTCCCATTTTAATCCTCTCCCCGGACACCCCCTTGCGCTCTCCCTTTATGTCTCGTACCATCATCGTGATAGGTTTCCTACAACTCTTCCTGTGAAGCCTCCCTATTCTCTTTAGCTTATTCTAATTCATCCTTACCCATGTGTGGTCGGGTGCGTAAGTCAGGGGCACAGGCTATCATGTCTTGTTTTTGATACGAAGCGCATTCGTGAAAGACGAGAAGATAAAAAGAAACCACACAGGCGGGATGAAAAGAAGGAGGAAGGCAAGAGAATATAAAAAGAAACCACACAGGCGGGATGAAAAGAAGGAAGAAAGCATGAGAAGATAAAAAAGAAACCGCACAGGCGGGATGGAAAGAAAGAAGAAAGCATGAGAAGATAATATATGTTCAACATATCAAGACGCGGAGGTGACTAAAGCGAGGAAAATACAAATGGGGTTGAAATACTGAGATGCCGGAGACACAAAGTCTCCATAGAAGTGTAGTCGTAATGATATATACCTTTCCCGAGGAATGGCCAACTTCGAGAGTGAAAACAATATTAATGCCGGCAGAGGCGTTGCTAGTTTTGTCACGGATGCCAGCCCTACCGGAGTACATGAAATGGCAGGGGAACTAGTCTTTGATTTACATTTAGAATGGTATCGGATTCCTCGGGCCCCAATGATATACATTACGACGTGAAAGGACAGACGTCGAATCCGAGGTTCCAAAGAACAGGGTCGTGGCGACCATCCCGCGACGGAGGAGGAACTCCTCCGAGCCTGGCGATGGTGAGGGCGGATGCAGGACGCCGCTCAACACCCCTCCCAACCGCCTGGTATGTACCTATTACACAAACCCACCACACATACACACACATCAAGTCGCTAGATTGATAGACTGATCAGTCCTCCGCCAACTTCAAATAAACCGCCCTCCCCCTCCCGACCCCTCTCACAACCACCTCCCGCCCCGCAACCTCAACCCTCTCCCCCCTATCCCCAGCCGCGGGCTCATCCCGCCAAACCTCCACCTCATACCCCCCCACACCAAAACCACCCTCACCCTGTTTCCCAAACACCAACCCCACAACCCTCACCGCCTGCTCCCACCCCCCAACCTCCATCAGCACCCGCCGGGGCCGCGCGTACGCCGCGATCTCCAGCAGGCGCGCGTAGAAGACGTCCTCGGGCCGGCGGCACCACGCCGCATAGCGGTCGGCGCGCTGCTGCTGCTGCTGCTGCTGCGGGGGCGCCGGGACGAGGGCGCGGCGCGGCTCGTGGTTGCGCACGGCGCGGGCGGTGGCGCGGGCGAAGTCGCGCGGGGAGATGTAGGGGGGGTTGCAGACGAGGAGGTCGACTGTGGGGTGCGGTTTGTCGGGTGGGGAGTTGGGGTCGTGGGTGGGGGAGAAGATGTCGTATTGGTGGAAGGTGAGGGTGTGGTGGGGGAGGAAGGGGGAGGGAGGGGGGTTGTGGGCGTGGTTTGCGCGGGCGAGGGCGATGGCGCGCGGGGAGATGTCGACGCCGTGGATGGTGATGGCGGTGGTGCGGGGGAGGGCGGCTTGGATGGAGTGCAGGAGGAGGAGGGGGATGCAGCCGGTGCCGGTGCAGAGGTCTACGATGGTGAGGGATGGTGGTGGTGGGTGGGACTGGGAGAGGAGGGTGGCGAGGTGGAGGGTGTAGGCCTCTGTCTCGGGTCTGCGAGGGTTGGTTAGCATGCTCGATGGCCGGGGAGGGGAGAGGGATTGCCCCCTTTGCCCCCTTTTGGGGAAAGCATACCTTGGGATGAGCACGCCTGGTCGGCACTTGATCTCGAGATTGCCAAACGGCTGTGTTCCGAGCACATACTGTAGCGGGATGCCCTTTGCCCGCTTTTCTACTAGCCTCCAAATACGCAGTTCGTCCGGAATTGGTGATTTGGTATCTTGGACGTACTCTCTAATCCAGCGCAGCTCGTTGGCGGCGGACTCGAGGTCCCGGCAGGCTGGGAGCAACTGGGCAGCCATGGGTGATATCTCGCGCCTGGCCCTCCAGAAGAGGGATGGCGCAAGTCGGGGCATTTTCTAGGATCTAGTATGGATTTATTATGAGATTAGGAGTCTGGAGATACTAGGTAGTGATTAGTGGTGAGGAGGGTTGAGATTAAAACTTGAAAGGTGAGAGGTGAGACGTGAAGAAAGGACGGACATAAACATGGAAGCTGTAATCGTACCGGAATAGATGAGAGGGGTGAATTAATTCTAACTATAATTAAGAGAGGGGCTTGGGACCGTTCCTCCTGGTCCCCCGCCTCATTTTCTCAGAGATGTATCGGGTTCAATACCCTCGCTGGGTTCAGAAAACCATGGGATATTGACTTAGCGAGTTCAGTATCGCTCTTCGATTGCTGCATATCAACACGCTCGGATTTAAACCCGCCATCAACCGATCGCCGACATCACGTTTCTGTGCAAGATTGGGATTCTCAACCAACCTACAACATGGATCGTCAACCATCTCTCCGGTTCTGCAAACCAAAACCTCCCACACATTTCCGCCCACCATGACAATACATCGAATACTCTCGAGAGCGAAGACTCCCCGTATTCGATCGGCATTCACGGCCGCACGGCCACTGGCAACCAAGAGCCCTCCGCCCTTCCCGACAACGCCGACCTGCCCGGCCCCGACCTGTCCATGCGCGCCGTCTCCGGAGCTCCCGGAGGATTTTACGATCGACCGCAAAGCATCACTCAACGGCCTGATCTCCAACTACGCACAACATGTCCTAGTCTGCACCGGCAAAGACGACTGGCCATCGCGCATCGAGGAGGACAACGCGGGCGATAACCTGGTGGCCGACTTGCGCGAGCTGATCGGACCCAAGGGCAAGTTCAGCGATGTAAGCCATCCCCTCTCTCTCTCCACGCCGTCGTCAACCGATCCACCCATATAACTAACCACCTGTTACCCACCACCCCGACACACAGCCCTTCCACAACATCTCCACGCTCGCCTCCTCCTTCCCCTCCACCCCGCCCCCCAAACAGCGACCGGAGCTGCAGACCAGCTCCGCCTACCTCCTCCCGCAGTTCAAGTACGTGCCGTTCCTGCCGCGGGTGTCCTTCGAGAGCGTCGAGGCGCTGGTGCGCGGCTACCTGCAGCCCGAGCGCCTGCACCCGATGCACGACGGCCTGTCGCCGATCCACCGCGACCGCCTGCTGCGCAAGCCCGCCCACCGTGACCTGCTGTGGGGCGTGCGCGACGTGCGCGAGGTGGTGGTGCTCGTTTGTGGTCATGGTGGGAGGGATCTGCGCTGTGGGCTGTATGGCCCGTTGCTGAGGGGGGAGTTTGAGAAGAGGTTGCCTGAACGGGGGGTGGAGGTGCTGAGGGGGGCGGTGGAGGTGGAAGGGGAAGGGGAGGGGCTGCCGGTGGAGGGGGAGAGCTCGGGTCGGCGGACGGCGGCGCGGGTTGGGTTGATTAGCCATATTGGCGGGCATAAGTTTGCGGGGAATGTGATTGTGTATCTGCCTCCGACTTTGAGGACCGAGGATGGGGAAGTCCATCCTTTGGCGGGGCATGGGATATGGTATGGGAGGGTTGAGCCTCAGCATGTCGAGGGGATCGTGGGGGAGACCATCTTGAAAGGGAGGGTCATTGAGGAGTTGTTTAGAGGAGGGATCAAGCAGGACGGGCAGATCTTGAGGTTATAGCTAGACCATATGATTGAGGCTAGACTATACTGTGTGGATAGAGTAGAAGAGCAACGCCTTCCTCGCACCGAATATTGGCTAACCGAGTGTTTGATATGGGCCTTGGCGTCTGCCATTGACGGGGCGAAATATTAGTTAAATGCATAACTAGCATACTTGGCTCATCGCCAAATCAACCAACCAATTTAAGCCGTCTTTCCTCTTTCTCACTTCAATATGCCATGTGTGTAAACATTGGGAGGCCGGCACTCAAGCCCAGAGATTAACCACAAGACTAAAATGAGACGAACCATTCTTCATCTTCACGCCCGGTCACCGGCGAGGGCTGCAAGGTTCCTCAACCCCGGGATAACCTCATTACTATGTCCCACGCCATTTCCAACTTATCTCACTCTCCAACAACATTTTCAACAACACCGCGCCTTCCACATCACCCCCTCCCCCAACCGCAGACCACCCCCGATCAGAATCGCCAAAACCCAACCCCCTCCCCCAGCAACGGCGGCAGCAGCACCACCACCCCAACCCAAACACCAACCTAAACCCCAACCTCAAAACCCACCCCCCCCAAACACTCAACAACAACAACAACAACCACCCAAAAAACGCTCCAAAATCCGCTGGCGCAACGAACTCCTCCTCCTCCTCGCCCTCGTCACCGTCTTCACCCCGACCATCACCAAATACACCAACGCGGCCCGCCCGCTCAACACCGAGACCTTTGCGCCCTTCACCGTCACCGCGCGCGAGGACGTCTCGCCGTCGGCCTTCGTGCTGACCGTCGAGCCCGCTGCGGCTACGCTAAGTGGTGGTGGTGGTATTGGTGGTGGTAATGGTGGGGAGGAGAAGGCGGTGCGCAGGACGGTGGCGGAGATTAGGAGGGGCTGGGAGGCGGGGTTGTGGGCGGTGGAGGTCAAGCAGCCGGAGTTGATGGTCGCGAGGGAGTATACGCCGCTGCCGGTGCTGGATGGGGGTGAGGGTGGGGATGCGGAGGGGGGAAAGCTGAGGTTGTATGTTCGGAGGTTGGACCGCGGCGAGGTGTCGAACTATCTCGCAAGGTTGAGGGTTGGGGATGAGGTGGAGTTGAGGGGGCCGAAGTTGGGGTTTGATTTGAGGGCGCGGGTGGGGATGGAAGGTCGTGGGGACGTAGAGGGAGGAGACTTGTTGGGAGAGAAGAAGAAGGTGGTGTTTTTGGCTGGCGGGACGGGCATTTCGCCTGCGCTGCAGGCTGCGAAGGCGCTGCTGGATAACCCCCGAGTAGAGATGGAGGTCGTGTGGGCGAACCGGCGGAGGGAGGATTGCGTTGGATGCGAGGGCGGGGAGCAGCGGGGGGCCATGGTTGCGCTGCTGGAGGATTTCCGGAAAAAGTATGGGGAGAGGTTCAAATATTCCTGCACGGTGGATGGGGAGGGGACCTTCATCGACGCTGGGGCCATCGCGAGGGTAACGCAGCCCACACCGTCACCATCCGCACTCGCTCCAGCCCCGGTCCAAGGCCAGCAGGCTTGGGGATTGTGGCCGACCGCCGGCACGAGCCAGAAGAGCAACGCGGTATCGCAGCCGGTTGCCACGGTTAACTCCGATACCTGCTCTTATCACTCACCCAAGGAGCTGGTTGTCTCTGATGAACATGATCCCCACGCTGGCGCTGACAGCAAACCGTGCCAGTGCAAGGATACTGATGGCAACCCCGTCCGCGGTGGGAAGAACCTGCTCATGATCTCCGGGCCTGAGGGGTTCGTCAAACATTTCACCGGTGCCAAGGTATGGGGTGGCGGGAAGGAGATGCAGGGGCCGGTGAAGGGAGTCATCGGCGACTTGAAAAAGCAGAACCGGAGCCTCGGAGAGGATTGGCTCGTTCTGAAGATGTAATGGCTGAGAATGGGCGAGTTGGTTGGTTATAGAAAGCGAAGAGTCATATAGAGGTAGAGTAGAGGGGCACCCGTTGTAAATATGGGTTGAGTGCCGTTCGTCACGGACACAGACAAGGGTTAGATCAAATGTTGATGTTTCATTCCCGTGCTAATTCTACGGCCGCCAACGCCACAACGATGCTCTCGTCCCACCCAACCCTTAACTACCCCTGGACCTTGCGGTACGAAGGTGGCTTCATGGTCCGCTGTATAATCTTGGCCGCATACGTGGGAATCAAAGACATGGCCCCGATAGCAGCAACCCGCCAGTAAAATCCCCTATCACGAGTTAGCCAAACCCATCTCAAACTGATGACAAAGTAAACAAAAGGGGTCACTCACAAAGTCAACACAAACCCCAAATCGAAATACCCGCCCAAAAACGGAACCGACCCCACAAACATGACGAACGTCCCAACAATCGACACCACCATAACCCAATGCCACGTAGTGATCTCGATGGCGACCATGAGCAGCTCGTTCAGGACCAGCACCGAGTAGCTGACGGCGACCATGCGGGGGCCGTCGACCTCGGTCAGCACCTGCGACAGGCCCTGGATGAGGCAGCCCTGGTAGACCGACACGAAGACCCAGACGAAGAAGGTGCGGTACGACAGCGATCGGCCCGACGTCAGCTCCTTGTACAGCTCCGGGTACAGGTTGGCGAGCTCCTCGTCCACGTCCTTGTCGAGCACGAGCGAGAGGACCGGCATCGCGGTGTATACGGTTGCGTAGCCCACCATGAGCCAGTCCTGTGCGAGTGTGTTAGTAGGCGTCCGTGGATTAAAGGTGGAACCGAAACGGGGCGGGAGAGATGGGGAAAAAACGTACCTTGTAGAGACCCTCGGGCTCGAAATTGAGCGCGATGCTGTACATGGTCTGGCAGACGGCAATGATCAAGCCACGGTGGATGACGAACTGCGCCAGTTTCGCGCTGCGCTTGTAGCTGTTGCGGCCGTGCCAGACCAGCAGCTTGGTCAGGTGGAAGAAGTGCTCGATCGAAAAGTCGGCCGCTAGACTAGCCTGGCGGCCTTCCTTGCCCACGATACCCACGCCGACGTCGGCCGCCTGGATCATGGAGACGTCGTTCCCGCCGTCGCCGATGCAGCACACGCGCTTCTTGGTGTACTCCTTGATGAGCTTGGCCACCTCGGCTTTTTGCGTCGGCGAGCACCGGCAGGCGACGACGGTGGGGAGGAGGACCGCGACCGAGATGAACTCGGTGCGGTAGTGCGTGAGGTACATGCTGAGGCTCTCGCCGTCGATGAGGAGGCAGGAGTCGGTCTTGCTGCGGAGGAGGTCGAGGTTCTCCTGCGCGGCGTCTTTCCGGCGGAGCTTGGCCACCGTGTGGATGTACTGCCCTCGGGCGACCAGCTTGGAGCTGACGGCGACGCAGCGTGCCGTCTCCACCTTGTCGCCTGTCAACATCCAGATCTTGATGCCGGCGTTGCGAAGGAGCTCGAGCGACGGCTTGACGTCCTTTTGTAATTTGTCCTCGACGCCGGTCACGCCGAGCAGCTCCAGGTCGTGCTCAAGATACCGGGACACGACGGCCTGCATCCCGGCATCACGGCTGGTGATGGCCAAAGATGCTTCCTGATACTTGGCTGTGAACTCCTGGTACTCGGCGGTTGACAACCGCTTTCTCCCGACAACAAGCGTCCGGAGGCCCTCGCGCGCCATGTTTGCCGTCTCCTCATCGAGCCAGTCATTCGCCGCGACGATGGAGCCCATGACGGTGTCGGCGCCTTTCTGGTAGAACCAGATCTCACCGGACCCCAATCTAGGGACGCCGGGCTGCAGCTTCTCGTAGAACTGTACAATGATACCCATGCGCTTGCCTTCCGACGTGAAAGGGAAAATGTCCAGAATGCGGGCCTTGACGATGGCCCGGCCCGTCTCAGTGGACTCGAGAACCATGCTCTTGCGGTCACGGGACGCAAGACGCAGGCCGATCGACTCGGTCCAGCGGACAATGGCAATTTCGTCTGGTGAGCTAGCTTGGTATGAATTTACGAGTCGGCCATCTTCGTCCTCTTCGGTGGTTGGCGTCACATTGTGACAGAGCGCGAGGGCAAGTACGACGTCACGGACACGAGACCCAATTTCTCGGCGTGTCCTCGTCGCGCCGACATTCGCGGCCGATGAGAGGGATGTCGACGGGGTTACGAGTGCCGAGTTCCCGCTCGAAGGAGGGAGGTGAAGGCCTTGCCGCACGTAGGCCGAAACCTCGTCCATGGCGTCGTTGGCGTATGATACAGTACCGACGTGGATCTTTTTCATTTCCATTTCGTTCTGGGTCAAGGTTCCCGTCTTGTCGCTGAGCAGGTACTCTATCCGCCCCAAATCCTCTGGGATGGTGCTCGTCCTCACTACCGCGCCAGGGATGCCCGGATCCCGCTGGATAAACCAGGAGTAGACGCTCTTTCCCATGTCGAGATTTACCCGCAGACTGATGGGTACAATGGTCGAAAACAGGACCAGGAATCTCATGATTTTGACGTACCAGATGTTCCCTTTAGTGTCGCTGAACCCCTCCAGCGCAACGAGGATGATGGAAAGCGCGAGCGTGAGAAAGCAGAGAATTTTTGTCAGCGAGTTAATCTCGTACTCCAAGAGACCAGTCTTGGACCGAGAGGGGGCGGTGGAGAGCGCAGAGCGAGTCTGCGGCCCGGTGTATGCAATCACCGCGAGAGTCGTGGCATGCGAAGCAATGACGGTATTTGCCCATGCGGTATTGTCGATAGACAGGGGTGCCGCCTTAAAACCACCAGCCTCGTCCTGTGAGAAGGCGGTGGTACTCATGGCGTCCTGCCGTGAAGGTACTAGTTCTAGAGAACCAATGAATTCGTTGACCTTCTTGTCGGGTTTCCCCCCGGTGACTCGGAGACGGACCAACTCCTCAGTGGGCAAGTTCTGTGATAACGGAGATGCTAACCGTAGCTTCCAATCGGTTTCGCCATCGAGCTGATCTGTTCTGATGAAGGTTTCCCCATTCGAGCCGCCTTCCGCAGCCCCCGAGGCTTCCTCACCAGCAGGCTCGACCCCTGAGCTGCCCTCCCCAGCGTCGTCCGCATCGTCCAGTAGCAATGACTCTTCCTGAGGGGCCGTTCCCTCGTCTTCGTTTTTCTGCGCAGCCGGGTCGTTTGACAGACATTTCAGGATAATGACGTCGGAGGGCACGCGATGCCCCTTGCTGAGCTTGAGAACATCGCCAACCTTGAGATCACGCGACTTTTTGCTGACTTCTGAGACAACGCATGACGGTGGCTTTCTCGCCCCGTCTCCCTCCGTCTGTTCCTCCTCCTCCTGTATGTCCGAGAGCCTGTCCCTCTCCGAGACATGACGCTTGGGCCCTTTTTGTACGTGCGTGGACTTCCTCTTCCTTGCCGCCCGGGCACTCCCCGCCTTCCCGGGTTCGTCGAACTGCAGAACCGTATATTCCTCGGAATTCGCCTCGTTGTCCCTCCTTCGTCGTTCGATGTCGTCGTAAGCCTCCTTGCTGAGCGTGATGACCAGCACGAATGCCAGCGGTGCGATGTACGTCGAGAGGTAGCCGATTCGTAGCGCGGGGATGGCCTGCGAGGCGGCCACCAGCAGGAAGTACATGTTGAAAAAGAAGGAGAACTCGTTGTAGAGAGTGATGGGTAGGAAGCTCCAGGCTGTGTACTTGGCGTTGGAGATGATGTTTGGCGGGAAGCGGGTCGACTGGAACGAGCCGACAGCCACCAGCCTCGACGACGACGGGTCGTCCTCCTCCTTGTCGAGCTCCTCTCCCGAGTTACTACGTTGTGTAGCCGCGCCCGACATGAAACTAGGGAGCCTAAGGCCGAATCTGCGCAATCCGTCGCGGGTGAACGACGCTCGCCGTTTGCCCGAGTCCTGACCCTGGCCATGCTCGCTGAGCAGCGGCGCATCGTCCCCCCCGGCCGCACTCGCATCGGAATACCGTCGATCGCCCCCATCTCCGTCTCTTAATAGCCCTTGAGCGTCCTCGTCACCCCCGTCATGTCCGCGCCCTAGCTCGCCGTACCCATTGCGTTTGGCGCCTCGTCGTAGCCCGCCCATTCGAAGCGTGCGCAGAGCGATTCTGGGTGTTCGTTGTTGTTCGGTCGTCTCGCGCGCCTGTCCCAGCAGGCTCCTCCTCCTTGATTGCTCGATTCCGGAATCGGGCTGGGGGTCAAGCTCTTCGAGATCGATGTCGAGATCGGAGTCGGAGTCGTCAACGGGCGAGTCTGGCGGCTTCGCTGGGGGATAGGATGTTGAGGGAGGCATTCCGCATCGGCCAAGGGCCTCGGAGAATGCAGCAACAAACGCGATCCTCCTCTTCGGACACGAATGCGCTCTTTACTCTGCGCCCTTTCTGGCCAGTTTCGCAGTGTCTCGGATCACGTCGTGCACATCACAAAAAGTCGCCGGGGTGTGTTGGCTGTGGATGCCGTTCGGAAAAGTACTGTGTAAAGAGAAAGAAAAAAAGACTGAAAATACTTTTCGAACCTAGATTAGCTATTGGGAAGATACAGCTTCATGCCATAGCTGGGAATGCATAGAAGATGTTACAGGCACCAGAGGTTGAGCACTTGAAGACAACTTAGCCGTCAAACCTGCTGTGACAACTATTCTGTACCTAACGGTTACGACGACTGCTGCGCGGCCCCCCCAAAAGATCGCATGTCGGGTGGCATGACAGGGGTCTTTGTCCAAATGCCATGCATTAACGAAGAGGCTGTTGGAGGGACCTTGGCGGCTTCTTATCGGTTAAAGCAGCAGCTTTCCACCCTTGCATTCAGCGCTGTCTTGGGGGCCCTTGCCTTAACAGCAACCCCTGCGATAAGAATAGCTCTGCTAAGGCAGGCTGCCCGCGGCCCGCCTTGCATCTCGCTGAGGCCAGCGTTGCCCTTTCGTCTGCGCCATGTGCAGTGCCGCTTCCGAGTTCCCGTTAGAGATGGATCTCGTCATCAACTGCCTGGAGGTTCTTGCCAACTTGCACTTTTGCGATCTGTGTTTTACGGCGTAGGGCCACATTTCTAGAACCACCTTTTGCCAACCCGAGCAACGATGCTTCGTTATTAGATGTTCCTTCTTCACCATTCGCCTGTGTTTGTATCAGTATGCACTTTTTCGCCCCTTTCCATGTTGGGAAAATGTGACAGGGGTCGACCGACGCGCTCTCTTCTCGCTGTTCTTGATTCTCGGTCGATCCCTGGCCTGAAGAAATGGCTACTAATTCCCAACTTTTTATCTTCTAGTAATTCTCTTTGTTTCATAGCGCAGCGGCGCATCTGCATTGGAACCCTGCGCAACTTTTTAGACTCGCGCCATCATGGTGTCCGATGCGCCGAACTCATCATGGCATCCGGCCATGATGCCAAACTCGATCGCCGACCCCCCGAAGCGACCGGAAGAGGCCACTCCTCCGTCCGCGCAAGAGCCCACGGCTCCAGAGGACAACACAGTACAACCCGAGCCCGAGGTAGCCGGGGAAGAAGCCGGTGCTTGGTTCCAGGATGACGGCACCGGCGACGACTGGCTGGCAGACACGAACGATGCACCCGCGCCCGAGCCCGCGCCCGCGCCGAGTACCGCGACGCCGGGACACGAAGAGCCGGTCGAACCCGCCGAGGAAGCCCTTCAAAACGAGTCCAGTACCACCTCCAAGCACTTGAGCACAATGTCGTTTACACGGACTGCACATGAAGTGAATTGGAACGACGATGATGACGCCGAGTGGAGCCTCCCTCGAACTGACACCGACCCCTTCAAGTTCATCCCCGAGACGAACCGGACCAACTCCTTTCCAGCGGTATCTCCTTTGGAGAACGAGGCACACGGGGAACCGCACGAGCTTGACCACCCCATCTCTTTCAACCCGGCGGAAGACCTCATTCGCGAAATCGAAGAGGAGGAGAGCCGGGAGGACGGGACACTCCCTGGTGCCGCCGCCGGGTTATTGGGGGGTGATGTTGTTACGCAGAATACCCAAGATGATACTACCGCCCACCAGTACATTCCCGAGAGTTCCGATGCCGCCGCCAATGACGCTCTCGGCGCCCGCTTTGAGGAAGGTCTACCTCTCGTCTCATCAGCCGAGCAGGACGTAGCACAGGAAGGCCAGCGCGAGGCAGGGCGGGACCTGTTTGCAGAAGAAGCAGTCGGGGAAGAGGATGACTTTTTCAGCAATGTCCGCGCCGATGGGGCCACCCAACAAGACGACGATTTCCATCCGACCCCGGTGCAACGCAAGTCTACCATGGATGTCCTGAACTCCTTGGATCTGCCCTCTGCCGGTACCAGCTTCGTGCCCTTGGAAGAGACCGTCGAGGAGCCGGAACCCGAGGAGGAGAGCTCATCGAATCAGCCAAAGGCACAGGAGGGGGAGAACTTGGATGAGAAATGGAAAGATATGTTTGGCGATGACGACGCCGAGGAGGGCTTTCTCCCAGACGAGAGTACTGGGCCGAACGAACTGGATGCGTCGGCATTCCTTGGCAGCGACGACGAAGGTCTCCTCGAAGACTCGGAGACCGAACAGCCGGAGCAAGACCAACCCCTTGGATACGCACCCGCTTCGGGCGTTGGTGCGCAGGTGGCCAGCGGCCAGTATCCTCCTCACAACCAGACCCCTGCTGTAGCCACACCCACGAACCCTTACCTCCCCGCCGCTTCCCCCGTGGCTCCAGCACACCCATATCTCCCGGCGGCCCCAGTGTCAGCAGTTCAACCTCCTGTTGCGGCTCCTTATGCCACCACGTCCACTGCCCCTCCGGCGCCGGCGCCTGCGCAGTTCGGTTATGGTGCTCCGCCCCCGGCACAGGAGAAGAACAAGGCACAAAGCTTCGTGGACAAGGCCAAAGGCGGTTACACATCACCCTATGACCTCCCCATGGAAGTTGTCAAGCCAAAGAGACGCGCTGGCGCTCTGCCGCTTCAGAATAATACGTCAGGACCTAGCTCGCCCAGTACCATGCCGCCTCCACCTAGGAGTGCAAGCATGTACGCTCAGCCGCCGCCTTCCGCTGGTGCGCCGGCACCCGGTGTCGCACGCCCAACATCGAGCCACTCGGCGCAAGGACCCCCGAGCGGGCGCAAACCCTCCCATGAGAGCTTCTTCGAGGACCTTCCCATGACAACCAAGCCACGCCCCGCATCCCGCCAAAGCCACAAGGGTGTGCCGTCGCCGACGCAGCCGAGTTCCCATACTTTCCCGCCGCAGTCTGCTCCGCCCTCGGTGACCTCCCATCCGATGCCTCCACCTGGACCACCAGCCCCGAGTGGGTTTGAGCCTGCTATCCCGGACCTAGTTGCTCCAGCCCGTGTCAACCCTTATGCTTCTTTGAGTGCTGCCCCCAGCCTCGTGCCCGCCGCGCCTCCCGTCGCATCAACACGCTATTCTCCCGCACCCCCCGGCGCACCCCCCGGCGCACCTCTTACCAACGGCCCAGTCCCCGCCCCTGTTTCCAGTCGGTATTCACCCGCCCCACCAGGATCACGGCAACCGAGCAGCGGGTATGGCGCGACCCCCACGACTCCTGGGCCGGCGGTTTTACCACACCAACCCCGTACCTCCAGCCCCCTGGCCCACTTTGAAGTTACCCACGAGAGGTCAAGGGCTCATGCACCCGTTGGCCATGTTGAGGGTGGTAGCTTGGCGGAACGGCGGAGCAGCAGTTCCTTGCACGATCACCGGCTCCAGAGGGTACCGTCGCTGCCCTCTACTCGGGAGGTCGAGGAAGAAGAAGCTCCGATGCAGGTGCATGCGCAGGCATCTCCCAGTGGCCCGACGCCTCCCCAACCGATGTCGCCGCCCGTTCCAAGATATGCACCGCCTCCCCAGGGAGCAAGGCAGACCTCCCCACACGCGGCTCTTTCGGCACAGACGGTATTGTCCCCCCCAAAAAGGGTCATGTCTAGCCACAGCCCTTTGGCGCCGCCGTATGACTTTGCTCCACCCGCTCGTTCCCAGACCCAGTCCCCTGGAGCTCTGTATGGCAACCGCGTCACGAAGCCTGTTGAGCCAATTCCTCGCCCGTCCTCTGTTCACGATCCTACCTCCCCGAGAGAAGCGGCGTACCCTGCTGCGCCGGCACCCTTTGCCCCTGTCGCTTCCGCCACTACCTACGGGCGTCCCAGGGGTGCGTCTGTGAATCTCAACGTAATTCCTCCGACAGATGGCCGCGAACAGGACCCGCTTCAGCAGTGGCGAGGTGCCCCGATCATCTCGTGGGGTGTTGGCGGGACCTTGGTTACCATGTTCCCCAAGGAAGTGCCCCGCTACGGCATGAACCAGAGCATCCCCGCCGTGATCCGCAGTCCGGGTGAAGTCAAGATTCAAAACATCAAAGACATCATACCCTTTGAGGAACGTCTCGCAAAGTTCCCGGGGCCTCTGAAGGGCAAGTCGAAGAAGAAGGAGACGGTTGCTTGGCTGACAGCCGGCATCGAGAGCCTAGAACAGGGCTTACCTGCTAACTTCTCCCTTCATTCCCACTTCTCCCACGATGACAAACGTGCAGTCGAGCGAGTCTTGCTGTGGAAGATCCTTCGCGTCTTTGTCGAGCACGACGGCGTGCTGGAGGGAAATCCTGTTGTGGACAAGGCCGTCCGTGATCTCTTGTCCCCAGGACTCGAAGCCCCCGATAGCACAACACCGTACATGAATGGCGGTGACAAGTTTGGGCTTGCTGATTCGGCGCCAGCCGGGTTGCAATCTGACGGGGTCAGTTCCTCGACGGTCGAACAAATTCGCCGTCAGCTCCTGAGCGGGGACCACGAGAAGGCCATCTGGACTGCCGTGGACCAGCGCCTGTGGGGCCATGCTCTTCTTCTTTCCAATGCCCTCGCGCCAAATCTGTACAAACAGGTTGCGCAAGAGTTCATTAAGAAGGAAGTCAACTCCCCCGGCCACAACAACGAGTCGCTCGCTACTCTGTACGGGGTCCTTTCTGGGAACCACGAAGAGAGCGTGGACGAGCTTGTCCCGAGCCATGCCCGCGCGGGACTCCAGCTTTTAACCACACACGCGACATCCGGCCCTTCAAAGGATGCTATGGAAGGGCTCGATAAGTGGCGGGAGACACTCGGCCTCATTCTCAGCAACAGGAGCACCGATGACGGCCGCGCGATCAACTCGCTCGGTGTCCTGCTCTCCGGCTACGGGAGGGCAGAGGCTGCCCATGTCTGTTTCATGTTCGCGCGCGGCCACACCGTTTTTGGCGGGCTTGATGACCCGGCATCTCATTTTGTTCTCGTCGGGTCTGACCACAAGAAGCAGGCCGAGCAATTCGCCAAGGAGATTGAGCCTCTGTTGCTGAGCGAGGTCTACGAGTATGGACAAAGCCTGGCTGGAGGCTCCAGCGTGCCAGTAACAAACCCGCATCTGGCGGCCTACAAGCTGCAGCATGCCCTTGCTCTGGCCGAGTATGGGTTTCGGGACAAGGCCTTGCAGTATTGTGACGCGATCGCTACAGCGATTACCTCGCAGACTAAGAGGTCTCCGTATCACCATCCCATTTTGGAAAATGCTGTGGAGGATCTCATGATGCGCCTCAAGCAGGCTCCGAGGGAGGACTCCGGTTCCTGGATCCCGAAACCGACTATGAACAAGGTGACCGACACAGTGTGGAGCAAATTTAACAAGTTTGTCTCCGGCGACGATGACGGTTCCGGCCAGGGGCCTGCTGGAGAAGGCGAGCCCGGGCCGTTCTCGCGTGTCGCGGGCGGCACCCCAACAATCAGCCGGTCACCTTCGGCCAGCAACTTGGAGACATTTGGTGCTGCCGTCCCCAGCTATGGCATGCCGGTTGCCCAACCTAACGGCCCGGTACCGGCTTCCGCGCCGGCGACCAGAGCTGCGTCCCGCTACGCGCCAGGGGCGCCCCAAGCGGGAGGCTCTGGCAGCAGACCCTCCACCTCGGCGTACGCGCCGAGATCGTCGATGGAGCGGACGTCGAGCGAAATGAACAGAGGCTCATTCGAGGTGCCCAGGCGGTCCTTGGAGATGCAGGCCGGGCGCCGGGGCAGTTATAGCCCTGTCAGGAGTGGCTCGCCCGCCGGCATGTACACGCCGCAGAGTGCCGAATTCGGCTCGCCGCAACAATCGCCGTACCATCCGGTTTCTCACGCGCAACCGACGCAACCTCAGGCACCTACCAGCGCTCCTCAACCGGCCGGCTACCCCAGCCCCCCAGCCGACGGAGTTAGCCCTGGTCAAGAATTGGAAGGCTCTGGTCAATCCCCCGAAACTTCCGGCTACCAACCCCCGTCGTACGGATATGAGCCCCCGTCATTCACCCCATACGAAGCTCCCGTCGAGGAGAAGAATGGTACACCGGAGGAAACTCCCAACGGCGGCTCTTACGAGTCACCCTCGTACCAGCCATATGGCTACGAGCCGCCATCATACGAACCCGACACGCAGCCCTCGAACGAGGATGCCGGTTCCGGCGAGGAGTCGAAGCCCAGACCTAAGAAAAAGGGCATCATGTACGATGACGATGACGACTTCCCCACTCCACGGCCCGCCGAAAAGTCAAAGGCGGAGAAAGACCGGGAGAACGACGAAATGTTCCGCAAAGCTGCTGAAGAAGATGGTAAGCACAACACCCCATCCATCCACAATCTCACCGACATACTAACACTCCCACCCAGCTCAACGCGCCGAAGCAGCCAAGCAAGGCAAAAAGGGCTGGGGCTTCACCTCCTGGTTCGGCGGCGGCGGCGCCAAGAAGGAAGCGGCCGCGCCCGACTCCAAGGGCGGCGCCAACCCCAACAAGCCCATCCGCGCCAAGCTCGGCGAGGCCAACTCCTTCTACTACGACCCGGAGCTCAAGCGCTGGGTCAACAAGAACGCCGGGCCCGAAGACACCGCCAAAAAGGCCACCCCCCCACCCCCCAGAGCCGGCGGCGCCCCGCGCTCCGTCAGCGCCAGCCCAGCCTCCCCGCCCTTCTCCCCCGGCGCCGGCGCCGGCCGCGCCAGCGCCCCACCGCCCATGGGCGGCCCGCCACGCTCCGCCAGCCGCGGCCCGCCACCACCAACCTCCGCCTCCGACACGGCCCTGCCGTCACCCGGCGCAGCCGCAGGCGGTGGTGCGGGCGGCGGCGCGCTCGGCCCGCCCCCCGGTCCCGTCGCCATGCTGCGCTCCGTGTCCAACACCAGCACCGCCAGCGCGCCGCCGCTGGGGCAGGGCCAGGGTGGTGGCCCGCCGGCGTCGCGGCCGTCGACCAGCTTGAGTAATTCGAGTAGTATCGATGACTTGCTGGGCGCGGCGGGGCCGAGGAAGCCCGGGGCGGCGAGGAAGGCGAGGAAGGGGGCGAGGTATGTGGATGTTATGGGGAAGTGAGGAGATGATTATGGAGGGGTTGTATAGATTATGATATATGTGTAATTACTTGATGTTGTCTGCCTGCTCTGGCTGCCGCCCTGTTTGCTGAGGCTGCTGAGGCGGTCTTGGAAAGGGGTGCTTGTGGTTTGGGCTGGGTGTTTTCTTTTCTTTCCATAAGTCTCTTTTTCGTTTTTGGGTTGATTCTGGGGAACTCCTGTATATTTTTAACGGACCTATGGCTTTAATGAGATGAGGCAACACGATTAGACGTTGTGGCTTTTATGGAAATAGAGATTGAGTGCTGAGAGGTTTGCGATGGGATTGTGGCCGGGTGCCATCCCGTGTCTGCTCCCTGAATAGGGGTTGCCACAACGGCCAAGTCCATGGTACAGACATACAACAACAGCAGATGGTGGATTTATCCCTGGAATCAATTGATGTGCTGCAAAGACTGAAAGTGGTATTTCTTTCAAAATCCGAGCAAATAGCTGCCATTTTTAATTCAATCCCTCCTCCACATGGCCTTCTACGCCTCTCTAAATGCCGCCCCCCCATAGCAAACCCAACACCGGAACGCCAAACCGAGACAGCAACAGCAAACCCCCCAACAACCCCTAAGCACTATAACTCGAGACATAATACGTCACCACATCCTCCGCCCCAGCATCATCCACATGCGGCACGTACACATACAAGATCAGCGCGTGATCATCCGCAAAACACGCAATCACGCGACCCTCGAGACGGCCCACGCTCAGCACGCGGCTCCAGTCCTTGCCGTCGACGCGCACCGTCGCCCACGTGTCCGGGCCGGCCTCGCGGAACCGCGTCGACGGGTGCTCGGCCAGCGGCATCGCCAGCTGCGCCGGGTCCAGCTCCGGGTTCTCCAGCCCCTTCCACACCGACGTGATGTCGAGCGTCTCGGTCGCCAGCCGCAGGCGCAGCGCGCCGTGCATGTTGGCCGAGAGGGTCAGTTTGGGGTTTTGGTTGCCGCTGCTGCTGCCGCCGGTTCGGCCGCCGGTGGAGGAGGAGGAGGTGGAGGAGGCGGTGAGGGCGAGCTTGGTGAAGCGGTCCGAGATGGCTTTGAGCTGTAGGAGGGGTGGCAGCTGGATGTGCACGTCGGGCTCGCGCACCTTGGGCTGCATGATGGTCTCGACCGTGTCGGGGTGCAGGACGCGGACGGGTATGTCCTGGGTGATGATCTTCTCGCGCTCGCGCTTCATGGTCAGCTCCAGTGACTCCTGCGCGAACAGGTCCGGGTCGCCGAACGGGTCCGCGTCGTGCCGTCCTGCTCCTCCCGCTGCTGCTGCTGCTGTGCTCGGGAAGCCGCCGCCACCGCCGCCGCCGCCGCGGGTGTCTTGGGCGCCGTCTTTGGTCATGGTGTGGATTGTCATGGACAGCATTGGGACGCCATCCCGCTTGGTGAGGCGCAGGCTGGCATAGCTGCTGCCGACGGCGGACTTGAGGGCGCGTTGGAGAGGGCCGAGGGGCAGTTCGAGGTTGATGGTGTTGTTGGCTTCGGCGGATTGGATGTTGTAGTTGTCAAAGATCAGGTCGACCGACAGGGAACTAACATGATCAGGTTTGGTCTCGATGGTGAAAAATGCGAGACGGAGGGGAATGAATATACATACGCCCATACTTGGGAGCCCGTATCAGGAATCACAGTGAAGCGGACCGTTTCATCGTCAAGGCGCATCCACGCGATCTTCTCGAGCGAGTTCAACGCTGCAGTGAGCTCTGGATAACGGAAGACGTCAGTCAAAGGTCGGTTAAAAATACAATGTGTAGCCTACTTGAAAAGGTCCTCACATTCCGGAGATCGGTCTTGAATCGCATCTTGCCAATCGAGAAAGTTTACCATGTTAGGGAGATGCTACACTGTCGGTGCTGTTGACCGCGTCGCGTAAAGTGCAACCCCACCAACTAAACGCAATGTCACGGAAAGCCGAAAGTTACACGTCGATTACGATAAATACCAGAGGTACAGACCTGTATAAATTACCCTTGTATTGAAATGGCATTGTAAGAATCAATGCTTCCCATGCGGGGAACCCTTGCAAGGCTCCCTCCCCGCCCCAGCGCCATACCTTACCCGTAACCCCACTCTACCTTCCCGCCGTTGTGCCGTTCCAGCCCCTCCACTGATCTGCGACCCGTCGTCGTTCAGGTGAGGATCCGATGCTGTTCCAAACGCCATCGCTGATAGAAAATTTCCAAGAAAAAAGGAAAGAGATGTAAAAAATCATGCTCCACCATGGTTAGCTACATGTAGATCGGAAAGCAGGCCAGAGTCCAAAATCCATTTTCGAACTAGGTACTCAAACCTCGCGAGGAGCCTGGGCCCTCCACCACGTCTCCCAGCCGACATCCCTGGATTGGACATCCATCCATGGGCCTTCCCAGGTTCCAGTGTTGGCCGGGGTTCTCCTTCTGTTGCGCGCCTCCTGGCGAGACAAACGGTGGTCTTGGCCGGTAGTGTCCTCCTGGTTCGTCGTGTGGTCGTCGTGGGCCTCCTTCCCTTTGCGGGAGAAGGGCAGCAGAATACGCAACCAGCGGAACGGCATCCCCAACTTTTGCAGGCGACCCGGCCGCTTTTCTTCCACCTTGTTCTTTTCCTCATCCGGCATCAAACAGTACTCGCACGGCGCCGTCATCAATTCCTCCCCGCTGCACTTCGGCGGGCGTAGCTTCCCGGTCTCATCCGCGACGAGGTCCGGGTGTGTGCCACTGGGATTTAGTAGAAATGGCAGCACCGGGTGGCCGCAGGCGTCGTGGTACGCTACGTGGCGGCAGATGGGACACAGCGGCTGCTCGTCGGCCGTGATGGCGAGGTAGCGTTTTATGCAGTGGCTACCGAAGCGATGCCCGCATGGTAACATGCTGAAGCCCTCCTTGACGCCCTCCGCAGTGCGGGTACCGATGGTTTCCTGGCAAATGAGACATGTCGCGTCTTCAACCTGAACAGCGGACGGCTTCTTCTCTGGTGAAGTCAAATGTCTCTTGAAGTCGGCCTTGCCGCGCACTGTTCTCCCCATGGCAAGGGCAACCGAGAATACAAGGGTGACGAGGTGCTTTGCGGCGATGGCGGATAAAATGGGAACGCGGAGAAGGTAGGCGAAGAGTGATAGGATGGGCCGTGGGCTTAACCAGTCGCTGAGGTCAGGCATGGGGCTTGTAGGTGTCGGAAGATGACCGAGCTCACAAAGCGATGGTGTGAAGATACCTATGGTGAGATTAAGGGCGGCAGTAGATGAGAGGTATGTCGCGGGTACCTAAAGAGGAGGTCCAAATCGGGAACGATGGGTTGGAAGAAAAGCGTGGGCAAGGAAAAGAGAAAACGAGAGGAGAATGGAGGAGGGAAGTTGAGAATGCGAGGAGGTTGGAGAAAGCTTTGGGGTCTCGGTCCTCCAACAAATGCCTCCGAGTGGTGCGTCACACGGAGGGGAGGGAGGCAGCCTTGTTTGTTCTGCACATGCAGGTGCGCTGTCCAGGTTGGCTGCAGCCGGACCGCTTCCAGGCCTCCCAACGCCCGCATTGCCTATGTATGTACGAACGAACTAACGGTACTAGTAGCCAACACGGGCTGTTCTCTTGTGACATTGCTCCTGGGAACAAGAACAAAGAACAGCCTACTCAGTTTCAGTCTCAGGTTTCAGTCTCAAATGAGATATTCAAGCAATATTAAGGATCCCGTTTACGGTCAAGCAAATACCTCATTTTCCACATGGTGCCCAAGGATACTAGACCTACAAGTGAAGCCATTTGAGTTCCAAGTCGTTCTGGGGGGAGTTCCCCCATCTGCAGCTGGTGGGGGGAAATGCACACATGCAACTCTGACAGCAGGGGACTGTGGGCCCGGCACTTGGCAACTGAGGTCGTGGCAGTCCCCCATGGATGTTGTCATCGAATACGGGCTCTGTACGAATACACAGGAGTTACCTTAGGTGGGACATTCACATGATCCCATGACCCCCCACAGGTGAAGGTTCAACAATGAACACGGTGCGTACTCCTAAGTCTTCAAACAATATGTTGGCGGCGGAAAGAAATAAGTAACCTACCTGAGTCATAGAAAAGCGACCCGGGATAATGGTGTTAGTTATTTCCATAGGTTGAAGGAGGGTGCGTGCCGACATGGGAAATCTCCAGGGGTGTACCGTGTAATACACTGTAACAATATCCATCCATTACAACAACGGGCGTGAGCCGACCCCCACTGTCAGCCATGGGTCGCATTGCCCCAAACTTCCCGGCCAAGCGAGCAAACTTCCAAACCAGCTCAACGCTCCCCAACACCATTGAATCCCCAAACGACGCCATGGACTCCTCTACCGAAAGCCGGTCTACGGCTCTTATTCGCAAACGGGTAGACACTGAGTTGATGCCACCACCCCCGCCGGCGAAACGCATCAAGCGACCGAAACGCGTGCTCGACGAAGACACCTACACCGACGCCCTCTCGCACATCATCGCCCGCGACTTCTTTCCCGGTCTCCTCGAAAGCGAAACACAACAAGAGTATCTCGACGCGTTAGAGTCTAGAGATGAAGATTGGATTAACAGCGCCAGCCGCCGGCTCCGACAAGTCATGACTCCCGGTCGACGACGAAGGCTTGCCACGCCACTCCGCCAGGCAACGGCAGCAGGAGGCCACACCCCGCTCAACTTCGTCGGCGACACACCCGCGTCGGTGGTTTCCACAACTACCACCGCCACGTCAGCCCAGAAGCAACCCGCGATAGACACCAGCGTCTCTCTCGCCATGTTCCAATCGAAATACACCTCCGAAGACAACGAATCCTTCTACAAACTCCTCGACAGGCAGAACCAAAAACGCGTCGAGAAATACGCCTGGCTTTGGACGGGGAACAAACTCCCATCCAAACAACAGCTCAAGCAAAAAGAAGTCGAAGCCAAACTCCTCGCCGAACGCGGCGGCGGCGCCCTCCGAGACGACGGCTTCGCCCGCGACAGACTGGCCATCCTCGACAAAGACGCCGCGGACCGGCCGGCCGCGCCGGATCATTGGAACAAAGCGAGGCCGGACAACGAGCTGATGTTTATACCGGACGGCGTGGACGACGGCCGGCTGCAGACCGTGGCGGAGCGGGCGCAGGCCGAGAGCAGGGCGGCACCGAAGCGCATCGTGTACGAGAACACGCGGGTGCCGCAGCCCGCGGCGGCGAGGGAGGCGTCCGGGGAGGGCGAGCGTTCGTCGAGGGCCGGCTCGCCTTCGCTGTCGGAGATTCGCAACGCGATCGCGGGCAACAGGAGGGCGTGCGATGCCGAGACGAGCGTTACGGGTGGCGCCGGGGAGACGCCGCGGGTGAATGGGTATGCGTTCGTGGATGACGAGGAGCCGGAGCCGGAGCCGGCGCGGCGCGGGAGGGAGAAGGCGCCGGTAATCGATCTTGGTCCGGGGGACGCCACGCCGAATCCGTTCCAGTTTCAGGAGCAGAGGAAGCGGGAGGCGCTGCATCACCGGATGGTGGACAAGATCTCACAGTCGAAGCGGACGTCGGCGAGGCTGGGGTTTACGGGGAACGTGCAGCGCACGCCGGTGCCGAAATTTCCGAGCAGCCCGAGGGTGTCGGCCGGGGATCTCACGCCGGCGGCGCAGAGGTTATGGGGGAGGATTGGCGGGTCCGAGAGAAGGGGCGCCGAGTCACCGTTTAGCGATTCCATCAAGTCCACGCCCAAGGCAACACCGGTGGGGAAGATGTCTGGGTTGAGGAACTTGACGAAGTAGAAGACGAGGCCCACAAGGGCGAAGAAAGAAAGAGAGCGTTGGTTATTGATACCCGGAGTTGATAGATAGCACTTTGAATAACATGCATGGATGAGTTCTAACACCCTTTATCGACCCTTACCATGATTCCATCTTCTCTCACCGGGTACGTGTGCCAGAAAGCGGGTGAAGGATCCGCTCAACCTCACTCTGAACCCCCACCACTGTCAGCCCTATCGCGTCCCGTCAGTTCGGGTCACTCTCAGCGCTAGCAGGGGCCCCTGCCACCGTCTTTCACAGGGGCACCTGCCCCCAAAAATTTGCGGCTCCTCCGCTCCGGTCAGCACCGAACAGCGCATGCATCCGGGCAACGCCGGGCCAACCCGGATCTTCACTTTCCACGAAATATCAAAACTCATATCACATTCACCACGAGATGGAGCCACAACAACCGAGCTAGCACGCCTGCTCAATTGTATACATACTAATCCCCTTTTTCATTTTTCTTTTCATCTGCACAACAAAAAGAAAAAAGAGCAAGGCAAAAGAGTGAGGAAAGGAAGGTTCAGCATGCGCCTCGCCGACCTGCTCGTCGACCTCGCCGCCGTCGCGAGCGCGTCGCGCGCTGTAGCCAGCAAGCATGTCGCGCTGCGGGCGAGGCAGGTCGAGCGGTACAGTCGGGAGTCCAGTGTGGTTGGGAGTGTGCTGAGGGGGCAGAAGCAGCAGCAGCAACAGCAGCAGCAGCCGGAGGAGCGGGAGCAACCGCGGGAGCAGCAACCACAGGAGCAACCGCAGGATCAGGGGCAGGGACAGCCAGCGCAGGAGACACGGCAACAGACACGAACACGAAATGCACAGCCGGAGGAGCACGAAGCGCGGCCACAGAGGGGAGCCGAGGAGGGAGTAGGGGGTGCTCAAGGGGCGAGGGGCCAGGAGGGGAAACCCGGGTTGACGGTCGATGAGACGCCTATTGCGACGCCGGTCGAGGGGCCGGGAGCGGGAGCGAGAGGAACAGAGCCAGCACAGCCGGCGGGCGCGGCGGGATCCGAGTTCAAGCCCGCTCCGTGGGCCGATGGCGGGATCGCGGCGCTGAAGCAAGGGTTTGTCCCTCCGAGGCGGTCTCCCCAATCATTGAGGAAGCCGGTTATGGGCATCCCCGGGGTGGACTTGAGTCTTTTCCGGACGAAAGGAGGGTCACATGTTTTGGATGCGTTGAAAGAGATGGAGGAGAAAGAGGGAGGAAACGAGCGGTTAGCTACCTCGGAAGGCGAACGGAGGGAACCAGCCAGGGAGGACTCAACTAGGGATGCCGAGGTATTAAAAGCTAACGAAAGGGAGGCGGAGACAGCAGTTATGCCTGAAACCCCGAAGTTGCATCCGGCCTCGTTAGTGCCCGAGGAAGGTGGAGAGAAAGTTCCGACAATCGAAGAGGTCTTGGAGGAGGAGAGTGGAAAGACCCCTGCGGCACAACCCGAGCCCGAAACCCAGGCCCCTTTAAAGAGTGGAAGAGAGGTGACAGAAGCGGAGGGTACCGAAACCCCTATACAGCAGACCAAACGCGAGGAATCCGCCGTTCCCAGCCCGGAGGCTATTGAAGGAAAGCCATTGTCACAAGAAGATGCGAGCATAGTGGCCGAGTTGACAAATCCAACACCCATCGCATCCGCAACCCCCAGCTACCAACTTCGAGAGTCCGCCGTCCCATCCTCGCGAATCGGCCGGCTCTGGAATTACGGCGGCCTCGCAGCCGGCATGTTCGCGGGCGCGATCGGGGAAGGCCTCAGCCGGGCGGTAGGCGGCGGCGGTTCAGGCTCGATGATGCTCAGCGCGGCCAACATGGAGCGGCTCGTGGCCAAGCTCTCGCGGATGCGCGGCGCTGCTCTCAAGCTCGGCCAGATGATGAGCTTCCAGGACGCCAAGATGCTCCCGGCCCCTCTCCAGGAGGTCCTGCAGCGCGTCCAGGACCGCGCCGACTACATGCCGGGCTGGCAGCGAGACCGCGTCCTGACGGCCAACCTCGGCGAGAACTGGCGCGACCTCTTCGACGAGTTCGAGGACAAGCCCATCGCCGCCGCCTCCATCGGCCAAGTCCACCGCGCCACCCTCAAATCCAACGGCACCCGCGTCGCCGTCAAGATCCAGTTCCCCGGCGTCGCCGACTCCATCAACTCAGACCTCGACAACCTCGCCGTCCTCCTCGCCGCCACCAAGCTCCTCCCCAAAGGCCTCTACCTCAACAAGACCATCGACAACGCCCGCACCGAGCTCGGATGGGAATGCGACTACACGCGCGAAGCCGAGTGCGCAGAGCGCTACCGGGAGCTCCTCACGACAGCCACGGCAACCTCGGCCTCGGAGGAAGCCGTCTTCTCGGTGCCGCGCGTCTACCGCGAGGCCAGCGGCAAGCAGGTGCTCACGATGGAGTTCATGGACGGCACGGCGGTGACGCGGATCGGGTCCTTCACGCAGGCGCAGCGCGACCGCATCGGCACGCAGCTGCTCCGCCTCTGCCTGCGCGAGATCACCGAGTTCCGCTTCATGCAGACGGACCCCAACTGGACCAACTTCCTGTACAACGCCGCGACCGACCGCCTGGAGCTGCTCGACTTTGGCGCGTCGCGCGAGTTCCCGGCGCGCTTCATCGCCCAGTACGTGGCGCTGCTGGAGGCGGCGTCGCGCGCGGACCGCGACGGCGTGCGCGAGCTGAGCGAGCGTCTGGGGTACCTGACGGGCCACGAGAGCAAGGCGATGCTGGATGCTCATGTCACCAGCGTCGTCACCCTCGCCGAGCCCTTCCTGCGCTCCGCCCCGGAGCTGTACGACTTCCGCGACCAGACTATTACGGAGCGCGTCAAGGCCCAGATCCCCGTCATGGTCCACGAGCGCCTGGCGCCCCCGCCCGAGGAGACGTATAGTCTGCATCGGAAGCTTAGTGGTGCGTTTTTGTTGTGTGCGAGGTTGGGGAGCAGGGTGAGGTGTAGGGAGTTATTTGAGGAGGCGCTGGCGAAGTCGGGGTTCACGAGGGAGTAATTATATAAAGGTTGCTGCTTATTGGAGGGGTTGGATGTATGATATTGTACCTAACCTCCTGTAGACTTTGTTGTACACTAGATCAAACCGCTTAGAACGCCAGGCAAAGACGCTGGGGTTGTAACAAAAATACCAAGACAGCCTCTTTTCAACTACCGGTCCTCCGCGCCCCTCCTCGTCATGGGCAACAGCTTCTTCTCCTTACCCGCAACCTTCTTCCTCCGCCGCTCAATCGCCTTATCCACCTGCTTCTTCTTCATGCCCTGGAACTGATCGACCAGCACCCGCTTCTTCTGCTCCGACTTCTTCAGGTAGAAGGGCGTCTTGCCCTGCTTGACCAGCTCCTTCTCCTTCTTCCTGTGCTCCTCGATGACGGTCCTCTCCCTATCCTTGCGGTCCTGCGTCTTCTTGCGGCTCTCCATCGACAGCAGCGCCTTCTGCAGCCGCTCCTTCTGCGCCGCGTCCTTGGTCTTCTTGATGGTCGCCCGCAGCTCCTGCATCTCCGACTCGCGGTAGTCGTCCAGGAAGGCGTACGCCTTGCGCGCCTTGATCTCGTCGATCGTGCTGCCGCTGCCTGCCGCTGCCGCGGTCGATGCCCCCGGGCCGAGCGGCGTGAAGCGCGGGTCGCGTGCCTGTAGCTTCTTGGTTTCGGCGGCGCCCGCGAGGAAGTCCCGCTTGCGCGAGACGGGCTTCTTGCTGGTCAGTTCGACGGGGGCGTGTTTGCTGGAGCGCTTATCTAGCTTTTTCGTAGAGCTTAGTTTGGTCGGGTGGCCGTAGCCCTCGTCTTCCTTATCCTTCACTTCGTCGTTGGCTTGTTTAGATTTGGAGGAAGACCGCATGGCAGCTTGCGCTTTGGCCAGGGCACCGAAGGAGAGCTGTGAGGCGTCTATTTGCGGGCCCTCATCATCGTCTTCCTCATCCTCCTCTTCGGAGCCAGATGCCGCATCTGAGTTGTCCTAAGCTGCTGTTAGAAATGTTGATTTTTGCACTAGGTTCGTCAAACTCACCTCATTGCTGCCGCCCTCCAACCCATCCTCACTTCCCTCCCCCCCCTCCTCGTCCTCATCCTCATCGCCCGAACCAAATGACCCGGCATCTTCTTCACTCGGTCCCTCGCTCACATCCTCCTCCATGTCTGATTCCGGCTCTGGCTCATATCTGGGCCTGACTCTCCTCTGGAGTAGACCGCTGGGTGGCATTTTGCGCTTAACTGACGACATCGTTAAAGATGGAGATTATGTGTTACGAAATTGGCGATGATGTTTTCAACGTCGGCGATTGTTTTGTGGTGATGGCAAACCACTGGATTTCACTTGCAACGTTGATTCTGAAAAATCCTGGTAGCAGGTTTTGCATTAACAGAGACACTGCCTACATGCAGCTGTCAAGTGTTAGTGTCCTGCTGCCCCACTTCTAAACCACTCACCAAGACGCTGAATAGCAGCAGATTCTCAAACTTCATTTTCCTGTGACGGTTATACAGTCAAAGTTTATGCCATTCGTACATTGTGCTTGTAGATCAGAGGAGCGAAACACATGTTCAACTCATAACTTGCTTCATTCATTGAGGCGGGAGCGGTATCATCACGCAACACTCTTAACGGTACGTAGATTGGCTTTTGACCACGACGCCCCTATAACCCCCTTCGTTACAAATCCGTACCCTCCCTACTATCAAGATGGTTCCGCCCAGTTGACTACATCCATCACCTGTCCCGCCGTGGGATGCGAATACCCTATCCTCAGACGCAACCGCAGAGGCTGCAACACACAATGTTAGCATATAAATCCACATGACACCAGATATCAAACTTACCCCCTTGCATCCGGCGACCCTCATCATCTGCGTTGCCTCCGCCCCGGTTCCAATATCGGTCGACGAGATGCTCAGAAGCTGCAGTTTCTGCGACTTTGGCACGGCCGCCTGGAGCCCCACGTTCGACAACGCTCCGGCAGGCGACGAGTTGCGGAATCGGGCGGAGGCCTGGATGGTGCCCTCGGCGTTTCTTTGTGTCTGTATTGTCACGTTAAGACCGTTGTTATCGTAACAGGGGTGGCTGACTGCGGCAGCGGGGGCGGCGGCGGGAGCGGCTTGGTGAGGTGGCGAGGCTGTTGTGGAAAAGAGATCGGCGCTGGGAGGGGGATTGGCGGCCGCGCTCTGGGCAGGGGATGGTGTAGAGACGGGCCCTTGGGAGAAGAGGTCCATGATGGAGGCGACGTTGGACTGGCCAGGGGGAGGGGAGGCGGTGGCGGGTGGAGGTGACGTGCTTCCGCCGAGGATGTCTGCGAGCAAGTCCGCATTCCCGCTGCCGTTGGCCGGGGCGGGTACGGGGCCGCTGCTGTCGCCCATGAGGTCGAAAAGAAGGTCTTCCTCCTTTGGCTTGATGGCCTTGGACTTCCGGTTCGCCGCCTTGGTCGTCTTTTTGGCTGCCTCCCCCAACACCCGCGATTCCTCCTTGATCTGGGGGGGTGGCATCTTCTCCAAGACGCCTCTGCGGATTTGGTCGTGGGAGAAGAGGTTGCCGAATTCGACAGCGCGTTGCTGGACCTCGACGTCCAAACTCGTTTGTTGGTTCTGGAGAATGCGGCGCACCCTCTCGATCTGCGCTGCATCCGACAACCTTGTTGTCAGCTTGACGAGCGCTGTGCTGAGGTACTCGGTGGTGACCTGGGTGGCATAGTTGCTGTTGAGAATGGTCGAGAACAAATCGACGACCTCGTGCTCCTTTACTTCCTGCACTAGCTCCTCTTCCTCATACTGACCGCCCCTGAGCAGGGCCTCGCCGTACTCGCCGATGCACCACGCGCCAGACTGTGTCAAACTTTCCTGCGTGATGTCTTTCTTGAGATTTGCATACAACTTCTGCACCGCGTATGTTTGTAGTTCGGGGGTTGTAGCAATGAGCCGAACAAAGGACGACATGATGGGCTCCTTGACATAGTTACCTGCCAGCGTCACGACGCGTAGCATGGTATCAAAGTGCCACCGCTTGTTCGGGGCATACCGGTCAGCGGCAATGCCGATCTGGCTGGTCATGGTCGGCTTGAATTCGTTATCGGCCACCTCCAAGAATGCTAGCAGCTCGCGGATCAACACACGAACGTTGCCCTCGTTGATTAGCGTGAAGCTGAGGTCCAAAGCCCTCCTTCTGATGCTGATATCCGGGTCCCTCAGACACTCCAAAATCGTATTTCGGTGCCTTTGCACCGCGTTCGTGTCAATCGCCACCACCTTGACGAGCGTGTTCAGGGCAACATAGCGAATGTTGTTGTCTTTGTTGGTGAGGAACTTGCCCAGGATGTTGACACCCAGAACGCGTAGGCCCGAGTCCGCCTCGATATCCAGAATGGTCCGCACTGCTTCGTAGAGAATTGAGTTGCCAACATTCTTGGAGGAATCCGTGTTGGTCGCGACCTGCGCCAAGATATCATTGATCTGTTCCGTAACCTGGGCATCGCCGAGGGCGAGGACTCGAAGTAGGCGCAGCAGCTTGACCTGCAGGAAGGGGTCTGTGATGCCGGTGACGTCGTGTTCCGGCGCGTAGCCCGAAGACGCCAGCCCCTTCAGCGTTCTAACGAGCACCGGTACAAATTGCCTGAACTTGTCGATGATCCCCTCGTCTCCGCCCTCGTCCTCGTCGGCTTCACAGAGACTGGTGACCAGAGTGAGGCCGCATAGCATTACGCCGTGATTTCGGTCTGATAATAGCTGTGTCGCTTTCTCGATGAAGTGCTCTTGCAAGTCTGGGACTTTCTTGCATATCCGCATGGCGCAGAGAGCGGCTTTCCGTCGAATATAAGGGTTCGCCGTGGATACCAGGTTCTCAATCTCGGAAAACAGGTCTCGCGACATCTCAACAGAGGCGATGTTGCCTAGGGTGCAGAGCGCGAGACCGACGACATATTGGTTCGAGTGAGACAGGTCACTAGCGGCCCCGAGTTAGCAAGCTGTTCCATGCCCACGTTATGGTGTCCTCCACGGTTCGCACTTTTTGAGAGAATTGGTGACCAGAGTAAGAACTTCTTGGTTCTCGTCGAGCAGCAAGCTTGTCGCGAGATGTCCTAACCGCTTGTCGGCGAAGCGGGGTGAGGCGAGGAGCTTCAGACACTCAATCTGGCCGAAATGGGTCCGCTCGCCGAGAGTGAAGAGGTACAGTAGCTTGGCCACATTGTTTCTCCTGCGCAGTGCCTTGTATCAGCACCTCCTCCGGGCATATATCCAGGGGCTCCTTGGGCTGGTCTGCAAGTACCTGACGCTGTGGTCTGCGCTCTCTTCCCTAAAACTCGCTCGAATGGCTGCGCTTTCCTTCTGAATAACGGCTCTCTCGTCGGCAATGGTCTTCGCTGCGCGGACGTTGCGAATGAACTGTTTGACTGTGGGGTAGTTGTAGCGGGGAGGTTAGCTGCCGAGTCGCTGTAACCATTTCCATTTCCACCAAGTGAGGCAATCGCAGATTATCGCAGGGCGCGGCCAGACTCACGGGAGCTCATGGTGAAATGCGTCGGGCCCTCTCTGGGGCGTAGTGGTGAATTATGTCCAAATTCGAGGCGGGGGGGCGTCGAGGGAGGAGCTGCTGGGAAAATTAATCAACCGTTGATCTCCGTCCGCATCACGGACCCTGAATCTGTCGCTACGATGTGGCACGGTGGTTGCGTTGCTCCTGGGCGGGCAGCTGAGACCGCCTGGCGTTCGGCAGCACTAAGGCCTGAGGCAGCAACACCTCATGGCAACCCTAACCCCTGGAGCATGCCTCCGTGCTCCCTTCACTCCCCTCACTTTCAAATCCAGCAAGCTCTCGACCAAGTTTCGATTCCATGAGAGAAGCTCCGGAATCTGGGGCAATATTGTTTTGTTCATGCCCTTTCATATTTTCCGTGGATTATTATATCAACTTCCGAATTTCTACTTGCCGTGTCTCTATCCCATAGCGATAACGTGAGTAGGGATAGGGAAAGAAACCTCGCAATCCAAGGCATGTACGAATATGCTGGTTGGGCTGATGTTTCGAAGCCGCTGTGGTCCGCTTCAGGTTCAACGGGTGACAGTGTGCGGGCATCTCTGCTACAACGGCTCAGCCCTGCACAAGTTACAACACATCGATACCCTGCAGCCAAGCGCCCTGTAGGGCTGCATGAGAGTCAAGGTGAGAGAGGCGCAAGCGGGAGGTTAAAGTACGGGAACCAAACGTGGAAGTTATCTGTGTTGTGCAGGTACCGCTAGTTCGAGCACTGCCACGATCCACCTGCATGAGAGGTCGACACTCCAGCTTCCATATGGTTGGGCCGGCAGATCAGGTCGAAAATGACGTCCTGTAACGTGAATGGCTAGTTAGCAGCTGGGTTGCTCGAAGCAAATCAACAAAATACTCCGCTATGAAATAGAAAAGTGTGATTCAGCGGCCATGGTGGAGGCGGCGCTGTGTTGGGAGAATTGGAAAACCGGTGTCAGATGGAATGAGTGGTCATCCAGCCGGTTCCCTCCGAATTTGATTCTCATTATCATCCAGGCTAAAGGCGCTGGAGAGCAATACAACTTTGCAGCAACTACTTCATCAAGCACCCATATGCCCAATGTCGGGCCCACGACAAGCGGGAAATCCTTCATCTTGAAAATATCAACCCGCTTGCAAAAGGATGCTAAAAGCTACCGAGGTTCAATCCAGAACGAAGCAGAAAGTTAAACCCGAAGGAGACCCGTATTGACGGAGATGGAGCGTTGTTCTGCTGGGTTTGGTGAAACGGTTACTTCTGCATCATGAGCTGCACAAACTCGTTGTCTAACATGCCGTTAGTAAGTGTGGATAGGTTTGGTTGCAGAAAGGGGACCCACAGTCGATACGCCCGTCGCCGTCCTGGTCGGCCTCGCGGATCATTTCGTCGACCTCATCGTCAGTGAGCTTCTCACCGATCGAGGTCATGACGTGGCGCAGCTCGGCCGCTGAGATGAAGCCGTTGTTGTCGCGGTCGAAGACCTGCGCCGCAGTGGTTAGGGAAGTCCCAGGATTCGAATACCGGACCAACACACCTTAAACGCCTCACGGATCTCTTCCTCCGAGTCGGTGTCCTTCATCTTCCTCGCCATCATTGTGAGGAACTCTAGTGCCTGTCAGCAATTGGTCGTGACTCCGGTACTAGGATAGATGATGGCCCATACCGGGGAAGTCAATGGTGCCATTGTTGTCGGCGTCCACCTCGTTGATCATATCCTGCAGCTCAGACTCCGAAGGGTTTTGGCCGAGCGAGCGCATGACGGTGCCTAGCTCCTTGGTTGTGATTTGTCCTATACGCCTTTAGCATCCCTCCAATCTCTGGCTTGCTGTGCATCGCGCGTTGAGGGATAGCTATTTTCTAGATAGAGCCTTGCCTTGCGACGAGCGAGATCGGGTTTGGAAAGGGCGGGCACACTAACCATCGCCGTCCTTGTCCTATCGAGGGGTCAGCACAGGCATGACGGCAGGATAACAAAACAAAAAAGGATAGGATGGGCTTACAAAAAGGGAGAAAGCCTCCTTAAACTCAGAGACCTGCTCTTCGGTAAGAGAGTCCGCCTATCGTCGACGAGATGGTCAGCTCCTCATGTCCTGACCGATGCAGCCCGACTGCCCCTCGCTCGCGGGGCTGGCTCCGATGAATCGCAAGCTTGACATGACTGACCATATTGATGGGATGCTGGGTATCGGATTTGGGTAAACGAAAGAAGTCGATCGCGGTCCGGCTGCGGATCTTCGCAGAAGGGCAGATGTAAATGGGTTGGGCAGCGGTGTTGCTGAACTGGGTTGGAGTGTTTAAATGACGAGACGCGGGCAACCTGGAGATTTCAAGAAGGAGATGCGGGGCACACACTCCTCCCAAAAGAGGGCCCTGGGGGAGACGGCTTGCAGGGTCTCCCACAAGCTGGTCCTGTCAGCTCTCAGCTTGCGTTGCTGCCTCCCCCTTGGAAACCTACCAGGTCGGCTCCCGGCCAAAGTGCCAAGGTATTCAATTGGGCCCACATCTGAAACGCGTATGCACTGCAGCTGTCCACAGCTGTCCATCGCTTCGCAGCTCGGCGGCCAAGTCCTCCTGCAATTGGCAATGTTGTCTGCTTCGTCATTGTCCACCACCAGCCGTGCCGAAAGCAACCTGAGCGCTCGTAGCATCTGGAGCTACCGAAACCTCCAGCGCATTGTGGTACCGACTTACGATGTGATGCCGCCCCGTCCCGGCCTTCGGCAGCAAAAACATAGCGCTCGATCTTCCCTGCCTTAGCTCCTGAGGCTGACTGAGGGGATCGCTACCCCTTCCGGCGTCCGCCATGTGGCGAGACCGCACAAACCTGTATGAGCTCCTATCTCGGGCTTTTCTTCCTTGTCGTGTAGCTGATTTGAGACCTAGCTATATCTCGTACCGGCAGTCCTACGCCCACCACCCGACCCAGCGCAACCGGTATGGACCATCCACCACGGGCGACCGCTTCGGCGCGAGCGGCGCAAGCACTGGCGTCCTGTTCTCAGCGGACGATGATCGGCGGGGTCTTTTATCCTCAGACGCCTACGATGTGGACGATGGTGATGCCGTAATCGAGATGGACCTGCTCCCCCCTCGCTGGGCCGACGTGTCAGACGAGGTGACGGAGTTGCTAGCCGATATTGCGAGCAAGAGCCAGAAGTTGGAGCGCCTACACCAAAAACACGTCCTACCGGGGTTCAATGACGAAGAGACCAAGAAGGCCGAGGAGGGCGAGATTGAGCGGTTGACACAGGACATCACACGCGGGTTCCACGGGTGCGGCCGATGCATACAGCGCATTGAACGAATGGTACGCGAGGGCAAGTCGAACGGTCAGATGAGTCGCGCGGACGAGACTATGGCGAAGAACATCAAGGTCAACCTTGCAGCGAGGGTCCAAGAGGCGAGCGCCGGGTTTCGCAAGAAGCAGAGCACGTATCTCAAGAGTAGGCCGGCACGTATAAACGACCATGCACGGACAAGACGCTAACATCTCTGCAGAACTTAGGGATATGGCCGGACTGGCTAGTCCAACCGAGCGTTCTTCCACTCCTCTCGCTGGGGGTAACTACACCGACCCCTCAATCCTTGAATCCGACGCGGACAGGAACTATTCGCAGTCAATGCTCCAAACAACCACCCACCAGAAACTCCTCCATTCCAACGATGCCGTCATATCACAGCGCGAGAAGGAAATCGAACAAATTGCACAAGGAATCATCGAGTTGGCCGACCTTTTCCGCGAAATGCAGACCATGGTCATTGACCAAGGAACCATGTTGGACCGAATCGATTACAACGTGGAGTCTATGGCGACCCACGTCAAAGAGGCTGCGAAGGAGCTCAAAACAGCGGAGGGGTACCAAAAGAAGACGACGAAGCGGAAGATCATTTTCCTTCTGCTACTCATCATTGCCGCCATGATAATATTGCTGGTCATCAAACCGAAGAAACACAGTGCGGCCAACGACGAGAGGTAACACACCTGGAAACAAAGGGATCAGATAGCTGTTCCATGCGGCGGCGATGATGGATTTGGGTGCATGTATGAAAGATGGTGTAATACTTAGACAGGGAATGGCGTGGCTAGAGGGGCCTTTGCAGGCGGCGGGCAGCGAGCGCTATGTTTCAATTTCTCAATGTACGATACCTACTTCCTCTTGACGGACGAACGGTATTCAGTATGCCGCAGTTTCGCGATGCTCTTGTGAAAAAATTGCATTTATCCTTCTTGGAAATGTTCTCGAAATACCTATAAAGACGGACATTGGAGATGTGATATTGCCCGGCTTGCCAGGGTTGAAGCTCGAAAACGACTTGGCATCAGACCACAAAAGACTCGCTGCGTCAACCCTGAGCATTGACCAATCCGACTTGGGCCAAGCAGCCCACCCTGTGAATGCACTGACGGCCCCAGCTCGGGCCAGAGCTCGCCTCGCAAGCAACACTCCATCACCACCACCTCGGTCCTCCCGCGAACACCATCAAACCGCACCGACCGCATTCCAACTCCCCACTCATTCAAAATGGCGTAAGCAGCGACCCTCCGAGCCCCAGCACCTTGCGACACCGGAAAGCGGGGGGACAATTGCAGCCCGCAATTGGGCCCGTCCGTCAATTGGGGGGGGGGGGCATTTGCCGCACACATCGATCGTACGATCTCGAGACGACACGCTAACGGGTTTCTCCTCTCCCGAATAGGCCCATGGACTACCGGAACAAGGTGCCCGAGCACCAGAAGGCGTACCAGAAGGCGTACAAGGCGCACACACGCATCTGGAGGATCGTGAGTTTTCCCGCAATTCGAAGGGCCGCGGTTGGGGGGGGTAGAGGACGGGATGCGATGGGATGCGATGGGATGATGGGATGGGACGGGCCAGCGATGTTCGGGGGAAGGGAATAGTGAGGGATAGGAGCACCTTGCTGACGGATTGGTTTCCGACACACAGAACCCTCGCAGCGGGATGATGTTGACTCCCTTCACCATCGTCTTGTGGGGAACCACCGCCGGTATGATTTACTACACAACCCGACCAATCCGCCCAGGGGATGCTAATACTTTCCAGCGACCATGTACGCCATGGGACGCAGGATCTTTGGCCACAACACCTGGTTCAGCGACTAAGCTCGAGCCGTTGGTTCGGACAGTTAAGGGGGGGTTGAGTTCAGGCTTGTATAGTTATGCAGAGCAAGGGCCGGGAAATAGAAGCGGCAACGGCGCCGGCGTGGAAGCATTCACTACAAACCTGAAGAAATCGAGGTCCGCCCGACCGTGTTTTCTATGTGCAGTGACTGAGGGACCGGATGTTCCGTACAAATCATGGTGTTTCCGCCCCTCTCTGACGCCTGCACTACCAAGTACCCCACCCCCTGCCTTCATACCTATCGAGAGGCTACCGTCTAGAAGTACATTAAACGCAGTTTCCGGTAATTGTCATTGTCATGGTTGTGGTGGCGAGAGCTCGGTTTGTGACCGACCCCCACTACCCTTCTGTCCCCAGCACTCTGTGCCCAGCGTTTTTAATATCCACCGGCCCCCGGGGCTTTCTCGTCCTTCCGGAGGCTCATAAGCAGCTCGCGGAACCGCTCCTTGCCCGACCCAGCGGCACCACCCTTTGCGCCCTTCCCGCTGACATCAACCAGCTTCGAGATGCGCTCCCAGCTCGTGCCGCCGGAGGTGGTGTCTTCGCGGCTGGCCAGGAATTGCTCGGCGTCCTTGCGGGTTTGCGTAATCGTCTTTTCTTTCTTGTTGTTGTAGTTCTCGTAGAAGTCGTCGATGTTCTGCTGGGCTTCTCGGACGGTCTCCTCGCGCTGCTGGGCGAACTGCTCGGCCCGCTTTGCAATCTGCGCGTCCCGCTTCTCACGCCACTCCTTGATGACCTCGGGCTCTTCCTCCTCCTCTGCGTACGGCTGGTAGCCCGAGTTGTAGCTGACGGAGGGGCCGCCTGTGATGGTACCGCCCGGTGCGACGCCCTGTAGTCCGTTATGATTAGAATCCTGCCGCTTTCGAACTGTTGATGCTATCCCATACCTCGTTGGTGCTACTAAGGTCGGGGAACTGGCTCTCGAACGCAGCGTTGTTTCCGGGGGAGCTGACGCCGCCGCCGCCCCCTAACAAATCGTCGTCACCCTCATCGAAGTCGGCGTCCTCGACTGTCGCAAACTGAGTGGCATCCTCGCCTAGAACCGCCTTCTCTCGCTCCAGAAAGTTGGACGCAGACGGAACATCTGTGGTGTCCTTAACCTCGGTCTGGGCTGCGCGCAAGGTTAGAGAGCCTGCCGCTAAATCGCAAGGTATTGCCAAACTTACCACCAGAGTCGAAGTCATCCAGCGAGGGAAATCGGTCAGCCATATTGACGGTCGAATCCCGGTTGTATTTTGAAGCGTATTGTCGACTATGAGGGCTCGAGGGTTGGCTGTGCTGTTGAGGTGTTGATTTAAGAAATCAGGAAGGTGCCTTTGAACGCGCCAGGTTGCTGGGCTGCATTGGCCCCTGGCCGCTGAGGCGCTGGAGGGCGCAGACAGGGGTGTGTTATCGCAATATCGCCACCGGTATATCGGGGCATCATATTTAAATAACCGTGCTTGAGCACTGCGATGCAACCAGCGGCAACCAGCAAGCTCCAATCCAACCCAAGCTTCCTGCTCCTCACCTCTTTCCATTTCCCACTTTCGCAAAACAAACTTAACCACACATCGCTTCATTGCATCCGCTTGGTCTTCACACTGGGCAGGCAAAGTAGAAGCAAAAGGGTCCTTTGAAATACTCCTGTATTGCCGTGGCCCAAGCTGGTGCATTCTGTTTGCGAACTTAGCTTGCAAAAAAGAAGCCGACAGGGTGACCTGCCGTCCTTGTCAACACAGAAACCATTTCTGGGATCGTAATTTAGTGAGCTTTCCATTGATTGGAAGGCAGCATAAACAACCATCACGATTCGCAAATCCCCAGGAGGAATCACTATCGACAACCACCCACCACCACCTACTCACAATTGCTCACTCCCACTACCTATAACAAACCTATTGTCTCGAGCCTATCCCACATTACATTGTCGTTCCTGACATTTCGCCTTATTCGCCCGCCATGGCCTACACGGATGATGCCGTGCTCTCGAAGCTCTCGGCCCTTAACGAGACCCACGAAAGCATCGCGACCACAGCTCAATGGATCATGTTCCATCGGTAAGCACACGCCATGCAGGACACTGATTTATTGCAACTAACCATGCCAATCCAGGCGACATGTATCACAAACGGTCCACCTGTGGCTCAACAAATTGAAAGACCTCCCGAGCTCTAAGAGGCTCAACATGATTTATTTGGCCAACGGTCAGTACTTCGACTGTGAAATTGTCTAGACCGATCGCTGAACCCCCTTCCAGAAGTTGTACAACAGTCCAAGGCTCGCCATAAGGAGGATTTTCTCAATGCGTTCTCCCCGTTCATTGCCGATGCCACCTCGGTCACTTACAAGGGAGCTCCAGTCGATGTCCAGGGAAAGTTGAGGAGAGTCATGGACGTATGGAGGGAGCGCAGTATTTTCGACAAGGAAGTCATGCAGGACCTGGAGCACAGATTAACGGGTGAGTACCCAACGTCGAGTCCTATTTTATGCTGCTCTCATTCTAACATGGTCCGACAGAGATCGATAAGGCACGCCCCGCGGCTAATGCCGGCGGTTTCGGAGGCAACGCGTTCAGCTCCTCTGGGCCTTCCATCCCTCCAGAGCTCATCCCACTAGTTGCGCCGCAGCAGGCTACCGCCAAAGCCGCCCAGCCTATGAAGAACTCGCTCAGCGCCGCCAATGCCGATTATGAAAAGCTGTCCGACGCGACGACCACCACCGCGGCCCTCCCAGTCCAAGCTGCACGGCTTAGTGGACTTCTCAAGACCCTCGCCAATGCCGAGGGAGCAGTCACCCAGTGTATTCGGGCGCGAAAGGACTTGATCAAGGAGCTAGAGGGGATTCTTGCGATCAACCGTGAAGCCCTGGATGCCGATGAAAAGCAGATGATGGAGCTGAGTGGCCGCCGGACCGAGGTTGAGCAGAAGAGACAGGCTGTGGAGATGGCGATTATTGGTAGCCTTTCAACTGGGGAGGAGCAATCGCCACAAGGCCACGGCTCGGCGAGCCCTGTCCCAGAACCCGACCGCCCACAGGTAGAGGCACTCACGCCCCCCCACGTGCAAGACCATCTCGATGACGTTTATGGGGCATCATCTACGGATCACGGGGCTCAAAACGGTCATCCGCAGCCTGTGCCTTTTCACGGCCCACCCGCCTCTGCCAACGCCCAACCTAGCTTCTCGAGTGCAGCTCCAGACCTCGAGATGCTCTCAAACCTGGCGTCTCAATACCAGGCTGTGCCGCTTGGCGGAAACAAGAAGCGGAAGATCGAAACCTCGGACGAATTCCCCGATCTAGGCGGTGATGATGGGATCGATGCGGACGTAAAGGAGATGCTGAGGAAGGATAGTCAGGGGTAGGACTTTGATTGAAGCCAGCATTGTTTCCTGCATCAGTCCGTTTCATCGGCGACATTCTGGAGTTTGGGTTGGGAAGCTGCTATTGTTGTTTGGCTTTGTGCCTTTTGTGTGCAATTCACATTTCTTTTTTCAGGTTGCGTGTTGGGTGGGCATTGTAATCGCAGTGTACAGATCTGTACATCCTACCTTGGCCTTGTTCAGGGGGTTCAAGGGAGAGGGGGGTGGAGGTTGTGAAGTTTATGTTACGAACGAGCTCTATTCAGCGCAACCTTTTGAGGACTATGCATTGCATTGTACTGTCCAGTTGAAGAACTGTTGATGTTCATACGTTGTTTGTTGGTGGCCTTCCATACTCGGAGTGCTGATATGCAGGGGTTGCGGCTCCCCTAGCCGCCAAGCCGGGGCCTTGATGCACGCTGTGGACACACGAAGAAAACCCGCTTCAGAAACCCGCACCCCAAGCCCCAAGCGGCTGAATCGGAGGGGTGGTGCTGGAGGCTCGGCGATTGCGCATGACGGAATCCCGATTCGCCTAGAAAAACGATGGACCAAGGGCTCCGCATTGGCCGAAGCTCCGGTCAACCTCCATGGATCGGCCCGGTGATTTTTCTCTCTTGCGCTTGTTTCGTTTCCTTCCTTTGCTTTTCCAGCGACGCACACAAACACTGCGTGGGAATGGGTCCCCGAACAACAGCCATTGACCTCCGCAAGCGCAACATGACAACCCTCCGACCATTCCGCATCCCGAAATAACACGCAAAAAATCATACGGGTTTGCGATAGCGCGACAAGAAGCGATTCAAACCGCCATGGCTTCGGGAGCGGCCACCACGGCGATGCGCCGCGCCGTGCTGCTCCCGCAACGCGCCATCGGCGTGGGTGCAACCTCCGGCTTCGGCCACGCGGCTGCGCCAGCGGCAGCAGCGATGGCTGTGTCTCCCCTCCCCTCGTCCCTCCCCTCGTCGGCCTTCTTCCCCGCCAGCCGACAGACCACCCGCCCTTTCTCTTCCGGCTTCGGGGGCCGGAAGACCCCTACGATACCCCGGACGTCCCCGTCCCCCGCCCCCACCCCCGCCCCCACCGCTGCCACACCCCGCCTCCCCCTCGGAGCCCGGCAGTGTCTGGGACAGCCCCGGTGGGCGTCCCCGATCAACGCACTCCGCCGCCTCTCGACGACGCGCCCCACCCTCCAGCAGAAGGGCGAGCCGAAGGAGGTGACCGTCGGCAATAAAGAGCCGGCCACGCTGGAGTCGAAGGAGGAGGATGTGGACGAGCATCTGGAGACCCACGGCTTCCAAAGGAGCGAGAAGGCGGCCAAGGCTGCCCAAATCAACATGAGCGCGCGTCTCTCTAAGGAAGGCGTCGGCGCGCGCGGCAAGCCCGGCGTGTCCGAAGTGTGGCGGCTTGTGAGGATCGCGCGGCCCGAGATCAAGTGGCTCAGTGCCGCCTTCTTCCTGCTGCTCATCTCTTCGGCCGTCACCATGTCGATCCCGTTCTCTGTCGGTCGGATCATGGACCTCTCCACCAAGGGCTCTATCGACGAGGCTCAGATCTTCGGCCTCACCCTGCGGCAGTTCTTCTACGGTCTCGCCGCGGTCCTGACCATCGGCGCGACGGCCAACTTTGGGCGCATCATCCTGCTGCGGATCGTGGGCGAGCGTGTGGTGGCGCGGCTGCGCACCCAGCTCTACCGCCGGACGTACGTGCAAGATGCCGAATTCTTCGACGCCAACAGGGTCGGTGACCTGATCTCGCGGCTGAGCTCCGACACGGTCGTTGTCGGCAAGAGCATCACGCAGAACATGTCGGACGGCCTGCGAGCCCTGGTCAGCGGTGCCGCTGGTTTCGTCATGATGGCCTGGATGAGTCCTAAGTTGACGTCGCTCATTTTCGTCATGGTCCCGCCGATGGCCATCGGTGCCGTTCTATATGGACGCAGCATCCGGCAGCTTAGCAGGCAGATCCAGAAGAACCTGGGTTCCATGTCCAAGATCGCCGAGGAGCGCCTGGGCAACGTCAAGACGAGCCAAGCTTTCGCTGGCGAGGTTCAGGAGATCCACCGGTACAACAAGCAAGTGAGAAAGGTCTTTGCGCTCGGCAAGAAGGAGTCATTCATCTCAGGAACGTTCTTCGCTACGACCAGCTGGGGCGGCAACATGACCATCCTAGCGATGCTTATCGTGGGAGGAAACCTCGTCCGCTCGGGAACGCTATCTCTCGGTGACCTCACCTCATTCATGATGTACACGGCATTTGCAGGGTCTAGTCTCTTCGGACTAAGTGGTTTCTACTCGGAGCTGATGAAGGGGGTGGGCGCCGCCAGCCGTCTGTTCGAGCTCCAGGACCGCAAACCAACGATCCACCAAACCGCGGGCACCAAAGTCACGTCGGCGCAGGGCCCCATCAAATTCTCCCAGGTCAGTTTTGCTTACCCCACTAGACCGGCCGTCAACATCTTCAACGGCCTCGACTTCGAGATCGCCTCCGGCGCCAACGTCTGCATCGTCGGCCCCTCGGGCGGCGGCAAGTCCACCGTGGCCTCCCTATTACTCCGCTTCTACAACCCGACCAGCGGATCCATCACCATCAACGGCGTGGACGTCGCCAAAATGAACGTCAAGTCCCTCCGGCGACGCATCGGCATGGTGGCGCAAGAGCCGGTCCTGTTCTCAGGCAGCATCGCGGAGAACATCTCCTACGGCAAGCCGAGCGCCACACGAGCGGAGATCATCGCGGCAGCGAAAAAGGCCAACTGCGGCTTCATCAGCGACTTCCCGGAGGGACTGGAAACCCAAGTCGGCGCGCGCGGGGCGCAGCTGTCGGGCGGGCAGAAGCAGCGGATCGCGATCGCGCGGGCGCTGCTCAAGGACCCGGACATCCTGCTGCTGGACGAGGCGACGTCGGCGCTCGACGCCGAGTCGGAGACGCTCGTCAACTCGGCCCTCGCCGCCCTGCTCCAGGGCCGCAGCACCACCATCTCCATCGCCCACCGCCTCTCCACCATCAAGCGCTCCGACCAGATCATCGTCCTCTCCAGCGAGGGCACCGTCGCCGAGGTCGGGAGTTACGCGACGTTGAGTGCTGACAAGAATAGCGCCTTCAGCAAGCTCATGGAGTGGCAGATGAGCGGCGGCGAGGTGCCCGCCGACCAGCGCCCGCCGAGTGCCGGGGGGGTGATTATGGAGGTGGAGGAGATTGAGGAGGGGTTGGAGCAGGATGGGGAGAACGAGGAGGATGACTACTTGGAGGAGGAAGAGGAAAAGAAGAAGGAGGAAGAGGATGAGAAGAAGCGCTAAACGGGACGCGCGGCCGCCTCCCGACTTGGGGGTTTCGGCAGCCGGGATGGATGGTGGGATGCCCGGCATTTTCCAACGGGTTACGTCGGGTTGCGTTTGGTGGGCTCCCTAATCGGTTAGACCTGCATCATGGGCGTCTGGCGGGAGGGGATTTGCTTTGCTTTGTTGGGTGTGCTGTAACTACCTATGCACATGCGTTCCATTTATTCGATGATTAGGAATCTCCACTCGGACAGGAAAGGAGAAGAGAGTTGGCAACCAAAGGGCTCTGGGTTGTATTTTTACAAGGCACATATGTCTTGCGGAGCGGCCGAGTTGCATACATAGCTTTCATACAATGGTATTTTGAAGTTCCCGCTCTGAGTCACTCTCGAGTCGAGAGTCGATATGTAAACGAAAGGTTGATCTCGTGGCCGTATTCGTGTTCGTTGCTGACCCCCCGGGTTAGGCAGATGACTCAAACCAAAGATCATCCGAAACCTTCACTGGATAACTAGATGGGACAGCAAAGCAAGGCTCTCGAAATCACTTGTGACGAGATTACCACCAAGGCAATGAGCTGCCTGACATGTTTGCCTCGAACCCATTGGTCCCAACTTCTGTACCCCCATCGAAGGCAACCCGCAAGGTTCCATGTGAAATTCTCGAACCCACGTCGAAGGTTACCTAATGGGCTAATGTCCGGGCCGGGCTGGGGTCGCGCGGGGGTCCGGCCACGAAGTCGGGAATGCTCACGCGACCTCGGTGTCTTGTTTGGAATAGCCGGGCCGGTCCCCCTCCACTCTCCGTGTGAGGACGGCCACCCAACCCACTCGGGCCGCGCTGGAACGGGTGGCTTGGCGGCTTGTCTCTCGCGCAGGACATGGGGCACGCGAGGTCATCCCGCATTCGTCTCTGAGGCGTGGGAGGGCTTCTGGGGTTCAGTCCCGGGGGGGTGAAAGAGGCGTTCGGTGAGCAGCACTGCTGGGCTGGGAATATGCTTGGCATCGTGGCAAATCAGACATTTCCATATTTCCGTCAATCTCCCATTTCGAGGTATTCGTAGAAAATCGAGGAAGCCCGATCTATCATGCCAGTGTGGTTTATACCCGATGACCAGATCCGAGCTAAGCGCGATTGAATCATGTAACGAGCTGACAGTGAGCGATAGTCTTCACACTTCCGGAAAAGCGATTGTCGGATGTGCGGGTTGATGCTACCCGACCCCCGCTGCCTGCGCCATCTGGATCAACTTTGAGATTTGCCGGGGTTGCACAGGCCAGGGTCGGGGATGGAAATGTCGACGTATTCTTACATGTACAGATTCCCGGTCGTTACCCGGCTGGAAGATGATTTGCGCCGCGGCCAAAGTTGAGAGAGAAAACTGTTCCGGGCGAGAGGAAAGAGGGAAGCACTTGCCTCCTATACAGGAAAAATTGGCACCTTCCTCTCAGAAGTCCACATGGAATTCCTCGAACTTTTCGGTTCCTACCAGAACACCATTCGCTCTTCCATATGGAAGTTACGAAGTACTGCGCCGAGCTTCGAGTTACCCGGTCCGCTGTCGCCATGTTTCAATGCAGCATCCATCTCACATGCACTCCACCGTGGCGTCCCCCAAGCTGCCGTCAAAGATGCATCAACCCCACCCGAGCCCACCTCGCCAGGGAAGACCCACCACTGTAACCCCAGCAGGGGGGCAGTCGATGAGCGAAGTCTTGAAAACCTTGCCGCCGAATTAGGCGTTTGGGCATTGGTGACTCGACACAAGCGGGCGAGTTCGGGTGGGTTATATTGGGGCCTTTGTGCCTTTCACGGCTCCAATGCAATACCATCCATTTTGTCATCGCATTCCGGTACCAACTCTGTACCTAACCTTTTCCTCCCCACGCAAAAAGACCCCCATCCTGGGACTCAAGTGGCTTGAGCCGCCGCCCGCTCTCTCTCTCTTGCGAAATTCACTCTTTTCCCAGCATATCCCGCAGGCACCACTTGGGCCTTTTCCTAAAAGGGTCTATTCCATCGTTCCAGACCGAGCCTTGTTTGAGTGATTTCCAGCTTTCCTGGGTCCGTGGCTTTTTGTCCACGTTTAATTCCCCAGATTTCGAGTTGCCGCAGTCTTTAAGAAGGTGCCCACCCCCCGCGACTCATCGTTCAACTCACCCACCCCTCTATCTTGACTTGTCACACAACAACTACAACCACAACTACAACGGCCGTCTCTACCGAGAGCCAAACCATTGGAATCTCTACCCTCTCTGCCCTACCTCTTCCTTAACGGTACCTTCACTTGCTGCTCCAACCGTGGCAGTTCAGAACCCCGTCCCACACGCTCTTCACTCTGAGTCAATGAGCCCCCCGTTGTCGGTGAACAACCCGGAGATGGCCCGGGCCTTGTTGAAGAACCACGGTGACCGCGGTTGGGTTGTGCAAAAGTTTGGAGGCACAAGCGTTGGCAAGTTCCCAGACAAGATCGCAGACGACATTGTCAAGTATGACTCCTGTTCCATTGGTCCAAAAAGGACGAAGCCAGACTGACTCGGCGGCGCAGGAGATATGTCGAAAACAACAGGGTGGTAGTTGTGTGCTCGGCGCGGAGTACTGGCAAGAAGGTGACAGGTACCACGAGCCGGTGCGTCCTCTTGTCTTACTTACCCCTCGTTTACTTTCCCCCACGCACCCGGAGGCCGAGCCATGGCATGGCGCTCCTAATTAGTCAACCACTGCGGGATGACTGACAACGTGCGCTCTCATGCAGGTTATTGGAGGTGTACAAGAAGCTGCGAGCCATTGGCGCCGCCACGAGTGATCACGAGGCCCAGGAAGAATTGCTGGGAGAGGCTAGGCACGTCGTGCAGGAGATCTGCATCGACCATGTCGCCGCCGCCGACAACTTTATTCGGGACCCCGAACTCAGCTCCTTCCTCAAGGCCGGCATCGAGGTGGAGTGCCAGCTTCTCGTCGATTACCTAGAAGCGGCGAGACGTTTCAATCTTGAGATCAACGCCCGGGCTAAGGATCGGGTCGTTAGCTTTGGCGAGAAACTATGCTGCCGGTTCATGACATGTCTCCTTAAGGACAGGGTGAGGTCCCCCTAGCCGGTTCTTGCTTCTCCATACTGACGCGCGAGTAAAAAGGGGGTGGACGCCCAGTACATCGACTTGGCTGATATCATGCACAACGAGAGCCCGGGCCGGCTCGATTCTACCTTCTACAAGAATGCGTCGGACGCTATCTGCAAGAAGATTGTGGCTTGCGAGGACAGGGTGCCCGTAGTGACCGGTTTCTTTGGCAACGTCCCCGGTAGCCTTATCGATGGCGACATTGGCCGTGGGTACACGGACTTGTGCGCATCTCTGGTGGCGGTAGGCCTGAAGGCCAAGGAGCTCCAAATCTGGAAGGAGGTGGACGGCATCTTCACCGCCGACCCGTCAAAGGTCCCAACTGCGAGACTCATCCCGTTCATCACACCTTCGGAAGCGTCAGAATTGACATTCTACGGCTCCGAAGTCATTCACCACTTGACCATGGACCAGGTCATCAAGGCGGTACCCCCTATCCCCATCCGCATCAAGAACGTCAAGAACCCCCATGGAGAAGGCACCATCGTGAGGCCGGATCCCCTTCTAGCCTCTGACCAACGCATCCAAAGAACGCGGCAACTTTCCGATCCAGCACTTCGGAAGAAGCCAAAGAGGCCGACGGCCGTCACCGTCAAGGACAAGATCTCCATCATCAACATCCACTCCAACAAGCGGTCGATAGCGCACATGTTCCTGGCCCGCGTCTTCTCCATCCTCAACCAGCAGCAAATCTCAGTCGATCTCATCTCCACTAGCGAGGTCCACGTCTCGATCGCGGTCCACACGGCGACCTCCGAGTTCGGCAACTTCGACCAGGCCGTGGCACAACTCCGGGCCGAGTGCGGCGAGGTCAGCGTGTTGCACGACATGACCATCCTCAGTCTCGTGGGCGCTGAGATGAAGAACATGGTCGGTATCGCTGGCCGCATGTTCTCCACCCTCGGAGAACACCAGGTCAATTTGGAGATGATTTCTCAAGGTAAGATGAACCTGTGGTGTACGGGAGGCTGCTCGGTTGCAAAAGGCTAACCTGCCGTTTTAGGTGCGAGTGAGATCAACATATCGTGTGTCATTGACGCTCGTGATGCGGAGAGGGCTATGAACATCCTGCATACGAGCCTCTTTACCTTCCTTGATTAGGGGCGGTCTTTATTTTTGTGCTAAACAAGCACGGCATCATGATGAGACAGACTGTATTTTTGTTCCCGGGAGGGGATTGCCAATTTTCGCAAAAGATCGCCAGCGAAGTGTAGTTATGGGTTTCAATTACAGGTATACTTTCTTTTCTGTTTGGGGGATAACGACGGATGAGAGGATTGTAGGAGAGCTGGGTACACACCACGGGGCATGCTATATATATACTTCGCACTGTAGATAGTTAGATTCCCTCATTTTGCCAGGTACCTAGGTACTTATGAATAGACCGGCGCATTACTTGAGTCATATAAGAGTGGAGATATCTGAGTTGAATCTGACCCTAACCCTAGATATCAAACTTGTCGCCGTTTGCTTATCCCGCGTGGCGATTGAAGATAACGACGCAGATGTTAACCTCGACACCGCATGATTGTTTGATAGGTACCTGAACCTTCCACTCGCAACATTCCTACTCGCCGCTTCCACCAACTTTCACACCTCCACCCTCACTACCGCCGCCCGAACGCCGCTCTCACAACCGAAAATAAACCCAATCCAAACACCCGCCCGACTCCGCGCAGCGAGTCCAAACCTCATCCATCATGGGCAAAGCCGAGCCGGGATCGACCAAATACCTGGCCAACAAGATGAAGCAAAAGGGCCTGACGCGGCTGCGGTGGTACTGCCAGATCTGCGAGAAGCCGTGCCGGGACGAGAACGCGTTCAAGATGCACTGCCAGTCGGAGAGCCACATGCGGCGGGCGCTGGAGGCGGGGCAGAACTTCAAGAGCGTGCAGGAGGACTACAGCAAGCAGTTCCTGACCGAGTTCGTCTCGCTGCTCAAGACGGCCCACGGCGAGAAGAGCGTGCACGCCAACAAGTTCTACCAGGAGGTCATCGCCCGCCGCGACCACGTCCATCTCAACGCCACCCGCTGGCATTCGTTGACGGATTTTGTCAAGCACATCTCGCGCGAGGGCATCGTGCGCGCCGAGGAGAAGGAGGATGGCATTTTTATCGCCTGGGTCGATGACTCGCCCGACGCGATGAAGCGACGTGAGGCTGTCCGGCGGAAAGAGATGCAAGATAAGGGGGATGAGGAGCGGGAGCAGATGTTGCTGCGGGAGCAGATTAGGCGCGCGCAGAGGGATGCTGAGGCTAGGGGGGTGGCTGGGGTGGACGGGGAAGAGGAGGAGGAGGGGAGGGAATTGAAGCGGGAGGAGGGAGAGAAGATCAAATTGAGTTTTGGGGCGAAGCCGACGAAGAGTACCACCCCCGAGGACACGGCCTCCGCGCTGGATACGAAGAAGGAGGGTGGTGAGGCGGAAACCACGGACGGGACAGGCAATGGGGAGGTGAAGAAGGAGGATGATACCAAGCCGGCTGAGACGAAAACAGCAGCGAAGCCCATCTCGCTCAAGTTTGGCGCCAAACCACAACCGAAAAATGTCTTCAAGAACGCTTTTGCTGGGGCCCCGAAAAAGGTCATGGCTGCTCAGCCCAAGAAGATGAGCGAGGCCGAGAGGATCATGAAGGAGGAATTGGAACGCAAGAGGACACGGGAGGCAGGCGGTGGGCCTCCCAACAAAAGGCCGCGGTTTTAGGGATTCAATCGAGGATAATTCGACTCGGAAGGTTGTACAGCATATTTTGGCGTTTAGGGAAAGATTCATTTGGGAAGGACATGATACCAGGAATTCAATAGCACCTTGCAATTTTACCATAGATCTAGACCGTGTCAACCGGTAAACACCGAAAATCAGCCTTTGTTAACCAACTCCCCAACTCCGTCGCCCGATGCTGCCCCTTCCCCCAAGACGACCAACGAACCACTAATCCGCCTCCGAAGCGCTGCCGTCACGTCTACGAAGATATCAGTCAGCCAGCCCACACCAACACTCCCCCAACAAGGGAACTCCTCCTAGACACACTGGGAAAAAAACCTACGGGATATACGTGATCCGGTACTCCTCCTCGATGGTGGTGCGCACGTCGTCGGGCAGCTGGCCCGACACCTTGGTCGCGTACACGCCGCGCACGTACTTGTCCAGCCGCTGCCACTTGGCCACCCACGACTTGGTCGGGTCGGCCAGCGTGATGAGCCCCTCGAACACCTGCGACGTGCAGCTGTCGATCTGGTCCGGCGAGCCCTGCAGGTGCAGGAACTCCTCGCAGTTGGGGCAGCCCTCGTCGCGGAAGCGCTGTTTTGGGTTGGTTTGGGTGTGAGTTTGAGTGTGATGCGGTGTGGGTATGGTATGGTGTGGTGTGGTGTGGTAGGTGTGTGGTGAGTTGAAGGGGGGAGGGGGTTCGGGGTGAAGGAGTGGTGGGATGAGAATGGGATCGGACAGAGAGACTTACAGCGTAGGTCATGACTATAGAGCAGACCATGCAGGCGCGCAGGTAGCGGTGTTGGCCCGGAGCAACGAAGTTTTCTGACATTTCGAGACGGTTCCGTGTTTTGTTGACTGAAAGAGAGTCTGGGGTGAGTGTTGCTAAGCGGATAGAGATGTATCACGGCTCTGGATGTTGAGTTTGGGTTGGTTGTTCGTTGAAAGATTCGGCTTTCACTGAGACGAAGACCGGCTTTATTTATGTATGTAAGGGTATGAGGCTGCTGGAGAGCCTGGGCCGGATGAGAGCCAAGCAGAACCCGGAAGCGTTGCCGTTTTCCGCAAGGGTGGCACGGTGCACAAGCTGAAGTGGGGCAGGCGGGCACTTGGCAGATAACGTTCCAGGTTGAATTGACCCCAGTGTGCCGAGCAACGTGAACTGCATGTTCTCTTGATTTCATTGAAACTTCCCTGGATTCCTCGTGCATCCCTCCGTTCCATTCTCCTTCCACAAACCGTCCCGGATCGAAGACGGGCTCTTTACAAATGCGCCCGGCCATCCTTCCGGCCGACCGTTCAATTTTCCATCCATCACCATCCGAGCCCCCCGAAAAATGAACTGAGTAGAGCGCAACGGCCTCACTATCAGCACTTGTTCCTTATCCTGTCTTGCTTCGTGTGTGAGATCCCAGCAGCCGAACACCGAGTGAATGAAAAATGGGCAACAGCCCCTCCACGCACAAATCCGCGAGCCAGTCGTCATCGTCACAAACAAGCTCGCAGCATGATCGACCGGTGAGGCGGGAAGCCCGAAACCCCATCCCAGTGCAGGGCCTACGGGCTGCTGCCCCGCCAGAACCCTCGCTCACTCAGGCCCAGGGCGCCTCTGTCCAACCGCCGTCGAGTAGCAACAGCAGCGTCGCCAGCCGGCCAAAGCCGCTGCAGCCCCGACCCCTCGGCTCCGGAATTGCTGCATCAGCCTGCTCGACCGCTTCCTCGCCTGCTACCGCCGCCAGCTCCACGAGCTCCGCGAAACCCGTCGAGGTCAAACAGGGCAAACCCAGCCCCAGCCATGCGCCTGCCAAGCCCGTAGCTGTGCCCAACTCGCACAATTCCCCTTCGTCCCCGCGATCGCCTCGCTCGCCGCGCTCCGAAGATAGTTACGAAGTCGCAGCGATGCCCGTCAGCAGTGTGCAGGAGGTGTCGTACCTGACGCGCCCGCCGCGCCTGCCGCTTCCGATCGAGGAGGAGGTCCACACCCCGGGATCGCCCATTATCGCACCGACCGATGTCGGCGAGCCGGTCGAGGACGTCGAGGGCCTCGACAATGCAGGATTGGCCCATCCGACCTCAAACCTAAGCGACACGGTGGTGGAGGAAGATGACGCTGAGGAGCTGTTGGTCGACAAGACCAGGCCTACGGTGCCGACAAGGCTCGAATGGCGCCGTGGCGGTGACAAGGTCTATGTCACGGGTACTATCTTTCAGTGGAATCGCAAAACCCGGCTGCACCCAGTGTGAGTATTGAAATTGGCGAGTAAGTGACCTGGCGGTTTCGGATTAGCTGACGTGAAGTGCCGATTACAGTGAGGGGGAACCAGGCGTCTTTGCGACGACGATTGACATCCTCCCGGGGACACACCATATCCGTTTCCTCGTTGATGGGCAAATGCAGACAACTCCGGACTACCCGACGACGGTCGATTTCGGTAACAACTTGGTCAACTACATCGAAGTCAGTCCCGATGATCTACAACCTACACCAACCGACGGGGAGGGGGTGTCGGAGGGTAAGACTTCGCAGCAGCAGACAGAGGCCGAAGCAACCCCGACCGAGGAAGACGGCGAGGTTCCCTTACCCCGGGATAGAGATATTCCTCCAGCCAGCCAGTTCGAGCAGAAGATCCCGAAGTACCTCATTGATCAAGATCAGCCTGAGGATTCCCCTCAGTATCACCATGCCGTCCGGGCCACCGAGAAGCTGCCGAACCCGCCTGGGCTTCCCGGGTTCCTGAGCAAGCCTATCTTAAATGCGGCCACGCCGAGGAAGGATGACAACAGCGTCTTGACCCAGCCGAACCACACTGTCCTCAACCATCTTGCCACTAGCAGCATCAAGAACAATGTACTGGCGGTTTCGGCAACAACGAGATACAAGAGCAAGGTTAGTCGACGTTGGTTATCCCGGTCTCGCTCTGACGCTAACACTTTCCATAGTACGTGACGACTATCATGTATAAGCCCACAGCAACAGACTGAATATGAGAGCTCCGGCCCGGCCAGAATCCCATCGCGGCAAATAACAGCGTAGGAGCATCGGCAATGTCTGTCCCAGTTAGCGGCTATTTTTTGACGAGTGCATGATCTTCGGGTTTACTACGGCGGTGATGGAGCCATACGATACTTTATTTTGGGAGGTGAGATGGGGTATTTGCTGCCGGCGACTTGAGTCCGCCGCGCATGTCACGGAGAGGTTCATATGCAGTGAAAAAGCACGCTACTTCCTCCATTTGACGAGCACCTCGTCTGTTCTGAATCGCTGTGTACATGTGCTATCCTCGATCGGGGTCCTGAACCCCGTTTCATATGCCAAGAGTCCTGCATGCGCAATCATAATGCCATTGTCTATGCAGAAGCGTTCATCCGTCGCAAAAACGCTCCCGCCGCGGTCTGCCGCCATGAGCGCCATCATCTCCTGGAGTCGCTCGTTGCACCCGACGCCACCCACGATTAGCACCTGGTTGCTCCCAACATGCGCCATGGCCCGCTCCGTGATCTCCACCAGCATCGCGTACACTGTCTCCTGCAGGCTGAAGCACAGATCCGCCCCCGTGAACGGCTCCCCATCGGGCCCCTTCCCACCATTGGCCTTCATCTGCGCCGCCAGCTCCTCCACCCTCGTCAAGATGCCGCTAAACGAGCAATCCATCCCCTTCACCGCATACGGCAGGTCCAGCAACACCCGCCCGCCCTTCTTGGCCAGCTGCTCGATATTATACCCGGGCGCGGGATCGTTACTGATCGCGAGCGCGCGCGCGAAGCGGTCGAGGCAGTTGCCCACGGCGATGTCGAGCGTCTCGCCAAAGATGCGGTAGCGCTGCTCCGCGTAGGCGATCACCTGGGTGTTGCCGCCGGACACGTACAGCACCACCGGGTGGTCGGCCCCCGTGATGGCCCGCCCCATCTCGATGTGGCCCACGCAGTGGTTGACCCCGACCAGCTCCTTGCCCCACAGCAGCGCCAGCGTGCGCGCCGCGACCGCGACCGACGCCAGCGGCGCCCCCATCCCCGGCCCCCGCGTGTAGCAGATGCAGTCGATGTCGGCGATGCGGATGCCGGCGTCGGCCAGGGCCTGCTTCGCGACCCGCACGAAGAAGGCCCGGTGGTGGTGGGCCGTGTCTTTGGGCAGGAACCCGGTGCCCGGCGGCGAGACGAAGGTGTGGCGGACGTTGGAGAGCACGGTGGATGTGGGCGCGGCAGCGTCGCCTTCGTGTAGGATTACGCCGATTCCGAGCTTGTTGGCGGACCCTTCGCAGCCGAGGGCGATGCGCCGCTTCTTTTTGGTAATGTCGAGGCCCATGGTGGGCGGGTGGGTTCGCGCAAGGTAGGACGGGGAGAAGGGTGTCGGTTTGCCGGCCGTTCGTTGGGTGTGCGTCTAATTTGTCGGGGATTGCGATCGCCTCACGTTTTCTGCTCCGACAATTCGAGATACGATATCACCATGGGGCGTGGTGTCGCGAAAACGGGGGGTGTGGTCTTGTTGATTGATTTCGTCATTTCCTCCGCGGGGCAGTGATGAGGGGTCATTTTTGCTGATCTGAATTGGAGGTACCAATGTACCTGCGGAATGGCACGTGCGCAGGTCAGCAGTGATTGGTGCTCCGACCCACACCCATACAGCCGCCGCATCGTGGAGCCGGTCGTCTTTTGGGGTTTCTTCCGTCAGACCCCCCCACTGCAGCGAGAATACTGTACACAATTCCCAACCTACATCTCGACGTCAAACTCTTCCACTGCCGGAAGACACAATGCCGCCAAGCCCTTACCCTCTCTCTTGTTGCAATTTTGCTGTTGCTTTTGCATTCTAGTACCCAGACTCCTGAAACTAGTCCCGGGCAAGCAACACATATCTAATCATGCAGCTGACCACCGAATTGGCTGCCAACAGCCAGTCCTGATTCCGACCCACGGGTTTCGGGGGCGAGCAGCGGAGAAACACATTCGGTCGACTCCTGTCCCCTAAGCTTCAAGGTATGTTCCTATTTCCTTGCTCTCAAGCATTGAGATGCCACCAAACACGAAGTCGTGTGAGGGCGGAGGGCTACCTTCCGGTGCTTGCAATCCAGAGACTGACCCGTTGTTATTTATCAGGGATGCAAACCTCTCTCCCCAATGCAACAATTGCCCCCCCGAGCTACCTCCTGTGAATGCGGGTTTTTTCTCTGCAAGAAAACTAGAGTTCGGCGAGCGTGGCTGCCTCCGTCTGCCTTCCCATCAGCCCGGGCACCTCCTCCGCACGACGTAAGCTCGGAGCGAGCAGAGGCGGCAAGGCCGGTCAGGGCACACGACCGCAGCACCTTTTCCACTCTTGAGCTCGCGGCGACCTGAGGAACCCTCCTCCGCGGATACTTCAATATATTTACTGGTTACACCGTCCTGCCGCGCAGCAATCCCAAGTCGGGGAAATTCGGCAACGACGGCTGGTATCCTTAGGCCACGTGCTGTTTTGGAAGTCAATCCATGTTTCCATGTTGACTTGGGGCCTCCCCCTTTCCCCCTCCAACGACAGGAGCAACACCGACCCAGCCGACTCCGGTATCTGTCCTACATTTCGTCGCAGCGCAAAGCTAGGCCCGCCAAGACTCACTCTATCTTGCGCCTCACTTTTCTTACCTTCCCAACAGCCTTCCTTGTGGGGCAGAAAGCACATGCAACTCGACACCTAGATCACCTGTGGAATTGCGGAGATTGTATCCCGCGTTTGTCTGGCAGCTGGGAATTATGCCGTCTGCGCCGGAGTCATTTATGCTCTGCTGGGTGTGTGCCGAGGTATGTACCCACTTCTTTCATCATATACTTTTCGCACAGCTCTCTGGCCACGACCACGACGTCTTCAAATTCATTAACACGACGAAGTTTTACAGCCCGCGGCCGGACAATCCATAAGCAATTCATCCCAATCAGCACGTACGACACAAGAGGAAAGCGAAAAATGCCGCAAAACACGGTTTTGATTGCGTCAAAGGCTCTTGCCACACCGCCGCCGGCAATTCATATATACATGGCTTCTCTGCCTGACATTATCATCGATACGAACACACAACGCCAAACACCGCGCCGGGCCAATCCTTCTTTCTACCAAGGCCATCGCTAAAACGCAATCATCGGAGAGTTAAGTGCAGGGTGTGTATACAAGGCAAGAACCATGTCGTTCTTGTCGACGCCCGACCGCACATGGGCGGTGGTAGCGGTACTGGTGTGGGCTGTGGTGGCTGTTGAGGTGCCTTCGCGGAGAGCCCAGGTTCCTGAGTCGGCGGCCGCACTCATTGCAGTCAGGGGGTTTAGGAGGTGGGTATGCGCAAAACGCCCAACCACACATGGGCGGTGGGCGAGCACAACCCTTTCCACAACTAAGTCGTCTGTAAAGGATTCAGTTCGGCGCGTGCCGGGATTACAATACGCGCCGAAAACCACAACAGCTCAGGGTTCGAGCCACAGCAACTCAGCGTCCAGCCTCAGAAATCCAGCGTCCAGCCTCAGGGGCTTCATGTGCCCGCCTGGGGCTGAGGTGGTACCTGTGGTTGTGGCTGTATTCCTAGTTGTGGTGGCTGTTGTGGTTGTGGTTGCTGGGCTGGAGGTGGTGCTGGAGGAAGTGGTACCCGGCTGCTCGAGACCGATGTCCGATTCGTCATCCACAAGGGGAGCGGTATCGAAGCCCGGAATCTCAAGGCGTTGGTGTCGAAGGGATCCGCCTCGTACGTGGGCGGATCCTCCTCGTCATCCGACGATTGGTCATACTTCCACCGATCCACCACCTCAGCCCTAGCCTCGCTCGGAGGAGTCGCCATCCCACGGCGGTCGATCCACAACCGCTGAAGGCGCCCGATCCGGCGCCGGTACGCCGGTGGGGCTTTTCTCGACTCCTCGTCGCAAGCCACGCCTCGGAACTTGAAGAAAGCTTGTGGGTTTTGTGGCACCAGCTCCCTTTGTGGACGCTCCGGCTTGTCAAGGTCCATGGGAGTGGGCTCCTCCAAGGACTCTGACGACGCAGACGCTGGTGGCGTCATCAAATACTGCGTCTTAGCCGGCCTAAAGCTAGGGTCCTGTCTGGGCCCGTGTACCGGTGACAGTGGACCTCGTGTCAGGTCAAGATGGTTGCGGTTCCATTCATTGTGGCTCTGCACCTTCTTCTCTATGTCAGCGCGGAGCTCGTTCTCCTTCTCGGCCAAACGGTCGGCAAGGACTGAAAGATCTGCCTCAGCAGCGGACGGGCGGACAGCGATGCGAAGTTGTGTTGGTGGCGGTGGCCGTTGCATGGTCGGGACATCTGGTGCCTTCCTCTTTTGCGGCTGCGGGTCATCAGTATCATACCGGGCATGGAAGCACGCGGAGGGCGTGGAACTTACCTTCTGGTTGATGAGATCTTCGTCATCGGTTTTGATGCCCAACCGGATCTTGTGCTCCTTGAGCTGGGCCCGCACTTCGAAGATCGCACGATCCGTTTTCAGCATATCCGCCTTCAGAAGCTCGCGGTTATGCGCGGCCAAGACCAGCTGCCGGCCATCCTCAAGCTCTTTTCGCAAGCGCTTGAGTTTATCCGCACTCTGAACATCCCTCGCTCGTGTTTTCCGCGTCTGGCGGACCTCACGGCGTCGAAAGCAGACGTACGGATCGGCCTCGTCACTCTCTTGATGCTTCTCGAACTTCAGCGTCGGATGGAGCGGCTGATTGTTCAGCGCCTGCCGCCGGGATTTCCAGTACGCATAGATTTCCTTGGCGTGTGACATGATCTTGGCCCTGTCGAGGTCCTGCAGGGCCTGAAGCATGTCATCGTACGGAACTATGGTCTGGTCTATCGAGGCGAACGGGGCTTTGATGTACGAGGTGTCCTCGTATACATCCATGAGCCGCTCAAAGTCATCTTCAGAGAGTTGGGACGAGGCGGGCCGCTTCTGGTTGTAAGACTTGAGAAAGACGTCGTCCTCCTCAGTCATATCATACATACATCCTATGGATTCTTCCACTGTCTGGGAGAACCGAATGTATGTGGCCGTCTTGGAGAACGGACGGGTGTAGAGCTCGTCATAATTGAGCGTGCTCTCCTGTGGAGGTGGCACGGGGATCTCCTTGTCAGCGGCGACCCCCGCGTTCTGCAGGACAGCTTGGAGATGGTATTCCTGGAGCCATCAAGGTCAGTATCAGCCCCCTCCAAAACCTCGCGTGAATATGTGGCACGTGCACCGACACGTGACCCATACGTGATGATGACAGGTTTCGACTCACATTTTCCTCGGCCTGCTCGACGCCAGTCGCGATTTGAGCTTCATTTGTGAGTGATTCGTACTCAGCCGGGTCTATCTGTTCCTCTCTTAATACACCCAAGAGTGTTTTCACACTCAGTTTCTTGTATCGGACTTTGCGGGTCGCCATGGCTGCGAGGAAGCGAAAGTCCGGGGTAAAACCTCGGGAAACCCCGAAGAAAAAATTCTATGACATGTAGTATGTGGTGTGAAACCCGTCTGGCGAGTTTTCTGATGTAAAGTTCGCGTCGTTGTCGATATTTTGATGGCCAAAGTTGAGCCACTTGATGAACTGACGTTGCGATGGTGCCTCTGCAAAGTTTGCGTTCCTCGGCAGGTTCCAGGTCCCTGTTTGGGCGATTGGCTCCCCTGAAAGGCGCGACCCACAGGGGGAGCTTGCCCGATCCATGAATGATGCCAAGAAACAAGATTTCCTGGGGGCGCAGCAACAACCTCCAAGCTCCTTCCTTCCTTCTGGCAACCAGTGGCAACAGCAACAAAGGACGGGTTTGTTCGAGTTTATAGAAATGTTTTTGTGGTGAGTTAACACAGTAAAGCAGGAAAGATGCTTCGCATAGGTACACCGTGCACTCCAAAGAGCGGGCCACTGTGTGGTCTCCACCTTGCACAAAATCCAATGTCCTGTCTCCCAGGGCACGTGCTCCCTTCATCCTCCGGGGCCACATTTTAGCATTGCGAGGTGTGGCTAAATGGAACTTTGCGCCACAGTTCTGGGCCGCACCCCTCACCCCGCCGCCGTTGGTTTGGTCGGAAATCGCAAGACCGAAACCATCAATCAGCCTTGCCCGACAGTCACCTCGCCGTTTCCCTCTTGCGACCCTTTAACCGCAGAATACCCTCCCCACTTAGCGAGCGTAATCCGTCATCGAAAGACCAAGTGGAGCCACTGTCAATTTTGACATCCGATACCTCAGCACCGCGTTTTCGAGTCGCCCGACACCACTGTCGCTCGTGAACTCTCGAGTTCTGATTCGCCGCCAGTCCAAGGGCCGGCCGAGAAACAAACACCAAAGCGATCGATACAGGATAGCGGCAAGATGGGCAATACCACCAGCGCGGTGCTGGACAATATCGTCCAGGGGTCGAACTGTACGATGCCCTTCGTTCTAACCTCGGCCACGACAGCGCGAGGTAGCTGACCGGTGTCTTTCCGCAAGGGTAGTCGACAGGGATGAAGTCGATAGACTACGAAAGCGTTTTATGAAGCTGGATAAGGTGTGCTACGCCTGGGACGAGGCTGAAAATGTCGGGCGGGGGCTAACACGGTGACGTAGGACAACTCCGGTACCATCGAGCGCGAAGAGTTCTTGAGCCTCCCTCAAATATCGTCGAACCCACTGGCTACGAGGTCCGTATCTCCGCCGGTCTACTTCCCTCGAATGCGAGGCTGACAGCTCGCTCCTAGAATGATTGCGATTTTTGACGAGGACGGCGGTGGGGACGTCGACTTCCAAGAGTTCGTGTCCGGACTGAGCGCCTTCAGCAGCAAGGGCAACAAGGAGCAGAAGCTCCGGTTCGCCTTCAAGGTGTACGACATCGACCGGGACGGCTACATCAGCAACGGCGAGCTGTTCATTGTTCTCAAGATGATGGTGGGCAACAACCTTAAGGACCAGCAGTTGCAACAAATCGTCGACAAGACCATCATGGAAGCGGACCTGGACGGTGATGGGAAGATCAGCTTCGAAGAGTTTGCATCCATTGTTGCTAACACCGACGGTTCGTTTCCTCCCATTTTTGTCGTGCCTTTTGCGGCCATCAGCAGCTTTCGAGCCCCCGATGTTCCGATTTAAATAAGATGGCTAACATTCTGTTTACGTAGTGAGCATGAGCATGACACTGGGTGAGTATCCTCGATCTTTCTTCTGCGTGTGATAGTCGCTAACATGGAGACAGACCAATTCTGAGCGATGCGAGTTTCAAGGAACTGTCACGACGTGATGAAGATACAAATGACCTAGCCAGCACGTTAATCAAAGCGCGTTATATAGCGGCATCCTAATGAGACATGTGCCGGTGACCTGTTGCCCAGCGAGTTGTGCTTTGGAGCCGATCCAAGATGAACAACCAGACTGCTGTTCCGTTATGGCTGCTTTTTCCATCATTCGTTGCGCATTTGTAAGGCCGGTCGATGAGGATATTCCGGTTTCTCCTCTCGTCTTCTTGTCTGCTTTCCTTCCCCTCCTTATGATCTCAACTCAGTTTGCTTCAGGGCTGTGAGCGCTGGGGGTGTGGGCAAGAGAAATTGTAGAGATATAAGTGGGCTTGAAAATTGGCGTAGCTCCCCTTCATGCATCATAGGCTGCAACAATAACACCTCCATATCCTCTCTCTCCTTCAAAGCTCACCACGAGGACGACAACGGCGACCAGCAAACAACCCCCGTGCCAATAGTTTTCTTTTTATTAACCAGGAATTTTACCCAACCAGAGGAGACGGGCAACCATCTACATGCACATCTACCCACCACACCAGCTCCCTATAATACAAAATTTACAAGCTTGCCATCCTTAATGACAATCACCTTCTTCGCCTGCGCAACATCCAGCGCTCCGCTAGCCAGCTTCGCCTTCCCCTCCTCCGTCTTCAAAATCTCCTGCACAATCCACTCCCTCAACTCATCCCCCGCCATCTCACCACCCGGCTTCGGGATCTCCACAACAACCCTCAACTTGCCATTAACCTGCACCGCACACGTCTGCCTCCGCGGCTGCAGCGCAGCCAGCTCCAAAGACCCGTCAACAACGGGGAACGCAGCCTTGCCCTCACCACCAAACATCGACCCCCCCTCACCACCACCACCGCCCTGCCCACGCATCAACATAGCCCAACACTCCTCCGCAAAAGCGGGGGTAATCGGCGCCATCATGCGCAGCAGCGCCGACACGGCCGGGCGGCGGACGGCGTCGCTCAGCATGTCGGCGCGGTCCTGGATGGCGTTGGTCAGGGTCATGAGGTCGGACACGACCGTGTTGAGCGCGTAGACGCGCTCGTACGACGCCGTGACCGACGCGATGGTCCGCTGCACGTCGCGCCACACGGCCACGTCGGCGTCCCGCTGCGCGAGCTGCGAAGGGGTCATGGTTTCGGTGGTTTCAGTGGGGGTGGTGGTGGTGGTGGATTCGAAGTAGGCTCTGGGCGAGGGGGGGGCGGCGTCGTCTGGTGTGGTGGTCGTTGTCGTGGCGCTGACGCGGGCGACGAGGTCGTGCACGCGGCCGAGCCAGCGCGTCACGCCGACGATCTTGTCGCCGTCCCAGTCGAGGACCTCGCTGACGGGAGCTTGGAACAGCATGTGGGCGCGGGTGGCGTCGGCGCCGTGCTGGGCGATGACGTCGGTCGGGTCGACGCCGTTGTGCTTGGACTTGGACATCTTCTCGTAGCTGACGGTGGCGGCCTCGCCCGTGGCGGCGACCTTGGGTGCGAGCGGGTTGCTGAGGTCGACCTCGTCGGGCTTGAGGAACTTGCCGGTCGAGGGGTCGGCGTATGTCCGGCCGTGCACCATGCCCTGGGTGATTAGCCGCTTGAAGGGCTCGTGTGTCTCGTCTGCGGCCTCTGCTTCTCCAGGGGCGAGGGAAGGCGTCATGAGGGATTTGTAGATGAAGCGGGCGTAGAGCAGGTGTAGAATCGCGTGCTCGATGCCACCAATGTACAGATCGACCGGCAGCATGGACTGTGCCTTCTCGGGGGAGAACGGCTCATGCTTGTTATGTGCGTCAATGAAACGCATGTAGTACCAGCTAGAGTCCACAAATGTGTCCATAGTATCCGTGTCCCGCTTGGCCGGGCCGCTGCATTTCGGGCAGGACGTGTTCACCCAGTCCTCAAGTGTCTCGAGCGGGTTGCCCGTCTTCTTGCCGGCCCAGTGGTCGTCGACCTCAGGCAGCACAACCGGGAGCTTCTCGTCAGGCACCGGCACCGCCCCGCATGAGTCGCAGTGCACGATGGGGATGGGCGTACCCCAATACCGCTGGCGGCTAATCAGCCAGTCTCTGAGACGCCATTTCTCGACCGGCTCGGCCAAGCCGGCCTGCTCGAGCATGGAAACAAGCATTTTCCCGGCTTCCTTGGACGACCTGCCCTTGTACAGGCCGCTGTGCTCCGTCATAATGCCGTGGTCGATGAAGGGTTCGTTCTGCATGGCCGTCGTCGACTCATCCTCGGAAGCGGCGAGCACGAACCTGACGGATTCGTTGGAGTGATGCGTCTTCCAAAAGGCGTGGTCGCGAACATCATGGCCCGGAACGCCCATTACGGCCCCTTCGCCATAGTCACCAATGACGTACGGCGCCACATACACCGGGATAGACCCCTTAGTCGCGTCGGGAGTCTCTTCGTGGTATGCCAAGGGGTTGACGGCCCGGATGTGAGGCAGCATGTAGCCGACCTTAGAATCGGGGGGCAGGCCCGGGAGTGTATCCAGGAAAGCCTGAAGTTCGGGGTCTCCCTCTGCTAGTTTGGCGACAACCGGATGCGTTGAGGCAAGTGCCAGATACTGAACGCCAAACAAGGTATCCGGGCGGCTAGTGAAGACCTCGATGGAGGCATGCAGGCCGTGGTCAAATGCCATGATCGGGAACTTGACGATGGCGCCAGTAGACTTTCCCAGCCAGTTCTTCTGCATGGCCAACACCCTCTCAGGCCAAGCGCCGTTCTTTGCCAGCACGTCCAGGTCTTGGAGTAGGGATTCCCGGAACTCGGAGATGCGGAGGAACCATTGCTTCAACTTCCGCTTCTCGACTTTCGCACCCGACCGCCAGGAGCACCCATTCGAATCAACCTGCTCGTTTGCTAACACGGTCTTGTCGACGGGGTCGTAGTTGACCTCGGCTTCGGCTTGATAGGCCAGCCCCTGCTCCTGCAAGCGGAGGAATATCTTTTGGGTGTGCTTGTAGAAGCTCGGGTCGCATGTTGACAGCTCGCAAGACCAGTCCCAAGATCCATTCATCAGATCCAACTGCTCCTTCATCTTGGCGATGTTTGATTCGGTCCATGCTGCCGGGTTGATGCCCCTCTCGATGGCGGCGTTCTCGGCGGGCAGCCCGAAGGCATCCCATCCCATCGGTAGCAGCACATTGTGCCCCTGAAGAGAGTGGAATCTGGCGACGACATCGGCGATGGTGTAGACTCGGAGATGCCCTAGGTGCAGATACCCCGATGGGTACGGAAACATGGGTAGGACATATTTGCCATTGGTGGTGGCGTCCTTGGTCTCGGTGGTAGATTTTGGTAACGAAGCCCATTTCTCACGCCATTTGGAGTCCAGAGCGGGGAGGTCGAGTTTGGGTTCGGCCAAGATTCGGGCTGTGGCGCTGAATGCTCTCAGTGTAACTCGAGAACGGGAGCATGGTGAAAAAGACGAATAAGTGAGATGACGGGGAGTGAGAGGGCGAGTCACGGCTTGGCCGAGATAGAGTGAGCTCAGTTTCGGCACAGAGCGGCCAATGGTCCTCGTTTGGATCAGTGGCATTGTTATTACATTATCGATTGGTGCGAGTCAAATCCGGCGTGGTGGCCATTACCGGCGAGTTCGTCATGCGATAGTTGGGGGATAGCTGGATAAGTTGGTGACGGAGCTTGTCACTGGAAACTTAAGAAAGTTACTGAAGCTCCCTGCTGCCAAGACGGCACTGGGGCATGCCATGTGGATCACTGCACGGGCCATTTCAAGATCTTGGCTTCCGTATTTGCAACGGCCCAGCGGCTCCATCCCTGGAGAGACGGCATTGTTCACTGGCCCCTTTCTGGTTCAGTCAATTCAATCTTGAATTCAAACTCCACTGCAACTCCTTTTCCTCGTCATTTTGCTTCAACACTCGACCACACGGTTCTTGATACCCACACCATATTGACGTCTAACGGCTATACGTTTAATTGACAGTATACTCCATAACCTACTAATCAACTTTGCGAGACGTCAGTGTCGTCTCGTTTCAACCGAAAGAAACCGAAACTTTCGACCGCCAACAGGACGCTCCGGTTGCATTCTTGCAACCACACCGCTGTTGGTGCTTCTCCTCCGCGCCGCCGCGCAGCAACCTATCGTCCGTCTCAACCAGCCATACCAACAATTGCGCGGCATGGTCTCCTTTCCGCCGAGCACAGCACACACATAACACATTCCCGGGGTCGGTCAGGCATCGACATCCCCCAAACCAAACCAGACCAGACCAGACCAGACCAGACCAGACCAGACCAGACCAGACCCAAACGATGCCACCCCTCTACTCCAACCTGCCCCCCACGGCGCGGGACTCGCTGGAGCTTGCATCGCTAGCCAGCTCGGGCGGCGGCTCCGAAGCGGACGACATCTCGTCGCGGCCCAGCATCTCCTCGTCGCGGCGCGCCTCCCTCGAACGCGACGACCCCCTCGACTCGCACAACCCCGCCGCCGCACCCCGGAGCCGGCCCGAACACCACGCCCGCTCCTTCTCGGTATCCTCCACCTTCGACTTCGCCTCCAACCTCTTCCCCCTCTCCAGCACCACCGGCGCCGCGGGGTACGCCCCTCTCGGCGCGTCGTCCTCGTCCGGGCTCGAAGGGGGTGTGAGCGGGGCCAGGGGCGGGGGGAGAGGCGGCGGCGGCGGTGGTGGTGGGGGGTCGCTGGAGAAGCACAAGACGCTGACGTACCTGAACGGGCTGTCGCTGATTGTGGGGCTGATTATTGGGTCGGGCATCTTCTCGTCCCCCAGCCAGGTCAACTCGCATGCTGGGTCGCCCGGCGCCGCGCTGATCGTGTGGGTGGTGGCGGGGATTCTGGCGTGGACGGGCGCGGCGAGCTATGCGGAGCTGGGCGGTGCGATTCCGCTGAATGGCGGGCCGCAGGTGTATCTGTCCAAGATCTTTGGGGAGCTGGCGGGGTTTTTGTTTACCTGGGTCGCTGTGCTGGTGCTGAAGCCCGGGGGTGCTGCTATTGTGTCCATCATCATGGGCGAGTACCTGGTGCGGGCGGGCATCGGGGCCGAGGCGGAGACGGTGAATATCTGGGTCAACAAGTCGGTTGCGCTGGTGGGGCTGGCGCTGGTGACGTTTTTGAACTGCGTCTCGACGCGCATGGGGACGCGGCTGAACGACATGCTCATGTTTCTCAAGTTTGTTGCATTGCTCGGTGTTACCGTGATCGGGATCGTGGTGGCTGCCACGGGGTTTTCGCTGTCGGGGCCGGCGAATCGGGACTGGAGGGACCATGCGTGGTTCGAGGGGACCAAGATGGATGCGTCGGCATGGGCCGTGGCGCTGTACGCCGGGCTGTGGGCGTTTGATGGGTGGGATAACGTCAGTTACTGCCATCCCCCTCCCCTTTTACCCCTGGCCGATATCAACTAACAACCACCCTAGACAAACTACGTCGTAGGAGAATTCCGCAACCCCAGCCGGGACCTGCCCCGAGTCATCCACACGGCCATGCCGCTCGTCATCGTGAGCTACATCCTCGCCAACGTCGCCTACTTCCTCGTCCTCCCGCTCGAGACCATCAACTCGACCAACACAGTCGCCGTCATGTTCGGCGCCAAAGTCTTCGGCCCGGCAGGGTCCCTCATCCTCGCGCTGATCGTCAGCGCGTCCTGCTTCGGCGCCCTCAACGCCTCGACCTTCACCAGCAGCCGGCTCGTCTACGTGGCCGGCAAGGAAGGGTACATCCCCTCACTCTTCGGACGCCTCGGCACGGGCACCGGCGTCCCCCCGACACCAGAACTCTCCAACCTGCGCACGCGCTCGTGGCTCAAGAAGAAGCTGGCGGCGCTCGTCGGCGACGAGGACACGGGCCTGTTCTTCACGCCGATCCCGGCGCTCGTCCTCAACGCCTCGCTCACCGCCGCCTACATCCTGGTCGGCGAGTTCGGCACGCTGATCACCTTCTACGGCGTCGCCGGCTACACGTTTTATTTCTTGACCGTCCTCGGCCTGATCGTCCTGCGCGTGCGCGAGCCCAACCTCGAGCGGCCCTACCGCACGTGGATCACCACGCCCATCATCTTTTGCTGCGTCAGCCTGTTCTTGCTGAGCAGGGCCGTGTTTGCGCAGCCGCTGCAGACGCTGTTGGTGGTGGGGTTCGTGGTGGCCGGCGTGCCGGTGTATTATTGGAGGGTGCGCGGGAGAGGGGGGTTGGTTGGGAAGAGGGAGCTTGGGGGGAGGGAAAGGAGGCCGTGGTGGAAGTTTTGGAGGAGGAAGTAGGGGCTGGTTGGCTGCAGAGTTGGATTCGGGTGTCTGTCTGGCTTCGGGAAGCTGGATGCTGATGGCCTGTATATAATATTCACATTGGGTATCTCACTGGCCCGGTGGTGAAGGAGGCCGGATGATTGCGCAGCTTTTGTCCGAGTCGATATAGTTTTGAAAGACGCGACATGACACGGCGTCGATACATAATAATAACTCCCACGAAACTACAGTTGTTTAAAAACACCAGCAACAGCAACATTCGATGGTTTGTTAAAGATAAATAAATAAACATTCATAACTCATAAGTAGACCTAACCCGCCCCTTCGTTTGAGGAACACGCGCGCTGACAAGTATTTACAGTTTGTTCTCCCGGCTCCGACCCGAACCATACAATCTTGAACCTTTCTCACCTTCAACTTCTTCGTTTCATCTCTTCAAGACTTCCCGCTCGCAGCCTCCCTCAGGCCATACGCCTTGGTGGCGTAGTCGCCGGCGTGGACGATCAGGTCCTCCGGGCGGTAGTCGAGCTTGCCGGACAGGTAGCTCTCGAGGATGGCCTTGGTGCCGTCGGCGTAGCGCTTCTGGGCGTCTAGCGAGGTGCCCGAGACGTGGGGCACCATGGCGTTGCCGCCGCCGAAGGGGTTCTTGGCGGTGCGGAGCGGGTGGTCGGCGGGGGCGGGCTGCGGGAACCACACGTCGCCGCCGTAGCCGCGCAGGTGGCCCGACTTGAGCGCCTCGGCCACGTCCTCCTTGACCACGATGGCCCCGCGCGCCGTGTTGACCAGCCAGCTTCCCGGCTTCATCTTGGCGATCAGCTCCTTGTTGAAGAGCCCCCGCGTCTTCTCGTGCAGCGGGCAGTTGATGGTGACCACGTCGCACTGCGCCAGCATCTCCTCGAGGTCGGTGACGCGGCGGCAGCCGATCTCTTTTTCTTTCTCGGCCGACAGCGGCTGGTAGTCGTAGTAGAGCAGCTCCTTGCAGTCGAAGGCGCGCAGGCGGCGCAGGACGCGCTCGCCGATGCGGCCGACGGCGACGGTGCCGACCACCTTGCCCTCGAGGTCGAACTCGTTCTTGGCCGCCTCGGCCACGTCCCACCGCCCGGCCTCGATCATCTCGTGCGCCGGCACGAAGTTGCGCACCAGCACCAGGATCGTCATCACCACGTGCTCCGCCACCGACACCACGTTGGACCCTGTTACCTCGGCGACTGTCACGCCGCCGTTGGTCTTGTTGGCCGCGTTCAGATCGACGTGGTCAGATCCGATCCCGGCCGTTACCGCGAGCTTGAGCTTCTTGGCCTTGGCCAGCCGCTCCGCCGTGAGGTAGCCGGGGTGGAAGCTGGGGGTGGTCACTGTCAGCGTTGAAAAGGGGTGATGGGGATATTTTGGCTGTCATGTAAGAAGTGAACCTACGGTGTGGTGATGATGACCTCGGCGTCGACCAGCTCGCGGTCAAAGGTCGAGTTCTCGCCCTCCTTGTCCGAGGTGGTCACCAGGGTGTGGCCCTGGTCCTCGAGCCACTTGCGGAGGCCGAGCTCATTCTCGGTCGTCCCCAGGAGGCCGGGCACCTGTTTGCCGCCGTGTTAGCCGTGTTCCCCTTTTTTCTTTAACCATCCCTTCCCAGAGTGATGCCGAAGATGCCGCCAAGACGGGGTATCTTCCCGGCGGTTATCCATCCCCACTTCCCCGAACTCTCCGAACACCATCCCCGTTCACTCGCAGTCTGGAACCCTGACGCAACCCGCTCCACGGTACCCCGCATCCAGACGTAACATTGCCATGCGGCAAGTCTTGTAAGCGCACCGCACCGTATTGGGAACAACACGGGCACGCGAGCGGTGGGTAGGTGGGTAGAAAAAAAAGGAGAAAAACAACAAGTAGGAGCTAGCGAGTTCTTACCTCCTCGGCGTGCTTGCCGCCGTCGTACAGGATAGCCAGAACCTTGACCTTTTCGCGTTGGGTGGTTAGCAAGCGTCTGGAGAATGACGAGCCGAGAATATCGGTTCGGAAGCTGGTTCTGTTCCCGGCATGGCTGCTGCTGCGGAGTGCAGTCCGCCAGGGGCTGGGGCGGGAGAAAGGGGTGAGAAGGGAGAGGGTGCGGGGAGAGAAGAGGGACGCGGAGCGAGTAGTAAGTACCATTGTGGCTGATTTGTGTGTTTGTGTGTCGGAATCAGATGAGAGTTGGAGTCGTCGAGTCTGCGGGACTGAGATGCTTTATAGCGCTCGGTGGCGTTACAGTGTTGTTTAGATGGGATGAATGCAGGGTGAAGGCGGTTGAAGTATGATGCAGCACACCGGGGTGGGGATCGGACTGTTATATATTATGAGAGAGAAGAGAGTGAGGACGGAATCAGGTAATGACCCCCAAGGGTGGGAGCAGGTTCGGGGATATTTATGTGCTCCTGCTGCTTCCTCAATCCGGCCTCATACCACGTGTGGAATCCGATCCTCGTAACCGGCAATCAGTTCATCCACCTTTGGAGGTGGCTCGGAGAGTGCAACAAGGCCGGAGCCGTTGGATACCGACGGGGTCAGGGAATTGATGAGCACGATGGAGTGGTGGGTGGGTGAGTGGTGGGAGTTCGATTCGTGCAGCTCGGCATAGCATCCCTTTTCAACTTGCCATTCGTCAATGGCTCGTCCCATTGGCGCCCGCAGATACGTCAACCGTTGCTCGCCATGTGGTGCACCTTGATCGACGGTAGAACATGCCTTGGCTGTGCTCACTGTGCAGACTCTACTTGGACCAACACCACCCGCAGCACACACCTCAGATGAGGGGGAACTCGAGGGGTCACAGCGGGATTGGTGACTCTCTTGAGCAACATGTGGTTGAATGCGTCATGTCTCTCCAATGGCCGATTCCAAGCGCAGTCTGGGGTTGCTCGACAGGATGCAGATAGTTACAGTTTAGAAGCAACGGTTTAGCCGGCAGGACAAGCTCGAACCGATGGGGTCGACGGGCTGCCGGGCACTGCATCTACAATTGAAGACACCTTGACGGCACGCATCTCAAGGTACTGAACACCAGTTCATGCAGAACCAGGTCTCGGCTTTGATCAGATCAGGTCAAACAAACCCCTCCTCCCTTCTCCCTCCTCCCTATGGATCCTCTTTCCCCTCACGCGGGATGTTAAAACCGCCGGCAAGCTGCCATTGACCCGTTGCAGCTGCAGTCGGATCAATGATCCAGGCTCTGTTGGCTTTTTCGGTACTTGTTTGAACGGGGTTCCGGGCGGTTCGTTCCTTCTCTCACGCCCGCATCGGTATCTCGGCGATGGCTCGGGATAGCCCCTGACGGCCCCGCTACGAGCTGCGGGCTTGCACTCGGATCGTGTTGCGGAGCGGGGTAACGAAGGACCCAGCTGCAGTCAGCTGCAGCGTCTGGGCTGGAGTGTATGTATGTACTGTGGGAGCGTCTTGGCTGCGTCGTTGCGAGAAGAGGAAACTGAAGTTACTGTTAGAGCCGTCGGGGCTAGAGTTGATCCCTCGGCCTTATGCCCCTGTTTACTCAAGTTGCCTTCGAAACAACAAACCAGAGCATCCACCAAACACTTTCCCTTCAACTGTTGATTCCACCATGATTGGACCCCAGCCAGGCAGAAGGATGACTGACGACGAAGCATGACTGACTTGAATCAGCAACTACTCCATCTCTCCGAGACCTCCCTTCGACCCACCACCACGGACATCCCGAGCAAGGCCGAGTGCAAGAAAGAGTAGATCGTTCGTCCATGTACACGTCTATCTATCGCGTCATTACTCATACCAATGGCCTCTCTCTACCACGGAAATCCCGAACGCCGATAACCCGTCTACATCCGCTGTCTCCTGTAGTGTCTCCCGCGGAAAACAATGTCGATGATATACCCATAAATCCCCCGGTCTGATGCAAACCCAACTCATCCAGAAAATGCATCCCGTAAGAGACAAAAGGGTCGTAACACACCGAGTGCATCTATCACAAATAAACCCACATTCCCACCCAGTCCCACCTACATCTAGCAAACACCATGCTACCCCCAAACCTGCCCGGCGAGTCACAAGCTATACGGCGGCGGCGGCGCCTGCGCAGCACCCCCAGCCGTCGGGGCAGGAGCAAGAGCAGCAGCAGGAGCAGCAGCGACACCAGGCACAGCCATCCACTGCGCCGCCTTGGCCATCATCTTGGGGAAGTACTGCTGAACAAACGACTCCCTGTTTCCACGTTAGCCACGGTAACCCACCCCCAACCCGACCCAACCCAACCCACCCCCAACCCTCCGCAGAGAGCAGGAAGAGAGCCAAAAAAAAAAGGGACCAACTCACGAGTAGTAACTATGCTCCGACCCATGCACCGTCACCAAATTATGCGCCAGCTCATGCGCCAGCACCACCCACCACCACGTCGCCGCCTCCACCCTCCCCCTCCCCTCCAACATCCCCCCATGCAACTGCTCCCAAAAGCGCATATTACAAAACACGCTCCCCGAGCTGTTAAACGCGATCGTCCCGCCCTTCTCATCGTAATACATATGCAGCACGCGGTCAGCCAGCCCATAGACGGACGCGACGTCGCGCAGGAGGCCCTCGAAGCGGGCGATGGCGTCGACGCGCGAGGCGACGAATTGGCCGTGGTCGGTCGACAGGTCGCGCGCGAGGAAGACGCGCATGCCGCGCGGCGCCTCGGCCGCGAAGACGAGGTTCTGCCCGGCCATGCTGTCGCAGTACGACGTCTGTTCCTGTACTTGGGTGTGCCGGGGTGGGGAGAAGAGCGTGGAGGAGTCGTATGCGCGCGTCGATTGGATTGCGTTGAGGAGGTTTTGCTGGACCGTGGCTGGCGAGGTGACGCGGTTGCCGTCCGATGTGGCTTTTTTGCCGTCCTCGGTTGGGATCGGGGTCGAGGTTAGCTGCTGAGGGGGTGGTGGTGGCGGGGGTTTGTCGTCCGCGGTTTCGAACCCCAGACGGCGGGAGAGGTTCGAAAAGAGGCTGCCGCCGCCGGCCCTGGGCTGCTGTGGCTGCGGCGGCGGCAGCGTAGTAGGGCTGTCGTCTGGGGAATGGTCGAAGCTGCCCGGCATGCGGTCCCGGGCCCGCTCAGGGGTCTTGACATCCCGGACGGTATTCTGCGCGGCCCACTCCTTCTCGGCCTCCCGGATCCTCGTCTGTTCTGCCTCCAGCGCCTTGCGACGTTCCTCCTCGGCCAGCCGGGCTTGGGCCGCCTTTACACGTAGGATCCGGTCGACGTTATACCCACGGGCTCGTAGGTCGAGCAGGCCAAGCTTCAAGAAGGGTTCAAAGAAGAAGTAGGCGTGCTGGTTGGGGCGATTTAGCAGGAGCTGGCAGATGGCCTGGCCGACTTGGTACATGTCGGGTTTGTCCTCAGCGGCGACATAAAGCATCCATCCGCTGGCCGTTTTGTAACTCGCCGCCGACCGCTTCTCCTGGTGCGATTTGGCGTGGCCCCTCAGGGATCGCCGCAGCCCGAGCGAGGAGACGCTCGACACCAGTAGGTTCTTCTCGAGCCACTGAGTATCGTGCTTGACGGCGTCGTGCTTGTCCTTGGAGTACTCGTGCAAGAAGAGCTTGGAGCGCTCGAGCACATGCTTCCGCAGCCACTCAGCTCCCTCCTGATTTCTCGTGCTGTGTCCCACGAACAAATCTTCCTTGACTTTGCTGCCCAGGGTGCCGGACCCTAGGCCCATGTAGAAGGCCTCGAGAAAGTCGTCCTCGGGAGCGCACAGTAGCGCCTCCTTGAACAACCGATAGCTGATGTAATCGTCAAGGATGACAATGTTGTCGGCGGCTGCGAGTTGGTAATGTTTGATCGGAGCGTCATCCTCATCGAGAGCCTCGGATGCCTGGCTCTTTCCAGACGACAGCTCTCGGAAACCAAGCAGCCATGTTGACGTCCTCATTTTCCTGAGGAGCTCCTTGTCCCTCTTTAGGGTCCCAAAGTCTTCAGCGATGGACTTGAGGAGATTAAGGTACTTTTCCGGGCTCTGGAGGATGCTCAACAGCCGTGCCGGCTCGGTACAAGCCAGCTGGGCAATCTCGTGCTTGGTCGGCTCGCTCTTAGCACCACACTTGAAAAGGAAGGTGTTCGCGTCGGCTCCAAAGTCGACAAAGTCAAAGATATCCTTGTATGTGGACGAGCTCCCCAGGTAACAATGAGGAGGCCGGAGGTGGGCCAGAGTTGATCCCTTTACCTCCCCAACTCCTGAGCGGCGATCCTGTTGCCTCATCACAGGGACGATCGCAGCATCTCGTAGCTTGGCCAGGCTATTATGCCCCAGATCGCCGAGCCGCGTCGTGAAATACTCGAACAGCGTGATCGCCATGCTGCGGTCCTGGGGAGGCTTCGCGATGAGCCTTTCCACACATCCCGTGATGGGAGGATCGCGAGCCACGCCAAACTTGGCAGCATGCGGGTGCAAGTCTTTCCTGAGCACATTGTAGCCAAGGACGGCCGCCCTCTCGTTCGCGTAGCAGGCGGATGGTGGAACCAGCTTCTTCTCCTTGCCTTCGATTGGAAGAATGCATTTGTCAGTGAACGACATGTCGAAGGCCGTGTATCCGTTGAGGTGATGGTTGGCGATGAAATACGACATAGCGCTTGCTCGAAGACTTTCGTCTGACGAAGCCATCATCTCGACAAGCTCTGGGACTGCCGGACATGAACGCAGCCCAAGGCTGTACAGGAACCGTGCCTCTGCGCTAGTATTTCTAAAACTCCCCGGCGGGCCTGGCCATTGAAGTATGGGCAGTCCTAGCGCCCTGAGCGAGTCCTTGGGCTCGAAGAGCTCCGACACCCTGTACAGCCGTTTCGAGCCCTTCGTAGGCTCCATCCCACGCGGACCAGCCTCGGCAGGGCACAGTGGCGATTCCCGGAGCTTCTTCATGTCGGCAGCAGGAATATCGTTCTTTACCGAAGTGAGATACTTGATGAGCTCCATGTGGCTCCATTTGGCATGGGCCACACCATCCCCCGCTGCCGGAGCCGGGCTCAATAGCCGGGTGAAGATTGTGTCTAAGTCGACCGTCTTTCTTACACCCAGGGCGGTCAGAAACTTGTCCTTGAGATTCGCACAGCCCTCGAGCGTCGGTAGATCGTCAAATAGCCTCACAGAGGGGAAGAAAGACTCGTTAGGCTTTCTCATGCCCGCTTTGGTCGGCATAACGGTAACGTGCTGCAACGCTGACACCACCGACGTCTTCGAGGTTTGGTTCAGGTTGTCCCAGTTCTTCGAGAGAACAGTCAGGACTTGGAGAGCAAACTTGTCCGACTTTTTCAGGTTCTGCTCATCGGCGTTCCCGGGCGCTGATTCGATCAAGAACCTCAGCCAAGGGACTATGGCCAGAGGCTCCCAGCCCAGAGCTTGAAGCCGGGGTTCGGCAATGGGTGCTGTAAATGCCATGGGGAGAGTAGTAGGTGGCAATGGAAGCGTCGGCGGGATTCTGTTGTTGGGATAGTTCTTGATGGCCCCGAGCGCGATGATCCCGCCGGAATCACCGCCATCGGTGATGGTGGCTACGGCGACGTTCAAAAGCCGCTGGACGTCATGGGTGTCAAGCTCCCCGGTGTAAGCACCTTGGGTGATCCACTGGAGGAAGTGGCTCAGTTGGTCCTTATCCAGGGCTTTGGCCCCGAGCTCCTGGCAGATATCATCGACCGTGACGTCTCTAATCAAACCAAAGTCAATTAACCGCTGGATGAACGGATCCTCTCTCATCTCCTTCAGGACCACCGGGATTGCGCCGACAAACTTGGCAACCTCGTCAGATGAAGTGCGGACTTTCGTTGTGGGCAGCACTCCGCGAGAAGACAATACATCGACAGATGGGCTTTTAGAGGCCATCCAGAACGCCTCTTCGATGATTTGGGACACCTGCGCACTTGGGGTCGAATCTTGGAAGCTGTATGTTCTCAAGATATGGAGAGCCTCGGGGATACATTTCTGCACATCAGACAGCGAGGGGCCGGATCCCTTTTTGCCGCTGGCCTCGGACAACCTCTTGAGCTTGTCATTCAGGCCTGCCATCTCGTCTGCAAAGGCAAGCCGGGACATGATGCCGGCCGCACGCAGCATCTCCATGTTCCAGGACCGCACCCAACGGGCGTTCAGGTCGATGGCCTCGCGCTCGACCGTAGGAATCACCGAGGGGGCCGAGATGTGCATGCCAGCGCCGGTCGTCTGCGTGGTTGGGAAGCCGATGAAGATGCGGCCACCCGGCTTTTTGCTAGGAAGGACTGAGGCGAAGACATCGGCAATCTTAGAGGCTTGGTTCGACGACGCCTCTGCCGAGGCCACAGTCGCGTCGTACGACGAAGTCAGGATGGAGAGCTTTGTGGTTTTGGGAGGCGGCTTCTTGGTCGCCCGCTCCAATTCGGCAGCGAACGAAGCAGAAACGCGGGTGGCTATCTGTGCCGAGGTTACGCGGAGGAAGATGACCGACGTTGACGGCGCCGTAAGATCCTCTGTTATTGTATCCTGGATCGCCTTCTCCTCCTTCGCCGCCTTGGTCCGGGTTGCGGAATACGATGAGCCCGATGTGAGCCTCGAGAAGAAGTTCTTCAGTGAAGGAAGTTCAGAGGAATAGTAAGCGTCGTTGGACTTGGTGGCTGATGCTACAGTTTGTGGTTTCCAACCGATAACACTCATGAATGTGGCTTCGATTTTAATGCCGGTGCTGTCAGCTGAAGTGAGCTTCATGAGCCCGTCCTTGGTCTTGGTCTCCAAGTCTCGCGGAATGTCCAGGTTTAGGCACGATGACGGCTCCTTATGCAGCTCCAGCACTTTCCAGCCGTCTATCCAGAACTCGATGTTTTGTAGGGAAACAAACGTCAAGCTCGTAGCGAGGAACTGGCTCACGGATAGCAGGTTTGGAAGGGGTGTGGTAGTGCTTCTGTAATCGAGGACGAACGACGTATTCGGGCTTCCCTGGCCAGGAGGCAGAGTCACCTTCCTTGTGAAAAGCGCGTGCCCCTTCCAGTAGAAGGCCATGGCTTCATCGCCGGAACTGACGAAGGGCTCCTCGCAGTCGGCGAATACACTGTAGAATCCAACACCGAAAGCGCCAATCTTGGTCTCGTCTGGGTTACCCTCGGCGATTTTCTTCAACCTCGCCCAATCGGTCTTGGTGAAGGGTTGCCCATTGTTCTCAACGACAAGTCGCCGCAGTGTGTGGTGGGATATCGCATGCTTGATGAGCTCGGACTGGTTGGTGGTTGCTGGGAGCGGAACCTGTGTCGACGGCAGCGTTTCCCAACTTATTTTGACAGTCGTAGCTTGTGCATCCGCGGCGTTTTGGATGAGCTCTCTCAACGTCGTCCACTCTCCCGAGTATCGTGCGAGGACCTTGTCGATGAGCGCCCTGGTGTCGACCGTGACCGCCTCCTCGTCTTCGCCGCTCATGGCGGCCGCGCGGAGGCGCGCATAGTCCATGGTGTCCGGTTGGCACAAAAATGGATGTTCGTAAAGAGGAAAAATATGCAAGAGAGAAACGGGTTCTGTGGTCGAGTTGCGAGATGCGGAGGATGGAGGTGGTGGTTCGGTTACCGCCGCGGGAGATCGAGGCGGAGGGGAGGAGGGCGTTGTTGTTGGCGAGAATCGAAGTGCTGCGTCACCACCTAGCAACCTAGGCACTCGCGTAAGGTTAGTTTAAGGGTGTTGTCCTCGTGTTTCCATGTCTTTCCGAGCATGAGGGGAAGTGATGTTCAATTTATCAGACGGTCGAACTGTCGCCGAGTCAACCGAGGACCCGAAACAACAGGAGGCAGCAGCCTCGACCACCGACGCCAATTCGCTGAGATGTTGACCGAAGCATGAATGTAATCGCGTGTACCTTCTTTCCGTATGTTACCATACGGTAACTAACGATCAACAAACCAACGTTCCAAAGGTTTGGATGTGACCGGATGCACTGCCCCGCCCCCAACAGCTCTCACTCACTCGCGTGCCGAGTCGCCACTGGTCGCGAAGACTTCCAAACGAATCGAGGCGACCACGCTGAAAGCTATTGGAGCGCAGGTGGTGAGCTCGCCACTCCTATCCCAGTGGTGCATGCTGTCCTCCATGATATCAATACGAATTCAAGGTATGTAATTACCATACACGTTTACCGGTAATGTGAAGCCCACCAGACGAAGCATACTAAGCTTGTTCTCAAGTGATAAGACGGTCTGATATGGTATACATGAGCGATATGCGCTGCTGGCTCGTTCATCTTTCCGAATCCTGGTCACGGCGCCTGGTCCTGCTCCTACTGCGCCGTCTCTCGTGGTGCCTTGACCTTTCAGCTCCACCTCGACTCCTACTCCGACTACGTGCCCCGTCACCCCGCCTCCTATGATGCCCATCGCGGCTGCGACTGCGGCTGCGGTTATCATCCCGCCGTCTCTCTTGCCGATTCCGGCCATGGTCTGGACTACGGCTTCTTCTTCGCTGGCCGCCGTCCTTCGCTCTACCATCCGGGCTATCCCGCCGCCTGTGCCTATCCCGGCTGCGATCGCGGTGCCTGTCTTGGTCACGGTCCCTGCTTCTGTGCCTCCTCTTGTGCCGGCGTTCTGGGTCTCTATGTCGATCCGATTCTCTGCGTCGCTCTCTCCGCGAATCGGGTGCCGGTGCCTGCGTCGTCGCCTTGTCATCTTCAGCCACACGGGTCGGGACCTTTGATCCTTCCACCTCTACTGCGTTTGCGCCTGTCACATCGCGTGTCTTGATGGGCAAGCCTAACGCTCGCGATATCGCATCTTCCTCGGCTTCCTTGATCTTGCGGATCTCCTCGCGACGTTCTCTGGCTTCCCTCTCCTCCTCTGTCTCGTTCGAATCTGCCGCACTCGAGTCTGCCTTGGCATACCAGTTTAAGTCGCGCCCTTTGGCCCAGCGCCCCACGGGCGCTTTTAGGCTATGGCCCAAGTAGTTTTCGCGGTACTGAGATGTGGCGACATCATCCCAACTGAAATTGACACCACCGCGTGAACCTGTTTTCCGGACGGTCGAAAGGAGGTCCATGGCTCCTGTCTGTATGTTCAATCGGTCGTGGGACCGCGGGCGGATTGTGATTGGAAACGCGGCTAAGAAATCGCGATGAGGTGCTGCGAGTTGACGGGAGGTTGGTGTTGTTGATGGGAACTTCATTGAAGCTTGGCTGCTGGCGGCTGAAAGATGATCATCCACTGCTGCATTTGCCAAGACCATGCCCCACACCCCGCGAACCCATTGTGGGCCGAGCTCCAACTGCCCGTGTCTCCGTCACCTAAACCGCTGCGTTCGTTCGCTACTGTGACAGTAGTTCCCGCTGAAAGCTTCACAGAAAAGCACGCGACAACCCGAAGCCTTTCGCTCACCAAAAGCTCTATTCCCAGTCACCACACGCCCACACATACCATATACTCAATTAACTACCGATCATGGCTCTTGACCCAGCGCCATACACCGGCCCACCGCTGGACGAAATCCAATGGCGCGCGCCGCCGGACTTCGATATGGGCATCCACAGCAACAGCGTGCTCTTCTACTTCGCCCAGTCGCCATTCTACGACAGGACGTCCAACAATGAGGTCCTATTTCAGCAAGGCCTAAACAATCCTAACTTGACACCATACCTCGCAACCCGCGAGCTCTTCGAGGGACGTCTTAAGACCATGTCCGGGCTCGAGTTCGTCGTTGCCCAAGAACCCGCCGAGACAGGCCCCGGAGCCGGTACCGGTGTGTGGGTGATCAACAAGCAAACCCGGCGAAAGCAGTCACCGCAGGACGAGATCATTGTACACGGCTCATACTTTGTTGTCGGGGAACACATCTACATGGCCGCGAGTTTTGCCGACATTCTTAGCTCTAGAATAGTACGCTCCACGCACCTCTCTCTTCCCACCCAAACACACCTAACAGCATTCCATCATAGGCCGCGATTTCCCCCTTGCTAGACGGAATCCTCCCCAGCTCCTCCAGCGCGCAATCCTGGTCCCCCGCCCTCGGCCGCGTCTACCAATCTCCCACCGCCAGCAGCACCTCCACAACAACCAAGCAGCGCGAGGCCACCCCCCTCCCAGACACCAACAAGGCCACCGGGGCCCCGAGCACCAACCTCCCAACCTCCCGGCTCATCGAGGAAGCCCTCGGCATCCAGCACCAGTTCGGCGACCACTTCATGGACGAGAACCCCATCACGGGCAAGCCGGGCGACTTCCTGCTGGCATCCACGGGCCGCAAGGCGGTCAACCTGTCGACGGCGGCGGCGCTCAACGCCAAGAAGGCGACGCTGATGCCCATGCTGCCGACGCTCAACACCAAGCTCGGCGGGGTGGGGGCGGGCGCCGAGAACCCGCTCGCGGCCAAGCCGACGGGCAAGGAGAGCAAGAGCCCCAAGACGCCCGGCGGCGGGGGCATGCCCAAGGGCAAGAGGCGGAAGGGGAGCAAGGCTGCCGTGACGCCGCAGTGAGGTGGAGGGTGCTTGAAGGTGGGAGGGTTGGGTTGTGTCTCGTGATGTGCGGATAGCGGTCAAGGGGTTTGGGATGGTCGGGATACGGGACTTTATGGATACTTAGGCGTTAAGGTTATTTTTTCTTCGTTATGATACCCCGGGTTTCCTACTACGACGTAACAAAAGGGGGTCAGCTGCGCGACAACACTTTCAAGCAATACAAAAGTCGCGTCTCAAAAGTAAAGTCACTCTCCGAAGGCACTACCAAAGAGGGCTAGACTCGGCCCTGTCACTGTTGATTTGTGAAGTGCCAACCTCCTTTTCAAAAAGCATGAAAATAGCCGTCCTCATAGTATTCGAGGCAGTTGCTTATACCTCCATACTTGGTTCTGCTTATCTTATCACTTCGAATACTATGCCAGCTCCTCTCCAGAACGCGACATCAAGGGCCTTTGCGACCAGCTCAGCGTCGCTGGGAGGCAAAAGGGGCTGGTGTATGTGGATACCATCGTCAACGGCACCATGCTCAAGGACATGTTTGGCTGGCCGTTCTACCACGCCCAGGATCGGAACACTCGACAGAGGACAGAGATGTTCTCGGGGTGGATGAAGGAAGGCGGCGTTATGGTGGCAACCAGTGCGCTCGGACTCGGCATGGATCTGAAGAGTGTGGTTCTTGTGGTGTACTGGAACCCGAGGACGCTCATGGACCTGGTGCAGATGTTTGGGCGGGCAGGACGGGATGGTAGCCCGGCAACGGGGGCGATGGTGTCGTCGAGGGCGGTCGGGGCAGACTTCGCCAACTTTTGTGGACCGAGGTGCAGAAGAGATGCGATCTCGCGATACTTGGACGACAAGAGCAGGACTTACGGGATGGGCGACAATAGGTGCGATGTTTGTTCGCCGCCCAAGTCGGCCGTCCAATACCCCATGGCTCCGCCAACGACCACGCCACAAACCGTCAAGACCACGGCGTATACAACACCGCAGAGTGCCGGGATGTCTTTGGCATTCCAGAATCTCGAGGTGGAGACATCGCCTCAAGCGACCGTGACTCGCTTCATCTCGCCGAGGGTTGTTAGAGGGCCAAGAGCACAGCGGCTCGCAGGCACAGGATTGTCGCCAATTGGTCTCGGGGAAATGAAGGTGCTTCGGGTATAGCTTAGACTTCAACCTTAGCTTCTCCTGCGAATTCCAAGGTGGAAAAATATGTGACTGAATGATTGACAGGCACTATAATACCAAGCTGCTGGCCTTCAACGTATTCCATTTCTTTCTACTACCAAGGCAAGACACAGCACGATATGGAGCTCGCTGGGGCTCCCCAGTAAAAACGTCATTTCAGCCGTTCTACGTTCAACGTCCATGCCTGCCCGAACGGCCGGGGATGTTCTCACTGTCTTGATGGTCAGCTATCTGTCTGTCCTTAGACGGAAAGGAAAAGTAGAACCAAGATAAGAAATGACCAACGCGCCTAGTTCAGAAAAGAACAATGTAGGTGATGGTTTATAATCATTAATTGATTCATAAACAGCCTCTTGCGAGAATTCATCATGACAGGCGCGGTTGGGAGAATAAACAGAATTGAAACAAAAACAGAGAATGGACCAAAAAGACCTTGGGGAGTAAATCTGAGGGGTAAGAAAAAAGAGAGACGCAAAGGATGAGAAAAGGGGCGAGAAACACGAAGGAGAGCGTCAATGTTTATAGGGAGAAAAATATATGAAAAGGAACATGAAAAGGAATAGAGGGAGGGATAAAAAGAAGGATACGGGAAGGAATACGGAAAGGGACACGGCGAAAGACATGGAAAGAGAGACGGAAAGAGAGATGGAAAGGGGAAAGGGATAGAGATAGAGCAAGAGAAATGTAGTGGGGAGTAAATATAAAGACAGCGAGAAGAAGAAAAAGAAAGAAAGAAAGAAAGAAAAAGGAAAATCTAGCAAACGATAAACAAAATACCAACATACCTTTTCAATTAGCCCCTTCTAACCGTCTCCTGGTCCACCCACCCACCTCCCTCCTTCGAGCCCTCCCTCTACTCATCCACCCACCCCTTCCCCACAACCCTCCTCTGCTTGATCTTTTGCATGGGAAGAGGCCTACGGCGATTGTCAGCTACTGCGGCCCTAAAACGGAAAGATGGGTGTACGTACCACCCCATGCCACCACCAGTCTCAGCCCTCAAATAGGGCACCACCCACACCTCCCTCGTGTTATCCGCCCCGCCCTTGACCTCCTTTACGGGCTTACCGTAAGTAAGTAACGGGGTACCCTTGGCGATATTCGCCAGTTCCCTCCCCGTCAGGTCGGACAAGGTTTGCATCCTTGTCTTGGGCTTCTTGCCGCCGGCCGTAGCAGGACCGCTGGGGCTCGCTCGCTGGAGGTGGGCGTAGGCGACGTACTCGGGGCACTCGTCGGCGCTGAGGCGCGCGAGCGGCGACGACGGGTGAATGTACACCAGCTTGTCGTCCGGATCGATCACCCCTTGGCCCTCGAGCGGCATCAGCGGGAGGTAAGGCACGTCGATCGCCCGGCGAGGATTGCGGAACATCTCCGGTGGGTTGGGCGCCTTGTCGGCGCGGATGGCGACTTGGTCGACAAAGCCCGCGGATACCATCTGCTTGAGGGCTTGGACTTGTTCCTGGGTGGGCCGGGGGAGCGTCCGAGGAAGTGTGAAGTTCTTAAAAGCGGTCATGTGAGTTTTGACAAGACTGGCGAGCTGGGCTTGGAGCTGCATGATCTCCTTGAGGGCCTTGAACCGGACAAAGTGGGATTCGCACCACTGTTCGGTGGGTTGGTGGGCGAACTCGCCGACGACCTGGAGGATTTTCATGGCGTCGGACATGGCATCGAGAGAGCAGAACTTCTTGTGAACCGCCCTGAATGACTCCCGTAGCTGATTCCTCTTGTATTCGTTGTAAACATATCGGTCGGGGTGGTCTTCTTCGGTCGATCCCGCAGCAGCGGAGAGAACTTGGTTTTCTGACACGAAGATCTCGCCGGCGGACAGTCCCGCGATCATAGCGATGGTGTAGGGGAGACAGCCGTAAAGATGCCCAACTAGCAAGATCCGCGCAAAACGAGGGGCCAGAGGGAATCGGGACATTGTCAACCCGACGGGTGTGATGTTTCTGTCGGGTGATAGAGCCGATATATAGGTCAAAATCTTCTCAGCTTTGACAATACTCTGTTGATCTGGCGGGGTCGGGAAGGGAAAGTTGGCTATGTGTTTGAGGTTCATAGACTTTAGTTGCAGCACCACAGCTTCAACAGGTGTCCGCAGAATCTCAGGTGTCGAGAACTGAGGGAAATCTCTTTCGTAGACCGCGGACGAGTACAGCCTCCAGCAGTGGCCGGGCCCAGTACGACCAGCACGACCAGCCCTTTGTTGTGCGCTGGCCTTGCTAATCCAGTCGATCTGGAACCTTTGGACCCCGCTCTCGGGATCATACTTTCGCTCTTTTGACCTTCCGCAGTCGAAAACGTAGCGAATGCCAGGAATTGTCAAACTCGTCTCCGCCACGTTTGTAGCCAGGATCACTAGCCGCGAACCTTCAGGGGGCGGTTCAAACACTCTCAACTGCTCTTTTGTTGGGAGCAGAGAGTACAGCGGCAGAATGTGTAGCCGCCGCGGGCCCGTACCCGATTCCTCGTCCTCAATCTCGAACTCCTTCTCGTCCTCTTCATCGTCTGAATCGAACTCGAGCTGGTCGTAGTCATCACCGCCGTTTCGGTCGTCGGAAGCCCCGAAGTCGACGTCTTCCGCCTCAATAGGGACCTCACTCCCTGAGACCCGGACTTTAGGTTCCATGGCAGGGGTCATGCCGCCGCTATGCGCGGAACTCAGCCGTTTGCTCAGTCGTTGGATCTCTTCTTGGCCCGTCAAAAAGACAAGCATGCCTCCGGGAGGCAGCTTACGGTGCCCTTTGCTGACCTTCCGGAAAGCCTCCTCGACGTAGTCATGATGGGTCTTTCGGGCAAAGTGAAGCGTGACCTCATGCTGACGACCGTCGACTTGAACAAGGCGCGGGGGGGTCTTGAACAGCTTGGGATTCTGGGTAAACTCCTCGACCCTGAGTGTTGCAGACATGATGACAACCTTCAGGGGTTTCTTGGAAGGGTCTTCCTCCATCAATGTTGCTCTAAGCTTAACCACTCTGCTGAGAAGTGCAATTAGAATGTCGGTGTTGGTGCTCCGCTCATGGGCCTCGTCGAGAATGATAATCGAGTATTTGTTAAGAGTAAAATCCTCGGCGAGTTCACGCAAGAGAATACCATCTGTCATGAACTTGATAGCGGTGTCGCGGGAGGCGTTCTTCTCGAATCTGATCTGGTAGGCCACGACATGGGCATGATCACCGAGCTCGCGGCCTACACGCTGCGACATGCTAACCGCTGCGACACGCCGCGGCTGTGTCACGCCGATCATACCGGGGGTTGGCCCGTCGGGTGAACCATAACCGGCTTCGAACAGGAATTGTGGCAGCTGTGTGGTCTTTCCGGAACCAGTATCGCCGCAAACAACAACGATGTCATTGTTGTGGATGGCCTCCATGATCTTCTGCTCCTCGGCAACAACTGGCAATTCGTAGCGAGCCTCCTGAATTTTGGCATCTCTTGTCACATTGACAGTGTATGCCTTTCTTGTGCTGTTTGCAGTGGGTTGCAACTCTAGCGGCAACGGGTCTTGTTCGATCGGTCGAGGCGTGAAGTCTGCGGGCTTTGGTATGTGATCCGAGGCGACTGGTTTGTACCCCTGGGCTTCATTTCGTTGCTGATGAGCCCAAGCCTTGAATGCGGATATCCCCTTCTGCCCATTCTGGCCATCTTCATCACTGCTCTCAGAGTCGATATCCCCTTCTGAGCTCTCAATGTCGTCAGCCGAGTTGCTTTCGCCCGATTCCGAGCCGCTTTCGCCCGATTCTGAACTGCTTTCACTTGAGTCTTCCTCCAATCGTCCCCCGACCCGATCACCACTGGATATCCCCGGCCCAGATTCGGATGCGCTCCCATCGGAATCGCTAAAGCCATCCCACTCAGGCGAGTCGGACCTCTCGTCGATGGTAGGGGTTGCAATAGCACGCTTTGGCCTGACCCCTCCCCGCTTCTGCCGTTTTGCAAGAACCGGGTGGCCCGAGTCATCTAGCTGGAGCGGCCGCTTCAAACCAGAGCCGATTACTACAGGGCCGGACTGTGTCGGCGGGTCTGGCCCAGTATTGTTCGTTGCGGTCGCCGGGACTTTATCGTCTTCATCATCCGAGGTGACAGATTCCTCATCCTGTGCTTGCTCGCTGCGGGGTCTCTTCCTGACCTGGTAGAGGAGCTGTGTGTCGGATTTCTCAAGGCCTAGCCCGGCATTCTCTTCCCTAAGGGTGCGTCTCAAAGCCTCCCTCTTCGTCTCTTTCGCTTGGCCGAGTCTTTTGCTGCTGGAGAAGAGGCTGGTGTCGATTTTGTTGGCGGCAAGCTTAGCGAGAAGTTCCCGATTTTCGTCCTTCTTCAGCTTGTTGTCGATGTATTTCTCAAGCCGTTTGGCCTTTTGAGCGCTGACTTTGACACCCTGGGGCCTCAGTTCATCGCGAATCTGGGCCTTCCTCCGATCCGCTTCAGCCTGTTGTGAAGGTGTGATTTCGAGCGCATTGGTATCAGGGTCGGAATTGTGAGAGACATCCTTCTGTGCCTTCTGCCGCTCGAGAACTTTCCGCTTCCGTTCACGTGGAACAAATTTCTTGGGTGGCATCTTGCCGCTCGAGCCTTGATTTCTTTGAGTTGAAAAACGCTCAGCTGAGTGCCTCGTGGGAGGCCAAAGTGCTACTGCTTAGTTTCGATGTTGCAGTTGGAAGAGATGAGATGTGGTGAAATTGGGTGGAGTTTTGTGCGAGTTGGATTGAAAAGTTGAAGAATTGAGAACGTGCTCAAGCTGGTTTCAAGTGAATCACTAGAGAGCTCGGAACTGCCCTCCAACAACTACCTATTTCCAGGGTGGCAAAATCTGAATACAGGTCACCCGAGAAGTGATGACGTGCCCGCTTCGAAACTGGGAGTTGAGTTGATCGTGCTGAGACCGTATTGACTGATCTGTTCGTCCCAATGGTGCGGTGGTGGCCGGGGGATAGAAGGGGGAGGCAAACCAGGAAGGGTGTGGTTTGCGTATTTCGAAACGAGCGTGTCGCCACGGCTGCAATGATCTCTCGGTCACTTGGATGGGAATCAATAAATGAGGGAAGTAGAGCTGACGAGATAGTGCTCTACTCTATCAGATCCTGTCCTCCTGTCCTCGAACACCCCGGCATTGGCACATGTTGAACCTGGGAGGAATACAAATCTTGTCCGCCCGGCAGAATTTTGGCGCTAACGGGGAAACAGCGGGGCAGATGTCACAGTGCGTATTACAGTGTATTTTCAGTTCCTCAAGCCTTGCTGCAGCAGACCCGAGCCGTTGTTGTCAACCTCAACACTGGAATGCAATCCGGTAAGTAATTATTGAGTACGTTGAGTCCAACTTCTTGCATTTGCGAAGCTTCGATTCACGATGGATGGAGACTCCGCCCGGGCCGAGTCCTTCCCGGCTCCGTCAAAGAAAACAGTTGGAACTGTTAATGGTATCTCAACTGAAGTCGAGTTGCTCAACTTCGCGGACAAGATCATGATCACCGTCTCCCAAAGTGGACGTCTTGCCCAGTGGGTGAGTCTGCAAAAGAGATGCAGGACGCTCTTGAAGCTCCGCCGCTAATTACCGAGAAGATCCAGGTGCCACTCTCAGCGCCGTCGTCAGCCTCTGTGGACATGGCCTTGCCTGGGGCTGGCCTGAATGCGCTTCCCTCTGTCCATCTTACGCCCAAGACACTCGTTGGGATGGGTGGCGAAGAACGGGAGACACTCGGTCATCTTTATGCTAGCCAAATTGCGAGTCATCTGGCTCTCCGGAATTCGGACGAGAAGAGAACATTGCTTTTGGGGTTGGGTTTGGACAGTGTTGAGGGCGGTGGAGAGGCGTTCTATGACCTGCTTGAGCTGGTGCTGCAAGTTCTCTGAGATGTATCATGAGCTCGAGCGCTGGGCTGCTCAGAACCAGTCACAATTGTGTGGTTTTCTAGAGTGCCCATTCAGATTAGTTCCTGCTAAAGCACAAAATACTACCTCCATTGGTCGTGCAATTAAAGGTGTGTTGACTAAGTTTGAAGCAAGTGCCATAGTTAGGTTCCTCGGGACATCATGAAAGTTGGAGTGTTAATCAGCGATAAGCAGGTGCCCAGCAAACAAGGGCTGGTTAGGGTTGCATCCTATCCAACCCTAACCCTTACTACCACCATGTGACGCGAATTGTCGGATTACCTAAGCTTCGCTTTCTGTGCCCACCAAAAAATAACCCAGCCCTAAATTCTATGCGGCGGGACCCCGAAAAAGCAGACCTGCGAGCATCACCGTCGAGGAATTCGAGGCTTCATCGACACTAACCAACAGCCACCATGGTATGCCAATTGCCGCCGTTGATCGCATAGAGAAATGCTGACTCTCGCAGCCTACCCGGTTTTCCAAGACAAGAAAGCACCGCGGCCATGTACGCTCCCCCCCAACCTCGTTGCCCTCGACCGAAATGCTAACTTTGTGCTCTCTCAGGTGTCCGCCGGTAAGGGGTACGTCGCGACGAACCGATCGATTCCACCGAATTCATATTAACGAGATATTCCAGGCGTGTCGGCAAGCACAGGAAGCATCCGGGTGGTCGTGGTATGGCCGGTGGTCAGGTACGACGATTCGCTATCTCGGATTCCGATGGACATGGGCTAACTCGACGAAAAGCACCACCACCGCACCAACCTCGATAAGTGTACGCAACAGCACCCGGAGGCAGTTTTTGGCTTGTTGGAGGCGCCCTGCGAGGAATCCCGGGCTCTTGCAACAAGCTTCAAATCTGCCGCGACCATGCTCGATGACACTGGCTAACAACATCGACTAGACCATCCCGGTTACTTCGGAAAGGTCGGCATGAGGCGTACGTACCGAGACACTATCCGAACTTTTCGGAAGGATATGGAGGGCTGACTCTTTAACTAGACTTCCACCACCTCCACAACCACGACTGGGCCCCCACCATCAACATCGAGAAGCTGTATGTCAGGCGCGAATCCGGTTACCATGAGCATGTACTAAATTTGTATAGCTGGTCTCTCGTCCCCGTCGAGACTCGGGACAAGTACGTCAGCGGTGCCAAGAGCGACTCTGCTCCCGTCATTGACCTCCTGTCCCACGGCTATGCCAAGCTCCTCGGCAAGGGTAAGGACCACATCCGTTATTGGGGGCCGTCAGCGGGAGGGATATGGTAAACTAATCGTTGTTCTAGGCCGTCTCCCCGAGATCCCCTTCGTCGTTCGGGCGCGGTACGTCAGCGCGGAGGCGGAGCGCAAGGTGACGGAGGCCGGTGGTGTTGTCGAGCTCGTTGCCTAAGTCGGACGCGGTTACGGTTAAATCAAAGGCTAGCGATTGACATTTTCGGTTACGAGGGACAACCGGATAGTGAGCCCAATGGGACGGATCAGACGGCCAGAACGTCGTCAGCTATGAGTGCTGGGTCCCGGAGTCATGGTTGGTTCCTTGGGGTAGTGGAAAGCACACCCCACATTGCAGCATCAAGGGAATGGGATGTTTATTCGCATCATCTGGGGTTCCTGGCCGTCTTGTGTTCCATATCCATTTTGAGGTTCGAGCAATTGAGTTCATGGTTCAGGATTACGGCCACAACTGCTGGGTAGAGAGTAAACGGAGAAAGTGAGGGCAGGGAATCGATGTCACTAGCACAATCCGGCGTCAATCAACAAAAATCCTGCTGATACAAACGGTCACCGCGAGGTGACGAGCGGGATGATTTGATAACCTCGGACGGGAAACAAGAAGACTGCGCCGAAACACCAGAAACATTCTCGTGATTCGAGGTTGCGGCGTGACTCGCTGGAAGAGGGAGTGATGCTACTTTTTCCCAGAAAAAGGAGGTTAATGTCCAACCAAAGCGCGATTTGTTACAGCCCCCTGTTCTAGTCCGACTTGCTACTCTATAGTTTGTCGAAATCGTAGCCTCCGACACTGTCATGGAAAACGCCAACTGCTCTACGTATAAAAATCAAAGCCATGGGCGGGCTCTGGTGGCGGCTAGGCATGGTGTTGATGGCCGCCGTGCTGGTTACCAAGTCCTCGACGGTCTTGGTAGCCGCGGCGCAATTTCAACCCGCTCAAGTGCCGCTCACCCTCGGGGATCTCTCACTCATGAGAGTAGCCTCGAGATACGCTAATTAGAGCCATGGGAAACGAACGAAGGTGTGTATATAGTCTTGTTGACGTGCCCTATCGTAGTATTCTGGGTGAGGCGGGTGAATGAGTTGAGTATTTGTATTCACTCCTCATCTAGATGTTGTGGAAGGGACTGCGAGTACATCACACGACAATTGATCAGAATAGAACAAAAGCAACCGCGCAGTCAAAAGAGGAGATATTCAGCACCAGATGTACGCCAATATCTAGTCCGCGGGGACTCATTACTGTTGCCAAAACAAACAGCTACAAAAAATAACAATTAGGAGAATTCATGTCTTCCTCGCTGGTAGCCCGTACTCAAGACTGATATCTCTGTCTTGCTACTTATGCCAAAAGCATGGCAAAAAACCAAGGAGGTATTCCGGTGTTTCGTCGCCCTGCCCTGAATAACACTACCAGGTGTGACCCGCACCGGCCACGGCGTGCATCTCTCCTCCGCCCTCGAGCACCCATGTCTACTTCCACCATACCCGGCCCCCCAGAATTCCAACTCCGCTGAGAAACCCATTACCGTTTACGATCACTGCTGTCAACACTATTAGCCACAGCCCAGAGATGGGGAGGAAGTAGGCATGCGGGGCAAGAAAACTCACGTGCTCAGCCTCCTCGAGAGGGTCTGCAACTTCTTATCCTGGTCCGCCTCGCGGGTGGCGCGCTCGAGCGCCTGGGCGCGCTCCTCGTCGTGCTGCTTCTGGACCTCCTCGGAGCTGGGTGGCAGGCGCTCGTTCTGCAGATCGACCTTGCGGGCGTCCTCGAACGTGCTGATGGCGTTCTTGATACCCTCGGCGCCCAGCATGAGGGTGCCGGCGGGGAGGCGGCCGCCGGCCGCCGTCTTGAGCTCGGTGACGCGCTCCGACTCCTCGCGCAGGACCTGGAAGACGCGCGACAGGCGCCCGATGGCGAGGATCTTGTTCTTGATGGCGCGCCTCTTGTACTCGATCGAGTCGGGATCCTGGCTGCCGGCGCTCGCGGCGGACGGCAGGGACGGGGAGACGGGGCCGGGGGAGGTGGCGGACGAGTCCTCCCTGAGCTCCTCTTCCGAGCATGTGCTCAGGATGGCGATGAGCATGTCTGTGATCTTCTCGCCGACGAAGGGCAGCGACCATGTGAAGACGTCCATGAAGTTGGGGAGCCAGTAAGGATGCGGCGTGCAGTTAAACTGCCGGATGTTCATGACGTTGTTCTCGTACTTAAGCACGGCGGCCTTGTTGTTATAGACGTCGAGGTAGTTAGGTGCCGAGAAGATGGTCATGACGCTGGGGAAGCCCGTCGTACGCGTCTTACGGTACATGCGGTATCCGGCGTCTTGAGCCTCGTGGGCGCGGATGATGGACAGCAGGTTGTTCTTCTCCAGGAAGTGGCAGGCGGCGGGGTACGAGAAGAAGTACGAACACCCACGCACGTGGTTGTGCAAGAAGTAGTCCGTCGTCTTCTCCTGGCCGAAGTCCTCCAGAGGGTCGGCCCAGAGGATGTCGCACATTAGCCCCTGAGTCGGGGGTTCCCTAAACCGGTCGATCTACGCTAAGGTCAGCTAGAGGCACGGAGGCGGTGTTGCGGGGTGCTCACGTTTCTGAGGTCGTCAAGTGTGTGCAGCTCTGGGCTGAGGCCGCCGTGGATGCACAAGAACTGCTTGTTCATAACGGCCGCCAGCGGCAGGGAACAGAACGACTCCATGCATGCCTCGTAGATAGCCTCTGAGTACTTGTGCTTGCATTCGAGCTTGAAGGTGAAGTAGTCGGTCAAGTGGCGGCATTCGTGGTTGCCACGCAGCAGCCAGAGCGTCTTGGGGTAGTGGATCTTGAGCGCCCAGAGATAGAGCACGCACTCGATACTGAAGTATCCACGGTCGACGTAGTCGCCCAGGAACAGGTACCTAGTCTCGGCCGGGTCGCCGCCCACCTCGAACAGCTTCATCAGGTCGTAGTACTGGCCGTGGACGTCGCCGCAGACGGTGATTGGGGCGTCCATCTCGAGCAGGTTGGGCTCGGCACGCAGGAGCTCGGTTCCCTTTCTAAGAATCCATAGCGCTTGATCCTCGGTCAGGCGGCCCTCGCGGTAGAAATGCTGCTTGAGGAACTGGATATCGGGCTTCTGGTGGGTATCATCCTCGAAGAACTGTTCGTTGGTGGGCTTGTACATGGCGGGTGCTTGAACATCTAAAGAGGAGGGGCACAACATAGTCAGTCTCCAGGCGACTCAAAACCGAACGGCGGGCGATCGCGTGTGGCGGGCGGGAGCATAGGTACCTTTGCAGACTCGCTCCATGGTGCTGACCTGGGTCCCGTCCTCCATGGTGTGGATGGTGAAGTCGATCTCGGGCAGGGGCTTCTTTTGCTGTATCGCGCGGATGGCATTGTCGACCTGGAGGTCCTTGGCGTCGCGCTCATCGTGCGAGCCCATCACGTTGGCGTCCTCGGTATCCATGTTGGCGCTGGGTCTTTTTCCTCAAAGAGCTGTGTGGGAGAGAGGAAAGAGGAAGGAATCCTTCGGCGGGTTGCGGCAAGTCGGTCGGGAAAGGTTGGTTGGTTCCGTTGATTGGTTTACGGTGAACGAAAGGCTGTCCGCTGTGTCCCGCAGCGAGCAAAAATATGTGGTCGAAGTCTTCTATGTCGCCAAACCTTTATTATCCGAGGCGGTCCTGTCGTGAGAGGGCTGGATCTGTATACAGGTGGGACACCGGTGCGAAGCCGTGGTAGGATCGAAGGGCAGGTAGGGCTGAGGGTTGGGCGGCCGAGGGTCGGGAGGCAACCTTTGCAACTCGGTAGTATGCTGAGCAGCTCCAGACCAGAAGCTGGGTGGGATGAGCGGGGAGGGGTACTTGGATGTTTCACCGGTTTGCACCGAGCCAAGAAGTATCTCTGGTAAAATACGGGGCACGTGGGGTAGGGGGCTGAAGATATCGTAATTATCCCACCTCTTCCAGGTACGGTTTGTCAGTACATAACACAGTACAGAGGGTATCGACCAGCTCGACTGGAAGACAAATGAATTATTCTCTCTTTTCTTGTGCTCCTCCAAGGATTCACTTCTTCAAACTAAAAATAGAATTATCGAGACCATCTTGATCCCACCCAGTTAAAAGATGGGAATGAAAAGGCACAGATACGCACTGCAGCGCCGCACCCGATTCACTTGATCCGTGGTGTGAGAGGAAAGGCGAGAGGTGGGGGCTGTTTTGTTTGTACCGCCCGTTCCTGCTGGTTCCCCGCCTGTTTCATGGAAGAAAAAGAGGCGCTTCAGGGTCCCTTCCCTCCTATCCGCTGAGATTTAGCGAGTCTAGACCGTGCGACGATGGCTTTGTAATTCCGTAACGTTACTTCGTATAGGTACTGTGTATGTGGTAATTCTGTCAATTGGGCGCGCTTGTGTGACCCCTTTTCGTCTTGCGATATAGGGTTAGGGTCACCAGCCATTCCCCTCACCCCTCACTCTTCTATCTACGAAATACAGGTACCTTACTTATGAAACACATTGTCTCTCAACACACTCAAGAATCCTCCCACGAATCCTCCCACATTCGCCGCCATATCCGCCTCCTTTATGGCGCGCAGTATCCGCCGTCAACGTTGATATCCGTTCCCGTAGTATACGATGACGCATCCGACGCCAGATAGATGTATGCACCCTTGAGCTCGGACACCTCACCCTCACGGCTATTGTAAGATGTCAGCAACTGAAGGGGAAAAGAAAGAGAAGAAAATAAAAGAAAAAAATGTGGAGAATAAATGAGGATGAGAAATAGGAAGAAAAAGAAAGAAAACTAGAAAGTGAATGGAAAAGGCGACAAAAAACAGCACTCACCCCATCGGGATCTTGTCCTTCCACGCCCTCTTCGTATCCTCGTCACAAAACTCCGAGATGCTCGTAACAATGTACCCCGGGCTAACCGAGTTGGCGCGGGCAAAACCAGTCCACTCGACCGCCAGACTCCTGCAGAGGTGGATCACAGCCGCCTTGCTGGCGTTGTACGAGGCCTGCAGCTGGGGCACGTTGACGATGTGGCCGCTCATGCTGGCGGTGGCGATGAAGCTGCCCGTGGTGAAGGGCGGGTCGAGCGGCTTGCCGCCCACCAGGTCGGTCCCCTCGCGCTTCTGCCGCCGGAAGTGCAGCCCCGCCGCCCGCGCGCTGAAGTAGGTGCCGTCCAGGTTGGTCTTGACCACGTCCGTGTACATGTCGATGGGCCCGTCCAGCATGGGGCCCTTGGTCCACGCGACGCCCGAGTTGGCCACGAAGACGTCGAGCCGGCCGTTGAAGGCCCGCACGATGGTGTCGACGGCCTCGGCGACCGCGTCGTACGAGGTGACGTTTACTTGGTAGGCTTGGCCTGTTTATCTGAGTGAGTTTATGTTGTACTCTCGAGGCGGAATTGGGACAAGGAAGTACGAGGGTTTTAAAAAGACTTACACTTGACGCCGTACTCCTTTTCGATTTCCGCGGCAGATGTCTCGGCCTCCTCTTTCCTCCTGTTGTACCAGATGGCTACGTTGGCGCCAGCTTCGGCGAGGGCTTGGGCTATTCCCAGTCCGATGTTGCCTGCGCTGGCACCCGAGACGATGGCCGTCTTGCCCTTGAGGGAAAATAGGGGGAGGACACGGTCCGACTTGGGAGCCACCGTGGAGTCGTGGACGAACTTTCCTTCTTTCATGTCGGCCATGTTTACGGTAGGGTATGTATTGGGGCAATGGCGTCGTGAAGATGTGATAAGAGTACGGAGAAGGGACCGAATATGTCTCAAAGCTCGGCTAGCAGCGAAAGGAGGGAGGGGGGTGTTATGCGAGGAGATGAGGTATTATTGTAGGTGGACGTGTTCAGTAGCAGTCGCTCGCTTGTAGGAACAGACACCAAGGCAACGTCGGATAGAACAATATAACCAGAGTAACACAAGAGTAAAGCAACGAGGCGCCGAAGGGGGATGTCCCATGTGTTTATATATACAACCCCTCCCTCACGAGTAACACCGAGCTCAGCCGTGAGAGTCGAGACGGGAACCCTGATCGGCCGGTATTTTTCCCTGATTTAGTAAAACATAGAGAACACGGGGACCCAACAGCAGATAAACGCCAGGTACCGGCTTGCGGGCGGCTCGCGACCGGCTCGAGACCAGCTTGCTATTGAGCCATTCCCGACGGAATCTCTGGCCGAAGGAGGGGCAAGTGCGCGGTTACCCAAGGCGGGATGGAGACGAACCCTTGCCCCCCTGAGCAGCGTGATGACATCAGTGGGGCCGCGGTGGGTCCCGGGTCACGGTGAAGGTTGCAGGCTATTCGGAACGGGGAAGCCGAGGTGAGGGACGGGTTGGAAGGGAGGAGGTGTCTTGGTATCATTTATCCAAGAATGGGTAGAAGATCTATGTGGTATGATTCTCCGTGAACAAAGTGATTGAGATAATCTTTGGTTGACCTAGGTGACGACGGTTCATAGAGACGGGATTTACTTCAGCCGGGAACACGGGAACGACGTCGAGGGTTGGCGGGTTGGCGGGTTGGCGGGGTAGGTGGTGTGGGGGGTGGGGACTTTGTTCGGAGGAACTCATTCAGGAGTCGGGACACACAGAGATAGGAAACTCCGCCGTGAGTGCAGCCATCTTTCCCTCCCTTACCCCAGAACTCTATGAATGTTGTCTTCCTCGCTGAGGTTGGTATTCGCCCACTGAGACATAAAGTCGTCTCTGTTGACTGGTTGGGTGGTTAGATGTTAGCAAAGCAGTGAATCAAAAGGAGTCCCAGCTAGGGCAGGCTAAGTGTCCTGTAGTTACTCACTGTATCCTCCGCAGATCCTCCTTATCCCTTTGAACGCACTCCGGCCATGGAGCACACGCCAGTTGTCAAAAACTGTGATTGTCCCTGTCAGTAAGCCATACCACTTCAACGTAACGATCACAACCTCCCGGAAGTACTCACTCAACACGTGGCCGGGCTTTAGCTGGAACCAGTACTGCATCTCCGGCCTCTCCATGATTTCGTGCCATTTCCGGGCAGCTCCGTACCACCGCTCCGGGGAGATGGTACTGAAGGGGACCACCCCTCTATCGTCGTTGTTCCATCGGATCCTGTATAGCGTCCCATTGGGGAGCTCCTCAAGGACGGGGTATTTCAGGTCCGTCGTGATTTTGATCCCCTTGTTGCCGCTCGAGTGCCATGGGAGCCCGACCGAGCGCAAGATGTCGTACGCCTCCGGGTTTTCCGACTTCAGGATCCGCGCCGCGTTGAACCCGTCCAGCAGCACTGACTCACCCCCAGTGGCATGGCTCTCGCCCTTTGCGGGTTCGTGGGAGAGCATGTGGAAGGCCTGCAACCCGGCCGGGTCCGTGAAGTACGTGTTGTCCGTGTGCAGCGACAGCGCCTGGTTGGTGTAGGCCGTGTCGGCCATGGCGAGGTCGGGCTTGAAGTCATAGAAGCCTCCGTAGTGCGTCTGCCGGATGAATGCTATGCGCTCGAGCAACTCCCGCGTGGGCTCCGGGTTGTCATAGGGAGTTCCCTCAACGAAACAGAAGCCGTCCTTTCTCTGTACGGTGGGTTAGACTGTGATTGAGATCGTACGGCTGAGGGCCACTTGCGAGTTTCATGGTCAACTGGGGGAGCCCAGATGGTTCCTCTCCCATGACGGACCGGTAGTTGACCGCTGGGGGGGTTATGTGCACCTCATTACCCCAAAGGCTCGGATCCAGCGAGTCAGTGCGCTCGTTGTGGTACATGTAATGCCGGATGAACTCCCAAGGATAGGTGCTTTTATGGCCATCGGACCCTACTAGTCATTAGCATACGCCGCAGTTTGTCTTTCGTAGGGAACCGACATTCTACGTGGATATTAGTGGGATCCGCCGTGGCATGAACAAGATGTATATCTTCCGGCAGCTGCTGTCTGGTAAGCACGGGCGGACCAAGACAAACGGGATTGTCAAATCCCGCATACCTACCTTGAAGGTGTCAAAGTTTCGCTGCATGGTCTGCTGGTTTACACAACTAGGGCAGCGGCAGTTGTCTCTATAATCGTCCGCCAATTTGTCAGAAACACAAGGAGCTTTTCACGGCATTGCCAGGTTTTGAACTCACCGGAGCCAAAAGGATGACCTACAAAAGTGTTAACCACCTAATTCATCAACGGATGGCGGATTGGTCCAGACATGATTATACTCACAAAACATTGCGGCGCTCTTTACTTTCGGGAATCTTCCACATGGCAGGTAAGTTGGCCACCATGAGCCCTTTGTCCATAATCTCGACGGCCCTAGGCCCATCGGTAGGTTTACTCTTCAGGACAGTTGAGTATCGCATTGGGTATAAAGTTGTGACCCGAACCGCGGGCTGGCTGAGGTGTTGCCTTTTTAAGTACGTATCCATCAGTTTCCCTCGCTTTTACCGTATTTGACCCCTACAACAAGAAGATAAAATCTTGAGTTTCGAGGTTTGACTGTTACTGACCTTGCCAAAGCCTCACGCCAAGCGGAAGCTGGACGCAAAGCCGGTCGTAATGCTCTAAGGAGCTTCATCTTGTGTGGTGTTCTTTATTCCCACTCCAGTCTGGGTGAGTGAGTATTATTGCGGACGCAAAGATCCCTCTCATTTGATAGTTGTAAGCTGCGTGCGATCAAGCCTCCATGCAGGGACTGGGTGCAGACCCGAAGATATGCGCTGCAACTGCACGCCAAGGCCCGGGGTATGCCCATGCCGTCTCCAAATGACCTCGGCAGATCGGAAAGAATGAGGTGCGTTGTGTAAACCAACTGTGGATCAGGTGGTGGTTGAGAGAGAAAATGGGAGACTGATGACTGGTGAAAGACTGTTGCTAATGGTAGGGTTAGGGTTTCCGTGGTGAGTTGCTGAATGGCCAACTCGGTACCTCTCTTCCCACTTCCGCAGCTCACGGCCGCATTGAACTACGTATCAGGACCCAAAGCGTCAACAAACCCCCTTATACAGCCAAAGAACTCTTCTTGGAATTTTAAATCAAACTTGTATAACTCCAGAACCATAATCCTTCTAAACCAAATCCGGACATCTACCAACTACCTAACCACCCCGCCCACATCCCTTTTCGGCTTACACCCAACCAAGCGCCCAAACTCTACCCACCGAACCCCAGCTTACCCCAAAACGAACCGCCAGACTTGCCAAACAAAGGAGGCGGAGACAAAATAACCGTATTCCACGTCTCCTCCCCATCGATGAACAGTCGGTACTTGAGGCTGCTCTGGTCGCCGCCCTCCAGGTTCTCAATACTGATGGCCCCGAACTTGGAGTTGCCCTTATGAATGTACCTACACAAGTGAAAAGCAGCAGTTAGCACGACACATTTCCACTCACAACCCCAATCACCAGGGAAGAGGGGGATACTCACTTCACCATGACATCCTCCTGGTCCTTCTGCCGATACGTCCCAAACGGCGAGTAGAACTGACTCAACGGACTGACGGAAAACTCCCACACGGTAGCCGTCTCCTTCCACCGATAGCTATCCTCGGGCGGGGGGAACTTGGTGGCAGCAAACTCATGGCGGTCGCCGGAGAGCACGACAACACCAACGCCGCTATCGGCGACGTCCCACATGGCCTCGAGCACGCGGGCGCGCTCCTCGAGGAAGCCGCCCCAGGTGTCCTGCTTGTTTACCGGCCAGTTCTTGGTGAAGGGCACGGACGAGGCGACGATCTTCCACTTGACGCCCTTGGGCTCCGGCCGCCGCAGCCACGAGAGGAAGTCGGCCAGCTGGTCGCCGCCGAGCATGGTCTTGCCGGCCGCGCCGCTGGGCAGGTTGTTGGGCGACCGGAAGGTGCGCGTGTCGAGCAGGAAGAAGCTGGCGGGGCCCTGCGTGAACTCGAAATAGGTTGTGTTCGCGCGGGGCTTGCTCGAGCCGACCTTTTTGGCTAGGGGTGGGTTAGCCGCGGCTTGGTAGTGGTGGAAGGGGTCGATGGCGGACTGGTAGACGCCCGTCGAGTTGGCGGACCAGTCGTTGGCGATCTCGTGGTCGTCGATCACGTGGATCCAGCTGAGGTTCTGGCCGACCGCGGGCCAGTCCGGGGAGGCGTAGATTTGGCGGTACTTCTCGCGGTAGTAGGAGGCCGATTTGTCCCAGTAGCGCGGGACATCAGCGTAGATGAAGTCGCCGAGGAAGAGCATGAATTGGGCGTTGAGCGTGGGGAGGACCTTGGCGAGGTGCTTGAAGCCCGGAATGGAGAGGGGGTGGTCGAACGGGCTGTATGGGAGGCGGGGTACGATGCAGGAGGTCGACAGGAAGGTGAAGGGCCCGTCATTGGTCTCCTCGGCGCGGCCGACAGGCTGAGGCGTGGTAAACTCGCCGGAGTGGTTGTTCGAGGTACGCCACTCGTAGGTTCGCTTCTGTGAATGCCGCAGGGGAATGGACAGAACCGCGGTGTAGTCCGTTTCGTTGTTCGTCCACTTCACGCCACCAGCCTTCTGCCACAAGGGGTTGTCGAACGGCGGGTGCGGGTCCTTGAGGTGTACCTCCACGCTGACGGGCATTTTGGTCTGATCGGGCTCCCGGATCACCAACTTCGCCTCGGTGTCGGAAAGATATCCCAGTCTGACGAAGGACAGGTCATGAGCGCTGTAAGCGCGTTCCCGGAAGAGACGGTCGGCGACTAGACCAACGCAGAGGCCGTTGATGAGGAGCGTAGCGAGCGACAGGGCCAAACTCCGCGGGTTGGGTGCACCGCTCAACAACGTCTTCCAGGCGCTAACTGGCCGATCCTCAAGCGAAAGAGTTTCCTTGACGGTAACATCCTCAGCAATGATCTCCCTATCGCCGTTGGTGGTTCTGTCATTGTTGCTTTCGGGAACATCCTCATCCTCCACAGCGGTTTCGGTCACGACCACGTCTACCTCGTCAACCAAATCGTACTTGGCCTCGTTGCGGTAACTAGAAACAAAAGCAGGGAGGTAGATGGCAAAAAGGGTGAATATGATGGCAGGGGCGATCTCCTAATTGTCAGTCCAAGAGCTCTTCCGGCCCACTTGGTTATGTGTGTACACTCACAGGCACCAGCGCCTGAGACTTTGGGATTAGCATTTGATTCACATGCCATCATCAGAGGATTGCAGGACTCACCCATCGCAAGAAAATGTAGGACAGCGCTCGCAGCCCGATTGAGGCCGCGGTTGCGACCTTGGTCTGCATTATCGCCATGATGGCAAACTCGACCTTGTGAAGGCACGACAGAAGACAAGATTCGGGGTAGATATCAAAATTCGACTATTGTTGATTACCGCCTTCGAGGTCGGTCAACAGATCATGGTGTGATTTGGGGTAGATTTCAGATGGAACGCTGAAAAGAGGAAAGTATATATTAATGTGCAGTCAATGTATCAAAGAAAAGAAAGGTGCTTTCATTAACAGTAGCCTGGAATTTGTCGGGTTTGTCTGATTTCGGAGAGCAAATCAGTCTCGCTCGACCCTCGTGCAACCCGGCAGTTGCTCAAAGTCACTGATGTCACTGGCCGGAAACAGCTCCCGCTTCTTGCGGTCAACGAATCGCCAGCCAAACAAAGGCGGGAAAGATGGAAAGCTTGGGCCAGGCCCAGGGGCCCAGGGTTCGCAAAATTTGGACACCGTCTCGACCATGACACTCCTGTCTGGAATTGGACGGACCGGGACGCGGTTGTTCCGCCCAAAATTACAGTGGGACCCGGGCCAAGAGCCAAGCCTGGCCTTTCAGCATTGGATCCGTGGCTTTTGATGGTTGACGCCCGCGACTCGAGAGCTTGTCCTGAAGAGCGCTTCGAACTTCGACCCGCCGACGCAATTCCACAATCTTGCGCACGATGCAGCTGCCGCTACTCTCGTACGGCCTCTGGGCCCTGCTGGCCGTCCAGGCGACGGCGACAGCCCTGACCTACAAGCTCAACGCGAACGAGGAGGCGTGCTTCTACACGGCGTCGCAGCAAAAGGACGAGAAGATCGCATTCTACTTTGCCGTACGTTTGCCGAACCGGTGGCCGAACCGATCTCTACTGGAATCCATAGCGCAACCCAATGCTAATACGTCTCTTACAGGTGCAATCGGGTGGCTCGTTCGATATCAACTACCGCGTGACCGGACCGAACGATAAATACATCTTGGACGGCGAGAAGGAGCGGCAAGGCGACTTCGTGTTCACCGCAAAGGAGGTCGGCGAGTACAAGTTCTGCTTCAACAACGAGATGAGCACCTACACGGAGAAGTTTGTCGACTTCGAGATTGCTGTAGGCACAACCCCTGAATCTCCCGGCATGACTGTGATCCTAGGTACTGACGGGCAATTGTTTAGGTCGAGAACGAGGCTCGCGTAAGCCTTCCTTCGAAGCAGGGCGCGTCCCCTGAACAGACCTCGTCGCTCGAGGAGTCCCTGTTCAAGATCTCGGGCCAGATGTCGACCATCACCCGCAACCAGAAATACTTCCGCACCCGCGAGAACCGCAACTTCAGCACGGTCCGTAGCACAGAGACGAGGATCATCAACTTCAGCTTGATTCAGATCCTGCTGGTTATCTGCATGGGCGCTCTTCAGGTCTTCATTGTCCGATTCTTCTTCCAGGGCGCACGGAAGGGCTACGTATGAAGCGGCGGTTGCCTCGGATGCTATATTATGGAACTCGTTGGTTGGGTGGGCGTAATTTTGCGAGCTGGGCATGTCTTGCATGAAGAATTTATGTATCATCACGGATGGCTCATGGTTAACGAGGGACGGGTCAGGTAGTGTCTTTGTTGTGTTGTTTTGGCGTGATGATTGGGTTTGCGTGTGTACTGTGTAGATGGCACTGGTCACTAGATCAAAAAGACGTCTATGACCAGCATCATGAGCATTGCAGTCTTTCTGGAACTGTTTGGTCTCGATCCTCGGGCGCAGCTCAGGGGCTACCCAGGGAGCTGTCTCCTTGTCTGTACGAATACGGCGGGCCGTCACAGCTGCCAAACAATGCGCGCCTGCGGCTCCACTTTGCCCAGCCACTGCCGCGATGCCTGCAACTTTTCTAGAACAAGGTCCCCACTGAGAACCGTCATCTGCAACTCCAACAGCTTGTTACATACACCAGCCAGCAGCCATGACTTCGATAGCGACAGGCCTCGCGCGGGCTCTCCCGAAACCCCAACATAGCTCGGAGCATGAAGAACAGCGGACACAACAGCGGGGACCGCGAATTGTCGCCGCCGACCAGATTGACGAAACACAGATCGTCTTGAAGGTTAGTGAAAGTTAGCATTCCCATTTTACAAAACGGTGAATTGACCGTCATCCCTTTGCAGAGAGCCGGTCCACCTCCGTACCCGAATCGATCAGGCTGGCGCCCGCGCGCGCCCGAGGACTTTGGCGATGGCGGCGCGTTCCCCGAGATCCCCGTCGCGCAATACCCATGGGGCAAAAACGACGGCTCCTCCAAGTCGAACGCGTTGGTCGTGCAGGTCGATGACGAAGGGAAAGTCGACTACGGCGCCATCGCGCGGCAGGGCCACAGCGGCGACCGAGTCATTCACGCGTCGTTCAAGGACCTGATCCCTCTGCGGCAGCGAGCCGAGGCGGGCGACCTCGACCTGTCGCGCCCCAGCGAGGAGGAGGTGACCGAGACGGCCGAGCGGACGAAGAATGCCCTGGCCGCGCTGGTCAGCGGCGCGCTGGCGGCGCAGAAGCCGAAGAACGTGAACACTGGCGGGAGGAGGGATCCGACGTTCGTGCGGTACACGCCGTCGGCGCAGATGGGGGATAATTCCAAGAAGCAAGATCGGATCATGAAGATTGTCGAGAGGCAAAAGGGTATGTTCCGTTTGGGTTCAGTGAGGTTGCGGTACTCGGCTGACCTGTGGCAGATCCAATGGAGCCGCCGAAGTTCAAACATAAGAAGATCCCCCGAGGACCACCCACACCACCCCCGCCGGTATGTCAAGTCATATATGTCCTGCATTTTCTAAAGGTCGGAGTGCTAATTTGAATCTAGGTGATGCATTCTCCACCGAGGAAACTCACCGCAGAAGACCAAGAGGCGTGGCGCATTCGTAAGCCAACCTACATTCAGTGTAATGAAGCAATGCTAATAGCCCTTAGCACCCCCGGTGTCCATGTGGAAGAATTCCAAAGGTTTCACAATTCCTCTTGATAAGAGAGTCGCCGCGGACGGCCGCGGGTTACAAGATGTCCAGATCAACGACAAGTTCGCCCAATTCTCAGAAGCGCTGTTCATGGCCGACAGACACGCCAGAGAAGAAGTCCGGCAGCGAGCCATGATGCAGCAAAGGCTAGCAGAGAAGGAGCGGGCACAGAAGGAGGACCACCTCCGGCAACTCGCCCAACAAGCACGAGCCGAAAAGGCGGGCGGCGGCAGCAGGCGACGATCGCGCTCCCGTTCTCGCTCCTACAGCGGATCCGAATCACGTTCCGACTCGGAGGACTCAGAATACGAGCGGCGAGCGGCGCGCAAGGACAAACTGCGCGACGAGGAGCGCAAACTACGGCAGTCGCGCATGGGCGCCGAGCGGCGGGCCCAGGTGCTCGCGCGGGAGATGGACCGCGACATCTCGGAGAAGATCGCGCTCGGCCTCGCCAAGCCCACGCAGTCCAAGGAGGGCATGTACGACTCGCGGCTGTTCAACCAGTCGAGCGGCTTCGACAGCGGCTTCAACGAGGACAACCCCTACGACAAGCCGCTGTTCGCCGCGCAGGACGCCATCAGCAGCATCTACCGGCCGCGGGCCAACGCCGAGGACGACGACGAGGAGGGCGCCGGCGACCAGGAGATGGCGCGCATCCAGAAGGGCAGCCGGTTCGGCGAGGCGCTCGGGAGGGGGACCTTCAAGGGCACCGAGGAGGCCGAGGCTAGGGAGGGCCCCGTGCAGTTTGAGAAGGACTCGGCCGATCCGTTCAACGTGGATAAATTCCTGTCTGAGGTGCAGCAGGAGGCCACTGCGGCGTCGTCCTCGTCGAAGCGTGGGTATGGGCTGCGGGATGAAGAGGATGCTAGGCAATCAAAGAGGAGCCGGGTTGATGATGATGATGATGAGGAGTGAGGGCTTGGTCGGATAGGGGGAGGTGGTGGTGTTGGGATGGATGTGTGTGTATATCAAATCAAATGGAGAGGGAGGTGATAGCTGCTTGATACCAGCGAGAAATAATACCAGACGGCCGCCAAGTCGACTTGTCTGACATTGCTTAAGGACGCCAATGTTATCACACTAAAGTTACCGCTTACGATCCGCTTTCGACGTATCGCTTTCACCTTGAGAAGGAGGGGCGCATTCCCGGTGGGCCGAGGCCGCGTCACCCGTTTCGGTCCCTTTCTCGAGAGCATTTGGCCCCCAGTTCCATTGCCGAGACAGCCGTGAGCTGAGAAATTTTAGTGTTTATCAAGCTGCCCAAGCGAGTCAGGCACCTGGCGGAAGCAATTGGTGGCCGTTCCCGTCGGAGAGATATGCAGGGGCCGTGTGCACATCTTCGGCACCAGGACATCGACTGGGTCCAGAATATGATATGCCCGTTTGTGGTGTACCAGTGTATGAATACCCATCCAACTCCTCTCCTGCATGCAGCTTCTGCGTGGTCTGGGTACCATCAGCCTGATAGGGCCGACTGTGGCGCAGCCCCGCAGGTCGTTGGTTTGCATCGGCGGTTGCTACCAGACTGGTTCCGCCCTATCGAACCTTCGTGGGGGGAGGGAAAAGTGAATGAGTTGGAGCCCCTGGAATACGAGAACAGTGATGCATGCATGGCTGGGCGCCAGTCCCGGGCCGTGGGCTGCGAATGGGACGTGCGAAGGAGGGAGAGGCCTCGGAAGTATACCTGTGCTGTGACCTCCCCTCCCGCCAATGGGTTTAGTCGTCGTTGGCTGTTTTGCCTTGCTGCCCGTGCGAATATAATACACTGAACATCGCCATGAGGCTTCCTCATCTTGCTTAACCGACCCTTCTTAAGCTCTCACACGCACAAAATGAAGCGGAGTGACTTCGTTGTCTCATCCTACGAGCCAGACGACCCGTCGTCGTCGGCTTGGAATCCCCGAAACTGGACCAGGAGGATATGGCTGATCATAGTTACGGTGATTGTCGTGATTGTGGTGGTTGTCGTCGGAACTGTCGTCGGTGTGAGGGCCACGAGGAACGGTGACAGCGGCAATACGAGCTATCCCGACTATTCCAAGTTGAACTACACCCTGATCGACTCTTGTAAGTCAAGTTTGATTGTTATGTCCCCGGGAGATACTCAGGGGCAGGGGTTGGGGCTGACTTGATAGACTCGAGCACATCCTTCTTTGACAAGTTTGACTACTTTTCCACTTGGGACCCAGGTATGGCCTCCTCTGATTATTGTGATACTTCTACAACTGACAACCATCTCCAGCCGGGGGTTTTGTGCACTATGCAGACCCAAACTTTGCTGCGACATACGTACGCGGACTCCACGCCTACCCCCTACTCTCCCCTCTTGCGTACTAACACCCCCAGAACCTCACCTACTCGACGCCCTCTACCTCCATCATTCGAGTTGACACCAGGCTCGGACCTGGCACAGAACCCGATGCCTCCACAGGACGCTTATCAGTCCGTCTCGAGTCCAAAGCGCAGTACGGGCCAGGACTCTTCCTCTTCGACGTCAAGCACACGCCCTACGGGTGCGGCACATGGCCGGCTCTCTGGCTGACAGAGTACGCATCCACCTCCCTTTCCCTTTCTCTCCCCTTGACAGGCACACCCTCCCCCTTCCCTCACTTCCACAAGCACACCCACCCCTAACACCACCGCGTGCGTAGCCCCAACAACTGGCCCGCCCACGGCGAGATCGACCTGATGGAAGCCGTCAACCAGGCCACGACGGGCAACATGGTGGCGCTGCACACGACCGACGGCTGCAGCATGGCCGACGTGCGGCGGCAGATGGCGGGGACGGCCGGCCAGGGCGACTGCCACAACGCCACCAACTTCAACACGGGCTGCACGGTGACCGGCCCGCCGGCGACGTACGGGCCCGAGTTCAACGCGGCGGGCGGCGGGGTGGTGGCGCTGGAGTGGCGTGACGAGGGCATCCGGGTGTGGGTGTTCTCGAGGGACGCGGGGGGCCGGGCGGTGACTAGCTTGCCGGCGGAGGGCATGCCGGATCCGAGTGTTTGGGGCCCGCCGCTGGCGGATTATCCGGCGACGAATTGTGATATGGGCAGTCACTTTCGGAACCAGAGTATTGTGGTCAATATTGACTTGTGTGGCTATCTGACCCAGGCCGTGTGGGAGTCGTCTGGGTGTAAGTGTTTGCCCCTGAATCCTTGTTTGGTTTTGAGGATACTGCTGACGCTGGACAGGTCCTTCGACTTGCACGGATTATGTTGCCAGCAACCCATCTGCTTTCAATAACGCGTTTTGGGAGTTTGGGGATTTCCAGGTTTTCGAGGCGCGGTAGTAGAAGAGGGTTGACTGTTGCGTTGTTGTGGTATTCACCCACCGAACAAATTGTAATACAGGCTCTTGAGTCGATCCTTGATACAAATACTTTCGTGCTTAAACATCCCTCCTGCCGTCTCTTCGTGAATTTTAGTGGTACATATCACTCCCCAACGACCCTCCACCCGTAGTGTGAGAAAATTAAAGCGGAGTTCTTCGCGCCGTGCCGGATATCTGTCAGATCGCATCTATACATCCATCCCTCTGGATATCCCTTGCCCCGAGGTCTATGCAAGCAAACCCCCAAACGCCAGTGCCATGGACAACACAACCCAAGACCCGTCCCCTCCCGTCCAGCAGGCCAGCCAGAGCAAGAGCACCAACAAAACAATATCATACAAGACCACCCACCCCCCCACACACATCCATCCCCAGAAGATACGCCCCTTAATCCTCATCTTTAGGCATGCGCATCCACGCATCAATAGCCGCACTAAACGCCGCAAACCCGGCACACCCCACAGCCGCGGCCTGCGGGCCCCCGTTACGAGCCAAAATAGCCCCCGTCAAGCAGCCCGCAGCAACACCGTTCCCGATATCGTTCTTTGCGCGCAGCCCCTCGATGCCGCACTCGATGCCGCTGAAGAGGGCGCCGACGGCGCCAAAGTTCTTGGCGGTGCTCCACGAGCGCGCGCCCATGTCCTTGAAGCCGTGCGCGAGCTGCTTGCGCAGCGGCATCGACGAGAGCGCGTTGGCCGTCGCCGACCCGGGGATGCCCGGGACGCCGGGAGCGCCGGGCGAGCCGGCTGTGTGGTAGGGCGTGTCGTAGGCCATCTGTGGTGGTTGTGCGATCGAGTTAGAAACATCTTATTTTAATGTGCGCGCGGCTGAGAGAGATAGAAAGGGGGGTGGAGAGAGAGAGGGCGGACTAACCGAGGCCATGAACATGCCGAACAGCCCACCAAGCGCAAACCCCGCGACGCCACTCATAGCCGTCTTCGCGTAGCACGACTCCATCGCATTAGACAGCTATATCGCCAATGGTCAGCAAACTCCGCCCTAACAACAAGCGCGGGAATGGAGAACATACCCATTTAACATTAGGATCGTTCGGGTCAAACCCCGGCGGCGCGGGTGCCCCCGCGTTCCCGCCGACTGACGGAATCCCAGGAACACCAGGACCGGCACCAGCGCCGCCGCCTAGCCCCCCGAAACCACCGCTGCCGGGGAAGTTCATGACGGTTTAATGTGTGTGTTCGTCTCTGTCGGCGGTTGTCCGCTGTCACTCGTATGGATGATCGGCAGCGGCCGGGATATCGTCGTAGTTCGGATGCGCGCCCCGGTATGGAGAGAATGGAATAGGGGCGACAAGGAGTGTCGTTACGCTAGGCTTTAGTTATAAGGTCGCCGTCCTGTTTGGGGGGTTCATGGATTCGATGGACGAGGCTATCTGTCAGTGGGGCCTGACAAAAAGTTCCTTATCGGCGCAGGGATGGAGTTTTGCTCGTTGCCACCGCCCGGTCTTGGCAGAAGTCACTTCCGTCCGTTACACGTGGTACGCTGTATGACTGAAATGGGGAAAGGATACTGTGTAAATTACGAAAGTCATAAACGTTCCGTCGTCAACACCAACCAACCATGCATCTAGACAACACGGGTATACGTCGGACAAGGCCGCAAAACGCACAAGCAGCATGACGATCCCGATGCCAAATTATACATCCCTTTTCTCCTGGCTATTGCTAGCCGAGAGCCCGCCCCTTCCCCGTCTTGTTCAGCCCTTCACCTCCTCCCGAAGCCATGCCATGCCATGCCATCCACGTTAAACTCGGCATATCAAAGAGGTCGAGGTATCTCCGCCGCAAGCCTCTGACGCAAGCAATGGGAAACAGAAATCAAAGATAACAACTACCAACACAAACGATATACCTGGGTCCCCAAGGCTACCACTTTTGGCTCAGCGACCAACCCGCTGCCGAGCGCCATGACAAAGGATACACTCGCGGGAAGCCGCAACCAGCCCAAAGAAAAAATAATGCATACCCTCCCTCCTGAGAACATCTAGCCCTTGAGAAACAGGTCCCCAGCGCCGTTCCTTACCGACCTTGTCCGGTCGGGATGGTCTAAGCCAAGGGAGTCATCCGCGCCTGACGCCACGTCCCAGAGGATGTCATCTGCACCGCCGAGTCAGTTTTTGATCTGCGTGTTTGGGTTTAGAGGGGGGTGCTCACCGTCGTTCAAGTACTGCGGTCGTGAGAACTGCGCCCTGCGGACGACAGCAAACTTGATCTTCTCGAAGCTCTTGCCCTTGAGACCCGTGCGCTTCTCGAGTCGCTTCTTCGTCTCCGAAAATACCTCGCCTTCCTTGAGGAGGAACCGGAACGGGATGCCATGCGCCCTGCTAGGTTCGCTATGGAACTGGAATACCGAGATGAATTGGGACTGGTCCGTAACCTCGGCGTCCTCCGTAGGTATCCGCTCGGCGATTACCGTCGTGTAGTCGTTAATACTGATGACAGGATAGCTTCGCTCGAGCTCCCGGAAGAACTTGTGGTTGCTGATTTCGTAAATCCGTATCTTCCCTTCTTCTCCTTCGCTAGAGATCTTTGCCTTCTTAGTCAAACAGTCGATGAGATCGTCCACCTGACCGTTCTTGGGCACAAGAATATCAAACTGCTCCTACGATCCAAGTTAGCTAGACCCTATCGTCGGCTTATCTCCGTCACTCACCTCTTTTGTGATACCCTCGCTGAGCAGCGTGAGCTTGATGTTCTTCTTGGTGTCCAGCTCGGCAAGACTCATGTCGAGCACCTCGAAAAACAGGGCGTCGTTCCGCTGGTTCATGTTCAGTTGTCCGTAGCCTGCGGGGACAAGAATGTTTTGGAGCGTCTGATTTTGGCCTCGCTTAACCGCCGCTCTCGGGTTGTTCGAGCTGGCATTGACCGTGTAGAATCGAAGGTGCGTTGCTTCCACCCCCAATTTCTCGCCTACTTGTTCCGACAGCTTGTCGTAGCTCATTTTCGAGTTTAGGACCATCTCAAACGGCGGGTACGCGTCGGGGTCGCATTTCTGAGGATGCGCGCGGAACATGACGGTTCGCTTGTTAAGGAGGAAATCGTAGTATTCACGAGCGTCCTCACACCGGTCCAGCGATTTCCTATTGAGCCATCAGTTGCGCGTGCCCACCTGGGTCAAATGCTTTTCCAACTTACGCTTCCTCGGACGGCTGCTTGTCGCTCTTCTCGGTGAGGCCCAGTTTCGATTTCCGATCGTGGACCCGTTGGAAGCAGACGATATCGCCGTCCTGGAGCTCCGCCGCCTTGAGGGACTGCTTCCCTTTGAGGCCCTCAATCATGTTAGGTTTGATTTCCTACCAAGGTTAGCTTCTCGCCTTCTGCGGTAAATTTATGGATCATTATCTTCACCTCCCAGAGTTGGATCCGCTCGTCGCTCGGCAGCTTTTCCCAGCCCATCTTCTTCATGATGGTGGGAATGAGCTCCTCCACCTTCTTCTCCTTGCTGATGTACACATGGCCGACTCCTTTTAGCGCTTGAGCCTCGGCATCGAACCATTTGAGGAAGAGCAGGATGAGGTCATTCTTAACGACAACCCCGTTCGCAAGTCCGGGGCCGTATGTCGGCCAGACAGCGGCGCCGTCGGCGTTGACTTCCTCGGCCACTTCAACCCATACGCGTAGCGCTTGGTCCCTATGTGCCGCGGCTCTGTTGTATGTTTCCTCAACGGTCGGGCGAAGGTCCATCACAGGTTGATCTGGGCGGATCGTCTTATTTTGACGATTGACCATGATCCAAAGCCTCACACGTTTCGGGTCTTGCTCAATCTCCGCCGCAATCTGGTCGACCAGGTCTTGCATGGTCGCTGTGCGGAGGAGACGGTAGAGCCTGGGTGCGGCCGAGTCCTCGTCTGGTGTCGCGTCGAAGTTGGCAAGGTCCGTATTGCCGTGTTGTTGGAACGTCGCTTCCGTGATGGCCTTCACGCCGAGGTAGAGATGCTGTTCTTCCCTCTCCTTACGTCGCGCCTCCCGGGCGACGAATTCTTCCTCGAATCGCCGATCTAAACAAATCAAGGTCAGCATCCAACGAGTACCGATCGGTCATTTATGAGAGAATTCAACTTACGGAGATGCTCTGGAGTATCCTCTGCTGCGACAGGGCAGAGTACCTTGTCGAGCCTGGATTTGCGGATGTATACCAACATGTATGCGCTGTTAGGCCTCATCGCCGGGCCCTTCTTGTTACTGAGAGGCCGTACTTGGCCGCTAGGCAACTTAAACGGGCCGCCAAAATTCTCCTCTAGTACTTCCCGCTTGGTGGCTTTGGTGACTTTGTCGTCGTCGTACTTGTACCACCAGCCCTCCTTGTCCGGCTTGAGGAAGGCGTAGTAATGGCCGGCGTTGAGATCGCCGCTGTGAACCAGAACGCCGTGTAGCTGGTACTCCCAAGACTCCGACTTGTCCGCCTCCTTGTCCAGGTACAGCGAGGCATCAAATTCCTCGGGGAACTCGTAGCGGTCGTTGATCTTCATCATGGCATCGCGTTGGATGTCGTACTCGAAGCGCTTCAGCTGCAGATGCAAGACGTCGGGGAAGCCCTGAAAGATGACGCCTTTGTCGGCATCCTGGAGCTTGTATTGGTCGCCGGCGAAGTACTGGTTCTCCCCGTCGAGCTTTTCCACCTGGATGTAGTCCTGAAAGCTATCCAGCAGGTTCTCATTCCCGCTCACGTTGAGTTGAACGTCCCAGAAATCCTCGATCCGGCTCGACTCGTACGGGACATTGATGCAAGAGATGTATGTCTTGATCTTGCCGCTGAACATTTGCGGTAGCGCCTTCTCGAACTCGGTGCCCTTCATCTTCTCTTCCATGCGCTCCATGAGCTTCCGGGAGAGCTCCTGCACGTCCTGCTGCTCGAAAATGTGGCGTGTTTCCCAGCCAAAGGACTTGGTAAGCTCGGCGGTGCCCACGGCCGAGGCGGATGTCTGCAATTGATAGAAGAGCCTTTGCAATGTGTAAGCGCTGTTAGTCATGCTTTCCTCTTCTTGCGTAGGAATACGATAAATGGCCTATCCAGTGTCAGCCAGCCGGGCTCCTCGATGCTTAAATTGGCACGTAGCGGGTTACCTTGCGGAAGGCGTTGGTGAAATATAATGACTGCAAGAGCGAGTTTAGGTAGCAAGTGGCACCCTGGTTCTTGAGACCGACGTAGCCGGTTTCCTTTTTCGAGTCGTAGTTGTTGAAGTTGTGCCACAGCACGCCCGTCTCATCCTCGACAACTCGAACGTATGCACTGATGTTGGCACAGTCGTTCTCGATGAGCGGTCGATCTGCGTTCTCCCAGACGGTGTTGAACATTTTGCGGGTCTCAAGGAACCTCGTGAACCCCCAGTCGCTCTCCTCCTTCGTGAAACGGTGGTGGGCGGAATGTTGGAAGTAGATATTTGGGTGGTTCTTGTTCCACATCACGAGCGCAAACTGCACGCAGCAGCTCCAGTCGTCGGGCACGTTGTTCGCATCGAAGCCGTGCTCAAGGTAGATGGAGCACTGGTCGGGGACATTGTTACCGAACGGGAAGAGGAGGATCCGCCTGCGTCGATGGTTTAGTGACCCCCGGGTAGATAGACAAGGAGTTATGGGAATATCGCGTACCATGGATAACCACCGGCGTGGAATATGGGACCATGCTCCTTCTTCGAAAGCGCCCGCCATCCTTCCACGGACCACGTGTGGACTTGGTCTTCTATGGTTCGAGGTTCCTCTACCAGAGGTGGAAGCACAAGCTCTTTCATGCCCTCATCTATGGCGAGTTAGCGCGCGGGCCCGTCGACAGCGGAAACGAGGGGAGGGAGGACGCACGGTCGGTTGCCAGGAGGGGGGTGTCAGTGTCCATGTTGTCGGGGTTGATGATAGCGACGTCTTCCGCCTCGGTGCCATTTGCCTCGACGATATGCTCCTCCGGTGCATCAACCATCGTGGCATTAGGCGACGCGGCCTCGTTGTTCTGGTTGTCGTCCTGGATGTCAAGGTTAGCGAGGGCGCCGGTTGGCGGGGTAGCGCCGTTCATGTTGGCGATCGGGGGGAGGGAATGGCAAGGGCGAGTCTCGGCGCCAATGGTTGATGGGGAAGGGGTGGAACGCAGTTGTTGACGAGTAGAGGGTAGGAAGAGGAGGAAAACAAGTCGTGGAGAAAGTGGTGGGTCGAAGAGGTGTTCTCAAGCGAAGGAACTCACCATCTTGTGGAGGGGCCGTGTTTGGAAGGCAGAAGCCGTCGATGGCGGGCCAAGTCAAAGCTTCCTCCTGCACACTCACTGAACGGGCGCCAGGGCCACTGTCGGGCGAACCGGCAACGACTTTGAGGGGCAAATAATGGAGAGTAAAGAATGCTTTGTAAAAAAAAATAGGCTTTGCGGTCCCTGGGATACAGCAAACTTCTGCAGCAAGACAAACAGAAGCTGTGCAGCGAAGAGGGAAGTAGTCAGCAGCAACAAACTTTAGTATGGGATGTGAGATGGTGCAAAGGGAACTTGAACTGAACCACTGCACCACTTTCTGTTGCCCCAGTATTGCAACCGGGCGCAGCAGACGACGGCTTTTGGCTCTCGAGCGTCGTACACTGACATGTGGGTATCTCGAGGCTCGGCAGGTCAGCAGGTACCTCGTTGTTTGTCGAAATCAGACGGCAGTGGCAAGGGGCCCGAGGTACCTCTCTAACGCATTGTATTGAAAAACGACATACACAAGGACCCTTGCCCCTCCAATGACGTGGGGTGCAGAGACACCATGCCTTGCATGCGACCAGGCACGGCGAAGCAACACCATACTTGATTAAACATTGGGCAGAATGATGCCTTAAGCCTATCAGTATTGCCGGTTGCGAGAAGTGGCTGTGAAGCCCAGCATTGAGAATGAAATGTGACTGGTATTGGTTACCTGTTTAGGTTCCGGCGTGTGGTATGACTTCTGTTCATCTTGAGTTTTCAAGTTCTGTGAGAAGCCCCGGTCTCACCTGGACCCGCCCTGTTTGTTCCAAATTGAATCCGAGGCAAGACCAACAACAGAAAGCAGTTAACTTCAAGTTAAAATAGAAATTGGTGTGAAACAGGCGGCTATCCAGGAGTGGTTATTTCACGAGGATGTGGCATGCAAATAATGAGAACTTACCTAGCTAGATAGAAAAGTTGATGCTTGCCGAGGGCAGCGTTCCTCAGTGCTCGCTCTCGCGAAGACCACGCATGGCACAGTATCGCTACCGGTTTAAACAGTACTCCACACTGTCTTGGTAATCCCCCGCTCCACATGCGAGTTCGAGTTGCACACAGGAGTTGAGGAACAAACTAAATGTGGGGTAACTCACTCAAGGACCCTTCATCAACCAAGCTTCATCCGGTGCGGTATCGCAAGCTTGGAAGCGTCATGTCATGCCGCAACTCATGAGCTGCTGGAGATGGCATCTCTGATGACTGCAGACTGCAGGACAACCATCGCAGCTACCGTCTAAATTACAGCTACTTCAGCGACTGTCATTCCTTTTTTGACCCATGTATAAAATCATCTCGGTAATTCTCCGATGTGTTCTTGCCAACCCAGCCTGGAATCCCGCCTCTCTCTCTCCACTCTGAAGCTCTGACGCCTTCAACGCCAAACTCTGTCCCTGGTCGAGTTCCAACTGAGTCACACTCACACTCTCTTTCTCGCATGGCAACGACGAAGGCATGCCGCGCTTCTCGGTGTATCACGTCACGGCGTGTGCCCGGTTAATAGGGAGACCAGGGCAACCGGGCAGAGCAGCGAGATGGCAATCAATAGGTCAGCTCATGATGCCAATGGTGCGGCATTCGCATCACGTTACTCATAGCCCAAAATGGCGGCCCGTTTCTGTCTTGGATGAGTGCGTGCCTCTGCCTTCCTTATGGTCCGGCCCTTTCAGATTTGACACGTTGACGTGCTCACGCCTTGTAATAGATGGGTTGCAAAGGAAGCCCGCCCTATTAGTCTGCGGCAGCTCATGGTGTTCGGTCGCACCTTGGCTGAGTCGAGGTTGATAAGCTCGGCGAACTATGTTCGGACCGAACTGCCAACGAGGCAAGTTTGTCCACCATGCTTCTCACCGTCAAAGGCTCTACTGACTGGCATTGGCTCTTAGGATCGCCCACCGAATTCGCGACATGCAGCAGCTGCCGTATGTGGTTGTCACGAACCCACACGTTAACGAGGTCTACGACCTGTATTACACTGCATTTGATACGTTCCGGAAAGTAAAGGAGATCAAAACGCTGGAAGACAATGATCGCTTTTGCAAGACGATACGCTCCATGCTCAAGGCTCACTTAACCGTCATCCCCAAGCTGGCAATGGGCATTCTGGAGAGCAACGGTCTCATGGACTCGGCCGAGCTAGACAAGTTCATGAACACCATCCTCCGATCTGTTCGTTTCCCTCATCCGGCAATCCCTGGATTCTCAACGGGCCCTCTCGCTAACAGTCCTCTCCTAGCGCATCTCTCGCCGCGTCATCGCGGAGCAGCACCTCGCACTAACAGAGACCTTCCACGCGCCGTGGTTCTCCCCGGGGGCCAAGCTCTCCGAGTCGGAATTCATCGGCGCCGTCTTCCTCAAGTGCGTCGCCAAAGACGTAGTCACGCGCTGCGGCAACGCCGTCCGCGAGATCCTCCAGCGCGCGTACGGGCCGGACGTGGCCCTGCCCGAGATCCGCATCGACGGCCACCTCGACGCCAACTTCCCCTACATCCTCAGCCACCTCGAGTACATCATTGGCGAGCTGCTGCGCAACTCGGTGCAGGCCGTGGCCGAGCAGCACCAGCGCCGACGAGACAAAGACCCAACCTACTCCCACAAACCGCCCCCGCCCATCGAGGTCACCATCTGCGAGAGCCAGCAGCACGTCATCATCCGCATCTCGGACCAGGGCGGCGGCATCCCGCGCGAGAGCCTGCCCTACCTGTGGTCCTTCAGCAAGGGCCCCGCGAGCGGCAAGATCCTGGCCAACCTCGGCAAGGTGCCCAAGATGGCCGCCACCATGCAGGAGCTACAGCTCGAGGAGGACGATGACCACCACCACAACAACCGCGAACGCGACGATGACGACGACGACGACGGCCACGAGAACCGCAGCACCTCGGTCGAGGGCGGCGAGATCGGTCGCGATGTTAATAGTTCGCTGGCTTCGCTGTCTAGCCGGCCGCCGAACCTGCGCTTGGGGATGGGTCTGCCGCTGAGCAGGGTGTATGCCGAGTATTGGGCGGGGAGTCTGGCGCTGCATAGCCTGGAGGGGTACGGGGTGGACGCGTTTTTGCAGATCTCCAAGCTGGGCAACAAGAACGAGCAGCTGACGACGAGGGCGACGATGGATGCCGTGTAACTAAACCTTTAAGGGCAAGGGAGGCAGGCGTTGGTGGGCCATGTTTTTGTTTCTTGGAATGTGCACTCGGGGTCAGTGTTCAACCTGGTTTTCTCCTTGGCTGGGCGGGCGTTCTCTTTAGCACGTTTGTATATAGTCGCTATCGTCTACGAAGACGGCTTGTTTCCAATCAACACAGGGCTTCCGTGTCAGCAGAAGTCGCTTCCTTCAGGACAGGCAGCCTTTCTCATTATCTGGTATCATGAAGGCGGCTAAATTACATCATTCCTAAGGTCGAATAAAAAAGGGGCTCCGGAAAACAACTGACGTGAAGGTTGAGTCCGTCGAGGACGACGACCTGAAGTCCCTGGGGGTAATTCCAAGTCCCTCTACCCTCCAAGAATTTGCGCACCTTTTTCCCGTTGGCTATCAAATAACTAGGGCGGGGAGGGGTGTAAAAGGAAAAAAAACGGACAAACAATAATAAAAAGCCGGACGACAATGGTACTTTGGTCAACCAACGGCTTCCTCATTACCGCACCATGGCTCATGCGAGCCCAACGGAAACAGGGCGAGGCCGGAGGTTGACAAAATCCACGACGCGGCAGGTCAGTACCTCGTAACGACGGTCCCCTAGCGACGCCCGTGGCTGCGGACGGCGCTTCCCTGCAGCTGCTCCAGTTCGCCCTCGAGCTGCTTGATCTGGGCGTGCGTCTGCTCGAGATCCTTGTTGAGGCTGTCGCGCTCGGCAATGAGTTTCTGCTCCCATTGCCGGAAGCGCTGCTCCTCGATCTTGACCTGCTCGGTGAAGCGCTTGCGCAGCGCCTCCTCCTCCTCCTTGAACTTGGGGTTGTCGAGCTTTCTCGGGCGGGCCTCGCCAAACTTGCGCGTCTCCATCTGCTGCGCGCGGTACGCCTCGTAGTGCAGCTCCTCGGTCGTGTGGATGAGGTCCAGCATGTGGGTGCGAATCAGGATCGATCGCAGCTTCTTGAAGTCGCAGTGGTCCTCGTTCTCGACCTCGGCCACGCCCCACGAGTACTGGCGGCCCTTGACGATGCGCCCGTCGTTCGTCTTCACGTCCTTCTCAGAGCCAATGACGGCAAAGGGCATCGCGGCCATCAAGCTGCGTGCGTGCTGGGCAGCGGCCTCGTCGTCCTCCTCGATCGGCGGCTGGTAGATCTTGATGTTCTGGGCCTCGATCACGGCTTGGATCTGGAAAGCAAGGTTAGCATAACGGAAACAACTCGGCGATCGGTGTCTTTTTGTGCTCACCCTCGACTTGAACTTGGCGAGATCTGCCGGGCTAAGGGTGTCGGCCTTGGCGATGACCGGGATGAGGTTGACGCGCGAGCACAACCGCTTCATGACCTCGATATCAAGGGGCTTGAGCGTGTGGCCGGTGGGGCGGATGAAGTACAGGCAGGCGTGCACGCGGAGGTCGATCTTGTCCTGGCGGCGCGGCTGCTGCTCCTGGAGCATATAAGACTCATGCTGGTCGTCGAGGAACTCGATGATGGGCATCCACGAGTCGCGGTTGTTGACATAGTCGCCGAAGCCCGGGGTGTCGATGACGGTCAGGCGGACTAGTTGCCAGTCAGTGTCGTATTCATAACAGATAGGCGGCAGGCCTTGATGCTGCTGCTGCGTACCCTTGAAGAACTTCTCCTCCAGCTCAGCCTTGGTAATCTCGATCTCGACGGTCTTGTCGACCTGCTTCTGGTGCCGGCGCTTGTGGTCGGCGTAGTTCTTGATCGTGGTGGAGAAGAGCGTGTTGATGAAGGTGGTCTTGCCCAGCCCGGACTCGCCAGCAACCTAGTAACGGGTCAGAACAAGTGGCAACCCCACACTGCCGGTACTTCTGACCATGATAGTAAACGCGGCACCCCTCTTCGCGACAATCTTGTGCCGTTGGTTGGGCAGATTGGCAATGCCAATCGGCGACGCGCTCTCGGCAGCGGCAGGAGCCATCTCGAGCTAAGTATTGATCGAAACGAAATAAAAGTGGGTGAGGGGTATCAAGAATGTACAGCCAAAACCGCGGCGGGTGCAATTGGGAGAGATGTTGCTGGAGCGGAAGAGGTGGTGGATTTGGAGTTGACGGGTACGAGGAGACGGGGTCGGGAGCTTGTGCTTCAGGGGAATTTGCCCATCAAATTTCCAGACCAGCGAAGCTGCTGCCGTGCACGGATCAACGACAAGCACGGACTACTAGACTTCAGGGCGGGCTTCAGGGCGCCAGGCTCAAAATCGAGTGGGTCTTGCTCCCCTTTTCCACTTTCCCCAGAAGCCACCGAAAAAGGTCCCTGCCAAGCCAGGCCACCAGGCTCGACAAAAGGCACGTCGGGGGTTAGGAGAAAGAATTCGCCGACCCCGCTAAAAAGTTACCAAATTTTTGGCGGCGAGCACCGGCGATATCCTGCTTTGGCGATTGGAGCTTTGCTGCAGGCCGATTTCTTGAAATTGGGAGATGGACTGCCAGCGACCATGAAGACAGATTTTAAATTCTCCAACTTGTTGGGGACGGTATATTGCCAGGGCAATCTTCTATTCAGTCCCGACGGAACCCATCTGTACTCGCCCGTCGGCAACAGAGTCACCGTCTTCAATCTCGTCGAGTAGGCATCCCACCTCTCCTGCGCTCTCTCTTTCCCTTCTTTGATGGTTTAACAGAGTATATGTGCTAATTGGACGCAGCAACAAGTCTTACACCCTCCCGTTCGCCCACCGAAAGAATATCTCGAGGATAGGCTTGACCCCGCAGGGCAACCTGCTCCTGTCGATCGACGAAGATGGCCAAGCGGTACTGACCCACGTTCCGCGCCGAGTGGTATTATACCACTTCTCCTTCAAGTCACGCGTGACTTCCCTTTCTTTCTCGCCCTCCGGACGGTATTTTGTGGTTGGATTAGGGAGGAAGATCGAGGTCTGGCACGTTCCGTCAACACCGGACTCCAACGCCGCCGGCGACCTCGAGTTCGCCCCATTCGTGCGCCACCACACCCACACACAACACTTTGACGATGTTCGGCATATCGAGTGGTCGAGCGACTCCAGATTCTTCCTCAGCGCGTCAAAAGACCTAACGGCAAGGATATGGAGTCTAAATTCGGAGGAGGGTTTCACGCCCACGGTCTTGTCAGGTCACAGGCAAGGAGTGGTGGGCGCCTGGTTCTCCAAAGATCAAGAAACGATCTACACTGTCAGCAAAGATGGGGCTGTCTTTGACTGGCAGTATACCACAAAACCGGGCCATGACGAGGACGAGATGGTGGACGAGTCCGATATGCAATGGAGGATCGTCAATCGGCACTACTTTATGCAAAACTCCGCGACGCTCCGGTGCGCTGCTTTCCACCCCGAATCAAATTTGCTCGTTGCCGGTTTCTCGAATGGCTTGTTCGGGCTGTACGAGATGCCGGACTTCAACATGATCCACACGCTCAGCATCTCCCAAAACGAAATTGACTTTGTCACGATCAACAAGAGCGGAGAGTGGCTAGCATTTGGGGCATCAAAGCTTGGCCAGCTGCTGGTGTGGGAGTGGCAATCCGAGTCTTACATCCTGAAACAACAAGGGCACTTCGACTCGATGAATGCGCTGGTCTACTCGCCCGACGGCCAGCGGATCGTCACGACGGCGGATGACGGCAAGATCAAGGTCTGGGATATCGAATCCGGGTTCTGCATCGTCACGTTTACCGAACACACCAGCGGCATTACGGCCTGCGAGTTTGCGAAGAAGGGCAACGTCCTCTTCACGGCAAGCTTGGACGGGTCGATCAGGGCGTGGGATCTTATCAGGTACAGGAATTTCAAGACCTTCACCGCGGCCGAGAGGTTATCCTTTTCCTGCATGGCGGTGGACCCCAGCGGCGAAGTGGTTGCTGCGGGTTCGATCGACTCCTTCGACGTTCATATCTGGTCCGTCCAGACGGGGCAACTGCTTGACCGACTTTCGGGCCATGAGGGGCCAGTCTCATCTCTCGCCTTTGCCCCGAACGGTGGCCTCCTAGTCAGCGGTAGCTGGGATAGAACGGCGAGGATTTGGTCCATTTTCAACCGGACACAGACCAGCGAGCCCCTGCAGCTGCAATCAGACGTTTTGGATATTGCGTTCAGGCCAGACTCGCTCCAGGTTGCTATCTCTACTCTCGACGGCCAGCTGTCTTTCTGGTCCGTCTCCGAAGCGCAGCAAATATCTGGCGTTGACGGCCGCCGTGACGTTTCGGGTGGTCGCCGGATCACGGACCGCAGGGCTGCTGCGAACGTGGCTGGAACCAAGAGCTTCAATACCATTCGTTACAGCATGGACGGGTCCTGCCTCCTGGCGGGCGGGAACAGCAAATACATTTGCTTGTACTCTGTGACGACCATGGTGCTTCTCAAGAAGTTTACTGTCAGCGTTAACCTGTCTCTCTCGGGCACCCAAGAATTTCTCAACAGCAAGATGATCACAGAAGCGGGGCCTTCCGGGTTGTTGGATGACCAGGGCGAGGCGTCAGATTTGGAAGACCGAATTGACAGGTCATTACCTGGCTCGAAACGCGGCGATCCCTCGGCGAGAAGAGGGAAGCCGGAAGTGAGGGTGACTGGCGTGGCATTTTCGCCAAGCGGCACATCCTTTTGCGCCGCGTCCACAGAAGGCTTGTTGATCTACAGCCTCGACAGCACCGTCCAGTTCGACCCGTTCGATTTGAACATGGAAATCACGCCAGCATCAACGCTCGCCGTGCTCGAACAGGAGAAGGACTACCTCAAGGCGCTGGTCATGGCCTTCCGGCTGAACGAGGCGGGCCTAATCCAGCGTGTATTCCAGGCCATTCCCTACACCGATATCGGGTTAGTTGTCGAGCACTTCCCGACGGTGTACGTAGCGCGCCTCCTGCGGTACGTGGCGGCCCAGACGGAGCAGTCACCGCACGTCGAGTTCTGCCTGCTCTGGATCAAGGCGCTGGTGGACAAGCACGGGGCGTGGCTGACGGCCAACCGGGGCAAGGTGGATGTGGAGCTACGTGTTGTAGCACGAGCGGTGGCTAAGATGAAGGACGAGGTCAGACGGCTTGCGGATGAGAATGTCTACATGGTGGATTACCTCCTTGGCCAGGCAAGAGACAAGCCGGCTGGTGGCGAGCCGGACAGCATCGAGGATCCCGAGATGAGAGCGTTGCCCTCGACGAACAAGGAGGTGACAATACACGACATCATGGGCGAGGACGTGAGCGAAGAAGAATGGATTGGGCTAGAATAAGCAGGCATAAGAAGGCGTTAGGAATACAGGTTGATACCATGAGCAGGTTGTTGCAACATGTGCTGAGGCCGTTTCACCTCCCAAGCTCGCCAAACTCCCTATTTTTGATGGTAACATGAACTAGAGGTCCGGGACGTCCTACGCCTGTCAGCTCACACTTTCTTCCTCGAAATTACGGTTGAACATACCTTCCAGGCCTCGTCAAAGCCACAACTCCGCAACCATCGTGGCCCCGGTGCCTCGACCGAGTCGACGGCCAGGTGACACACCTTCTCCCACATGTCGTCCCCTTTCACCTTCAGCCAGTCCTTGCCCTCGTCCTCGTACTTCTTGCAGATGTTGCGGCAGATCACCATCGCCCGGGCCACCTTGATCGAATGCCCGTCATCCCCGAAGTTGTGCAGTCGGGAGACAATATCTGTTTCTCTGTCAGTGTAATCCACACAAAAAGGAGACGAGTCAGGTGGTATATGTACCGGCTAACGACCCTCCGACAGCAGGCTTCCGCGGCTGATACGCAGCCAGTTTCTCGGCCGACAGCTCGGGCGCACCGCGCGCGGCATACTGGAGCAAGTCCATCCGAATCTTCCACTCCAGTAGGCGCGCCTTGGTCTCGGCGGGGATCCAGTCTTGGGCGTTAATAGTGACAAAGAAGGGGCTCGCGTTGAGATGGTGGCTACCAGCAAGCAAGCGTCAGCAACTCCGATCTTTCTCCTTTCCCCTCCCGGCACAAAAGAAACCAACCGCCCACAACAACTCACATCAAAAAGAAGTCAAACTTGGGCTGCTTCCCCTCCTTCACCAGCGCCGCCGCGGCCGCCACAAACACAGCCGCATCAAACATCTCGGCCGTCCTCTCCTCCACCTCCTCCGGCATCACCCTCACCCTCGCCGCCAGCGCGATCATCTCCTCCCCCGCACGCGCAAGCACCCCATCCCTAACTTTATTCGCGTCCCCCTCCCTCGCCGCCCCCGCCAACTTCCCATCCCCCCTCAACCTCTCCATCAACTCCAACACCCCCTCCCCCTTCCCACCACCTTCACCACCCTTCCCACCCCCACCACTCTCCATCTCCATCTCCCTCGCCCTCCTCTCCGCCCCCAGCAAAAACCCCCCAATCTCCCCGCCATGCACCGCCGTCTGCGCCAGCGCCTCGGCGACAACCGCCTCCTGGCCCCATTCCATCCCGTACATCAGCTGGATCAGCGGGTGCAGGAACCCGGCGAACAGCCGCACCAGCAGCGTGTCGTCATCTTTGGCGAAGAGGTAGCGCTTCAGCACGGCCTGCCACGAGCCGAGCGCGCGGGTTTCCGCCTGGAAGAAGCGCAGGAAGTCGGGGTAGTAGGTTTCGTTGCCGAGGGAGGGGGCGGCGGCGGATGGCCAGGGGTGGAAGGTTGGTGTTGCTGCTGGTGCTGGGGAGGTGGTGGTGGTGGTGGTGGTAGTGGTGGGGTGGGGGGGGAGGGCGGGGCGCTGGTAGTTGGCGTTGGTGTCGTAGGCGGCTTGGAGGGCGGGCGCGGGGGCGCCGGTGCCGTAGAGGGCGAGGAGGTGGTGTGGGATCTAGGAGGGGTGTCAGTAGGAGGGGTGTCAGTTGGGGAGGTGGGCTAGGGAGTGGGCTGGGGAGGTGGGTTATGGATATGGGTAGATGAGATGCTTACGTGGTTGTGGAAGCCCTCTTGGTTGAAGAAGACATGGTGTTTCTGTAGATAGGTAGGGAGGGTGCGTGTTAGCCAAGTACTATTAATAAGGGGTCGGGCAACTGGCGAGGGAAACTGACTTCCATGTCCTCCTGGAGCAGCTCCGACACCTTCTTAGCTGCCTCGTCGGTCTGCTTGATGTGCCAGAGCCCGGTGTTGTCCGGGGTGACGTGCATCTTGTAGGGAAGGTCTGCGGTAGAAGCCATTTTGGTGGTAGTTGTCAGGGTCCTTAGACCTAGTATTGTTCGAGTGAAAGCTCGCATTCAAGGATGCAAGTTGAGTTGAGTGTGAGTTGAGGAAACCCTCCAGTAGTTCGTGAAAGCTTGAAGTAGCACAACCCACTCATATAACTGTATACTCCAGTGGCAAGGTGGTTATAACCAATTATTAATCAGTTGTTACTTTGGACGGCCTGATGTCACAGATCTTTGTCATATGGACGACAGTCCAGCTCGGCTCCGACTCGGACGTATAAAGTGCCTCGGAGGGGAAGGTGAGGGTGAGAAGTTGTTGGGCGTCAATCAGATGACATCATGCCTGTCCTTCCCTCCCCCTAACCAAAAACATCGAAAAGGGGCATGGAATGCGAGACACGTATATTCAACGCATATTTAACCCCCAGATTCAACATGACAACCCAGGGCTGCTCCCACCCTGCCACAATTCAATTCGTTGCAATTAAGCCTCTATCATCCATATCCGACCCAACTCCAAGGGGTATGCATCTTCTAACATTGGCCACTCCGTGACGTTGTTCCCTGCCATTGGACACCAAAATATGCGGCCTCATTCATTCATTAGCGGTGCCCGTCCGAATTAACCTTCCCAAACCCCGCGTCATTTATTCCCGATGCCTGCTGGGGCTCCGATGGACTCTCCTCGAAGCCCGCTCATTAATCAGTCGCTGGGCGGTCGCCTTGTCGTAGCCAATTACCCTGGTCAAGTAAAACATCCTGCAACGGAGACAGACGGTCAGCATCCAAGCGCGTAAAGTAAAACAAACAGCCAATAGGTAGAGTGCAGTGCAGGCAGTAATGGACTTACTTCTCCTCCTCCCCCTCCCTCCCCCTGCGGTCCTCCCAGCGCTGCTGGCACTCCATCCAGGCGACAGCCCTCCGCTTGGGGTCGATGCGCTTGACGCCGAACCGAAACCGGCCGCTGACGGGCCTGTGGTCCGAGACGCGCACCTCGTGGCGGCGGTAGTCGAGCTGCTCGATGCGGCCGCGCCCGCCGCCGCAGCGGTACAGCAGGCGGTCGCACCAGGCCGGGCTGCGGCGCTTCTCGCTCGTGTCGTACGTGTCGGTGCCCACGTCGTACTTGTACGTGGGCGCGAACGCGATGGGCTGCTCCTCGAAGGCGCGCAGCCGGAAGGCCGGGTTGCGCCGCCGCGCGACGAGCAGCTGGTCGCGCTCCAGCAGCTTGGCGAGGTTGCCGGCCTTGACGGCCGCCACGACCGTGTCGCGGCTCATGGTGTCGATGCGGTAGTTGAGGTCGCCGTTGAGCAGGCACAGCTCGTGGTCGAGGATCAGGGAGCCGTCGCCGCCGCCGACGAAACTGTCGACGCGGACCCCTGGGTCGCGCTGCGGCGGGAGCAGCGGCGTCTCGAGGATCGCCGCGATGTCGTTGTGCCGCGCGTTGGCAGATGTCTGGCCCGCTGCCAGATGGCAGTTGATAAAGCACAGGGACGTGTCGTCGACCATAAACCGGACCACAATGGCGCCCTTGTTGCCGTGCAGCCCGCCCATGCCGCGCTTGACCTCGGCGCTGCTTAAGTTGCTGATGCGCTCGCGGAGGTCGGCCTTGACGAAAATGCAAGTGAAGAGACCGACGAGGGGCGCCGTGTGGAGGACGTGGTAAAGCCCGCCGCTGGACATGTGGTCGTCCAGGCTCTGCGCGAGGAAGTTCCGCCAGTCGCGGTACTGGTGGCTCATCCGCTCCTGGTCCGAGCCCTCCTTCTTCTTGGGCTTGAGGAAGCGTTTCGCCGTGGCCGTCTTGTCTTCGAGGTCCACGAGCTCCTGGAACCCAAAGACAATGATGTCGGGCGAGTCGCTGTTTTGCAAGAGATCGCGAACAAAGGTAGCGTCGGACTCGGAATAGCGCAGGCTATGGGGTGTCGAGGCGCCCGCGTTCCACGTCAGAACCAACGCCTTGATCTTCTCAAAGCTGCAGTACTCGACGTCTTTGAGCTTCATCTCGCCCTCGAGCCAGTCTTCCTGGAGCATCCCGTCCCAGGTGCGCAGCATGTTATCCGCGCCGAGCGACACCACCTGGCACCGGTCGAGCTTGTAGAAGCTGGAACGGTCGACGGCGACCCTGACCACGGGGTTCTTATGGGCCTGCCAGTCCTTCTTGAGAGCCCACGGCGTCTGCTCCATATCGAACACCGTCATCTTGCCTGTGTTAAACCCGGCCCACATGTACCGGCCCACGCCGGCGAGCGAGTTGATCTTGTACTGGCTGACATTCATCACCCCGAGGCAAGAGTAATCCTTCCTCGAGTAGATGCTCACCTTCCCATCGTTGTGCCCAAAGTAGACCTTGTCTGGTTCGGACGCGAGGATGGCGCCCGAGGTTACTTCGCCGGCGCTATCTTGCATGAGCGGCCGTATCAAGACTTGGAATTGTGTTCTCCCATCCAGGGTTGGCAGGAAGACCCGTATCTCCTTGCCGGTCGCGTGCCACAGCTCGTCGCCCACAACCATCGAAAACAAGTGACCTTTTGGTACGCGGAAGGATTGCGTGGGGCCCAGAGACAAGTTCGGAACACCCTTCTCATCGGGACCCCAAACATGCAGCGTGCCGCCCTCGTCCAGAGTCCACAGCTCGTTAAAGTGCCTGTAGATCTTGATGATCTCGTGCCGGCCGTGGGCGCCCGGCCTTTGGTTCAGGATGGCTTGCGTCTGGACATCGGCCTCCAGCAGCTCGCCATGGTTGTTGCCGATCCAAACCCGCTTGCCTTCCTCGTCCACGTTTTCGCCCGGCTTGAATATCACGGCCGTCCCTTTCAGGCCTTCGCCCATAGCCAGACTCATCACCAGCTCGCCGTCTTGCACGCTCCAGGCCCTCGTGTACGCGCCGGTTGCGCAGACGAATGGGCCGCAGACATCAAACACCCGGCTATCGTAATTCGTAGCGATTTCGTGCACGCCCCTATTGATGTAAGGCTTACTCCGGTTTGTCCTCGAAGTATCTGGGTAGGCCGTGATGACCGGCGCAGAGGCGTCACCCCTGGCGGAGCTCCCCGCCAGGGTGTCCAAAGACCGGTGCTCGATCGGGGTAGCCGGCGTAGTCGGCGCGCGCAAGTCGTTGACGGCCCTACTCTGCATCCGATCCACCCCCATGGTCATGGACCTACCATTGAGCCTAGGAATGGTTGGCGGAGCATGCGCCGTGGGCGTTGACGCAACTCGTTTCTGCGCGGCCGCGCCGGCTGCGCCGATTTCGTGAGGGTGATTGGTGTTCAGCGCCGGTCGAGGTGGCCGCGGTGGTACCGAAGCCGGATGCGCGGTACGAGAAGAGTCTATGAAACTCTGCGGTCTCGCCGGAAGTGCCGGTGGCTGGTCGCCGGTGAGTTGTGGCGTAAGCGGATCTCCTGCCCTGCCATTGACGCCATCTCGGTCTAACCTCCTGGCGGTCACTGAATGGTGGAGAGGTGGTTCGAATGGGTCGCTGGCTATATGAGATGTCGTCCCGGACCGCTGTGTCCGTTCCACTTCCGTTTTCCGGCGTGTGGGCAATGCGGGGGGAGCGTCCTCCTCAGTGGTCCCGTTACTACTCGGCGGACTGCTGAAGGGCGAGATCTTGTCGCTTGGGCGGCTCGGCCCATGAGCGGGTGAGCTGGGCTGCGAAAAGAGCGTGAAGCGAGCGGCGCCTATCAGCGGTTTCTCAGCCCGGTTAACCGGGGGCGGAATTGCAGGTCTCCCGACATCCTTGTTCTCTCGGTCTCGCCTGACCTCCCCGGACCGTCGCGGAGGAGGGGGAGACGGAGGTTTCGAAGGCGTAGGGCGCGCCGATACGCCGGATTCATGGACGGGCGTCCGAGGACGGCTCGGTATCTTGAACTGCTGTGTCGCTGTCGCAGCCGTGGGGGACTTGATTACGGAGTCGGTATTCACGAACGCCGGGCGGTCCCCTGTTGGGAGTCCCACGCCTCTCTTTGGCGGCGAATGGGGAGGTTCGATTGTAAGCGACGGGGGATGGCCAGGGCGTGGGCTGATGGGCGGAGGAAGAGGTCGGGTGGGGGACGTCGAGAGGCCAATGTTGGCGGCGGCCGGGCTTATGGAGACGTTCAACCTCTCTTTGGGTCGAGCTGGCGGGACAGTGGGTGGTTCTCGGGCCGCCGAGGGGCTCGGATCCCGTTCTCGCAGTCGCACGGGTTTCGGTGCTGTTGCCGGCGCCGGGCCAGGGGATGCGGTTCTTGAAGAGGCACCGGTCTGTGGATTGGCAGGCTCGGCCTTGTTTAGGTTTTCGAACTTTGCTAAAAGCGAGGAAACCGGTCTCTGATGCAACACTCAACAATTAGCCTCCCTCTATTTCACGACTCCAACAGTTAGGGTGGTGGTGGTGGTGCTCACGAGGGATGAGCCATCGGGCCCATCTTTTGGCGGAGGATCCATGGCAACGACAAGTCGGATAGAGAACAATAACTAGGTAGCTAATAAAGCTGGATTAGATTTCAGCGATTGCACGCTCCATTAACCCTCAGCCAGGGAGCTCCTGCTGTCATGAGATGTCGCACATCCGGAGGGAATTCGAGAGTCGAGACTAGTGCCGCCCTCTTTCACGGAAAACGAGTGTATGTACATGCACTGTCGATGCGTTGCAGTCGTGTGTTGCAGGTTAGGTTGGTGGTGTGCATTGACGAGCCGCGGGGCACTTGAGCGAGTGTTGAGTGTCGGGTGCGCGCTGTCAAGGTAACTGTGGGAGTTATGTGCTTACGAGATAATCTGTACCTGCGCCCTTCATATGCAATGGAAGGTCTGTACAGATTACCAGCTGCTTTGTTTTAGAGTTGCCCGGAAAGTTCCACTCCTTCGAGACGAAGACAAACAGGAGGCAGTGTGGCGCGTGTCAAGGGAACCTGGAAGGTCCTTGAAAGTTGATTGGGGGCCGTATTGTCGGTGTTGGTGGTGCACACCATGAGAAGTGGATGCCCCGTGGCTTTGCATCCAGTGTGGGCAAATGACGATGTGCCTCCCTTCGACCACTGGTAATTCTAGCAGAGGAACACGAATAACTGCGTACAGTAATCCGAGGCGCGGGTGTTGGTTCCGAGCAATAGGCGTCTGATGTTTCTCGAGTCTGGCCCCACAGCCAAGCACCCGCCGGAAACAGCAGAGAGCCAACGGAAAATCCATTCTCACAGACACACTCTCTCACAACGAAACCTTTCGTGCTTGAGGGGAAGTTGTTGGTCGGTCAGGATGCCATTGTATCACAACTCCAAATGCGGTTCTCGGCTTGCAGCTCAATGACAGGGGCCGGGAAAATGAATCGGTTGTCCATCAGGATCGTGAACTGCCGTTCCTCAATGCATACTGTGTACTTGGTACCTTGGCTTGGTTTTTCCTTTTGCATTTTCTCTACCCGGTAGGTAAGGTAGGTAGTTATCCCTTGGTATTTGTATATGGCAGCTTAGCTCATAAGATAAAAACCGATAAAGTCGGGGAGGAATTAACTATTATCTTATTCGAAACAATACAGGAAGACGAAAGCCAATTTGACAGGCCGCTCGGGGAACCGACTGAGACTTGGGATGACCTTCCGGTATTTTTAAACTCGGAACTCACACTGTCTGTCACAATTCAGCCTCCAACTGGTTGAGATCGCCCAGAGTTTGTTTGGCCCCACATCGAAGGCTTGGCCAGAACTTTATCAGCCCATCTCGAGCTCGGCTCTTATCGATTGCATCACCCGGCCCTGACGGAGGAAAGGTCAAGTCTTTCCAAACCAAGTAAACGCGCATCTCTCGCCGAACTTTCTTCGTCTGCGACAGCCTATTTTTCACGCAAAGAACAGTTTGGTTCAAGGAACAATGAATACAGTTAGTGATGCTTCCTAGTCATCCTACTCAAAACTACCGCATCAATGTCGCTGACCTGCTACTTAGGTTAGGTCCTTTTGGTGAGACACCACCCGCTTAATGCGCCGAAACCAGCTCCGAGGCTAATGGGGGATATCGCATAGGCTGGGCTGGGGCTCGCTGTGTGTTGGTACGCTACGCCGATCGTCAATCTAAAAGATAACCCAACGAAAGACCGTGAGCGACTGACTGGTGTCACGCCGACTTCTAGCCGGCGGCGGGGCATACTACCTCGCGAAAAAGAGCATCAATGCCGACCGCCAATCTCGACTAGAAGAACAGCGAAAGAAGAAGGCTATGATTGATTCCCTCGAGTACTCGGAAAATGTCCCAAACCGCCCCCTTTCGTCGGCAACTATGGGCGGGTCGAATGGTGGGGTGACAAACGGTGGTCCAGCGAGGACAGACACGGCGGGGTCACCGAGCCAGGAATCGAGCAGTGACCCAGCCCCGACGAGGCACGCCCCAGCCACCGAGGGTCAGAGGGTGGCAGAGAAGAGCAAGTACGAGGCAAGCGTTCCGTTCAGCAGCCGAAAAGGGGACCGGTTCTCTTGAGTACTTTGCTTGGGGACAGATGGCGCACCAGCTGCTGCAGCGGCGCAATAGCCCGGCCTGCTCATCCGGCTACGTTATGAGGAACAAGAGCGACACTCTCAATTTCGAGACCCAGTCGCAGACGTCGGCCGCACCAGGCACCTTCGCCTTTCGTTAATGATATGCTCGTTGCGCCATAACCTGTACCACCAACACGCAAAGGATTTCTTGCGATGCTCGGGCCTTTTACGGTTTGTTAGATTGGATGGGGATACACAACATAGTTATAGGATAGAGAATTGAACACGACAGGAGGGTCGCACTGCCATTAATTCGCTCCATCATGAACATTTCAGCTGATCTCAGTAATTGCATGTTCGAATAATGGTGGATCTCCCGCATCCCGCAGTGCCCGCCTGCAAGGGACCTGAACTTTGGCAGGCTTGGCACTTTGCCGAAACCACCAAACGCGCCAATCTCGAAGCAGCCCTACCTCAAGTCCTCCTTGTAAGAAACGCATCTATTTGCGACAGTAAAAACCAAGAACAGCGCTTGCTTCCTCGTCGCCACCCCTCGTGTTAGGGTACCCATAATGGTGTCGGCAGAGCTGATTGTCGCCAAGACGGCGCTGTCAGGCGCCCTCTTCCGCCCAGATCCGCGACCATGTTCGCGCGACGACATCGAGACAATGCTCGCCCTCATCAATTCGACTGTCTCCGAGTGCTCGCCCCCCAATGTCCAGGTTTGATAACGCGCTTTATCCGTGTCGCTTTTTACCCTTGTGTGGACCCATGGGCTAAGCCGCGCGCCAGAGATGCAAGCAATGGGCTCTCTCCAACCTGGTTCCCTCGTCGGCTCGGATCGCTCCGTTTGGCAAATACCTGGTCGCGCTCTCCAAGTCGTTCGGGGGCGAGAAGGATGCCGCTGTTGGAGGTTTGAGAAGAGGCCGTGTGCCGTCAGCTAAGCGTCGGCGCCTTCATGTTCTATACATCCTGAACGATATCCTTTACCACGCGAAGCACCGCAATCGAGACGAAGCCTTCGCCCAAACGTTGGAGCCAACACTACCCACCCTAGTCAGGAGTGCCGCAGCCTTCAACAACTGCCCGAAACACATCCGAAAGATTCGAGACTTGATTGGACTGTGGGAGGAGAACGGTTACTTTTCCCGCGCTTTTGTTCAACAGCTGCGGGCGGCAATCGACGAAGGCCCGTTGTCTAGCGAGGAGGACAAAAATGGCAACGACGGGGACTACTCAGCGAGCGCCGTGGCCAAAGCAGCCAAGACGGCGCCGTGGGTCTTGCCAGCGACGCACGGCGACCCTTCAACCCTATGGTACGACTTGCCCGCGGGGAACTGGCTCCCAGTCTTGGAGCCGAACTCAACCCGGCCGATGAACCCTTCGATGATCAAGCCTTTGGTTCTGTCACAGGGCCCTGCCGACAAGTCTCTCGTGGCCGCCGTCAAGAATTTGCTCGTGGATATCGACAAGATCTACGGCAAGGAGGTGAATCACGATGAGCCACCGCCTAACGTCAGCCGACTGGGCGAGCGTGTCGAGATAGACGAGATAACGGGGGAGGTTGTTGACGGAGATACGTACTACGGCTGGTCCCGCGCTTTCTGCGAAAAGATGAAGCGTCGAAGACACGGCCGCGGTGGGCCCAGAGACCGTAGCGACGGCGAGCGTGGTAGGACTCGCTCCTCGCGATCATACACCCGCTCCGAGAGCCGATCACGCAGCCGGCATCGGCATCGCAGCGAGCTCTCCAGCCGAAGCCCCGCCCGACCCGCCTTCAAACGCCAAAGACTGTCAGCATCGCCGCAAAGCAGGCGTCGCAGCCGGAGCCGCAGCCGCAGCCGAAACCCGAGCGAGCTATCCAGTCCGGGTCGACACAGGAGCCGCAGCTACCGCCGATCACGAAGCAGGTCCCGTTCCCGCTCTCGCCGGCAATCACCATCCCAGTCCAGATCTCGCAGCAGAGGATACCCACCCCGGGACCGAGACGGGAACTACCAACCACGGAGTCCCAGCTTCTCCCCAAACCGATCCTGGAGCCGCCCTCGATCTCCCCCACCACACCCCAACCTCCCAGCACCACCACATCGAAACAACAACTTCCCCCTTCCACACCCACCCCCCCCAGCCGGCAGCTGGAACCAGCACCCCCCGCCACCACACGCACCACCACCACCACCGCAGCAGCAGCAAATGCCCTACCCCATGCCACCCCCCCACCTCCCACCCCAGCCCGGGTTCGGCATGGGCTTCCCAGCCCCTCCGCCACCACCGCCCCCACCACCCAACTACCAGGGCCCGTGGCCGCCCGTGCCCCCGCCAATGCCGCCCCAGCCGCCACCGAACTATTTCGTACCCGGTGCGCACGCGGGCCCGACCCCGCCGCCTCCTTTTCAGGGCAGTTGGGCGCCGCCGCATCCCCATCCGCATGCGCCTCCGCCTCCGCCTCCGGGGCCGGGGCCGGGGCCATTTCCGGGGGCGCAGAATGGGAATGGGATGTACCAGCAGCAGGGGCAGGGGCAGCACGGGCAGGGGCAGGGGCGGGGAGGTTATCAGGGGTGGGGAGGGTACGGGCGTGGTGGATGGCGGTAGTTAAGGTAGCGGGGATGGGTTTGGAGGGTGAGGTTATAAGGGGGTTATTATACGTAGTGGTTGGATGAGTTTGTAGATGGGAACCTCCTGCCTCCCGGCTGTGTTATCCTATCTGCTCCGTACATTTGGGATTGAGTCAATGGATTCATCGTAAAATGAGATTCGCCTAAAAACGGGAGAAAATGCATGCGTTCTATTATTCAAAGCAAAGCCCGCCGTGACCAGAATGCGCCTGCGAAATCCGTAATATAAAGGAGAAGAGGGAGAAAGCCATGAAAAGAAAGGTGAAACAAAAAAACAGACTGATTTTGATCATGTTTGACTCCAAGCCGGCTTCTTCTCCCCTTGGTAATCCCATCTTTTCCGAGCGTGTGCCGAAGCAAAAGCCGATTCGAGTCCCGCTCCGAGCTGTTTGACTCGGGCCCCAAGTTCCTGATATTTCCCACGGCGTAATATTTGGGTTGGGAGACGGGGATGGGGATACGGGCAGCTGGCCTCTCGCCACGGCAAGGGATGATAAGAGCGATAAAACCACACAGAAATAGCCATCTCATTGTTTTAACAAGGCCCCGCTATAAAAAAGGAGCTCTGACTCAGAGAAGGGAAGAGCTGAAGTTAACAAAAAGAGAAGGGAAAAAGGCAAGACGAGGTGCGAAGTAGAAGTAGTAGAAGATATGCCAAACAACAAAGCGAACGGTTGAGGTTGGGGGGTTCGGCTCAGGGGAGGGGGGTTCCGTTTTTCGCCTGATTGCTCACGCGCGCAAGGTTAATCCAGTCCAGTCCAGCCCAGCCCATTCTTTCTCCTTTCACCCCTTTTTGCTTGTAAAAAGCCCCCCTCCCCGTCCAGTAAACATCAGCGCCCAGTCCTGTCCAGCCCTGAGTGTACCCCGGCCCCTTCCTCTCCATCCTGTATCCTCTCTAGTCCCACCATCAAACCAAGACAAAAGCCGACATCAACACGCGCGCCCCGGTATTAAAGGCAGTATGCGCCCAAATCCATTCATTCACCCCTGGGGTAGAGAGGCAATAAAGCGAGACTGGGGATGCCGACGCCAGAACAACCCCCGCAAGGCAGAGCAGAGAGCAAAAAAAAAAACATGTCCGTATTGGGTGCTTCGGATTGATTCCCTTAATGCCTTGCTCAAGCCTCCTCCGACACCCTGACCTGTCAGGTTAAGAACAGGCCAGGATTAAAAACCAAAGCTGTCTAGCGGGGGCCCGTAATAGCGAGGGCAAGACCATCTTCAGAGACACCAGGACCGACCGGGCGACGTCGCATCGGGAAGGCCAGAAATCCAAACATGATCGCAATTACCGCTGACTCCGCGCCGAGCCAACCGAGTTTTGTCTATCGTGCGTTTCGGGTCGGCGGTCTCTCCGGTCGCCATCTTGCAGATTCAACGAGTTCAGTCTCATTTGGTTGTCCTCGGCGGCGTCCACCTCGTCGACCCTCGGCAATGTGGTCGCGGCCGCCCTTGGCGGTGCTGCCCCGGCGGTGGCGGTCGACCCATTGGTGGTTTTCCTGCGGTCGGCTTGGTCCTGGATGGCAGCCCATTTCCTTTGGCGAAGGGCTTCCCTCGAGGCAGCACTATTCTGCTGCTCCGTGTACTCGTGCGAGCAGTCGTCGAACAGTTGGGGGTTGATCTCCATGAACAGCTTCATGGCGTTGTAGACCATGCCATGGATCGTTCTGCGAGGCTGTTAGTCATAAAAGTCACGGTTGAACCCTAGAGAGACCACTAACCTGTTCCAGTGACCCTTGGAGTTCTCGTATAGCGGCGCAAACATGATGGGCAGAATGATTTCAACATTGTCGCTGACCAAGTTGCAGAAATATTCGTTGTTCCAAAAGTAGAGGGCGCGTTCGGCGACCTGGAAATGGGGACTCGCTACCGATTTCGCCAGCTGGTGGAACAGAGGTTCTTGGACCTTGGCAAACTCGGCCGGGTCCATGACTTCAAAGATATCCTCAACCTCGTTGAGGAACATAACTTCTTTGGTGCTGTTGACCTTGGGCCAGAACCGCAGGAGACCAAGCACGACCTGCGTCGCAAGTCAGTAAGCCGAGTCTCAAAGGTAGATAGATTGCAGCAACATACCTCTTCCGTCAGCGAAGCATCCTTCTCGAGGAACTGCACAATACAGTAGGCGAGCTGAGGATGGTACATGCTCAGACTCTTCACCTTGTGGAGGGGAATCAGAACCCTCGTTAGGAAGAGCTTGTGTTCCTCCTTTAGAGGGAGGGCAAAGCCGTTGATGATGGAACCGAGTATCTCGAGGAGCTCAGCGATGCCGTTGAACCGCTCGGTTTCGTAGGTGAACTGGAAGAAGACGTTGTTGATGGAGCGGCGGATAAAAGATCTGAGATTGAGGAATTTGCCGTATATGCGGTGCAGAGTGGTCTTCAGGAAGTCTCGTTCCCGGGGATCTTCGGAATCGAACAACTCGAGGAGCTGAAGTACGAAGCTGTGATCAATGTACGCTTTTGCGATATTCGTGTTGAAGTCCTGGCTCTCGATGAAGCGAAGGAAGAACTCGTACACGACTTGAATGTGAGGCCAGGCGACTTCCAGAACGGGCTCGTCCTCTTCCGGGTCGAAAGCCTCACCCTGCGGGTTCATGGGAGGCGGGATCGGGCGGAACAGGTTCTTGGCAAACATGCCGACAACGACCGGGTACATGGGCTCCGTGATGACCTGCCGGTTGTTGGCCACATAGTCCAGGAGCTCGTGGAGGGCCAGTCGCTTGATTTCCTTAGACTTCATGTCGGCGCTGGCATCGTTGAAATCAAAAATGACGTTGCACTGCTCGATCTTCTTCATGAAGAGGTCCTCCCGGCGTCCGGGGGGAACCTCGTGGAAGCCGGGGAGTTTCTCGAGCTCACGGTGGGCGGAGATGTCGAAACGGGATGAATGCTGCCGTCTCGGCGTCTTGGGGCCCTCCAGGACGTCCTTGGGGGTCTGCTGCAGGCGGTCATACATCAATGACTTCTGGCCAGCCTTCGGCGGGGCGAGATCATGAGGCATGGTCTCAGCGGCACCGGGTGGTGGCACATGCTGCAGGGCGGCGTCAGTACCGTCCACACGAAAATCAACAGACTATCTAATCTCACCGGAGCACTCGGGCTGATTATAACGGTCGGGGGTAAGGGGCCGTGCCTCGCAGGCGTCCCGCCGCCGTTGGCGCCCTGCCCGGGGCCGCCTGTGGCGAATCTGTCCGGCGCACCGGCGTTCGCGCCGTTATTGCCGAGCTGGGCCTGGGCAACGTGGTCGGCATGGGAGACGCTGTTGGGAGGCAGCGGCTTGTTGCGGATATCGTTGAGCGTCGAGGTAGAGGATGACGGGGTCAAGACGGGCGACTGGTTGGTATCCCTAGCGGCGGCATTCGGCGACGCTGTTCCATCCTTGGAATCCTTGTTCTTCTTGGAGGACTTGCTGGAGTCCTTGCCTCGCGAGAGCTGCACCGAAACAAGGTCAACGGGATGCGCAATGTTTCTGTCCCGACGGACCGACTTACGACTTTGGCGCCGAAACGCTTCATCTTTGAAGACAACAGCTTCTCTTCTGTGGGCGACTAGAGGCGCCCAGCTCGACCCTTCTTCGAACCGAAGCAACCTGTTGATGATAGGGTGTTTCAGTTACTGAGAGGGTATCGGCTTGACTCTAGTCCTCATACGATGCAATCCCCTGGGCGGTTCGGGACGAACCACCGTGTTTGACAACCGGCGTCGTCGATAATCGAAGGCAACGATGGGTCGGCGCTGGGTATCTCAGGCACAGCCGTGCCGCTGAGATGGTCAGAGCGGCGCAGTCGAAATGCTCCGCGAATTCGGTGGTTTCCCTGGGGCTGGGCGAGGATGGCGGCGGGTCTAAGGGGGGGGTTACGGAGGAGGAAGGAGGGCGGCAATTGAGATGGAGCGCGACGAAACAACTTGGCGCTGATGGTCCGAGGTGCCTGTCAGAATGGTTGAATGCTGTTAGAATCTCCAACTTTTTGATATTGTAGTGGTGATGGTGGTGGTTGTTTGTTTTGTGAGGGGAACACACTTCGAATCGCTGTGCTGGCAGTCGCCAGGCGTTTGGGAGATGGAGACGCAGCGGCGGTGCTCTGAGCTGACGTCCCGGCTGCTAAGGTGTTTTTGCGGGGGCTCCAGAGTCGCGGGTCCCGTCCGGGTCCGTGTCCTTGGTCCTTGGTCTGCCGGGGCTGGGGTCTTCCTCCTGTGGAAGGTTGACTACCTTGCCTAGGGAGCTAACTAACGGACTTTGAAAGTCAGATGGTCGAATAGGTGGACAGTGTCGACAGTTTGGCTGCACTGCTTGATCCCCGGGCCTAAGCGCACACGCATCCGGTGTTTTTTTTGGAGCGACTTGTTTCGAGTTTTGCGGTGGTCGGGAGCTGGGTTCAGTTCAGGCTGGGCGGTGGTGATTGCAGGGAGACGGAATGGAGAACGGGGTCGGGGAGCCGGGGCGTGCTAGGTTGGAGATAGTGGGAGGATATGCGCACTGGGTGTGCGATGTGCAACCCGGACGAAGTATTCGCTGAATGTTTTCAGGTGTAAGAAAAACCACTCCAGCCAGGGTATGGAAAGGAAAGGAGAAACTCGCTGCCAATCCCCGCCTCACAGAGCGGCAGGTGTTCAGCAGAAGTCCCAAGAGTTCAATAGGTTCGTGAACGCGAGGCTGGATACGCGGGTTGGTGTTAGCGCCAATGAGGGGAATGCGGTTTGAGGCTTAACAACCCACCAGTGTCCCACTTTGGTAATTGTTGGCACCAATCCGAAACGAAACGACAGAGTGTATTCGTACGAAGTATTCGTACGAAGTACGATCCATATATTTACATACAGTCGTCAGTGTCTCCATCAGGGTTCCTCTGCCTCGTAAAACATGAGGCTCGCAGTTTATTTTCCTATCTAAATATAGAGAACAATATTACGTATGTTCAAGAGGAATTTCGAGAATATAACTGGCTTCACTGAGACCCATGGTCAAATGCCCATTTCATCATTCCAGTAATTATTGTATGTACAGTATTTACGGAGGACAGACAGAAATGCTCTCCGCATGCACGGACCACCTGCATCACTCGTGCTCTGGTTCCTGGCCGGCACCTGACGGGTTCCTGCTTTAGTTAACGTTAAATGGGTCATCGATCAGTGTTCGGACTCTTGCTCGGATGCATTTCAGTCATCAGACTCAAACAAACTGTAAAACTATGAGATGATGCAGCGATTACCATTCTATCGCTTTGCACAGGTAATTGCACCGTGCACATATACAGCTTGTTTCTTTGACCGGTAAAACGGCAAGTTTCAAACCTTTTGGTGGAACTTGACCTCACAATCCCCGACTGCACAAATACTTGCTTGCCCCATCGCCATTTCTCCCGTCTTATCAGGGACTTGAATTAGAGGCAATGCAAACAACCTCGCCTTGGAAAGAGGTCCAATAAACTAAACCCAGAGTTGGGCACACATCAACCACCATGGCGTCTTCCCTCCATCTCGAGGATGGCGATACTGCACCGACATACACCATCCCGTCGAGGCGACTAGGTGCACTCGAGCATCCCATGATCATCAAAAACCTTGACAAGGGAATCAAGACATTCGGCCAAAATAATGCATTTCAAGCCGTATGTTTCCCGCTGTGGCTTGATGAAAATAAGAAGAGAGTTTAACCTCCCATTAGATCCTCGATTCGGCCAGCCCCCAAATATCGGTTCCTCTGTATCTTCGCTATGACAACCCAACAGCAAGACCACTAACATCTCATAATGCCTTGACACACAACGTTGTGTTGAAGGTGACTGTCCCGAAGCGCACCGGAAGGAAGCGCAAGCGGGGCACCGACGGCCCTTGGGAAGGAGAAGTTGAACAAACCGCTGATGGCGGGAGCTCAGCTGTCTCTCCCGAGGTCCTCTCAAGGGACAGACTCGACACACCGCAAGTCATCCGGCGGAAACTTCAGGACAATGTCGGGAAGTACGCAGTCGAGCCGATTGGTGTCATAAACAACACCCACCGATACAGAGGTTAGCATCCTCTTTCGTGCTAGATGTTGTTGTCCCGAGGTTAACTAAACCCTGATAGGCCTCGCCGATTTTCAGTTCGCTCTTGGAGAATCCAACTTCATGAAGAAATTCGTTGACAAGGTTCTGCCCGGGGACGTTGCGAAGTTGAAAGAATTCTCCCTCCAGCCAGGCATCGAATCGGGTTCCAATATCGATCTCATCCCGCCCCCTTATTTCACACCCATCACGCTTCCCTTCGGCTACAACTACGCCCAAAACCCCCATACCAAGGAGGTCAGCCCCGGCGTTTCCGACGCCTCTGGCAATATGTCCGAAGACCAGGAGTACGAGCGGGTTGTTAATGTTACCTCTCGCGTGCCCGCTGCCGGCTACTTTATCGCACACGACGAGTACCCCGTCCCGACCGCCCCCCGCCGTCAACCCGACATGTCAGATCCCCAAGTGGCCGCTATCATCACGGAGATGCGCTTGGCCATGGAAGAGCGCCCGATCTGGACGCGCCGCAGCATGTGGAACCGACTCGGGGCCAAGTTCGCCGAGCTGCCCAAGAACGGCGGCCTCGTGCGCCATTGCCTGCAATACGCCGGCTACCAATTCAAGGGCGGGCCGTGGCGCGACGCCCTCGTCCGGTACGGCCTCGACCCGCGCGCCGATCCCAAGTACCGCATCTACCAGACCCTCATCTTCAAGTTGCACAAGACCCGCATCGGGTCGGTCGGCCGCTCGTGGCAGGCCGTGCGCCGCAAGGAGCTAGGCGTGTCCAACTTCGGCAAGGCCTGGCAAGATCTCGGCGTGGGCGACGAGGCCATGCTCAACACCCACGTCTTTAACGGGGAGTCGTTCAGCACCGACGGCAAGGTCTGGCAGGTTTGTGATATCACCGACCCTCTTCTGGCGAGGCTGTTTGCCGACGCCGAGCAGCGCGCCGAGTGCGACGTAGAGATCAGCGGTTTCTACCACCGCGTGCTGTGGTCGGTGGCCAAGGCGATCATGAAGTGCAAGATGGTCGCCATCCGGTTCAACCGCACGCTGACGGACGACGACTTCAGCGCCGCGCTCGAGGCCGTGCGGGGCGTGCCGCACGACGGCGGCGACGGCGCCGGGCCGGGCAACAGCATCGGCATCAGCCTGCCGGACCTGCAGCTGACGGTGGCCGAGTACGAGCAGCTGCGGGGCGGCAAGTATCGCCCGCGCCCCGGCATCAAGTCCTCCAACCGCGAGACCATCGAGGGGGTCACGCGCCGCCGGAGGACCCATTACCGCGTGCGCATCCCGCTCAAGGAGGCCGAGGAGCGCGAGGCCGTCAAGATGATCAGGCTGCTCACGCAGAACGCCCAGGACAAGAAGGCCGCTGAAGAGGCTGCTGCCGCTTCTACCGACGCGGAAGTAGCTCCAAGCGAGGCCCCGCCGCGCCAAGTTGAGGCTTCTGAGGGCGTTGGGGCAGTGGTTAAACGCGCCAGCGTAAGAGAAGAGGAGGAGGAGGGAGACGAGAGGGACCAAGAGCGAGGAGAAGGACGCATGTTTCAGGAAATTCTCGAAGACATGGAAGAGGAAGGTAGCGAGGAAGAAGATGGGAGTGAGGAAGAGGAGAGTGACGAGGGGGAAGCTACCCCTAGGAAGAAACTGCCGTTTCAAGAGCGGGGGTTGGAAGAAGAACTCGAGCAGGAGCAGTACGAGGAGGGCGGGTACTCGGACGAAGACGACCAAGAGGATATGGAGGAGGAAGACGAAGAGGAAGAGGAAGACGGGTATGCCGGTGGTGAGGACGGGGAAGTGGGGTACGGCGAGGAGGAAGAATTCTATGATGAAGAGGGCGAGGGCTTTCCCCAGGCGTGGGAAGACGAGGCGGGGTCAAGCAAGAACCAGTTCGGCAACGCATATTATGAGTAGCGGCGGGGGTTGGGGGTTGTGCTATCTCAAGAAGTGCTCCTGAAGATGTTAGCATACCATAGTGTTGAATAAAGATGGTCACTGGAGCGAAGTACGAAGAAGTAACAAAAAAAAGAAAATCTCATTACGCTGTCCACATATATCCTCCGAATCCAAAACCTATTAACCACACAGAACGCCCTACCACCGCAACCACCAGCCATCTTTCCGTACCGAACCCAACCCACCCCTTTCTTGCTACCCACCCATCCCTAAATTGTAAAACAAACGAAACCATGTTGCAATCTGATCTCTAAACCATTCATGATATCCTTCATAATGAACCGCCCTCCTTTCCCACCGCCCTCTCACGATCACATCCCTGACCCATCACACCCATCACACCCATCTCACACCCCATCCCACCCCAACCACCTAACCCATCCCCCCCTCTCTCACCCACACACCCCATCCTCAAACAGAAAAGAAAAAAAGAAAAAAAAGAAAACACTCACTGCACCGCCAAACTCAGCACCCGCGTCCGCCCCGCCTTCTGCGCCACCATCCCCGCCACCCACACCTCCACCTCCTCCAGCGCCCGCCGCGGCGTCTTCTTGCGCTTGAGCAGGAACCCCTGCAGCTCGGCGGGGGAGAACTGGCCCGGCGGGATCTTGGCGGCAAACTGTGCGGCGATGTGCATCAGCTCGGCGGGGTGGAGGGTCGTGTCTGGTGTTGGGTCGGGTGAGGTTGGTTGGTGGTGGTGGGTGGTGGTTGTGGTGGTGGTGGTGAGGTTGAGGGGGGTGGGGGGGGACTTTTTGGTTGTGCTGGGGGTGGTGGTGGTCTTCGAGAGTTGGAGGGGGGTGGTTTCGTTGCTGTTGTTGTGGGTGAGGTTGTCGTTGTAGTCGTCGGGCTCGACCCTGGTGGTGTCTGACACGTCGGTCATGTTGCCGTCCTTGGAGGAGGAGATTGAGAAGGGCGTGGGCGGGGGTTCGGAGAACGGCGTCAGGGGCGGCAGCGGGGAGGAGAGGTGGTCCGAGAGCGAAAAGGTCGACGGCGGGGTGGAGGTGTTTGTGTTTTCGGGCTCGTACATGCGCACGAACAACTCCCGCGCCTGTCGCTGGGTCGCGTTGGTGAAGGAGACTTGCAGGTCGACGCGTCCCGGCCGAATCAGGGCTTCGTCGAGGGCTTCCGGCTTGTTGGTCGTCATGATGAGCACGCGGCCCTCGTGTGAGGCTACGCCGTCGATGGCGTTGAGGAGGCCGGACAGTGAAATGGTCTTCTTCTCGCCCGAGTCGCCGTTGCCTCCGGCTCGCTTGAGTTCGCGGGCAAGGTCCGAGACTTTCCAGTCCCTTCCACCCTTGTGGTGTCTAGCTTTCTTGGGGGTTTTCTTGTCTTTGTTATCGTCCTCTTGGTGCTGTTCCTTGTTCTTCTTATCATCGTCCGAAGAAGACGATGAGGAAGACGAAGACGAGTCGTCGTCTTCGGCACGTTTGAGCCCGGCTGTGTCGATGTCTTCGAGCAGGACCACACAACGCCGGGGGAGGGAGGTAAATAGGCCTAGCAAGTCTTCCTCCGTCAGGGTAGGGTCCAGGAGGGATATGACGTAGATATCGAGACCGAATACACCGGCCAGGGCAAACGATAGCGAAGTCTTGCCCGTTCCTGGCGGGCCGTGGAAGAGGTAGCCCCGGCGGAGCGGAATTCCGCGGTTGGCGTACCACCGCGGAGTGGCTGGGTGGAGGTATTCGTTCATGTCCGAGAGAATGCGGATCTTTTGCTCATCGTCGAGGACCACGGTCTGCATGGGGCGGACCGGGCGGTTGGCGACCTGCTGCCACGAGTGCCGATGACCGTAGCGGCGCATGCCTTGGGCGGCCGGGCGTCTGACGATGGTCTTGGCTTGGTGGTCGAGATAGTACTGCTCCTTGGCGTGCTGCAGGAGCTGCTTGATCGGCTCGGGAGAGCGGCCAAAGCACGAGAACACCAGAGTCTCCTTATCCTTGAACTGGGGCATGCCGTTCCCCCCGGCTGACGGGTCGAACAGGGCCTCCTGCTTCCTGTTCAGCTTGAAGTATCGACCCCTGAACCAGAAGCTGTGCACGCCGAGGGCGGGCGTGAAGCGAGGGGGTGCCTTGGCCTCCTGGGTTGAGAAGTTGAGAAAGACGTCGGAGCCATCGGCCAACACCCGACCGGTCATGAGCTCCGATTCGTCTTCCTCTTCCCACGCCCCTTTGGATGCCGTCTCGGCAGTGAGGGAGCGAGAATCGACCATCTTGGGCTGGGATGCAAGCCACTTCATCATGTGGAAATAAATATCGTCCGAATTGCTGACCTCGACGTCCGCCATGAAGTACCGTCGAGCAAGGGCGAAGAAGCCCATGTAGAGCTGCAGCCAGACTTTGTTCGCCGCCCAGAACAGGCCGACCACGGTCAGGATGTAAGTGGGGTCGATGCCTAGGCGATTTCCGGTGAGGTTGTAAAGGACCATGAACAGCTTCATCAGCGGGTTGAACTGGAACCCGAGCAGGGGCGACAGGGTGTCGAAGAGGCCATCCGGAAGGCCGCTCTCGGTAGCACTATCGGCATCATGGCTACTATTGGCTACGAGGGTGGGCAGTGCGCCTCGTATGAAGTTGCTAAAGTCCATCGGGGGCGATGAGCCAGCGGAGGTGCCGGGAGGGGGGGTAGAGGACAGCCGATGAGATTTGTGCGTGTAAAGGTAGAGAGTAGCAGCAGCCCCTTGTTACGCCGACACGGGAATAGTCACGATGCCGTGTCGAGAGGAGGGAGGGTAACCGACCCGGGAGGAGTGGATGACCTTATACTCTTCGGACAGATGGCCGGGGTACCCAGGTAGTGTGTGGTGTACTATGTATACCTACGGCTGCCTCACGCACGATCTTCATTGGCGGCCGCTGGAGATCTGGCCGTGTCAGTCCCGGCCGGGCCCGTGGTGGCAAAAGCAACACGGTGCGGTAGACAAGCAGACCGCAGAGCCGGGATAGTAACCGGCACCTTGATCATACGTCTGTCGTACACACGGGAGCGACGGTAACTCAGCATCGACTGTGCACAGGTAGTCCTACCTTCCAGCGACTTAATTTTCTGCTTTGTGCGCACCAGATAGTATCAGAGACACTAGAAATCCCCGGCTGCACATATCCTGAGTAGTTCGCCGAGAGGACGGGGTATCCGACCTCGTGTTGGGCTTGGGATGAGTTCCCTCCCCTGTTGTTGCCCTGTTGTTGTCACTGAGAAGAGTCACGGCTCTCCACAAAACAAAACAAACAATGAAAGCATGACACGCGCACCAACGATGTGATGTGTCAGAACGCGTGATCCGACGGACACATATACAGGCCATCTTAAGCAGTTGGGTCGGAAGGCCGGACAGACGGGCCCGGCGAGGGGGGGATCAAGGCATCAAGGACCTCCTGCTCTGCTCCGGGACCGGGTCCTTGGGGAGGTGTGGCCGCATCGTCGTGGACCGGTTGGTCGGTAAGAAGGGCCACTTTGCGGGCTGGGCAAGGGGACGGGCAGTCGGCCACCAACTCATCGTCCAACCCGTCCGCCCCCATCCAATGATTGATTTTCGGTATAGGCTCGTCGAAAATCCAGTGCCTGAGGTTAAGGCATCAACGGTCCGTCCTCGGCCGCGGTATACCTGCCAGGTCCGTCCACGTCGTCTCCGTGTTGCTGGAAAACTGTTCGTCGTCCAAGGTGCCTCTCGAATGTCTCACCAGACTACCGGGACCAACAAGGCGATCTGGGGGATACCGACCCACTGGCAGCGAGTTGGACCAAGCCAAGAAGCCAACAGCGACTGGTACTGAGCCACTCGTGGGTGGACGAAGAAGCGGATTGGCCCCCAACTGAGCTCATGGAACTACCTATGTACACAGTGCCCTCCGCTGCCTTCTCGGCACCTCAGTAACATGACTAGCACACTGTTAGATTAGTATTGCATGGCTCATCTGAGTCGCCTGGTCGCTCATTCATGGTGCGCATGGCTCCGGTGACGAGTCAAGAGGCAAAATTCAAGAGGCCAAGATCAGCCGTCCAATAAAATGTCCGTCTCGGGCATGACCTCGCTGTGGCTGTGTCTTGCCTCTCCAAGACACGGGGTGACGGAGTTGGCCTCCAAAGAAGGTTGGTGTGCAGGCGATGAATGAGGGGTCGGTTTTGGGATGGGAAAGCTGAAAGGTACTGGGTTGCATTGAGTGGCTGCGTCTGGGGTAAAGCACGGCGCAGAACTCAATCAGAACTGTGTGAATACTTGACTTCTAACAATTCCCAGCAATAATTACGAGAGCATTTGTTAGCTCAAGTGTCTAGGGTTCAGCCCCACTGCACATCCCACTGCCCCGAATGCAAGTCATGCTAGGCTGACCAGGTCCCTGGACCATTCTGAAACCCCAAGACTGACCCAGCCCAAAACCCCCAATCAACCCTCCCAAAACCGATATCTGCATGACGACGACTGATCGTCAATTCATCTACACAGCTGAAATAATTTAATTCCCACAGGCAGACACCGAGGCAACAAACGAGTTATCGGCCGCCGATGGCCTCAAGTTCAGCCTGAATAAATTATGCCTCGTGTTTTGGAAAGGGCCGCGGCCACCCCCGAGCCGAGCAACGAAACACCAAAACAATATCAACATGTCGACATGTGGGAAATACCCGACTTACTACAGGATGTAACACTCGCTCTAGACATAGCAGGGATCGTCACAGCATGACAAGCCTAGCACTACCAACACGGCCGCGTTGAACCTCTTGGCGAGCGGACAACTCAGACAGTTTCCGGACAGATGGGACACAAGCCACGGCCTCGATAACCACAGCAATGTGACTGACGTGCCAGTTGACAGCCTATTGGATATCCACAAGCCGTCTCCAACCCGTTCTGGACCTTCTTCGTGGAGTGTGGTGTCGCGGCTCACAACATGTCTTGTCGGCTCAGAGCCGGATCCCACCCTTCCATGTTACCGCGTAGATTGATAAGCCGAGATGTGAACCACTTAGTTACTTAGGTACCTATGCAATGCAGCTTACTCGCAGTTGGCTGCACATGCCATGGCCCAACCCTCCCCAACAGCTGCACCGCCAACCGCCTTATCGGCAGCTGAATCGCTCGTAAACCCATCAACCAACGATCTTCCCCGTGTCCCCCGTCAACAACGGCCGAGGCTCCGCCGAACCCAACCCCATCCCTTCAGCAGCAGCACCATCCCCAGCAGCGGTCCCCACACCCTTCTCCGGGCCCTCAGCAGCAGCAGCAGCAGCCTCACCCCTCCCACCAACACTACCACCACTACCACCACCACTACCCTCCCCGGGAACAACACGGTCGGGGGAGACATCCCTACTGACCTCCCGGCTCGGCACCCTGCTGCCCTCCCCCTTGAGATCATTATCCAGCCACAGATGCGCACCCGCCTCCTTCAGCAGCCGCACGCACTCGGCATTGCCCATCTTCTCGGCGAGGTACAGCGGGGTGTTGCCGGCGCGGTTGCGGGCGTGGACGCTGGCGCCGCGCGTGAGCAGGTCGCGCAGCACGAGCGGCTCGGGCCCCACGGCCGCCAGGTGCAGCGCCGTGTTGCCCGCGTAGTCGGCCCGCTTGACGAGCTGGTGGTGGAACTCGTCGCCTTCTGTCATGGCGTGCACCGTGCGCTGCTCGCCGTTGCGGATCGCGTAGCCTAGCGCGGTGAAGGCGGTTTCTGTTGGTGGGGGGAAAAGGGGGGGTTGGGCGATGGTTAGTTGGTTGTTGTTGTTGTTGTGTGGGTGGAGGGGGTGGGGGAGAGATGAAAAATAGAAAAAGGGGGCGTACCCGCCGACGTGAGCCTGTCCACCACGGAGTCGATGCTCCCCGCGGGGTGCGAGAAGGAGGTCAGGGACATCTCGGTCATCTCCCCGCGCAGCGACTGCGACATTTTGGCCGTCACCTCGCTATACTGCCAGTCGGGGAGCGCGAGTAGGTAAGATAGCTTGGTTAGTGCCGCCTCGGTGGTTAGGTCGTGGCCGAAGACGACGCCGGCGCGGCCGAGGGCGGTCGCGGGGGCGTAAAGCGGCGACACGAAGCCGTTGGTGCACTGGCTGACGTTGACGATGACGACGCCGCGCTCGACGGCGTCGCGGATGACCTTGGTGAGGCTCCCGTCCACGCCGCCGGGGGCGTTGCCCATGCCGAAGGTCTCGAGGATCAGCCCGCGGAGGTTCGGCGCCCTAAGCACGGAGTCCACCATCTCGGGCTTGATGCCGGGGAAGATGCGCAGGCAGGCCACGTGCGCCGTGTCTAGGTACTTGGTCACGCGGAAGCTAGCAATAGTAGTCGGCCGTCGTACCAGCGCCCAGTTGACGTCCACCCCGAGCGACGTCACCTTGGCCAGCGGCGCGCAGTTGGGGCTGTCGAAGGCCTCGAACGAGGACGCCGACACCTTGGTCGTGCGGTTGCCGCGGAAGAGCGTGTGATGGAAGAAGAGGCAGACCTCGGGGATGACGAAGGTGCCCGCGATAATGAGCGAACCGAGCAGGTTGTCGACCGCGTCGGACTGCAGCGCAAAGATGGACGCCTGCGACCCCGTCAGGATGACGGGCTTGCCGAGGTCGGCCATCATGAAGGAGAGCGCCGACGCCGTGTACGCGAGCGAGTCGGTGCCGTGGAGCACGACGAAGCCGTCGAAGATGTGGTAGTTCTCTTTGATGGTCATGGCGATCTCGGTCCAGCCCATGGACGAGATGGAGCTCGAGTCGAGGAGCGGGTGGAACTCGAGGATGCCATAGCGGATGTGCCGGGAGTAGGCGCTCGGAGGTGTGCGCAGGCTATCGAGGGCCAGCTTGACGCCGTTCTTGTAGGCGTGGATCTTCACTACGTGCGGTCAGTACGTGTTAGTGAGATGGGAGGTAGGTGGCCGTTTGGTAGGTCATAGTATCGTCGACGATAGCCGGGCCTTCGCTTCCAGGGGCCTTGGGTTCTTGAAACGCGCGCTCTACCACGGCATGCATTTTTCACGCCATCATGAGCTTACCTGGAGGTGTAGAGTTATCGTTGAACGACGGACGAGGCGCCATGGCATTCTCGAGGAAGCCTGTCATGGGAACCAGACCGTCCGCCGAAGGCTGCATGCAAATCGTCCCGCCAGTCATGATGATGAGCACCCGTGACTCTGGGTAGCGAGAGTCGGGGTTTGTCCCCTCCATGAGCAGTGTTCCCCCCATCCTGGATGGAGGACGGGCAGAATCTGGTAGAAAGTCGAGCGTCTCTGTGACGGATCTAGGATGGGGAACTGGAAAAGCGAGCGGACTCGTCGCCTGCCACTGGGTTCCCGATTTTAAATCTTTCCAAAATGCTGAGCTAGAACTTCCCTCTTTTATCTGAAATAGTAGAAAACAAGGAGGTCACCGGGTTGTGAAATTCTTTGTCAACTTCGGTCAACGGTGATGTGGTGTTCGATCTGAATTATGTCAAGGGTGTCCTTGACTAGAAACTCTTCGCGTGGAATGCCCAACTTTAAAGTTTCCAAAGATAAACAAACCTAACATGGCAAACCCCTTGCAGACCGAGGACGGGACGAAAATAAACTACTGGAGAGGCGGTAGTCACGCGCCCAACGGATTCTCGCATCTGTTAGCTAACAGAAAGTCAATTGCGGATCGTCCGACAGGACCAGGATTCGGGAGCCGTTGGCAGCCGCTGTGAAAATTCTCCGTAAGGGCATGAGCACCGACTTCGGGCCTCTTGTCATGGGTCGGTAATGCACCGATTGCATTCGTTGTGGAAGGAGATAAGACACGTTCCGCAGTTTGGCGGCGGTGGGCTCGGTGAAGGCCGGCCACTGCGTCAGCGTTACCAGGATTCCTCGTAGACGGACTTCCCTCGGAAACCCGATAACGGAAGAGCCTTGCATCTGTTGGGCTGGCGAGCACAGTCGGTCATGAATTGGGATATGAGAAGCTCGATTGTCGAGTTGCGGGAGAAAGTGGGCAAGTAAAATATCTAGGTTAGGTAGCCAAGGCCGGCTGTGAGCTGACCGATGACTTCATAGGTAGGTGGTTTTCTCGCCGTGCCGTGTGGTTTTGGTGCCCTGTGGGTTCCATGTTTTGTTGTATTGTGTAAGTTGGAGGAGACGATTGTCCACCTAAATCACGGGGTACCTGAATTTTGCATTGCCGCCAAGAGAACCGTTAGGGGACCAGCAATTGAGATCCAAATCGGGTAGGTAGTTTCTAGTGGTGTGCAACAGACATCACACTGGAAAGGGAAGCCGTGATTCAAACGGTAAAGTTCTAGATCGATTCAAGCCGGGGTGCTCTCGGCCCGGGATTCGGCAAGTTCCATGCCGTGGCCCGTGCCCCGATAATGCGAACGGGCGCTGGACCCCACGTCTTGGCAAGCAGGACCTGTTCATCCAACCCCGCCGACAAACAATTTGTGAATGCCAAGGCCTGCACAATTTCGCAACAGGGCGGGACCTGCGCCGTGTTAGTCGCTGAACATAGTGGGCAACGAGAAGAATTTTTCTTCCATCCCACACTATTTCATCCATCTGTCGCCATCATTGTGGTCCCAGAGCCTTTTCCATTCTTCTTCCACCCAAGATATTCCCATATCCGCCAAAAACAACAGAAAAAATGGCCGCCGCTCTCGAAGAAACCATGGTCAGCTACGAGGAGCTTTCCGACCTCGAGCAGGAGTTCGATGATGTCGAGACTGAGATCAGTGAGTTTATAGCCATTGTAGACCTTAAAAGCACAGAATAGAACCCTAACGTCATCTCTCAAGTCCGTCAGCAGTACACCCTCTCCAAGCCGCTCTACGTCCGCCGCGCCGAGCTGCTCGCCAAGATCCCCAACTTCTGGGCGCTCGTGCTTGAGCAGGCGCCCATGGACATTGACGAGTACATCCAGCCGTCTGACTCGGCCATCCTCCTGACCTCGCTCAAGAACCTCTCGGTGAACCGCTTTGAGCTGGACGCCGACGAGAAGAAGGGCGACCCGCGCAGCGTCGCCATCCGCTTCGAGTTCGCCGAGAACGAGCACTTCGAGGACACGGTGCTGGAGAAGAAGTTCTGGTGGCGCCAGAGCAAGGACGGCTTCGCCGGCCTCGTCAGCGAGCCCGTCGAGATCAAGTGGAAGAAGGGCAAGGACCTGACCGACGGCCTTCTGAGCCTGGTCAAGGCCGTCTATGACGAGCAGCTGGCGAAGCCCAAGCAGGAGAAGAAGGGCAAGGCCGAGAAGGTGGTCCTGACCGAGAAGCAGAAGGCGCTCAAGGAGAAGATCGACAGCACCGGTATGGGCGGTGTTAGTTTCTTCGCCTGGTTCGGCTACATTGGAGAGTACGTCTCTGCCGAGGAGAGCAAGGAAGCGACTGAGGAGGAGAAGGAGGAGCGCCGGAAGAGGAAGGCTGGTGAGGAGGTGCCCAAGAAGGATGAGGATGAGGAGATGGGAGAGGGCGATGATGAGGACGAGGACGAGGATGACGATGACCTGGACATCTTCCCCATGGGTGATGCGGTTGCCATGGCGATTGCTGACGACCTGTGGCCCGGCGCGCTCAAGTACTTTAGTGAGTTTACCACCATCGACCCCTCTACAGCATGGTTTACTAACCCGTAGCAGTTCAAGCTCAGGAGCAAGACGGTATGAGCGAACTCGACTTTGAGACGGACGATGAGGATGATGAAGAGGATGACGAAGAGGAGGAGAGCGCGACCAGGCCGCAGAAGAAGCAGAAGGCCTGCGCCCACGGCTGCAAGCACTAAGCCGGAACTGCTAGGTCTTGTTACGATCAGGTCTGCGATACCCCCTAAACTCTCATGATTTGGACACAAGAATTTGTTATGATGATGGATAGACAAAAGTAGCTTGTTTTGCTGCATAGACAAGAGCTCTTAGAATGAAAACGAGCTCGAATTTTCGCAAAGACGGGTTCCACTCACTTAGCCCAGATCCAACGGGAGGTACATCCCTCCTCATCTGAGCCGCCGGCCAAGTCTCGAAGTGATATCACCCACCATACCTGAGGAGCTACCCAATTCCGGCTGTCAACAAACTGTGTGCCATACGAATAGTTCGTTAAGTCAGGGACGCGCGGGCCCCTGAGCTAAATCGCCCAGGGCGCTTAGGGAACGAAGCGCTGTCACTTGTTCATGGTCTCTTCTTTCTACAATATTTGGGCGTTTCTGACTCATTTTTATTATTTTCTCTTTTTACGTTTAATGATATTCTTCTTTATTCTTATTCACTCCCTCTCATTTCTTATTATCACCCTTTTCCCCCGTTCTCTTGGTCTTCGTTTCTGTGAGCCGGGTGGTCCAGATGCCTTGGCGCCCCCGGCAATTCAGGGGTACCCTGTGGGTGGATGTCTCAGACTCCCTCCCCATCAACACCACCGACTTGGCTCACGACACGTACCAGGACAGCAAGAATAGCAGAGATCGTCGTTTAGCGCAAGGAAGCTCCTGATTCGAACCCCGTTTCTATGGGTTTAATTCAGTAATTTTTTCCAGAATGCTCAGATCATCAGCCAGTAGAAACATGATACCCAAACCCGCCCGTCGACAGTGGTTCGTGACACAAGGGGTTCCACGTCCGATCTCGAACTGCAAGTGTTTCAGCCTCTCTTGTCTCCCAAAGCGCCCGCACCACGGTACCCGCAAGTTCCGGGAACCAAGAGACCAGGAAATTCGAGGTGACTCTTGGCCTGGGGCTGTGATGGGACGTTTCCTTGGATGTGCGCGTCCAGACCTGGGCTAGGAAGTTTCCATGTCACTTGTTCAGCTCTTCTTCCTCTCACACTCACTTTCTTCTGTTTCCACTTCCACCTTTCCTTCCTTTTGGATCTGTTTGTTGGCCTACCACAGTCTATGGCACACAGCTGCTAGACTTTCTTTTCTTTTCATTTTTCTATTCATTCTCTTCGATTCGTAACGCGCTCTGGTCGCTGTTTTCTGTCAAGGCTGTGCCATTCCTTTCATTACACACGATATCACGACACGACTCGGAATTGTCGTTTTGTTCCTATACGGTCTCTTATTGTCGGACTTCTTTATTGTTAGAGCCGATAGCTTACTCTCGTCTTGTTTCTAGACGTTACCTGTCCCTCCTCCGTTAGCCCATGAACAAGCCTGGCTGCCAAACGCTCTAGGCTGGATCTCTTTTTTTCGTCACTCGTTGATTAGACGGACACATTGGTATCATGAGGATATCAGGGCTTTTGGCCTCTCTGGGCCTGCTGGTGGGATCCGGGAAGGCGATCGAGTTGGTCCTTGAGGATGAAGGTAAGGAGGCAGCGTTGCCGGGAACTACAGCTGCCCCAGAAGCTAACACCATGTCTAGCCTCCGTCAAGGCCGCCGCTGGCACAATAGCATTTGGGTTGGTCAAATACTATACCGGAAACAACACAGGCGATACACCAGGCAACCTCCCCGATCCATATTTCTGGTGGGAAGCGGGCGCCATGTTTGGGACCCTGATCGACTACTGGGCGCTGACCGGAGACGACTCGTACAATGCCATAACTGCGCAGGCCATCCTGCACCAAGGGACCGAGAACGCCGACTTCCTGCCCCGGAACCAGACACGCACGCTCGGCAACGATGATCAAGGGTTTTGGGGGATGGCGGCCATGTCGGCGGCCGAGAATAAGCTTCCCGACCCGCCCCCGGACCAACCGCAATGGCTCGCGCTCGCCCAGTCCCTCTTCAACCAGTTCGCATCCCGCTGGGACGAGGAGGCCTGCGGGGGCGGGCTCCGGTGGCAGATCTTCACCTTCAACAACGGCTTCAACTACAAGAACTCCATCTCCAACGGCTGCTTCTTCAACCTGGCGGCGCGGCTGGCGCGGTACACGGGCAACGAGACGTACGCGGTGTGGGCGAACAAGATCTTCGACTGGGAGGAGAGGGTCGGGCTGATCACGGAGGACCACACGGTGCGGGACGGGGTGCACGTCAACCTGGAGGACAAGACGTGCAAGAGCATGGACCCCAACCGGTGGTCGTACAACGCGGGCATCTTCCTGCACGGCGCCGCCGTCATGTACAACCACACCAACGCCTCGTCCACCTGGCAAACCCGCGTCGACGGCCTGCTCGCCTCCACCCGCGACACCTTCTTCAACGACGAGGGCGTCGTCTTCGAGCAGCTGTGCGAGCCGAGCGGCTTCTGCAACAACGACCAGCGCAGCTTCAAGGGCTACCTCACGCGCTGGCTCGCCGGCACCACCCAGATGGCGCCCTACACCTTCGACGCGATCCACCCCCTCTTGGAAAACGACGCGCGCGCCGCCGCCGCCGTCTGCGTCGGCGACACCGTCGCGCCCGCCTTCAAGGGCCACACCGGCACCGCCTGCGGCTTCAGCTGGACGACACCGGGGAGCTTTGATGGTTCGGTTGGTGTGGGCGAGCAGATGAATGCGCTCTCGGCTGTCATGTACACGCTAGTGGGCCGCGTGGCCGCGCCTGTTACCGCCGAGTCTGGCGGTACTTCCAAGGGTAACCCCGGTGCCATGGCGCATGAGGAGCCGATCGGGTTCAAGGAGATCACGCTGGGCGATAGGGTCGCGGCTGGGTTCGTCACGTCGGCGTTGGCGTTGGGGGTGGTGGCCGGGTCGGCGTTTGTGATGATATAGCCCGGGTGGCTGGTTTGGTTGATGGGGGGTGAATTGGGTTGGGATGGGTCATGATCGAGGCGTTTTGGGATTCAAGCATTGTTTGGCGTTTTGGATTGATTTAGGGGTTTGGATGCTGGGTTACATCTACGGCTTTGAGAGCTGGTTTGGGTTTTGGATAACTACTTGATGACAGGTTTGGGAATGGGGAACGAAGGGCCCCAGGGGAGTTATGAACAGGAAAGAATTGTTAAAAGCACATGACAGACATCATGTTGTCATATCAATTGAAAGAAGCAAAACATATACACACGGGCTCTGCCCTATGATTTAGGTAAATCCTGAGAATGCGTTGGAAGAACAGAACAATTGGAAGTTCTCGTTATGTTTTCTGCTTTTCCTTCAGTTTCCTCGCCTACCTTAGATATTCTTCCGAAACCGACGGCTAATCATGGACCTGAAGGCACTGCTTGGCTTAGAAGCTCCTAGGCTAGTCCGATCCCCGTAGTGACGGACGATCGGGAGTCAAAAGTGAGGTCACCTTGCCTGGGCTTGGTACGACGGGAAATCAAGTTGCAGCAGGTTGGACCATGACGGGGCCCCGCACTCACCCCCACCTTCCTGCGATATCAATGCCGTTCACCATCGGGCAAGCTCTCCCGAGACCGTTGCTGCCGAGAGGCGCTATTGATCCGACATAACCGTTTAATCCGCTTTGTTTGTTTTAGCTCGGTTCTCGAGGAAGCACTTAAACCGTATTCCTAGCTTGGGATTCAAGCAACCAGATACCGCTTACACACTTCGACAAGGTCTCGCAGAGAGCAATACTTCCTCGCGCTTACACAACGAGGCTTCCCAGCATTGCGGTTGCGGTTATTCGAGCCGAGATCCAAGCCGAAGCTCTCCTCTTCTTCATTGCAAACTCACCCACCAAACCAAACCCCCTTCTTGACCTCTTCTCACTCAACCTCCCACCCACCCCCTTTTCCCCAACAACTAAACAACCAAACCACCACCACCCCCAACCAACCCCCAAAATGTCCACCAAACACTTCCTCCCCCACCCCACCAACCTGGTAACCACCTCCCTGCACTCCCTCACCCTCACCAACCCCGGCCTGGCCCTCGACACGGCCAACAAAGTCATCTACCGCCGCCCCGGCTACGGCCCGCCCGCCAGCCAACAACACGTGCACATCGTGTCGGGCGGCGGCTCGGGCCACGAGCCGTCCTTCGCGGGCATGGTCGGCCCCGGCCTGCTCAGCGCCGCCGTCGCGGGTACGATATTTGCTAGCCCCGCGGCGGAGCAGGTGCGCGCGGCGATTATGGGGCGGTTGGAGGAGGGTTGTGGTCGCGGGGAGGGAGGGGAAGGGGGAGGAGGGGGGGTGTTGGTGACGGTGATGAATTATACGGGGGATGTGCTGAACTTTGGGGTGGGTGTGGAGAAGGCTAGGGCGGCCGGGGTGAGGGTGGAGATGGTGGTGGTGGGGGATGATGTGGGTGTTGGGAGGGCGAAGGCCGGGAAGGTTGGGCGGAGGGGGATTGCCGGCACGGTGCTGGTGCATAAGATCAGTGGCGCGCTGGCTGCGCAGGGGAGGCGGTTGGATGAGGTTGTTAAGGTGGCGCGGCTGGTGGCGGAGAATTTGGTGAGTGTTGGGGCGAGTCTGGAGCATGTCCATGTGCCTGGGAGGGCGAAGCCTGATGCCAACTCGGCCGAGTACTTGAGGGATGGGGAGGTGGAGATTGGGATGGGGATTCATAACGAGCCGGGCTCGAGCAAGGAGGTGGTTGAGCTGCCGGAGCTGGTGCGGAAGATGCTGGCGCAGATGCTGGACCAGAGCGACAAGGACAGGGCGTTTGTGAATGTCAACTCGAACGAGGTGGTGTTGCTGGTGAATAACCTGGGAGGGGTTAGCGTGCTGGAGATGGGCGGCATCGTGAGCGAGGTGGCGGCGCAGCTCGAGAGGAGCTACAATATCCGACCCGTCCGCATCCTCAGCGGGACGTTCATGACGAGCCTCAACGGGCTGGGCTTCAGCATCACGCTTCTGAACGTGGTCAACACCGACATTGGCGGGCCAAGCATGATCGAGTTGCTCGACTACCCGTGCGAGGCCACAGGCTGGTCGTCTCCCATCTCGAAACGGACGTGGGAGGAGAAGAACACGGCCACCCGGGAGCAGGACACGTCGGGTGGAGGTGATACCAAGCCTAGTGGCCTGAAGATGGACGGCGCAGCCGCACAGCAGGCGCTCCGTCGGGCCCTGGAGGCAGTTGTGGCGGTTGAGCCGGAAGTGACGCGCTACGACACTGTGGTAGGAGACGGTGACTGCGGAATTGGGTTGAAGAGGGGTGCCGAAGGTAAGCGAGAAGCTCCCCCCGTGCGGGTTGGGCATCACTAACAGATGCAGCCATCTTAAACCACCTACAGTCAAATCCGCTGTCGGGAGACGCTGTGGTGGACTTGGCTAATATTGTGCCCATCGTTGAAAATGAGATGGACGGTACTTCAGGGGCACTCTACGCCATTTTCCTCAACGCCCTCTTGGCCTCGCTGAGGTCCCAGGGCGAAGGCGAGGCATCCCCCAAAGTCTGGGCGTCGGCTCTCAAGCAGAGCTGCGAAGCCCTGTCTAAGTACACGCCGGCCCGACCGGGAGACCGCACCCTAGTGGATGCTCTATACCCCTTTGTCGAGGTTCTTGAACAGACAGGCGACATCAAGCAGTCAGCCGAGGCAGCTCAGAACGCGGCCGAGGGCACCAAGGGAATGAAGCCTAGCCTGGGCCGGACGGTGTACATTGGCGGGTCCGGCTTTGAGCAGGTACCCGACCCTGGTGCATGGGGTCTTGCTACCTTCTTCCTGGGTCTGGCGGGGATCAAGAAGGTGGATGAAGGGTGGGAGAAGTTGTGAGGGGTGAAGGGCAGGTGGTATTCTGTACTTGTTCTCACAAACTGATCTTGTAAGTGCTGGTGGAAAAAATATGGGACATGTATATCCGGATATCTTTTACCGTCACCTCGAAGTCCGGGTTAGGGCAAATCAAGTTTACTTGGAACTGAAATCATGGATGCTCGTTGCGTGAAGGGAAGAGACGCTGCTTGGGGCCCTGCCAATTGAGTGCCGACTGGCGGCCGGTTAGTTACAGCTGCCACCGGCAATCATGGACCCCTGCTCCGGGCTCGATTGATTTGCGCGGTCACCTTCGGTCCAGTAAAAGCTGCAATCGCCAATCGCAGTGGACTTTGAAAAGACGGCGGCGGCAGCAAGTGTCTTGGGCCTCGGTGCGAATTCAAGGTCAATGGTCCACTGTCTGAGGGGGGAATATATCACCAGACACTCGTACTAAATGTTCGCCCACACGATTGTCAGCCGAGCGGTGCCGGCAGCACCAGCAACAATAGCAACGACATTGTCCCGCGCCTGCACTCGACCTTCCACACGCACAAGCACGCTGTTTGCCATGCCCCTCAGAGCCAAGCTGTTGTCGCAGCAGCAGCAGCCACAGTCACAACGGTTGGTATGTCATATGCATGCAGTGCCCTGAACAACACCACCACCGACCACCCATGCAGACTGCTTGCTAACCACCGAACCCCCACTACTCTAGATGTCGACACAAGAAGTCTACGATCGTTTCAAGCCCCGCGACGGCGACGAGCCCGAGGATGTCATCTTCAACAGTCTCTACGGCCTCCGGTCCATCGAGCTCAACAGGCCAAGGAAGCTCAACGCCCTCAACGGCTCCATGATCCGCAAGATCGCCCCGCGCATGCTGGAATGGGCCAAGTCCGACATGGCCAACGTTATCGTGATGAAGGGCGCGGGGGACAAGGCCTTCTGTGCTGGCGGCGATGTCGCCCAGTTGGCCGGCTGGAACCAGTCCGGGCCTGAGGGTCAGGAGAAGTCCAAGGAGTACTTCGCCCAGGAATACCAGCTGGACCACCTGATCGCCACCTACAACAAGCCCTACGTCGCCTTCATGGACGGCATCACCATGGGCGGCGGCGTTGGGCTCAGCATTCACGCCCCCTTCCGCATAGCAACCGAGCGAACCGTCTTCGCCATGCCTGAGACGACCATCGGTTTCTTCCCCGACGTCGGTGCTTCTTTCTTCCTCCCCAGGATGCCCGGTTTCGTCGGCACCTACCTCGCCCTGACCAGCATGCGCCTCATGGGTGCCAACGTCTTCTACTCTGGCGTCGCCACTCACTACCTGCACTCGACCTCTCTACCGCGCCTCGAGTCCCGCCTCGCCGAGCTGCGCTTCCAGGACAATGACGGGATGCAAGCTCGCCTGACCGCCATCAACGCCACCATCGAGGAGTTCGTCACGGGCCTACCACACGACGAGCCGATCCTCCTCAGCGGCGAGCTGCGCCGCGCCATCGACCGGTGCTTCAGCCACAACAGCGTCGACGAGATCCTGCGCGCCCTTGAGAAGGAGACGGGCGCGACGCGCCAATGGGCCCAGGAGACCATCTCCACGCTGCACGAGCGCTCACCCACGGCCGTGCACGTGGCCCTGCGCCAGATGCGCATCGGCGCCAAGTGGTCCATCCGGGACACGTTCGTGCGCGAGTACGCCATCGCGTCCAAGTTCATGGCCTCGCACGACTTCACCGAGGGCGTCACGGCGCTGCTCGTCGACAAGCGGCCCCCCACCTGGCAGCCGCCCTCGCTCGTCGAGATCTCCCCGGAGCAGAGCCCCAAGCTGACCGAGGACTACTTCCTCCTGCCGCGCGACCAGCCCAAGCTGGAGCTGCTGACAGACGCCAACTACGAGGAGTACCCGCACCCCCCGTTCGGCGTCCCCACCGAGGAGGACATCGAGAAGATGGTCCGGCTGGGCACCATGACGCGCCCTCAGCTCGTCGACGCCTTCGTGAAGGAGAAGGGACAGAAGCAGGGCGTAAAGGAGGTTGTCGAGGAGATCTTGGCCCGCAAGACCACGGGCGGGTCCAAGGGGCCCGCGAAGTGGGTGTATTAGAACGGCTCCTTTGGGGGTGTAGGATAGAATTGTACGGCTGTGCATATGAAGTATAGAGTTGTACGATGCGTCTGTTTTGTCTGTTCTTGATTGTGCCTTGACACGTGGTGGGATGCGACAGCACGTTCGTCTCATCAATGTCGACCAACCGGAAGTATTAAAACAATCCTGGGACATGCTACTCGGGCAGTTTAAGCATAACGTTACCAACTGTCATTCCCCCCCCTCATCACTAACATTACAGCCGTCGTAATTTTATCTATCCTAGGTAAACAAACCCCCTAAACCCCCAAGCTCTTAACACACCCCCACAGCACCACCGGCACGACCACATTATCATTACCCCCCGTGAGCACCGCCTCCGTCAGCGACGCCAACGAAGCGCACGCCACCGTCTTGGGCACTTCCACCCTCAACCACGGCCACAACACCGCCCAGTCCAACACACTCATCAGACTCTCCATCCCCGACTCAGCCTGGTGGTGGTGGTGGTGGTCAAAAGAAGCACCCGCAACAGCCCACCCCCCCACCCGCAACCACAGCGCAGCGACCATCAGCCCCACAAAGACGGCGGCCGCAAACGCGGCGCTGCCCTCAACACTTTTCCCGCCGCCCCACAGCCACTTGCGATGGCCCCAGCGGCGGCCGACCAGCGAGGCGGCGGCGTCGCCCAGCCCGACGCACACCACGCCCGACACCATGCCCACCTCGCGCGCGGGCACCTCCCACCCGGCGATGGCGGCAGCAACAGCAGGGGCTGGTTCCTCTGCAGAAACTGGAGGGGTGGTGGTTATCCGTGGTAGCGACGCCAGGCTGAGCCACACGGGAATCGCACAGCCGATGAGCAAAAAGATGTGGCTGACGACGACCGGTCCGCGCAGGTCGCGGCCGTCGACGTAGGGGGTGAGGAAGCGGGCGAGGGGCCGGGAGAGCGGGGGCAGCTGGCTGGCGCGGAGGAGATCTAATAACAAAAACACGGCGAGGACGATGGCGAGGGCCAGCGCGGCGTAGCAGGGGTCGACGTACAGCGTGGGCAGGAACATGGCGACCATCATGAAGTGGAAGACCTTGCGGCGCGTGTCGACCTCGTAGACGGGCGAGAGGCGGAAGACGACCGCGAGGCCCGTGAGGATGGTCAGCAGGAAGTAGGCCGATAGCGCGAGCCGCGTGTTGGCGGCGCCGAGGGAGCCGAGGCGCGTGTGTTGGGCCCAGCCGCCGTCACCTGGGGTGCAGGAGGCTGGTGAGGGGTGGGTGGTGGTGTTGGTGTTGTTGAGGGCGGAGAGGAGGGCGGGGAGGGGTATCCAGCGCTCGAGGTTGGCTTTGACGACCTGGAAGCGGAACTGCGGGATATCGCCGAATAGGTAGCCCAAAGCCCAGCCGACTGGTTCGTGGCCTGAGAGGGCGTAGTGTTGGACATAGGGCCGGATGCCGACAAAGATGACGAGAAGGATGCAGAGGTAGACGTAGCTGGCGTAGAGCCACTTGCGGATGGTGGCTTGGGTTTGGGTGAGGGAGAAGAGGGCGCGGACGCTAGTGGAGGCGGCGCGCTTCCGGCGGCCCGAGGGGGTGGTTGTCACTTTGGGGCGGCCCGGTGGTTTCCCCGTAGCAGGTAGGGTATGTCTTCGAGCTGGGCTCTGTTGTAATAGCTCTACCGAGTCCGACTGGACCCTAGTCAGGCCCGCGGGAGTGGGCGGTATGATGTCGACGTCGCTAAGACTGTCTGCCTGTACGGTCTTCTTGGGCGGGGTGGGAAGTGCGCCGTCAAGATATTCATCTATTGAATAGTCTGTATCGGATGCAACGCTGCCGAGACTCGCGGAGCGCCGCCGCCGGAAAGGTAAGAGTTGCCATAACAACTGATAACCGGACTCACTCCTCGCCGAAGAAGGCGTCCGTCTGAACCGCCACTTCGGCACGCGAGCGAGCAAGATCCCCCAATGGATCACCTGGCCGCAAAACACGGCAAGACCGAGGCCGCCTCCCCAGAGCACTGCTTTTAGAATAACAGCTTGGGGGGAGCTGGCCAGCAGAAGGAGGCCAATAAGAGCAGCAGAGAGCAGCTGAAGCTCGGAAACCAAAAGACTAGTTGTTGTAAGGTGGTGTAAGACGAGACAGAGCGTCTGATGTAAGGGGTAAAGCAAGACCAGGACTTCCCGCGACATATCGCCCACTAGAAACGCCTCTGCCGCCGGGACAAGTGCATCTAGCGTGAAGGGGACACATGACAGTAGCCAATGGGTGCAGCTCAAGGTTTCCCAGTGCCGTGCACCGGGGATCAGTGGCCTCGGGAGGGCGCAAATGCTGAGGACGAGGCTCGGTAGAACAGCGCCCTCGACGTTCTCGGCAATGAGGAGGGACACAAGAACAGGCACTACCGGAGGATAAAGGATGGGCGCGGGATCAAAGGAAGCGGGAACGCGGATCGGTACGAGCTTCTGGGGCTTCCCCTGACGGTACGCCCAACTTACCAACCTCAAGGGATAGGCGGCAGTCAGGCCGCAGAACACGCCGCCCACAGCCAGAAACTCTACAATTCTGATCAGCTGGGTTACGTACTATAAGCAGCAAGGGAGTTACCTTTCCGGTATAGGTGAATGAAAGACCGGGCCTCGGCATTTGAAGCAACCATCCCCCCTTGCCAAATTAGGAGCAGCACTTCGGTCGCCCTCCGAACCAGCTCCTTGCGGCGGCGAACTCTCTCGGCTGCGCCCCTCTTCTCACGCTCGTGTCCGCCATGGCCGGAACCCGAATTTGTCTTCCGACCCTCCTCTTCCCATATCGAGGGTGAAAGCAATGGTGTGGAGGTCCCCGAGAGTGGTTCATTCCTGCCCCTCAATCCCTTGTGCGATTTAGCCCTCGGGGCAGGGAGTCCTTTGAGAAAATGTTCATCGTCGGCCTCGGTGCCGCTCTCGCTAGTGAGCGGCGAGTCTCTTGCAAAGGCGGGAAAGGGACGAGAGGGAGCACCGTCCGACTCGCCGGCGACGCTATCGTTATCACCGGTGGTGATGCGCGGGTTCGTGAGGCGGCCCGAAGGTTCGAGGAGCTCGGTATTCAACCTGTGATAGGGATGCGGCGAGCGTGATAAGAGTCTTAAGGTATCATGGTCTTCGTCGGAGCTACCGGGGCTGGTCGGTGCTTTCGGGGCTGAGGGCGGTTGAAGATGCGCAGGCATGGCCAGTCGAGAAACTTGAGGAGGACGACGTCGATCTGGCGCAACATGGGGCCAGATAGGCCCTGCAACGGGTGGGAGAATCACCGATTGAGTATCACCAATGCACAATTCGAATGTCGCGCTGCGGAATCCCGCATGTTGGGTGTTGCGCGTAGTAAAAGTGGACTCGCGTGGCCTGTGGTGTCATTCCAGAGTCCAAATCAATGGAAATCGTGGATCACATGAAAGTCTGCGCAAGCTTCCATCGTCATGGGCCGAGAGCTGCAGCGTGGCTCGCTGGCCTTGCCATGGAGCCAGGGCTGGGCGAGATAAGGGGCGCCACAACCCGCCTGGATTCGGCAGCCGTTCCCGTTCCCATTCCCGTTGATACGCCACAACGCTGTGGCTTGTGTTGTGCCCCACAGCGGTCTGAACGTTCTGCACATCTTCACCCGATTGTGACGGATGGAAGTTCCCGCCGCTCGGTCTCCATTTTACAGGGTGGTCCAACTCTTTTTCCTTTTGCCCATAAAAGTTCTGTGCCTGCTCAAAAGGGTCCAGAACTGGTAGCTTCGGGGACAAGAAACCGCACCCTTTGAACAACAACGAAGACCAGAAGCTGTCGCTCTTGCGGGAGAGGGCGAAAACGTGAATGCGGACCTGGTCGTTTTGAGGTGTATCACCATTTCATTACCTTCGTTACGTTAGGGTTTCCTTGCTTTTCCTTATAGAGATGCTTCTTATAATACGTGGGCTTGTAATAATTATCTCTTCCTCTATTGTAGTCACAAGGCGATGTTAGGATCACACCACGGGAAGGATGGGAAACGGGGTTGGGAAACAGAATACAAGTAGTAAGAAACTGAGTGGATACGTGGTCTACCGTTTTAATCCTCAGAAAACGTCTCCAACACGCGACCGAAGCTCTGCTGAGTCAGCAATTTGGACCCAAAGAAAAAGGTTAACCACACACACCACCGAGGTAACACTGCAGTGGGCCCGTGCCACGCGCGTTGTGATGTCAATGTCGCATGAGGGAGGAAATGGCTCAGAGGACAATCTTCAACACCACAGATCCTACGATCGTGATATCAATGCACCTTCGTGCGTGGCCTTCTGGTCAGGAGGCCGCGGTCGCAGCTACCGCAAAAAGGAGTCACTTCTGCAAGTGTGGAAAAAGGAAAATAAAATTGTATGCCCGTGACCCCTGGGAAGTCCCGGACCTCTGACTACAAGTACAGACAATGTTGCGTCCGGCGAATGAACGCCACGAAGAAGCGGAAAAACGAAAGTCCAGATCCCCTGGCTGGCCCTCTGGTCACCAGGAGGCCGGGGTTGACGCCCCAGTTCAGGAAATATAGAATATATAAAAGATAGGGAGCTCACTGGTTTCCAGAGGTTCCGTAAGGATCAACTCTTCTTCTTAGTGTACTGTAACTATTGAAGTATACGAAGAGATTAGCTGGAAATTTAACACCGATTCACTGCCGCTTCACCACCTCTCCGCCTGCAAGCCAACTGCCTAACCATCTTGACCATTCTGCTTTTGAAGTTCAGTTCCTAGTTAGATCGGCGCTCCGGCGATGCGTCGATGGCGTCGATGCGACGACAAAGTTCCCAGCACGGATCCTTGGGACCACCAGGCGACTCCCCGGCAGATTGACGCCGCAGGGATTTTCAGCCTTAAGGACGGCTTTGGTTGAACATGTTTGGCTGACATGTCGGCATCGCAATCGCATTCTTGCGCTGGCAAGAGGCGGGCTCGAAGCTGAACGGCACTGGTCGCAGCGCAAGGAAATGGCGGATTGAGGGGAGGGTCGGAATTGGTGGGGCCTCTCTCCGCGCTCCGTGAGAGGACAAATGAGGGCGCGAGCTGGTGATTGTCTGCTCAAGCGAAGGGGTTGCAACTGCAACCCTGCCGCGAAGAAGGTGCGCAGCCCGGGTCATCGATCCTTCCCGACCCGCCACAAAAGGTGCTGCTGTGCGAGGGCAGGGCCTGGGGGGGGGGAATTGGCGTTTTCCAGCCGTCCCAAGACCCAGACGAAGCCTCCAATAGTTATCAAATCAACAGCGCTCAAAACGTTGGGATTCCCCAACTCGCAGGAGATCGAACGCCAGCCAAGACTATTTGCGCCGAAGTGCGATCTCTATCAGACGCCACAACCCACATCTTCCGGATCTGAATACAGCTGGCACTTAGACCCTAGACAGCAAGGACGGTTTGAGAAAGCGTTTGAACGCTGCGCGAAATGGGGATGCCGTTCAAGATGGGGGGGCACCAGGCCGACGAGAACCTCCCGGAGGTGGTTCAGCAGCCGCCAATGGCGAGTTCAACGCCGCTGCCAGAAGTGGTGCCTGATTCATCACCAGAATCCGCCCAGCAACAGTATATGGAGAGAGACAAGATTCTGGTGCATTACGATATGGCGCCAAAATTTCCACACGAACCGCAGACGCCAGGGATGCGCTCGCTCAGCTACCAAAACCAACAACCATGGACCGACGCCGAGCACTCGGTCAGCATGATGAGTCCCGACAGCTCGGTGCCGTGGCAATCGTTCCCTCCTTGCGACGACCAGCAGACACATGTCGGCAGCGAGCCGGCGGAGCCGGAGAAGCTAATCTGCGGTCTCCGCAAGCGCCTCTTCATCATTATTGCCGTGATTATCGGGCTCGTGGTCGTGGGAGCGGCGGTTGGTGGCGGCGTGGGCGGGGCGATGGCCGCGAGGCAGGGGTCGTCAGACGGCGCCGAACCAGCCGAAACGAGCTCGGCGTCATCGAGCAGGTGAGTGTTCAACATGGCAGCCTCAGTCTTGGTGCGAGCTTAGCTGACATGGCCAACAGCGCAACCGGCACCACCATCATCACCACCACTCCCACACCATCCTCGACAACCTCCAGCGGCCCCAGCCTGCCCACGCCGTCCATCTCATTCCTCCACAACCAAACAGATAAGACCTACGAGGGGTACGCGTTCCAAGCCTATGAGAAGAATGATTTTGAGGGCAAAGCGTCCCTCATCCTCTGGGAAGAGGGCTTTTTCGATTTGGGGTTCGGCTCCACAAGCTGGATTTGGATCCCCAACGGCCTGGATGCCTGCGTCACCTTTTGCGCCAGCAAAACGGAGTCGACTGGGTACGCCTGCATGCCCGTGAGGAGGAACGCTACCAAAAACAATAGATCGTTCAAGCGGGTTCACATCTGGCGGGGGGCTTGGCGCAAGGACGGGACGGTTGAGGAGATGTCAGAGACGTGTTCATAGGTGGGGAGCGAAGTGGGTTTATGACAAGCGGGCGTACATGGTCTTGGGTAGGGCTTCTGGATTGCTTTGTTTCTGGAGGTGCGTTGCGGATGGTACCTTCAAGTTGGTGTTAGAGCGGGTAGGCGGTTACTCGGGCATGGCCGGCTTTTGTTCATTGGCGAGGTGCCGAGGAACCCGGTAAGAGGGATCCTGCACGTAGTTTGCTCGTTGCGACATGCAAATCCCACGTAGCAACCTTTGGTCTGACCCAAGAACCTTTAACCTGCCACAGTCACACAGCGTCTGAGAAGCATGGGAGGTTAGGGGGACGAAGGAGAATGGGCGATACCTTGCCTCCGTCGCCGGCGCCGTTTGTAGTCGTTACGGAGGTGGCCCCGGTCCGGGAGCGCGAAGAACGGGTTCCCGTCCGGCAAAACATCGGGCGAGCGTGAGGTTGGCAGTCGAGTCAGCAATTGCAGCCGTGCAATGCCCAAGAATTTTGCTTTTTCTCGCGAGGGCAGTCCGGTCTCACCTTGAGACCAACCAAGCTCCACAACTCATTTGGCTCCGAATTGGGTGCTGAATGCGACAACAAAACCGCCCTGCAGACAACGGCGTTCGCCGCGTTGCCCTGGACGCCGATCGGATGACTGAGGCTCAAACAGTCGTGCACGAGCCATGGCGGACCTGTGTCGATCTGGCCTGAGGTCCGCCGTGGTCCACTCTCTGGCTCAACAACCACCATTCCCAAACCTCGTGTTGGCGCCAAGCCACGAATTCTAGTTCGGGCCTCGACCGGCAACGGGACATCCGGCTCAAAGTTTGTTCGCGAGCGAGGTCCAGCATCAATGACGTCGGCAATACGAGGAGCATCCACCGAATGCAATAACAGCAATCTTAAGCAAATGGATCCGAATATTCCATACACTGTAATCTGTACAGATTACAGATTACACAGTCGTCATGATGGCGGACCATACGGGAGGGATGCGCTCCGAAGAGAGGGGTTGGCAGTGGTTGGCTGTCGCTTGTGTCAGTCTGGTCTGGAATGCCGCAGGCCGTTTCATCAATCGAGCATTCTCTGCGATTGAGGTGGCGCGAGGGCGCCCGTCCAGTCCACACCACGTTCAGCCCCAGTGCCCGGGTCGCTGGTTGTGTCGATTTGGTGGGGACCTGCCAGAGTTCTGCCCCCCACACTACCACAGCCGCCAATGGTAAAACATGGAAAAGGCGATGGCTGGCGGCTGTGCAGGTCGGTCCATGCGAGCCACGATGGCTTCGTCCAGGTGCTCGATTGGATTCCGATGGTTTCAAACACGAAGTGAAGAGGGCGTCTTTTTGCAGAAGATTTCCCGTCTTACAGGCTGATCTCTGATGCCGAGGGGAGAAGTGAAAGTGAACACGGGTCTTTGTGAACGGTTGTGCCACGAACACACCAACATAACAGGCCGCGCACCCAGCGTTCTTCAGACCCCTGCAGCTTTGCAGCGTCATCCCAGCTGAGCAGATCTGCAATGCCCCTCCCCTAACCAGGATACCAGCGCCTCAATGGAGCCCGGTCATCGTACGCAGTAATCGTGAGCTTTACATATATTCCGGCGCCGCCCCGGATGGCGACGCCGAAACCTCGCTCGGCCAACCATTCACAACACCAAGCCGAAGAACCGTGCAATTGGCTCTTATTGTGGGGGCGTGAGCGAAAGAAGGGTCTCTGGGTGACAAAACCGTAACGGAAACGAGTTGGTACAAGGTAAGATTCATCATCGGAAGTTTCTTGCATTTCTTGTGCCCACTTTGTGCTTCGCGGGTCCCGATGGTGAGACAAGAGAGAGCTGCGCAATACAGCGCAGCCAGGGTTTCACACTGGATCATGGTCCGGGGCTGGGTCATCGACTCGTTTCCCAATCTTGTTTTTTCGACTAAATAAAGGTGGCCCAACCATTGCAACTCCAAACCGCTGACCTGAGGAGCCAGACACAACTTGACCACTCAACGGACGCAGAGGTCTGCGACTCGTCACTTGTCAACTGCATACCCAAGGGGCAACCTCAGGTTCCAGTGGACCAAGTTCAGTACATTACCCACCTCTTCCTCTCTTGGCCCGAATCCTCCGTCATGGACTTCGACTTGGTCAAAGACGGCAAATCGCCTTCTTCGGAATCCCTTCTTCCCGTCGACGCACGTGAGAAGACTGCCACCGGGGCCCAGCCAACAACAGTCGACAGCAACCGGCAACGCCCAGATTCGACCAGCAAGATGGCAACCATCCGCCCAACCGCCATGGTCGTGTTAGTGTGCATGCTGGCGCTCCTGGGAGTCGCCTCGACACGGCTACCCTGCCACGGGAGAGCAACGAGCCACAAAGCACTGGAGGCTGTCCGCCGGAACGACGCACCTCTGGGAAATTCCGTCTTGCAACTCGGAAAGCGCGACGACAACTCGACCTCCGAGGGGCCCAGCTCAACCCCACCGGACTCAGAGACGGAGACGGAGACCGAGACCGAGACGGAGACCGAGACCGAGACGGAGACGCCAACCTCCGATCCTCCGACTGAGATCCCGCCTTCGACGACCATCGTCCCTCCCACCAGCACCCCTACGAGCGATGAGCCTTCGAGCACCAGCAGCGTGCCGCCTCCCACTTCGGATACCCCGAGCTCGACCCCAACTCCTTCTCCTTCCACCTCACTGCCTGGTACGTCTTCGAGCACAAGTGACTTCACCTCTTCTCAGATTTCTTCTGAGCCGGAGTCATCGTCATCGTCATCGTCGTCCTCTGTCCCTCAGACCCGGCCGTCCTCCTCAATTCCCGGAGGTACGTGAGCCTCGTTCTGTTTTTCGTTCCGTTATTTGGGCACTGCCCCCTTTCAGCTCTCCTGCTTTCACATTCCTGATTACAATTTGTTACTGAGCCTGTATCTAACTGCCAGCAGAGACGACCTTGACAACCTCGACCAAGCCGCCTTCGACGACGAGTTCGCCACGTCCCACTTCCCGGCAGACTACAGAGACGTTCACGTCGACATCGCCCAACGGAGCGGTCGTCGTCGTCACCAGGACGAACTTTGTGCCCGCCGACGGCGAGGAGACGCCTGCGCCTACCTCGACGGGCGCTCCGCCAAGCCTTCAGAACTCGGCCATTCGCCAGCGCAGCGGTGGTTCCACCGTGGCCGGCATCGTTGGGTTCGCCATGCTGTTGTTGGTGGTCTAGGCCACCATGTGAAACGACGAAGCAGGGGACGAAAGCCGGAGAGGGCGGTGCCACTATCCGATTCCAACAGAGAGAGAGCGTCCCATCCATTCCTTCATTGTGCTTTATTTCAGAGATCTTCAGCACTGCATTGCGCGGGGTTCGGTCCTTTTTTTTGCATTTCACACATTTTACGGCATTCATTACGGAGTCATTTCTCATATTACACGCCACACGGTGTACGGCACATTGTACAACACACAACAGCATCGGGACCGGAACCACAAAACGATACCACATTCATTTAATTCTCGGGAAGAAAAGGAAGAAGACAGGCAAATTGGGATAGACCATCGGCGGCAACAGGCCGGGGATACACGCAAGGACATATGGTACATAGACGGACGAGCCACGTTTGGCCGGATTAATAACCACGTAATAAAAGGGATTTATTGGCAACAAGAACTGAACGTTTCAATTATTTCGTGTCTTTGAAATGATGTGGGTATCGAGCAAGCAAATACAAGGAGAAACTGCCATCTTGCACCCTGATGGCCTCGTACATTCAGCCGGTTTTCCACGGCAACCCCAACAATTGCGCCGCCGTCCGTGATTGGGAGTTAATTATTCCTCCCGTCGGTGTGGCATTCCGGTATAGATTCTTTTATCGCCAATGCAACGAGACAACACGGCAACGATTGTCCTTGGCTAGGTCTGTTCCTGAGCAAGCCGTGATGTTCGTCCAGTCTCGCAGGGTGAGCGACCTAATTCCTCCTCCTGCCGGTGTAGCATTTCCGAGATATATTGTAACCGCCGCCGCAACGAGGCAGCACGGCCAGGTCTGTCCTTAACCAGGTCCAATCTTGGGCATATCGTGATGTTCGCTCAGCCTCGCAAGGTGGGCATTCAGCTCCTCGACGCGCTCCTTGTGCGTCTTGAGCAGCTCGGGCCGGATCCGTCCCGACTCGGTGAGTTCCTTCAACTGCGGCGCCGTTAGCACACTCTTCCCACACCAATCCCCGAAGAAGAAAGAAACGCGGTGGGTGGGCATAAACAAACATACCCTCTTCTTCTTCGCCTCCGCAAACCGCCGTTCCGTCTCCGTCTTATTCTCCTCCTCCCCTCCCTCTCCCTCTCCCTCTCCCCCATCCTCTCGTGTCCTCTCCCTCCCCTCCTCTCCCCCATCACTGCCCTCTCCCCCCTTCTCCCCCCCAGCCAAAACAAGCGCTCGCGCACTGCTGTCGTCTACTGCTGCGTCCCCTCCGGTGGACAGGTTCTTCTCGAGGTCGGTGCCTTTGCTGCCGCTCTTGCCGCTCTTCTTCTTTTTCTTCTTCGTCACGCCCGCCGCGCCCTTGAGCCGTAGCGGCCCGCGCGCGGCTGGTGCGTACTCGTCGGAGGGCATGCCGTGTGCGGATTCGGTGTGAGGATGGGTGAGTTGATAGGTGGTGCGTTCGATACTAGATGAAGTGGTTGCATGTGCACAGCATCATATATGTACTAAGGGGGTGGCCACGCGTGCTTATCGGATTTTGGTCACCTCGATACGCACGACCCTTTAGGTAGTTATCGATAGGCTTCAATTGGGACGACAGATTAGGAGGGATAAGGTGCGAAAGCGGCGGCCCCACTTTTGGGCCGCACCGCGACTATAACTTTGCGGCGCGAGGAAATTTTCTTCGACTTTTCTTTTCTTTTTTTCTCCAGATCAAAAAGTATAACACGAAGTTGCCACGACCGCCACTAGTATCCCACGGTGCCAGGTTGCCTGACCTCAAATGAGGTCTACTTCGGAGATGGACCTCCTTGATAGGAAGTTTCTCACCCTGTATCCATGTGGGTGTGAAATGCTGAAAGATTGGAGACATTTCTGCACGCTGAGACGTGATTTGCCACGGGGACGCGAGTCGGTGGCAGTGGAGCGGTTTAAAACTGCTTGTGTGCCTGCCTATTAGGGTCGATGTGTCGTTAGTATCTCTGCTGCCAGATGCCTTGAAGCTGTTTGCGTGCCGCCTACTCGGACGAACGCCCTCCTACCCGTTAAGGCCCGACATACATAATCCCAAGAGGAAGGGCAGTAAAAGTGACCGCCAGTCTGTCCCGTCGTTGGAAATGTGAAGTTGTGACCGGCAAAGAAAGACGCAGGATTTTAACATTCCCAAGCTGCGGCCTCGACATATTGAGAACTTCATGCTTGTGATTTGGGCTCGCCATTTATCTACGCCTGCGTTGGCTCCTCTATGCCCACAATCTTTTTGCTGCTGTGCTGGTCCCTGAGAAACTCTTCGATCTGTGCGTCGTTCTCTGGCCGGTTTGGAGGTCCAGGTACATTCTTTGCTGGTGATGGTTCTCGACCTGGGTCCTGTTCCTGAGCCCCGAGCATCCTCCCCACGGTTGGCACGTATTGCGATACTAGTGGCACATCGATTAGTAAAGAGTTTGAACGAGCTGCGTAATTTGCAACTATGCACCTACCCTTGTTTACGAGGCCGCCTTGTTGCTGTTCTTGGGGAGGGTTCTTTTCTTGATCCGCGGCTTCATCAAGCTTAGCTTTGTAGTCGGGGCGGCCAGGTTTCTTTGACCTCTTTTCCAAGACCGGCTCTGACATGGTGTTCGAGTATGTACCTATATACCATAAACCGTTCAAAACTAGGGGTTGCCCGTGTCTGGGGGTGAACGTTTTAATAAGTGAGATTTCAGGGTATCATGACGTCACTCAACTCAAGGTAGCTGAAGGCCCAGGCCTCCCCCGGACTTTTCTTTCCCAATACTCAGTTTTAAAGAGACCTCATCGGCTCCCAAAACACCCCATGCATCTCTTGACGGACCCATATAACCGTTTAGCGACTCGGAGTCCTGGTCTTGCAAATTAGCACATCGAGTTGTCATGTCAAGCCTCGCCGGGCGCCTCCCCGGTGGTGGGGCGGCACTGAATCGTTCTAATATCAAGAAGTTACCCAGACATGCATGAAGTGCCTTCTAGTGTATGTACATTATCAGATGCCCCTTGCATGGCTGGCATGTGCTCGCGCAGTAAAGAATATCGCTTCCCCTTCGCCTCTGCACGGGAGTCCAGCCATGAAAACGGGCCACTCGGGGTTTTTCCAGGGAGCCAACTTTATTTCGACGCCCCTGCCAAGATCTGTTGCCCCTCTAAAACACCCCGCCATCCGGCACAGTACAGAACCTCCCACTCCCACTAACTGCGGTAAACCAACACTTTTCACTCCTTCCAGGTTGCTTCTCTTCCAGAGCCAACCTAGGTAGTTAGTCGGCTCAGTCAATTGGATCCTTCCCAAAGGCGCCCTCTTCACCCAACACACACGGGCACTCCCCCATCCGCCCACCATGACCCAACCCGACCCCCCCACAACCACCCACAAGCCCATCCCCATCACCATCGTCACGGGCTTCCTCGGCGCCGGCAAGACCACCCTGATCCTCAACCTGCTCCCGCAACTGCGCGCCCTCAACCCGACCTACAAGCTCGCCCTGCTCAAAAACGAGTTCGGCGACCTCGCCATCGACTCCCAGCTCGCATCCTCCTCCGCCATCGCCGGCGTGACCGAGCTGCTCAACGGCTGCATCTGCTGCAACCTGGTCGGCCAGCTGGGGCCCGCCCTCGCCGAGCTGCGCGCCGCCGCCACCCCGGACCGCGTCGTCGTCGAGACGAGCGGGAGTGCATTTCCCGCGACGCTGGCGCTGGAGGTGAATCGGTTGGCGAGGGAGACGGGTGGGGAGTATGTCCTGGATGGGGTGGTGAGTGTGATTGATGTGGAGAATTGGGCGGGCTATGAGGACACGAGCTATACGGCGAGGCTGCAGGCGCGGTATACGGATTTGGTGGTGTTTAATAAGTGGGAGGGGTGTGGGGAGAGGCGGTTTGATGAGGTGCTAGACCGGTTGGGGGATTTGGAGGTTGATGTGGCGTGGGTGAAGAGCGATAAGGGGTGGGTGGACGCGGGGGTTGTGTTTGGGGTTGACGGGGGGCTGGCGAAGGGGTTGGAGGATGAGGGGGATCTTGCCGTCCAGGATGGGTGTGAGCATGGGGATGGGTGCGGGCATGATCATGGGGAGGATCATCACCAGTCTGAGGTCGAGGTGTTGTCGGTGGAGCTTAAGGGTGGGGAAGGAGCGGCGGCTGATGCGGGTAAGCTGATGAGCTTTCTCAAGAGCACACCGAAGGACGAGGTTTACCGGATCAAGGCCGTGTTGACAGTTGCTGGGGCGGTCAAGAACTCGGACGAGGATGTGTTGGTGCCGGCATCGCCACATTCCACGAGCAGGTACATCCTGAACTGGGCCTTTGGGAGATGGACTTTTACGCCCGTGGCGGAGGACGTCACGGAGCATGCGTCGAGTAACGAGGCCATCTTGAGGATGACGGTAATTTTGGCGAGATATGAGAGCACCAAGTGGAAGAAGAAGTTAGACGCTGGGGGATTGTTAGAATTAGATGGCACAGACAAGGGGGTGTTGACGGTGACGAAAGTCAACTAGACTAGACTAGAAGAAGCATTGCAGGCAGTGTTTAGAGTTGGGCCTCGTACTAAGCAAGGTACCTTTTATATTTTCTATAATGATGTTTGTTATTTAGCTGCGAGTATGTGTCCTTCTAGTTATCCTTGGTTATGGTATTTATACAAATGAGTGCCTCACACCACTATTCACCCAACACAAAGCGTCACTGCCCATAATGACAATATGAATAACTTCACGAAAGCCAGCAGGCGGTGACCAACTAACGATCAAATAACTATAAAGAACTGGAACCTCTACCCCTTTCCAACACCACCTAAACCCACCTCCGCCCCCTCCCCCTCTCCTCCTCCCTCTCACTCTCATAGTCCCCAATGATATCCATAAACAGCTCCGCATCGTCCCCGCCACTCTTGGCTGTCTCCCGCTGAAACCTCACCCGCCCGGCCGGCCCTTTCCACGTCAGAAAGTCGGCATCCTGCACCAAATCACCGTGTGTCGACCGCCTCTTCCTCGTCTTGTCTGCTCTATCTTGGGCTTGGTCCGTGGCTCGGTCCCCGCCCCTGTTGTTGGCATACCCGTCTCTACCTCTGTCCAGACCCATGTACCTGGCCCTGTCCGTGTTTGTTTGTCTGGTCGTCCAGTCTCTGCTTCTTCTGTTCACCTCTCTGCCTCTGTCCACGTCTCTACCCCCGTCCACGTGCCTACCCAAATCTCTGTCCCTGCTCATGTTTCTGCCCTTGTTAACGTCCGTGTCCCTGCCTCTTTCCTTACTCCTATACCGCAGCGCTGTCGCTGCGATGCGCGGAGTGGGGTTCGGCTTGGTGCTGATGTTGTTGGGTGAGATTGACGAGGGGAGTAGTTGGATAGGGGAGGCCGAAGAGAGGGAGGCGCGGCGGGTGCGGAGATACGAGGTCCGGGGCTGGGGCTGCTCGTGGGTGGAGGCCTGCTGGTAGGTGCAGGGCTGTTGGGGGCCGTAGAGCTGCTGGTGGCGGGTCGAGATGGATCGGGGCTGGGCTGAGACGGATCTGCGGCGGCTTGAGAAGGACTCACGGCGGGCTGAGAAGGACTCGCGGCGCGCTGAGATGGACTCGGGGCGCGGTGTAGCGTTAAACCTCGGTTGTGGTTGGATGGCCCGTGCTAAGATGAATTCACGGCGGGCTGAGAAGGACTCCCGGCGCGCTGAAATGGACTCGGGCCGGGGCGTAGTGGTGGACCGCGGCTGTGGTTCGACCGGCCGGGCTAAGATGGACTTGCGGCGGTCCGAGAAGGACTCGGGGCGGGGTGTAGCGATGGGCCGTGGTTGTGATTCGGCCGGCCGGGCTAAGATCGACTCGCGGCGGGCCGAGAAGGACTCACGTCTGGTTGAGCTGAATTCGGGGCGGGGTGTGGTGGTGTGCCGTGGCTGTGGTTGGAGGGGTGGGGCTGAGAAGGACTTCCGGCGGGCTGAGACGCAATCGGGACGGGGTGTAGTGGTAGACCGCATCCGTGGTTCAACAGGCCGGGCCGAGAAGGACTCACGCCGGGTTGAGATGAGTTCGGGGCGGGGTGTGGTGCTGCGCCGTGGTTGTGGTTGGACGGGCCGGGGTGAAATGGATCGAGGCGGGGCTGAGATGGACTCGGGGCGCGGTTTTGTGGCGTGCCGCGGTTGTGGTTGGAGGGGGGAAGGATGCGGTTTTCTCCTTTCCGAGCGGGCTGGCGGTGGAGGAAGGGGTTTTTCCAGGTATTCTGGTTTATTAAGCCGTGCTGGGTTATAGATGAAAGTGGCGGGCCAGATTGTGCGGATGGTGTTGGAGGGCGAAGGGGACTCCTGTCTCTTCTGGAATGGCGGGGGTGTTGGCCGGGATATGTAATTACTCGGTGGCTCTTCTTGCTCTTCCGTGGGAGTGGGAGCCTCGACTTGGGAGTTGGGCATAGTCGGGTGATATGTCAACACCGGACCCGGGGCACCAGTGTTGACGAACGCTCTCTGCGCAAGTCTCGGTGGCGCTCTTTCTGCATATCTCCGATTTGGGTACTCCAGATACACCTTGAGAGCCTTCCTACAATCTAGGTAGGGACAATTTACGGGCAAGGGGCCATCGCCAAAGTACTTGCGGCAAAAAGGACAGTGACCGCGGCGGTACATTTCCATGCGAACTAATTGCTCCATGTCAACCGAGGTTTCATCATCCTCCTCGTTTGTGTACTCACCTCCGGTATATCGTGGCCCAGTGACTGAGTTATCCGAGCTGGCGATCGCCAGAGCGGGACTTGCGTTTTGGGGGTGACTTGTTGGCGGCGGCGACCGGATCGTGCCCGAGAACAAGGGGGCAGGCGAAGCTTTTGCGATACCATGGAAAAACGGTGCTACATAGCGTTCGTGTGTCTCAGGCTCCCTTGGTAAAAGCCCGTCCCATCTCTGTGGTGCAGGCTTTGGGGGTTGGGTGTACTGCAGTCCTGTGTGCTGGCTATGGCCTCGTCCCATCCCCTGAGCGTACACCAAGTTCGTGGCATCATGACGATCGAGCCCATCCTCGTCGTCATCGCTGTCGCTGGCAATGGCTGACTCATTCTGAATTTGTAGCCTTGTTAGATCGACATCTTTCGGGTTAAACCGCCGTCCTGGTTGATGTTCCGCGTTTTCCAACCGCCCCGAAATACGTCGAAGAAAAGGTATACGTACCATATTTATCTTCCAGTATTGGCCTCTTGCGAGGCTACTGATGCGCTCCTTCGCTGAAGCGTGCTGCCACCGCGCAATCTCGTCACCGCACTCGTCTTCAGTGGGCGCATCAATGGGCGTGATGAGCCGCGCGGGCCGATCGGGGGTGTGGACAAGCTCGAATTCTCTTTCTAGTTTATCTTCACTCCTGCTCTTCAGCCGGCCTAGACCGCGGAGCTTCTGCGAAAGGCTAGCGGTTCGACTGGTGGCACTTGTTAGCTGTATCGCCATCACCAGTCGCAAGAAGTGACAGTAGAAAATGGCTGTTCTGTTGGCGAGCGGTTTTGCTAGGGTGCATTCATTGTATGTTGGGGCATGTGGCGGTCCAGGCACTTTTAATACGAATAAAGGCGAGGGGAAACCAAAGTGTTCTTTGTATTAGGACGTTCCATCATCGTGATCGTTCATACGACAAGCGGCCCGATTCCGCATGTTTCATTGAGGTCAACAGGCACCTTCCTTTGTCTCCGACCGCCTAGAGTTTGACACCCAAACAATGGCATATGCCAGGGTGGCGGCGTATGATGCCACAAATCCATTCCAGCCCTAAATTTGCGAGTTTAGAGACTCACAGTCACAGTCATGTGGTTACTCAACACCAGGAGGACAGGAGGTAGCCCGTTACAGAGAACCTCGACGTCGGACAAATACACCAGGCTGGCCTCCTCACTTTGGCAGGTGTTCTCCTGTGGGATGGGCAGCGTGGTCAGCATCACGGCTGTGTCGTTGCTGTGTTGGCGCATGAGCTCGTTCAGGATGAGATGTTGAGCCCGGTTGGGGAGGTCATTGAAAGAAAGCGACAGCCCCTGCGTTGAATAGCTTGACCCGTCCTTGTTATCGTCCTCGGATAGTTGATAGGAGGCCAAGAGCGCGGGAATGTTGAGCGAGGTATCGCCGCCACTGTCGGACCCTTTCGAAATGGAACTTCTGCGAGACCTCGCTGGGGACTTGGAATCCGGTACTAGCTCTGCGAACGACACTCGCTTATCGACTGGAGTCGTCGTGCCGGAGCCAGTTTCTGCGCCCGTGCCCCGTCCATACGACGACTGGCGAGATAAGGCAGGCCGCTCAGTGCGAATTTCCGCTTCGGCAAACATGATCCGTGGCCCTGTGCCATCCTCATTTGTGATGGTAGTCTGGGGAACTAGGTTGCTCGAAAATCTCGGGGCCGAAGAACCGTGCCTTGAGAGTGCCGGCCGTTCCGGTTTGAGAATGCCCCGGGGGGTTTGCGACGATGCTGACCCCTTTCTGCTGTGCCTTGGTGGTTCTAGTCCGGAGTCGCTACCGTCGCGTTTGTCTGGCATAGTTCCATAGGAGCCTTGCATTGGCGACTGCGATCCCTTCAATCTCTTCTCTCTCCGAGGGCTCTTTGCACGGGCGAATACATCAGCAAAGCTCCTTCGCCGGCGAACAGTGGTCAACAGCGGCCGACGGGAGGCGTCTTCCCCGGAAGCGCTGTCAACATCGGCGAACTGCGCCTCCGTTTCCGATGAGTCGCTGTCCGAATCGCTGTCGGGACCGAGGTCCGAGTCTGAACTGTCAAAAACGCTGCGGGGAAGATTTTGAGTATGGATCCCCATATTCACGCCCCATTTGCCCAGCTGTGACATTGATGGCTTCTTGGGCAGTTCGGGGAGTTGCGCCAAACTATGCCGCCTCCTATTCCTGCCCTCGGAAGGGCCACTGTGGGGGTTGTACAGCCCTGGTCTTCCAGAAGTAGACCCCATGACCTGGGCTATTGACGCGAATTCTTGTGCATCAGTCATTGAGCGGCTGCCTCGGTAGGTTTGCAGATCTTCCCACCACTCCTCCTTCTTCAAGCACTCGTTGACGAGGTTCTCTGTTTCCGGGTTCGTGAAGTGGCCGTGGATCACGGTTTCGTACGTCGAGAGGCTTCCCGAGGCTAGATAAAACACCAGCACCTGGGCATCGATCCTCAGCTTATCCAACAGTGCCTTGACTCGGCCCCGTTCTTCCTCGACCTCGCTCTCGTACTCAACAAACACAATGACTCGCATGCTGTAGGCTTTCTTCCATGCCGGGACAGTGCGGAGGATATACCCCAATTGCAAAATCAACGTGTCTATCTCCGGTTAGCTTCGAACCAAACCACTGATCAAGGCCACTCACAGGTATCAAAGTTTGTGGTGAGAACGTTCTTCCCATCTGCCGTGAGCGATGCCGACATTTGGATCGGCCAGAGGTCAATGTACTTTTTCGTGTTGCTCCCATCTTTCCGAGGCGTTTCTAGGGTTTCGAAGCCCTTGCCGATGGCGACATTCAAGCGGTACCGCAGTGCCAGGTCTTCAAGGATCGTGAGGTAGCTCGTTACCGACATCATGTCTTCATTTTTGATGGCATCGGTAGGCAAGATTCCTTCTAGAATTCGCGAGGAAGTGTCCCCCCTACGCCTCCTTCGTACTTTGGGACCAGCTTGAGAATCGCCCTGCTGAGGCGGGACAGGTGAGACTGGCGCTTCGGGGATCTGGGACGCTGGTTGGGAGCGGCGCAAATCATCCATGTTGTAGAAGCCCATGATGGCAATGTTTGGTCGCATGCCTCCCAGGCCGGCCGAGAGGACCAGATTCCTTACTCCCCATGTTATGGTGGGAGACATGGTCAGCTGCACAAATGCCTTGATCCTCGAGTACTCGGAGATGTACTTGGTCCAAGCCGATTGTTGTAGCTTCGCCTCTGTGACACCTGCCGCGAAGTCGTCGGTGACGATGACGTGCCCCAGAATGTAAAGCGCTCCTTTTTTCAGAGAGTTGCAGAACTGTATCAGTCGAGTTTGCCTCCTCGGGTTGTTGATAAGGAGTATGATTTGTGGCCTCCAGAACTTGATGTGCTCTGGCTTCAGCCGCAGAAGATACTTCCTCACTTGGTGGTAGATTAGGTTCTGGGAAACATCGCCCCAGTGCTTTGGCGGGCTCAGGTAGTGAATGAGGAGGAAGAGGAAGACCAAGAGACAGACGGCAGTGGTGGCGTACGTCTCATCGATGAAGAACATGGCAGCAGCCGAGAGGATACTGCCGACGAACGCTGTCTGCCAGCTGAAGAACTTGAAGCCCGGACGAAAGTTGGGGGCAGACCCAATCTTGAGGAGGAAACACGCAAGGTTCATGACGAAGAAGGTCATCTACCAACTGTTAGGCTACCGTACTTAATCGCATTCCGTGGTTATTACCTACCTGGTATCCCATGGATATAAGTGTCGCAATCTGATTTAGATTGGCAAACATTGCCATTTGTGCGGCGACGTAGGTGAGGAAGATGGCAATGATGGGCTCGTCTGCCTTCTTTGTGCCCTTCCCGAGAACCGACAAACCTGGGAATAGTTTGTCTCTAGCAAGAGCCTGCATGAGCTTCGCGGACCCAATGACGCCCATCAAGGCAGAGAAGAACGTAGTCGCTAGTTCTCCGGCAAAGACGATCGGGGGCCATATGTTTGTATCTTGGATGATGTTGGCGTTGAGGAGAAACGAAGCATGGGTTGTGCTCGATGCCAACGCGAGGATGACGAGCAAGTAGACAATGAATGTTGAGAGCATGGCCCAAAGCGTGCCCCGCGGAATGGCCTTACTGGGGTTTCGCAGGTCTCCCGACATAGACGCACCAGCAAAGATGCCCGAAGTTGCGGGGAACAGGATGCCAAACAAGTCCCGGAAAGTCTCGAACCCCTTGAATTCTGTGCTGCCGGAGTGAGGCAGGAGGTTGGATCTCAGAGTGGCCAGGCTGGCTCCTGTGAACTCAATTCCCCTGTCTGGATCACTGAATGCTGGCTTCGCAAGTGCGGAGAGAGGTATGCTGAGGGTGGAAATAGTCAAGACAATCAGCAGAGCGTTGCTTGCCTTGGAAAAGATGGCGCTGCCGGCAAGGCAGAGTCCGGTGCAGACCACCAGAGCCATGGTGCCGAAGAAATAGTCCCACCAGTACCCGTCGGGCATGGTATCGCCGAGGTTCAGCTTGATGCAGTCGATAAGACCGACGACATTGAGGGCCGTGTTTAGCACCTGCGCTAGGTAGAACAAGATGCCGATAGAGCCTCCAAACTCGGGTCCTAGGGACCTCGAAATCAAGTAGTAGGCGCCCCCTCCTTTAACTTCTCCGTTGGAAGCAATGGCTGAGAGTGAGAGTGTTGTAACGAAGTCAACAGTGTATGCGATGAGCATGAGACCTGGGCTGTGTCAGTATGATCGTGTTTCATGGCGATTGCCCGGGTGAGGGGTCATACCCAATATGCCAAGTAACCCGACTTGTCCCAGAATCAAGCCGAATCTCAAGAACATGAGAATGCTGAGGATGTTGAGGCAGACCGGGATGTAAACACCGGACACCGCCCCCAGCTTATGCCTCTTCGTGAGAGACTCGGGCTCCATGTTGGGCGATGTTGACGTAGAGATGCTTGGAGGAGCAAGAACGTCAAACTACCCGTGACAGACAGTTCATGGAGAAAACAAGCAGCGGCCTCTGCCAGTTCATAACCAAAAAAGAGAGGAAAAAAGAGAGGTCACAGAGAGATGGCTTGGCAAGTCTGGCTGACCTCTTAGAACTGCAATGGGCTTCTCCTCTGTTGGCCCCTCTCAAGTGCGCCGTGACCGCCTTTCAGCCCCCCCAGTTTCAGGGTCAGAGGCAGCACCCAGACGTCTTCATGCAATCGCTCCACCACCAACAAGCATCGATTTGAGGAGCGCGCAGATCGTCAACCCCACAAAGAGGGGGAAAGTCTGTGGAGGGTATGGTCTGAGACCGCGGGTGCGCAGCAAGGCAGTAGCTCGAGACCGGGGAAGTTAGCGATTAATCAGTGGGCGCGTTTGACTTGACGTTGGCCACAATCGCCGGCCAACAGGGACCAAGGGATTCAAGGGCTAAAATGAGTTAGCGGTTAGCCAAGGGCGTTCAGGTTGTTGCCTCCTCGCACGACCGACAGCGAAAGACCGATGAAAAAAAAGAATTTGAAACTTGAATTCTGCGTGTCGTCTGAATCCAGTCTCCCGCTTCCATCGATCGTCCCTGCTGATGTTTGGGGGAAACCGACGTCATTTGGCAGGGACGAGTCTCCCCTCCAGGCAGGCAAATCCATGTGGACTGCCAGCGGCAGGCACCATTCCCAATCCAGGGTTCCATGGTATCTCTTGGCAAACAAACCATCAACTGCAGAGTGTGATAGTGGCCAAACAGAGAAAGGCGTCAAAGGAGAAACAAGAAAACATGAGGTGCGTATTCTGCTCCTGAAATACATGCTTCGGTTGAGCTAGGCCCTGATATTGGTGTTTTTGAGAATTGAAGACAAAAGGCTCTGGTATTGGTGGTTTGGTGCATATGCATGCTTATCGAACATGACATGGATGAATTTGACAGAAAGGGAATGCCGAACCTTCTGTTCTTGACGAACCGTCCTTGATAATACCGTAAAATACACTCCGTGTGTCACAGTGCCCAACTGGCGATCACTCCATCGGAGTTCTCATTGGTGCGCGGATTCGCTCCTTGGGGCATGTGGGGGCCGAGATCTCCCAGCCTCAGCTCGCCAGCCTGACGCCCTGGGACAGTCATCACCGGGCCGTCAGCAGGCTGCCCAAGCAGATCCGTCCCCCATTCGCCCTGTCAGCTCTCCTCAATCGACTCCTTCAGGTGGTCACAAGCCGGAGTCAGGTGTTTGTCCCGACAACCTCCTCGTCCTCCCCTGCTGGCCCTTCCGTGATAACCGAACTGCAGCGCGCTCATTTAGATTTTTTTATTTGCCGTTCGCTGTTCGTTCTCTTGCTGCTGAATCAATTGTCACAGTTGGGCCCGCCAATTGTTTGCCCAGTTGGAGTAGTTGCGGCATCGGAGACGCCTATCTCGAGATCCCCCGATCCCCGATTCCCGACCGCCAACCGCCGAATTAGCACTACGATTGTCACACATCACAAAGGCATGCGATAGCGGTTATATAGCACCAAAGCAAACATGCCGGACTCTATTAAGAATTCACCTCCGCCGATACAGCACTTGGGGACATCACCCGGCTCCAATCGCGGCCGCTCCTATGATCGCGCCGAGTCCACCGCCCGCCTCGCTTCCCCGGTAGCGCTTGGAACGTCTCCTGCGGTCCGCTCACAACAATCGGTGGCCGATGATTCCAGCAGCGGCGGTTTGACTCCCCTTCCCGGCGCCGGCTCGCACGTTGCTGGCCCAGGCGTCTCGGCCCTCGCCGCCGCGCTGTCCAATTCCCTGGGCGCGTCACCGCCTCGGTTCGGCACGCCGCCTGTCCGCACAGCCTCTCCCGCCCTCGTTCCCTTCAACGCCCCGGCCTCCGGGACGCCTACAAACTACGGCTCGTTCGATGGGAGGAAACAATGGGGTGGCGCGTATGAGGATCCGGAAATCATCAAGAGGCACTTGGTGCAGCCCGGCGACGGGTCGTCAGAGGATGTAACGAGGAGGGGTAGCGATGGGTCCAAGGGCAAACAGGCCGCCGCCTCGGCGCAGCCTGACCTGGACGAGGGGTTCTCGAGCCTGCAATTACAAGGAGGGGACATCACGCGACCTATCTATAAGTGGACTGCCGAGGTGGACCAGCGGGGCAAGATGCAGCGCAGCAAGAGTTTCAGCGTCGTGAGGCCGGACCCGGAGACCCAGGAGCTTGATATTAACAATATCAAGGTCCCCGGAGGGTTCCGCCGCAACTTCATCCGAAGGGCCGCGAGGGATGGCGAAGAAGTGGAGTATGGTTCGGGTAGTAGCCAGAACCAGGCGCAACCTCAGCTCTTTACGAACAACTTCCTCGAGTTCTTGAGTTTGTACGGTCATTTCGCTGGCGAGGAGCTCGAAGAAGACGACGAAATGTTGAATCCCGGCGAATATTTCACCTCTGGCAGCGAGAGCGACGTCTACGAGTCGGGCTCGGACGAGGAGCCCATGGAGGAGAGCGCGCTGTTGACACCGTCACGGCGCAAGAGGAGGAGGAAGCACCGCGGAGGCAGCGGCCAAAACAGCCCCATGAACGCGGCACTGCTCCTCCTCAAGTCCTTTGTCGGAACCGGTGTCCTGTTCCTCCCCCGCGCGTACCTGAACGGCGGCATGCTCTTCAGCAACTTGGTCCTCCTCTTCGTGGCGGCGTTGAGTTACTACTGCTTCGTTTTGCTCGTCACGACGAGGCTAAAGGTCGACGGCTCCTTTGGCGACATCGGCGGCATCCTCTACGGAAAGTGGATGAGGAACCTGATTCTGGCTTCCATCGTCATCAGTCAGCTGGGTTTTGTCGCGGCCTACATTGTCTTTACCTCGCAGAATCTACAAGCGTTCATTCTTGCCGTGACCGACTGCAAGACCCTGATCCCCGTCACCTGGCTCATCATCATGCAAATGGTGGTGTTCCTACCTTTCTCCCTCCTCCGCGACATCGGAAAGCTCGGCTTCACCGCGCTAATCGCCGACGCCTTCATCATCATCGGCCTGGCCTACCTCTTCTACTACGACGTCCTCACGCTCAACACGAAGGGGCTCGCCGACATCGTCATGTTCAACCAGAAGGACTGGACTCTCTTCATCGGCACGGCCATCTTTACGTTCGAAGGAATCGGCCTTATCATCCCCATCCAGGAGTCGATGCGCCACCCCCAGAAGTTCCCCAAGGTCATGTTCGTCATCATGGTCATCATCACCACGCTCTTTGTGGTCATGGGCGCCATCTCGTACGCCGCCTACGGGTCCAAGACGGAGACGGTGGTGCTGCTCAACCTGCCGCAGGACGACAAGCTCGTCAACGGCGTCCAGTTCCTCTACTCGCTCGCCATCCTGCTGTCCACGCCGCTGCAGATCTTCCCGGCCATCCGGATCACGGAGAACGCGCTGTTCACCAAGAGCGGCAAGTACAACCCGTACATCAAGTGGCAGAAGAACGGCTTCCGCTTCCTCGTCGTGGTGCTGTGCGCGTTCGTCGCGTGGTGCGGCGCGGATAACCTGGACAAGTTCGTGGCGCTGGTCGGCAACTTTGCCTGCATCCCGCTGGTGTATATCTACCCGGTGAGTACTTCCACTTTTAAAACAAAACCCTCTCGCGTCACCCCCGTTCCTCTTGCTAATGATGATGCCACAGCCGATGCTGCACTACAAGGGAGTGGCCAAGTCTGCGCTCCGGCGGTGGTCCGATATTTTGCTCTGCATCTTTGGCGTCATCGCCATGGCGTACACGACCAGCCTGACGGTCATGAGCTGGGCCAACAGCCCCGGTGGCGGCCTGCCAACCCATTGCGAGGATAAGGGACTATAAATGGGACGGGACGGGGCGAGGAAAGAGCGAGGGGAGCGCCTTGTGTAGGTATATTTGACGCCTTGGGTTGCGGTTCTTTTTCTTATCTTCTTCTGCGGTTGTGAGATAGGTACCGTTCTTGAGCATGGAACTTCCTGGCGTTTTTATTTGCATGGGCGGAGCTGGATTTCAGGGCAAGCTTTTTTGGTTATTTCAGGGGTTCTGTATGTTGGTATAGATGGGTAGAGGATACACGATTGGCGCGAGTGGTTGAGGAGATGGATGGTCGAGAGGGGTCACGAGCGTGAGTACAGCGAGTTTGAGTACAGCGAGTTTGAGTACAGCGAGTTTGAGTATAGCGAGCGAAAGTACAGCGGAGGGCTCATGCCAGCCAGCTAGCTGTGCATGGTATAGCGAAGACAAAGTAGAATGTGCGTGTCTTGTCTTGTCTTGAGATTCCTGGTCCCTGCCCTGGTGTTTGTTGTCTGTGCAATTGTTCCCATCTCCACACTTGCTCCCAAGTCGCCACCTGTGCAGGCTCACGCACGGACCATGCCTGGGATTCGAACTTCCCTTGACTTGCCTGGCCAGTTCCTTTGAGAGGTCTCTCGTCAACATTGAACCTGCATCTCACTTTGCATCACCACGACATTGCTTAAATCACCTTGCTCACACCCCTTTGCTGTTTTCTCGCCAGCATTGCTACTTTACCAGCGTCATTTTCAAGTATTAGCTTATTGTTTATTCCTTTTTGCCCAGCATGAACGCTCCCGATAGGTGGGTCACATTCCTTTTGTTCTCGCCCTCTCTTCAGGCTTCAGTCGACGAGTTTATGGGGGTGGTTGGAAGGGGAACAATACCGGACTGAAAGGGGCTGGCCTGGACAAGTCATATGGGGTGCGAGTGGATTCACAGGAGGAAGTCGAGCTTTGAAACTGTCGTGGTTCAGCCGACATAGCGACATGAGGTGGAGGGGTGCAGGCGGTGACGGTTGAAAGGCTTTGGGTCTGTCCTGGCCTTCACACAGTCGTGCTTTCCCTGGCAAACCACCTCAGCTCTGAGCGGATGTCATAGTCTGCATGGCACCTGCAAGACACGGGTTAAAGCTAGATGGAGTGTGGCATTCGAGGGCGCTGGACGGCCCATGTTCTCCAGAGCAACTGGTTGTGAACTTTCCCACAACTTGCTGGTTGAGCGATCGATTTAATTGCCATCTTGAAAAGCTTCATTTTTCAGCTTCGACACAAGAATCGATTTGGCATCAGCTAGAGCAAGGCCTCGACTGCTTCGACCGCTTCGACTACCTACCACCTACCGCGTTTTATCAAGGCAAACCTATCTCCACCAAGATGGCTGCTACCAACTTTAGACACGACAACAGCATCCAGCACCGGTTGGATTCTCCTATTGCAGCGATTTTCTACCTCACATAGCTGGGTGCTAACCAAGCTCGATCGCAGGTTCGAGCTCTTCGTTCTCTCCGACGGCGAGAAGAAGATTTCTGAGTCGGTCGTGAGCGGTAGGTTTCCGCAACCGATCCCCCCCACCACCACCATCGCAGTCTAACCATTTTCTAGGCATGTCCAACTGCTCCGATTTCCTGATGCTCAAGGAGGACCATACCCTCGGCAATCTGCTCAGTGTCTACCTCAAGATGGCGCCGCACGTCATGATGGCGGCCTACAAGAGTACGGCATTTTCCCCACGGACCCCAAACAGACAACTGTGTTCCCGTCGCTGACCACCGCTAACCCCCTCCAACAGTCGGTCACCCCAACGTCCCCGAGGTCCTGCTCCGCGTGCAGACCGACGGCACTGTCACCCCCCGCGAGGCACTCGTCACCGTCTGCAAGCAGCTCGTCGCCATGTACGGCCAGCTCGGCCGCGAGTTCCAGAAGGAGCTCGCTCTGCGCCAGTACGCCGACCAGGGCGAGAATGCCGGCGCTGGGCCTTCCGGCGGCGCTGGCCCTTCGGGTCAGAACGGTTTCTAGAGAAAGGAGGCTTCTAGAGAAAGGAACGGGGGAACGGTCGTCGTATCTTCTTCTTCGGATCTTCGAGACCTGGGAGTTGTCCATGGTGATTGCTTTGGGAGGGACGGCGTTTCTCGGGTGATGGCGTTGGGCTTCTGGGTCGGTGTTAGGCTGCCTTTCTACTACTAGGTCGGGGTATACAACTCATGCAACTGCGTACTGGGTGCTGGGTGATTTGGTTGCTCCCATATTCGAAACGTGCTAATAGTGTGGGTTGTGTGTTGCCATGCCTTTCTTAATGTTATTCTCCCTCCGATGAGCTGACCGTGTCTGTCTCCTACCTGGGTGACTGGCGTGGGTAGCTGTTATTATATCTTGGTATCTGCTTGGGTGATGATGGCTAGGGACACAGAACGACTGAATCTAGCCGGTTTGCCAAACGGTTCGCCAACTTTGGACGTAGATTATCCCTCCCCCTCCCAGTTTAGAGAAACCCAAACTACCTAACCCAGCCCTTGAACAACCCAACCAAACCCCCAACCAAACCAAGCACCTCCCCTCCTCATGACGCCGCTATACCCGTCGGCCCTTCACCTCCCGGAATCAACTGCGCGCGCAAATTGTGTTAGGCAAGCAAGACTCGTGACGGACAAGAATACTACTACTCACCATGCAGATGTTGTTCCCGTTGAGCAGGATCTTGTTCAGTTTGGTGTGGTTACCCGAGTAATCGCTGTAAAGCATTAGGCGGTGTGTCTACCGAGGCGCTGACGGAGGTGGCCTGCTTACAACTCGGTGACATCTTCTAGAACCATGTCTGCGAAGAGGGTTGAGTTAGTTTATCATGAGGATGCATGCTGCTGCGGGAGGGTCCGCGGTGGGGGTGAAGAGGTTGCACGTACTGACGTAGTCGTCGAAGCCTACTAGGGTGCCGGCGAACTCTGCGGGAGTGTCAACATCTCGGTTTGTTTTTGGATTACTGGTGAGGTAAGGGTGATCTACCTTTGTCACCCTTCATGACCACCCAGATGCGGGACCCGACGCATTTGTCGATGAGTTCTGGGGCATTATGTGGTTAGTAGAGATTCGTGTGTAAACTTGTCTCATTTCTATAGCCGTCTCACATACCAAGGGGAAGGAGTTGAGAAGCCATGTTGTTTGTCTCGTGTGGTGGCTGTTGTTTTAGCGGCTTCTGATGTATTTCAAGGGCCTGCCACAGGCGTCGACTGAGCAGCGAACTGTAATCTGTGGTGGGGGTGTTATGTATTGTGTATTTATCGTACGATTCATACAGCACTCGTCACAAAGGCAAACACGGGCAAACACACCTGCAAGCAAACAGAGGCAAACACCGCGATAAATGCATACCCAGTTAACGCTAATAGCCTCGGCGCTTGAAAGCAAGTGGGGTGCCTGGAGCAAACCATCTCGCGTCCCATTCCGTTCTTTGTGTTAGCGCGTCTGCCTGCACCCTGCCATTCCCTCTCCCACTCGGAGAGATCAGAGTCAGTGGTTTGTTACCCACGTCATGACATTGTGCAGTCATGGCGCCGTCCGCTCGCTGTTCTTTTCAAGGCCAATGATCTCTTTACGTTTTCGGGGGGCGAGCCGTCGTGTTAGCATCCTGGAGAATTCCCAATGTCGCTGCTGCCGCCGGTTTCTATCCTCAACACCATTACCCCAGAGTCCACGGTAAGTAACGTCTCCGCTATCCCACCCTCAACCTTTAGCTACTAATACTAAATTTGCTCGCAAGTCGTCGGACTTATGTGAAAAAAATGAGTTCTCGAAAAGCTGCACACCATGTGTGGCACGCTGGCCGCGGCATTGTTTTCTCGGGCGGGAGCAGTGTGACCCATCCCCGTTTGCCTACGGTGAGGCACCGCAGCGCCCCGGCAGTTGCTGCGTCTGAGGGGAGTTCGGTTGCTCTACCAACTGTTCTGACTACGACCGACGTGTCCGGCGAGCTCTCTGCTAGCAAGGGGGCCGAGGGTATGCTGGATAGCGTTCTAGCCGTTCCAACGACTGCGAGCCTCACCGCCACCACCACCACTTCAACCGCCACCGTCGTGGAAGAGGGGGCTGCCGGAAAAGATAACGGTACCGCGACTGGTGCCACGGCGAAACTCAAACAGGAGGACATACCCGATGTCGCTGTCCCTTTTACCCCTTTGGATTACAAGATTCCTCACAACATCTTCCAGGCGGCGAGGAGGGCCCCTGAGGGAGCCCCCGAATCGTACTGGAGCTACAAAATGTATCGAGGCCCGGGTGATAACACGGTCAAAGTTCATTACTGCACCACCGGGCTAACTACTGAGCGAGTCATCAAACAATACTTCATGAACGAGAAGATCGTTGGCCTTGACTTGGAATGGATGATGAGTGCAAGGAAATTTTCCGGTGTTAGGCAGAACGTCTCCCTCATTCAGCTGTCCTCTGCTACCCGAATCGGACTCTTCCATATCGCCGCCTTTCCCAAAGACGGCCCGTTCGTCGCCCCGGCTCTGAAGGAATTCCTGCAGAATCCCGAGGTCACCAAAGTTGGTGTTTCGATCAAGGGGGACTGCACACGCTTATTTGAGTACATGGATATCAAGACCCGTGGTCAGTTCGAACTCAGCCACCTCTACAGGCTTGTCAAATACACCGAGGCCGGCGATTATGCATCCATCAACAAGAAGTTGGTTGCTCTGAGCACACAGGTCAAGGAATACCTTGGTCTGCCCCTTTTCAAGGGCGACGACGTTCGTATAGGTGACTGGTCTAGACGTCTGAACATAGACCAAATCACGTGTAAGCCTTCTCCCGTCCTAGCCGACGTCGTGGCTAACGAATAAATCGCAGACTCGTCATCCGATGCCTACGCGGCCGTCCAGCTCTACGCCGTCCTCAACCACCACCGGCAGAAGCTCAACCCGGTTCCTGATGTTCCTCACCATGCCGAGCTCAATCTCCCCATTCCAATCGTCCGGCCAGTCGTCTTGAAGATTTCTAAAGAGCAGGAAGCCGGCCGCGATGTTGACGTCAACAACGAACCCGCTGACGTTGTCCCCAACGACGAACCCGCCGATGTTGACGTAAACCACGAACCCGCCCTCCAGGTTCAGTCTGTCGTGGAGGCTGAAATAGCCCTCGAAAGCACGACTGTAGCTGACCAACCCGATGTCACCAACAACCTCTCACCAAAACCGAAAGCCAGCAGGCGAAAAAAGCCTGTTGCTCAAGCGAAGCTCAAGACTGAACTGTCTTGAGCTGAACACCACGCCGTCAACTCTTGCAAGCCTACCCCAGCAGGCGCAGGAAGCCCCAAGCGCCGGCTAAAGCCAAGCCAGGGGGACGATCTTGGGCCGGCAGCCGAATGTGTGCTGCGAACCGAGCGTGGGCCTCCAAACTCGCCCCTACCCCCGTGTAGTTCCTCCTTCTCTCTTCCATCATATTCAACAGGATGCCAGGTTCAGGCAGGATCAACATAGCCGGGAGATTTGTACTTGAAATAGATGTCCGGTCTAGAAAGCACATGCCGCGAAGCTCGAGGCGATCAGCATAATAGATCACACGAGTTACATGCTCATCCGTTCCGGCAGTGATGTTGAACCGCGGTACAAACCTCGGCCTGTCAGCCCTCTGATTAGGTGATCCACACAAACAGACACAACAACAGCATTGCTCAACTCATTTCCAATCTATCCATTCACTGTCTGGGTATAACCTCCCCATCTTTTACATCAACACTCCACCCACCCCCAACCCCTAACAGATCCTCCCACCATCCACCAACCCGTCTATTCAGCAACAACGTCCCTCCCAGCATTGATCTGCACCCGCTTATCCTCCGCACCGCTAACGATCCCCAGCTCCGCATCCCACACCACCCCAAACACCTTGCACCCCTCCCCAGCCACAACCTTCTTCTGCTGCTGCTGCTGCTGCTGCTGCTGAACCCCCTTACCACCACCACTACCCTCGCGCTCGATGACATAAACCGGCTCGCTCACGCTGCCCAGCCCGCCCTCGTCCTGCGTCGCCGGCCGCACGCTGCGCAGGTCCCACACGCGGCAGGTGCCGTCGTGGGCGCCCGACACCAGCGCGTACTCGTTGTGGGGCGACGCGCACAGCGAGACGGGCTTGTTGGCGTGCCCGCGCAGCGTCATGACCGACGTCGTCGCCGCGCTCGCCCGCGGGTCCACCAGCGTGATGTGCCGCGCCGAAGTGCCCGCCGCGAGTAAGGGTGCCCCGCTGCCGCGGGGTAGCGCGCAGAGGGAGAGGAGCGCGTGCGAGGTGGAGAGCGTGCTGACGACCGTGCTGGTGGTGAGGTCGATCGTGCGGAGCGTGTGGTCCTGCGAGGCCGAGTAGGCGACCGTGCGGTCGCGTGGGTCGAAGACGGCGGCGCTGGCGGGGGCGGAGTGGATCGGCATGAGCGAGAGGGGGCCGCGCTGGGCGGCGGTGATGGACGTGGTGACCTTGCGGCGCTTGGAGACGTGCGCGCCGGGGAGGAGCGAGGCGTCGGCTTCGGGCGCGGACGCCTTGGAGGTGCTCCAGAACCCGATCGCGCCGTCGGCCGACGCCGTCAGGATGCGCTTGGAGGCGCCGTCGACTTCGAGCGAGTCGATGGAGCCGGTGTGGCCGTAGAGTTCGAGTGTCGGCTTGAGGTCGCCCGAGAAGTGGTCGCTTTCCGTGTACTTCCATACCCGCACCGTCCGGTCCATGCCAGTGGAGGCGAGCTGAGAGTTGGTGAGGAATTTAGCGGCCTTTATGCTGGCTGTGTGTCCGCCGTGACTGCCTGACGGAGAGGTGGCGATAACCTGACCGGACGCATTCCATATCCTTAGTAGACCGTCGTACGAAGCGGAGAGGATCCTCTCCTGGCCGCGCTGAAAACTATCGCCAGACCAGCGGCCTGATGGCGAGCTCTCGGAGAGCACATCGACAGCACTGACCCAATCATCGTGCTCAAAGCTGGCTTCGTAAACCGGGGGTATTAAACTGCGGACGTATTGTAGGGTAAGGTTCGATTCGAGCGAGAGACCGTTGCTAGTGAGGTAGTCTTCGAGGCTAGTTCGAAGGAAGCTGCCGTTAACGAGGAAGTCGAAGGGGATGGACCCGGTGTCGAGCATCGACTCGGAATTGAGGACGCGAGAAAGGCCATAGCGGCGGATGTCTGCGGGCACGAGGAGCTGTCGCTTAGTTTCGGGAAGCTGGAGATCGGCCTCGCTCGTGGTGAAGGTGACTTTGACTTGCGCCCCGGAGGCATCCACCATTGGTTCGTCCATTGCACCGCCGAGTTGTCGTATGTTTTATTTTTTGAGTGTAATCGGTACCAGGGGAGGCGTGATATCTAAATTAAAGGCGGGTTTTCCTCTTCTTATTTTTGTTTTCCGCAATTGGGTCTCCTGGTCGTCTTCTCTGGCAGCCGCAAGGGTCAATCCGACCTCGAGATTTTTTTGTCCCTGCAGCAAAAAGTCCAGGCCCGATAAGGCAACCCCACGATCTTATCGCACCCCGGCTGGCGGGCACGGCGGGGCAACCATCAGACCAAACGCGGCCCATTAATTACTGCTACAAGGGTGTGAGAATACCGCGTCAAGCTTCGTTGAGCGCGTCTCGACTTGCAACTCCAGAACCCCATCACAACCCCGGAAACCAGTACCACTCTCAGACAATAACAATGGTGACGCTCGACGAGATTGCAGGCACGGGTCTGCTTCAGAAGCCTTCGTAGGTCTTATCCTTAGTAAAAAGGACATTAAACCATTGACTTTCTAACATTTTTGCTTCGTAGCGATACACCGATCGAAAGTCTCGAGCGCCCGGGATCGGACTACAAGTCCCTTGACACATTCGCTCTACCGAATGACCGCCAATACAAGCAGCAGTTTGCCGATATATACTTCCTCCGTCTCACCAAAATCAGGCCCGCCGTAGAAGAGATTGCCACTGCAGCATGGCAGGATACTGAGCTAGGCGGCGAGACCGCGACCAAAGTGGACCGTGTTCTAGATGTGCGCCAGGGCCAGCTATGTTGGGTTGTCGGCACCGTCTACATGGACATGCCGCTCAAGCCCAGCGTGCTAGAAGACGTGTCCAAAGATGTGAGTGCCACGCCCAGGGAACTGCTTAGACCGGGGTCATTGACTTGAATCAGCGCTGGATCTCCGCCCCTACCACATCCGACCACTACTATGACGGGGCTGGTGGGGAGTCAGTCATGCTCGAGGACGACTCCGGTCGAGTCCGTCTGGTTGGAAGCGTACTCAAGGACTATTTCCTTGTCACGGGCTGTATTATTGCAGTAATGGGCACCGAGAACTCCAACGGCGAGTTCGAGGCTATCGACCTCAAGTTCGCCGACCTTCCACCACAGCCGGGCCGCTGGTCCCTTTCCAAGCCCCCCCAGAAACCAAAAGTAAAAAACGAAGACGTCGAAATGACCGACTCCTCACGCCCACAGCCCTCCAAAAAGATCGCAATCGTCTCCGGCCTCGAGTTCTCAGGCACCGACACCTCCTACGCAATGGAACTCAACCTACTCCTCGAGTTCCTCCTCGGCGAAGCCCTCGACCCCGCCGCCCAATCCGAGCTCTCCCAAATCTCCCGACTGATTATCGCCGGCAACTCCATCGCCAAACCCTCCGAACACGACCCCGCAACCGACAAAAAAGTGCTCAAGAAGTACGGCTACGATTCGTCCTCCTACAACCCGCTCCCCTCCCAGCTGCTCGACACCTTCCTCTCCTCCCTCCTCCCAAGCATGCCCATCACGCTCCTCCCGGGCGTGCAGGACCCAGCCAACGTCAGCTACCCGCAACAACCAATCCACGCGGCCATGTTCCCCAACGCGCGCACGTACACAGCCGCGCCGCCAGCGCCGGGGCAGGGGCAGGCAGCGGCGTTAGAACCGGGGTGGCTCGACGCCGTCACCAACCCGTGGGAGGGCGAGGTGGAGGGGTGGCGGGTGCTGGGCACGGGCGGGCAGAACCTGGACGACATCTGCCGGTACGTCGACAGCGAGGACAGGCTGGGCATGATGGAGGCCATGTGCCGGTGGCGGTGCAGCGCGCCGACGGCGCCGGATACGCTGTGTAAGTTTTGATCCACCCACTCACTTACCTACTATCGCAGAGGAGAGAGAAGACTAACGACAAAACAAACAGGGTCGTATCCCTTCCAGGACGATGAGCCCTTCGTAATGAAGGACTGCCCACACCTCTACTTCGTGGGCTGCCAGCCCGAGTTCGGGACCAAGGTCATCGAGAGCCCGCAGGGCCAGATGGTGCGGCTGGTCCTAATCCCCTCGTTCGCGACGACCAAGGAAATTGTGTTGATAGACACCGAGACGCTGGACGTGTCAAAGGTGAAAATCACGGCTTGATTCCGGAGCTAGCTAAAAGAAAAGAATAAAAAAAACGAAGATTAATGTAGGGCGAGCCGGTCTCCTCGAGCAAGACTGCTTGCCTTGCTGAGCCGCTGCCGATATCTACCATCCGCGAAAATCCGCCCGAATCTGTGTGATATCTATCTCGGTGGAAGATCCCGTATATCATCCGTTGCTCAACGCCAACGCGAATGCCATCGCAAATGTCAAGAATACCCCCCTCCCAGCATAATCGACCCCCAAACGCCGTCCAGCAAACCCCGTTTTAGTCAACCCCCTACCTCCCAGCGTAACGCCGCCCTCCCTGCCCTCAAGCACGATACGCCCGCAACTCATTGCCGACCCGATCAATCGAAATAATCAGCGACTTCATCCTTCTCGCAGCCCTGTCCTCATCCTCGCTATCCTCCTCCCCGTCCTCGTCCCCAGTCTCATCATACGCATCCGCATCGAACCGCGCGTCCTCCTTGGCTCGCTGCTCCCGACGCCTCCGCTCGGCAGCCCCGTGGTCCTCCCAGATGCCGCGCATCGCAAAGTCCGGCCGGAGACACGCGTCCTCGAGGTGCCGGCGCAGATTCGCCATGGTCTTTTTCGCCTCGGCGCCCTTCTCCTGGAGCTTCTCCTGCATCAGCACGTCGTTTTCCCAGAGCCGGCCCAAGGGACCGGGCTGTTGCCTGAGTGCCTCCATGTGCCGGGGCAGGTAGCGCAGGTCAATCGTTGTCTCCAGGTGACGTCTCCTGGGCTGTCGGGGCCCGTCGGAGGAGGCGTCCGACTCGTCGTGCGAATCGTCGTCCGAATCGTCGACGCCGTCTATGGCTAGGTCGACCCAGGGGCTGGCTGTGCCGGGACGGTCGTCTTTGAGGTCCGAGTTGACATGTACGTTGATGCGCAGGAAATCGACGTCGAGACGTTGAAGAGCCTTAAGCACTGGCGCGCCCCGGCTGAAGAAGCCCACCATACTGAGGAAGCGGCCCTCGCGGATTACTGAGTCCTGGTTCCCGGGGCCTGGGGCGCGCACGATGCGGTGGCTGGGCTCGATCAACGGCGAGATAGTAATGGTCAGCGTGTGTAGGTGGATAGAGCTGCAGAGCGGACGGGGCGGAGACGGAAGCGATTCTTCACCATTCGGCGCGAGAGTTTCGAGCGCGGCGCTCATGAGCTTCTCGTATGAAGTGGCTGTGCGGTTCGACTCCAGTTCGATGGTCATGAGCCGGATGAGATGACCATACTTGGCAAGATTGATGCTACGGCTGTCTTGCTCCCTGCGATTGGCGACCCGCTTGCTTCGCCGGCCGCCTCCATTAGCAACTTCGACAACCTCGGGATCTCGCAACAGGTAGAGAAAGGTGTTCTCCGAATAGAGGATGCGAGTACCCTCCACAGCAGCGCGGCGGCACGCAGTCAGAATCCCGGTGTCAATATTGGTGGCCCCGATGCCGTCACCACGCCCCCCGCGGCGGGTGGAGCGGCGAGCAAGGCCCGTCCAAAGATGCTGGACGTGAATAGGTCTGGGCGAAACGAGTAGGTGACGGTATATCTTGTCCCGGGTCTCTGTTGCTAATGTGAAGAAATGGGTCACCGACTCGACGCTCTGGAGCAAGGCCACGGTCTCATTCCTGTTTGCCGACTCGCGCAGGACCTCTTCAGCGGCCCGTCGCCCTGGATCTTCAACGGCAAGAACCGGTTCCGAGTGTGTCGGTCTCGACCGCTTCTCCGGCGGTATACCAGAGCCCTCGGCCGTCCCTCGGAGTAAACTCTGCAGCCCACGACGCATTTCAGCCGCCGAAGGGTCGATAATCATGACATCGTCGTCCCTGTGTCCCATAAAGGACCTTGTACGCCTTGGGGGGTCACCCTTGGTCAAGTCGATAACGGGAGTCGGCCGTGGTCGACGTGTCCGAACGCTGGGGGGCGGCTGCACAACAATGACATCCTCGACGTCGTCGTCCAGGTCGGACACCTTACGCTTGAACCCTTTAGATGAGAAATTCCGAGACGAAGGGGGGGTGTAGGGCGGGACTCCATGGGCTGGCCTCACGGTCGTGTCAGCGCGTACAGTGCGGCCACACAGCTGGCCCGTTGACTCGTTGTCATTATCCGAGATGAAGATGGGGCTGTGTCGGTTTGACCGAGGCGTCTTGGGTTCATCTACATCGACGAAATACTCCTCGCCTAGGTGCAGGTCCTGGTGAGACAACCATGTTGAGACTCTTGAAAGGTCGGGGCCAGGTGGAACCACCTCTCTCTGGAGCCTCTTGAAGCCATTGGAGGCAATGGTAGCAGCTTCGATCTCGGCCAGAGTGCGACGGTTGGAAATACCGAGGGCAAGGTGGAATGGGTTCGGTTGAGTTGCCATCCTGAGGGTGATCAGGGATGGGTTTAGGCTGTATCGCAATTCCGCTGCGAGATGTGGATTTCTTTGGTCATATCGTTCTCTGCAATAATGACATGCCACTGTTTCTAATGGAATAAGAGATGTGCCTAGGTATGAATGAAAGAGAGCGTCAACAAGAGTCCTCATTGACCCGAGGTGGTGACCTCTTTGGGTGGATAACTTTGATGCAACCAAGAACTGCCAATGACAGCATTGAGGATCGATTTGAAGGGGTAAAACGCTTTTTTACTTACCTCACCGAGGAGCAATTGGAAAGGAATGTTGCTGTGGGTGTAAAATGAGGAGTGGGATCTGGTGTACTCCAGGCAGCTCGCCAGGAAGGATGCTAAGAGGCCGTGGGAGAACAAGCAAAAATAGCGGAATCTTTTGTGAAATGTGCACACTTTTGAGGATGTAAGGAGCGTAAGACTGAGATGAAAAGAAAAGAACAAAACCAAGTTTCCTTGGTGTGGTGAATCCAATGCACCCACAGTGCTTGAGGTTTTGCGGGAAGGTGCGGGAAGAACTTCTCGGTCGACTTGATTTGAGAAGCAGAGTATGAATCTCAGGCTCCTTGCTATGCACCTGAATTTTAAGTAAAGATGCAAATAGGAGAACTCGAAGGCTTGAAGTCGAAGGTCACGGAGGAAAACTAGTGCAGCCATGCAAAATGTGGTGGAGATAGATGTCTTGTCTCGAACGTCCTGTTTCCTGAAGTAGGTGAACTGATAATGAGAAGCAGAATATCCACTGGAACTTGCTTGTATCGAACCTTCGGTTGGATACAATTTCTCATTGAATGGAGAATCGAGAATCATTGGCACTGTGTTGAGTGAGTTGTTGACCTGGAAACTGTCAAGGGAAGGAAGAGACGACCTCAACCCAACCTAGCTGTGTGGCCTTCCTCGGGCTGCCAGGTTCCGTGTAAGTCAGCTCGAAGGAAGTCGCAACTCGAAGCTGACGCCATTCTACAGCAAGGCTCTTTCTGATCAGGGTGTCCTACTCACTAGTACTAGAACTAAGTGCACGAATGCTATAATCATTTTCGACTTCTTATCACTCCTGTCCTAATCCAAACTCTAGAAGAGACAACTTAGCCCGGCGCCCTGCGCCTCCTGCCTTACAACTACTGCGGTTTAATGTCACACCCTTTCATCACCACCAACTTCCTCCACATGCGAATGCCGCAGCATCACAAAGCGCGCCTCATCGCCGAAAAAAGCTTCCCACAAAGCACCTGTCAAGGACAGATTGATATGTCCCAAGCCAAGGGCATAACAGCTTCTCTAGGTTTCCTCAATTCTCCAGTTACTGATCCATCCTACCACCGCCAGTGAGTTAGCATTCTCGGGGGCGGTTACTACTTCTCGATGTCGAGGTAGGGTGACTTGTTGCCAATCCGTTGGAAAAGAAGGACAGTCCGAAGCCAGCCAGATAATGAACTCCCAGGCAAGTCTAGGGGAAAGAGCCTGGGCTGGTGCAATCCTCGAATAACCAGATCGACCGAACCATTGATGACAGAGGCTCGAGACATGTTTTACCCCTGGGAGATTGCCGCCAGCCATCTTATGAAGTCCGTCCGCCACCCTCTGGTCAACAGCTCTGTTTCACCAGCAGACATCATCAGCAGACATGTCCTCGTGCCTTGATAAACGCGTTGTCAACACGAATTGTAGCCCTGCGGTCTGATTCACATTCATCAACATCAAAGTATTCGTACCAGCGGTCGTGGTCTGGACTTCATCGCATCCCATGTCCCTAGGTCATGTGCCCACAACAAAGGACGAACTGGGCCTGGACAACACGCCAACGGCTAGCATCGTGCGCCCCGTCGGCTCGGCATCGGCACCCGACCCAATAAGGGATTTCCCGGACCTTCCTGCACGGAATATACGAGTACCCCGGAATACTGGAGTCGGTGTGGGCCGAGTGCGGCAAAGGAGCGCACCTCCGGTTTTCGGCCCCGGGAACGTACCGTCGTTTATCGTCGGCCCAGACTCCACCAAGTAAAATCCCCCGATCCGACCACGCCCTAAATCTTGCATGCAGCGACTCCTCTTGGCAGTCTGACCTTCCGGATGAAGCCAACAAGAGACCTTGACGTGTGGCGTTTCCCCAGGTCTCAGTGCAGGGATAAACGCCAGCGTTGTTCTCCAACTGCGGTCATGGGTGTGGATGTCCTGGTTTCTTTCAAGTAATAGACGACATCACCAGACCAACGGTTGAGTTTGCGTTTTGTAATGCTTGGGTAACGTCTCGGTGTTTGTGGAAGGCGAAACAGTAGGGATCATCAGGTACCTGGCTGGATGCTGGTAGTGAGCGGAAGGGAACGGAAGGGAACGGAAACCAGTCGTACGGCCAAGAAGTGGCCTTTACATGCCAAACGGTTCACTGGTTCCTGATAGACCCGTCTCCCGGCATTGATATAAGAGTCGGCGTGGACCGTTGGTCGATTGACGTTCTAGACATCTCGCGACTTACACGCAGGCTTGCCAAGCAATCGCCAATCCCTTCAACACCATCAGACCATCATCACCAGCACAATGGGCTCCTTCTCGCCCGACCCGCCCAAGCCATGGGTCGAGACGCCCCTCATCTTCTCGCCGCCCCTCTCCCGGGCGGCAGGGTGCAATATCTTCCTCAAGCTCGAAAATACCCAACCATCCGGCTCTTTCAAGTCCCGGTAAGTCGCCTCCATCTCTACCATCATCTACCTCAGCGTACTAACCTCAGATCAGCGGCATTGGCAACATGATGCTCACCGCCGTCTCCACCACCCTCCCAGACGAACAACCACACTTCTACTGCTCCTCAGGCGGCAACGCGGGACTCGCCTGCGCAACAACAGCCATCACACTAAACCGGCCGGCGACCATCGTGGTGCCGACCGCCACCTCGGACTTCATGGTCGGCAAGCTGCGCGAGCTCGGCGCCGAGGTCATCCAGACGGGCGCGAGCTGGGTCGAGGCCGACACCTTCCTGCGCGAGACGCTCCTCGCGCCCGAGGCCGGCGTGCGCAAGGTCTATGTCCCCCCCTTCGACCACCCGGACATCTGGGCCGGCGCGGCGACCCTCGTCGACGAGATCGCGCTCGACTTCGGCGCCGTCGGCGGCCGCTACTCGGGCCGCGGCGGGCTGGACGCCGTCGTCTGCAACGTCGGCGGCGGCGGTCTGCTCAACGGCATCATGGACGGCCTCGAGCGCAACGCCAAGCGCCTCGGCTCCCGCAGCGGGACCAAGGTCCTCGCCATGGAGACGGTCGGCGCCGAGAGCCTGTACGCCAGCGTGCGCGCCGGCGAGCTGGTCACCCTGCCCGGCATCACGTCCATCGCGACCAGCCTGGGCGCGCGCCGCGTGTCGGAGAAGACGTGGGAGTGGTACCAGAAGGTCGGCGACGAGGGCATGGCCTGCTCGACCGTCACCGACAAGGAGGCGGCGCTGGCGTGCGTGCGGTTTTTGGATGATGCGAGGATATTGATCGAGGTTGCTTGTGGTGCGACGATCGCGACGGCGTATAATGGCGACTTGAGGCGGCACCTCGGGAAGGGGTTGGGCGATGAGGAGTGGGCGAGCAGGAATGTGGTGCTGGTGGTTTGCGGGGGGTCGAACACCAGCGCGGAGATCCTCGAGAAGTACAAGGCGACGTATGGGATAGAGTAAAAGAAGTTGGGGGCTGTTGGTTGGGATCGGGCGATATGGCGTTGCTTTTCACGAAACGGAAAAAAACTGGGTTTATTGTTGTTCTTCATGTTGTTGTTTTCCGTCTTGGCTTTGCTCTCGCGAATAGACCAGTTCTGCGTACCCCTCCGGCTCCTCCGCCGCCAACGTGTCCAGCCGCCGAAACACGAGCTTCACCTCCCCAAAGTAATTCACCTCCCCCTCCTGCTCGAACCCCAGACTCCGGAACAGCGCCAGGCTCCCCTCGTTGCCCCGGTTGATCTTGGCCATCAACAACTTCAACCCCGGCGCCGCGTCCGGCATCATGTCCTTGTCTGCCGCATACTCCCGCATGATGCGCCCCACGTTGCGCCCCAGGTAGTGCAGGAAGGCCCGCACCGCCGCCCGGCCCAGCCCTTTCCCGCGGTGCTGCTGCCCCGCGATCATGATGTCGACTTCGCCGACGCAGAAGGTGGGCGTTCCGGTGGGGTGTGCCCCGTCGTCGTCATACTCGTCTTCGTCGTCCTCGCCCTCGTCCTCGTAGGGGTACAGGAACAGGTTGATGTCGCCTACCATGCGCTCGGGGCTGTCAGCCTCGCCGGCCTGGACGGGCGTGTCCTTGCTGCTGCTGGTGGTGGTGGTGGTGCTGGTTGGTAGGGGCTCGCAGACGATAAAGGTCAGCTTGTCGTGCGAGGCGCGCCAGGATTCTTGGTTCTCGTGTTCCTCTTCGAGAGTGAGAGGCTCGGAGGCGGTGGCTTCCTGGATGGCCTGGGTGGGGTTGGGGGTTAGTTTGAGCGGGTTGGATGGACAGCTGGGATAGGGAGCGGGGAGGGAGAGAGTGGCGTACGGGGTCCTCCATCCAGGTGTGGTAGGTTGGGACATGGCGGCCGTCATAGGGAACGAGAAGCACCCGGGTCGTCGAGACGGCTGCGTGAGGGGTTTGGGTTAGTTTTTGAGTCTGTTTCCGGCTGTGGACTAGTTGGCATACCGGTGGACTCGTTGTGTCTCATTTCTCTAGCTCGATGTTGGGTTCTACGGTCCTTCTCACTGAGGTCTTGGTGAGTTTCAAATGAGATTTTGTTGTGCCTTTAGTAGTAGTTGTTCCGCTATCGGGGTTATGCTGTAATTGAGCATTGGCCCACCCCGGGGGGGGGGGGGGGGAGGCGTCACCATGCTGTGTTTTCCCACGGTTGTTTGGATCATATATCTATCGTTGTACAGTATAGTGACAGGGTATCTCACATCTAGAGCCAGTATCATGTACAACACGCCGTTTAGTCGTACACATGCCTGCAAGTCGCCTTTCGGAGACATGCCGAGCAGCAGCGACACGTCAGCCCTTAGTCCTCTATTGTCTGCTCTGTTGTCCGCTCAGTCGGGCGCTTGCTCGTCCCTTTCTTGGTCTTCTTCTTCACAGACCCGTGAAACTCGACATCCATGTCCTCAATCAAGGGAGGGAAGAGACCATCAGCACGGCCGGTTCCGGGATCTACCATCGGGACTCCATAATCCAGATCACACCGGAGGAGGGCGTGGTCAAACGTCCGCTTGTCCTGGGCAACGCCGAGGATGTCAAGCAGTTGGGCAGCCTTGTCGGGCAGGAATGGCTGTAGAAGGATGCCCGAGAGCCGCAACCCTTCAGCTACTAGGAATAGTACGTGTTCCGCGAGCTCTTTGTCTGCAAGATTGGGCGACTTGACCAGCGACCACGGCGCTGTCTCAGTCAGGAGCTCGTTCATCTATAAGCGCATTAGCGACGACGCTTGCTAGCCAAAAAACTAGACTAAGCCCGACTCACCGGAGCAGCACACGCCATGATCTTCCGGATGGCGCCCACAGGGTTGTGCTTCTGCATCCGCCCGGCAACGGTAGCTGCAAGATCATCCAACAGGGCCTCAAATTCCGCCAGATTTCGTCGGGTCGGGTATCTCTTCGCGGAACTGGGCTCGCAGACCGAGCCCTCTACTATTTTTCGCACGTTCCACACCTTGGGCCTCGTGAGGCGCCCAAGCAGGTTGCCAAAGCCCCATTGGAGAAACTTCTTATACTTGACCACCAGGGTGTCGTTGCAGTAGTTCGCATCGTCGGCGATGCCGCCTTCAGCCAGGAGATAGAAGCGGGTTGTGTCGACCCCCCACCGGTTGATAGCGTACAGCGGATTGACTACATTACCGACCGACTTGGACATTTTTGTGTTGTTCAGTGTCCAGTGCGAATGGACCAGTACCTTCTTCGGCAGCGGAAGATCCAGGGCCATGAGCAGCGCCGGCCAGTAGACGCAATGGAATCGCAGGATATCCTTACCGACGATATGGACGTCGGCAGGCCAGCCACCCTTGTGCGACTCCCCGGGGGGCCAGTCGGGGAAGCCGGCTGCGGTGATGTAGTTGATCAAAGCGTCAACCCAGACGTAGATGGTCTGTGATGGGTCGTCGGGAACCCGGATTCCCCAGTTCAACCGCTGAACCGGTCGGGAGATGGAAAGGTCTTCAAAGTGGTTCTTGACCCAGTCGACAACCTCGTTCATGCGGTATGCCGGCTCGATCCACCCAGGGTTCTTCTCGTAGAAGTCGAGAAGCCTGTCCTTGAGCTCCGTCATACGAAAGCAATAGTTCTTCTCTTCGACCCACTCCACCTTGTTCTTGGTCTCGGCCGAGGCCATGTACACGACGCCCGTGAACTTTTCCTGGTGCTTAACGACCTGCGACTCCGGGTAGAAGCACTCGTCGCTCACGCTGTACCAGCCCTCGTGCTTGGTCTCGTAAATGAGCCCCTTCTCCCGCAGCAGGAACCAAAAGTGCTCGACAGCCTGGACGTGGTCGCGGTCGGTGGTGCGAATGAAACGGTCGTAGTCGATGCGGGAGAACTTTGCCAGCTCCTCGAACTTCTCGGCGTTCTCGTCGCAGAGTCGCTTGGGGTCCATGTCGGCGAGGGCGGCGGCCTGCTGCACCTTCATGCCGTGCTCGTCGGTGCCGGTGCAAAAGAAGGCCTGGTTGCCCAGCAGGGTTTGCCATCGCTTGAACACGTCGGCCAGCACCATCGAGTACATGTGCCCGATGTGCGGCGCTACGATGGGAGCCAGACATGTCAGAATTCACCACCATCGCAGCTGTTGGTGGTTGGATCTGCAGCAGACTAGCGAGGAACATACCGGCATTGACATAGAAAATAGGCGTCGTGACATAGTAGGGCTTATCATCTAGTGAAAATGGTGAAGCTAGTGTAGGTGATGGTTGCAGCTGCTGTAGTGGTTGTGGTGGTTCCGATGAGAAACGCCGGGACATGACGGCGGCGACGTTGCTCCGGCAAGAGTGGCATACCCAGCTTCTTGGTCGGGCCAATGGTGACTGCCATCTCAGCAGCCCCCTAGCCGATGCCGCCCTTGCAAACTTCATTGCCATTGATGCGGCAACGGCCGTTGAAGTTCCCTCGATAAGGTGGGAGCTTGCTGCTTGGCCTTGGTGCGTGCAGAAAAGTTTTGGTGGGGTCTCGGGATAAAAATGCGCGATGTGACGAACCGTTTCGGGCAAGGGATAAACGGGGTCATGCATCTAATGGAGTATCTACCCCCTCGGGCGAGCTCATGCCGAGCAACAAACACAAACACCATGAAAACATCACCAGTTTTGAGTATCTAATTTGGGTCGTGGTCACGCGATCGGGGACCAAGCGCTGTCATGACTTAGTGACCAGCTTCAGACATATAAATTTTAGTGTGCATACACACATTGTGGATAGCCCATTTCCTTTAACAACGAAGAACGGGAAGAAGTGACTAATTAGGGGGATATCGATACAAAAGAAAAGAAAAAGACCATCAAGGCAACCTACTTTTTTGACAATAGTAAGCAAAACGAGGCGAAACAGAGTACAAAAAGCTCGCCGTTAAGCTCCGTTTGCGGACAAATGAAGGTTGACGATTACGAAAACCCGATGGTTTTGCGCCGCGAGGGGGGGTTGAACACGGTCCTCTTTCGATTGTTGTCCAACCGGTTTGGCTCAACGGCATTGAGAGCAAGGCTCTCCACAATCCAATCAACTCAATTCTGGGGGTCTATTTGAGTTGATTGGGCCAAAACTTGACCAGATTTGAGTTGATTGTATTTGAGTTGGCTTAAGTCAAATCCAGTCAAATCCCCACATATAACCCTAACCCCCACCAACCCTCTCCTTAATCTTCCTGATCAGATCCATCAACTTTATCAAAACGCAGTCAAACTAATTGATCTTGCGATGGGCTGAATCGTTCAAAAACGCAATAAAATTGAAATCTATCAAATCTTGTTTTTTTTTAACTAAGCAACTCGAAACTGGCCCCCCTGCGCGCGCCGCTGGCCCCCCTGCCCCCCTGCGCGCGCCGCTGGCCCCCCTGCCCCCCTGCCTCGCCCGACATCTGGCCCCTGAACTGTCAATGCCCGCGCTTCAAATCTTGTTGTTTCCCGCCCAATTCTTCAAGCATTGTAGCAGGTTGATTGTATCTGCGTAAAGTGCGTGTCGTTGGTGGTCTATCGTGTGTTTGGCGCGACTGAAGATCCGTTCGTGTCACGGATATGGTCGCATGCAGACGGCCCGGCGGGGCACGCTGGCAGTGCCCCGAGCCAATCAGCAAGGAATGGCCTTCTCCAATGAGAGCTGGATCGTGAGCTCTGGCCGCGATCCAGGAGTGACCAATCAGGAGTGGATCATTGGATCGAGAAGCGATCTAATGATCCAGGACGGATCGCAGGATCATGAGAATATTCTTCGATCCAGGTACAGAGGTACCTGAGGATGTAGATAGTATATAGTCACTCGTTCTGGAGAGCTCTGGGAGTTCTCCAGTTAGCAATCACAACTACAGTTCGCTACAAGCTCGAGAGCCTACTGTTGAGACAAGTCTTTGTTGTGCACCCTTTGGCTGCACCGAACCTAAGCACCCTTGAGAGAATACCTTCGACCGATACTGAACCCTAACAGGACGGGTCCAGAGACAGGTTCGTCACAGTTCGCATTCAAAAGACATCGCTAGGATAGAGAGATAGTTAAACGCCATCGTAGAAAGCCGGGGGTATTCCTTAAGGTTCGCCTTCCACCACTGTAGTGGATCGCACCTGGTTACAGCGGGGGTGGAGAGGTAACGGTCGACTTCGTGATCGCTGGTGTCGTCGTCTCTGTAGTTGAAACTAGCGAAGAAATTGTCCTCCTCCTAGTCCTCTGGTATTTCTGTACTGGCCTCTGGAATAGAAGAAACCTCGAGATGAGAGTACTGGTCATCGAAGCATTGCTTCAAGGCAGCGACACAGCTATCGACTTGGTGTGACTGGAGGTTCTTCTTCATCCAGAGGGTTTTGTGACTTGGGTCTAAGATCATCGCAAACAAATATGCCGACGAGTCTTCAAGAAGGTTGCGGTATTCCTCAAGCTTTGCGATAGCGGCTCTAATGCCCGCACGCATAAACCGCGACCCATCTGTATCCTCCGATAGTAGTGATGATGCTGGAGGAGGTGTTGGTTCATTGCTAGCCGCTTCCTGCGAGAACGTTGTTGTTCGTTAACTTGGATGATCAACTTCAAAGCTATCGAGGTAGCGCGGTAAGGTGGTTTATCGCTAGGTTCGTTGGGAGGGTGTAGGAGGCGGCGCTATAGTATCTGGGATCTCTGGAAGGGGGGGGGGGTGCGTTGACTGTCTGGGAGGCGCCAAACCGAGTAAGATCCGCCGTCAAGCTATTAAGTAGCGAGTAGACTACGCGAACGACGCTGGGCATCGTCAAACCGTTTCCTTCCAACAGCTTGGTCACGATTGCGAATAGCTTCAATACTGTTTGTATCTCAGTCAACGTCGACCAGTCTTCATTGCTTAGAGAATCGGCGAGACCATCTCTCTCGGCCGTACAAAAGAAGTCAACTGACTCCCTGAGTCTGAGGGCGCGTTTGATCATTAAAAAGACCGAGTTCCACCACGTATCGTTATCCGCTACTAACTGTAGTTGAATTAGGTTATTGTTAACTACTAATTATAGTAGAACTGTATCTTCTGAGCTCGACAGCAGTATATTGAAGTCGTCAATTGCATCGGTGGGTATACATTTGACTTCGGCCGCTTTATTAAATGTCTTGCGTTGTTGTAGGCTGCGGCGAATGTAGTGGATAATGCGATGAAGTCTTCCAATCGGCCTATCGTTAACTACCTCTTTCCATTCCTTAGTATTGGCTTCGATAAAGGCTTTTACACTGAGATTAACGATGTAGCCGAGATAGCGGAGTCGTCGTTACTTCTTTTCGTCAACGGCTTACGGTTACCCGGGCTATTGGATCCCGAGGAGGATGGCGGCGATGCAAGTGTCGTTCGAAGACACGTTATCGCATTGGAAGTAGCCAACATCTGGCTCTATCCCGAAGTTGCAGATGACCTTCAATATCTCAACAGCTTGCACATCGCCAGAGTGAGACCCGTAGAGTTGAACTATACCCAACAACCTTATCTAAGGCTAGAATTCCGAATTAACGAAGTAGGTAACAATGCCGAGCAGCGTATAAGAGTTTGGCGAAGTCTACGTATTAAAAGAGAGGTGTTTAGCATACTTTGTTAATGCAAGTGTCTTCCTTAGAGCTTCCTTTTCTTCCTGATACCGAGTATCGGCCCATCGTTATACCATACTTACAGCTGTAGGGATCAACTTATAGAGGAACTGTTGATTAAAGAGTCCCAGAATCTTCCAAAGGTATTGATCTTCAATGGCGGTAAAGGGGAGGTCGTTGTGAATGATCCAGGAGAGAAGCAAATCCTTAACTGTATCAGCCGTCGGCTTCAAGACCGGGACAGCTGACAACTGCATCGCGAGGACCGACCGCCTCTGGTGCTTTGCTAGTGGGCGAGCATCTTCCTTTATTAAATCAAAACAGTTGTATTCGGTATTCAGATGGGAGGCCGAACTGCTTGTTGCTAAAACGTTGAAGATTTTATCGTAGTATTTGCAACACCACCAGGAGGCGTTTATCTTGTTGTCAATCAGATCGACAAGGAAGACACCATGGTCAGAAATCCATGACTTCCGGGGTCGCTTCTTTGCAAGCCACGCCTCTGGGAGGTACTGCTTTCCGCGTTGAACCACCTTCGGCCAGTCGACAAATGAATCGCGAGATAACTGTTTGAGATCAACGCCAGCCAACTCGTCGATCTGTTGCGCAATGCTGGGCACCCGCCCGCGCCGGAAAGCCCCCGCAAAAGTAGGGGGTTCCGCAGGGGAGGCCGCGGGGGGGGCCGCGGGGGGGGCCGCGGGGGGTTCTGCAGGAGGGGGGTCCGCAGGAGGCATGATGGCTGACAGTTGGTTGGTTGGCTAAAGTGGTGATGCAACTGTCTGCCCTGCAAACGAACCCACAATCCAACTGTTGTGGGCGCCTGTTGTTACACAGGGTAGGGCAAGATGTGGCTGTCGTGGCGGTTGGGGGCGTTTTGCAGGGCATTTTGGGGGCCCAGTTACTCTATCTGGCTTGGCAAATCTATCAAATCTAACAACTCAAATCCAACTGCTTATTTGATTGACGAAAACGTCGATTTGAGTTGTATTTGAGTTGAATTGGATTGATTGAGTTGACGAGATTTGCGTTGTGGAGAGCCTTGATTGAGAGGAGGCGATGACAGTGTGAATGCGGATTGAATATATATACCCTGCTCGGTAGCTGAGGCCATACGCACCAGCCTGGATATTTGGAAGGGTTCAGATGAAAAGGCCGAACCTGCGCTTCCCCCTGACCACGCAGGCCCAGCATGCTGAACCAAAAAGCATCTCTTCCTCGCCTCTGTGCTTCCTCCGCCAGCAAACCCCGGACAAGTTTGTTTAACGTGAACTAATCGCAACTGGCTGATCGCCAAAAATTAAGCCAGCCCTGCCTTGCAAGGATCCCGGGGGTGAGCTCTCGCTCTCGGGCCCGGAATGGCAGATAGCCTTGCCTCCCGAGCCTCATGACCGCTGTCCCGAGGTAGTACTCACACACAGAGATACCTTCCGGATGACTCTGGCATCTAGGCAGGGCGATATCCGTGGCCGATTCCTCTACATTGCTGCCTTGTATGCATGCGGACTGGGTAGAGATATGACCAAAACTGCCTCCCGCACCTACACCGCTGAAATGTGTATGCCCCGTCCGTCGCAAAGGAGGTCGGTCATAAGAGGCCTCGTACGGCGACGTCCGAGAGACTGACTTGAGATGGTGGAAATGTGTGGATGTGGGCTGAAAAGCCCAAGGAACACGGCGTGTACCGTAGGAGGCCTTCACCTTGTGATAAGGGCAGAGAAAGAGGGTGTATATAGGTACCTAAATACACATGGTAGCACACTAAGGTATGTGGTAATGTGAGAGGAACCGCACATCAGGCTTGGCCCGCGGAGGATCGTACTACCTATCTCGGGAGACCGACGTGTTTGGGATTTTGGGGGCTGCGCAACCCAGCATACTCTCGAAGTTGGGTCGCCCGTCGCCTTCACCTGCCGTGTTCCCCCAAGTCAGTCGTCGCCAAAATACATACCTCTCCCTAGGTACTTAGGTAGTACCGTTGCCAATAAAGCAAGTTCTGGACCCGGGCCACGGTAAGATAGCGGTCAGCAACAACAAGCTCACCCTGGAGGCCCAAGAAAAATCTAGCGAACGATTTTGGAGCGGCCTCAAACATGCCGTCCTGGATGTTTCTAAAGTCAAGCATGGATGGGAGGATGGGACGAAGTTCGGGCAGGGGCTTGGCAATCGGTTGAAAAAGACGGGAATGCATCGAAATTGCCGAGACGGGTTAGGCCCACAGGGCTGAGTTTCCCCACTGAGATGACGTCGATGCTACCAGCCAACCCTGTTCGGAGTTCGAGATGGTCCTTGCGAGCCTTGTTTAAAAACATCCCTCTCCTGGGGGGCGAGCTGTAGAAAATGAGAGCACGAAGGGGCAATAGAAATTCTCAATGGGCACAAATGTCGGCCTCGTCTCAGCTCGTGAAACGGACCTCCGGCGAATGAACCAACTGCAAAGGCCCGCAAACGCCGTCCTCCTCAAGTCGTGATTGGCTGCGGGACCGGCCGGCCGCGGTCAGCCATGGTGAAAGCCCACAGGGGTCGAGAGGGTCCAGGTGTCCAGCCACAGGGGCTCGGTGCGGGGCCCGCCTGAAGCGCAGGGTGTGCTGCAGGACAGCAGCCCCCCTCCCGACGTTTTGGCACCCAGAAGTGCCAAATCAATTTACCTATGGTGAAATGCAGGTTGCTTCTCAGAGAGAGCACCGCCCCAATCCCTCGGTTCTGGGCCCGTCAGGAACAGTCAACGCCATGAATTCCATGCTCCGAAACCAAACTTCTGTTGGGTAAAATGTGGGGAGGTGTTCGTCTGTGCGAGGAACAGAAGGGAAACAGACGGGAAGTTGCCGGGGAGATGCCCGCCCAACGATGTCATGCGAACACTGGACCCAACCGGGCAGTTGGAAGCAAGCAATTCAAAGACCCGGTCGTGCAACAACCCGCAATCCATATATTAACCCCGACACAAAGCGTATTCGTCCAAGTTGTAGTCGCCTGTGATGCCATCTTGCCTTACCACAGAACACCCGACATTCCATATCAAATTGAAGTCGTTACAAAACGGGCTGCGACCAATTGGTCCCTCGGTCTGGCCCATTTTAGCGGCCGTTTCCTGAACAAATCGAGCCCCACCCCACCTCCTCCCACCTGCTTGGTTGGGAGCCTTCGAAGCCCCAGCTCCTGGCCCAACACCGTCCTTCTTTCCAAAGTCGAGAGCAGCAGCCCTGCGCGCTAGCTCGGAGTTCTCAATCTCTCTGGTTCTTTCCCCAAACTCCGATTCGCAAGGCGCTAAGCCACAAACCATAGCCTTTGAAAGCCAGGGCCAAATCCACGACTACATGCCTCCCCGTGGTTAAAAAAGAATCGACCCCAACCCAGCGATCCCAAGCTTCCACCCCGCCCACCCAACATTGTCGCTACCTATCCCTGCAGCACTGGAGAGCCGCGTCGTGTCTCCTCGACGGCAAAACACAATAGTCCCACGCCAGAAATGACCAAGTTTACAACCAAGGATGGTTGAAAGGGACACTATTGAGACACTCCTAGAGACGGGGTCCTGGAGGACCGCGCGCTCGAGGAGCCCCCACCCGTAAGTCGCCCGCCTGTCTGCCGTGCGGAGCTTGGCTCGCTCGTTCGCCCGTTGCTGACAGCAGTGTGGACGCAGTTACGATTCACAACGTCGGGCGTACGAACCGCCCAGGTCTAACATCGGTATCCCCAGGGCAGCGGGATCGGCATCACGCACAAAACGACCACCCGCACCGTGCGTCGAGGATGAAGATGAATCGTTGGCAAAAGAACACATTGGTTCGGTCGTGTCGGACTCGTCCGACGAGGGACCCAAGCATCGCGGCGACATCGACCAGCAGCCCATTCTACTACCCGTACACGAGCACAACCCCGAGCGTCGATTCGTGATTGTTCCGGGCGCCGCCGGGGAGGATGCCCCAAAAACTACCCAGGCCCGATATGATGCGAACACCTGCCGCAAATACGTCATTGTACCCTCCGAAAAGGACGCGGAGAGTGGAGAGAGCGGGAACGAGGACAGGCGGAGACGGGAGACGCCCAAAGAGAATCCCTCCAAATTTGAAGAACGTCCGGGTTCACGGAAGGGGAGGCCCGAAATCGTGAAGCGGAAGAGCCACCAAGACTTGCCCCGTCTCACGACCGACTTCGATCCCGAAGAGCCATCTGTTCGGCCTTCAAGTAGCCGCCGTGACCGGGAGAAGCCCCTCGTGCACCAAGAGGCACAGGGGTACCACTCCTCTCGCGACAGGTCCAGCGCAAGACCGTCCGACAACGACTTTTTATCGCCCGCTGCCGTCAAACATAAGACCAAGCGACGTGATCGAGCCTATTCGGATGTCAGATCAGACACGGGGCCGAGATCCGGCCGTAGCCCCTCAACCAGGAGGGATGCCGAGGTTGAAGTGTCGGACAGAAAGCGGCCGCACCACTCATCCAGATACTCTGTGAGTCCAGGCGTTCATCGACGGGCCTCGTCCACCACAAATGTGCCAGTCGGGGACAATGGGTGGCAGAAGCCATTCCCTCAACAGCCCACCGGTTATTACAATGATGATGACATTCTCGCTTTCATGGCACCGGGCGACGACTTTATGACAGAGAAGCCCCGGAGAGGCGTGTCCCCGCCGAGAAGGACTCGGAATAGCAACTCTCCGCCTCACCCCCGCGGCGCAAGGGAGATGCCCGGCACATCGCCGACCCGCAGACGCCATCCTCGCTCTGCAAATCGTGACCGGGACGGGTACTCAAGTGATGATAGCTACAAGGAGCGGAATTCCAACCGCGCCGAACGCCCCTATCCCACCCGGTCAACACTAGAACCGGACCTTCCGCCCACACTCTCGCCAGACCAAGCCCGACGCTCAAATGCCAGGCTTGCAGCCATTCCGCCACTGGCAGCTCCGTTCCCGGATGAAGCACCCCAGCCAAGCCCGCGGAGCGCAACTTTCCCGACTGATAAAAGCCGGAAGGTCGGCGAGCGCTCCATGTCGCCATCTTCCATTACCAGCGCCTCTCCATCCCGACGCCCCGGCCGAGGGAAGACGGCCCAACCAGGAGTTCACTCTCGAGACGCCAGTATCGGTTCGGCCAATGGTTCTACTACGCTGCCACCTCTAGTGTCGGGCACGCTCCCTCGGGCTGCTACTCTGGATAGACCTTTGCCGGGCCCAGTAGCGACCCTCGCTCGGCAGGAATCTTCGGATGTGCAGTCGCCGACGCTGTATTGGCAACCCGGCCGCTCCGCCGAACAAGGCGCTGCCGATGATGACGTAACAAGCCACGCTCTTGCCCAACTTCCTGACTGTCAATGGAAATACCCCACCGTGGCCAGGAATAAGCCGGGCAGTGATCAGTTCCTCACTTTGAAGAGGGCCGACAATTTCGAGATTTGCCCCGGGTGCTATCGGGTCCTGTTCGCCAACACGGAATTCCAGCATATGTTCGTCCCGGCCCCCATCCGTACTGGGGACCAGGTTATCTCTTGCGATTTTGGCGCCTCGCCCTGGTATCGCATCGCTTACCTCATGACGCTGAAACACGACTTCCCCGACCTTCGTCTGCTACAAGGGATAGCATCCGTCGCGGCGCGGACACAGGCCTGTGCAGGGAGCCAGCCCGCATCGCGCGTCTGGTATAGCATGATGGCGCCGAACTCCAGGCGTCCCATCTCGAGATTCAACGTCTGTCTAGGCTGTGCCAAGATGGTCGAAGTCCTCCTCCCAAACCTTGCCGGCATCTTTGTGCCCCTAGGCTCGCATGAGGCAGCACGCGGCATCTGCGAGCTTCACTATGTGCCGGAGCGGAAGCGCTTCTTCGACTACTTCGAGGAGATGAAGACAACGTCCGACAAAGCACTAACCCGTAGGACTGCCCCAGATCTTACGGAGCTGGTCGACCGTGTCCGGGAAATCTCGATCCACGATGAGTGCCTGCGCAACACCCCGATTCCAAACTACAAGTGGCACGTCATGCAGCGGGTGCCCGAGTTTACCGTGTGCGAGGAGTGCTTCAACGCCGTGGTCTGGCCGATGATCGAAGACGAGGACAACAGTAGCGAGATGCCGCGGAATTTCTACAAGTACAGGCAGACCAAGCCACTTGCCGCTTGTCAGCTGTACAGCGACCGCATGCGCCGCGTGTTTTTGGAGGCTTGCAAGTACGACGATTTTGAGTTCCTCACCTCGTGCGTGCTCAATAGGCTGCAGACCTTGGCCGAGGTCAGGACGAGATATAGCGAGCTGCAAAGGGAGGACCAGGAGGATCCGGGGGTGCAGGATGAGCTCGCAGCTCTGGCGAGGCAGTTCAAGGAGGTCGAGTAACGCTGATGAGGGGTTCGTAAGGTTTCAATCGGTATGCGTACGGGAGCGTGCTTGGGGCGTCATAGGGGCAGCGGGTCTAGCTATGTTTGTGATACCACGCGCTGGAGCAGCGAGCCTAGGTACCAGGTTGTGCTGTCAAGCACTCAGTACGACGTGAAATGGGAAATATGAGATTCGCATTCACCCGATTTGCTGCAGATGGGCATACGCGGCGTCGTCATGTTCTAATTTCAGACACCCGCAACAAACAAGCATCGAGTGCCAAATTAAAAGCTTGAAATTCTCCGGCCGCTACAGCCCGGGTTTGTCCGGCTGTGGTTGGACGTCACCCAGGAGGGTGGTGTTGGAAATCAGCCGGAGATCCCCTCAACCAGGGGACCAAACAGGATGCCCTAGGAGACTACCACAATCAATGAGCCCCCCAAATCAATATCATGCCCCATTCCCCGGATACTGACCGTTGGAGGCTTCTGCAGATACAGGACGGGCAAAATATACCCACCTATCAGAGGTACAATGCTGGTCCAATACACAATGTGTGAAGGGTCTCCCCATCCCCGAGTTGCTTCGCTACAAGAAGCCAAGACGGACTCGGCCGTCGTAAGGCCATGGATCTCCACCTCCAACCAAGGAATTCAGTATGTGGTCTACCGCCTTGCTCCTGGTGCTCAGCACCGTCATCCTCCCCGCCTCCGCCGCCATCGTCAAGGAGGGCTCAACATGCATCGTGACTCCTATCTCCGAAACCCCGGCGGCCGTCGCCCAACGTAGCCTCGGCACCGTACCCCTAGAGCAGCGTGACCCCAACCCGGAAGACAACCCGGCCACAGACAACAACAGCCCCTGGGTCAACCACGGCGACTACCCGCGCGCCGAACCGGGCTCGCACCACCCCCCGGCCGTATCCCACCCCCAGAGCAGCAGCAGCAGCAGCAGCAGCAGCAGCAGCGAGCTCCAACCCAACCCCAACACCAACACCAACCCCCTGATCACCCCCCGCCAAAACCGACCCGACGACACGCCCCAAATCCTCTCAGCCTTCTCGCAATGCGGCCAGGACGGCACCATCATCTTCCGCGAAGGGACCTACCACATCCGGCAGGTGATGGACACGCTCGACCTGCGCAACGTGACGGTCGAGATCCACGGCACCTTCCTGTGGAGCGCCGACAACCTGGCCTACTGGCGCCAGGCCAGCTTCGGCGTCACCTACGCGGGCCGCCAGACGGCGTGGCGGGTTGGGGGGAGGGATATTACGATTAGGGGGTTTGGGAAGGCGCTGTTTGATGGGAATGGGCAGGCGTGGATTGATCTGGCGCGGGGGCAGGGGAATTTGAATGGGAGGCCGATTTCGTTGACGGTTTGGTATGGGACGAATGTGTGGATTGATGGGATTACTTGGTGCGTTTGTCGCTTTTGTTGTTGTTTTACTCCTCCTCCTCTCTCTTCTCCCTGTTCTCTTTTTCCTTCTTCTTCTGTTTCGTTTTTGTTATTGTTATTTTTTTCTTATGAAAAGGGGTTGGGAAGGGGAAGGGTATCTGCTGACCGTGTTGATAGGCGGATGGCGCAGTTCTGGCACACCTTTATTGCGCACTCGCAGAATGTGACCATGACGAACCTCGACATGGAAACATTCTCGTCAAATGAGCTGAGCTCCCAGAATACGGATGGGACAAATACCTGGAACTCCAAGGATGTCACCATCGCGAACTGGAGGGTCAAGTGTGGTGATGTGAGCCAACTCCTGGGTTGCCCCTGACTCCCGCATCTGGACTGACATTCCCAGGACTGCATCGGCGTCAAAGGCAACAGCACAAACGTCCATGTCCGCAATGTTACCTGCGAGGAGTCCGGCGTTATGACCATCGGCAGCATTGGCTCCAATTCTGCGCAACCCGACTACGTCGAGAACGTCGTCTTCGAGGACATCAAGGCCGTCCACTCAAGCAACGCCGCCTGGATCAAAACATACCCTGGCAATGGCTACGTCCGCAACGTCACCTTCCGCAACATAGAATTTGAGGACGTCAACCAGCCCATCTACGTGACTTCGTGCATCTGTCCGTCGTCCTCACACCCCCCTCTTGACCTACCGTTCCCCTAAACTTGAAACTAACCAGCCGCTGGGATAGACTCGTACCAGAACTGCGACTCCTCGCGGCTCAAGATCAGCGACGTCCGCTGGCAGAACATCACGGGCACGAGCAGGTACAATGTCGCTGTGGGGATCCACTGCAGCGCGTCGACGCCGTGTGAGGGGTTCCATTTCGAGAACATTGATATCAAGCCCAAGAATGGCGGTACCGCCAAGATTCTGTGCTCGAACATCAGAAACCAGGCGAGCATGGGGTTGCAGTGCACCGGGCCGTGTCCGGGGTCGCATCCTCAGCAGTTGTCGGGGAATGTGTGATCCGAGGCCGCCAGAGCGGTTGGGCGGTGGTGAGGGATCGAAAGTAGAATAACTGGATCGGATTGATGAGTGAATTGAGTTATGACGTTAGAAGGAACAATTCGATGTGTCTGTTTCAAGCATTGTGACCATGAATGAAACTGCTCCTCGCAAAAAGTATATGAAGCATTTTAGCTTGCATGGCGGCTTGCGGAACCAAATGGGAATTCCGTCATAGTATTATACAAGTAGTGCTTTTGGAAGCAATGACTTCGACGGTTGTTTATCGTAACGGAACCATTGTACAATCAAATACCCGGGCATCGAAGTTGGGGTTGTTGTTTCCTCGAAGTGAAGCTCAAGAGCTGCGTCGGTTGATGGAGTTGCAACCAGCTGGCAGGAGACCCACCACTTCCCGTTTCCGGCCTAGTGCATATTAGGGCCACCAGGAAACCCCACGGGCACACTTCGCCGAATATTGCAAAATTTCAATTGGAGCTCCCGCCGGCCTCGAATTTTCGCATCTTCAACAACCCGCCCAACGTTCAGGTGAGTTACGCCCGCCCGACTCGACTTTTCGTTGTTATCGAAGCTTCGAAAGCTACGAGCTACGTCGACGAAACAAGCCACGAATTTCGATCGCTAACTTTCACCTCTTTGCAGCCGACAAAACTTGTCCCGACACCTGGACAAGATGGCCTCCCGTCCCACAGTTACCGTCATCGGCGCCGATGGCAAGGCCACCGGTGCCACTGAGGTCCTCCCCAAGGTCTTCAGCGCCCCCATCCGCCCGGACATCGTCAAGCACGTTCACACCGGCATGGCCAAGAACAAGAGGCAGCCGTACTCCGTCAGCGAGAAGGCTGGCCACCAGACCTCGGCCGAGTCGTGGGGTACCGGTGAGTGGCATTCCGAGTGGTTTTGAGGAGGACGGATCAAGGCAGAAAAATCGATGGATTGGTGTGGGCTCGGGACTGGAATACGGCGGATCGAGAAGGAAACGCGATTTTGGATTGGGCGATTGCTGATGATGGACGAAACTAGGTCGCGCTGTTGCCCGTATCCCCCGTGTCTCCGGCGGTGGTACTCACCGTGCCGGTCAGGCCGCTTTCGGTAACATGTGCCGTTCCGGCCGCATGTTCGCCCCCACCAAGATCTGGCGCAAGTGGCACGTCAAGATCAACCAGGGCCAGAAGTATGTGAAAGGAGACTTGGTTTTTGTCGGGGGCTAGTTCTGACTGTTGACAATAGGCGCTTCGCTACTGCTTCCGCTCTTGCCGCCTCTGCCGTGGCTCCCCTCCTGATGGCCCGCGGCCACCAGGTCGCCACCGTTCCCGAGGTTCCCCTGGTCATCGACTCCTCCGCCGTTGCCGGTGAGGCCGTCGCCAAGACCGCCGCTGCCTTCGGCCTCCTGAAGGCTGTTGGCGCTGGTGCCGACGTCGAGAAGGTCAAGGGCTCCAAGAAGGTCCGTGCCGGCAAGGGCAAGCTCAGAGGCCGCCGCCACCGCCAGCGCCGTGGTCCTCTGGTCGTCTACAGCGCCGAGGCCGATGGCAAGGATCTCGTCAAGGGTTTCCGCAACATCACTGGTGTCGAGACCTGCCCGGTCGATGCCCTCAACCTCCTCCAGCTTGCTCCCGGCGGCCACCTCGGCCGCTTCATCGTGTGGACTTCGGCTGCCATCAAGCAGCTCGACTCGGTCTACGACAGCAAGAAGGGCTTTTTCCTCCCGTCCAGCGTTGTTGCGCAGGCCGACCTTACCCGTCTGATCAACAGCTCCGAAATCCAGAGCGTCCTCCGCGCCCCCAAGGGCGATGCCCGTACCAAGCGCGGCGCTGTCCAGAAGAAGAACCCGCTCATCAACAAGCAGGTTCAGCTCCGCCTCAACCCGTACGCCAAGACCTTTGCGAAGGAGAAGCTGGGTGAGCTCAAGGCGGACGAGGGCAAGCCTCAGCCTCCCACGGCGGCTTTCAAGGAGCAGCTGCACGAGGTTTAAGCTGGGGTTGTTAAAAGGACGGGAGTGGTTGCGGGAACTTTATTCGGCGTAACGGATTAAGCATGTGTAAACGCACATCAATGAATTCTGATACCGACATGGCATTTGCTTTGTGACACAAACTACCTACGCTTTCCCAAGAGCAGACCTCGATATTGAATGAGAGTTTCGAGTGGGCAGCAGCACCCGATGGCGCCAAATACTAGTCCCCCTAATCTATAAATGTGTCATGTCGGCTCCAAGCTAGTGCTTGTTTGAGACCGGTTGTCCAGGCCAATGGTGGGAGCATGTTGGTCACCGAATCGGCGTCCGGGGTAAACGCTCCATTTGGCGAGTTGCTCTTGCTGAGCTGAGTCGAGGAAGACTGTCATGTGCAGCACATGGCCGCCCAGGCGGTCACAAGTCCCTGTTTCCGCACCGCAGATCCCTGTAGCTAGGGTCGACGCACTATCCGAAGACTCGAAAAGGGTGTGGAGAGCTGTGGAAACGGCCTACTTCCATAGAGGAGGGGAAATGGATCTTGAGCGACTGGCTGGTCTCTTGGATCACTGCTCGACTCTCACCTCCCTGTTTTTATTTCCCCAACCCCTTGCAAGTTCTTTTACTGTTGTACCTCCCGATCCCAACAATCGCGATCTTTGGGGCGCGGATCGTTGAAATGCCAAGCATCGCAAAATGGCCTGTGCAACACCTGTCAGGGTGAGGATGCGGGGCCACAAGGGCCCAGGCGGGGAGCATTTCAGCCACTCCTTCAGCTGCCTGCAGGTTGCACTGCAGGGCCCTTCCAACAAGCCCGCCGAGCCCGGCCAGGGTCTACAGAATGACGTCGGTCGGACTTGCAGCAGGGAGGTTGCTCGGTGCTTTGTTCCTCAAGGACGCGCGTGAGCAGAGGAAGCGTAGACTGAGCTACATACCTATTCATTGTTCACGGGTCTCGACTCGAAAATCCTTCTACATCGGTCTAGACCCAGACCCGGCCACCAGCAGTTTCCTCCAGATTCCGAGACCCGGCGAGTTAACCCTTGGTGCGCACATCAGACAGATCGTCGGATGGTTTCTTGGCTCTAGTTCTGGTTGTTCCTTGTTCCTCGTGTCTTGAGTGTCTCAGTTTCCAGTCCAGTCCACACAGCATCAAGCTCGATTTGCCCCGACGGCGTTATCCGTCGCCTCTAACTGACTCGCTTCCCCAACATTGACGGGGCTCGGGGTTCATCTTGTCCTCCCTGACGCATAACGAACCCGGACTGCGACTCTCCCCGGTGTTCGACGGCGCATTTCCCAACCTATATTCTTATAACATATAACGTTAACATATCACGGTACTACCCGCTGGTCGGAGCCTACTGGTCGCGTCCAAAACTTGATCGCTCATGGCGTCCACAACAATGACATCTCCTGCTGGAGGTGCATCTCGCCCGTTGGTGTTGCCTGGTAAGTCCAACAACCGTGCGCGCAAGCTGCATCCTTCGTGCCTTGCCTTGCATTGCATAGCGTAATCTCTGTCACACACGCCCGGTGCTCCGCTTACAAACTCAATCTTTAGGTCATTCCGGTCCTCTAAAATATGCCAATGCGCAAGATCTCCCAAGTTACCCATCTCCCGGGTTGAAACCGGGCGACGCGGCAGCAAGTGCTGCGGCGACTCTGGGATGGGCCAGTACCCGCCTCCCCGCCAGCCTCCCCTCGGGGCCACCAACCCGAGACTCCCAGGTCCTCGGATGCCCTCCTTGCTGCTGGTTGGGCACAGCGGCAGCAAAAGCCGTCAGCGTTTCCTCCTTCGTCGTGGGTATCCACGGCTGCGAACTTGGCCTTCAGCACAACCAAAGCATCGCCCCCGGCCGCTGAACGCCCCGAATTATCAAGGCAAAATTCGATGCGCGCCGCAAAGGGAGCAATGGCGGGCGCGCGGCCGAGAGCAAGGTCGTCGCCCCAGACAGCGACAGAGAAGGCGCCAGATCCGTCCAGCGCCGAGGGATATGCGCTGAGCGCCGCGACCATCGCCCACGGGCCATCGGCGCGCGCAAACACCATCTCGACCAGCGAAGCAGGCGCCGTCCCTTATACCACCCTGGACCGGCAAATGTTCACCTCGAATCCGCCAGTCAAGCCCGAGACCGATGAGAAGACCCGTGCAGACGTCTTGCATGCGTCTGCCCTCGCTATGGCCAAGAAGATGTACGGCCAGCAGCAGAAAATGATCGACAACTCGGCCCGGGCGCACGGCCGGTCGGCATCATTCCCCGGTGGCGACGCGTCAACCATCGCAAGCTCACAGGATGAGGAACAGCCGCCCTTGGTGTACAACAGCCTCCAGGAGGCCGCGTACCGGCTCGCGCAGGAGCGCCTTGCCAAGCTGCAGGAAGAGCACGACAAGCAGCGGTCCCTGCAGGAGTATTACGGCTCGGGTACGCCGCAGCGGACAAAGTTCGGCACCATCAAGGGCAAGCTCACCAGGAGGCGCTCCTCTAGCGACGGGGATCTGTTGGAAGACAAGCGGCGGTCGGAGCAGATCCGCAAGCAGATGTCGCTGCTGAACAACAAGCTGTCCGTGGTAGACGAGGACAAGAGGAGGAAGGATCAGGAGGCGCTGCTCGCGACTGCGCAGCGGAAAGTCAGAGCCCAGTTGCAACGGATGGATCAAAAAGTGCAGTCTAAGACGGGGCGTGTGCCCCAAGTTACGATGGACGACTGGGGGCGGAAGGCGATGGTGGCTGCGCAAGCAAGGTCCGCTGCTACGGCTCATGAGACCGCCGGGAAGGTTGATATTGGTGGTGGAAAACTTATTGACCGATCTGAAGTGGACAAGATTGCCGCCCAGAACGTTCAGCCACTTCTGGACGAGATTAACGAGAGGGCCGAGGAGGAGAAGGCACGGTTGGAGGAGCAAAGACTTGACGAAGAAAGACGCAAGGAGAAGGCTGAAAAGGAGAGGATGAGGGAGAAGGAGATCCAGGAAATCCATAGGAAACTCAAAGGTAAGTCGTGAGAGCAGGCGGTCTTGGGACCCTCCGCTGACCATCGTATAGACCAGCAAAAAGATGTCGAGAAGGCAAGAAAGGTCGGGCTCAAACAGGAGGAGAAGACCCGAAAGAACGAGGCAAAAGCGATCAAGGCCGGGGAGAAGCATTCCACCGAGGAAAAGAGGGACCCGCCAACGGCAACCGGCAAGGCTAAAGCAGACAACCAAGATCAACCGCCAGACATCGAGAATAAACGAACCTCTGCCGTCGGTCGCGTCCGCACTCTATCAATCAACTTCGGCAAACGCCACCCAAGGCGCAAAGAATCCACCTCGGAACCGCTCAGTCCGGACGGCAACTCGACCTCCCCAACGCGCAAAGTCCGCGCCTGGCTCCTCTCCCGCTTCCCGCGGCCGCGAGCCAAGACAACCAGCACAGAAACACCCAACGATCAAGACACCCACGACGCGAAAAAGAAAGGCTTCATCGGCGGCGTCGCCCTGACCCGACTTCATCGCAACAACGTCGGAACGCCCTCCGTCACCGGCGCCGACAAGGCCAAGGACAAGGGCAAAACCAAAGAAACCGAAAACGAAAACGTAGAGCGCCCCGACGCGAGCATGCGCGACGTCGCCATGGCCGGCCGCTCCCCCCCAACCACCACCACCACCCCCGCCGCCACCACCGCCGCGGACGAAGCAGCAGGTAGCGGAGGGCCCTCCGCCATCCTCCCGTGCGCAACCCCGCAGGTCATACCCTCCACGCCCCCCGTCCATGGTTCGCAACGCCCCACCTCGCAGGTCTCGCAGGTCTCGCAGCCGAGCATCCCCGCCTCGCACCACGGCCACGGCCACGGCCAGCAGCAGTCGGTTAGCAGCATGCGCACGAGCAGTACCGGTAGCAGTGCGGCGGGGAGTAGTAGTCTAAGCAGTAGTGCTGGTGGGAGTGGGAGTGGGAGTGGGGGTAGTGAGCGGTTCGTGGAGGCGCGCAGTGAGCCGGAGTCTGAGCCTGGATCTGGATCTGGGGGTTTGAATGGTGGTGGTGTGAGTGGTGGTGGTGTGAGTGGTGGTGGTGTGGGTGGTGGTGGTGTGTCGGCGAGGCTGACGCCGCCGAGGGCGAGGAGGGTTGAGGCGGGGGGGAGGGTCAGTCCGTTTAGGGAGTCGAGGTTTTCGGAGATTTTGTGAGGGGTGGGTTTTGGGGGTGGTAGTTTATGGGGTGGTGCGTGGCTATGCATGACTTTTTGACGATGGTGATGATGGTGGGTACTGGGGGTTTGATTATGGAGGTTGGGAGGGTGCATGGTCTGTGGGGGGTGGGCATCCGGCTGGGGGAGGGCTGGCGTTTTTGAGGAGGATGGGGGGTTATGTATGATGAACGTAACTTGAACTTGGATGGGTTGCATGGCACATCGCATGTTTGGGCATTGAGAAGATATTACCTGTTGGGATGTGTTGACGGCTTGGGGTCGGTTGTAACGATTATTGTTTTATTTTCAACGCTCTTCGACCCATCTCACAGCATCATGGTTGTTACCGCTTGGGAAGGCTAGGAAGTGGTGTTATCGCTTTGAGCAACAATAATAATGCTCTACAATTCTACCCCCGGTAGTTCCAGGGTATATATATCTAACGAAATGGTATAATGCGTGCCCTCTCGGCTCTGTGTCTCCAAAACAACACCCGCTCGGTCATGCATGCATGCCACCCAACACATCCAAATCATTCGCTTTCCCCCAACGCCTTGTCCAAAATCACCATCTCCAAACCCGCTCTCCCAATTATATATGTATATCTCCAACCACCCGCTTTAGAACAATGTCCTCTAGAACCACCCCTTCTAGAAATTACTCGCCATCGCCCGACTCCTGGACCCGGACCTCCGCCCATGCGCGACCCTCGCGGCCTCAAACGACGGCGCGCCCCCCGACGTCGCATTCCCATCCAGCGTCGCATCGCTCGACCCCCCCTCCTCCATCTCGCCCGCAGCCACATACCGCGACGCCGGCGCCGCGCCATCCCCGCGCGTCAGGCGCATAGTCGGAGCCGGTGCGACCGCCGCCCCAACCTGCTTTTCTTGGTCCTGCTGGTCCTGCTGGTCCTGCTGCTGCTGTTTGGCGCGCAGCTGGTGCGGCGCGTGCTTGGTGGCGGCGGCCGGGTACAGGTCGACGTAGAAGGAGAAGACGTAAAAGGAGAAGATGAAGGCGATGACCCACTCGAGCACGGCGCCGGCGTTGGAGTTGCGCGTGAAGGTGCAGGCGACGAAGGCGACGGCCAGCAGCACCTCGACGATGACGAAGGTGAGCTTGATCCAGAAGGAGAGGCGCAGGATGCGGTGCTCGCGGTAGTCTGGTTGGGAGGGTTAGTGGGGGTGCTTTTGTAAAGGGGGGTGGGGGGGTTGGTAGAAAGGAAAGGGGGGCATACGTTTCCCGAGGCGTTGGTACTCCCAGCAGATGAAGATTGCGGATATCACGTATCCGGCGATGAAGAGCAGGAGAAAGATGTTGTGCAGGTTGGGTTGCCAGACCGTGTCGAAGATGCTCAGGAGGATCAGGCCGACGGTGCCGATGATGGCGAAGCCGATGGATAACCCGGAGAGCACCTTCTCACCGGTCGTCGTGTTGGGGGCCAGGCGGCCCTTGTGGCGGAGCCAGCGGTCGGCAGCAAACGAGATGTCGAGAAACACGGTAGTGAGAACACAGCCGGTGACGAACAATGGCTTGAGGTCGGATGCACCGATGTCGCTAATGTAGGCGATTTGCTGGCCATCGTTCATGGAGGAGTACTGGATGTAGTCCTCTGAGACGGCCCAGTAGAGCAACAGAGCCAGTAGAGTCGCGAGCCAGACGGTGCCGGCGAGGATGGGGGTTACCTGGAATCGTCGGGTTAGGGGTGGGTGGGCAATGCGAGTGAGGGAGTCAAGCGTACCCAATATGATAAGCGAATCATCGTGATAGTTCTAATCTATTAACTTTATTTTTGAACGGGGGAGTTGATTGCAAGTAGCGGGCGGGCGAAGATGGGACGGTGAGATCTCGATTGGAGAGAATCCCACCGAGGGTACTGTGTAAAGAGATAAAGGAAAATTAAAAGACACAATGATTCCTTGTCGTGAAAACAGGAGAAAAAGGTTCGGAGTTAAACGGGTCCGCTAGTGACGCGAAAGGTAGAAATGCTGTGTTGGTTGCGACGCTGGCTCCGGACCGGTTTTTGCAGGATCGGGGGGATTGTTGAATGAAACAAACCGCCGAGTTTAATCGTACACACTAATCAATAACTTGGTCCCCTTCTTAATGATTTTAAGCAACTCCAGAAAAAGCTTGTTGCGATTGCGACCGAGTCTGCGGTGTGATTGTCTCAGATTGTATTCCCAGTTGGGATATGCACAGCCTCTAATTTCCGCTACACGCCACGACTGCCGCGTGTCTCTAAAATGCAGCTGGGTGAGGACCAAAAAGTAGAGACATGATCGGAAGTTCGGGCGGTTTGAGGATGCCGAAGTGCGTGACGTCAGCCCGGCTGTGACGAAGCAAGGGTGTGACGAGGGTTGGCTTGGCGTGGCAGTCTTTGGGCAGTTTGGGCATTTTGGGCTGTGATTTCTCTTTCTACAGATTACTTTCCGCTGACAAAGAGAGAAAACAAAGCTTCTTCTTGCCCAAATCGAAGCCACGGCCAAGACTCGAAGTCCACGTAAGTGCGTTGTGTGATTCCAAACATTTGCTCGCCGATTATTCCTACTTGTTTGTCTCGGCCCAATTAACTGGACGATAACCAATGTTTGATTCCCTGATCAGCCCTGTGGACAAATGATGTGATACAAACTTGGGCGCCACTGTTGCGTGGCTGCTTGGCTGCCCGGAGATCAACGGAGTTAGAGTGGTGTGCCACCCCTGATCGTTTTTAACTTTTCAGAGAAGCCCCGGTGCCTTGGCATTTCCGGGTTCCAAACCCTGGTTTCTCCGATTCGCTCGCGATTGCATGTAACCTTCTTTCGACATCGCCGAAACACCATACCATCCTTACCGTTCCGATACCAACGCCGGAGCATCGCCAACACCACCCGACGGGATCACCGCCAAGATGGCCGTGTCACCCCTTGTCGCACCCACGTCCGACGCCCTCCAAGCCGCTCAAACCTCCCGCGCAACATCCTCCCCGTCCAAACGACAATCCTCCGCCGTCCCTTCCACCGTCCCCTCCGCCAACGCCGGCAATGGCACCCCCCCGCCTCCTCCAAAACATCAACCGCCTTGCGCCGACCTCCGACGGGAGCACCCCGGCCGTCATGACCCTCGACCCGATCGAACAGCTCAACGAAGACGAGAAGCGCAAATACATCAAGGGCAAGAAGCTCGGCGAGGGCACGTACGCTAACGTCTACCTCGGCCACTCGCGCCGCGATCCCTCCCTGCTCGTGGCCATCAAGAAGATCAAAGTACAACAACAATATCAAGATGGGATGGCGCCGGACGCGGTGCGCGAACTCAAGTATCTGCGCGAGCTGCACCACCCCAACATCATCTCACTACTATCCGTCTTCAGCTCCAAGGACCAGAACCTCAACCTGGTGCTCGAGTACCTACCACTAGGGGACCTGGAGATGCTGATCCGGGACGTGGACCGGGTGCGGTACGGCGCGGGGGACATCAAGGCGTGGATGGGGATGCTGGCGCGGGCCGTGTGGTTCTGCCACGACAACTTCGTGCTGCACCGCGACATCAAGCCCAACAACCTGCTGATCGCGGCCGACGGCGAGGTGAAGCTGGCCGATTTCGGCCTGGCGCGCGCCTTCGCCGACCCGGGCCGCCGCATGACGGCCAACGTCATCACGCGCTGGTACCGCCCGCCCGAGCTGCTCTTCGGCGCCCGCCACTACGGCGGCGCCGTCGACGTGTGGTCCGTCGGCATGGTCTTCGCCGAGCTCATCATCCGCGCGCCCTTCCTGGCGGGCAACACCGAGGTGGAGCAGATCGCGCTGATCTGCAAGCAGATCGGCACGCCGACCGAGGAGAACTGGCCGGGCGTGACCCAGCTGCGCGAGTACACGGTGCCGACCGACGTGGTGGCCGTGTGGGGCAAGGAGGCCTACATGGGCCGCTTCGGCGCCGTCGGCGCCGACGGCGTCGACCTGCTCGTGCGCACCGTCGCCCTCGACCCCAAGAAGCGCATCACCGCCCGCGAGATGCTCCAGCACCGCTGGTGGCGCACCGACCCCAAGCCCACCAAGAAGGAGGACCTCCCGCGCAAGTCGGGCGGCGCCGCCGACGAGAAGATGGGCGCCGACCTGAAGCGCCGGAACGGCATCGTCGACGAGGACGCTAGCGCCCCGCGCGGTTCCAAGGTGGCGAGGAAGCTGGATTTTGGGCAGGCCAAGTAGGGAGGCCGGACCAGGCCAAGAAAGCAGGGCTCACATCTGCTATTTCAGCAGCGGCGTTTCTAAGTATATATATTTAATCTGGCGTTGTGGGTCTGAGGAGTCTCGGGTACAATGGGAGGGAGGGCGGCACATGGACAAGGAGTTAGCCTTTTATTCTAGCAGGATAGGGAGTCAAAAAAGAAGCCACGAGGCTCGTTCATCATCGCTTTAAACCAAGAACGGTTACCGTTTTCTCTATCCATCCATCCCCCAACCGATTCATGAAGCGTTACTGTATATCCATCCATCCCCCTTACATCAAGCAGCACTCCAACCCGTACATAGCCCTCTCCACATCCTTCCTGACCTGATACCAATCCGCCCTCCTCTCGGCATACTCATAGACCTCCTCGGCCCTAAAGATCCCCCCAAACCGATCCCCATCCGCAATGATCGTCGCCATCTCCTTGGCATGGCGCGCATCAATCAGATAAATCTGGCTCAGCTCGCGCAGGGCGCGGAAGTAGGCGAGCAAGTCCTGGTTCTTGAGGGTGCGGACGTACTCGAAATACAAATTCATGTCGGCGATGAGCTTGATGGCGCCCTCGGTGCTGACGCGCTGCCGCTTGAGGTGCTTGCACACGGCCGTGAACAGCCGCAGCCCGACCTCGCCGTTGAACACGTCCAGCATCGACTTGTCCGTGCTGCCCACCAGCATCGACGTGTGCGACGCCACCAGCTCCCGGATCCGCTGCGCTGTTCGCGTCGGCCCGATGTCCATGCCGATCGTGGCTCCCGTTAGGGTGGAGGCCCGCTTCTTGTCGAGCGAGGTTGTTGAGGAGGCTGGGTCTGGCGTGTTGGCCGCCCCCGGGTTGTAGTCTGTCGGTAGTTGGGTCGTTGCGCAGAGGTATTCGACCTCGTCCATGAGCACGTCGATGCCCTTGTTGAGGCCGGCGGCGACGCTCTCGTCGAGCATCTGCTCGAACTTCTTCTTGGCCAGCCCGGCGGGGTCGAGGAAATCGTTACGGTCCGCGATCTTTGGTCCGGCAAGCTGTTGCTCGTAGAAGACGTCGATCATTTGTGAGATGAGGTCGCCCACGTTGACCAGCTCGATAAAAGTCACCAGCGGCGCCACGCCGCCCTGGTCGTGCTCGCTGACCTCGCGGGGGTTGTACTGCGACAGGTGCACCACGGCCCTGTCGAACCCTGGCTTGACGTGCTTGCTACCCAGGATGCGCAGAAGCGCGACGAAGATGGCCTCACACTGCTCGCGTGCCTCGCCGCCGGCCTGCCCACCAAGCTGGATGAACACGGCAACGCGCCCCAGGCTTGCCTTAGCAGAGTGCACTAGGCTCAGTGCCACTTCGATGCTAAATAGAGATTTGATTCCCTCCAGCCTCGACGTCATGAGTGCCGCCTTGGCCGCCAGCTCATCGGTTGGTGCCTTGCCTGGCATTGGACTGCTGCTGCGATCAACCGTTTGTTGAATTGAGGGAGCAGGAGACTGCGCGCGAGACTCCTGCTGGCTTAGATCTGCCGCCGCGCTGCTGCCATTTGCGCTCGCCGCGGCCGCCGCCGGCTTACTCGCGAAGGGCGACCCGAGCGGTAGGCCCGGTAGTGAAAAGGTCGTTAGGGTCGTCGGGAGCACCGTCACGGGCATCATAACGACCTTCCTAAACGACGTTAAAAAATCCTTCTTGTCTGCTTGCCGATTTGCGAAGCCTGCCATGTAGAATGATTCGGCCGAGGCATCCTGCTCTGACAGCTTCTTCTCCCATTCCCCAACCTCTTGTTCCGCCTGCCTGGTAAAGTCGTCTATCTCGTCCTGCAGGTACAAGTCAAGGTGCGGTTCAAACGCCTTGAGCGCTAGCTCCTTCGCCCTCGCTTCCTGGTTCACTCCTGCCCCCTTCGGTGGTGTTAAGGTCCGCATGAACTGCAGCGTCTGCTCAAAAATACCAGAGACCGCCCTCAGATAAGACGGTATACTCCTCTCGTGCGTCTCATCGAACAGCGGCGTAGCATACTCCATGACGACATCCTCGCGGACTTTGTCGACAAACACCCAAAAGACATGCCCCGGATTCGGGAATATGCGCTCGATAATAGCCGCCTGCTCGTTCACTTTCCGGGAGAGCACCTCGAAGAAACGCCGTGACGGCTCCAGCGTGACGCTGTCCGCCAGAGCCTGGTTGACGCAGTCCATCGAGTTGGCCAGCACCTCGCGGTCTGTGAAAACAGGGTGTTTCTGGATGAACAGCTCGACGGCGGCACTGCTCCCGTTCAGCAGCGCCAGCACGTGGGCATACTTGTTCATCCGCCCATCCACGTCCCAGAACTCGTACCCCTGCTCAAACTCGCGCAGCACGGCGCTCTCGAAAATGCTCGTCATCGTGTCCACCTTCTCTTCCCTCTTCTGCGCGCCCTGCGACCAGTCACTCTTGGCAAAGGTCCGCAGGTTCGCCAGCATCTGGGCCTGGCGCTCCGGGTCGCGGAAGACCTTGAAGACGAGCGGGTCGGTGTGTGTCTTGGCGCGGACGAGGTCGAAGTAGAAGGGCGCCAGCGCGCCGTAGATCTTGCCGTACTCCTGCCTAGCCAGACCGCGCACGCTCTTTGCGTTTTTGATGACCTGCAGTAGGGCCTCCGGGTCCGTCGACGGGTCCTGATGTGGCGCGTGTGTCGCTGTCGTCCCGCCGACCTTCATGGTCTCAAACCCATCCGCCACCTCCTTCAGTTGTTGCGCCCGCTCCTGTTCCGCCTCCTTCTGCCTCCTCTCCTCCTCCAGCCCCGCATCAAACAACAGACTCTGCCGATTGACCCCTCCCCCACCCGCACCCCCTGCCCCATCCCCCCCTCCCACTCCCACACTCCCACTCCCAACCCCAACACCCCCAGCACCCACCCCAGCCCCAGCCCCAGCCCCAGCACCCCCAGAACCCCCCCCTACGGGCGCAGCCCCCGAAGCAGCGCGCCTCCGCGCGAGCATGACCTCCTCAAACCGCCTGCGGGCGGCAGCCTCGTCCCAGCAGCCGAGGGCGCGCAGGCGGGCGACCCAGCGGGAGTCGTCGTAGACCATCTCGCGCATGCGGCGGGAGGCGCGGGCGAAGCGCAGCTGGTCGGCGACGGGGAGGTGGTCGAGGATGGCGGCGAGGATTTCTGTTTTTGTGGGGAGACGAGCTAATCAGTTGGGGGGTTCCATATGGGGAGGGTTATGGGAGGGGGGGTTGAGGGGAGAGGTGTGGGAAGGGGGGGGGGGGGTTGTAAACGGGGTTGAGGGGCGGTTGAAGGGGGTTGTTTGGGAGGGGGGCAGCATACCGGCTGGGAGGACGGGTTTGCTGTCTAGCATCTCGGTGGCTTGGAGGGTCTGGAGGATGCTCGTCCTCGGCGCGTGCCCGAGGCCGGGACCTCTTCGCGTTGGGGCGGACATGGCTGTTTGTTCGTGTTTGTAGTGTTATCGAGGGAATCCGGAATTTGGGCGGTTGAAACGTTGGTATTCGTGTATGTACAGGGCAAGTCGTTGTCTCGTTACGTCGTTATGCCATTGGTGAAAGGTGGGCTGCTAAAGAGCGGACGGGATGTTTGCAATGATCAGTAACGAGGTCCGCCGTATGATGGCGGCGGTGCCAAGTTCAAGCTTATGGGCTTGCGTCGGCATCCGCGATAGCACATTGGGCAGGGGATAATTACGCGGTACGGTAACTTTGAGCGTATCGTGACGTAAGTATTACCGCTTCTGCTTGCCTTACCCCTGTTTGCTCAACGACAACTTACACAGGACACCCTCGTCCACAACCAGCAGAGCAACAACCTCCTTAAGTGGGAATCCCCCCAAAATATGATCACTATTTATGGAAAGTCAAGATTATCATTACTCATTTATATTCATTTCTCATCCCAGTCAAATCTAACCACCCACACTCCCCCCTCTCCCTCTCCCATCACCTCCCCCCCCCTAATTCTCCACCTCCATCCGCCTCTCCACCGCATTGATAGTGAGCAACCGCCGAATCTCAGGATTCGCCGGCTCCGTTTCATCGCGCCTCTCCTTCGGATGCAGATGCCCAAACAAACAAGTCCACAAGTCATCCTTATCCACCGCCTCGCCGAGAATCCCGTCCTTGCCCATCAGCTTCGACAGGTGCGCCTGCTGCATCTCCAGCGCGTTGGCCTCGTCCAGCCTCGCGTCCAGCAGCTCGGGCGTCGACTCCTTGGACTTGCCCTTGGCGTTGCGGCCCATGTGCTCCATGCGCCGCTGCACCGACAGGTCGTGGATCGACTCCTCCACCGTGCCGTCGACGATGTACAGCCAGACCGTCGTCTCGTGCTGCTGGCCGATGCGGTCGACCCGCGCGATGGCCTGCAGCTCCAGCGCCGTGTTGAGCAGCGGCTCGCACAGGAAGACGTGGTTGGCGTTGACCAGGTTCAGCCCGCTGGCGTGCGCGCGCGCGTGCAGCAAGAAGACCTCCGTGCCGGGGTCCTCCTTGAACATGGTGATGCCGTGCGCCTTGTCGAACGAGGTGTAGCCGATGCGGTACCTCCGGAACGCCAGCGCGAGGACGTCCAGGAATTCCTTGTACTGGGAGAAGATGATGGACTTGGCGCCGGGGTCCGAGTCTCGCAGCCAGAGGAGATGCCGTGTCAGCATATCCACCTTGGTCGTGAAACTTGGGCCGTCCAGGTCGATGTTCTTGATCACGGCCAGCTGGTCGGCATTGAACTCGCTATAGATGGCCGACACCTTCTTGGAAGGAGTCGTTGGCGCCTCGTCTACCCCGTCGCCGCTCCCCTGCTGCCGCTCCGAATGCACCCTGAGCTCCTGTGGCTTTAGGGTGATGTCGTAAAGGTTGTACTGGTGGAGCTTTTTCTTGCACATGGGGCAGTTCCGGTGCGCCCGTAACCACAGCGTGATGCATTCTTTGCAAAACAGGTGGCCACAGACTGTCAAGACGCCAACCTCAAAGCTTGACTGACAGATGATGCATATCCGCTGCTCTCCCGAGTTTGACTCGGCGTCCTTGAGGAAGACAACTACCTGTTGTCAGCAATATCCCGCCGTTTCCCACCTCTGGAAGTACTTACGGTAGCGGTGCTTGGCCTTGGCCGCATCGAGATGCTCCTCCAGCTTCGCTTCTTGCATTTCGGACTCGATCAAGGCAGCATTAAGTGCATCAGCCTCCAATGAGCCTTCGTATTCGGCAACTGTGTCCGAGACCTCCTGCAGCTGTCGGTAGTACTCGATCCGAGCATTGAGGGTGTCCATAAAACGCTCGATTTCCTTTTCCATGGCCGTAGCAGCCTTGGCTTGTTCCTTCTGCTGGCTGTTTGTCGACTTCAGCAGCGCCGAGACGACGGCCAGCTCCCTCGCGGCCCTGGAAGATTCCGTCGCTGCGTCGTGCTGGAGCTTGGTCGACAGAGTGCGCAGCTCCGAGACCAACCCGCGTAGCGAGGTGAAAGGGTCCCCTTCGACAAACTGTGGCTTAGTCCCCTCGCAAACCCGTAATAGCTCAAGGAACCTTTCGGGGAACGGGCCTTCTCCTGCGTCTGCCCTCCGAACCGCCGTCTTCGTCTCATGCTCCACCAGAAAGTTCTTTTGGCCCGTGATTGAGGAATTCCTGTACGCAAGTGCCGTCCGTAATATTTGGAGGTAGACCAGGATTTCATCCTGTAGCTTAGTCGACTGGTCGTATTCTTCACCAGTGATCTCGTCATTTTCCTCGTCAACCAAGGGCTTGAGAAGGAGTTGAATAACGTGTTCGCGCCAGTCATCAATCTCGGCGGCTTGCTCATCCAATCCCACGTAGAGCTCTTCTAGGGCATCAGCAACCCTTCGACTCTCGATGCCGTTTTTGTCGACAGACTTGAAGGCTGGAACAACCGCGAAGGCTTGGTCTTCCGCGGCTTTCATAAGCCGGTCCATTAGCTTCGCGGCTTTGCCGTGACTCTGTGATACCGTTAGCTAAGTCCTGGGTCGGGAACCTCGTTGTTACCGGGCAGAAATGCGACCTACCTCCTGAAGGATCTCTCTCCGGATGTCCTTTGCACGATCATACGCCTCAACCTCCAGCTTTTCCAAACGTTTAAACTCCGCCGAGTCGGGCGCCGTCGTCTCCTCGTTCGTCTTCATGGAGAAATACGCATTTGCGCAGAAGAACACTGCTCTGTGCTGAATCTCGAGCACCAACCGCAACCGGCGTCTGGCTTCTCCCACTCGCGGCGGCACAGCATCCTCACGATCGTCTCCCCCGCCGTCTCCCTCGCTATCCTCATTCAATTTTGCTCGACGAGCTTCTTGTATTTCTTGCTCCAACTGAGCCCGACTTTCATCCACCAATTCCGAGCACTTCGCTGCAGCTGCTCGCCAAACGCCGAGTGCATCTTGCTCCCGTTTTTGGCAAGCGAGGATTTGACCCTTCAGCAGCTGGGCAGAGAGAAAAGCGCGCTGGTCCGTCCTGACCGCGTTGTCCGTTTGTTCGAGCATAGCGTCGAGAACTTCTGAAACGGTTCTCATGGGGCCAGCTTTCTGCCCGAGGGCACGACGATTTCGGTTTCCAACTTCGGGGTGGAGAACGGTCTGACGGAGCCGGTCGAGAGCTACACGCATTGAACGCTGCACCTCGGCGTCATCCGGATTCCAATCGTCCTGCAGAGGGTTCCCTCGGGCGTCTAGGCCGCATGTCCCAGCGAGCTCCTCAAAAAGACTCTGGTAATGCTGTTCTTCAACGGCGGTGAACGGCATCGTGATGACGTAACGCTTTTGCGGCGGGATGTCAATTTCATTTCTCACAAGGCTCTTGCTGTGACGCATAGATATCGTGTTGAAAACTTTTCGGAAAGACTCCTTGTCGAAGGTGGTGAGGAAATTCCAAGTCTTGGTGTCCGACGCGTACGGTTCGTGGCGCAAAAAGAGCAGCAGGCCGCGAAGATCTACGGGCCCCAAAGTCAGTTTATTTCACCGAAAACATGGAAGCGTTATTGTTACCTTTCTGGACGTCGTCTTTGACCGGTGTACCCGTGACGCCCCAGGCATTAATACGGGGGATCTTCCTCGCGAGCTTTGCCGCGTTGTTCGTCCAGTTCTCAACCATTTGAGCTTCGTCAATACATACCCGCCACCACGAAAGCCGGACGAGTGGGGACTTGACCCGTTCGTATTGCTGCTCGTTGCGCATGGAACGGGTCGGCTCGTCCGAGGCTGCCCATATTTCCTTCCTGAGAACCTCATAAGTGGTAACTACCACATCTTGCTCGGCCAGTCTCTCAGCAGACAGTTCATTTTCATCCTGTAGCTGGGCCAGGCGTTTGATACCGGGATAAAACATGACCTTGAGGGCCGGGGCATGGCGGTTGAGCTCGGAAAGCCATTGATCAAGGAGAGAGGAGGGGGCGACGATCAGGGTCGCAGAGGTAGCAAGGAGCTCCCGTTCCAGAAAATAATCAAAAACCATGACAGGGGCTTCGGGGCGCCGATGCAGAAGTATCAGTGCGATCATCTCCAATGTTTTCCCGAGCCCCATTTCCTCGGCAAGAATGCCGCCGCGGAGATCTTGGGACGGCCGGAAGAGAGATGTGTCTCTGGTGGCAGCACCAAGTAGAGCGCTGATATATATGGTGTTGCCGTCGGCATCTTTGGCTCCGGCAAAAGAAATCGGAAAAGCCCGTGATGCGGGCAAAATGTAAGGCTGGATGCTGGATTGCTTGCTTGGGTCGTCTCGGTGCCAATGGACACCCTCCCGTCGCAGGAGCCATTGGACAGCCCTGCGCTGGAAGGGGTACAAGACAGCCTCCAGCCCTGTGATTTCCATCGACGAGACCTCCGCATCTAGCTCCTCTTTGCTGGGAACACATGCCGCCTCATAGAAATCTTGAGGGGACCATGATTGTGGCTTGCTGCTGGCCTTGTGCAGTTCTGGGTACCAAGTACCGAGGACTTCGTCTCGCAAAGTCTGCTGTAAATTCGACTTTGACCGTTCGCTTCCCCATATCGTTAATCTCTCGTTCCACCTCACTTCTGTTGACAGACGCAGCTGGATCGACTCCCCGGCCTGCCGCACAGAGATATCCACGCCAGCCCAGAGGCAGCCCTCCTCACTAGGGTTGAACGCATGGACTTCCGCCACATGCAAAGCGGTCCTCAACCGCTGTGTGACCGTCGCGTCATCCAAAGGGAGCGTCAGCGCAAAGCCACGCCCGCGATAGCTGGTCCGGGGCTTGAGGTTCAATTGCCAGCTGTCGGGATTCGGGATTTCGGACTCCAACTCCACCCTGCAAAGCCGGACATCAACAAGCTGTCCCACATCCGTGCGTGTGATAGTTGAGCTTTCCTGGGATGAGGTGATGTCACCGCGAGTGACTGAGAGACGCTCCCGGGCAATGCATATCGAATCGACAGCTCTGCCTGTCTTGGCACGCTTCGTAGGACGAGACGGCGGTTCCTGGCCCGGTGGTGGAATCGATCGGATGCATTCCATGAAGGCCGCAACGTGATCGGATTCAGTCATTGCGGCGTCTGGTGGCACTCGAGACCTTGATCTCCCGTTTGCTTTGGCACGAGGCATTGTGTCTAGTAAATTCAAGCCGGTTTTGTTTTTGTAGTGAACGGCGGCGGCTATAGCGGCCGTCAAAAAAAAAGAGGAGGAAGAAAAGAAGAAATCACTTGGATTGGCAAAGAGCGAGAACCGAGGAGATGGATATATATCTAGATTTCGAAAACTAGCGCGGTACTCTCGATAATTGGTGATGCAAATGGTTTTGATGACATTGGTTTTGCTGGTGGGGACGAGAGAGGGAGGAGATGCACAGACGGGATTTCGGATGTAAAGTGGAAGTATGATAGAGTGAGGCCCTCACGCAGGAGGTGAAGGAGAGGTAGGAAGTCCAAGTCACGGGCATGGTGCAGCTAACACCACCGTCCACCCATACCCCAACCCATGCCGTTGGCGACTGGAGCCTGGGGCATGCGAACATTGATTGGCTGAAGAACTTGGGGCCTGAGCTTGGCTGGCCCCCACGGAGCTCGGAAACGCCTTGATCGGATGGACCCGCGGACGCTGGGACCTCTTCGCGGCCCCGGCGCTGGAATTTCCGAGGCTGCGAAAACTTTACACTTTGTCAGCTCGTTTTGGACGTGTGAACAAGGTGTTCGAGGTGCTCTAGTCGTCTTGACCTGGTATGACCTGCGACTCCCGTTAGTTCCAAGAGTCACTTCTTCGATAGGTAGGTTTGGTACAGCCGCCGCACTCTCGTCTCTCTCCGTCGTCCACACCCAATTGGCCGCCCAACACCGACAACCGCTAACCCCCCCCCCCGCAGCACGGATGAAGTCCCTACGGGTGCAGTCCGCTCTCGGGCTCCTCCTTCGGCCTTGCGCCGCTCCGACGGTCGCCGTTCCCGGGCTCAGGGCACAAGCACGATGGGCACATAAGCCCGCACAACAATCCGAGATCCCCCAGATCCCAGCGCCGATCCCCTTCGTCCCGGATGTCGAAACCTTTCTCACTGTAATCGGCCGCGGTCTCAAACAACACGCCTCCAAGTTCCCCACGTGGGATGCACTCTTCACTCTGACGTCGGACCAGCTCAGAGAACTCGGCGTCGAGCCGCCACGTACGAGGCGGTACCTGCTAAGGTGGCGGCAGCGGTTTAGGGAGGGCAAGTTCGGTATTGGCGGCGACATTAAGCACATCGAGAACGGCTCTGCGGAGCTGAGGATTCAGGAGGAGGACAAAACCCCGCTGCTTCGCATACGGCGTGTTGTCAACGTACCCCCCGGGAAGAAGGTTGATGAGCTGTCCCCATCCGAGATGGTTCGGGTGGGCGGCTTCAAGGTCGACGGGGTCCGCACCATCGTCGGCCCGTATGCGCTGCCCATGAAGTACGGCGGCGCGCGTCTCTCGATAACGGAGGGCATGTGGGAGGACAGGAGGGGACACAAGGTGGATGGTGGTGAGCGGAGACAGGCCGAGATCCGCTTCAAGAGGCGTGTAGCAGAGCGGAAGGCGTTGCGGGAATCACAGGGCTTCTATTAGCGGCCACACCACGGTTGGGTTGGTTGACAGGCGCATCAGGCGCGCCATGTTAGATAGCTGTGAGTTGCACCAGCGGCGCACCTCGTGTAGAACCTGTACAATAGGTAATGGATTTGGCGTCTAAATCTCAACCAAGCTTGTACTGTGTATGGCCCTGTATAGGTGCCAACGTCGGTTAATTCTCTCGATCGTACCAATCACAACTTCTTCTAAGCGAATCGGGCCTTTAAGGCAGGCGAAGGTCGCACCATCGGATATTTTGATGTCAAATGTTGCACAAAGTCCGCGCGTGTTGGTCTCTTCGACATCCCAAGCACCCCGCCATCTGGGCTCTTCTGCTGCCACCTTCCGAATGTGTGGCGTTCCGTCCGTCAGCCGCCAAGTTTACCCAGGACTGCGTTGTCAGCGTTGACTAAGGGCGACCGGACTTAAGCGGAGGTTCTTTGCTAACGCCAAAGATCAGTGTCAAAAAGCATGCTTCACCCCAAGTTCTCAAAGTTTGAAACCGCAACTTTTCGTCCACTTTTGCGGCACAGAAACACTTCAGACGAATCGACGAGTGTCGTTTCATGTTTTGAAACAACGATTTGCGGCACTGGCAAACACAATGCGCTGCTGAAGAATCCTTGGCCGCCAAAAGAGGGCGGAGCAGCGCCTGCGAGCATCCCACGAGCAGGCAACAGCGAAAAGCACCTATGGGGCCAAAACAGACCTTGATTTTACGTGGAAGACCCCATTGCACCGCCATTGTCCACAAGAAGCAGCCGGATACTTAAGTCTCTGGTGTCGCAGCCTGGGACAACAATCACCGCCAACCTCGGTCACGCACCGCCGCCTTGGGTTTCTCGACACCTCTTGCGATGGATGTTCACTAATCAGCAGTACCACGCCCTGGTGATCTGGCCGCCCCCGGCTGCCTCGGATTGAAATGGCGGAACCACACGAAACACCCCCGACGTTCCGCATTTGCTCGGCCCCAAGCACAGCACCGCCAATTTCGACTCAAGCCCCAAGGACCGCTCCGGTTGTGGGCGAGCAATGCCTTTGGCTGGTTGTTGACTGGTTGTTGACTGGTTGTGGCGCTGACACCATGCATGGTGCACCCAAAATCCAGTGGCTCATTGGCGGGTTTTGAGAAAAGGCCACCGAGCCAAGGCAACGATCTCTGGTGGATCAAAAACGGCATGCAGTTCGAATACGATTGACCTTGACCGCTTTGAGCGCCCTTTGCAGGACAACCACTTTGGGTGGCATTTGGGTCGGCTGGCATGGGGTTCTGTTATCAAACTGGTACCGGAGCGACACAGACGGCACTCTCTTTGGAACCTCAACGGCGCAGCGCCTCTTGGCAGATTTCGAGCCTCGGCTGGAGGTTCGGTCAAAACCGACGGCACCGACTAGGCTATTTTGGATGGGGGATGGTAGGGACACGGGCCTTATCGCGACGACCGGGGGGAGGGAAGGCCAGACGACCGAAGTCGGGTCAAAGATCGCCCGGACGATCAGCAACTGCGACATCGAAACTTGCTGAGAAAGGGAGTGCGACGTCGTGCTATTTTCATCGCCAAAAGAGTCGAGGACGGAGAATTCGGAGGATCCCCTTGTTCTCGGCCGGTGGAAAAGGAAGCACATTTGCACCGACCGCCTTGCGCCTCGCGGTGTAAAATCGGGACAAGAGGAGACATCGGGCAGTCTCGGCGGCTCGAGTTGTGATGGCGCATTCCGCGGCAGCCGACGGGAAAGCTCACGCGGAAAGGCTCACTATCTTGCCAAGGGAATCCGCCATCTTGGTGGATGATGTCCGACTGGGCCACCGACAAGCAGTATGGGGGACTCAACAGGATTTCGGGATGCAGGCGAACGGCAAAGATCTTCCCCGATGCTTCGACAGTGCTAAAGATAAACTGCGGCTGAAGATTTCCATCAGTTGACAAACTCCAAGCCAGGATGGGCAGTGCCGGGGGTGAACCGGATCGCATTGTGGGGAGGGGAGCGGGGGGAAAGCGACGGGCGTCCATGGGTACTGTTGCGAAGCGGCGTGCGTTTTGCGCCCCCGGGAAGCCAGCCGCCACAACCGTGAACCGTTGCATCGCTCACTTCGCGCCTCACGCCTCGCGCCTCACGCCTCACGCCTCATGCTTGGCAAGGCAGATTTCAGCCCACCCGGTCGAAATCGGCCTTTCGATCATTCCATCACGGCCCCGGCTGTGGAACGGCAATTGGGAGGGTGGGTAACTTTCATGATGTGATTTCCTTTCCGATGAACAACTGACCTCTCGACGCCCTCTACCAATCCCTCGCCCAAGGTAAGAAAAGGGCTCAGCAGCGTCTGATTCGGTAAACAACGAATGCTCCTCTTGCACGGGGCAGCCCCCCCTTCTCCTCCCCCCTCATGATTAGCACTGGACTTTCGCTGCCAGTTGTCCTTGAAAACGTTTACAACCTGGTATGGGTTTGTCTTCGTTCAACAGGACGTTCATCCCAACCATCCCAACCATGCCACCCATGACCTTGCAAAACGGGGCGCACCAGACCCACAACGCGTGAAGTTACCTAAATTTAGACTCGGCGTCGCTGAAAGGGTGAGTGAGCGTTGTTCCGTTTCAGAGCAACCAAGCTTTCCGCCGCTAAAACGCCACCAAGATTATCGCGCGACCTCTGGGGTTCTTTCCCATGAGGATCATGGCAGTGAGTAATCGAATTGATGATCATGAAGCAATTGATGGCCTCTTTTCATGTCGAACATTAGTATAGTAAATAGAAATGCCAATTTTGACGAGGTACCTTTCGGGATAATGTACACACGTTAGTGCATATTCGTAGAATCAGGCTTGTTCTCATATCTGCTCATGCATCAATATGCAAGTTGTAGTTGAGAGAGGTTGAAATGTTCATCATGGCCTCAAAACAAGCCAAACTGGATATGGTCACGACTTCACCCTCCAAACAGCCAATGGGCTGCCCGGGAGTATTTAGCAGCCAGTCGGCGTCATGCCTTTCGAAAGCGTGGAGTCCGCGCGGGATATTTCGCACATCATCACTCCAAACTGTTTGTGGCTTGCCGGTCATTCCCTCGGCCTCCCGCGGTCGCTGAAGTTGGTGCGATCAAGCGACGGTGATCCCCGCTATCACCGAGGTAGAAATCCGTCACGACAGTAAAAGCGGACACTCACATGGGAGCCATGCCCCGAGCATTGGATTTATCGCGCGGCGCTGTAACGTCGATGAATCATAAGGGCTAATTCAGGAACAGAGAGCTCTCGTCGCACGCAGGGCAGCGAACCCCATTGGTGACGGATCTTCGAGCTGAAATACAACATCGACAAACTCCGGCCAGGTCACGGCATTGGGTCGGACGGACCATGTCGTCGGGCCCAGTGTTTAAAAATAAAAATAACCTCTCCGAGTGGGCCAGTTGCGGATCCTGGAGAAATCTTGGGACAGAGATCGTCGTCCCGAATGTGGGCACCAATGCCCAAGGGTCCCAGTTGTCTCAGCGTTTTGACTTTGGACGGGTGTGGCAGTGCACGAAGCTTATTCCCCAGACCAATATGACGGGTAGCAGCAGCACAGACCGGCCACGGCCAGTGGCAGATTAGCGGCATTCAATGACACGAGCTAGGTGCCGTTTCAAGCTTGCCGACAGACACTCAATGGACATCAAGTTATTTTCGATCTTGAACCGGGGTTGATTGCAGGGGGAAATCTGGAACTTTTCCAGAAGTTGGGCCACAGATACAGATGATCCCAGCAGTCCCACACGGAAACGTGCTGGAGTGTGCACGAATGAGACGAACTGTTGCTTCCATGTTGCTGTGAGACAGCGTGTAACCCCCGCGTCAACAAACCCACCCGAGATCGGCTGGCCTTGGGGGCGGGCCTTTCCATACGTCGCACAGTAAGGGTTTTGGCGACACTGAATTAGGGAAGGAGAGCGCAGGAACCACGAAGATGCAATACTCAAAGAGTCACGCCAGAGCACAGCGTCGCAGCGTCGCTCGAGAGACAAACCCGATTGGCCGCTGCTCGATATAGAACTCGGAAAAAAGTTAAGGTTCTCAGCTCTCGATCCTTCGACTGGGAGGTCTTGAAGATGAGGCTTTTGAGACCCGCCTGAACAAGTGGAACACAAACACACAATGCGTGCCCCGATCGGCCGGACGATTGGGCCGAGGGGGTGATGGCGTTCGCTTAGCATCGTGCCTCTGTCTTGTCGATGCGTTCCAGCGCTGTCACATCGATGCGGAATTGCGCATGGCAAGAGGAGCAAAGCGGAATGGGAGAAGACAGTGCACACAACAGGGACCCAGGCAGGACCCGCTTTGGGCCCCACAAGCCGACAAGGGCAGACGAGCCAAAAGTTCCCTCTAAACCCAAACGGTATAGCATCTCCACTTGTCAAGTAAACGTTGGGCGGCCATTGGCTGCCTCTACACAGGCCAAATCTTGCAACAGTCCTTCCATTTTCACTGACATGAGATGGAACAGCAAGAAACTGCCCGCAACGGGAAAGATGCACGCAGCTCAATTCCGTACCAAAGGCTCTTCTCCCAGACCGAGGGAAGCAACAACCATGGGTAACACAAAATCATGCAAGAGTCACCGGCTCCATTTCCCTCCCGACTGCACCGCTGACAGACCCTCACCTTCGAGATTCAGCCCTACACCTTGAGATTCCGCGCCGTTCCCCAGGTTGGCCACCGAGATCGCGGCGCATTCAGACCATGCCTTACCGGGACAAACTTGTTCTTCCTTCTCCACCAATGCGCCGCACCTCTGGCCGCACCCATGCTTGAGGTTACATGCTCGTCAAAGCCAGAAGCTTGCTGTCCAAGAGGCCCTCGTGGGTGGGCTTTCCAAGTGGAGAGGAGTGACCATCTTTGCAACGACTAACCCGACTTCGCATTTTTTATCTTATTTTTATCCGTTTGGATCTTCCCCAATTGATGATTGTCCAAACGGCTCAGGCGACCTGGCAGTGAGTTGCTTGGCTCGGGTTGTGCGGACCGGGATGGTCGTATTCCTCGCTTGAGGTGAAGCCGAAAAACGCGTCCCGACACAGTGCTCAGCTGCTCACTACTTCTTGGTTACCTAATCTTGCTGTCGATCCAAACGTTGGCCGTGACACACACACACTTGTGAGGAGGAGAGGCAAAGTCACATCGAAAATGAGGCTGGGCTCGCCCTACGAATTGCAGCTGCCGTGCCTCTGCCAATCCGCGTGCGCATGCACTCGCATGCCGTGCCGAGCGTGAGGCACATCTGGGGGTAAGCCCACCATCGACAAGCTGGGAGCAGTTGACCAGGGGGGGGGAGAGAAGGGGGGGGTCTCATGAAGCTGTGGAGTGTGGGGGGGGGGGGAGGGAATCACTTTCATCTCCCACTCACACTCAGCAAGCACCCCCCTCCCCTCCCCCCGGGCGGATGAACGCATCGTCGACGATAGCCGTCGAACCGTCATCCCTGCTCCCGCCCGCCATGGGTCAATGACGGGTGCGCCGCATGCGTGCCCTCCTCCCCACCCACTTAGCCCTGCCCCCTGTCACTCCCCTTGAGGCCTCGGGACGGGGGTGTTCTCGACTGGACACTCCACCACGTAGTGCAACTCTCTTCCACACTACCCGTAGGGCCAGCGACTTGAACCACCCCGGACCAGGCCGCTCCACTAACAGGTCCTGCATGCCTCGTCCCCCCCCCTCCCCCCCTTCACCGGCACCGAGTCCAGCCCTCCCGATTCGGGATTGCCCGTCTTATATCACGGCGTGGAGCGCGTCATCCTTCCCTTGACTCCCCGACTTGTCTCTCATCCGTACTACGCCAACGCCGCAAATAACGGTCTTCTAGCTCTGGACCAGCATCTCCAACGCTAAGCCCCTTGTCAGTTCCATCTTTGGTAAACTGTCGTTCGGCCGACTCCTCCACGACAAGGCAGCCTCTCAACGGTGACCGCCTCTCGTCCACGTTCAGACGTTTATATAAGTGATCGAAGCATCCCGAGTGGACGCCACTTGAATCCGAAAGCAGAATCAAGCTCGAACATCGTTTCCCAAATCGGAAACCACGAGATCTTGAATCATACAAGAAGCAGAGCACCGTCCCGGCCTGTGAGCCTCTTTCCCCTTTTCTTCTTTTTGAGATGTCCTCGTACCAACCCCTTGAAGATCAAGACTACATAGAAGTCCACCACCCATACGACTCATTCGACGAGTGGGACGACACTGGGTCGCGGAGCAGTCACTCCACACCGAGACAAAGCACCTACCCTCCTCCGCCTTCCCTCTCAGGGAAGAGTCGAAGCAGCAAGAAGGGCAGCAGATCAACCACGACCGGCCAGTCAGGCTCCGACACAGAGAAAGAACCATCATCCAAGATGTCTTCAAGATCATCCAGGCACTCATCATCCTCCATCTCGAAGCGGGACAAGCCCTCGTCCAAGACGAAGAAGACGGACGACTGGACTGAGGTAACCGAGCCCGATGAGAGGCGGCGCATCCAAAACCGCATCGCCCAGCGCAAGTTCAGTACGTCCGAGCCTCGAACACCACACACCCACCCAAAACGCAACGAAATCTAACCCTCACCCCCTTTTTAACAGGAGAGAAAGCGCGCGAGCAAAAAGACCGGGCGGCGCGCGACGCACAGAACCAGCAGTACGCCGGGTCAGCATACCACATCCCAGACGCCGAGGACCTCACCTTCGAGGACGGTGGCGACCTGTCAGGCCTTCCATGGGGCGGGCTCAACATGCGGCACGTCGTAGCGCGCGGGCACGCCTCGGCCAGCACCGGGCAGCACACCCACAGCCACAGCGGCCACACGGGCGGCAGCAGCAGCAGCGTGATCCACGCCGCCACGGGCAGCAGCACGCCGGGCCCGGGCCCCGCCGTCGACCACTCCTCCCTCTACCACCACATGAGCCCCTACGCCAGCTACGCGCCACACCCCGCGGCGGCGGCGGCGGCGGCGGCAGCTGCGGCCGCTGCCGCCCACGGGCACGGCGCCATGGTCGACGCCACCGGCGAGGTCTACCACGGCTACGACTCGCCCTACGCCGGGGCCTACTACGACTTCGACCCTTCGGGGGCGGACCAGGGGCACATGTGAAATCATCACATCCATCACCATTGCCGATCCGATGGGTACGTTTTTGCTCATCATCCAACCCTTTCACTCAAACCCCCCCTTTTCCCTTCCACCTCTTCTTCCCCCCCCTCCCTTGCACGGGGATGCCGCCTCTCGGTTTTTGGCACTGTCTGGAGATGGCCGACTCACAAAAACGCTTCTGGGGAAAGATGGACTGACGAATTAGCGTGCAGCTGAACGGTGCCGATCGCGAACGGAAACAAGCAGCAGCAGCAGCACATGGGCATGGCCTGAAGGGGGTCCCGAGACAACGACGGAGCCAGCCCCATTCGCCCATCCCGTCGTGTCTCAGTCTCGGAGAGGGAATGATTCTCTCTCCCCTCCCTCGTGGCCGCCGTTGCCGTTGACGTCTGGGTCTTGTTTTCTTTGTGTGCACGTCTTCCTTTTTTTTTTTACTCTTTGACGGCGTTGGTTTTTTGGTCTTTGGGCTTTGGTTGGTTGGGAAGCGAGGTTGGTGTGGCTGTGAAAAGGTACTGCTGCTGCTGCACACTTTGCGAGACTTTGGGACTTGGCATAGACCCCTGTTCTTCTTTGGGATTGGTTTTTGGGTTTGGGTTTCCTTCCTTCGCTTCTTTTGCTGTTCATATTACCCTCCCACCTCTTCTTCACCTCTCATTCTTTCACTTCTGCATATACCCCACGGTTAGAGAAGCAGTTTTCCTCTCTTTTGTTACACTTTTTTTTTTTTAACAGGTTCGGGCTGGTTGGTGGCATACAGGTGGTGGTTGGATGGGTTTTTGGGGAATGGAGGCATTTTGGTTACGCTGTTTTTTGTTAGCTGTTCTGCAGTCTCATGATGATGGTTTACGAATAGAGTTTTTGCACTTCCCTCTCATCTTCAGCCTCACCTCCGAAGTTCTTCGCAGTTGTTCTCTCACCTCATATTAATAATCACGCCCTTTGTCGGAACATGTTGCAGTGCAGGCTGGGGGGCCTAATCGGGGAGGCTTGGCACTGGTCCCCTTCTCAGAACCCAGCGCTCTGGTTCACGGATTTGCGAGATATGCGAGGTGGTTACGCAACGTCGTTGATCAGGCTACCACGAAGTGTATCCTTCAACCTACGTTTTGGGCATACGTAGGCTCCATGACTTGCGCAAGCAACACGACAGAGTACGACGACTCCCATCGCATCGCTCGCTCTCTCTCTCTCCAAGAATAAGTGCCGCACGAAGTGCCGCGCTGCGAATGACCAAGGCAGGAAGTGCCGGCCTCGGAGTCGGGTCAATTCGACCCCAGAATGACAGCTCAAGTCTCATGCGCATGGGTCCACGCACCCGCATGCGCCGCGTCGTGTGCCGCGCGCGTGCGTCTCTAACCACGCGAGAAAACGTGACACCCCGTCCCATTTCTTTTGACGTAGTATTCCGCAGTTTATTCCCGGCCGCTGCTGCTGCGCTCGCGCAAGGAACAAAAAGGAGAGGCGATCTGAAAATGTGTGTGTGTCTTGTAATCCCGGCTGCTGGACAGGGGGGGCTGTGGAAGATTGTCGAAGGGTCACACAGCCACCGCCGCCCGTCTTCCATTTCTGTGCCTCCATTAATGTGTCTCCAGCTGTCTCGTGGAGTGTTGACCGTGCGGGCTTGGTAGCGAAGCGTTGCGGCAGACTACTGCACGGTCGGTTGGATCGGCGGGGGATGGTCCCGGGCAGAGTCCGATGGTCGCCCACAGCTTCTCGGTCACAGATTCGGCGCACCCTAAATCGAATACTGCCTGGTGGTAGCGGCCAGCGGTCCTACATTCATGATTGTGGTCGGTGATTCCCGTTTGCCTCGGCAGGCGTTCAGGAGATCTGCTGAAGGGGTTGCAGTTACTCCCCGGAGGCGGGGCAGTTGGACTGCCGACGGGTTTCGTCCGGGCCAGAATTGGGACCTGGATAGATCGACGTCTCTACCCAGATACGCGAACGCCCAGTAAGCGGACCTCGAAGCCACGTCTTTTGCACTCAAAGAGGACAACTTGAGGCCGCAGCTGGCCATCCCATGCGGTGGAACAGGGCTTTCGAGAATGAAGAATGTTTACCCACCCATCTATTGATTTTTTGTCGTGTTAGTATGGTTGGTAAGTAAGACATTGCGGGCTCGCCAGCTGAGTTCTTGCCGCTTTGCGGGTCCCTCATACTCAGCACCGTTGAAGTTTCGGGGAGCGCCAACTGTGGATTCCGGTTCGAGCAGCTGAACCTGGAACCAGAAGAAGCATATTTCTCCGTCCGCCGAAAGGCAAGGATCTCCTCTTCATCGTCCGCCTCAACGGGTCGGAACCAAAATGTGAGGTGGCCCTTGCTTGCCCATCTCGAGCCCATCCAATCCCGAACGCAGCTACTTGTGGCATGATGTCTCAGTAGAGCCTCTTTCCTTTCAACATCCGGTTCCACAAGCATGTACGCCCCGAATTGCTCGCCGATGAACTGTTGCACGACGTCCGCAACCATTATTGAAAGATAATGAGAGCGCCCGGTGAAGGCCGATGCCTCGGCTCGCTCGAGTCGGCCGCTCGTCCGGTTTTGTTGCCGCCACAGCCATGCAGAGATTGTCGAGCCACGCCGTTTCCTCTGTGGTTTCAATTCGCTCTCGATACCCCACCCCTGGCCATGTGGCGGTTGAGCTGCAGCTTTCCCCTGTTGAATGACACCCGATCGATGGCCAAGGGCGGCTCCTGCATGTGGCGAGGAGGAGGAACAACATCTCCGCTGCATTTCGCCTGTTGCGGGTTAGACTCTGATGCAATGCAGGTCGTGTCGTGCCGGGCCACTCACTAACTATCAACCGTTACAATCGCTGCCGAACCGACGCAGGGGGGGGCATGAGGTGATATCCAGGTCGCCGATAACCAGGCCATCTAGAAGCCCGAAAGGTTCTCGGGGACCATGTGTTCACCGGGGATACACGAGGGCGATGCGGGGGATCCTGCACGTCCATCGACAATCCCCCTGGAAGGAGGGGCGATACCCATGAGATCCCCACGAGGGCTTTGTTTCGGTATCCCGAGACTCCCTGCGGCTCGGACATCTGAACCACCCCCGTGAAGTCATATGGTTTTCGTGCCGTGCTCCCGACTCTTGCACGAAACCCCACCCCCCGAGACACAGGAATACGAGAACTTGGCTATCAGTAGTCTGCCACCGTGGGGGTGGCGAGCAAGTGGACTCGGGGGGTTTCGGTGTTGGGCGACAAGAGCTGAGTTGGCGAACCTTCGACCATCCGGCGGGTTGCTAGACACACACGTGCTCCGGGCCTGCAAGTACATACATACACACATGGGTATGCTAATGGACATACCTGATACCGGTACTTCATGACAAATAATACCGAGCAGCAACCAAAGGCCACGAGTAGAAGAACAACGTGGGCGCGGGGGGGGGGGGGGGGGGGGGGGGGGGTTCCCTTCGAGGGGCTGCCATCGGGACTAGGTTGCTCTCCTCGGACCGTGTTCGCCACTGTTTTTCGCGGGGCCCGAATTCCTTACATTCAGATGTCGCCGACCGAAAATACCCTTGACATTGTGCCGAACCTGCAGTCGACATATGCCACTAGTGTGAGTCCTGAATCGTTTCTTGTGCCCCACGCAACTAATCATGACTCCAATCCCGACCGTCGAGCTTGTGTAGAGTCGAAATGGATGAGACTGATTGTCGTCGGACTGCAGTGGACTCCCACTTAAACGGTGATAGAGTGCTTTCCAGTTGGGTTGCATACTGTTTGTTGGTTCCCTCGGCCGTTGTACCCGCGGCGGATGTCAGAACTTTAAAATCTTCCATTCATGATCATATCGAGAAGGTGTCATCCTCGCGGCCCCCAATCCTTTCCAGTTTGTGGGAGATGGGATGAGTTGGGGTCCAAGATCTGAGGTGGGTCTGCAGTCCGTGCGCCTGTTTCTGTCAAAAATGGGTCCCCACATTCATCTCATACCCCACGTTTTATTTACAGTGGGGCTCTCTGAAACAGAAAGCTCAGAGCCAGATGAGATGCCAAGCCAGTTTCGGACCCCAATTGGAGCTTCCAGCGCTAACGTGAACGTGTTCCATACCACGTAATCAACAGACGGTGACGGGAAGCACATGCTAAACGGTTCGTGACCTGCCTCGACAGACCACCATCCATGACATTATAGACCTATGACGCTAATTTATCAAGCGAAGCTACCGTAGAGCATAATCATGGCGCTGGGACGCCAATTGAGATTTATGCTTGGCTTTTGCTGGCTCAATGCCTTCCTCACCGGATTGTTAGGCATCGCAACATTTGCATCCGCGAGCACGACCGACGACGGCGAATCCATCCTGCACAGCGAAGTCGGCCGCCAAAATAATCAGAGCTTGCTATGGGGCCCCTACCGACCAAACCTCTACTTCGGGGTGCGCCCCAGGATACCCAAGAGCTTGATGACGGGCTTGATGTGGGGCAAGATCGAGACATACACCGACTTTCAGAACAGTTGGTTCATCCCAATTTTTGCACTGCCCTCTTTATATTTCTGAGCTGACTGGGTCCTGGTTACAGCGATACGGTACACTTGCGAACAAAATGAGGGCATGAAGGGCTATGGCTGGGAGGAGTACGACCCTAGACGGGGCGGCATCCAGACCATCCACGACATCCAAAACGGCCTCGACCTCACCACGTCTTTCATCAAGGTTCCTGGCGGTGCACACGGTGGCAGCTGGGCGGCGCGTATTAAGGGTGTGCTCAACGACGATGCCCCCAAGGACCAGAAGACGATTCTGGCGTATTACGTCACCCAAGAGGGGACCGACTCGGAGCTCCAGGCTTTGGAGAGCGAGGATGAGAAGGGTTACGAAGGCGATGTTACATTGAAGGGGCGGTCAGAGTCGCTGGGGAACTACAAGCTTGTCGTCACCAAAGGCGAGGGGGTCCAGCCCAAGAGCGACCATGACATCTCGAGCATCCGAGGACCGGGCCAGACCGTGGTCCAGTCGCTGACCTACCCGGAGGAGCAGATGTGGCAGGCGAAGCCGATTCTGTTCAGACAGCTCAAGGAGGGCATCGACTGGTTGGTGGAGAACAAGTACGATGTCCAGGACCCCCCACCACCGTGGCAGGTGTACCTGCTCAGCAACCGACCCGGCAGTGGAAACGTCCACATCGTACAAAGGGTCTTTGAGGGAGACTTTGAGTTTGACGTCATCTTCTCGAGCGAGTCAGCCGGCAAGGAGCTCACGAGTGCCGATTTGTCGAGGGAGATCAAGGAGACCACTGAATCCTTTGGCGACCGCTTCTCGGGCGTGTTTGCCCCGAAGGCGCCGTTCAATGCGGACAAGTTTAAGAAGTTTGGCCGCAGCATGTTTTCCAACCTGATCGGAGGCATTGGCTATTTTTACGGCGAGTCCGTGGTGGACCGCTCTCACGCGCCCGAGTACGACGAGGAGAACGAAGGCTTCTGGGAGGAAACAGCCGAGGCGCGGGCCCGCAACCAACAGACATTGGAGGGCCCGGCTGAACTGTTCACGAGCATCCCCTCCCGGCCTTTCTTCCCCCGCGGTTTCCTGTGGGATGAGGGCTTCCACCTGCTTCCCATCGCTGACTGGGACATTGACCTCACGCTGGAGATTGTCAAGAGCTGGTTCAACCTGATGGACGAAGACGGCTGGATTGGTCGCGAGCAGATTCTCGGTGATGAAGCGCGCAGCAAAGTCCCCGGCGAGTTCCAAACCCAGTATCCGCATTACGCCAACCCGCCTACCCTCTTTCTGGTCATTGACGCCTTTGTCGAGAAATTAGCCAAGACCAACGGCAGTCTTCCTGTGAGCGGAGAGCACCTTTCCCAAGATGAGCCCCTCGCCACTGCCTCCCTCGACAACCCCGAAGTTGGCCTCGAGTACCTCCGTCGCCTCTACCCGCTCCTCAAGCGCCAGTTCGACTGGTTCCGCAAGACCCAGGCGGGCGACATCAAGTCGTACGATCGTGAGGCCTTCTCCACCAAGGAGGGCTACCGCTGGCGCGGCCGCACCACCACGCACTGCTTGACCAGTGGGCTGGACGACTACCCGCGCCCGCAGCCGCCGCACCCGGGTGAGCTGCACGTCGACCTTCTGTCGTGGGTCGGCACCATGGCCAAATCCCTCATCAACATCGGCGACGCGCTGGGCCTGGCTGAGGACGTGGACTCCTACAAGCAGATCCTGACCGCCATCGAGCGCAACCTCGACGACCTGCACTGGTCTGAGAAGGACGGCTGCTACTGCGACGCGACGGTGGACGCCTTCGAGGAGAACCAGCTGGTCTGCCACAAGGGGTACATCTCGCTGTTCCCGTTCCTGACGGGCCTGCTCAAGGCGGACAGCCCCAAGCTGGGCAAGCTGCTGAAGCTGATCGGCGACGAGGAGGAGCTCTGGAGCCCGCACGGCCTGCGCAGCCTGAGCAAGGCGGACGAGCTCTACGGCACGGCCGAGAACTACTGGCGCAGCCCCGTCTGGATGAACATCAACTACATGGCCGTTGTGCAGCTTCACGTATGTCTCCACCTAACCCTTATCCCCTTATCCCCCCGCAAGAGAGAAATACTAACCCACCGCAACAGAACGTCGCTACCCAAGAGGGCCCACACAAAGAAACGGCGCGCGACCTGTACTCGCGCCTGCGCAGGAACCTGGTGGACACGGTCTACCAGAGCTGGGAGGAGACGGGTTTCGCGTGGGAGCAGTACAACCCCGAGACGGGCAAGGGCCAGCGCACGCAGCACTTTACTGGCTGGACCAGTCTGGTGGTCAAGATCATGGCCATGGAGGATCTGGAGGCGCCCGCCGCGGCGGCAGCGGCGGAGCCGGAGGTGGAGACGGAGAGGGATGAGCTTTAGATAGATAGAACTGGGCATTGTAGAATAGTTAGCTGGTTTTGTAAGTTGATCGGCCGTTTAAAAGTAAAAGAACGATGGCGTTTATTTGTTTGTGTTTCAGTGCCCGGTTGGATTGCGGTGCGATGTGAAATGCGAGAAAGCCGCCACGGTAAGCAGATGACACTCGACTTGGGAAGTTGCCAGAAGCATCATGGATACGCTACCTATGAGTACCTAAATTACAACCCCCCTTCCCCCCCATCCCATTCATAACCCATCATGCTACCCCCATCCATGCCACCCACCACATAATGCCCACCTTACAAGTATGTACAAAAAGAACTCTCACCAGATCGGCTCGAAAAAAAAGGACCTAGGCAGCTTCACTTCCCCCCAACCCCTGCCAACCCATCCCCCTTCTTCGCCACCTCCTTCCGCGGCAGCACCTCCACCTGCCGGCTCAGCAACGTCCTCAGCTCAGGAGTAAGCACTTTCTCCTTTTCCGGCTGCTGCTTCTGCTGCTTCTGCGGCTGCGCGGGCGCCTTCCCCGTGTTTTTACCACCACTGCCACCAGCAGCGCCGCCACCGGTCCCCTGGGCCGGCGCAGCAGCAGCAGTAGTAGTATCAGCAGACGGGCCGGGCTCAGGCGCCTGCTCGGGGATGCGTGGCCTGGGCGCGGGGAAGCTCCCCTTCTTGTCGACGGCGTCGACGAAGCGGTGGAAGCGCTTGTAGAGGGCCTCGGCGCGGATGAGGGTGGAGTCGAGGTCGATGGTGCACGAGAGCTCGTTGACTAACGAAAGGGTGTCAGCAATGGGTATCATATTGTGCTAGGGAAAGGGGGGGGGGGGGGGGGGGGCTTACTGTATTTCAAGACCTCGTCAAAGTGCTTGAGATGGGTCATGATGACGTCGCGATGCTTCTCGAGGATGGCGAGGGCGACGAAGAGGTGGAAGCTGCTGGTGAGGTAGTCGGTCCAGAGCACCTCCCACAGGTGCAGGACGTCGGGCCAGTCGAACTCGCGCTTGTACCACACGAGCAGCATGCGGAAGAAGAAGAAGAAGTTGGTGCTGTCGGCCGACTCGAGGTGCGCGTACAGCTTGGGGTCCATGAACTGCACGAGGTGGTCGAGCGTGCGCAGCTGCGCGCGCATGCCGGACTGGTCGCGCAGGAAGTTGCGCTCCATGCGGTCCATGAAGCACTTGAAGCCCCAGAAGGCCAGGGCGTCATCCTGCAGGACGGCGTAGATGGGGGCGAGCAGGTCTGACATGCCCTGCACGTAGCCCAGGTCGCGGTTGAATTCGTTGTAGGTCAGCAGCATATCCTTGAGTTGCTCTAAGTGCACGTTGGTGCCGACAGTGGAGAACGGCGAGTCGGGGTCCGGATGGGGAATGTCTTCGCCGGCAAAGATGGGGACGTTGCGATCGGTGCGATGGACATCTTTTTCTGTGGATGGGTTAGACACATGTATTGAGAGACATGTACGAGAGGATGCCTAGTGGGATACTTACCGATACGTCCCCGTTGTTCCCGCCACCACTCGCCCTCCTCACCCTCGCCGCCCTTGTCGATCTGGCGCTCCCACCAGGCGCCCTTGAGCTTGATGTAGGCATCCCGGAGCGACGCAGCCTGGGCCCTCCGCTCGTCGGCCGTGCTGTACCACTCGTACACCCCCAGCAGGAACACCCAGGCCTCCTTGCGGACACCGTCCTCCGCGTCGAGGCCGCCGTGGAACACGCGCTCCTTGACCTCGTCCACCGTCACCGACAAACGCCCCGTCCGCGGGTCGAAGAAGCTCTTCCACTCCTTGAGCGTCACCGGCTTCCTCATCTGCTCCAGCGTCAGGCTGCTCGTGCTGTCGAGCAGCTCAAACTCGCCCACGTCGGTGTCCTCCAACTCCATAACCTCCCGGGCGGTCCATATCCTCTGGTTCCGATCGCGCTCGCTCTGCTCGGCGATACCCATAGCCCACCGCGCGAGATAGATGCGCGCACTGTCGAACTCCTCCTGCAGGGTCTGCACCTCGGCGTTCCGCAGCAGCCTCCTGACCTGCGGCGGCACGCGCGGGTTATCCAGCACGTCCTGTGCGGTCTGGCGCGTAAACGTGGTGACCTTGCTGAACTTCTCCATGATGTTCCACCCGGTCTCCTTGACAAACTTCATAAACGGATCCATCCCACCGTCCCTACTCCCCGCACCTCCCGCCGCGGCAGCACCCCTCGACGCCCCAGGCACACCAACCCCCCTCCCATCACCACCACCCCCAACAACCGTCCTCACATTCCCGGGCCCCTTGCCCCCAAACGCGAGACTATCCTCCTCACTCGGCTCGACCAGATACACATTCGGCTCCGCCACGCTGCGCTCCACCGGCACGTAACGCTTCAGCCAGCGCAGCACCTCATCCCCACCCCAGAACATCTCCCCCGCATCCCCAAACGGATCAAACGCATCGCGCGCACGGCGGCGCTTCTGCAGCAGGGTGCTCTGGCACTCATTATCGTGAAAGAACAGCGGCGGGAAACTATCCCCCGCGCGGGAGTTGAGGATCACGCTGCCGTACCACCAGCCGACGCTGGGCGGGCGCACCAGCAGCGAGTAGACGGCGGAGACGGGCACGGCGAAGGCGTAGTGGCCGACCCCCGTGGCCGGGTGGGTGGTGATGGTGGGTGGCGGGGGGACGAGGTAGGATTGCTTGGGCGGGGAGTCGGTGTCGCAGAGGTCGACTTTCACGTAGATGGAGGCGGCGTCGCCGAGGGCGGATTCCGGGAGCCAGGCTAGGAGGAGGTCGGAGGATGCTGGGCGGGGGTTGGCGGCGGAGGAGGAGGAGGAGGTTGGGCGCTGCTGTTGGTCATTGCTGGTCTCGGTGGTGGTAGCGGCGGAAGAGGACGACGTGCCCTGGGGGTGTTTCTGTTGGAGTAGGGCGATGTAGCCGGCGATGTTGTCGCGGGCGGAAGGGGTTGGGTGAATGTAGACCTTGGATTTGGAGAAGAGCAGCTTGACGCCGCGACCGGTTTCGGTGTGGGTGATGGTGTCATAGTCGCCTTCCTCGTCGTCGCTCATGGCGTAGAAGCTGCCCGATGGCGAGGGTGGACGGGGCGCTGGATGGGAGATGGTCGAAAATGAGGATGTGGCTGTGGCTGTCGGGGTGGTGGTTGTGGTGGTTGCGTTTGTTGTTGTTTGTTGCGATGAGGGGGATGGCTCCGGATTGGGGTTTGCCGTCGACGAGGTCGACGTCATCTTTGTGATTAGGGTCATCTCGTCAGTCACTCGCGGCTTTACAGCGTTGCTAAGCTAGGGTAGGTAGTTAGAAAACCAGTAATCGCGGGGTTACTGGTTTACTGAATTGCCTTGCCGACAGCCTCGCACAGGTGCAAATTGAAAGCGGAATGTCTGAGAGGCGCATGTCACAGGCGAGTGCAGTGGTGTGTTGTTGGTGTCAGCTGGTCCTTTTAAAGCTGCATGTGCTGAGAGAAACGGCCCCCGCGATTGATGATGCGAGCTTGGAGGGGTAAGGGACGGGAGTAATCCGTAGTGGTACTTATTTCGCCCCCAAAATGGTGGCGCAAGCCAAGTACATTTACTTAGTCCCTGTTCGCCGTGCCAGTCACACTTTGCCCCTGACGCGTACCCCCAGGGACGTCATCCCCCATTAAGGGTTACGGGAGACCGACAACAATACATAACTTGACCAGGAACCACCTTACCACTTAGTAAATACGACAACATTGTAAAGCTTCAATATCTCTTACCCAACAAGCATTGATTCAATAGTCAGGTACAGTAAAGGTCAGTGTCGCATATTCCCATTGCTGCTACGCCATTAGAGTACTATCGTCCTGGCCGGCCAGACAAGAAGACTCAAAAAACCAGCAGGTCCATGAGCCCATCCCATAAATACACAGTCTCTCCTTTATATACCCCGTCGTCGAGTGATATTGTCCCCTCCCTTGTGCGCACAACCGGCGAAGCCTCTGGACGCGGCGATGGTGCGTTATTCAGAAGCGGATGGATGGAGCAATCGTAGTGCTGTATCCTGCCGGTCAAGATGTGTTGTGTTGTTGTGTACGAACCGGTATGAGAGAGCATTACTAGCCCAATAGCCCGGTTTTTCGTCTCCGCATATATGGCTTGTTATCGCGGTCGTGGACCGCTGGGCAGTCCTCCTCTAGGGTTGCTGGGCAGCCCATAGCTTCTCCCGCCGCTTTGTCCTCGGCCTCCTGGGGCGCCGCCCGGACCTGGATTATCGAACCCTCCATCCGACCACAACGCATTCGTGCTCATAACAGGCCGTTCAGTGCGCCTCGCCCCATAACCGCCATCGCCACCATCCCCCCCACTGCCCCCCTGGTTCCCCCACCCCCATCTGTTCCCCGACTGCTGTGCCGGCGGTGGCCCCTGCTGCTGCTGCTGCTGTACCGGCGGCTGGAACGGCCCGCCCGAGCTCGGGCTCGTCGTCCTCGCGCCACCCCAAAGCCTCTGCTTCAGCTTCTCCTGCGCGCTGACGCCGCCCGACGACCCACCCGATGCCGGACTAATCGCATCGGTCCTCCCGCTCCCCGCCGTCTGGTAACTCCCCGCGCGCTGCCCGCCCATCCCCGGCCGCTGCCCCGGATCACCACCACCACCACCGCCCCCGGCGAACGGATTCCGACTACTCGCAAACTGCCCCTGCCCCCGCCCACCGGCGGCATTATTCCCACCACCACCATCCCCCCAAAGACTACTCAACCCCCCACCCTGCCCCTGCCCACCCTGCTGACCTACCTGCTGCCCCAACCCACCATACCGCCCCTGCCCCCCTTGCCCAGCCGCAAAAACAGGTTGCTGCTGCTGCTGCGGCGGCGGGGCGCGCGGGTCGGGCGGCAGCCAGGCGGGCAGGGCCTGGCCCTTCTCGGCGTAGTAGCCGCGCAGGACGCGGCAGACGTGGGTGTCGTCGTCGGTGTCGCCGTCCGACTCGCCGCCGAAGTAGGTGCGCTGCAGCCGCGACACGCCCGACGACGCGCTCGTGAGCAGGTCCTTGTACCACGACGCCATGTAGTTTTTATGTGTGTGTGTGTGTATTATGTCGTGGGTGGGTGGGTGGGTGTGCGCAAGGGGTGGGTTTTTCTTTTCTGGGGGGGTTTTGGTTTTTCTGGTTGGGGGTTGTCGGGAGGGGAGGGTTGCGATTGGGGGCTTTTCTTCTTCTTCTTTTTTTTTTTAGGTGGTTGGTTTGGGCGGATATGGGACGGGAGGAGGGTAGGACGAGGCGGGGTGTTGGTCGAGATGGCGCGGTGCGGCGGTGACGGGTGAATCGTCGATGGGGATGCGGTCGAGGCGGTCGAGGCGGTCGAGGTCGCGAATCGGGGTGTCGTATGCTAAAAAAATGGGATGTTTCGAGGTGATGGTATATCCAAGAACGCCAGCTCTGAATTGTAAGCTGCGCGCGACTTGCGATGCTGCACGCTGTCGCCGGTGTGGTGAGAGGTGTAGGTAGGAGTTGATTTGGCGCCGGTACGGAGAGAGAGAGCTGTGCAGGGGCTCTCCCCTGTTGCATCTCACGTTTCGGCCTTGGCTCTTGGCGCTGTCAAGGCTTACAGATGAGTACTTCTTACAACACAGCTTCCTGCTTTTCCGCCAGCGGAACACTTGGGTTTGGTGTACGTGGAGTAAATACAGGTTGTTTGAACTTCAAGATAAGGTGGCTTTCGTTTCGTTCCTCCAGTCGACATCTGCACTTGAGTCCGTTTTTGGCCGATGAGGTCTATATTGTATAGGTAACTTACAGTAACTATTCGTAATAGGTACGTCAACTTCCATACCCCTAGCATGGACTTTCGCCATTCTCCCCAATACGAGCCCAAACAACGCCGTCACTCTATAACTTCAAGGAAGTTGGGTACATGGTCTAGTGGTATGATTTTCGCCCCGCACTAATGTGCTTCAGTGAAAGGTCCCCGGTTCGATCCCGGGTGTATCCATTACTTTTGAACTTTTAGTACTCTTGAATTTTGTTCCTGTCAGGCACCGAAGCAGCGCACCCAACCCGGCACCTACCTGAGACCCAGGTTACGGTACCTATCCATCATTCAGTTGGACCAGTCTTCAGGTACACAGCGGTGGTCGACGAGACGGAGGATACAGCACATCCCTCCAAGTTCGACTCCCTTTCTTCAGCCCCGAGCATGGTCAGAGAAGCGATAGCCCTACCAACCAGTGACTTGAGAGGACCAACCTCAGCCCGAAGAATGGCAAGGTCGGCTGCGTCTTGACAAGCAACATATCCTAACAAGAACAGGCTCCGTTAGCTTCACGTCAGGTTGCCGACTGGACGCCTTGGATAGGTACGCACCAACTCCATCCCTCTTGATCCCCGTCTCGGCTGCCAGCGACCGGATGCCTTTGGCACATGCGATGATGAGCTCGAACTTCTCGGCAGCATCGCCACCGTCCAAGTCCGCACGGTACTCTGGATACCGCGCCTTGACAATCGATGGAGTCGAGTCGCCCTGTCTCCTGGGCAGCCGCTGCCATAGTTCCTCGCTCAGGAACGGCATGAACGGGTGCGTGAGCGTGAGGCCGCCTTCTACAGCAGCATAGAGCGTGTCAATAGCCCTTGCTTGCGCCGCGTCACTTCCGTCCTGGAGAACGGCCTTGGAGGTTTCCTAGGTCTGGTTAGTTTCGGTAGGCACTTCAAGTACAGTCAAAGCCCGGCGAGACTCACAATAAAAACATCGCACACGTCGTCGTACCAATACCGGTACACAGCTTGTGCCGAGCGTGAGAACTCCCTCTTCTCCAGAGCTTCATGGACGGCCCGGGCGGCAATGTTCAGTCGGTGGAGGACCCAGCGCTCCGAGAGAGACTCGTTGCCCGTCTTTGCAAGCTTAGAGGGAGGGACGTAGCTGGCTGGGAGTTTCCCGAGCACGTACTTGGTCGCTTGGTAGATTTTGTTGCAGAATCTGCGGTATCCCGCCATGACCTTAATATCAAAATTGACATCCCCACCTACGAGAGTCAGTTTGCCAGTTCAGGCAGGGGGTTTCTGGTGGAGGGCGAGAGCAACATACCACCTGTCGTGTAGCTGATGAGAGAAAACCGCAGTGCATCAGCTCCGCATTCGGGGATTCCCTGCGGGAAGGACAACCGCTGGTTCTTGCTGGCGACCTTGTACTCGGACTCGTCAAGGTTTCCGGTTTTCAAGCTCTCCTGCAGCGCCTCAAGAGAGATGCCTTCCATGACCGCCACCGGATCCAGCACATTGCCCAAAGACTTGGACATCTTGCGGCCTTGGGCGTCCCGGATGAGCGAGTGACAATACACCTCCCGAAAGGGGACCTGGCCAGTCAGTTTCAGACTGACCATGATCATGCGCGCAACTGCCGTCTGGTTAGCACCGTCTGACCGCTACTGCGAAAGACTTGGGGAGGCTGGTGGTCTCACTCCAGAAGAACAAAGTATCCCATCCACTCTCCAGGACACTCATCGGAAACAAGTTCCGCAAATCATGCGTCTCATGCGGCCAGCCCAGCGTAGCAAAGGGCCACAGAGCGGAGGAAAACCAGGTGTCGAGGACATCCGGGTCCCTCTCGAGCGAGAACTCCCTCCCAGGGAACCTTTTTTCCGCCTTCTCCCTCGCCTCCGCCTCAGACCTTGCAACGATCCAAACCTCATCCTCCGACTCCAACCCCCCAGCAGCAGCAGCAGCAGCAACAAACTTAACCAGATACGCCGGAATCCGGTGCCCCCACCACAGCTGCCTCGACAAACACCAATCATCAACATTCTCCAACCACCGAAAATAACTCTTGCTCGCCGTCTCCGGCCGAATCACAACCTCCCCACACCTGACCGCCTCCATCGCCGGCCCCGCCAGCTCCCCCATCCTCATCCACCACTGCGGCTTCATCACCGGCTCGATCACATCCCCCGACTTGGCACAAACCCGCACCGTCATCGGATTCGACTCCTCGCCCACAAACAACCCCAACCCTTTCAACTCCCCGACCAGCTCCCGCCGCACATCATACCGCCTCATCCCCTCAAACCTCACACCCGCATTCTCATTCATCCTCCCATCATCCCGCAAGATATTGATACTCGGCAACCCGTGCGCGGCACCCACCGCAAAATCCTTGGCGTCGTGTGCGGGCGTGATCTTGACCGCGCCGCTGCCGTAGGAGGGGTCGGCGATGGTGTCCGCGATGATGGGCAGCCGCCGGCCGGGGATGAAGGGGTGTGCTGCGAGCCGGCCGACGAGGTGCGTGTAGCGGGTGTCGGTGGGGTGCACGGCGATGGCGACGTCGCCGAGCATGGTCTCGAGGCGGGTCGTGCTGACGGTGATGGTTTCGGTGGTGGTTTCGGTGGTGGTTTCGGTGGTGGTTTCGGTGGTGGTTTCGGTGATGGTGTTGGTGGTGGTGGGGATGAGGGGGTAGGCGAAGGAGGTGAGCACGCCGAATTCGATCTTGTGGGCGTAGCCGGGGATGTGGAGGAGGGTGCGCCCCGGGAGGTCGAGGCTGTCGACCTCGAGGTTGGAGACGGTCGTGTTGAGCTGGACGCACCAGTTGACGAGCCGGTTGGAGCGGTAGATGAGTCCGTCGTCGTGCAGACGCACGAAGGCCTCGATGACGGCTTCGCTCATCTTGGCGTCCATGGTGAAGGTCTCTCGGGTCCAGTCGTAGGAACCGCCGAGCCGGTGGAGGACTTTGTTGATCTTGGTGTGGTATCTAGAGGGTCATGAAGTCACGGCATACTGTAGGAAGGGGGGATGGTGGACGTACTCGTCTTTCCACTCCAATGCTCTCGCCACGAAGCCCTCTCGGCCAAGATCATGCCGGGTCTTGCGCTCCCTTCTCCACAGCATCTTCTCAACAACGGATTGGGTGCTGATGCTAGCATGATCACACCCGGGGAGATAAAGCGTGGTGAAGCCCCTCATCCGGTGCCAGCGGATGAGAAGGTCCTCGAGCGCCGTCCCTAGGGCATGGCCACAATGTAGAGCTCCAGTGACATTCGGGGGAGGGAGCGGGATGACAAAAGCGCCAGGGCTGAGATTCTGGCCATCCTCGGTGAACTCGGGTTCGAAGAAGCCCATCTTGTTCCACCACGCATCCCAGGCAGACTCGACGACGCCCGGGATGTAGGCCGAGTGGTACGGTGAATCAAGCGGTCCGAGAACTGAAGAGCAACCCGAAGTCAGCGACGAATTGGGGGCAACGGACACTAATTGAACTACCACCGACCTTTCTTCTCGCCCGGTGGCGTTTGCTCAACATACTTGGGAAGTTCCGGTTGGTCGGTGGTCTTTGGAGCTTTAGGGCCTGCTGTGATGCGAGCTTGTTGGCTTGCTTGTTTCTCTGCGAACTTTTTGGCTTTCTCTGCCTTCTGGCGCTCCTTTTCGGCTGTGATAGACAGAGAGAATGATTAACCACTGACTAGGAAGAACTCGGAGATTCCAGAACCATACACACCTTTCTTGTCAAGCTTAATTGCTGCCATAGCAGTAGTGGCCTCTTGTGGCCCGTTGTTTGCTTGAGAAGCCATTGTGCCTAGCTTGGTTACAATCAATGAAGAAGTATGAGGCCTGGCTTGAGTGAGGGCTGGTAGTCATATAAGTAATCTTCTGAGCTAACTGTGACTCATGGGTAGCAAGGGATCAACAGACATCATGTATCAGTGTTAGTGAGATGTGACTCGACCATCCTTCATGCATAACTATGGGGGCGGTGCTGCACAACACGAAGTTGCATCAAACTGGGTTTAAAACCTTTTCCCCAACCTTCATTAACCCCCTAGACATACTTAGTCATGGTCAAGAATGAGAGTCATATGTTTTCACCACTTGGTGTGAAGAGTTTGATGATCACTTGACGTTGACACAGCGTCTTACTCTGCGATTAGATCCTTACGGGCTTGCTGCCTCTGCCCCCCGGCGACTCTTACCTGAGTTCCGGCGGCGCTCAAGCGCATCACGCAGCAGGCGCTGCAATTCCTCGAGCTCAGAAAAGGACATATGTTGAAGAAGAACCGATGTCAGTGACTGGATCTTCGGTTTCTTCCCTCTCTCTTTTTCCACGCGCCGGGCTTCCTCCTCTGCGGCTCACGTCAGCACAACTTACGGAAATAAGATAGGAATATAAAAGGACAACTTACCTTGAACAAAGCTGCATCCAAGACGGCGGCCAGAATAGGCGCAATTGGTGCATGCTCCGCCCAAGACATCGCTGCTAGGGACAAAACACACAGGGGCAGGGAGCGGCCCAATACTTTTGCTGCATTTCTTGCAGTTCGGTTTCTCCTGTTTGCCCTCCTCGAAAATATAAACAGCCAGCGCCATCGCTCGCTCAGGTCGATCAAGGTTCCATGTAGCCTCGACTGTCTCGTCACCCGAGAGATAGGAAGCGGGCTCAAACGGACGTTGGATGACCTAAGGACGCGTCAATACAAATGTCATGTTTGGACACCGGAATAACTTAAAAGGCATACATCGTGAGCGGCGAGGTAAGCAGCGAGCTTGTTGTAGGGCTTCTGACGCAGCTCGTCCACGATCTGGCTTGTTAACTCGGAGCCTGGCTTCGGTTCCTCGTCGTCAACCTGTTGGAGTTCTTTTTGAGTTGCCGCCATGGTGAATGTCAACAGGGAAAGATCAAATGTTTCGGCGTCGAGAGGAGTGCGGTGAAATCTGGAATCGTGGACGCTAATTAATCTCGGGTGGTTTGCCGGATTTGAAAAAGGAATCCGCCACCTAAATGGACGCGATCTGATGGGTTAATGTGCGTGGGCAAGTTATTGCTGGGAAACATGTGACGGGGGAGACGGGTCGGCTTAGGTCGGGGGGGGGGGGGGGGGGGAATCGAGGAAGCGGATGGTGCAGAGCTCGAGTCTGTCAAATTTGAGGAAGGCAGCTTCATCGTCTGGTTGCCCAGATACCCGTGTTCGAGTGAACAATGCTAGCATGACTCACTTCAGGACGATCCCGCTTCATGAACAAGTGTGGCACTTGCGTCATGGTTTGTGCGATGGTATGGCTTCATTAACGATGGGCTCCTGCTGATATCAACAAACTGTTCGTTCCTTAGTCCCAGAACAACCTAAAATGCAAGCAGCTTTGCCCTCTCTGTTTCCCTCTCCACCTCGATCTCTTTCCGTTTCCGTGCCGAGGGCTTGACCGCGCGGCCTCTCTTCCGCTTGTCGCCCGTCTTCTTCTTGTTGACTTCTTCCTCGTCGTCCTCCTCGCTATCCTCCTCGACATCGTCATCCTCGTCGTCGTCCTCGTCGCTGCCCAGCCAGTCTTCAATGTCGGCCAGTTCCTCGTCTTCACTCTCATCAAAGTCAGAGACGTACTCCACCGCGCCATCCTCTTCCTCGTCCTCCTCTTCCATCTCTTTCTCGACTTCATCCTCGTCCTCGTCCTCGTCTTCGATGCCCTTGTCCAGATCCTTGTCGCGGACACCCTCTCCCTCCGTCTCGAGCGCATTCAGGACCTTCTTCCAGATGTTGGCGTTGCAGTTGAGCGGCATGTCGCCGTATGCGCCCTGCCGCAGTCTCTCGAGCAGCTCTCTCTCGATCGTCCGCTCCAGCTTCGCCGCCATCAACGCCTTGCGCTCCCTAGCCTCCTCGCGGTGTTTGATCTTGGGCGCCATCTTGGGCACGAGCTGCTCGCCCAGCCTAGTCTCCTCCGCTGCTATCCTGCGCATGCGCGTCGCCACTTGGACCAGCCGGGTAAGACGTTGCTTGCATTTGTGGAGGAGGAATTTCGGGAAGTACTGCAGCCGGCCTTCGATTTGTTGGAGCGCTTCTTGGTAGTTCTTGGAGAGCTTGATCTTCTCCCACCATTTCGAGGGCATGTGCGATCTTTCGATCTGAAACAGAAAAGTCTGTTAGGCGCTGCTACACCACGCTACCTTTCCATCACGTACCGTCTTAATGTAGAGATAAATTGTCCCTTTGGGGGACGTCCTTATCGTCGCATACCGGCTGTTGGCGAGGGGGCAACTTTGCCGATTGCACAAGCCGCTCACCTGTGCGATTGTTAGTATGCAGTCGCTCGGGTGTTTGGGGAAGGGGTGTCGTACTGAGTATTCATTCCTGCAGAAGTTGTTCCCTTTGGTTGTCCTAATCGAAGTTAGGGCTTGAGGCGACGGTTAGGAATACAAGCAAAGCCTACTTGAGCTTAAAAGCACAAAACTGTTCTGTGGTACGGGTTAGCACGTGTATGTCTTGGAAAGGCGAAGAGTAGTGCTTACGGTTTATAATTTGCCAAACGATTTCGTCAGACATTTTGACTACTGCCCGCGGGTGTCGCCAAAACCTAGTTCAACCAGGTCTGTCGAGGAGTGGTGGGAAAAGAGGCCCAATTCAGAACCGTTTCCTGGTCGTGCTTGGAGGGGCTGCGAACGCGATGCTGAAAAAAATCCGGGGACTCGAAGTTTTGGTCCAGGATCCGGCCTGCGCCAGTATTTTCTTATCTTATCACGAGTGGGGCATCTCTGGCAATCCGACCAATTGTTGCATCCGTTTTCCCAAAGCCGCCCAAGCTCCCATCGTTTCACCCTGCGTTGAATCAATCGGAAGCTGCAATTCCAACATCTCCTCAAACATCTACACAGCTTTCTTGGTTGTGTCCAAGGTCAATGCTCCGATATGCGCTGAAGAGAGTCCTAAACCAGCGGACACGGGAATTTAAGGGTGCTCCGACACTTTTTCAGACCCAGACATGGTCCTATTCCCGACGTCGCATCCACGATTTCACGAGTGGTCTCCCGAGGTTTGACGATGCTGCCTCTCTTATCAGCAGTGACACCATTTACGCACTTTCATCAGGCTCGGGAAGGGCAGGTATAGCTGTCATTCGTATCTCCGGGCCTGGTTGTCTCGATGTTTGTTACTCTCAACTTGCACTAGCTTTCCCTTTTCTCTGACATTGTCACAGGTCTACCAAGGATTGTGTCCAAGTAAAACCCCACCTAAACCCAGGTACGCCGGAGTGAGAACGCTCTTTGAGCCTGGGTTAGCCGACCAATCTGGAGCGAATATCGTCGACTCCGATGCCCTTGTGCTATACTTTCCTGGCCCTAAAACCGTGACTGGCGAAGATGTGCTCGAGCTTCACGTCCATGGGGGCTCCGCAACCGTGAAGGCTGTCCTCTCCGCTGTCCGAAAATGTTCGTCACCGGGGAAGATACGCTATGCTGAACCGGGCGAGTTTACAAAACGGTCCTTTCTTAACGGTCGCCTCGATCTCGCCCAGATCGAGTCCCTGGGTGACACTCTTTCCGCCGAAACTGAACATCAACGACGGGCGGCCGTCCGGGGCAACTCGGGTATTCTTGGAAAGACGTACGACGGCTGGCGCGAGCAGCTGTTACTCGCCCGCGGAGAGATTGAGGCGCTCATCGATTTCTCGGAAGACCAGCATTTCGATGAGTCGCCTACCGAACTCCTCACCAACGTCACCAGGCTGGCCGAGGGCATCATCCGCTCCATCGGGCTTCACAAACTTGGTAGCCAACGAAGCGAGCTTCTTCGAAACGGGATCCGCATTGCCCTCTTGGGACCCCCAAATGCTGGGAAAAGCTCGTTGATGAACCAGATTGTCGGCCGTGAAGCCTCGATCGTATCAGCCGAGGCTGGCACCACCAGAGACATTGTCGAGGCAAGCCTTGATATTCGGGGGTACCTCTGCTCCTTTGCAGATACGGCTGGGATTCGGACCAAGATGTCGGAATTTTTAGGGCATCACGACGGAATTGCAGGTCCTTCTACTATCGGCGCCATCGAGCAGGAAGGCATCCGGAGGGCACGACAGAAGGCACTGGACTCGGATGTCATCATTGTTCTGGCCTCTGTGGAGGCAAGAGAATCCGGCAGCCACCAGATAAGCTACGACGTCGAGACGCTCCAATTGGCAGCGGGCGCGCAACAATGTCTCGTTGTGGTGAACAAAACCGACGTTGTGAGCCCTGAGTCACTCAAATTGCTGATCCGGGATTTCAAATCTTCGGTATTGGCGGATATCGACGGCCTTGGTGGTCTAGAGCCGCTGACCATCTCGTGCAAGGCTGCGGTGTCGCCGACGGCTGCGGGGCTGACTGATGCAGGCGGCATACATGAACTCACCGAAATACTAGCGGAGTCATTCTCGAACCTTACCTCGCTACCAGATGACATGCAGCACCTACTTGGTGTCACCGAACGGCAAAACCAACTCCTCGCCGAATGCGAACGCCACCTTGATGATTTTATGGCCGAGGCTCGAAAGTCTGACCCTTATGGGGGACCTGATATCGTCCTCGCCGCCGAGTACTTGCGGCTCGCCGGTCTTCGACTTGCTTCTATTACCGGACGCGGCGAGTCCGGCGATGTGGAGGAGGTTCTAGGTGTCATTTTCGAAAAGTAAGGAACTTTGATGCAAGCAAGTGGCATACCAGCTAACAAAAGACCAGATTTTGTGTTGGGAAATGATTGTGTAACTACAGCTGTTGTACAAGGGATCCGAACCCGCCAACCGTTCCAGACGTCTATCCACCGCGTGTTCTCATCAGATCATGATACATTGTCGCCTCCCCACGTTCCTGAAAGCAAGCTTGCGCCTCGCAATGCAGACAACTCGCCATCCCCCCGGGGCCCGCGCCCCACCCGCCGTTCTATGTGCCATGGTCGTACAGTCTATTCTATTCTATGCTCCGAAATGCGTCCCAATGAGAATCCAATGCGCCGGAAAGGAAATGCGAAAAAGCGGTGGCGCATCCCGCCCCGTGCGAGCTACCGGTAGCTCGGAGAGGGGACGGATCTAGTATGCAATGGAAGAGAAGAAGTCAAGGGTCAAGAAAGCTTAGTGCTGCTTGTTCTCCTCGTCATCCTTGTCATCCCTGGCCGAGCGTTAGCTGCTGCGTTTTCCCTGCAGGGCGAGGTGTGGAGATACTCACTTGTTGTAGCCGGAACGGCCGAAGTCGCGGAGCTTGTTCTCCTCATCGTCATCGGAGTTGCCCCTGAGTCTCGGTGTTAGTACCCTGTTTTCGGGCGGGATCTGCTGGAGTGGCTACTCACTTGTTGTAGCCGGAGCGGCCATAGTTGACGAGGGAGTCGGTGGTGAAGAAAGTGGTGGCAGCCATTGCGAAGTTGGGGTTGAGTTTGAAAGTTGAGAGTGGTGGGAAATGTTGGTTTGTTGGAGTTGGATGGTGAGGATTGGTGGCGAGATGGCGAGTGGTGATGAGTTGTTTTGTTGGTGGGAGTTGTTGGTGGGAGTTGTTGGTGGTGAGTGATGCTTTGAAGCTGGATATTGTGCTGTTGATGTGTGTGTTGCTGATGATGAAAGCAGGATCCTAACTCGGGTGTTCGAAGAGTCTTATATAGACTGTCAAGGCCTTACCCGTCTCCCGACTACCTGGGTCCCGTCGCATCACCAATCCGCTTTCGAGTTACCCGGTCGGCGTAGGCGGCGATGCCTCAGAGCCCCCAAAATATGGATGACATAAGGCTGATCACGCTCTCGGCGTCCCCACAAGCCAGAGTATTTCGAGATCCTGCTAGTACATACGTGTAGATGCAGGGGTGCCTCGGAGGCAGGGTGTTACAAAGACACACGCCCGAGGTGTGACTCGGACAGCCAGTATGGGTCCGAATCTCGTTGAATTCCGGCGGTGTGGGCCCGGAAACGCCCTTGAAATTTGACATTGGGTCCAGAATCAACGTCCTGGAGGGTGTGTGGCATATGCAGCGCCGCCGAGCCGCGGTATCCGGACGTTTGGTCATGCATGGCCCTGGATATGGGCGTTTGTATGAAACAGGCAGTTGAGACAGGCCAAAAACGGATTGGGGGCTGAACTGAACATTCATTCGGTGCCCGAGCCACGCTCATAGGGCTGAGTTGCGCGACTAGGACTAAAGTTGGATGCCTGGCCGCCTCTGTAAGCACCGACGAGGGTCGTACAGTCAGTCGCTTGGGCGGAGCCGCTTGCTTGCAGCTTTTTTTGAGACGACAAGCGGTTAGCCTCTCCCACCAATCCCGGGCCAGTTCTTCCGCTTGCTGACGAAGTCGAGTCCTAGGCATCACGTTTTCGACTTCTTTTCGTGGAACAGAAGAAATTTTCATTTCCCGCTTCTTTTCGTTTCTTCGCTTGGGCCTCAGCTCATCGGCCAACCCAATTCAGCCCGGCGTAAATAGTCATCAGCCGGATGGAGACATGACGCTGATGATGGAATCTTGAATTCCTGCATCCAACTGCACTAACACGGGAAGCCCGGTCCGGCCCCGTGGTAAAAAAACGCGGTGCCGAAGGATCCGCAAGCCCCCACGCAGGGTCCTGCGGCTCATTCGCAGCACGTGTTACGACCAACCAGACATGCTCGAAGCGACTGAGTCAATTGAGGCCGCTTCACCGGTTGGTGGGAAGGCCTTCGTGTGCGACAAAATACGTCACATCTCACGCCCGCAGGATACTGAGCGGACTCGGAAACCGTAAAAGGAAGGTATTCAGGGGGGCTATGGCATCCAGCGTGACGTCCCCTGCGGACCGTTTGTGTTCCCCCAGCACAGCATGCCAAGCCACAGACAATCTGGGATATGCTGGCCCGATCACTCGGTTCCTGACCCTCCCGCGCGTGGAATCGCTCAACGGGTATAACGCAGTATGCACTCGGATTGGATGGAATGCACTTGAACGGCCCTGCATTGCGGCACCGTATGCCACGCGCCTAGGCAGCGGAGAACATCGGACGAGTCCCCACCGACCGGAGAGAGCACCCGTCCGCCCTGTTCCGCGGCGGCCGTACGACGGACTCGCTATTACCGAACCTCACATCTCACGGTCTACTGATGCGAGAGAGTCATGAGCGGTGTGAGACCTCGCGATACGCCGCAGTCGCTGTTGCTTCCTAATGCATTGCAAAGATGCCACGACAACGGTTTGCTGACTACGCCTTTTCCATTGATATCCTCGGTCATCGCTTCGGGGGAGGGGGAGGGTTCAACAAAAGAGGCACGGTAGCCGCTCGCCTAGGCCCATGAGCTTACGCCGGCCGCCTGCCCGTCCCGCGGCGGCGTTACCGACCCAAGGGGTCCGCCAGGGGCATGTTCCCTCCCCGTGAGCGCGGGTCTAACCTTAGTACCCGCCGCACGTATCCTAGCCTTCGGGTACATACCGCGGTGTGACCGCACGGTTTGGAGCCTGCCAAGTATGCCTTGCTACGGATTGTTGTCAGAGTCCGACGGGAGCTCTCGTAGAGAAGTCTACGCAGCTGGCGGACACGTTTTGCGGCTCTCTTCTGCCGTCTGCATGTACGACATGAAACGGCGACCCGACTCTGCTTCTATGTCGGGAAAGGGGGGGTACCATTGCCGGGTGCATGTCGCCACGTGCGGTCCAGCATCTCGAAACCGGCGGGCTGGGCTTGCTGAACCACACTGCGCCGGCCCCTGGCTTGTGCCACTGGCCACGCGTCCGCGCGGATCGCCAGAGCCGTTTTCCGCGGGGACGTTTGATGCTTGGCGTGGAGATGGGGTCCGGCATTGAGAGACAACGAGGCTGCATCGAGTTAGACTTTTCTCAGGCTGCCACTTGCGGGAACGAAGAATTGTCGTGATCATCAGCGCTGCTGCGGGGCGATCGCTCAGCTGTCTTTCAGCTGAGCTAACCGAGGGATTGGTTGACTTGAGACTATGTTGTGTGTGTTACTCATCAGTTTCTTTTTTCTTCTCGGTTTGAGGTTACGTGTAGCGGCTCTATCCGCGTTCCTAAAGACGTCGGGCTGAAGTTTCGAAGTTGCCGCGCCGCTCTTGGATGGTGGACTCTTGGGGGCCGAACAACTCATCGCCCTCACCGTCGACGGTGAGCTCTGGGGGCCTTTTCCAAATTCGCGATTGGGCGGTTCGTTTCAATTTGAAATCTCTTCTCTCGATGTTGCTTGGTGTTTCCACCTCCTAGCCAGGCAACCGAACCGTCTTCATCTCTCGCTGCTATTTTCAACACCGACGAATCCTTCCTCTGCCTTGCATCGGTCGCTCAGTCACACCCGTTACGGTATAACCCCATCACCCATGTGAAGCTGAAGCTCATCTCGTCTCCCAAAACAACAGGCCAGTGAACGAGCCGCGGCGGTTGTGAGGCCTCAGATGCGTCACGGCCCGGGTTGCACTTTCTGACGACCGGGTCCTCGAAGGATTCAACAGTGAGCCCTGCCAAGACATCCCCGCCCCCCAAACCCCCTAGCTGGTTCTCTCCGACGGAGGGTCTCACGATATACCCGCATGGGGTAAGTGGGTAACTGCCGTGGATGCAGATGACCACGTTTCGTCAGCGCACATTTTACCTAAACAATACGCACAACGAACGATAGTAACCGCAAAGACCTTGTTGGTCAACACAGGGGCCTAAAGGTCCTGGGTTTGAGAACCAGTCGGTCCCGAACTGCCCGGTACACGATTTAGGGCTGAGCCGCTAATGCAAGGCCCGTCCTCCTGGACCCCACTCCGTCGGCCGCCCGTCGTCGGAGCCGGGAGGGACGGTGTCGGCTCCGCAGCTGCGTGCTCGCGTGGCTAGGGTGTTACAGGCCGTTGTCTGGTTTGCACTCGGTGTCGAGTGCTTGCTGCTGGATGATTGGTACGGGCTTGAGATTACGAAGAGCCGACCTTTCGGGGGAGCACTGGTTCACTGGAGGGGCACTGCAACACTTTTTTGATGATGGAACATGGAAGCCGACAAGGTGAGGGCGGGGTACGATCTTGCCAGTGCCATCGCGGAATTTTCGGCGAGCAGAGTCAACTCACCGTTATCCGTCAACTTCCCGCAGATCTAAGACATGGAAGAGTCCGCATACTCATGCTGCGGCGTCAATAACGGTTGGCCAATCACCCCAGAACGCTTCTACTGCGTATATCTAGGGGCTTGGCTTCAGGGAGGCATGAGATGGGGTCGGTGTCTGGGCGGTGATGCTACGATCATCTCTTACGAAGTGCGTATTTTCGGTTCTTGTCGCCGGCGAGGCTTACTGAAAGCTTTGGAGGTCACCAGCATACCGAATCGACGTCGGTCAATGGTTTTACTCAAGATATCAAAGGTTGGTTGCTTAATCATCACTCCATTGTTGTCTGCAGGTGGCGTTGCTAGCGGCGACGGCTGAGTCATTCAGGGGTAGGACAGACATCAGGACGATATTGTGAATCCCTTCCAGGCATTTCATTACCTTTTCTTGACACCGAAGTGTCTCGTCGTACAGAAAGCCTTGTGTGGTTTCACGTACTCCTCCTTTGCAAACCTCAAAGCGGAGAGACAACCGTGGTAGAGAGGCATACTATCGCTCGAGCTGGTTTTGGGACGGCACCACCACATTGACATCTCCCTTTTCACTTGCTCAAGAGTTTTGGGAATGTCATCGTCATCTCCCCCTTTTTCTTCCTGGCGGGCACCAGCCACAGCCTGGTGTAAGTGACCGCCACAGACTGGTGCACACGCCACAGCATAGAACCCACCGTATATCTACACAGTGCAAACCCCATCGCACGGTATTACGCGCTCAGGCCATCCACACCAAAGTTTCCCACCGGAGGTGGTCCCTTCCTGAGCCGCCTCATTTCCAACTGGAAGCTCATCCCATCCCTCCCTCTTCCCCACGAGAGAGTCTCGCCCTTTGACCCTGTGGCCTGAATGATGGCCAGCGTTTGTGGTTGACCAACTCCAAGTCACTCATTCTAACCCCCTGTTCTTCATTTCTTTGGCCCTTTTTACGCCTCTTGGTAATTACTTTGTCGCGTGCGAGTGTTCCAGCGCAGGTCGGTCGGTTCCGTGCTCCACCCACCACCAACCCACCACCTACCACACCACTTTTGGCACCTCACAAGGCGGCGGAAAGGAGACCCCAGCTTCCTGTCCCGATCCTCAGCCGCGTGGGAAAGAGCGCTGAAGCTTGTTGCCATTGTTGTGGGACCCCCCTCATCGGTAGCCCTTCAATATGCCGAGTAAGTTCATCGTCTGTTCTCTCTTTCCCCGAGTCGAGTCCCGAGTTCCCAGTCCTACCTAGCTTTCCCTTTGTCGTTGCCCCGCCCTGCTCCGCGCGGCTGCCACTTTACGGAGCTCCCGTCGGCCGTTTTTCGTGCCTCGTGCTCGTTGAGCTTCCTGTGACGAGAGAAGGTTGCCAGCGCATTTTGTTCCACGGGGTCGCCTCGCTGCCTAGTTTAAACCAGCAACGCCGATTCGAACCTGCAAGCCGACAGACATACATTCCTTGACGAATCTCCATTCTCAACGCCCCCTCCACCCGTTTTACCGCACCCGTTTTGCATGCACCGAGCTGGCGCACAGAGGTAGCAGGGACACTATCTCGGGGCGACTGGCCGTGCGCGGAAACTGGCGGCCCTGTTGGTGGCATCTTAGCTGGAAGGAGCTTCGGTGGACGTTCAGTTCTCGCTGGACTTGCTGAATTTCGACGCACAATTCCTTCTCGCTCTGCTGCCGGATACATCTAGATCTATGCTAACGAGAAAATGGAAGACCTGATCGGGGACCCGTTCATATATAACCAGGCCGTGTACGTCACCAAGCTCACCCTTCCTCCCACCTCCCTCCTCGCTCCCATTTAGCCCCGCAATGGATTGCTAATCCCCAACCCATAGGGCCCATCCCCTGAACGAAATCGAAGACTGCGCGATCGCTGTTGACGCCGCATACTACCTCCAGCTGCATCTCGATGTTTTCCCGGGCAACGAGCCCCTCCTCCCGGCCCTCGGTGGCTTGACCGGGATTCAGGGGCGCCTTGAGAATGAATTGGACCAATGGAAGGCACACAAAATCACACCGTTCTTCATCTTCGATGGCCAGTCCATGGCCGGCCAGGACGAGGCGGCAGTCAAGCGCGGCCTAGCCAACTGCCTGAAGGCTGATATTTCGTGGGACTTGTATTTCAATGGTCGTGCGGATGAGGCCGTGACGGCATTCGGTCAGAGCACAAGTACGTCTGCCATCTGTGCCTGCCAGTGGCACTCGGGGGCTAACTTTCAGGAGGCGCGTTTCCGACCAGGGCCCTCTACCCGCTCCTTCAGACCATCCTGAAGCAACGCGGGCTGCACTTCTTGGTGCCTCCCTTCAACGCCGCTGCCCAGGTGAGCCCAAGCCCCCTCGATATCCGGCAGTTCTGATGGCCATCTGACACGAGAGGTAGATGGCATACTTCGAGATGTGCGACTCAGACCAGTGTGCCGGCGTTATGGGCTCGTCAGAGCTCTTGCTGTATCCGATCCGGGACTGCGTCATCCGCACCATCGATTGGGAAAACAACCTGGTCTATGCGGTCTCGAAGAAACACATACTGAAGACTCTGAACGTTAGCGAGTCTCTGTTTGTCGACGCCTTTCTGATGACCGGGACGTCCTTCCTGCCGCCCTTTCCGCCCCTGACCGACCAAACTATCATCAAGACGCAACCTCACACGGTGGCTGACGCGGTTAATATGCTGCGAACCGCCGAGAAGTCGGTGACTCTTGTCTGCAGCAGCTTCCAAGACATCCTGAAGAACCAGGACCCCAATTGGCTTGACAAGTACCGCAAGGCCCGGATGGCCGTCGACCACTTCGTATACATTGCCGAGAATGGGGAGGTTAAGGTCCACGACTATGAACACCTGACGAACGACAATCATGAATACCTCGGCCTGCAGCTCCCCTCGGAGCTGTTCCATTATCTCAGCACAGGCCTAATCGGACCGCGTATTCTTACCTGGATCACCCATGGCCAGTTGCAAGTCCTGCCGACGCTTGATGGAGTCGCTTCAGAAGAGTACAGGAAGCTGGTGACAACACAATCAGCCCGCATCAAAGAGGCTGCCCTGAGTCTGGTAATTCCTCGTCTGAACCGCGGCATCGGATTTAAGAATATCAGCATGAAGGTCTGGTACGACCGCAACTATTCCTCCACCGTCTGGGACCGCCAGGAAGCCAAAGCCAACTTCACCCCTCAAGTCGCCAGTTGGAAAGTACGGGAAGCAAGCATCACAGAGAATATTCCGAACTTTGCCCACGGCTCCATCTTATCCGAGGTCCTGGCGTTGAAGAACCCGAAGTTTGTCGCTCTGACCCGCGCAAGCCCCGAGGACAAGTTGAAGGGCATCGAATCCGCTGAGCTGATCAAGTCGATCTGCATATGGAGATTTCTGCACATTCGGGGCTATGTCGATGACCGGCACGAACTTACTAGCTGGGGCTCTGCGTTGGCCACTGCGCTGGCTAGCATTGAGCCAACGGCCAAGAAGTACCCCGAGTTCCCGCACCTGTACGAGTCCATTCTTGTCGCGATGGAGTTGATCCGCTTCGAGCTCCTTAACGCCAGAAACCCGCATGATGAGCTGCGCGGCCTCCCCCTAAACGGTTCCGACACCGACCAATCGAGCCTACTCCTGATCAGCAGATGCGCGAGTTTGCTCAAGCTCAGGCATCAAGCCAACGGATACACGGGTCCCCTTAGCAAGAACCTCTTGGCTTTCCGCTCGCTCGTGTCCGAGGTACGGTCGGCCGATCGTGACCTTGTCGAGGCCATCCTCGCCTCCATGTTTATGTATGCGCAGGCGAAGCGGAACCGGGACAACGGCTGGGAATTGAGCCATCAGTATGTTTCTGCTAGCAAAACCTTGGAGCATCACGCTAACCCCGTCCACAGACTTCCCTTCCTCTACGATCCGGATGTCGCCCTCGGGATCGCGGTCAAGACGTATCTGGATGACCTTTTGCCGAATGACCCCCACAAGAGCCAGAAGCTCGAGCAGTTCCCAGGTGTATACGTACCGTACGCCGTCTCTTTCACCGAGGACTTCACTGTCGCCTGCAGCTTCTTCGATGCGCTGCATGCTGGCGTCAAGGAGCTAAGCCCCAACGATATCCCTGCGGCCGACCGCTCTGCTTGGGACAGCGCCGCCCAGTACCTCGCGACGAGACGGTAAAAATGATGACCTGGACCTTGACACGGCCTTGGTTAGGTGGGGCAGGGGACTATGTCGACCGTCGCTATGTTGCGCGTATAATGATACCGCAACCGGGGCCTGTGTTGAGGCCCCTTCAGCAGTATAGTCAAGCATAACCAACCCTGGTAGGAAATTTGACGAGTCGCGTCAATAATAAACCAGAATCTTCAAACTTGTTTGTGCAATCAGTGAAGCAATCAGTGAGGTGTCTCGAGAAATATGACGCCTCCATATATGCACGTGGCCGTTCAAACCCACAGACCATTGAATTCGAACCGCGGCACGTGAGGACCAAGCAGAATAGGTAGACCGCCAAAACAAGAAATCAATTTTTACAATTGCCCCGCCGTCAATAGGAATTATGATAGTTATGAGCCAGCTTCTCAACCAGCACATGGGATATCTTGCGCCGTCATACTCCTCATCCTCGTGCCCCTTCCCTAGAACCTCACTTTCCCCGACCCGCAGTCCCCTCTGTGATGTAGAAAAACCAGAAGACCCCCCGCCCTCCTCTCGCTATGGCCACCGAAACGTGGGAGTGAAAAGGCTAAGGTTTTGATCGCGTAGTAGAGTGGGATCGGAGGTCTCGGTTGGGTTTTGATGACCGCTTTGCCCGACCCGTCCCGCCAATTCGTATAAAATTCATCGAGTACTATCCTGCTCCGTTGCTCTGTGCCCTCACTAGGCCATTGTTGTTTGTTTATTGTCCCGTTCTATGGGGAGATGGCGTGGCGTGGCTGGGTTAAGTGGTGGACGGGTTTATGCGCCACCGACGAGGATGTTGTTTAGGGGCACGTGGACTGAAGGGGGAATGAGTTAGTTGCTGGCTTGAGACAACCGGGGGAGTGGGAAACGCATACTGAGCTTGACGAAGTACCCGACGGCACCCATGACTGTTACGTAGCATGTTGGTTAGTATACCGAACTGGACGTTGCACCGCCGTGCGTGTGTTGTGTGTGGATAGAGAAAAGGGTGATGGGTGGGAGGCATACCGAGGAAACCGACGCCCACGGCCTGGGAGATTTTGATGAATTCGCGGCGGTCGGCTGGGAGAGTGTCAGTGATTGGGTTCTTCTGGTTGATGCCATGGTTTGCGAGGAGAAAGGCATACGCTTCTGGGCGCGGTTGATGAACTGGATGCCGTCCTTCAGGAACTCGCGCGGCACGTCGAGCATCTCTTGGACTTGGTCGGCCATTGTGCTGGTTGGGTAGATGGGATTGGGTGAGAGAATAAAATTAAAGAGCGGGAAGAAGAAGTCTTGTGAAAGAGGGCGTTTCGTGGTCTTGGGAGATGGCAAGCACAGAGGTTGGAAGCTTTGGAGTTTGTCGCGTAAATTGGAGAGCTGTCAATTCCCTGAGCTCTTGGCACTGCCAAATGTGCCACATCGCCTGAACAATCCAGGCCTTGGAAGGTAAAGTGGCTCGTGCACTGGTTCAGGGGCTGAGATGGGGCGGATTACACGTGCACCAAGCAGAATGGGGCGGAAGCTGGCGGGCAATCCTCGGTCTCATGGTCCGGGGAGTCTTGGCGGGAGTTGCTTCCACTTGCCACAACTGGAAATGCAACAACTTGGCTTGAGCCTGACGCTTGGGAACTCTCAATTGAAACTTTTCATAACCCCCCAGCTCCGCTCAGGTCTCTTATCAATTTCAGTTCTCATCGGTTAACGATAACTACGGATGCGCAATTTCTTCTTCTCTCCTTGTGCTCTGCCGTCTCGCTGTTCAGAAGCAGAGGAAATGGACACCGAGGCCTTGGCCATGACAGCCGAAACTTGGGCGCTCGTGGTCCATTTGTGCCCGCATTCCGGGTTTTCCGTGAGCCAAGGAGTCGGTACTCACAATCATGGAACATTCCACTTCCCACAGTCACCCAAGAAACATCGCCATTCGCAAGGCATCAAGCGAGTCGGCTTCCCCGCACAGCTCCGATCTCGATGTGCAAAGACCTCCATGGTGCAGCAGAGCCCCGCCCGAGACCCTGCAGAATCGAATAGCCATGGTCTTCACACTGAGACATGCAGCATTCACGATTGGGCTCGCAAACCACTCAACTGCAGTGAAAAGCATTTCTTTTGTGCTATCACCACCCGACTGAGCAGCGGTGAAGCTGCTACCGTGGGAGAATTAAGCGATGTTGGTCAATGTCCCCGCTGTTCGGTCGACTTATGTGGCATCCTTACATTGCCGGCACACATGGCTTCTTTTCACCATCCGACCCGCAGACGCCCATCCCATCTCGCTGCGATGAGGGCCTGCGGGCTTGACAGTCGGTGGCGTGGCCGGTGGCGTGGCCCGGGTCGTCCCGGCGGCCGGTCTCCCACGCGGTCCGTCGGAGACCAGGACGATGACACCAGCCTCAAACTGACCATTCCCCTCTACCAAGGAAGAAAAAGAATACAGGGACTCCGTCGGCCAAACTCCGAGGCCAGGTGGGTTTGCTGATCTCCAGCTTAAACCCGGAACCCCTCCAAACACCTGCATGCGTACCATTGGCGGTGCGTGATGCAGCCTGCAACCATCAAAGGATCCCCAATGGAGTCATGTCAAGCCGCCCTGCCGAACATTGGCAGAGCTGGGCGGGCCTCCGCTGCATGCCGGATGACCCGTCTTGCAGAGGTACGCAGCTGCCCGCGCCATCAGCGGCGAATCCGAGCCCACTTCCGTGGCTGTTCTTGCCAGCGGCTTCCAGGGCTAGTAGCCAGTTCCGAGTCAGAGGAGCGTCGGTCGCTTCCTAAAAGCCCTCGACCGCCCGCTCGAGACTCAAGAGCCTGTCGGCATTGACCTCCCTCCTTTCCATCCGTCTCCATAAATTCCCTGCGGCTCCTACACAATAGGCACCTCGTACAAAGCTCATTCTACCGGGACGCGTACCACGACTATTCTTGTCACCAAGTCAAAGCAGGCCTTTGTTTGGCCAGCATCGAAACAACAAGCGCTTGATGCTCGATTGGCCAGCGCTACTCGACCTGCCGCGCGCCTGAAATTGTCACCGCGTGGGGCTGACCCCACATTTTAAGCTCAACCCAAGGTGAGCGGAAACGGTCTCTCATCCACCAGTTCACTTTCGCTTGAGCAACTCGAGACCGAAGCCACGCGATCATACCGCACAGAGGAAGGGCCTGAGACGGTCTGGACTGAGATCGGAGAGACTCTGTCTTGCCAAAACCATGGCTCCGAGACTCCGAGTATGACCCCCAGGCCGCCCAGCGGCGGCCATATATGACGAGCAGCATGCCCCATTGTTCCACCCATGGGTCTTTGTCCAGGCACTTCATAAGACCCCCGAGTGGCCTGTCCGCGGTTTTCGCGTTCATTGCCCAAAAGGACAACCCTAGTGTAATATCTTTCCTTTCTACCCTCAGGGATTGCCTGGAGTATCCCGTACGCCTTATTTACTTTTTTTTCTCGTCTGTATTTCAACACTTTCGCCCTCATTTTATTCCCGTTGATCGTTGTTACGGAACACCCTTCTTGGCCACAAAAGAGCACGACGCCGAGCCAGCTCCACAGCCGTTGTTGGCTGAGCCACTGTGGTTCTTTGCATAAACAGACAGTCGAGGGACTCAAAAGGAGAAAGTCGTCCGCTAAACTTCGCCCGACATGCGCAGACCAAGATTTCGGAGGTCTACCTCCTCGCGTTTCAGCAACCCCGAATACATGATGCCTATCCCTCAGAGCCCGACGCAGATATCACTCCGGGGAAGAGACACGGGTTTCCCGGAGGCGTTCTGTGGCAGTAAGTTGACAGCTTGGACCGATAATTGAGTACCTACTGACCACCTCACAGGCCGGAACACAACACTACCACACCCCGAAGCGAATCTCAACCCCGACGCCTGCCTCACCGAGGACGATGTGAACCCGGCACGGGCGCTTTTAAGATACCGGATGTCCTTCATGGCCCAGCAGGAGGCCAACAGCCGGGCATCCACCTTTGACGACCGAAGGCCCGATTCCCCCGAAGAAGGAACTCTTTCCGCCTTCGGCCGGATCGCCATCAACTCGATCCGGGCTGCCGAGATCCCCGGGCTCGATGCCTTTCTCCCGTCCAAGGACGGCGACGCCATCGAGTCAAGTGACGGCATGAGCAGCAGGGACCCGGACTCGCCCGTACACCGGGGGACAGCGTTCGACCATCCCAAGGCCGACCCACGAGACGCGCCGCGGGATCCACGGCACGGGAGGCGCAGAAGCAGCTTCATGAGCAGACTAATGCACCGGTAGGCGGACCGCAGCCACCAGATAAAAGAGATTGTCGACAGGCTGGCATGTGGGCTTCTCGGGTCGGCGTGATCCAACCGGGAGAGACTTGGGCGTTTCAGCATAGGTGCGCAACGGGTATTGAGTTTTTATCGCATAGCTGAGAGCGGGAGATCATGACTTAACGACTGGTGCTAGGTGGGTAATGGCTTGGTTCTATGGCGGAGTAATGGGTAGAAGAGGAAGACCACATTCATTTGTTACTGGTTTATTAGCCTCGCGGCATCACCCATCTCTACAGGATAGGGCTGGGTAAAAGCGCACTGTCAACGGACCACAATTCTGACAAGCCGCGTCTTATTTCTTTTTTTTTTCTAAGGCTGTCGGGGGGTGCATCAGGTTCGCTCCAGCGGCGGGGACAAAAAAATAGGAGAAACAAGAAATACATAGCAAATAAACAAAACAAGAATGCAACCACTTTGGCTTGGTCCCCGTAGAGTAAGCACTTGGGAAAACCTCGCAACTTTATGCCACATTTTGCAAATAGTCAAACCAGCTTTGGTGGGCACATTCATCTCAGCTCCGACTGCCTTGCTCGATTTGCAACGTCAACTCTTCGTCAACACTTCACTGCCATGGCTAACCGCTGTTACACTTTGACGCAGTCAGGCCAAGCAATAGAATACAACGGCTACCTAACTCTCCACTACCAAAACGCAAAGGTTACTGAACTACATTATGAGTGGGATCCTTGCTCCAGCTCACAACCCCTGAACTACAATGCCACCCCCCCCCCCCAACCCACCTCTCTCAACCCCGTTCCCCATCCGCACGAAGCCAGTACAAACCCCCTCCCGAACCACGAATTCGTTCAACTCCCCCGATAAGTACTATACCCAAACGGCGCCAGCAACAACGGCACGTGATACCGCTCCCCGTCCCGCACCGTAAAGGTGACGTCCACCTCCGGGTAGAAGGTCTGCTCAAGCCCGCCGAAATACCCCGCGCTGTCGAACCGCAGCGTCCACCGGCTCGAGCCCCCCGACATGCCGCCCAGCACGTCCCCCAGCGTGCACACGGGCACCTCGCCCGACGAGGTCGCGGAGGAGTAGGGCAGCCAGGCCTTGATGCGGCCGTCGTCGTCGGTTTGGGACTCGAAGACGCGGTGGAGGGGGGGGGTTGTCGTGTTGGTGGTGGTGGTGTTGGTGTTGTTGGGGGTGGTTGTGCTGGTTGTGGTGGGGGGGTTGGAGGTGGAGATCAGCTCGAGCTTGACGCGCATGTTGCGGGCGGGCTGGCCGGTCGTGGTGTCGAGGACGTGGCAGGTTATGCGGTCTTTGGTTTCGGTGGGTTCGGTGGCCATTTTTGCGTTCGAAGGGGGGTGGGCGGTTCTTTCTTTGGTTTGCTTCTTGATGGTTTTGTAGTGGTGGTGGAATGTGGTGATGATGAGTCTGGTGTTGCGGGGTGTAAGCGGGGAGTTGGGGAGCTGGGGAGCTGGGGAGAAGTGGTGGAGTGTGTTAAGTCTTATATGTCGAGAGAGCAACGGGTACTGTGCCAAAAATGGATTGACTCACTTACACAGCGGGCTTCAGTTGTTTTGAGTTGGCGATCGCTGTCGTGTTGTTGCGACAGTGGGGTTGTCACGGCAGGGCTGTGCTGGTGAGGGGTAACAATGAAGTGGAACCGACTCCAACTGAGCACAGCACAGCAAGCACAATGAACCCCGGTAACGTCCGGCAAATGCCCCGAGAAGGGCCCTTATATGTGCATTTGCAGGGGAACGCGTGTACTGGGCTTGGGCAGTGGCAAGATCGAAGTTCAATTTATTCTGCTGCCTACAACCCGATGTCTCACACGATCTGCGGAGCTGACCATGGCATTAATTGCTCGGGGGCTGTTGCTGTCCACTCCCACTCAGCCCCGCGTCCTGAAGAGGAACACGGGGAGTCGATGGATGTCTGTTCCGGTCACTCGTTGCTTGAATCATCGCTAATGTTCGTAATGGGTTGGTTAACAGAAACAGCGGTCAATAATTGCAGACTGTATTACGGGGATCCGGGTGATTTATTGGTATGCCTGAGTGCGGCGTGCTGGAGATTCTCTCGTTTCCTTCCAAGGTTTCGGACACGAATCTCTCAGCTTTTCCCAGTTGGAGACAAAATACCCCCTTAATGTTGCCACCAAAGCCTTGACCTCGAGTTAGTGGGTGGTTCAGCTGAGCAGCCACATGCCAGCGGATGGAAGTCAAACCCCTCTGTAGGCCGACCCCCTGCAGTTGCTTGACCCCGCCATGAAACCCCTGTGACGTTGCCCGGTCCCGGGCTCGAACCCCACGGACCGTCTGGAGACCGGCCGCGCTCCGGAAGTGACTTTGCATTTCGAATGGGTTCCAAAGGAGCCCAAACCACCACTGACTGCTATCAACGTGGCTAGCAACCTGAGGCTACGGACTACGTTTCGTTTTCTACAACACAGGCGACCGAGAACCCCAAACCAAAACTTGCTTGCATTGCACTTTCACCCCGCAACAACGAAACCAAAAATCCACAACTCAACCCTTTATCGAACGAACAACTTTATCCAATATGTCGGCTACGCTCATTAACGTCGACGATGGCGACGCCATGGAGCCTACGCTGCAGTCGATCCTCGACCAGCGGTCACTCCGTTGGATCTTCGTCGGCGGCAAGGGCGGTGTGGGCAAGACGACCACATCCTGCTCGCTTGCCATCCAACTCGCAAAAGTACGCCGCTCTGTGCTGCTCATCTCAACCGACCCGGCCCACAACCTCAGCGATGCCTTCAGCCAAAAGTTCGGCAAGGAGGCCCGTCTTATCGACGGGTTTGAGAATCTGAGCGCCATGGAGATCGACCCCAACGGAAGCATCCAAGATCTATTGGCGGGGCAGGGCGAGGGTGACGCCGGCGCCGACATGGGCGGCATGGGGGGGATGATGCAAGACCTGGCCTTTGCGGTAAGACGCCAACCTCCACCCGGTTTCAACTCCAAAAAAGTGCATTCCCGGCTAACTGACGACGACGGCCTACAGATTCCAGGTATCGACGAAGCCATGTCCTTCGCCGAAGTCCTCAAGCAAGTCAAGTCGCTCTCGTACGAGACCATCATCTTCGACACCGCACCAACCGGCCACACACTCCGCTTCCTACAATTCCCATCCGTGCTCGAGAAGGCACTCGCCAAGGTATCACAGCTGTCGAGCCAGTACGGGCCCCTCCTCAACGGGTTCCTGGGCAGCAACGGGACACTTCCAAACGGGCAGAACCTCAACGAGATGATGGAGAAGCTGGAGACGCTGCGGGCGACCATCTCGGAGGTGAACACGCAGTTCAAGGACGAGCGGCTGACGACGTTCGTGTGCGTGTGCATCCCCGAGTTCCTCTCGCTGTACGAGACGGAGCGCATGATCCAGGAGCTGGCCAGCTACGGCATCGACACCCACAGCATCGTCGTCAACCAGCTGCTGTTCCCCAAGCCCGGGTCCGACTGCGAGCAGTGCACCGCCCGCCGCCGCATGCAGAAGAAGTACCTCGAGCAGATCGAGGAGCTGTACGACGAGTTCAACGTCGTCAAGATGCCGCTGCTGGTCGAGGAGGTCAGGGGGAAGGAGCGGCTCGAGCGCTTCAGCGAGATGCTGGTCCAGCCGTTCGTGCCGCCTGCGTAGGGTGCTGGGGAATGGGGGGGCGTAGAAGATGTAGCTGGGATGAAGACGGGCGTGAGGCTGTAGATACCCTCCTGCGTTGACAGTAATTGTTCGTCGATAGCAGCCGTATAAAGGTGTCAGGGAGTCAGGCATGCCATAGAGTACGGAGTACGCGGGCAAGACACGACGTGCACGTGCGGACAGGCGTTATGCCATGGATAGAAGCCCCAGCCGTGAACTTCAATCGAATGAACAGTTAAAACATGAGACACGTGTGCGATGAGCACAATAATTTCACGAGCTGGATTGTGGGATATTCATGGAACTCAATTCCGTCTATGCTAAGCGAAGAAATGCTATAGCGATACTTATACACCCCCAAAAAAAGCAGCCAACAAACGGCCTGTGAGCGATCCCAACCTATGATACCAATGCACCGCCGGCCCCCCCAGAGATGTGTTTTTCTGCCGCGGTCGGGTAATACACACGCGCGACCCCTTTGCTTGAACCCAGGGAAACAAAAAAAGCCATCCCTTCCCTCAACGCCAAACCTCAAGTTACGCCATTAAAAACCCATCCGTGGATCGACCCAAGAAAGTTCCCCCTTCTGTGGCCAGATGGCGACATCCTCCGCTAAGAAAAAACATGAAAACGCCGCAATGTCAAGGTCAAGTGGCCGGCCATGGTGAATTTCGTATATATATATATTTGTCTCCACGGGTCGTTGAGACAGTAGAGGACCAAGACGTAGAATCGGGATGTATGTGGTGCCGGGAACTGGTTTCAATTGCCGGATAGGTGGTATGTACGGCGGTGCAAGGGCGCGACAGTGGTACGCCCGGGCGACCACGCTGATGCAGGTATGTACAGCCCCCCTTCAGAGCTCCCTGTAATCGCTAGGCCTGACGCGGCGCTGCCGGTTCTGATGTCGATGCGGGTTGACCGGCTTGCGGAAGTAGGCGTCGTCCTCCTCAACAGCAGGCTGATAGGCAAAGTTTTTATTGCCGCTATTGTTGTGTTGGTGTCCAAAGTGCTGTTGCCCCTGGCCTTGGTTTTGCTGGTGTCCAAAATGCTGCTGCCCCTGGCCCTGCTGGTGCTGTTGTTGTTGCTGCTGGTATTGTTGCTGCTGCTGTTGATGAGGACCATTGCTGTAACCACCGCCCGTGCCCATGCCCATCCCATTCGTCCGCCCGCCGCCCATGTTGCCGTTGTTCATGCCCATGCCACCGGACCCACCCCAACCGCCGTTGTTGTACCCGCCGGCACCGGCCATGTTGTTCATGCCGCCGTAGCCGCCGCCCATCTGGCCCGCCATCATAGGATTCATCATGGGGTTCATCATGCCCATGCCCATGTTGGGCATACCGCCCATGGCCCCGTAGTTGCCGCCCATCATAGGCATGCCCGGGTACATCATAGGCATTCCGCCCATCGGCATGCCGTTCATGCCGGTCATACCTCCCGGGTAATTTTGTCCGCCGTTCATCATTGGCATCATGTTTTGTTGTTGGACTTCTTGCGCCTTCTGCATGGCCTTGGGCGCTTTCGGAATTTTGGGGTTCTCCAAGGCGTCCTCTGCGGGGCGCTTGTTGGAAGGTTGAGCCTGTTCCCCAGTGGCAAGTGTGGACGCGGCGCTCTGCGGGGTTGAAGTTGACGACTGGGCAGGTTGGTTTGTCGCGGGCGCTGCAGGAGCAGGCGATGGTGAATGTGATTTTGCCTTGCTTCCGTCGGGCCTAGTATCGACTTCCTCCCTGCCGACGGTTGCCGGCGAGTTTGCCTCGGCAGGGGGGCTGTTAGACCTCTCCTTCTTACCATCCTTCTCGGCAAGAAACACCTTGATCTTCTCCACGGCCTCCTCGTCCGTCTTCAGATCATCGATCAGGACGCCTTCTGCCTTGCAAGCCGGGCAGACGAAGTCGCTCTCAATGAGAGCATTGGTGATGCAATCATTGCAATACGTCTTCTCACAACACGGAGTCTTCATTGGCTCTATGAACATTTTCTTGTCGACGGGGCACTCCAAGCCTCGTTCCCGGACGATCTTGTCCTCCTCGGCAGCGGCCTTCTGGGCGGCGGGGTTCGCCTTGGCTTTGGCCTGGAACTGTTCCCAGGCCGCCTTGTCCGGTTCAGCAATCACGAACTCTCCGTCCGCATTGACCATGATGCCGGACGGAGTCTTCGAGTCTTCGCCGTCAGCGTTCTGGCCAAGCGCCGTTGCCTTGTCTACTGTCTTTAGGAACGACCTGGGAATGCCCGTTGTCCTCTTGACACGGGGACGGTTGTCGTACTCGGGGTTGTCGTTGGTTGGGCAAAGTTGAATCCAGTGGCCCTTCTCACCGCACCGATAGCAGATGTAGCCCTGAGGGGGTTCATGATCGGGGACATTGGCCGGTTTCTTGGGGCCTCCCTTGGCGACGTATTGTTGTCTACACTCTGTTAGCATTTACTTATTCCGTGCATGGGTTGACTGAACATACGTAGCCATCTCTTCCTCGCGGGAGGTGAAGTTCTCAGTCTGCGCCTGGAAGACCGCCGCCAGCTTTTCTTCCTCCGTCATCGCACTACTCAGCTGCGCCAACGTGTTGGACTGTGCCTTGACGGCCGGTTTGGCGATCTGTTCCCGCCGCGACGAGTTCTTTGCATGTACGGGCATCTTGCCGGAGACATAGCGGGCGGCACCTCCTCTGCCGGCTACCTTGGGAGGCATACGCCGAGCAATGACCGTAGTGGATCGGGGAATAATTGTCGTGTCATCGTCGTAGACTAAGCACACGTCAGTACGCCTAAATTCTCGACGGGTAAGGTAATCTGGGGGGTCCATACCTTCTTTCATGCCCTCGTCGGCGCAGATGACAAGGTCGAAGTCGGTTCCATCGCCGAGGCCGCTTCGTAGGATGATTTCACGTTTCAGCTCGAAGACGGAGATGCCTGTCCCGTCGAACTCCACGCGGGTGGGCTCCTTCTGAGACTTGAACTTGAAAAAGACCGAGGAGGCCATGTTGATTGGTGTCGCGTGAGCGCTTTACAGACGTTCTTTTGTGTGAGGGTGTCGAGGTCTGCAACAAGCAGTTTGCCCGCGCAACGGGGGCTGTACGTATTAAGTGCTCTCGAAACCTGTTTCGCACGAGGTGAATGGAGAGAAAATGACTTGATGTTTTTTCTTGTTCTTGTAGATTGCCCAGGGCCACAGTTGTGCTCGTCTCTTTCTCAACGCCAGAGTTGGATGCAGTCAATTCTGATTGTTCTCAAGGCGAGACAGAAAGCGCTTTATGAATGAGAGGTTAAGCAAGAAAAGAAATTGCAATACAAAGACCCCTTGCGAAAACTCTGGTTGCCTACTGCAAAACTGGGTGAATGGAGAATCGCAATTGATCTCCTCCTGAATAGCACCACCTCCACGGCCAGCAATTCAGCGAAACACCTGGTTAGTAGAGGCGCGTGTGAAATACGAGCCTAAATGCAGTCGGCCACAAGTCCACGGGGGAGATGGCGACGATTTCGCGGTGGATTAGGTCGAATCTCTCGTGTCGAGCCTTGTTTTAGGCGACGGTCGTCGGCTTTGTTCTCGGTCGCAGTGGCGGAATGCGGAACCGAAAGAAACGTCTCTACGAAATACGATCGTCGCTTGAGGAAATCTGGGCGATGAAGTGCCTTAGTAGACACGGTGTTGAAATGGCGCGTGGTATGAGTATGGGTGCCGAGTTGCGCCTGGGAAGAAGGTGAAATGGGAAGGGAAAGTAGGTTGGCTGGCATTCGGAAGGCGAGGGCTGCGTGCTGAGTTCAAGTGCCCATGCCTCCCTTGGTGACTAAGCGGGTCGGGTGCTCTTTGGTTTTCGCCGCCTGAGCGAACACGCGTGCGCATCATCCTCAGGCAGAACGAGAAAAAGGTTCGAGAACCGCAGGGAAGGTCCGACCCCACACTTTCGGTCGGTTTGACTTTCGATACTATCGAAGATACGAACTTGCGACAGCTTTCAACAGCCGGACAATGGCATTTAAAAGAATTATAAACGGACTTTTAGTTCTGAATGGTAAGCAATATGTACACAGTTGTTTTTAGAGTTTGCAAGCGCCGAGTCACAGATATATTATGTGTATCAACATGTTAAGCTGTTACAGCCCATCGTTCCCACAGGTGGGCTCATGATGGTTCTCGGCTGTTTCGCTTCCATCTCCGATTGCAGCGGGCCAAAAAGTGCGGCAAGCTCCTTCGAACCATGAGCTGATGATCGTCACCGTTGCGTTCCCCTCCATGGCTCGTTTGGCCACCCATTTGCTCCGGGGCATCTCCCAATCAGACTGATACATAACCTGATTTCTCCCACCTCTTTCGATTGCGACAGCATCTCGTTTACCGATTCGGGGCATCCCGAGCGAATATTTCGCCGGAGAAAACGCTCTTATCCCGACGAGAAAACTTGAACCGAGAGGCCGGAAGCGACTGGGAGAACCTTTTCTCGCAAAGGACGTCTCCAATGTCCAATTCGTACAATCCATAAAGACCTCAGACCGCGAGCTACGTTTTTGCACGACCCGCTGTAGCACGACCCAAGCTACGGAGTACGTCGTCTCAATTTCGCGCCGATCGAGCCTTCGAGCCTGTGTAACTCGAGCTATCGCCTCCCCCGCGCCGGACTTGGAGATCCAAGCTCCTTGCCCTTATCAAGCGCCCTTCCATCACCACTTCGAACATCCCATGCAACCAATTTAATTTCAAGTTCATACGCATCCCGGACTCCAAAAGAAGGTCAACATGGTCCTCACACACACCACCAACCACACCTATTCGCATCCCTTCCCGACCGTCACCCTCGCCTTCTTCCTCCGCTACTGCTCCCCGCAGCTCAACCCCTTCGCCAGCCATGTGCTCAGCACCGATACCATCTCCTCGCACGTCGACCGGGACACGGGCCGTCTGCACACGACACGCATCCACCTGAAGAAGTCCCGCCTACCACCGGGTGTCATGAAATTATTGCCTTCATCCCTAACGGGCGGGACGACGGACAAGGCATCCTACATTCTCGAGACGAGCATCGTGGACATGCGCGAGGGATGGATGGCGACGGAGAGCCGGAACCTCAACTTTGTCGGTGTGCTCTCGGTGGTTGAGAGGCAGCTTTACGCCGTGCCCAAGACCAAGCCGGCGGCGGACAACACAGACGTCGAGACCAGGGTGGTGTTCCGCTCGCGGCTGGGCGAGCGGATCCGAGACCGCCTAGGACAGGCACAGGCGCAGGCGGAGGCGGCCGCGAACGACGGCAACACCGGGTTCTTTGCGCGGCTGGGTGCGCAGGGCATCCAGCGCAGCATCGAAACGTTTGCGTCGACCAAGACACAGGACCAGCTCGGAAAGAGCCGCGAGGGCATGTGCATGATCCTCGAAAGGCTACGGCAGACGGGCATCATGGGCGTGCTCGAGCTGAGGAAGATGGCGAGCCAGCGCGGGACGGAGGCTGCACGCTGAGCGAGGCATACTTGCTGTGCTACCTCGTCGGCCTCAAAGAGAAACGAGCATTGCCAACTGAAGCAACGCTCTGGCTTTGGGCTACCGATTGGTATACCCATTTCTCAGGAAGGGCCCTCTCTTCGGCACACATCACGCACTCTCTCGCCCGCTTACGCAACATGACGACACGTTCGGTTGATTTGAATCAACATTTTTACTCCGCTTCAATTTTCAATCCACGCCTCAACTATTGAGGCGGGCTTCAAAGGGAAGCCAGCTCCTCGGCGGCTCCTGTGTTGTACATTTTTCACCTTCACCCCTGTTTTATAGCTCTCCAGCAACGGCGTATCGGATAACTGTTTTGATATCACGGATGATTTTTCACGAAAGGGTTACGTTCATGACCACCAAGGCGGGAGGCGGGGAAAACATTGGACGTTTTGGAGGCGCGGGCCTTTGCCTGGTTCCACTCTCTGTGTATTTTGTATTATAGGATAATGGTGTCGGCCTTTGGGGCCTAACAAGGACAAGGACAGGCAGAGAGGAGACACAGACAGGGACATGTGGGATCACTGTCATTACTGGCCATCAATTCGAAGCCGATTCCTCATCAGTCATACCAAGCGCACGCTAGTTCCAAGGTGTTGGCAACCCTAATAGCCGCCTATCTCCTCGACCTCCACGGCCTCCCATCCGCCTTCCCCTTCCCCTTTCCGTCGCCCTTGCCCTTACCCTTCCCCTTCCCCTTCCCATTGCTCCACCCCTGCGGCGCGGTCCCCTTCCCCAGCTCCCCCTCACTCTGCGGCGTATCCGGATCAGTCGTGAACGGCACGGTACAATTCATGCAGTCGACACGACCCAACATATACTCGACGTGGCGGTACGCCGCCGAGGGCGCGTACTGCGGCACCATGTGGCCGGCGAGGTCGACCGCGACATAGGTCAGCCCGCGCTCCGACACCAGGCTGCCGAACACGCCCGCCGCGGCCAGCGTCGAGGGCCCCGTGATGGCGTTGTGCGGCACGTAGAAGGGCTGGTCGGGCCGCGCGCTGAACCCGAGCGCCCCGCCCCACGTCATGTTCTGCAGTGCGAGGAGCGTGCCGTTGGCCAGCAGGATCATGTCCAGCGCGCTGTGGCCGATGATGACGTTCTGGGTGGCGTCGATCACGTGCGGGAGGACGGCGAGGGTGGAGGGCGGGGAGCGGTCGGTGCCGTTGACGAACACGTCGTCCGAGGAGCACTCTTCCCATGTGGTGTTGGGCGGTGCGTGGATGGCGGCCTTGACGTCCGCCCGGTCGAAGTAGATCTCGGCGCCCTCGGGCAGGTAGGGCATGGAGCCCGGGAAGCCGAGTACGTCCCAGAGTAAGGGGCAGGTGGTGGCGACTTGGTAGATGTCGAAGCAGGGGTTGAGCAGCGTGACGGCGTCGAATATGTCCCAGTAGATGTTCCAGCACTCGTCGCGCGTCGTGCCGTTGGGGTGGGTGCCGGGGAGCTGGGATGGCATGGGCCCCTTGGGAGGGTAGACCAGGTACTCGGCCACGAAGTCGGCGTAGCCGCACTCGTGCTCGCGCCGCTTGAGATCGGCCCGGAACGTGTCGTTGAAGGGGAAGAGTCCGGTCCAGTACTCGGCGAACTGCACCACTGGGATCGGCTCCTGGATCTCGTCGACTGCGAGCGACGGGTTGTAGATGGTCATGCCGGACATGTCGTAGTAGGTTTTGTCCTCGGCGTCCAGGAAGGCGCTGGCGATGTACGGACAGTAGTAGCCGCTGGTCGGGTAGGTTAGCAGGTGCCCGAGGCACGATGCGATGGGTAGAGAGAGGGGGACATACGCATAGGACTCGCCGGAGATGTACACCTTGTAGCCGTGCATGCTAAAGGTGTCGATGAAGTTCTTCCAGAAACCCATGAACTGCTCGGCGAGCTCCTCCTCGTTCGTGATGGTGGCCTTGCCCGTCGTGAAGCCGGTGCCGACAGGCTGCTCGACGTAGACGACGTTGGTCAGGGTGTGCCAGCTCCAGGGGTTCTCGACCGGCTTGTAAGTGCCATACTGCCACAAGAAGGGCCCGTTCTCCTGAAGCAGGCCTTCAAAGGACGAGCACCCAGGCTACACGCAAAGTCAGCGGGTGTGTCGGTAGTATGCCTTCTCCTAAGGGAACTCACGCCACCGTTCAGCCAGATAAGGATCTCCTTGTCCGCTGCCTGGTTGGTTGAGGGGAAGAACCAGAAGAACAGGTTGTTCTCGTCGTTAGGGTCACCGGTGATGGGGAGCAGCCCGGCATAGGACTCTCCAACGTCAAAGTCGACATCCGGGATGCCCTTCCCATTAACAGCGAATCCTATGATATGATATTAGTAGCAAATTCCCGGTCAATTGGTGCCGTAGAATGCTCACTGGTGGTATTATCATTCAAGAATCTGTGCTCCTTTTGTTCTCTCTCGACCACCCGGTGAGGATGACCGGCGACAATGCCATGCTTCGCCCGCTTCGCGGCATGCTCAACATGACGTTTCCCTGCATGAGCGACACTCCGGCCAGCAGCTTCGGCCGTCCCCGTGAGGAGCAGTGCCGAGAGTAAGCTTGTCCACAGCATTTTGGCCAAAGTTGCGTGAAGACGAGAACGCGGTTTGACTCGCGCTGGCCGCGGGGTGGGAACTGGGACGGAGATATACTTCGGACGACAACGATTGGGTTATGTACTAGTAACTACCCGTACTCCGACCTTCGACCGAGGGAATAACATTCCGCTCTCGGGGCCATCAGGTAGGAAGGTGACGAACCCAAGCAAGTCCATCCCGTCACCCCCTGCCCCGAGCTACCCCCAATACCACCCAGAATACACATTGATTGATGGGCTGAGGAAGGGCACCGCATTGTCAGCAATATCAGGATCGGAGGGAACCGAGTCATGCCCAATGGGAAACAGAAGGCCAGGGCAAGCGAGGTGAGCTAATAGCATGCGCGATGCCACAGTGACTGCTCTGCACCTACCCGTCCAGGAAGTCAATTAGGATGAGCCTCGCAGGGATGGAGACCGGAGATAGGAGAGACATGGTACATTGATCTTTGGATGGGGGCTGATTGCGGGGTTCTCTGTGCCCATTCATCCGGATGAGCGCGTGTATATTCGTACTACCTTATGTATGTATATTCTCTGAAGGATGTGGCGTAAGCAGAACGGTCGGAAAGATGATGCACATGGACGGTTGTGTAACTTGGTGCTTGGCTCCTTGGGTAGTCCTATACATAGAGGCTCCTGCGGCAGAGTGAGCCCATGGATTGATGAAAGTATGGAACGGTTCCATTACAGGCGCCGATCGTGCAGCGGCAGCTTCGTACACTAAACGGGGTTGGGGAGGTGGTCCTGTACTGCCAAGGAACGTCGAAGGACTGTCCCAATTAGGGAGGTGGAAGAGAAAAGTTCATGTCTGATTGGGCCACGCAACTTGGGGGCCAAGGGGTTCACCCTGGTGCGGAGAGGGCGCCGACTCAACCTGCCGGTTCAAGTTGTCGTGGGTTTGTGATCTCAAAGCTATAACTATAGGCCGTGAATGCCATGTCATAGTTTCATAGTTGGGAGAAGAGGTGGCCAAGCAACACCCTATGCCGAGCAGAACCCAAAAACAAAAAGAGAAAAAAGCCAAACTCAAAAGGAAAGCAAGAAATCAAGCAAAAAGAACAAAATAAAAATAAGCGACAAGAATAAATCGAATGACAGAAAGAGGGTAAAAGAAAAAGTAAACGGAGTAAATAAAGTTTCTTTGGGCTTCAGGATGGCTTTCGTCCTGTTCCTATAGTCGGGGACTCGGGATTTCCATTATCGACATCTGCGCTTGGAGTCCGGCTTTTTTTGTCCATGAGGTGTCAACCTCCGTATGCATTTCGCTTTCCACTTTTTATCACGCTCCTGGAACGAGTTCCAGGCCGCCGTTGGCCTCTGGCATTGCACTTGGCGCCAACCAACCACTTGGCTTTCAATGTGACCAGGCAGCCATTCAATTTACCATTGGTTAACGAGGCGCAGAAGGCTTGGTTGAACATGGCCAATCGAACTGTGATGGGAGCAGAGGCTCCAAGCTTCTCAGTTTCGTCACGAACATCGCCTTTGTCACCTCGTCTTTGTCACGAACTTGACATCGAGAATCTTGCCAATTTGATCACCCAAGTGGGCGAGCACATTTGCCGCCTCACAAGGCTCCCCCCTTTTCTTCTTTTTATTTTTCGTTGCAATGGCCGATGCCGTCCGATTGAGCGTTGATGATTTCCAAGGGATCTACGAGCAAAGCTTCAGAGCGTGGTCCACACTTCACCATGCCGCAATCGAGCGGCCGGGCATTCCACCCTCGTACCTCGACATCCAAAACGCGTTCCGTCAACACCCGTCGTTCCCAAACGACCTGCGTCTGGAGCACGTCAAGTACGCGAAGCACAGCCGAGTATACGCCACGGGCCGTTCTACTTGGGGGTCAACTCAGCCAGACTGCGGAAATGGATTACCGCCGTTTTCCCAACAGGTGCAGATCGGCGTCATCTTGAAAGGCCCCATTCCGCTGTCCATCGCGGCGGCAATGCCAAAACGCGAGATACACTGGGCATCGTGGTTCACACGAGGGGATGAGAACTATCTCGGTATACTTATCCTGGCCTGGGCATACGTTCTCTCCGCGAGGTGGGCCGAAATTATGTCCGAGGCCACATCGCTCGTGTATACGAGTAGCAAGGCGGAGGATTCTACCCCGGGAGTACAAACAACCCCTTTACCAGACCATCTTAGCTTAGAAGTGGATATTAGCGATGCGAGTCCAGACGAGGCTCGATGGTGGGCAGCCGTGCTCGCCCCGGGCCAAGGCTGGGAGGCGACTATGTTGTTGGGCCAAGATACCTTCTTTGCTCCTTGGTCAATACGGCTCCAACCAGGCCACCGGTTTATACTATCGACAAACCCGACCTTTCGAAATCATTCGGCAGGAGCCCCGTCCTCTTCAGAAGCCCTCCGTTTCCTTAGCAATTTCTGCGTTCGCCGCAACATCGGGGATCAGAGCCAGGCCGCCCTTGCCGCTGTGTTGCTCTTCCCATCTATGGGTATCGGTCAAGGGCTAGAGCTGCCAGCTTTCACATCTAGCCGCCTGAATCTCCCGACCGCAGTTGCTTCTTCCGTTCTGCAGCGACAGTGTCCCGATCTTGATGGCGAGCAACGGTATGGCTGGGTTCACCAGGAAGGCCATCTAGACCGGCTGATTCCTCTCAGTTGCTACACCAAAGGAATCCGCCCTATGTTGCTGAGTAGCTTCTACGATCCTAGCATCGAATGCAACGCCGTTACCCCTTGGCTCCAGGGAGCACTAGCAGTCATTGACGTAGTTGCTGAAGACGATCCTCTTGTCCTCGGACGCCTGCTGATGGATCGACAACCCAAAGTGGCACCTCTTTGGCTCGGCATCACAGTGCTCGGGCTTCAAAAAAAAGTCTTGCAGGACGTTCGTTTCGGCTTAATTCCCGTCGACCTTCACTCTGCCGTATGGTCTGGCGCGATACAATCCTTCATCCAGCAACCCGTTTCGGATCCCCTCGTGGCAGATGACCAGGTAGCCCGGGCGGATCAGTGCCGGTTGCTTTTCCTCTCCCGGTCTGGATCGCATGACCGAGTGCCCGTCTGCCAGTGGAGACCGTTTGGCGGGACACCGCTTGAGCATACCGATATCGAGGTTCGGGTCCATGCCGAGTGCAAAGGCCATGGGCTTCGGTATCAGGGGTTGACGTGGGATTGTGTTGGCGAAAAAACAGCACACCAGCCGCTCGACGGCGACGATCTTTACGCGTACCAAAGCCCTCCGCGTACAGCACAGACCTCATATTCTAGGCAAACGCTCGTTAACTACGGAAATCTAGACCACGAGAAAGACTTTGTCTCGGAAAACGCCACACGGAGCGTTTTTGGCTGGCTGCGTGTCTACGGATACGCATTGGGCGAAAAGCCTATCTGGAAACACGAGTGGTTCGAGATGTCTGAATCTGATGAGGAGGTCGAGGAGGGAGTAAAGACAGTCCTGGTGACATGCACAAGTCTCCCTCATACGTGGAGACTTGGGTTTCTGAACTATCTGACAGGCCCTGACGACGACGTGATTGCGCAGCGGGCGTCCAATGCCTCGCGCATCTTGTTGCGAGCCTTGTGTGTATTCCCCGCAGTGATCCAGGACACAAAGCCCAAGCATACTACCTACCGGTTGGCTATCGGACGTGGGAAGAAGCTAGGGGCCTCATCCGATACGTTGAATAATGTGGCAGTGATCTGCCGTTGGTTGAAGAGGTTGAGGTATGGCCGTTCCAGACGGCCAACGACGCCTTCGCCACCACCGGCGGCGGTTAGGTGCTCGTGGACGAAAGCCGGTAGCTGTCGTCCACAACCTGATACCTAGCATGTGAATGCACTCCTAGGCACTAGCACACTCGTTGGGACCTAGGGAGTGGGTGGAGACCCAACTCTCACTTCACGGCCTTTTCACCGAGAGTGGGCAGACGCCCGCTGCCAAGATATGCGAAAACATCACTCACGTCCTTCTTTCCGTCTCGATTGGCCATTGTGGATTCAATAAAGTTCGCACAGGTTGCAGACAAGCTCAAGGTTTCCCCAAGAGGTATCTCGAGGCTTAGTGACACCGGGCGTTTGCGGATGAGGGGTGAAGCCCAAACCTCGACTCAAGTTCTCGCTATCTATTCGGGTATTCGATCTATCCATTTGTCTGTCTGTAATGTATTGTACAAAGGTTCATTCATAATACATGGAAGTAAAGTCGGGAGGAGGTTACCTGCCTTTCTTCTTCTTCGGGGCGGCAGCCGCTTCCTCGTCAGCAATGAGCGCCTCAATGTCCTTGTTGATCAGCCAGTTTTGAACACTGTCCATGACCTTCCCCAACGTCTCGCCGCCCCGAAGGACATCCGGCAGGTTATGGGCATTCAACCCGCTCCGGTGATCGGTGCACCGGTCCTGCTGGTACTGGTACGTCCGGATCTTGTCTCCGCGGGTGATCTGCGAGTTCGCCAGCACGCTGCTGCGCAGCTGGCGCGCCGCCTCCTCCCTCGCCTCGCGCCGCTGCTGGGCCAGCCTGGACCGCAGCAGCCGCCACCCGGTCTCGCGGTTGCGCTGCTGCGACCGCGAGTCCTGCATGTTGACCGTCGTGCCCGTGGGGATGTGGGTCAGCCGGATGGCCGACTCGGTCTTGTTGACGTGCTGCCCGCCCGCGCCGCCCGCCCGCATCGTCTCGCACCGCACCTCGGTCGGGTCGATGTAAAAGTCGCTCTCGGGCTTATCCCAGTCGGCCTCGGACTCCGACGTGCTGTTCTCCGGAAAGGACGGGAGCACCCATACCGCCACGGCGCTCGTGTGCGTGCGCCCGCTCTTCTCGGTCGCGGGTACCCGCTGCACCCGGTGCATGCCCGCCTCGCCGCGGAAGAGGCCGTACGCGCCGGGCTCCTGCACCTCCAGCACGGCTTCTTGCAGCGGGATTTCTCCCTCGGAACCGGTCTGGCCGTCGCTGTCCGACGCCTCGTACTGCACAACCCGGGTCCGGTAGCCCTTGTTCGAGCAGTACGCCTTGTACATGTGGAAGAGCGAGTCGGCGAAGAAGCGCCCCTCGGTGCCTCCAGGACCGGGCCGTATCTCGAGTAGGCAGGGCATGTCGGTGAATGGGTGCTTGGGCGTCAGGGCCATCGAGAGGTTGTGGCTCGAGTCGGCGAGCTGGGCGTTTGTGGCCTCGAGGTCGTCCCTCGCCAGTTCCCGCATCTCGGCATCGTTCGACTCTAGCAGGCCGTGGAGCTCACCGAGGGCAGCCTTGGCTTTTTCGAGTTCCTTGAGGGCGCTGGCGACCCTCGAGATTTCGCCTGCCCGTTTGGCCTTTTTTGCGTCGAAGTCATTTTCTAAAACCGCGCTTAATTGGTCGTGCTCGGCAGCGAGTTTGCGCGCGCGCTCGAGGAGGGCGGATGGAAGTGTGACGGGAGATTCTGGTGGGAAAGTCAGGGTCAGTCGATGGAGGAATTAAAATGTTACTTGTAGGGGAGTAGCAATACCTGTGCTGGCCCGCCGAACAAAGTGAGAGACGCCGGCGCGTCTCAAGGACCGCACACAGCTACGGCACACCCATGGTGCTGCCAACATAGTCGCAAGACACCGGGTGCTGTCTCGTGGTAAGCATCGACACAGAGCCGTGAATATGGAGCTGCGAATAGAACTCGCTGCATTTCCAGCGAATACAGAGCCGGACCGCTGGGAATTTCTCTCGGCAGGCATTGGATCGATTTCTGCCGCAAGCCTCCGCCTTCCCCAGACGCCAAGCCCCTGCAATAAGTGCCCCTCCCCCACCATCCTGACACTTTACAGGCCGCCCGGGTATTAAGACCATTGACTCACCAATTTAGCAAGTACTACCTACCTGTCCTAGACTCTACAATATCTCGCCTCACTTCACCACTCTGCAATTCGAGGTTAGGACCGGGACGGTAGCGCCGATAACAGCATGGCCGCAAACGTCAACGCCGCGGCTCTTGACGAGTCGCCGATTCCCGAGCCTGTCCAGAAGCAGCAAAAGCAGACCATTGACCCGTACAATGTTAGTCATACCTCGAATACGCAGCGTGGATACGTTCGATAATAATCGCAACAAACGAGACTGACAGCTTCTAGGTCTCCGGCGAAGTTGGCGAGGACGGCGTGGTCAAGGCCATCGACTACAACAAGCTAGTCGACGAGTTCGGCACCAAGAAGATCGACGACGAGTTGCTCGCCCGTTTCGAGCGCGTGACCGGGAAGCGCCCACATCACTTCCTTAGGAGAGGCATTGTCTTCTCACACAGAGACTTCGAGTTGATTCTCGACCGCTATGAGCGCGGCGAGCCCTTCTTCCTGTACACGGGCCGCGGGCCCTCATCCGACAGTGTACATGTGGGGCATACGATCCCGTTCGAGTTTACAAAGTGTATGCGTGGGCTCCCAATCGCATGAGATGGTTCGAGGGGCGGGCCTGAGAGGTTGTTTTTGCCAGACACGGGCTAACACCGGCGCAACAGGGCTTCAGGATACCTTCGATATGCCTGTACGTGGAGAAGAGCCGGAATGATGCAGGCCCAGGAATTATGCTAACGTTTTAAAAGCTCATCATCATGTTGACGGACGACGAGAAGTAAGCATGGGCTAGCGTTTCACGGCGGGCGTCACTAACCAGCCTAGGTATCTGTTCTCCGAGAAGCGAACGGTCGAGGAAGTCCAGGGGTACTGCAACAGCAACTCCAAGGATATCATTGCTATTGGCTTTGACCCAGCGAAGACATTCATCTTTTCTGATGTAGGCACAGGCAGTGGCCGGGTCTGGGGATGTCTCAGGGGCTGACTCGGTTTAGTTCGACTATGTCGGCGGCGCCTTTTACAGGAATATCGTCCGTTTGTCGAAGCACATCACGCTCAACCAGGCTCGCGCCATTTTCGGATTCAACGAGAGCAGCAATATTGGGCGGATTCACTTCGGCAGCGTTCAAGGTGCGCCGTGTCACTTTTCGGACTGTTCAAACAACGACTAATAGCAGTACAGGGGCGACAAGTTGGGCGTCATCATTCCCGCATATCTTCGGCGAAGACGAGACCAAGACCGTCGGGATACCGGCGCTCATGTAAGGTGCACTGAAATCCCCATCCCTTTCAATAACTAACAGGTGATAGTCCCTGCGCCATCGACCAAGATCCGTAGGTAGCCCCTATTCAGAGGTGTTACAAGTAACCCGCAACACTTGACTCCCCGCACCCCATATTTATTTGTTGTTCTTTTACTAATCGGCACTAGGTGTAAGCACCAGCCCTGTCTCGTGGCATTTACCTTTGATTAACCAGTGTAGATTTCCGTATGACACGGGATGTGTCGGCAAGGTTAAAGTTCCAGGGGAAGCCCTACGCCAAGCCATCACTCATCCATTCCCTCTTCCTCCCGGCTCTTCAGGGGCCTGGCACGAAGGTATGCCCCCACATTGAACTCCGGCATTCTCGAGGCTGTACTGACACCATTCGCAGATGTCCGCATCGATCGATGAGTCCGCAAGTAAGTCAATGTATCAGGCTGTGACTTACTAGATCATCCGCTGATAGTAGCAGTCTTCATGAAGGATACCCCCAACCAGATCAAGAACAAGATCAACAAGTTCGCCTTTTCGGGCGGCAAGGTGTCGGTTGAGGAACACCGAAACCTTGGGGGTGACACCAGCGTCGATGTGGCGTTCCAGTACCTCCGCTTCTTCCTCGAAGATGACGAAGAGCTGGAGAGGATCAGGGTGTCGTACGAGAAGGGGGAGATGCTGACCGGCGAACTAAAGGCCATCTGCATCAAGGAGCTGCAAACGTATGTTGCCGCTTTCCAGGAGAGGAGAGCCAAGGTGGACGACGCAACGGTCAAGGAGTTTATGGAGAGGCGGCCGCTGAAGTGGGGAGGCAACCCCCGCGCGACGATAGTCGTTCCCACGATCGAGAACGGGGATGCTGGTGAGGCCGGGGAAGGGGATGGGAAGATGACCAAGAACCAGCTCAAGAAGCTCGAGAAGATTAAGCAAGCCGAGGCCAAGAAGGCGCAGAAGGCGAAGGAGAAGGCGGAACAAGCAGCGGCGAAGGCGGCATAGATTTCGGGCTCGGTAAGAGGTTTGTCGGACCACGTAGACTCGATCTTTGGCGCCAAATGTGACCATCTCAGCGAGTTGAGCGAGCAAATAGACTTGCAAGTTACGGCCGGGTCACGGTTCAGGAGATTGTAGTTCTTGGCTCCACTCACGAGCAAGGGAAGCTCGAGTTACTTGCGCCCTGGTGCTGTGCTAGGCGGAGCCGGTCAATCAAAGGGCGTGGCATCTCGGCTGCCTATATGAGATAGCTGTGCAGTCCACGTCCGTGTGACCAACCGCCTCACAACACCACCGACTTGTGGTATGACTTGCCATTGTATACCCCCTCGCGACTCCCCGTCTCAGATCTCTGGACCTACTCGCCGGCCATCACCATCACCACCACCGTTACCAACATAAACCCATCCCAGAATACGAGACACCACAAAATTAACAAGAAGAAAACAACACAAAATGCCGTACCACCTCCACATCACAAACAAGAACTACTCCTCCTGGTCCCTCCGCCCCTGGCTCCTCCTCCGCCAACTCAACATCCCCTTCACCGAAGAATACCACCCCCTCATCTCCGGCACCTTCCGCCAGCCGCAATGGCACGCCTTCTCCCCCGTCGCCCACGTCCCCTGCCTGCACGTCCTCCCGAACAACCCCCTTTCCTCCTCCACCACCACCACCACCTCACCCTCCGCTACCACCCCCCCTAACGGTCCTGGTAACGATGGCGAGGAGGAACCCCTCATCCTCTGGGACTCCCTCGCCATCACCGAGCACCTCGCCGAAGCCCACCGCGACAAGCCCGTCTACCCGTCGGCGCCCGCCGCGCGCGCCTGGGCGCGCTCCGCCGTCGCCGAGATGCACGCCGGGTTCCCTGCCGTGCGGCGCACGCTGGGGTTCAACGTCGGGGTGCGGGTGGCGCTGGCGGATAGCGTCTTTGAGGAGGGGGAGGATGGAGGGGAGGAGTTGGCGAGGGAGTTGAAGAGGGTGGATGAGTTGTGGAGGGAGGGGCTGGAGCGGTTTGGGGGGCCGTTTTTGGGCGGGAAGGAGTTTACGGCGGTGGATGCGTTCTTTGCGCCGGTGGTGTTGAGGGTGCAGACGTATGTTGGGGTTGGGGAGAGGTTGAGCGGGCGGGCGAGGGGGTATGTGGAGAGGATGTTGGAGGTGGAGGGGGTGAGGGAGTGGGTGGGGGCGGCGTTGAGGGAGACGGGGAGGGAGGTGGTGCATGAGAGGGAGAGTGTGGAGGGGGAGGGGAAGAGGTTGGTGGCTGATCTGAGGGCGACGTGATGGGGTTGATGGGGTTTATTATACTGTGATTCGGGTTGGACCGGAATAGTGTTTGTAGTGGATGATGTTTGTTGGTAGTTATTCAATATATGGTCTTGATTCCTGTGGGACGGTATACAGAAGACGCTACCAAAAGAATTGGCTCACCGCCTTCCGGATTCCAGTGGTTCTGCTTGGCAGAAAAAGGCCCATAGACACTAACAGTTTAACGGGCGGTGAGCCAGTTCTTTTGGTAGCGTCATCTGTATACCCCTTTCTTTCTCTGGACAGTGAAGAATATTCGAAGGCGTATTGTTCTGAGTGAATTTCAAGATGTCCGTTTCAGGCTTGGATATGCATACTAACGGGACTACTATATTTCGTACTTTGCAAACCTCCCCCTGCGTAGCCACCCTTGCCCAACCAAGGTCGCCCGGTAAGCTCCGGGTATAACCCCGGCCGGCTCTCGGTCCCCCGCGTCTCCACCTGGGGGCAAAAGGAGGGGGAGGGGCCATCCGGGCCGCAAGCACATGCCGACAGACCGGATATCGGGGAAGTTGTCATGTACGGCTATGACAATCGCCAAGTATATATATATGTATAGCCTCGCCTGCTGTTGAGCCCCAAAGTACACCAGATATTCCCAGATATTCCCCACAGTAGTAGTTACAGGGACGTCCACACTCCTCCCCCATTACTATCAAGGCTCAGCATGCCTCTGACCACACCATCCGTGTACCCGCCAGCGTGCGGCGACTTCTTGAAATGGCCCAGCCGGCGGAGTGTAATGCACAGCACCAAAGGCATGGTAGCATGCTCCCAGCCCCTGGCGGCCAAGTGCGGCATCGACATCTTGAATGCCGGCGGCAATGCTGCTGTAAGTGCCAGCCTCGCACACTCGAGAATACATAGAGAAGCTAACTCGTTGCAAGGATGCCGCCGTCGCAGTTGGTATGTAGCCAAGCCCCGTGAACATGTTACACGACCCCTGAGTAGGTATGTTGCACAGCATGTATGTGTACTAACTCCCACTACCAGCCGCCGGCCTCAACATAACGGAGCCCGTGTCGACCGGTATCGGCGGCGACATGTTCTGCCTCTACTACGATGCCAAAACCGGCAAGGTCTCGGCCCTGAACGGCTCGGGGAGGTCAGGCGGCAAGTGCACGCTCGAGAGGATCCGTAAGGACCTAGGGCTTGCCGACGACGTGGGCGGCGGGATCCCCATGACCAGCGTCCATGCTGCCACCGTGCCGGGCGCCGCCGCGGGATGGGTCGACACAGTCGAGCGGTTCGGTAGCGGCAAGCTGAATCTGGAGCAGATCCTGGCGCCGGCGATAGAGCTGGGTGAGAAGGGGTTCCCTGTTTCTGAAGACGCTGCGTTCTTTGTAAGTCATGTCATGTCCCCAGTCCGGCCTTCTTTTGTCGTTCCCATGGCTGATTTCTCTAGTGGAAAGTCGGAGAGGCAGCCCTCCGCAGGGCTTCCCCCAACTTCGCCGAGATGCTCAAGCCCGACCCGTTAGCCCCTGACGGCGTGCGCGCCCCCAAGGCCGGCGACATCATGAAGATGCCCCGTCTCGCGCAGACCTTCCGCACTCTGGCGACAGAAGGCAAAAAGGGCTTCTACACCGGCCGCATCGCCGAGGAGATCGTCAAGGTGGTGCGCGACCGCGGCGGCCACCTCGAGCTCGCCGACCTCGCGCACCACCTCGAGCAGGGCAGCGAACCAGTCGATCCCATCTCGCTCAAGTTCCGCGGCCAGGGCTGCGGCTCCTCCCCGCGGTCCTCCCCAGGCGGCGGCGGCGTCGAGCTGTGGGAACACCCGCCCAACGGCCAGGGCATCGTGGCCCTCATGGCGCTCGGCATCCTCCAGGAGCTCGAGGCCACGGGCAAGATCCCGACCTTCACGCCAGCCGACCATAACACGACCCCCTACCTGCACGCCATCATCGAATCGCTCCGCATCGCCTTCGCCGACGCGCACTGGTTCGTCACCGACCCCAGCACCAACCCCCTCCCCACACCCGCCTCCCTCATCTCCCAACCCTACCTCGCCTCGCGCGCCACGCTCTTCAACCCGACCGCCACCACCCCCAACCTCACCCACGGCAACCCCCCCACCCAAAAGTACCCCTCCCCCGCCCTCCGCTCCAGCGACACGGTCTATTTCGCCTGCGCCGACGCCGCCGGCAACGCCATCTCCTTCATCAACTCCAACTACGCCGGCTTCGGCACCGCCATGGTTCCCGCCGGGTGCGGCTTCACGCTGCAGAACCGGGGCGCCGGGTTTAGCCTGGCGGCGGATCATCCGAATGTGCTGGCGCCGAGGAAGAGGCCGTATCATACCATTATTCCGGGGTTGGTTACCTGTCTTGCTGACGGGGAGGGGAGTGGTGATGGGGAGGGTGAGAATGGGAGTGGGAGTGGTGATGGTGGTAAGGGGGGCGGGTTGCATAGTGTGTTTGGGGTGATGGGCGGGTTCATGCAGCCGCAGGGCCATGTGCAGGTGCTGCTGGGGCAGATTGTGGGGGCGCTCAACCCGCAGCAGGCGCTGGATGCGCCGCGGGTGTGTATTGGGGCGGGCATGGCCGATGTTGGTGATGTGTATGGTGGGGTGGTGTATGTGGAGGAAGGGATGCCGGCGGAGACGGTGGAGGGGCTGCGCGCGCTGGGGCATACCGTAAAGGTCCTCGGTGGGTGGGGGGGTATGGGCAGGCAGATGTTTGGGCGCGGGCAGATTATTCGGTGGACGGTGGATGAGGTGGAGGGCACGGGGGTGTGGTCTGCGGGGAGTGACATGCGCGGGGATGGGGCCGCGTATCCGGCGTGATCTTGGGAGATGAGGGAGTTAGCACGCGGTGGAATGGGAAGAGGGATATGTTGCAATTCTAACATGCCGTTTGCGTGGTGGTATCGTTTTGTGTGTAATGTACAGCTGCGCAGCAGTGGTGTTGGCTTTTTACTCCTGCTTCTTCTCCCCCTCGGCCGCATCCCCCTCCTTGACCAATACCCCCTTCTCCTCCAGAACCTTGGCCAGCTCCCCGTTTTGGTGCATGGACACGATGATGTCGCAGCCGCCGACGAACTCCTTGTCGATGTACAGCTGCGGGATGGTCGGCCAGTCCGAGTACTCCTTGATGCCTGTCGCTTGTCAGCCGTCTTCCTTGCCGCCGAAAGTAAGGCATAATGAAATGGAACGCACCCTCCCTCAAGTCTTGGTCCTCCAACACATTGTATGCTGCAAACTTCTCCGGGTTGACGCCCTGCAGGCCGAGCACTTGGATGCTCGCGCGCGAGAAGCCGCACTGGGGCGTCTCGGGGGTGCCCTTCATAAACAGCACTACTGGGGCCGACCCGACGGCCTTGTCGATGGCTTGGCGGACGCCATCGGAGAGGAGGCGGCGCTGGGCGGCGAGCGAGAGGAGGAAGGGCGAGGGAGTCGCGGGAGCGAAGGAGGGGCGGACGATGGGGCGGATCGCCGAGAAGGCGGTTGGCCGGGCTGCCTAGGGATGGGGAGTTAATAACTATTTGTCGATATTTGGAGGGATTATAGGGGCTTACCTTGGAAATAATTGTTCGGGCAAACATGTTGAGTGGATGTGCGGTGGTGACGGTGGAAGGTGTTGATTCAGAGGCGAATCAGAGAGACGCCGATTAGTTAACAACCTCCCGCGACTTTTTCGGCGATGATATAAGCCGTGAGGCCGGCACAGGCCCGTAACTGAGGGGGGGTTAGGGTTCCATGTGGGATGCGCAACCCCGCCGGCAATACAGAGGTACTGACAAACACTACCTGCACTCCCTCTTTCCTGTTTGGGTGCGGTTCTTCCACTCCAACAGATTCATCCATTACCAACCTAAATTAAAACACCGAACATGATTCCGCAACCATGAAGTGACCAAGAATAACTACTAGACTTCAATGTCTTGTCATCTGCGCTGTTTGACTAGGGGAGATCGACGACATGGTACCTGTTTCTTGGCAACGAACTCTCACTAAACAAATTTCCTTTTTCGTGTCCGAGTGCTTCGCATCACCGTCGTTCACACTCACTCATCAACCATAATTACACTCACTCAATTTACATAGGTACCCTCTTTCTTTAAAATGGCCAGCCTGTAAGTAACCTCACTCCTCTATTTCCAACAAGACAAGAATACTCACCATCCAGTCTCGCATACCCCTGGGCCTTCATCCAGCGCCAACTCCGGTCCATCCCCGTGCCCACCACCTCCTACGTTGGCCGCACCGTCATCGTGACCGGTGCCAACGGCGGCCTAGGTCTTGAAGCAGCCCGCCATTTCGCCCGTCTGGGCGCCGCCCGCCTGATTCTCGCCTGCCGGAGCACCGAGCGCGGCGAAGCGGCCAAGGCCGACATCGAGCAGTCCGTCACCACCTCCACCGCCGTCGAGGTATGGCCGCTCGACCTGTGCTCATTTGAGAGCGTACAGGCTTTTTGTCGCCGTGCCAATGCAGAGCTGGATAGGCTGGATGTGCTGCTCGCCAATGCCGCTATACTCACCCTCAACTGCAGGATGGCCGAGGGGTATGAGATGCAGGTGACCACGAACGTGATCTCGAATTTCCTGATGGTGTTGATGTTGCTGCCGTTGATGAAAAAGACGGCGGCAAGATGGAATGTCGAGGGGGCGGTGACGGTTGTGGCGAGCGAGGCACATATGTTTGTGAGTTACCTACCCCGGCAGCCCTTCTTTTAGCCCGTATTCTCTTGCTCACCATATCGTTTCTGCTAGACGAGCTTTGTCGAGCAAGACGAGCCAAACATATTTGAGTCCTTCCGTCCGGGCGGCGCCATGCACGACCGCTACGGCACCACCAAGCTGATCGACATCCTGGTCGTGCAGGAGCTCGCCGCCCGGCTTGATGCCGCCAGTGCCGGCGCGAGCCCTATCGTGGTGAACTCGGCAAACCCCGGGCTGTGCAAATCCGACCTCTTTCGAGACTTATTCTCTATTGGCCAGTGGTTTTTGAACCTGAGTGTACTTTTACTCGGCCGCACCAGCGAGCAGGGCTCGAGGACCTTGACGGAAGCCATCGCTGGGGGGAGGGAAAGCCATGGCAAATATGTCGACGGTGGCAAGGTGGACTACCCCAGTCGTTTTGTCGTGTCCGAGAAGGGCAAGATGGTGCAGAAGAAGCTCTGGGATGAGTTGATGGAGATACTGGAGCGTATTGAGCCGGGTATCACCGCCAACGTCAACCAGGTACCTTCCTAAGGAACTGTGAGTGAGTGCCCAGACGCAACCAGAGGCCTGGTGCCCTTGGAATCACGGCAAGCGTGTATACTGTTTAGATTATCGTACATACATATGTTTTTCTCCCGGTGGGTATCCCCTCGGTTCATACCATAAGCACTTAATCTGATATTCTCCAGATCTCTCCTTGTTTCCCTTCCAATCGACCACTCCGTCGGTCCTCCATGAACTCCGCCGAGACGACGGGGGTCCTACCCCACACTCCCCATTTCTCCTCACTTCCCCACACGGACCGGGGCCGGGAGCCTCGGCTCACCCGGATTTGCGGGGCCACTAGCTCCCGGCAGGCATCGCCGAATCCGTCCTGTGTTAAAGATTATAAAAGGTCGAGGGGGTCTTAAACTGGGACTAATCGAAACATCTTAACCGCCTATTGAAAACCCCCTCGAAATCCTCACCTCATTATTTCCTAACGTTCCGTCACAATGCCCGGCCAACCACCCCTAACGGGCATCAAAGTCCTCGAATTCGCCGGCCTCGCCCCAGGTAACCATCACTCCCCCCTCTCTCACCCCATCACACAACACCTAATAACCCCCCACAGGCCCCTTCGCCGGCCTCCTCCTCGCCGACGCGGGCGCCACCGTCCTGCGCATCGACCGCCCCCCCAGCCCCTCCAACACCACCCCACCCCCGCCGGCCGCCGACCTCCTCACGCGCCACAAGCGCTCCCTGCCCATCGACCTGGCCCACCCGCAGGGGCGCGCCCTCGTCCTCGCGCTCGCCCGCCAAGCCGACGTGCTCATCGACCCCTACCGCCCCGGCGTTTTGGAGAGGCTGCGCCTCGGGCCGGACGTGCTGTGCGCGGTTAATCCAAGGCTGGTGTATGCGCGTCTGACGGGGTTTAGGAGGGGGGGTAGGTTCGGGAGTATGGCGGGGCATGATATCAATTATTTGGCGGTTTCGGGGGTGTTGGGGTTGTTGGGGCGGCGCGGGGCGCCGCCGACGGCGCCGGGGAATTTGCTGGGGGATTTTGCGGGGGGTGGGGGGATGTTGGTTTTGGGGGTGGTGTTGGCGTTGTTGGGGAGGGAGAGGGGGTGGTGGTGGTGGTGGTGGTGATGGTGGGGGGAGGGGGCAGGTGGTGGAGGTGAATATGGTGGATGGGACGGCGTATCTGGCGAGCTTTGCGCGCTTTGCGGGGCGCACGCCGGTCTGGGACCGCCCGCGCGGGGAGAATTTGCTGGATTCGGGGTGTCCGTGGTATGAGTGCTATGAGACGGCTGATGGGCGGTGGATGGCGGTCGGGGCGCTGGAGCCGCGGTTTTTTGGGGAGTTGGTTAAGGGGTTGGGGCTGGAGGGTCAGGGGTGGGAGAAGAGGCGGTATGATCGGGCGGAGTGGCCGGAGCTGAGGCGGGTTTTGGAGGGGGTGTTTAAGAGCAGGACGAGGGCGGAGTGGGAGGCGGTGTTTGAGGGGACGGATGCGTGCTGTACGCCCGTGTATGAGTATGGTGAGATGGAGGAGGATATGGTGGGCAAGGAGGGCGACCAGAGGCCGGCGGTTACGCTGCGTGACACGCCGTTGTTGGCGGTGAGGAGGGATGCCGAGGATGCCAGCCACGGGCAGGGGCCGGGCGTGGAGGGGGAGGGCTATGTTGGGCAGGTTCTTGAGCCCGGGCAGGGAGGAGAGGAGACGTTGAAGGAGTGGATGGGCTGGTCGCGGGGGTGACCAGTTCGAGGTTGGAGAAGGCGGTGGTCTGGTCTTGAAGGATAAAGCGAAGCTATGATCAGTGTGGAATGAATAAGCTAATTTTGATAGGTAGGGCATCTCCGAGTGAAGTTGATGCCTCGTGTCTAGTGTAGCAATATCGACAGAATACAAATATGATACCCTCTATAATCCCAGTCACCCCCAACCCTATTCACTCCTTCTATGGTTGATCCATCCGGGTTTCGCGTCTCATTCGGAGCTCGGGGCGCGCGTCTAGGCCAAAGAAGGAGTCAGCTCTGTCTGGCCAGGTTAGGTTGCGGAAACACATACCCATCACCGTTTACTCTCACTCCTAAACACAATCATGCCGGACTTGGTGGAGGATTAGGCGGTGGGCCTGGGGAGGGATCCCTTGAATTCTGTGCCATGATGTTGATGTTTGCTATCCGTTCCTCGAAACTAGCTTGCATCGTAGAAGATAGTTGCTAGAGAATATCAAGGATCAAGGTTCCCACAGCCTTCGGAAGCCTGCTAACTTAGGTAACTATCGACTAAGCATGTAAGAAAGAAACCGGATTATTTCCCACCCTCCATGGGAGCTTTGGGGTTAAATTGCCCCTTCCCTGCATACACCGAAAGTCCCAAAACCGGACTTCCCCTTCTCGGCGGCTTGCTGATACGATACACACAACTACGATTGCTTCTTTCACGTTTCACAGCAATGCCGGAGGCCCCGGCGCTGCCATGGCGAGCTCGACATGAACTCCCACCGCCACCCCTGAAAAGGAATATGGCGTGCATACTGGGCAAGATCCAATCAGATATTCCTGCCGGCTCCCGGCCGGGCTGAGGATGCAATTTATTCAGATCCCGAACCGGGTAGTTACACATTGCGAGAGAAGGCTGAAGTTGTCGGTAGGCCTGGACGCGGGATGGGGCGTGGGGGAATAAGCAAGTGGGCGTCGGAGAGGAATGGTGCACCGAGCACCGAACTAATCCCCTTCTCGCCGCTCCTCCGGTGTGTGGCTGCCTGTTCACCGAAAGCCTGCAGCGAGCGGCTTTGCTTCGTCGCGGAAGCGGGCCGGATTACCTAGGAGTCTTGAAGCGGGAGGCTGGTTCAAGGGGTAGTTGCGCTCTCTCACAACACTACCGACCAAACCATTCGCGTGAGATGTCACTCCCAGCTGCACGAAACGAAAGAGTCTTCATAATCTACCAATGGTATCGAAAAAGGAATAAGGAGAATCCTTCTGCAACAAAACTCCCTCCCGGATCCGATTGACCATCCTCGCTACCCGTCGTCCAAGCCTTCGCTCCACCCCACTCAATTCACACACACACACACACAATCCTCACATCCCCCCATACCCAACATCACACGCAACGATGCCATCCATCCATCCATTCTTCATCTCATTCCATTCATGAAGAAGAAGAACCTAAACGACACACGCTTGCCTCCCGCCCCGCCCTGCCCTAATCCAGACATACATTTGCTCTCGTGAGGGAAGAAGAAATGAAGCGCCAATCACTGCACCTGGCTGACGATCTCGCTCGCCCTGCCGAGGGAGTCGACCATCTGCTGGCACTCCTTCCGGCGGCGGAGGGTGTAGTCGCTCTCCTTGAGCAGGTCGTCGAGCTCGCTCTGGCGGTACATGTTCTCGAGCAGCTCCTTTTGCATCTCGTCTTTCGTGAAGCTATGGCCCGGGGTTGTTAGCACGCCTGTGGATGATTGTTGTTGTAGAGATGACAGAAGAAACATACCTGACGAGGTTCAGCATGATCGCCTTGGGGACCATGTCGATCATGGTGCGCTTGACGATGTTGAAGTAGGATGAGATGAGCAGCTCTGTAGGGGGCACATGGTCAGTTTCTCCTCTAGTTATATCAACGGTTTGGTAACGCCGGGCACTCACTAATAACCTCAACCTCGATCCCCTCCCTCTCCGACAGCGTTCCGGACGCCTTCAGGGTTGGCGGGGGCGGCTCCATGGCGGCGGCCTTCTTCTTATTCTTGGCGGCGAAGAAACTGCCAAAGAAGCCCGAGTTGGACGAATCGGCGTCGGCGGCGAGCGTGGGGCTGGCAGCCCGCGCGGGCGTCGAGGCGAGGGGCTTGCCCGTCTTGGGGTCGACCTGGACGGGCCGGGCCGGGTTGTGCTTCTCGTTGACCATGGCCATCGCGCGGTGCCCGTTCAAGAAGTCGGGATGCGCCGTGTTGATATAGCACGACTCCATCGACACGAGGTCGCGCACCAGCTTGTTGGTCGGCTCCATGGCCTTCTTGAAGAAGGAGATGACCACAGCGTGGATCTTCTCCTTGAGCTGCGGGTACCGCCGGTATAGTTGCTTGCCGAGCAGCTGGGTGAGGATGCGCACCAGCTCGTCGTAAACCAGCGACGCACACTTCAGACTCGGCTCCTCCATCCGCTTGATCTGCTGCTTGACGATCAGCTCGAAGGCGGTCGTGCCGACGAACAGCGCGGGCGAGGAACCGGACGAGTTGTACAGGATGGTGCGGATGTCGACGTCCTTGACCTGGTCGAAGGGGTCCACCGCCTTGACACCGTTCGAGTACAGTTCGTGGAAGACGAAGCTGATTCTGGCGCCTCCGGACAGCTCGATGCTCGACAACTCGGTGTTGTTACCATCCAGCACGGTGCGCCACTCGTTGGTGAATTCGGTGATGATGTTCAACACGATGTTGGCGCTGTTCCCGAGCAACGACGGCCCCAGGGACTCGAGCTCCTGCGAGTATTTTTGCAGCGAGCTCGAGATGCGGGCCTTGATGTCGGGCAGCGTCTGCTTGATGTGCATCATCAGGATAAGGTTTAGCTTGCGAGCCAGATACGGCGTGCCGCAGTACGAGCTCTTGTTACGGTATGCCTTGTGATTCTCAAAGTAGTTCTTCTCGGCCTCGAGTGCCGCGTTGATGGGCTTCTTGTTGTCAATATCTCGTTGCCCGCGGTTCACCACCGGGACGTAGCCCAGCCGCAAAGGAATGATGCGCCCGGCAAGAATATCAACCACGTCGGTGCCCTCGTCCATCAGGTCGACCTTGGTGAGCACGCCAATTGTCCGCTGCCCCTCTGGGTCCACCTCTCTCGCTAGCTTCAAGCCGTCCGAGTTGGCTAGATCGATATTGGCAGCGGTGACGGCTAGGATGATCGCGTTGGACTTTTGAATGTACTTGAGAATCATATCCCGAATCTGCCTCTCGATATCGCGCGGCTGGTCGCCGACGGGCACTCGTGTCAGACCCGGGAGATCGACTAGTGTGAGGTTGAGGACGTTGGGCGAGTAGATGCGCAGGTTGATTGGGGCGGGGGAGATGCCAGCGTTCCGGCCGACCTTGGCTTCGGTCTCCCTGCTGATCTCATCGCGAATCTTGTTGAAGTCGTAGAACTTCTGGCCGGGAATGTGCAGAAACTCGCCCCACTCCTCGGTGTTCGCCTGCTTGTCGGTGCTGTCGGCGATCTCCTTCTCGTGCCCGTTCGTTTGCGGCTGGCCGGGGCGGTTGATAAGTTGAAGTACGAGGGGTCGACGAGTTACGATGCCTGAGCCGCGGGGTAGGCTGCGCGCAAGTTGGACATGTTAGTCGGTGAGGGATGGTCGTGGGGCACATGGCGGGGACAGGGCCGGGGGTGAGAGGGGCTGGAGAGAGAGACTCACAAGTCGCGGCCGACGATGTTCTCCAATACCGAACTCTTGCCGCTAGATTGGCTACCGACGACGACTATTTGGGGCAGATCGATCGGGTTGTTGACGCCGACGGTGGTGAAAACATCTTGAAGTTTGTTAACAAGCCTATGCAGGAGGAGACATGTTAGTGCCCGACGAGGAAGCCCAAAGGCGGCAGCAAGTGTGCCATGGGTGAGAAAAGCCGTACTTGATCAGCCCCGGGTCGGAAATGCCGCCGGGAGTTGCGAGGGAGGCGGCATCGACCGTCATGTTTGCGTTTATGTATGCGGCGTGATGCGGGCGGTGGGTGGTGTTGGCGCAGTGCAGAAAGGCAGTCCAGGGGCCTCAACGCAGTGAATGCAAGGGTTTAGCGGTGCGCGATGCGAGATGCTGGACTGCAGCGACTTCGAGGGAAGGTTTCGCGGTTTGCGTGTTAACAGCTAGGAGTGTCTTCCTCGGCCGTGCGTCTGAATTAGGATAGTTAGGGAGTGAAGAAAGCGGCGTCGTGTCTTCCTTCTTTTTGGGATGGGGGATGGAATCTTCGACGGTTTGCCTCGCAGGAGGACCAGACCGTTCCACAGTTCGACTTACGTGGGGACCCACCCGCGTCGCAGCCTCCGTCTGTGCGGTCGCCGCAGCCAAGCTTGCGTAGTGGGGCCACACGTGATACTTCATACGACTTCTCTCCAAGAGCCCAGCGGGTCCTCGAGGCGCATGAATGTTACTGGAAATACTTCCACAGCATGCTGATGCATCCTGCATTATCATTCATTTAACCCTGGAGCAACACGCGATGAGATGAGTCAATAGGACTTACGCCCAATACCCGGGCGTTAATAGCCCCGATCTACGAAACTCAAAAAATCATAAATATTCTTTTTCCTTTTAGCTTGCTGCCTAACCATTCTACGTTGGGCCACCCGAATAGGATTCGTCATCTGAGGCTTGAGTTGACGCGGCGCGTGTGGCCCGTTGTTGGAGGAGGGGAAGGTCAGCCGTCCGCTGGTGGTCACGCAAATCTAATCAGCCTTTGAATGTCCCAAACCCATAGGGGGCCTACCCAGCTAAGTAGAGAAAGAGCAGCGCTGGGTCGTCGACTGAACGAACCATGTCCTCAATTTGTTTCGGTTCTACTTCGTACTCCACCTCTCTTCAACCCAGCCGTCTTTCCCCCTTATCATCTATGGGCCCAATACCCAGCGTGTTGAATGGAATACCCGGACACCTAACGACAACAGACAAAACCTGCCACCTCCCGCTCCCAACCGTGCCCCGTATGCTACCTACCTACCACCATCGCCGAGGTACCTCCTCCCATTCGTCATCATATCATCTGGTCCAGCCTGAATGTCGTCGTCCATTGTCTCCGGTTATCCATTCGGATTTGTCAAGCCCCTCCGGAGTGTTGAAAGCCAAGTGAAAGAAACGAAGGAAGAAGCAGCGCGCGTTTACCGTGTGTGCCTCGGTGGGGAAAAAAAAACAATGCAGCACTCCTAAAACACCCCATATCTCCAAGTTCGCCGCCCCATGCTATGTCCTGTATTCCAAATACCACCGTTGGGGAAGAGAAGGGGAGGTCAAGTAACGGTGAAACCATAGCCGCTCTCGTGTCTTTGGGTTGCTTACTAGCGCCACTCTCAATGGCACTCTCAATGGCACTCTCAATGGCACTCTCAATGCCACATTTCCCCCGAGGCCAGGCTGCCGTTACTAGCCCTGTGCGTGACCCCGTTGGAATGCCGTGCCGTCAAGGCCAGAGCCCTGGCTCGCTCCCTATTTGACCAACTGGAATCAAGCGTTAGTGATGTAAACCGAATCGCCCAAGGTATCTTTACTCACATCTTGACCCTGCCGTCGTCGCCGGCTGTGGCGAACATGCACGGGTCTGCCGGGTTCCAAGCGACTGCGTTGCAGCTTGTGTGGTGTGCTTCGGCCTCGTGGACGAGGATGCCCGTTGCCTTGTGCCAGATGAAGACGTGGCCATCTGTAAATATCCGAGTTAGCAACAACAGCGTTTCAAAATCCGCGGGTAGCTCGACGAGTATTGTAAAGCCTCACCTTCGCTGCCCGAGATGACGAAGTTCTCGTTAGCGCCACCAAAATCGCTCCTGATGGTAAAGTTCCCGCCCTTTTGGCCCGTAAACTTCTGTACCGTCTCGCGCGTTTCAAGGTCGATCAAGACTGCTTCACAATCCACCTTATTGACGAGGAGATACTTCGAATCCCGGCTTATGCTCAGCGACGCGGCCCTAGAGTGAAGCGCCAGGTCATACACATGTTCCCTGGTGACGAGATTGTAAACATGGAGGGTGCACTGCTCATCCATCGCGACCAACCAGCGTTGATCCCGCGAGAGGGCAAGGTCCTCGGTCCTGTGCAGATTGGGCCATGTATGGATGCAATCGCCGCGCAGGTTCCATAACCTCATAGATTGGGTCTTGTCAAACGACCCGGTAACGAAGGACTGGCCGTCCGCAGCCCAAACGCAGCTGCTCACGGGCTCCTCGAAATCGCCAATCACTCTCAAGCACTCTCCAGACTAAAGTGCGTTGTCAGTTGCACGCCATACACACACTACACACACGCACATGTGTGGACTACGACTCACCTCGACATCCCAGAGCTTAGCGGTGTGGTCGAAGCTGCAGGTTACCAGGAGCTTGCTGTCAGGGCTCCACGCAAGATTGCCAATCCCCGGCTTCTGATGTTCGGATAGTTGGTGGCAAAAGGTTAGGCGCTCAACGTCCCAAATGTTGACCGCATCGTCTGTACCGCATGCCGCCAGGCGTTTGCCGTCGGGCGAGAAGCGGACCTGCCAGACCTCATCGAGTTTCTTGGATGATTCTAGGCCCGGAGGTGATAATTCCACTAGGACCTCGGTGGGGAACCGGCTCCTGTCGCAGGAATGGTCCACGCAGAGCGATGGTGGCGCATCGTCTGTGTGATAGCGGCACCTCTCCGCCTGGTTGCGCTTTAGGTCGTCCAAAAGCACAGCCAAGCGGCGCTCCGGGAGCATGACCGATGGGGAAATGTACCCTATCCAAAACGGTCAGTAACGCAGCACGGACGATGCAGAGGTTGGGGATCCTGGACAAACCTGAGAGATGGGCAAGTAATATCTGCCTCGACCGACCGTCCGCGCCGTCCCAGTTAGCCCGCACCTTGAGATCGTCGGCGTCTTGACACATGAGGAGCCTCGACAGAAGGGGGACTGCTTGGTGCTGCTCCTGGCACAAGGGTGTGAGCTCATTCCGGAGCACAGCCAGCGCCCGGCCCGTGTCGCCCTTCTCCAAGAGCTCGAGGTACTTTTGCCGCCGCAGCCTAAACCTCATAGCGTTGCGATCTGCTCCGGGAGCCAGGACAAGCCCGGGTCCGCGAGCGGCCTTGCCACAGAGCAACTCCTCCGCCTTACCCCAGAGCCCGTCCAACACGGCCTGCCGGAAGGCAATCACGTCTGGGCTCTCTACCTGGAAACCGCTATCCCGGCCAACGTTATCCGCGGCCGCATTGTAACCCAGGTCATTCAGCGCCTGTATCAAGATGCGTGTGACCTCCTCCCGGTTATGTCCATAGTAGCTCTCTTGCCGCGGTCCTACGGGGGCCCCGTTAAGCCTGGGACCGCGAGTGGCGTCGGAATGTGTTTTGTGCGGCGTGCTCGAAGCACCCAAAGTGCGTTCCCCGACGGCCCGGGACCCGTTTGCCACCGGTTGCGAAGCCCGGCTCGAGGGCTCTCCCTTATCAAGCTCCATCAGCATGCTTGCTCGGCGTCTTCGCTTCGGGCTCGGGCGGGAGGCAGCTGTGTTGCCTGATGTGCTGTTGTGTGCTCCTCCCTCCTCTTCTTCTTCTTCGTCGAACTCGGCCCTCTGTCTCCTACCGAGGATCTGCGTCGAATGACGGGAAGCGGAAGACACCGTTGCGGCTCGGGCGGTGGCCCTGAGAAAGGAGGAGGGGCCAGCCACTGGGGACGTGGCGGATCGACTTCGCAACGGAGGGAGCTGCGGCGGGGTCGGGACTTCGAGCGATAGTGCAGGGTTTAGAGGCACCGGGGTGGGTTGGGGAGGTGGGCTATCGGAAGCGGAGGCGGGCGGAATATAGATAGAAGCGTCGCTGGGGTTTTGGTCTGCCACGGCGATCGAGGTTGGTTCTGCAGGACCGGCGTTCGTTCCTGCAGAAGAGAGTGGACGGTAAAAGGAAAGGAGAAGAGCCTATGCTCGGGTTCTGATGATATTCTAGTAATCAAGTGTGGAGTTATCGGCGGAGTCGATGATGAAAGGTCGAATGCAAAGACGGGATTAAATGCAAAAACGGAGCCAAAGGCAGGTCGCGCAGCTGATGCGGAAGCCAGGAGAGAGATCAGATCCGTCATGGAGATGTTGTCGTGCCGTCACCAAAGTCGGTGGTTTGACCGCGGGGGGCCGACTGGCTGGAACGTCGAGTTAGGTCTGGGCCGTGCACCTCTCACATGGGCAGGGCATTTAGGTACATACCTACCGCCTACCTTATGCGCCTGCAGGGAGGGACCAAGTTCGGGCCAAGCGTGCACTCAAATAAAAGTTGCGAGGTTGGTCATAAACGGAAAGTTTCGGGGAGAGTTGCAGGTCGAACCTGGAACCTGGGGAAAATGGAAAAGATTGCTATTTTGTTGTTGACGCAACCACGACTAACCACCCATGGGTCGAGGCGGAGTGATAATCTCATAAATGCAACCGGAATGAGAGGAAGGCGAGCGAGTGATGAATGTTTGAGAGAGGTTGGTTCCGTGTTTGGGCCTCGAGGGCTCCAGTTGTCAATGACACTCGAGCGCTTCGATTGGCAGGCGGTGAGTACGTTTGACGCCATTGGCAGCCTCGGAGTGCGAGCAACTTCGACCGACCTGAGCTGTCCTCCCTGGTACTCGTAAGCCGTATTACTTCGTCATTACCGAGGTTGTTATTACGATAGGTAACCCAAGGAAACGATAACTGATCAATCATGGGCGCAAGAGGCTTTGCTCGACAGGTACTTCTAAACCACCTATCATATTTGCGCTCTAACAAATAAATCCAGTACCTGCTTGCCCGTACATGCACGCACCTTAATCTGTACATACAAATAAATACTACACTGGGTAGTTGGTAGATAAGCTTAAGATTAGTAAGAGAGTATGATATGGACCTGCAGACATTGCGACATCCACGGGCGGTAATCTGTATGTAAATGCAAGAGAGCTTCGCGAGTGGTGGTTTACACCCCCGACCACAAATGCCAAGACTCCAGCTCCGTGCTGTCGTGGCAGTCGCTAACCAACTCTGCCCGACAACCAGCTTCTCTAGAAGTACCTTACCGTGCCCTACCTTTCGAACTCGATAGGCCTACCGCTGAGCAGAAATGCGCGAGGGACTGCGGACAACTCCAACGCCGTTTCCATGTTTGAACCTGGCAGTCCGCTCCCCTTTTTTCTTCATTTTTTTCCGAGTGAAGGAACAGCCCGAGGGCAAACTCGGGCTTGGCCAGATATGAGTTCGTGGCCACGCCAGACTTCCATCCATACCTACCCTCACTCAACTTCATCCCCTCAGATCCCGTCGAAGGCAAGAGAACCGATGTGTCTTGACTCGAAGTTATTGTACTAGTTATAGTTATTTAGACATCACATAATACGCTGTATTTACTAAAGTTCACAATCACTCTCCACATACTGGCCAACTCGGCACCGCCCGCTAAGGCTCCGAGTCTCAAAAGGCATGGACACCTTCTATTTCTCATCACCCCCCGAGCGAAGCTCTGGAATACATGGCCCAAAGACTCTCGCCAACCAGGAACGGTGCTATATGTCGGTTGCCTTGTTCGTCGGGAATTCTCTCGCCAAGATGAAGCAACTAAACCTCCGGTAGGTGAAGGTCTCCTTCGTACTTGACATGGGCGGCGATGACCAGGTACAATAGGACACAAGGGCTGATATGGAGCGTCGAAAATTACGGAATGGGGCCGGGTCACGAACAACTCACGACGCCGGCATGCATCTCTGAAAACAAGTACCTCCGTTTTCTCAGGACCGAAGAAGGGCTCAACAACTACGCCATCATCGAACCTATCGGAGAAGGCGGGTTTGGATTGGTGAAACTGGTTCGCAGGAAGCAGGACGGACGGGTCTACGCGCTGAAGCAAATTTCCAAGGAAAGGGCGACGAAATCACGAAGATCGATAGAGCGGATGTGTGCTGAGCGATGTGCCCTGGTTGAATCCGACAGCGAGTGGATCGTCAAACTCTACACGGCCTTCCAGGACGACACCAACTTCTACTTCCTTCTCGAATATCTGCCTGGTGGTGATTTATCAACGCTGCTGGCGCGCTAGGGACGCTTTTTCGATCGTGACGCGGCTTTCTATGTGGCCGAGATTGTCCTAGCGCTTGAAGCCCTCCACAAACTCGGATACATTCATCAAGACCTTAAGCCGGGAAATATTCTTCTGGACCACCAAGGCCATATAAAGCTCGCCGATTTCGGCTGCAGTAAAAGCCACCGCAAGACTGTCGCTTTCGGTCGCTCATGTAGCCTAGTACTTGACGCGACCCGGAACCGCAATTTACCTGGTGCCAGCAAGCTCTGTTCAGCTATGGACAATAACGGCCGTCATGGGGGGAGTATCAAGGTAAACCCACCGGCTGGAACTCCCGAGTACCAGGCTCCGGAGATCTTCATGGGCGAGGAACACTCCTTCGGTGTTGATTAGTGGTCAGTAGGCATCATTTTGTGAGTTGAACATTGCCTCTGCCTCACGTCCAATACAAGAAATCCTGCGGCACCTTATCCGGCATATCAAGGTCATCTAGCTAACTAAAAAGGTATCAACTGCTGGTCGGTCGTACGCCTTTTCGTTCCTCCGATAATGAACCACTGCCCCATCTTAATATAAACTGGCGGGCACACCTGGCCTTTCCCAACGACATACTGCTCAACCTATACGCCAGGCATCTCATTGAAAGGTGCGATATGCGATTTGTCTCCCCCCCCCCCCCCCATTTCAATACCCCGAGCCTTATGAAGGGCACTCGTTTCGTCTCGGGCCATCACAACCCCCTTTTCCTCCCACCCTTTACCCACCTACCCCTACTCACCACCCACCTCCCCCAACGAACCACAAGAAGATCCATGCTCACCCGTACCCCCCACCAGTCTCCTCACCGACGCCACAACTCGGCTCGGCCGCAACGGCGCCGCCGAGGTCAAAGCCCGTAAGCCCACCATCCCCCTCTTCCTCTCCACACCCAGACCCAGGAAGAGACCAATCCTCCCCCCCCCACCCAGCACCACCACCAAACAAAACACTAACTCCCACCCGTCCACCCCAGACCCCTTCTTCACCAACATCCCCTTCCCCCACCTCCGCCACCACCCCGCGCCCTTCCGGCCCCCCCTCCTATCCGACACCGACACGCGCCACTTCCCCGTCGCGCGCCTCCGGCAGCGCCAGGCCGAGCGGGATTACGACGCCGCGTTCGACCGCTTCTTCGACCCCATGTTTGACGAGCTGTTTGAGGCGGCTGTGGTTCGCTATGGGTTGGGCGTTGTTGGGGTCGCCGGGGGGAAGGGGGAGGAGGGGGGAGAGGGTGGTGATGGTGGTTGTGGGTATGGTGGTGGTTATGGGTATGGTGGTGGTTATGGGTATGGGTATGCGGCGTTCCCAGAGCTGTCCGTGCGGATGCTGCCGGTGCCGGTGCCGAGTGTGCCGAGCATGCCGACGGTGCTGCTTCGGCCGGGCGGGCTGGAGGGGGGTCGCGGGCGTGAGAGGATGGGTTTGGAGTGTATTGGGTTTGAGTATAAGCGGTTTGATGAGAGCTTCTTGGGAGGGGAGGGCATGGGTGAGGTGGTGGGTTGAGCGCGCGGGTTGTTGGGAATAGGGGCTTGGTTGTTACAGTAGAGTTGTTGTAGTTACATGGTAGCGCTTTGCTCCTTTTCGGCGCATATTCTTAACCTCAACTTGCTAGAGAGCGCTTGGGTTCTTGGGAATAGGGGTTTGGTTTTCACGACAGCTGTGTGTTTGACCACATGGTAACTCGCGCTTTTACTCTCTTCTGGCGCATATTCTCGACCTTGACTTGCTCGAGAGCGCTTGGGTTCTTGGGAATAGCGGCTCGGTTGTCACGACAGCTAGTGTGTTTGGTCTTACGGTGGCGCATTTGCTCTCTTTCGGCGCGTATTCTCGACCTCAACTTGCTAGCGAGCGCTAAGCGTCAAGATCCATTAGGATTTTACTGTTAATTCTTACCCGGCATCACTCTGTTCGCATTCTCAACTCTGTGTCCGAGCAAGCGCTACTGTTCATCTACACAGTACTCCGCTGTCGTCATCCCACACCCCCCTCTGTTTACGATTATATAACCGGGATACTCCGGGATAGTTAGCTGTTCCCGCGCACACACGTTCCCGGAATCCTTGATCCTTTCTCGGACAGCTTCTCAGCCGGCCATGGGAACACGGCCACAACACGACAACATCGTTGTGCAGATCGCAGTGGTTATTAATCCGCCGGAGATTCTCACCTCGATGGAGCCCCGATTTCTCTCGGACGACACTCTCGCGAGCCTGACTCTGGCACGTGGAACTCATCGCCGAGCGACCTCGTACCTTATCCAATCCGACGCCGCGAAGGCTAGTGTGAGGAATGGGATCTCTTCACAGATCGCTGTCTCCAGCAACCCCTAACTCACTGTAAAATTGCAGAGCACTGGCAGTGCGATTATCGCCGATTATCGCAAGGATAGGGCCCGCGTGGATCCCGGCGCTATGGAGCCCCTTACCATCGGGACAGCGGGCTCCCTGTTTGTTTTGAGGGTATGACGTTATACCCTGAGGAAGCCTGAGACCCCACGAAAAACAAGAGGGAAGGGGGAAAAGTCCACGGCACTCACGGGTCATGTCTTCCAGTTCAGCTGGCGTGGCTGGGTAGTGATTCTTCATTTAGCATTTGTGCTTTGTCAACTTCACTCACTCTCGGGCCGCTTCCCCCTTCTCCTCCTAACAAGGGTTATTTGGATAAGTGCCCGCTGGGCCACCTCCCCCCACCTCGATATGTCACTCTCATGTCAGTGCGCGAGCTAGCGTGGCGTGCTGGTCTCGGCCCGCTATCGAGGATCCGGGGTCGAGGAAGGTTGGCATGTTGGCTCATTGTTCTCGGGCTTGTCTGACGGAGGATGCCGTTGTGTATCCAGAAACGAAACGAGATCGACGGCGCTGTTCTCGGCGAGCGCGGTGAGGCCGCCTCGGGGGTGAATGACTGGGAATGGATGCGAAACGTGATTGGTTTGTAGTCAAACGACGGACCGGTGAGTCGGGAATGTTCGTGGCAGTCCGTCTGTGATGAGACCCCTCCGAGGAGTTGGCACGGCGGATGAGGGGAATCTTGACACTAGTTAACTCTTGTGATGGCTATTTTGGGCGGCTTGTGGGGGGTTTTCCGGGGTGTTTGCCAGGTGCGTCCTGGCGTTTTGTTTGTTGCCATGGAACACAGCCTGAAAGAGAGGTGTATCCCTAACCCAGATGGAGCTCAGACCATATCGTTTCAGGATCCTCTTCAGCTGGTGTTGTTAGTGAGGGTTCTGCTCGAAACAAGCCCTCCCTCTGTCGCTTGCCTTTCCGTTTGACAACATGGAGGAACCATCTCAACCCACACCATCATGCTCCTCGAAACAGGCGGTCAGCGGAGAATAGGGGGTGGCAACATCTTTTGGCAGTTGTTGACTCGATACGGCAGGTGCTGTAACTGACACTTTGGTGTGCTGCAAGCTGCTGCAGATGCCAAGACGGCTCTCCTTTCTCCCAGGCTCAGGATCTCGGGCCCCAAGATCACAGATCTGGCGGCTGAGAGAATGACAGAGGGCTAATGATGCAGGCACTCGTTGTGTGGGACGCGCACCCGGAATTATCCCCGCCGATCAGCAGCAGATGTGGATGTGCCGGTCAAGGACAGGCTCGACAGGATCGCAATGCAACCTGGGTTGGAGATCGACTTTGGGTTCGGTGTTCGGTGTGGGCGAGCGGCTCAGCTCGGCAAATCAGCAGCTGTCACGGCATCGCAGCGCCACGGAATATCGATTGTCTCTTTGCTTCTTTTGAGATGCAACGATCGAATGCAGGCGCTAGCGTTTCCAAAACCTGGAGTACTCCGAGTGATGAGTGGTGAGACGGCCATCCACTGCTGTCGTGCGTGAGTGCCTTGCATGGTGTGTCCGTGCCTGGCCTCTGGCGTTGTATTGATGCCCAGATGTCTCGGATGCAAGGCATCAAGAAAGAAAAACCCCAGATTCAGGCAGGAATCAAGATGCGCGCTGCCAGATCTTAATGGCGGGGTTAACGTGCCATCGCACAACGGGCCCCAAACCCGGAAGGTGTGGCCAGGGTGCGTGGTCCCTTCTCATCCAGAGAAGGAGTGATTGTTTTTCGTGCTCCAAACCATCTGGCCCTTACCGAGCCAAGCCTATGAAGGGCCGAGGTGTCTCGGTGTGGCTGTCGGCCTGCAGCAGCAATGCAGCAGCGGGGGGGGTAAACGGCACGCAACCATTTGCCGCCGCCAGACCGCAGGGTGCGCCGTATGCATGCTTCGTTCCGCGTTTCCGCCTCCCACATGTGCCTCTTCAAGAATGAGAGGTGTCTCATCACTACCTGTCCCCCTCGTCTCACCTGAGGCATGATCGTTTGAAGAAGGGAGAGCGCCACTTCTGCGAGACGGCCCGAGCATTACAGGCTCCGCTAGCCTATTGGGCCCATCACCCAGACCGCTTGCTGCAAAGTCAACTTGAAGGGGAAGATTGTGGGCCGCTGGTCCGCTGGTCTCGACTTGAGCGGAGCTTGCCTCGGTGGTTGTTGATGAACCGGGGAAAGAGTGCAACGGATTTCGAAAGTCGGGTGGAGGCACGGGCCAGATATTGCCTGCCCATGCTGCAGCTGGTGCGGCAAGGGTTTGTGGCGTCTGGGGCTGATCTCCCCTGCGCGGAGCGGAGGAAACGCTCAACGCCGCGACCTCATAGCACGGCAATTAAGGCCAAGGTTGACGACTGAGTGATATGAGCACGAAATATGTAGGAGCACAAAAAGCAAGTCGCATTGCGCTTCAATGGCGCGGACTGGTCAATTGCGAGTCCTTGGACGTGCCGGGACCTCATGTCGAATGAAGCCAGACATGGAATGGGGTGTTCAGGGGTTGACCGGCACGACGTTGAGAAAGCTGCGCTGTCCTTCCCGTTCGGTCTGGGGACGATTCGGCAGCGCAAGTCGGGTGCTCACCGTTTGCACATCAGTTCGATATTGGATGTGGAGGTCACAAGACGAGCAAATTGAGCCCAGCTGTCGCGGCAGTCGCAACCCTCCATCCAAGCAAATCAGGCCACACACACGACCGGCGCCTTTACCGGCTCCTCGAAAGCGTCCATCCACACCACCATTGGCAAGATTCTACACAGGAAGTCCGAAGCCGGAACCCTGGGGGTATGGATTCGCGACTTTGTGTGACCAAGACCCGGTTTGTGTCCTGAGACAACCGTTCGGTACCTGAAGGAAAATGCGGTCAACCAGTCCCCCCTGGCGAAGCCGTATCCTCTCGTTCGGGTTCGACGCTTGTCTGTTTGTTGCCGTGGAACTTCTTGGCTAGGCCGGCGATTAGAGAGTGTAGAAGAAATAAAAGGAATATGAAAAGAGGGAGCAGTGGAAAAGATAGACTTGTACTGGGTGATAGATACAATCTGTATGTACGGTACCATAGCGGAATCATTTCCTCGTTTTCCTTCATCGGCCATCCACTCCCTCGTGGAAAGCCAGATGCTAACTAACAAACAAACGAACTGACAGCTGGACATCTTGCTGCCGTCCTTCCCGCGCGGAATGGGGCAATCAACCAGGGGCGCAAGCGTGGTTGCATTTGCTGCTTCTTTTGCCTCTTTAGCGGTCGGCCCAACGCCAACGTGCCGCCTCCTGGACAAAAATGGCCGAACTCCAAATGCAGATGTTGACAATGGAAACTTTGAGTCCTTGATTGTAGGAACAAAACCAAAGCCATCCTGACGCCTAAATGAACTGGATTATACTCCATTTACTCTTATTTTACCTTATTTCCCTTTACCTTTCTCGATTCATTTTTATTTGTTCTATTTGCTTGACTCGGGATTTCTTGCTTCCCTTTTAAGTTCGGCTTTTTTTGGGCAGGGGCTGCTTGCCTTCGATGGGTGGGGTTTCGCGCTTCGAAGCAGCACCTCTCGCCGACGCTCGTTTGGGAATGATATGCGACCAGTGGCCAAGTGCGAGAGGATTCACGGCTTGTGCGCCATGCAGGGTCGGCCACATGGTTTTGGACCAGGGGCGCGGAAGGCTCTGCGCCTCCGTTGCGGCGAGCGTGCGACCATGGGGCGACGGTGACGCTGCACGCCGAGGGCATGAGCACGAGCGTCCCGGGCAGAAGATATACTTGTTGTCTTGAGCGCAACACCATGGCACAACGCCGGTTGGAAGAATGCAACGATGGGGTGCTGCGTGGGGGTCTCGCTTCGGCACCTTGTCCCCTCGTTGTCTGGCTCAGGGCCCAAAACCAGGCTTCTCGGAGGGAGGGGCGCAAGAACGGTTGATGGTTGCGGTGCAGAGTCGCATCCGTGGGCAGGCACCACCAAATTCTTGAGCGGCTCAATCACTGGCCACTCTCACACTCCCATGGCTAAAAAACGGTCGCTGGTTGTTGACATTGCACACCTCGCTCGCCTCCACCGGAGAACAGGAAGAGGAATAACTCTTGTAAACCAACACCGAGGTTGCACATTGTGGCTTTGAGGTCAAAGCTCAGCTGGCACGGTCGTCAAACGCACGGTGATACCTCGATGCTAACCTCGAACAGCCTTAGCGACCTCCACTTTGAATCCATCCGGACGAATGACCCACCCCTTTTTTTCGATTAGCGACGAGACCGGGGGTCGCCCGAACAAGACTTGCTGCCTCTTCGGGTTCGCGCGAGCTAAACAGGTTTAGCTGCTGCCTTTCTGGTGGGCTTCCCTCATCGCTTGCCCGCGGGCTCGGGACAATAAGAAAAACGCTATTATATGCGGTCTGTGCTTTGGGTATTTCTCGAAACAGGGGCACGAATTCCGGATTGGGGCAAGCTGAGAGTCATGGACAGAGCTCTCGTGGAAGCTGCCACAAGGAAGGAGCTTCGAGAACCAAGCTTCTCACTCTGGCAATTCAAAAATCTGTCGACCTACCGTCAATTGAACGCGAAAGAACCGAAATCGACTCCAGTTCACTAAAACGGAAAGGGCAATCGCTGCCGAAGACTCCCGGCCCGGCTTGCGGTGCAGTGCAATCAATCAGTGGGTGACCCCGGTCACCTCGCTGTCGCGACCCCTCCACTTTCGTTTATTGCCCCCCTGTGTGCATGCCCGGGCAGGCTCCGTCCCCAATATTCGTTCCCCATCGTCCGCTGCTCTAGCGCATGTTCTTTCTGGAAAATGTCTCTTGGCTCGCCTTGGCTGCAGCTGCCCCAGTGACATGCAGTGCTCCAGCGTGGGCGTTTTTTTATTAATCTCTCCCCTGGGCTTCCGGAAGCCGCCCTCGTCTCCTGTTCACTTGGAGCCCGGTTTTGGCTTTCTCTTGGACGATCTCCTCCCGCGTCCGCTTGCTTGGACGAGTTGTGTGTTTGGACCGACCCTTTGGATGTGACCCGCAGTTGATAATCGGCCGGCATCTTTCTTCTCTTGTTCGGTGGCCGGGTTTTCGTTTGCTGAGTTGGGAGGGACAACTTTCACAACTTTGACAACTTCGACAAAGGAAACGGGCATATCCTCCCCGTTCGCATTCGCCTTCTTTCTTTCGCCATGCGCGCCCTTTAATGGCTAATACCTTCAATCCTCGCCCGAGGCCCTCATCCCTAACGGGACCCTCCTTCCGACCCCCTTTGTCCAACAGTCGACGAGGCAGTATAGCAAATACCATGGAGGGACCTCTCAGCGTGCCTCCTGACCGGGGCACTATCATTGGTAGAGCAGTTTGGAAGGTACCTTGTTACCTCGCCCGCGTGCGATATCGTATGGTTTGAGTTCCAAATACTAACCTGTTGGTAGGTGCGATATGTGGTAGTTGGAGCCCCGAATCGAGACCGGCCGCTGCCTGGACCGGTCAACCGTACTTCGACACCGAAGGAGCTCGCGAGGGCGCCCACAGACGGCATATTTCTCACCATCTATAAGTCCAAGGTGGGTTCAACCGTTACTACGAACGGGAGTTGCAATCCTAACCATGGTGGGCGGCAACAGGAGGATACCGAGCCGATACAACAGTACGCACTTAGTTCGATTGCCGACTGCCAGCTTCAGGTGATGGCGCACCGCAAGCAAGGCCCGGTTCTCCCAACCTTGGTCCTCAATGTTTTGCCAGATCCGACGTTGGACAAGGCCCGGAAGCGGCGTTCGAGCAGGACTGCCGGGTTCGCAGCCCCAAGGGAGACGGGCCCGACCACCTTGTTGTTTCGCCCTGGGGACGAGCTACAAAACCTTCAAGAATGGGCGCGCTTCATCCAGCAACTCATCCAGCCACATATCCCCGACAGAGCCCCCATGAGCCCGCTAACGCCAGCGTCGCCGACTTTTGTCAACCCGTTCGCGCCTCGATCAAGGGAGCCCAGCGAGATGCAGCCGAGGCCGGGCAGTGGGAATGGTTCTCGCCCAGGGTTCTTCTTGAAGAACTCCTCGCAATCAAGCTCCATGCGCGATCGGCCCGTGACCTTCTCCGATTCCCCGAGTCTGCGATCGAAACGGAGCGACCTGTCTTCTCAGACAAGCGTCATGACCCAGCCACACATGGGTTTTCACAACTACACTACGATGGCTCCTGCCGACCTCCCGTCTCCAGCGACCACAATCGGGGAATACCAGGGCGAGTTTATTGAGGGGTGGACGTCAGCTCAGGGCAGGTCATCCGCGCTCAGCTCCCCCATCAGGGGGCGCGAAAGCGTCAGCTCACAGGCGCCGACCTCATTACCGCCAATACCTGATTCCAACTCGCCGCCAGGGCCACGGGAAACGATTCTCGACAGGGCGTTCCAACTGCGTTGCATACCCGGCTCTGAACGCGAAGTTCCCGGGGAGGAGAAATTGAGTTCACTAGCCCGGTTCGACGCCCTGATGCGGGAGGTGGATGAGAAGAGGAGGCGGCGGGAAGATGAAGAAGCCAAGTCAAGACCGATGGCTGCGGCAGCTCTGTCAGCCAGGACATCGGGCCCGGAACCCAGGAGCGCATTCGACCAGGACGACTCGGATTCGGATTCGGATCAAGACTCGGACTCGGACAACGGTGATAGCGACGAGATCGCAAGAGAAACGGACCTCGAGGACAAGTTTCCTTCATCGACTTCAGCCCAACGAGCCTTGGATTTCATCACGGGGAGGTATGATCCCACGCTGCGGCATCAACTAGCGTCGCGAGGTCATGGCATCAGGTCCCCGCCAAACTATAACCATGACGCGTTCATGGCATTGTCGAGCACCGGATCTTCTCAAATGCGGCCTCAAACAGGGTATTCGAATAATCGAAACCGGCCGGGAATGACACACCGAACCCACAGTCAACCGCACCTTGCTAGCATATTAGCGTCGTCAACACCTCTGGACGCACCGAGGGAGTCCGAGGACGGAACGGGATTCAGCTTCACCCCAGGGTCCCCATCAGCTGTGCAGCGCGCCTCTGCCGAAAAGCGGCAGTCTGCGTCGAGCGCTAAGGGCCTCGGCTTCACCGAGTTCACAAGGCGGCTGAGTAGCACAAGCAGTTTACTCCTCATGCAGACAAACGCTAGCGGACCCGCCAGCAGCCGGGCGAGCAACAGCGACATGGACCTGCAGCAGTGCCCACAGTCGCCCCCGCAGCACCTACACCATCTCCATCCCAGGGCTGGCCCACCGATACCGCAACAGCATCAGCCACCGCAGTCTCCGCCGCCGATAGGCGAGCGTGAGCGCTGCGGCTGGCGGGGCAGCGTGGGTGTGTTTGGAGGCGGCGATGGCAGCTTCGTATGACCAGGCGTGGCTGCTCAACGTCGCAGTTTCCGATTTACAATACATCTCCCTGGTGTTAACGTTTCATGAGCCTTCCAGCAGCATCTTTCGGTGTCACAATATCCGGCATTCGTTCCATTCATCATACCAGTTTAGCTCCTTTCAAGACTTCTACTTTGTATTCCAACATCTTCGCCCGCCTCAACCAACGCACTTCCGAAAACCTCACCATCCCTCACCATATCATCAACCGAATCTAACCAACCGCCTTCATCACCCAACCTACACCGACACCAACATCATCCCTATGACGACCGGCCCATGACCGAGAAATTACTTACGTAAAGGAACATTTGGCGTTAATCATAATTCTTCAAATTTCACGGTGATTTTTACCACCGCCTATCAAACGAACGAGGACACATCCAGAAGGGAACATGAGGTTTCCTGGCCTGGTATCTGTAACATGCATACAATTCTGTCATCTTCTACTTTCGGGAATATTACCCATGTTGTTTTACACATAGCGTCTTCCTGTCATTCCCTTCTTATTCTCACGACGGACGAAAAAAGCGTTCGCGCATTGGACATTTGTACTTGTACATGCATACATACCTACATTCACAAACATTTATCCCACGAAATAACACGAATTCATAAGATCCACATCCATGTATTATTAGAAACTATCCATAACGGCATATGAATCCTCTTATTGCCCCCCCGCTCAGGGTTTGTTTAATAAGATACCCATAGTGCAGGCGGTCCGCGCACCGTGCCCGACGTCAGTGCTCGACCCGACGGCATGGGATGGGGAGGGAGGTCCAGTCCAGTTCATTTCTCATGCTTCGGCTCGGGTCGGGTCGCTTCCACTCAGACGGAACCGATCCCGAACTTAACCTGCACCCGAACCGGGCCGGCTGTGGTCTGTGCCCGTTGTGTCTTTCGTTTCATTTCGTCGAGTGGGCTACCCAACCTATGGGGTTCGTTTCCAGCAAACGGCACGTCTGCATCGCATTTATGTAGTCGTTTCATCAGAATGCCCAGTGATGCCCATACATGTACTGTACGGCACTTGAAGGAACCAATGGAGTGTCTCTCCCTGCCGCGGCCCTGGGTCATTCCATCCCAGGAGGCGGGTTTGGGAGTCCGGCGAGGAAAGGTCCGAACCGCTTCCACAATAACTAATAGCAAACACAGATTGCCGATAACTCGCAAAACAAGGGCCTTCATTCCTCCAGCCATCTAGCGCAGACAGGATACCTACATCCCACAGTTATTCCACGTCTCCCAAACGCCAACGGATTTTAATCCACCAACAGCATTCGCTTTTAGGGTCAGCTTGGCCAACGCACGCTCGGTATCGATCTCGCCCCTTCTCTCAAGCCACCCATTTACCCCATCCATCCCCGCTACACCTTGATATCATCCAGCCCAGCCAACAACCCAGACCTAAGCCAGGTACGGCGCCAGAGCAGCCTTGGCCTCGGGCGACAACCGCTGTTCCACAAACCCGACCAGGGCGCCGCCGTGGCGCTGGTTCGCCTCCTTCATGTACTGGCTGACCCACTTGTCCACCTCGACAATATCGGGGAAGTCGTCGCGGGGGCCGCGCTTGCATGTGTTCAGCGGGGTAAAGCCGACGCCGAAACCGATATCGTCGACGTCCGCCTCGTTGACAATGTCGTCGCCGAACCCGGCCGCCACGCGGGGCGGGTTCTTGAGCAGGTCCAGCAGGTTGTTGCACGTGAAACCCCAGCCCTTCTGGTACCGCTCGGCAAACGACTTCGACTCGCACAGCGTCTTGGTGTACGAGATGACGCCGAGCTTGCGGTCGACGGGGCGGGCGAACTGGCCCGTTGTGGGCAGGATGACGGTGAGGTAAAACGGGGTGAAGACGTTCTGTTGGATGCCCTCGGCGTGCCTGATGAAGAAATCGGCGCCCATCTTACCGTCTCCCGCCCGGGCAGAGATGAGGTGGTAGAGCCGGGCTACGCGGGACTTGTACGAGTCGGTGGGGCTCGTCTGCAGCTTGGTGAAGATGAGCGTGACAACAGTGCCAAAATACGGTTCCAAAACATCACTAGCACGCGTTAGATTCGTGTTTGGGGTCATGTTCTGGGGTAGCTTGGCAACTTACCCAGGGAACGTGCCAACGATAGCCTCGAGAATATCGAAGGCATTTTGGTCCGTCTTTTTCCCCGCTAGTAGGCGTTGGAAGATGGCGAGGAAGGGCTCTAGCTTCTTCTCGGCCTTGATCTCCTCTGCAGCCTTGGGGATAATGGCGGCCATGAACCTGGACAGAGGCGGCACATTGCCCCTCGTCTCCCATGGCCCAGGGGCAAGAACAGCCTCGATGAGCATCTTGAAATCACCGGGTACTTGGTTGGACGGGTTGAGCTCTAGGAGGAGGGCGAAGATCTGGAAGACGAAGGGAACGAATTCTATATGTGATCGTCAGACGTGTTTAACAGAGCTGGTGTTGCGGGCCTGGCTTACCGGAGACATCCTCGTTGAGGATGGCCACGAAAGGCGTCCACAACCGGGGAAGCATGTTCAGTTTCGGCGAGTTGCTGCAGTACCTATCCTGCTGTTAGATAACGCTTTATTTTCAATGGAGGCGGGCGAGTCTTACCTTACGAGGGCACCGATAGCCTCGAAGTGGTAGTAGTAGAAGCGCGGGTTGCTGGGGTTCTCCTTGATCACGTTGGTAATGCTGATCAAATGATTGAGGACACTATCGGCGCCGCAATCAAGAACGGCCTCCTTCATGACGATTATCACCCTCATGATACACCTCATCAGGAATTCGTTCTCTTGAAGCTTGGCAGCAGACGTGTCTTTCTCGATCAGAGCGAACAGGTGTTCCAACAAGTCCTTGGCGTACGGCTGGATGTCGCTCCTGGGGAACAAATGCTGCCCCTGCTCATCCGTAAGGAAAAGGACCCTCTCGACTGCAATTGCCGCATACGTGTAGACGACGTAGTTGGACGAAGCCAGGTTTTGGATAAGGGGCTGAATCGCGCTGGACCACTGGGCTTTGTTGAGCTGACTCCGGAAGGTGTACAGGTATTTGATGGCATCGACCTTCGAGATGGGCTCCGTGGCCTCGGTAAGAAGGTCTGCGGCGATGTTTTGCTCGAAGAACTCGACGACATTGACAAAACTGTTGACCGTCTTGACTCCTTGGGCGGCCGTGACGGCACCCTTGGCGGCAATGGCCAGGAAAAGGTACACAGCCGTGTCCTTGGCCTTCCAGTCCGTCTTGCCGGCGGCCAAGTAGTGGTTGATGTACCTAAACACCACCTGTGTAACAAGCGGTTCGAAATTGTCGAGGAGTTTCCGCAGAAAGTCGGTTGCGGCCCTCCTGCGCGAGTCGGTATCCGAGCCCTCGAGGTCGCGTCGGATGAATTCAATAGGTTCATCCTCAAACATCTCGATATCCGACTCCCTGAGTGCCACATTGGGGAGGACCACTTTCTCGACGATTGTGCCCAAGATCTGTTCGTTGTTGAAGATTTCGGCATGGCGACGCACCGAAGCGACAGCGGTCAAGAACTGCAGCGCTTTGCTCGTGAGGCTATCGTATCTCTTCTCGGGGCCGACGCTCGACAACACGTTCCATACATTGTTTGTGAACTCCTGCACGTATTGGCCGAAATCGTCGTCGTACTTGTTGGTAAACAGCTGGAGAGCGTCGCAAATATCGGACTTGAGGGTTTCGAGCGGCGTGGCCTCGTCCTCCTCGCCATCGAAAATAGGATTCGAATAAGTGATGTACTTGTGAAGGAGCACCGTAATGGGCTGCAAGTGTGTCTCAATGATGGGCGGGATATCCTGGCATGCAAGGTCGTAGAGGAGCCTTATTAACAGGCTCATGGTCTCGAGCCAGCCCTTGAGTGCGCTGGCATTATCTTTGTTTGCCTCGATTTGCCCGTCCGCAATCTGTTATGACTTCAGTCAGCAGCTTGTAGAATTGTATGGTTGGTGGCTTCTCCTTACGCTCAGCATCTGGATGTAGGGTTCTCCGAAGATCCCCACGACGTGGAGAATTTCCCTGTTGAGGTCATTCGACTGGAAAAGAGGACGCCACCTCACGAAGATCGAGTGTGCAACCTCTAGAACGCCGTTTGTGGCCTTGTAGTCTGTTTTGGAGAGACGGCTGACGAGGGTCCTAGGTGAGACTGGTGTTAGTCGCCGCCGAAGATGAAAGTCAAATGTATTCAAGGCATACCTGGGTGAGGGTGTCCCAGCGCTCCCAGAAATCGGAGTCGGCGATAAGGCTGATGGCTTCGCCAAGCTGTGTCTGTATTGTGGGCGGGGACGAGATCATCAAACCGACGAGTTCTTGTTTGATGGCCAGCACCTCATCCTGGGGGAGCTTATAGTTTCCCTCCTCATCCTACTCCGGGGTCAGATCTCTAGTTCGCTTTTCGAGAAGACGGAATCCGATCGAACGCACCACATAGTTATGGCGGATGAAGTTCTTGAAGGCGAGAGCGGCGGCAAGGCGGGTCTTGAGGGGTTGTTCGCCGGTGCTCACGATGCTCAGGAGCGACAACGAGTATTTCGGCTTTTTGGCCTCCTCTTTGAGAGCATTTTCGGCTAGACGAGCACTAATATTAGTTTCATAACATCAACTGAAGGTGTAGAGACGGCGCCCCAGGATCGGCATCACCGAGGGCATGACATGGCGGGGTTGTTTTGTTTGGGGCATCCGAAAATCCAAAACTTGCCTTTGCGATGGTGCTGCGCATCTAGAGTTGCGTTAAGCAACTGTGCAAGATGATCCAAGGTCGAAGCCATGGTGGGCAAATCTTCCTGCGGTGACGTGACGATGGGCGAAGCTCAGAAGGCTGAAGCAGGAAAACAAAACACCAGAAAAAGCAGAGGCGGTTGCTGAGGTATTGGTAGTGGATTCTTCCCTTCTAGAATCAAACTGAATTGGGCAAACAGAGGGGAACCGCCTGGACAAGGTGGGGTTACGGCACCGACCGTGGAAAGAGGGAATTAAAAGTGGGGAGCTAGAGGTCCCATCTCATGGTGGTCAGGTCCCTTCCTGGTTTCCATCCTGGTAGGGTCAACGACCAAGCACAAGTAACTCTCCGCTCCGGGCATCTTTCATCCAATTCCCTCGTTATTTTAAACTTTCGTCCAAACGATGCCTACCACCCCATGATTTTATGCAAGAAAAAACCGTTTGTTTGTAACAACCTCAGAGTTCGACGATTATTATTATTTTATCCTTGCACCTCTTATGCATTTATCAGGTCAAGCAAGACCCGTCTGCAGCTGAACAGCCACGGGGCGACCGACCAATCGCTTGCTGGAGGACTCAGACCCGCTCACCTGCGCCCCTTGCGTGTGACCCCGGATTTTGACTGGATAGCTGGACAGACCTCCGTCATCCCATCTTCGTGGTTGGCCATTTTTTGGTCTTTTTTGTCCTGTGCCTCCTGCAGCTGTACCCGGCTGGGCGATCGATCGACGAGAGCCGACAGCAAGAAACTACCGAAAACAAACGAATCGAAGAAGTGCAGAGAAAAACGAGCGATTAATAACGAGCAGCGCGTGGCTGCCATCCTGCCATCCTGTGTTGTTGTGGTGTGAGTGTGGCTCTTGATAAAGGCGGGAAACCTGCTTGGAAGATCGGTTTTGAATCTTCCCCTCACCCGCTCCTCCAACCAACAAAAGCGACTTCTCGTGAGGCCGACTACCTCCTGACAATCGGCCTCCTCCTCCAGCGACCCTCTTGCCACTCTACCTGATATTGATTGGGGCTGCCGTGGAAACACCATTTATGCAACTATCACACCTGCGTGTAAGTGATGTCTCACATCTCACATCTTTCTCGGCCCATGTGTTCCCGTCCCCCTCCCCTCTGTGTGGCCATACTAGCTTCCGGCGAGCATCTGTGGTTTCGGTCGAACACCCTCCTTTCCCGGCTCCCTGCTTGTTGCCATACAACTGCTCCTGCCACCTCCGCCACTCCCGACGGCTTCCCACCGATCGACCCGGCCTTGTTAAAGCTGCCCTGCATGCGGCTGCTGCAAGTTCCTGCATGTTCCTGCACGGCAAGGCCGCTACCATCTGGTGTCTCCGTCTCTGGCCGAACCTCACATATTTTTCCTGGCTCCGGCCCCGATGCTTTCCCGCCTTTTTTTTAACCTCAACCCACCCATGAACGGCTTGCTAATATGCTGCGGCGATTAGCTTCTCTAGCCCACTTGGCTGCGGAAGACCAGCAGCCCATGTCGCCCTCGCCCGGAGATGAGCAGCAACCGCAGGAGACGAAGGGCACCGGAGGCTTTGCCGGCGTCTTCAAGGGACTTGCGGGCGGCGGGAAGTTGACGAAATCCCCACCGGTCATCCAACAGCCCTTCCCGTCCATCTCCGGCGCTCAATCCCTCGATCAGCGATCCGACGCAACCCCACCGGTGTCTGCCCTTCATGGACTCTCCCCCGATCAGGCCGAGTTATTTGTACACCTGAAAAACGGACAGTTGAGCGAGCGGGTTGCTGCAGCGAACTCGTTGCGTTATGCAATTGCCGACTTCCCTCTCAATCCCGTACGTGCTGGGCCCCTGCTACAATCTCCCCGTCGTTGATATTATCGACTGTTTCTGACGTGGATTTGTCACAGGTCCGCGATATTTGGCATGCCGCAAAAGACCTGATCGACCCGACAAAACCAGCCAGCGCTCGGCAGGTCGCATGGGAACTCCTGACCGAATGCATCAAATATCCCTCCTCAACCGAGCTCGAGCGGCGTGAATACTTCCGGACAGTGACCAGCCCGGCCCTACCCGAGGACTTCTATCTTCAGCTCGCAGCTCTCGAGGACCTGACAAACCGGGGCCGCGATGTCTCCGGGTTTTACTACGACATTTTCCCGCTCCTGACCGAGTGGCTGCAGGAAGCGTACAGGGCCGCGAGAACCGCGAGGAGACAGGCCTCCCGTGGGCCCACCCGGACTTCCAGAGGGAGTACGCTGTCGACGGGCGAGGACAAGAACTTGTCCCGGCTATTCGCGCTCCTCAAGGATGCCATCAAGTTCAACTTCAAATTTGCCACGGACAGCGTGGTCGGGAACTTGATGGCGATTCTTCTCAAAATATGCATGAACACGAGCGTGGAGGATGACCTGAGGGCATGTATCAATGTGGTTGATACCGTGGTCACGTTTGGCGCCATTCCGAACGACAAGCTCAAAGACTGCATACAAATCCTAAGCTCCATACATTGCCTGGTTCCCAGCTTACAGAAGGACGCCTGGCATACCATATCCATCATTTGCAGATCCCATCACGGCCAGTCAACCGTCAGGATATTGCTCGACTTGCTGCGGACCTATTCCACTGGCCACGACAAGGACAAGGATAAAGACTCGTCAGTTAGAGACGTTCGCGGTGCCCTCTCGGTTCTCAAGAAGCTCTTATTCAAGTCCGCCGAAAAGGGTTACCCGGCGGTCTCCCTGGCCCTTCTCGTCGATGGGCTGGCAACGGTCTCCAAAAGCAGTTCTACGAGGATAGCGACGGAGATTTTGAAGCTCATCAATGCCCTATTTGACGGGCGCGATAACAACATCAACACCATACTGGTTGAGGAAAACTGGTCGCCAATCTTCTCGGTCGCCGCGCAGTGTGCGACAAAAGTCGCCCATCCGCCGCCACCTCCAGCGGAACCCAGCGCGTCTTCACTCTCTACAATCGTTAAGGACGAAAGGGAGCCGGAGGATACCGTGGCACTTCAGCTAAAATACCTCGTCAGCCGGATCGAAACGCTGCTTGCTCGGAAAGACTCCGAGCTCCTACAGCGAGATGAATGCATGATATTCCTTTCTGAAATCCAACAAGTCCTTCCAGACTCGGCTGCAGCCCTTGTGGTCGCCTACCTCAAGGAGACCCGAGCCTGTTTTCCTTCAGAGGTGGGCTGGGAGGATAGTCTTAAGCTCGTTCTCGACGCCTTCTTTCTCAATAGGGGTCGCGAACCCCTTACCCGACTGCGCGCCCTGGAAGTCGTCGTCGAAGTGTACGACTTTCTATGCCTCGCCCAGGGCCTGGTGGACGAGGATTCGGTTGCCAAACTTGTCCAGCAAGTGCTTGCAGAGCTGCCGGCGGAGAATGACAGTCTCGTTCTCCAGGAGACGACGGCGTTCCTGGTCAAGGTGGCTGAAACGGCGCCTATCGGCCTATTCGACGACATTCTGGATGCCTTCAAAGGCGTTGTTGCCAAGGACATGTCCAGGCCAGGGCCGTCCGTATTGGCCCCGCACAGAGCTGGCTCAACACTCCAGCCTGGTCAGACTATCTACTTCGCAAATCAAAGCGTCTCCAACGTTGTCACCAGAGGTTATGTGCAGATTTTCATCCAAACGATGAATAACAACGGGACGAAAGCTGCCAAAGCATACACGGCACTGGTTCATATCGCTCGCTCGAACTCGTGCGAGATCGACGCTCGGCTTACAGCCATGAAGATGCTCTTCCGGCTCCGGGCGGATTATGAACACCAGGTCTATCTCACCACTCTGGTTGAAAACGAGACGCTGGCCGGAACCTTGTACAGGACTGAAGCGTCTCTCGCACGTAAATTGGCCGAAGATGCGGCGCAACCCTCGAGATTATCCAGACCAGACCACTCCGGAGGGCGGCCGGCTCGCGGTATATCTTTCAGCCAGGGGCAGACGGCAGAGCGAGGGATTCCCATACGATCAGCGTCCACTCCGAAGCCAGCCATGCTTCAAGGTCAGAGGCTGTGGTCCGTACCCGACCCTGACGCTCTACCTGAGTCCCCTCCCGAGAGGCCGAGTCCGCTTCTCGTGTCACATATACGGGACCCGAGTGGGACTGGTGCGCCTGAGAACGGGGCAGTAGTCTTAAATATGACTTCCTGGCTAGAGGCGCTGCTGAGCCTCTTCCACCAAGGATGCGATTGGGAAGTCTACAGCTTCATCCTGATTCATCTCCCGGCCCAACTCAGCAACCACCCGATCTTCAGGGATGTCATCCCCCATATTCAGGAGCTGCGACGTCTGCTTTGCGAGATGATCAGAACCGGCGGTTTCCTAGAGCCGCCACATTCGTCGGGTCGCCGACGTAGCGACGTTGCGAACTGTTTGTTCCACTCGATCATCATGATCGTCAGCTACCATCGCCATTTCCAAAAGACGGACGAGGACGAGATTGTGAGGACTTTTGCGCACGGGATATCAGACAAGACAGCAAAAACATGCATTCATGCCCTCTCTGTGTGCTGTCACGAGCTGCCCATGTCGGTGAGCAAGTCGCTCGTCTCCATCCTCCAGAAGATGTCGCAGGTTATCACGCAGCCGTTGGTGGCAATGCACATCCTGGAGTTCTTGGCCTGCCTCAGCCGACTGCACTCGCTGTATTCCAACTTCCGCGAGGATGACTATCGCATCGTGCTTGGCATCTGCTTCAGATACCTACAATACGTCCGCGAGAAGAAGCTTGCGATGCGTGGCAGCGTCACGAGCGAACCGGCAACCCCTAGCGTTAGCATGGCGAATCACACGGAACCCCTTGCACACCAGACACCGGGCGACGATCTCCCTCAGTACGTCTATGCTCTTGCGTACCACGTCATCACCTTCTGGTTCCTCGCCGTCAAGCTTCCGGATCGACCGAACCAGATTGGCTGGATTACAAAGAACTTATTTACCGACGTCGATGGAAGCGCGAGCACCGAGGAGCATGCACAGATCACGCTCGATTTCATGCAGCGTGTGGCCTTCTCGGATGCTGGCGATTCTGCCCAAGACCCTCTTTTCAAGGAGCAATTCTTTGGCGAGATTCAAAAGAAGCGTTGGATTATCGGTAACAGCATCCTCACGATTCGGCAGGCAACCGAGTCGTGCTGGGCTGAAATCACACGCCGCTATCCTTCCGGCACGTCGTCGTATGCACTCCGCGTCGAGTTCACCCCGACACCAAACTTGCCAGCCCCAGATGGCTCCGATGCTGCGGCATGGGAAGGGCGTTTCCAGGATGGCGTCACCATCTTCCCGAGCCACTTGTTGATGCAATTGCTGGCCCCGATGCCGCAACTTTACGACCCCCGCCATCCGGCCTATCCCCTTACCCGACGAAGATTTCGTCGACCGGGCTGTCCGGGTCTTTGACCGCAATTCGCCGGTGGACGGGCACAAAGTGGGCGTCGTGTACATCAAGGAGGGGCAAACCAAGGAGACCGAGATTCTGGCCAACACAACCGGCAGCCCTGATTACCATAAGTTTCTCAAGGGGCTGAGCACCTTGACCAAGTTGAAGGGCGCCACCTTCAACACCCATGGCCTGGACCGCGAAAACGACATTGACGGAAAGTACGCCTACTGCTTCCGGGACCGAGTCACCGAGATCATGTTCCACGTCACGACCCAGATGCCCACAAACCCCGAGACCGACCCGCAATGCATCATGAAAAAGCGGCACATCGGCAACGACTACGTCAACATCGTCTGGAACGACTCCGGCATGCCCTTCAAGTTCGACACGTTTCCGTCCCAGTTCAATTACGTGTACATCGTCATCACCCCGACTCCGCATCTCTCCTTCGTTGCCTCGCGCATGCCCCAGGAGGAAGGCACCTCGCACTTTTACACTGTGCAGGTCATGAGCCAACCCGGGTTCCCGGAGATCTCGCCCGCGGCGGAACCAAAAATGATCAGCCTCAAGGCGCTCCCCAGCTTCGTCCGGTTGCTAGCGCTCAACGCCTCGGTCTTCTCACTCGTCTGGGCCAATAGGGAGGACGGCGAGCACGTATCGTCCTGGCGCGAGCGCCTCCGCCAAATCAACGCCCTACGCACCCGCTACGGACCGAAAGCCCAAGGCGTCTCGCCGTCCCCGCCACCGGGCGCCATCGCCACGCCCTCGGCCGCCTCTGCTGCCGCTGCCGCCGGGGGCCTGTCCATGGTGGGCGGGAGCCACGGGGTCATTGGCCACCACCAGCCCGCCGGCCAGGGGCTTCCTCCCCTGGGCGGCGGTGGCGAGTTTGGCGCGGCTGGCGCCGCCGGGATCAATAACAACGGGCGCACGCCCGGCATGCGCGACAGCTTCAGCAGCAGCCTGCGCAGGTCGTCGGTCGCCACCTTCTTCACCAGCGCCCCCAGCACCGACCAGTCGCACCGCTCGAGCATGCTGTCCACGGTGACGACGGAGAATACGGAGCTACTGCAGCCGAGCACCGCCGAGGCGCTGGTGGATTCGGTTGACTTTTCGAAGTGGACTTGATCGGACTTCCTTTTTTTTGGTTGGGTTGGGGGGGAGGGATTGGAGCGGGACTAGACGGGTGAAAATTGGAGCGAGGATTGATGGATGGATGATGGATGGGATGGATGCAACGAGGGTTGGGTATCCTAACCAACTAGGATGGACCGGCGTACAAAAATTGGTGAAACGGAGACTTTTTGGGTGCCTTGCGGCTTCGGTGTCATGTTAGTTATGGGGGCGCAAAGCGTGGGTTTGGGATGTGTGTGGTTAGGTCTGCTTGATAGTTCAGGACAATATAGGCCCATGTAATACCACGGTGGTTTACTACCCCTTGTATCCTCTGCGACTTGTTTTGTGCTGTCGCCTACTAGTAGACGAGGCTCAGGACCGGGCCCCTTTCTTCGCGTCATCCTATTTAGCGAGGATGTAAGCCGGCCTAGCCGAACAACAACACATGAAAGGTCCGTGTCGAGTTCGTTTCATGGGTTTGTTTCGCGAGTGAAATGGCTAGTTTCGTCGTCCCCGTCGTCTCCGTCGTCTCCGTCGTCAGACCCAAGGTGGGACAGCGGATCAATGATGTCCTTGATTCCTAACACTAGGCCAGCATTGCATTTTCTAAGAAAAAGCTCAAATCATTCAACGTACAAATGTCCACATTCCCTATCTATACCTAGCAGTATGCAGTTAACGCAGCAAGTATAGCGACTCACGGGGTTGCTGAGAGGGCTGTCAAACCTGAGTTATTAAAGCGTACTAACTCAACGACTCTATGAAAACTAGCCCTTAGAGACATAGGGCTATTTCCTGATTCTAGGTATGTCTTCGTCGGTCGTTCGTCCATAACTTGGTCTTGGGCAAGTGTAAGTAGGTGTCGCTGAAACTAGGAAACAGAAGAAACGATTCCCAAACGTTTGTATCTCTTTATGTTCAACTTTTTTGGTCTTCTTCTACCATATTCCCTTTTCCGTTTCTATGATCCTTTACAGGGGTTCCACGCCAACAAGCAAAACATACAAGGCTGAACTACAACAGGCTATGCGCCAGCCCGGATAGTCCGGAGATAATGACCAGGCTACATTGGGAGGTGTCGTGTTACACAGCACAGTCCTATGTCCCCATGTACGGCACTTTGCCACCCGTATCACTCCATTCTTTTTCTAGTTTCGACCCACGTGCAGGGCTATTCCTATCTGGTAGGGGACCAAAAACCGCTTGTTGAGTTCGGGAGTGTGCCAGATGTCTAAGCGGCGTTGGATATCCAGGCCGGACCACGACGAGAAGCGAATTGAGGGAGATTGGGGGTTCAATGGGTTTGAGAGATTTCACTATGGATATTTTCCCGAAACCGGCGGCGGTGAGGGTGCGTCTCCGAATGTTGTGTAACAGCTGGCTCATGTAGGGACGGACTTCACCACTACCGGAACGAAGGACAATCTGTTTTATCGCCCACACCGCCGGCGATTATTGCCGCATCTAATCAATACCACATCAAGCAAGACCAATGCTGGGGATGCGGGCACATGCTTTCTGCAGGTGTCGAATGTTGAATTTTGTATCCAGAATGGGGAGACAATTGCATCCGCACTCAGGCGATTGCTTGCCAAAACAGGTTATAAGAAGAGCACATGGCCAAGGGGAATAAGACGCACTCGACACGGCCGCGGACGAGGAGCGGCCGGTCACGTACCACCAAGCCCAGAAAAAAAGACAATAATGGCCTGAATGTTTTGTTCCACAACATCCTCGGACCTCTCACAAAAGCACACCGTGGGGAAATATACGCCGAAACCATCGACAGGTGTGGTGGCAGTACCAATCTACAACTGCCACTCGAGGTCTGGCTTCCGTTACACAGCGTGAACGTGCTCGCCTCAGCAAGAACCGTGCAAGATGATAACTGATCGAGAAAAAAAAGCCGCTCACCACGTTCCATCACATGCATGGTACGGACCCCCATGACTCGCCGCCACCCGCACCAACACGGCAGTCCCACAACAGTTCTGCGTGAGCGAGGCCGGGTGTGTGTTACGCGGTGGGGGCGTTGACGATGCCAACCCAAAGTATTTATTTGCAGCTATTGGGGGCCGCAAGACTTTAAATAAGCGAGCCTCCGGGCTTCCATACAAGGGAGAAAACCGGAACTCGGACGTCCCCCCGCCTCAACCAAGTCAACCGTCCTCGGCAGGCCTGCCGGTCTCATCAATATCCCCCTGCAGCGGCCGGCGTGCCAGCGCCGCGCTCATGCAGCGAGACGCCGTCTGTCACGCAGATTGGCGAACCTGTGCGGTGCGGTCGGGGGATATCGTGTCTTGGACAAGTAGGTGTATGTATGTGCATATACATACATGCATGGCTGGCTTGATGAAAGATACAGCTGCCAAATCGGGATGCCGCAGGTGCAAAGCCGTGCGGGATCGGACGCAGCTTGGATCCTTCCAGTCTGACTGCATGTGGGAAAGGGTTGTTGGGCGGCAGTTTGCCGTGCCACTGGTGGGGGAGACGGCGCCAGGGGTGAGCGCGTGAGCGTGGGTAACGTCTTTGCGGTGTCAGCAGTATAAATGGACTGGACGTGGTTGGATGGGGAGGGGTTGGGAGTTGGGAGAGTGTGGTTTCGCAGTATACCGTATTCCGGAAGAGGCAACCCTCTCCAGTCGAGAAATACACGGAGCCGTTAGCTTGGCTTGTGTCAGCATATGGACTGTGTGGACTGACGTGTGACCACAGAGCTCGTGGTTACACAACCTGAAAATGGGTTCGTACCTCGTACACGAAGGTGGCCGAGTGTCAGCCGAGGGCCAGGGCCGGCAACCCGGCGCCGAAGCGGCCGTCGATTAATGGCAGAAGAATGAATTGACCGGTATATGGTAGTTCTACCCCAATAACTCCCCCACAGTTCCATAAAGCGGCGGGTATACAAGGCATTGATTGATGTTTCGTTTGGTCCGGATATCTTGAACGAATCGAGGGGGGGGGGGGGCAGCACACCGCCTCTCGGCCTGGATGCCGAGAGCTCACGGGCCGTGTGCTAGGAAGTGTTGGGTCCTTGGTGCGCCGCTAGCCCCCCATCGATCGTGGGCGGATGAAGACCTTCAAGTCGACGCGGCGGGATTCGCCGGTACAACGATGCCGTTGTTGGGGGGCGCCGTGGCGTAAACGACCGGGTCATGTGGGTAACGCCAGACCATACATAGACGTATGTTTCACAAAGGGGCCAAGAAGCTCCATGACGGCGGGAGTTTGGTCGCCCATACTGCGTAATTCTCCCCGGCTAGCGGAGTCTGGCCGAGTACGCGGTTACTTTCCTTCGTTGCCTTGTGCCGGGTAAAACTGAAGCTTGCCGGAGTGCCGGACTCGGAATAACTAATGCCGTAGGCTGGCTGTGTTCCAAACTGATCCTGTGCTACCTGGGTTTATATCCTGTTGGCTTTCGGGAGGGCAGACATTGGCAAGGTATGAACATCTGCTTGTGTAACCGGTTGTAGCCTGTTCCACTAAAACCTAGGGATTGTTTGCCGTGTGACCATCGGCTCCCATGTCCTCTCGGGCCGTGGCTCGGCTCGGGAAGTTGGCGATGAGTTGGGCACCGATGGAATCAGTTGACGTTTTTAAGCTTGTCATTCTCGACCTTTAATGCAGGTTGTCTCGAGTTAACCCGAGCCAAGCGCTCTAACCGCTGGTACCTTCTCTTTTCACTTCAATCCTGAACCAGGCCGAAAACGCCACATCGCGTGATTTTAGACATCCCGCCATACATCTCTGTATCTCGCCCATTTTTGGAAGCCTGATATCAAATTAGCGGTGTCCAAACAGTGGTTGGGTTTGGGGGAGTACTTGCCCATGGATTGGAATCCTTCGTCTCCTCCTGTGACCGCGTCAATGAGCAGCTTGTTCATCCCCTGATTTGCGAGGAGGCGAATGCAGCTATCAAGAAGCCTAATCATGACGGCATCTCGCTTGTTTGAAGTATTCGGGACGTCATCTAAGCAGTGCCCCTTAGTTAGCATTCTCGCATCCAAAGGGTAGTACGGACGGTCTAGCATACCGCTGACACAAACACACGTGACACCCCCGACGTCGTCGGCGATGGTGCCGGCCCACGGAAGATCGTCTGCCGCCGGGCTCCCGTTATTCTTGACATAAGTTAATGCCACTGCGATGATGGCGCCCCCTTCGAGGCCCAGGACAATATCCTGGATGTTCATCGTGTTGGCTAGCTTGGCGTATTGGTCGTACCAGCCCATGGTGTCCTTTTTCCTCGACTCTTTCTCAACGAATTCTAGTACCATGTCAAATTCGGCGAATTCGCAGGGACGAAAGGCGAGGTGGGATAACATCATTCCCGTCGTCGGCCAATCCTTGAACTTGAGAAACCAATCGCACACTGGCTGCCCTGAGCCCGGAGCTGAGGAGAGCGGTTTGATCGGCCACCCGCGGTGCCGGAACCAGTCCTCACAAGGTGAATCAAATGGGAGGCCGTACAGGAGTCGAGGAAAAGTGCTCCCAAGCTGAAGGCGGCAAACGCCTCGTATCTTTGTGAGTTGGCGCCAAGCGTGGGTGTGCAAACTCAAGCCGATCCCTTGTTGGCGATACGACGGGTGGACGAGAAGAGCTGCTAGAGACCCGAGCAAACGCTCACCACCACTGTCGGCATAGGTCGTGTAGGTTGCACAGAAGCCCAGAATTTGCCGAGTGCCAGGTTTCCGGACGACGTAGTGCATTGCATAACCGTCTCGGTGAAGTAATGACTGAAACCGGTATCGGTCAAGGTGGAAAGTGTCTGGAAAACACTGACACCACAGGTCTAGAACATCGGACAGCTCACGGTTCCCGTCCCATAGCTCGACGGGCCAGGCTTTTGGTGGTATAGTCATGTTCTGGACCTTGGACGTCTTGGGGCTGGGCTTCCTAGACTCGAAGAGGGCATCGGCAGCGGCTTCCAAGTCTGACGGAGCAAAGCTAGACACCTCTAATATGGTCGGGAAAGACTTTTCGAGAGGCCCTAGTGCTTGCACGTCGCAACAAGTTAGGATGATTTGAGGTCGGGTCTCGCAAACGGCTCTCGTGATTTCAGCCAGGGCCACTTGCGACGGCTGGCCGTGACGCGGAGGGCCCGAGATCACAAAGACCACAGCGGCGGCTAGCCTGATGTGCACAACGTGAGTTCCAGTGATTCCGTTGCGTGGTAGGTATGGGACGTGGCGGACCCATGGGTGATGCCTGGCTAGAGCCTTCCCGAGGGGTTCGAAGGGATCGCTGGGCGGGTTATTGGGGTCACCGTCCCAGGGATTCTCATCTGGCGCGATCCCAGGCGTTAGTAGCAGTATGATGTCGCCGTCCTTGAGGTGGTCCGAAAGCGGGATGCATGGCTGAGAGTCTTGGAGGGACACCACTCCTCGCTGTCTCGTGAGCTCCATCTCTAGGGTGGTAGTTGGTGTAGGCAGGGAGAGACAATGCCCTTTACGCCAGCGTTCGTGGTATGAAAGTTCAGAGAAACACAGAAGACATCAGACGATCTGGTTCGTCTGGTCAGTGAAGGCCGAGATGATCAGGTAGGTCAAGGGCCGCTCCACCCACTTACTGGCACCCCTTGGTGGAGCGAATCGTGACTTGAGGACCTGTCCAAGTCATGCGGTGCTGCACACACCGTTCGAGTGGCACCGTCTGAGTGGCGACCGAGATACGAGACGCAAGTGGTCAGGCTTTACAGCCCCGACCAAGTACCCCCGAGCGAAAGCACACAACTGCTGCGTAACAGAACCAGGTGGCCGGAACCTTGTTGGTGTTTATGGTTCAGCTCCCATGGGCCCACGGGGAGCGATCTGATGCAGCTCAGCAAGGTTGCGGAAGGATTCGATCGCCTTTCCAGGAGATCCGGGCTGGGGGCCAATAGGAGCGGCGAGGGAGTTGGGGGTGCACCAGAACCAGAAAGCAGCCGTGCCGGCAGCGGGAAGAGAGGAACAGAGCGATAATGCACAGCAAGGTAGGTTGCCACTCCCTCTGGTGTGGCCGGCGGTTGTTTCTCATTTACCCCGACCCAGACTCTTTTAGACGCGGGTCGTGGGATGACAACGGAACGGAACCGCAGGGACGGAGGGTCAGAGACTGGGCGAGTAAGCATTGCTGCCCCCGGCTCTGTCAGGCTTCCGTAAGCCGACGCCCGGGGCTTTGCCGTGCCTCGAGATGCCGCTCTTGGGAGACCGAAGGGAGGTTCGAGGCTTGCAGGAGGCCAGGTAAAACGCGTATTGCAGCAACGTGCTTTGAAGCAAGGCAGCCGTTACGGTTCGACTTGGGCGTCTCTCCCGTACTTGTCGAAGAGGCAAGGGCACGGGGATTTGGCAACACACGAGCGGTCCTGCCTTGACTGCCGGTGTTATTGGCCCGTAGGGACTAGGCTATAGTTGTGGTGTGTGCCTGAAAAAGAAATGGGGTAGTACAAGAGGAGCGCGCGGATATTGTGTTAGGGTGCACAATACCGCCCAGACACCACTCGGTCGCCCCATCACGACAGGCGGGCATTGTCAGTTGGTAAGATCGCCCTTGGTTGTTGTGGTAAAAGTCAGAAGAATCTTGGAAATACGCGCGCCACTCGCCCGATTCCCCGAGCGGCATGCATGGGACACGGTATGGGTGTTGCAGCAGCCGGCGTTGAATGATGACTCGAAAACCCAGACAGGGCGGCTGCAGATGGAGTGGTGACACAAACAAAAACTCGTCGCCTCGAGTCTTGGTTGAAGGCGAGAACGATGCCGCTGCTGTGGCCACGGCGGCGTGATTCGCCGGCCAAGGCATCAAGGGGTTTGGGCATGCCATTCATCATCTTCAAAGTACAGATTACCGAATGACTGGATGATTGGAATTTGGCGGCTCTCGAGGCTGACATTGCCCAATTGTGTCGCCAAGGCTGCTTGGTGATTTAAGCATGAGAAAGAAGGAAGGGCGTTGGGGGGGACGGAGCACGTGCGCCCGAGGTTGGAAGTCCCTGGAACCGAGTGTGAGGTCAGAGTACAAGTATGGTTACACATCGGGGACCGGAGTTGCTCTGGTGTTCATTCGCGGTCCGTCCAGGAACAGGCGGGACGAGGTGAGAGAGCGGCAGAAGGATGGGAAAGGGAAAGGGAATTCCGAGGGGGTGCTGCCTTGAGGTTCCTGCCGTGCACGCAGACCAGTGCCTGCCTCCTGTTGAGGAAAGCACGCCTTCCTGCACGATTACCAAATAAGATACGGACATTCATCCTAGTCCAGTTTTAGGTTGCCTTTCAAATATGATGTGGAAAAAGGAAAGGAAAGAGGCAGATAAACTGGACCAAGAACAAGAGAGAATGGATCGAGGACTGTTTGTATTACTTTACGCTATGAAACTTATAATCACAGAGTTACCGAAGGTACGGAAATAAACGAATTGTCCTCTGGCACCAAGGCCACGCAGCTGAGCGATACAGTGTATTTATTCGTATTGTGAAGCGACGTAAATTACGAAGTACAGGCTAAGAATCATCGCACAAGCGCGTCCCACTCCCTGTCACAAGACGCGTCAACTGTGGAATTACAAAGAATCCATTTCAAATCCAGGACACTTTAAACTGTTGGAAAAGGAGGCATAATCATGATGAGGTCTTATTAGTTCTGGATCTAATTGCAGTCGGGCTTAATACTAGAAGACTCACAATGTCATCTGCGGGCAGCGATGACCTCGACGGCCTCATCGGGGATCTCGAAGAGGGTAAGCATTGCCTCTTCATAATTACGTCCAAAAATGAGAGAAAGAGAAAATAAAAGAAGGAAAAAAAAAATAACAAAGAGGAAAATATGTGAAAGTTTGCTGACAACCCGGGTAGCCTCGAAAGTACCGGCAAAGCGGCGCGGGACAAGCATCAAGTCGACAGTCGAGACCACAACCTCGCTGCTCTACGACCGGGGGGCCCTACCCGAAGAACTCGCCCGTCTTGTTGACCTGTTAACCGTCCGAAACCACCTCGACCAAGCCAGTCTCGGCGCCATTGTCCGGAACCTATACCCCTCGGGGAAGGTTGGCGATGAGGTCGTCTTGCGTTTCGTCGGGGCGCTGGGGCACGGCCAACTCAAACCCTCTCTGCCGCTCCAGGCTCTGTTACTCCGATGGATTGTGATGGTTTATCACTTACTGGAGAACCCGGCCATCCTGTCGCAATCATATGGCGTATTGTTCAACCTGCTAGATACCGCTGCTATCAGGTAAGGCCCAGTCAACCTGTCACTAAGATCGCGCTTACCGTTTTGACAGACCCCAGCTATGTCATCTCCTTGCCCTGGTGACGAGGCGGAAGCATGTGAGGCCATTCCGTATACAAGGAATGTAAGTGCAGGCATCGCAAGGACTGTAAAGGTGACCGTGTTGACGACGGCAGACTCGGCTTGTCCCGCCAAACGGGCGGCGATCACAACTTGACCGGTCTGTTGCGCGTATTCAAGAACTACTACCCCGAAATCATTGTGGGAGACATCACAAAAGGGCGAGCGGCATCCTTCAAAGTACCCCTCTCCCATATGCCTCCAACCGCGCCCATAGCTGACCCATAGCAGCACCCTGATCCGCAATGGCGGGCAAAACTCGACGAGATCCAACATCAGCGTTCCGAACGCCATGACGATGGAGGCATCAGGAATGGTTTTGCTGTAAACCACTTATTCGGTCGGCGGTTGCAGGGGGCGAAAGCCCTGCTTCCAACCGTCCACACCATGCACGCCCAAGAGGTAGGACTCATCTCCCGTTGAATCAGTGAGCTACCCCCGACCTAACTAGCTTTAGACTTCTGTTACCCTGGAAGAGATTGACAACGCCGAATCCTTTGTCAAAAAGCTCGAAAGAATTGAGTTGCCTACCCAGCTCGTTGCTGTGCTGGCGGATCCGCTTCTCCAGAAGTTCTTGCTCCTACGGCCAAACGCCGAAGCGTCGTCCCGTATTAGCAACTGGCTGATGGCGTGCTTGGGCGATGTTGCCAGCGGTGATGCCGACTCGGAGATCTTCCTCGACATGGTCGACGTGATTCATGATTATGCAGTTGCCACCAAGGTTTGCACAGTCATCTAGCCAGTCGCTTCCGTCTTGGTCAGCTCTAACTCTATGTCAGACACTACCTCCTATACTTCTTACCTTCTTCGCGCAGTTTCTGGACACCTGGAACGGTGTGGATAAACGGGATATTGTGCTGGAGTCTCTGAGCTTCATCCCGATGATGGAGTTCAAGGGTATATGCCCACACTCTTGCTTTCGAAACACTTAAGCTAACGCAGTAGCAGAACTGCACAAAATCCTGCGGGCTCTACAGCAGGCAGTCCTGGACAACACCGCGGTTGCTCAAGTAGCGATTCTAAAGTTTTACACCCTCCTCCTCCAACGGTGGACCATCATTCTGGAAGTTACAAACCGCGCTGCTTCTCTCCCCGTGGCTGCGGTGCCCACTCTTATCATCCATGTCAACGAACTCGCCCTCACGATAACCCAAACCTCGCCCACCGTCAGCACTTACCTACACATTCTCGACTTCTACAAAGCCGCGGCGACCCTTTATTCCAAGACGAAGCTGCTCCCCCACATCGACATAGTCAACCCGCCCCCGCTGCTCGTCTACCTCCTCTACTTCAGCCCCTCACTAGCCGTCGTATCCCGACTGTGCGGCATCCTCGCCACCTACAAGCGCGCCTGGGAGATTGTCATGTCCCCGGCGGTGAAGCGGCCGGTGACCGACCTCGAGCAGCGGCAGATCAGGGTGTTCAACGGCTTCCTGATGGACATCTGCAACTGCCTGTGGCGCGGCCGCGCCTTCTCGACAACCGACGCCAACGCGCAGGGATGCCGTATCCAGGAGCCTGTGAAGGCGGCGCTCGGGGCCTACATCCATGCGGCGGACTCGGACCTGTCTCTCGAGGTGGCGTTTGGGCTCTCGCACTCGCCGCTGCTGTGTTTGCTATCCGCGTCGTACGTCCAGCAGCTGGAGGAGGATGAGATGGAGGATCTTCGCGCCAGACACGCGGGACCGGTGACCCAGCGTTCGTTAGGGCGGCTCGCCAAGCGCGGTGGCCTTGATTTGTCGTGGCAGGATTACCGGGCTGGTGTGTTGTCGTATCTGGAAGCCAAGGGGTTCCCTGGCATCTTTGAGTTGATACGCAGCACGATGAAGAATGTTACGAGGGCGGAGGGGACCGCAACGGGGCAGTAGCGGCCAGTTAGTTGTGAAGATACCCAGGTGTCGATCAATGGACAATCATGTTGATATTGACTGTCTACCAGTTGATGTACCGTACCGCAAGATGCGTTTTTGAACTCCATGCCGTGCCGTAAACCCATGTTAAATGCCGCCCGGGTATCATGTTAAACCATCCTCACATCCCCATCAAGCATCGCCAAGCCAACCGTCAAGAGTGCATCCTCGTGCCTGCTACTACTTCCCCCCCTTCGGCTCAAACCCATACCCACCCAGCCCCGTCACGCTGTACGTCCAGCCCTCCGGTCCCCGTTTATGCTGGCTCCTCGGGCCCCTCTCGCGCAAATCATCCCTCAGCCACCTCAACACCAGCTCCCCCAACTTACTGTTCCCCGCCATGCCCACAATCCCATCTCCCTCCTCCGGATCCTTCTTCTCCACCTCCTTCAACATCTCCTCCGCCGGCCCCCACGCCTTGACCGCCCCAAGATGCATATGCACCAGATGCGTCGGCCACCCGGCCAAATTATCCAGTATATGCGTCGCATACACGACCGTACACTCCCTCGCCTCCGTCTCCCGCCTCAAAAACCCCAAAAACTGCGCCCGGCTCCACACATCCAAATCCACCGTAATCTCATCCAGCAACAACACCCTCCACGGCCTGATCAGCCCCATCGCCAGCTGCACCCTTCTCCGCTCCCCATCCGAAACCGCATGCATCCTCCACTTCGTATCAATATCCAGCACCGCCAGCAACTCATCCCTCCTCTCGGCATACACATCCCCGCCCACACTCCGCAACAGCTCCCCCACCCCGATATCCGTCCGCACGATCGCATTTAGAACCCACTCCAGCCCCAGATAGGTCACCCCCTCGACCGTCTCCTTGAAGGGGTCGACCCCGCCGACTTGGATGGCGCCCGAGGGCGCGAGGCGCTTGCCGGCGAGCAGGCGCAGTAAGGTAGTCTTGCCGGCGCCGTTGGCGCCGATGAGCAGGGTGCGGGAGCGGGCGGGCAGGGCGAGGGAGATGTGGGAGATGCCGGTGGAGTGGTCCTGGAAGGTGTAGGTGAGGTCGTGGGTCGAGATGGTGGGCGGGGGCGGGGGTTGTTGGGCCATGGTGGGTGAGAGTGCGTGGAGTGTGTTTGCGGGGTGGGTGGGTGGGTGAGCGAGTGAGAGAGGTGAGTTGGCTTCTTGTTCTTGTTGTTGTTGTTGGTAAAGAGAGAGGGTGGTGGTGAGAGGTAAAAAAGGGTGAAAATGAAGATGAGTCAGGACATTGACATCACGGATATAAACGCAGCGACATAAGCCGACTTGACAAATCAGGCAGGTGGTGCAGTGCGCTGATTTAAGAATGGCGTCAACGGATTAAGCAGTGGTTCGCAGCGGAAAAGCGGAGCATGGCAAGTCAACGGGGACGGACAACTTCGGCATTCGGGGAGTTAAGAACCGGGATCAACAAAACAACAGTTCATCTCGAGATCTAGACAGGTTTCGAAGAACAGCAGAGAACTGGACATGGAAGCAGCTTTTGTAAAAGTACTCATACACTTTACTGTATAAAGACCCCTTTACCAACCACTCAGCGCTCATACCCGCCACCACGCTCCCAAGCCAGACCAAACATTACTAAACGCCCCGATATGCAAACCCAAACCGGCTAATGAACCACAACAAAACATAAACACAGAAACCCCATTAAGCCATCCCTATCCGTACATACGCCGAAACCCTTTGCCAACCCGAGGGGAAAGGTCCAGCCATATCCACACACACACACAGAGAATAGAAAATATAAACAAGCCATCCCACCGCCATTCAGATCTTCCCATCATCAAACATAATCAACAAATGAACCCACCCCCAACCAAACCCTCCCAACCGCATATCTCATCTCAAAAGCGCCATCAGGTACAAAAGTACTAGCCCTCACAAACCCACTCCGCAAAAACGCACCACCTCGCCGTGCGATCAGCAAGCACCAAACCGCGCCAGACGCCACGCTCCGAGCACTTGATAATAGTCTCCCACACCCCGCCGTCACCGGGAGCATCATCGTCACCCAGCAACGGTCCCGACGCGGCGGGCGACGCCGGGCCCCTGCCGCCGCCCAAGACGCCGCCGATGCCGCGCCGTTCCTCCTTGCGCATGAGGCGGAGGATCTTGCCGCCGGGGGTCTGGATGGCGAGCTTGGCGGGCTTCTTCGACGACGAGGAGCCGCTCCCGCCGCTGACGGTGCTCGGGTTGGAGCCCGCCGCGCTGGAGCTGGTCATGCTCAGGGCGGAGCCGGGCCGGATGAACGGGATCGGGCTCGCGTTGCCCGGGTTGGAGGACGGCGTCATCGGGGAGACGGCCGAGGCGGATGCGCTGCCCAGGGAGCTGGGGTGCTGGCGGATGGCAAACACGAACGTGTTGTTCAGCGCGAGGCGCTGGCACTGGGGCTGGACGACGTAGATGTCGTGGCGCTGGGCGTGGGGGGTCGGGTGGCGGGTGACGAACTCGTACGGCGGGTTCTCGCCCGTGTGGATGATGGGCAGGGCGAACGCGAGCGGGTGCGGGATGTCTTTGATGCTGTGCATGAGCCCGCGCTTACCGGCGTACACCTTGAGCGTGCCGGTACCCTCATCACCCGGGAGCAGGGCCTTGATGGTGTAGCGTTTGGTTCCGTTGAACCATTCCGCCTGCGCCAGCGCCCGCTTCTTGACTGTCTCGCCCGACTCGAAGCAGTCGCCGTCCGCGTCACGCGAGAAACTGCGCACTTCGACTTCAGCTGCTACCTCGACGTCGGCCGGGACGCTGAACTTGATGTGCACCATCTCGAGATCCTCGATCCGAGTGAGCGAGGTGTTGTAATCGATCATCTCCAGCTCGTTGTTGAAGTATGGCGGGCAGGCGCAGGGCAGGTTGAGGAGAACATCATGGGCCACGGGCGGGCAGATGTGCTGTTGCTCGTGGTGCTCGGGGATATGCGTCCAGCACATCTCGACGGGGCGCGCTAGGAACCACCACGGGTCGGCGGACGAGCTGTTGTAGCTCGAGTAGAGGATACGGCGCGGGTTGGAAGGGCTAGCAAGGCAACAGTCCATAAACCGCCATTCGTTATCGACTAGCACCGCGTTCCACCAGTGGTTGGACCGGGGCATGATGTTGACATCTGAGATCTCCCCCGGAGATTTCAGGTACCCGCGGACAATCTCGCAGCCCAATCCGACCGCTGCGCACATCTCCAACACGAGAGTTGCATACTCCTCGGCAGACGCACGCTTCGTCTGTATCACCCGCCGCGTGTCAATGGGGCCGTCAAAGTCCTCTTCCCATGAGATCTTTTCGGACACCCAGGTGAATATGGACCGCAGGCGTTGGACGTCACTACGGTAGGGCCGGCAGACGTACGTCGTCGCCAGCGTAATCGGTGTAGTGGTCGGAGGGAGGTTTGCCAAGAATCGCGAGTTCTTGTCAACCTGGCTCAGGTTGATGGCGCTGTAGTTTACTGGCTCGGCCACCGGCATTCCGTCGACTCCCTCATCCCCGTCAATGCTGCTGTATAGCTCATCCACCGGGTCTAATGCAGGGTAATCCAGCATTTGGCACCTCTCTCTTCTCTCCAAGAGCTCGTTCTGGCTCAGCGAATTGGATCGATTGACATCGCGCCGCACCTGGACCCAATCCACACCGCCGCCGAGCCCCATCTCTCTGCCCGAATCTCGCCCCGGTCTGCTAAACAGGGGCCCGGAGAGAGTGGGAAGGGAGGGCGTTGATCGACCCGAAGGCGTCTGGGCAGAGCTCGCAGTTGCGATGCTTCCCCTGGTGCTCGCAACGCCAGTCTTGGCAGACTCGAGGATACGCTTGATAAAGTTTTGTTTTTTGGGCTTCGGAGAAACAAGGCCACCCACCGCGGCCATGGGGTCATCGTGCAGGCCCATTTGTGATTTGGACCGCGAGTCGCCCGATGCATGGCTGCTGTGGTATGTGACTCCGGTGAAGGGCGTGCCGGGCCGGTCCGAATCGAGGTCCCGCATGGCAAGCGCACTCTGAGCCCTGCTCCGGTTCTTCCTCGCGAGGCTCCCGGCGCTTGTGGCGCTTATCCCTCCGGCCGACACGCCGCTCATCAAACTACGATCAGTGTTTTGTGTGGCTGACGAGCTATTTGTCGAGTTTGTTTTGGTGGTAAAGGTCCTATTGAGGACCTGCCGGCTGATCTCGTAAGCCGACTTCTTATTCCGGAGCTTCTGCTCCGGCTGTGCGTCTATGTCTATCGTGGACTTGGGACGGTCGAACAGATGACCGCGCTTGGGGGGTGGAGGGGGTGGCTCGTCCTCCACGTCAAGCGTGCTAGAATTTTGTTGATGCATGGTCTTCAACCGCGACTCCATCCGTTCGACATAGTTGCTGAGCTGAGGGAGCGGTTGTTGGTGGGCGTCTTGAGGAGTGGGTTCTTGAGAAGATTCCGCACTTCCGCTGTATGTCTCGTATCCTTCGTCTGTGGGAAGCATCGGAATTCCGGCTGTGGATATTGGGCGCTGTTGCGGGTCTTTCTTCTTTCTCGAAAGGTGGTGTACCATGTCGAAAGACTCTGGGGACCAAGGGTCCAACGCCGGTGGTGGTCCAGGGGATTCGGCCTCTCGACCAGCCCCTAGCGCATCAAGTTGCTCCATCACGTCGTCCATCGCCTCTCTCAACGGAGATGGGGTTAAACCGCCGGGCGAAGGGGGGCACGGGGATGGCATCCTGGGGGTATGATACCCCGTAGCCGTAACTGGGGGCTCGTATGATGCATTCGAATCCTGTCGCGGCCTGTAATACGACGCATTGGAGTGCTCCCTAGATAGTGCGGACGGTTCCTTCGAGAGGCCTCCATAGTAGCCCTCGTCGTATGACGCATGAGTCCCATGCTTCGCCAGCTTCGAGCGGTGCGGCGGAGGTGGTGGTGGTGGAGGGGAATCACCTCCTTGTATGGCAGGCCGGTGGGGCTCTACCTGGTCCAGGCTGAGATGGTAAGCGTGCTGGCGAGTTTGTGGCGGCCGGTAAGGTATGTATGACGGGGTAGGGGAAGGCCCCCTGGAGCCAAAACTAGGAGCTCGTGAAGGGGAAGGATCTCGACCGACGTAGCTAGGCGCCCGGTGAGGAGAGGGATCCCGGCTACCGTAGCCGGCCGCTGGGGAAGGAGAAGGGTCTCGGTTAACGTAACTGGGAGCCCGGGAAGGGGAGGGATCCCGGTTGACGTAGGTGGGAGCCCTGGAAGGGGAGGGATCCCGGTTAATGTAGGTGGAAGCCCGAGCAGGAGAGGGATCCCGGTTGACGTAGGTAGAAGCCCGAGCAGGAGAGGGATCCCGGTTCACGTAGCCGGGAACCGGAGCAGGAGAGGGATCCCGATTAGCATGAATCGGGACCTGTGGTGATGGCTCCCGTCCGATATAACTCGGAGTTCTTCCAGGAGAGTAGTCTCGAGCAACATGGCTAGGAGATCGTGATGGGGAATGATCCTGCGCGATATGGCTGGGTGCTCTGGCTGGAGCTGGAGAGGGGTCTCGCCCAATATGGGTGGGGGCCCGTGAGGGAGAGCGACCCCCTTTGAAACTGGCAGCAGGAGCTACGCTCGTGAGATCAACTGAATTCCTCGAGTTGTCGCGAGATCGAGCTGCTCCGTCCCTCAACGCCTCTGCTGCATCGCGTGGCCGGATGCCATCCTTCCAGGTCTCGGGTGTCTTGGCTGTTGTGTAGTGCGGCGCCTTGGCGTATGCCTCGAAGGGTTTGCGGAAGGTCCTCGATTTTTGGGGAGTGCCCCTGGGGCTGGGTGTGTTGCTGTTGGGCAGTGGGCTGACGGATCTAGTCGTGGGACGGAAGGTGTCCGGCAATACCTCGACGAAGTTTGACGGAAACACGCCCACTGCTCGCTTGTCACGAAATAGCCTTCCAGTCCACCATGAGCCGTCACCTGCGTTGAGACACTCAATCAGATCGCCTTCAATGAAGCCGAGATCACGTTTAGACTGCGGTGCGGGTCTGGTTAGCAAAAAGTAAATCAGGAGAAGCAAAACAAACAGAACAAGCGCACCTCTCCTCCCCACGAGTACACTGCGCGCACCCAACACGGGAAGCGCATTGGCAAGGGTGGCGGTGTTAGAACCATTGTTGTGGATGAGTTCGGACGGTCCCCTTTGTCTCGATCGATCCCGGGTCGATTTGTCGCAAAAATGACGAAGTGCGAAGGTCCAGGACGGGGCGGGTTATGACGGCACCAGCCTCTCGAATTGCTCGACAAGCAAATGTGGAGTTGCAACGAGGAGCCATCCAAGCTCACAGGCGAAATGAAGGAGGTTCCAAAAGGTCAAAGTCCAGGGAGAACCCGGCACTGTCGATGGTCCGGGTGTTGGAGTTGTTTGTCGCAATTGAAGGGGTGTCCTGGTATTCCCCCACACGCGATTCGTGGAGTGGGAATGGAAATTCGGGAAAATGAATGAAGACAGTGACCAACGAACGACCCGAACGTCAACAGCTGGCGGCCGTTTTACTTGGTGGGTGGCTGCAAGCGCCCAAGGGAGGACCAGCTGCCTGGTGATAGCAGGTCCAAGCTCCTTCCCGCCGAACAACAGTTGCGAGGGGCAACCACCTTCATACCCCACCTGCCCATCTTGAACCAGCCCCCCACCTTTAAGAACGACCCCAATCAAGGCCAAGAGAGGGGCGCATCGCATTGGTCGAGGGCCGGCGAAGTGCCGGGCGCCGGATGCTTGGGGTGCCCCACACGTTTGAGACATATTATCATATGTCTCCCTTGGGTCGGCAAAATTATACTCACGTAGACTGCTTTTCAGCGATCGCAGCATGCCATTTGCAGCTCTGAGCCAGTAAGAAGTGACGTTCTCTATTCTCACAACATCGCCGTTTACATCTTCTCAAATCACGACTCTGATATCTTACAAAGGTTACCCATTTTAGGCTTAGTGGTGGAATTTGGAATGCTGGGGTTTGGGTTGAAAATAAGGTGAGGTTGTTTTCGGGACCCTCCCAGGGCGGCTGCAGCTTTTAGTTACTGCAGCCGCATCGAACAGCACAGCATGTTTGCCATTCCACACTTCAAAGAGTCCATATTAATCGAGCCCGACAGCTCACCCAACCTCCACAGACTTCATAACCACTATAAAAGATTAGACATCCCATAGCTTCCCTTTTACGAGGCAGCATCGCTCGCTCACTTCTTCCATCCCAATTGAGAATGGAGAACCCTGCGCTCAGCTCCCCCACTGTCCCCTTCAATCCCCAAAGTAAACAATGGCCCGTGCCCGGTACCCCAGCACCCGGACAACCAATGCATCCTGCGAGATCGAACAGCCCAATCTTAATAGCACGGCGCGCACCTGTAAGAGACTCGGTTTGGCTCCCGCCCGTAACTCGTCAGGAACCCATCACCGACTCCTCGCTCCCCCACGTCGAGGCACCCGGCCACCAGCACCAGGACTAGCACCAGGTCGACCCGTTGAATGTTTTCCGTTTAGTTACCGTTGACCGTTGCCCCCGACTGGCGAACCGCCCGTCTCGGCGTCTTTCTGGTCCTCCTTCATCATATCATCGGTCTCCACGGTTCGTCTCGACGATCGCATCATCCCGCCATGGCCATGCTCGAGTCGCGACATCGCATGTCCTCGTCAACAACAACAAAATCAGCAATGGCCGACGAAGGGATCGCAAACCGCTACCAGGTGCTGGAGGAACTCGGCCGTGAGTCGCAACCATGTGCGTATTCGGTATACCGTCGCAATTGGCTAATTAAGGGCGTGCGCAGGTGGCAGCTTCGGCGTTGTTTACAAGGGCATTGACAAGGCCACGGGGGAGACGGTCGCCATCAAGCACGTAGGTGCACTTTCGTCCTCTTCCACAATCTAACCCAAAGCTGACTCGCAATGTCGCACAGATCGATCTCGAATCCAGCGAAGACGACATCCAGGAAATCCAGCAAGAGATCTCGGTGCTCAGCACATGCGCCAGCAGCTATGTCACCCAATACAAAGCCAGCTTCCTGCGCGGACACAAGCTATGGATCGTCATGGAGTACCTAGGCGGCGGATCCTGCCTCGACCTGGTATGTTGTGTTGGGACGATTGCGACGGTTGCGACCGACCTCTTGGATCAGGACTAACAGCCGCGCAGCTCAAGTCAGGCATCTTCAACGAGGTGCAAATCGCCATCATCTGTCGCGAACTACTTCTCGGTCTCGAATACCTGCACTCCGAGGGAAAAATACATCGCGACATCAAGGCCGCAAATGTGCTGTTGTCGGAGACGGGCAGGGTGAAGCTGGCCGATTTTGGTGTCGCTGCACAGCTGACCTACATGAAGTCGCAACGGAATACCTTCGTCGGAACGCCCTTCTGGATGGCCCCGGAAGTAATCCAACAGGCCGGTTACGACTTCAAAGCCGACCTTTGGTCGCTGGGTATCACCGCCATCGAATTGGCCCTCGGCGAGCCTCCACACGCGAGCCTCCACCCCATGAAGGTCCTTTTTCATATCCCGAAGAATGCGCCGCCACGACTTGAGGGCAAGTTCAGCAAGGAGTTCAAAGACTTTGTCGCCCAATGCCTAGTCAAGGACCCCGATTTCCGGCCGACTGCAAAAGAACTTTTGAAACATCGCTTCATCCGATCGGCCGGCAAGGTGGAAGCCCTGCAGGAGCTGATCCAACGCAAGCGGATGGCCGACGTCAGGGTGGACCATGTGAAGCACCCGGTGTACTACCAGGAAACGCTTCATAGCATCTCCCCCAAGGACGACGCCGATGAGTGGGTCTTCGACACGGTGAAATCAATCGTACCAAGACGGGGCACCGTTCGCTCTAGGAAACCATCGTCCGCGTTCTCCGTCGACGATGCGATGCGCAAGCTGGATCTCAAGGACGGGCCTCTCCAACCTAACACGCCTGGGACAGTCCGGAAGTCGACGATGCGGCGGCAGCCGTCTTCGGCCTCGCGCCAAAACGCCCGCCGGGACTCGATTCGTCGCCGAATGTCCAACGGATCCCCACGATCATCCCTTGGACCGAAGCGCCCGCTGCAGCCCGACACGTCGTTCGGCAACTCCGGGTCTACCATGCGCCTCTTCCGGCGCGTACCGTCAGACGGCTCCAACCCAAGCGGCGTCGACCCTTCCCCTCGCGAGTTCGCCAACGAGAACCAACCCCCACCCACCTACCACGCACCGGTCGAGCCAAACAGCAAAGAAGCCATGCTCGGCCGCCGCTTGTATAACAAGGCCCTCGAACCCTGCCTTGACGAGCTGCACGCGCAGACAGCCACCTCCACCAAGCGCGAGGCCCTCGCCCGCCTCTCCGACGCCTTCGCTCTCCTCGACGCAGTCGACCCCGAAGGCGCCTACCACCTGCTCCGCAACCTAGTCTCGACCGTCTCCCACGACACCAAGCTCAGCAACACCTTCCTCCCTCAACAGCAGCACCAACAACACCACCAACAACAACAACCAAAGTCGCAGCCCCCGGCGCAGGACGGCACCGTGCTCATCAAATCCCGCCCCTCCACCGCCACCACCCTGGCCGGCACCCCGCCCGCCTCGGCCGCCGGCAGCCCCTCCAAGCTCATCATCAGCCAGGAGAACCCCCACCTCATGAGCCACCGCCGCCGCCGCGGGAGCATGCTCCCCCAGCCTACGTCGCCGACCTCTTCCTTTGCGGAGGCGGGTCGGTTTCCGCCGGCTGGGCGGGAGAGAGGGGGGGAGAGGGAGAGGGGTGGTGATAGGGAGAGAGAGCGGGAACGGGAACGGGAGAGGGAGAGGGAGAGGGAGAGGGAGAGGGAAAGGGAGAGAGAAAAAGAGAGGGAGCGGGTGGCCGCGCTCGCACTCGAAGCGCGGTTTCCCGGTCGTGCGGCCGTGCCGGGCATGGAGCACTGCAAGGCGCTTTCCGATCTGCTGTATGCGCGCTGGACGGATGGGTTGAGGGCGCGGTGGGGGATTGTGGGCGGCGCTTGATCTAGCGTGTCAGTTCCTTGGCCCCCAGGAAGGTTATAGGGGGGGTGGGAGGGAGTAGGGGTGGGCGGTAAAGGGGTCGAGGTGAGAGGAGGCATCGAAGATGGAATGTGATGGGACTATGATGTCATGTCGTGGTCATGTTGGGCTTAGCATTCGTTCTGCTGTTGTGTTGGAGTAGTGTTGGAGGGCGAGAGGGTTTGTTTACTTCCGCTTGGTTCATCCGCCACCGTTGTCGAGTCCTGGGCGGCGTCAGCGATGACAAAGCCGCTAGATGAATGGGGTCTTGTATGAATGAATGGGAAATGAACTGACCTTGACGGAGAGGGCGGGCTGCCTCTGTCAGATGGGACGTAATGCGGGCGGGGAGGGGGGACGGGAGAGTCGGGTTCCTGATTTCATTGCGTCTGTCGTCTTGTCTTTCCGTGGCTTCAGCAGGCGGGCATAGCATCGCATACTGTAGTATTTTGCTACTTGTACCCTTTTACGGTTGGGCATGGCTTTGGGTTTGTTGGCATTTAATGGGAGCACCGTTTTTCAAATTGAGATACTTGGTTCACTTCGCATGCGCTGTGTTGTGACATGTTCCCTTCGTGAGGAAACTCGGTTACATGCTCGGAATTGCCCCGTTCAGGGATAGGAACAGTCCAAAATACCTACCCCTCCCCCGGCTCTGGGAACCCATATCCAATTATCAGTACATCCAGATACACTATCTCCACCCACTATGCCCCAGGCGCAACGACCGGTTCCGGTGTTGGCTCTTCAGCTAGTGATGGCTCGGGGTCTGGTGGGTTGGTCTTGGGGAGTGAGAGCTTTATCCGCCAGTTCATGAATTCGTCTGTGATGATGCTGCCATGGCCGACTTCCTCAACCTTGAACAGCTCGATGTGGGCCGATTTGCTCTCCCGTTTGATCCTCCACACGCCACCGTCACTGATGCTTTGGCGGAGCCCTGCGGAAGCTGATTAATATTTGTTGTGGTGCAAGTTGCAGGCGGGGGTGACTTACATTCAAGGAAAAGACTGGTAAATTTGATACAGACGTTTCCGTCCCACTTCGCTGTGTTCCTGCGCTTGACATCCTCCGGCATGCTCAGGGTCTTGAACTCTTCGACCTGGCTAAGTATTCCGCCTTGGGTCCTGAAGCCGACTATGATCTTGGGAACGCCAAGGAGGAAGGACTGGATCCAGTATCTCATGAGTTTCCGGTCGAATTTGAATTGGTCGTTATGGCTGCGAATCTCGGCGCTCGTTTTAAGTTCTACCCAGTTGATGGGTTGTCCTGGTGTCTCTGGCTTTGCATCCCAGACTATATGGTCGTCAGCCTCTTGGGACTCCGGGGGCTGCAATGGGCGCCTACTTACTGGCGTCGACTTCGCCTCCGAGACAGACTACAGACTTGCCGAACCCCGTCCGAACGACGGAGCAATACTGCTCTTTGTTGCTGACAACTTCATCGTCTCGGCTTTCGATGTATTCTCTCGTTGTCTCGCCCCATGGCCGTGGTATTGTGCTGAGGGTTTCGAATTTGTACCCTACGTTGGATGTCAGTCCAGCCCATCATTGGGATCAACGGTAAACTCTACCCCAAAATTGCATCACGGAAGGTGGATTCCAGTGCCCCCTTCGGTTGTTCTCCTGTTGCCGCTTTTGGTCCCTGGCGATCTCGATTTGCCGCTTTTGTTCCTTAAAGGCATGGTTCTCTTCGATAAATCTTGTAATCGGTGCTGTCAACCGGGTGATCCAAAGTCTACGTAGAGGGTTACATCTCGGATTCGCAGCTTACATGCAATCCTGGGGTCGTTAACACGGCAAATGTCTATAGGACGCATTGCAACTTACTCGGTAGAGGGTAGCATTCATCTCAAACCTAGAGCAGACGACGGAAATTCAGCATAGGGCTCAATAGAAGGGGTTCCTGGGTGGCCTCACCCCTCGTCATCATAAGGCGTAGCCATGATCTGGCCTACGTCAGCATACCGAGGTTCTGAGCACAAAAGACGGGGAACCCAGCCCTACCTTGGTCAACATGCCTCTCCAGGTGACGATGTGTGCATCTATCGGCCCGCCAGTTTGTTGTTCGTGGCTTGCTATGGTTTTGAGGAGGCTGTCCAGGTGCTCATCCTTCGATTCGTCATGCTTGATAAACGTATCGTACCCGTTCGACAGGTTGGCGCCCACCACCGGCGGATAGTACCATTTTAGGGATGAGTCGTCCAAGCGAAACTTGTGGTCTTTGTCGTATGAGAAGCACGCAAACTCCTAAGGTACCAGGTAGACAATGTATCAGAACATTTACCATCTCCGTAAGCCATGATCTCTGTGGGTAGTTTTAGACTCACCTTTGGCCGTTTTACAGGTTCACTCTCTCCCGCATAGCTAGACGGAGGTTGAATGGGGAATTCGAGGGCCATGGCAGCTGCTGAAGCACTCGAAATGCTTGAAATGTGCCTGATAAACCTGGCGATGGGAAGTGTTCTAACGGGTCTCGTTAGCACCCTCATCCCCCGTTATGTCCAAGTAAATAAATAAATACCCTGGACTCTTGCCTGCATCAGTTCAGCAAAGTTCACAATAACCGGATGAAAAAGGGTTGGAGCGATGAGACTGAGATGCTTGGCGTCCTCTGGGTGCGTCTTGTAAGTTGAGAGATGCTCTAAACTAACAAAGAACGGCAAACGGCCAGGGATGGAGGGGCCGCTGTATCCGGCAAACGCCTGGTCGTCTTGGCGTACGCGCGCGCCGAAACACGCTCTAATTTTTAAAAAAACGGCCAGAAGACCAGAAATCAGTCGAACTATCTACAGCTATATCAACTAACCCACTACATATACGCACCGCGCAAATACCTTAAGCTATATATCTAAATATATAGAATCCGAATATTATACCCGATTAATGATGCGGATAATACGCGCTGAGATCTTGATGGGTTTAAAAACTGGTGAATTTTTGGTAAAAATCGCCAAGACCTGCCAAGCCTTGCCAAGATATCTTCGAAAAGTTCAAATACAATCGAGAAAAACAGAAATCTATCGATACCTCAACGCGCATTATCCGCATCGTCGATCAGGTATAAAATTCAGATTCTACATATCTATATATATAAGTTGAGGTATTTTCGCGGTGCACGCATGTGGTGGGTTGGTTGATATAACTATATGAAGTTTTTAATTCTCCTTTTCCCCTTTCAAAGTTCTAAAAATTTAGAAAATGTTGCGCAACCCGCGCGCGCACGCCAAGACGACCAGGCGTTTGCCGGACACAGCGATGCAAAGCCCCACACCTACTTCAGATCCGGCCAGGGTGCCAGGCACTGCCAGGGGCGTTTGGGGGCCTTTGTGGGTCCTGAAGCTCCGCATCCATCCCGCATTCGTGGGAATACCGCAGCACCGGCAGGAACCGAGAGTTGTCAGAACTCCTCCAACTTACGAATACTTCCTCAAAGTTCAACAACAACAACTCCCGGTCTATCTTGTTCTACTGTGCACGGCCAAGCCACTTTGGCTCCACAGAACACAGACGCCTCAATCGCCCGTGTTGGTGAGACCGCCCGAGAATGACCAGCGACTGGATACGATAGCGACCATGGCCAGCAGATACGGCCAGGCGTACCGTAACGGCGGCGGGAATGGTAGTGGTGGTAGTGGCGGCGGTTACGGCAATCTTGATCGCCAGGATGACGAGTACGACCCTTACGGAGAGGGATATGGCAGCGACCGCCATGCGCCCCCTCCCCGCCGAACGAATCCTCGACCCCCTCCCGCTGCCCGCAACGCAGCCCCCCCCACCTCCTCGGTCCGCCCACCGAGTTCAGGAGACCAACGCCGAGCGTGAGATGGGAAAGGTACTCGAATTGATCAAGCAGGAGTGGCCCGCCATGTGCGAGAACGACTGCATCCCCGTCCAGCTGGCCCTACAGCTGCTCGACACGAGCTCCGTCGGCCGCGCCCACGAGTACCGCAACTTCCAGCGGACACACCTATACCTGCAGGATTCGCTCAAGAAGATCGTCCACGAGTACCATCAGGGATTCAACAGCTCCATAGGCACGTTTCACAAGATCCAGGGGAGCATACAAGCCTCACAGAAGAAGGTGCGCACCCTCAAGGAGTCGCTGGCGACCTCCAAGACGGCCCTCTGCGCAACAGACCCGGAACTCAAGAAGCTACACGCAACGTCGCACATGTACGATGACGTACTGCAGACCTTAAACGAGCTGGACGATTTGCGCGCGGTTCCCGACCAGCTCGAGGCCAGGATATCAGAGAAGCGTTTTCTCACCGCTGTCGAGGTCCTCCAGAATGCACTGCGCAAGTTGACCAAGCCCGAGTTGGACGGTATCGGGGCGTTGGGCGAGTTGCGGAACTATCTGGCGAATCAAGAGACCGCGCTGATGGACATACTGGTTGAGGAGCTGCACGAGCACCTCTACCTCAAATCACCATACTGCCAGGAGCGGTGGCAGAACCTGGCCAAAAGCCAGGGCGCTCTCGGCGAGGCCTTCAAGGACGCGCCAGCCGTATCGCCATTCCATGCTGTTCTCGATACGGTCGATTGGGACCGGTCCGTGACCGAAGACCCGCACAAGAACCCCGAAGCCGACACTTTCTACTACGTCACGCTGCTAGTCGAGTCTCTGAATAGGTTGGGGAGGCTAGAGTCTGCCGTGGACACATTGAAGCAGAGGTTACCGGTGGAATTGTTTGCCGTGGTGAACGAAACCATCAACGACATCGATCAAAAACACCCCAGCTCTTTGAGAGGAGGCTCCAATGGGTCTCACGGACTCCATATCTACGGCCAGCGCGAGACCAGGATGAGGGCAGATGTCATTTATGATCTGCTGTGGACACTCTACGGAAAGTTCGAGGCCATAGCCGAGGGTCACCGCGTATTCCACGAATCCATCAAAGCGCTCATCCGCCGCGAGGGAGCCGGCAACAACATTGCACTGCTGGGCAGCTTCAAGGAGCTCTGGAATTTGTATCAAAACGAGATTCGTTCCCTGTTGCACAACTATGTCACGACGGATGCCGATGTTTACCAGTACCGCTCTTCGCCCAGGTCGGGCATGGGGATGAACGGGACGAAGGACGCCGCGCGGGAGCACCTCTTCAAATTCTCCGAGGTCGACTCCAAATCGACCGAGATGGCAACCGAGTACGAAGCCTTGGATGGCATCATCCAGGCTGCTGTGCCGGGCTTGACCTCCAACTCGCGCAAGGGTGATGGAAAAAAGGGCCTGGTTGTCCCACGGTCGGACCCCGCCGCCGCTCGAAAGAGCACTACCGGCTACGGCAGTAACCAGGGCAGTGGAACATACAAGTCGTTGGTCGAGCCCAGCGTGTTCAATATGAGCTTGCTACTACCACCCACTCTCATCTTTCTCCAGCGTCTAAAGAACATCGTCCCGCCCGGGTCAGACCTCGCGACCAGCACCCTTACGTCATTTCTCGATAACTTCCTCGTCAACGTCTTCCAGCCCCAACTGGACGAAACGCTTGGGAAGCTCAGTGACACCGTCTTTGGCGAGGCCGATGCCTTCCTACAAGATTCGGAGTGGGTGCGGGTTGCCAAACGGCCCGTGTTCAAGGGTGCGACGGCTTTCTTTACGATTGTGACAGCATTCTGTCGGATGCTGGGCACCATCCCACATGACCAGGCCCTTAGCGCGCTCATAATCACCCAGATGCTCCGGTACTACGACAGGTGCTTTACCTGGTACAAGGCGCTGGTCACCAAAACCCAAGAAGAAGCATCCAGCGCCCAGGAGCTGCGGGCGTCCGCCGTACTGGCGCTCGAACCTAGCGAGATCCACGAGGCGATGCAAAAGGTATGGGAGGCCGAGGCGACTGACTTCGGACTCCTCGAGAACGAGGCCGACCTACTCATGGCACAGACAAAGGTGAAGAAGCTCGAGGCCAGCGACATTATCCAGGACCGCGACACCATCTCGTCGCTCTGCCTGCTATACACCAGCATGAAGTGGCTGTCAGTCAAGATCCTCAGCCTACGGCACATCACCAAGAACGAAACCGACTCGTCCCGCTCCAGCCTTCCCAAACCCGAAAAGAAGCGCTGGACGCTGCTCAATGACCCCAACAAGGCCACGGCAGACGAAGGCCCAGTATATTTGCCCATGACGCAAGAAACCGTTGTGTATGTTTTCAGCGAACCTCTTTTCCCCCCTCTCGCGATCCCTACTCAAAACATACGAAAACTAACGTCCCCACCCAGATCCTTCGACAGCATCCTAACCTCATACACCTCCCTCGCCACCACAGCCCTCCAAACCCTCCACGCCGAAGTCCGCTGCCGCATCCTCCACTCCCTCTGCACCGCGCTCTCCCCCTCCCAAACGGCGCCCTACCTCCTCGAGCAGGAAGTCACCGAACCCGACCCGGAGATCCTCTCGCTCAACAGCGAGATGGTGGCCTTCGACGAGACGACGGCGCACTTTCTGCGCGAGCGCGAGGTCGCCTTCGTGCGCACGGGGCTGGGCCTGCTCATCAACTCGTACCTGGTGCGCAACGCGGGCATGACGGCGCCCATGAACGCCAAGGGGTGCGGCCGCATGCGCCTCAACGTCCTCGTGCTGCAGCAGAACCTCAAGAACGTCGAGGTCGGGCCGGGCGCCGAGCTGGGCCGTGCGAAGCAGTACTTTGAGCTGTTTGCGGATGGGCCGGATGGGATCGTCAAGCGCGCGAGGGAGGACGCGGAGAGGGCGAGGGAGGAGGGTGGGGAGGGCGGGGAAGGGAAAGGGGAGACGGCGGCGGTCGTGCGCTTTACCTATGACGAGCTCAAGGCCCTGTTGGAATTGTGCTATAGCGAGCAGCTGGCTGATCCGGAGAGGGGCGTCGCTGCTGCTGCGAAGAGGCAGCTGGCCGATAAGCTGCTCGGGCTGAGCGAGTATATGTGGCAGAGCTAGGTCGGTGGTGTTTAGGGGGGTTTGTTTTGGGTGGGACGGGGGTGGTTGTGGAGTTTAGCTGTTGCTGTGTACGGTGGTGGGAGGTTGGGTGGTGGTATGGTTCTCGGCTAGCTACATGTGTGTGATGGGTGGACGTGGAAGGCTGGGGCCGCTGTGTAATGGTCACCCAATGTTGTGGTCACAATGGCACCTCGTGGGCGCACAAGACGCATAAGTGGTACATCTTTGCTTTGCTGTTTTACGAAGTGCATTGCACCGCTTGTCCGGCCACAACTCCCAGACCACCAATACCTACCTACCTGGACCAGGCCGTCCATGTGGTCGACGCGCGGTCTCCCAGGTTTAACATAGGTCGTACGAAGTACCACACTACCTGCCACAGGTTACGCACTTATCATCAGGATTTATCAACCCCGTGTTTGACAACTGCCGCTGCCAACCGCAAAAAACGGCGGTGCATCCACTCAGCCCCAACCCCATCCCCCCAAAAACCAGAGCGCCCCCCCCGCCATTGCTACCCTCTCTGAAACTCAAAACAAGCCGCGAACCCAAACATACCAAGACCGCCTGGGTAAGGTACTTTTGCGCCCCAAACTGGGGTTTGAAACAATCAGCCCCCCTCGCTCCCGTTTCCTGGGGCCGCACAGAGCTCGAGCCTCGAGGTCTGGACCGAGTCCAGGCCTCGGAGGTTCCAGTATCCTGAAGCTTGTCTAGAGGACCAAGGGATGCATCAGCCGCCGCCGATCCTGAAGGGGACCTCCGGTGCGGGGTCACTTTTTTGGGGTCAGTCAATTGGGGGAGCGGCGGGAGGATTGGGCTGCTGTGTGGGAGGGCGGTTGTTTGTTTCGGAGTTTAGGTAGGCTAGGCCAAGCGGTAGGTGGTTGTGCGCGCTGGTTTGGGGGAGCGGTCGCTTGCATGCTTGCGTTGTCTAGTTTGTCTCGGTTGTCTCGGTTGTCATGTTAGTGAGGTATGGGAAAAGGCGGAATGACGGCGCCCGTGGCGAGACACGCACGCCATGGGCAAAAAAAAGGCCGGACTCTAACCAAGTGGGATGTCGAGTCGACGAACCAACCCCGACTGACTTTCGGAGGGAAACGAAAACCATGCCCAGCCTAAAGAAACCGCTTGCCCGGTTTACATTTCTTTTACTTGTTTCCTTCTACTCAATTTCTTTTACTCGAGTTCGTATGCCTTGAGGTCCAACTTTTTTGACCACAGGGTCCGTTCATGCGAATAGGGCGAGATCCGGGCCGCTGATCGCTGTCCAGCTGAGGTGGAGATCGACTCGGTGAAAGTTGCATTAACGTCTCGGACAGGGTTTTGAGCCATGTACCCACTTGAGCCAACCTCATTTCCACCAATTTTGATGATCACAACAAGTCTTCCAGAGCAAGAGAACTCTCCTCAATTTTTCCCAAAACACAAATTTTCGACTCTCCTCGACCTCACGATCACGAATACCGCCACGAAGAACGACCCCGACCCGAAACCGCAATGCCACGACTGTTATTCGATGCTGACCTACGAACCCACTGTAATTTAGGGGATATAAGCGCTATAATATAGGGGCTTGATTGGAGGGGTATCTTTTATGGGTATTGGGGCTGCGGGATGGGGCTATAGAAGGCTACATTAGATTCTCTGTAATGCCAGTGTTCGAATGGCATTTTTATCTTATTTTTAGAGTGCAAATTGACTGTATTGTTGAACTCTTGTTGACCGTCTGTTTGGGTGCGAATTGCCGTGGCTCAAGACCCTACATGGCTCAAAACCCTGTCGGAGACGTTAGCGGCATGCTTGCTGTTGTCCTGTGTAAGTGAATACAAAAATATACACATGCGTGTCTCGATATCAAGCTTGGTACCCAACTGATAAACTGCCAACGAGCAGAAGGGCGTGCTTTATTTTGCCTTATTTAGTCAGTTCATAAAGTCCTTTTCATCTGCTATTTTCTCATGTCTTTTATCCCATCGGGGTGGATCATAACAACGACGGCCTCAGTTCTCCACCCTTTCAAGGTTACAAATCCCTTACTGAGGCCGCAGTCGGTTGCCACATGATGGAATAGTGAAGTAGGCTCGCAAGTTGGTTTCGACTCTCAAATGTCGAACGCCAATCGAGCAGGTCAAGAGTGACGTCGTGTCAATTGTAGCCAAGACTCGGCTTGTTAAAAGCTTGGTGCTGTGTTCAGGACCGAAATTGCTCTGATAGAAGGTAACATTCCATTCCGCAGCGCGGTTGTTACAAGAGCCGGTATTGCCCCAACGACCCCATGTTAATGCCCCTGATCCTGCATCCACGCCAGGGGATGCCTCCAGCCGAAAACCATCCAATAGGAGATGCCATCCGCTCCCTGATCTGCTTGGCATTTGTACAGTGGACCCCGAGGGTGCGAAAATCAGAGCCTGCAGCTGGCTCAACGCTCCCCAGCCTGTCACGCCCCACCACCATGAGCAAAGTGGGAACGGTCCCCCCTTAGCAACCCCCTTCCCATTAAAAGTGCTGGAGTCGGGCAGGCTCACCGTTTTGAAAGGCTTGCATTGGCTGATTCCTTTCCCGACCGACCGATAGGAGAAGCTTGGAAGCCACAGCAACCTTCTCCCGTCATTGTCTTCCAGTTCTTCCCCAGCCGCCGACCACATACATCACAGCCATCAATGCGGATGCATCGCTCGTTTTGTTGTTTCGGCTCCCAATCCCTTAGTTTCGCGTGCGGGCCCTAGATTCTCTTCTCCCATCTCGAGTCTCGGCGCCGACCTCACCCTACCTTCGTTCTCCCTTCCGGCGCACACCCGCTTCCCTCTATACGGCTGCTGGGGAACGCGGTTTTGCCATTTTTCTCCATTCCTTCCTTCGCCGCCTTCCCGTCGCTACTAGTTGCGCCCGTTGCCCAAGATGGATTCGTACGTAGCTCTGCATTCACCTACCTCTGTGATCTGTCGGTTGCTAATCAACTGTTCCGAATTTAGCATAGGCACCGTCTTCCGATCCTTCTGGCATACAATGACCAGCGATGACCGACGTTAGTAACCCCGGGTTTCAATCAAAAGTTGGCGGTTCACTAAAGATCACCAGATTCCAATCACGACTCCCCATACCGAACAGGTCGCCACGTCCCCTTGAACGCGAGAAACGGATTGACCTCGGTCGCGACCGCTGGTGACTCCCGTGCCGACATCACATCACCCTACCACGATGAGTTGAGTCGCCATTCAACCTCCACATTCGATGCTGCCGGAAACGCCGTCAACTCCCCCAGGCCCTACTCCCCGGGCATGAGATCACAATCTGCGCGGCAGTCTAGCGCAAACGATGGCTTCGAGATGCAGAGCCCGACGGGCGAGATTCCAATGCAGTCTTTCCGCGACGGAATGCCGCCACCCCCGCCTGTCGGCGCTTCGTGGGACAAGATCGACACCTGGGCCGAAGAAAATTATCCCGAGCTGTTCGATCAGCTTTGCGAAGGATGCACGTCCAACGACATCAACGATCTCGAACACCAGCTCGATTGCTCACTTCCCCAGGATCTTCGGGAATCACTTCAGGTTCACGACGGCCAGGAGCGCGGCGGGAACCCGACAGGCATCTTCTTTAGCGCCATGCTTATGGACTGCGAGGAGATCGTGCAAGAATGGGACAATTGGCGGAAGGTCAACCAGGAATTCCTGCTCGAGTCTACTTTCCCCCGGCCGGCCATCCCGTCCAAGGCTCTGGGCGGCAGCAGCAGCAGCAGCCAAGCATCCACCTCGGCAGCGGCTTCGTCGAGCTCGGCCCCAACATCGCCCCGAAACGGGAACTGGCGGCAAGACCTGATGGCCCGTCAAGACTGCGTCCCCCCGAATGCCATCCAAAAATCGTATGCACACCCCGCCTGGATTCCCCTCGTCCGCGACTGGGGCGGAAACAACCTTGCCATCGATCTCGCGCCCGGCCCCAAGGGCCATTGGGGTCAGGTCATCCTTTTCGGCCGGGACTACGACACCAAGTACGTGGTCGCGCGGTCGTGGGCGCATCTCCTCGGCACTGTTGCGGACGACCTGAGTAGCGGGAGGTGGTTCGTCGACGAGGACTCGGGCGAGCTCAAGCTGCGCGAGTTCAAGCAATCCCGCGTCGAGCCGGGTTACTTTGATATTCTGCGGTGGCGGGCGGACCAAAGGCACGGCCGCACAGCCGCGAAGCGTAAGTCGATGGCGCCCGGAGCGAGCTCGCTTAGTGCGCCGAGCTCGCCGTACGCCAGCCCGACAACTGAGCCCAACGGTGACCATCGCGGCCGGTCGATGCAGCGTCCCAACGTTATCTCGCCTATCCCGAGCCCTATCCGACCCGGCTATGGCAAACCGAGCCCCCTGGCGCGGGTGGCGGAGGAGTCGGGCGCTTCCAGCCCAGCCGCCGGCAAGGCGGGCGAGAAGCTAGTCGAAGTCGACACCCCACGGCACAGCAACGAAGACACCAAGGAGACCGCCCCGAGGTTGGCCGCCTTGACCAACGGCGACGCCCCGGCCGACGATAAGGCGGACAAGCCGGATGCAGCCCAACCCAACGGCTCAGCGGCAGCCACCTGGAAGAAGCCCACCGTGGAAGAGGAAGTCGAGGGGGCAATGAAAACGATTGAGATTTGATATTGAGCCGGCGCGGGATCGGGGGAGCAGACAAGGACGCAATGCTACGACCGGGTGATGAAGCTGCAAGCAAACACGTGCTTTCGGGCGGACTGCCTGCGGGACGCATTTTCATACATTAACATACATCGGGGTGGGGAACACCCCCGGGCGTTGCAGGCGTACTTTGACCGATCACCAACAACACGACCTGGGTCTGCTGGGACATCTTTCTTTTACAACGGCGTCGCCTTAGTCCGACAGCCGCTCCCATTGTCTTGCTATTCATGGGGGGACTTCTTCTTCGTCGCCGCGGTTTTGGACGCTGCGAACAGAGATCCTCTCTTCGGGACTCTGTTTACCTTGCTCTACCTACCCCTATCGCCCCGTCTTACCTCCTAGATTGGGTGGTTTTCGTTTCGATGTTGCCGACAGCAATCCCTGGGGGGCATAGGCGCAGGACATGCCATTCTGCTGTACATTATACTTGGGTCTATTCGCTACTACCTAATGTGGCCTCGGCCTTTCTCTTTCTTTTTTTTTTTTTTGGCTCTGCTTGCGGATGGGGAAGCTGGAGGGGCGACGACCGGAGGCATTCGACATTTAGGGGGTTAGACCGTCGTGTGATGCTCGTTAGCTGTAGACAATGTGACAACGAGGCTGTGCTTATTCGTAGTGTTTTTGGTGATCTACATCTTGAGTCAAGATCCTCCCAGTTAAATAGTAACTATCACCATCGCTCCAGTGCTCAGTTTATGCAACTGCGATCTCAAAGGTATGTGCAAGAGCAGCCATAAAGGTAATCACGTGCATTTGCAGCCAGCCGAGCCAACCACCCAACCTCCAACCTCACCTGGTCAAGTGCCAAGAAGGTCAGCCTTGGCGGGTGGGTCGGCCAGCCCAGCCGCGCCAACGTCGTCATCCTCGAAACAGCAGCTGAGCTCGAGCCTCGTACATACATCTCTCAATCAACCAGCGCGACGACAACCACACAACATCCACCGACGGCTTACCACGCACAGCCCCGATCTCACATCGAAATTCTTCTCTCTCAACATATCTGCGCCGAAATAGACGGCCAAACCGACGCCTCCAGCTCCCGCCCGATCAATCGATCCCGCCGTACCGCCCAACCGAACCAACCATCACAATGTCCGAAGACCGCCTCTGGAAGTTCCGCCGGCCGGAATGGCTCAACAGCGCCTGGGCGCGTAACGCAGGCGTATACGGCGCCGGCGGTCTGGTACGCTGCTCCCTCCAAACCTCCAAACCCCCAGCTCCCCCATCCTCTCCACTCCCTCCCCAAACCGATCATCACCACCCACCACCCCAAAACCCTCACTAACCCCCCCCCTTCTTATCCCCACAGTTCTCCCTCGCCTTCTACACCCTCCTCGACTCGGCCGTGTGGTCCAAGTCGGCGCTCAACTCCTCCAGCCTCCACGTGACCTTTGTCGACTGGCTGCCCTTCATCTTCTCGTCGCTCGGCATGCTCATCATCAACAGCGTCGAGAAGGCGCGGCTGTCGGCCGACTCGTTCAGCTACTCGGGCTCGGGCGTCGCCTGGAAGGCCCGCGTCGTGCTGTTCCTCGGGTTTGCTGCGCTGGCCGGCGGGATGGCTGGGGGTGTTACGGTTTTTGTGCTCAAGTTTGTGGTGCCGGGCGTGCCGTTTCCGGCGATGACGATGGGGGTGGAGAATTTGGTTGCGAATGCGCTGGTGGGGTTGAGGTGAATTTGGTTTTGTTTTTTTTCTCCCTTCTCTTGGGGGGTGCTGTCGGCCGGGCTGGGGTTGTGCTTTTTGTTGTTGTTTGTCCCTGTGCGTTGTTGGGAATTGGATGCTAATCGATGGTGTTCCTTAGCTCGGTGGTTTTGTGGATCAGCCAAAATATGGAGGACGAGTATTCGTACAATCTTTCTCTGTGAGCTGGGCGTTGGAGATAATGGAAGGGGTTGGGGGTCGGGGATGATCGGGTGGACGGCTTTTTGGTGGGTGAGGTTCGAGCGTCACGGCGGGATGCCGTGGTCAGAGGGATGGGCTGGAAGGTTAAGCGGTTCGTTGGGTTTGGCGTTTTCTACGCATTATGCGGCATGTGGGGGCGCATGGGAACGGTGTATGATATGCAGGTAATTGGTATCTATCATCCTGGGTCTTGTGCCGAGGGCTTCCATTTCAAGCCCACAGTGACATTTGGCGATGCCCTCCTTGGTGGACGACGCGCCGTTTGGTGATGCCCTCCTCGGTGGGCAAAGCGTCGTATATCACGGGGGTTCTGTTACTAATCCTGCGTTTGGGGGCGACATGGTATGGAATAGAGGCTCGAGCTTCGATGGCTGGCCATGGCCGCAAAAACCTGCGGGCACTACCTGGGGCTTCTGAGCGCACAACCGGGACACCAGCACCCATCGAGACCCCTCCCATCCCCCGGCTAGTTTCGTAGCCGGCTAACCCCTAAACGGGTGAGCTTTTGGTATTTCTTTTGTTCTTGTTCTATCCTAATGGTGTGCGGTGTGTTTGCTTTCTTACTAATACCGCTTTAGACAGCATTCTACGGGGTCATCGTAATGGTGAAGGCTTCTCTCGAACATCTCGTAGCCGCCTCATGGCTTCTTAACCTCTATTAAGCTTGACTATACTAGAAAGCTAACTCCTGCGTAATGTGCTGTAGGTTGTCGAAGTGATAAATGAGTAACCGGGTTCAGTTACCTATTCCCCGTAGCTTCGGGTTTACGGCCTTACTTGGCTTAGAAACATCCTACGTAGCCAGATTAGCGAAAGCCGGCATACAACCTGTCGGTTTTCAGCCTAACCGAGCTGCGAACCCGCTTCCCGAGATCGATCTTCACGAACACCCCAGTCTTGCCTGTATCGGCTGCGAACCCCTCGGCGAGTGCAGCAGATCCCTCGCCTCTCACTCGCTTGCGAGACATGGTGTTGACGTTGGGTTCGCTGGTGTGTGACAAGGGCAGAAACATGCACGGGCGATATGCATGATGCGCAAGGTCGCCGGTCTCGGCTGCCTTGGTTGCTCTCGCTGATGCCCAACGCACAGTATCCCCTAACCGACTGGATCGAAGGGGGCAGCGAGATTGTGTGCTCGGCGAAGCTGGGTAAGAGCCGGCATTCCATAGGGTGCGTAGAACACTCAGGGATTGACGAGTTAGGTGCAATTTATTCACTCTCTTGTTGTCACTGAAGGGTCACCTATACATCCTGCCCAACAGGGGGGCGCGATCCCGTAGGAAACGGCTGGGCAAGAAGTGAGCGGAAGCTGACCCGCATGTCAGTACAGTTGCCGGTACTTCAGTACCTGAGATAACTGAGATTATTAAGTTAGAAAATCATGAGCTTGCGTGAGGAAGGGAAACAAACAGGCATATTAGATGCCGGCTGATTGTTGCTATAGTTCACTAGGGAAGTGCTGCCTTGGGGGAGCGTGTGACTAAACACTCGCCTGCGAAAAGAGCCTCGGGAGATTTCTGTCTTGCTCTTAGATGTCGGCCACCAAGCCATTGACTCTGGACCTAGAAAGTCTGGGATTCAACCAGAGAAAGTCAACAGAGCCGTTTCAGCAGCCACAGATGGGGACTTGCCCCCTTTTGATGGGCCTCCGAAGCATTCCATTTCGTCATCCGAGGGCCCGAAGAAGGATCCGAGCGAGGCATAACTGTGACTGGTCGACTGTATAAGGACCTCGCAGATACAGAACAGTGAAGCGAAGCGAATATGCAGAGTTGGTGCGGAGCATTATGCTGCAATATCGGCCAATTTACTTCGTCAAGCTCCTCCTTGCCAGTCCTATCATCCTCACCGGGCAGACTGGGATATTGCTATTTTCAGAGATATGACTCGGAGAACCCAGTTGTATTTACCACTAGGCGAGGAAGTCGTGGCTGCCCGGTTGATACTAATGTCTCGTAAAGGCAGCCGCGCCCATCGGCTTGGATGGGAGTGGAAGTCGCGGTTGGAACGATAAGGCCTGTGCTCAGATCACCCCACCAGCTCTTCGGCCCAGCAGGGGGACAGAGACACGGATCACCCGTACCACAGGAGACGGGATGGAATCTTGGCGCGAGAGCGTCCGTCCCGCGCTCACCAACAGGTCGGGGACGGGAGTGCAACAAGTTTGGAATACAGCACCGGCTGGAGTACACAGGATCTCCATCTCCCATGGTCCTCCCGCCCTCTCACCGGTCAACCCATGCTCGCGGGAAAGTTGCAGCCAATCTAATTGTCTCACATCGACTAGCAATCACATGTTCAACTACCTGATACTTTGTCGTGGAGTTCTGAAGTACAAACATCCCCGGATGGGACCGGTTCTCGAGGTCGCTGTCCCCTCCCGCCTCTTGGCTCCTTCCGTCAGGCGGTGATTTGGTCGCACGCAAAATCGTTTTTTTTTTCTAACGAAATGAACTGGCGTCATACGAATATTCCGAAGACCAATGTCTTGAATTCTCACGATTGTTTCTATAATTGGACAAGCATCGGTTTCAATGGTTTGCCGGTGGCCGATGATGGCTTGCAGATCAGGCTCCTTCGCGCCCGGCACTCGTCCGCGAGGGCGCTATCTCGGAGCCACGGACTCGGGATGCCCATGGATGGCCAGCCGCTAAAAGGCATCGAGTGGCGGGCTTCTCTCATGCCTTGACGGCCCGACGCATCCAGACTCCTGGATAGTTATTAGTTATCTCTTCGGCGGCGAAAGGGCATTCACGAAGAGCTCATCGGCCCATCAGCCCATGATCCCAATGCTTTTGTGTGCCTCCCGGCTTTCGGTCTGGAGCTGCTCATTCGTCAATGCATTATCCAGTAACCGCCGAGAAGTTGATGATGCCCGTCTCCCCTTTTTCTGGTTCCCAGATGACCACGGCGGTCCGTCAAACGAACAGGATTCCAGCCTAGCCACGATCTTCCTGGTCCATCCGGGTGGATTCGTTCATTTGAAGTGGTCATGGGACCTACAAAGCGCTTCAAGAGATCCACCTTCCGCACAGGTCCAGACGTCGCAGAACAACGCATGCAGAGATGCCAGTTGATGCGATCGTGTCGGGCACCTTTGGTGGTCAGTGGGAGAAGAATGTTGAGCGATTGGGCTTTTCTGGGACGGGCTCGATGACGCATGCGAACATCGGGCAGTCGTTGACTCCAATCGAACATCCCTGCAGCAAGGTGGAATCTCCGTTTTGCGTGGCAGCCCCTCGCTGCACTTATGTAGAGGTATGGATACATGCTGTGGGACTACAAAGTACATCTTCATTGAACCTCCCATTTCTCAGAGCCCTCGAGAAAGGCACCCATGATCGGGCTTTGGAATGGGTCATGCTGTCGGTGGTTGTTCAGGCACCACAAATGCAGTCCCATCCTACCGTCACGACGGCGGAAGAAGACGCTGGCCGTAATGAGTCTCGTGCAGCACACCCTCCCGAGTTCTTGCGGAGTGGCAGCACGATGGAGTGGAGGGGCTGCGGGTAATGGCTGATCATGGACTATTTGGTCGAGGTACATCCATGGGAGCAGGACAATCCAATCCGCAACTGCCCCACCATCATCACTCACCCGGCGCTGGCATCGTCACAAAACTGGCACCCAACGAACACGGCGGCGAGCTGCCACGATCAGAGTGGGGGGAGATCGCAAAAGAGCGGGATTGACTCTTCTCAGGAACAAGCCTATGAGAGCCGGCCCTAGTGCTGCACCTCAAAGACCAAGCGAAGGGCTGACGACGCTGCCAAATGTTAAACACTCAGAGGCGTCGCTTGGTTGGGACAGCAGGACAGGGAGACAGGGAAGCTCCGGATCGTTGCGAGAACCCACAACGCCTTTGACAGCCTGGCGCAGATCGCCGCTCCTCTGCTTCCCCTTCCCGTCCACCTGGCACCCACAGACGCGATTCCGCCTCCCTGGAATGTTAGAAGGTGCAGAAGTCAGCCTCGGGCCGTGAAACGGGTCCCATTCCTCCTAAGCAACGAGGAGGCATGTTGGAATACTGTGTTTGAATACCATGCCCCTTTCTCGCCTTGTCTCTTGAGAACCACGTGCCGTTTGAAGATTTTATCAAACAAGCAAGTGTCAAAGTCCATTCGCTGCGTCTCAGGCTCTGGGTCAGCTGCTTCGAAGAGCCTTGGTGTTAGTAAGAGTTGCCACCGCGTGCTTCACGCTTCGCCCTGCAATAGGCACCCAGCTCTAACCGCCTGAATTGTAGCATTCAGCTCGCGACGAAGTGCCCCTATACACAGTAAACAAATATTTGAAAAACGGGCATTCCAGGCTTCAAAAAATGCGTTGATGTTAACCCAACTGCTCCATCCGCTCAAATGTCTTTGGACGGGGAAACCCTTCGTGAATTGGACCCCGTGAGAGCTATTTGTGTTCCGGAAGCGAGAAGCGAGCAGGTGACCAATGCAACCCTGCCCCACATCGGGCCTCCGACAAGGGGGGCGAACAAAGACGGCAGGGTTGATCCGCTCACTCGAGACAAGTCGGAAGCCACCAAGCACGCACTGGCCAGCAAGCGGCCTGGCACGCCCTGGCAGCCTGTCTCCACAAGAGCTCGCTGGCGCGCCTTGAGGCTCCTTCTTTCCAAGACCCCGTTCAGGTACAGAGAACGGGGTCCTTCTATCGCCTTCGGATCACGTCACAGGCGTCAATAAGCGTCACAGCCATCTGACTGCCGGCTCCAAGCCCATGAAACCATCACCCATTTTGTGTGAGTGTGTCAAGCCAGAGAGTACTTGGTATATTGCAGAACGTATCCGTAGGATCTGGCCCACCTCCGGCAGCATCGTGAGTGACGCCGTTGAAGGGGCACTGGCCATCATCTGCCCAAAGCACAACCGACACAAGACACCCGACTGGGCACACGGGCCACCTCCCTTACCGGACTGGTACCCATTGCTGTCATTTCATCACCAACCCAAGCAGCTCAGCCCAGGTTCCTCTTTGTTTTGTCGAGAGTTGCATTGTCACCTTTCTTCCCATCAATTGTGTCAACAACCTGGAACCTGTGCCGCTGAGCTTGGGGCTGGCGATTCCCAGGTCAATAACCAACCGTCCGACCAACCAAACGGAGGCCATTTCCACTTACTTCCATTCCCATTCCACCAAAGCACCCGACACACGAGCCACAGCGGCCCTGCCAACCCGCCCTCAAACCCTGCGGTTGGAGCTAGTTAAACTTGACAACGGCCCGGAGCGAACCCCTCACCACGCGAGCAGAACCATCCGTCGCCAATCCTCCTCCTCCAACCCCCCAACGGCTCTGCACACAATCTCGCTGCAACACGAAAAACAAGCGCGCGTAAGTGTCTGAGGTTTCCCGCTGTCGGTTTCAACTCTGTATCCCCCCCTTTTCCCTTCGCGGTCTCGCCCATACACACCGAGCTGTCCCAAAACTCTCACCTGCCTCCCAACCCTTGCCCCTTCCCGGCCCCGACCCCTCATCTGGTCCGCGCTGGTTGGCCACAGCGATCGTACAGAGCGCCAAGTCCCTGGCCATCTGACCTCACCAGATGCGCGGGCTGCAGCATGCGAAAGGGCAGGATTTTTGCAGCAGCAGAGCAGCAGAACAGCAAAAAAACAGCAGTGCTGCGCACGTCGATCCGTTTCGTCTTGCGGCCCTCTCCTGTTGCTCCTGTTTCCTCTTTTGCGCTTTCCCAATCCCCTTCCATGTTGCACCGCTTGGGGCGACGTTGCGCTATTCGCTGTCGGCCATTTCTTTGATCGCGGCGCACTGCAGCGCGGTGCTTTGCTTGTTTCCAAGCCCAGTCCGGGCCACTGAGTGGTAGGCCAGATCCAGATCAAGCCGCCCCGTCGTCGAGTCCATGCGTCTTGCATCCTCGCGGAGCCACTTGACCCTGGCCAGCGCCGCTTGCTGCACACGCCAGGCTGCCCTTGTGGGTGGTCGCCACCACAGTGCCCTGTTGTTCCCCGCCGTCATTTCACTGAGCTAGCGCGCCCGCCCCTCCAAAACCTCACATCAACCCGGCCCGGCCTCTGAAATTCAAACTTCCCCTTCTTGCTGCCCTCACTTCCTTCCTTCTCGCAACATTCACATGGTCTCCACCCAGCTCTGGAAACGCCACCACCACGCTTTCCTCAGCTCATCGCCAGACCATTGCATGACTCACGGACTTTTGAGAAGTTTCGTCTAACCGCGGGACCCTATTTCAGCAAGTTTCCCTCCAACCGGAAAGTCTGCAGCAGCCCACCCCAGCTGCACCCAGCTCCCCGCCCGGAATTTACTCTGCGCGGCCAAGTGCATCGCTTCCCGCCCTAAGGAACTGATACCCCGAGCATCGGGCAACGAACTGCCAACACCAAAAACGAACCTTGCACTCTGAAGGAAATCGTCAATTCGATCTCGAATCGTGCGCCTATTTTCCCTCGACCGCACCTACAATCCGGGCCCGAAACGTCGAGCCCGATAGCCACCATCTCCTCGCCCGCGCGCACACGGCGACTTATTGCCCAACACGGCCGGCGCCGACTCTCTCCCGGTTTATCCCTCTTCACGCCCGCCACCGGCACAATTTGATTCCCTTTCCCGCACCGTAGGACACACTAGGTATTGCAGCCATGGCGTCGAATCGGCCAGCAGCATTCAACAACCTGCGGATGGGAGGTGAGGCCGCGCCCCACATGCCCGACGTCGGACGGGTGAGCAGTATACTGACGAGCGCTGCAGAAGTGATCCGCGAAAAGGTCCAAGACGGCATCACCGGCGAAACCCGCGATTTACAGTACACCCAGTGCAAGATTGTGGGCAACGGGTCCTTCGGCGTGGTTTTCCAGACGAAGCTGTCGCCATCGAACGAGGATGCAGCCATCAAGCGGGTCCTACAGGACAAAAGGTTCAAGAACCGCGAGCTGCAAATCATGAGGATCGTGCGGCACCCCAACATCGTGCAGTTGAAGGCTTTCTACTATTCAAACGGCGAGCGGGTAAGTTCTATCGCGGACGTCGGTTACGTGGGGTCATGCTCATTCGGTGACAGAAAGACGAGGTCTATCTGAATCTCGTGCAGGAGTTCGTTCCCGAGACCGTGTATAGGGCATCACGGTTTTTCAACAAGATGAAGACGACCATGCCGACTCTGGAAGTCAAGCTCTACATCTACCAGCTTTTCAGAGCCCTGGCGTACATCCACTCGCAGGGCATCTGCCATCGCGACATCAAGCCGCAGAACCTCCTCCTGGACCCCACCACCGGAGTGCTCAAGCTCTGCGACTTCGGCAGCGCCAAGATACTCGTCGAAAACGAGCCGAACGTGTCGTATATCTGCTCACGATACTACCGCGCTCCGGAGTTGATTTTTGGCGCGACAAACTACACAACTAAGATTGGTAAGCACCCGTGGAGGGGGATAACTCGGCCCCCTGTCCTGAGATTACAACAACTGACCTTGAGCCCACCAGATGTGTGGTCGACCGGCTGCGTCATGGCGGAGCTGATGCTGGGGCAACCCCTCTTCCCTGGAGAGTCGGGCATCGATCAGCTCGTCGAGATCATCAAAGTCCTGGGTACGCCGACTCGCGAGCAGATTCGAACTATGAACCCGAACTACATGGAGCACAAGTTTCCCCAGATCAAGCCTCATCCGTTCAACAAGGTGTTCCGGAAGGCGGACGCGAACGCCATCGACCTGATCGGCCGATTGCTAGAGTACACCCCCACGGAGCGCCTAGCCGCCGTCAATGCGATGGTGCATCCGTTCTTCGACGAGCTCCGCGACCCCAACACCAGGCTTCCGGATTCGAGGCACGGAACAGGTCAAGTCCGGGATCTCCCTGCTCTGTTCGACTTCTCGCGTCATGGTAAGGGATCTCCTGCCGTGTCTCTGGACTCCTTTTACCTTACCCTTATATACTAACCATGACCCGTTCCAGAGATGTCGATCGCCCCTCACCTCAACGATCAGCTCGTCCCCCCTCACATGATTCCGGTGCTCATGGAGCGGGGCCTCGATATCAGCAACTTCACGCCCTTGACGAAGCAGGAAATGATGGCGAAATTAGATTGAGTTGGCCGGCCTTGACGAGTTCCATTCTCAAGTCACGGTCTAACAGTGTCGGTTATGTTGGGAGTTTATGCTGTACTTCGCCAGCAACGTATCGTCCCCCGGGATGCAGCCGGAGGCAGCGACTCTCGGTCCCTCGCCCCATTCATGATGATGACAGAAAGGAATTGCCATTGAGATACCCCACACCGAGCAAAGAGCTGGCACATGAAAAGAAAAACCTACAGGGCGATGAGACTCGAGCCCCGCCAAAACCACCTGCCACCAGCAAGCTGTGTCGAGAGATGCGCGTGCCGAGGTGCAAGCTAGTTGAGGCCGGGGCGCAGCCATAGTCCGCGGGCAGTCATCCTCGATAGGGGCAGGCACAAAACCGGGTGGTTGAAGGAGGGCCGCTTTGAGGGGGGAAGGCGCCACGACCGCGGTCCCTTTTTTTTTCTTCGCTTCTTTTTTTCTTCCGTTTTAGAGCTCTTCTTTTTTTCTGCATGACCGAGATGGCTTTTGCTTACTTCATCCACAACCTCCGACCTCGCTTCGGCCAAGGCTCCCTGTTTCTTTGGTGCCGTGGTAGGCACGCACAAAAAAGCGACAATGATTACAGTGGTTGGGGGCTTTTCTGCACCTGCTACTACTGCCTTGCGAAATTTGTTCATTCGACCCGCGCCTTGTTTTTTTGCTGGGGGGATGGTTGTTGGAGGGACTGTGTGGATGCCATGCCATATACTTTAGGCTTGTTTTTTGTGGTGGTTTGGAACCGGCGGCTTGACGCCGCTGGCGCTGCGAACCTCCGCCTCTCATATTTGCTGGCGGTTCATCCTCACGGGTTTGTCTAGGGGAGGAAGCAACCCGGGTGGTCCGATGGGAACAACCCCATATGGTGTGGGATCGGTGGACATAAAGGTAGCAAGCGTTGGAGGTCTGGTTGGTTTTTGGTTGGGTGGGGGGTAGATGATCATGACTCCTTTAGCAAGCAAGCACGGCAGAGAAGAAGACGCAAAGAGAGAGCAATGGGACGGGATAGTGTTGTGTGTTCTTGTTATCCGCATATTGGGTGGTTGGTTTGTCCTGGCTGGCTCCCTTTGCTCCTTCCCACCCCATAACCCCCTCCCCTCTCCCTGTACTCACCCACTTTTACACCTCCCTGGTGGGAATAGCGGCTGGTCAAATGGTCTCGGTGCTGGAAAACGGGCATGCTTAAGCTGCCCCTTTGTTTGATAGTCTAGGACATGGTCGAGGAAAAGACTATTATGGCGTTATGAACTGGGTAAAGTCGTTGGCTGTTCATACACAGGCGTGACTGCGGTGGTGATATGAAAGTGTCGTTTGTGTGGTAACTCGCCCGAGCGGCAGTGGTGTTCGTTGTACCTTGCAGTAGTAGTCTGGGACGAGAAGCTCAGTGTCCACGCCACGAGAGCTTGTATGCACCTACTTGCCGCACCTGGAAGCCTACAATCGTTACCTCATGACAAGTAAATAACAGCTTTCCGTCCCATTTAGCCTTACACCAACGTTGAACTGGCAGGCATTCAAGTCCACTCGCAGCTCCTTTAATTGATTATTCAAGTTCAAAAAGTTCGAAGTCAACAGACAATTGAGACATGCAATGATCCACACGTTTCCCCAACTTGCTCCCCTCAGCCTGCAAGGGTGCCCAGCATCTCAGGCAACAATCGATCTGGTTCAAGCTAACCAACCTGCAACGACCCACTCTCAATTCGCGTTCAGCACTGGAGGGTGAACTTCTCGCGAAGCCGTGTGTTTCGTGACCAAACGGTTCCATTCCCTGTCAGCAAATAATCCACCATCCCCTGCCATCCAACATCTCAACCATTTCCCCATCGCACCACACCTACCCTCGACTACAACCATCAATCGAGATTGCGCCTAGAGCCAACAATTCTCACACAATGGCGGATTACGACCGCAGAGGCGGCGGCGGCGGCGGCAGCAGCTACAACCCCAAGAAGCGCCGCTACCGAGGTGAGTTCCAGTCCCGGCATGCGATGCGATGCGATGCGATGCGATGCGATCAATCCCAATCCCAATCCCAATCCCCCACTCCCTCCCTCCCCCAACCCAAAAAAAACCAGGTCGCAAACTAACCCCTTCCCCCCCCTTTACAGACGACGACGAGCACGACCGCCGCGCGCCCCGCCGGCGCTTCGACGCGCCGCCGCACGTGCGCGTGCGCAAGCAGCTGGTGGCCATCGCCGAGAACCCGATGCGGCCCTGGCACGAAGAAGTCCAGGCCATCGCGACGCTCTTCACCGACAACTGGGACGACGAGCTGCTGCGCGCCAACTTTGTCGACCTCGTCCTGCAGCTGGCCGTCGAGCAGCCGCTCAAGACGCCCTTCGTGGCGGCCGTGGTGCTGGTGGCCAATACGGCGAGGCACGAGGTGGTGGATTTGTTGTTGGTGAAATTGGCGGCGTTGGTGCAGGGCAAGATTGGGGCCGGGGAGTGGAGGGAGGCGAAGCTTTATCTGAAGCTGTTGGCGTGCTTGCAGGGGTGCTTGGAGGGGGAGGGCGTGTTTCCCGTGCTGGAGGAGCTGTTTGCGCGCGCGGTGGACTTGCAGACGGCTAGTTCGGAGGATGTGAGTTTTTTCTTCCTTTTTATCTTTGGCTGTTGGGAGGTTCAGGGGCAGGGAGGAGAGAGATGTGGTTGCTGACTGGTTACGCAGACGATTGGCACCGAGATTGTCAAGATCATCCTCCTGACGCTTCCCTACATCATGGTCGCTGCGCCGGGGCAGTGGGTGCAAAAGGCGGTGGATCTGATGGAGAAGACGGAGATTATCGCTTCGGAACCGCAGACCCTACAGGCGCTCATCGAGCCGTATCAGCCAGAAGCTGGCGAGGAGAACCAGCCGCAGCCCCAGAGTCTGATTGGGCTGCTGCAGAGCCAGCTTCAGAACGAGGCCAACAATGGGTGGGCGCTGTCCTGCTTGCCGAGGCCGTGGGAGTTCCCTATCGGGGAGGTCGAGCAGCGGTCGAAGCTCGACGATGCCCCGAAGCATGCGCTCCCTACCATCACCATTCCCGAGGCGGTCGTTGCCGGGCCGCGGCCCTTATTCCCAGAGATCTACCTCTCGGTCTACGCAGGCCAGGACGTCGAGTCGGTCCCCCCTTTGACCAACATTGCTGCGTCTTTGATTCGGGATGCGCTATTAGATACGATCAACGTGCTCCACTTCAACCGCAACATCACGGCGCGGCATCTGATTGACCTGGACTGCTACTTTTCTCCGCGGACGTTTGCGGCCAGGGCTACCCCGTTCGATAAACTACGAGACATCGAGCCGCCCAAGTCGACGTGGAAGCCGGAAGATGTCGCGGTGGATGCTGTCTTCTCGCAGCTGTTCCAGTTGCCAACCCCGGAGCAGAAGCTCGTCTACTACCACTCGGTTCTTACCGAGGCGTGCAAGCTGGCCCCGGCGGCGATAGCCCCCAGTCTGGGCCGTGCTATCCGCCACCTCTACCGAAACACACCCCGTCTGGATCTGGAGCTTGCATCCCGCTTTATGGACTGGTTCGCGCACCATCTGAGCAACTTTGGCTTCACTTGGAAGTGGACTGAGTGGGTGGACGATGTGTACCTGCCGGACGCGCACCCTCGCAAGGCCTTCATCGCCGGAGCGCTCGACAAGGAGATCAGGCTCAGCTTCGCACAACGCATCAAGAACACCTTGCCAGAACCGTACAAGGCGATGATTAGCCCGGCGAAGGAAAAGGATATGCCAGACTTCAAGTTTGCCAACGACGGTAAGTTACTCGTTAAGTTTGGCTCTTTTTTCGGCCTGGGCAAGGAAACTAATGAAGATAGATACCCCCTTCGCAGCCGAAGGCCGCGAGATCGCCGGCCTGCTCAAGCGCAAAGCCGAAGACGAGGAGATCGACGCCGTCATTGAGCGTATCCAGTCACAGGCCATCGACCGCGAGATGGACGCCCTGATGGCCAGCACCGATGTGTTTGTGACGTGCGTGCTGCATGTCGGCAGCAAGTCGCTCTCGCACGTGCTCGCGGCCATCGAGCGCACCAAGGACCGGCTCGCCGACGCCGGCGCCGCCTCGGACGCCGCCCGCTCCCAGATCATCTCGGCCACCATGGAGTACTGGTCCGCCCACCCGGGCGTCGCCCTCTCCATCATCGAGAAGCTGCTCAACTACAGCATCCTCACCCCGGAGACGGTCATCAACTGGGCCCTCCTCGACCAGCACGGCGGCGCCCGCGGCGAGACCCTCTCGCTCGCGCACGTGTACGAGATGGTCTTCAACACCGTCATCAAGGTGACCGGCCGCGTGCGCCAGCTCGTCGCCAAGCCCGCCCTCGCCGCCGAGGACGAGGACGAGATCAAGGCCATGCGCGCCCTGTTCGCCGCCATCGAGGACGCCCTCGCCTCGTGGGCCGCGGGCACCAAGGACGAGATGATGGAAACCGCCGAGGGCGAGGCCGACACCGACGCCGACAGGCTCGTGCGCGCCTGGGGCGCCCGCTGGCTGCGCGTCTTTCGGCGCCGCGCCGCCATCGAGGAGGCGTTCCTCGTCGAGGCCGAGAAGGAGAGGGCGCGGAGGGCGCAGGCCGCCGCCGAGCGGCAGGCCGAGGTGGGGGAGGAGGGGCTGGGGAATGGGGAGGCCGAGGCGGAGGTGACGGCGGGGTTGACGCAGCCGATGGATGCGGAGGGTGAGGAGGGCGCGTAGAAAATGGGTGACTGCGACGGGGTGTTACGTGGACGGGAGGGCAGGTCTCGTTCATCGCTGCTGCGGTGAATCGGATGGTTGGTTGAGCTACTGAAGGCCGGCTCGCTCGCTGCTGGCTTGCTTGCTCCCTTGCGTGTACTGTATGGGTTGTATTATTTGCATGGTTCTTTCGTCGAGTCAGGGGGACGCCGGGCCGGATATGACAGGCTCTAGACGAAAGCAGGCCATTTTCTGGAACATATTTACTACTACTGGGTCGGCTGCGGAAACGGGAAAATGATAAATTACTCTTTTCAAAAGAAGCGCGGTAACATGAATATTGAGTTATTTATATACCTGGGTATCTCGTTTCTGGCCTCGCTTGCCGTTGACTTCCATTCTGTTCTACCGTTACATCCCACCACCCACTACTTCCCCATTTCAGCCCAGTCCTATCGCGAGAGATAGGGAGCATCCAGCTTGATCATCGCCGGCCGAGCCGCCTTGCCAGTAACCCGAGAGCAAGTAGGAGGCTTGGGGACGAAGGTAAGTGTGGCTGTGGTGGGTGTTAGCTCCCTTGTTTCTGAGCGGGTAGGTAGAGACGTTGGGCGGTCGCTAACCCGTTTGAAAACGCCTACGCAGCTCAACCTGGAGCTTGAGAATCAGAACCATAAAGATTCTTAGTCCGTTGCCCGCATAGCCCAGATACCTCGTTGAGGAGAGTCGGGGGTGGACTTCCCGGGACCGGTCTTGTAATCCGCAGGCGAACACGACGACCCTTCTCCGACTCTTTTTAGAGTGTGACGCATCTCGGCACCCCGGCCCAGCCAATATGCCTCCTCCTCCCTCGAGACGGCCGTCATGGCGGAGTAATCCACGTCTGAGCCGCACACCCAACCCATCTCCCATTACATGTATACACTTACACACGCAATCCCATCCATCCATTCCATCCACCCCCTCACACTAACGCCTCCCAAACCCCGCAGGCGGCGCGGCCCCAAAGCCCGGCGGCACCCCCCCCGGAGGCGGCATGAACCCCGGCGGGGGGATCGGCGCGCCAGGCGGCGGCACCCCACCCGCGCCCGCAAACCCGCCCGGTGGCGGCGGCGGCATGCCGGGATACATCGCTGGCGGCTGCTGCCCACCAGGGCCACCGGGCGGCGGACCACCACCAGGCGGACCCCCCGCGGGGGGGAAGCCCGACGGTGGGGGGTGGTGCGGGAAACCGCCGACGGGCCCGCCGAAGCCGGCGTGGCTCGGTGGCGGGCGTGCGGGGAGGCCTGAGGGCGCGGGCGGGAGGCTGGCGGAGCCGACCATGGGTGGCGGTGCGCGTTGGGGGGGTGCAGAGCCGCCGAAGGAGGGGGGTGGTTGTTGGGGGGGGCCGGCGCGGCCACCCATGCCGGCGGGCCCGGGGGGGAGGGCGCCGTAGGGGGCGGGCGAGGGCATGCCGGCGGTGAGGGGGGTGATGGGGGGGATGGTGGCGGAGGGGTCGATGGTGCCTGCGGCCGGGCCGGTTGGGGGCGCGCCGGCTGCTGCTGCGGATGCGGCGGACATGTGGAAGGCGGGCGGGAGGACTTGTTGTTCGGGGACGATGTTGTGCTTCTTGCCCTCGGCGGCGAGCTTGCGCTCGGCCTCGTCGCCGTGGCGCTCGCCCTTGCCGTCCTTCTTGTAGGCGTACTCGACGGTGATGGACTTGCTCAGCAGGTACTGGCCGTTCATGGTGGAGACGGCGGCGTCGCTGGCCTCGAAGGAGTCGAAGCTGACGAAGCCGTAGCCCTTGGAGATGTTGTTGTCGTCGCGCACGATGTTGGGCTGGCGCAGGATCTGGCCGAACTGGCTGAAGGTGTCGTAGAGGATCTTCTCGTCGACTTGGGGATCGAGGTTGTTGATGAATAGCTCGGCGCCAATGTCGACCGTCTTCTGCTTGTCGGCGCTCGCCTTGTTGACGCGGATGGGCTTGCCCCAGATGCGGATGCCGTTGAGGACCTTGGAGGCGTACTCGGCCGAGGCGGGGGTATCGAACTCGACGAAGCCGTATCCTTGATGGGTTTGCGAGACACGATCCTGCGGCATGTGAACCTGGCGCACGGGGCCGACCTGGGTCATGAGCTCCGAGAGCAGCTCCTGGGTGAAGCGCTCGTCGATGTTGCCGACGTAGACCGTCGCATCCTTGTTTTGCTCCCTGAAAACGTGAGTAGAGGTTCTTGTTAAGAAGGAAATTTAATCTTTGGCTCACCAATGCTTTGACATTTTGGCGGTAGAATATCGAATACCGGCACTGTTGCGCTGGTTTGTGTTTGAAGATGCAACTTCAATAAATTTAGACCAGTCGCGAAAGCAGCACCAAAGCATCACCGCGGTTGAAGCTTGGCGGAGTTTTCTGTGGCGCGAAGCTGCACGGGCGGTTTGCAGGGGTCCTGTGCTGAGAGGTCGCCATGCCAAGGCCAACTTCGCGACCGCCCAAAAATCGATTCTGCCGCAACCCATCATCACCCACGTTGCGACCATCGAGACCCGTCGCCCACACCACGATTCCCCACAAGACAACAGGTACATCACCTCGCGCGCCATCATTCTACACGGGTCTCTAACAAGACAAGCAGTCCCGACATCCCCAGGAATCGCCTTTCAATATGTTCGCCCTTTCTGAAGAGTCTAAGGTTCGCCGAGTCCCCCCTCCTCGACGCTGACAGGGCAGTGACTAACATACTGGAAATAGGAGCGCATTGGCAAGATCATTGAGATCTCGCGCGTTGCCATTCACTAGTACGTTTGGATTGATTCGACGGCCCCGGGATACGGGATACTGACCCATAGCAGTGGCTATCTGCCTCTAATCCTCTACCTTGGTATGTCAACGTCCACGACGGCCTCTTCGACTTGAGACAAGCTCGCTGACTCCCGTATCCACAGGCTACACTCGCAGCGACCCCAGGCCATCCGTCATCCGGTATGTTTGACGCCGAAGTGCGCTTCCAGCTCGACCGCCATTAACTTTAGCCGCAGCCTTCTTTCCCCGCTCTCTTAAACATCACACCACGATGAACTCGCTATTACACGCATTGTATCAATACAACAACGACCGGCAGCCGACCTAAAATGGAGGGCGCTGTGACATGACGACTGGGGCAGACGGGGGTGGGAATGGTCGGGGATAGGAACTGGACCGCAGGATACCATGACCAAAACTGTAACAATATTCTAATAACGGACCAACTCCACAATGACGACTGAGCCATAAACAAAATGCCTCGATTGTAAGCTACATTCAATGGGTTGTTTTGTGTACCGTACTTCGTATCGCACCGCATATCTCGGGTTTCCCGGGCGGCGGGCCATTTCGCTCGTTCGGCATTTCTTTTGTTCGGCCGAAGGTGGCCGGGGCCGGGATGTTTACTCAAGCCCTTGCGTCATAGTTTACAATCTTTTTCTAAGCGCTGACAATTGCGACCACCATCAACATGCGCAACCCCTTGTAAAAGAGAATACCTCCCTTTTTCTACCAGACATGTAGCGACAACCACCAACGTCTCTATGACGAAATCCAAAGATGCGGGCCTCTCCCCCGCCCTCGTCGAGACGGTCGCCGGGCTCTCGGCCGGTTCCATGGCCACCCTGATCGTCCACCCCCTCGACATCGTCAAGACGCGCATGCAGAGTGTGTGCCCTACGATCCCATTTCGCCATTGACCAACCTCTATAGAGTTGCAAGTAACTAACCCCCCTCACCAGTCTACCGCACCGCCCTCTCCACCTCCACCACCGCCTCCCCGCCCACAACCGTCTCCCTCATCCGCACCCTCGCCCGCACCGACCGCCCGCTCGCCGCCCTCTACCGCGGCCTGACCCCCAACCTCGTCGGCAACGCAACAAGTTGGGCCTCCTTCTTCTTCTTCAAATCCCGCCTCGAGCGCGCCATCGCCCACCTCCGGCCCCTCCCCCCCGGAACCACCACCCCCCCAACCAACCCAACCAACCCAACAACCCCGCAGGAAACAACCGCCCAAATCAAGCAGCGCCTCACCCCCCTCGATTTCTTCGCCGCCTCCCTCGGCGCCGGCGCCCTCACCCAGGTCCTCACCAACCCGATCTGGGTGCTCAAGACCCGCATGCTGTCCTCCGACCGCGCCGCCGCGGGCGCCTACCCCTCCATGTGGGCCGGCGCCGCCCGCCTGCTGCGCGAGGAAGGCCCGCGCGGCTTCTACCGCGGGCTCGCGGTCGGCATGCTCGCGGTCAGTCATGGGGCCGTGCAGTTTGCGGTCTATGATCCGGCGAGGCGGTTGTATGTCGCGAGGAGGGGGGGGCGGGTGGAGGGGAGGGGTGGTGGTGGTGGTGGTGGTGGTGGTGGTGGTGGGGTTGGGGGTGGTGCTGGTGCTGGTGCTGGGGGGGAGGGTGTGGTGTCGAATGAGGCGACGGTTGTGTTATCGACTGCGTCGAAGCTTGTTGCTGGTGCTGCTACGTACCCGTTGCAGGTGTTGAGAAGCCGGCTGCAGCAGCATGATGCTGAGGCGCAGTTCGGGAGGGGGTTGTCTGGGGTGGTGAGGAAGTTATGGCGGGAGGAGGGCGTGAGGGGGTTCTATCGGGGTGTTATGCCTGGTGTTGTTCGGGTGCTGCCCGCGACGTGGGTCACGTTTCTGGTGTACGAGAATGTAAAGTATTATTTACCCCGGTGGGTGCAGGGCGGGGAGGGGAAAGCGATCTTCTAGACTAGACGGCGGCGTTCTGTGAGGATATCCTGTGATGATAGACATGTCATCTTTAAACAACTTTGGGTTTCGTGTGAGCGGAAAACTGTGTGGAAACCAGCTCCGTCAACTGCCCGCTTAGTCTATTCGTATTTATCTCCGTCCCATGTCTCGTTCGGAGGCAGGGCCTGTACCCGTTGAGGGGATCAAAGCGAGAAACGACTAAAGTTTCAGTTGGGGATTGTTCCCTAGGCGGACACCAGAGTCGCTGAGGAAGGGATGCTATCCGCAGACTCCTGCCATCCATTCGTTGAATGTTCACAGCCAGGAGCGCAAGGTAATGGGGACAACCCTCACGAGAGAAGACGTATTGGTCAGGAGCCAACACTTATACACTGACAACCGGGGAAGAGATTAGTCCCAGGAGACTCCAACATTCTATTCCGTCAAGTCCACCAGAATATATCGTCATCAGGGTTGTGTCGCAGCACGACGAATTAGCTAGGGTTTTTAATTCTTTGTACATATGCGTACCAGAATGGCTATGCCATCTTCTATCAAGAGATTTGGTCTCGAATAGTATCCCTCCTTTTGCAGGAACCAACAGTTGTCTACTAGCTTCGTAAACACTCGAGAAGTCGAATATGTGCGATTCCAAACTCAAAAGATAGATAGATGTAAGCAACATCGAGTCAAAATATTAAGTTACAATACAGTTAACACACCAAACTCTCAGACTCAACACCTGAAGTTATCATATCAAATACACCAAGTAACCACGGTAAGCCAACATACATATAATCCTTTTTTATCCATTATTTCGAGCCCTCATAGCAAATGTATCATATCAACCTCGTGGAGGCTTAAACTGGGTTTCTGGGTTCTATCACCCCAGAGACAACAACCATACGCTTGCAAGGCAAGAGAGACTTCATCACCTGGACAGCATCCGAAACCGAATCGCAAACAGAGGCTAGAGACGAACAGACTAATCGTTAACTATGATGCTTGTGTCAAGACGCGTAGCAATATGTTTTTTAGGAGATATCTCCTCAAGTCTCAACGGGCACAGTCAGTACCCAACCCGCTCACATCCTACTTCACAGTCAAGTTCACGGCAACACAGGGACTCGCACTGTCATAACACCACCACACCACCCCATCATTCAACGACGACGTCCATGTTGCCCCCATATCATCATCTCCCCCTCCTCTACCCTCTGGCTCCAGAAGTTTGTCAGTTCTCGCCACGTGCTTCATCACCATCGCAGCCCGGCCCGGGGCAACACGCGGGTTCTAAATGAGGTCATCTCACAACGCCCACGCTATCGAAAACCCCCCTCGCCACGCCGTCGGAGCAAGGTTTCCAAAACCCCCCCACCAATCCCGTTTGTCACCCACCAGAACATGGACTGTTGTTCACTCACCAACAATCAGGCCATTCCTTCGAGTTACTCGTTCCCAAAACAAGGCACGCGCGAGTATCTTGATGAGCAGCCAATATTTCCAAATATCCAGGCACCACGGTTCGCCCCATCTTCCCGTCCCATAATTAAGATCAGCCAACACCCGAGACACGACAATCCCCCCCGGCTCGGCGCGGTCGATGCCCGAGCACAACCCAACCGATAGTTAACGGTGTGCCCCCCAACAACAGGGCATCGTTAGAGAGGGGGGGGGAGAAAGAGATAGACAGACAGGCAGATGGCGAAAGAGAAAATCACCGAGACGGCCGAGCATCCCGTGGCGGGGTGGCAAGCGATGGAGATAGAAAGAGAGAGAACAAATCATGCAGGCGCCGCCAGACCCGCGTGGCTCGGCCGAATAGGGGATGATCGGACCAACCACCAGCGCGCTCGTCTCGTCGGTCCAGACCGGAGAAACATCAGGCCAGATCGTGCAAGCCATCGCCCCCCAATCTGTGTTGCAGCAGCAGAAGCAGCAGCAGCTGGCACGCAGAAACATGGTCAAGGTTCGGATGCCGGGGGCGGGAAACAGTTACGTTAGAGGAGCCCCCCCCACCTACTCTGGTGTGCGTGTAAGTTGTAGGGATCGGTTGCGAGAGCCACACCCCCTCCACGGGAAGAGAGGGAAATGAGAAAGAGATGAGAGCGCGTGAGAGCGTAGGCAGCCCCGGGAGAGGGGGAGGGAAACCCGGAGCCGGCGCCGGATAACGAGAAAGAGAAGGAGAGAAGCCGACGGGTAAGTCGCCACTACGCTCCCGGCCTCGAAGATCCCATTCCGATCCCCCTCCCGCAGCAGACTAGCTAGCCACATTTCGCCGACCCCTATGTACGACGTAGTTCAACAACCGGAACGGGCAAGTCACTGACAAGCCGGCGAGAGCGGGTGAGAAAGCCGCACTGACGACGGCAGCATTATTCTTCAACGACGACGAAAACGGACATGGTGCCACAAGCCAAAACGAGACATGCAGGAGTAGCCAGCAGCTCAGGGAAGTGCACAGGCTGTCGCGGCAGGCGGCCGCAGCGGCGGGCCGGGCGTCAGACTCAGACCCCCAACTAAGACTCAAGGAAACGATGAATCGTGCAGTTTTTGAAGAGCAAGATTCTGCAGAGAGTCTCACCGCCGCCGTGCGCATATGCAGGTACTGTACAACGCGACAGAGTTTTCCAGCCACTGCGCAGCCGGAGATGCAACTAGAAGAGCGCCGTCGGAACAGTGCATACATAGGGTGGGAGAAAAGAAAGGAAGAGGGATTCAGCCGGCTTAGTGTCATGTACGTACGTGTGTATGTAGGTTGGGCACGTTGGTAGTCAGGGTGCAGTCGAGACCAGACGAGACAGCCCGCCTATCCACATCGGGCTTACAGCATAACTAACTACCTGCGCGTTCTGGACGGAAGACTTCTGCATGTGAGTCTGTCAGGGGCAGGCAGGTTCAGCTGGATCTTGGACGAGTGACAAGAGAGAATAGAGCAGAGGCAGGGCAGAGACAGGGCAAGGAGAGACAGGACGCTCCGCTCGTGTGTTTCACTGTACGATATGTCTAATGCATCGGAGGGGGCATCCGGCAGACTTGGGCCGCCGTCTGGGTCTCTCCCGTCAAGAGCCGAAGGAAGAAAAGAGTAACTCGAGCCAACCGGGACGCCCTCGGAGTCCGTGAGGTTCTCCGCATCGGAGCGGAATAAGTCTAGCTAGGTACGCAGGCAAGAGCTGTAACGTCACAGCCGCCGGGCCCGCAAGATCCGCGGAGCATGGCTCGGTCGGCCTCCGGCACGCCAGACAAGACGAGGTTTACGTGCGTAGGCACGAATTGCGGAGGGCAAGTCAGCCTCCATGACGGCAATGCGAGAGGCGAGAGAGAGGAGGGCGCGACGCCCAGACCGGGTAGCACTGCCGGACTCAGAGCCACGATCCTCGTCCAGCGGAAACTCACGGACCAGACCAAGCCTTGCCTTCGCTCCCACAGCCGACGCAGCATAGTGTTGTCGATCACCCGGCGGAATATCTCCCACACACGCGTTTCGTTTCGCGGTGGGTAAGACATAGCGCCGAGACGGACGTCAACTCCACTCACTTGAGCTGATTAGCGGCGGGGAGCTGGGCAGTTGACGAAACGGAACTTCAGCAAGCTGGGCTCGAATGATGAGAAAACTTATTAGCGTGCTGTGGGCATGAACAAAAGGGGGAAAGAGGCGAGAATGGGCCAAGACGCTGGACCCTGGAGATCATCTCTTGGCTGTGGATCATCTCGACACCGCCCACGGGGGAGTGTCCTGACACGACCCGCGACAGGGGAGGGGGGATTCCGCCATCGTTTGAGGCTCATCAACGCCATTGCCGCTTTGCTGTGGATACCGCCGTCAGGATAGGCCTGCAATGCTTCGTATCTCGCTCGACATTTCGCAAGGGGAGCCCATGGGAGGAGCTGGGGAAAGAGGGCAGGGGGGGAAAACGGGGAGCCCACTGCGGCTGACGGTTGACGGCTCTGCCCGCCCAGCAAGTGGAGATAGTTGACCATTTCTTCCCGTGCCCGTTAGGGTTTGCAGCTCTGAGCCGCCAGACGTTGACGACTCTTGCTGCAACCCCCACTAGGAACGTGCCCGGTCCGTTGGCGGCGGTAAGAGGTTGATGGGAGGGCTCTTTGGGCCATTGGGGGAACGACCGAGAGCCCCGGCCGATCTCCATTCTCCAGGGTTAACGGACGTCTTGGCCGCCACTGCCGATTATTGAACAGATTTTCGGGAGCCATCTTGACCAATCCGGGGTAAAATTCAGGGATGAGATGTTGACGGCCCAGATCGGGGGCCATTGGGCGGAGGCTGGCAGGCTGGATAAGGGAGGCCCATTGGATGCGGCTCCCAAGGAAATTTTCCGTGGACCCTGGTTGAACAGCCCGCAGCGGACTGTAACCGTGCTCCATCAAGTCGGCGACGCCTTCAGCGCTCGGGGACCTGGAGATGCTCAAGACAGAGAGAGCCATTGTCCAACGGGGATAGTGAGTGCTGTCACACGCAGCACAACATGCTCCGTGCCCAGATGCAGGTACCGAGTGCGGAGGCGGCGTTGTGATTGTCCGGGAACCTGCCGGATCTCGGAGTACAGCTGCAGTCATCAGCTACCGGGATCGTCCGGTAAGTTCGAATCCAAGGGGCCGACATATCGGCATTCAGCCGCGCCGCCTCGCGCGGGTACGAGCAGATGCGGGCGGAGATGCAAATGCTGAATCTGCTGCCGGTGGCGCTGGTGTTACCATTTGTCCTTCCATCCCAATTTGCTGGATGGTGCTCCCAGAAGGCCATGGCTCGTGTTGTGTCCCCGAGTCTCAGCCGACTTGGGAGTGACACATGCATCCTCGAACTAACAGTGGATGGACTTCTGCTCTGAGATTTTGATCAAACCGGTAACGCCCCGTTACACCGGGAGTCTGGGGATCTGTGTGTTGCACTGACGTTGGCCAGGGACGAGGAAGAGAGGTCAGACATGGTAAGGGTCCCCGGAGCCGTCCCACTAAGGGCCGCCCGGACGAGTCTGTGCCCCCGTGTTGCCTCGAGCGAGATTTCCGATGTTCGTACCCGTGCGTCTTTCGCGATAAGATCTTGTAGATGTTCCCGCTCCCTCAACCCGCTGGCTGGGCCGGAACAGACAGAGCCAATAGTTACCGTCTCGCCCGCCGCCGCCGGTATCGCTCAAGGCAAAACACGCAATCCGCGCTAGGCGCATTGTGCCATGCAACTCCTTTCGCAGCTTTTTTTTGGGGGGGGGGGGGGGGGGGGGGGGGGGTTTCGTTTCGAGGCCGTCAGGGTACACACATACATCCAACTTCTCCCCCCCCCCCACCGAGGAAGTTGGGGGGGAGAGAGGATTTGCGGATGGCTGCAACATGGGCTTGCCAATCCTCTGCCCGAAGCCGATGACGAGTTGACCATGCACACTGCAGAGCAGAGGTGATCTGCTGTGGGACATCGCCGTGGATGTGACATTGGCCTCATGACAACATCCCTTGTCCAATACAATGGCGCAGAGCCGGGGGGGATGTGGTGGTGGTGGTTGTTGTTGTTGTTGTTGTTTTGCCGTGGCGTATCGCAGACAAGGTGGCCCGGCTGCGGAGGAGCTGATCTCTCAGTGGCAGCCCTTTTGGTCGAGGCCCTCTTTCAGCCCCTCCCCAGAGTAATGACAGGCCTGCCTCGTGGCATCTGTAGCGAGGTTGGACGTCTGAAACCGGCAAGCCGTGGCTGAACCTTGAAATGAAGTCAGGGAGAGGCTATGTCTTTACAACCAAGCCGACCCTGCCTGTTTCCCCCACTACGGCTCAACCCCCACCGTTGGGAAAACTGGCGATGGATGCGGTCTCTCGCGCAACGGTGCGAGACCAAACGTCCAAACCCCTCACCGCTTCTCCGAGGCGCAAAAAATGAACATGCTCGATGAGTGGCGGCTGACCCGCGGACATGGAACGGGGACGTGTGATGGAGGGCGAAACGCGGCGGCGGGTGACATTCACCCACCATGATCAGGATAGAGGACCAGGTTTAAGAGCCTTAGCGCGGATTTTCCGAAGCAGCGGCTGTAACCGATGGCAACTGGCAACCGAGCTTGGTAGCCAATCGCGGGCTTGAGTCCGGGAAGCACACCTCGTGGCCAGCTCGTTTCAAGGGCAGAAACCCCCAACTTCGGGGACCGACGCCATCCCCCATCAATATATCTTGGCAGTAAGCGGAACGGCGTGAACGGTTAGCCCATGATGCCATTGAGACCGGTGACTTGCCCACGGGGAGCATCTCGTGATGACGAGGTGGTGACGGAGGGGCGGAGGGCGAGGGAAGATCGCTGTCGGATCAGCTTGCCAAGAGCTGTCGGCAAAGGCTGCTTGCAGGAAAAAGATGCAGGAAAAAGATGAAATGAGATCAAGATGCGAATGAAACATTCAAAGTTCGTTCGAATTGCCAAAGCTGGCATGCTACTATTTTTTTTCGTTGCGGAGAAATGGAGACACGGAGACGAGACGGCGAGAATGGGACCTGGCGACATGCTTTGAGTGCCAATGATGCCAGTGGTGCCAGTGGCCTGAGTTCAGTACCCAGAAACTGGAGAATGGCGACTGGAGGCTGGGATTGGGAGCATGGCATGGCATGGATGGGGGATGGGGATTGCCACTCCGCCAGTGGAGGAAAAGTCCAAGGACTGGAGACAACAGACGGAAAGAGGGAAGGAACGGTGTGGGGCCTTCCCTCCCTTCCCGTTCCGTACCGTCCCAAAGTCCACTTGCCGTTGCAACCTACCTTGAGGGTAGGGAGCCCCCACGTCGCGAAATTACAACGACAAGCGAATATCTGCACCTCGCCGACACTCTTCCCCTCTGCCTGGTAATAAAACTCTTCCTGGCCGATATTCGTCCTTCAAACGATGCCCAAAACACTCCGACAGAGGATGGGGAACGGTCGACAAACACCCGCCGCTGCCTAAAGCCGTTGTAGTTGGAGCATGTACATTACTTGTACATGCACTTTCATCGTGTTAGTCAATTCGGTGCCACGAAGCGGCATCGCGCCCACCTCCAGTGTAGAATCTGGCACGGGATTTTTGACGGCGGCCAATTGACTGTGGAAGATTACCCCGAGCCTGACACGGGGGATCTCCCGCAACCAGAGCACTGGTAACTCTCAACAAGCAAGGCGGCGGCGCTACCCCTGAAACAGAAATGAGGGAGTGGGGCTGCCGCACTGGGCTTACGTGACAATACGAATATTACCTCGCCTGCATCGACTGAACCTAACGGCCTACCAGGTTCTAGGAACAACATACTGCGGAGGTCGTTGAACGTTCGCTGGGGAAAGATTGGAACGGCTCTCTTTCCGCTCTGCCACTGACGGCGTGCCCCCCTCCCCCTTGCTCCTCAGCTTTCCTTCCTCCCCCCCCCCCTTGACCTGACCTTTCTCCTGTGCGATGATGGTTTGGGAATGCGCGCAATCGCCTTCGCTTCGATAGCAATGCTGATTGGTTTCGCTCGGCAGATCGATTTGCCCGAATGCCTCGCTTTCCTTGTCTAGCCGCTATTAGCCTCGTCGGGGAAGCTATCATCGTCGCCGGGAACCTGGACGGACCGCATCGACGGGTCGCTCACTGAAACGGCCTAGACTTCCGGGGTAGCATCGCGGCTCAGATGACGCTGCTCATGATCATGGCGACGGGAGCCACAACGCGAAGGGCAAAAGACTTTGCTGCGCGCTGTTGGCACCAAGCGGGTCCCCCTTGTCGAGACGACCTGCCGCATCTGTCTTGACCTGCAGCTTGCCGGGCAAGCTTGTGGGCAAAGGCGATAGCCCAGATCTGAAGGGCGCTAGCACACGTCTTGCGGCCGGGACCGGCTTCCGGGGCGATCTAAAAATCTCTGGGCTCAGAACTACCGGCTCCGGTTGGCTCCCTTGGGGAAGGGCAGAGCCCACAACCGCGGACCCGGAAACGTGGTGTGGCAAGCGCTGCACGGAATGGGTGCCTTGGTTTGGCAAGGGAGTCCATCGCCGCGAGAGGATGCAACGCCATCATTTGCGAGCTGAAACGAGCTCTATGCACTAAGAATACACAGTATATGTCACTTCCTCCCTCGCCCGGAGACATACCGAGGTGAGATATGACGTTGACGCTCGGATCTATGGGTTGGGTATTGTGTGATGGGGTAGTGAGCGAGATCTCCCTGCGTCCGCTTGAAGTTGGAGGCGGTATGTATGTAGAAAGGGACAAAGATAACAGGAATGGGCCTGCGGCTCCTGCTGCTGCCCGCGAGTTGTCGGAAGCGGGGTCGGCGTGACATGCTGCGAGGTGCACGAGTTGTGATAATTTACATACATACTTGTACGTATCCGTTCGAGGATCCGGGGATTTTCAACCAACGAAAGGGCCACTTCTCCACCAAGTGGGGACCTTCACCGCAGCAACCATGTACGAAGTACACCGTAACTTCATTTGGTGGCCTCTAAAGAAGATCGACGGCAGGATGGAGAGCTGAAATTTGCGAGTTATCGGATTGGGGCATCCGCGACAATCGAAGATTCGAAAGGGCAGAAAGCAATAAGTGGCGATTCCCGCGGCTCATCCACCAGAGAGCTAGGGTGCAGTACCACGAGCGACATACATACCTAGGTAGGTCGGTCGTTAGGTAGTGGAGGACCTTTGGTGTGGCACTACGGGCGAAAATCAAGGAGACGAAGCGAGCTGAAATGGTGGTGGTCCCGACACCCGCCCACCAGGGCCGCATGCACGGTCCACACCGGGATGCATCTCCAGGTCCCCGGGTGCTGCGACAGTGCGGTCAGCAACCGTGGTATTGGGAAACCGAATGCCGCGCCCGGGTTGCTCGATCTGTGTGCTGGCCTGTGCGCCATGTAAAATTACACGACATTCCGACCTCCGCGGCGGGAGGGAGCAGAACGACTGTCGCGAGTTGAGCACGTGCGAGGTGATCAAAAATATCACTGGGCGAATGGGTTTGTCGAGAGATGACGACGACTCTCGGATGCGATAGGTAGGCAGCGGGTCGACCTGGAAGCAAACGGGCGGACGGGCGAGTGGGGGAGAGGGGGGGAGAGAAGATGTGGGCTTTGATTGTTTGATGGATGGGACTTGCCGCGCTGAGAGCCAGAAAAAGGACTTCAGCGAGGGGGGGGAAGTGACAACCCAACACTCTGGAAGGCAAGACCCTCCCACCCCTTCCACAGGAGTCGCCCAATTCGTTGAACGGGGTCTCTGAGTGGCACCCCAAACCCTTGTCGGTGTATTGTGCTGCTACCACACCCTATCTGTGAAAACTTTCCAAGCCCGTCGCCGCTGCCTTCCTCCACGGGGGGCCAGTCAAGTTGAAACCTCTGCACGCAGGCACCGACACTCCAACAAGTCCCTCATGCCGGAGACCCAGGAGGAGTCGAAAATGCCCCCCATGCGCAAGATGTGCCAGAAAGGGCATGCTTGCGAATGCAGCCGATAAGCAACAGGACACGACCGACAATACAACGCTGGGAGATCGAGGAGGGGCGACGAGAGATCTCAACTCGCGCCATCTCGTCGTCATTTCTCCTGCAGGATCGTGTTCCAGCGCCAAGCAGCCGCCTCAAGCAGGTCGCAGCTTGCAGGCTGGCACGCTGGCTTCCACACCACCCTCCTCAACACCATCCGTCGCGACCTCCAGTAAAAAGAAAGGGCGGGAGATGCCGGCAAAAGAGGTCTGGACTGAACACGCCCCCTGGCCCTGGTTCGCCCTCTGCGTCCAGTCCCCTCCCTGCCCGTCGAATGTCTCACTTCTCAACCCCGAAATGGACAAGTCAAGGGCGTCGATGGACGCCTCTCCTCTGCCGCACGCCCTCGATCCATCTGTCCTGGAAGTGTCCTAAACACACCAACCACACCCCCCCCCCCTGGGCAGCCATCAAAGTGGTACATAGGTACATCACTCCAAGATGACCCCGGCTCGTTCTGCCGTGGCTTCAGGCTCCGCTTGTCTGGTGGGGGTCCCGGGGTGGAAGCAAGCCGCGCCCGGGGAGGAGTGAAGATGGACAACATGGGCTCAGTCCAGGGACCTGGACCGTCGCACAGAACCTGCTGGGGCCCCTCTGTTCGATGAGATCTCGGAGGGCCGTGGCGTCCCAGTTGTTTGGCTCGTCCAGATCTCTACCCCCTGCGACGCTGTTAGTTGATATAGTGGCCCTCTCGCCCAACCCAACGCCTCTTGGTCTCATGGTTTTGATCCAGACCCAGCAGAGATCACCACGCCGTCGATAATACATACCTCCGAGTGACCTCTGGTCTTTGCACTTTCCTCATCCCGGATTCTTGTCTCGTTATATTGCTGTCCTCCCCGCCGTTTGTGTGTGCTACGTCCTACATATATTCTCTCCGAACACTCGTCTCTTACCACACGGCCATCATCAAAATGGCCATCGGGAGTTTACCTACAAACCCGGAGAGTTGGGCCCGCTGGCCTTACCCGCAACACGACGGCGCCGACTTCAGCATGACGCCGACCAGCATGATTTCCTATGACTGCCGGACGACAACCACGGCCCATATCCCGCGCCCCGAACTGTCCCAGCATTTCGTTCCAGGCACCTTCAACTCGGCTCCGATGCCCTCCCCACCATCTCCCCACTACCACGCACCTGTTTCCTACGACGGATACAACCCTTACAGCGCACCGGCCATGCTAGATGCACCTTTCAAGCCCCAGGAGTCTATGGAGCGCCTGCAGCCGCGTTGTATGGGGCCTGAACCGGTTGCAAACGGAGGGACTCAAGGGCGTGTCAACAGTTTGCCATTTATCAAGAGGAGCTGTAGCCCGTCGGTCAAGAGCGAGGCCAACTCGACTCTTTCCAGCTCGCCATCTCCCAAGGCCGTCGCCTCCAGCGCGCGGGCGCAATCCTCCCCCGTTCACCAGTTCAACACGGCCATCGACAACGTCATGCGAGTAATCGAGTCCAAGCGTGAGATCCTCGGCCCGTCGGACGAGGTAGAGCTCGTGCAAACGGACGAAGAGAAGAAGGAGGTGGCGAAGGACAACCAGGTATGCTAAGCTATTGGATCCTCCAACCATGACAGCTGATTCTAACCGCCTTCGAAGACACAGCGAGGTCGTGGGAAGGCGAAGCGGAAGCGTTTCTGCTGCGAAATCCCCGGGTGCTCCAAGATGTTCGCCCAGAAGAACAACCTTGACACGCACCGACGATCCCACACTGGCGAAAGCCCTTATGTGAGCAGCTCTTCCCTCCTTCAGTATCAGGTTCGGGATCCTAACGGCATCCAGGTTTGCCCATACTGCCAACGCCGTTTCACACAAAGCGTCAACCTCAAGGTATGGCATCGTCCAACGCAGCTCCAAGAAGTTGATGAGTACTTACACACAGGACAGACACATATCAATCGCCACACCGGAGAAAGACCCTACGAATGTCCCGAGTGTGACAAGTGTTTCCCTCAGCTCTCGAATGTCAAGGCGCACATGAGGACACACATAAGGAGAGAGTTGAGAGCCGTTTGGGTCTGCAGGTTCGCAAACTGCCCCAAGGCCTTTACCGCAAAAGGGAACCTGAAGGTAAATTCATTCTTGTCCGCTCACCCCGCTCATTGCAGCTAACCTCGGAAACAGGCCCACCAGAACACGTACCACGTCGAGGAAATCGAGGCCTTCAATGCTAAACTCGCCGCCATGAAGGACAAGAACATGATATCCGAGGAGGACAAGGAGATGGCCAAGTACCTCGGCGACGTCCACAACCTTGCCAACAAGGGCATCAAAGGCCGCGGCAAGGGCCGCAAGGTCAAGCGGGTCATGATGCTGCACCCGCCGCAGCAACAATCGTCCCCCGCTACGAGCCCCATCAGCGCCGACGGCCACACAGGCCCCTATCCGATGTCACTCCTGCCCCACGCTCTCTCGCATCTCCACATGACCCAGCAGCAGCAGCAACAGCAACAACAACAACAACACCCGACCATGAACCACGGGCTCCCTTACTACGGGGTGAGCAACCCGGCCGCCTACAGCATGAGCAGACCTCCCAACATGCTCTTCGGCTCTCTAAGCATCAACACGCGGGAGCCGTACGTGCACGGTGGCTACGGCATGGACTCGGACCAGCTCAGCGACGCCAGCAGCGTCCACGGCTCTACCCCCGTCATGCACACCTACGAGGATGAGCATGGCCGGGAACTGGCTTTTGGCGAAAGGCTTTACTAAGAATCCATCTCCGGTTCCTGTTCTCTTTTGTCTTGGGGCTGGCTGTTTTGAACACTTTCTGTTTCGCCTACTGTTTGCATTCTCTCCCTCATTACAAAACCTCGAAACTTGTCTTCTGTTTCTTTTTCACGTCATATTATATATCTTGGACCGAAAAGGGGAGGCCAGAATCTGTTCGCGAGCGATAAGGAGAGGTTGTTTTTCATTTTCACGAAACGGCATGGCGGTTGCGGGAGTTTGTATTTTTTCCCCTTTGTCTTGTTTCCCCTCCTTTACTTTTACTATCTCTGTTGTTATATGGGTGTGCAAGCTCTGTTGGTCTTTTTTTTCTCTACGACGGGGATACAGGACGTCAAACCTGACCGAAGGTGGTGGTCAAGGATAAAAAAAAAAGGGGGACGGTGGCGACTTTGATTTTTTGATTAACTGCATCTACCGAGGGACAGCGCTGTATTGGATTCGCATATGAAGGTTATAATGGGCACTGGTTTACACATTAAAGAGGAGGATTTTTTGGGCGGTACATATCGAGCGGCTACGTTTGGGCGGGGGAAACACTGGTATGGAAACTTGGGCGGTGCACACGGGGTGTTGTCTGTACCTTGAGCACTTTGGGTAGTTTAGCTGTGAGAACATGGACATGAGTATTCTTACAGTCCACGCCAAGTCTTGCCCCCTCCATCTGAACTCCTTTGATGTACAGATCTCTGCGTTTCAAGTGATGCAAGATCCGGCAGGTCGCGACTGACCATGGCGATCGAATCCTCCCCCCCTTCTTTCTTTTTGGGTTCCCCTCGTGCCCCCCTCCCACTTGGACGCGCATAATAGCTCACCCCGACCGGGTACACACATGGGACATACCCCGCCCTCGGCCACCCTCCCAGTCACCAGCCTCGAGCCAACCAGATGCCGCGGGGAGAACAGAAGCTGCGTCGTGGTTGGCTGGCTGGCGCCCTCACTGCGAAGCCTCACTTTCGACCTCGCCCCTCCCTCCCCCCCTTCTCGCCTGAGTCGAGCTCGCCTTGCTGCTGAGAGGGGTTAAACCACCTTTGCCGTTAGCGCGTGTAGTCATTTCCGCACTGGGTAAGCTGCCGATCCTCGTTGTCTCGCCCGCCTGGCGCGGCCCTGCCCAAAAACCCTCCACACACCCCTGTTAACCCTGTCAACCCTGACGACCCCAGCTGGGACCAAACTTGGCGATGTACATGCATAGCGAACCCTTGACAGACTTTGGGGACCTGACCTGAACCTTGACGACCCCTTCCTTGACGCCTTTTGGCAGCCAGACCCTGGCACGCCTGGCAGGCTGGCCCCAACCCTTGCCTCAGCCTGTGGAATTGAAAATGCCCGCATCGGTGCTAGCGCCGCGCGCCAGGACTGGCTCACTGGCTGGTGGTTTTGCCGGTTTTTTGCCCCCCCGCCCCCGAGTGGCTTGTTGGCTTTTTTGGGACATGACATGACATGGACAAGCCTTGCTGGAAAAGAGCCATGCGTTTTGGCTCCTGCTTGGTGGGATCTTTTCCGGGGGAGGCGCGGAGGAGGGCTTTTGTTGCGTTCCACTTCCCCGGGCCCGGCGCCGGGGTCTGGCTGCGCGGCTCGCTCGCTCGGGGAAGAGGGGGGAGTGGGTTCCGATCCTTGTGTTGGTCGTGTCTTGTCCTTGGGGTTCGATGGAGGGGGTGAGTTGGACGGGACCCCGGCTCCGGGACGGGAACCCGGGCGTGGACTTGTTGGACAAAAAAGTGATGTGTAGTCTAGTTATTCCCGTATGTGCGTGTGTGTGTGTGTGTGTGTGTGTGTGTGTGGGTGGGTGGGTGTCACGCCGTCGACCCGACTCCGCGCACACCCTGTTACTGTTTCTGGATCATTGTGTGTGTGTGTCCAGTTTCCGCCAGGTCGGTAAATTAGCACACCCTTTCGTTTCCACCTCCCTGGCCGCCCGCCCGTCGTCGGGATCACCCATTTCGCGACATCGGTTTGACCCCTTCGCCACCACTTCTCAATTTTCGTTACATTCGAGGGTGGGCGGGTGGTCCCTCCGCCTGTTTCGGGTCGGCCATCCCCGTTTGTTTGACAGGAACTGGTTTGTTTGATGGTCTTGGGGGTGGGTAGGCAGGCATGGGGGCAATGGGACTCGAGGTTGGCGGGTTCCTTGCAGCAGAAGGGTTCATTGTCTCGATCGAGTATGTTCTTCCCGCTCGTATCAAGGACCAGTCGGAAACTGGCCGCTACAGAAGCTAACCTCACCACGAGGATATCCATCTCCCCGTGGCGATCATTCCTCCTCCCCATAACTATCATACTGTGTAGTGGGTCCCATATAGGGGCGTGTCAACCACGTTCCACCGCACCGTTGACTCGCCTCGCTCAGCCGAGCTGTTTACCGTTGAACCACGGACGGGTTTGTTTGTTTTGTTTTGAGACACCATGCTCTCAGGGGAGGCATGACGCCGACGGTTGCACAGCGTTCCGGCTTGCAGCCCCGGGGGATCAGGTGATCCCCTTCGAGGTCGCCGGGGAGAGACCGGTTTTGGACTCGGGGCCGGCATCACAGGCGCCATCTCGCAGAGCACACCGTGTGGGCGGCACGGTAACCAAGGCGGGTGCCGTACACGGTAACTAACGGGGATGGAGTGCGAAGCTTGCCCGGAAGGAACGGGTCCCGGTTGGGGACGTTTAAATCAGGCAACGGCTTGTTCCATGATTTCGCGGACGGCGCGTTTGGAGCCCCGGGTCCCCGGGATGGCGTGCTTGGTCAGCCGCCGTGGAGGGTCGAGACAAACAAGATGTTGTCGTGCGGCTGAATTTTGTAGGCTTCTTCCCCCTCGAGCTCCCAGTCGGCGTCATTGATGAGCACCAGAATGCCAGGACGGCTGTGCAAGTCAGCATGCAGGCGGACGAAAACGGGGATGGGGGGACAAGACATACAGGTGGTCGTCTAGGACAAACAGGTCGACCCGGGGATCCTTCATGAGGTTCTTGCAGAGGTATTGAATAAGGAAGGCAATATTGGCCGGCTTGCCGCCGGCGTCGACGGCGGGAAGCGAGACAGAATGCCGGCGTTGGTCGTCGAAGAGCATCTCAAGACCGCCGCTGCGCAGGAATGTCAGCCAGTGTGTAAAAATAAAATTGGAATTTTGAGATGTGATAGGAGACCCCTGGAAGTGTGTCGCAGCGGGGTTTCGTTTGTTTGAAAAGGGCTCAGAAAAAAATGACTGACGAGAAGTCGACCACAATGGGGATTGCCGCCGACTCGGTTGCGTTTGACATGTTGAGAAAGGTGTCCGAAAAGTTTCGGGCAGATAGGCGAGTCAAGCGGGCTGGCGGCGGGTGAGATGTGTGTTGCTGGTTGTGGGATGTTATAAGTGAGCGTTGAGTGTGAAGAGGAGGGGCACGGAGAAGTGAGAATGCAGCGTTGCATGTGCGGCGTTGGGGGCTGTTGCCGCTGTCTCAGCGCCCAAAAGCGGGATCTGGGGATAAGAGTGGGCCCACCTGGCCGTGTAACGATTCGGTAATTTCTCGTATTTCAGTCGCACAGTTACTCCGTGACACCAAAACTCTTCCTCTGTAAAACAACGGACCAATCACACACGATAACCCCCTGCCTCTTGCCTTGTGAATGAGCGATGAGTGAGGGCAAGAGCGACAAGATGGTTGATGAAATGATCGAGAGTCGATACTTATCGGCAGGAGCAAACCGATATGCTGCTGCCGCCGACTGGGCCGAAGATGGAATCGTTGCATTTGGATCCGATTCCAACGTGTGTCTCTGGGACCCAACTGTAAGTTTGTTCCCCCCTTTCTCCTTGGACTCGAATAGTTCTGATAACATGTCCAGAATCCAAGAGGGATTTCACGTATATTGAGCGGGCACACCGCCCATGTGCGGGCCGTCGCCTTCTTGCCTCGTCGGAATGAAGGGGACAAAACCGTGGACTTGGTGACGGGCGGAGACGACAAGCAACTCCGGCTCTGGGAGGTAGACTCCAAGACGGGCGCCGCCTCGTGCGTTCAAACCGTCCAAGAACATACCGAACCGATAAACTGCATCGCTGCTCTTAAAGGCCCGGCTTCTGAGAATGCGGCGAGACAAATATTCGTCACCGGGGCTGCAGATGCCACAGTCAAGATCTGGACCCTCGAAGCTGGCCAAATTACCCTCCTCCAGACGATCAAGACCACTAAAAGGTATATGCCTCTAACCCTTGCGTTGAGTGCATTCGAAGAAGGGGGTGGACTCGTCCTGGCCGCCGCCGGGACTACCAACGCCGTCCAGATCTTCACAACCCCTGCGACAGACGGCAACTCAGGGGTCGAGTTCACCCTACAGGCTACGCTTCCAGGCCACGAGAACTGGATTCGCTCACTCGATTTTATCCGGGAGAAGTCTGAGAAGGGTAGCGACATCCTGCTTGCGTCGGCAAGCCAAGACAAGTACATCCGTCTCTGGCGCATTCACCAAGGCACAGCACTGTCGGCCCTGAACGCAGCAGGACTTGGGCTTTCAACCGATGCCCTCACACCCGGGAACAAAGCTCACAGGATAACTACCGGGGCCGCCGAATATTGCATAGTCTTTGAGGCCCTTCTTCTAGGCCACGAGGACTGGATATACAGCGCCCGATGGTCTCGTGCTGCTGATGGCAGGCTGCAGCTGCTGTCCGCCTCAGCCGACAACTCGTTGTCGATCTGGGAATCAGATACCGAATCCGGCATTTGGGTCACCGTCACTCGCCTTGGGGAGATCAGCCGAGAAAAAGGAGCAACAACAGCGACGGGCAGCATCGGCGGGTTCTGGACTGGCCTGTGGTCGCCCTCGGGCACAACCGTCATCACCCTCGGCCGCACAGGTAGCTGGCGGCAGTGGGACTACGATGCAGCAGAAGACATGTGGAAGCAAAGCTTCGCCATATCCGGTCACACCCGCGCCGTGACGGGCATCTCGTGGTCCCGCGACGGCCTCTACCTCCTCTCGACCAGCTCCGACCAGACGACCCGTCTCCACGCCGAATGGGCGCTCGACGCATCCAACTCCTGGCACGAGATGTCGCGCCCGCAAATACACGGCTACGACCTCAACTGTATCTCCGCCCTCGGACCGTCCTCCTTCGTCTCGGGTGCCGACGAGAAGCTCATGCGCGTCTTCACCGAGCCTAAAGCCGTCGCCCGCATGCTCAGCCGCCTCACCAACACGGCCCCTCCCGCCCCTGAAACCGAAGAGGCGCTCCCCGACGCGGCCAACATGCCAGCCCTCGGCCTCTCTAACAAAGCCGTCACCGCAATCGCCCCTGAAGAAAACCTCTCGGCAACCGCCGCCTCGAACCAAGCCACAGACCCCACCTCCGCCGACTCTGACCCAGCCACCCACACCCAAGCCTCTCCCCTTTCCGCTCTAGACCACCCTCCGCTTGAGGAGTCCCTCTCCCGGCACACGCTCTGGCCTGAGATCGAGAAGTTGTACGGGCACGGCTACGAGATCTCGTGCCTGGCCGCCAGCCACGACGGCACGCTAGTCGCGAGTGCCTGCCGCGCTAGTTCCTTGAACCACGCCGTCATCCGCCTATTCGAGACCCGTGGCTGGACCGAGCTGCGCCCGTCCCTACAGTCCCATACCCTTACTGTCGCACGTCTGCGCTTCTCGCGGGACGATCGGTACATCCTCAGTGTGGGGCGCGACCGGGCGTGGGCTGTCTGGGAGCGGGTGGTGGCGGGTGAGGCTGAGGGTGAGGGGAACGGGGGGTATAAGTTGGCACAGGCGAATGCCAAGGGCCATACGCGGATGTTGTTGGATGCGGCGTGGGCGCCGGTCGGTGATGATGGTGACGGCACGAGGGTGTTTGCCACGGCGGGGAGGGATAAGCTGGTCAAGGTGTGGGTTGGGAAAGGAGGCGAGGGAGGGCAGTTTGAGCTGGGCAAGGCGGTTACCGAGGAGCATCCTGTTACAGCGCTAGATTTTGTGCCCGAGGTGACGGAGGAGGGGCTGCTGCTGCTTGCCGTCGGCACGGAGGGTGGTAAGGTGTCTGTGCTGACGCTCAAGGTCAAGGATGGCGAGGTCGAGGTCGTGTCGACGCTGAATGTAGGCCCGGCACTGTCGTTGCCCAAGGCGGTGTTGCAGCTTGCGTGGCGGCCGACGAGGGAGGGACGCAAAGGGAGGGAGCTGGCGATCGCGGGCGAGGACGGGTCGGTCAGGATATATGCCTTCCCTGCGCTGTGAAACGAGGCAATGATGAATGAATAAAATGCATGTCTGGGTATGATAAAACGGCCCAGGGGGATAGATACATATTCAAATCCATGCTTTGTATTAGTTTATTACTGCCCAAAACGGGCTCTATCCCAATTATTCCTCAACGCCATGCCCTTTCATACGCATCCGTCATGCCATTATCCCCGGCTGTTGAGCGCGCTTCCTCCCATGCCAGTCCCAGTCGGCCGTATCACCTCTCCGGCCCGTATATACCGTCCTCGTCCCATCCCGTAACCCACGCATTACATAACAAGACATCCCACCCCCCTCCCCGTTTCCTCCATCTCCCACCACAACCCCCAATCCACCCCCTCCCCGATCACCAAACCCAAACCCAAAAACCCAGAAATCAAAGCTCCTTCACCGACTCCGCCGTCACCGCCGCCGCCGTGCCCACGACCGAGCTCAGCACGTGGCTCACCGCGCCCTTGGCCGTCGCCGCCGCCGCCGAGGGGTCGAACGCGTCGCCGTGCATGTAGAACCAGGCGCGGCTGATGATGAACTGCAGGTGCTGCGGGAGGTAGAGCACGGTGGCGATGAAGGTGAGGGAGAAGAGGAGGAAGAGGACGGAGTCTGTTGAGGGGGGACGGGTGGTGGTTAGTGGTTTGGTTGGTTTGGTTTGGTTTGGTTTGGTTCGTTGTTTCGGGGTGCTGGGTGGAGGGGTTGGTTGGGGGGGTAGAGAGGGGGTGTGGTTGTGTGGTTGCGTGGTGGGAGGGGGAGGAGGGTAAGGGGGGAAAGAGTCGAGGGTTCGGGGGGTTGGAGAGTAAGGGTACGGAGAGGAAGGAGAGGGACGGAGAAGGAGGGGAGGGCGTACAGAAGATGAATTTCTCGATCGGCGTGTAGATGTACACGCTGTAAGTCACCTCCAGCTGGTAGATCTTGAGCTGCAGCCACTTGCTGAAGGATTCGAGTTGGGAAGCCATCGTGGTTTAAAGGGGGTTTGTGCGAAAAGGGGGCGCGATGCGATGATGCCGTTCGAGGGGAGCGGTTATTTGTCGCTTGGGATTTTCGTAAAGTACGTCGAGGTCGGCTTGGTTATGCGCTCGTGTATACGGTTGAGTTGGTTGCTAAGAGGGTTTGTTCTTGAGACAGTCGCGGGATCAATTTCGTCGGTCGCGTTCAGGGTCAAGTTGACATCGAAATTCCAGCGAACCAGGGTCCGCGAGAGCGCAAATCAGACGAGCCTTGCCTGCCGAGCGGAAAGCTCGGGGGCGTTTTTATTGGGCAGTTTTAGCCCCACTCACAATTATGCAAGCCGTTTGGGAGCGCTCGGACTGGAAGCGGCAACATCCGGCATCCAAGCACTGAGCACTGACGGCAACACCACAGCTCCCTCGACGACATGACTTGAGATGCCCACGCTATGCTCCGGCCCCTTTTAAGCCTGAGCGCTCTGCTACGCCCCGCAGGCACTCTCTGCGGTCGTCATGGCGTCGCTTCAAGCTTGGAGCTGAGAAGCAGCTTCTCGACCTCATCCGTCGCCAACCTCAAGCAGCTCCCTCCGCGACCCAAGCACCCTCCCGAGTCCGACATTGAAGAGTCCTACCTCAAAGGGAGCGGACCCGGCGGTCAGAAAATCGTACGCACCACCCCAGCCCCCATCCCCCTCTCCACCCACCAAACCACCCCATCAAACAACCCAACCCACTAACCCCCCGCCTTCTCCCAAACAAACAGAATAAAACCAACTCAGCCGTCCAACTCAAACACCTCCCCACGGGACTCGTCGTGAAGTCGCAAGCGACACGGTCACGGACACAAAACCGCAAGATCGCGCGCGACCTGCTAGCGCTGAAGCTGGACGAGCTGGCCAACGGGGCACAATCGCGGACGGCGATCGTCGGCGACACCAAGAAGAAGCGGGCGGCGAGCAAGGCCAAGAAGAGCCGGCGCAAGTACCGGAAGCTGGCGGGTGCCGAGGGTGAGGGTGAGGGGGAGAGGGAGGTTGAGAGTGGCGAGGGTGAGGGTGAGGGGGAGAGGGAGGTTGAGAGTGGCGAGGGTGAGGGTGAGGGGGAGAGGGAGGTTGAGAGTGGTGAGGGCGAGGGTGAAAATGAAGGTGAGGGTGGGCTTGAGGGCGAGGTTGAGGTCGAGGTCGACGTTGATGGCGAGGCGAGAGAGGGTCAGGGACAACGAATTGAGAGTTCTACTGGGGCCGAGGAGGAGATAGAACAACGAGAGAATGGCGAAGGGGCAAAGGAAGAGGGGGAAAAGGCAGGAGAGGCGGAAACGGAACCGAACACAAAAGTAGAAGGGGACGAAGGTATAGAGGCTGACAATATGAGTAGTGGGAGGTGATGATACCCAAGGGACCGGCAAAGAGGGAGCGCAAGCTGCAAGTAGAAGCAACGGCAGAAAATGCACTTGAGGAAACGGACGGGTTATATAAACGGCGCAAGCTTTGGTAGGCCAACAAACCGCAGATAATCCCAGCTCGAAAACAACTACAATGACGAATAAACGCAAGATTCTTAAGACGACCAACTACGAACGAGACGTAATCACCACAGGCGCGGTAACAGAATGTATCATCAAGCTTGGCCTACTTGTCCGCGCCGCCCCATGCACGCGCCAGCTCGCCCAGGAAACAAAGGCCCTCGTGCGTCCACATGTGCCAAACGGAGAATGCTAGATGCCCACCAATCCCTGACCAGGGTCAAAACTTTTGTAAGATATGAGACACGCCCAGGACACACGCGCTCGGCGCCGAGGTCTTCCGTAGCGCCGCCGGCCTTGCCTGGCGACAATCCGGGAAGCTGCCCAAGTTCTGCGCTGCACGAACGGTAAGCCGATGCTCCCACTCGACAAATAGCAGTATGATTTCTTACCTTAGAAGCACTTGCGGTGCACGATCGAGGGGCCGCTCTCGTCGTACTCCTGCTTCGAGATCCACATCTGCTGGAAGGTGGAGAGGGAGGCGAGAATGGAACCACCGATCCAGACGGAGTACTTGCGCTCGGGAGGAGCAATGATCTTGACCTTCATGGACGAGGGAGCAAGAGCAGTGATCTCCTTCTGCATACGGTCCGAGAGACCAGGGTACATGGTGGTACCACCAGACTAAACGCTTGTCAGCTGTGTTTTCATGTCGGGGACTTTGTAGCATTCGACTCACCATGACGATGTTGCCGTACAGGTCCTTCCTGACGTCAACGTCGCACTTCATGATGGAGTTGAAAGTGGTGACGTGGATGCCGCCGCTCTCAAGGCCGAGGACGGAGGGCTGGAAGAGGGCCTCGGGAGCACGGAAGCGCTCGTTGCCGATGGTGATGACCTGACCGTCGGGCAGCTCGTACGACTTCTCCAGGCTGGAGCTCTGAGCCGCGGTCTGGATCTCCTGCTCGAAGTCGAGGGCGACGTAGCAGAGCTTCTCCTTGATGTCACGGACGATTTCACGCTCGGCCGTGGTGGAGAAGGTGTAGCCGCGCTCAGCCAAGATCTTCATCAGGTAGTCCGTCAGGTCACGGCCGGCCATGTCGACACGGGCAATGGCGTGCGGCAGCGAGAAACCCTCGTAGATGGGCACGACGTGGGTGACACCGTCACCGGAGTCGAGCACGATACCGGTGGTACGACCGGAGGCGTACAGCGACAGGACGGCCTGGATGGAGACGTAGAAGGCGGGGGCGTTGAAGGTCTCGAAGACGATCTGCGTCATCTTCTCGCGGTTGCTCTTGGGGTTGATGGGAGCCTCGGTCAGGAGGACGGGGTGCTCCTCGGGGGCAACACGGAGCTCGTTGTAGAAGGTGTGATGCCAGATCTTCTCCATGTCGTCCCAGTTGGTGACGACACCGTGCTCGATGGGGTAGCGCAGCGTCAGGATACCACGCTTGGATTGCGCCTCATCACCGACGTACGAGTCCTTCTGCCCCATACCGATCATGATGCTAGCGGCGTGTTAGTCGGCGACCCAATATCGCAGAAATATCGGAACTAAGCCTACCCATGGTGACGGGGACGACCGACAATAGACGCTAAACAGCGCTGTTAGCTTGTTTGTTTATTCCAACGAGCATCCGGAGCTCGGCTTATCGCCGATCGGGGCCGGAACCGGGGCTGGGAGACTTACGGAAAACAGCGCGGGGCGCATCATCACCGGCGAAACCGGCCTTGCACATACCGGAGCTACTCGCATGTCAGCTCCGTCCATCCAAATACCTCTTGTGTGAAGCTATCGTCGACCGGGCGATGGGCTCGCTGGGCGGGACGAGTGGGCCGTCGCTGACGCTGTTCCGCCCGCGGTCGCCGAGTCGGTGAGATGAGGGGGGGAAGGGGCGGGCTTACCCATTGTCGATGACGAGGGCAGCAACTTCTTCTACAGCACGAAATCCCGGTCAGTAACTCTCAACATGATGCAATGCGCGCGATCCCCCGATGGGGCCCGACCAAAAGAGGTCGGGTTTCGGAGATCGGGAGCTGTCAAACTTACCCTCCATTTTGGCGGTTGGAAAGGTGTAAAAAGTAAAGGGGAAGAATTAATTATTGAGCTCGTGCGATCTCGGGATCGGCTGGGGAAGTCGTGATGGTATCTGTTGCGAAGCACGCAGCAGAGGTAAGAAGAAGAGATGGCTTGAGTCGCGGCGCGAGGTTGGAAAAGGGAGGTGAATTTAAGGTCAGTGCTTGGGTTGGCGTGGGTTGAGAGAGGGGGATATGTGTGCGGGTGGAGGAAGGAAAGCCTTGGGGTCCCTGCGCCCCATGTCCCTCAGATGGAAAGCTGGACAGTTTGTGGGGCAGCAAGAACAGTGGTGGGCGGTGTGGGAGCTGGTGGGGTGTGTCAGGGGGCGGACGGAGCTGCCTGATTGGCAGAGATTAGAGATTCACCTGCCGCTTTTACGCTGACGGCCTGATGAAAGCGAGGTTGGTTGGCTTGCGGGTTGGCCACAAGCTTTCGTAACTCGCTGTGGCTGGGATCTAACAAAGAAATTCCACGTCAAAAAACATACCTGCCCTCCCGCCTGAGCAAGGAACACTGGGACAGGCAGCGGGAAACGGGAAACGGCAAGCCCTTGCTGTGTACATCATTCGCCAAGGCATCACCGCATCGCATCTCTGCCCAGTTCATCAACCGCCAGACAGTACGTGGCACGACAGCTACGGTGCAGAAACGCTGAACATCAGACCTCTTGGCAAGGCGTCGCCACATAGCAGGGGGGAACTGCGAGGTCCTGGCACGGTGCGCGTTCTCAATGTCAAGCGGGAGAGAGCTGACGTTGCCCCGGCCTTTCAACGGTTTCAACGGCCATCACGATGGTACAACAGCTGATATTGTGACAAAGAGAACGCATCACCAACTCTTTGCCAAGCAGGCACCGTTTGCTATTCTCGGGTGGAATCTTTGATGCGGGTGTTTATCTCAGTAGCCTGCCGAGTGTACGTACGCTGCTGGGCAGGTGTTGAACACGAAACAGTAGTTCAGACGATAGCCTTGAATTTTATACCAGCCTGAAGCCGGATGCCATGCAGAGCACGACCGGAGACTATGCGGCTCCTGCGCGGGCAAATATCGTCCGAAGTTCCTCCACGCCGGCAGAAAAAGGGGCTGACGTATCGGTCTAGGCAGTGGCATCAGGGGCCATGCTCCACCTCCAAAAGCAGTTCGGGCGATCCGAAATCTCGCCATTTCCGGTCTATTAAAGGCCGGATATTGCCCCGGTGGTGATTGACACGCGCCTTGGCTTTTGAGCCCATGGAGTTAGCCGTCACAAGTCCTCCATGTCCCCAATGTTGAAAACTGACAAATTACCCCACGGCCTGCCATTTATCAGAAGCTCTGGCCAAAAAGATTTTGACAAGAGCGGCGAGGAGGGGCAAGTGGGGCAATTATTCCTCCTTGGCTTTGGAGGGGTAAAGCACAGACCATAAGAAAGCGTCAAGATCGCCGAGGTCCAACATCAAGCCTGTGCAAAAACCGTAAATCTTTCGGTCTGTTTCTTTTTGCGAACGTAGATATGGAGTACAAAAATAGCATCTGCTTACTCCCCCCTCATCTTCCCTCTTCCCCCAGCCCAAGACGCGGCTGGGAAAAGATGCCAAGGGAGTCACGTGACACTTGGACTAGCCTGTTTCGGATAGAAATTTCCTGAAGGTTCGCGAGCGCAAGGGCAGAATCGCGAACTCTTGGCCGCGATGGGAAGACTAAGCAAGCAAATCTCAGTCTACACTTTCTCAACTTCCTAACAAAAGAGCCCTCGCGAATATTGAAATATTAGCCGTACCATTCCTCCGCATACTCGTCGAGGAAGATAAAGTAATATTATCCACGAAACTGGACAAAGAAAGTTAACCACCGCCGATCCAACTCCAAACCTCAACCCCTCCAAAATGGAAAGAAACCTCAACAGCCTGCTCAAATGGAGCATCGAGAACACGGTTCCGTCTCAGGCCCCGGCCGCTAACGGCGCCAACGGCACCAACGGTACCAACGGCACAACAGCCGTAACAACCCACTCAAGCGACACCACCACCCCGACAACCCCCGCCGCCACCGCAGCCACCACCCCTAGCCAGACCAACGGAACCACTAGCGCAGCGGCCGCGAGCAGCAAGCTCAACCCGGAGATCATCTCAGCACTATTCGGCGGGCCGTCCGAGGCGGAGCTGATGCGGGCGGCGATGGAGGTGCTGACGGACGAGACGGCGACGCCGGACAACCGGCTGATCGCGTTCGACAACTTGGAGCAGCTGATCGAGTCGCTGGACAACGCCAACAACCTGGAGCCGCTGGGCCTGTGGGCGCCGCTGCTGGGGCTGCTGGCGCACGGCGAGGCCGACATGCGCCGCATGGCCGCCTGGTGCGTCGGCACCGCCGTCCAGAACAACGCCCGCACCCAGGAGCGCCTGCTCGCCGAGGGCGGCGTGCCCATCCTGGTGGCGCTGGCTACCCGTGAGGGTGAGGATGTGGCTGTTCGCCGCAAGGCTATCTTTGCCCTGAGCTCGGCCGTGCGGAATTGCCAGCCGGCGATGGATGCTGCCGCGGCGGAGTTGAGCGCGCATGGGAAGGGGGATAAGGTGGATGCCGGGGATATGGACGCGGTGGATGGGGTGATTGAGTGGTTGAGGGGGAAGGTGAACGGTGCGGTAGCGGCGTGAAAACGTTCCATGATATTGAGATCAGAGATCAATCAGCATCGTCGCGAAGAGCGGGGGTAGAGTGGGTGGCATTTTTCTGCATGGTCGGCGTTCGGGATAGCTTTTGGCATTGAAGACATGATCTGGACGGGTCTCATGACGGATTAGAAAAGGGATATAGAGCAATACGAAAGAAGGAACGGCCGTCTACATTCGTTGGAACGATGCGTTCTCCCTGTGATGTTACAAGTATACACAAATGGTATTGTACAGGCAAACCTACGCCCCTCTAGTTCTAGACGTCCCCGTAAAATGGCACACCGAACGACTGTAGGAGTAGCCGTGCCTGTCTATCCGAAGTCGCCGACGTCTTGATGAACACCTTGCAGCCGGGCAACATCTTGGCCGGATACATCTACCACGCTGTTAGTTCATACCATCCCTAACCAGCGAACCAGTTCTTCACTTACCCAGTAGTTGGCCTCCACCTCTGGAAACAGCTTGACCTCGTCCGGCGAGAGACCAAACGCCAAGTTGCCCGCCCTATCACCCGTCGTCGCTATTTTCCCATCCGTCAGCAAAAAACCACCATCTCCAAGCCCCCGCAGCAGCAAAACTCACCCCGAATCCCCCTCCAATCCTTGATCCTCGGGAAGACCAAATGCACACACCGATCCAGAAACTCATACGCGGCATTCCCGTAAACGGTCGATTTAACACCGGCGCGGTCGCCAATCTTAATCCCCCACTGAGCAACATTGCTCTTGGTCTTCGTAATATCGGGCGTGGTCCCCGTCAGCGACAGCACGACGCTGCGGGCAACCAACAGGTGGTCCGGGTCCTTGATAGCGGCGGGCACGTAGGTGGAGATGGTGACCTCGGTGATCTCGGGGATGTTGTTGAAGGTGACGTCGCGCTCGATCAGCGGCAGCACGGCGCTCCCGCGGGGCCCGCGCAGCGCGCGGTTCTTGTGGTAGGGCGACGAGCCGTCCCACCCGCGCAGCCGCGCGGGGCTCTCCTTCTGCGGCGTGCCCGGCGGCACGTGCGTGTAGGCGAGCGTCATGAGGTCCGAGGCGATCGTCGACTGGTAGGTCTGCTTGAGCCGCGGCATGTTGAAGGGCCCCGGCACGAAGTCACGCGCGATCGGGTCGGAGGCGGGAGGCGACTGGACGGGGTGGAGAGGGCCGCGGTTGTACTTTGGGGGGTGGAACTGGTATCTGAGAGGTGGTGTTTGGTTTAGTGGTGTTTGAGAGGGCCGTGGGGAGGGGGAGAAGTGCCATTTCTTACCTTCCGCTAGGCAGCCTAACCTTCCTGTCGGCGGCACGCTTCCATGGCCTAAACTCCTTCTTTTCGTCCGGGCCTAATTGCGGTGCTGTGAGCGTCGAGTCTTCGAGGTCGCTCAAGTCGGCTTGCGACGAGGCACATCGTATCGACCCGGCCGTGTAAGTCTGGCGTGATAATTGGGAAAGGGGAAGGCTACGAGCCGGTCTCGATAACCCACGGAGGCTCGCCATTGTGATATGCGCGGTAGGACTGGAGTGGCCGACACGCGGAGCTTCAACCAAACCTCCAAGACGGTTTCGAGATTCAACGGGAAAATTTCCGGGTCAAAACTGCACGGACTGAATTTAGGGAAGGGTTAGGGTTATCATTGAACTCGCCTCCCACCACCACCACCACACTGACATCAACTCGGAAATGTCGTAAAACATCAATTGATCCCTCTACTTTTTGAACGCCGCTGACCAGACAAATAACAAAACAAAACAACATCTCTATCACCGACTGAGCCCTAACTCAACATACCTCCCATCAATCCTCATCATCCGCCTTATTCCCCCTATTCTTCCCCCTCCCCTTGTTCCCCCCCTTAAAGTGCTTCTTCCCCGACGCGAGCTGCACATCCTTAGGATCAATCCCCTTCTCCAACGCAACCATGGTCTTCAATTTCCGGCCGCTCAGCTGCTTGCCCTCCATCTCGGCGACGCCTTGCTGCGAGTACTTGTAGTTGAACGGTCTGGAGAGGTGGCCGGCGCTGCCCTGGCCGGGCTTGAAGAACGCCTTGTCGAGCCTCTCCGACTTGGCTCCGCGCGGAAGCGGGAGCATGTCGGACAACGTGGACGCAGTGTCGTCGGCGTCGATGGACAGCTCCTCCAACGCCGCGGCCGCGGCCGCCTGCCGCTTGGCCGGGAGGTGCGCGACGTCGTACAGCTCGCGGTTGAACTCCTGGGCATCCTCGATGTCCGGGGGCGGGGTGACATAGAGCAGCTTGCCGCTGACGTAGTCCTTGAGGACATACCTCGCGGCACGCGACCTGTCGGGTTGGCCTAGACCTTGCGTCATGAATCCCCTGTGGCGAGCGTACGCGCTGAGCAACTCGTCGCCAGTGGGTATCCCGGTGCCCCCTTCCTCCAAAGGCCGCGTGCGTATTTGGATACCGTAAATAGCCTCGATGAATGCACGCGGGATTCTAGTGGCGACAAGTGTGCCGGGCCCACTGTACTCCCGCAATTGGTCGATGGGGAGGACACCATTGACGACCAGTTCGGCCTTGGTGTTGGCAAAGTTGGGGAACACAAGACCAGGGCAATCGCACAGAATGATTTTGTCGCTGTAGTGGATAGTCTGGAAGTGCTTTGTCTTTCCGGGAGTCGCCGAGACCGAAACCTTGTGGGCTCCGAGAAGCGCGTTAATCGTTGATGATTTTCCGACGTTGGGGTAGCCGACGAGTCCAACTTGGAATTTGTGTTCGGGTCCTGGTACGAGTTAGCGTTGAAGGCACTCTGATATCAGATAATTACTCACCTGCGTCTTCGGGCGCGTAGCTAAGGAGCATGCCCTCCAACTCGTCAACTGTCAAAATCCTCGTGTCCGCTTCACCGTCCTCCTCCTGTTCGGCACCCTCTTCATCGGGATCATTCTCGTTGTCTTCATTTGATTCGCCTTGTTTCAGGGGCGCACCACTTCCGCTTGGGCCGGCCCCCTCTTCCTCCTCATCCTCCTCCCCCTCGGATCCTTGGGCTTCCAGCATCTCCTTAGCCAGTTGAGCCGAAAAGAACCGATAGGCAATCCCAGCGCCCTTCAGGTAGTTGGCCCACGCTTTCCTTTGCGTGTAGGTCATCATATCGGCCTTGTTGATGAGCAACAGATTCTCCTTCTTCGGATCAACGTCCTTGACGTACGCCTCGAGATCTTCGGACCGGAACATGAGGGGGTTCCTGGCATCGACGATCTGAATGACCAGATCGGACCGCTCGATGACTCTCCACAGCTGCCTCCAGACCTCGAGGTTGCGCTCGAACGGCGTCATCAAGAGATCTTGCGTCTCCTGGAGCTCCGCCAGGCCCTTCCGCCACTGAAGAAAGCCCTCGCGCTCTAGCCGACCGAGTTCTTCGGGGGTTGTCGACGCATCCCATTGCGGCCTCCTGGGTACGGTAAGGCGGGACTTGTGTTCCTTCTGTTTCCCAAGTACCACCCTTTCCTCAGCCGCAGAGAGGAGGTAGGGGTTGCGCTGGTCGGTGTGGATGATCTTGACATTGTTCGTCTTCTCGGCTGTAAAATCGGTCCCGGCAAGCTCGGCGGTAGCCAAGAACTCGTCCAGGGCGCCCTGCTCGGTGACGGAGCGCATCTTGACCCAACCCGCCTCTTCCCTGTCGTTGGTGATGTATTCTTGACCCGTCGCATGGTCGATACGTGTGACTGCGCCAACTCGTTTTCGGTCGCCGCCTTTACCCCCCGCCAAACCGATCCTTCATCAGCGAATTGCCGAGGCCGACCGACTTCTTGGACTTTGCGAGCACCATGATGGGCAATGGGCCGTTCGGCTATGGTCTTGCTACAGTCGGTGTTCAGTAAAACAGCACTATTTACCGTGCTTTTTAGTTGTAAAGTTGAAAACGAAAGCCACCGTCGCAAAGGGCGGGGTGTTTGATGTTGGGGGTTGCTGATAAATACAGAGTAGAGGGGCAAATTTGCTGGTATTTGGCTGGGCGGTGCAGGGAGTCACGGCTTGGAAAAGTTGCCTCTGGAATTCCTATTTACTTTTCTGTAGTATGAGAAAATATGTCGTAAAATTGTAGGTTGCTTAAAAGCAGGTTTATCCATGGATCCAGTTCGTTGATATCTACAAGACTCATGAGCAGCAAGCTTCCGTATTCCTGCCGTTGTCGAATTGTATCATGTCGTGTGAGCCAAGTGTAATTATTTCGTACCGTCATGTATTTCGGCTGGTGGCGACCCTATCGATAAGATAAGAACTTTTTACCCCACCAAAGTTTTCATGTGCTGATTTGCGCACACAGCACAGGGCACCTCGTTCACCGAGGACCCGGGCAGTAACGAGGTCATTGTGATGTCCATGATGGACTAAGTGGTAAATCCAGCACGCACACACTCAAACACACCCGCACAATTTACGCTATCCTCAACATTTTCATCTACCCATATACCCAACACCATCTTTTCATCAATCTGTAACCAAAATGGCGAAAGGAAAGTGGATGTACGCACTCCCCGCAATCCCTTTCCCATTAAATCGCATCCATCTGACCTTTCTCTCAATCGCAGCGACAAAAAGACAGCGACGCACTTCACGCTCGTGCATCGCCCGCAAAATGACCCTCTCATCCACGACGAGTCGGCACCAGCCATGGTGCTCAACCCGACGCAGCGGGCCAACAAATCGTCGCGGGGCGAGGGGCTGAGCGACCTGGCGTCGGATCTCGGGTCGGACGCCATGAGCATACGCGACAACGAGGGCGAGGCCGCTAACTATGGCGTCTACTTCGACGACACCGAGTACGACTACATGCAGCACCTGCGCGACCTAGGCCAGGGGACCGGCGACGCTGTCTTCGTCGAGGCCGACCCCGTCGGCAACAAGGGCAAGGGCAAGGGCAAGCCGCAGCAGTCGCTCGACGACGCCCTGCGGCAACTGGACCTGAAGAACCAGAGCGAGGATTTGCTGGATGACGAACTGCTACCGAGCAAGAACCTGCAGCGGCTGACGTACCAGGCGCAGCAGAACGTGCCCGATGCGATTGCGGGGTTCCAGCCGGACATGGACCCGCGGTTGCGAGAGGTGCTGGAGGCGCTCGAGGACGAGGCGTACGTGGATGAGGATGCCGGGGAGGATGTTTTCCAGGAGCTGGCTGTGGATGGGCAGGAGCTGAGCAAGTACGAGTTTGAGGAGGCGTACGATGACTTCGAGGATGACGACGAGGGGTGGGAGTCAGACCGCACGGTGAAGGCGGCCGGGGAGAATTCCAAGGAGGATGGCGTGCCGCAGCTTACCGACACAAGCGGGGCACAAGCCGGTGAGGGCGGGTCGGACGACTGGATGGCGGAGTTCAACAAGTTCAAGACCGATCAAAAGGCGGAGAAGAAGCCCCGAGAGGCCGCTGCGCCGTCCGAGCTGCAGTCGTCAATATGGACGACGACAACAAACGGTGGGCGGAAAAAGACAAGGAAAGGTGCCATGACGAATCCGTCCGCATACTCGATGACATCATCTTCTCTCGTAAGGACAGAGCAGCTGGGCATCCTCGATGCGCGGTTCGAGAAGATCGAAGAGCAGTACAATGGCGACATGGAAGACACAGCCTCCGTGTCAGCGGTATCGACCATGTCGACGGTGCAGGGGAATACACGGCAAGACTTCGATGGCATGCTGGACGAGTTCCTCGGCGACTACTCCATGTTCGGCAAGAAGCGGGTGAAGAAGGGCAAGTGGAAGAACGGGCTGGAGCAGTTCGACGAGATCAGGCGAGAGCTAGGGCCGCCCATCATCCCAGCAAAGTACAAATAGGGTCTGATCTAGGACGCCAAATCCAAATTGAAATTCCAAAACAAATTGACACCATATATCCGTACAGATGCTTTGTGCTATAAGGCAACGCTGCCGCCTCCCACGTCACACCCAAAAACATATCTCAAATCAACAGCCCATGTACCATCCCAAACTACTCACCCCCTCCTCCAGCGCCTCCACCTCCCCACTCGGACCCAACTCCCCCAACAACTTCCTCACCACCTCCACATCCGTCACCTCCCAAAACCGCCTCACCCCCTCCACAAACCGTTCCGCCGCCAGGTCCACATTCCCCTCCTCCTCGGCGGCAAAGCAGATCCGCTGGTACCGCCAGCCGTCCTCTTGGCGCACCTCATCGTTGGCGCTGAACATGGAGCCCGTGGCGACCAGCACGAGGAAGGGCTTGGTCGTCAGCCAGACCATCAGCGCGGCCGACAGGGCGGGCCCGTCCAGCACAAGAGGCGGGGACTGCGGGCTGCTCGGGCACGCGGCCTGCCACAGCGGGTGCGTCTCGAGGTGCAGGCGCAGCCACACGAACATGCCGCCGCGCGGCCAGCGGAAGGTGTAGAGCGGGGTTTTGGTCACGGCGAGGGGCGCCCACTCCGAGTCTGGGTCGGACCGGGACGAGAGGGGGGCGGGGGCGGTGGTGATCAGGGTGGCGCCGGCGTCGAGGGTGCGGCACATGCGCACGACGCGCCGCTCGTAGGTGCCGCGCAGGCCCTCCAGCCAGCGTACCCAGCCCGAAGTGTCCCAGCCGGTGAAGGCGGCGCGCTCGCGCGGGGAGCGCAGGAGGGCGAAGGCCGAGCGGGCGCGTTGGTTGGGGGTGTTGGATCCGCTGCTGTTGCTGCCGAGGACTAGCTCGGAGATTAGACCCTGCACGAAGCCTGATGGTTGTTGCGTTGTTGACTCGTTGATGCGCTCGAAGCGTTCGACTAGCGCGGGCTGTGCGGTGATCCAGCCCAGGCGGCAGCCCGGCGCAACTGTCTTGGAGAAGGTGTCCAGGCGTATCACGCGGCCGTCGGTGTCGAGGGATAGGAAAGACGGCGTGAGCGAGTCGAGGAAGGGGTAGCCGGAGGAGCGGGCGGACTTAGGGGTGGTGGAGGCGGTGGGCGGGGGGAGGCCGCGGGATTTGGCTTCTTCGACGGCGGCGGAGGGGAATTGGAGGTACCAGTACGGCTCGTCCTCGACAATGATCACGTCGTACTTGCTGCAGACGGCGTAGATTTCCTTCTTGCGCTCGACGGACAGGACGATACCCGTGGGGTTGTGGCCGAGGCTGGGAGGGGTCAGCGTGGAATGGGGGGGAACCGAAGATTGGCTGGGGCTTACGTGACAGTGTACATGAGATGCGGCCGCTTTCCCTTGGAAGGATCCCAGTTGGCCAGGACATCCTCCAGCCCGCCTGGTCCTTTCACTGCCATGCCGGATGCATTCGATTTTACAGTGACGACTTGCACGCCATGGGGCTGGGCCTGGTTGAGGATGTTGGTGTACACGAACGGCTCGCAAAGAAGACCCGGCCGATCGGTAATATCATTAACACCCTCGGTCCACTGGTCAACGAGCAGGTCCAGGGTCTTGGAGAAGCCATCGGTCGAGCCGCAGGTCAAGACCACATCAGGCCCACCCTTATACGGAGTGTCTTGTTGCAGATTTTCGCGGGTGAACTGGCGCACCCATGACAACAGTGGTGGGTAGCCCGCGGCGAGACCGTACTGTAAAACCGTGGTAACGTCAATCTTCTTCGATGGGTCACTCTCGTCCGCTGCCTTGGGCACCACGATGTGGGTGGCTGCCGCGGAATCCGAGGATGATGTTGATGACGTAGCAGTCTCACCGGGGTGGTTTGGCGACGGCGTCCACCTCTCTGGCTTTGCTGCTTGTGCTTCTAACGTATCGAAGGGGAAGAAGTCGGCATTGGGGAGGCCTAGTAGGTGGGATTGAGTGAGTTCTGGGAGCCATTGAGACGAATTGAGCATTGAAGTTGGATGTAACACGAACCGCCAGCCATGTTTAAGATGCCCGGGATCTGAAAGAACTTGTACGCCTCCTTGATCTTGGAGGGCATCCGCCGCTTGGTGACGGCGGAGTAGTGGTGGCTAAGGTCCAGTGGTGCCGGCTTCTCACGGCGGCCGAGCCGGACACGGCGATGAGAGGTGAAGGTGTCCATAGTTATTGTGAGCTCCGTATCAATACTGTGAACTACCTAGGTAAATAATGATAAAAATGTTGCGATTGAGTCTTGCTATGTTGTGATGTGGTTGATGAAACAGGCCAATTTTCAAGAAACAAACTACTTAGAGTACTGTGTGAGGTCCATTGCCGGGAAGGACAACCTCCACCAAACAAACATGGAATGAGATTGGGGCCGTCCGCCCGTCCCGACTGCCGCCAGAACGGAACCCTGAGTCCGAGACGGAGACATGCTTATAAATCGCCGGGGCCCGGGGCATCCAAGAAACCGTTATCGCTACCAGCATGGTGGGCGGGAAGGAAGGATCCATGCCATGGACTGATTCCAGAATTGATGAACCCGCGTGTCCACTAACCCCACTTGGAAGTCCAGGCCCGGGGTACCTCCCGTATTCAGTGCCTCGGCAGAGAAGGAGCCAAAGTTCCAGGTTTTATTGTGCCACAGGGCCACCTTTGTAGTTACTGTGTGCGAGGTATGGCCGATTCTACTTGTATATACCTATATGGGAATTACGGACCTCTGGTGTAACGTATCACCAGCTGAGACCACCGAAACCGCTCAGCCGGGTCTCCGATCCGGTGTTCACTCCGATGTTCCGGATATAACTCACTCACTTCAGTGCCGATCGCCGCGCCACCGGAAGCCGAGCTGAGTGAGACATGCATGCGGCTCCGGCCTAAGTGTGACATACATGCCTCAGTTTATTTAACCTTGCGCCATCCCGGCCAACTAACCAAGGCAATTGTTGTTTAGTTATTCTACGGGAAAATGGCATGGGATTTAGTTTCCGTCTTGGTCTGGCGAGTATTTAAAGCCAAGCTCCTCAAGAGTCCTGGCTCTCCGCCCGTCCAGCTCGAACTGCAACTTGGCCTTGAAGTAAATCTTCCTTTGCCAGAGCAATTCTGGATTCCAACGCGGCGGTTCTTTCCCCGGCGTCCCTGACCGTGTAATCCAGTCATGTACTGAATTGATATAACCACCATCATTGCCCTCCGGCCAAACGTGGAATTTGGGGCCCCGTTTTCCTGCCTCCTCGGCTTCCCATTGCCTCATCTCCTCCACCGACGGCAGCTCTAGGAGATTCGCCCATGTTCTCGAGAACACAGCCGCCTGGCTCTCGGAAAACATAAATGGGACTACCTTGACCGGCAGCCTTGGGAACACCAAGGTTGGGTGGTCAATGTGGAACAGTTCCTGGTACAGGTCGTGCACTCTACGCCCGTCTGTTAGCAACGGTGGGTCGAGGGAGCGGAGGAACGGGAAGTCGAAGAGATAGCCGGTGCCGTAGAGGATCGCGTCGATATCTTTCTCGATTCTCCCGTCCTGGAACCGGACACCTCGTTCTTCCGGCAAGAACTCCTCGATAACAGGAAACTCTTCGGCACCGGCATACCCCAGGTTGGCTGGCGGCGTAGGCCGTCGCACCGATATCAGCAGCGGTTTCTGGCAGACGCCACTGATCTGCGCTCCAATATCGAGCCCGGATGCGGAATTCCCAACTATGACGACCTTTTTACCGGTGAATCTCTCTGGACTCCGGTAGTTCTTGGAGTGAGAGATAACACCGGGGTGTACCTTGTGGAATTCCCTTATTCCCTTGATGTCGGGGATGTAAACGGCAGTGTAATGGCCAGATCCAACGACGACGGCATCATATGTTGCCCCCGTCGTCTTGCCCGTGAGGAGGCACACCGTGTCCACGTCCCACTGATCCTTTCCGTCGACCACCCTCAAGCGAACGTCCTTCACCTGGGTCGAAAACTGTATGAGGTGCCGGATATCTTCGGCGTATCCGACCACATACTCCTGAATGTCTTCCCGAGAGGGGAAAACGAGCGCATCCTCCTTCATCGGAAAATCCGAGTACTTCATAAGAGAGCGAGGTATGTTGGTGTGCAGGACCTCATACATGGGCGAGGGGAAGACGGGCGCCTCTGCTTCACCTTGGAACGGCAGAGGCGGATCCGGAGGACAGTCGGGGCTCGTTTGAGGCACATGCACCGACTCCGAAGGCCTGGGACCGTAATTCCATACCCCGCCGACTTCGGACTGCTGCTCAAAAATGTCGATTTTATCAAAAACCTTTTGAGCGACCAAGTACTTGGCCGATGCAAGCGCACAAGGTCCGGCACCAATGATGGCAACGCTTTTAACGTCGAAGCGATCAGATTGTTGAGAACCCATGATGGCGCAAAAGAAGGAAGGTTTCATGTAAGGTTTAAAACGATTGACAACAGTTCAGAACTGGCCCATTCCATGTTGGGCAGATTTGCCATCACGAAGCCCAATGGTTGGTGTTGAGGGGCAGAACGGGCCGAAGAAATGGTGGGGCAAATATGGAACTTCGCTGGGGGGTAATATACCGTCTCGTAAATTACCGACTTCCATCTCGGTGCTTCTTGGCAGGTTCCCCACCGCCTTCTGTTCTGAGCCTGGGTTGACCAGGGTGAGCGGCTGTTGGAGCTCCCCTTCCATCGCGTCGCTGCCGTCATTGGAGCTTCCATGCCGCGCTTTCTGCGAGCGAAGCTCCGAAGCACATCAACAGCGCAAACCAGCAGCTGTCGGGATCGAAGCGCTCACACTGTGGCGTCACCCTTGAAATTGACTTTCACACTCCTTCTTCTCTCCACCGCACAACACGGCATCAACCGCAACCGGCAAATGACAATTTCACAAAGTCCTTTTGGCAACACCAAATTGATGCCATAGTTCGTTGTAATCCTCTCCCTGCCCGGTTACCTTGCAACATGGCGACGGCCAACGGCAATAGCGTCGCCCCTTTGGCTTCGCTGTCTGCGACTCCAATTGCACAGTTAAATCCCGATTTGCCCAATCAAGCCTCGCGCTCCGTCCGCGGCGAGGTCACCATTACCTGGCCTTACAATTCCGTCACCAAGAAACTCGCCTTTCTAATCGCTGAGCCCGACGTGCGCCTCCGCCGCGCGAAGGGGCAAATACGGATAGAACTTCACGGGCCAAGCGCGAAAGCTGCTTCTGAAAGCGGACTCGGGGCCAGCGATGAACTACTCTTCAGCTTGGCTGGCGCAGAATGGTCCAAGGATGCCTCTCCCGGACGCATCCCGGGCGCCAGAGTGGAATGGCAGCTGCAGTTCAACCAGAAACTCGCCCTCCAGGTTCGTATTCAGGGTAGAGACCCTTTCTCGGTTCTGACCCCTTTCTAGGTCAAGTTCGGTGAGACGGGCGAGATAAAGCACATCAACATCGACGGTCCCACGGCCGAACAACCGGACGACCTGATGACCGAAGCGCCGAGGATAGCCACACCCGAACCGGAACCGACCTTGCCCGAAATCCCAACCACCGTCCGCAAAATATCCGAATTCACGGCGAACGAATACCACTCGCCGGCCTTTGTTAAACGCGCCCGCCTTTCGTATGGCGCCCTGTTTGAGGGCGGTTTCGACATTTTCGAGGAGGATGGTGGAGTCAAGGGCAGAGGCCGAAAGAGGACCCGGTTTGGTCGCGACAGCAGCGCGTGGCGTTACAGCAGTCAGTCGCCGAGCCCTGAGCGTGATACGTCAGTCTCGGACGCCATGGACGAGGATCCGTTGGAAGACGCCACCCCTCGGTCGCAGCCCAAGCCGCAGATGGCGGATGAGGGTTGCCAGACCGTCGAGGCCGAGACGGAAACAAGTGATGCCACCCTTCCGAGATGGGAAAAGATTCCGGTTCCGCCAGAGACTCCGACTCCCCTCTCCCGGAAACCCTCAGTTGCTCCTACCCAAAGACAGCAAACTGCAACTCCTGAGCTCATACCTGTCACCACTATTGCTCAAGATGAACCGAGCCCTGCGGTACAGCAACAAGCCATTGATATACCCTCGGAGGAACCCGTCTCAGCTACAGAGTCAGCACTTGCGGCGGAACCCGATCGGCCATCACCTTGGCCACCGACCGGAGGGGAAGAGCCCCAAGAGCAGTCCCGCGCAACGGATTCCCAGCAAAATATGCCGGCGGAAAGCAACGCCGAAACAGCCACAAGTGCTCTGTTCGGTCCGAGATCCTTTACCTCCAGCTTCTCTTCTTTCGGTGCCAGTGCGCCCGCTCGAGTAGAGACAAACCTAAGTCTAGCTGAGCAGGTCAGATTCGGCTTTTCCCATATACCACAAACAACACGTTCTCCGTCTCCACAAAAGCCCGAGCCTGCCCCCGAGACGACCTTTCACCAGCAAGACCCATACCCGATGGCCTTCCTTGATAACGCACCGGCCCTCCCCAAACGTACCGAGATGGATACCTACCCCAATGCAGTGGGCGAAGAGGAAGAGGTGGGTGTACAAGGCGAAACCATGCCTCCAGAGCCGCCCGCGGTTGAAATCTTTGGCGAGGGCCAATGGGAGATGTCGACACAGCCCCCGCACTACAATATGATCGAAGGCGGCCATTTCGGTGCAGATACTCTCGGTGAAGGGACACGAGTCACAGCTGGGCAGCCTTCGCTTCATGCGGACAACATTTCCCCAGGTGCGGTGCCAGAGGGCTTTGCCAGCTATGGGCATGAGAATATGCTCGACAGACATCAGGAGCAACCGCTACAGCCAGCATTGCCGCACGAGGATGAGCCTCTCGTAGAAAATGAGGACACGATCAGTGAAGACGAGGTCGGCGTTGAAGAAGAGAAGGATGAAGACGCTGAATCCGACGAATATGCCTATGGTGAGCAAGTCGAAGAGGGAGACTACGACCAACGCAACTATGATATCCCCTCTGATGATGAAGACGACCTCTCGGAAGAAGACGAGGAGGTTGAACTGGAGACAGAGGCGCGTTATGGCAATGGCGAGACGTACGATGAGGATGGCGAAGGTGAAGAGTGGGACGAGGAGGAAGATTACGAGAGCGAGGAGGAGGATTACGAAGAGGAGGAGGACGACGACGACGACGTGAGCCGCTACCAACCCAGGAGACCTGCTGCGCCAGCGCCGACAGGGGAACCCGTCGTTATCAGCCTACTCTCCGATTCTGAGGATGAGGACGAGCCTGTCCCGCAACCGAGACAACCCGCGCCTACTCCCCAAACGGCACATGCTCCGCCACCCGCGGAAAGCTCGGAAGCAGCATCCAGTCCAAAACGCGAGGACTTCCCGGGCGTGCTGAAAACGATAGAAACAAACAACACAGGGGAGGAGCGGGCTCCCACCGCCATCTTCGCCCAAACCGATGTTTTTGACTTCGCTGCCCGTGGAAGCTCCAATATCATCCAGCGTCCAACAGCGCCATCGGCAGGCCCGGATGCCAACACTGGAACTCCACAATTTACCACCCAATTTCCCGGCTCATTTGAAGTGTCTAGCGCCCGCGATGAGTCTTATATTTCACACCCCGAGGTTGCGCCCAGTGAAGGCTCGTTGGCCCTTCCCTTTGTCTCGGAAACGAAACCTCCGCCTGCGCCGAGCGAAACGTCTTCGGAAGGCCTTTTTATCTCACAAATCCGCTCTCGGTCCCCTGTTGCAGAGGACCAGCAATCTGACGCGGACTCCACCGACGAGCCCGAGCGGACTACCGAAGGCTCTACAGATGGTGACACGGAGCCGGGGGCTGAGAAAGCGAGGGCCCAAGATGAATTCTCGAACGTGGAGGAACCCGAGGAGGATGAAGCCGCCACCCCGACAGCAAAACTCGAGGACGATGATACTAGCCTACCCGATGCAGATGACTCGTCCTTCTCTAGTCAGGTTGAAATGCCCGAGGTAGACGAAGCCGCCACCCCGCCAGCCGAACCCCGAGACGATGATACCAGCCTATCTGACGCAGATAATCTGTCCTTTTCTAGTCAGGTTGAAGTGCTCGAGGAGGACGAGGCTCCCATCCCGCCAGCCAAATCCCGAGATGATGATAGTGATCTGCCCGATGCAAATGATCTGTCCTTCTCCAGCCAGATCGAGATGCCCGAGGAGTTCGGGGAGAGCGAGGATGAATACATGAGCGTGGACGAAAACGTCCCGTCCAACAAGGCCGCCACCGTGGACGCTGTTATTTCAACTCTTGAGGTCGAAGAGGTCATTTCTGAGGAAGACGTCGAGATGGTTGATGCCATCTCAGCACGGGTGGAGTCGGCTTCCCCAGAGAAGGTGGCTTTAAGCCCTTCACGTGAAGGCTTGGGTGAGACGTCGGTTGTTTCTAGCCTTGTGATCACCGAAGTCACGCCAGAAGTCGTCCCCACTGCTGCTGCTGATGGACCTCTTCCGGATGTTGATACTTCTGAACAACAACAACGAGAGCAACAAGTCCCGCCACCTATTTCAGTTGATCGAGAGCTGGCCGCGGCGGAATCGCTACAGCAGATGGCGGAGGATGTGGCTGATAGTGCGGCTGGTATTTCTGGGGCAGCGGCTGAAAGCCAAGAAGAAGCAGCTTTCACTTTCAGTTTCGAAACCCAGGTCGACTTCGCGGCTCCGAAGGTGCCCGAGCTCTCTCAAGAGTCTCCTCTTGAAAGCCCCGTTGAGGATGCGGTTACATCACCAGTGGGATCCCAGCCTGAGACTGGCGAAAGTTTCGTCGTGGATGGCGGGATTAGCAACGAGGCAGATGGTGTTAGCGCGTCGCCTGTGGAAACATCCGCTGAGGCTCAGACTAGCGATGTTCTGGACGCGGAACTCCAAGCTCAACCGCCCACAGTGGTGACGCCGGATGGAATTCCCGGAGAGGATGAAGCAGAGCATCTCATGGAGACCGAAAAATCTCAACAAACACAGGAGGAAGCCGAAACAGTTCAACAACCTTCATCCCCAACAGCAGAAGACCTCGAGGATGAAACAATGATTCTAGAGCAACTTACCCAGGAGCAACAGCAATCTTTCGAGGCAGAAGCCGCCGAATATCAAAGCCGAGTCCGCTCAACCACTCCCGACCTTAGCGTTCAACTGGCCCGTCAAGCCGTGGCATCCAAGCGTCACAAAAAGGCCGCTGCGGAGCCCGTCCGAACCAGCGCCCGGCTCAACCGCGCGCGGTCCAGCAGTCTCCGATCAAACGGCACCAACGGCACACCAGAGAAAGAAAAAGCCAAGGAAGAAGACAACAGCGTCACGCTCGCCAGGGCAGCCCTAGCCTCACCCTCCAAGCGTGTCACCGATGCCGCAACCGAAGCCGACGGCACCACCACCGCCCCAACCACATCCGCCACCACGGCAACGGCGCTCAAAGCCGACCTCACCAAGCGCCTGCGCACCGAGCTACCGGAGTGCGTCGCGCTCAAGTCGCTGCGCACGCACCTCGACAAGTTCCCCAACGTCGTCGCCGTCGTCACCTCGTCGCCGCCCACCCAGCCGGCCCGCGCCAAGGGCGGGCCCCGCGAGTACTTCATGTCCTTCCGCGTCACCGACCCCTCCGCCGCCCCCAGCGCCGTCGTCGAGGTCCACCTCTACCGCCCCCACAAGGACTCGCTCCCCGTCGTCCGCCCGGGCGACGTCGTGCTGCTGCAGCGCTTTCAGGTCAAGGCGCTGAGCAAGAGGGGGTGGGGGCTGCGCACGGGCATGGATAGTGCGTGGGCTGTGTGGGAGGGTGGTGGTGGTGGTGGTCATGGCGGCGGTGATGGGCGTGGTGAGGGTGAGGGTGATGGTGTCGGGGATAGTGGGGCGAGTCCGACGCCGGCGCCGCAGATCAAGGGTCCGCCGGTGGAGGACTGGGAGGCTTATGTTGGGTATGTGGGCAAGTTGCGGGAGTGGTTTGCGCTGGTGGTGGGGGATGCTGCGGCCAGGGGGAAGCTGGAGAGGGCGGACCGGAAGATGGCTGAGGCGAAGTAACTACTGACTCGGTACGTGCTTCGCAAATGGGCTGGATTGGACTTTTCAGGGGGGTGGGAAGGAAAGGGATTTGGGGGCGTTGAGTTGGGCATAGCGATAGGTTAGTGACATGGCATAACTATGGGTTCTGTGTAATGGGGGCTGAAAGGGCGGTCGGGTTGCTCGAGCAGCAGTCGGCTAGCCAGGTAGATCAAAATACTTTATATAAATAATGGCTATCGACCACTGCGTCACATCCGAGGCGATCCCGCCATCGATATCGTAGGAGTCTGAGCAACAATTACTGCTCTGTGTACGGCCATGGGTAACCTAGGGCTACATTCTATACCCCAAACCGCTCGCTGTCTAGGAAACTCTCTGCCTTGACGAGATACTCTCATCCCCCTTCAAGTTAACGATCCAAACAAATTTCAATGGTAAGCAGCATAGCATCGGTATGTCACTTGTCAAAGGAGGGATGCAATATTCTGAAACGAAACACCATGTATATTCACCCCCAACTTGTCTCAAACCCATCCACCGAAGCGAATGCCCCCCATCATTACGAACGCACGTATTGAACCGCTACTTTCTAAAGCGCTCGTCTTTTGTCTATGCGCAAAAACATGCCCTTTCCAGTGACGCGCACACAGCAATGGACTGTGCCATCGCCGCGAGCGTGTAGTGTGTGTATCCCCCCGTCCCAATGCAAGATCCCATTCCTAGCCCAGCCCAAGCATGAATCATGGGCCGTGCCGTCCCGACGTAGCCGGCCGAAAAGCAACAAGTTGGGGAATCATAAACGAAGAAAAAGGGAAAGGTGGTAGGTAGCCAATCGGCCCAAGAGGAATGTGTCGCTGGCTTCTCAAACGAAAAGCAAAGTGTACAGGCTGCTAGGGAAAGGAACAAAACGGCACTCCTTTAGAGGAAACGTCGAATGCGCAGTCGCCGCCCGCTTAGAGCTCGGGATCGTAGATCCGAGCCTTGATGTACTTGTCGAGGGCCGGGTCACCCCACTCCTCCCACTCGAGCCATTGCTCTTCGGGCAGCTGGCTGACGCCGTCACGGCGCGCGGCCTTCATGACCTCGCGAGCGACGATGAGGCTAGCATCGCGGACACGCTCAATCCGAGGGTAAATGAGACCCTTCTGGACTTCCTCGGCGTTGAGGGAGCCGGCCAGGGCGGCGGCCGAAGTGTAGATCATGTTGTCGGTGACGCGGCTAGACTTGGAGAGAATGGCGCCGAGACCGATACCAGGGAAGACGTAGACGTTGTTGCCCTGGTTCGGGTGGTACGTGACGGGCTGCTCGCTGGTCTTGACAGTGAACGACGAGAACGGCGACCCAGAGGCAAAGATGACGGTGCCGTCGGTCCAAGTCACGGCCTGCTCGAAGGTGCACTCAGCCTTGGTGAGGGGGTTGCTGAGAGGGAACAGGATGGGCCTGCGGCCGAGACCGCCGGCGTCAACTGACGCCTTGAGGGCGCGGACGACAGACTCGGTGAAGACGCCATGAGTAGCAGTCAGGCCGACGAGGGCAGTCGGCTTGACATACTCAATGACCTCCTCGAGGGTGCGGAACTGGTGGCCGCTGTTGTCGGTCCGAGCGAAGTACTTCTTGTGCTCGGCGAGCTTATCGCCACGGTCCCTTGTCACCAGGCCCTTGGTGTCGACGAGCCAGAACTTGTCCCTGGCGGCCTGTTCTGTCATACCACGCTTCGTGTAGTACTCAACCAGCTGCTTCGCAACACCGACGCCGGCGGAACCAGCGCCCATGAACACGAGACGCTGCTCCTCGACGGGAACGCCAGAAAGGTTTACGGCTCCAATGTACCTGCAAGGTGGGTTAGACATGCATGCGTGTGTGAGTGGGGGTCGGGGTTGGGGTTGGGGTTGGGTGGGGGGCTCTGTGCTGGGTGAATGCTTACCCGCCAAGGACAACGGCACCAGTACCCTGGATGTCGTCATTGAAGCACTTGTAGCCGCCCCGGTAGCGGTCGAGGTAGTTGAAAGCCTTCTCGCTCTCAAAATCCTCGAATTGCACCACCATTTCGGGGTAGACCTCGGCGGCAGCCTGCATGAACTCGTCCATGAACTCCTGCTGCTCGGCAACAGAGGGACGCTTAGATCGCAGGCCGAGGTAAAGCGGGTCCCTGAGGTTCGCCTCGTTGGCGGTGCCGCAGTCCAGTACGATTGGGAGAGCCTTTTCCGGGTGGATACCGGCAGCGGCCGTGTACAGGGCTAGCTTGCCAATCTAATGCATGCACATATTAGCCGACCGACGTGCTGGGACCCGCCAGCAAACCCCATTGGGGGAAAGAGGGGGAGGGTTTGGCTTTGCCGAGGTGACATACCGGAATTCCCACGCCATTCACGCCGAGGTCACCCAAGCCGAGAATGCGCGAACCGTCGGTTACGACGCAAATCTCGGGGTTCGGGTAGCGCCAGTTCTTGAGCATCGTCTTGATCGACTTGCGCTGCTTGATGGAAATGTACAGCGCCTCAGGGCGGGTGTAAAGGGTCGAGTACTGCAGGCAGACATCACCAATGGTGGGAGTGTAGACCAGAGGCATGAGCTCCTTGGCGTTGTCGATGAGAAGGCGGTAGAAGAGGTCGACGTTCTCGGCCTTGAGGGTTGACAGGTAGAGGTACTTGTCGATGCCGGTTTGCCGTGTCCGAATCATCTTGAGCGCGCGCTCGCATTGCTTGTCGCTGTCCTCCATGACGTGCGGGATCAGGCCGGTCAGGTTCTTGGCCACACGTTGTTCTGGTGTAAAAGAGAGACCTGAAGGAGGAGGAGGAGCACAGTTAGCGGCCAGCGCACGCAGACGGGGTATAGCCCGCGAAGTAGACGGCGGCATTGTGGAGGTAGTCGTGGCCGGACAATGCTGTGGCGATGGGCAGGAGAATAGGGGACGGTGGGCAGATAAGGAGTAGGGGCAGCGGCAATTGGCCTCGAATGTATGTATGGGGAAGACTGTCTGGGGAAGACTGTCTGGGGAAGACTGTCTGGGGAAGACTGTCTGGGGAAGACTGTATGGGGAAGACCGGATGGCGTTTCCAGGTGCGTCCCAACAAAGTCCAGTCGTGACGTCCCTCTCCGCTCGAAACCCGGTGACGGACCGGGGAGGCGTGCTTAAGGGCAAAAAAAAAAAAAGATGGGACGGACAGAGAGAGGGGAAGCTCGAGAATGCAGGAACCACAACAGCTAGCTGACTCACCTTTATTCCACATCGGTTCCGAGAGCATCTGGTAGCCGAGGGCCTGGCTCTGGCTGATGTACTCGGTGGTGGCATACTGGCGGACTTCGCCGTAGCGGTTCTGGCTGTAGCCGCGGAGGGTGTCGAGGTTCGCCATTCTCATGGCTTCCTCAATGGCTGTGATGTCGACCGAAGACATTGGGTTGGCAGCAGAGATTCTGCGGGTGGACGAGATGGACATGCGCTTGGAGCTAGATATAGACGAGTGCGAGGAGCGACCGGACGCCACCGAGGAGGAGGGGGAGATCGACCGAGGTGTTGAGATGTCGGAGCTGGATGTGCTGGTGCTGAGCGGATACGACGCCATGGCATGTGTGAGAGTCGGGAGAGAGAGGAAGGGCAACCGGGCGAGGAAAACGAGACTGTAAATCCACGGGGCGAGCTCGAGGCAGGGCTGGACCAGGTGCAATAAGAATGCCCCCTGCGGCGTGAGTTTAGCAGTATTATTAGAATTACGAGGGTGACTGGGACCGGCAGTCCAGGTTTTGGGCGCAGTTGCAGAAGCGGCCGTCGTGCGGGCCACCAGTGCCTTTGTTAGTAAGAGTGACAGTTGCAGAGTCTTTCCCACACGCTTGTTGTTGAGGGCGAGTCGGTTTAAAACCTTTTGCATGCCCGCTGCCCTAGACGCGAGCAGCGTCCATTTTGCTGCCCGCTTGCCCATGCCCAACCGAGAAACGAAGACGAAATGCTGGAGGTGGGCGATGCGACAGAGGCCTGTTCTGAAGGTTTCGTCGCACGTTTCAAGGGTAGGGCGGCGTCGAGGGCGCTTTGCCGGTGCACGCCTCCCTCAGTTGGGCCGGGAAGGGGCGCGGCAGAATGAATAAAATAAAAAGTGGGAAGATTCAACCACCATGCCAGGGCAAACCAGGGTCCCTGGCGAATCGGCCGGGTACTGGTACGAATTGAACCCAACACTTGCTCTTTCCTCTGCTGGTGAGACCCGCGAGCCGGAGAGGATTTGCGGGTTCCTTCTTGTGAAGGCACTTACACCGCAGCTCGGGCCAATGGCGGAATGCTCTCGCGGCAGGAGTCACCGAAATGACTTCCGGGTGGGGACCGGAGTGGGTTCCCGAAGGGGCCGTTTAACTGCTCAAGGAATGGGATTTCAAATTACACGGCAGCGATCTTTGGTGCTTTCCCTGACGAATCTGGCTGCGGTCTGACATCTTGTCAGACTTTTGAGGGTTTTTTTCACCTTTCCAATTTTTGTTGGGAGGGCAGTTTGGCTGGGTTGGGTTGGTGGTTTTGAGATCGTTGACATGGATTGGTTCAATGGTTACCCTGACCGCTGTGCCATTGTGCGACGTCAGCCGGAGCGGCCCTGTGTCAGAGCTTCCGCCCCCTGCGAGCTGCCAACCATCACAACTACACTAACGGCATGGTATCCGTCCGTTAATGGACACATGGACCGCCGGGCAACACTCACTTCGGTCGTCGGAGGCCGAACATGCGGTTGCTCCTGCGGTCAGCAATTCCCTACATACCAATTGAGCCCAACGGAAGTCGCGGATATCCCCATCGATCACTGTTTTGTTCCTCTTCGTCGTTTGCCCTTCTCAATAACCTTTGGGGATGATAGTCACGGGGCCTCCGTTCGGGGCCGCCGTGGGGAAAAGTCGGTGGGCCACCATCCAGGAAACACGGTTCGAGACAAACTGGGCTCAGCCGCCATCGGCCCAATCACACATCAGGCAAAGGACAGCAGACTGCCTCTTTGGGCTAAGAACACCCGTCCCGGTCCATCGGTAGGCCTTTCGGGATCGGTTGTCGGCCCTGTCTGTCTGGAACCAGCCTCTCCCTTGCGTACGGCAAGAAGCAAAGAGGCACGCGCCCTGCTACCAGGGGCTTTACCGCCATTGTTTGTTACCTAATAATAAGTGACGGAGGAAGGCTGGGCAACGCGCAATTCGAATTGTTGACGGAATTCGCATCTGCCTGTCTCGGGAGACGGCACGGGCGTTTGCAACAGTTTGTCAGCGGGCCTGCCCGGGATATTTTCTATCTTGACGAAAACCAGCCGTGGCGGGATGAGCCCAATGCTACACACTCGTGAGTCTCCCGGCAGGGCAAAAAAGGAAGCGAATATCGGTTCCGGTGTAAGCGGGCATGCAGACGGGCTGGAGATGCAGGTACGGGAGTACATCGAGGTCCGACTGTTGTGATCTTTTTGTCGGCGGGTCTGGGCTGGGCCCACAACCCGACATCAGGCCCGCTGAACCCACAGTGGAGCGTTGGGCATCGGTGGATCCAGCCATCGAAAAGCGGGTTTTCAGGGGCATGGCCGGGGAAGGCACGAGGTGCATGGATCTGCTCACGATTACCCCCGACTTCTTCCGACTGTAACACAGGGATCGGACGTCTTTCCTCTGCATCGCAACGACCAGAAACGAAATTCCCCTTCGGAAAAGCCCCCGGACGCGCTGTTTGCGGAAGGAAGCCTTCGAGAAGAACAGGGCATGGGATGAAACAGGTCACATTCGCGTCTGATATGCCCTTGCCTTCTCGGGCGGCCTCCACCACGCTCAAACAAAACCAAGCCGGTTGAGCGTCGCTTCCAGGTTCTTACCCAACAATTGGCCGAGGTTTTTTCAGGTGTCGTCTGAACTTCACGATGCCATCTCGGCCACGGACGTTGGTGGTGGAGATTGAAAGTTGCCAAGCTCTTTCTCGTGATGCAAACCGTCTGAAGTCCTCCCTGACTCATGCCCCCACTCCTCTGCAGCCTGCTGTGTAAGAGGGTTCCTCTGCATTTTGATGGGAGCAAGGAATCTTGTCAGTGCTCTCTTTGAACGGGCCCCATATCGAGGAGCACTGGCGACTGGCCGAGAAAGGAGGATCTGCCTACCGTCACAGAGCGATGCTCGGGTCGGTATGATGGAGAGCTTTGGTCTCGCCCGCTCTGTTTGATCTTCCTCGCTCCCGTCTGCGACCCTCGGCATCAAGCAGCTTCTCAGTCGGTTGACCTCACATTAGGACGGTCCAATTGGGCTCTATTGCAGCTCCACGCCCCCTCCCGCACGACAGTTCTCGGAGCTGAGTTCAACTGCGTGTGAAGCTCGTCCGAAAAGGGCTGCTCCGGCCATCGGGAATCTTTGCGCAAGCTCCAGTCCCGCACCACTCCCCACACACACACGGCTGCGGCCCGGCAATCGGTCGTCGGCAATGGCCCGGGGTTTTCCCCGCCGTCGTTGCTGGTGTGGATTGCCTCGTTCCGAGCATCGGACATCGCGGGGGATATCGGGAGCACATGATCACCAACTTCCATTCAGATGGTGAGATGCCGTCCCGATCGCGGCTCTCAAACCAGAAATAACAACACCACCACGACGCCCAGGATCCATTTGCCTTGGTTCCCCGGTCTCCACAATCCCCAGGAAGACTGGGCGCTTCCATGTCCGATACGCTCCACCTTCAGCCCCGAGGTTCTCGAACTTCACCGCTCCCCCGTCCATCTTCAAGCCACCCCCGGATTTTCGAGAGACAAACCCACGCTCATGCTTGTGACTGTGTCGGTGCTCCGGAGCCAAGCCATCAAGCACAAGCCCTGTCTGGGATGACGAATGGCTTGGGCTGCGATGTTATTCCATACAGAGCACTTCCGCGGAACTCCATTATGAGAAACCTCAGGTCTAAAAAAAGTATAAAGTAACTACAGCAACGTCACAAACATTCAATCTTTCCCCAGTGATACATGTGACTCTCGGTCATGAGCAAGGTACTTGTGGGGGTCATCATCAGAAAGGTGATACTCCTCGGTCTTCTTCCTCTCATCGACGCGAATGTTCAAGAGATCGAGATCACTATTCAATAACCTCGGTATCATATATCTTGGCATTGTGAGTATCACAAGATAGATATGACGGCAATGAGCTTGGCGATCGATCGAGCTATTGGTGGGGTTGTACATACATGAGTGTATGACTCAATACATCCCCGCGTCGGCAACTTGGATTCACAGGTAAGTAATGAATTGTGCCATCGAGATCTACGAATCTTGCCATCCCGCTATTCAGGGAGGGCCCGGTTACTTGCACTAGAGGAAGAATTACTCTATATATTCGAGCATGTGCCAATTGCATACTGTTGCTACCAGGGATCAACCTGGCGGTGCTTGACTTGCCATCCCTTCATGTCTTCACATCACCGGTGTCGATGATATGTCGACCCCCTCCTCCAAATGCCTCCCAAACGCAAGGACCATTGTCGAAAAGACCATGCCTAGTCTGACCATCGCGTTCCCCCAACCTACACTTCCTCATCGTCATCAGAATCATCCATCCCCTCAATGACCATCCCCTTCGCATTCGGCACGCCCACCAAGATCTTCCCCCTCGGCACCTTCACATCCCTGACCTTCATGCACCCAAACACATTCAGCTCCCTCAGGTTCGGGCAGCTCCGGAAGACAGAGCCGACCACGAAATCCGTGACCTCCTCGCAGAAGCTGATCTCCAGCTTGGCCATCGCCTCGTACACCTTCCCGTCCGCCTGGTTACTAAACACGTCCTCAAACGCGCCGACGGCAATGTGCCTGCAGCCGTGGACATTGAGGTCGCGCAGCGTCTTGCCCGAGTGGGCCATGAGGGCGCGGAAGCCGTCCGAGCACAGGCCGACGGCGTCCGGGTTGTCGCGGGGGCGGGCCGAGTCGAGGTGGCGGCACTTCTGCAAGTCGACGACGACCAGGCCCGGGTTGGCCCAGCCGCGGAAGAGGCGGGCGAAGCCGGCGTCCGTCACCTCCTCGCTCTCGGTGATGCGCAGCTTGGCCAGCGCCCGGCAGTGCGTGTGGATCGCGTCGAGGACCGTGTTGTCGGCCTCGCGCACCCGCGTCAGGGAGAGGGTTTCCAGTCCCGCGCCGATCTTGCTGAGCACGTCGACGTATATGTCCGAGTGCACCTCGTTGCGCAGGTCTAGGCTGAGGTGACGGAGAGTGCTAATCTGTCCGATGGCTGCGACGCCCGCCCCCGTCACTTCCTGGTTGTGGGAGACCTTGAGCCGGGTGAGCGAGGGGCAGGTGGTGGGCAGCAGCGCGAGCACCTCGTCGCCGAAGTGTAGGTCGGTGAAGTAGACGCGTAGAGAGCGGAGGGCGTGGCCCTTCTTTTGGAGGTACTCCTTCCACTTTCCCTTGGAGAGAAGATTGGCGCCGTGGAGGTAGAGGTCCTCGAGCTCGATGTTGCGCGTCATGAGAAAGTCCAGGACTTGGTCCTTGAAGTGAATCCCATTGCGGACCTGCTACCATGTTAACTTACGCTACTTATACCGGGTTGCGAAGGAGGTTCGGTAGCCATGACCCCGTAAGCCGTCGCTTTTAGAATGACCAGGAAGGGAATAATGGCCTGAGTTATTACTTACCTTGAGCTTCTTGAGGCCCGGGACAGTCTGGAATATGCGGATGAAATCGTCGGAGCTGAGTTTGGCGCCGTCGTAGATGCGTACTTCCTCGGCCGTGGGTTGCAAGAAGAGACTCAAGGTCCTTGAGTCGAGGAGCCGGTGCTTAGAAAGTTTCCGGGCGATCTTGTCGATAATTGACGAGGGTAGGTCACCTAGGTCTTCGGCAAGATCGATGTTCTTCGCTAGAGTCTCGATGCAGAGTGTCATTAAGCTCTTGGCGCCGAGCGAGTATGTTCCGTCCAGAATATTGCTCTGCAGCTGCCGGCGTCGGCCAACCGCCCCGCCGGTAGCTCGTTTCGGTTTCTTCTTCTGCGCTGCGTTGTCTTTGTCGAGCTCCTTGCTACACGGGCTGCAGAGCAACCCCCCGTTAGGCCCGTTTCGACTATACGCAGTAACAGTGAACCGCTTGCCACAGCTCTCGCAGTTCTCCTGCTGCCCGGGGAGCGGCGCAGAGCTCTGCAGGAGGGCGCGCGCAAGATCATCCTCGTCTTCCGACTCGAGCCCACGCTTGCGCTTCTGAAACTTCTTGCTAGCCTTGATCTTATCAATGGCCTTTTTCTCTTTTTTCCGTGCCTCCTCTTCTTGCGCGGGTGCCGCTGCCGCTGCCGCGCGTCTTCTCCGCGTGGTCGGCCCGGTGCTGGCAGTGACAGCTGGAGTTGTGGCCGGGGAAGCCTCTGAAGCCTCTGAAGCCTGGTCATTACTTTGGTTGTTCTCATCAGCCTGCTCGTCCTGTTCATCCCGAGCCGCTCTCCGTCGAGCATCGGCATTCAGGTGAATCTGATAAGCAGAGATGTTGTGCGACTGGTCCAGTGCCCTTCAGTCAGTATTCAATATGCACAAACCACCACTACAGAGGGAGAAGAACCCACCGCCAGGAAATCAGTCAGAGCCGATTGTCTGAAGAAAGGTTATGTTCAGTCAGTTCAAATCCCGTACTTTCGAACATTAATCGGTCACTAACGGGCCTACGATCCGGCGCGGCTGCCGACCTTGCCGTGACCTAAAGTATGCATCAGTAAGAATATTTTGGGATTACAACCCCGAAGCAGGGGAGCTCACATGTTTGGTGGTTCGATATCAGGCACCACTTGGAACGCCACTGAGAGAGGAAGCTGGTGAAGTCGGGTTCGTGTGCAAATTGAAGAACTTTGAAGTCGCTCGGCGGTAGAAAGTAGTTCCTGCTTGGCTAAGACACGCTTTGACGCGAGGAGGGGCAAATTCAATTAAAATCTGAACGCCAGAGCACCTGACCGTTGTCTGCGGAAGAGAAAAGGGGAAAGAAGTCGATGATCCAGATATTTCAACCAGGCTCTAACCGAATCAAGCTACGGCCTCGGGGCGGGTTGCACTTGAACCTTCGACCGGGAATCGGAAAGACAAAATCGACAACAATGTTGTGGTTTACTGCGTTGAGTCTTGATGACCTGTCAAAGTGGAAAGATATACTTCAGAGAAAGGCACTGAGCGGACAAAGCCATGGAAAAATGACCAGTTATTCGTCGCCCAGAAAACCTTACAATCGACACCACCTTTCAAGCAAGGGAGCCTGAGGTTGAAAGAGAACAGTCTGAATATCAGCAAGCAAGCCCCTGGAGCCATCTGAATCTCAACCAACCAGCTCCCGTCTCTGCCTGCTGCTGCCTGGGGCTCCATGGGCTCCGAGTAAGCCAGCAGATAAATTAGCCCGCAAGTCATGTGCCTTCGCGTTGGAGAAAACGCGACCCTCCCCTCCCTTCCTTGAGGTCCACGACCCTGCCTCGTTGGCAACCCTCGCAAGGAGGTGGCGATTGAGTTCGACGTCGCCGCAGGTTTTGTTTTTTTGTCACACACTGCGGCCCTTTCTTGTCGAGCCCTCCGTTCATGATCACTCATCACAAAAAGAAGTCGGCCACCTTCAGCTCTTTCAAATTGGAAGTGCACTGATTCGGGAGCTTGGGCTGCAATTTGATGGGGCTTGGCTTGCTCAATCAATGCCATCGATCAATGCGCTCGACCGACCATTATTTCTCCCTTTGTTGAGCATTTGGAGCAGTGCCGCCCAAGCACACAAACATCAACCCCGAACATTTCTCACTGTCTCGTATATTTCCTATACCTCCAAACTGGCCGTATTTCACACCGAGATTCGAGAACTAAAACATCATGGTTCGAACAAGAAGGTCGGCGGCAGCCGATACAATTGCTGGTAAGTGTCCACACTTCCTCATCGTTGTCTTCCCCATTCTCTTCTAGTTATTGGGTTTCTCGGTTTGGTGTTCTCCGAATCGGTCGGTCGAGCCGGAGGATTCTCACAGGAACCACAAAATGATACACTCATATTCCTAGAATATGATATCAAATATCGACATCGCGCATATTTCTAACTAGATCTTTAGTCGCACCTCCACAGCTTAATCCGATAGGTTCGGCAAATACACCTACGGACCGGCGCAGCGGATCAAGTGTGGCATCCGACTCATCCACAATCTTCACCTCGGCCACACCTTCGTTGGGAAGCGGGTATACCACCCCACTTACCAGCAATTCCGAGACGGCAACCCCAAAAGAGACCGTGCAACCGGCCTCGGGCAAGCGACTCAATCGGATCGAGGTGCATTTACCTGTATCGAAGCCGTCTGCCTACCGGGATCTCCGCCAGAGCATCTTCTCCATGGGCGGCAAGCGGAAGCGAGCTGTCATCGAGGACAGTGAGGAGGAGGAGGAGTTCTCAGACAGTTCTCCGGATGCGATTTTAGCACGAAAACTGCAGGCAGAGGAAGATGCAACCGCAGCGACGATGGTCGAGCCGTCTGTTGAGTCTAGCGAACCTGGTCCTGCACCGCGTCGGAGCCTGCGAGGACTGGCGGCGCCAGCTGCTACACGGGCCGCACGATCGACGAAATTGATTCACACTAGCACCGGGCCTACTTCTTTGCCCCCGCGGCGTGCTAATGGCACGAAACGTGTGATAGCCGCAAAAGCCACGGGCTCTGGCAAGGCTGCGAGCAAGAGGCGGGCCGTCACCATCTCTGATTCGGGGGCCGATGATAGCGAGCCGACGAAACTTTCAGACTCGGACGATAGCGACGATTCCGCCGAGCCTCTGAGCAAACGCCGAGTCACCGCTACACGCGCCAACGCTAAGCATAAAGCGTTGCCTGTCGTTGCCAAACGGCCAACTAACCGAAAGGTCAAGGCAGAAACACCAGAACTGGAGGGTGATGAGGTCGATCTCATGCTAGAAGCCTCCGATAGCGAAACCTCCGAGTTTGGGGCAGAGGCTCTGTTGAGTGATACCAGTAGCCTTTCGGACGTGGAGGACGGGGCTGAGGATGATGCCGGCGATGCCGGTCAAGCCACAAATAATGCCGGGGGCGAGGACGAAAATGAGACTGGCCCCGTTCCGACCCCTTCAGCTCTCGAAGTAGCGATGAGTTCACGCCGCGCCTATCGCGCCTATGCCAGCGGGCGCCGAGTTAAGAACAACCGTTCTCGTCTGGAGGCGAGCCACCCGGAACTCAAGACGATGTGGAAGGATCTCGAGAATATGCCCATTTTGAAAGCGGGCAAGGCAAAGCAGCCCGAATCCATCTCTCGTCAGCTCAAACCGTTTCAGCTTGAAGGCTTGGCTTGGATGATGGGGATGGAGAAGACTGAGTGGAAGGGTGGACTGCTCGGGGACGAGATGGGTCTCGGCAAAACCATCCAAGCTGTCTCTCTCATCATGTCCGACTTCCCTGCCAAGAAGCCTTCTTTGGTGCTGGTGCCTCCGGTTGCCCTGATGCAATGGATGACGGAAATCGAGTCGTACACGGACGGGACACTCAAAACTCTCGTCTTTCACGGGACCAATTCCAAGTCAAAGAACCTCACGGTCAAGGACGTCAAGAAGTACGACGTGATCATCATGTCATACAACAGCTTGGAATCGATGTATCGAAAACAGGAGAAGGGCTTCAAGCGCGTGGCTGGTACCTTCAAGGAGAAATCCATCATTCACCAGACCGACTTCCACCGCGTGATCCTCGACGAGGCTCACTGCATCAAGACGCGGACGACAATGACGGCCAAAGCATGCTTTGCCCTTAAAGTCACATACCGCTGGTGCCTGTCTGGCACTCCGCTGCAGAACCGCATTGGCGAGTTCTTTTCGTTGATTCGCTTCCTCAACGTCCGCCCTTTTGCCTGCTATCTATGCAAGAGCTGCCCCTGTTCCACCCTCGAATGGCAAATGGGTGATGACAACAAATGCACCGGTTGCGGGCACGGCGGGATGCAGCATGTGTCCGTCTTCAACCAGGAGCTTCTCAACCCCATTCAAAAGTTCGGTAACCGTGCCGGTGGTGCCGAGGCCTTTAGAAAGTTGCGCATTTTGACCGACCGCATCATGTTGCGTCGGTTGAAGATAGACCACACTGACTCGATGGAGCTTCCCGTCAAGGAGATCAACGTTGAACGGCAGTTCTTTGGCGAAGAGGAGAACGATTTCGCCAACAGCATCATGACAAACGGCCAGCGCAAATTCGATACCTACGTCGCCAGCGGTGTCCTCCTCAACAACTATGCCAACATCTTCGGTCTCATTATGCAGATGCGCCAAGTGGCCGACCACCCGGACCTGATCCTCAAGAAAGACAGCGAGGGTGGCCAGAATGTTCTCGTATGCAGCATATGTGACGAGCCTGCCGAGGATGCCATTCGGTCGCAGTGCAAGCACGACTTCTGCCGGACCTGTGTCAAGAGCTACCTGAACTCGACGACCGACCCGAACTGTCCGCGGTGCCACATCCCGCTCTCCATTGACCTCGAGCAACCCGAGATGGAGCAGGACGAAGTCCAGGTCAAGAAGTCATCCATCATCAACCGAATCAAGATGGAAAACTGGACGTCGTCGTCCAAGATCGAGCTGTTGGTACACGAGTTACACAAGCTCCGTTCCGATAATGCGTCGCACAAGTCCATCATCTTCTCCCAATTCACAACGATGCTGCAGCTTATCGAGTGGCGCCTGCACCGTGCCGGCATCACTACTGTCATGCTCGATGGCAGCATGACCCCAGCCCAGCGGCAGGCTTCGATCAAACACTTCATGACGAACGTCAATGTTGAGGTCTTCCTAGTTTCCTTGAAGGCCGGTGGCGTGGCGTTGAACCTCACAGAGGCTTCTCGGGTCTTCATCGTGGATCCTTGGTGGAACCCTGCAGCGTACGTTTCCCATTATGCGGTCTACCCCCTGGGTTATAATGCTAACTTGGAACGCAAAACAGTGAATGGCAGTCTGCCGACCGGTGCCACCGCATCGGACAGTCCCGTCCCTGTACCATCACCAGGCTCTGCATCGAAGATTCAGTCGAGAGCCGGATGGTTCTGCTCCAGGAGAAGAAAACCAACATGATCAACTCTACGATCAATGCCGACGATGCAGCGATGGACTCGCTCAGCCCGGAGGATCTCCAGTTCTTGTTCCGCGGCAACTAGTCACATCTTACCCGCGATGAGCGCCGGCAGATCTACACGTCTGGGCGTCTCGCCCCTTTATTTTTCCATCTTTGCTACGGTATGGCTATTTCTTGACAATACTTTCTCACCGCCGACGGGCTCTTGTGTTGCGTTATATGGACCTTGAGTGGGCAGTGGGAACACTAGGGGGTTGTTGGGGCTACGCGATGGTTATGAAGTCGCGAGATGTACGGTATAGATAAAGCTCTCGATTTGGCCAACTCGGCTAGGTATCATCAACGGTTGCCGGGTGGTTTGTGGTGGACACGGATATAGGTAGGAACCAGGAGTTGCTCGAGTCGCTTTTCTGATGGATGGGGCTGTCTATATGGATTTGATAACGAATACCCTGTCAGAATACACACTATGTATATATGAAGATTTTTCCAAGTTGTGGCGAGGCATTGGAAGCGTGCCCGACCGTTGACCTCCCGTCAGTATTAGTTGTCGCTCCCTCGTTACCTCGATGGTGAGCCTTGTATACTTCGTACACAGAGTACTACCATGTCAGTTCGGCGCTAAGCTGCTGGTGCTGGGTCTGGGCCATCGAGTTTCAACGCTGTCTCCACAGCAGCCGATGGACCTTTTCCAAAATGCGGGGTTGCGCGCCAGCAGCCCTGCAAATGGATCCCCTCATTGCAAACGATTGGATGAACAGGGAGAGATCCCTGCTTCTGTAACAGGAGAAGGAACGAACGATCACCAAGACAGCGTCATCTTTGTGCCGCGGGCTCAGCTTTCCGTGGCACCTTTCCTTCCAACCTGGAAGTTGCTGCCCTGAATCCGTGGGCTCCTCTTCCTCCGAGTTGCTTCAGGTTTCACAAGTTTTCCATTCGCCACCTCCTCGCTTTGTTGTGTCGAGTATAGCTTCGATATTGTCACGACTTCGTCCCCTCTGCCGATGGTTCACATCCGAGCAAGAACTAGAAGCTTGTTGTTTTTAGATATAATTTTTGGCTTTACCTGTCGAAACGACTTGGTTTAGCTTTTGCGACGGGTTTTTGGGTAGAGAAATAAGGACTTGTTGATCCATCTATCATATTGCTTTAACGGCCCCCGCCCTCCTCTTCACCCCCTCCCCCTCCCTTTGGCTCTGAAATCCCAAGATGCGATTCGACTTCTTAGTACTGGCCGCTACGGCCGGCGCATCGACGCTCACTCCCAATGTGCTTCCCCTGATTGTCCGAAACCCGTACCTGAGCACCTGGCTGTCCAACGCTCGCGATGCTCCTTGGGAAAACTGGCCCATGTTCTACACAGGAGCTCATGTGGGAAACCCCATTACACCGGCCTCCATTCCGCCCGCGCTAACTCGAGTAACAACAGGTTGGCTTCTCGGTCATGGCCTCCGTCCCCGAGACGGGCAAGGTCTATCCCCTCCTCGGACGCCCCCACGACTCCCTGCGGCACGATCACCACCAGTACCAGGTCGGATATCCCGAGTATCTGGGCGCCACTTTCGATGCGTCGACCACGAACCTGACGTATCAGATCTCGGGCAATTCGCTGAAGGAGGTCGCGCGCCTGACGCTATCCTTCCTCTCGCCGATCACGCCCTCTTCTACGTTCAGACAGTCGATCCCCGCTGCCTACCTGACCGTCATTGCCGAGGGCTGTCTCGACGTTAACATCTACACGGATGCCAACGGCGAGTGGGTCACTGGGAATAGGGGCAATGAAGTGAAGTGGGAGCTGCACAAGCATGGCCGCTCTGGAAATAGCAGCTCCAGTACAGCTCTCAAGACGTGGAAGGTATCCCGGGTTTACGAGCAACTCTTTACTGAGGATGCGGATCGAGCCGAATGGGGGACGATGCACTTCTCGGGCCCGGCCAATGCGCATCATCAGGCTGGAACGTCTGCACTTTTGCGCCAGCAATTTGCCGAGAAGGGGGCCTTGAAGAATGAGGTTGACAAAAGGTTTCGCAGGGTGATGGACGAGGAGCCGGTCTTTGCCTTCTCCAAGGCCTTCAAGCTCGCCAGCAAACAACGGGCAAACTGCCACAGGAAGACGGAAAACATAACATTCACCTTTGCTCTGGTGCAAGACCCGGTAGTCCAGTTCGCGAGGGCTGAAGGGCTTGCGCACATGAAACCGCTCTGGCAGTCGCACATCTCCAACGCCGACGAGCTGATCTCGTACCATTACGACGACTTCCAGACCGCAGCATCGCTGGCCCGGAATTACTCGGACTCGCTCGCGCACGACGCGTACAGCTCCGGCTCGCGGGACTACCAAGACATCGCGGCGCTCTCGGCCCGCCAGGTCCTGGGCGCGACGCAGTTCTCCGGAACGCCCGAGAACACGATCCTCTTCCTGAAGGAGATCTCGTCGAACGGCAACTTCCAGACGGTCGACGTCATCTTCCCGGCCTTCCCCTTCTTCCTGTACACCAACCCGAAATGGCTGGCGTACCTGCTCGAGCCCCTCCTCGAGCACCAGCTCAGCGGGCAGTACCCGAACGACTACAGCATGCACGACTTGGGATCGCATTTCCCCAACGCGACGGGCCACTCGGACGGAAACGACGAGTATATGCCGGTCGAAGAGTGCGGAAACATGCTCATCATGGGTCTCGCGCTCGCTAACGCCCTGCGCTACGACACTGAGCCAGCTTTTGTCAATGCGCCCGCGGCTCACGGCGCGGAAGTCATCCCCAACCTTTCCCGAGACTCGCAGGCCTACATTGACAAGTACGGCATCGACCTCCCCAGTAAGAACGACCCCGAAACGGGCATGAGCACAGGCCGCAAGGAAGCGCGGCAGTGGCTCACCCGCTCGTACAAGCTCTGGGACCAGTGGACGGGCTACCTGGTGCGCGAGTCGCTGGTCCCGCACAACCAGCTGTGCACCGACGACTTCGCCGGCTGGCTGGCCAACCAGACCAACCTCGCGCTCAAGGGCATCGTCGGCATCAAGGCCATGAGCGAGATCGCCGACCTGGTCGGCAAGGACGACGACGCGAAGCGCTACAGGGAGATCGCGGCCGAGTATATCGGTAAGTGGCAGGAGTACGGCATCTCGCGCGACCGCACGCACGCCAAGCTGGCGTATACGTGGTATGGCTCGTGGACGACCATCTATAACCTGTACGCCGATTCGTTGCTGTGCTTCCACGTCAAGGGCGATGGGGAGGGTGGCGAGTCCGCGCCGGGCGGCCTTCGGAGAGACGGTCAGAAGCCGATCGGAGGGGGGGGCGGAAGCGAGGCCACGTTCGTCCCGGACGAGGTGTACCAGATGCAGAACGACTGGTACCATGCCGTGCTGCAAAAGTATGGCTTGCCCCTCGACTCCAGACACTTGTACACAAAGAGTGACTGGGAGTTCTTTGCCGCGGCTGTTACGGGCAGGAAAACGAGGACCGAGATCTTGACCTCGGTGGCGCGGTGGGTGAATGAGACTGTTGTCGGTAGGTTCCGTTTCCGCTTTTCAATACTTGCATGGACGCTAACAGAACGCAGATCGGCCGTTTACGGACCTATACGAGACCGAGGGCGATGGCAATTTCCCGAATAACATCAGGTTCATGGCGAGGCCGGTCGTCGGCGGACACTTCGCTTCCCTGGCACTGGAGAGGGCCTGTGGAGGCAAGGCTGTTGAAGCACTGCGGTTTTTGGACGAGAAGCCGCCCGCCGCAATTGATGTGGAAAGGGTGCTGCAGGCGGAGCGGCATGTGGGAGCGGCGGCGGACAGCGAGTGGGACGATCTCTAGAAGCGCGGCTGAAGTCCACGAGCCCGATGTCGTGCGTCGTGTGTCGTGTGTCGGTGCAATGGTGTGCGGTTCTATTGTCGGTTTGCGAGCTTTTCCGAGTAGTGGTTGCACAGTATCTTGTATAACAAGCCTCAAGTGCTCCTGGCGTTTACCGCCGCATGGTTGGCGAATCGGGACTTGACAATCATCGCATCCAACATCTCTTTTTGGTGTTGCAGCCTTCCTGGAACGAATTGGGGCGACCAATCACTGGTCGGGCTTGGGTTGTCCAATGGATAAGAAAACCTCCCAATGTTGCCATTTCGATGGTGCAGACTTGTTCCAAGCCTTATAATTGTGTTTCAATTCATGGCCGAATAAATCAATCCCATTGAATCTCTTATTGGTTACTATTCGTATTCAATGTCGAGTTTCGAGGCGAGATGTTGTTTTTTGTGGCGGAGAATTGTGGATTGCTTTGAGCTTCACCTCCACCCTGCCGGCTGCCAAGTTCATTAGCGCAGACTAGCCGCATTGAGCTAGCCCCACAATTAGAAACGCCCATTATGCAATAATCAGGAAGGAGTGAACGCGACTGGATGAACGTGGTTGCACGCATCGTCGCCTCCAAAAATTTCGCCTCTCTTCTTCTCTCCCGCCCTGCGTTGACTCGGCACACACTCCGCCCTAGCCTTCCCAACTTCATTTCTTTGTCGTCGCCATCGACACATACCCCACTCCATTTCCCATTCACCTCCAATTGTGAGGACCGGGAAAGCCTACCGTACTTCAATTTTTCCCCAGCTTCGATCTTCGCGATCTGATAATTTTTTTTTCCCCTTTGCGTCGCCTTGTTGCTAATCTCGCTCCACTCGCAAAGTCGAGCTCCCCTCTCAGCCTTCTTTCTCCTCCATTTCATCAATCCCGTAACACCATCAAACCATTACGATGGCGACCACGTCGATGGATTACGAAGCGACCGGCGAGCGCTACGATGGTAAGCGCACCCTCTGTTTTCCGTTTGCGTGACGTGACATGCGGCGCATCTCGCCGCGTGCCATCGATTTCGGTAGCTACACTTGCTGACGAGTGTCCTTAGATGACGGTCCTCGTTACGACCGCGACCGTAGTGCGTCGCCTCGTCGCGACGATGGCCACGACTCTCGTCGTCGCTCCATGTCTCCCAACGGCAACGACCGGTATGTTGCACCAATCAGTTCCCGTCTGCAACCTCGGCAAGATCACCCACTAATACACACAACAGTGCTCCCATCAAGAGCGATGGCGGCAACAAGGATGACGACGGCGCTCACAACCCCGGCTCGAACCTCTTCGTGACGGGTATCCACCCTCGTCTCGAGGAGTCGGAGATCACTCGCCTCTTTGAGAAATACGGCGAGGTCGAAAAGTGCCAGATCATGAAGGACCCGCACTCCGGCGAGTCGCGTGGCTTCGGCTTCGTCAAGATGGTCACTTCCGAAATGGCCGATGCAGCCATAGAGGGCCTGCGCGGCGAGGTCATTGAGGGCCGCACCCTTAACATTGAGAAGGCACGCCGTGTCCGTCCCCGCACCCCTACTCCGGGCAAATACTTTGGCCCTCCCAAGCGTGGTACGTTAATGCCCTTCATCCACCCGTTAATGTTGCGTTGCTGATCATTATAGACCCCCGCGGTGGTGGTGGTGGCGGCCGCTTCGATGACCGTCGTCGTGGTGGTTATGGCGGCGGCGGCGGCTACGGTGGTGGTGGCTATGGCCGTGACGATTCGTACCGTGGTGGCCAACGTGGCTACGGCCGTGATGACCGCGGTTACGACCGTGGCTACGACCGTGGCTACGATCGCGGCTATGGTGGCGGCGGTGGCGGACGCGACTACCGTGACGACCGTGGCTACAGCCGTGAGTATCGCGAGGAGCGTGGCGGTGGTAGTGGCGGCTATGAGCGCCGTGAGCGCGGCGGTGATGACGCTTATGGCGGTCGCGTTGATCGCTATGGCGGCGGTGGTGGTGGTCGTGAGGACCGCGAGCGCTATGGAGGTGGCCGTGGCGGTGGCCCTGACGACCGCCGTGGTCCCAGCTATGATCGCGAGCGCGGTTATGACCGTCCCAGCGACCGCGACTCTCGCCCTCGTGATCCTGCCCCCAGCGCTGCCGGTGCTTATGCCGACGCAGCTCCCCGTGGTGACACCCGTGAGCCCTACGGTAACCTTGCTTACCTTCCCATCCTCGTCTAGTTTGGAAATACTAACTGTACTAGCAGGTGGCCGTTAAACATCTCACCCGACACCAAGATTCGCCGCATAGGCCTGCTTGCCATCTAACTAAGTCACAGCACGGATTTCCTTTTTTTTTCTCGTTTTCGCTTTTGGCACGGGCACATAATTCGGATATCCCAAAATTCGATCAATTGGAGTTCACGGCAGGCATGGGAGGGTTAATGGCCCTGTTTCGGCACATCGCCTTTCATCAGACTGGTCCCCTAGATCTTAGCCATTGGTGGTGCGACATTCGACATGATGGCAATGGGATCTAGTTCGGTCTGCTGCAGCACTGGTCGACATTGTCTAAGGCCCCCATCTAATCCTCTTCGCTTCCCTCGGTTTGGATCAGAAAACGGAGCGGATGGGAGCCGCCTCTGTACGATTATTTTTTTCCTCTTTGCGCCTCTCACGCCACAGCGGCACGTCAGATACCGTGACGACTCTGCAACAAGCAGCGAATCCTATCGCGGGGGGTTTCTCTTCCGTAGTCGGCATGATACGAAAACACCATCAACCTACAGCAGCCTTGATTGTGACAGCCAGCACAACCTTTAATGCCCGTCGATTTCGTGGCAGCGTCTTTCCGGGCTAGCTGGCAACTATCGGCCTGCTCTGGATGGCCATGCAGCGCCTGCGACCCTGTAAACCGCGACTCTCGCTCTCCGCTCGTTGATTCTTGGTCTTTGCAGCCGTCGATCTCGTCCTGCCATGCGTGAACCTTGCAACCCGCTGCCCGCCTTCGTCTCCCCGTTCAGCCGATTCCGTGAATAGCGGCCCGAAATTTCAACCTTAACCGTCTAGCCCTATGGTGTTGCCTAACGGCAGTTACCAGTTCGATGAGCTCACGGGTCCGGTTAGGGGAGAGGTAAGGCTCCTTGCCGCATGGGACAGAAGGACTAACCTTGATGTTTATAGGCTTGTTGGAGCAGCCATTCTTCGGCCCATCATTCTTGAGGTGGCGTCGTTAGAGTTTGCCTCCAATCTCGGCGATGATCTTCCTCGTCTGTCTCAAATGGGCTTGGCGAACAGTGCAATCTGTATGATCTCCTCTAGCTCGGTGTAAGCGGAGGGGTTCCGCATGAGGCTGAGACATAACTCCAACGTATCCCGCATAATGCTGTGGCATGGCGTGTTGGACCCTGGCTCTTGCGTGCGGCGGGATGTCATCTCTTGGCCGGCCCGGTCCGCGGGGTCGGGCTGGAGACGCTTGCGGCTCTTGCGTTTGGACCTCACTTTGTTTTCACTGGGTGTGGACGAGATACATGGTACTGGTGGGTTGCGTGAGTTGTGTTGGGTGGGTCTGTCCTGACCTCTTCCGTTACCATATCCTCGGATATCTCGCCGTGCAAGGGCCAAGCGGCCGTTGTTTCACTTCTTTTGCTCGGAGTTTTACTCAAGCCACGATTTATGTAGTATAGTACTCTTAACGGGCAGTGCCAAATTCAAGCTTAGCTTAGGTACCGGCGAGATGCGCTAGGCAGACTACCTTTAACCAACCCTGCTTCTTCCGCGTGGTGAATTTGAAGAGTTGGCTCATGTAATCCTTTCCTGCTTGGTAACCAACCTTCTCGGGACTCGGACGAATTACGGAATCAAAAATAACAGGTCTTCCTTTACCCAACGGAGTTTGCGGATGAAGGTCGCTTCCCGCCCTATGCGCCCGTGTCGGCCGAGAGCGAAGCGACGGACAACTGCCACGGAGATAGCTGACTAGTGAAGGACGGACTCAGGAAATGCTCTCTCGGACTACCAATCCGGCCTCTTCTCATCGGTTTGGTTGGAGGGGTCGCAGGCTGCTGGAATATTCGTAGGTGACTCAAATCATCGGTGTAAATGATGGAGTGGAGAGAGGCTTATCGTTTCTGACCCGAAGGTTACCCTCCCTCGGGCATCTCGGGTTGGACTTGTGCATGTCGGTTTCAGGCCTGCCGCTGTTTCCCCTTCTTGTTTTCTCTTCTTTTTCTTCTGTGTTCGCACGGTAAATACTCTCATTGGATTTTAGATCTACAATACCGGTCTTCGGAAGGGGGTGTTCATGTTGTGGAAAAAGAGAATTGTTTAGCATAAAATTCCCGACACGAAAGCTATCTTGTTCTGGAAGGCTGCTCTATGGTGAAACAATGGTTCGAAATCCCCCGGCAGTCCAGACCCGTGCAATCGCCCGAAAGCCCTGCAAGGCAGTCCAATCAACCGGCGGTCGATTAGAAATGCACGGGTACCCCTTGCCGAGTGAACCCCCGGGGTAGGGAATGGGTGCCAACGCGGGTAGTCGGCAGTGGCCGCGCAGCACGTCGGGTCGGAAGATTGCCCGTGAAGATGCTGAAAACTGCGGTGAGAAATGCTTGGGCAGGCGGTAGGGTGGTCATGTCTAGCTTTCATGTCTAGCTTGAACATTGAAGCCAGGAAATACAAGACATACTTGGTAAGGGAACAAAGCAAGAAAGGAACGTCGGGGGATTTTCCGATATCCCCGTGTTACTAGGTGGTGCCCATTGTGGATCTTGCCAATGGAAGCCAAGGCGGGGACCGCATCCATTTCAACTTGGAAGTCTGTGAAGTTCCATCTTCCGGTTAGTAATCTGTACAGACACACAGCATGCCTAGGTTGAGTCGGCGCTTGATGTTTCCGTGCACCGACGTGGGCGGGTCATCTCTGTCATGTTGCCAACGCTAAGCTTTCGAGGGTTACGCTCGGCCGACTGCCTAGGTCTCCAATTCCTACATAGATGGAAGGGACGGGGACGGAGACGGGAAATGGGGTTCGCTAGAATGTCTCCGGGTGACGCCTGCCAGGTTTGCAGCAGCCTTCACTAGTGTAGTTAATTTTTGAAGGTTTTTATTTCCGTTGAACCGCTTGCTCACCATTCAAGTTACTAAAGAGGCATCACGGCCCTTCCACTCGTTCTCGGTTTTATTCCCCGCCCACCTCTCTGTGGATTTCCCGGTGTTATCACGTCGACATCCTTTCCGTTGTCACAATTGCCCTACTTTTCTTTTATTGCATGACACGCCGTTTTTACTCCACTGCAAATCGCCAAGCTCCTCACTTGAACATACCCGCATGCTTTCACACCTGGCATCGATTCCAAACAAGTTAACTTATAAGCCGATTACAACTCCCACCAGGCCTCTCATGAGGCTGTGGCCCACGGCGACTCAGTTATGACGGGCTCTGATCATGAAAAGCCGGCGGACGTGAGGACCTCTCGCTCTCAGCCATCCATGGAGCCACCATCGCACTCACACCCCGATGCATCGTCATCTATGGAGAAGGAGAAGTTGGAAGACCGGGACCAGCTCCAAAGAACGGAAACCGCCCACGAGAAACCCGAGGATGCCGACAGGAGAGACGACTTGAACCGCTTAAGAACAACGGCTACGGCCACGAGCATGGCCAGCACCTCGCCGACAAACAAGTTACCTGAGCAGAAACCATGGTACAGGCAGCCGAACCCCCTCCGATGGGGCAAAATCCCCCCAGTCCCCAAGGAGAAGGCCGTGAGCCCAGAGCACAAGGCTGGCTTCTACAGTTTACTTAGTTTCACGTGGATCGCCCCCCTGATGAGCCGCGGCTACAAACGGCCGCTCGAGTTCAACGACATCTACGGCGTCAACCCGGACCGCGCTGTCGACCCCCTGACCGACAAGCTGAGGGTTACCTTCAAACGCCGCCTTGACGCCGGGGAGAAGTACCCGCTGGTATGGGCTATCAACGAGACCTTCTTCTGGGAATTTTGGTTCGGCGGCTTCTGTGCTCTCATGTCCTCCATCTTGCAGGTCATGTCGCCCTTTGTGCTGCGTTACCTGATTCAGTTCGCCGCCGATGCCTACGTTGCAAGCCTCCGAGGGCTTCCGGCGCCCAACATTGCGCACGGCGTGGGATTGGTGATTGGCGTCACAGCCATGCAGGTCCTGCAGAGCTTGGTTACGAACCACTTCTTCTATCGTGGCATGCTCGTGGGTGGCATGGCTAGGGCTTCTCTCGTCAGCTTGATCTACGAAAAGTCCATGGTGATCTCCGGACGTGCCAGGGCTGGAGGAACAGAGCTCCCCGACATCCCAGCTGCTAAGGTGGCCGAAGAGCAGAGGGAGAAGGACCAAGCGCGTCAAGCAAAGAAAGCCAAGAAAGCCCCTGCAGAAAAGCAACCCGGCGTTTCTGGCGACGGCGCGGGTTGGGACAACGGAAGGATTGTGAGTCAATCATGGGCCCGGAATGACCGTGTTGTCCCTATAGCGAGACTAACGTGTTTACAGATGGCTCTGATGAGTGTCGACACCTACAGAATAGACCAAGCATTTGGTATGTTCCATATTGTCTGGACCGCTCCCGTCTCAATTCTCATCACTCTGGCGATGCTCCTCGTCAACCTGACCTACAGCGCCCTCGCCGGCTTTGGCCTGCTGGTGCTTGTCATGCCTCTCCTCTCCATAGCCGTCAAGGGTCTGTTTGTCCGGAGAAGGGACATCAACAAGATCACGGACCAGAGAGTGAGCCTGACACAAGAGATTATACAATCGGTCCGGTTTGTCAAGTTCTTCGGCTGGGAAAAGTCCTTCATGGCCCGCCTTGATGAATACAGGAATCGCGAAATCGGGGCAATCCAAGTTGTGCTGGGCATCCGCAATGCCATCATGGCCATCGGCGTCTCTTTGCCAATTTTCGCCTCCATGCTCTCGTTCATCACCTATTCCTTGACCAACCACGACCTCCGCCCCGCCGAGGTGTTTTCATCATTAGCCCTCTTCAATGGGCTGAGGATGCCTCTGAACATGCTTCCCCTCGTCATCGGCCAGGTCACTGATGCATTGTCCTCGCTCTCACGCATCCAAGAGTTTTTGTTAGCCGAGGAGCGTGAGGACGAATCCATCCTCAAACCCGATGCCCCAAGCGCCGTGGAGATGCGCGACGCTTCCTTCACGTGGGAGAGGACGCCGACGCAGGATTCCGAAGGGACTGTTGCTGGGCCGGCTACGGCATCAGGAACGACGGGAGAGAAAAAGAATACCGCGACAGCTGCTTCTGGTGAAGAGGATAGCACCCTTGCAGAGGAACAGGAGCCGTTCAAGCTCCAGGACTTGAGTTTGGAAATCGGGAGAAACGAACTTGTTGCCGTCATCGGCACCGTCGGAAGCGGCAAAACCTCCCTCCTGGCTGCGTTGGCTGGCGATATGCGCCAAACAAATGGCGAGGTCATCTTGGGCGCCTCCAGGGCATTCTGCCCACAGTACGCCTGGATTCAGAACGCAACAGTGCAGCAAAACATCCTCTTTGGGAAAGAGATGGACAAGCAATGGTATGCCGACGTTATCAAAGCGTAAGTTGCGACACCATCATCCCATCTGGTTAATACCCCCAAACTAACAACCTCCAGATGCGCTCTCCAGCCGGACTTGGACATGTTGCCTAGCAACGACATGACGGAAATCGGAGAAAGGGGCATAACCATTTCTGGGGGCCAAAAGCAGAGGCTGAACATTGCCCGCGCCATTTATTTCGACGCCGACATTGTGCTCTTGGACGATCCCCTGAGCGCGGTCGACGCCCACGTTGGTCGTCACATCTTTGACAACGCCATCCTCGGTTTGCTCAAGGACAAGTGCCGGATCTTGGCAACACACCAGCTGTGGGTGCTGAACCGCTGCGATCGTATCATCTGGATGGAAGACGGCAAGATCCAGGCCATCGACACGTTCGACAATCTCATGCAAAACTCGGAGGGCTTTCAGCAACTTATGGAGTCGACAGCCGTCGAGGAGAAGCAGGAGGACGCCGCGCCTAGTAAGGTACCGGGAGACAAAAGCGAGTCCAAGAAGAAGAAGAAGACCAAGGGTGGCTTGATGCAATCCGAAGAGCGCGCTGTCGCAAGCGTTCCGTGGTCGGTCTACTCTTCCTACATCAAGGCGTCCGGTTCCATACTCAACGCCCCGCTCGTGATCGGACTTTTGATCCTGTCGCAAGGAGCCAACATCGTCACCAGCTTGTGGCTGTCCTGGTGGACATCTGACAAGTTCAGCTACCCGATGGGGACCTACATTGGCGTCTATGCCGGCCTCGGCGCCATCCAAGCGCTGATCATGTTCCTCTTCATGGTATCGCTCTCGGTTTTCGGTACCAAAGCAAGCAAGGGAATGTTGCGGCAAGCCGTGAGCAGGGTCCTCCGCGCTCCCATGTCCTTCTTCGACACGACACCGCTCGGTCGCATCACGAACCGGTTCAGTCGTGACGTCGACGTCATGGACAACACCCTCACGGATGCGTTGCGCATGTATTTTTTCAGTCTTGCTAGCATCATCGCCGTCTTCATCCTCATCATCGCCTACTTCTACTACTTTGTCATTGCCCTGGTTCCCTTGGTCATCATCTTCCTCTTTGCCACCACCTACTATCGTGCATCAGCCCGAGAGGTCAAGCGCATTGAGTCGATCCTGAGGTCTACCCTATCTGCCAAATTTTCCGAAGGCCTAACGGGCATTGCCTGCATTAGGGCCTACGGGTTGAAGGACCGGTTCGTCGCCGACCTTCGCCAAGCGATCGACGACGTGGACTCGGCTTATTTCCTCACCTTTTCCAACCAGCGGTGGTTGTCGATTCGACTCGATATGATAGGCAGCTGCCTAGTCTTCACCACCGGAATTCTGGTTGTAACGTCGCGGTTCTCGGTCGATCCGTCGATTGGCGGCCTGGTTCTCTCATACATCCTCTCCATCGTCCAGATGATCCAGTTTACCGTGCGCCAGCTGGCCGAAGTCGAGAATGGTATGAACTCAGTGGAGCGTCTCCGTTACTACGGCACAGAACTCGAGCAGGAGGCACCCTTGAAGACGGTCGAAGTCAGGGAATCCTGGCCGGAGAAGGGCGAGATCGTGTTTGACAATGTTGAGATGCGGTACCGTGCGGGGCTTCCACTGGTGTTACAAGGCCTGAGCATGCATATCCAGGGCGGCGAGCGCATCGGCATTGTGGGGCGCACCGGCGCCGGCAAGAGCTCCATCATGTCAACCCTTTTCCGGTTGGTAGAACTCTCGGGAGGCCATATCACCATTGACGGCCTCGACATCTCGACTCTCGGCCTGCATGACTTGCGCTCGCGACTCGCCATCATCCCGCAGGACCCCACCCTCTTCCGTGGCACGGTGCGGAGCAATCTCGACCCCTTCAACGAGCATACCGATCTCAAGCTCTGGTCCGCCCTGCGGCAAGCCGACCTCGTCTCGACCGATACCGCACAGGGCTCAGATACGGAGGGCGCGGCCGCACCCAATAACAACAACAACAGCACCGCTGCCGCGGTCTCGAAGGACGCCAGTCGCATTCACCTCGACACGGCCGTCGAGGAAGACGGGCTCAACTTCTCGCTTGGCCAGCGCCAGCTAATGGCGCTCGCGCGCGCCCTCGTACGCGGCTCCCAGATCATTGTCTGCGACGAGGCGACGTCGAGCGTCGACATGGAGACGGACGACAAGATCCAAGCGACCATGGCCACGGGCTTCCGCGGCAAGACGCTGCTGTGTATTGCCCACCGGCTGAGGACCATCATCGGGTACGACCGGATTTGCGTCATGGATAAAGGCCGCATTGCCGAGATGGGCCCGCCAATCGAGCTGTGGGCGATGGAGGGCGGGATTTTCAGGGGCATGTGCGAGCGCAGCGGTATCAGGGTCGAAGATATTCGTGGGGCGAGGGATGTCCTGGAGGGGATGGGAGGTTTGCCCGCGGGCAAAGGGGAGGAAGCCTGAGGGGGGAAAGAAAAGAAGCGTTGGGATGCCACTCTGGATAGGGGCCGAGTTGGCTTGGGAGGTACGATAGAGGGCTCAGCGGTCCATATTTCGACTGTATAGACAGTTTTCTGCGAATGATGATACAAGCGTGTAATACATAAATAAATCAATAAACATCCGGGTTAATCTTACATACTTGGCCGGGCTCTTGGGCCAATGTTCGGGACCAGGGATTGCGGGATTCTATACGAACCGCCGAGAGGTGGCGTTCTTCGTGTTGCCAACCTAAGAGAGATTGGATCCATAACTACCCATTCCCGACAGTTTGTTCCGACTCCCGTGGTTATACAAGACGACGCACATATCCCGGCTGGCGGAGACACATGCCGTGACACTCAGGAATCGCCGAGGATACGAAACGGCGTCTGTGTTTCCCCACCAGTTGCCATCGTTGGCGTGGTTACCCTTGCTACTCACCACCTATGACTTCTCAAAATAACTTACAGACATGTTAGTCAAACTCGGCGATGTGTGCCTAACTACCGGTATAGTCAACCACATCCGCACCTAATTAATCACGCAGACCCGTCGCCAGGGGCAACGAACCCCCTATTCCGTCCCATGTACCCCTCCATCCCCGATCCCACATTCCCGTATATACAAATATATATCTTTGCGCGCACATACTGATGGCCATACCCTACCGCACGCATCACATGCCATGGGCACACACACAAGGCCACTAACCATCCCCAACCTAGATCCCCGTGCATGTACGCCCTCCGTTGCATGTGCATTACATATATGTGTACGTCCAGCGATCAGAAAACGACGGGTGTTCCACAGCGTCGGACGTCGACCAATGTTGTCAGTCAGTCAGTCAATTAGTCTGTGTGTGGTCGCACGAGCAGAGTTCACTTGACGTTAGTTTAGTTTACTCTGGTTCGGATAGGCAGGTATGGTATGTTCTGTCTTGTGGGGGGTGAGTCCCCGAGGAGCGAGACGGTCAGCCAGACTGGGGCAGGATGGGTAGATAAATGGATATCGCTCGCGGGGTCGCTGCTGCAGAAGATATGTTCATTACTGGCGATAAAAGCATATGGAGTAACAAGCAAGGCCTATGTACCGTGGCGAATAAAAAAGTAGCAAAGAAGAAAGTCAGGCGCGGCCACAACACCGTCTAATGCCGTAGAAGAGCAGCAACAGGCTCGAAAAAGGCTCGCTGTGTCAAAAACTCCGCAACCATCCAGCGTCCTCCACCCTTTCTTTTCAAGGCTTTGTTTGTATACAATAGCCTCACCTACCACCCAACCTTGGTCGAATCAAAAACAACACCCAATTAGTCGTGAAATCTAGCCCATAACCCCCTTCCGTCTAGCAAGCAGTTCAATAGAGCGCATCACTAGTACCGCCCGCGCTGACTCCCGTGGCCATTGGGTGCCGGGTTCCCAGCGGCGGGCGGGAACATGCCTGGCTGTTCATCAAGCAAGTCGTCCAGGTAGGCGCTGGGGGCCCGGGCGCCCGGGCTGGGGGGCCGGTTCAGGTTTAGCGAGCTGGTGCTGAAGTTCCTCGAGACCACCCTCGGGCCGACGTCGGGCGATTCAGGGGGCGAAGGGCCGAGCTGGCCTCCGCGTCCGCGCGACGAGGGCCGCAGCGTGCTCATGTTGATCGAGTTGCCTTGCGCGTGGCCGCCTGGGACGGGCGAGGCGGAGGCGTAGAAACCAGAGGGAAGGAAACGGGCCGAGTCGCGGTTCGATCCGCCAGCGCCAGACCCGGGGCCAGCAGCAGTGGGCGAGAAGAAGAGATTCGTCTGGCTGGGCGTTGCGGAGGGTGTCGGGCCGCGGTTGGTCCTCCGTCCGGTAGGGCCGGCCATGCCCGCACCAGCGAGGGAGGCGGAGGACTCGCGCTCAACGTACTTGTAGAATTGAGCCGGGGGCGCCGGGAACGAAGCAGCGTTCTTGTCGCCCGGCCCGCGGCCGTTGTTGACAGCGTGCTGAGCAAGGGCGGCACGCTCGACAGACCGGTGCAAGAGGCAGGCAAGAATAGCGCGCCAGAGTAGAATTGCGACACCAAAGGCGCCTAGAATAGCGCCTACCGCAATGAAGACGGTGCCGTCGGGGAGGGTGGAGTGATTCATGAAGGGGGCATTGCGGGTTGGAGGGACCGATGCTGGTGGGTATGTCGGGATTTCGGTGTTGCGCGTCGTCCTACTACTAAGCGTCGGCATGGGTCCTGCGGGCGATGGGCTGGAAGTGGTGGTGGTCAGGGGCGGCATCGTCTGAGCGTCTGTTGATGACGATAATGGAGGTAACGTGGTCCTTTCCTCTTCTGAACTCGTGGAGGCGGGTTCGGGGGGCGGCAAACTTGTCTCTGTTTCTTGCGGCGGCGGCGGGTTGGCTTCTTCAGTGGTGGGCGCGGGAGGGTCATTCGGCTCGTCATTTTCGTTATCTTCTTGGGCCACGACCCTGAGGGCGAAGAATGCCGTGAGAAGCAGGGCGCGCTTCAAGGAAAGAGGTGAGGACCCCATGGCGGCTGGTTGTTTGTCGCTGGCGGGCGACAATGAGGAAGGAACGGAAGGAGGTTGTTGATACGGCGGGGTTCGATGTGATCAGTCGCCCGGAGACGTGTGATGGCGGTCCGCCGACAAAGTGTGTTATGGTAGGAAGCAGCAGCAGTAGTAGTAGTAGTAGTAGCCACCGGGAGGAGCGACCTGATCGTTGGGCCTGCGAAAGCGGCCAGGTGCTGACGTGCGCCGTCGGAATCGGGGTGGTCTCACAATACGGGCCCGCGACTGGACCAGACGGGGGCAGAAGAGACGAATCTGGGTCGGATCCGGCGACGATCTCAAAGAAAAAAGACAAACGAGAGGATACGACGCGTCTTTCAAACGGCCGACTGCGGAACGGTGTGAAAAACCGTTGTTGATGTTGGCGACAGTTATTTCATGGCAGGCGTAGGATCGATCGGGAAGGACGGATGGTGGAAGTGGGTGGGTTGGTTGAGGCTTTGCTTTGCGCGCGCAGTCAGCAGCGGCAGGGCATGGAGGGCAGGCACGCAGGAAAAGGAGTTCGAGAAAGCGCCGTTGCCCTGCCTCCCTTCCCTCCCTGGGGCCTGCCCAGGCTCGGCAGCGGCAGGGGAAGAGGCGCGCCGCACTCTTTTCTGCCGCCCACCCGCCGTCTCAGTTCTCAGCTCGGTGCCCACTGGGAAGACTCCATTGGTACCGTACGGATGGCGCTTGACACGGTCAGCCACTTTTCCATTCCAAACAAATGCAACACAGTCAGTCGCCCACCTTTCCCGAGTTGTTGGTTTGATCGGGATGTTGCATATTCGATCGAATGCATTCTGCGAAACCTCACCCTCGACCCCTTCAAATTCCCCTTAGACCCTGACAGCTCCCCTGAGTCCCTGTCTCGTCTGTTCTCGGCCCGGACCCTGAAGGTCTGATCTGGTCGCTGGAAGCAAGCACCGATGACGTGATTTTTCCACTGGTGGTGCCTGGGTACGAATACCTGGTTGCCTGTGTGTTTGTTCGCACTGTGAGGGCAGGTCGCTCCCAATAAAAATGCGACAGAAGTTCAATTTTAGCCAGATCCCGAGCCACCTTTGCCGTCTGTGTCTGCCAGCTGGCTCCAACTGCCGCTCATCCCTCGCGGGGCGCATGCTTCTGGTCTTGGCTTGTGCAGAGATGCAGTGCATCAACCTTCGCATCAATCATCGCCACGATAAGACCGACCACTAATAATTTTTTTGCACATCAACCAGAACAAAGCAGCCAAGATATCACACTGAGTGATCTAACTACATATACCATTCCAAGGACCATAATTCACTGTTTTGATTGCACTTCATCCAGCTTGAGCCAAAGGAAACGACAAAATGGGCGTTGCCAAACGAACAAGAAAATTCGCAACGGCACGTGACCTTGATATATCCTTTTCAACCATCAACAGATGCTAACTCCTGGTGTAGGTCAAGCGTATGATCGGAAAGAGGGATGACCGTCGCAAGGAAGATGCTGTCAAGAAGGCCGAGCTGGAGCTGAAGAAGAAGAAGGAGGAGGCGGTCCGCGAAGTGTGCGTCGTCATGCCGTCCTTGACACTCAACGTCTCTTGTTCTCCTGTCGCTGACACGCTGCAGGCCCCAGATGCCGTCGTCCATGTTCTTCCAGCACAACACAGCTTTGGTTCCCGTGAGTATACCGTCTCCGAGCTCTTACTCTAGAGTAGCGCTAATCTCAACGCTTATAGCCTTACCAAGTTTTGGTGGTATGTCGGTCACGGTTCGCCCCGCGATATCGTTATCTAACTTGTCCCAGGATACCAACTTCCTCTCGAGGACAGTAGGAGCCAAGCTCCCTCTACTAGAATCAGTATGTGATCCACTATCACTTTCCGTCAGGAATATTGGCTGACAACATCCACCCAGGCGATGGACTGTTTGTTTGCATCAGCAAACATCATCATCACATCCTGTGTTATGGCGTGAGTGTCCCCCTTCACCTTACAGGACTATATGGGCTCTGACAACTGCCATATAGTGAGTTGGAAAAGCTGGGACCAAAGTACCGTGTAGCGTTAATGAGTGAGTGTCGTTGACCTAAACCGAGGGTTGAACGACGCTAAACTGTTGTCTAGTTGCCCGCGATGAGAGGTGGACACGCCTGACTTGCGACCACAAAGGCACATACGCCGACGACGTACGTTACCCCCCTAGATCGTCACGCCTCCGCGGGGCCCATGAGCTGACAAATCCCAGTGCATCGTCGACCGCATACAAAAGCACCGTATCTACATTGTCGCTAGTACGTCCACGTCACCTTACCATTTCCCGGCTTCTCCTAACCCGTTGATCTAGCAAACGATCGCGACCTCAAAAGACGGATTCGGAAGGTCCCTGGTGTCCCCATCATGTCCGTTATGAAAGGCAAATACGCCATCGAGAGACTCCCCGGAGCTCCAGCTACATGAGGTGCTTGTCGGTTGCCTACCTAGTATAGGACATCAACTCCCAAAAGGCCACCCAAAGTGCGCCTCGGCGCCAAAAGACGAGATGAGCGCCCCATTCGCGAGAGGAACACGGCCCAAAGCGCCGGCTTGCTGTTTGCCCAGGGATCCGCGCTCAGTGCCACACCCCTGCTGTGGGATGGCGGGTGACGGGGACCCATATCCGCAGTCTCGCACCTGGTGGTTGGCGGGGGAAGGAGGAACATACGCTGCCTATTTACAGCTGTATGCATTTAATAGATGGATTGGCCGCATTAGTTAGTGAAGTCAAGGGGCATGCTGGGCTTTTTTACACAAACCAAAACCCGGAATAGAGCTTCCCGTCAGCTACTCAACCCTACGGTCGCGCGTTAATGTACGCATCACCTTACATTAAAATGGGAATTGCTCGTTCGTTATCACACGTGGATGTAGATGTATTGTACCCCTATCGGTTCTTGCCAGAAGACGTTACGGGGTGGCATAGCCGGCAACTTCGGAAGCCCGACTATCCTCCACCGGGTACCTCTGCCTCTGGGAAACATGCGGCCGTTAGTAGGCCCGTATTCATTTCCCGCGGAGATCATCACACTGAGGCAACGCAACACGGCCATAGCAGTGCCCCGACAACGATTCACAGACATGGCTTTCTTCGTAGATAGAACGGGCCCGCTGATATATTGCACCTTCCCCAGCCCACCCCATCCATCCCGGATGAGGCAATGTCCCCTGAAAAAGGCCCCTGACCACCAAACCACCAACGCCCGACCAGCCGGTTCGATAAAAGTCCCGGTATCCTCCGCTATAGAAATGCACGGGTATAGAGAGCTCTTACACGACCCATAACCCAAAAGGAAATCCAACCAACGCAAGAGCCATACTCAACCAGCGCCTTCCCCGCTTCGCTCTTAGAGGAGAAGCCGCCTTTTGACAGGCGCCGGGACAGGCTGGTCATCCACAGTCTCTCGCTTTCCAAAGAGGGCGGCCTTGCCGAGTGCCTGGATCTTGCTGAGAAGATGGCTACTCATAGTTAGCATCCGGGCTGCCGAGGCTACGGGGGCTTTTGTGGATGGATGGTAACTAGACTTGGCCGGCCCCAGGAGAGTGCATGTAGACGAGGAGGAGGACAGGGGGGAAGTAGACGTACTTGATGGGCATGTGGCCGCGGCTCTCTGTGACCGCCAGGTTGATCTTCTCAGCCTGCGCCTCGTGGTCCCGGAAATGTGCCTGAATCAGCTCCTGCGCGTCTTGCTCGTCGGCCGACCTGACAACGTAGGTGCAGCCTTCCTCGTCGCACGTCCAGGTACCGTCGGGCCCGCTGGGTGACGTTGTGGGGAGCCGCTCGGCGTGCACGGCGATGCGGACTGCCCCCTCGGGCAGAGGTAGACGCGATCCGAGGACTGTCTCTTCGCTAGTGGTAACGTCTTCGTCACTCGCATTGTCGGCATCCTCTGACTCGTCGTCGTCACTGATATAGTGACTGGTCTTGGTTGACTTTCTACCCCGACGGCTTCCGCTGGGTTGGTCGTCAAGCTCGGAACGCGGCCGTTTCTTAGCACTAGTGGCGAGGCGCAGTGTTGCTCCTTTTCCGGATCTACGGTTGCGCTGCGGCGCTGTATAAAGCTCGGCGATTTCCTCTTCTGACTCGCTCTCATCTTGCACAGCGCTCTTAGCCCTGAGTTTGAGGTTGATGGGCGGGGGTAGTTGGGTAGCTGATTTAGTCGACGACCCTGCTTTGGGGCCCATTTTCATCCGCCGGAAAGTCTGCGCAGGAATTTTGTCCGGCTCGGTGTGCTCTGTCGACGGTGCCCACGGCTGGTTGGCAACGTCCACCAACCAGTGATACCATGGGACGTCCTTCCACTCGGCGGGTAGGCGTGGGAGAAGCTCCTTCGCGTAGTATGCGATGATGTCCTTGGCGTCCATGTAGTTCCGGATTTTGCACTTGAAGAACACAGACGAGTTAATCTTGGAAGGCGGTACCTTGTTGATATTCACTTCTGTCGCGACTTCGTCGAGGGCTCCGAGTAGCCTATCAACAGGCGTTTCGGAGTCGGCGTCGGACATGGGTGTCTCTTTCGGTGTATCAGCCTTGGGCGCCACTTTTGGTGTATCAACCTTGGGTGCCTCGACAGGTATCGGAGATGGCTCCGAACTTGCTGGCTGGGTAAGTTGCCGGTATCTCCCAGGCAGCGGTATAGGGGTTTCGCTTATTCTAACCCTAGGGTTATTGGTGGGCTTTGCCTGTGGGATTGGAAGACTGGGTGGGTTGTCTTGGACCTCGCTGTTCCGGCTGCTCGCCCTCGCCGACCGGCTCCTCCGACTCTGGGTCGCCTTGTTGTCGACGGATTCTTGGGGCTCCGGAGGGGGTAAGGGGGGAACCAGGCCATTTGCAATATCAGCGAGTTTCTTCTGCACCTCCTAGACATTATTAGCCAGAATGTATCGCACGAGGGGAAAGATTGCACGCACAGGGTGTGAGCTACGCAGCCATTTGGCAAAGTGCGTTGCGTTCCAGTCCAGATCAAACTCTTTGTCGAAGTGGGGGATCAGGAACTCAGCCCATTTACTACACAGGGCTTCGACCTCATGCCGCAGGATGCCATCGCCAGCCCTGACGGCGTACTTGAGAAAAATATCGTCCAAACTCGGCGCTCGCGGCCTTCGTGCTTTTTTCTTGCTCGCGCATGCTTCAAAATACGCTTCGTATATCTCAAAGGCGCTATAGTAAAGGGTAATGGCCTCGCGAACTTGGTCGTACATCTTCTGGTATCCAATAGACGGCCGGATCTCGAACCAGCCGGCGGCGCCTGAAACCCAAAGGACGAGCGGGCCGTCTCCGATCGAGTATCGGTCTGAATGGGGTATCTCGATATAAGCGGTCTTTACGCTCGAGCGCACAACTAGGTAAAGTTAGTATGCGATACCAATAGAGATAAACCAATATGCTTTACGGTTAGGCACGAGCTTGTCTTCGTCAACCTCGAGGAGGCCGCGGACGATTAGGGATCCTTGGACATGGACGAGGAGCGGGTTGGCTACCGTCCTGCCATCTTTCCGGTAAATCGTCGCGTCGGTGAGAACATAGCACGGCCAGTCATTATCTGGCATGTCTCGCGGTGTCGGTCGTAGGACGGATGATTCCTTGGCCCAGCGAATCTGGGCGCGATCGAGCTCTGCGGTCGTCGACGTCGACGAGGCCCTGCGCCGACGAGGTCGGCCCGCCATGGGAGCGATTGGCGTGTTTTGCAAACGGGTGATAGCTATGACTTAATCGTGGGTTTGCAAGCCTCGTGTTGCATCCCGCTCGGTCAATGTAGATGTTCCGGTGAGACCAAAATAAAGCGAAGGTGAGCTACCGAGGTTCTGGCGGGGGATGAGGTACAGGTACTGGAGGTGGATTCGACGATTAGACAATGCAGCTCTTAACGCGGTGGAAGGCACGCCATTAACGCGACCAACGCGGGACTCGAGGAAGTGGGGTCGGCTCAATGGGACCAGAAACCGTAATTCACAGCATTGGATAATTAAAAACGGGGTTTAGTAGTAGCTCGGGTTACTCGTGCTTTGAACATAATTAGTCGGTTACTTATTACTTTCTTCCTTTTTTTTCTTGCTTCATAGTTATGTAACTACTAATCCCGAGACCGTCAACAATCCGTCTTCTTGCCTCCAAAAGTTGCCAAGCACCCAAGTTCCCATTCAACCAAGATCCCGGCAAATGGGTCCATCCCCCGCAATCGATAAGACACCAGACGCCGCAAAGCCCCTGTTCTCGAACCTCGATCTCCAAAATTTCCCCCGCTGATCGCGCGTGCGCTCAAGAACACGGCAGAACGAGCCATCAGGCTGCGCCAGTATTCCTTTACCATTTCCACCTCAACCAACGACTGGAATTGGTTTAAAGCCTCCAATTCGCGGCAATTGATGAATTACTAGATCCCCAATCCTATCGGATGAGGTTTTCCCGATTTGCGAAAATGGCCACCGACAAGGTCCTCGAGGGCGTTTTTGGTTTGTGCTCTCACTTGTAGCAACGCGTAAGTAAACCTTTTTGGCTGACTCCTTGAAATAGCCATCAACAAGCCTCTCGGCATGAGCTCTGCTCAGGTTATCCGCGACTGCCAGCAATACTTTAACCCATCCGCTACCTTCGCGCCCCTCCTCGAACAAGACAAGGCCTTGCGCGATAAGGAGTCCCGCTACCAGAAACACCGGCGCGGCAAGGCAAAACAAGCCCTCCGAGTCAAGATGGGTCACGGAGGCACCCTCGACCCTCTCGCCACGGGCGTGCTAATCCTCGGCGTCGGCAAGGGCACCAAGGCCCTCCAGGACTTTCTCACCTGCACCAAGACCTACGAGTCGGTCGTCCTCTTTGGCGCTAGTACCGACACCTACGATCGTACGGGCCGTGTCATAAAAAAGGGCAACTACGACGACGTCACGCGCCAGGCCACCGAAAAGGCCCTCGAAAGCTTCCGCGGCAAGATCAGGCAGATGCCCCCGCTCTATTCGGCGCTTAAGATGCAAGGAAAACCGCTCTACGAATACGCCCGCGAGGGAAAGCCGATCCCGCGCGAAATTGAGACGCGAGAGGTCGAAGTCGCCGAGCTCGAGCTCGTCGAGTGGTATGAGCCGGGCACGCATAACCACCGGTGGCCGACAGAAGAGGCCGAACAGGCCGAGAAGAACCTAGTAGATTCGGTGTGGCGTGTCGCAAAGCGCCAGACGGCCGCGACGGACGAAGGGTTATCCCGCAAGCTCACACCGGAGCAGCAAGAGGAGGAGACCAAGGCACTGGCCGAGTACAACAGCAAGAAGCGCGAGGCCGAGGAGCGCGTCGACAGCCTCGTCAGCGACGAGCAACCGGGGCCACCGGCCAAGCGCAAGAAGACCAACCATGGCGGCGCCGAACCCATGATGTCCGGTGCCCTGGGGCAGCTGCCGCCCAAGGGCAAGGGGTCAGATCTAGTACCCCCCGCCACCCTCGCCGGATACCCCCCCGCCGTGGGAGGGCAAGGGCCCGGCGGCGGCCAAGATCAGGATGACGGTCACGTCGGGATTCTACGTGCGCAGTCTGTGCCATGATCTAGGAGAGATGCTCGGGTGCGGCGCCATGATGGCGGAGCTGAGCCGTACGCGGCAGGGACAGTTCGTTCTAGGTGGGGATAACTGCATAGAGTACGACGAGCTACACCAGGGGGAGTCTGTTTGGGGACCGAAGCTACATCGTATGCTAGACCTGTGGAATAACCCGAATGCGGAGCAGGCCAAGCCCAAGGCTAGTGAGCCGGCGAGTTCGCCAGCACAGGGGAATGAGGCGAGCAAACCGGCGACCAAGGATCCCCAAGAGGAGAAGCCCGTTGATGAAAGCAAGCCGGCGGAGGACGCTAAACCCACAGAGACGGCCCCTGAGCCGGAGCCGGCCAGTGATGGTTCAGTAAAGGTGGAACAGGAGCAAGCCGCCGCGGCGAGTGCGTAGTGGCACTATCTCTTGTGCTCTTTCTCGTAAGCCGAGCAGCGCTCAGCTATCCTGGCTATGGGCTGATGGGTAAGGCCGGTTCAACTGGGCAATGGTGAGCACGCTCGACACGGACCGATGGCACTCGTGAGATATGGATGCGTCAGCGCAGTGTGCCGACACCGTCCAAATCGCGTTGCTATATCAAAACGAATAAACAAATCACCCAACCCATGTCCGAACCATGCAGGCCCCATGAACTCCCAATGTGCCCGGTCCCCTATGCTCCGTGCCCATTTCTCAAAACATACAATATACGCCGACATGCAATCCCACTCATCAGTCATACCTATTCCCCATCCCTCTAGATCGATCCTCGTCCATCCAACCCCCGTCACCTTTCCCCATTCCCATTCCCTTTCCTCCCCCCATTCATCTCCCCACTCCCACGCCCCGCCAAACTCCCATTCCGACTCCCACCCCCACCACCACTCCCCCTTGCACCACCACCACCATTCATCACAACCGCCCCCTCCAACCCACCCTGCAACTCCCCCAACACGCCCCTCACCCTCTCGATCCGCCCCACCGCCCGCTCCAGCCGCTCCAGCCGCCGCCGCTTGTCGCCCTCGCGCCGCTCCAGCTCCCCGACCCGCTGCTCCAGCCGCGCCCGCGCCCGCCGCTCCGACGCCACCATCTCGTTCGCCTGCTCGAACAGGCTGGCGCTCAGCTCCTCGACCTCGCGGCTCGTCTCGCTCAGGCGGCCTTCGGCCTCGGCGCGCAGGGCTTGTTCGCGGGAGAGGGCGGATAGGAGGTCCGAGGGGGTGAGGTGCGTTGAGGTTGAGGTGGGATGGTTGGGGTTGCTGGGGTGCGGGTGGGGGTTGGTGTTGTTGGTGTTGGGTGGGTAGGAGGCGGAGGAGGGGAGGGAGGGGATTGGGCTTGGGGCGGGGCGTGTTGTTGTTGTTGTTGTTGTTGTTCCTCCTTGTGGTGGTATGTTTGTGAGCGGTCGGAGGGTGGGCGGTAGTGTTGGTGCTGGTGTTGGTGCTGGTGCTGGTGCTGGTGTTGCGACTGCTGCTGGTGGGGATTTGCGGGAGAGCAGGGCCGAGATGCGGGTTGCTGCGCTGGTGGTGAGGAAGGAGGCGCGCGATGGGGAGGGGGACGGCAGGCCGGCTGCTGAGCTGGGCGGTGTCGGGAGGGAGGTTTGTTTTTGTGTCTGTTGCTGTTGTGCCGCTGTTGCTGCTGACGGGGAGGGGGTCTGCGGGCGGGGGGGTGTCGAGTTGGGCGCGGAGTTTGGCGATTTCGTCTTCGTAGTCGGCCCAGCGGTCGACGGCGGCCGAGGCCTTTTGGTTGAGAAGGCGGACTTGGGCTTGCAAGTCGGAAATATGCTTCTGGGCATCGAGTAGGGCGGTTTGGGTGTCTTCGAAGGGCGGCAGGTCGGCGCCGAAGCCGCAGTTCGGGCAGCAGGGGGTCTGCGTTGGTGCAGTCCTCAAGGTGCTGGGGCTTGCGACGGTCACCATGGTTGCGGTTGCGCTCATCGCTCAGGAAAATAATCGTATTATTGTTATAGGTAACATAGTTAGCCGCGATTCGGCGTCGTCGTCGTCGAGTTACCAACAAAATTTCAAGTCTAGGCGCCAGCGGCGTCTTTGATTGTTGTCTCGGTTCAAAAGGCTGGAAGGGGCTGGAAGTGTTGCTGGCGGCTTGAAGGAGGGGTGGCTGGTTCTTGGCCCGATGCTTGGCTTTTTTCAGGGATCTGTTGGTTTGCTCTGACGTCGCGCATAGGTTACAGAGGGAAGGTACCTGGTAGGCAGGCTGTTCCGCATGGCCAAGCCCCACGATCGACGTCGAATACCGAGGCACCTCATGTACCGGTCATGGCAGTCCGAAAAGCTCGCTTCTTCTTATTTTCTTATATGAGAGTTCTGGCTTTTTTTGGCCAGAGGGTGCCAGGACATGCACCACACCGAAATCCCAGACAGACGGATAAGGGAAAATAGGTACCCTCGACTACCGATTCACACGTGGCATTGTCATGAAAGAGAAAGGAGCCGTAAGTACCGTCATCCCGTTGATTGGCCTGGAAGATGTGGCTCCGGGCCATGAACCCAGAGATTGGGTTTAACAACCCGGCTATGGTAAGTGTGTGCCCGTCTCATGCACCGGGCCGGGCACTGCCGCTACGCGGATTACCGTCTCACCCAAACTATTTGACGGCCCCTATGCACATAGTGACGTAGGTATCGGGCCTGAGGTCATTTAGATCTTGATGCCACTCCCGCTAGTAGTCGTGGCCGAGGTGAGCCCTTGGGCGAAGAGACCCGTGTATAGCTCCCGTGAGTAAAGCCGGAGAGATCAAAATACTCCCACTCGGTATCTTTGATGTCTGACAAAATGCGGCCGTGCTCAGCTGCGAAATGGGCCGTCAGCTGTTGGGGTGTTTCTGGCGACGTGGGCACACGCCTGCCCTCCATATGTCACGGCAGCCTGTCGGGGTATCATCGTAGCCGGCGTGAGTGAAGCATATCTGCTCCAATCCAGTCCAGAGTGGCTCCAACTCACTGCGGCTGTGGCTGCGCGACCTTCCTCAACTCCATGGCCCCCGTCTCCGGATCCCGAAACTCCTTCCAACTGACCGGCTGCATCGTATTCCCGGCCTCGCTCACCGCCAACACCACCCCCAACTCATTCCTCGTCGTCGACAGGTAATAATTCGCCTGATCACCCAGCGAGATCTACCACCACCCTCAATGTCAGCACTCTCGCCCGTGCAGCCACCGCACTCCCCAGCCTAGAAGGGAAGCCCGGGAAGAGGGGGAAAAAAAGAAAAAAGAAAACAAAACAGAAAAGCACTCACCACCTCCGCCCTGACCACATCCCCCGGCCGAAAGCTCTCATAAATCCGGACACGATCCTTCTCCGTCGCCCGCACGTCCTGCACGCGGATGAGGCCCTGCCACTCGGCCTCCAGCACCGAGTCGCCGCACACCAGGATCGCCACCACCGCCTGCCGCGGCGTGATGCGCACCACCCGGCACAGCACCACGTTGCCCACCTCGGGCAGCACCTCCCGCTTCTTCTTCTGCTTGCGCTCCCCCGCTACCGGCCCCCCATCTCCTACTACCACCGCCCCCGCCCCCGCCCCGCCCCCCGCCGCGGCCACGGACACCGAGATAGTCGGCAGCTCGGCCGGCGGCGTCGGAGCCGGCGCCGGCGTGATCTTGGTCAGGCGCTTGGCGGGGCCTGGGGCGCGCCGCTGCTGCTGCTGCTGTTGTTGTTGGGACTGCTGCGGTTGGGCGACGTGCACGTGCCCCAGCAGCGAGGCGTACAGGTTGGCGTCGTGCAGGTGCGTGCCCGGCCCGGGCTGGTAGCGCGACGCCGGGCCGAGGAGCTGGCCTGGTATCGCGAGTGTGGGGGGTGCTGTTGTTGTCATTGTCTGGGTTTTTTTTTTTGTTTCTTTGTTGTTGTTGCTGGGTTTGGTTGATGGGAGGTTGGTTGGTGAAGGTGGGGTTGACTGGGCGGGTTCCTGGTGGGTTGTGGATTGCGATGTGGCCGGGTTTGATTTGAAGATTGGTCGGGAATGGGTCCGTGGTTTGTTTGTTTGCAGGAGGGCTAACCTGAATGTCGACGTTGATGTGGTGATGCTGCGATGGGTTTCCTGCAAGGCGCGGGATGCGGATGGGATTTGCGGATCCTTGGCGGCGTTGCCGGCAACTTGGGATCCGGGTCGTTCGAGCAAGCAGCAAAAAAAAAACAGGCACGGGATTCTGCCGCACAAGGGTCCTCGCTTTCGGGGAAAGACTTGGCCCTGTTATTCGCTGCTTTCAGCGGTGTCACTCCGCTGATTCGCGAGCTTCCCCTGGCCAGCGCCTCACCGCTTTCCTTGGCCGCTGATGCAAGCGTGCAGGGGCAGCGCGCCTGGGCGACGACGCGCAATTCGTAATTCTTCATAAGAAAACCCCAGTCTCTTTCCCGTTTCTTTATTTTCCCCATCCTCTCCCCCATCCCCCATCCCCCACCCCCAATCCCACCCGTTGCCACATCACAATGGCACCCAAATCCGGCTCCTCCAAGAAGTCGTCCTGCTGCTCCGGCGGCATGGGCGGCTGGCTCAAGTTCCTGGCCATCCTCCTCGGTGTCCTGACGCCCGTCTACTACCTCCTGGACCAGAACCTGGAGCGCTTCTACATCTTCAAGCTTGACCAGCTGGAGGATGTGTCCACGCGCGCCATCCAAGCCCACGGCGACGACACGCAGGCCATCGTCAAGTACATCGTCGATGAGCTGGCCGGCCAGGTCAGCCTGACGAGCTTCGTCAACCAGGATGAGGAGTGGGTGTTCAACAACGCCGGCGGTGCCATGGGCGCCATGTACATCATCCATGCCAGTATGTTTCTCTCCCTCCAACTCCCCCGGGTCAAAACCCATGAAAGCTAACCTCCCCAACCCAACCAGGCATCACGGAATACCTGATCATCTTCGGCACGGCCGTCGGCACGGAGGGGCACACGGGGCGGCACACGGCGGACGACTACTTCCACATCCTGACGGGCACGCAAACCGCCTACGTGCCGGGCTCGTACGCGCCCGAGGTGTACCCGCCCGGGTCGATCCACCACCTGCGGCGCGGCACGGTCAAGCAGTACAAGATGGCCGACAGCTGCTTCGCGCTCGAGTACGCGCGCGGGTGGATCCCGCCCATGCTCTTCTTCGGCTTCGCCGACGGCCTGTCCAGCACCCTCGACGTGCCCACCCTCTGGCGCACCTCGTGGCTCACCGGCAAGCAGATGATCGGCAACCTGGCCCGCGGCAAGTTCTAGGCTGGTCGCTGTTGTTGCTTTTCCGCCGAGTCCTGTGTGTTGCGGATGAAAGAGGAGGAGGGGAGCTTCTATCGTGTTGCGGTGGAAGGGTGTGAAGTGGTGTGTACGACTACGAGGCTAAGCTGAGGCCGGGCATCGGCCTTGTCGCCGGCTGGAGCAATGATTGGGTATTAGACTCGATAGACAGGATACGGAGATCTGGGACATGTGTATAAACCTGTACATGGGCTTATCTAGATAATTCATAATGAACCACTCGGGGATGCCAGCAGCCTGCCGGTCCATACCGGACCCTCTCGACTTGCAACGGACATTTGACAAACAACGAAGATCTCCCTCGAACCAAGGACAACACCGGCACTGATGCAATAACGATAATCGACCAAGCAGTTGCCCTTGCGAGCCAACATGTCATTTTCAAAGCCCCCTAATTTCAGCCGAGGAGCTGGGCCCGCTCGACGGGCGAAGAGCACCCTCCCGCCATCCATGCTGCCGCGCACCACTTTTGGTTACGTTTTTTTTTCGAGCCCGTCCCAACCGACCTCGAGCGTGCCCTAGAACGCCTATAAAACAAAGTGTGATGCATGTTAAATACAAGCCCAAGCATTCACTTAAACATCCCCTATCCCCAACCCGGCGGCGTCCATCGCCCGCCGAAATGACTTTACCATCCTTTTTTTTTGGTTCGCGAACAAGCGTGCAAAGACGGAGCGGAGAATCGATTCGACGTCTGATGACACCTCGATGGGGCGCCGTGATTCAGGCGAGCCATTCCTCGTCGTCCCGCTTCAGGCCGCGCATGACCAGGCCGTCGTCCTCGTCCTCGCCCTCCGAGTCAAGCGACACCTGTTCGAGAGTGGTAATGTAACCATTTAGGTGCTGAATATGGTGCGGGTGAGGGGCGTGGCCGGTGGTGGGGACGCCATTTCCGTTCCCGTTTCGGTGGGCTTGGTTGCCACCACCGCCGTCCCCCTCGTCCAGCATCCATGTCAGGCCATTCGCTTGCTCTTCCAGCGGGAACACCTCGCGCGCGTACTCTTCCAGGCCGCGCGGGCCCTCCCACAGCTCCAGCGCCACCCTCGGGCAGCTCTCCTCGAGCGCGGCGTCGCCGAAATACGGGGGCTGCTTCGTGGGGTCGTCGTGGCCCATACCGAACAGCGCCTCCAGCGCCTCCAGCTGGGCGCGGTAGCCCTCGGGGATGGTGACCTTGAGTTCGATCGGGCCGTGGATGTACCGTACCGGCCGGCCGACGCCTCGGGAGAAGACTTCGCAGGCCTCCTTGGGCGAGAGCATTTCATACGCCAGACCAACGCGCTTGCCGGCTCCCCACTTCCTCACGCCGTCCTTGAAGATTTGGAGAATGGCCGGCCCGACGTCGTGTTCCGCGTCAAGCCACGGGAGCTTGACGTCTGGGTGGAAGGGGGCCTTCCAGATCCAGGAGCCGTCTTCTTGTAGTTCGGTGCAGAAGAGAGGGTAAGGGAGCGATGTGAAGTTGTTATTATAAATTCCGGTGTACACAAAGGTCGCGGGGAGGCCAATCTTCTTGACGTACTCCTCCACTTTGTGCTTGGACGCCCAGAGCGGGAGTGATGGCCATGCCTTATTATAGGCATGGTGATCTGGCATGGATGAGTAGACGTAGTGCTGGATGCCGGCCTTCTTAGCCGCGTCTGCCAAGGCCTCCCCGATGTGCTGTTCGTCCCCGTAGAAGGTGGTATTGATGAAGGCCAGCTGGGCGCCCTTGAATAGCTCCGAGATCAGAGCGTGGTTGACGCCGATGCCGGAGATGGGGCCGTTCCGCGTCACGTCCACCTGCGCCGTCTCTGCCGGGCGCTCCTTCGTGTACAGCTCGCCTCGCAGGATCGTCACGTTTGGATTTCGGGCCACTTCGGTCGCCACAACGCCCTCCAGATTCCTCAGCTGCGCCCGGACATGGTACCCGACCGCGGTGGCCACCCGGATGAACGAGGCGGCCTGCCTGCCACTGGCATTTATGACGGCGATGGTCTTGTCCGGCGAGGGCATCGACCGCTTTGCCGGACGGAAATTCAGCGAGTTATTTCGAGACATGAGCGGCGAGATGTCTGAGTATGACGAGCGCGAGTGCTTGTGTCTTCTTTCGTCTGGGTTGGTGTTGGTGTTGCTGAGTCCCCTGATGTCTCGTGGAACCTGTCTGATGGCGAGCTCCGAATGTAGTTCGGCCGCCATCGGCGCGGTGGTTTAGGCGTGCTTCTGCCCGAAAAGTTGCCAATCTTGAACGGATCACTCCTCCCCGGGCTCCTACGTCGAGACCGGTCGATAAATGTGCGCTCTCTCTGAGGAAGAGAATGGTTTTTTGGCCAGCTTTTTGGAACGTGGTGGGATAGTTAGCGCCCGGGTGCAGCGGTTCAAGATGCAAGGGTTATCTTGTCGAGAAAGGCTGCCGGTATGTACTTGGTAGTATGCACAAGCAAGTGGATGGGTGCGCACGAGGACACAGAGTCGTAGGATTGTGTGCGGGTGGCGGTGAGGTGGGTAGCTTTAGAGAGATTGGAACTCGTCTGCAAGAGTGAGAATGAGAATAAATCGATCGAGGGCCTTGACGGGTAGCCGGTGCCGCATATCACGAACAAGGCAAATCGAGCTCGGCGCAGAATGGCGTACAATTCTGGATCGCGTTTATCTGTTAGTGGGGTTCGTGCCGGATTGCGGGGCAGGCCGCATGACGGAGGGAACGTCGGAGCTGCTTGATAAACGGATGGGCAAAGAGGATTGATGAACCGAGCGTCAGTTAAGAGCAAGGCAGAAGCGAGGCGGCGGGTGGCAGCCGAGACAACAGACGGAAACGCAAAATGTGTTGGGACGGCGCCCTACACAGCATGTGCCAGTGTGGTGGTCATCGATGAGTGCAAGCACGACACGACTTCTTTGCAAAGGCCAGACCAAACGTTTGTCCACATGACGAGCCGCAGCCGGGATGGAGACTCTCCTCTGCATGCCATCGTGTCCGAGGGCCTAGATTTGCCCCGCTGTGTTTGCGACCGACAGGGACCGTTTTGTGCCATGGTGCCATGTAGCAATTGAAAGGGAACGATTTTAGCCCACAGGCGAACGAACAACTCGGCCTCTCCACCGCCCGCGTTTGTTACCGCTGCATTCATGGGGGGGGGGAGGAACCCACCGTATCCACAAGCTGAGGGCTCAGCAGGCCAGCAAGAAAAGCTTCATCAAGGGGGGGAACTTGGCTTCAGCCGTCCAATCGGGATGATCGCAGAGGCGTGTGGTGCCAAAGAAAGCTTTCGAGAGGGCCCTCGCAATCGTCAGGACACGCAGTCCAGACAGAGTTCATTGGGGGGCTCTTGGTCGGTCACCGACCTCGGCTCAGCGGGCAATGAAAGAAAGAGCGGAAAGGACGCCAGTTTGTCAGAGAATCCAGGGGTCCGGTATACCCAAAACATGCACCTATCTCAGCCGCCGTCAAGGGAAGGGACGGCCTTGGATTGGAAGGCCTGGCGTGCTGGCCCTACAGGGATGCCATGGAAGAGGACGAAAAACTGGATCCCGTCGATAACACGCAGAGCGGCGCACGAGGCACAGAACGCAGATGCATCATCAGCAGACCAGAGGGGTGGGCTCTGGGGATGGCTGTTAGTCGTGTACATGCACATGTGCCCCGGACACTGAGCGTTGCACAGGAGCGTAATAGGCGATAGTAAAGATACGGCGGGGCCCGGCGTCTGACGCCGCTTCCGGAGAGCCTTAGGTCACCGTTGAGGTTCTTGCCTTGGACGATTCGAGGCTTCCTCAACTGATAACTCGATCCGTCCGAAAGGGGCAACTGCGGTTGCTCGGCACTGCCTTGCACTTACAAGTTCTTGACCAGCAGCTGGCAGACGGAAAGATAAGGCTTTTCGGCCCGCCACCGTCCGTGTCGATGGCGTCAATTTCTCCCCCCACAGAGAAAAAAAAACTTCTGACGATCAACTGGAGCTGGCCTGGAGGTTTCTGGGTCAATGGCCCCTCTCCTCTGCAGCTAGAGGTTGTCGTTACTTGATGATTACCTTCCCGATTCATATCCGACGACAAATGTGTTAGCAATACGTCTTGGCAGGGCCCATCGCTGGGCAATTGGAGGGAGACAGCGGGAGGCATCATCCTTCGAACCACAGGCTTAGCACGAGGATAATAACGAACCCGCTCTCACGCTATCTCTCCGGTATCCGATCAGCCGGCCCGGGGATAGGTGGTTCTGGGGGCGTCCAATTCTCGGCGTCGGTTTTCCCCACGATTCGGAGCACATCCGCCAACTTTAGATTGTGAATTTGTGGGGAAATACCGTTTGGACTAGCGCCGCCTTGTCGAGTGATGGAACAAGTGAGGGCCACGCCCTGGATGCAGAGCTTCAAAAGTCGGCGAAGTCTGGGTCACGGGAGCGGCAACTTCACGAAGCGATAACCATCAGTTTTCAATGTTGCATTTCCCGCGGAGATGCTGAGCTCGGCGCTGATGCGTTGTGCAACCTGACAGGGCCAGGCCTGGCCTAAATCGTACTAGCGGCCCTGTTTGTACGTAATTGAAAAGAAACCAGACGCCCGACTTCCGACAGTCTCATTATTCGGAAGGCAGGAAAGACGGAAGACGGTCACTCACTTATCCCCAACCCTCAAGTTCTCGATGGGACCTGAACCCCCAATCGGCAATGCAAGGGCAGTTAAAGGTCCCCTATAAGCCGGCGCCACACCAGACCGCCGTACCTCTCCAGCGCCCCGGCGCTCACCTCAGCATCTCTCTCGGGCGCTACCGAGTGTCGGAGGAAGAGAGACCGAAACCTGATAACCAGGTCGCCCCGGGCGTGGTATGACACGGGGTCCGTTCTCCGGTTCCGAAAAATCACGACCCTTTGCCGGCGCACCGGCCGCCAAGGGGTCGGGGACGACCCGCTGACGCTCCGGCTCCAGCTTGGCGAGCAGCACGACCCCGACGCCATGGGCCGACGCCGCGAACCACCACGCGGCGTCGTCGTGATGTCCCCCTGCCTGGCGATAGCCCCCTCGCATAGCCGGTACAGCTCTAGGCGGAGCTCTTCGTGGGTGCCGAAGAACTCGGAGGCGATGAGGACGCCGTTGCCCGTTGCCGCCCCGGGCTTGGAATCGGCGGACGCGGAGGTCGATCCCCCTGGCCCGCCTCTTGTGCAGGGTTTGTTCGAGGCTTTGGGCGGTCATGCCTTGAAACAGTCAGTCCCTCACGGTTAAGTAGCAAACGGGATGGTGGGGTTGTTTAAGGGGGGGGGGGGGGGGGGGGTTCGGTTATACCTGTGATCATGAAGGTATCGTGCTCGGAACGTTGGATGTGGTTGACGACATCGCAGGCGGTAGTAAACTGGATCTGAGGTGTCGCATCCCTCCGGGCGTCCACATCCGAGTCGCTGTCCTCTGCTGCTTGCTTGGCTGCCCCCCCCCCCCCCCCGGGTGGTATATGAAAGCGGGTTCATTGTTGGCACTTGATCGTGACGGTAGGTAGGCTGGCGATATAGCGCGGGTCGGGTTCGTGTATCAGGTTACGAGCTAGACGAGCCCGATATCGTAGTGGATTGGGTCGTTGGGTGTGGCAAGAATGGGCAGCGTGAGAAGGGAAGCGGCTTGGGTGGCTTTTAGCATCGCTGTCGCCATCAGCAACTCAATGGTGGTGCTAGAACGGCGGTTTGGAGACCTCCCTTCCGATGGCTCGAATGCCTGGTTGCCCGGATCATGACTTCACTTTGTCGTATGACACTGTGTCCTGCCGCCGCCCTATTGTAATGACATTGCATCGGAGACCGCGTCCGTGGCTGACCAAGTGGTTGACTGAGTGGCCCCAACCAAGTACATTGTCAGAGCATAGAGCGAACGGGGCATGTGCCCGAGCGCGTGAACGAGTTTGTTTGTTGCTATAGCATGTTGTAGCTTGGACCACGAGGCCAGGGTTGGGTGTCTGGTTTTGGTGTGTCCCAGTATCAACGCACTGACAACATCATGCGTTCCTCGCTCAGGAGGAAAACAACCGATGAAACCTCCCCAAATGCGAGTCTAGGTTAAGCCTTTTAAAGATTGGGTATTCGTGCGGGAATAAAGAAAGGATCGAGGGTGGGGATAAGATCAGGAGGTCGGAACTATGGATTAGCGACGGTTTCCGTTGTGGAAGGAAGTCAAGAAACTCGATTCCTATCTAGTTGAATGCACTGCGGCTAATTTCCCCAACATGGTGCTCTTCGCATCTTGCAGTCCATTATTGCTTTGAGAACGACATGACAGCATACTGGAAAGTCCCGTTTGCATAGCCCCTCCTCATGGCCCGGAAAGCTTGTAAAAAGGCAATGCCATCTCGCCCTTGGCTGAAGGCGAACGCCCACAGCGAGGGATTCTGTACCAGCGACCACGAGATGTCCCTACAACTGTTAGTGGCAGGCTTCTCGCAGAAACTCTCGCGACACTACATACCAGGTTTTGCTGACATCCTTACTGATGTCCTTTGGCCCGCCGAGTACCTTCAACCCGGCGCCCGTAGCCTGGTTCACATACTCTTGCTGCGTGCAAAGCGGCGGGGTGAGCATGCCGTCTAGATTGTCATCAGCAACCACCAGGACACGAATAAAATAAGGGCAGGTGACAGACCTTCGATGGGCTTGATATCCGCGTCAAACACGTCCTTCCCAAGATCCTCCGCCTTGGCCCAGTCCGCCAGCACCAGCTTCCCGCCCGGCCGGAGCAGCTTGTGCGCGTTGTGGAAGAAGAGCTCCTTGTTGGGGAAGTGCGAGAGCGCCTCGCTGATCCAAACAACATCGAACCCACCCTCACCACCATCCCCTCCCGCGCCGAAGTACTCCCCCATCTTCTCCGCATCCAGCTCCACAAACCTCACCCGCCCGCCCTGCTCGCCAACGGTAATGAACCCATCATCACCACCACCACTTCCAGCCTCAGCCCCAGCTCCATCCGCACCACCCGCACCATCGGCCGGCTTGCTCAGCCTAATCGCCATCTGCACCTGCTTACCCGAGATAGTCAACCCCGTCACAGCGGCGCCCAGCGTGCGCGCCAGATACCGCGCCGTGCCGCCAACACCACAACCAACATCCAGCACGCGCAGCGGCGGCCGCGCCTCACCCGCAGCACCAGCACCGGCAGGGGCAGTAGCAGTAGCAGTAGCAGCAGCAGCAGCGCCGCCATCGCCACCGGGCAGCTCGGCGATAGCCAACAGCAAATGGATCAAGTTCAGCTGGGCCGTCTCCTTGGAGTCGGTCGCCTTGGAGGCGGGCGTCGGCCAGTAGCCGTGGTGGATGTGCTCGCCCCACAGGTTGAGGTAGTAGTCGCTGGCCAGGTCGTAGTGCAGCTTGATCCGGTCCTTGAGGGCCTGCATCGTGGTGTGGGCGAGGCCGAGGGGCGTGTCGTACTGCGTGCTGAGCGCGGTGGGCTCGTCGCCGCCCGAGGGGGCGGGAGCGGTGGTGGTGGTTGGCGTGGACATGGTGGGTTAGTTTGGGGGTTGTTTGAGGGGAAGGGGGGGTTTGTGGTGGTTGTGGTTGCGGGTGAGGTACAGAATGGGGTTGTGGAACAAATTGAAGCTGCACCGAGAGGGAGAGGGTTTACGGTAACTCGGGGAACTCGGTTATCTTGTGGTTTGAAAACTGAGGAGGTCGCACCTTCCCGGCTGGATGGCGCCCTGGACAACTTGGAACCATCCCCGCCATGGCGGGCGCCCTGCGTTCCTGCATCACAACAGTGGATCTCTCAAGCCGCCATTGGTTACGGTGCATGCGTACCCCTCGCATTGGAGCATTATCAAACACTGCCAGTCTTGGGTTCCTTCCTCTGGTACATTCCTCGGCTGATGGGGCTAAAATGAGTGTTCTGATGAGTGTCTGTTGTAGCCGGGCTTGTTTAGAGGTATGGATGGGTAGATGTTGGCGGGATTGGCCAAAAAAGGGGTCGAGTTCAGGTCGCGGCCATGCGGCGGAGACAACCCGAAAAAGTAATTGACTGGAGCGCGATTCGAACGCGCGCCTCTTGCGAGAGTAGAATACACCCCATTGAATGGGGAAGATAATTTCTTGAGTCTACCGCCTTAGACCACTCGGCCATCCAGCCATTGGATATGTGAATGGCTTCAAGTGCGCTTACAGAAACCCACGAGCGCCACCGATGGACAGAACGGTTCCGGAAGTTTGGGTCCAACTCCATCTCAAATAATTCACAAACAAGATTTCATCCGTTCATACTTGCATTTAGAAAAAAAACATCAGATAAAACAATATACTAGAAAAGCCTGTCCGGACCTTGGGCAGCACTGCCTCGTTGCTACTGCCTGCAAAACATCGAGATATCTGCCGAGAATCAGAATGCCGAGTCTCAATCAGTTTGTCGCTTGTTGTGGCTGATGTTTGACTGTTTGCCGCAGCCGGCGCTTCGGGCGCTTCGACGACATCGCACTCCGTGTTTGTACCGTACGACGGCATCCGCTGGGTAAAAGGGCATTTACCCAACACGAGGGTTCTCGTGACATCGATTGTATTTTCTTCCATGTGACGCTTGGGTCGCATTCAAGCTCTTGTGAATCCGAGGCAGTCGAGGTGTCTTTCGGTGTTCGTTGTTGTCACGGTGAAGTGGATATAAGAGGCAGGAAGGAGAGTTTCTGAAAGCAGGCAAAAATATACCTATAGACAACAACGGTAGTAAGTAGGAGGTTACAAGTTACGCTCACTTTGGTCGTCCTGGTTGTTACCTCCTGCTCGAGTCAACATCGGCTCATGGCCTGGCAGTCGGGCCGCATATTGCCCCGTACAGAAGTTGGATATTATGGCATATTGCACTGCAGAAGAAGCATACGAGGACGACATATTGTCAGCTCTCCACCACGGGCCACTCTGACCACCATACATGAGCGAGGGCGGAGTTGAGTAGAGTCATCGCCATCGGCCGCTCTGTTGTGTTGGTAAACGCTGACGAGGTTGACATTACTATTTTCAGCAATGAACATGTCCGCTGAAGATGGGTGAGGCCACGGTTGTTGGCCATTTTCACCGAGCGAGTCATGTTGGTTGACCGTATTCACCATGGTAAGGGCGCAGGATGATGGCATGGTATCATCGAGGACATTGGGATGCATGGCAGGTGTGGAAGGGACTCCTTCCGTCTATAAAGGAGGTTGTCTTCCCTCCCCAAGGCCTCTTCATCTCCCACCTTCCCATCGTCCCATCTTCAAATCATCCCATCACCACCATACAACGACAAAGGTTGCCTCATCAATATCTCAACTTCAAACCAGCACTTGACAGCTTTAAGCCAACACTTGACTATCCCATTCTTCCGCTACAACAAACTCATCTTTACAACCACTTACCAACTACTACCACCACCAACCACCGCCAAAATGCGCTTCACCACCACCCTCACCACCCTCACCACCCTCCTCCTCACCACCCTCTCAACCGCCCTCCCAGCCAACCCCATAATCCGCCAAACCACCTGCCCCCGCCTCCACCCGCCCTCCACCCCACGCCTCAACCTCCTCAACCGCCCCGACCTCGGCATCACCACCACCCAAACCCTCACCTTCACCCTCCCCGTCCCAGACAACACCCCAGCCGACATCAACAACAACACCCCGCTCCCCGGCGGCCCCTGCACCCTCCGCGCCGTCTTCCCCCCACACTGGGAAGTCATCGACACGAGCGCCCAGGCCGGCGGCGCGCCGCTGGCCGTGGACGTGTACGCCGTGGACGGGCCGGCGGCGGGGGCGCTGGTGGGGACGGTGAGCTTTGCGGTGGACGCCGGGGGCGATGATATGGGCAGGGAGAGGGTGGTGGTGGTGAATTCGTTCGCGTGCCGGGAGAGGATGGCGTACAGGTTTGAGCTGGCTGGGGTTGGGGAGGTGGGGTTTGTGAATGGGTTTGATGAGGGGTTGGGGGTGGAGGGGGGTTTGGAGATGGTTGTGGGTTGTTAAGGGTGGTGGGGGGTTGAGGGGTGGGAAGTTGTTGGATTAGGGGGGTGTTGTTTTCTTGTTTGGGTATGGGAAATCGTTTGGGGCAGTTATTGGGGATGGCGGGTGGAAGGACTTGAGTGTTGCTTTGTTGGGTTTGAGTAATAATTAACAGTATAGGATTCGGAGGTTATAGTGTGGGCGTTTGCTTGCCAGTTGGAGTTCTGCTTTTTATACAAACCTGGTCTGCTTCACTTGATCCAGTTCACAAGTATGAGTGAAGTTATGCGGTCCTGGTGCAGACACGAGACAAAACACTAATACTCTAGCTGTCGACCTTGAACTGATCTCTCCCTTATTTCTCTATAAAGGGGACATTCACATGGAACCCACTGAAGACACTTCTCAAGCCTTTGCATGATTGTACTGACTTCTCCTATCTCTTCATCCTCTATACCATCCGTGTCCGACTGTGGGACACCCAAAGCAAGGGCTAGAAGAAAATAAGTCTATTCCACGTCCCCATGCAGGCATAACCCACACAACCAAAGAATAGACGCCAGAAACTCTATCATCCCGGCTTCATGTCGGCGTGGTGGAATATCCGCCAGCCCTCATCAACTTCCGTCTATCATGACACATAACAGGAGAAACGATCCGAAAAAAACGGAGTTTGAAAAGCGTCCCCAACCTCGTGCAGTCATCATATATATAACCCTCTCTCGGTTCTGTCCGGGCTGAGAAGGAAATAAACCCAGTCCCCGCATCCCCAACCGCAGATGGCGGGAAAGCCAGGCCAAGAAAAGAGCAGGGGAAGAAGATTCCCCGGGTATCCCTAATAATAAATAAGTAGCAGCTGTATCATCCCGCTTCGACCACTTCTCCAGTCTATCCATCCCCCAAAGCCCATCTATCCACCGCCCCGATTTTCACCACCCCTAGCAACCCCTCCCCAAACCGGGACACTCACCACGCCCCAAACCCGGGACTCCCCGTACCACTGGCGTTCCCACTCGCCGTGGCACTCCCCATAGCAAAGCTCTGGTCGATCTTGACAATCCAATCCATCTTATCCCGCTCGCTGCGCGCCGCAAACAGCCAGGTATTATCCGTCCCATAGACAGCAAACACCCCCGCCTGCAGTCGCTCGCTGAGCCTGCTGATCCCTCCACCACCACCACCGCCGCCGCCGCCGCCACCGCCTGGCGCAGCCGCACCGTTGGGAGAGGCGCCAGTACCATTGCTGCCAGCGTTGCCGCCGCCCGGCCAGAGCGAGGCAATCAGCCGCCCCGTCCCGCCCTGCGGCAGCGGGTTCGGCGACCGGGACGGCGACGGCGACAGCTCCCTGCGCGGCGTGCCGAATCCGCTGCTACTACCGCCATCCCCATCCCCACCCCCACCACCCCCATTCTGACTCCCGCCACCACTCCCACCACCACTCCCACCACCCCCATTCCCACCACCGTAACCCCCCCCATTCAAATTCAACAACCCCAAAATCCCCGGCTGGCTATCCACCCGCGCATTCCGCAGGCTCACCACCCCGACCTCCTCGCCCGCCGACACGGAGTGCACGTGCAGGTAGGGGCGGCGCAGCTCGACGAAGCGCTTGACCCAGCGGGTGGCGTCGGCGTTGGGGACGAGCAGGTAGCCGCCGCGGAGCACGGCCGGGTTCTTGGGCACGCGCACCACCGTCGCCACCGACGTCGGCTGTGGTGGTGGTGGTGGTGGTGCTGCGGGCGTGGGTGCGCGTGCCGAGGGGGTCGGGTCGCCGGATGGCGGAGCCACGCCGTCCTCGGGCGGGTCCGTGTTGCGCGGGGAGAGGATTTGCAGGGAGGGGTCGGGGTAGCGCTGCCAGAGTTGTAGGCAGCGGGTTAGGAGGTGGGTTTGGTGGTCTGCCTGGTCTGTTTGTTGAGGTTGGCTGGGTTGTGGTTCTTCGGGAGGGGAAGAGGGGGTGGTTGTGGTTTGTTCTTCGTTGCCGTTCTCGGAGGGTTGGGGGATGTTGCCCTCGGCCTGCCCGTTCGCTTCCGTAGGTTCGGGGGATGTGGTTGGGGAAGGTTCAGGCGTGTCATCTTTCAGAAGCTCCGCGATGGAGTCGGCATCTGAGTTGACGGGCGGGGGCAGCAGGTCTGCGCTTTCGGGCTCTTCGAGGCCGTTGGCTTCATCCTGGAAACCAATCTTCTTGAGGAACGTTTGCACCGCCGCAATCTCGGCCATCATCTGCTTCCTCTTCCGCGAGCTGATGTAGTCGGCCACGAGCGACACGCCGCGCGGCGTCCAGGCTGTCAGGTTCTCCTCGCCCTTGACGTAGTCGTGCTGGCTGTTCATGCGCCACAGATCGCCCACCCGCTTGATCGGCGCCGGCCGCATCTGCAGCGTAAATATGCCGGTTGTCGAGTGGACGATGCGGACGTGCTGAAATAGCGAAGAGAACATGGACGTCTGCCGGATGAAGGACCGCGACAGGATCTGGCAGCAGACGTTCATCGAGAACTTCATCGGCTCAGCCAACTTCTCGGAGCTGATCTCCCACGAAACCGTCATTTGCACGCGGTACTTATCCGCCGTGACCCGGTCGAGGAGCAGTGACTTGTGCAAGCTGGAATCCCACTGCCCAACCACGGCGACGCTCCGGGTGCCGTTCGCGTTGGTGTGGAACGTGGGCTCGGACGTGAGCTTCAGCGGGATGTCCGGAGTGACGGAGCCCATGTCGGGCGTCTTGCCTGCGCTGTCCAGCAACTGAACCTTGCCGACGCGCATGTCTGCGACATCGTCCCACGGCAGCGCATCGCCCGAGCTGTGAGTGAGATTGATGGCAATGCGCCGCTGCAACCCCTGATGCAGTTGGAACGTCCCCCCGTCCAGCTCGCTGGTCTGGTTGACTTCCACGGGGACGTACTCGCCCTCCTCGTTCATCTCGAGTACCTGAATCCGCGCCAGCAAGTCATGTTTCTCCTCCGTAAAGAAGTGCGCCTCGCTTATCCTGGCGCGCTTCTTCCCCCGCGAGCGAGGAACGCCGTCCCGCATATCGTCCCAGCTGAGGAGCTTATCCAGATGCATGGCCGACACCTTGGCGAAGATGGCCACGCGCAGCGTCGTTTGCGGGGGCGCGAACAGCGGCACGCTCATGCTATGAACGCTCTCGAACCGGATCGGGCCCTCGTCAAAGTCCTTGATCATCTGCGTCGTGGTGATGCCGTCCTCGGAAATGCCGGGGATGAAGAGCTGTGCGTGCACCTCGGTGCCCTCGCGCTCCGCAAAGCCGACCATCTCGTGCATGACGATGTTAAACTTCAGCGTGTTAGACGGCGCCCGCGCACTGGACGGCTCGAGCGCGAGCTTGATGATGCCAATGGCGTGCGACGTATGGGGAGAGAAGACGTCAAGGGTAAAGTCTTGAACCCGGCTCTCAAAGACAGCTTTCAGGGGCACATCAACCTCGCCGACTAGGGTGTACTGCGGCATGCAGGTCTCGATAAACGGGTTGTCGAGGCTCAGGTGTTGGGCATACTCTGGTTGATCCAGATACTGGTACATCTGCCGCATCTGCCTGACTCGGTCATGGAGCTTCTCGATGCTCCAGAGGTGGACAACCCCGTGCTTGTAATCGATGACGCGGACCCCGATGCATGGCTTCGGTGCCTCCTCGAGCGCGATATCGTCGCCCTCACCGGTTAGCCCATTAAGAACCATGTCATAAGAGGAGCACAGCATGTGGCCAATATCAACCACGGCAAACTGGAAGACGACGTGTTCGTCCAGCTCGTGGCTCATGATCTGGGCTTCCTTGAGCGTGGCAGCATGTTGCAAGACTGCCTCGGCCATCCGTACGTAATGCCGGCTCCGCCAGTGCTTCACCGCGACCTTGGCCCGCTCGATCTCGTCCTCGGACAGCTTCGGGTTCGCCTTTGGGCGTTTTAGCGGGTCTAGCTTCTCAATCTTGGCTTCAAACTCGCGCCGCTGAACCTCGAGCTGCTTTTGCATGTCGGCCTTGATTTGGACCAGCGTCTCCTCCATGCGGACTTTCTCTTTTTTGATCTCCTCGACCTCGACATTCGCCGCCTCGGCGGTCTTGAGCTGGTCGCGGTACTCGTCCTTTTGTTTCTCCAGCTGACTCTGCATCTCTTCACGCATCTCGCGCAGCCGGTCCTCGGTCTCGCCCTGCTTAGGGGTGGACGGCATGGTCAGGACCGTGTCGAGCGAGAAGTTGTCGAGGGTGCCGGTGGACAGGTACTTCTCCCTGACCGGGTACGAGGCCATCGACTCCATGTCTTCGTCGCCGTCCCGGCCGTTGACACGCTCTGCCCTGGCCCGCTGGACGTCTTCGAAGAGCGCATTAAGCTCCTCGTCAGTCAGCTTGGTAAAGTTCTGGTCTGTGCCGAGGATCGCGGGCGCCGCTTCTCTGCGCGCAAAGGACCAGTCGGACTCCTTTCCGCCGCGCTGGAACGGCGAGTCGGGGCGGCTGTCACTGAAGTCGGAAATGGCTGTGCTTAGACTCCTCTCGTGCCCCGGCCTTGGGCTTGGTGACGGCGATGTTCTCTCCAGCGCCTGCAGTTGGCTTGCGGTGATGGACTGGCGCAGGAGACTTTGCTCTTGCCTTTCTGCCCGTTCTGCGCGCGCTTCCATCGGATGATTGAATCGGAAAATGTGGAAGTCGCCCAAGATAATGCGGTACCCCGAGTGTAGTCTCGTCGGCTCCGTGACTCGCTTTCCGTTCACCATAACCGCTGCTTCTTCCTTCGGGACAACTGTGACCGTCCCATCTGCCGCATTATCAAAGGTACAGTGCTCGTGGAGGATTCTCGAGCCGTTCAGACGAATGTTAGCCTGGTGGTCTGCGTTGGACTCGACGTTGCCGACCGTAGTCGCGCCAGGTTTCAGGTTGTAGACCAGGCACTCCGCCAGGAGGGGGTCGTCTGAAAGATTTACCAAGTGAGGCATCTTTTTGGGCGTGGACATGCCGATGAAGCCCTTCTCGATGCTGATTCCCAGCTCCTCGAGCGCAGATTCTCGCTCTTTGTGGATTTCTTCCGTCTTGGCAAGTTTCTGCTCCCACGTTTGGTTGAGGTCCTGGAGAATCTTCTCGCTCTGGTCTAGTTGCTCCGCAATTTCTGCCTTTGAAACCTTCTTGATAGTGCCATCAGACTGCGTGATGCTGACGATTTGCTTTTCCAGAGGCGTGCCTTCTGCGTACACCTCCTCGGCAGGAACGGGCGTTCCGCCAGCACCGCCTCCACCGCCCAGCTTGCCGCGGAGGAGGGCCAATTCTTCCTTGAGTTCGCGAATCATGCGAGCGTTGGCGTCTTCGTTGACGACCGCGTGGTTCTTGATGCGTTTCGCAGAGTCGGCGTACCGCAGCGTGCTCAGTGTTTCATCGTAGTTGATGTCCGCCGGACTGATGGCGGCGATCATGGCTGTCATACTGTTACCTCCGAGGGAGTCCTTCAATAACCATGTGAGAACACTATCTCTGTAGGGAACCTGTCCTGCCGCGCCCTTCTTCTTCTTGACGCCAGTGGAAAGATCTGCCAATGCTGCGATGACACGGCCGAGGGTGGAAAGAGAGCGGTTGATTTCGGCGCCTTCCTTGAGACGAGCTCCGGTTGCGCCTGTGGATGTCGCTCTTTCCGAACCGGCCAAATCGACGAGGCTGATCTTGGCTGCCTTCTCCATAGCCATCTTCGTCTCGGGGTCGAAGCGCTTCTGGGTTAGCATCAGAGTGAACACGGCGTGACTTCGACTCGACGTCTCGTTCATGTTGGTTGCCGCCACCGTTCTGGCCTTGTTACCCTCGTCCATCAGGTTCTCGATTTCCTGAAAACTTCCAACCACCAACTTCGCCAAATCCTCCACGTAAGGCCCGGTGGAAGGGTGCTCTCGGACCTTCAGGTTGCCCTTGTTTGCCGGGTTCAACAGGTCGCGCACCCGCTCGTTGTAGATTTCGAGGTACGACACCTCGACGGTGCAGCGCAGGTTCTTGTCCTGTTGCATCTCCCCGATCCTCCTGAACATATCCTGGCAAATGTTCGGGATGATACCGGCGTCCTTTCCATACCCCATCATCGAGTACGACTTGCCCGAACCGGTCTGGCCGTAGGCGAAAATACAGTTGTTGTATCCCTGGAAGGCATTGTCGAGAAGCGGCCTGCCCATGTCCGTAAAGAGGTTGTCCTGGCCCGCATAGTTTGGCGCGGCCTTGTCGAAGGACCAGTACGACTTGTCGAATGCGAAGACCTTCTGGCCGTGGTCCTTGACCGCCTTGTTGTCGGTCGGCGGCGTCAGGACCGTTTGGTTGTCTTTCATCTCCACGATACATTTTGCGCCTCGGTCGTGTTCTGCCGAGGGACAGCATCAGCTTCCCTGCCCAAGGTCCATCCCCAAACCGAACCGTTCACTCACCTCTCCCGTTGAAGGGACGAACTCTGACCACCACCTTGATATTTCCACCCCCGCCCGCGGGCGGCGCAGCCGGAGCCATCGTCGCTGGTTTACAAGGACAAGCCGGAGTGGCTTTCGAGACGTTCGACGAACGACGGCGTCACGGCTAGCCCTGAGCGACAGCCGGTTCCTGGCCAGGCGGGTTGGAGAATGGAAGCTCGTAATTATTGCGCAGTCCTCGAGTTTCCCGGCATACAGTTCCCAGCCCGCCGTACAGCACTCACGCGCATCCTCCCACTACAGCGCTGTGTTGGATCGTGAGCAATCCAGGTTGGTGCGTCCAGTCGCAGTCGAGTCGCAGTCGGTGTGGTTATTTGTTAGGTAATCGAGATTTGCTTTGCGGGGCGAGGGCGAGGGGCAACCGCTGGCCCCCGGAAAGTTGAGTCGTCGAGCTGTCGGGTTGATGTCGGGTATTTGTCTTGGATGTTGTGCGGGCGTGAGGCGTTTGGAAGTTGCGCAGTTATAGAGTTGGCGGTGTTGGTGGTGCCCTCGCCAAGATGGCGTCGTAGGTGGGTTGACTAACTAGCGGCACAGAAGGAATGCGATTTCGAGAATGCGTCCCCGTGTCAACAAATTCGAGAGCGGGACGCGAGGCGCGAACTCGGGGCCTCTCTGGGGGGGTGGGGGCGCTAGCTTATTGGTGGACGCGGTGCCTCATGGCCAGAAATTACAGAGGCTTTCTTCACGTGTCAAGGACGGCTCATCTCTCTGACGGCACTTCACGGGCAACATTTTATCATGTAATTACCCGTTTGGCAAGCAAGTTAATGCGGGAGTTATAACTTGTGGATATCAATATTGACAGGGTTGATTAACCTGTTTCTCCCACCACCAGACTCTGAGGTAACGAATGAATTTAGGGGGCTTATTCAGGGAGCTTCAGTGGGTGTATTCTACCTATCCACTACCTCAGGTCGAGGTGTCCAGGTCCGTGGCTCCAACATCATGAGTTGGGTAAGGTAGGTTAAGGTACCTAGGTAACCAACCATTTATAGCGACAGAGACGCAGCCAAATGTTGGCTAACCGAACAATTCGATGCTCGTGCAAGATATCCCAGGTCCCCATCAATATCCTAGACATTCGCTCTCGGCCCCATCCATATGGGGCTTGTTCGGTCGTTGCTGGGGCTACTTCGACTCTCCTAACCCAAGGTCCTTCTCAACCAGTTGGCGGCAAATTGGGTGATAGAAATCACGGTTCTTCTCAAAGGTCTTGACCGCAAGGTCACGGTCCACCTTGTTGAGAGTGCGAAACAGCGTCCGGACAAACTTCATACGACCGACATTTCCGAGAAGCTCCGCAACACCGGGATAAGAGCTGGTGTCCTTGGCCTTCATCGCGATTTGGTAGTAGGCTGACTTCAGCTCAACATTCTTAGAATCAGCGAGGGCATAGACCTTGCCCATATTTTGCTATGGCCTGTTAGCTAGGGTCCGTCGTAAGAAACTCGAGTCTTCCAAAGATACATACCGCTTGCTCCGCCGTTAGGGGCTCCTCGAAGTCCTGGACCACATTTAAGAACACGAGGACCTGGTTTCCGGTCCACGACGACGTGTCCGACGGGCTAGGAGAGAAGTCCTTGCTCTTCCACTTGTTGGCGAGTTCGAAGCACCCATCCACAAGTGAGGTGTCGAACTCGGGCTTTGGCGGAAGGCCAGGGTTGTAGAAGCGGCCCTCCCAGTCGATTTCCGAGAGCTTGTCCTTTAGGCTGGCGTACTCTGGGGCACCAAAGAACTCCAGGAAGGTGTCCTTGAACTCGTATGAGTCCAGAGACTTGTTCTGCCACTTGCTAAAGTAGTGGGGGATGAACTTGTCAAAGTTCTCGCGCCCGACGAGACGATCAAGAGACCAGATGAAGTGAAAGCCCTTCTCGTAAGGCACCGAGCTGAAGGCATCGTCTGGGTCGATACCATCGTGCTTGATGGATAGCTTGGTGTACTCATGATCTTTGCCAAACTCCCCAATTGACTCCTCTAACAGTCGTATTCATATTAACGAAAAAATACCACCATCACATTTAGTCTGGATAACTCACCCAGATGTTTCCAGCCGATAATGGCCGAGAAGTCGAAGTAGGCGTCATTCTTGTGGATGGAAGCCAGGATACGGCGCTCCAGATACACGGTCCATCCTTCATTGAGCCAGCTGTCTGGAGTTAACGGACCACTTTCCCCGAATAGCGTCGAGAGCCTAAACTCACAAATGCTCCCAACTACAGCTCGTCACCAAGTTGCCACTCCAGCTGTGGGCGAGTTCGTGGGCAATGACATCAATGTTTTGCCGGTCACCGCTGATGATGGTGGGCGTCGCGAATGTGAAGATTGGGTTCTCCATGCCGCCGTACGGAAAGCTCGGAGGCAGGACAAGGACATTGTACTCACCCCACTGGTAAGGGAAGACAATCTTCTCGGCAGCGTCTAGGAACTTGTCCATATCATCCTCGAGCTCCCATTGGGAGGCCTTCAGCTCGTTGGGACCCGTGGCGACAGAAGAGCATCTTCCGATCCGGGCACTAGCAATGTCTCCAGATGCCACAGCGAAAAGATAAGACGGAATGGGGACCTTCTGCTCGAACTTGTAGACCTTATCCTCCCCAGCAGCCTCTGTCGCACCTGGCACCGGGACGCCGCTGGCAACGACAACATGGGGACTGCGGATGATGAAGTCGTAGGTGCTCTTGACGTCGGGCGTGTCCTGGCAGGGGAAAATGGACCGCGCATGGATGGCCTGGCACTGGCTGAACATGAAGGGAGCCTTCTTGTTGCTCGTCTGGGCCGGGGTCAACCACTGAAGAGCAGTGCACTTGTCCGTGGTGGCCAGCTCGATCTTGAGCTTAACAACCTCCCCCTTGCCGGCGCCGTTGGGCACTGCGACGTGGACCGGAGAGCCGTTCGGCCCTGCGCGATCCTTGACCTCCCATTGCGAGGGCGCCGAGTTGAGTGCGATAGCTGAGACATCGACGTAGCTAGAGTCAAGGACGATCTCCTTGCTAGCCTTGTCTGTTTGTGACTCAAGCTCGAGAACCACAGACCCGCGAAGGCACTTGGCCGTGAAATCAACCTTAAAATCGGCCGTGGTATGTTTGGTGCGCCATTCGTTGTAGTTGGACAGCGTGTTGGGGTCCCGCACAGGTGCCATTCTTGCAGTGTTTATGCCAAACCACCGACGTTGAAAATAGGGTGTTGATTTTGCTGTTGTTGTTCTTGCTGTCGTTTTCCGAGCAATCGCCGAATTTGCTGTTTCCTGAGCGAGCCTGGCCCTCCCAAGGCGAAGAATACCCCACATGAGCACTCCGCTTTCTCAGCTGCAGCTTGATGCCCAAGCTGTGCCGATTCTCCCTTCACGCCTTCCTCCTTTGTCCAGCGCGAAGATGAATCGCACCATCTGATAGGCCAAGATCGATGACATCAGACGGGCACGTGACCTTAAGCGCGGGAAATCGCGGCTTTTCCAACCCGCCTTCCATTCGCATCTCGTCAACAAAACATCGGCACAATGCTTCAATTCTGCCACTTTGTTAGTATTGTCTTTCGTTTCTTCTCTTTCCTTTTTTCGCTGTTTCCGTTCAGTCTGAACAACTCCCTTCCTGTAACGATTCCCGTGTCCCTTCCCTCCTATATTTGCTTTCTACTATTCGTACTCCTACACAAGTGGAACGCCGATTTGCTCGGCTGGATTGGCCGTGTTTGGTTGGTCCCACGACGCGAAACATGTTTCAACTCCCAAAGTCGGGATCGCGGTTTTCCGCTCGGTCATGGAAACAACACGGAGGCATCACGGTTCAACGGGGGTGGCACTGTGAGGGAGAAGGGCTCTCCGTCGGCCTCATTTGAAACGCCATTCGCAAGCGCGGATTGGCTATACACCATCAACTCTGGATCACCAGTCTGCATGTCGATGGGCCGCTCTCTTATGATCATCGCCGGAACGAGGGTCGAAGTGTATCCCGCTCGATGGGCGAAACTCAGGACCTGTGTTGCACCGAGCTTAGCTCGAGATGAGCTGCTCCGGATCAACCAGGCCTCCTCCAATATCATGTGAACGGCACGTTACGCTTTCCCCAGACGGCCCATCAAAGTTTGCAGCCGGCTGATGCAGCCTCCCTTGAGAAAACGCGGTCATGGCAAGCCCAGGCCTTGTCCAGTGTTTGAGCGCGCCTTGACGCTCGACTCGGGGTGAAGATAGTCATCGGGAGAAACCTATCAACAGTCAGTGAGGCCGGAATGCCTCCCAGACGAGGTCAAGTGCGATGGATACCAGCCGTCCTTACCCCTCTTCATTAAAGGGTTGCTCTGATATCCAACCCGTTCGCATGGACGCTCCCCTCATGCTAAGAGTCGGGAAGGTTCACGGTCCCATTCCCTTGGGGCAATGGACGCCACAATAAGAGTGATCACCGTGGATCCCCTCTCTGTACCGGATTTCCAGGGTTCCGGCTTGACAGCTTCCTATATGCCTGTTCTGCTATCATAAGATTCATGCTCGGGTAATATCCCGAGCCCGTTGCATGAATTTACTTTCCGTAATTTCGGCCGTTTCGCTCAACATGGGAAAGAATCAAGAACCTTTGTTGAAACATACAAGCTTGTCGAAACATGAAGGACCGCGTTAGTTATGTCATGCTCGAGTAGCGGAGAACCCGCGGTCACAGAGGAGACTGCGCGTCGAACGGGACACGACCAATCTGACTTGTGCTCTTTCCAGCTCCTTGGGCGACGTGCCCCTGAGGCAGAGAGGACGACGCCGTGCAGATGGATGCCCGGCAGGAACGTGACGGCCCCCAGAGAGAGCGCCCTGTTTCCGCGTTGCCGAAACCAGCTGGCGGTTGAGCTTTTTCGAGCTCCCTCCCCGTCACGCTGCTTCAATAACAACTTCGAAAAGGAGGTCGGGGCATCATCCTTTCCGAGCCAGGATGGGCAACAAGGTTCAACGGTCACGGAACTCCAAAAACAATAAGGCTGTTCGTGTTGGTGTCTCGTGGTGGTCTTGGCGATTTCCACCGGGTCTCTGGCCGTCTGTCTCAGGAACCTTGTCAAATGCAGTCTCGCGCATCGAAGCGAAGCTCACTTGTGCAGGTCAAGCGGCGCGGACCATGGGCTTGGACCGTCGACATGCACCGAGAACGGCCGGCGGTTGCCCAGCACGCCGCCCACAGGCCTGGGCATGCACTCTGGCGGTCCCAACACCTCGTTCCCCCTATCTCATGCCCGCTCGGACATCGTCATGCGGGCTATTTATTGTCTCCTATGTATTCTGTATGTCGAGCATCTGCATGCTACGGAGGAGTTGCTACCGCTGCGCACATCACGTACCAAGTACGACGGCATGATCAACTTTAGACTGCTCAGCAATGCACGTTCGGACCTGCTGTCGAGCGTTGATGGCAAGACAACGTGGTGCCCTTGCTGCATCGCCTCGACATAACATCTGTGCGCTGCCCCTGATGGGAAAGATCGCTTAGGGCTTACCCAACGCTAGTTGACTAGCCTCTTTTTCATCCACGAGGAAGAGGAGCAAAGAAGGGGACAAGAAGTTCTTTTCGGGTTTGGTGCTCTTTTGCGTTCTGCCAGCCCCCCGGAAGAAGATCCGAGACAGTCCCAAGGCAGCCCTTTGGGACAGGAACCCGCGGACCTGGTCCCTGTTGTTCCCCTCCTTTAGTGGGGTTGGACTGCAGGACTGACCAGGGGGCCTGTTCGCCAATGGGGGGGAGAGGGGCTTCTTCCGGGCGCCGAAGCTTCCCCCATCATAGCGCGTGCCATGGAAAACATGAACGATCGCATTCCATGACACAGCAGCGGAAAGCTGCCGCGCTTCGAGGCCGTTCCGGCCCCTCGGAATAAATGTTTCGAAGAGCCGACTGCCGGGCATGTATCGGAACTCGGAGACGCTGAAAATAAGGTTTGCACCCGGCCTCCCGGGTGGCTCGATCATGTCTCACTTTCCCGAGCGAGGACAACATCAAAAGCCAGACATGACCGTTACCCCTCCGGCTAGCCGTTATGATGTGGGCTGCCTTTATTGAGCGGCCACTATTCCGACCTGCTTGGACGTCAGCCAGCAACATGATCATGTTGTTGACCGTTGTGACCAAGAAAAAAGAAAAAAGAAAAGCCGTTATTGGAACGGTAAACAACTGGTAACCACCTTCCTTTTGCGCGGGACTCGGAATGCATACCCGCATGCGAGAGAGACCAGGTGAATCGGACTCCGCCATGATCTTGCTTCGAGTCCCACAGCGGACTCTCGTCAGCTGTCGTTTTCTCCATGAGCGATATCCTGCAAGCCCCTGGCTGTGCCATCACTATCACCGTTCCTACGAATGCCTTGTTTAGGTAGTTCCCAGAAACGGCTCAACTGCCAACCCCAACCCCCCACACCTTGCCCTGTCTTTTTTTGCTCTCCCCCTGAGGATGCTCGTCCGCAGTGACGCCGACGATACCACAAACAGGGACGCCACAGACAGGGAGACAACAAAACAGGGAGTCATATCCCGACTCTCACCAGGTAAGAAGCACAAGCGAGGGCAAATCCCTTTTTGCTGTTTTTGAACCTTAACAGAGTCTGATATCGTTCTTGGTGGGGGAGCTTCCCCTGACATGGACTGGACTAGGTGAGTAATCTCCGCGTCGTTTGTCATGGTTCTTTATTCTTTCTTTTTCTTTTGGGAACACCGAGCAGAGCACGAGCACAGTCCATCGGTGACTAATCTGCTAGTTTAGAGGCGAGCGTTGAGTATCGTTACATGGCCTGGCCTGCCCCCCACCCCAACGTCAAAATCGTACGATGGTCAACACTGGTGGCCGGAGATCAAGGGATGCGGTGCAACGCTTTCAGCGTTTGCAGTCGTTCCCCCGTCCCGTGACTTCAACCGCACGGACGTATTATCACTTCCCCCTTTTTCCCCTCACCACCATCGATATCAAAAAAAGATACGGCACGGCAGGGCACGGCGGGGCACGGGAGCAAGATATTAGAATCTGACCTTGAGTGCTTGCATCAACCCGCACGCGCAAGACCTGCTCGCGGGTGGTCCGGGGGCACGGGACGGGACGGCTCACGGTCGTGGACCAGGAATGGTAACTGGCTCGCTCTTGCCGCTCGGCCGCGCGCGGTGGACGGGTGAGTGGGTGGATAACTGAAAAAGGCCCTTCCCGCGTTTGAGGGCATCCAAGCGTTCGACGACGAACTATTTGAGTTACTGCTGCTATGTCAGTGTAAAAATATGGCCCGGGGTGGGCATCTCATTCACATCGTGCCGTGGTGATCCTTCCTCAATGATCTGGTTAAAAAAAAGAGAAAACACCCTCGCCGCACCAGGAGAGGGGAGGGAGGGGGACGGTCATGATGAGGATTTGTGCTGCAGATATTGAAACTGCGTCTTCGATGGATTGCTGATTGACGAACTGCTAAAATGGGAGTCGAACAAGTTTCGGAACTCAAGCCGCGAATCATTGAGTTGAAACGACGTCTCGTATCCCTGTCCATGGAATTCTCCGCGTCCCGGGTGCGAGGAAATGTTCCTGTTGGAGGGTTGGGAAAACCGTTTCGTTTTGAGCGGGGCTTATGCCGTGTTCCCGGGCTGGAAGTGTTTCTTTTGTGTTTCTGTTTCTTCGTTTCCCTGTTCGCACGAGCAATTATGCCGTGTCTCTTAACTCTGGGAGGATGAGGTCCTGAGCAAGCCAGCCACAAGGGTAGTCGGGAGGCTCGGAGATGAACTCATCAACCGCAGTCTGCGAGTGACACAAAAGGCAATCAGGGCTTTGTTGAGACATTGACAACAATGTTCCCGATCGCATTGGGTGAGGTAAGGGGGTTGGTAGTGGGACGTATGAGCTCCCGGCTTTGAGGGAACGGCGAAGGAGCCGAGCGCATGGGCCCCTGTTCATATCGTGGGACTTAAGGTTGAGATCCCTGGTTTCCTCGGGGAGATCGCGGCTTCTACGAAGATCCACGACCAGTTTTGGTGTGATGAAGGGCAACGGGGTCCCGGGGCTGGGCAGCCCTTCGCTTAGCAGGACAGTCAAGGGGGTTGGATTGTTTCGCCCCCACCAACTTTCAACTCAAGACGCTCCAGTTCAGAGTCTCCGACATGTCATGTTGAGAGATAATTGTGCGCAGAGATGTGAACTGCGAAGAATTGTCGCAGCTTGATGCAGGTCCCATGTTTGCTGCAAGTGATCAGGCCCTTCGCATGCTCGAGACCTGGTCGAGTTGCTGCAATGCAGCAAGGACACAGTCGATCCACCCAAAGCATCCGAGAGCAACTCAGTAAATGGTACTCTCGGTGACGTGGGGTAGAACCCGAGGTTTCTCTGCGTCTTGTTTTCAGGAGCACCAGCGAGAAATCCGTCTCGGCGCCTGCAGCCTGGCCCCCGTACCGAAATCGGCAAGTCAACCGTTCGGGTGAGTTGCGTGGGCGAACGGGCGGGGTGAGGGCAGTTGCTTCCTGCGCGTCAGTCAGAATTGAGGTACGGAGTGCCGTGTAGTTCTGCCATTCTACTCAGAGTTAGCTCCAGCGCACGGGCAGAGCTTGTTCGAGTAAGCTGAAGATGTCAATACCTTCCCTGACGTTTGAGCGGTGAGCACGAAAGGAGGATTGACTGCAGGAAGGTGGTGGTGAATGCAACCCAACGACGCTCGAAGGGGCGTTCATGACGACCAGAACAGACCGCGAAACCCGGTGAAGGGCGTGGATCACCCAGAAACGTCCAAGTTTGGTTTGCGAACAGCGCTAGGAAACACAGACCCCAACTGCCGGTTTTCGAGCGCGCAGTGTGTGCGTGATGCGGGCCGTCACGCTGGAAAGGTATGTGGTTATGTTGACCTCTTGAGCTTAAAGATCGGACGAAACGCCAAGAACTCATCGCGATAAGCCGTGGTGGGGGGTGGTTTCTGAATGGTGTTGCGGCCCTGAAAACGACCATAACCTCGCCATCCTATTCGTATCGCTAGTAACGCCTTGTGATTGTTGGTCTCCGAGGGTGATGGAAGCGATGGCAGTTTCGAGTCTCGACGTAATGCGGCCTCCCGCCGGGCCACTTTGTGCCCATCCATGAGTTACCGACATGAGAGACGGAGAAGCCAGAGGGGATGGGATCGCACCGCGTCGGTCAGCTGGGCGCACTGGCCTTCGGGGTGCTTCCCATCGCAAAGCAACCCATGTTGTTGCCCAGACTGTTTCGAGAAACAAGGCCGACGGTTTCTCTTGGGCTTCGAATGATTTTGTCTGAACGGCCACTAGCGCCTTGGCTAAGGGCCCACAACTGTTTGAAGCCAACTTAAAGACGAGACTTGTGTATCCCCTTCCTTGTTGTTCCTTGTTGTCGAGGTCTCGATGGAGCTGAGACGCGGCACGTTAGCAATTTGATATATTAAGGTCGCTAGTAAAGGAAGGTTGTCAACATATGACATGGATTGTTGACTTGAGAAACAGGGCATTGGCAGCTGTCGTATTTCTGTTCCCGAGCCGTTGTGGTTGATGAACGGTTCGGGTCTCTCCCCTCTCTCCCAATGGAACTTGGAGACGATGGGAAGGGACCCAGGAGTGCCAGGCTGCCAGGCCGGTTGTGAAGGGCAAAAGGGTCGGAAGGTGCAGTGCTGCCCCTCATTGATTGCTTTGCTGGGAGGTTCCTTCCACATTGTGCGAATGTGGAACGACGAAGTGGCCTGAGGGCACCTTCCAGAATTCTAGAAAAGTCGAATCTTCACACAAAAAAAGAGTCGCGAGGGGCTCACGCGAGTCAGAACACCCTCGTCACACTCTCACCACGCCCGTCTAGTCTCCGGATCCGGAGTCTGCCGCTGTTCTCTTCTTCGCCACCAACTTCATGCATTCTCTCGTTCTCTCCCCCCAGAGCCACTCGCTCTCGCGATGTGGAGAGAGCAGCATCATGCACATCAACTGCATCAGCTAGGGTAGGGCTGGATGGTGGGATGCTGTCTCGTGGTCGTCTCCTTGTCTGGACAGTCCTTCGTACATGCTGGTTGATACCAATCGGACCATGAATGACGACAAGCAGGCCCTGTCCGTGAAGCCCGGGATTTCTCTTGCGCATTGCGTAATGAAGAAATCGTCGTCGTCCTGCTTCTCCCGGCCTCGCACCAATTGGCTGCTCGAAACAAAACGGTCGAAAAATCGAGACGTCCGTGCGATCTGTCAAGCCCCCGTGCTTCGGGCGGGCTCGGGCGATAGTTGCTCCACTGTTGAAGATTCACGACATGCTGGCTGATCAGTCTGGCTCTCGAGCCTCTTGATGGATGCGGGGTTAACGAGGGCTCTGCGGGTTCTGTGTCCAACAGCGACACCAATATCCGGCTCCTTTTCGCCGGTGATCTGCAACCCTTGCGAAGCACGAAGTCTGAATCTCTTCGGAAGTTTGGTGAATCTCAACGCTTGGACCACAGGTCGATCTCCCGGCTGCTGCTGGAGAAAGGTCTCACAAAACCACCGGCTGTCACTTCTTCGTCACTCCTCTCCACTATCATCGGCACACAAAGCCTCGATCCATCGAGCATCGAGCTTGGACCTGTCCGTCCGTCTTGCTTCATCCCGTCCTGCGGGCTGCACTTCTCATCAACACAGTTGCCCTGGCCGCCTGCACCATCCCTCGACCTGCAGAGGCAGGATGCACCCCAGCTTCAACCAAGGCCTCTTGATTTAGCCAAACGACAGCCATTGGTCTGTGGGTGGGGGTCGGCTGCAGGCGTTGTTGATATGGACAGGCGTGGATGCGGAACCCCCTGCCGCAACTATCCCTGACCGGGACGTCTCTCCATCCTTGGCCGGCAGGGGTCACTGACCAGGGCCGGACATCACTCAAAGCGGTCTTAGCGGTTTCATTGTGTTCTCCTCGTGCAGCTGCTTCTCACCTTTCGGTCCTGTTACAGCATGCTCCCTCAGCGCGAGCCATTCCCATCTCGGCTGCATCTCCATGATCCCAAGCACCCCACCAGACGCCCCAGACATGGCTGTGCCTCCGAACAAAGAAAGCCCCGTATCAAACCCCCCGGTTGTGTTGCCCTCCCCGAGGCGAGGTTCCCTTTCAAGCTGCCCCAACACGCCCCAGCCAGGGACATCGCCCACCGGCAACGGGCTCCTTGCTGGCGGTACAATCTTGCATGGGAGCACATGGCTTCTCCATGGATCCTCCCTCTGCAACCCCCCCTGTCACATGGCTTCCCTCTCGCCCCTGATGGGCAGGGCTTTGAACCTCTGAGAACCCACATGAGCCCGGCCTGCATGTACTTGTAGCAGCCGGCTGGGAAGGGCTCTCCTCGCCCGGATTTGCAAACCTCAGAGTATATATCCTCACCACAGCCTCTGGCCTATCAGCCGGCCGGTCCGCGCGGGAAGCTTAAAACGCTCCCTGGCCCTTATCCGCACCACAACTCCCGGGCCAGCGAAAACCATTTATCTCTTACACGGACCCTACCCTGCGTCCGCCCCAATGGCTCACATTGCCAACTGCCTGGAAATGGACCAGGAGGACCTCTCGATTGGTCTTAATAATTATATAGCCGCAAAGACTGTCACCGAGGAGTCCAATGAGCTGGTACGCAACCACTTATGTCCCGCCTTCCGCTGTTGGCCAAAGCTTACCATTGTGCTGCAGTTGGGTAGAGCATCCCCTTCGGGTGATAAGCCGTTTGCTTGGAGAATGCAACACCCAGAACGAAAATATCAACTTTTCCCAAGGGATAAACAGACGGCTGCCGCCCCAGGGAAAGCACTAGATCCAGAGCAGGCTCAGGTATACGCCTTGACCAGGAATCAGAACGGCGAAAAGAGCGAGAAGATGGCTCTGAACCTGAGGGTCCGAATCAAGGAGCGCGAGATGCGTAAGCGGAAGATCAGCGTCTCGGATCTCGGTCCGTTGACGACGGTACAGGAAGCTGCCATGGACTCCCGTATGTTCATTGCTTCTTTCGCTCTGTTCAGTTTGTGACTGACATCCGCTAGCTACCATCCCAGGACGACCACCCGTCCATGAGCGGTCCATTAGTGCGCCGGGAAGCTCGTGGAAGCCGTATTCCCTCGGCGACTGCATGACCTCAGGGAGGACACGAACGCCAGAGGAGAGGCCCGAACTTCGATCAGCTTACAGGAGCAATGAGGAGCTACAACGGCCCGAGGTCGAACCCCGACAGCCGCTGTCCCCGAAGAGTCTGACGCCACTTGTCATACCAACCTCCAACCCCATCGCCCCCCACCTAGCACGGAGAGTGTCTATTAGTCGACTCCGGTCCGGCAGCACCCCCGTCGAGGGCCAAACCCGCAGCGCCCGGGCTGACGATTCTCCGCGGGCACGGACACCCTTCACCCCAGTTTCTGCCTCATTGACCACACCCAGATCGGCCGCGACGACGGTCATGACGGCCTCGACATTGCCTACCCCGATTTCCGCTCCGGCGGACCACCGGGAATCCCCTAGGCCATGGGAGAAGTCGACAAACCCCGCTGCAACGGCCGCCTCGAAGGAGACCGTCCCTGAACGCGCAATCACACCCAACGACCCGTTACAGAGCCTCGCCCATGGGCATAGGAGGAACCAGTCGGAGTCGGACAGCATGATCAACAGGGGAAGGCCGCCCAGGCGACTCGAAGTCTGCGCCGGTCCGACAACTTTGAAACGGAGTGGTTCGAAGAGGAACAAGAGCTCAGAAGGACATACAATCGAGCAACTTCCGAAGGGGTGGAAAGCAAGTGACGCTGTCAACATAATGAGCCCACAAGAAGTTGCTTCGCTGCAAAGACAGGCCCTCCAGCAAGCGGCACGGTTTGAGGTTCTCAGGAAAGAGGACGTTGATAGTCTCTCACGGGTTCGTATGCTCAATACTGGCTTCATTGAAACACTGCTAACTCGATACCCAGGAACTTCGCCTCCTCGACGAACGTACCGACTACCTCCGCCATACGTACACCTCACTCCGGTCAGGGAGACGAAACCTCCACTCTCGTATCTGCCAATATCTCCGATCCCCGCGTACAGCCAAATTTAGCCACGAATCCATCCTCAAGCAGGAGGAAGCTCTTGCGGAGCTCGATACCTCGATCGACGAGTGGGTCAGCAAACTCGAGCATGCCGAGAACCGACGCACCAGGGTCCGCCAGAAGCTGCTCGAGCATGTTGCTGCTGCCGTTACTTTGGGTGCCCCGACCGGGAGCGTGGTGGGAGTCAGCGAGAGCTTGCAATTTGCCCTTGGTGTTGTTCGGCCCCATAACGCCGAACTCTCCACCCCGCCCCGGAGCCCCGTCAAGACTTCCTTTACACCCGCCGCGCCATCTTCCTCTTCTTCACCGCATCGGGCTCAAGTGCCCTCCACAATCCTGGAGCAACCCCTGTTTGAGGAGGCCGCCGCCATGGATACCAAAGAAGCCGAGAAGGGGGCGGCTCTTCGCCGAGCTGAAACCATTCGTGTCTACGCGGATAACGACGTGTACGCTCTCCTAGCGGATGTGGAGGATACCATCACCAAAATGGGCAGTTCCGAGACCCCGGCTAAGGACAAGGACTCTTGCGCGCCACTCTCGGAGGCGGAACGGCGAAAGCTGTGCCGCACCCTCAGCCATGATGTCCTGAGTGGTGGCTCTCTCGCGAGAAAACCCCTGCCCATCTCCAAATTGGCTGAGAAGCCGTCCTCCTCGTCGCTATCTTCCTCGTCGTTGCCTTCCACCAAAACCCCACCTGCCAGTGAACCAGCCACCGGCGAAGTTTTCCTCACCAGTGCCGTTTTCAAGCCTTGAAGGCGATTATTTAACGCGCTGGCATATTCTTTCATATTCTCACGGCCTTGACTAGACGTCCTTCGATTTTATATTTCTCTTATCGTCACGACGCTCAAGTTCCTTTCGGTATCAGCACCATGCTGCGGCTGGCCACATACCATCATTCTAATTCGACTCATTTCTTGATTCATCTCAACTTTGAAGATACCCTTCTCGTCATTCATTCAACTGCCATCTTATCTTATTCATTAACTCTTTACTTTCTTTTCTCCCCCATCGACTCTTGGTTATTTGCCATCATCGATCTATCCACATGCTCTGCATTCTTTCCTTTTTCTCTTCTGTACATTGTATTTTAGCATTCCCCCGGGGCACGGCGTTGTCGGCGGCAACTTTTCTTCTATCTTTGGCATAAAAGCTTCATCTATTCTGACGCTGTCACGGCCGAAACCAATACCAATGATATCCCAGTGCGCGGGCAAAAACGGATCGGCGAGATACCAATGATACCAACGACCGGTTACCTTTCATCTTTTCTTTCTTTTCTCTACCAAGCAATCAATCGTGAGCTCGGTTAACACTGCAAGGATATGGCTGGGTGGGAGGGAAAGGAGAGATGGGGTTGACGAGGTCGCGGGACATGCAGAAATGTTGTCCCGCAACTGAGGTCGACGGCGTAAAGGGGGGGAGTTGGGTGAAAAGTTGGTGGCATGAATGTACCTGTAATTATTATGATAGTACAGTTATGGGAACTGAAATTATACGATAACCTCATCTATTGTTGTTTCCTTTAATGCAAGTACGTACACACAGCCCGCTCGATCCCCATATCACCTCCTTTTTTTCACACACAACATACATGCCCTCTCCCACTCCCGCTACACGCTCGACTCGCCCCATGATGTGCGTGCCGTGACAAACGAGAACCCTCTCTCCGGCCATACCACGGAGCAAACGTCGACATCCCCTCTCCCCCACTCACTCCTCCCTCACAACTACACAGTACACACAGACAACTCAAACTTCTCACCACATTATTCCCGGCCCCTCCGCACGTGCTCGGCACCCCTCTTTCCCGCCCCCGTAGGACCCCTACGCCGCGGACATCTGCCCGCCGCCCCCTCCCTTCAGCCTCTTCAACCCGCCGGCCTTGGCGGTGTCTCGTCCCGAGTCATGCCCAAAACGAGTCAATCACGTCAACTTTCGTGTCTCAGATCTCGCCACTGCTGAGACTCCAACGGCGCCGGTCCCGGTTCCGGTTCGGGCTCTATCTCCGCCCTACTATCTTCTTTCTCCTCACTTTATCACTTTTTGCCTCGGCCTCGGCCTCGGCCTGGGCTTTGGGGGGGGTTGGGTTTGGCAGCTGACTGATGAGTAAACCACGCCATGTCGGCGAAGTTCGATACGTACCTACCTACCTCCTTCGTGCCTTACGTACCCCAGCCGGCAGTTGAGGGCGGGAAGCAGGGGTCGCGGCGGGATGGCAGATCGGGCTGGGCCGGGGCTTGTAAGGGTCATCATGTCCCGCGCCGGGTGTTGGGATAGCCGGCTTTGGGCCCCGGTTCCGCTGTCACTGATAGCCGTAGGGGCCTGCATGTGAATGTACCTATGATGGATGCTTAGGTACCTATGTGGGCGCTACTACCTACCTATGTAGGGGCGATCCGCATAGGGCGCGGTTGCGCACTCTCTAGCACTCCCGAGTAACTGACTACTACTTGTAGATGCTTGCTCCTACGCAACAATACGAGGGGATACTTCACCACCTTGAGAACCAGCTGCCGAGGAGGCGACCGGGAAATGTCCCCGGCTCCGCACCTGCCGGAAGATACTGGCTGCTCCATAGTAGGCTCCGTTTACATCTGCGATGGACAATCGACGCCGAGTCAGCTCGGTGGATAGCTGTGGTCTAAGCACGAGGAGTGGCGAAGGTATCAATGGGCCCATGGGCACGATGGGGTAGCGGGATGTCTGGTCGTCTTCGGGATACCCCGGTTATTCGAGCGGCTTGGGAAGCTCAGCTACGGAGATATGGACGAGCTTGGATTAAGCTTTGAGATCAGACGGTTAGGGCATCGTGCCACCGTGCCACCCCAGGCGTGGAGACTGTAACCCCCGTGCCCCCCATCCGCGGCTCCGCTCTGGGGAAGTCATGGAGCAATGGGTACGGGGACTGTCATGAATATGGTCTAGATGTCGATCATGTGCGGGATTTTATTGGGGATTGAGTCGTGAAAGAGACGAGTCAAGGGGTGGGCACATGGTGGGCTAACAGAAGAGTCAAGCATGGTGGCGGGAAGAGAGGGTCTCGCCGGGGAGAACTCGGGCATTTCTGGGAGCCGGATATCGCGGCGTTGAGAGGTGAAGCTACACCGGGACCAACACGAGCGATCTAACAGGTTAATAGCTGCCGTGCCCCATTCGTAACCCGCCACCTGAAACACACGAACGGGGAAAGTCGTTGTTTCCCAGATAAGCACACGGGGCAAGCTCTAAGTCAGCTCGAGCGCGGGGAACAGCGACTCAGGTGCCCGACCTTCCTTTCGCACTCGCCTCTCCTCCTCGAATTCTTCGATGGGATCGCTGCTGTAGTTGGGGAGAGCCCGGATATCAGCCCGGCCATCGTTGGCCCGCTTCTTCGGCCGACCTCTCCTCCTCTTAGTAACATTGATGGATCCAACACCATATTCTACGATGCGTCCTGGTTGCGGCAAATTCAAACGGCTACCGATGAAGAGTTTGGGTTGACTGAACCGAAACTGCTCCGCTGTGTCGCTTGTCTCACTGGGGGAGACTTTAGAATGGGCCGGGGCAACCGCCACCGAGGTTGCCATCGAAGGGGCGGCGGCATGTGACTCCGAAGCGCTGATGTCCGCCTGTTCGGGGGACCCAAACTCGTCGCTCTCTGAGGTATTGATGGTGATGTCGATCTGTGACGGACTGCTGGTACCCGCGTTGACCACGACGCTAGGGGGTTGGAAAGAAACATCAGAGTTGTTTCGTGGTCCTTCTAGTTCTGTTTCGGCCAACGACGGGCCATATGTGACTTCTTGGCTTGAAGGTGCTCCAGCTGAAGAGTAGGCTTCTCTCGAATCGGAACCGGACGTCTGGCGGTCTTGGGTGTAAAAAGGGAGAGTGCCGATCGTTGCAATGTTGCTGTCCTCGTCCGACTTGAAGTTGTTGCTAGGTGAGACAAGAGTGTTTGATGGTTGCAGACTCCGCACTGCGTCGTGTTTGGCTTCCTCAAACGCCGCCTTGCCGATTTCGTCACTGTTCTCATCGCCGAATACGAACGTCTTCCAGGCCTCATCGGAGTTGATTTCGCCCGCCGATATGCAGGCTTGCGGAGCAGTAGGCGGAGACTGAGAAGATGAGTTATCGTCGGACACGCATGCAGGGTTTAGGACATGCCCCACGCAAGTAACAACTCTACCTTGCCCCCGAATATTGATTCCAGCCACCATGTTGTTTTCCCGGCTGGGGCCAGAGGTGGAGACAGGCTGTATTTCTTCTCCTCGGCTCTCGACGGTATCCGTAGATCGATCTGCCCTATTTCCGGCATGGCTTCCGACCGGCGGGTTTTGAGAGACAAGGATGTCAAGCCGTTCTAGCCGTTGAAGCCGGGCGACGAGCTCCTCGTAGCGGTTTAGGATCTCCGAGGAGTCACTCGAGCTGAGCAGTTTGTTGAGGTCCCGAAATTCACTAGCGCTTGTATTGTCGGGCCCACCCGCCGTGAACCCATTTAACGGTGGCAAGGATGGAGGTGAGTCTTGAGGTTTTCGCTTGGGTCGCGGAACCTCGCTAACACCGGGGCTAACTCTATGCTCGATGGAAGTTCGACTCCCTTCAATGGCAACATGGCTACTGACGGGGCTGCTCGGCTGGCCAACCCATTCGTGCCATTCGAGATTCTCGGCCTTCTGGGAAGATGGCACCGGAGATATGGCCCGACCAACCTGTGCGATGGCAGTGCCGGTGTTTTCGGAGTCGAACCGATCGAAGTGGTAAAACGATTCGGGTACAGGCCGTATCGAAAGTGGGTGGGAGAGTGGAGGGAATGAAGTCCAGATGCGCCCCTCGGCATCGCTTGAGATGCAACAGCGTTGTTCTCTTTCACTCTGGTTACTCGATGGCTCTCTCATAGGTAGTACAGACCGTGGGAGCTCATCGCCCGGGGGTAGATGGCTCGCAACTAAGTTAGTAGGGTGTTAGTAGCACATATTCGCAAGAAATATCACACTGGTCATACCATGCTTGTCTCTCAGGCCGGACGGTGTGTGTTGGCGATTAGGCTCAGCCTCAGAGCCACGGGCGGAGTTCGTGGGCTTCGATCTAGTGATGCTAGAGGTCTCTCCTGGCCGTTTCTCCTGGCTCCCAATCTGTATTATCACATCCTCCCGGCGAAGGGGATACGCATGCTGCTTCCTGCGTTTTACCACCAGCCCATCGCCAACGATGTGAGATCGTCTTTTCTTAGTCCCCTGTGACCCTGCAGGAGGGCTTCGCTCTTGTGACTTGGTACTTCGGGGCTTTTTGGCTGAAACCGACAGTGGCTCGCGAATGGTCCTCTAGTCCTTCGCGAGCAACTTCTGCCTCATCCGCTCCAGGGCCTCCTCGTCATATTCAACCTGGGGGCTAGGGACAGCTTGCCCGCCTGTTCCTTCTTGAAAGAAGCGACTGATGGTAGGTAGAGAAGTGTCGTCTGTTGTTACTGTCGCCTTATGCCGTTTCTTTCCCGGCTCCGCTCTCCGCCGGCTAGGCGTTAATGAAGCCCGTCGTCCAGACGAGGAGCCAGACCTGTTAGAGGCATGGGAGCGTTGAGACGACGGGGGATCAGAATGTTGAAGAAACGAGATGGGAGGGGGACCGTTCTCTTCTGCGACTTTCTGTTCCGCAGCTCGAGCTCGAGCGCGCGCGAAGTATTCCTTCTGGCGTTGGCGAGCCGGGTTTATCTTGCGCAGCCGGCCGCGGTTGTGGCGGTAGAGGTTGCCCTCGGTCCAGTTCATGCCGGGCAGTTTGCGATGTTTTGGAGGTAGATTGGGTTATTTTGGGGCCAGACCGATTCATCATCGATCAATACTCCTGAGCGAGATACCCGAGTGTTGAACTGTGAACCGGAAGCATCCCGGACACTCGGGTGTGGTCTCACCTCAAGTGTCAAGTGGGGGATGGAATTGCATTGCGAGAAATGAATTTTCGAACCGAATCTCATAGATCCTGGTCGTTCTTGCCCACCCGATCTCACAGGGAAGCCTACGACGAGGAGCACCTTCCATCACTGATTGAAGAGATGGTGTCAAGATGGATGGCGGCTAGCGGCGGAAGGAACGAACCGGCCCGAGCCGGGTCCCACTTTAAACTCCAAAGGCCCCGCGCCGACGACCTCCGAACCCGCAACCGACCCGGAGCAACCTTCAACCCCAACCCCGCTTTCCTCCGCCATGCGAACACAAGCTTGGAGGACATTCCGCATCCTCTCACGATCTATCACTCGGCCGTCCTATCGCCAATCCATCTCAAAACAGCCACTCCCGCCGTCAACCTCCCTCCTCTTCCGCACAATGGCGTCATCAACAACCACCCCCCACCCCCCCGGTCCTCAAGCAGCCCGTCAAGCTCGCGTGCGTGCAACTCGCCTCAGGTTCCGACAAAGCCGCCAACCTGACGCACGCCGCGGCCAAAGTACGGGAAGCCGCCCAGGCCGGCGCCAAGATCGTGGTCCTCCCGGAGTGCTTCAACTCCCCCTACGGCTGCGACCACTTCCCGTCCTACGCCGAGGAGCTGCTCCCATCGCCGCCCACACCCACCCAGTCACCCTCCTACCACGCCCTCTCAGCAATGGCGCGCGACAACGCGGTCTACCTAATCGGCGGCTCCATCCCCGAGCTCTCCACCTCCTCACCCGACACCAACACCACCACCACCAAAAAGACCTACTACAACACCTCCCTCACCTTCTCCCCGACAGGCACGCTCCTCGCCACCCACCGCAAGATCCACCTCTTCGACATCGACATCCCGGGCAAGATCACCTTCCGCGAATCCGACGTGCTCTCGCCCGGCAACCAGCTCACCATCGTGGACTTACCAGAATACGGACGGGTCGGCGTGGCCATCTGCTACGACGTGCGGTTCCCCGAGCTGGCGACCATCGCGGCGCGGCGCGGCTGCTTCGCGCTGGCCTACCCGGGCGCCTTCAACCTGACGACGGGCCCGCTGCACTGGGAGCTGCTGGCGCGGGCGCGCGCGGTCGACAATCAGCTGTACGTGGCGCTGTGCAGCCCCGCGCGCGACCTGGCGGCCGGGTACCATGCGTGGGGGCATAGCATGGTGGTGGATCCGATGGCCAAGGTGTTGGTGGAGGCTGGGGAGGGGGAGGGGGTGGTGGTGGTGGAGTTGGATGGGGGGAGGATTGAGGAGGCGAGGAGGGGGATTCCGTTGAGGGATCAGAGGCGGTTTGATGTGTATCCTGATGTTAGTCGGGTGCAATGAGTGGGTGGTTGGGTGTGGATGGGGGGTCTGTAACGGATGATGGCGTGTATGTGTGTGTATGTATGGATGTGTGTGCTGCTATCGCCCGTGTTTCACTTTCTCATTTTGTGATGAATCGACGCATGAATTGGGAGGGAGGCTGGTCTATTCCGGGGTTTGCTCTTTATCCAGATGTTGGGAGAGCCTGTGTGCCCCATTTATCCCAGTGGCAGTTTATCCAGCAAGGAATGGTCGTCGTCTATCCCGCTTTTCCAGCAGCCTATCAGTTTAACATCATCCCCGTGCTTGCCGCAGCCCCTTTTTTTCATCCGAGCCTCCCTCCTTCCAAGGCGCAAAACCCCGGGCGTCCTTTCAGTCCTTTCCCCCGTCAAGCTGGCGAACCGCTCATTCCAGGGCCTCCTGGGCAAAGGTGGGAAGGATGAAGCTGGCCTTGTGGATGTCGGCGTTGTAGTACCGGCACAGCTTGCGCTCCTCGTCCTTGCTCCACGAGCGGACGGGCAAGCGCACGTTGCGGTTGGCGTCCTTGCAGCAGACCATGAAGCCGATCTGGCCCGAGGGGTAGGTGGGGATGGTGGTGTAGGCGTACTCGGCCACGGGGAAGATCTCGCCGCAGTCCTTCTTGAGCTTGGTGATCAGCGGCAGGTGGAGCCATTGGTTCTCGGCTGCGTTGCGTAGTCAACGTGTTAGTCGGTCTATCCATCCAGTTCAGGGGTATTGACAGTAAGAGTGGAGAGACGGATAGAGGGGCAAAGAGAACCCAGGAAACAGGGAATGTGGGAATGTGTTTGGAGATGAAAAAAGTGAAAAGGGGTAAATCGTGTGTGAAGAAGTGATGACGTGACAAAAGCAAGGAGGAAATTCGTGTCAGGGGAAAGCCGAGACGAACTACCACTCGGTAGCCTCCTGAGAGATGACACAAGGCTGGATCAGGGCATGTTTGCGCGCCTGGCCCGGAGAAAGAGGGCATTCCTCCCAGGTCTCGACTTTCTTCGAGTAAATGAGACATACAACCTTGGGTGGTGATAACGCCGCCCTCGCGGAGGGCATCGTGGAGAAGCTTGAAGTAAGGCTTCTGGAAAAGAGACTCGGCGGGACCCTCGGGGTCGGAGGAGTCCGTGATGATGACATCAAAGGTGTCCTTGTAGTCGTCGAGGAACTTGAAGCCGTCGCCAATGTGGACCTTGACCTTGGGGTGGTTGAAGCCGGCCGACATGTGGGGAAGGTACTGCTTAGAGAGGCGGATGACGGCCTGGCACGTGTGAGCGGCTGACATATTCAAGACTTGACTTCAGGGGGCTTCATCCAGCATACCTCATCAATGTCGCAGAGGGTGGCCTCCTCGACACACTCGTGCTTGACGACCTCGCGCAGGACACCGCCATCGCCGCCGCCGATGACGAGGACCTTCTTGGGGTCGGGGTGCGAGTTCATGGCCAGGTGAGTGATCATCTCCTGGTACGAGAACTCGTCCCGCTCGGTGCACTGGATGACATTGTCCAGGACCAGCACGTTGCCGTGGTTGGTGGACTCGAAGATCAGGACGTCCTGGTACTTGCTCTTCTCATGATGCAGCACCTTCTTGACCCGGAGGGTCATGGCCTGGCCTGCCAAGAGTTTAGCATAACGGGTGCTTATGGATGCGCGGCAGGTGAGGTGTCATTGTTTACTCACCGGGCCACATCTCGGAGATCTCGCGGAACCACCCATCTGTAAGCCACCCGGGATTTGGTCAGCAAACGTACTCATCATCGACAGCCGAATGCACCGCCGGTAAACCAATGCGGAAGTTTCAATCGCAGGCAGATGGTCTGAAAGTATTATTGGGCCAGGCGTCCAACTACCACCCTCCGAGGCTGCCCGTGTGAGGCGCAAGACACGGCTGAGCAGGTTCGTGTTCGGGGGGTTGTGGTAACACCGGCGCGTAATGAAGCCGTTCAATTCCGAAAGCTGCCAGCCTGCATTTGCTTGGGGGGGAAAACGGCGCAGAACTGAAAATCGGCATTCCAGCAGTGCCGGTTGTGCCGCCAAACTACCGGAGCAGGTGATGCTTGAGGGGGTGTTGCCGACATCGACAGTGCTGTCGTTGGGGGATGGCGGGGTATTTGTTTAACCATCGACCCCGCGATGGACCATGGAGGGACGCGGAAATTCACTGAAAGCGGCAGTAAAACATACCCTGGATGGTAGCGTGTGTAATGTCACCCATTTTTCGAATTTGGCTGAGACGCAGGTAATTGAGGATTTGGTGAGGCGGCTTGGAGAGGAGACGCCGTGAGTAGAACAGAGCCAACTTGAAGATGAGCCAGTGAGGTCGGTCAAGGCGGGGTAAAAGTTTGTGTGGACGATCTTTTTTATCATGAACCAACCCCTCGAACAGCAAAACAAGTGCGACTTGGAATTGTGCAGAAATTTTCCTCGGTCCCGCCGTCCCGCCGTCGCCCTGAAGCCGATTGCATGAGCGAATAAGAACGTGGTAAACCTAAAAGTCGGGACCAATGATGCCCAAAAGGTGGAGAGCCGGTCGGCGTGTATTCCAGAGCAGTTCTGTGCGCAAGTCCAAAAGCTACGGCTACAGAGTCACCTACGAAGTAGTCGACGGAACCGATTAATCTCAGCATTACCTCCTCGGCAGCAACACGGCTGCCTCTCGCGATATTCGCTCGAGTTACTGCGCAAGGGTGTTTGGGAAGGGGGGGGGGGGGGGGGGGGGGGGTTTGAAGACAAACCCCGGTGCAATGCTCACGGCCCAAAGCATCTCATCCCGGCTGCGGTGACAAACCGGTCGGTCCGCCGCGGCCTCGGAACGGACAGCGCCCGGCCGTCGGGTCCCAGAGGGTCGGTGCTGAGTTCGTCAGTGAGGTGGTTAGCGCTGAGGTCAGCGGGCGATCATGCTGGCGTTACGTTGGAGACGTTGGAAGTAACCCTCGGGCGCCTACGAGTGCCGGCAACCAGGGCGATATAAGTGCTAATAAGGAGATCGATGGACCACGAACGGAGCCGTTCGAGAACATGTCATGTTCCACGCGCGTTGCGAAGCCCGCGCGGTTGATTACGCGTCTAGTGGGTGAAAGCTGCGATGAGGCTTTTCGGCAAGGCGGCTGGCATGCTCGCGATTTGTCGGACTTGATGTCGTAATGGAATCGTTGGCAATGCCTCCTCGCCCACTGACGGCGGTCTCTTGGTCAGCAGCCTCATACGAGTGCATGTGAGGAGTCGCCTCTCGGGTTGAGAGATAGCGAGTGTCCCAAATATCGGTATTTATCATGGTAGTTGATGGGTGTTCCATTTCTGCGACGGCGAGCTTCATCAATGCCCCACCACATCTGCCGCTCCAGCCCTATTTGCGGAATGGCGCCGCGTGAAGCACCGTGTCGATCTATCTTTCCCCTCCGCTGTCTCGCCGACGCTATGGCATCTCGAACGCTCGAGGCGTCCTTTCGGAGAACCAACTAACATTGTGTCAAGTGCGTGTAATCTGTAACTAACTTCCTAGTTTCGGCCTTAGCCCATTCTGGAAGTCGATCAGTGCCATCTTGGTAGGGTAGGCTTGCGAGCGCTCAGTCGGAGGGAAATATGGGAAATAAAGTGCAGAGAAAGCAAAGAGTCCTGCTCGCCTCGGCTGAATCGAACATCGCGCTGCTGCATGGCGTTACACCACAGCTGCTCCGCCTTTCCCGAGAGGCGCAAGAAAACCGCGTGGCGATAACAAGAGATCGAAAGGCAAAAGAGTTCGCAGCCAATCGCCCCTGTTTAAGGCCGTCTGGAGTCTGCGCTTCGGGGAATGCAGGTCTTTGAAGGAAGAGTCCGCGATTGGACGAAGGAAAACCTCTTGTCTCTTGTCGGTCGAGTGAAGATGCAAGATCTCCAAGAACATGGGGGGTTTTCCCGGGAATAGGGGTAAAACATGACCGACCCGTGGAGAGGGAATTCGCAGGGCGGGACTCTAACTATTTTCCCATTGCCGAAACTAGGGTATGGAGAGCTGTGAAAGGTGCCCCGACAGTTTGGAGAGAGACACTCGCGATGCATGTATGTCCCCCTCCTCTCACGTTAGTTAGGTAGGTATCTTTCTCACCATCATAAGATGCGGCCAAAAGTGCCGCCTTCGTACGTGTATTTACAATTCGGAAACGCCGTTTGCCGTGTCGAGATTTCCATGTCGCGGAATGACACCAGACCCAAATGTCCAGGGATTGAGGGCGGAGCTAAAAAAGACCGCGAGGCGATGGAACCCTATCATGAAACTGAAGCTAATTCGGTTGTGATCGACCACTTCCGCCGTTGGGGACCCGCGTGGGCGGGAGAACCCGAGGGCGCGCTTCCAGTCAAGAAGCTGAGAAGAAAGCTTCTTCGGTTTGTGAGCCCCGAATCGGCTTCGCACGGTGACGATGCGGCTGGCTGTAACGGTTTGAGGGTTGGGCGGGAATTCGCACTTTCGAAGCTGCGCCGAAACGGAAGAAAAAGCGTGGGCCTGGGGATGGAGAGACATGGACGGAAACGCAGGGTGAGGCGGCCCCACATCAAGGCACCCATGCTATCCACGGATGCTTGCCGCAGGAGTCCGCAGGAGGAGCCCGCCGGGCAAGGGCCTTGAAGAAGCCTGCAGGGCAGTGGCATGGATGGTTAGGTTCAATGGCGCGCAGCAGAGCAAATAATCAAGACAAGAGGGTCGGTTGCACCTGGCCGGTTCTGCGCCCCAGAGCCACCGTTATTGACCCGAAGTCCATGTAACCCACAGTTCTTTTGACCTGTCGAATCTTCCCGTTGTTTGATACTTTTCAGCCGACTCGCCTTTTCGTGCTTCGCCGCCCGAAACTCACATATAGCCAGGCCATTTCCCTCAGCCGTACCGGGCCCCTTCATGCTCCGCCTCGCCTTCCGACTCGTTTGATCCCCACTACACGCCCGCCTCGCCGACGCGACGACGACCGATTCGAAGCTGCGCACAGGAGAGGAAAAGCCACCAATTCCGGATGGAGTAGCGAGGAGGCATTACCGGAAATACCTACCGCAGGCGACATTGCATTGGCACCGTTCGGTCCGTGGCAGACCCTGGCATAGGTAGTTGCCAAAAACCGAGCTTTCGGAGAGGTCCATCGAGGTGCTCCGATAGTTGGCTGGTGTCGGGCGTTTCAAAAAGTTTGCCGACAGAGGTCCTCCCTAGAGCCCTTCTCCCCTCAGCTGCCCCGCCACCACCAAGAAGTTCGCCCGCCGAAAGCTCCGCACAGCGGGCATTTAGCGACGTCAGCGACCATCGTCGGATTTCCCATTATTCAACTCGGATTCCGATTTGCCCATATCGTTTGCGGTTTCCGACTACTACCGCCACCATGTGTTTCGGGGGTCGCGAAAAGACCGATGAGACGGGCGTCGCTCGGTCGCGCGAGCTTGACAAGGTCATTCGTGCCGACGAGAAGCGCATGTCCAAAGAAGTGAAGCTTCTGCTTCTAGGTACGAATCGGCGTCTCGGTTGGCGACAGGGCCAAACAAGCTGACCTTTTGCTTGCACAGGGGCCGGAGAGTCCGGAAAGTCGACAGTCCTCAAACAGATGAAGCTCATCTATGCGCAAGGCTTCAGCAAAACGGAGAAGATGGAGTGGAAGCCCGTGGTGTTCACAAATATCCTCCAGTCGTTCCGCCTAATCTTCGATGCGATGAACGACGCGGGTATTACTTTCGAAAACCCGGATAACGAGGTAAGCTACTGCGGCCGCTGGCCCACGGCCGGCCACATCTTCCCGAACCGATACTGACTGGCCGCCTGACAGAAAAACATGGCCCAAATGATGGTCGACTACGAGATGACGGCGCACGAGCCGTTACCAGAGGAGTACCTGGAACCCGTCAAGAAGCTCTGGGTGGATGCAGGCATCAAGAAGGCCATGGAGAGGGGCAACGAGTATGCCCTGCACGACAACCTGGATTAGTAAGTGGTAGCGGTACCTTGGGCGGAACTGTCAAGGCTGACATGCATCAAGCTTCTGCGACGACGTGGAGCGCATCTGGGATAAAAACTACGTTCCGACAGACCAGGATCTGCTACGATCGAGGTTACGGACAACCGGCATCACCGAAACCGTCTTCGACCTGGGTCAGCTCACATACCGCATGTTCGACGTCGGAGGCCAACGGTCAGAACGGAAAAAGTGGATCCACTGCTTCGAGAACGTCAACTCCCTGATGTTTCTCGTGGCCATCTCTGGGTACGATCAGTGTTTGGTTGAAGATAAGGATGGCGTAGGTGCTCCCCGATCTCTCCGGCGCGGGAAGAGAAGGCTGACATGGTGTGCCGCAGAACCAAATGAACGAAGCCCTGATGCTGTGGGAATCCATCGCCAACTCACACTGGTTCGCCAAGTCGGCGCTCATCCTCTTCCTCAACAAGATGGATCTCTTCAAGGAGAAGCTCGCCAAGAGCCCGATAACAGACCACGGCTTCACCGACTACCACGGGCCACCGCACGACTGGGACAAGGCCAGCCAGTACTTTATGGACAAGTTCCGGGCACTAAACCGAAACCCGGACAAGGAGATCTATGGCCACTTCACGAATGCCACCGACACCAACCTCCTCAAGATCACGATGAGTTCCGTGCAGGACATGATCATCCAGCGGAACCTGAAGCAGCTTATTCTGTAAGAGGCGATATTTGCATGCACCCACGACCTCCTGTTTTTCTCCCCCCCCTTGGGGACGCGCGCGGATCCCCCCTTGTTGTAAGCATCCAGTGCGGACTGCTCACGGGGCACGGTTGCATAAAATGACAGCCGGTCCCTTCCCTTTCCTCACATCTCACTTCCTTTTAATCCTGCTTTTTATGATACCAAAAACGTTATGTTACCTTGCATTTCAAAGTGGCGCCTTTCCTAACCTTGGTGACTTGATGATAGGGTCTGATTGCACCGAGCCCGCCCTGCACCCCCCTCGTCGCGAGGACCGCTCACAGGGGGCCTATCCCCTGTTTTTGTTCGTTGTATGTATATTATACCAGCAGGCGGGGCAAAGTTACCTCTTCTTTTCTTCTTTTCTTTCTTGCCGGCTTCGTTTACCCTGTCTATATATACCTTAAACCTTACTACTATGGTACGGTCTCGACGTTTCTCAACAAAACCCGGCAACGGACCGCACCGAAACCGACGAGCTTCGACCCTCTTTCGTTCTCATTTCATTCATTTTGTGTTGGAGTATGGCTGAGTTATACTGTGGTACGGTACGGTTCTCTTTGCGATGTGACTGGTTATTTTGGCTGGACGAAACAAGGGAAGATGTGTGGCATTCAATGGGCAGCAGTCACTTGGATGGCTACGATCCCTGCTTCCCCCTGCTCGAGGAGTGGGTCACAAAAGGGGGTGGGGACCGCCGCCGTAACGGTCGGCCGCCAACGTTACGGATACCACCTCCTGGATTGGGGTCCTTGTCAGAGGATTCCTGGGCGTCGGATGGGCCGAGACGAGAAACGATGAATGGCGTCACACGCGGCTTGCTGTTGGTTCGGGAGAGCCGCGGCTGGGCGAGCGGCTGGGCGACGGGGCATTGGAGGGCCCACTTGTCAAGCGACTCACTTATCACTTGCACATGATGGAGACAACGTACTTTTTACTTTACATGCGAGACATGGTAAATCTGTGGATGAATGGATGGCGTGTGGTTGGATGGCTTCTCACTGTACTTACACTGGATTAGAGGGAATGGAATTTCCAGACGGATGGATCTGAGACGAGGCGATTCGCGAGTTCATGATTTGCAAGGTCCACACGGCGGAGTCACACTGGCCACTTCGCAGTTGCTTTTTGTTTGATACCTAACCAAAACGGAAATGTCGTCCCTCTGGTGTTGGGGAAATTTCCTTAGGCGGATCGGCACACCTGCCGAACACTAACCCTGGTGCAACTAGCTCGCCCGCTGAGGTGGGAGTTTGGTGGACCCGGGGCACTGGTTGGTGGCGCCGGTTTTGCTCGGTGGTTCGGTAGTTGGGCGCCGTTCATGCGGCGGGGACAGGAGCTTCTCACGGAGTATCATCAATGACATCTAAACAGGTTTCGGGCTGGGGATAACTAGTTAGTTATGCTTTTTCTGAGACCCTCATGAGCCATCCTCTGTCGAGTCTTGTCTCGAGTTTTCCTCAGTTCAGCTCACATCCCCATGCGGCCGTGCTATCGGAGATTCCAGGGCGCTCTGTGGAACGGCTGCCGGGCACGCCGCGAGGTCTGGCCTGGCACACGCCCATGGAGAAATCGCCCAGCTGAGGCAGTCTTTTCCGCGCGATCAGCACCGCTGCTCTTCGGGCTCCACTTCGTTTCTTTTTTCTCGCTCCGATGGTGGTGGGATGGGCCTGCGAAAATGGGGTCGGAAACGGAGCTAGCTGGCTAGGTAGCCAGGTCTTTGGGTTGGGGGACGCAGAGACGGTGAAGACCCGTTTTACCTCCCTCCCGGTGGAAACCTCGGGAAGTCGCATTCGGGGTGTCACGAATCTCGGGATTGCGTGTTCGTCTGACGGTGATGAGTGGACTGCCTTTTCCCCGGATCGGCTGCTCGGATTCGCCATATGGCAACCACGTGGATCTGGGTTGATGCCGCTGCACAGTGGAATCAGTGGAATCTTGCACAGCCGAAGTCCTTGTTTTGTAAAACGGGGCATCGTGAATTCGGAGTTGACACCGAGGGAACATACGCGACACACTGTGCATGCTGTCTCTGAACACGAGGTAGGGTGAGACACTATTTGCAGGATCGGGCACCATCGGACTCAGAGAGATCACAGCGCCACATTTGGGAGGGATCGAGGGAGTTGTTTAAGATGCGCGTGAACCCTTGACGACCGAGGCTGGCGCTGGTTCGTTGCAGTAGTGGTCGTTCCTACCATTTTCACCCCGCCAACCGGCATCCACAAGCTCCACTGTGCGAATGAGCCCAATTCATTTCGAAGGTTCAAGGAACATTCAAAGGTCCCCAATGAATCTGCAACTTCTTTTGGGAATCTTCAGACACGGAGGCCAACGAACACAAGTCAAGGAAATGTTTATTATATCGAAAACTCGCATGTTTTGGCCATGAAATGCTACAGGTGTGTTGGTTCATCGTGCTTGTACTGATCCTACACACTGTACGAGTAAACAACTCGAAGGAGCTGCATCCAACAGCTTTGCCATTTGGTTCCTGCCAAATAGGGCTTCCTCCAGAATGGCTCTCATACTGGACCTCTAGCATTCGGCTTTGAACTTGAAGGGACATAAGTCCGAAAATCAAACCATTTTTCCCAACTTGAAATCGACAAGTTGACCAACCCCGACTCTTGCCCGGTGTTTGTTCACACCCTTCCCGCTTTTGTCGATCTCCAATTCAACCACACTCATAAACTAGGTACTCCAGCTTGGAGCTCTGGGATTCAGAAAGCTTGACCTCTTCCTCTGGCCAAAACGAGCCACAGCTCCAAACTCAACAGCACCTAGCGCAGCCACCAACACTATCCCCATCAACACCCTCACCCACCACCCGCCCACAATCACAATGTCAACCAACCCAGCCTCAAGACCCCTAATGGGGAACAACAACAACAACAACACCAACCCTCCCACCAACCCCCCACCAGCCAGCCCCTACCCCCCCTCCTACCACACCGCCGCCGACGCAGCTGCCACAAAGGGCAGCTGACAATCAAAGCTGACGCAGCGCTTCCCCTTCCTGCGAACGAAGCGCGGCATCGCCGTGCTGGTCGCCGTCGGCCTCCTCGTCGTCGGCGGCGGCCTGGCCGGGCTGGCTGCGCTGCGCACTCGTGGTAATGGGGATGCCGGGTCTACGTCGGGGCGGGGCGATGGATGGGGGATGGTCACGGATGATGCGTGGTTTTATGGCCGGTCGCCGGCGGTTTATCCTTCGCGTGAGTTTTTCCTCTTCTTTTTTTGTCGTTTTTGGTTTGGGGTCGTTGGTGTGGGTTGGGGCGAGAGAGGGGCGCTGACAGGTGGTAGCAAATATCACGGGTGAGGGGCAGTGGGCTGATGCCACGGAGAAGGCGAGGGAGATGGTGGGGCGGATGACGCTCAAGGAGAAGGTGAGTGAAGATGTTGAGAGGAGTTGTGGAAATGGAGAACTGACACGGGGGTAGGTCAGCTTGACTGCCGGCGCTGGCTCGAATACGAGCTGCCCTGGGTTTATTCCAGCTATCCCACGCCTTGGGTTTCCTGGCATGTGTCTGGGTGATGCAGGGAATGGACTCCGCGGGACGGACTTCGTCAGCACGTGGCCGAGCGGCATTCATGTTGGTGCCAGCTGGAACAAGGTGCTCACTCGCCAGCGGGGATCCGGCATGGGAGGCGAGTTCAAGACCAAGGGCGTGAATGTGCTGCTCGGGCCGGTCATTGGACCAGCCGGCCGTGTTGTGTTGAACGGCAGGAACTGGGAAGGTAAAGTTTTCCCCCGTATGGCTGTCGGTATAAGGCCGGCTGTTGACACGAGTAGGCTTCTCGACCGACCCTTATTTATCAGGGGTTCTGGCACATGAGACGGTTACGGCAGTGCAAGCTGTCGGGGTCATTACGAGTACTAAGGTATGTTTCTCCTACTGTGATATGAGAGTCAGAGCTAACACCCTACAGCACTTTATTGCCAACGAACAAGAGACAAATCGGAACCCCGTTGGCGATGTTGCATCGGTGTCGTCCAATATCGACGACAGGACTTTGCACGAATTCTATCTTTGGTAAGCCGGACAATCCCGATCCCCTTGCCCTTTCTAACATCACAGGCCTTTCCAGGATGCTATCCACGCCGGCAGCGGCAACATAATGTGCTCATACCAGCGACTCAACAACTCGTACGGGTGCGCAAACAGCAAGGCGCTCAATGGTCTTCTTAAGACCGAACTCGGTTTTCAAGGTTGGGTCGTCAGTGACTGGGGTGCCCAGCATGCTGGAGCAGCCGCAGCCCAAGCAGGCATGGATGTTGCCATGCCGAATGGAAATGGTTTCTGGGGTACGCATCTCGTAGATGCTGTCAACAATGGCTCGGTTGCCGAGACTCGCTTGGATGACATGGTGGCCAGGTAATACATGGCCCCTCGACTTTCCAATGTCACAAACTAACAGCTACAGAACCCTCGCAACATGGTATCTGATGGGTCAAGATCAGGACTTCCCGCAACCCGGCGTCGGTATGGCCGCGGATCTTACCCTGGCCCACAAAGTGGTTGATGCGAGGAACTCGAGTTTTCGGTCAACGTTGCTAGACGGCGCAGTCGAAGGCCACGTCCTCGTCAAGAACACCCGCAGCGCACTACCCCTGAAGGAGCCGAAGATGCTGTCCATATTTGGTTACTCGGCCAAGAACCCCGATCACAACAACCCCAGCCCCGGCCTCTCCCCATGGCTCTGGGGCGCCGAGTCGTTCAACTACACCGAATTCGCCGGCAGGTTCTTTGGCTACACCGGCGAACACGGCTCCACGCCCATCGCCTTCAACGGCACCATCTACTCGGGCGGCGGCTCGGGGGCAACCTCACAGTCCACCATCGTCTCGCCCTTCGACGCGCTTGTCCAGCGGGCTTACGATGACGGCACGGCCCTCTTCTGGGACTTTGTCAACGGCAACCCCTCCGTCAACTCCATGTCGGACGCCTGCTTGATCTTTGGCAACGCCTACGCCACCGAGGCTGCCGACCGCCCAAGTCTATACGACGACTACACCGACGGCCTAATCAAGCACGTCGCTGACCAGTGCGCCAACACGATCGTGGTCCTCCACAACGCAGGCACCCGCTTAGTGGACCAATTCATCGACCACCCCAACGTCACGGCTCTCATCTTCGCCCACCTCCCCGGCGAAGCCTCGGGTCGCGCGGTGGTGTCGCTGTTGTACGGCGAGTCGAACCCGTCGGGGAAACTACCGTACACCGTCGCGAGGAATGAGACGGACTATGCCGTGCTGGGCCCGGATGTGGCGGCGGAGGGGGACATGTTTGCGCGCTTCCCGCAGAGCAATTTCACCGAGGGCGTGTTCCTCGACTATCGGCATTTCGACGCGCAGAATATCACGCCGAGATATGAGTTCGGTTTCGGGCTGAGTTACACCACGTTTGGGTATGACAACTTGGTGGTCGGAAAGGTGGTAGAGGGGGAGTTTGGCGAGTACCCCACGGGACGGGTCGTCCAGGGCGGGCAGGAGGACCTGTGGGATGTGTTGGTCGAGGTGGCGGCCGATGTCACCAACACTGGAGAGGTGGATGGGGCCGAGGTTGCGCAGCTGTACGTGGGCATCCCGGCCGAGGGCGCCCCCGTGCGGCAGCTGAGAGGGTTTGAGAAACCGTTTCTGAACGTGTCGGCGACCGAGACGGTGCGGTTTGGGCTGACGAGGAGGGACTTGAGCGTGTGGGATGTGGTGGCGCAGAAGTGGCGGCTGGTTAGGGGTGAGTACAAGGTGGAAGTGGGCGGGAGCAGTCGGGATTTGCCGCTCGTTGGGAAGGTTACGATTTAAGGGATGGATATATTGCTTCGCGACGGGGTTAGGAGTTGGTTTGTTTTTCCGGTCTCTTTTTTTTACGATGATGATATGGTGGACGCAAGCTCGCAAGGCATTATGATCCAATATGATATGTGTATGAAGGATATATATACAAGTTTTGTAATTACCTTGCCAACGCAAAATACCCGTACGATTAGCCACGAGATTCTATAACATCTTCGTGTCTAGCGCTCCTCGTTCGAATCTATCACAAACACCATATTTAAGCACTCGCCGGCACGCCCCTTCTCCTGCGCTTGCAGCCCGGCCCGGGCTTGTCGCCGATCAACTGCTTGAAGGTCTCGACCATGCCGTCGTAGGCCGGGTGCTTGGTGAAGTCCTCGAACCAGACGAGCGACGCGCCGTTGCCGGGGAAGACGTCGGGCACCCAGCTGAAGGGGTCGTAGAAGTCCCACAGGGTGATGCCGACGCAGGCCTTGACCTTGACGCAGGCGGTCACCACCTTTTGGTAGCACTCCTTCTGCCACTCGAGCTTGGTGTCGTTGGCGGGCATCTTGATGCGCACGTCCAGCTCGGTGAAGGCGACCTCGTCGACGAGCGCCGCGTACCCCTCGCTCGTCGCGATCAGGTCCTCCGCCGTCGGGTGGTTGTCGGCGTGCAGATGCGCCTGCATGCCCACGCCGTCGATGCGCACGCCGGCATCCTTGAGCATCTGCACGAGGCGCACTGCTCCGGCCGTCTTGACCGAGTCCGGCCGCTCGATGCCGTAGTCGTTGTAGTACAGCTTGGCGTCCGGGTCGACCTCGGCGGCGGTCTGGAAGGCGAGCTTGATGTACTCCTCGCCGAGCACGTTGTAGAAGACGCTCTTGCGGTAGGTGCCGTCCTCCTCGAGCGCCTCGTTGACCACGTCCCAGGCGTGGCACCGGCCCTTGTAGTAGCCGGCCACGCCGTGGATGTGGCGGACGATGACGCCGCGCAGCTCCTCGGGCGTCCACTCGGTCTCCTCGACCCAGGGTGCCAGCTGGCTGTGCCAGACGAGGGCGTGGCAGCGCAGGAGCTTGCCGCCGCGCTCGGCGAGGTCGGCCACGTAGTCGCCCTCGGTGAAGTTGAAGAGGCGCGGCTGCGGCTCCGCGAACAGCCACTTCTGCCCGTTGGTCGGCGTCGTCTGGCCGAACTCGGACGCGTCGTTGAGGATGGCGTCGTACTGCTCGTACGACTCCGGGTAGGGCGCCCGCTCGCGCTGACCCGGGGTGTCGGTGGCGGCGCCGAAGTAGCGGAGCCCGGCCTGCTTGGCGAGGTCGTGGAGCTGGGCCGTCGCCGGGGCGAGGAGGGTGGAAGCGAGGAGAGAGGTTGAGAGCTTCATGGTGGGCGGTGAGAAGGAGGGGGGGGGCAACCTGGGGATGGAGAGGGCGGTGAGGAGGGAGGGAAAGAGGTGGTAGGGGATGGCAATCTGGGGGAAGGCTGAAGATATAATAAACAACTCTCAGGTGCCTCCCCGCACGGCGCCAATACCGCGGGCCCGGGACAAGACCAGCAAGGCCATCATCCCATATTACCCACGACGGTCCTCCACAGGTTGGAGTAGCAATGATAGACGCGACGACTGCGCCAACCCCAAAATTGGAGTCGTCCGCGTTCAGCCGGACCAGTTAACCGGAAGGCCAAGCCCGTTGGCCCCGTCCCGGACGAGCCAACCCCGGGTAAATCCTCATGGGACGGCTATTTGTCGTTTGCCCATCCGGTTCATCGGCGTGATCGGGTGTTCATGGTGGGTGGCATGGAGCGGCCTGTACCTGCGTCGTAATTTCCCCCGCACGAGGTCCTCATGGCTGTTGGTGTTGTTGGGTGTGGGGGAATAGGTAGGTACTGAACGGCAGGGAGGAAGTTCGCAACCGCAAGTCGTCAGTGCAATGGCCCATGGGTGCTGAGTATGTTCGCCTTGTTCCAATTGGTAAGTTGCTTGCTTGCTCAACAAGAAATACCAGGTGCCAATAGGAAAGTCACTTACACACAACCGGTGTATGTCAAGTCTTAGGTCTTCTCTTCAGCAACTCCAAGTTTTCCCCCGCATTCTTCCACGTTGGCTCGTCTCTCGCTTGCTTCCCTCGCTTCTTTCGTAAATGAATCCACCAATCCGGTTGTCCGGAGAGCAGTTCCCGGGGCCGGCCTCCCGTGCCCCACCTGCACCGTTCCCGCTTCTCCATTTCATCAGTTTTCCAGTTTGTTCCACCAGCCCCAACCCCCCTCAACTCCACCCTTCCCTCCTGCATATGACTCGTATTTTCCTTGGATAGGCCAATCATCCGCGGGTTTAGCTCAGTTGGGAGAGCGTCAGACTGAAGTAAAACTTCGGGAATTCAAATCTGAAGGTCATGTGTTCGATCCACATAAACCGCACTCAAAAAGAGATGTGAAAACATCTCGCTTCTTTTTTTCATCTCTAGTCAAGAGAACCCTGCCGTTTTTTATGGGCTTTGAGTGCCGAATGCTCGCTGGCAAACGGAATCAACCGGTGCGCTGACTGTCCATAATGAAAGTGCATCGATTTGTAGGTGCCAGCCATAATGCCGCGCTTGAAAGAATACCTGAGGTAGATACCCGCACCTCACCTCACCTCTGTACGCGGGGGCTGCGCCGTTGGAGCTGATGGAACGAGTGGTGACAGAAAATGGCGAGATGACACATCCTGTGCCATTTCAGATGCGAGTCATCTTCCAACTATCCAACACGGTCAGGTCTGTTTTACATCGCGCCGGGGGCGGCTGCCTGAGGGGGGCGCTGATTTACAGGTGGGCGGTGCGCCGACTTTGTTGTCAGGTTGTGGACAGCCCGGTTGCGAAGACGGGCCAGTAGGTATACGCTCAGCACTGCCGCTTAGAGTGTCGCCATCCCAGCTTGTTTGCTGGTTTATGGCTGCGGCATCGAAAAGTAAGCCGGTGTAATTCGGCTGGTTGTCGTGATGCTGTCGGGGTACGGACATAAGGCGCCGTGGTGTTGTTCACTTTCCGAGCTTGGGGTGGGGGTCATTAGTAGATACTTGGTGCCGTGCCTCCCCGCTTGTGTGACGACAGCTCGCATGTTTTTGACGTTTCACGGCGTTGTCGTGGGCTGGCATCGAACCAACACCGCTCTGTTCCTGAAGAGCAGTATCGCTGGATGCGCGCAGAGCCACCCCCCAGAGCGGAAAAAGAGACATTTTAGGTATCATGTAAGCTCTTCCTCCCAATTAGACGTTACCTACCTACTACCTTAGGTAGGTACTGAGTTTCTCTCTTTCCGTTTCGGGGAGTAAGTGGTCAGGTACTAAGTCGTGTCACAACCTAAATCTCCAATAAAACGGGGATAAACGTATGACTTCGCTTTTTGATGGGAAAATAACAACCAACGGTTCTGGGGAGTTTTTCTCATTCCTTGCAGAGTTCATGCCGTTCGTTGCTTGCGGTACGGATATGAAGACGAGGTGGTGAATGAGAGTGGCCACCGTAAATACGGAATTTTCTCACACGCTTCGCATACCTACTGCAAAAAACAAGCTCTCACAAGTTGAGACTACCCCAGACTGCCCTCGGTGGCTAAGCTTTTCAGACCCACTGGGCGACGATGGCATGCAACTACATAAGCATGCGCACCATGGTAAAGCAGTCTGAGGATCCCCAGGAGCATGTGTTGGGTCGAGATCTGAATCCAGATTATGGACACAATTTTTGATGAGCGAACCTGCTTACCCTTTTCGTAACTCAAGGAGTGGCTTGGGCTGTACATGGTGTTGTGTTGGGCTGACGGTGGATGCGTGACTGAACGCTGACAGTCATTGATCGTCCCGCTTCCAAGGCAGCGTCGTGATATGAAACGGGCTCAGATGGTTGGGTCAACTGAGCGAAGAGAGTCGAGGTGTTTACGAGCCAGCCGTTGTGGCACTTTCCTCTTCTTTAATAATCCTGACGAATCCCGCTTCGGGCGATTGGAGAGAGCCGATACGAAAAAAGTACCTAGACCAAAAAAAAAGAAACGGTTGGTTCTCTCTGTGATTCCCAAAGTACAGATTACCTTACATATGGTCTGCTGAGCCTCAGTTGGCTCAAGCCTCTATTCTTGGCCGTTGATCGGCAGCGCCCTAGCGTGTACCCGTTGGCGCTGCCGTGATGAAGTGTGTGTAATAATGCAGGTTGAAACAGCGTTAAAAGTCGCTGTGTTTTGGTCGTCGAGGAGGCCCCCTCAAGATCTCTCGTCTCTCACAGATCGGCGGCTTGGCAAGAACTCTCCCGGATCGCCCCGGCGGCAGAGGCTTCATCTAAAAGATTTCATCTCGACCAGGAGGACAATTGTGCAGAGCCACGATACGATCCCCATACCGGTCCGAGACGCGGGCTCGGTGGCGGTTGGTCGGGTGTGGGGGCTTCGGCCGACGTTTCTGGCCAACTCTGATGTTGGGGGGATCAGGTGGCACAGTCCTCGGAGTGTTTGGTGCTGTGTTTCAAGGTTCGAAGTTCTGGAAGGACCATGTCCGAATCTGGAATATTCAAGAGCAGCTGAGCCAATCGGCATTTAGAAAACGGCGTTGGGGGCCCCAGCTTTCGCCCCACCGAAGTGCAGGCACACCAAGACTGCCCAAGAAGGTCTAGATCTACTGGTCAGCTTTCATCTCATCACTTCCATCCTCTTCACCAAACCGAGCAAACCAGACCCATCAGCCCGACCCAAACACAACATGACCACTTAACATCACAAAAAAAATCCATTGCTGCTGCCTTGAGCCTATCATCGGACTGCAGCAGGAGCGATCTTTTCTCGATCGGTTATTTCGTCACACTCAAACCCCCGGACCGTCCACTTGCCGCAGCTCGGGTTAGAAGCTTGACTAGGTCATGGATGTTATGAGATGCGAGATGTCCCACGGTTCCAAGGCGAGCCGTGAGGCTCGAACAAAGGGCTGACATGGGTATTGGGCGATCTACGATCCCTGCACCCCTGCCGGCCCGGGATAAGCTCCGGCCAAGCTCAACGGCCGTGACCACAGCTTGGTTGGGCTTAGAGGGTGGCGGGCGTGCTGCGTGGGCCCAGACGGCAGACGATGTCTGACGCCTTCTCTGGCGCCCTTTCCGAGGCTTGTTCACCACATACCTGCATGGGCCGCCACCTCCGCCTGCGCGGTCGACATGCTTCAAGTTTCCCCCAAGTCCGTTGGCCTGTCCGATGCCGACGCCCTGTGACGTATCCATCGAGTAGCCCGGCGAGCCCTCGTTGTTTCCGGCTCCATTACTGTCGTTGTTTTCAATTATCAACGCATCATTCATCTTCTCTCGGATCCATTTTCCGGGTCGCATCTGCATGCACACACAACATCCCCATACGCTCGTTACAAGCTGCCTGTTGCCGGCCAGCACAGCAAGAAACCAACTTCATCTCACACCAACCCGCCGGCTTCCGGGTCCTAAGTAATGGAGCGCCCCTCGCTCATTTCCCGAAGCAGTTCATCCCTCTCAAATCTACTCTCCAAGGATGAAAAGCCCCTCCTGCCTCACTCAGTCCGCGAGAGGCCCAAGCTTCGAGTACGGACAGTGCTGAGCCATTGTCTGTACCGGAGGCTCATCCTCTGGGCTGTTGCGGCCCTCCTTCTTTTATCCCTCGCTCTAACCTCCAGCAAGAGCGGCCTTCGCAGGGAAAGATTGCTCGATTTAGTGAACGCCAAGCCACACGGGGATGTGGGCGATGATGGTGTCAACGGCGCCAACAATGGTGAACCGAAAGTTGTCGTGGTGGTGACGGGTTCGGAGAAAACGCAGGCCCCGGTTTGGCGTGAAGGCATGCAACACTGGCTGAAGTTCAAGCAGTGAGCATCCCCAATATCCCCCCTCCTCCTCAAACACATGTAGCAACCTCTAACTTTACAGTCTCGACGGATTCTTCGTCGGCCTCAAGGCCCTCGTTCCTGCTGCGGAACACAAACCCGAGCACCCTAGACGAAAGGGAGAAAAATCACCGTTCCCACTCACAATATCGTACACAGGCCTGCCTACTCCCACCCCATTCGTGCCGCAGCCCGATTACGAATCGCCGTCATATACATCTCAACATCACAAAGTCCAGCCCTGCTATCTCGACAAGGACAACAAAATCCCCGTCCCGGACCTCTTCGCTTACAATGGTTTAGTCCAGGGCCAGGCAGAGCCCGTCATTGGCTCCCATAGCCTCTTGGGGTTGAGGGACGATGTCTGCTTCGATAGGTTCGGACGATACGGCCCTTACGGGTTGGGCTACAGGTTCGAGGAAGGAGGGGTAGAAGTTGGCATGGACACGGAGCAAGCAGGGAACGAAGCTGTGTGGGCCAAGACGGGCAAGATCAATTACGACACTATGGACTGGGGCGATGCGCAGTCCCGATGCTACGAATCCAACAAGGACCGTTTCGTCGACGCCAACTCCGCTAGTCAGCCATCCACAACCTCGTCAGCCAAACACCCCGAGCGAACCTTTTCACACAGCGAGCGCCCGAAGGGTAAAATATCGCGGACCGCCGTCGTCGTTCGACTATACACCGGATACCAGTGGACGCACCACGCAGTCCTCAACTTCCGCGCCATGATATCGGAGCTCGCTCTCAAGTCAGGCGGAGAATACAACGTCCATTTCCTGCTCCACGTCCGCGACGACAACGAAGCCATCTGGGCGGACCCGGCAACGGTCCAAAGAGTCCTCGACGACAACGTCCCGGCCGAGTTCCACGGCATCTGCACGCTCTGGTCGCATGGCCAAATGCGCCTCGTCTACCCCGGACAGTTCGGGCGTAGCTTCTCTAACCCCAGCGGCGGCGATATCCACGGCGTCTACCGGAGCGCCCACATGCCCCTTCAGTACTTCGCCCTGAACCACCCCGAGTACGACCACTTTTGGAACTGGGAGTTGGATATGCGCTGGCTGGGCAACTACTACGAGCTCTTCGACCGCCTCGGGAAATGGGGGAAGCAGCAGTCCCGCGTCGGAGCCTGGGAACGCTCCGCCAAATACTACATCCCGGGCTACCACGGCGACTGGGCCAACTTCACCGCCTTGGTACACCGCGAGACTGTTGCCAGTGGCCGCGGCGCCGTCTTCGGCCCTGTTGCTTTCCCCGGGCGCGTCCCGCTCCGCTCCGAGAGCGCGGGGCAGGGGTTCATCCCGACGGAGTGCGCCACGCGCGCGGACCCGAACTGCGGCGTGGGTGAAGACGCCGACCTGATCACGCTCAACCCGATGTTCGACGCGGAGGACTCCGGATGGGTGTTCTCGGGGGACGTGACGGGGTACAGCACGACGCTGCCGGTGCCGCCGCGGCGGTGCGCCATCATCACGGCGTCGCGCCTCAGCCGCCGCCTGCTGGGGGTCATGCACGAGGAGAACTGGCGCCTGCACCACAGCATGTTCAGCGAGATGTTCCCGGCCTCGGTCGCCCTGCACCGCGGCCTCAAGGCCGTCTACGCGCCCCACCCCGTCTCCATCGACCGCGAGTGGGACCTCGCCTCGGTCGACCGCGCCTTCAACGGCGGCCGCGACCACTCCAGCGGCGGCCGCGGCAGCCCCTTCGACCTGCGCAACGAGCACAACCACAAGGGCACCACCTGGTACTACCACAGCGAGTTCGCGGGACTACTCTGGAGGCGGTGGCTGGGCTATGCGCAGCACGACGGGCGGGGCCCGAACGGCGGTCGCTCCGGCGAGGGCGCCCTCAGGGGAGGCAAGGTGGAGGAGGAGAGGGCGAGCAACACGGGCCGCATGTGTCTGCGGAGCATGCTGGTGCATCCCATCAAGTGGGAGCATCCCAGTGAGCTCGAGGATTACTAGGAGGTTGCCCCCCCCCCCCCCCCCCCCCACTCTGCAGTACTGCAGTACCTCCAACCCCTCCCTCTCCCCTTCTATTTCTTTAGATTGTCTTGTGTTTCTCTTATTTTTCTTTTTCTCTCTGCATGTAATGACACGGATGATGGCGTTTGCGGGCTGCATTTTCGGCTGTACACTAGGGGTAGAATCTTGGTCATGGTTCGGAGTTGGGCTACAAGTAGGTTGGTGGCCCAGCCGGCCGGGCTCAATGCAGGGGCTGAGATGGCCAACCGGGCCGCCCTTGCGTGTGAAAGCGGCGTGGTCGGGGCCCGTTTCAAGCATAAAATTAGACCTTCGAAACAGGGTAACTAGAGCCGTCGAACAGATCGAACAGAGCTGAATCTGCAATAATATTTTGTTTTGACAGACCGTCAAACCCGTTCCGAAGAGGAGAGCGTTCCATTACGCCCGACCCTTCCGTTCTTCCACAGTTGACCCCCCACGCCCGCTCATCTTTAAAGATTACCTGAATTGGTCTAGTGGGTTGCGGGAAGATGCCAAGTCTCGTGAACCACGGGAAGCGCTTGGGAAAGAGGTCATGTGAAGACGGGGGCCAGGGAAGGAGGAAGAAATCCATTAGTTGAAGTTATCACAGAAAAATAGGTGGAGGAGGGAAAATAAGATCATTGTGTCACCGGACGTTGTTGTCTTTCCCAATCTCCAACCTCACCCCCCGGAAGCGGGATGAAACCGCGGGGTATCACACCGAGCTCTGCGTGGGTGCGCGGGGGTCCGTTGGCTGGAATGGTTGTCAACTTCCGAAAGCGAAGCTCCGATACCGCGCCAAGGGGTTCGGCGTCGAAAATACACCAGATGGTGTTTGTGGCTCGATATTGTAGGTATTTCAGATCCACCTAAACTTAACCCAAGATCTGGGGATTTCCATGAGGAAAAGGAACAGGAAGAGGATGCTGAAACAATGGGCAACGCTCCGTCATAGTGGGCCCAAGTCGCCTGTTAGTGCCGAGTTGCATTCGCAGCGTCATGATCCCCGCAGCCGGCTGCAACACTGAAGGTGGTAATCAATCCACTTGCAGAGGAGCCCTGGAGTTCCAAAGTGACGACACCAGAAACGCCGAGTTGGACATGGTTTGGGCTGACATTAAACTATGAATTTCTTACCAGAGACGACTAGAAAAAAACAGAAGACGATACATAGTTTGGTCGACGAGCTCCATTCCGTGACAGTCAAATTGTTTTGTTCGTGGGCCAAGAAATCGGATCTGCATACCAAGCTGCCTATCACCAAAAATATCGTGGGTTTGGTGGTTTGCCACCGGAACCCCACCAACATGGAACTCTCCAATCCAAACAGACCGTCTACTTTTCCTGTAGTATGTAGAGGCCCTCAACTTTCAACGTTACTCGTTGACTATCAGACTTATCTGGACCTTGACAGCTGTCAGGTGGCTGATAACGCTGGGCACATATGAAAACGGCCTAACCTCGAGAATTGGGCAACCTGTGTAAACTGGCTGTGACGCTATCCGGTCATCGGCGGATTGCAAGAACGGCAAAACCAACAACGCCAATCCGCTCTCGTCCCAAGAAACGCATTGCACACACCCACCAACAAGAAACCTCGAAACAGAACAAGTTCAGCCCTGTTTTCGCCCCAACCCAACCCCCTCGCCGAGCCCCATCGCTGTTTCCAGATTAGCGGTGCTTTTTAGGCCCCCGTGATCGAATCCCAATTTCGGTCGGTCCCTGGTCTTTTACTGTTGCGGTAAGTGGCACCTTGCGGACCCTGTCTCGAGCCTGTGCTCCCCCAATTCCCAACTTGGCCGACTCGGATGCAACACAGTCCACCGATTGTGAGACAAGTTCTCCCAGCAACGCCGCAGACCCCTTCTGCAGTCTTGTCCTTTCCTTTTCTCTTCCGACCAACACGCACAATACCGTGGAAACCCAATTCGATTCAGCGGATAGCGAGCTAAATCCCCGACGAGTAAAGCAGACACGAGCAGAGACCGAGCAGCTCTTCGTCTGCTCACCGACCACACTACCCATCGCCCCGCCGAGCTTTTTCACCATGCCCATTAACCCGGAAACCCAAATGGGGGGTCCGGCACCTCCTGCCCCCGGTGTCCCCACGAAGCGCGGGTCATCCGACGAGCTGCTGAATGTATACGACGACGCGAAAACCTACTATACCGCCGAAGACCGCCACAGGAACAACCGTGCCGGTCCTCGGACGCGCACTTACTCCCAGGTAGGCATCGCGGGGTTCCGGGGAGTGGGTGGGCATTGGGCAATTGCTGACGGGATATGCACAATAGAATGGCTTGCTGAAGCAGATGGAGCGGTTGGTTCTGGCCGACCCGCACAGGCGAGGGAGTCACGGTAAGAGCATCGCCGAAATGCTCACAGCCCACCTGCTAATAACGACCGCCCAGATGAGACCACGATTCCCCATTCTCGCCGCTTCCTGATCCAGGTCGAGCCGACACTCGAGAGTCTACAAAAACAGGAGGACACGGATATGAATATGCAAATCACCATTGAAGACGCCGGGCCCAAGGTGAGAGAGAACGCGGAACAAAGGTGGTCGTGTGATGGAACAAAAATTAACAGACAACCATAGGTCCTCAGCCTCCGCACGGCAGCCTCCAATGGCTACAACCGCTTCGACATCCGAGGCACCTACATGCTCTCCAACCTGCTACAAGAACTCTCGCTGGCTAAAGAGTATGGTCGGAAGCAGATCATCCTGGACGAGGCGAGACTCAACGAGAACCCCGTCAACCGGCTATCGCGTTTGATTCGGGACCACTTCTGGGAGGGGTTAACTCGGCGCATCGACGCTTCGAGCATTGAGATTGCAGCACGGGATCCCAAGGACTGGACCGACGATCCTCGGCCACGCATCTACGTCCCGAGAGGCGCCCCGGAACAATACGAGTACTACACAAAGCTGGCAAAAGAGAAGCCCGATATCCGGCTGGACGTGCAGCTGCTCCCGGAGAAGATCACCCCCGAGCTTGTCCGAGATATGAATTCGAAGCCCGGCCTGCTAGCTGTGGACATGGAGGAGGTGACGGACCCCGAGACGGGGGAGAAGAATTTGAGGGGCCGGCCGTTTGTCGTTCCCGGAGGGCGGTTCAACGAGTTGTACGGCTGGGATAGCTACATGGAATCCCTCGGGTTGCTAGTCCACGACAGGGTCGACCTCGCCAAGTCCATGGTGCTCAACTTCTGTTTCTGCATCAGGCACTACGGCAAGATTCTCAACGCGACACGGTCGTACTACCTCTCTAGGTCACAGCCCCCCTTCTTGACAGACATGGCCCTCCGAGTCTACGACAAGATTAAGCATGAGCCTGACGCGGCCGAATTCCTGCGGACTGCCATCCTGGCGGCCATCAAAGAGTACCACAGCGTCTGGGTGGCCGAACCTAGGTTAGACCCGGTTACCGGCCTCTCGCGGTACCGGCCTGAAGGCCTCGGTGTCCCACCCGAGACGGAGGCTGACCACTTCGTCCACATCCTGGAGCCGTACATCCAGAAGCACGGCGTCACCTTCAACGAGTTTGTCGAAGCGTACAACACGGGCAAAATCAAGGAGCCCGAGCTGGACGACTACTTCATGCACGACCGGGCGGTGCGTGAGTCGGGCCATGACACCTCGTACCGCCTCGAGGGCGTGTGTGCCGACCTTGCCACCATCGACCTCAACTCGCTCCTCTTTAAGTACGAGACGGATATCGCGCGCACAATCCGTAACGTCTTTGGGGACAAGCTGGTCATCCCAGCCGAGTACTGCGTCGGCGACATGGTGCCCGGTCACGTCGAGACGTCGGCCATCTGGGACCGCCGCGCCAAGCGCCGCAAGCTCGCCATCGACAAGTACCTCTGGAGCGAGGAATCTGGCATGTACTTTGACTACGACACCGCCAAGCGCCAACAGTGCGACTACGAGAGTGCTACGACCTTCTGGGCCCTTTGGGCGGGGGTTAGCAGTCCCAAGCAGGCTGCCGCCATGGTGACCAAAGCGCTGCCGAAGTTCGAGGCCGTTGGCGGCCTGCTGTCTGGCACCCAAAAGAGCCGCGGCGAGATTGGGCTCGAGAGGCCAAACCGACAGTGGGATTACCCCTACGGCTGGGCGCCGCAGCAGATGCTCGCGTGGACGGGGCTGTACCGGTACAGCTTCACCGAGGAGGCGGAGCGACTCGCCTACAAGTGGCTCTTCATGATTACTAAGGCCTTTGTCGACTTCAATGGCGTCGTGGTCGAAAAGTACGACGTCACGCGGCCCATCGACCCCCATCGTGTCGATGCCGAGTATGGGAACCAGGGTCTGGATTTCAAGGGCGTCGCTAAGGAGGGGTGAGTACCACTTTTTACCAGCAAGCAGGTGGACCAGAGTTCAGGAGGTGCTAACCAAGTGTGATAGATTCGGCTGGGTCAATGCCAGCTACATCTACGGCCTGCAGATCGTCAACGCCCATATGCGCCGGGCGCTGGGCACGCTGACCCCTTTCGAGACGTTTGTCAAGGCGGTTGAAGAGAACCGGGCCAAAGCACTTGCTGAGCTGGTTTGAGCGCCTTGGTTCGTCGACATTGGGAATGGGAATGGATTCCTTTGCACCCACGGCATCATTAGGCGTTTTGGGGAGATTTTCTTGCTCTCTATCTGCTCTCTCTGCCTCTTAGTGTGGAGGACCAGAGATAGAGTCTTGTCTAAGTAGCCTAGATTGTTGCATATTACCTGAGATGGCTGCACGAGGGGAAGAGGGGGAGGGGGGAGGTCACCAAGGCCCGAGTAAGGAGAGAAATCTGAAAAGGACATTGCCATGCTTGGAGGTGAAGGCAACGCCTCGGCAAGGTCACAGCATTTCATCGGTCCCTGTTAGTTATGGTTTAATAATGTTATGCAGGCATCCAACATATAGCTATTTAGGCATGCAGTTAGCCCAAGTCACACTCCAGAACACACACGTAACCTAGCACACTGGCAGTAAGGTAACCAAAGTCAAATTAAGGTTAATGAGGTGGTGCAAGGCTCATGTCCCTTCCATAAACCCCGATGTTCTGCTCATGTTTCCGGACTCCTTCCGGAACCCACTGTAACCCGGGTTTGTTCCGGGCGTTTGCAAACCACTGCAGCGGCAACCAACAAACAGGGCACGCCGATGAATAAAGCCCGCAGCGCCAAGCAACAATCCCGATTCCCCAGCGCCACAACATGCACGCTGCCCCGCAGCAAACGTGCCCCTCCAGAAAATTTTCCCCGCCATATATGGAGGGCTGCCGGTGCCCGTTCTTCGGCAACCGAAAAACCACTCTTAACTTTTAGAAAAATGGAATCATATTCGGGTTGCGTTTGCCACCGCCTGTTGCCTTTGGCCCTTTTCCCAAAGCGGTGAACTTCTCTGTTATTTGAGAGAGCTGTTCCAGGACCCTCTCTCATCCAATCCTATCCTTTGCCACTAAGCCAGAGAGAGAGAACCCGTGCTTTCGTCGCGTGGTCAACAAACAGGGTGTGACCGACTTCGGCACTCACTCTCCTCCACTCGAGTGTGAATTCCCTCGTCGCGGAACTTCCCCAGCAACAGAGAGAGTCGCTCTTTCGATCCAATTGAGCTAGCTCTTTGTGTAGCCTGTTGTTGACTTGAGATACCCCCTCCAAATCCGGCAAGATGTGCGGCATTCTCGGCCTCATCCTCGCCGACTCATCCAGTGCCGATGCTGCTGTCGACCTGCACGAGAGTCTCTACTACCTCCAGCACCGCGGCCAGGATGCTTGTGGCGTGGCGACGTGCGCGACCGGTGGGCGGATATTCCAGTGCAAGGGCAATGGCATGGCGTCCAAGGTGTTTGAGGATGGCAAGCGTGTTGCGGACCTGCCCGGGTACATGGGCATTGCCCACCTGCGGTATCCGACAGCGGGAACAAACTCGGTAGGTTTCGCTGTCTTGGGTGCAGTGTTCCGTATTGGTTATATAACCCGGCTGACAACCCCCCCTCCTCCAGAGCGCCGAGAGCCAACCGTTCTACGTCAATTCCCCCTACGGCATCTGCTTCGCGCACAACGGCAACCTGATCAACGCCGGCGAGCTGCGAGACTACCTCGACAAGGAGGCCCACCGCCATGTCAACACCGATTCAGACAGCGAGCTGATGCTCAATGTCTTCGCCAATGCCCTGAACGAGACGGGTAAGGCCCGTGTCAATGTCGATGACATCTTCAGCTCCCTGGCCCAGACATACGAGCGCTGCAAGGGCGCCTGGGCCGCCACGGCCATGATCGCGGGCTTCGGCATCCTCGCTTTCCGCGACGCTTTCGGCATCCGCCCCCTGATCATGGGCAGCCGGCCGTCGGCCACGATCGAAGGCGGTACGGACTACATGCTTTCGTCGGAGAGTATTGCCCTCCGGCAGCTGGGGTTCCGTAACTTCCAGGACATCCTCCCAGGCCAGGCCGTGTTCATCCAGAAGGGCGGCAAGCCGCAGTTCCACCAGGTCGCCGAGGCGCAAGCGTACTCGCCCGACATCTTCGAGTACGTCTACTTCGCCCGGCCCGACACCATCATGGACGGCATCTCGATCAACACCAGCCGGCAGAACATGGGCGCCAAGCTGGCCGACAAGCTGCGCGAGGTGCTGGGCGAGGAGGGCGTCAAGGAGATCGACGTCATCATCCCGGTACCCGAGACGAGCAACACGGCGGCGGCCGTCGTGTCGGAGCGCCTCAGCAAGCCCTTCTCCAACGGCTTCATCAAGAACCGCTACGTCTACCGCACCTTCATCCTGCCGGGCCAGAAGGCCCGCCAGAAGAGCGTGCGCCGCAAGCTGAGCGCCATGGAGTCCGAGTTCAACGGCCGCGTCGTGTGCCTGGTCGACGACTCCATCGTGCGCGGCACCACTAGCAGGGAGATCGTCAGCATGGCGCGCGAGGCCGGCGCCCGCAAGGTCATCTTTGCGAGCTGCGCGCCGCCCATCAAGCACCCCCACATCGTGAGTCTCTCTCCCTCCCAACCCTAGTGGGGTTTCGCACTTTCGCTAACATGCATGCACGCACGCAGTACGGCATCGACCTGGCGACCCCGCAGGAACTGATCGCGCACGAGAAGACGCGCGAGGACATCGCGCGGCACATCAACGCCGACGACGTCATCTACCAGGACCTGGACGACCTCAAGGCCGCCTGCATGGAGGTCACCCCCGGCGGCAAGGTCGAGGACTTCGAGGTCGGCGTCTTCTGCGGCCAGTACAAGACCGAGGTGCCCGAGGGCTACTTCGAGCACCTCAACCAGAGCCGCGGCAAGAAGCGCAAGATGGCCGAGGGCGCCGCCGCCGCCGCTGCGCACACCGCCGTCGGCAATAGCGGGCCCGTCAATGTTGCTGCCAAGCGCGCGCTGGTCGATGGCGGTGGTGTTGCGGTGCAGCCCGCTTCGGCTTCGGCTTCGGCTTCGGCTGCTGCGGCGGCGGCGGCGGATGGTGGTGGTGGTGGTCATGCGGAGCTGGCGAATGGGGAGGATAGGAATGCGGGCATGGCGAACCCGAATAACAGGCAGGATATTAGGTATGTTTATGCCATGCTACGTGAAGGGGGAGGGTTTGGTTACTGACTCTCGTGCTTTTTAGCCTACACAACTGGGCGAACGAGCCAACGCCGCAATAAATCCCCCCCCCCCCCCACCGGGGTGTTTGGCGGTTGACATCCTCTCCTTGAACCCACCGAACGAGCCCTTGCTTGAGACACTGTAGGAGGAGGAGGAGGTTTAGAACGGGCACATCCAATAGACGGGATAGAGAAAGGCCGGGTTCTGGTTGTTGTTTTTTTCTGGCTTTGGGGCTTTTGGTTTCAGGAGAAGGAAGGGGGAAGGGAGGTGGGGTATGGTGTTGTTGCTCGAAGAAAAGACCCGTTTCTGATCTGCCTTTGTCAACATAATGGGGGGCCTCGCCGTGGTATGTATGGACATGTATGGACAGGTGGGCGGGGGTTTGCTTCACCTTTTGCATCGGCAGCGTAGACGAGTCTTGGCGCTGGAAGAAGAGGGGATGAAAAATGTAAAATCTGTTTATGAATCTCCGGGGTTTTGGTGCAGGGTGTGTGAGGTGGTGTGTGAGAGGTTAAGGGGTGGTCTTGGGTAATCCGAGTTGTTAATCAAGATTTGGTGGTGGTGAGTTCTGGAGGGAAGGGAAATGGAAGCTTCATGGTTCGGGGTAAGGTCGAGTCCGTCAAGGGACGCCACTTGATCCAGAATCGCCCATGTCCTTCACATCCGGTCCGCGGACCCAAGCCAATGCCGCGGACAAGAGTGAGAAAACGGTATGCCGGAACTTCTTCATCAGCTTGAACGTCGTGTTCAGGAAGGCCGCGACCAGCATGAAGGGCGCCGAGATGACGATGCCCCAGACGACTGACAGAGGTTGATCAGCAATTTGGTCGAGTGGACAGAGTGAGAAAGCTTACCGATATTCCAGCATACATATCCTAATCCGAATTCAACTTCGCCGGCATCGTCTTTGGGAAATGTGGTGACGTTCAGGGTGAAGAAGGTGGCCATCAGGGAGAGTGAGGAATGCACGTTTTGTAAGTCGATTGAGTTTCTTTGACTCAATTTTGCCTTGGGGACTCGGGTAACACTTACGAAGAAGATGGTCATGAAGGTGAAGAACATGATGATGTTGCCTTGTCTGGATGTCGCTTCGGCCTGGCGACGAGCAAAGTGTGATTCCATCAGATTGGACTGGGCCTGTTTGAACTCAACCAGGTCTTGGAGCTACACAAGCGTGTCAACGATGGTGGACCCGACTATTTGAGAGGAGGAATAACTTACATATTCCGGATTGGTGTAGGCTTTCTGTTGCAGACTGCTAGCCTGGCCGAGCATGTGCTCATTCTGGGCGCGAGCTTCCCTCAACGACTGCCGGCGACTGTGGAAGCGCTCCATCTCCATCGGGCTTGAGAGGCTTGAGAGCGCCTCCTCCATCGCGTCTGAGAAGTCCCTCCACATGATCCGGTTTCCCTCCAGAATGTCCCGAAGACAGATAATACCATCAGTCGCGTTCTTGAGCTCGTCGACGAGGGCAAGTTCCTTCAACAGCATCCGTACGTCGATCATGTGGTCCGACACCTTGGCGAGGGCCTTGGTATACTTTGGGTCTTCGCGTGGTATGTCCATCAGGCCTAGGAGCAATCCCCGAAGGTCTTGGGAATGGGTGCGTTGTGCATCAGCCTGCCAGGGTGGATTAGCCCATCAACCCGTTTCCTCGGGGAGTTAGTTGGTGACAAACCGCCGTCTTGACTTGGGCTTCAACATGGGTGACAAACCCCATAGGTCCGGTCAGCAAGCAAGGCCGCACGATGTGCGTGAAAGCTTCTTCAAGGTTGAAGTTGCCTCCCTCACTTCCAGCCATATGATTAAGGACAAGCTGGATATATCCTGGCGGGGCCCTGAAGCCGGTGAGAATTACTGGTATCCCCATCCATCGGAGGACTAGCCGCAGCGGTTCCGAGGATGTTGTTGCTTTTGAAGACGCAATTTCGCATGGCTTCATCGGCAACGTGTCCACCCTCCGAGAGATCCGCTTGAACGCTGTCGCAAGTCGGGATGGGCGTCTGAAGTGCGGGAGCGGCATCCCCGTATCCATGTCGAACGGCACGGCTGTCGGTTGGTCTGGCGCGGGAGCTTCGAAGCGGAGATACTGGGTCTAGATAGCTGTCAATATCGCTTTCTTAACGTATACAAAATCCACCGGGTGTTGAGACCGAAACCAGCAGCCCTCCCGACATATCTGCTCCAAGAGGTCGCACGACCGAGGCGGTGCTGTGTTCTCCCCCTGCCTTCATGTTCCCACGAGAGCCATTTCGGTCCTTCTCGCTTGCGGTCGGTGCTATCAAAGCGGCCTTTCCCAGTACCTTTGCCGACTCTAGACCCCAAATCTTCTGCACTGTTGTCTTTGGTCCCGTCGGATCAGCGATAAGCTCACCAGGGTGGAGGTGTCTAGCTGACTGCCCACCTCCAGCTCATACATCTATGCATCTATCATTAGCTTTGTCTTTCTGGCTATATGTAAGTGCACTGCCACAGAAACGTACGTGGTCTAGCTCTCGATGAACCCAGACACCGCTGTTGGTACTGCTCTTCTCACCCTGAATTTGGTTCATCACTCTATCGAGGGTGCAGCTTTGGACTACTACTATACCCCCAGTCTTTGGCCAAACCACCAACACACATTCTTCCTCTTCGTCAGTTGCGCCGCTTTCGAAGGATTCCATCTAGACCAGAGCAGAATATGAAAGATATGATGAGTGCGCGCTTGTTCAGGTAAATGGGTACCTTGAGAAATCCCCGAGACGATAACGGGTCGGACAGGCAGGCAGACAAGCAGCAGCGGGGAGACACGGCTCGAAAGACTCCCGCAGCCCATCAGAGGACGACACCTGTGCGGGGTTTGGAGCTATTATGCAGACTGGCGGTTACACCGCACCATCGACAGCCTCACAGCTTAACTATGCCTGGAGGAATCCTCTAGAGAGTGCCCAGATGAACATTTATGCCTGGAGGACAAACCCCATCAATCCCACAGCGGCACCACTACCACCACCAGCCCGCCATGGAGACCTGTAGCTCAGGCTCGGCACCCCAGCCCAGCCCAAGTCTAACTAGGAACTACCCTAACAAATGACTAGCTGGCTGGCTACTAGGCTAGGAGGCGGGAGGATCGGACTAGGCTAGGTAAAGGTGGAAGAGAGATAGGAAGACAGCGTGTAGGGGAGGTGGCACCTTCAAGCATGTGGTAGAGGGAGAGACTAAGGGGTTATGTAAAGCTTATTTTGATGGGTGAAGTTTATTTGCTATAGAGTAGATTGATAGTTAGTATGGGACTCTTAGCGGTGCAAGGTAGGTATCTACGAGCCGGGATATATTCGCTCACGGCAACGAGCCCTCTTTCTTTAGCTTACAATCTTAAGTGGCTAATTTGTTGAAGCCGTTCCTTCCTCTAAGCTAGAGAGTGACCGCTCTAGAGGGCAAGAGCAGTTGTCTATCAGCTCCGAGGAAAGAGCGGACTGTGGATCGAGCTGATTAGGTGTCACGAACCAACCATATAACGGGACCGCGTGGGGCGCAGCAGGACTGCCCTCACCCAATCGGCTGGGAAGCCAAGACGCGGGGGCCCGTTGGGTAGCCCAGGGACGCTGGCTACCCGGGACAGGCGGTAGCCTTGGATCGCAGTCTACCACGAGCTACCACGGGTAGACTTGGGTAGACGGGCGACCATGAGCTACCACACACAGGACAGGTACAGAGATACCTGGGACTTAGATAGTATATAGTCACTCGTTCTGGAGAGCTCTGGGAGTTCTCCAGTTAGCAATCACAACTACAGTTCGCTACAAGCTCGAGAGCCTACTGTTGAGACAAGTCTTTGTTGTGCACCCTTTGGCTGCACCGAACCTACGCACCCTTGAGAGAATACCTTCGACCGATACTGAACCCTAACAGGACGGGTCCAGAGACAGGTTCGTCACATTAGGGGCTCTAAGCTAGCACGTGGCTAGCAATGTACATACCATTAGCCTCCGGCTTACTCGTCTAGAGCTGCTCTGTTTGCTCAAGCTAGGAGGAATAAAAATGAAAAGAAATAAAAGTAAAATAATAATAATAATAATAATCTACCTAGCTATTTGGGTATGTTCTTTCCCTCGGGGGATAAAAATAAACATTGCCCTTAGTAAAGCGGCGGGAATCAGCACGGAATACATTAAAAACTTAAATATTCTTAGCTTTCGCCCAAAAAATACTCGATCTCGCTGGGATTCGAACCCAGAACCTTTACCAGGTAGTTGGAACAACCGGAAAGTAACGCGCTGCCATTGCGCCACGAAACCAGTGACTTAATTTGTTGTTGATTGGAGTTGCGGAGTGGTAGCTTTAACTCTCGCTCGGTTCGCTCACGGATTTTTACATGGTGGGGAAAGAGGGGTGAATTTGGTGAGCTGCGGGGTCTGCCGCTGAGCCGCTGTGTCCGGCAAACGCCTCGTCGTCTTCGCATGCACGTACTTAGCTGTAACACTATTTGATTCTTGTCAATTTTTAAGGGAAAATAAAGAAAGAAAAAAACAGATATAGCCATCTCAGCGAATCTACCACACACACATATATATATATATCTAGGTATGAGATCTTAATTCCATACCTGATTAATGATGTGGATAATGTACATTGAGGTATTGATAGATTTCTCCGAAAATATTTTGGCGAGGCTTGGCGACTTTTGACAAAAATTTACCCTTGTCTTTAAATTTGTCAATGCCTCAGCGCACATTATCCGCATCATTAATACAACTACCTAGGCATCTGCCGCACATCGCGGAAGCGAGATGTGGAAGACTCTAGGGGATAAAAATTACTGAGAGTCGGGCTCTTTTTCTCTTTGTAGCAAATGAGCGGAGCAGCTCTAAGGGGAGAGTGTGTTTCTTAATACCTTATATGGTTTAGTTAGTTCCTTACATTACAAAAAAGCACACACACAGGTTACCCCACTGTGGTCGGATAATGCGTGGCCGCGCCATGCTTGCCAACAAGAGTCTACGGGCATATGGTCTAGTGGTATGATTTCTGTTTTGCAATGACCCATTGATTACAGACGGTCCCGCGTTCGATCCGCGGTATGTCCAACCAAACACCCGTGAGGGTATGACCAAGTGACTCTATTTTTGCATCGTCTCGCTTAACCAAACTCGCTTTTCGCCTTCTTTTTCTTTTGCTCCGTGTGTGCCGTCTATGAAGGACGCAAAGAGGGGTGGATGTGTCTACTATTTCCAACGACACGACCCAGAAGTTTGATGTCCAATAGCGTTAGTACGCGTCAATGCCATTATCCAGCCAGAACCCAAGATGCACCAACCGCCCTAGGTCAGTCGAGCCGTCTGGCTGTGCGCCCTCCCATTGGGTTTCTTCCAGGTCTCTGAGGATTTGATCAATGTACTCGCCTGCTCCGGACAGATGTAGGATATGGCCAATCGCACGGTGGATAGCCAGCAACCGTGGGGAGGGAGGATCGACTGCACGGTCGGCGGTGAGGTAGAGGGTGCGGGTCACAGGCACCACGCTATTAAAGAGGAGAGGAAGGCCGAAGCACTGAACGCTATAGGTGTGTGGCTCCGCATCGGGTACAGGCTCAAAGAATATATCGAAGTTGCCAAACCACCGATGTATTTCGAGGGTGAGCGTTAGGGCATTTTGCGGCCTATCGATGTTGACCCCTTCAATTAGGTGAGCAACACCGTCATCGAACATGTTGAGTATCGTCAGTGCGGCCTGCTTCGCGGGATCCTAAGCAGGGTTAGATAGTTCAGTGACATAAAACGCTTGCTAGTCTGACGTACCAGTTCCTTCCCCTTTCCGAGTCTCGTCAAAGAGTGCGGAAGGATGTGGGCCACTTCTAGGTGATGGAACGGCAACGACTCATGTTCGAGCGGAGCATCATCGTCGTCTAGAGCGGTGCTAGTGCCCTTCCGGAAACGGCGAGACGCTTCCTCCTTATCAAAGCTGCGTGACACGACACAGCGATGACGGTCGCGTATGAGGCAAGCACCACGCAGAGCCGATAAGCGATCTGGGGTCCCCGCGAACTCGCCTCCGCCTTGTAGTCTCACGATGGCGGAGTGAAACGCTGGAGTCGGCTGAGGAGTTTTTCGGGTTGAGGCCTTGACTGGATATACGTCAGTTTTAGACTTGGAGAGGCAAGGTGACACGGCGTACTGGGGAGGAAGAAGTTGTCGAACAAGTAATCCGCAAAACCGAGAAAGCTGGAGCGGACATCTTGGTTCAGTTCGCTTGCGACATCTTCGCTGTCGTCCATAGACAATTCTAAGGAGCGGAAGAAAGCTCGTAGGAAGTTGTCCTGTGAGACAGGGGAGCACGCGTAGTCGTATGTCAGACGGATAAGTTGAGCACGGTTGTATTGAGGACTGGTCTGGCCGCCGCTACCAGCACCTCCGCCAACCGCCCTCACGGTTCCGGCTTGGCCGTCAAAATGGTCGACGATGTCGTAAAATTTGCGTCTGGCTCGATCGCGCGCGGCCGGATCCAAAGGCGGCTCAGTGGAGAAATTGATGATGCCTTCAAGCGATGACTGATGGCGATGGTGGGGCGAAGATGACCTCGTTTGCGCGGGCGAATCCAAAGGCGACCCAGTGAAATCGATGACGCCTTGAAGCGCTTCTCGGGCGCGATCATGATCAGTTAAAGACGGCCCAGTTTGCGCCATTGTGGTGGTTTTAGGTGGGTGTCGAAAGGTTGTGTAGTTCATGAAAGAGAAGAGGTTCGAGCGCAGGAGTGAGGGACCCTGATGGCTGGTGGGTGGGCCCTTGAATGCCAGTATAACCCTAACCCCCATATCGTCGCCATCGAAGGACGGCCGACTGAACATCTCCTGTATAAATGGATTCACATGAACAGTTTAGTAGTGCGAGAGTCACAACAGAAGGTAGCTGTGTATAAATGCCTAGTTCCTTTTTTACAGTTTCTATATCTATATTTCTTCTTTCCTTCTTTATTCTTCTTCTTCCCTGTTCTCCTCCCTCCCTTTTCTTCTTCTAACGGCTCTTTTTCTTGTTTCATGTTCTCCTTCTTACCTCTTCTCTCTTCTTTCTCTTCTCCCCTTTTCCTTTTCTTCTTCTTTCCTCTTCTCCTTCTTTCATCAAGTTCTTTTCTACGATCGCTTGCAAAGACTATCGGATTGTAACAACTAACAAGAGACGCCAGTACGGTTCGAAGTTGATACCCGGACACCCTAGTTGAGTCGTGGGCATTATATGCGCCGTCGAAGTTGAATGCTGAGTTGACAAAACGTGCCAGAGCCCGGGGGAGGGTGTGAAACGTAATACGGCTGGTCTGGGTGTTAATGGACTTCCTGTTCCTGTGATGCATCATCCCGGGCACCTTAGCAACCGGAACATACTCTCGGCCCGAGCCGCGGCACGGAGTGACCGTCTCGGTTAGGCGTGATGTTGACTGGACTTAGGTAACCTCGAAATTGCCCTAGTTTTGGTCACTCATGTCCACATGCCCCAGCCAGAGCAATGCGGGTCCCCGCCAATCCCCGAGCAGTCTCCGATGGGTATGAAAGACTCCGAACAACACCGGTAAACTACGAATACTTGTATCGACAATCAAAAATCCCATCATGGGTAGATGTAGGTACCCAGGGGGTTGTGTGCGTATAACAGCGATAGCCGGGCCACATCGATTCCCAGGTTCTTCGGATACAAGAGGCAGCTTGACATGGTTTGCGGGGCTCCTTTTCTGGGCGCCAAGGCCAACCCCCGCTTAAACCATACAGGCAGTAATCGAAAACGCCGTGGTGGACCTCACCTCGTCGCATCCAACTGGGAACCCAAATCGACAAACAAATCTCGACCTCAACTTCACAACTTCGCATATCATTTTGGATGCAATGAACCTCGTCGAACGAGTCCTTTCGTGGCTCCCTCCCAAGCTGAGGCGCAAACTCTGGAGGCTACGCAGCCGCTTGCGCCAGCCCTTCACTCCTCTCGAGCTACGCCGATCGCTGGGCACACTGCGCATGATCCACGCCGATGGTTTCCACGAATCCTTCCCCACCGCGCGTGCTTGCCTAGATCTTGCGCGCCTCCTCTTCAAGCTGCCGTGGTCTCACCCGTGCTGCCTCCCGCCGCCGCCCAGCGAAATCATGGCCTATCCACATCACCAGTACTTTCAAACACACCACGCCGCCCTCCTCGGCGAACGCCTGCTGCCCCTCTGGCGCTGGCGCGACACGGCACCGCGCTCCTTCTTCCGGATATATGAAACCTTTTGCGCCAGCCACCACGAGTACATCGGGTACGAGACCGAGTATTTCTGGTACCGCAACGACCCGGCCTGGACACCCGAGATGCTGCCCGACCCGCGTGAGTTCGGAGTTCTGGCCGCAGGCGAGGAAGGCGAGCGGCAGCTCGCCGTGCTCGCTTCGACGGCAGAAGCCCTGGCAGACGCCTTTAACTGGCGCTATATGTACGGCTTCCGGAGCGACCGCGAGCACGTCGAGCCGTCCATACACGACCCGCCGCGCGTCTACAAGACCGTCTTCAAGGGGCCCGCCTGGGCTGCGTCGGTCCCGCGCCTGCCTACCTTTTTCGAACTCGTCCCGGTCGACCCCGAGTGGATGGCTAAGGGTAAAGACAACGTGGTTCATTATTCCGGCGACTTGTGCCCCTTCTGGAAGCGCAACATTTTTGCCGAGACTTCCTCGCTGAGGACCGTATAGCTGTGTCTGATAAGTCGTTCCTGAACTTTGCCTGTACCGATGAAGACCGGCCTTGATTAATGTGAAGCCGGTCAAGCTTAGACCCTAGGCCGAACTCCCAATTCACCGAGTTACGGCCCTCAAAAATAACTGTACCCTGCTCAATGCTGTCCTCCAAAAGGCTCTGCCTATGCTCGATGAGAATGAAAAGCCTCACGTCGTTGTTGACAGGGGTTGCTCTTCTGTCCACACGCGGAAGCGCCGTGGCCTGGTAGCAACTCAGCTGCTGCGCTCTGCAATTTGCCAAAATATATAGAGTAGGGCCGTAAACGCGTTTCGTTAGCTAGAAATATGATCTATGACGCGTTGGCGGAACTTGGGGTTACAAGGCGAATGCCAGAATCATACCGCGATGTTGATGAAGAACGGAACTGAGAAACGGAATAGGAAATACATACTGAACGGGCACGGAATACACGTTCTGAGTAATGCTGAGTCATCAATTTGGAAAAAGAGGCAAATCACCAGGTCCAAATTTACGTTTTCGCCCTTCTACAATAATGATAGCCTTTAGTCTTCGCTGTTGTTCAAAGGGTGTCTTCAAAAATACTAGAACCTCCACGGAGTCTCACGGCACAAGATGTTGCCACACCAGTCCCACCGAGGCGGGCTACCAAGCCGAGTTCCGTTTTGGCCATTGGAGTAGGATGAGCAGACAACTTATTGGGCTGCGCCCTCAGGTGTCTCCTACACAATACAAGCACACAGTCGAGTCCATCCATCCTCTTTCCCTCAAAGACCGAGGAACGACACAGTCAGAAGGTCGATTGGAAAAAGTCAGCACAAAATAATGGTGTCGGCCACACTGACTTCCCAATTTGGCAGGTGCACCTCTTGTGTAAGTGCCTCGACTAGCGCCGTGCTTGGCGGACCATTTGGCAAGGGCGATGTGTTTTGCCTTCCTGCTTCCTTCAAGCCACAATAATAAAGGAACGGGGGAATTTCCTTCCACAGCACCTCACGGCCGACCACTCAGTTGCTCCATCAGCCGAGACAAGCAATGCAGCTTGACCGATGCATTACCGCATTTGATACAGGATACGACATAGTTAGGCGGGACGATACGACAGTGGTGGTTATCTTTGTTTCATTTGGGACCTCGCACCTGTCACAGCGGCATTTATCGACTGGTGTGTGTAACCACAAAAAATGCCGGCAACCGAATAACTATCGGATTCCAAACCAAGTATTCAGCCCGGGATGGATGAAATGAACAGGTCGGTTGTGTCATGAAGCAACGAAATCCAACAGAGAAAAATTCTCGTTTGTGGATCAGGGCATATCCATACCAGTGGGCCGGGCTCTCGATTTTGTTTGTCAAGGCCAAGATGCCCAGCCTACCGTTCGGGAAGGAGATGAAGCTTCCCAACCGCCCACGCGAGATGGCGATACCTCGGTTGCGCGAGCCGCTTGAGTACGATGGCGGCTCGGACTCGACCGCTGATAAGCGCACAAACCTACCATGCAATGGTGTGCACAGCGCCGCGAGGACGGCGTCGGGCAGTGCCGGCAAACTTCGAGACCTTTTGGTGTTTGTTGCCCCTCCGTTGCACGCCTTCGAACCCGCCCTCGGGCCGTCTGCAAGATGCTGCGCCGGTGTTGAGGCAAGGAATCATCGGCGTCGCCTGTTGTCTGGAATTTCCGGCTGAACGGTCTGGCCGCCGGGCGGTACCTGTTGGCTCGCTGGGCTCTCCTGGCACGGGGCTGGTGGACACCAGTGACAGACCAGACACGCCCTGGTCCCCGCACCTTCTGGTTTGCGAAAGAGGCGATTCGGCGGCGGCGGCGAATCCTACGTGCCTACCCAGCCCTCAGCTGCTCGATCCCGACAAACAGCGAAGCTCGGTGGGGCGAGCGAAGCTTCCCACGCCCACCTCGGCGCCGCTTGGCGGACAACGGAGCCGGACCGCGCCAAGCACTCTCGGCGGCATTCAAGACATAACACGGCCTATCGAACCAGTCGGATTTCGATTGCGAGCTTGCCAAGGGGCTGGGCATGGTTGCTTTAGGAAGTTCTCCGTGTGGATGGCAAATCCTTGCCAGCCTCGAACCAGCTTCTCCAGACCCAAAGTGCAACCGCCAAACCTCGAGCCGTTGCAGGCTGCGTCCTGGCACCCCTAGCCAAGTACAGAGCCAAGCGGCAGTTCCGCGTCGGCAAAAGCTTCGCTCAAGCCACCGTCTCAGCATCCTCAAGATTGACACGCCAAGACGAAATTCGAATTCATGCTGTTAAGGAGAGAACGCCGTGTAAGAGGTTCACGATTAGCTACACTAGACTCGGACAGAGCAGTTATCCGATCTCTGCCATAGCGCCGGGGACATTCCCCACCCATCCCTTCGCGTGATCAGCAACATGGAGGGTTGCGAGATACAACCCTGCTGCCCACTATCACTTGGCACTCTTGAACCCGTCTTGGAAGGTGGCAAGCGTTCCAAGACTTCTGCACTTTCCAGAGATGGCCATTCCTCCCTTCCGCATGGTTCGTTTGTTCGGGCCCTGCACGAATCGCCCGCCTGGGTCCCCGCGTCTCCATCCCATCTCTCCCCCCAACGCGTCCTCTGATTGCTCGGCCCGGGGAGACCTCGCCTTCGAAAATCCCACCTTCATTGCAGGGTAGTATCTGGCCATCTCCCAATGTCCCCAGACGCCCCTCTCACACGTTACCATCCCATCTGTGCGGGGATGTCTTACCGCAGCGTGGCTATTGTGGAACGTGCATTCTATATTTATATAGCTTCCCCTTCTCGCGTTGCGACTCGGCTGTCAAACTCGATTCTGCCCCTTCCCTCTCCTCGTCTGGCTAGTTTAAGCCTCCACTGACGAGCTCCTTCCCCCGCCATGGCGTCAGACCCGACCAGCATCGCTGTTAGCGATGATGTTCACGCCATTGTTCAGGACAAGGAGGCCAAGTTAGCCCCCGTCCCGTCCGCCCACGATGAGGACCAACTGGGCATCAGCGCTACCACTGCTGATGGCGGATCCCCGACCGAGGAGGAGCTGCACACGCTGCGCCGAGTGCCTGACAAGATCCCGTGGAGCATCTACACCATCGCCTTTATCGAGCTATGCGAGCGTTTCTCGTATTACGGTACCACGGCTGTCTTCACCAACTTCATCCAGCAGCAAATGCCCCCCAACTCGACGACTGGCGCCAGTTATGACATCGATAATGGGCAGGCTGGTGCCCTCGGGCTCGGCCAGCGGACCGCCTTCGCCCTGACCACCTTCAACTCGTTCTGGCAGTACACCATGCCTCTATTCGGTGCGTGGATTGCCGACAGCTTCCTGGGCCGCTTCCGGACCATCGGCGCTGCCCTCATGATCGACATCTTTGGCCATCTTATTCTCATCGTCGCCGGTCTCCCGCCTGTCATCAAGAACCCCAACGGCTCCCTCGGTGCCTTGGTCGTCGGTATCGTCTTCATGGGCATCGGTACTGGAGGTTTCAAGCCCAACGTCAACCCCCTCATTGTCGAACAGCTCGACCTCGAGAGAATGATCGTCAGGACACTTCCGAGCGGCGAGCGCGTCGTCGTCGATCCCGCGGCGACAGCTTCGCGCGTATACCACTACTTCTACCTGTTCATCAACGTTGGTGCCCTGTGCGGTCAGCTCGCCATGGTGTACTGCGAGCACTACGTCGGCTTCTGGCTGTCCTTCACCCTCCCTACCATCCTGCTCTGCTTCTGCCCTCTCGTCATGCTGTGGGGCCGCCGCCGTTACAAGCGCGTCCCGCCCCAGGGCTCCGTCCTCGGCCGGTCCTTCAAGCTGTTCTTGCTCGCCAACAAGGGCCGCTGGTCCATCAACCCCCGCAAGACGTACCGGCAGCTGCATGACGGCACCTTTTGGGAGAACGTCAAGCCGTCCAAGTTTGACGCGGCCTCGAAGCCCAAGTGGATGGACTTTGACGATGCTTGGGTTGACGAGGTCCACCGTGGTTTCAACGCCTGCGCTGTCTTCTTGTGGTACCCCCTTTTCTGGCTCTGCTACAACCAGAGTAAGCTACTTACCCCATCTCCCCCACCGGCTGCTACCAAGTTCTATCGTACTAACGTTCCCTAGTCAACAACAACCTCGTCTCGCAGGCTGCCACCATGCAAGTCGGCGGTGTCCCCAACGATGTTATGAACAACCTGAACCCCTTCGCCCTGATCATCTTGATTCCGCTCCTCGACACTATCGTCTACCCGACGCTGCGCAAGTTGCGCCTTAACCCTACCCCTCTCAAGCGTATTGCCGTCGGTTACTTCGTCGCGGCCAGCGCCATGATCTGGGCTTGCATCATCCAGTATTACATTTACCAGAGGAACGAGTGCGGCAACTACGCCAACGGCAAGGTGCCCGGCACCGACGTCGACTGCGCGCGCTCCGAGCTCAGCATGTGGGCCCAGACGGGCTCGTACGTCCTCATCGCCTTTTCCGAGATCATGGCGTCCATCACCAGCCTGGAGTATGCCCACTCCAAGGCGCCCGCCAACATGCGCTCCATGGTGCAGTCGGTCGCCCTGTTCATGAACGCCATCTCTTCGGCCATCGGCTTCGCCCTCACCCCGCTCGCCGACGACCCGCTCCTCGTCTGGAACTACGCCGTCGTCGCCATCCTCGCCGTCTTCGGTGGCACCATGTTCTGGATCCAGTTCCGCCACCTCGACAAGCAGGAGGATCAGCTCAACATGCTGCCCAAGGGCGCCATCGGCGACAAGGTGTCGAATGCCAAGTTCGAGGAGGACGAGAAGTCCGAGGTCAGGGTTTGAGCTGTGTGATGTTGTTGTTTCTATACTGGTAACGGGTGGTGCAAGGTTGTGAATGGATGAGTTATGCAGTAAATATGTCTGTCTTTTGAGCCAGGTTCGTGGTTGGTGATGTGGTTTGTTTTAGCTTTGATACCAACTTGTCTCTGTGGACAGAGGCAGACGACGACGAATTTGAATGGATGGGATACGCCCGCTAGTTTGTGGGTGCTCATACTTTTGTTGGCCCGTCGTGACTGCTTGACTGTGGGCTTCATGTGTCGCTTTCGCATGTTCCCTTCCATACAGCCGGCCGCTGCTTGGGTAGATAACTAGCAGTGCCTTGATACCTGGCCCATGGCGTTCCTCTCCAATAGTCACTGCTTCCCCTCAAATCACGAGTTGTACATGACACCACCAGCAAGTTGGAACGGAAACAAACTAGCTGCAACCCCAAAGCCGACGGATCGGGACTAAACCGGATGGGATGGCCCCAAGGCGCCCCATCTGACTTTGCTCGATGTTCTTGGTATTCACTAATCTTCCACCAACGTACTGTACTGTCCAGTAAGCCAGAAATCGGCTCACAAGTGGCATGCTAATCCTTCAACACCGCGACTACCTCCCATACTGACTAACTCGTCTATCAATCCCTGGGGTGCCGAGCTCGAGCTGCAGGTCAACGGTGTCCTTGGCGGGTTGGCGGTGGTGGCCGTGCCGCCGTGGGATTGATGAGGGTTGGTGGGCGAGGTGTGAGTTGTTTCGAGGATGGTGGGTATATCTAAATGGTGTGGTATCTCTGTTACGGCATTGTTGTGGTAACGGAGGCTAGGTCTTTCCATTTGGTTTGTTTGATCGGCTGTGTGTGTGTGGTTATGGCGGGGAGCGATACCGAGATGTGGCGCTGCTGGTGTTTGTCGGGAGAGTAGTGAACTTCATGAGAGGTTTGTTGAATTGACTATTAGTAGCGATGCTGGGATCGAACTGTAGATGGTTTTTATTCTTGCTTGAATATGGAGAAACGGTCATGTTCTTGTGGTAAGTGAGATGCCTTTTTACTGTTTTAGTTTTGCTTTCACTTTTTAGAGAACTCGACCTTCTCAAAATATGCTGTCTCTTCAAAGCATGCTTACATGTAAGCAGTCATAGCAGAACATGAGGTAAGTTTGGAATGTATGTCGTCGATTCCGGTCTAAAAGCACAAAACAAAGCAAAAGTGAAAGTAGCCAGAATCGAACCCAGGGGCGGCTTACCTCTGTACGATCCGCAGTGTGGTGTCCCGATGGCTCCCACAAGTTGCGGTTAATTCCACTGCGCCACTGGCTTTAACTCTGGCTGGAAGAAAGATGCGGTGGGCTGGGTTAAAGGTCCTCGGGGAGCGTGGGCCAGCGAGGTGGCAGTCGGCGTTGTGTTGCGGGAAGTCACGAAAGTTGAGATGAAAGAGGGGAGTAGCTAGAGTGCCTGAGGCCGAGCAGAAGTAAGGTACTGCCCTCCTCGGAATGTATACAGTAGGATGGGAGTGGGTTACTAGAGCCACTGGAAGTCACCTCTCTAAGACGTTGGTGGTAATTGTTTGCATACCAACCCATCCCCTGAACTGAAGCCACCACTAGAAACTACGAAAAATGATCATACCAGCATTTTCACCTGCGTCCGAAACCTGCCTCAGGAAGTGTTTTACACCTACCCCTAGCGATGCTAGGAAGATCTCTTCCTTACCCACTCAGGAGACCAAAGACAATCTCACCCCTTCTGTCAACCAGTCTCGGCACATGGCTCTCTTAGCCAAACCAAACCACTTGAGCGTAGATATGAGCACCAAACCGACCCCAACATCTTCAGCCACCGCACAAGGCAAGAACATCAAGCACGTTACCACAGTCACCATCCAGCAGTAGCAGAACAAGAAACATAACCCATTAAGAATGGAAGGGAAACAAGTCATGTTCACCCGCCGCCGGTGCCCCAAATCCAGGGCACCAACCAGGCCATATAGGTAAATAGGATACCAAGATCGACAATCAATAACAACGACAGCCGGGACAATCCCCAAACCACACCATCCACAACACACGTTCAAGCAACTCCCATCACCCCCCAATTCCTATCCACAAAATAGACCGACTAGGAAGATAAACCAGTAATCAACAGCCCTCGGGCGGGTAGAAGAGAAGTTAAACAATCCATACCATACGTCGATAGATATTCATCCATCCGTCCTCTTCTCCAGAGCAAGTAGGCAAATATGGTATTTGCCCACGCAAAACATAACAACCTAAACAGAGAAAACAGAACGGAGATAGAAATACGAGACGACAACAACATCAAGAGTCCCAAAACGCCAGTCCCTTCGCCCCCCACCCAACAACCCCCAAGATCCCAAGTCCCAAAAATCCCAAATCCCATCCCAATCCCTCCGGCATGTCTTCACCCCCCAAAGTAACTAGCTGGGTATTTCACTCCCACTCCTCGACGTGTGCTGGGTATTCCACTCCCCGACGTACGTGACTAGCTGGGTATCGCGCAACCTCTCCGCCGGCCGCCACAACACATCCCCCCTCGCCCCCCCCATCTTCTCCTCACTCCCTCCCCGTAATCGATCAAAAACAAATCCTCAGATCGGACTCGTCGGGAAACTGCGCACGCCATTCCCGACGCTCAAATCCCCGCTACCAGTCCTCCGCAGCGCCTGGCTCATGGTCTCGATGGCGATCTCGCCCCCGTTGTTGCCAGTGGTGGACGACGCGACGGGCGACAGCGACATGCTCATCATGCTGGTGGGGCTGCCGAGGGATTTGCCCGAGGGGGACGAAGCCCTCGCCCTGGCGGCGGCCTCGAGCCCGCCCCTGACCGACCCGCTCTGGCTCAGCGGGGGGCTCGCGCCACCGGGGCCGACGCCGCCGCCGGCGGAGGAGACGGGCGAGCGGATGGGGGACGGGGAGCGGTTGTGGGTGTTGGTGTTGTTGTTCGAGGTGAAGGAGGTCAAGCCCGCGAGGTGCATGCTGTCGCGCGGGGGGCTGCCGGGGGAGAAGCCGCCGTGCTCGGCTTGGACGACGTCGGCGAAGGAGATGAAGGATAGGCGGCGGACGTCGGTGGTGTCGAAGCTGCCGTAGTTGGAGGCAGTGTCAGCGGCGGTAGTGGTGGTGCCGGAGGAGAAGGCGGCGAGCTCGTCGGCCCAGGAGGCATCGCCGTACGGGTTTAGGCCGGTCACGGTCACCGAGGCGGGCTGATGGGAGGTGTGGGTAATGATCTCGACGGTGTCCGGGTTGAGATGGTCGTCGGTGATGGCTTCGGAAGAGGCATCGAGGACCGGGGGGATGTAGTTCTCGGTTTGGATATGCGAGGGGATGGCGGGGGAGCTGGGCATCAGGGAGACGCTGCTTTCTTGGACGTTGCGCTCGAAAATCTGGCTGCCGGCGGGCGAGGCGAGGCGTGGGGAGGAGGCGAATCCCGCGCGGCCTGGTGAGGAAGGGGAGAATCGGGCGCGGTCGGTTTGGATGGGGGAGGCGGCCGTGGTACGGGTAGTGGCCGGTTTGCTGGTGGAAGCGGGCTGGGCGGGCTCCGTCTTTTTCTTCCCGAAGCCGAAAAGGCTGCGCTTCTTCTTTTTCTTATCTTCACCTTCGGTGGTGTTGAGCGCCTGCCTGCGGGCTAGCAGTTCCGACTCGCGGGTCTGAAGCTCCCGGCGCTTCTCGTCGATCTCGCGTTGGACCTTGGCGCGGATCTCGTCTTGCTGTGTAGTCGATGGCTCGGCCAGTGTGGGAATTGTGGTACTGCCCTGGGCGGGCGCTGCGGTCGCGAGACTCATCTTGCCGAGATAGGTTTGTGGCGTGAGGTGGTGGATTGCGCAGGGACAAGGTGAGTCAGTTCCGGGTCGACGTCCGATGTCTATCAGGAGAGGTGGAGCTGTTAGCGATGCCGTCTTCTCGGACTATCGATGGGGTGGCGTGGATGATGGATAACACGTGGGCGGTAGAATAAAGAGAAAGAAGGTGTAGGTAGCGACGAGGTCAAGACGATATGTGTGCGACTGGTGGACAGATTTCCCGATTCGCCGCGAATATATCGACGATAAAGTGCGTCCCTGTCTGGGAACCAATAACCACGAACTGTGAGTGCGGTCGTACCTTGGCTCTAGGCCCGGGTCGGTGCGACGCGGGGAGCAGCTGAGCGTCGGAGCGACCGAGAAAAACCGGGTGTACTGATGTGCGTGCGCTGCTGTCTGTTTGGAGCACAGTGGTTGGTGCCTTCCTCGATGGTTTCGGGTCTGGCGCGAAATGTGATGCAGGTCGCAGGAAGGTGCGGCTTTCCCGGTTCCTTGAATCCCCCGTGCTGCTGCTGCCCTGGGCCGTCGGTCTCTCGTGTTCCTGGTCTTTCACTTGCCGGATCCGGGGCCGTCGGTCGGTTTCGTTAGGTAACAGTATGTACGAATACTGTGTAGGCGAACACTGGCGGCAAGATGATAGGGATGCGTGGGTGAGTAGTGGGGATAAGGTGTGCGGGCGTGTTCGTTATTATAAATCGCAAAATGGATTGGTTGGATGGATTGTCTCGTCCTTTTTGCTTTGTTCTCGGGCAGCGAGCGAACAAGGCGACCCGGTGACCTCGGAGCGCAAATCGCGATCAACAGGGAATGACGCTGTTTGGTACCGCTCCCCAGGCTGAAAGAGGGGTGTGATCCAGGCCGGTCCCGAAACGACGTAATGCAGGCCCACCCGCGATTCAGGACAGCTGCCAAGACGAGCAAGAACTAAAACGGGCGCTGGAATGGCATGGATCATGGATGGGACCTTTCGATTTACTTTTCAGTATGGAAGGTACATACCTTACCTACCTTAGGTAGGTCTCAGAAGTTGCCGTGTTCAGGTAGTACCTACCTAGGTAAGAGACATTTACGCTTGCTTGCAGCATTAGGCATGAATTCCAATGTTGCAACCCCTTGACTGCGCCTCGGCAAGCAGCAGCCAACCTGGGAATTCACAAACTAACCTTGGAACTGACCTTGTTGGCATCGTCCCCCAGAGTCTCATACAAACTAACGCAGGGATCAGACGAGATCTTGGAGATAGGTCAGGGGCTAAGCTGACGCAAGCATCAGGCGCTGCCCGGAGTATGTACTGGATACTATATACTATCTCCATACTACATACCTACTATATTATATTTCTGTCTGTCTTTCCACGCACATGCATGGGCCCGCACCTTAGGCGCGAGCTGGGTATCACCATCCCCTTCCGTACCGTGAAGCATCCATCTCATGCGCCCGGTTCTGGGGGTCCATCTCGTACAGTTGCGCCTGGGGATCCATCTCATGATAGAAATCTGTCCGCGGATCCATCCCATAATAACCGCCCGAATTCTGATTCATCTCGGCGGGCAAGCCTCGAGGGTCCATCTCGGCCGGGGGACGCGCGGGCAAGCCTCGAGGGTCCATCTCGACCGGGGGACGCGTCGACGTAACTTCCGTGTGACCGTGGGGGGCGTCAACCTCCGGAACCCCCGGATACTTGATCTCGCCGGCCCCATCCGTGCTGTTGTCCTGGTCCGAGCCGACCAACGTGGCCTGCTTGCGACGCCGGAGGAATATCCATACCGCCACTGCGATCATTGCCAGTCCCCCGATACCGCCCACAACCCCTCCCACGATGGCGCCAACCGGAGTAGCTGCGGGCTCTGGCTCGCCTGTCGGATCGGGGTCGCGGTCGGGGCTGCCAGTACCGGTAGGCGAGGACCCTGGATCTTGGCCTAGTTGGGAATATCAGCATTGACGCCCCAGATAAAGATGGCTGCGGACATGGTAACTTACTTGACGTAGGTGATGTGGTAGACCTGCGCGCAAACATTCGCCGCACTTCTTCCGAAGACCAGTTGACATCTGCGAACGACCTGGGCCCCTGTTAGCAAGACGTTCGCTCGGGCATGCAGCTCTCAGATCCGGGGCAAAACAAGCGCAAAGCCTACCCGTTGTTATACCAAGTCTCGAGGGCGCTGGGCCTCTCGTACGCCCCCGCATCCGCATTGTACGAGTCCGTCCATTGCATGTCCGTCATGTCAAACAAGAGCAGCCCGTTGGGTGCCGGGTCATCGGTGAGCTTCCAGAGGTCTTTGCCGAAAAGGCTCAGCACCTGCCGGCCGCCCACCTGCACGCAGGCGGCATCCGCCCGCGCGCTGTACGGAGTATTCGGTGCTTTTCTCCATACAAATCCCGGCAGGCTCAAGACGTATGCGTCCTGGTAGGTGAACAGGTCGCGCCGGTTGATTCCACCGGTGAGGAAGCTGGGAAGCTTGTTAGCGGTTTAGCGCACTCTGCCGAACCCAGCGTCACTCACATGTCGTAGCCGCCATCGGCGGTCTCGATGATGGCCGTGCAGGCTTGCGTCCGTGGCGAAGGTGGAATGTCACCGCTCGTCAGCTGCCAGTAAGTCTTCTTTGTCGTAGGATTGAACATTGTGATGTTGTAAAAGTCGAGAATCCGCGCGTCGTCGTCGCTGTCCCAACGGCCCACTAACGAAGGGACGAGTCCGCCAAGTATGATGATCAGGCCGTCGACCCCGATTGACGGGAGATAGTGAGCGTTTGCCCCTACCAGGGTCGGAAACGGGCTGTTCTCCGTCTCGTTCGTCCACACGCGAGACGCCATATTGAAAGTCACCATCCCCCCCACAACAGTAGATGTATTGTTCCGGCCTGGCTCCGACCACCTTTGGATATCCCCGCCGATTACGAAGGCCGTACTATCCGTGTTTGTGGACGCAGTTAGCGCGGCCGAATGGATCGCTTCGAAAGCCCCCTGGTTCGCAGCCTTCACAATCGACCATTCCCCCCCGCCCTCGCCATCGGCCTTGAATTTCCAGAGCTCGGGTTCTGTCATGTTCTCCAAGACGCTCGCTGGAAACCCGCCGCCCCACGAGTAAAACTCCCCGGCCTGACTGTCCGTCCACAGGGTTACGGCCGACTTTTTCGGTCCGGACTTTTCGATTGCCCGGAATGTGACACCGCTGGTGGTCCACGACCGGCTAATGTCAATGGAGAGGGTGAATTCGGCCGCGATACCTGTAAGAATTCCTTAGCACCAACCTAACACCTGCTACGCGATGACCTAAAATTCATGGATCGAATCGCGGGATGGGGCAATCAATCGCATACTTTCGCGGACCCTATTTACCGACCATTGTGAGAGCTCGCCCCCGTCAACGTAGACATAGTCGCCCAGCACCGTCGCTTTTCCATGTCAGAAGGTCGCGCGAGTAAACAAGCGCGGGGTGGAGAGGGGGGGAACCGAACCGGCCGACTTCTCTCGAACGAGATAGGTGTTGCGCGCAGGCACTTCCAGAACCGCTACCGCCAAGGCACAACATAGGCCGAGGAAGGCGAGGAGGGTTGGCATCCGCCGTCGCTCAGGAGAAGACATGGCGGGAGGGCGTCCGACGCGACGTCAAGAGGCCGAGAAACGTGCGGATGGGTACATCGACAATGGTGTTGGAGTTTTTGAGATTGGAGATTGAGGGAAAGAGGAAGGATCAGACTCGGCAGACCCTCCCCCAGGCCGCCTTGCCCTTGTGGAGTTTGAGTTTGTCAGACGGTAACATCAACCCCCCTGTGATGGGAATGATGAACCATTTGCCGTCTTCCGCGCTTCGACGGACCGGATTGGCACATTGGGCGTCCCGAGGTCCGCCCAGACTGGATTGTGTTGCATCAGCGCAAAATACATCCTACACTAGAGCACCATCGCAGGATTAAAGCGCAGAACCCTGCAACCAACGGCACAGTCTCGCAGTCAGCTTGCCCCTTGGCGATGAGCGTTGTTTCCGTTTTCTGTTTAGCCATGGACCCATGGTGAGAAACAACTGTGAAAGGGAGAAAGCGCGCGGAAAGCATGTGAGGGTCCATGGGGCCAAAAATCCAAAAATACGACGCTGCCCCTGCCTCGGCGCTTCCCGCGCGCTTTTGGTTGGCCGCTTTGCAGCGGGAGAAAGTTGGGGGCCGCAACTCCGTCAGTACCCCATAACAACCGAAGCCCGAGGCAGATTCAGCAAAGAGCAAGTCTTTTTTCTCAACGCCATATTTCTGGCTTCCTCATCGCTCGGATATTGATGACAGTGTTGCACCCAGGGTGAAGTTTATGAGAGGGGAATAAAATCATGTGTTTAGATACGTATCCCGGCCTGCCAGTGGTACAACTTTGGCCAATCCTTGTATTATTTTACTAGGTATGTTGATGGGAGCCAGCCACTTAGTTGGTTATTACCTTCTATCGAGCATGTTTCTCTCGTTTTAGTAAAGGACCGGATGCCGGCCGCCGTTGATCCCGACTCATGCCCGGCCCGAGCCGGCGGGGTTTCGCTCCACACGGCCCGGAGTCACGGAGAGGTGGGCACAAATTCGGCGCTGTCATGATTGGCTTGGAGAGCCAAAAGTGGTTCTGGCTAACCAGAAGAGGCTCAACATGCACGTGACAGCTTCCCCAGTGCCCAAGAAAAAGTTGATTGCATCGCGACTCCAGACCGCACTTGTCGAGAGCGAAGGAGGTGGACGGCGGCCCGACAGCACACCAGACAAGCCCGTTCCCAATTGCAGCTGCCTCATCACTCCCCTCTCTTTTTACAGCGAGCCGACCCTCGCTTCTCAATTGTTTTCCTTTTCTAACTACATTGGGAATCCGCCTTCCGACATTCGGCTCCTTCCCACCACCATTTTCACAAGTCGATCACAATGGAGGCCATGGTAACAAGACCGGCAGTCACCTGCTGCCGGCGGGTCACATTCTCGGGCCCGACATCATCCCGGCTCGTGCTAAGCAACACCGCCACGACCCTGCCCTCGGGCACCCGCCAGAAGTCGACGGCGGCCCGCACACGGGGCGCGCTCAACATACCCCCGCACGACTCCTTCCTCAACCCCAACAGCAGCGCCGCCGACCGCAAAGCCCGCCCGACGACGGGGCAGATCATCTACAACCCGCCGTCGTCCGCCGCCTCCGTCTTCCACACGCCCTTCATATTCCTCCCCAAGGAAGACCCGCGGCGGCGCGCCAACCTCGGCTCCGAGCTCTTCGCCGCCTCCACAACCATCCACTACCCCTCCAACAACAAGAACACCACCACCACCACCAACACCAACCAACCCCAATCACAAACCACCACCACCACCACCAGCACCAACCCCAACCAGCCCTCAGCAGCAGCAGCAGCGACGGACTTCCCCTCCATCGAAGGCGAGCCCCGCTACCGGGCGCGGCACCACCTGACCAAGGCGGACATCGAGGAGATGCGGCGGCTGCGGGCGTCCGACCCGGTGGGGAACAGCGTGCAGGCCCTGTCGGCGCGCTTCCGGTGCAGCAAGCTGTTCGTCATGATGTGCTGCCAGGCGCCGCCCGAGCACCGCGACCGGGTGCAGGCGGAGCTGGACGCGGCCAAGGCGCGCTGGGGCCCGCGGCGCGCGGCGGCGCGCGGGGAGCGGCGGGCGCGCATGGGCATGCTGTTCAATGGCGAGTTATGAGCGGTTTTGTCATGGCTGAGGTGGGTGGGGTGCGGGGTTGATGATGGGGTTGGGGGGTTACGGGGTGGGACATCGCATTTTGATGGTGGGTGGTGTTTCGGGCAGTGTGTCGTGCGCGGTGGGGGTTCACGTCGGGCACTGGTCCAAATGGTCTGGATTTGGGAAGGCGGGAAAATGCCAATGTATGTACGATCAATGGAAGGCAAACATTCAACGGTCGATGGCGGGCATAGATGAGATCTGTAAGACAGCGAAAATGGGCATGACGACTGGCGTCTATAGCCTCCCACTGTATAATGCAAAATCTACCTTGTAAATTCCTCTCGTCACCACATCATCACTGCCGCCTCTTCCTGGATTCGCGTTGTGTGTTGGCCCATACAATCGTGTTTTTAAGGAGCTAATCGAAAGTAGCAGGGAGTCCGGGCTGACCTCCGGTAGTAAATGAAAATAGCGTAACTTCGTGCCATTCCGCCTCGAATGGTTATCCGTCACTCCTCCCAACCCTCACTTCTCTCAACTCTCATCCCCCTTCACTTTCCCTTTCCCCTTTCTGTCCGCCTGCCTATCCATCTCGTAGTCTTTGTTCGACGGAATAACCCTCCGACACCAACCACACCAACTCCGCCGCTTCCCCTGCACCTCACGCCCTAGGATCTCTCCCCTCGCCCGCTCGTCCTCCCACTCGGGCACGCACGCGCCCACCTTCACCATCCGCACCCGCATATTCTTCATGACCCCGCCGATCCCCTCCACCTCGTGCCGCTCATATCCGGGTTTCAGTGCCGGACTAGGCGTCCGCCTGTCCTGAACCGACGCGCCTGATGAGCTGACTAGGCTGCTGAGGCTGGCCGAGCTACCGCCGGCCCCGTTCATGGTCGCCGTCCAAGGCCCCAGGGAAGAGGTGCTGCTGCTGGGCCCGCTGGGCGGGGTTGTTGCGGCCTGCTGGAAGTACTCAGCGTCGCGCGCGTCCTCGGCGTCACCGTCCATCTCCTGCTCGCGTTCCCGGGCCACGCAGCACTCCGTCTCACGTCCGCAGATGACGCCGCGGTCGCCTTCGCCTATGCCGGTGCCAAGCCCGCCGAGGACTTCGGTGTATTGGCTGCGCCATCTCCAGATCCTGGTGCGGAGTATTAGTGGAAAATGACTTGAACGAAGATAGAGATGGGGCAGATTTACCCCTTGTACTCAGAATCATCGCCACGGATGGACCTCCCACAGGGCTGGCAGAGCCAGACGCCCCCAGAACCGCACCCGCAGATCGCCCGTTCCATGTCGTCCGAATCAATCCGAATCTCTGGCCCGAGCCGCGGTTTGACGAGCGAGCCGACTGGTGCTGCCACGCATGGCCCGCAGAGACGCCGGTGACGGTCTCGTATGACGATAGGTGCAGGGGGTTTGATAGCACAGTTCTAAAAAGCCGGTTAATGGGCGTCTACTACTGAAGATGATCCATTTATGGTTCGGGCTCACTCTGCAGACGACGATGCCGCACCGACGGCACCCGGCCACTAGATCCCGAGCGCACTGGCCGGACTTGCCATTGTAGCTCGACCTGGCTAAATCCTGCATGTAATACCAGTTGCTGGCACGGGCTCGGTACCGGAATGTGTCTTCCGGGTCGACGGGGACATGCTCATTGATGCAATGCATGGTCGAGACAAGCAGCATTGTGCGGTACTGCAGCAGCCCTTGACGAATCTGGCGGCAGGTCCGCGACAGGCTATCGAGGGTGTTGAGATCAATCGAAGCGGCTACCGACATGACGATGCTGGTCATCGAGTCAGCAATGTTTGCCTTGGCAGGACTAAATCTGCCAAGGTGTTGATGGTTTCATGCAGCTGAGAAGACGCATGAAGGGTGGTGCAGCCTACGGATAGCATCCTAAAGCCTGCGTCATGGAGTTCTGGTTCGGATTCTCCCTGGCCGCGATCCCATGAGCCTCCTCCTGTGTATTCCACGCGACATTGCCGGTACCGACGCCTCCGTCACCGGGAAGGCCTAAGCTTGCCGCCGGTATCGGCACCGGCTTGACGGCGTCAACCACGCCGTTCCACATCGGCTGGTTGTCTTGAGGAGACTCGCTGTCATCCTCGCCCAGATCCACAAACACGGCCATGTTGGGGGATGCTGTGTGATGTAAAATCACGAAGAGCCGTGTCGGAACGACAATCCAAGTGTTCGAAGTTGCCTCGATCGCCTCGACCCGAGAACCCTGTTACACCTCGAACTGGAAGTAGAAAATGGCGATGATCACAAACAAAATGATAGCAAGAGACGGCAAGTACTCAAAGAAGGAACTATAAAATTGGAAAAACCAGACGGGCGGTCATCGTAGTGATGGTTGACTGGCTTGAGGCCAGTTTGACGTGTTGAGACCTGGAGTTGTTGTTTGAGGAAGTTGCTTCCCGAACACCGAAACTTGATATGCCGCTGACAGGTGGTAGCGACCCCGCCTCTCCACCCGCCAAGCATTGTTGCATAGTTAAGCTCTTTGCTGGTAGCTCCTTGTATTCGCTAACAACACTGACACCGCTGTTCGATGGTTAGACCACTGCATTCGGCCATGTGACGTTTTCGCTCTTTCCATATCAATCACCGCCAGATTGTTTGTTTCGATCGAGTCTGGCGAATTTGGCATCCAACGAAACCAGTATCGCACCGTGCCCCTGTTAACGGCCGTTCTGAGGTTGAGATTGCTTTTGATAATGCTGCTTTTCCTCTGGGCGATTGGAACTGACTCAACAATTAAGACGAACCTCTGATTCATAATTTCTTTTTCACAAAAACGCCGATTCCCTCTTTCGTTTCGTCACCCTGAAAGTCCTGCGTACCAAGATCGAGTTATGGTCATGTCTTCCTGCTCACCGTCGGCGGGGTTTCGGTGATACGACGGGTGGTTTGAATTAAGCGGTGATGGGCAGAGCTGAGTAAGGATCTCGCTCTGCAGCAGTTTTCTGCATGTTCGTCGGGGTTGGGACCTGTATCAGCGGGGCCATGAGAGGGCTCTCTTGGCCCAATGATAACGGCTTCAACGACGCTCTTTTTAACACGATCACGGCGATCCTTGGCAGCCCCGCGCCATCTATCTTTAGCCAGCGATTGTCGATCTTTTCCGCGAGGAGAGCCGCGAGGATTCAGATGCGGCGCGAATCGACGAATACGACGTGACATCAGAAAAGCGAGATGTTGTGCGCCTGGGACAACGAAAGAACCGAGACACGCACCAAAACTGATCACAATCGATGTCTTGCGCTGGGTGGAGATTTGTTGTTCTCAGAAATGAACACAAGCATCAGGCGTTGGTTGCCCGCGTGGGGGTTTCCAGAGCCGCAGTGTCGTCCTCGCCGTGGTTGGACGCTCTCCTGAAGTGGCGTCGGGAGAAGGTTGCAAACCATCAGATCGTGGTGTGATGCAGCCGCGCTGACTCTCCGATCCGAAGACGGGTTGGGACTGTCAAATAGCGAAACCGAAGGCAACGAGCCTCTCTGGTCCTCACGCATTGATGTCGTTGCTGGCGTTGGCGTTGACCCGGATCTCCCCGAGCAGAGCCGAGTTCTCTATTCTGCTCAATTCTGCTGCCCCTACCCGCGATTCGGCTCATCTCCCGCCCGTCGACGGAAATGTCGGTGGCGCTGAAAAAAATTGGGTTCTGACGGCGACAGAGGGGAGTCACCAAAAGGGAAATGGACCAGCTGAACGGGCCCTGCAGCCAAGAACACCAAAGCCATCCAATGCCTTGCCGCCGCCGCCGCCAACTAGTGGCTCCGTCGTGTCTCAAGCTTGCAAAATAAGACGTTGGAAAAAGCCGCCTGTCTCGCTCTCTACCAGACCGGCGGCAGCTTGATGAACAACATACCTCGGCGCCTTGTTCATGGCCGGTCGTTGCTGTTTCCCGTTCAGGGCGACGGCACTTCGTGACGATGGAGCAGGGAGCATCCTGTCAAAATATTCTGGGCGCTCAGTTGACACCCTGTGCGTCCTCGTGAGAATGGAGACATCTGGGTTGGTTCGTCAGGACCTCCTTGCGCTGCAAGGCTCAGCTAGCAATTGTTCTGGATTTTCGAGCTCCGCTTCCATCGGTGCCGGAGTTCCACGATCACGGCCCAGTCCGGAAAGAAGTGAAGTTCTCAGCCTCTCAGCTCCCCGAGCGTCTCGACCCCCTGGCCCACTGCATGCTTGGGTTGTGATCTGGCCCGCGGTCTATTCCTGATGCGGAAGAAACTAGCGGGAAATCTCAAGATCGCGGCAACCATTGCTTTGGTGAGGGCAGACGACGCATGTCGGGGACAGTTCCCGAGCTCTTCTTCACGAACTTGTGGCCGAGATACTCTCCCCTCGACAGGATCGGGCAACCGCGATTGCAAAGTTACACGAGCCACGAGCCAAACTTCGACGAGGATTTCTCGATGGTTTGGTTGGTTGTCCGTTTGAACACCAACAGGGGTGGCGGATCAAACCCTGCCGGGAAACCCACCCTGCAGGGCTCGTCGATCGCTTCCTAGACAGGGGGGTGCCAGAGGTCGCGAAGGCCGCCCTCTTTGTTGCGTTGTCAGAGCACTGAGCTGAGAAGCTGCATGTTCACCCGCTCCGCCGGAGAAGAGAGAGAAGAAGCATGCATGAGTGCGCGAAAAAGAATCCGGACCAGCCCATGGCCCACCCCCTAGCAAGACCTTCATTTGTTGGTGGGGGTTCAAGTCTGTGCTGTCAATGGTCTCGAGCCTCTTCCCAGACGCGAGTTAGTGGCTTTCACAGGGTACCCTCCTTATCCCGGATGTATGTACCTGCACGGCACACCCAACTACCCGGCTCGCTTCTCTTCCTCTTCCCTTTTGCTTCCACACTTGTCGATCACCCGGTTCCCAGCTCTCCGGCTGCCGTTTGCCTCCCCACTTGAGGATCTTCCCATATCGACCTACGGCAACGGAGAGGTGTACCAAGTAATTATCTTGGAGACGCGCTCAGGTTGAAGCCGAGGTGACAGGGTGTTCCGGGACTCACCCTCGTCAAGGCAACCATTTGCGCTTTCGACCCGGTCCGATCGTTACCAACATGAAGAAGTTTCAGTCGTACTTCACCCCTTCGACATCGGAGGGGGAGCAGAAGGAAAGCAATGAAGAGACGAAGGTAGCGGGCACTCGGTCCCGGAGGAACGGCTCCAAGTCGTCGGCACATCAACTCCAACCCATCCAGGGGAAGGATTCCGGATTAGCAGCCGGCGCACCTCTACCACCATCAGCCAACTCCGAGGCCGTCCCGATCTCCGCACGGGGGAGCATGCTCTCAGTCCCGGGCGCGGCAACCCCCCAAACCCATCAACATGGCCACCAGACCCCCGAGACGGCCAAAACCAGCCCGCACACCTCCCGGGCGCCGTCCCTCCGGCACTCCTTCCTCCCGGCGCACGACGCCCGCAGCCGCGACTCGGAGACGATCAACGAGATCCGCAACGACATGATGGTCAACTGGCTGTACGAGCAGCAGCTGCGCAAGCAGTACGCGTCCGGGGCGGACCCCTACGAAGGGGTGGTGCTCAAGAAGGCCCGCGGCGCCTTCGCCTGCTGCCCGCCCCAGATGGCCGCCATCCCGGACTCGCTCTTCGCCGTCGTCGCCCAGATGAACGTCCGCTGCGCCATGACCGTCAACACCCCCGTCGTCCGCGCCCTGCTCGACTCTATTATTCACAAGACCGATCTGGATTATGTCCCCCTGCCGGACGGTCTGCGTGTGCAGGTGCTGCGCACCATGGCTGACCTGCCCCGCGGCCAGCTGCATCATTTCGCTGCTTTTGTGGAGGATGCAAGGATGCTGATTGTGTGGGACGATGAGCCGGAGAAGTTGCTGAGCAGGGTGCAGATCCTCGAGGCGAAGTTTATTGAAATCATCTGGGGCAACGGGGATGACGAGGCCGAGGAGGATGATGCTGGCGCGGAGAAGAAGGGCGGTGCTGGTGTCGCAGTGCAGGAGCTGGATCCGGGCCAGCTTGAGGAAGCGATGGCCAAGGAGAATAGGCCGGTGAGGCTGGAGAGCGCGTTTATGGTGGGGCTTACGTTGGCATTATGGATCGTGTGTCCCGCGCTGGGCTGGAGGTGGTTGGCGTACCAAACCGTCGTCGACGGGACATATCTGAGGTTTGCGTTGCTGGCTTCGGCTCCGGCGCAGTTGTTTGTCAGCTTGGTGAGTGCCGCGGTCCGTCGATAATTTAGGGGCCTATGCTAACTGTGTCCAGTTCTTCTTCCAATCCATCATCACCAGTCTTTTCCAGGTCTTTGGGCCCATCTCGGCCGTCGCCAACAATAGTAAGTACTACAGCGGCAGGCCCCCTCAAAGGATCGACCGCAACCAGGCGACTCTGCCCCACGTCACGATTGAGATGCCCGTATACAAGGAGGGCCTCGCAGCTGTCATCAAGCCCACAATCGTCTCGCTGAAGGCGGCCATCAGCACGTACGAGATGCAAGGCGGCTCGGCCAACATCTTTGTCAACGACGACGGCATGCAGCTTATCTCGGACGAGGACGCCCAAGGCCGCCGCGATTTCTACGATGAACACAACATCGGCTGGGTGGCACGCCCTGCGCACAACCCCAATCCCGAGGCCGGCTCGGAAGAGAAGCGGTTCGTCCGCCGCGGCAAGTTCAAGAAGGCCAGCAACATGAACTATGCGCTGCACGTCAGCAACCGCGTTGAGGACAAGCTGCTCGCCATCAAGCGCGGCAGCAAGTGGAACAACGAGCAGGAGAACGCCGCCTACCAGCAGTGCCTGGCCGACGTGCTGCACGAGGACGAGGGCCGCACCTGGGCCGAGGGAAATATTCGCATTGGCGACTACATTCTTCTCATCGATTCGGATACTCGCGTGCCGCACGACTGTCTGCTGGATGCCGTCAGCGAGATGGAGCAGAGCCCAGAGGTGGCCATTCTGCAGTTCCAGTCGGGCGTCATGAACGTTACCAACTCCTTCTTTGAGAACGGGTAAGCAGCACCAGCGTTTCCCCTTTTGGCTGAGAAACATACTGACATCGCCCAGCGTCACCTGGTTCACTCGCCTCATCTACTCGTGCATCACCTTCGCCGTTGCGTCGGGCGACGCCTGCCCCTTCGTCGGCCACAACGCCATCCTCCGGTGGCAAGCTCTCCAGGACGCGGCTGCCTTCACCGACGAGGACGGATACGAGAAGTACTGGTCCGAGTCGCACGTGTCGGAGGATTTCGACATGTCGCTGCGCTTGCAGGTCGCCAAGTACACGCTCCGTTACGCCTCGTACACGGGCGACGGTTTCAAGGAGGGCGTCAGCTTGACTGTTTACGACGAGCTTGCCCGCTGGGAGAAGTACGCGTACGGCTGCAACGAGCTGCTGTTCCACCCACTGCGCTTCTGGCTCGTCCGCGGGCCGTTCACGCCGCTCTTTAAGAAGTTTATCGCTTCCAGCATCCCGTTTCCGAAGAAGATGACTATTCTGGCGTATATCGGGACATATTATGCCATTGCTGCGGCGTGGCTCCTGACGCTGGGGAATTATTTCATTACCGGCTGGTTCTACGGCTTGTACGACAAGTACTACCTCGACTCGTTCGCCATCTACATCTCCATCATTGTCGTCTTTACCGGACTGGGTAACCTCTCGTTAGCGGTGCTGAGGTACCGGTTGAGTGAGCAGTCGCTGCTGTCAGCCTGTACGTCTCCATCTCCATCTCCAGTTCAAACCTCCTTCCACACACTAACTCGTGAATGCAGACTTCGAAAACCTCAAATGGATTCCCATGTTCTGCATTTTCCTCGGCGGCATCTCGCTGCACATGTCGCAGGCCATCCTGTCGCACTTCTTCGAGATCGACATGGCGTGGGGCGCCACGGCCAAGGAGCTCGAGGAGGTGCGGTTCGGCCCCGAGATCTGGCGCATCATCCGCCGCTTCAAGTGGACCTTCCTCTACTGCTTCGCCTGCACCGCCCTGATGGTGTGCGGCAACACCGTCTTCCCCGTCCTGTGGCGCATCAACACCTTTTACAGCATCTATCCGCTGGCGGCCACGGTGGTCTCGCACTTTGCGCTGCCCGTGCTGCTGAACCCGGCGCTGATGATGTTTACTTGGTAGTGGAGAGGACGGTGGGAAGGGTTAATTGGTGATTACCTTTCGGTTCTCTTCGTACTATCTATTTTCTCATGATTATGACTCCTTAATGTTTTTTGTTGGCATTAGATGCCGATCCGCTGAGGAGTCGGTGGTATTTTCGGCGTCGGAGGGTTGGTTAACTTTCTGCGGCCCCTTTAAGCATTCAGCGACGACATAGATTTCCTAGAGCACATGCAACGGTGGATTCACCGGTAATAAAACAAGGTTGACTTCACACACAGTCTTATTCCTTACCATTCCGATATGACTCCCTCCCCCCTTTCCTCAAGGCGGTTATTTCGCCGTCTGCAGCGCGTCCCTCATTAACACCTCGGTCGTGCCCTCCCACACAACGCCCACACAGACCCGACAGGTCCCCTAACGGGAAGCGGTCTCCGTTTTGGGACCCCGATACGTTCTCATTCCGGTCCTGACATGGAGGGTCGGCGGGCCGAGTGCAGGAACCCAAAACCCGGGAACGCGGGGAAACAGGGGCCGGGGCCCTGATCGCATTTGTCGAGGGGTATGAATTCTCTTTTCCCTCTTTTCTCGAGGTTGTATTTTCCTCCTAGGAGTCAGAGCGGAAACCCCTAAACCGTTTCGTTTTTCTGTTCCGCTGTTTATTATTTTCGCATCGAGACTTGGTCCCACCATACCTAGGTAGGTACCTAAGGTCGCAACCTCCCTCTCAATGTGACGAGTTGTTAGTGGGAATTTGGAGCGTGATCGCTCCTGCATCGTTCCTGCCGTAGGTGGCTGTAACTCCCGGGCTCACGTGCTTGGGCGTTTCCGGTTTGAGGGTGCTCTCTGAGAGGAGGAAGGAGGCCCGGCCAAGCCTTTACGTGGTGAGCCTGCCATGGACCCTGCCCCCGCCACTCAAGCAGTGCGCCTCGGGAGCCTCGTTCGTCAGCTCCCAGGTTCGTCGACATGTCGCCAGCTTCAATTTCCCTCAATTTCATCCAAAACTCGGAAGTCCATCATAACATCGGACAAAAATGAAGTTTGGTGCACGGGGTTCAGTGAGAGATGCCCATACAACAACATCAACCCCTAAAAGGAATCAGCAATACAGGGCTCTCGGTAGTCCATGAGCCCGAGGGCAATGCGCCAGCCGCCGTCGTCGAGTATGTGTTTTTTTCCCCCTTTCTTCCTCTAAATGACCCGACTAACTCCTCTAAGTATTGTCATTGTCCATGGTCTCCAGGGCCATCCTTTCACAACATGGGCTTGCAACAGACCGTCTCCGCCGCGGCAGGCATCTCTGCCAGTGCAACGCGGCAAGAAGAGGGATTCTTTGCGCTCCATGATCTCCGTACGTCTGCGAAAATCTTCCCCGGGTAGCAAGTCCCCGCAACCGGCAGACCTACATCATCCCCAGAAGCTCCAGGAATCCAACCCACTCGTCTACTGGCCCCGGGATCTGCTCCCAAAAGACTGCCCCCAGTCCCGTGTTCTCGTCTATGGTTACGATACCAAGGTCACCAAGTATGTTAAAGCCGCTACCAACAAGAACAGTGTCTTCTCCCACGCCAAGGACCTGCTTTTTGCGTTGTCGAGGGCAAGGCAGCTTGACCGACCCCTGATCTTCATCACCCACAGCCTCGGAGGCGTGGTCGTCAAGGAAATGCTCGCCCAATCCGCCATGGCCACCGAGGAAGGGCCGAAAAACATCGTCGACTCTACATCAGCCGTCGTCTTCCTCGGCACCCCTCACCGAGGGAGCCCAGAGCTGGCTGCTCTTGGCGAATGGGCCCGAAGCTTGATCAGCATTTTTAGGATGGAGACCAACGACGCCATTCTCAACGCCCTGAATCTCAGGACTACCGATCTTGAACGTGCTCAAGAATCCTTTTCGGCTCTCTGGTTCAAGTACGACTTCCGGGTAAAGACGTTCCAGGAGGGCCTGGGGTTGACGGGTGTCAACTTGTCAGTTTTGGGCAACAAGGTCGTCCCGGACTCGTCATCGCTCATAGGAGACCCCCGTGAGCAACCAGAAACCATGCAGGCAAACCATATGGACATGTGTAGATTCGCAGGTCCCGACGACCCAAACTACCTGAAGCTATCCGGAGAAATCGGCTCAATCTATGCCTCGCTCGTCGGTCTCAACGAACAGAAAGTCCACCAGGGCGGCCATATCCAACGGCATAAACCATCTCTGGCCGCTCAGTCAATGAGGTCGGCGCCATCGGCGCGGTCAACGCGGACGAGAAGCGGGAGACATCCTGGCCTGGGCGCCGCTGAGATGTCCAGTCTCAAAACCCTATGGTATGCGGGTATGGATGAACGATGGCGCAACGTGGAGGAGCCAGCCGCACAGACGACGCTTTGGCTCTATGAGCAGCCCTCATACCAAGACTGGTTCCACAACCGGAACCAAGACAAACATTGCGGTCTTCTCTGGTTGAAGGGCAAGCCCGGCGCAGGAAAATCGACCCTCATGAAGGCAGCGTTCCGGAGGGCCGAGGCTCAGCAAATACAGTCCGGTTATTGGACCGCGGCTTTCTTCTTCAACGCCAAAGGCAGTGAGCTGGAGCACTCCCCCCTCGGCCTCTTTCGGTCACTGCTATATCAACTACTACCCCGGTATCCCAGCCATATGCGTCGATTCGCCCAGATTCTGTCCTCCAAGAGTGAGCTGAACCCAGACAAACCGCCCGCCCTCGGCGAATCCGAACTCAAGACCTTCCTTCAGTCCATGTTTGCTACGAAAATAGAGGGGAGAACCGTCATATTTGTCGATGCTCTCGACGAGTGTGACGCTAAGGCTATGCGATCCCAAGCGTACTTCTGGAGGGAGATCACCCAATCTGCCCATGCTGCGGGCACCGAGCTCAGCGTTTGTCTTTCGAGCCGCCATTTCCCAGCCATCACAGTGACCAACTGCCCCGAGATTCTCGTGGATCAGCACAACAACCAGGATATCATCAGGTATGTGGACCAAAGACTCGGTCTCGGGATTTCCGAAGCAGAACCAGAAAGACAGATTCTCAGAGACCGCATCATCAGCAAGTCGGCTGGCGTATTCCTCTGGGTGACCTTGGTTGTGGACGACATACTTCAGAAACGGGACGAGGGTACGAGCTTGCGGTCTTTGCTTGGAGAACTCGACAACATCCCCGAAGAATTAGAGACCCTATTTTCGTCACTACTCCGGGCCCTGGAGCCGGGCTTGAGGCGGCTCACTCTCCGGCTGTTTGAATGGGTTGTTCTGGCAACCAGGCCTCTCCGTCTCTACGAATGGCATCACATTCTTGGTTTCATCCAATCCGAGCCACCCGAGTCTCTCGCCGCCTGGCGAAAATCGGAGAAATACACGGACAGCACTGAGCAGCTGGCGAAGCAAATCAGAACGGTATCCAAGGGTCTGATCGAAATAGTATCTAGCGTTGGGGTTGGGGATCATCAAAGCGACGGCTCCGCGCTCAGCTCTGCTTACGCCGGCGCTGGGTCAATGGAACTCGACCAGGGCGAGAACCGCATCGTACAGGTAATTCACGAATCGGTACGGGAATACTTTCTGCACGGCGGTGGCTCCTCCTTGTTCGACGAGAGTCACACTCAATCGTTCGTTGCCCAGGGCCATCTCTCCATCATCGGCACCTGTCTGGACTATATCAACATTAAGGAGCTGGATGCGCTGGTCGAGGCACGTACCGGGCCGGCCAAACCTGCTGTCCCACTAAACCAGGGGTTTCTATCCGTCCCTGCTAGAGCGCGCTCCTGGGAGTCGTCGTCGAGCGAATCCAGCTCATCACCTAGGAACACCTTCTCTCGCGGCTGGGGCCGGAGAGCCTCCGGCAGTGTCAAAAGCTTTGGCTCCGCTTTTAGCCATTCCAGTAGCTACGGGGCACGGGCTAGAAGGCACAGCGTTGATGCGGGAAAGAGTAGCTACCGGGAACGGGTTAGAAGACACAGCGTTGATTCGGTAAAGATTAGCCATCCCTTTCGCCTGGCCACGACAACCAGTTGGAAGCCAATCTCTATGGGCAGCCGGTCCTCTTCCAAACGGTCTACGGCCGGCCGCAATGCTCCCCAGGGGGAGTCCGTCTTTGAACAACTCAAAAAGGCATCTGACGCAGCTTGGGACCGCGATTACTTTGCACAGAGGATGTCCATGTACAAAATCGCCCCGGACCAGATATCGGTCAACCCATCTCTTCCGTACGATACCATGACGGTAAAGACGCGGCTTCTTGAGGACTACCCAGCGCTCCTTTCCTACGCCGTATCCGAGGTGTTTGCCCACGCTCAGTTGGCTGACGAGGCTGGGGCCGACCCAAGCCCGGTTGTGCGTCGCTTTCAGGAGAATGGTCAATGGACCAGGTGGTTAGCTTTGGCCGAGGACTTGTCCCTTAAAACCGGACTGCTCTACTTTGCCGCGGATCAAGAGCTTTTGTCTTGGGTTCACCAACTGAGTGTTATGGAGTGGCCGGATACAGTCCCTTCACAGCGATCCACCGCCGCGTACCTTTTTACGAAGTGGCGGGATACGGAGCCATCCATGAGGGAACAGGGGATGGATCTCATCGACCCCCGTGTGCAGGAACTCCTTCTCCACACAAGGCGGCTCATCAAATCGGCGGCCGTGGAGGCGGTAAGGAGGCGAAACAGAACCGCCCTGGATTTTCTCTTGTGCCATTTCGAACCTTTTTTTGACGACGACTTCGATGACCGCCCCCTGCTTCATACACTGGTGGCGAAACGCGACATCTCACTGCTGCAGACATTCCTTTCTCGGGCCCAGGAGGAGTCTAGAGCCAAGAATGATCCTTATTTTGGGGACTTGATCGAGGATTATGAACGTGCGCGTGTTCCGCTGGTAGATAGGCATGACCCCGTCGGCCGGACAGCGTTACACGTTGCGGTGGCGATGCGGGAAGTCGCAATTGTCTCGGAATTACTTCAATACCATGCCAGCATCAATGTGCTCGATAGGGATCACCGAGCACCGTTGCATATCGCTTGCGCGAACAACTCGGGAGGAGACTGGGGCACGGATGACGGCAAAGATCCTGCGGTGGCAGAGACGGCAGATTACGACATGGTGGAACTGCTGCTGAAGAGCGGCGCGCGTTGCGGTGTTTTGGATAAGGATGGCCACACAGCTCTCCATGCTGTTTGCTACAACATTCCGGAACCGGCGCCGCCAGAAGAAGGCGACCCGGACCCTGGCGGGGGAGAGACCGAGCCTAACGGGGTTGTCCGCATCATCGATCTTCTACTACTGCATGGAGCAGAAGTCGACGCACTGAGCAGCCTCGGCACTACCCCGTTGCACATGGCCTGCCGTGCGGGTAACGTCTGGCGCGAGTCGTGCCCGAACACATTGGCGGCGGTCAGGCGACTTTTGGATGCCGGGGCGAATCCCAACGTGAGCAGCGACTCAAACGAGACACCGTTACACATCGCGGCCGCACGCTCAGAACACCGTATCGTTGCCGAGCTCATCCAACGCGGCGCCAACGTCATGGCGAGGGACGAGCTCGGCCAGGTCCCTCTCCATCACGCCGCATGGGCGGCGAACGACGGCGTCGCGGCGGAACTCCTCGCGCAGTCCAACCAAACCATTGATCCTATTGACAGCAAGGGCTCCACGCCGCTGCACTTTGCCTGCCAGTTCTACCCTGCCGAGGGCAACGACAAGCACTGCGCACGCGGTCTGCAGCTCATGAGGCGGCTTTTGGAACGCGGCGCCGACGTGCACTCGGTATACAACTGGCTCGGCCTCTCGCCGTTCCGTCTCGCCGAGTCCCGAGGCCTAGCCAAAGTTGTTGCGCTCTTGAGGGAGTTTGGTGGCGACCCGCCGGTGCCGCCACCGCTGCCGTCGCCGAAGCTGGTGCCGCTAACGGCTGCACAACTTGAAGCGTCGCCAGAGTGGAAGCTCCCAAACTGGATGCGACTCCTGCTGGGGGCCAAGGAGCCTGTTGCTGGGCGTGGTGTTTCCAGCACTCCCAATGTTCCAAGTGCTCCTGGTGCGAGAGGTTCCAAGGTAGTTAGGGGTCTCGATGCTCCCTAGGACAGACATATAGTTCGGCTACCGAGTATCAACCGACTGTGTACATATTTTGTAAATACGTACCCTACCGAACTTGCGCGTTACGCGCATGTTATAGGGCGATTAATATAGCTTTATACTATTCTACTAGTTAATAATTTCCTCCGTCCTCGCTCATCAAAAGATTAGAATGTGGTGGTCGGCTGGCTACCTTACCTAGCTGGAAGTTTAACTGCCTCGCGTAGGTAAGTCGTATGTCACGTGCTCTCGCGCGCTTCTTTTCTCTCATCTGTACACAGTGCGCAGGTGGCGCGCGCCATTCTCAATCGCGCCAGATATTCTCGGTGCCTGCACCTTGGCTATACCCACTCCATAACTAACTTAACTCCCGTCACGCCGTGATGCGCGGCAAACCCAACCATGGCTCAAACGGCCAAGATACCGGATGACGACAGCACAGCATCCTCGGTCGATCGAACCCCTTCCTCCAACACAAACACGCTCGGCAAACGCAAACCCACGGCCGACTTCGAAGGGAAGGTCACCTGGACCGACGACGACTCCGACCATGGCGCCGAGGACCTCAAGCGACAGCGATCCGCCAAACGCCGCGCCATCTCCAAGGGGAAACAGCCCGCGAGGAAGAGCGCCGCCGGCAGGACCAAAGGATCTAACAAGAAGCGAGCCAGCGACCTGCGCGCCTGGGTCAACGACGTCGACGAGTCGAGCGCCCAGGAGGAGTTCGCCGGCGCCAGCGTGCCGGGATACCTGCTGCAGCGGAGGAAGCGCTTTGATAGGGACAGGGAGCGGCTGCGGGATGCGGGGTTGAAGCTGCCGCCGGATTACTCGGATATCTACTTCTCTGATGATGACGACAACGGGGGCGCAACGGAGAGGCTTGGCGAGCGGCCCCAGTTTGAAGATAGGACTGGTGTCAAGCCGTGTCGGCCGTATGAGGATATCGAGCTCGAGTACTCGGCGGGTGTTATCCCGGCGTCGATTGCCCAGTATCTTCGCGATTACCAGATTGCGGGCGTCAAGTTCCTGCACCAGCGGTTCGTTTATCAGAAGGGCTGCATCTTGGGCGATGACATGGGTCTGGGGAAGACGGTGCAGGTGGCTGCGTTTCTTACCGCCGCCTTTGGGAAGACGGCGGGCGAGCGGGATGCGAAGCTGATGAGGAAGATGCGACGGGCGGGCGACCAGTGGTATCCGCGCGTCTTGATCGTCTGTCCCGGCTCGCTGATCCAGAACTGGAAGAACGAGCTGAAACTCTGGGGGTATTGGCATGTTGACACCTACCATGGCCCTGGCAAGGAGGACGTCCTGCAAGCTGCCAAGGCTGGGAGACTCGAGATCATGATCACGACCTATGTCACCTACAAAAAGATGCGCGAGGCGGTCAATGAAGTCGAGTGGGACTGCGTTGTTGCCGATGAGTGCCATATTCTCAAAGACCGGAGGTCCGAGACAACCCAGGCCATGGACTGCGTGAATGCCCTCTGCCGGATTGGCCTGACCGGCACGGCCATCCAGAACAAGTACGAGGAGCTCTGGACCCTCTTGAACTGGACGAACCCCGGCCATTTCGGGACACTGGCCGAGTGGAGCAACACCATCACCAAGCCTCTCACCGTCGGCCAGTCGCACGATGCCACCCTGAAGCAGCTCAGCGTCGCCAGAACGACGGCCAAGAAGCTGGTCCAGAACCTACTTCCGGAGTTCTTCCTGCGGCGGATGAAGACGCTCATCGCCCACCAGCTCCCCAGGAAGAGCGACAAGGTCGTCTTTTGTCCGCTTACCGACATCCAACGCGAGGCCTACCAGAACTTTCTAGAGGGAGACCACGTCACATTTGTCAACTCGGCATCCGAGCTCTGTGACTGCGGTTCAGGGCGCAAGAGAGGCTGGTGCTGCCGGAAGACGCTCCCTGACGGGAAATCGTGGATGAGCGTCGTCTTCCCAAGCATCATGACGCTGCAGAAGATAGCGAACCACATCACTCTGCTGATCCCCTCGTCTGCCGATCCAAACGACAAGCAGAATTCGGAGCTTAATGCGCTCCAGACCTGCGTTCCTGACGACTGGAAAGAGCTCTACCGGAACCGAGACTCGATGCTAAATCTGGCTAATCCCGAATTTTGTGGGAAGTGGAAGATCTTGAAGAAGCTGCTGCGCTTCTGGCACGAGAATGGAGACAAAGTGCTCGTCTTCTCGCACAGTGTCCGGCTCTTGCGTATCCTCCAACACCTGTTCCACAACACGAGCTACAATGTCAGCTTCCTAGATGGCACGCTGAGCTACGAAGATCGCCAGAAGGTAGTGGATGACTTCAACTCGGACCCTTCGCAGTTCGTGTTCCTCATCTCGACGAAAGCCGGCGGCGTTGGCCTCAACATCACATCGGCTAACAAGGTCGTCATCTTCGACCCGCACTGGAACCCCTCGTACGACTTGCAAGCCCAGGACCGCGCGTACCGCATCGGCCAGGTTCGCGACGTCGATGTCTTCCGTCTCGTCTCGGCGGGCACTATCGAAGAGATCGTCTACGCGCGGCAAATCTACAAGCAACAGCAAGCCAACATCGGGTACAACGCGTCCAACGAGCGGCGCTACTTCAAGGGTGTGCAGCAAGACAGCAACCGCAAAGGCGAGATCTTCGGCCTCAGCAACCTCTTCAGCTTCCACGGCGACCAGGTGGTTCTCCGAGAAATCGTCAACAAAACCAACATCGCCGAAGCCAAAGCCGGCGTACACCTCAGCGACATCGACCTCGCCAAGATGGCCAAAGCCGACGAAGCCAATCCCGAAGACGAGGACGACGACGAACTCAGCCTCATCAAGCCCGAACCAAACGACAACGACAACGACGACGAACAAGGCATGAGCCAACTCGCCAAACTCATCACGGCCGAAAACCGCGAGGACCTGGTGCGCGCGCACCGGGCCACCAAGCCCCGCAGCGACGCCATCGCCGGCATCCTGGCGTCGGCCGGCGTCGAGTACACGCACGAGAACTCCGAGGTCATCGGCACCAGCCGCGTCGAGGCCCAGCTCTCGCGCCGCGCCGAGCTCGCCGGCCACGGGCCCGACCAGGAACCCACCGCCGACGGGGCTGATGACAGCGTGCTGTTTGCGGATAGCCAGGGCGGTGATGCCCACCTCCCTTCAGCCACCACCACAGAAACCACAGCTGCCTTGGATGGCAGCAACCCCTGGCGCATGCACAACCGCTTCAACCCGCCGGTGGAAATCATGCGGCGGCAGTTCTGCTCGATGGCAAGGGAGTTTGGGTTCCGTGATGTCACTGAGTTTGCGCTGGTCGTCGAGAGCTGGACGCAGGAGCAGCGGCGGAATTGTTTGGATACGTTTTATCGGGTGAGGGAGGTCAAGGTGTTGGAGGGGGAGTTGAAGCGGGTGGTTAAGGGAGAGGGGGTGGTGGTGAAGGGGGAGGGGACGGGGACAACGTCGGGTGCGGAAGGGGGTGGGGATGGTGGGGTGGTGAAAAAAGAGGTTGGGGGGGTTGCTGCTACGAAGGATGAGGGTGGTGGTGACAACAAGGTGAAGGGGGAGAGGATGGATTCGCCTGTTCGGTTGTCGCCTTTGTTGGACGTCAAGATGGAAGGGGAGGGTTCCCCGGCGCAGTTTGAGACGGGGAAAGTGCGGGCCGGGATGGAGAAGACGGAGCAGACGAAGACGGAGAAGACGGAGACGGTCAAGGTGGAGATCACGCGGGTGCCAACAATATTCTTATCCGACGACGACGAGGACGATGAGCTTTAACACGGGCGATAGTGGCGTTTGGACGGAGGAAGATACCCCTGAATTTCTATCCATCTCATCAATGAAGCAATACCTACTACCATTGACGAAGTAGGAACTACTACTGAGGGAATCCCATCCTTCAATGACATGCACAAGAGAGCATGTGCGTCTGCTGCATGTGATTGCTGCCAAGCTTCACTCCAGACTGGGAACCCCCGTGGTGTGTAACTTGACGGCAGCAAGTGGCATCCGGGGTCCAAGTTGGCCGAGGTCAAACGGTCCAATGGGCCCAATCATGCCAATCAATGGCGAAGAGGGTTGGTGGCAGCCGCAAAAGTGGATGCCGAGCGGACAATGCACCCGGAGAGGAGACGCCTATGACGCATCTTCACATGCCATCGAAATGGCGATGAATCTGGACGCAAGCGGCAGTCAGTCTGTCGAATACGTACATTGACGGCAGAGGGAGGATAAGAAATGCGAGGCAAATTTGATTTTGAAAATGAATGCAATGCAATCACTCACCACCTAGAGTCAGGTCCCTTCCTCAATCGCTCTTTCTAATCTTCCCCGTCTTCCTGCGTTCCTCTCGCCCTTTCCTGACGTTATCCAAGCCGCAGATCTCCAATCCCTCAGCGCTGTGGGGGAGGGGCAATCACCATGTGGTTCAGCTCTGTGGCTCTGTGGCAGGGGCCAATGGTAGGCTGGAGACGCTGTGTTTGGGCCCCGGCATGGGCTCGGCAATTCGGTTCAACGGGCGCTGTGGGGTTGGAGGGGCGGGTGCCAGGTGTGCCAGCCAGGTGGGTTCAGGTGGGCAGGTGGGGTGCCGAGGGCGGCGAACGCTGTTGCCAGTCGAAGCTCGGCTCAAAGGAGTCTTTTTGGGCTTTGCTTTGATGACTCGATCTGTGTTTTTGATTGCCCGTTTTGGATGCGGTTTGCCTGTGATGACGACTTATCTGGGAGTTCAAGACTGGAGATAGCAAAAGGGAAGAACTTGGAGATGATGATGATAGGGACGAGGTATGTATGATAACTATGGATATTCATAACACCACCAGTTTTCGATTTTCAGTTTTATCAACCTGGAAGTGATGGAGGCGAAAGACTCCTCGAGTACTGTGTGCCGTGTACTGCGTATACTCGGTGGAACGTGGAGACTGGAATAGCCGCTAGACCGATCTCTCCCGAATTCCCACTCCCTGGCATGCCCGGACAGCCTAGGCAAGGAGGCAAGGAGGCAAGGAGGCAAGCCACGCTGCCGACCGGATGCTCGCCCGGTCGAGCCTGGTACTCCTGGCTCCGGTTCCTAGTTCTCGGATCAGTCCGCCGTCTTAGTCACGAGTCAACTGGTCGGGATATTGTCTCATCAACTTTCATTCATGTGCTTTTCTTTTCCTTCTCTCTCCTCTTCCTCCCTTCTCTCTTTGTCATTATCGTCAACTCTCGATTTCGTCATCTTGATACCCATCCCTTGCCTCCTCGCCTCCTTACCTCCCTGTGCCTAACCGTTGAAACTACTCCCATTCCTTATTACTTTTACTACCCACCCCTTCCCACCATGGCCGCCAACAACATGGTAAATCCCGCCGTGGATCCCAACCGGGAAGACGAACTCTTCGCCAAGGAGGTCGACCAGATCAAGAAGTGGTGGAGCGAGCCGAGATGGCGCCGTACCAAGCGGCCCTTCACGGCCGAGCAAATCGCCAGCAAGCGCGGCAATCTCAAGATTGAGTACGCCAGCAACACCCAGAGCAAGAAGTTGTGGGATATCCTCGAGAACCGCTTCCAGGTAGGTCATCAAGGCGACTCTAAACCAACCTTACAGGTCAACGGCTAACGGGGATTATAACAGACCAAGGATGCCAGCTACACATACGGCTGCTTGGAACCCACCGCCGTCACACAGATGGCCAAGTACCTCGACACCGTCTACGTCTCGGGCTGGCAGTCGTCGTCCACCGCCTCTGCGTCCGACGAGCCGGGCCCGGATCTCGCGGACTACCCCTACGTAAGTGAAACAGAAAGAAAGAAAGGGGATCCCAAGCAAAAGAGTAGGAACTGACCGCAACAGACCACCGTCCCCAACAAGGTCGGCCACCTGTTCATGGCCCAGCTCTTCCACGACCGCAAGCAGCGCCAGGAGCGCATGTCGGTGCCCAGGGCCCAGCGCTCCAAGCTCGCCAACATCGACTACCTGCGCCCCATCATCGCCGACGCCGACACGGGCCACGGCGGTCTGACCGCTGTCATGAAGCTTACCAAGCTCTTCATCGAGAAAGGCGCCGCCGGCATCCACATTGAGGACCAGGCGCCCGGCACCAAGAAGTGCGGTCACATGGCCGGCAAGGTGTTGGTGCCCATCTCGGAGCACATCAACCGCCTGGTGGCCATCCGTGCGCAGGCCGATATCATGGGTTAGTTGGCAACACTCTTATGGCCATTCTTTGATGGATAGGTCACAATAATAACACCTTACCTCGCATCTAGGCTCCGACCTCCTCGCCATCGCGCGCACCGACGCCGAGGCGGCCACCCTCATCACCACCACCATCGACCCGCGCGACCACGCCTTCATCCTCGGCAGCACCAACCCCAACCTGCAGCCGCTCAACGACCTGATGGTGGCCGCCGAGCGCGCCGGCAAGGCGGGCGACGACCTGCAGGCCATCGAGGACAAGTGGCTCGCGCAGGCCAACCTCAAGCGCTTCGACGACGCCGTGCTGGACGCCATCGCCGCCTCCGGGAACGCCCAGGCGCTCGCCGACCAGTACCGCCGCGCCGTCCAGGGCAAGCAGCTGTCCAACGCCGAGGCCCGCGCCGTCGCCCGCGGCATTTTGGGTAAGGACGTCTACTTCGACTGGGACGCCCCGCGCACCCGCGAGGGCTACTACCGCCTCAAGGGCGGCTGCGACTGCTCCGTCAACCGCGCCATCGCCTACGCCCCCTACTGCGACGCCATCTGGATGGAGAGCAAGCTGCCGGACTTCAAGCAGGCCGAGGAGTTTGCCCGCGGCGTACACGCCGTGTGGCCGGAGCAAAAGTGAGTTCCCCCTTTTCCCTTTGCCTTTTTCTTTTGCCTTTTTCTTCCCTCTTTTCCACCACCTCTTTATTAAACACTACTAACAACCTCCCCCCACAGACTCGCCTACAACCTCTCGCCCTCCTTCAACTGGAAGACGGCCATGCCGCGCGCCGAGCAGGAAACCTACATCCAACGGCTCGCGGGGCTCGGCTACTGCTGGCAGTTCATCACGCTGGCCGGGCTGCACACGACGGCGCTCATCAGCGACCGCTTCGCGCGCGCCTACAGCCAGCAGGGCATGCGCGCCTATGGCGAGCTGGTGCAGGAGCCCGAGATGGAGCTCGGTGTGGATGTCGTCAAGCATCAGAAGTGGAGCGGCGCGACGTACGTCGATGAGCTGCAGAAGATGGTTACTGGGGGGGTGAGTTCGACGGCGGCGATGGGGAGTGGGGTTACGGAGGATCAGTTTCATTAGGGAGGTGGTGTGGGGATGGGGTGGGTGAGGTTGAGTGATTTGAGTGATGGAAAGGGGGGAGGGTGGAAGTGCGGTCTGTACATAGGGGGCATGTATTCGTTTTTTTTTCTTTTTCCAGATTGGGTCGTTTGGTATTTGCTGCTAGAAGGGTAGGAGATTGATCTGGTCCATGGTTATAGATGTATTCTTGTCCGTCCTGGTTTGCCCCCTTAACTGTGAACAGCTACCACCGTCTTGTCTCGACCTAATTGTCATCCCACGACACCACCCACGGCCACACCCACGGCCACGGCCACATCGGCGACACGGACCTCGAAATGAGCACTTGCGACGATCTAATTTCGTTGCTCTACCGTAAGCACCTTGTGTCCGTCGTAACTGTCGTGCGACGGGTGATGTGGATGTGGATCCGGATCCTACTGCTTACGGTGGCGTGTCCTAATAACTCGCCGCAGCACTCCTCGTCGGATCACCGGGCGAGACCCATGTTGAACAACCAACAGATGGCGTGGCTGGTGGATGCCACTTTAGTAATCCTATCTGCCCGGTTGGGAGTTAAACCATGTTGCTCCACGCATATGAGGACCATGTTCATCGGGTTGGATATGTCAGAATGTAAGAAGCCGACACGGCGATTACAAAGCGAACAAGTCGTAACCGCTGATAATATTCCGTCTCACGCCGGGATATCGTTCGGAGAGTTATCCAACATAAGCCCCCCGCAGATTGTAAACGAGCGTTTAAACTAGCGCCCAAAGGGGCTTGCTCAACGGCCACGACTGGCCTCTTGTACAACCCGTAACCACCTCACGGGCAGCCTCATCCAACCTAGTATGTGTTAGGGCGACACAAAAGGTTGACTGTCCGGTCAAAAGTAGTTCGGTATTCAGAAACCGGGTAGGTGGAATAGGCCCCTGAGCACAACAGCCGGGTCCAACGTCCTCCCCTCATCTAATGCCCTATGTTCTGCTACACACGAGATGTCGTGTCCCCAGACACCAGCAAGTGCAACGTGTTAGAGCAGGTGACTCTTTTCCACGTCACGGCCCAGGTGAACTTCCTACCAACTCGCAGACCACGACGACCACTCGGAATACCCGCACGGCATCAAAACAAGTCAGTCGAGGGGCCTTGCATGTACATACTTGTGCTGCCAACATGGTACATTCCCTCTCAGTATCAAAAGCTGCCAGTACCAACAGCCGCAGCATAACACAGCACGAAGCCCACCATCACAGGCCAACATCCCATTGGCATACTCCAGAACGTTTCAGTACCACCAGCCACAACCGCAAGAACCACCCGCGAGAGGCCCCCACCCACCACCATTTCGGGCACACCACAAGTAACACAGCCCAACACGAGCAGCAAGATAACAACACAACACTGCCCTACCCTAACGGAGGCTCAACCCACTCCGTCGCAACAAGGCGTCACCTATCAGCTAATCCGGACCGCCCAGACCATAGCGTGACACAACATCTACCGGCCCCCAGCACCGTCAAGTGTGAGCACCATAAAACGGTCCGGTCACACCTGCACCACCACCCTAAACCGTCCAGACTCTCTCTTCCGCGGGGGGTAAAACACCCGCCTCTTCAGCCGCTCACGCGGGGGTGTTCATCCCACCCGTTCGTTGAGAGGCCGTGCCGGAGTTCGGCTGTTTGGGGCGTTTTATAAACTCCGGTCTAGTTTGCTGGGGAAGCGCCATCGGAATGAATAAAATGTTCTAGAAAATGCTATACAACTCTCCCTCCTCTAGAGGTAACTGCATCCATAGACTACCAGCCGCATCCCGAGGTCTAGCCCTACTCAGGCTCCCCCCCTACTGCTGCCAAAACCAGAAGAGGGAGGGGATAAGCATGCTTCCACGCGGGGACCTCAAGGATACGCATAGCATGGTGGTACAAGCATCGAAACATGAGGCGGAGGCGGGAGCGGAATCAGACCAGACGACGGAGCTGACTGTGAGGTTGTTGGTGGCTTGCTACCAGAGCCACGGTGAGTGGGGGAGGTGAGCGAGGCTGGGTTTCCGTTGCGGCCCCCACAAGTCCGTACGTACTCGGTCGGTTTCGCCGACGGGCAGGCGCTGAGGTTTCTTGAAGCCCGGGTTGGTTGGTAATGCAATTGATCGTGTTTGTTACAGGACTTGGAAGGCAGTGCACATCATAGTTATCGGTGAGAAGCCGAGTTGGACCATTGCTTGATACGCTAAGTCCGGTATGAAGATTGGCTTGCAGCCTCTTCCATGGCCACTTGTAATGTCTGGCTGGAAGCCCATCGGCAAAACAAGACGACTATGCTTATTCTTTGAGAACAGACGTAACCGCCAGCAATAAGAGGGCGCAGTGCCTAGGTGCGTCGGCCAAAATGGGCGAAGCTATCCGCCGTCTGCCACCCGGAGAAACTCGAGCCCACGCCCAGCCATTGTATTTCCCAACGTGGGGGCTACCCGGGCGGTTACTACTTTTACTTACTGTATGTACGGGATTCGGAAATTGGGGGCCACTGCAATCGACGGGCAAAGGAACAGCTGCTGCAGGTACCTGCACGTCTGATGGCAGGACGTACATACATACACCAGACGACGCACTGGCTTCTCCGAGAGCGGCTCCTGCAGCCCCCAACGGCCGGGACTTTGTGCGGAACAGAACAGCTCCCGGCATGCCTGGCCGGGCCGGGTCGGGCTAGAAATAGCAAGAGACACAAAGAGAGAGATCGACGGCCGCCTCATCCCACGGGCCGATCGCCCGGCCCTCGTTCGTCTCTCAGTGAGGTATTAAGGTTGCGGAGATAAGTTTGAAACAGGCTCCCATCCGCATGGCTGTGCGCAGTCCGGGGTGGGAGAGTGATTAGCCCGTCCTTGTGCTCTGCAACGCCGTCAGCCCAGACATTCCCCACGTATTATCCTCCCATACTCCGTACGGCCCGATGGTGTTGGCAACTCCACAAGTCTCGGCGACTGAGGCGTATAAGTGACGAAAAGGGAAACCAGGTTACCTGGAACAGTAAAGTGCGGCGAGGCTTGGCGGCGGAGATCGGAGGGTTGCATCCATCCCATCCCACGCCGCAAGGGTCTAGTTAGTGTATTTTAACGAACATATCAAAACGCCTGTGCCGCGGTCGTGCCGCCAGGTTCCCATCAATGTGAGACTGTGGGACAGCAACAAGTAGTTCCACACCTGCGGCGCGGCTCCTCCCACGGGTATGGTCATTGTCGGTGCCTGGTGGAATACCGGGATCCTGAGTGATGGTATCATCGGTTCGACGGGGTTGGTTTGCAGGGCGGATGGATCGATAGAGTTCAGTCGTCCTGTGAGAGATGGCTGGCTGTTGAAGGAAGAGGGGACAAAGATAGGACGGCGAGCAAGGTGGCACAGAAGGGCCAACAACCTTTCTTCCTGGGCTGGCCGTTGGGGGGGTTGTCGTGTCAGTCAATCATCGTATTTTCAGACATTGTTATCGAGATGGTTCGGGAGTAATCAGCGTCAAGAAAGAAACAGTCCCCACGAGCATGTCTCTCCATGCCGGGCGCCCATGGCCCCGGTACGTGACCGCGCCGCTGACCCGCCGCCGTCGTCTGAACCGGCTCCACGATCCCGTGGCTATTTTTGACAGCGTCCCGATCTTGCGTGCCCGCTCGGAAAGGATGAGACAAGCGCATCAGCGTTGTATGGGTACACTAGCGCCGTCAGCAGGCAGCGGTAATACAAGACACCACAGCCTTGGGGTCGCCCTATCCAGCATCTTCTCGGGACAAGGACCCGGGAACAAGACCCTGCTCGGATGCGATGTGGAATAAAGGCCTCGGATGGTCCTCCCTAGCCCGACCGGCCTCGTACCGAGCGTTTACCGACCGGCGCGGGCTGCTGCTAGCTTGGAGCGCCGTGGTGAGCGGTTTTTTAATTCGGTAGCTTGCCGGCTGGGCATCTGTTCTCAAGCCAAGAGAGCCTGCGTATATAATGCAACGAAAAGACAGGTGCTTGGTGGCCCTCTGCTCATTAAAGCAGCTGAATCGGCGTGGCGGAGGCTCAAACGGCAGACGCCACTCCTCATGGTCAACCATTGGAGAGAAGCCGGTGCTCCATCTCGAGACGCTGGATCGGAAGCAAAGATCGGCTGGCTGGAAGGAAGAAGGCGTATAAAACAAACGTCTTCAAGGTGTTTTGTCTTGGCGATCTCGGTTCTCGCCGATGTTGTCGGGTGAGGTCCGACTGGTGCCGATCGGGTCGAAGGCGTAAACGCTGAAATGAAACGAGCGAGCTCGCAGCGGTTGGACTCCGGCGGATTCCGAGTCCCCCAACTCCCACATCAATTACTGTGTACTAGCTGGCTGCATACGTCTCGCTATCTAGGCAGCGCATTAGTTAGTTAGTTGGAAACTCGTTCCCCGGAGCAGCGGCAAGTGCACGGTTTGTCACATCGGATATCCCAGGTTCCGGGAAAAGTGCTGGAAGCACGGCGGTTTCTTGTAACCTCGCGGACACAGACACAGCCGCAGCCATGACCACAACCACACCCGCAACCGGGAACTGGGGATCAGTCGTTCACTGATTGGCATCGGGGTCTGAACTCGTGGAACAGTCTCGCCGTGGATTGGCGGGGATTGGCGGGGTTGGATGAGGAACTTACCCGGTTTTCGAACGCGCCAAAATGGGAAACCCCGACGCCAAGCACACTGCCCCAAGCCCCAAGCTCTTTCTGCTTCTGAAACATGAGGCACCTACCCCTGTGCAACGAACCTTACAAGCTGAGTCAGAATACAGTACGCCCACTCGAGATGCGTCGGGTAATTTTCCTCGTTTACGAAGAGAGCGCGACCTCAGTTTGGTTGAATGTGCCGATGACGTACGAACAGCGAAACTACCTACGTAGGCGGGGGGAGAAAGGGAGTTTACACAGTAGAAACAAAGGACATTTTGACAGCGTGGTCGGTGGAGCCAAAATGACAATAAGCACAACTCAATGCCCTCAATGCTTTCAAAAGCGGCAAGTTGGTCGCACATTTTTGAGGCTTAGGTGGTGGCTCTTGCACGGGCATTTCCATTACATACGAATACCTTACATTACACATGTTCCGTCCGCAGATCATTTTTTCAGTTCCGTTATGTAATGTGGGACTCCCGAGCGCCAAGAAGCCAGTGTGCGATCTCCCTGCACCCCAAACGCTAACCCCTGCCCGTTGGCTGGACCTCTTGTCTGAGGTGGTCGAAACCGGCAGTCTCGATCCATCGATTAAAAAAAAGAAGCACAGCAACGCAGTCGATTTATCAACAAGCCATGGGTTCAACAACCTAAGCACGTGCTAAGCTATCAGAGTCGGGACCGAGTGGCGTTCTGCCTCGGGGCCGTCGCTGAGTGCGATGATGGAAGACCGACAGTTCCATTTGACCCACTGTCATCGCTCACTGCAACGCCATCGACGACGCATCCACCACACCATCCACCACACCATCCACCATCGGGGAACCCCTGTCTGATCGCACAACCCACAACCGTCCCCGCCAAACACGGCGTCCTCCCAGAGCCGTTTCAGCGCGCTGATCCTCGCGGCTGCTACGCCTCATCCAGAAACTGCAAGGCACCGGGCGGTAGGTGGGAGGGTGGCGGGCGAGGGCGTGGATTGAGGCAAGGTAAACTATTCTGTACGTATGTATGTACGAAATCGTACCGAGGCCTGCCCGGGTTCACTTGAGCCTCCCACATGGTCCTGGGCCACCCCCATGCCATTCCTGGGGCACCGGCAGATGCCAATGACGAGGTGTGATTTTTGTGACGGCCGAGATCGTTCCCTCGCCCGGAAAGAAGATCGAGCTGCAAAGCTGCACCTCCATTCCAGGTTGTTCTCTCCACTCCACCCAACCCCAGCACCCAACAATACCACACCACACCACATCACATCATCCACACTCGTGAACAAGGGCCCGGACGACTGCGCTCCTCGAGTACTGTGTAGGAAACTTGCACATGACTCTTTCTTTCTCCCCGGTATTCGCTGACGAGGCCATCGTGGCCAAACGTTAAACCCTCCGTGCGCGTGTGCGTGCTCCCCTGGGTTGAACAAGACGATCTGATTCCTCTGTCAGTTCAAACGATCCCAATCCCACACCCACTTTGGACTCGCTCGGCATCCTTGTACGATCCTACAAAGTACCTGCTGTTAGGTACCCTTGGTCTGGTCTCGACCGCCGTACCACCAACAACCCACCGATCCACAGACATAATCCACGCCTCCCGTCCCCCAAAACTGACATGACACCATGAGTTACTAAGTACAGAGGTACCTTCATCCTACCTTGACCCCACTCCGGCACACATCCGCAACGCTCTTCCTGACACCTCAACTCGCCTTGCCAGGGTGACCCCGGCCTTGCAAAAGACACTCCAGGGCGTACCCGGGCGGACTCGACTACCTCGACTGCCTGAGCTCAGACACACACTGTTTCCAGACTGTGCCCTCGATTCATGCTCCGGCCGAGGAGCGGCACTTTAAGGCCATCCCGTCTTTTTTCGGGTTCATCCTTCTGTTTTCTGTTTCTTGTTTCTCAGTTTCACTAGTCATCCCCTCGTCCTATCTCCTTGGGCTGTCTTCTCAACTACATCTCGAACGAAGTCCGCCGAGAATGGTCCAACCTCGTCGTCGGCTTTTTTCTCCTTCTCCTACCGCTATTGTTGTGGTTGTTGCCGCTGTCGTGGCTGATTCTCTTCGAGGAGGTTGCTTGAATTGACCTTCTACTCATTTGCGATAGTCCGCGTGCCGCTATAAACTGATCACGGGCCTTAATTCTCCTCTTCTTGCGCCTTCTTCGCCTTCTCTCCCGCTCCACGATTTCCCGGCCCATTCCTTGCATCTCGGTCCTTGGACTTCGTCATTAAGAGCGCGCTCTTGCCAGCAACGCCTCGACAACCCCCCCAGCAACCCCCCAACCGCCCGTGCGAGGTGGCGGCTTCGTTCTTCTATCCCATCTCAATCGATTGTTCACCAAGAAAGTGGAGCACAATGTTCGGGCCCACGGGATTCGACCATTTGTTGAATAGGCCAGAGGAGGGCGAGGCCTATTCGAAGCCCAGAGCTGCCGTCCCATCTTGTTCGTCCAGCAGACGAGCTTCAATTAGCAAGAGCCCGCGGGGCCATAAATATTCCAGTTCGCAGGGCTCCGAGTCCTCTTTCGCTTCCTCCATACCACAACTTGCATCTCCTTCACACTCGCGAAACGCCTCTCATTCAACCACGGCTTCGCAATCGACGAACCCGCCAACACCACCATCTTCACACTCGTTATCAGGCAGCTTTCCAGCCCATCTTTACTACGATAATTGCAACAAGATGGCCGACATGGCTGATCCTACTGCTGGCGGCGACAACCAAACCGGCCAGCGGACCATCCGCGAAGCTGAAAATCGACCCCAGAGCCACACGAGTCGCTTTGCCAGCAACAACCAGGCCATCGATCTCACAGGGGAAGACCGGATTGAGTCGCCCACTGATGCTGCCATGCCTCTGATCAGACGCCCTGCTGCTGCAGCTTCTGCTGCTGGGCCTTCTCAAATGAACAAGTAAGTTACTATTCCCCGGTCACAAAACACCCATCATCGCCATCACCATCACCATCATTATCATCAAAATCGACGACCTGTTGCGTTCAGTTTTGTTGCTGGTCCCCCGGTTGTTGTTCAGGGACCAGGAATTACCCCTGAATGGCACAGTCTGTCCTTTGCACACATTATCTCCCTGATCTGAAGACATCAGCTTTTTCCCGAAAGGCTAGAGAATTCAGATCACGATTGAGTTCAGATCCTGTCCATTTTTTGAGCAGCCATTTCTCGGGATCGCTGGTCCGGGCTTGGCAAGGCCCTGCAAGTGCGGGCCCCACTCCGACCCACTCCGATCTCAACTTTACAGCGGAAGCTCGTGCGAGCCCCACCCGGTTTCGGGGAGCACAGCCCCACATCTGCCCGACGACTCCGGGTCGCACAGCTCCGCTCTCGGTCGCACCACCCCACCCAGCTCCGGGTCATGCAGCCCCACATCTCCTGCACGGCTCCGGATGGCCGAGGGCAAACCCGGCCATCACCTGCCACGGAGATTTCAAAAAAAAGGGGAGATGCAATTAATGGTACAGGTGACAACTCACGGAGATGATCACCTGCTAATTGTTTAACCCCGGGGATGATCCCTTTGTGCTACCCGGAACTGACCCCTTACCCCCTTCTTCTTCTCTGTTACACAAGTCACAAGCCCCTTACCCCTTACCCACCACACTATCACATCCGATCTAGCACCACTTTGTCGTCAACTTATCTGAACTTGCACTAACAAAGCAACTAGTTCTCAACAAGCACAGACTGGGTCCGCCCAATATGAGCCCTCATTATACCACCCGAGCACCATCCCTAGCATCACTCCCGGCAGTATCCCCGGTACCAACACCGGCCCACTGCCTAGTATTCGTCACTCGGCCCTTCCTACCGCGCCCATTTTTGCCACTGGAAGTGAGAGCCCAGATGCTGGTGGCCCATCCAATGCATCCAGCTCAACTACAGCCCCCCCAGCGCCTATCACCCAGGCCCCCGTCCCCCAGGCTCCAATTACCCAAGCGCCAATCACCCAGGCCCCCATCCCCCAGGCCCCTCTCCCGGTCATCGGCCCTGGGGGTCGCATTTCGTTGCGGTTGAGCCCTGAACTCATCACTAGTGCTATTGGGCGCCTGGTTCCAGATTCACGCACATTGATGGCCGACATCGAGTTCAGACAAAGCCAGCGCACCTGCAAGTTTATGGACGATTGCAATATCATAAAGGACATGGACTATGACGATATTAAGTGGCGCAAGTCCATGTCCCACATCTTTGGTCGCAACAAGAACTGCACACGGAGCATCCCCGACCATGTCTGGTATTGGTTTTGCAGGAAGCACTACCAGCGTGCTCGGTACCGCAACTCCCATGAGTACAATATGCTCATCAGCCGGATCGTCGAGCTCCAGGTCCTGCGTCTAGAAGCCTGGAGCAACTACAACCGCGACATGGCCATGCCCCAGAACGGCGTCGTCGCCGACTGGTCGCTGATGGTCCGTCGCCGCCAGCAGGTCCTCATGGACGAGGAGCAAGGCCGCAAGCGCAAGTCGAGCGCCGAGGACCAGGACGAGCCAGACGAGGACGACGACGAGGAGGAGGTGGAGAGCGGTGGCCCCGCCAGCCCGACCCCTGCCGACACCGGGGCCGGGGTGGTGCCCGCCTGGCTCCTGGCCCTGGTGGGCACCGGGAAGACGACGGTCGAGATCCAGGCCATCCTCGCCGACATCTACCAGGACCTGGCGACCCACCGCCTAAGCCGCTTCCCGGATATCGAGCTGTTGCCCAACATCACGGGCGACAGGGCCAGGCCCAGACCCAACCGGGCCAAGCCGGGGAGCGGAGCCGCTGCCAGGAAGAACGCCGCTGCTGGGCAAGGCGCCCACCAGAGCAAGCGGCAGCGCGGGAACGACGACGACCGCCGGCCTCAGCCTGCCATCCAAGGGGGCCGCTCCCAGTTCGGTCAACCCTCGGGCCCCGCCCACCCCCCCGCTCACCTTCTTGGCCCTGCCCCTTCCGCCGCGCCGCTCGCCTTTCCGCCCTGGTCGAGCCACTATCCCAGCGGCCAGCCCTCCCACCAGCGGTCCGCGTCGCTAGACACCAACCAGTTCGCCCAGACTGGTTACCACCAGCCTCCGGGCCCCTACCGCTTCGGCGGTTACGGCCAGGGCCCCGCCCACACCGCCGGGGGGTACAATGGCTATTTTGGCGCCCAGACCCCCGAGCCGGAAAATGGCTATTTTTCGGTCGACTACGACGCCCGGCGCCAGCAGCAGCGGATGCAGGCGCACTCGCAGTCGGCCTACGGGCAGGGGCCGGGCTACGGCCAGGGAGGCGGCTATGGCCAAGCGGGGGGCTCCTACCCCGGCTCCGGCAGCCACCAGCAGGGGATGTCCCAGGTCAGCGCAGCTAAGCACTCGCGCAACCTGAGCACCCCCGTGCGGCCCACGCCGATGATGGGGATGGGGGGGATGGGCGGCGGCGGCGAGCGCTCGCAGGAGTTCATGCGCGGCGGCCCGGCCGACAGGGCCGACAACATGTACGCTGCCCAGGCCCAGGCCCAGCAGCAGTACCACCACGTCTTTGCTCCGTCGGCTCCTGGCCCCAGCGCCGATAATGTCCCGCGCTACGCCAGTGCCACCACGGCCCAGCTCCCCATCCACGGCGGGAGGCCCATGTCCTCTGCTCCCAGCATGCCTGCTCCGGGGTACTCTGCCGCCGGCCTTCCCGCTCCCGGCCTCTCTTCTGCTGGCGTTCCTCCCCCGGCCCCGGAGGGCTACGATAACCGCCTTCCTCCTCCGGGCCCGGACGGCTACGACAACCCCTACCTTCCTCCCCACTCCCGCCACTAGGCGCTCTCTCCGTGAGAGAGACAGGCTGTTGTCTTCTGAGGAGACACCAGCTGGGGGCGAGTGAATGTTATCTTTATTCTCCTAGTACCTCGCATACGTGAGCGAGCGAACAGAGATATCACCACCAACAAACGACCAACAAACGACCAAAAAAAAACATGAAAACAACAAACAATCACCAAAACACTTCGCTTCTTTCTTGGCCCGGTTCGATTCACCAGCCATTCCCCCTTCACCAAACCAATCCTTTCCCTCCAAAAGTTACTCAATTTTAATACCCGCTCTTCGGGAAGCGGATGATCGTTCACGCCTGGGTCACGGATTATGACTACCTACTATGGCACATTCTGGCGTTCTGGCGTTCCGTGCTTTCTTTTCTCTTTACCATAATTACCTATCTTTCGGCTGCACACCGAGCACTGCTTAACCCCGTCCTTTCTTTCTCTTTCTTTTGAGAGAAAAGAACGACCCCCTCGCTCTCTCCAACCCAACTCACTTATATGAGAGAAGAGAGAGAGAACAGAACCGGTCTCGACGCTGCTTCTCTCGGGTTTTGGCTGTCCGTCTGGTCTCAGCTTTCAGGGACGGCGTTTTTTTCGGGTGCGGAACGCAACGGGACGGGGCGTGATGGGGTTAGGATGGGGATGGGATGAAGAAAGAAAAGGACGATGGGTTCGGATGGGATTCTCCGGAGTCATGGAACTGGAACTGCACTGGGCAAGGCGATGCATGAGTCGGACCTGGATTGGTTAGGGGTGCTCTCTCTCTCTCTCTCTCTCTCTCTCTCTCTCTCTCTCTCTCTCTCTCTCTCTCTATCTATCTCTTTCTTTCTTCTTCGGCTGGGCGGTTTGGGTGGCATGCATCTTTCCTTTCTTTTCTTTTGTGTTCCTCATGGGGTGTTGTCCACGACGATATCACTTAGCATCATGGGCATGGACTGGTTGCGGAGTTTGGAACGGGTTGGCTTCTCTCGGGTTTGATCGCCGGGTTGGCTGGTCTAGCGTTCCTTTTTCGCATGAGAGAAGGTGTTGAGGGGGGTTGCGGCGCATTTGGTCACGGCCCAGCGTCGAGGTCTAGAGATGGGTTCACGGAGTAGCGGAACATGGACACGGGACACGGACATGGTATGGCATCGTATGGTATGGCGGCGTATGGCAACAAGAGCAACGGACAAAAGCTCGGCGGCGGCGTTGATATAACGGCATCATTCGCATGGGCTGCCGGTCTTCTCTCATCGGCAGGGCACTTTCGCCTTTCTTTTATATCTCGGCACCCTCAGGCGTCATCACCCCGACTGTGCAGCATGCAAGGGGGTGGATGGACGGCAACGTGGTTGCTGGTTTTGGCCTGCGGAGGGGCGCTCGAGATTTTCTTTCTTTTTCTGCTTCTCTGTATGCATTGTCTTGTAAATTATTTCTCTTTATCGCCTCCGAGTAGCGGAGCTCCCCCGTCCGGACCGTCTGGCATCATGACCATGACACCGTGGCGCGGGGAGATAATAAGCGTTGCCTTAAAATATGCTTAGTTCCCGGTTTTGAGTGCTGGTGATCGCGACGGTGTTGCTGCTTGCCTGCTTGCTTCCGTGTATGTTGCGGAGTGTTAAGCAGGCGCACGACATCTTCATTTTTTTGTAATGTCTTTTTGCCTTCGTGGGCTTATTTCTGGGTCACACATGGATAACTACGGGCACAAAATGAGATAGACTACAAGGTCGTAGCACCGCGGCGCCTTTATCCAGGCTCTGGGTCAATGTGTCTAAGCCGGGAATCATGGAGACGGCGGCCATGAGGACTACGGTGCATTGAGCTACGCGGCTCTTCGAACAGCATTGAATCCGATCATTAATCTGGGCAAATAAACGTGGTTTCACGTCTGTAATCCCTACTGGTGCCTTGGAAGGGGGACTTGGTTGCCTGGCGTGTCTTCAAACCTTACCAAATGTTTTCGAGGCCGGCGGCAACCTCACCCACGACAGCATCATCCGCCACACAGCCATGCAGCAGGAATTCCAGGTGCCGGAGCACCTTGCCACCGCAGTGAAGCTTCAGCGAGGGCCGTGGGATACGGCGGTCATCTGCTGAGCTGCCTTTGCTAAAGATGGCGGGAAGACGTCGTCGAGCTCCGATCGTCTGACCAAGTCCGTCTACTGTGGAACGGTACAACCCGTCGACGATCACATGCATCCGGATTTGTTGCTCTGATCTAGACCACAGGTCAAGACAGGGATACCAGGCTTTAGCCCCGGGTAGGATGCACACTGTGTGGTGGTGCCGTCTTTTTCGCCATCATCTTTTCTCAACTACGCAGTATGACATCGGACAGCGGGGGACCCAAGACGATCGATCGGACGAGGGATCGACCATCGGCCGCGCCAAGTGAGTCAACTGGAAGGGGCCGGAGTGCGCTCCGAGTCAAGTGGAAGAGAACGGAGCGCGCTCCGCTGCTTGAGCAGGATGATGCCTCCATGACGTACGGCTGCTAGGCGTTGACAGGCATGTGATAGCAACAATATCCTGAGATGCGGTCATCAACCCCAGTTTCGAGTCACGCCACAGCCCTCTCTAGGTTGCCCGGCATGTACCAGGAAGATGTATTTGATCGGACTCGGATGAAGTCTGGTGTACAATAGACCTCGGAGGCTGGACCTTGACCTGGGCAAGCCAACCTCGCCGTCCGAGGAAAAGTGATGATCTCTTTATCGGGAAGAGAATGCGGGGGAAGCCAGGATGAGCCCAGGCGTATGAGCAACCCGTCAGGGCAGCACCCAAAACACAAAGATGGCGGAGTTACTTGTTTGGGACGTGATGCGACTGTATTCGTATCCATACCTACATACCAAGGTAACTTTGCCGGGGCTCAGCCCTACGGCGGATCTTCACCGTTGCTTCCGGGCCGGGTCGGCCCTCTATTGGATCCGAGTCCGACAAATTCCTGAGGTCTCGACTCTTCGTGTATTGTGTAGACCGAAGCGTGGTACTTCGTACCGGGCTCGGAAAGGAAGGTCAGGCCGGAAAGGCCACATGCCCTGTGGATATTGTCGAAATCAACAAAGCCAGGCGCACTCGTTATTTATTCGTAGCTCAGATTTCTTCGAATGCATCGGACGTCGGTGGTTGGGGGGTTTCTACATCGTAGCTTGGTGTCACCCCAAAATGCCAGATTTTTGATGCAGGCGAGGGCAAACCAAGTACCGCTCCCTTCGCCCGTTCGCCGCAGAGGATCAATAGAAGTCCTGCAGTAGGTAGCAATGGTAGGGTCGAGCCGAACTCGGCCGCTTGGGAAAATCCCAAATGTGTGCAAGGACAAACGAAAGTTCTTGATAGTCGGTAGGAGCGTTGATGAAGCTGCCATCTCGAAGTGGAAGGAATGAGAGAAGAACCTTGCGGTGAAATGGAACTTTCCCAAGATCGCCAAATTCCCGCTGCGGGTTGATCCCCGGTGTGGGGCCGACCCTTGCCGGGAACTTTTGACAGGAAATGCAAGCGATTTGAGAAAAAGCCGGCAACACTCCGGTTCCCTTTGAGAGTGGCTTTCCGGCCCGGGCCTCATGCGAACTTTTAAGCTTTTGGGCGCGCCATTGTTGGTTCAAAATCCCCGAAACCCCTCAAGTATGTACGAAATACCGTGTGCCTAATCTGTACGGAATAAGGTACATACCAAACCCAATAATGCCCGCCATTTACCTCGCCGATCCCGTGTTCACTGCCCGCCATAAAGGGCAGTTCGAACGCCCTGGACCCGTACCTGGACAACCAAAGTTCATTGAGAGAAAATCGTCCGCTTCCCGGTTGGAGGGTTGAAGGTTGCCCGAGGCAAGCGAGAGCGAACCAGTTCTTGATTGGGGGGGTTGTGGGGCTCAAAGGTTCCATGCACTAGCTTCGCTCGGCAAGGCGGCCCCCCCAAACGCACCCAAAGCACTCGTCGCAGCCAATAGCGGGCAGCCAGAACAAGTTCCAGCGGCCCAGCTTTTTGGTTTCAGACAGGTGTTGTGGGCACCGATCATGGCACGGAACTTTCACACGATATCATTCCCGGTCGTTTCACCGTCTGTCTTGGGGGTTGCGGAGGGAACCGACTGTGTAATAATTTGTCAATCACTGTTCCCCATTTCCGGACTGGGGTAAAGGTTTCCGCACGTGGCCGTCGATGTGACGGTGGGAGAGGAGCTTCCATGAAGGAGGTTCCAGTTGTTGCCCCACAAAGAATGGGAGAAAGACACCGTCAACTTGACTTCTTCTTTTTCCTGTTCTCTTCCCTCGATTATCTCTAGCATTAACCGTGTGTCTGCCCTTCATCCGCTTTCCGCTTTCCGCCCTCGGCTCCTCGCTGTTGCTGGCAACAACATATGTGACGCGAATCGACCTCAACACAACCACTTGAAATCGCACCCTCCTCCTCCGCTTGAATTGCCTTTCTCGAAGTTGAGCTTTCTCTAAAGGCTCAATCACGTAAGGCCCACGTGGGAGGAAAGTCCGCAATCTAGACACAGGCCCCTCGGCCATGGCCTTTCCCGTGCTCGCGGCGGCCGGCGTTGTCTTGGCTTTCGCCGTCTACAAATATGTCTCAGGACTGCGAAAGAATATCGCAAAGGCGCGGAAAACCGGGTTTCCCTATCTCGTTGTCCGTAAGTGCCACGCATCTTCTGGCGCGGGTATATGTACTATCCACATACGAACTCTTGTCTAACCGAACATGCCCAGCTATCTGCCCCATAAACCTCGCCTGGCAGCTCACCTTCGTCATATGGGTTCCCATCATCAAACTGCTCCCAAAGTCGATATGGGAGCATTGGTTATTGTAAACCGAATCCCGTTCCGCTAGACTAGAGACCGTTGCTAACATACACTCCCAGTGTCATGTACCCCAACTGGGCATTCGATACCAATCAGACACACTTTGACCGGTTGGGGTCCGAAAGCTTCCTTGTCGTATCGCCCGGCAACCTCCTAATGTACACCCAGAGCGCCGAGGTGATCCACCAGGTGACGCAGCGCCGCGAGGCTTTCCCTAAGGACATCGCCAAGTACGGCGTCCTCGACATGTTTGGCAAGAGTGTCCTCACCACCGAGGGGCCCCTGTGGCGCCTGCATCGCAAGGTGACCAGCGCCAGCTTCAACGAGAAGAACGCCGCACACACCTTTGCCGAAGCTATCAATCAGACGAGGGGCCTGCTCGACATGTGGCTTGGCCCGGACGGCGCGAAGACGGGCAGATCCAAGACCATCAACTCGCTCGAGCAGGACACCATGACGTGGGCGCTCAACATCATCGGCTACGTGGGATTCGGCCTGCGCCTGCTCTGGCCCGGCCAGTCCCTGCCCAAGGATATCGACCCCACGCTGGCCAAGTACGGCAGCTTGGATCCGCCCCCGGGACACACATTGACCTTTGCCGACTCGGTGGCCCTCACGCTCGAGAGGATCGTGGCCATCATGATCTGGAACGAACGCATACTGGGTGCGCCTCCCCTCCCTCCTCCGCGTAACCGACCACGGAACTAGCACTAACACTAACACCCGTCATAGGAATCCTCCCCTTCAAGTTCGCCAAGGACGCATACAAGGGCAAGCGCAACTACCTCAAGTACATGGGCGAGTTCCTGCAAGACAAGGTGGAAGAAACCCGGCGCGGCGGCGCCCCGCGCGAAGGCATGGACATCATGGGCCAGCTCGTCCAATCCCAATACAGCCCCAAAGCCAAGAGCAGCAACACCAACGGCTCCACCGCCTTCTCCCTCTCCGACACCGACATCGTCGGCAACGCCTTCATCATGATCGTCGCGGGCCACGAAACGACCGCCAACACGCTGCACTTCTCGCTCGTCGAACTAGCCACCAACCCCACCACCCAACGCCGCCTACAATCCGAAATCGACACCCTATTCGGCACGACCGACCCCTCGACCTGGGACTACGAGAAATCCATCAACCCGCTCCTCGCCTCCCACGCGGGCGCCACCATCAACGAGACCCTGCGCCTGATGCCGCCCGTGACGGGCATCCCGAAAGTCGTGACCCCGGACGCCGACCAGACCGTCACCGTCGACGGCCGCACCCACGTCCTCCCGCCCGGGCTGGCCATCTCCCTCATGGCCGTGTGCGTGCATCGCAACCCGCGCTGGTGGCCCACGCGCCCGAGCGAGCGCACCGGGAGGATGCATGATATGGATGATTTCTTGCCGGAGCGGTGGTATCGCGGTGCGGGGAGGGCCGGGGAGGATGAGGATGAGGATGGGGGTGAGAAGAGTGCGATTGATGATAAGGGTGATTATGGCGGGTTTCAGGGCAGTGATGTCTCGGCGTCGCTGTACCGGCCGGTGCGGGGTAGTTATCTGCCTTTCAGCGATGGGCCGCGTTCCTGTCTTGGTCGTCGCATTGCTATGGTTGAGATGGGGGCTGTGTTGGCGGTTATTTTTCAGAAGTACAGCATCGAGCTGGCGGTGGATGAGTGGGCGAGCGATGCTGAGGTTGAGGCTATGGGCCCGGCTGAGAGGAGGGAGGTGTACAAGAAGGCGCAGGAGAAGAGTGAGGATACGGTTAAGCAGGCGATTTCGGTCTTGACGCTCAAGTTGCATGGGGGGAGGCATGTGCCAGTGAGGTTTGTGGAGAGGGGGAAGGAGAGGTTTGTGAATGACCCGGCGTTATAATGATGCATGAAGGCATGATGGCATTTTACTAGGTATTATTTTACGTTTAATTTTGGGAACCATGTAGATTGGACTGTACGAAAAACAGGTGGAGTGGCAGATTTGCCTTTTGTTCATGTTTACTTCTAGGTCATGGTAATTTATTCGGGCGGTTAAGGTATGTACGACCTACCTCTGCCTGTGAGCCTACCCTCAGGTTAGGGCCCGACTTCACTGCTCGCAAGTGAGCTGCGACTGTGATGAGCTCCCTTCAGCGCCCTCCAGCGCACGTCAGTGTGGGTTGCCCGTCCCTCACGAGCGGAGCTGATTGGCCCCGTCTCCCCCAGCCCCCCATTTTTAAGAGCGCTTTGGGCAATCACCTGCCCAACTTTGACGACCTCGAGCGGAAGCTCACCCCTGCTCACACTGCGCCTTACCCCAAAACACGTTGGGACAAAACATAAACAACGCACAGGTCACCTTCTCGAAGCCCCCCTCCCCCTCCACCCTCACCGACCCCCAGCAACTCAGCATCATAGCTCTCGCTTCGTGCTCCAAACAACATCCCAGCTCTTTTTTCACGATACTCGACCCGCAGCACAACCATCGCCATCGCGTCTGTAGTCGCCTCATTTGCGCGACCACGTTGATATCACACACGTCTTGATTTGATTTCTCCGTCATCATGAGCGGAAACGGTTGGTTGGCGCGACAGCGCAAGGGAGAACTCCTCGATATCGCCCGGGACATTGGGCTAAAAGAGTACGTTAACTGTGTCTTAATCTGCGCCGGCCACTTTCTGGATAGCTACTCGGGGAAATCACCAAAATGATTCCTCCTGCTGTTCTTCGTGGTGGCTTTCATTTGCACGCGTGTTGGTCTGTTTGTGCTGCCAGCATTGATCTCGGCGCAACTTGCGGCGCGTTGCATCACCACTTCCACCATCCCGTCTCTCGACCCAAACGCGTCGCAACACACACAACAATCTTACCATGGCACCATCTAACGCGCTTCCCTTGTCCACAGCTACGAGAGCTTCAAAAAGACCGAACTGGAGCTCGCTATCGACGAACACCTTTCCGACAACGTCTCGAGGTACCAGCTCGACCCCCAGTTCCAGGACTACTTTAAGAGCCGTGCCCGTGCTGGCGGCTCGCCCATCAAGAAGGAGATCCTCGGCGGCCCTGATCTGAAGGTGTCGCGTCGGAGGGCACCGAAACCAGTGGAGGAGATTGCCCCTGCCGAGTAAGTCTGCCCCTTCCTCCGCGGTCGCGTCTCCCGGATGATACCCCCCTCCCCTTTCTCCCGGGTAAACAAAACAAACATCTCAATACCACCCTTACTAACCAGCGTGCCTGCCCCCCCTACAGAGAAGAAGAAGAAGAAGAGGAGGAGGAGGAAGAGGAAGAGGCCGAAGACGAAGAGGAGACCAGCGCTCTCACCACCCAAGCCGCGCAGGCCGCGCACGACGCCTCCACCGCCGTGGTGCGCACCCCCGGCCGGGCCCTCGCGATGGCGGCGCGCCTGCAGCTGCCCGCGACACCAGCCGACGTGGCGCAGGCGGTGGACCGCAGCACGGTAGCGGTGCGGCAGCGCGTCGCGTCGCTCTACCAGGAGTCGGGCACGACGGAGGCCATCGAGACGACGCGCGAGTGGCTGTCGACGGTGCACTCGGTGGTGTCGGCGATCGCGCTGTTCGAGCTGTACCGGCTGCGGCAGGAGGTGCTGCCCGACCGCTACGCCTTCACCGTCCCCGCCGTCGCCCTGCTCGGCACCCCGGACTACCCGGTCCACCTGCCCGACATGTTCGCCCTCGTCACCGCCGGCTTCTGGGTCCCCGCCCTCACCTGGGCCGTCACCAGCGTCGTCCTCCCCAGCCTCGGCGGCTACTTCTTCAACCTCAGCGGCGCCGCCGCCCACCACCACCAGGGCAGCAGCGGCCGCGGGAGGCGCACGTCCGCTGGCAACCAGCAGGTTGAATACACCGTCGACCCGGTCATGTTCAGCATCGTCAAGGCCATCGTCACCTATGTCGTGTACGCCCAGGGCGTCACCTTCGGCGTCATCAACCCCGAGGCCGTCGGCCGCATCAACTCGGCGCTGTACTCGGGCTGGAAGGGCGTGTTGGTGGGGACGGCCGTGTCCGGGCTGACGGCCGTGTACGATGCCGTGTTGAGGAAGTAGAGGAGGGGTGCGTGGGGCGTGTGGGTGACGGGGTTGGGTTGGGTTGGGTTGGTTTTGGAAGGGTGGAGGGCTTTCTTTCCGTTCGTGGGAAAGGGGGAGGGAGGTGCGGTGGTGGGCTGGGTTGGGGTTGGGTGTTCGGCTGCGAGCAGCTTTGAACCGCGTTTGGGGGAGTGGTTGGGAGGCGTTTGAGGCGTTGGGTCGTGCCCGCTTCCCCCGTATTGGTTTTCGCAGTATTATTTCTCTCTTTTTTGTTCGCCGTTTCTTTGCTGCTTCCTTCTGGCGTCGCGGGATTCTGGATTCTCGGATGCCTGATACCATCCTTACCTACCTTATCTTACTTAACCTGGTCCGATTTCGCTTTCGCTCTTTGATCTTTGCCATCTTGGGACCTATTATTTCGCCGGTCATGCTCTTATCATAGCACTCAGTATGATAGAGGACAGGGGGGGTAGGATTGGGTGTATATGTTGTAAATCGGCTTGCTCTGCCTGGACTGTTTTTGCTCTCTTTAGTTTGTCTCATTCCAGGCGAGAGGTGGTTGGAGGGAAAGGAGTGAAGGTCACTATGGGTCGCCTGCATCTTCTTCCCTTCGGTTCGAGAGGTTAGGAGGATAAGACTTACACAAGACTTATACGATGCTCGCTTTCTCTGAGATACTGTGATTCGGTGGTGTGTACCAAGGTCGTAGGAATACCTCGTCTTCCGCATTTGCTAGCTCACCAGCTCACCAAGACGTTGATTAATCCTGCGCGTAAATGTGAAAACTGCGGCGTTGTTTCAAGTCTCTGTGTTTTGTATATTTCGTGTTATGTGAGAGAGGAGGCAGATGTTTCCATATAGCCAGTGCATGTTTGAGATAAGACCTAGACGGCTAGATTCGGGCCACAGCGGGGTTCACTCTCCCCTCCTCTTCCACTCACAACTACAAGCTCTCTCCAAACACTCGCTCACTCACTCACTCACTCCACACACCCAACATTCACACATCTAATAGTTTGGCTTTTGCATACACTACAGACTCACCTCTACCGAAACCATTTACTCAACTCTACCTCATCACCCCACGATGGCCTCCACCCCCTCGCCCGGCCTCACCCCCTCCCAACTCGCCGACTTCCACCGCGACGGCTACCTCGTCATCCCGGACGCCCTCCCACCTTCCACCGTCTCCGCCCTGCTCGACGAAACCCACCGGCTGCTCGACAGCCTCGATCTGTCCACCCACCCGCTCACGCGCTTCCGCACCGGCGGCGAGGACGGCACCGACCACGTCGGCGACGACTACTTCCTGACCTCGGGCGACAAGATCCGCTTCTTCCTCGAGGACGACGCCTTCGACGCCGCCGGCACCCTCACCAAGCCCAAGCACCGCGCCGTCAACAAGATCGGCCACTACCTGCACGGCCTCTCCCCGCCCTTCGCCGCCCTCACCAACCCTCCTCCCCCCAACACCACCACCACCACCACCACCCCCACCCCCAACGACAACGACAACAACCCCCCAATCACAACAACCCCCCACCCCGCATCCATCGCCCGCTCCCTCCACTTCACCGACCCGCGCGTCCTGCAAAGCATGATAATCTGCAAGCAGCCCGAGATCGGCGGCGCCGTCCCGCCCCACCAAGACTCGACCTTTCTCTACACCGACCCGCCGAGCGCGGTCGGGTTCTGGTATGCGCTGGAGGACGCGACGCTGGCGAACGGCTGCCTGAGCTTCCTGCCCGGGTCGCACCGGTGGGCGGGCGTGGAGCGGCGGCTGGTGCGGAGTAGTAAAGGGACGGAGATTGTGGGGAATGAGGGGGGGAGGCGGTTTCCGGAGGGGGGTGGTGATGGGGGTGTGGAGGGGAAGGGGGAGGGGGGGGAGTATGTGCCGGGGGAGGTCAAGGCGGGGTCGCTGGTGTTGATTCATGGGAATTTGTTGCATAAGAGTGAGCGGAATTTGAGTCAGAAGGGGAGGATCATTTATACGTTTCATATCATTGAGTGCGGGGAGGGGTTTACGTATGATGAGCGGAACTGGCTGCAGCCGCCGGAGGAAGGCTTTATGAGGCTGTATGGGTAGAGGAGGTTATGGCATGACTGGTTGGTATAGCAAATGTCAGAGGATGGCTGAATATATTGTCTATGTAGCGCCGGGCTTCCGACCAACCCGGTGTCTAAGAATTTGGAGGGACTTAACTTCTGTGACTAAGGTTGAGGAGATCACATTCGATAATACCTACATAGGTATGTAGTATTGGCACGGAAAGCACTCGTAACACCGCAACTACAATGAAAAAAAAGACATCGAATTATGAGTGCAGGCAGTTATACTGTACAAAAAAAGACCCCATGACGAAACACCCCTGTGCTGTTTGTTACCTGCCACCGCCAGGCGTCCGAGATAGCCTCCCCCCTATGTTGAACTATCCCACCCGTGCCCGGACGACATCTCCCAAGCCGCCCAGCCACATGGCACCCATTAATAACCATCGACGACTGAAAAAGAAGCCGAAAGCGAAGCCAGCCAAGCCAAACCGCAAAGGCAAAGAACCTCCCCTCGCATCTACCCCCCTCTCTCCATCAGTACCCGTAATCCACCCAAGGCAAAGACACCTAGCTCCTCGCATAGGGATGGAAACCCCTGTTCCCACCGCGTCCGCCACCACGGTAGTTCGCGCCCGGCCTGCCCGCATTCTTCGGCCCGGTCGGGGCGTTCGCCGGCGGCGCGTTGGCGGGATCCATCGGGCCCTGCGGCATCTGCTGCTGGTGGCCACCACCGCGTCCACCCTTGTGGAAGCCACGACCACCACCGCCGCCACCGCCGCCAGGGCCAAAGCCACCGCCACCACCGCCCTGGGCCATGATGGGCTGGGGGACGTCGTCATACATGCCCTCCCAGCTGGTGGGGCCGCCCGGTCCGCCACCGCCCATGTAGGCGCCCTGGTTGTAGGCCTGCTGGTGCATGTCGCCGCCGCCCGCACCGCCGCCGCCTCCGCGCCCGCCGCGCCGGCCCTGGCCCGCACCCTGGCCGGGCCCCTGCTGCTGCCCAAACTGCTGCTGCTGCTCGAAGGCATTGTACCCGTCCCGGTTCGGCCCACCACCACCGCCGCCGCCGCCACCACCCCCGGCAACAACAGCGGCCCCGGCACCATGGTCCTCTCCGCTGGGGCTCATCCCGCCAGGGCTCATCCCCTGCGGACCACCAGGACCAGCGCCACCGCCACCACCACCGGCACCGCCGGCGCCCTGCTGGTTCATCATCTGCTGCATCTGTTGCATCTGCTGCTGCATCATAGCCGGGTTCATGTTGGCCATTCCGGGGGGCATGGCGCCGCCGCCACGACCGCCCTGCTGCTGGGCCATCATCTGCTGCATCTGCTGCATCTGCTGCATGTACAGCATCTGGGACATGGCCGGGTTCATGTTGCGGTTCATCATCATCTGCTGCTGGAACATGGCCATGGCCTGCTGCATGCGCTGGAGATACTGGGCCATGACCTGGCCCGACATGCCGGCGGTGCCGGGGCCCATGCCACCCATACCACCCATGGCACCGCCCTGCGCGCCGGCGGAGCCGTCGTCCATGCCGTTGCCGGCCATGCCCTGGCCCTTGCGGCCGAACTTGCCGACGGCGCCGGCGCCGCCGCGGCGGGCGGCGTCCTCCTCGTCGCGGAGGTTGCCGCGCGGCTGGGCCTTCTTGACCTCGATGGGCTTGCCGTGGATCTCGAGGGGCGTGGCCAGGCAGGCGTCGACGCCGGCCTCGCTCTCGAAGGTGACGAAGCCGAAGCCGCGCGGCCGGCCCGTGTCCTTGTCCATCATGAGCGTGGCGTCGACAACGCGGCCGAACTGCGCAAAGTACTCGCGGAACTCATGGTCGGTCGTCTCTTGGCTGACGCCACCGACGAAGATCTTGGACGTCTTCTCCTGCTCGTCGCGGGGGATGGCGCGCTTGGGATCGATCTGGGAGATGGGGCGGATGTGGTTAGCACAGGGTGTGTGGTGTGTGGCTAGGGCGAGGGATGGGGAAGGGTGGTGAAGGCTCACAATCTTGCCGTCCAGGTAGTGCTCCTTAACCATGACAATGTTGACCGTCTTGGGATCCTTGAAGGTGAGGAAACCGAAGCCACGCGACCGGCCGGTGGCGCCATCGCGCATAACAGTGCATTCCACCACCTCGCCAAATTGCGAGAAGTAGTCCCTCAGAGATTCTTAAGGGAGTTAGCTGAAGATTCCTCGATAGGGTGATGTGTGTTGTAAGGAAGCCTTACGATCCGTTGTCTCCCAGTTAAGTCCGCCAATGAACATCTTTCTATTGTCAAAAACCCGTTAGCACCATTTTCATATCATTGTATCCCGCTGACAGGCAGTTTCCTCGGGACGGTATCAACTGGGCATGGACAGATAGATCATCGGACATGACTGGCGAGAGAGTGGCAGCCGAGCGACTGGGCAGTTCCCTCCCCCAGCGCGTGAAACTACCAAGCCGACAACCATTCAACTGCTCTACGTCCAAAATTGACGAGACATCCATCTGCGGATCGGAACGTGGGTGGCGAGTGAACAGCAACAGTGAGTTATTGTCCGTTTTCATCATGGCCCGACCTTCCGTTTTCCCCGTAATCAACCCCATCATCGGGCGTGGCATTCTCCATGGTTTTATGCTTGGAACCATCAACCCGTAATTTAGCCCGGCCATTTCTGTGGAAGTCGCGCGAGATTGATGTGCTGGTGAGTGAGGGCGATGAAGTTCGGGCGTCGGACGAATTGTCGCCGTCGTTATTGCTGTCGCTGTCGCTAGGGTCGAGGGGAATAAAATCAGGCCATGGTGACAACTTCAATCCCCCGCGGTCGAGAAGCCAGAACTGATCCTGATCGGGCATCTTGGCGATTTGAAGGGGCGCTTGTTTTCGATGCGAGATGTTGCAGTGCCGAACGTGGAGCACGCTACAGCAGTTCCCACGAGCGTGAAAGATGCAGCGCAGAGTGCCAGGTATGACTTTTTTGCCGAACTGATTTCTTGTTCCTGTCTCGCGCTCTTGCCTATCGTCAAGCTAGCTGTCTCCTGGTTGCTGCGCTAATCGCCGCCAAATCTTGAACTAGATCCCGGGGCCAGCAGAACCCTGGGTTTTCCCGGGCCTGCCGTCTCCCGGTTGTCTAAGATTATCTGCGATGGGCTATGAAGACAGGCGCGCAAACTCCCGCTTTATCGTGTCGGCGCGGCATCATCGAGGCGAGTGCGATCAGGCAGATTCCAGTCCCTCCTCTTTCCCCCCCCAGACAGGCTTGGCTGTGCACCGCAAGCATGGTTCTCGCACTGGCATTTCGTTTTCCCACATGGATTCGAAACTGGCCTTGAACCACCGGCGGTAGGTTCAGATATTATCCGCCATGAACAGACCCTCATAGCCCACGCCAAGACCTAGCCCTTGCTCCTGTCTGCCCCCCTGCCCTCAAGGCTGTCCAGGTCATACCCGCCTCCTGCTGTCCACCACGTTCCTCGCATCCTGGAGCGTCGATCATGTCAAGCAGGGCAACATCACCATGCCCCAGCGTCGTGGCGAATGGCATCGCGAGGACCCCAACAAAGGTCCGTTGTCATATCTGTCATGCCCAAGTAAAAAGAGAATTCACTTACCCATCTTCCTTAGCATTGGGACCCTTGGTGTGCATAACAGGTGCGGCGGGCGCGTTGTATGCCGGCTTCTCATCGTCATCTTCCTGACGGTCATGGTTGTCGTGATGCTCATGATGTGCCACGGCGGTCGATGGCCCGTTTCCGAGGTTGAAGTCGATTTCGTCATCATCATCCTCCTCTTCTTCCTCGTACTTCACCTCTCCCCCGTTATTGTAATCCTGTTGTTGACCAACATCTTCGACATTTTCGTTTTTGATCTCGGCTACAGGTTGTACTGCTGAGTACTGGTCGACCTCGGCGGCGCGTGCCGCCTTGCCCGCTGGCTCATCGTCATTATAACTGTTATCGGTTAATAGCTAGCCCAGACAATATTTTCGCAATAACAACATACAGATCAGCGAATAGCTCATCATCGAAATTCTCGGGTTCTGTCATGGTTCCGGCTTCCTGTGTGCACTCGGAAGAAGGAACTTAACGCGTTTGTCGTGTTTGTTTGTCGAGTCGATGCCCAACTCCAAGGCGGAGGTGGGAAGGCGATGCAATAAAAAGAACAAAGAAATAAGATGATTATCTTGTGCGTCCCCGATGAACTGGGTGGTTTGGGGTGCCTCTTGAGTCAATAGGTTGAGTGTTCCTATTGATGGTTTTGGATCGCAAGTCGGTCGCGGTTAGAAGCACGGAAGGTTCACGTTCAGAACCTGGCACAGGATGGAAGTCAGTCAAGGCGCAGGCCCTGTCATAGCCGAAGTGGGTCCAAGTGCCTGCAGGCTCGGGGAGCGGGACCGTTCTCTGGTGGATGCAGTGCCAAGCAGTGACCCCGGGAGTGACAACGCTGGCTCTTGCGGGCAGTCGGCTGCCCAAAGCTGGCAAGCAGCTGGCCTGGTCCGGGCATCAGCAGGTAAGACAAACCATCAAGTAAGGACCTGGAATTGTTGAGGTCAAGACACCTAGTCAAGTAGACTAGCCATGCCATTGCTCGACGGCACCGCAAGCAATCCATAATGTTTTCTTCTTCCGCCGGCGGCAAGAAGGCCCCTCCCCAGGTAAGAGCGCTACCGAACTGTTTCAGGCTTCTGTTACTGATGGAGCCGTTGGCGCGAAGCAGGAGATGGTGCAAGTCGGTATGGATGGCCTTGGTTACCTCGTCCACGAAGTGCATTCATGCTAATATTGCCCTCGAATTGGATACAGACAGGTCCGAGTATGTCATACTCGCTACCTAGTACATTTCATACTTGTTCTCCCGTTAACGCCCTTCTCACAGCGCCACCTCTCCCTTCTGGAGGGCCCCTCCTCGAGACACCCCGCCCCCAAAGAAGACACGCGACTCGAGCTTGGTAGTGGGCGCCGCCTATTCCCACGCTGATATGCTCAAGATTGATTCGTTGTATGTTTTGTGGCTAGATATTCTTCTCCAACACTGTTAATAAGGTTTAGGAACCTTTCCAGCTCCGGATCCCGCCCACGGACCCCGCCATCCGTACCAGGTCACGAACGAACAGCTTCTGCCAGCTCCCAGTCGCGAAAGGCGAGCTCCAAAACCAGCGCACCGCCGTTAAAGACGTATATGAACTTCCTTTCCAACACCAACGATGACTGGACCGTGGACGATGAAGGCGAAGACATGTACGACTACGAGTCGGACGACGGCGACGACTTCGGCCTACCGAGTTTATCCAATATGAAGAGGCGGACAAAGAAGAAGGCCGAGCTGAGCAGAGCGCAAACCGACAACGGGCTGGGCTACGACGACGCCGCCAAAGAGCCACGGCCGCGACGAAACTCGGACAGCGCCGACATCGCCATCGAGCGGCCATCGTCGATATACCCCATGCCCAAAAAGAGCGAGGGCAAGATACTACGACCGCAATACAAAGAGATACTACGCGATCCCGCAAACGCGCTTCACCTAATCAACTACCCATCACCACCACCCAATGCAACACCCAAAGAAATCGACGCCATTAACTCGAGGATAACGAGGATAAACAAGTTCAAAAGGCTACTACAAGCATCAACCATACCCCTACCCGACCTCCGTGCACTAGCATGGTCTGGCGTGCCAGAAGAGGTGCGCGCCATGACCTGGCAACTCCTCCTCAGCTACCTCCCCACAAGCAGCGAAAGAAGGGTGGCTACCCTCGAACGAAAAAGAAAAGAGTACCTCGACGGCGTCCGACAGGCCTTTGACAAGGGCGGCAGCAGCAGTAACAACAACAACAACAACAACAGTAACAGCAGCACACCTAACCCACCAACCCGCGGCGGCCGTGGCCTCGACGAAGCAATCTGGCACCAAATTAGCATTGATGTGCCGCGGACCAACCCGCACATCGAGCTATACAGCTACGAAGCCACGCAGCGCTCGCTCGAGCGCATCCTGTACGTGTGGGCGGTGCGGCACCCGGCGAGCGGCTACGTACAGGGCATCAACGACCTAGTCAGCCCCTTCTGGCAGGTCTTCCTCGGGACGTACATCACAGACGCAGATATCGAGCGCGGCATGGACCCGGGCCAGCTCCCTAGGGCGGTGCTGGACGCGGTCGAGGCCGACTCGTTCTGGTGCCTGACCAAGCTGCTGGACGGGATTCAGGACCACTACATCGTGGCGCAGCCGGGGATCCAGCGGCAGGTGTCCGCGCTGCGGGACCTGACGGCGAGGATAGACGCCGGGCTGGCCAAGCACCTGGAGAAGGAGAGCGTCGAGTTCATCCAGTTCAGTTTCCGCTGGATGAACTGCCTGCTCATGCGGGAGATCAGCGTGAAGAATACGATTCGGATGTGGGACACCTACATGGTACGCCCCCCTTTCCCATTCCACCCCCCAAACCCCCAACCCCGACCCCCAATCCCAACCCCCAAGAACCCCCCCCCCCCCCCCCCCCCCCCCCACACACACACACTAACAGTCTCCACAGGCCGAAGAGCAAGGCTTCTCCGAGTTCCACCTCTACGTGTGCGCCGCCTTCCTGGTCAAGTGGTCCGACAAGCTGGTCAAGATGGACTTCCAGGAGATCATGATGTTCCTGCAGTCGCTGCCGACGCGCGAGTGGACCGAGAAGGACATCGAGCTGCTGCTGAGCGAGGCCTACATCTGGCAGAGCCTGTTCAAGGGCTCGTCGGCGCACCTGCGCGGGCCCGAGAACAGGGTGCCGAGCGCCAACTTCCAGCTCTGAGAGTTGGAGAGAGGGAGATAGAGAGAGAGAGAGAGAGAGAGAGAGAGAGAGAGAGAGAGAGAGAGAGAGAGAGAGAGAAAACACCCTTCCTTGGGGGTCGGGGCAGGCGTCTCGCGTTGATGGGTATTCATTCTGCTGCTGTGTATGTAAGGGTGGGTGAGGGTGGGGGATATACGGTTTTTCATTTTAATGCAGTGGATATCGAAGGGTACAGAGCATAGCATAGCATTGTGGATAGGATAGCATACTAATACCCGGGTCAGGAAAGAGAGAGGCACATGGATGGATGCGCATTGTTTTGTGTTCTGTGTCCCAGTAGCTACCTGCCTAACCGATGTTTGTACGTGCCAGCCAGCACCTCGCACACCAACCTTTTCTGCCATAAAAGGAAATTATACAAACCAGACCTCAAGTGCGCCGACCCGAATGACAATAAAAGAGTGCAAGGAATACTCATACAACAAACATGCCATGCGTGCAACCCAACCAGGGATTTTCCTCACCATCCAGAAAAACAGAAGCTTCCACCCCTCAACCCATAGCCAGGAGCCGAGACTCAACCCTTTCCTAGCTCAGGTCCACGTCACCTTCCCGCACCTTCTTTGCCTCTCCCTCCTCGGGCTTCATATCCTCGGCCTTCCGCTTCTTCCTTACCAGCCCCGACAGATCCTTGGCCTTCTGCTTGACCTCCTCCGACACCTCGGGCTTCGGCGCGGGCGGGATCCCCAGCGCCGCGTTGATATCGACGGGCGGCTTACGCAGATCCACCAGGCGTTGCTCCATGTCGGCTAATACCTCCTTCACATCGGTGATCTGGCGGCGGGTGGCCTCGTTGTCGTCCGGGTTGTGCAGGGTCGCGAGCTCGACTTCCTTGTTCTGGAGCTTGAGCTTGGTGCTGTTGATTGCGGCTTCGAGGGCCGAGGCAGCCTCGTCGCGGAGGCCTTGGTCGATGTTCTCGGCTTCACCGCCGCCGGTGGTGTCATCGGCGGCTTTAGTGGTCGAGGCGAACTCGAGGGCCAGGGAGAGCTTGAAGTAGGCTTCGGCGATGATCTCAGACTCGAAGGGGTATAGTTCTTCTTTGTACTTGAGGGAGGCGCGGGAGTCGGTGATGGCGCTCGGGTACCTTTGGTTAGGGTATGTCAGTTTGCAAGCTCGGGAAGCACCAAACAGTGTGGTGGTCCTTCACGACCCTGCGACATACCTCTCGTTCTCGAGCGAGATTTCCGCGAGGAGATCGTGCGTATCGGCAAGGCGCTCTTTGATGTGTTTGATGGCAACGGAATCGCTACCGGTTTCGGCGACTTCCTTGCCTTTGCCTTGTTGTGCCTCGTCCTCTGCCTGGACGTCCTCAAGGCGCTTGTTGAACAGCAGCCGCGCGAGGTCGAGGATTTCGAACGCCACAGCCAAATCATCCTCCTCCTCTTCTTCCTCTTCGCCCTCGCCCTCTTCGTCTCCCTCTTCCTCTTCGGAATCGGTAAAGTTCTCGTCGCCTTGGAATTGAAAGAGGGCCTTCTTCTGCTCGGGCTGTGGCTCCTCGTTCTCCTGGTTTTCCGCCCCCTGGGCAGCAGCGGCGCCACCAACGGTCTCGGCAGCCCCATCCTTCTTGCTGGCGGTAGCGGGCGCGCCTCCGTTTTTGGAGGCGGCCGCCTTCGCAGGCTTCGGCTGCTTTTTCGCCTCTGGGGCCTTGCCACCCAAAACGTCGCTTCTGCTCTGGCCGACCTTGAACAGTGCGCGGCCGTAGAGAAATAGGATCTCGGCGTTCTCTGGGCTCATCTCGCCGTTCATCTCGGCCTGCATCTCGGCAGCCTGAGCGTACACCTCGGAAGCGTCCTCATACTGCTTGTGCGCATATAGCGCGGCAGCCTTGGCTGAGAGGTCGGCAAGCGATACTCTAAGACTCTTGGTGGTTTCCTCTGGGTTGAGCTGGAGCGGCGTTGAGGTGCCGGTCGTAGGCGTGGGTGTCGCCATTGCTGCTAAGCTGTGATGGTTTGGATGTGGTTGTGTTGTTTATGTTATGAAATGAATCAAAATGGCTGTTTCAGAAATATCGGAATTGATAATTGAGGAAACAGATTGAAGTCGTTGGTGGTTCTTTGTTGGATGATCCCGATGGTTTAAAGTGGGAGGCGCATGCGACGAGAGCTCTTGACGCGAGGGATCAAGCTTCCTCCTTTGGGACGCGTCTCATTGGCTCTTTCTCCGGCAAGCTGTTCGATGACGGCAGGGGGCTGGGCGCTGCTTCCACTTGTCTCCCTTGGGCATTTAGACAGAACAGGAACGACTAAGTCGGTGTGTTAAAAATTACATGTACACAGTAGTACAAAAGCTGCCTCTAACTATCGGGCTCAATTGCTCAATTCTTTGTTGCAGCTTTGCGGTTCAAGTTCTCTGAAAGATATCTCAAGTCGGGGTTAGGGTTATGACGTAGCTGGCTTACATTGACTAAGGAGGGGCATGACCCCATGCACGTCACCTGCTCGAGCGGCCACAGACCAACTCGCGATACCTTGGGGAAGACCATGGAGGCCACCCGGGCGAGGGAAAGAGTTTTTTGAAGTCGCTAACTTAGAGGTATGGTTTATAATTTTAGTTTCGAAAATAGTCAGGTTGTGGAATAAAATAATAAACACCGGAAGTTTTTGGTTAAAGTCATCGCTCTTGGCAATTGCATCGCATCTCACTCTCCCTGTCTCTCGTCATCCGATTACCAACACTGGGATCAAAGAATAACGAACGCAATCTGAAATATACAACATAGTGGTCTCCAGGAGCGAAGAAAGGAATCCCCCCATACCATTTATTTCTCTATTTTTCCATCACTCATAGTCAACTCAACCACCAGGCCGCCACCCATTATGCTGCAATCTGTCGGAAGTGAGCACGACAATCATTATGAGTCTAGTCACTCCAATTCTATCGAGGCTTTAGTGGCAGCCCGGAACGATGGGAAGAAACACCTGCTTCTCGCGTACGCTCCCAGCTCCTCGCTCCTCCCTGTGTGATGATCCTTCGCATGCATGCAACTCACCAAACACTCTCATGCACAGGGCGTCGGGTTCCGTAGCAACCATCAAGAGCAAGCTTGAACCTGCTAATTATTCCTACACATATATATCCCTCTCCTAACTCGTCGGCACAGTCCCCGTCATCGTCGCAACCCTTGCCGAGCACCATCCCACCCTCTCCATCCGCATCGTCCTGACCGAGTCGGCCACCCATTTCCTAGGTGGGCAGAGTGACGAGCAGCCCACTGTGGCCTCGCTGTTGCACTTGCCCAATGTCGACGCCGTCTACCGGGACCGTGACGAATGGGGGCCCCAGCCGTGGCGTCGGGGGGCTAGTATCCTGCATATTGAGTCTGGTTCCTGTCCCTCCTCCAGAGCCTATGCTAGTGGTGAATACAGACTGACCACATGGCGCCCCCTATTAGGTTAAGGAGATGTATGTGGTAGTCCCTAAAATAGAGGGAGTGCTTTGATGGTTGCTGATGAACATCTGGGTAGGGGCCGACATGCTGGTGGTGGCACGTAAGTTAGCCGGATAGAAGTTCCTCAAGCGCTCTTTCGATGTAGCGGCGAAGGTCGACTGACGAGTAAACAGCACTCAGCGCAAATACTCTAGCCAAGGTCCGTACTAAACCATACCGCAGACGTAGTCGTCTACAAAAGCCTCACCTACTGACCGACTTGACTCCTACAGGTAGTCCACGGCATGTCCGACAACCTCCTTACTTCCGTCATCCGCGCCTGGGACACCGACAGCAGCATCGATATGAAGAAGAAGGTCATCCTCGTCGCGCCAGCCATGAACTCGGTATATACAACCTCTAACCATCCTCGGGATCACGGGGGTGCATGTCACTTACTTCCTGCACCAGGCCATGTGGAGAAACCCCGTCACGGAAAAGCAGATTCGAGTGCTCACGGACGACTGGGGCGTCAAGGAGGAGGTAACGGGCCCCGCCGGGGAAGCACGCTCGATTATCGGCTGGTTCAAGGTTATCACGGTGAGCATTCCTCCCTGGCCGCGATCCCCCAGCGCTCACAGAGCTAACTAATTCCCAATCTAGCCCATCAGCAAGTACGTCTCCCCGACCTGACAAGACAAATACCTCATCTAACTCCCAACTCAACAGAACACTCGCCTGCGGCGACACCGGAGGTACGTCGCTTACCCCCCAAACCACACCACTCCCCAGCTCAGCTCCCCAACCACTCTGCTAACCACCCCTCACTGCAGACGGTAGGCCAACCCCCCCCCCCCCCTTTTTTGTTTTGACTGGACTCCTGCGACCGCCAGGCCAGACCAGTGCTCACTCTTCTTCCTTGGTCCACTGATGACAGATCAATCCTTCTACTCTTCCGCCGGAGAGGAATCGACCCATGGCGCTGACCCTCTCTACGTAGGGGCCATGGCATCAGTCCCGTCCATTTGCGAGGCTATCGAGAGGGATTTGCAGCTCAACGCCGAGGGCTGAGTGCGTTACTTGGGTGGTTGGTGGGGGTTAGTAGCTATGGGGGACGGGACTGTCAAGATTGGACGCACTGGGGACTACGAAGATGTACTATCGGTATGCTAACTGGGGTCACTACCTGTTAAACACTCTTATTGGTAATTGTGTCCCAATAGCATCGACATCGACATCGGCATAGGCACTCGGGGTTTTAGTACTCGGCACTTATGGCCAGTGAATTGGGCTAAGTTATAACATGGTAATTTTACAGTACAGATGACCTCCCGCGGTCACCGGAGTGTTCCCAACCCTCCCCCCGTACGCCACGGCAATGATGTTCTCTTCCCATCCTGAAACGGAAAGTAGAAGAGGAAGAACTCCATAAATGCCCACGGCTTGTTGCCGTGCAAGTAATGACTAAAAATAAATATGATATCGGTTGGTGTGGTGTAGTGTGAGCAAAGTGGATAGATCCGACAAGTCCAGAGCAGGCCATCCCCCCCCTCTCAAACCATGCTGGCTGTGACGGACGGTGCAATGGATGCATGTATAAAAAACCGCAACTAGAAAATAAAAAGAAGACGAGAAACGAGGACGAAGAGGCGCCGAAACCGCTCCCATACGCCACCAAATGCTAGGTTTACCAACCCGCCCATGACCCGCTCAGTAACGAGAAACAAATCTAGGTGAGAAAGAAAAGAAAAAGAATGTTTCAACCCAAGCTGAACCCAACCGCCAACCCAGTTAGTTAGTCATGGCGGAAAGTGCACTTATCCCCCTTGGCACACTGGCCCTTGGCCCAGAACGCACACGCCTTGGTGCCGATCAGGTTGCGGTTGATGCCGCGGAGGTGCTCGGGGATGTTATCGTTCTTGCCACCCCCGCCGGCGCCGCCGGTGTTGCGGCCCTTGCCGCCACGCTGGTAGTCGCGGTCGCGGTCGCCGCGTTCACGGTCACGGCCGTAGCCGTCCCGCTCCCGCTCCCAGTCACGGTCCTGTCCACCACCACCACCACCACCACCACTGCCGCTACCGCCGTACGCCTGCCCGTAGGTCTCGCGCTCCTGGTGGGATTGGTTGTAGCCTTGGCCGTAGCCCTGGGCAGCCTGGGCGTAGTACTGCTGGTAGGCGTTCTGGGCGGGTTGCGCTTGCGCCTGGCCCTGGTTCTGACTGGTCGCCATCTTGACCATGTCTAGTAGGTACTGGGTGTTCTGCGCGTCGGCCGATGCCGGGGCCGCGGCCTGGCCTTGGTTACCAGCGGCGAGGGCCATGAGTGCGGCCTGGATTTGGTTGTTCTGGTCCGGGGTAGGCTGCGACTGAGGCTGGGCGGCCGGTTGTTGGACACCGAGGGCTGCAAGGATGCTCGCATACTGGTTGTTCGGGTCGGTAGGCTGCTGCTGAGCGGCCTGTGGAGCTTGAGTGTACTGGTTCTGCTGCTGGCCGTACCAGCCTTGCTGCTGCTGCTGTTGCTGAGCAGCATAATACTGAGCCCAGGCGGCCGAGTAATCGGGTGCAGCAGCCTGAGCACCCTCTGCTGTGGTGGTAACAGGTTGGGGAGCGTTTTGCTGCGTGGGCTCGGGGGCAGGCGTGATCTGAGCGGGCTTTTCCGCCTGGTTCGCTTTCAGAGACGCGCCAATTGCCTGAAGATTTGCGAGCACGCCCTGGAGCTTAGGATCCTTCGCTAACTCTTCCTCCGTCATCTTGCGGGGCATTAATCGATTATGCGGATCCGGGTCCTGCCAGTTCTTGGCCCGATCCGACGAGAGAAGCTCGTAAGTCTGCTGATCACGGCGGGCGACCGCAGTGGGCTCATACCACATCCGGGGGTCCTTGACAGCGGCTTGGGCAACGGGCTGATGAGGGCGAACCTCGGGTTGGCGAGAAGCCTGCCCGTTGTACGAGTCAGCGATCGAGTTGATAGACTTGAGCGTCTTGGTGAAATCGGCATAGTCCGGACGGGCTTTGGTATCGAGACGGTCCTTGGCTGCGCGAGAGGCATGATAAGGGCCCCATCTGTTGCACTCCCGACTGCGCTGCATCATCTCCTCGTACTCGGGGGTCTCGGGCGACAAGTGCGCCTCGTGGACCGTGCTGCTCCCGGAAAGCGACGGCTCGTAGGGGGGCGATCTCGGGCTGGGCGGTATGTCGGCGCGGTTGTGATAAATGACCATCAACTCCTTCGACTCCCGCTCCCTGGTGAGCTTCTGCTCCTCGGTCTCGAAAGTCATGAGCCCGCCGCAGGTGATGTAGGTCTTTTCCCTCTTCTCTTGGGGGATGGTGGCGGCGAAGTTCACCACGGTCGGCTCCTCCCACTCTCGGTCGTTAACCTCTAGGGCTTTGATGCCCTGGCCGCCGTGGAGGCGCTTCATCATTTGAGACTCTTCGCTATTCTTGTCGCGGCCGTCGGTCCTGACGTTGCGCGCCATGCCGCTCTCGATCTCCTCGGGGTGGCGCGTGAACTCACGAATCTCGACCAGCGCGTCGCCGCTCTTAAAGGCGACTCGAAGGCTCCGGCGCCTCTCTTTGTGAAGACGACGTTCACGCTCCGCGGGTGTCTCGTTCGGGTCGGGAGCGTTCACCTTTTTCTTGTCGGCTATGGGCGTCTTGATTTTCTTCTCTTCGACGATTTCCTTCATCAAGGAAGAGAAGATCGACTTCGACGCGGGAGCCTGTTTGGCCGTGTCGGCAGCCTTGGGTTTGGCCAGCTTCGTGACGCCGGCTGCCGTCGGAGCTTTGAGTGTCGACTCTGCCTTGGCCAAACTCTTTTGTGCGTCGGCCTTCGCGGGTTCAGTCTTAGACACAGGCTTGGTTGCCGGGCGGACCTTTCCAGGAAGCAAAAGGCCGGATCGCGGTTTTGTCTGAGGAGCCGCGGGCCCAGAAGTCGTTGGCGCCGTGGTGGGCTTTGAGTTGACAGTTTTGCCGGCGGGGGCTGTTGGCGGCTTTGCGGCCGATGGGGTTGCTTTTACACCGCTGGCCGACGTATCTGTCGCAGGCTTCTTGGACGAGCGCACCTCGGCACCGGCAGGATCGTCTTCGCGAGGCCGTTTGGTCCCAGAAAGCACTTTTTGAGGTGCCTTCGAGGCGGCGGCCTTGCTGGCGTCGGAGCTGCCGGTCATCGTTTTTGATGACGGTGCGGATGAGAGTTTTCGAGAGTCGGTGGCTGAGGTGGCAGATTTTGAAATGGAAGAAGTGGCCGTCTTTTTCGGGTCGCTTCCCGGAGTCATCTGTTTTGAGAGCACCCGGGTTTGCGCAGAGGGAGCTTTCTTCCCACGAGCACCTGACTCCGCGCTAGGCGAGTCACTCTCGCTCTCACTTCCATCATCATCGTTCTGTCTGGCATTGTCATACACCTGAGCAATGAGTGCTTTCGCCTCATCGTCCCCCTCCTTGCCCAGCTTCTTTCTCAACTTATCCATCTGCAACATTTCCAACTGATCCGACGTCACCTTGGTGAGCCGCGTGTACAGACGGAGAATGACTTTGGCTAGGGATGAATTTGCTTCGCCCGCGTTGATAAGCCTCACAAGGACGTTGTTTAAGATGGCGACCATCTTGTTGCTGCCGCTCAGTTTCGCAAATAAATTACCGGGTTCGACCCGAAGACCCTCCTCGACGGCGCGCTCCAGTTGTTCTTTGGCTGTCCGCGCCTTGGGCTCGACCTGGCTACCCTTGGGCTTCTCAGCCGCCGCCTGCAGGGCAGACTTAAGATTCGCAGCCTTGGACTGGAGAAACGCGGCAAAGTCGGAACAGGCATCTCCAGCCACCTTCTGGTTGCGGAGGTGGGCTGGGTGAAAGCGCAGGTATTCAACCGCTTTTATGCCAGAGCAAAGCGGCTCGGCGGGGGGGTCAACGCGCTGCGGCTTAAAGGAGACCACTGTTAGCGAAGCTCTAGACGGTGCGATCACGTCAGGGTCACAACGTACCTCCTTGCCCAACCGATCTTTCAGTCCCTTCTTAAACCAATCGACTGGAATTTCTAGGCGAAGGCGTTAGCAAGTCCACTCCGTTCACGTCAGTAGCACGACACTTACCGGTCTTCCCCCGCTTCATTTCGATGTCAAGACGGATATCAGCCTGCTGGCGATCCAAGTCATTCGTCGCCTTCTGATATGTGCTGGCGTGGTTCCCAAGACTCTCTGCTGGGGTCCAAGCCCGCCACATCTTGGAGAACAACGGATCCTGACCGCCCTTCGTCGAGAGGGTCACATATCGCTTCGTCGGCGTCCCCTTTTGAAGCTTCACTGGTGCGGAGCCGACCACAAGATTTGGCACACCTACCCATCTCGCACCTGGCCGACCTCGAGCTGCTGAGAGAAGGCTGGCATCCTGGTAGTTGATGCTACATACGGGGCTGGGTACATTCTGGGCTTGATCCTGGACCGGCGGAAGAGAGGGATTGGCAGTTACTGGGCCGGATACCTTGGCTCTTTTCGCAACAACTGGGGTGACCTGCGCTTCTCCGGTGGCGCCGCGCTTCACACCTGCGGCGGAATTGCCCTCAGGTATTTGCGGTTGCTGGGCCGGCGGAGGTTTGCTGAGCGGTTGTTGAGGGAAAACATGCTGTCCAGCAGCGCCGGGTTGGGCAGCAGGGTGCAGGGCGGGCCGTTGGCCCGGTTGTTGAACGGGCTTCTGAATCGGCTTCTGAGCTGACTGTTGCTGAACTGGTTGCTGCTGAGCCGGTTGCTGAAGGGGCCTCTGAGCTGGTTGTTTTGTTGGTTGCTGTTGAGGCATTCCCTGCTGGGGAATTTGTTGCTGGGGAATTTGCTGCTGGGGAATTTGCTGCTGGGGAATTTGCTGCTGAAACTGTTGAGGCAGTTGCTGGGGTGTGGCCTTCCGTGAAGGAGGCTGCGCGGGGGCAGGTTGTTGCGGCTGTCCGTTCAGCTGTGCCGCGAACTGCGGGTGAACCTGTCGAGAATTCACGGGAGTCTGTTGGCGCGTCTCCGTTTGATACCCCGGGACCGTTGGCGCGCTCACGCCTTGGCCAGAAAAGAAGGGGGATGGTGAGGGATTAGAGACCGGGGCAGAGACGTTAGATGACTGGGCGGCACTGAGAGGATTGTCGAACTGAGGACCCGATCCATACCCAGTAGGCACTTGGTCTTGCCACTGAGGAATTGGGCCTTGGTGATAGCTGTTCGGCGCCGGCCCTGGTGGGGTGGCCACACCCCGATTGAAGTTGTGGTGGGGATTTACCTGCTGGTTGGCATTGCCGTGAAGCTGGGATGGGAACTCATTGCCTTGCTGGATATCAAGGGCGAAGCGGCTGTCGATTGTCTGATTGGCATCAGCTGGATGACGCTGCTCCGCGTAGTAGCCTTGAGGCAGCGAGGTGTCTTGAGCGAATGGTGCAGCTGTGGTTTGAGGGTGGTCCGGCCAGACATCGCCCTGGCCATAGTATTCGAAGGGACGATACAAACCACCCTGATTGTCAGCTCCGGACAACTGGGGGTTAATAGCACCGCCGTCGAGGAAGTCCGGGTTTGGGTAGTTGCTCTCGGCACCGGTGCCCTGGTCGAACGCGCTGAACTGGTGGTCCCACGCTTCGCCGGCAAAGCTATTCGGATCCCAGGCACCGATGCCATGACCATGGCTTTGATCCATGGCTCAACACCTGAGTGTGAAAGGGGTATTCACTTCTGATCTAAAGGCCGTCAATTACTGATAACTGCATGCACTCCGCTCAATACATACGTGAAGCTTAGCGTGTGCAAGAAACGGGTTGTTTCGGTTAGAAAAGTGGGCGATCGGTTAAGGTCGGGATTTGTAATTAACCGGAGGAGTCCTCTGGCGCTTGGGCACAGGTTGTGAGATTTCGTAAGTGGGGCGGGATGCGGCAGTGTGCCAAATTCGGCTAGTGTAGCAGCTGATCAAAGGTTAGCCAGAGAAATCCACCAAATCGCTGACAGCAGCGCAACGCAAACGCAAGCAGCAAGACACAGCCATTTCCAGACAGCCCGCGACCCAACCAGGGAGAGCAACCAGCAGCAGGACGGACAGCAGGCGGCGGAGTGAGAGCGAGCGGCAACATGGCCCCAACAGGGCCTGAGAGCGGGTTTGTCGATTGAAATTCGCCGTTGAAAGTAATTCCGTCCTTATTTCGACCTCGATTTAAGCTGGGGCTCAATCGAAAAAAGGGGTCCTGGGCTTGGGTGTGGTCGTTATGGCGCCATGGTCCTCGCCAGTGGTGGGTGTCTGAAGCCCGAGATGTGATCTGCGTCCGCCCGCCAAGACCACCCACCATGACTGAGCAGAGAAAACCCTTGGGAGATGAATGCATTTAGACAACACCCCGACGCTTTGTTGCGCTCCTCCTCAATTCGGTTGCCAATTTCAATCAGTTCCGGCAAGATTGAAGCCATTTTCGATGGAAAAGTTGAAAGATGAATGGTCCTTGGGTGGTTGGTGGTGGTCGTTCTGTCTGCGAGGGTCCCCGAGGTTTGCCAGAACCGCCATCCATTGGAAGTCCATTCAGGGACTTGGTGTCGCGCACGTCGCCCCGCAGCTCCCGCCACCAAGTGCGGCACTGCCCTGCGCTGCAGTTACCAACGCCTGCGACAGATTGCGTCTTTGGGAACAATTAACCATCTCAAAAGGATGAGGTTGATTTCGATGGGCGGATGGCTGCTTTGGCATTTGGGGTATTATTGCCAGTGGCTGCAGATGGAGGTGGCCCCCTCTCCTCCATTTGGAGCTGTGGTGGCCGTTTTGGCCGTTTCAGGCTGCTCTCACTTGGCTGTTTGTCTGCTGGCTGTGCTGCTCTCCCCATGCTGGCCGGCTGCACTTCTCTCCTCGTGACAGGATCTCAAGTGTTACGTGCAGCTGATGGCGACTTTGCCCGGCTGGACACCCCCAGCCAGGTTCCGCTGCCGCTCTCCCAGCCCTTCGGCACGCAGATGAATGCTGCGGCTCCCAGGTTGTTCGACCGAACACGCATTTTATAGGAGGATAAGAACACACAAAACGCTGTCAGGAATTTTAGATGGGGACGGATGTTTCATGCATACCCTTTGATTGTGCCCGCGTCCGGCCACACAGTCTCGTTCGCCGCGTGTTGTGACGCCAGGTCAGGGCCAGCGGCCCTCGAAGGCGACAAGGTGCTCACGGATTCCTTACAACATCTCCCGTGTATATCTAGACACGGCGTTTGGATGGGTAAATTGACCAGAGAACAGGGAGGCGCGGGTGCGCAGAGAAGGATTAGGCTGAGCGAGACCTGGGCAAGTCAAACTGTGTTCAGCGCCCGTCGCGGGTCAAACTGCCTATACACTGGCTCGAATGATGAGCAATCAAGGGGAATACCGCCGCTGAGAGTGTTAAGCTCAGTGAGGCGGTCTGGGTGATGATTCGGGAAAGGCGCGTTGAGGAAAGGGTTGGGATGGAAACAGTGCCACCAGAGGTCTGTTGTTGAAGGAGAAAAGTTGGCGCCTGGATGTGCGGGCCAGCCGCGGCAGTTCATTAAAGGGCTGGGCTGGCTGCTGCTGTTGCTGCTTGTTCGGGGGGCTTGGGCGTGGTCCGTGCAGGTGGCGAAGGCCCATTGTCACCTGCCAATAGCAGGCTCCAACACTCGGCGCTAAGCCTTAAACAGTGCTGTGGTGGTGGTCTCAGCGGTACGTACCTCCCACGATGGACACCTTTGCGTCCATGGAATTCATGTGGGGGAGCTTCCAGGTTTGGCCAAACTCTCAGGACGAGACGGAACATTTAGCAACGAAGGGGCGCATTATCCCATTTCCACCAAGAGAGTGACAACACATCGTATTTACGCTCTCTCTCTCTCCTTAACTGAGAAAGCGAGAAGCCAATGCCCAGCGACCGCGTCTAAACGGGAACCGCACCTCCAAAGCTTGCGCGTCGAGGACGACCAACAGCAGCTCCCGAGAGCAAGAACAGCCAACGGTTTTTATTGTTGTTGTTGTTCTTGTTGTTGTCGCTGCTGCTGCTGCTGAAGGCCAACCATGGCGGCGCGGGGGAATTCTCTGCGCGACAAGCAGATTGGTATGCGCCGCTAACTATCTCCTTGGCCGTCGCGTCGTTTGCCCTTCCACTAACTAGGCCCACGTCTGTAGTTTCTATCAAGAAGATCCTCAACCTGAACGACTCTGTCGAACCAAGCGAGAACGACGACACCCCTTCCAATGGCTTATCGGCGCCCTCCGCGCCCATATCGAAGGATGGGACTCCCGTCTGGAAGCTTCTTGTATTCGATGTGAGCAACCCCGCCGGCATCGGTGCGACTCCGTTACGGACTCTCAACCACGCGGTCCATATTTGGGGAACGAAGCGTCGATTGGCAGGCCCTGGGCTGACTTGGTTCCGGATAGGATCTTGGTCGCGATGTGATTAGCCCGGTGCTCCAGGTGTCAGACCTTAGGTCGATGGGTGTCACCATGCACATGTGAGCTCACTACCTTTGCTCCTTTCGAGGGGCATATTGCTGACCGTCAAAGGCACATTGGTTCCCAAAGAGCTGCCATCCCCGATGTCCCAGCGATATACCTGGTCGAGCCAACCCCCGCGAACCTACAAGCGATTACGAACGATCTCCAGAAAGGGCTTTACAGCGCAGCCCATCTCAACTTCCTCTCCTCGATACCCCGACCCCTGCTGGAGGACTTTGCGGCGCAAACAGCCACCGCAGGCACCTCGGAACAAATCGCACAAGTTTACGACCAATACCTCAACTTCATCGTCACTGAGCCCGATCTGTTTAGTCTTGGGATGCAGAAGGAGCATACCTACTGGGCATTGAATAGCGCAAAGACAAAAGATGAGGAGCTGGACCGAGTCGTAGACCGGATCGTCAGTGGGCTGTTCAGCGTTGTGGTGACCTCCGGTATGTTCTTGACCTCCATTACATAGGGTATTTTAACAAGGCTAACGGCGTGGTAGGAGTGATACCCATTGTATGTGTGTTCAATGCCATGGGCAAAAACCCCTCTATCCCCATATGATTTGCGCTAACCGCCGTCCGCTAGATTCGCTGCCCGAGAGGTGCTGCGGCCGAGATGATCGCAACCAAACTTGACCGAAAGCTTCGCGACCACGTCCTCAACTCCAAGGACAATCTCTTTTCTTCACAGGCACGGTCCGCCCCTTCGGCCGGCGGGACCCCCACATCAAGACCTGTACTCGTAATCCTTGACCGCAACGTTGATCTGATACCCATGCTTTCTCATTCCTGGACATACCAGAGCCTTTGTTTTGACATTTTCAAGGTGAGCCCCGCTCCGCTCTGGGATAGAGAATCATTGTTGCTGATCTTGACCACAGTCGGAGTTGAACCGCATCACTATCGAGACCCCTATCGATTCCAGCAACCCAGCGAAAGGGACCTCGAAGAAAACATATGACCTCGTCGCCAATGACTTCTTCTGGGCCAAAAACGCGTGCTTGCCATTCCCCCAGGTCGCCGAAGATATCGGTAAGAGGAGCTTGGGTTGGCTGGCGACAGCCACATGATCACCCACTTTACGGTGCTGACACCATGAACAGATGCCGAACTCACCAAGTACAAGGAGGAGGCGGAGGCGATTACAAAGAAGACGGGCGTCAGCGATTTCGACGATCTCCAAAATGACACGAGCGCCAGCGCGCAGCATCTGAAGGCGGCCATTACTCTCCTCCCAGAACTCCGTGAACGGAAGGCAACACTTGATATGCACATGAACATTCTTGCGGCCGTCTTGGGAGAAATTCAGAACCGCCAGCTAGACAACTACTTCCAGCTAGAGGAGACCGTCATGAAGCAGACCAAGGCGCAGATGCTCGAGCTGATCAAGACGGAGGACAAGGGCCAGCCGGGGGACAAGCTACGTCTATTTGTCATCTGGTTCCTCAGCACGGAACAGGATGTTTCGCGGCAAGAATGGTCACAGTTCGAGGAGGCACTGGAGGCAGCCGGGTGCGACAAGACAAGCCTAGCGTATATCCGACAGTGAGTACCCCCGCGTCAATCCGGATGGCTAGGTAGATACTAATCATCGCTTTCTAGGGTCCGAGCAACGACCAAAATGACACAACTCACCACCGTCACCAGCCAAGCGTCAGCAAATCAGCAACAATCCGGGTCCTCGGATCTCTTCAACCGCTTCTCGGCCATCTCGACCCGCCTGACAGACCGACTCAAGGAGACGGGTGTCCCGACAAATGCGCTGACATCCAACGTCGCCTCACTCCTCGGCGGGATCAAGAACTTCCTACCCGCGGACAAGGACCTCACCGTGACCAAGATTACGGAATCGATCATGGACCCCTCAGGGGCAAGTTCGTCAGCGATAGCCAAGACGGAAAACTATCTCTACTTCGACCCTCGCAGCGCGAACGCGCGCGGGACGATGCCTCAGCCGTCGGCGCTGCGGGCGGGGGCGGGCGGTGGTACAGCGCCGGGGGGTCTTCCCGGTTCGGTTCTTGGCGCGCAAACGGCCGGGACCGGGGCCAGCTTCGGCCAACGGAGACAGGGGTTCTCGGAGGCCATGGTATTTATGGTCGGAGGCGGGTCTATGGATGAATATGGAAACCTGCAGGAATGGGCGGCCCGCACGGCGGCAGGGGACCGGGTAACGAGGAGGGTCATTTACGGCGCCAGCGAGCTGGTGAATGCGGGCCAATTTATCAGCGAGGAGCTCGATAAGCTTGGCAGGGAGATGTCTTGATAGACCCCGACGTTTTCGGCAGGGGACAAATGCAGAGAAGTCAACTGGTTCTGTTCCGGCATCTGTGACTATTGATCGTTGTCTTGGCCGCTGCGCAAGGACCCAGTGAGACCAGAAGAATTTGGGACGACAGTAGTGTTGAAACGAGGCGATCTGCGATCCGGTTGTCTGTGACTGCAGCCAAGCCAAAGCCACACTAAAGTTCGTGAACCAGTTAGCTCGATGGCTTGCATGTGCATGGTGGTGCATGGCGCCCGAACTCAACTACCCAGTTGTTAGAAATCAAGCTTCCTTGTTGAGGACATATTTCAAGTTGATGCCATTCTGGGTGGATAGGCCCTGGCCGCCTCCTGACGCAAGCACGCACGCAAGTCAGAGGATGGAGATCGATCGGGGAGGCGGGGACCGTCCGATATGGTTGAGGTGGCTGTGACAGCCCTGTGGCTTAACCACAATGGCGCGCTACTTTAAATAGTTTGCATCTCGATATCAACGAAGCTGACGAATGTGAGATAACGACGCCACCGTCATTCAGAATTACCTAGGTATGATTCCCGAGTCGAGCTCGGTCTCCTCACGGGCAATGAACTTACTTAATTGTAGGCTCGATAACATGCCCCCAGATCTTGCCCTGCGACCGTTGACGGCAATCGGCATCTTGATATCCCCCAAGACCCCTAAACATTTTAGAAGTACCTTGGCGTGCCCGGGATCTTGGGTGGAAGAGACAATGGCAGTGGGCCATGCGGCTTAGCGAGCCGTTTCCGTGGTTTCCAAGGCGCACCGCCTTGTGCTGGGCGAACATAGGTTTAATATTAGACAGTAATTATCAATAACTGACCGTCTTCCTCTGTTCCGTCAGCTGCCAGCCCGACTCCTTTGTGGCTTTGGGGTGGTTGTCAAATTGACGAATTCCCCCGCATTGCCGCATCTGAGAATCTGAGAAATTCAATATTTGTCGATCTTTGGTGGGCAGCAAAACACAAAGTTCGGACCCAAAAACCCCACAGCAACCGAACAGGCTTTTTGGCTCTGATACCGCCCCCCTGAAGGACACCCCCACACCCAATGAACAGTGCCGTAGGCCGTGCGACGTCACCACCTGCCCCAATCGAGCACTGAAACACCACGATCAACCTGCCATCTTCCCGGCAAGCACCGCCCCTTCATTCGCCGGGCCCCTCAGGATCCCTGCTTGCCGTCCATCGAGCTGCCGACTCCTGGTTGGAAAATCGACAGGCTGAAACCGCGACTTTTGTCCAGCTGTTCGACTCTCCTCGCCAGTCAACCCGTTGCGACAGCGCCAAAGCATAGCCCAGCGCTTGCAAACCAACCCCGAACCCGCCGCAAACCGACCGATCGAGAGACGGCCTAACAAAGCCCGGCGCATAGGGAGCGTTGTCTGCGGTGCAGTCCCGTGGTCGATACCTACGAAGAACGTTGCCCACATACCATACCATACCTCCATAACAAAGGAACAAATCCGAGCGAGACGCACAGAAGAAGGCCGCGCGCAAAAAGGAGGCGCCTCGAAACACAGCCAACCGATCAACGACTCCTCGGGTTGTCAGACTGCGGCCGCGCGGCTGCGACAAGGCAGAGAGAGCCAAGCAACGGCGGCGACTTTGATACATCCAACCCGCACCCACACCCACACCCACCACATCCACATCCACAACGACACTCTTACATTCCAACGCCGGGACAAACGGGCAGCTCCCTGGCATTTGACAGTCTGAGACACCATAAGCCGTCCGAATCGGGAATCTCTTCCTTCTTCGTTGGACAGAGCGCGGACATCCCCAACCGAGCATTTACAGGTTGTGTCTTTGCATTTTGCAGTTGGGCCGTTTGGCGCATTTCTTCGATAGATACCCAGCCCGTCGTCGTGTTTCAGTCAGTCGGCTCCGTGAGCACTAAGCAACCATGTCGTATAATCGATTAGGCAAGTGGACATCTCCTTTCATCCGATCCGACCTACATTTCCTTTCACGAGCGCCGAGTTTTGTTTGTGGGCCGGCTTCATCACGAGCCAGGCGACTTGCCGTTTCGGGTCGCTTTTCCCCCTTGAATCCGCGTTCCTCACACTCGTAACACACATTCTTTCAACCTCCCTACCTGCCCAAGAGGCCGTTTTTACTGGCGTCTTCGTTTCCTTCGTCCTCCGGCCTGCGGCCCAGACCATACCCATTCTTACAGAAGCTTTGCTTGTGCCGCAACTTTATTCCTTTTGCCTGGCGCAAAGGAGCAAGTGGACTATCCCATTCGGACTTCAAGTGTTGGTCTGAGACCGGCACGGATTTCTTGGCCCACCTTCACCACCTTTGGTCTGTCGCGCGTTGGCCCGCAACAGGAGGAATTCTGTTCCTGCCGGATTCCTGGGGAGCCATGAGCTAACCGTTTTCCGCCATGCAGACGACGACTATTACGAGAGTCACCCCATGGAGAACCGGGTGCACAGGACCCCTTCCCCGGGGCATCCACTTCAGCACGGCTACCATCTCGAGGACAACCCGTACGGCCACTCGCAATTGGATCTACCACCACAAGGCCCTGGGAGGTTCAGCCCTGGCGACGCATTACAGATGCAAACAGCAGTGAGTATAGTTTGTTCGGGGTAAGGTTACTATGTGACCTGAAGCTGATGAAGCGACCAGCAATCCGTAGACAACCTCGGGGGCTACTCGGTGAACCCCGAGGCGCATCATGATGCGTATTACAACCAACCATATGAGCCAAACCATGGCGCCCATCAACCGGGGTTCGACAACGCGACACCGTTCTATGAGGACGACAGCCGGCCGATGTTGACGCATAATGACTCTCAGGTTGGCGCAAGCGACCCTTACCACGACAACGCCCAGAAGCCGAAGGCGAACGCCGGCGGGATCAAGAGATGGAAGACGGTAAAGCAGGTGCTGTTGTACCGCGGAAACTTGGTGCTCGACTGTCCGATCCCCCCAAAACTGCTAAACCAACTGCCCCACGGCGAGCGCGACGAGTTCACCCACATGCGCTACACGGCCGCGACATGCGATCCCTCCGAGTTCTACGAGGAGAACTTCACCCTCCGGCAAAAGCTCTTCAGCAAGCCCCGCCACACAGAACTGTTCATCGTCGTGACCATGTACAACGAAGACGAGATTTTGTTTGCGCGCACCATGATCGGCGTGCTCAAGAACGTCGAGTACATGTGCAAGCGGGCCGAGAGCAAGACGTGGGGCAAGGACGCCTGGAAGAAGATCGTCGTGTGCGTCGTCAGCGACGGTCGTGCCAAGATCAACCCCAGGACGAGAGCGCTGTTGGCTGGTATGGGTGTGTACCAGGAGGGTATCGGCAAGCAGCAGGTCAACAACAAGGACGTCACGGCCCATATTTACGAGTACACGTCTCAGGTCGGCATGGTCATCAAGAACGACGTCGTCCAGCTCATCCCCAAGCAGCAGCCCGTGCAGATGCTGTTCTGCTTGAAGGAGAAGAACCAGAAGAAGATCAACTCGCATCGTTGGTTCTTCCAGGCCTTTGGCCGCGTTCTGGACCCCAACATTTGCGTGCTGATCGACGCCGGTACCAAGCCCGGTGGCAGCTCGATTTACCACCTGTGGAAGGCCTTCGACCTCGAGCCCATGTGCGCTGGTGCCTGTGGTGAAATCAAGGCTATGTTGGGTACGTTACGTTATCCTCGACTCTAAAAGAATATCGCTAATCAAGTACAGGCACGGGCGGCAAGAACCTGCTCAACCCGCTGGTTGCGACGCAAAATTTCGAGTATAAGATGAGTAACATCCTGGACAAGCCCCTGGAGTCGGCATTCGGCTTCATCTCCGTTTTGCCCGGTGCCTTCTCCGCCTACCGCTATGTCGCCCTCCAGAACGACAAGAACGGTCAAGGTCCGTTGGAGAAGTACTTCGCCGGTGAGAAGATGCACGGCGCCAACGCAGGCATCTTCACGGCCAACATGTACCTCGCCGAGGATCGTATCCTCTGCTTCGAGCTCGTCACCAAGCGCAACTGCCACTGGATCCTGCAGTACGTCAAGTCGGCCACGGGCGAGACCGATGTGCCGGACACGGCGACCGAGCTGATTCTCCAGCGCCGTCGCTGGCTGAACGGTTCCTTCTTCGCCGCCATCTACGCCATCGTCCACTTCCATCAGTTCTTCCGGTCCGACCACTCCTTCTTCCGCAAGATTGCCTTCTTCATCGAGTTCGTCTTCAACACAATCAACATGGTCTTCGCCTGGTTTGCTATCGGTAACTTCTTCCTCGTATTCAAAATCCTGACAACAAGCCTGGGCGACGAAAACCTGCTGGGCGACGTCGGGCGAATTCTTAGTGTGGTGTTCACTTGGCTGTACGGCGTATCTCTGATGACCTGCTTCGTCTTGTCGATGGGCAACCGGCCAGCTGGGTCAGGCCCATACTACATGGCCATGGTTGTTTTCTGGGCAATTCTTTTCATGTAAGTTTCCCAGGGCAAAACCTCACCCGACTTCGACAGCAGTGCGCTAACAGATTTCCCCCTTCAGCTACCTCATGTTCGCTGCCATTTACATCGCCGTCACCGCCATCATCACGGACCTCAACACCAACGGCTTCAGCATCGACTCGCTCTTCAAAAACAAGGTCTTCTACACGCTCATCGTCTCCGTCATGTCGACCTACGGCATCTGGCTGATCGCGTCCCTGCTCATGTTCGACCCCTGGCACATGTTCACCTCGCTCATCCAGTACATGCTCCTCTCGCCGACCTACACCAACGTGCTCAACGTGTACGCCTTCTGCAACACGCACGACATCTCGTGGGGCACCAAGGGCGACGACAAGCCGGACGCGCTCCCCTCGGTCAACACCAAGGACGGGCAGGGCAAGACGGACCTGCCGGACGAGGGCGACCTGAACGCGCAGTACGAGCGCGAGCTCGGCGTCTTCGCCCGCAAGCCCGTCAAGGAGTCCAAGCCGCTCACCCCGAGCCAGCTCGACGAGAAGCAGATGGACTACTACCGCGGCGTCCGCACCGTCGTCGTCCTGCTGTGGATGATCATGAACTTCGCCCTCGCCGCCGTCGTGCTCTCGACGGCTGGCGTCGACAAGATCGTCCCCGACAACGGCCAGACCGAGGAGGAGATCAAGAGCGACCGCGCGAATATCTACCTGAGTGTTGTGCTTTGGTCGGTTGCCGGTCTGTCGGCGTTCAAGTTCTTGGGGGCCGTCTGGTTCTTGGTGGTGAGGATGTTTAGGGGTGTTTAGATGAGGACGGATGGGGGAGGGTTATGAGCTTTATTTATACCTTGGCATCTGGGCATCGCCCGGTCCGAATCTGGTCTGCTGGCCTGGCTGGGTTGGGGCCTTGGGTTCTCGCTTCTGCTCTGCTGGGCTATCATGGATTCCTCTTCTAACAACCGGCCGGTGAAGACGGGGTTGTGCTCGGATATTTATGATTCATGTTTTACTTTTCGGTCGTGTTGGTTCTGGTTTTTACTTTTCTGCCGCTGTTCTTTCCCGCTCCCGATGATGTCGCATGTTTTTGACGGGATCTTGCGGGCAGAGGTGTTTTGTTGTGGAGATTCCCCGTAGGTGTGCCTACCTACCTATTCACATAGAGAGACGTGTGTGTGTGGTGAGTGTGTCGAGTACATCTGGATGTAAAGAATAATATACCCCTTGATCATGCGCTGCGTTGCGGAGTTGGGGACTTGGTGAATATGGGGGAATGAGCAGTGCATAGGCTTTAGAGTGTTGATGATTTGTGGTCTGCGGAAATGGAATCTGTTCATGTTGGCTTACAATGGAGGTGATGATGGGTAGAAATGGTTTAGGTATTTTCGGATTGGGAGGCCGAACAGAACCAGCAATTCCCAGCTTCACGCCCATGGCACAAACCACAATTACATCTCTGCCAATTTCAGCTTCATATACGTTCCATGCACCTCCATAATGCCGCCTTCACGAGAGTAAAAGCGAGAGGATTATTCAGGAAAATGCAAGATTTCTTTAAGGTGGTTGGTTGCGCTCCTAGCTAGCAATGTCCTTACCGTCTTCGATATAAGTACAATATTTTACTACTCCCTTATTTTTCTAGGGTCTACTAGTTGTTTAGAGGCTTCTCCTAATCCTTCCACGGAAACCGGGCGTGAGCGAGAGAAGCAACACGGCGAAAGAATTCCGATGTTGTAACAAGGATTCCCGTATCCTCATCATCACAATTCCAATTCCACGCCTCGAGACTCTCCATCTATGTCACGCTTTGTGCGAGATACTCTATAATATACTCCGATGCTTGTACATTAGAGATCGGGATTGTTTTCTCCAAAGATAGGACGTGCAACTAGCAGGTGAGTGGCCGACGCTTCGAAACGTTGGAAGCGAGGCAGTTTCGGACATCAAACAGGCACTATTGTTTCTAGACGGTTACCTACCGTGCCGACTAGTCTGAATCATTCCTTACAGAGAGTGAACTTTTGATGCCCTTGACGGTGGCCAGGCCCCGTGGTCCATGATTGCAGTTTGGGGTATCTGTTCTTACATTTTTATTCTTTTTACAGTTGTCTGTTTTCCTTACCTTTTACCTCCTTCTTTGACTTATTTTTACTCTGTCGTTTTCTTTCCCCTCTTTTCGTCACCTTCTTTTCTGTTTTCTCTACCTTCCTTTTTTTGTTATCCCCTTCCCGGTCCAGTAAACTCCGGGCTCAAACCTCCTCCTTTCCCTATGCCCGGGTTACAACGTGTAATAGGCACGGATACGAACTGGGTGGATTAAGATGAGGAGCAAACCGTTGCTGGCCCGAGCAAGGTCCCCATCACGCAAGGGCAAAGGTCCTACATTTTAGACATCCTACCGCGAGCAACCTCCGGACTTCCTTCGGGGCGGGCCGTCCGGGAAGCAACGTGCCCAGCCACGTCTTGATACTCAAAAACCCCGCCAAGCTAGCCTCATCAGGGGTATCAAGAACAGGTTTTCCTCGGCATATTGATGAAGCAGAGCGTTTATATCGGTGAGTCCAGGTCCGAGGCCCCATCGTCAGCGAAACATCTCCGTCTTAGACCCGGGCAGTCCAATCCTTATGGAACGTAGCACAGCAGCTCTCGAGGCCACGGTATCTCCGTGGAAAACGGCTTTTTGGCGTCTGACATACTGCGCACGGTAGGTGGTAGCGGCAACGGCGGCCGGACACTGGAAAGAGAGAGAGGGGGGAGGAGGCAGAGAAGGGAGTCAGGGAGGATCAAATGCCTCAAACCCGCGCAATAATCTGTGTACAATCTACAGCGGAGGGATTGTCGAAGTGAAGATCGTGATTTCGAGGGCGATTTCGATCGAAACTTCAAGGGGTTGAAAAGCTGAGCTGGAACAGGGCTGCAGGGCTGAAGGGCTTGGCCATTGCCAAGGACATCAAGCGATCGCTCTCGGCATCCGGCGGTGCACTGCAAGACGGCCAAGCCATGCTCTTGTCTCGCCCGGCAGGTGACCGCCTCGAAGCAGGGAGACTGGTGTTTCGGGCGAACCCCGTGAGCAAGTGCGAAGCTCCCCCGAGTTGAGGCCCAGTTGGAGAAGCACAAAACTCTCGGCTACGGCTTTCCGTATCAGGACACGCACCTGCACTGCTACGGAGAACGAACTTCGAACCGCCAAAGTCGACAAGGACCAGCAGCCCCGTGATCCCTGAAAATCTGGGGTTGCTGTTCATCACTTGACTGGGGCTGGCCGGCCGGCTTACCGAGGAATAATAATTGGCGCTTTTGTTGGACAACGTTCCACCTTCCCTCACGACGCCTTGGTGCGGAAGTCTTGTCTGTAGCTCACGAGGCCTGAAGATTCTGATGCCAAGTCCAAGACTTTCAGGTCAGCACCGAGCCTGGGGCGAGACGCAACCGCCCTCTTTGGCGCAATCGCTTGCAGACAGTTCGGAGAGCCCTGACGTGAGCCGGCTGCAGGTGGTGCAAAAAGCCAAGTCTTGACCCTTGTCTCGTCGGCTGCAATTGCGAGCGTGGTTGCACAAGTTTTTCAGAACGACGCCGCCGGCACCGTGCCTTGCAGCTGCCAGAGTTGGCGCCAAGACCGCTGAAAGTCGCGAATGGCTTGAAACCACAGCAGAAGGGTACCTGGGCGGGGTGCAAACGATTGCGTAACAAATTAGACTCGGGCCCACCGCGTGACCACCCCTGAGTTTTCATCAGCTAACGGAAAAGCCCTGGCTGGAGTCTCGGCATCAAATTCAATGTCCCCAACTGGAACCACTCGATCGCAGCCAAGAGAGTTGCTGACGCCATTCAGGATGGCGTGGATCAGTGAAAAAAGAAGTTTCTTTCAGTTAGGCTCTCGCTGTTTGCTGCGTTGTTGCCAGCCACCGCCACGAGTCTTGCCCAGGCGTGCCAGGTGCTTGCGCCCCATTTTGTCGACGAATTTTGGGTGGCAGCGTTGTGCCTTGGAGAGCCGCTCGGCTGGGCAAGTGCCCCGCGTTGGAGCGTGCATGAGACCTTCCATTGTCCTCGGTACATCGAGACAGAGGGGCGGGAAGGAAGGATGCATTGCGCGATTCAAGGGCAAGGCACCGTGGTCATGCGGCATCCTGCCCAGAGCTCGTGCTGGAGCTGGAGCTATGTTTGGATGGAGCTGTTTGGCTCTCGGCGCTTGAGGGACTGGCACCACTTACAACACACACCATCCTGGTTTTTTATATAAGTCAATTCTCCTTGCTCCAGGTTTTCCCACGAAGTCGACCAGTGTTGCCTCAACCACCTTTCTCAAGTTACACAAACTTTGATCTCAACTTCAAGATTTCAGTACCACCAGCTTATAAGTGTCGAGCTCGTTAATTGCAACGTTCACCAAACCACAACCCGACGTACGCACCTCAACACCACACACCACACACCACACACCCTCCAACCCTCCAACCCACCAACCCCACCAAACAAACAAACACCCCCACAACAACCAATAACCAACATCAAGATGCCCTCCCTCTACACCATCACCGAGCCGCACCCAACGGTGCCCCAGAACAGCTACACGCACTCCGGGCGCGGGGGGCTAGGCAACTTCTTCCGGGCGCCGGCAACGACCTCCCCCAGCGGCGTGCCCACACCCTCCACCACCACCACCGCCACAACCTCCACAACCAGCAGCACGCGGCGCTTCTACTCGGGCCGCGGCGGAGCCGGCAACGCCCGCGCGGCGCCCGCGCTCGCGTTCGACGAGGACGAGCTCGCGCGCCGCGAGTCCGCGACGGCCACGGCCATGGTGGGGCACGTCGGGCGCGGCGGGGCCGGGAACGTCTTCTATTCTTCTTCTTCGGCGGCGGCTGTGGCCAAGGATGCTGGGGTGGATGATGCTGGTGAGGCGCTCGGCCGTCGTGACTCTGCGAGCACCGAGGGCAGTGCGCGCTCGTCGGCTTCGTCGTCGCTGGCGGGGCTTTGGGGGCGCGTGAAGAGCGCCGGGCGGTGAGCTTGTTTGTGAGATTGCTTGGTTGTTGGGTCGCTCTCTTCTTTCGGTCTTCTTTCTTTTGTTGTTTCTTGCGAGCAAGGCGTTTTGGTAGGGCGGAAAGGGTATTTATTGGTAACGGATGGTGATTCTCGAGGCGAGGGCAACAAGGGTTATGACATGGAATGGGGAAAAAAAAAGGGTGGTTGCTTAGGATGCTGAAGGATGGAATGCGCCTCTCTCATTCATCATCGAGGGCGGGATAGGAGTTTGTTTTTGATGGCCTAGTGTTCTTGTACGAATCAATATACCCCCCCCACTGCGACGATGGTTATGGCATAATTCGTTCGTTTTGATCTCGAGTTCGCAGAACGCGAAGAGTGACAACTTGTTTCCTGTGCCGTTTTGGAGACTCCTTCAATCAAAACTGGGTATCATTCGTTTTCTCTAAAACGCTCACGGTAGGCTGCTCTCAATATAGCCTCCCCCTCGACGCCCCGGTTGCCTCGACCACCATACGATCACCCCCCAAACTTCATCCACCATAACTTCGCACATTATTGTCACCGCGGGTACGCCTCGTTCCACACTTGCGCCCCTCACGCGCTATATATCCCCATTTGTGATTCGCACATTATCGGCGGAGACATCCTCAGCAGGTCTTCTCGTCTTCATCTGAAGTCATGTCTAGCCGGCGGCCCTATTATTACATCTCGATTCTCCTATCGTGGAGTATCTTATGTGAATTTGGTGTGGATGATATCGGGGTTCTCGTGCCAGTCCTCAATGCGGACCCACATCTATCAAACAACACATTAGCAATAGATCACGGTGAGAATGAATAACCATATAACAAACCTTTCTGAACGTGCTCAGCCCAGCGAGAATGCTGCCGCCGATCCAGGTCGAGTACTTGCGCTCCGGCGGCGCAAAGATCTTTATCCTCATGTCCTTGACGGCGACCCGCTGCACCTCGGATAGCAGGCGGTCGCCGAAGCCCTTGGTGAGGGTGCTACCGCCGGACAGCACAATGTTGGCGTACAGGTCCTTCCGCAGGTCGAGATCCGTCCGGTTGATCGAGTCGACGACGATCTGGTGCACGCCGGGGTACTCGAGGCCGATGATCTCGGGGTTGAAGAGGATTTCTGGCGCGCGGAAGCGTTCTGCGCCGATCTGGAAGCGTCCATGTCAATAAATTGGAGGCGTAATGAAAAGGAATACGTCGTGGCATATACCTTGAGCTTGTTCCCGTCTGGCAACACGTACTCCGCGACCTTCCCCTGGTCTAGTTTGCCCGCCGCCCACTCCTTCTCTTCCTTGCGGGGGTCCCTGGCCACGTAAGTGGTCGCCTCCTTTATCAGCCGCACCACCTCCTTCTCGGCGCTCGTGTGGAAAACGTAGCCGCTCTTGCGGAGCAAGGTTTGCAGATACTCGGTCACATCCCGCCCCGCCACGTCAATCCTCCGGATGCTATTAGGCACGGTAAACCCTTGGAATACGGGTACGGCATGCGACACGCCGTCGCCTGCGTCCAACACCACGCCGGTTGTCCGGCCGCTGGCATACAATGAGAGGACGGCTTGGATGGAGGTGTAGAGGGCCGGTACGTTGAAGGTCTCGAACAGGATCTGGGCGGCAGTGTCGCGGTTGGAGCGCGGGTTGAGGGGTGGTTCGGTGAGAAGGACGGGGTGCTGCGGGGTGTTAGCCTCTGTATGTCTACCTTACCCCCAAGGTTCGACAGGGATCTTACCTCTTCACTGAGGGTCTTGAGTCCTTCATCGTACACATATGCCCAGATCTTCTCCATGTCGTCCCAGTCCGTGACAATGCCGTGCTCCAGCGGATACCGAATCTTGAGCAGCCCGCGCAGCTCGGTTGCCGCCTTTTGGCCGATGAATACCTCGCCCTCCAACGCGCCGGCCAGCACCCGCAGATGCTTCGGTCTGCCTACCCATGACGGGAAGTGGCATTTTGGCACGTCTTCTCCTGCGAAACCGGCCCGTATGGTGCCGGACCCGTTGTCCAGCACAATAGGCACATTGTGCAGCGTGTCGGCCATCTTTTTGCTCGAGCTCGACTAAAGATTACCGCTTCGACATGCAGTAGCTGAGGTGTTGACGCTGGTCGATACCCAGTTCCTTCCGCCGGCCAAGACCCTCGCTCAATCGATATGGAGGGGTGTCGTCTCTGCCTCTATTCGTGGTTCGGATATGAGATTTGCTCCCTATTCTTTAGGCTACGTGGATGAATCCCCGCGTGTGTGGTGCTAAAATAGAATCGTAAATCCGGGCGCGGATATCTCAAATGTTTGCCACTTGCAGGGCTGTCCAGCGGCGGTTGCTGCTTGTAGTCGATTGTCCTCGGGATCCTGTTTGCTTCAAGCCTCAAAATCACGACGCGTTCTTTGGACTGAAAGCGGTGCGTCGTCGCGCGGGCGCATCATTGGCGGCTGCTCGGAGTTGCTGTGTGGGTCCAGCAAGGGGTAAAAAGATGGAGCACGGGCCATTTCACTCGAGCTCCCGCTTATCGATAGGCACAGAGCTATTGGCAGCGCCGCGGGGCAATCTTGAACGCGCCCAGCAGGTGCGACCAGAACAGCCTCAGCCAGTACCTAGGTAAAAAATTTCAAAAACGTGTCGAACTTATTTTCGTCAAAAGGAAATACATTATTGGTCCGGAACCGCCGTCCTCAGAATTGGAGGCGCAGGTATCGGTGTCACACGACGACTTGGAGAGGTCAACGCTAGAGTTGACCGAAGCTCGCTCAATGATCATGGAATTTCCGCCTGCCCGTTCTACCTAAATACTCGGTGTCTTTCTTCTCTACCTACCTAGATCTCCAGTCTACGAACGCTTCAGGCGGGTCTCGAGCTGCACCGTAGCACCGATCTCCGACGGCCACACCTTGACTAGCTCCAGGCCGGCCGCATCAAACATCTGGTTGAACTCATCCATCGTCTTCTCCTTTCCGGTGATGGACATCAAGTTCAAATCGAGCCAGTATAGCTCCTTTAGATGGCCTGGTTGCACCACCTCCGGCACCAGCATATCGCAAACAATCAGGCGCGAATCCGGGCCCATGGCCGAGACGGTGTTCTTGAGGATGTCAATGCAGACAGAGGGGTAAAAGTCGTGAAGGAGTCGCCGCATAAAGTAAACGTGCGCGTCTTGGCCACGGTTAGTTGACTGATTTGTCACAGGAAAATAGCAGCGGCAATTGGGGGGGCTCACTCTTGACTGGCTGAGGGGTAAAAATATCGTACGGCATCGCCTCGATGTTGGGAATCTCCTCCGGCTTCAACGAGTCGAGGACGATGGGGAGATCCTGCAGGATCAGCTTGCCGCCATAGGCCCCCGGGACCTCCTCCTGGAGCTTCAATAGAGCCTGGCCACGCCCGCCGGCGATGTCGACGAAAAACGGCCTCTCTGGTTCCTTCTCCACGTTCTCCTTGACAGTTTCCCACGGGAACATGCCCGTGATCGGCATGTTCTTCTCGATGATCTGGAGGCAGGAGTTCCAAATGAGCCGCTGCTCGGGGTTTTCGTCGATGGCTTCGTAGTAGGTCTTTCCCTCCTTGCCGATGCTGAAGCAGTAGGGCGACTTCTTCAGGTCGTAGATCTCCTCCGGCTTGTGAGTCCTGAAATAGTCGGGAAGCGCCATACACATCTTGTTGAACTCCATGCAAAGGACAAAGAAGGGGCCCTGGGCGTGCAGTTGGAACGCTTGCGACAGGGCGTTGTGCGCGTACGTGTCGGCCGCCGTCTCGCGAAAGAAGCCGGCGACTACGGCCACGCGCATCAACCGCTGGATGGCCGAGACGTCCATATCCATTTCCGTCGCGAGCTTTTCGGCCGTGATCGTGCCTTCATCCGGAATTTTCTTGATGGCGCCAGTCGTGATCAGAGTGTACATGCAACCGGAGGTGCACATGATCTCCTGGTGCCTCTCGATCACATCGTACGGCGTTTCGAGCAGCGTGCGCACCTTATCGACACGCTCAAGGAGGGCCAAATGCTGGGCATGGTTTGCCTGGGGAAGGCTCTTGAGGGCCTCGACGAGCTCCTCGGCGGCTCTCAAGGCTGAGCTTGTGTCGTCCATGTTGGGTGGCTCAAGGGTATTCTAGACGATGTTGAGGAGAAAGGAAGCGTGGTCTCCGAGTCCTCGATGCCGTGGATTGAGGGGTAGTGAGCGGAGCAGGACACCTCAGACTGATATGGTTATGGAGCAGCAGCTAAAGCGACCAGGGCCTGCTTCAATCCCATATCACGATTTCGTTCACCGGGCTGGGGCCGGTGGTCGACCTAGCAGGCCAAGACGGCCAAGACATCAAGAACCCGTGTGGGCAACCCCAGCTCTCGACATCTTCTCAGACAAAACGAGCTAGGAAAACGCTTCGGCTGTTACCTTTGGCGTTCGTCCGCGTCAGTCCCGGGGCGGCCCGGCGACTTTCATGACTCTTGGGCTTTCCTTGCAGGAAGGAATGGCGCCGCCTTCCCGGGCTTCGTCAACCAAAGTCCCGGAAACCCCGCAGACCAGCAAGTTCGCTGGACGGGCCCACGCACGTTGACACGTCTCGGCTAGACGAACCTGAAGCCCACCAACCACGGGATCGAGCCATTGGCTTTCCGGGTGGCAACCTTGTCGACGGACGTCTTATCGCGCATGTCCGTTGGGTGGGGAGGGCATGAAATCCCACCTCCCCCTCCAACACCTTTCTGCCTTTGCACATGGGGGCTCGGGGCTCCCAACCCCACGCTAACTCGCGGGCAAGTCCAACTTAGTTCCGGGTGCGCCTCGGGGCGAAGCGATTTGTAAAGAGGAAGGGAAAACCTGGAAGGCCACTCCACTAAAACTACACTAAAACGAGACATCGAACCCAAAGCGAAAATCCCGACTAGTCGGCTCTGCCAGCCACTTTCATGCGGTGTGACCTCGTGTGGAGACGCTCGAGAGGCGTTTGAGTTGCTGTTCCGTTCGTTGTCGCGCAGCACGCATATGCTGCCAAATCAGCACCCGCATTGGAGCATCTCGTGGCGTCGACCTTGACCCGAAAGCCGATAGTGGCTGCTGATTTGGCGCCGCCGACGAACTTGGTCTGCGGGCAGCGACAAGACTGGATAAGTCTGTCTCATTGTTCATTTCCTCGCTTTCGGACGATGGAACCTCGGCTTGGCCCTCTTTACCAACCGTGCCCTTCCTAACCGTGCGGACGGGCGCGCACACACGAGGCAAGCGGAGCCAGCAAATACTTCCAGGGGACACAAGTGAGACCTGTTTTCTCTGCTGTGACCCAATCAGCCAAGGGGTACCCGTGGAGTTGCCGTCTTGTTTCCCTGTTGGCGGTGTGGGCCATGATCCCCCAGAAACCCACGGCGGAACGGGATCAGCCTAGGACAAATGTGGACAGTGGCACCCTCTCGGGAACGCCAAGAAGGGGAGAGCTCCATTGTTCTTTCGTTCGAACGTCGGCCGGCTCTCCGCAATTCGACATTTGACATCCCCCTCAGGTTGACGTCCGCCTCATCCGTCTGTTAATCCACGGATTGCCGCCGCGATTCCCGCATCTAATCGAACGCCATGGCGGACCAGCCCCAGCAGACGCCGGATAATATCATCCAAGCGGATGATGTGAGTTCACACGGCCATCACGGGTCGAAATGCCTTCCCTATCTATTTGTGTCGCCAGCATAACTGACCGGCGCGACAGCAATGGGACAACGCGAGCGTTGATGATGAGGTGGGTGTTGTATCCGGCCCCTAGGGCATTGGGGAAATTGCCAACAGACTAACTAAGACGTCGCTCGTCTCATAGGGCGCCGAGGTTGCGAGTTCCGGGAGCTCAATGACTTCGATCACGTCCTCGGTGCTGCGAGGCAAGGTGGAGGATGGGCGGGTGTATGCCGTGTACGGCAAAGAAGGTGTGTTTGTTCGTTTCCTGGAGCGGCGGGCGCGACAGCGGTAGCTAACCCGAGCTAGAGTACGGAATGCCGATGGACGATGTAGAATTGGACAGGATCGGTCAGTATTTTCAGAGTTTTTTACCCCTCAAAAATGCGCGGGCCTGGGGGACGGCCCCTGAGTTCTCCCTCGAGATTGTGCAAACCTGTGTTGGGGCGAACGAGGTGGCTGACTTCGGAGGTTAGACATGTGTCACGCCAAGTACTACGCTTTGCTCGAAAAGAAGCGCTTCATCGCCCCGATTGGAGAGAACCCTCAGAAGATTTTGGATCTGGGTTGCGGGACAGGTAAGTCGTTATTCACACTGGGCGTTATGCGCAGCAAACCCGGTGGCTTGGATGCGAGATTAACGTGTCTCAGGCATATGGTCGATCGACGTTGCGGATATGTACCCTTCCGCTGATGTACGAGTGGCGTTCCGAGGCTTTCCTGTCCAAAGATCTAACTGGTGCTAGGTAATCGGGGTTGACATTGCTGCGACACAACCAGAATGGTGAGCTCAACCTGGCGTGACGCTCGATAGCACACTCGCGCTGACAAACTCAGGGTGCCGCCAAATTGCCATTTCGAGCTCGACGACATTGAGCAGGAGTGGGCGTGGAAACAGAATTCATTCGATTTCATCTTTGCTCGCGACCTCATACTCTCCATCCGGGACTGGCCTCGGCTGATCGACCAGGCTTACACGTAGGGACGCCGACAATAGTTATTTTACGCAGCCCGCTGACCGCCGCAGGCATCTCAAACCCGGCGGCTACCTCGAATTCCATTGCGTGACGGGCCTTCTGAGGTGCGACGACAACACGCTGCCCGAGGACAGCGCGCTGCGCAAGTTATCGGACGCCATATATGATAGCACGCTAGTATTCGGCACACCCATCGACGACCCGACACGGTGGAAGGGCTGGTTCGAGGACCGCGGCTTCGACGACGTCACCGAGGTCATCTACAAGATGCCCTGCAGCCCGTGGGCCAAGGACCAGCGGCTCAAGCTCATCGGGGCGTTCGAGATGGAGAACCTGCTGTATGGGCTGAGCGGGATGGTGACGAGGCTGTTTGGGAAGGGGCTCAACTGGTCGGCGGAGCAGGTGCAGGTGTTCCTGGTGGACGTGAGAAAGGAGATCAAAAGCCGGAATTTGCATGCTTATTGGCCCTAGTGAGTGTTTTCTTTATCCCCCCCTCTTGGTCTCGTTGCTGACAGCTTCAAGCTATGTCGTCCACGCGCGGAAGCCGGGTGGCTCGCCGCACGCAGTGCCCGCGCCGCCAATAGTAGCTTCCCCATCGCCGGAGCCGGTTCTGCAGACCGCTCCACCGCCGCAGACAGTTCCAGCGCCGCAGATGGTTCCAGCACCACAGACAGTTCCTGCGCCACAGACAGCTCCAGCACCGCAGGCAGCTCCAACGACGCAGACAGCTCCAACGACGCAGACAGCCCCAGCGCCGCCGTCCGCATGATGTGCTACAGTCCTATTAAGGCGTTCGGGGGTTTTAGGGGTGGCTCATATTGTCTCGGCAGCGTCCGTTCTGTTCAGCAAGCGACACATTACATTTCATGAAACAAGACTTATATCAGATTTTATCTAGCGCTCTACAACAAGCACGTGGTTTCAAGCACATACATAGTACTTACTATATATCTAGATACCTTTATTCCCAACCCTCGTAACCATTTAGCATTCATATCACCGCAGATGCCGGTCTATATAACTGTATTATGTATGTATGTACCAGGAACGATGATCCTCTAAACATACCCTCCCCAGAAAAATATGCCCCCGCCCACACCCCCGGGTATTGTACCCAAGCCCCACCAACGCCAACAAAAGGAAATGTGAGACATATGTAGGTGATCTCTCTGTGCCTCAGCCGTGACAACTTCCCCATTCCTCTGTACCTGCCGTGCCGTGTCTTAGACCTTCCCGTCGAGCATGGCGGCGGCGGCGTATGGCCAGCCCAGCATCAGGAGGCCGGCGGGGAAGAATCTGTGGGTTCGTCATGGAGTTAGTACCGGGTATCTGCTGTGCTTTTGTTTGTTGATTTGGGCTGTGTTGGAACGGCTGTGTTGGAACGGCTGTAGAAAGGTGAGGTGGAACGCGTGGTTGGTGGTGGTTTCACGTCGGGTGAGGCTAGTCGTGGAAGCGGAGACGGAGGGGTGAAGGGAATGGAAAAGGGGGGAAACACGAAGAGAGGAAGCGAAAACAAAACGTACACGACAGCCTGCCCTCCGGCTCTTCGCACCAGGCGGCTCCAGTCAGCCGGCGCCGGCCTGCTGGCCATGGGCAGACGCTGGAAGGGGTGTGGTTCGAAGGAGCGGGCGATTGTGCGCAGGTTGTGCATGATGGAGAATTGTTGCCGCTGTCGTTGAATGCCCTGTTGTTGGAGTTGGCGGGCGAGGGTTTGGAGGAGGGGGCGGGTGGTACGAGCGGGCATCTTGATGGGGTTTAAGGGGGTTGCTTGGTGTTTGGTGGTGTTTAGGGGTGAGACTCAAAACTCTAGGAGTCTTGACTGAGACGAGGTTGAGTGGCGGGTTGCTGTGTGATGATACAACGTAGGGGAGATTTGTATGCCGGTAATAGGCTGGCTTAGTTTGATATGGATGTTGATGCTGGTGATACGGACAACACACCACGAGATGGACTCTTCTATTTATCACGGCCTTACACACCACCCAACCACCATCCCCAACCGACATCTCCCGCCGCAGTCCCCATCCCTCTTCACACCCGATGACCAAGTCGACCAACTCCAGTCATAATCGAGCCACGGCCCAAACCCAGGCCCCGTCCCCTCCCGAAAGATGCTCGTCGCCTCCATCCGCGATCCGGCCGCAATCTCCCAAGCTGGAGTCACGAAGCGGAAGGATTGGGTCTTCCAACGAAATATGATGCCAAACCGCACAGAAAGCATCCCATCCCGCCGTCCCCAAGCCGCGGCTTACACGGCCGCAGCCAATTGGGGTCGGCGGTGCCTAGCATGACCGTTCGACGTTGGCCCGAAGGTGGCACGATTTCGGATGAACCGTGGGCAGCGGCGTGGAGCCAAGGCGGGTACACACAGGGCTGGTTGTTCGGGGCTGCCCGGGGGATTTTGGTGGGTGGCTCGATGCGAAGGGCGGTGATTGGCTGGTTGCTGGGGTCAGCTCACTGGAAGTCCTGTGCTTGGCCGAGACCCACGGGAGGTCGCAGTGAAGGCACGGGGCAAGAGGACATCGGCCATGGCTTCCACGTTGTTGCGGCGATCCATGCAGGCCTCCGCTGCAGGCTGTTTGCAGGGCACCCATCCCCCCTGGCATTCAGGGGTTCCTGCCGCTGTCAACAACAACACAAACCACTTCACGGGTGGGTGATGGTTTGATAGCAAACATTACAAACAGCTACACCAGAAACAAAACCTCGGCAACGGGGTATCACAATTGTATTTCTATTTATTTCCCACGTCCAACCGACCGACCAACCGACCGCCCGTCTACGCCCTTGTCACAGTCGTCCCCTCGGCGGGCTCCAGCAGCTTCCAATTACAGACGATCTTGTTCTCCCCAAACTTGGCGATGATGCGGTCGGCGATCTCGGCAAAGTTGCCGGTCGCGAGCGCGAGGATGGTCGGCCCGGCGCCGGACAGGCACACGCCCAGCAGGCCCGGCTGCGTCCCGGGGGTCATGGACTCGACGATCTCGGTCAGCCCCGGGATCAGCGTCTGCCGGTACGGCTGGTGCAGCTTGTCCTGCATCGCCAGGTAGATGAGCTCCGGGTCCGGGGGCGACTGGCCGAGTGCTACGGGCAGGAGCGCGATTCGCTGCAGGTTGAACGTCTGCGTGTTGTTTTGTTGTCAGTTGCTGGGTGGGTTTTCTTTCATCACGCTCACGGCGGGATATTTTGAGAGAGGGGGGGAGAGAGAAGGAGAGAGATAACGTACCACGTCTGGTCGGGGGTATTGCGACGGGAGCACCTCGCGCGCCTTGGCTGTGGGGACCTCAAACTCGGGGATGATGGCGACGGCCTTGATCTCGGGGGCCCAGGGGAACTTGATGTGGTGGCCGATGCCGTGCGGCGGCGAGGGTGGCTTCGCGCCAGTGTCGACGCCGCCAGCTGGCGAGGGGAGCACTTCGCTCAGAGGGATCTCCACGCGGGCCACGTCTTCGGGTGTGAGAGGCTTGAGGTAAGTGCCCACAAAGCCGCCGAAGAGAGCAGCGCCAACATTATCCGGGTGGCGTTCTATTCCGTGTCAGTTGCCAGGCAAGGGGACCGGTCGCATGGACGGGGTGTAACCACAACCACTCACCAATCATCAAACAAAAATCAAACAACCTCTCGGGTGTGAGATCATGCAGCCCACCGCACTCCTTCCCCAGAATCACCCCCGCCACGACGGCCGCCCCAGACGAACCCAGGCCCCGACCCAGCGGGATGGGGTTCTTGATGTGGACGTGGGTCTCGGCGGGGAAGCTCCGTTGGCCGTGGCATCGTAGCACGTACAGGGCGACGCGAGTGATGAGGTTGACTTGCGGGTCGAGGCTAATCTCATCGGTGCCCTCGCCCTCTCCCTCATACGTGATGCGGCAGTTGAGCGGTTGGTCGGACTTGGCCTTGGACCGGTCGATGGTGACGTGCAGCTCCAGGTACATGGACAGCGCTAGGCCGATGACATCGAAGCCAGGGCCAATGTTGGCGCTTGAGCAGGGGGTTTTGATGACGAAGGACTCGGATTGTGCCATGTTGACGGTTGGTGATTGGTGGTTGATGGTTGATGGTTGACGGTTGTCTCACTTTCAACTCGCTCTTGGTTAACAGTTTTGTTCCTTTTTTTGTCGATTTTCTCTCAAGCTTTGTGATGCTAAATCAGGAGGTAACCAAACTCACAATCGCTTGGTCTCGCAGTCGGGGGGGTGTTTAACTTAAGTTTCAAGGTGCCCGCCCGATTAGGCTCCCTCACGGAAGTGACTACCCAGTCATGGGAATTTTTGCTCGGTCCGGCCACCGATTGCGGAGCGGGGGTCAAAACCGAGCGGTCCACCGGTCCAGGCCCGCTACCCCCCACTGCGCACAGCGGTTACAGCCGGGGCTGCCACCGAGACCGATGCTGAGCTCAGCTAACTAACCAGGTACATATCTTACCGTAACTAACAGCATGCCGCGTCGGTGTCCAACAGCAGTGGTCTGAGCCCTGGGATTTATTCAGCTTCACCTATCTTAATGGAAACGCGGTTGTATTTTACCCAACTCCCTACTTGTTTATAGGCATTTTCGTTGACGTCTCACACCTGAGCATAACCCACCCACGGCATCACATGGCACCCCCCAAACTCAATCGGAAACTAATATCCCAAACAATCACTCAAAAACCAAAGACCAATATTCCATACCACACCTCCATACCTATCACAGTTTTCCATCACCCTCCCTGAGACATCCTATCTCCCCCATGACACTCCCCAGACCCAGCCTCGGTCATCGGTAGTCCAAACAGGCTAGCCAGCCTCCCAGGGAGGCGTTCCAACCCACGCCCCCACGCTGGTATCCCAACAATCACAACCGTAAACAGCAACTGGTCACGGGCACCGACGTACGTCAAAAGAGAAAATATGCAAGGTTAACCACCGCGCGGGCCGAGAGCCAAAAAAAGAAACAAGAAGCCGAGGTTTTTTCAAGTGTCAGTCATATCGGTCATAGCCAGCAGAACCCCAAAAAGAACGAGACAACCAGAGACACGAAGGTCCATCAAATAAATCTCGCCCCCCCCTTCCCTTCCTACAACTCCTCGCCTGCCTGCCTGCCTCCTTGATTTCATACGCACAAGATCGCTCCCGCCTGTTCCCAATTCCCAACTAGGTAGCAACAACACAAACAAACCACCCCCCTTCCCCAGCCAGACCATCCATAGTTATCCCCCGAGGTCGCTCGTTCACCACCTGCCCCATCCAAATCCGCCGCCCCTGCCGGGGGTAAAAAAAAAAAAAAAAAAAAAGAGCAAAGTCTATATGAAAACAGACACACGAAAGCTTAACTGACATCCCCGCTCCGCCTCCCTCCCAACCCAGCCTTCCTACCCCCCCCCCCCCCCCCCCCCCCGCCCAAGATTACATCCCACTCAAACCAATATCCCGCACGAGCGGTTGGCGTTGACGACTCATCGACTGCAAAGTCCGTGCAACCGCCATAGGACCAGAGCCAAGGCAAAGCCAGCAGCCTATCTGTTCGTCTGTGTGTCCGCGTGTCCGTTTCCGTTTCACTTGCACCGCGCAATTTCTCTTTTCATTTTCTTCTTTTTTCCTTTACCCTCCACACTTAGAAAGTCTCGGTGTCTTGCGAGCCAAAGGTATCTGCATCATCACACTTAAAGTCAGTCCCATATCACAAACAAGGTAGCTAGTAGTAGCCGGAAAAGAGAATGACCAAAAAAAAAAAAAAGACTAACCTCTCCGGCGATCCCTCTCCTCCCCCAACCCACCACTCCCACTCATACTGGCCCTAGACCCCGACCCCGTCGGAGTCATCGGCCGCGGCCCACTAGGCCGCCTGCTCACACCGCCGGCGGGCGCCGACAGCAGGGCGCCGCTCAGGTTGCGGTTCTCGAGGCGGGGGCTGCTGGCGCCGCCGTTGGCCTCGCGGGTGCTGCTGCTGGCGCTGTGGTGGCTGCCGCTGCCGCTGTGGTGGGAGTGGTGGCTCTGGCTGATGTAGCTGGCCGTCGGCACGCCGTGCGTCATGGTGCCGTACCCGCTCTCCACGCTGTGGTGCGGCAGCGGGCTGCCCTGCTTCTTCTGCAGCTTGCTGAGCCGCTTGTTCTGCGGCGGCGTGGCCGCCGCGCTGCGCGTCAGCTGGCAGGGGCTGGACGGCGGCAGGTCGCTGTCGAGGGCCTCCTTGGGCGGCCGGGGCGGCGGGGCGCCGCCGGATGTGGCTGTCATCCCGGCTGTGGCCGGGGAGGAGGAGGTCCAGTGTTGCTGGTGGTGGTGTTGGTCACCTCCGGCGGAGCCGTAGTTGTCGGCGTGCTGGTGCTGCTGGCCATAGCGGTTCAGGCTGGTGACGGAGCCGGCCCAGTCGGCCGATTTAGGGCTAAAGGAGTCGAAGCCGAGGGCTTGCGACTCGAGCGCGGCCTTGAAGCGCTCGGTTTGGCCCTGGCGCGGTTGCGGGTGCACGAGGTTCAGCGAGTCGCGGTGCGCCTTATACTTGGGATCCTCGGGCGTCATGCCCATGGTCACCCAGTTGGCGTCGGCCTGCGACGGGGAAGACATCTGCCCGTACATCTGTGCGTCATGATCCTCGCGGTATCCCTGGGGAAGGTCCGTCTCCGAGAACCCAGAATGTAGCTTGTCAGTCTCGACGGCCTGGGGAGGGGCGAACTGGTAGTTGTCTTGGTTGTCTTGGTAGTGGTCCAAGGACCCCGAGCGGGACGGCCCGGTGGGGAACTGGGCGTTCTCGTCCTTGCTGGATTGCTTGCTGTGGCGAGACTCTGTCTGCACACCGCTTGACGCTGTCGTTTCCGACCACCGCGAGATCTTGGGGATGCGGAACCAACTAGATCTCGACTTCTTCTTGCCACTTTCTTCCGTTCGGGGAGTGTTTTCGTTGCTCACCGACGTCTGTGCTTGCGCCGCAGGACCGGGTGGGGTGGCCAACGGCACTGAGTTGCCGCGTTGATCCTGGACAGGCGTCCTCAACTGTTGCTCGTCATCCCTCCGCCCGTGGTCATATTCCTCCTCATTGTCTTCGGGCACGGTGCTTATCCTGTGCGCCGAGACCTTGCGGTCGTATGCGGGTTTGACCGACGTGCCACGCGACTGAATCGAGAGATAGCCAGACTGCGAAGCATGGCTCGTTGTTGACGTGCCGGCCATGCCCTCGGGCTCATAGCCGTGGTCCTGTTCACTCTGAACATCGGGCTCCATGTGGTCGTATAATTGCTCGCCATGGGTGCTCTGGTTTCCCTGGATGCCCGGCGCGGTCTGCGTCTTGAGAACGTCGACTTCAGTAAGAAGCTGCATGAGCATGTCCTCGATCCTGCCGAGGTCGTTGGTCCCCTTAGCACTTAGACCCTTCAGCGCACGACGGAAAATGCTCCTCCTCTTGTTGTTAATGTCATCACCGTTAATCGTGGGCGCTTGCGAGACGTTCTGGATCGAGCGCGCGACGCTGCCGGGGTACGGCCGCGGACCATTGATGGCGCGCTGGACTGACTTATCGGTATTCTCCTTGACCTCGGTAATGATAACGTCCTCCGTGTCGGCGAGCAGCCGCTTGACTTCCTCAAAGTTATTGCGCATCTCGGTCGCGGAACGGACCAGAGTCACCAGAATCTCCGTGTCGCGTGCGCTGCGCTGAGCATCACGAACCATCAACTGACACAACGTTAGTAACTTGCAAATGACTGGTAGGAATAAATACTCACGTGCTGCATCAAGGCAATGATGTCCGTAGACTCGATCCCCTCAATGCCAGTCCCAGTAGCGGCATCATACATCGGGGAGCCCATTCCTTGGGACATGCCACTGAGGTGCCGGGTGTGTTTCGGAGTGTTGTAGAACGGATCCTCAACGCTCGGGCCGCCAGCGCCCGGGGCAACGTCAAAGTCCACGCCCTTGCCCTTCACACCGCCCTGGAGGTCAGGCGTCTTGTTGGGGCCCTGCGAGATATAGCCCTCATCCACCTTGTGGCCCATCGGGCTACGGGTGCCGTAGAGGTCGCCAAAGCCCGCGTTATCGAAGCCTGGAAGTAGATTGGTGTTAAGACCGGGAATGTTTGCGATAGGGCTGGATCCCTCGTAGGGGTTGGTGACGAGGGTATCGCGCTTCTTGTCCTCGGACGTCCTGTACCACTCATCATGCTCCTGGCTCGCTTGACGGCTGTGGCTCTGGGCCGCCGCCATACCTGCTGCCGCACCCACCGCCGCAGCGGCACCGGCCATACCCAGGTCATGCCCGCTTCTCTGTTGAGGCAATGCCGGTGAAGCGTGGCCGCCGTCCAGGCCCTGGTACTCAATATCGTCGAGATGGTGCTTGGGGTATTGCCGGGGTGTGGCGTCGCCAGCCCAATGTTCCTCTTCATCGCGACCTCCCTCGCCGCCGAGAAGCGACGGGTTAGTGAGCAGGTCATCCTCTTCTTGCCAGCCAATTTCCGGCATCGGGTCATTAAGATCCGGCAGGCCGCTGAAACCCAGCTTGGGCTGCTGCTGATCCTCGCCGTGGACTAGTCTCTCGGCACTGGCAGTGTCGATGCCCGGGCGCGGCCCGTTTTGTGTGCGCTCCTTGAACGACTTGTTCCTTTGAACACCCGCCCCTTGGAAGTCGATCTCGTCATCTGCAATGACCTGTTGTCCCTTGGCATTCTGTGCCCGGAGAACGGCGGCAGCGGCACCGACCGCTGCGCTGGTGATTGCCGCCTCCGACATGGTCGGCGACTGTCGGTAGGTGGTCTGAGGCACCTTCTGGCCATACTCGTCGAGTTCATACTCGACAAACTCGCGCGACCGGTGGCTCCCAGACGCGGGAGTATTCCCCCGCTCTTCTGCGTAGTCGCGGTGACTTCCCACAGAGCGCTTGGTCGGGGTGCCCGGATCGCGAGACATCTCCTCGTCGAGCGTCGCCATCGACTGGCGTCCGTTGTACAGCTGGTTGCCGACCGCACTAGAGGAGCCCGTCAAGGCGGAGCCCTCAAGCATCGACCCGTCGACGAGAGAAGCGACGTTGGATTCGATACCGGCGGGGTGAACGAAATCAGGGTTAAAGCCCACGGCACGGACAGCGTCCCCAGACGGGACGCCGTCAAGTTCGCTGCCCATTGGGCTCACGCCATTGTCCTGGTTTATACCCGAGCTTCTGACACTCCGGTCGTCGTCGATCCCACGGTCTGTCGGCCCGTCCTGTCGCAGAGATCTCCCGGTCGATAAGATAGAATCGGCCGTCCGGTGTGAAGCCCGCGACTCTTGGTGCGGAATCTCGCTTCCAGTCTCCGTGTAACCAGAAATACTTGGGATCGGGCTCAGGCCGCGCCGTTCCGGCTGGTATGGTACGTACTTCAGCGGGGGAGGCACATCCTGGGTGCTGTAATAGTCGTAGGGGCTGTCGGGGGCATATGCCGGAGCGGAATCGGGGTCCTCGGCCTCCTCCTCGTCTTCCTGGTAATGTTTGGAGGCACGTGAAGGCACCCGCTTCCCGTTGTCATCAATGATGAATTCATCCCATTGTCCGGTTCGTTGATGGGGCAACGTCTTAAGATCCCCGTGAGAAATATTAGCGTGCTGAGTCCCCAATGACTGCAGGGTGATTGGTGTTCTGGTGGGAGTTGGGGTTGATGATGAAGAGAGCTGATCTTGGGGTATTTCACGGCCGGGTGTGAGCTCTTCGCTTGCGGAATGTGGCCGGTCGGTGTCGGCAGTTAGGATAGATGCCCTCGTCACGTCAGAAGCCTGAATGTCGCTCATCAGCGGCATCGGCGGAGCCGGCGGCCCAAGTTCCGATTCCTCATCCTCCAAAACATGATCGGAGCCGCGACCCCGCATCTCAGCTCTGCGACGTCGCCTGGAGCGTTGTTTGTCGTCGGAAGGTGATTGTAGTATCTCTTGAGCAGCGATAGCGGCCGCACCCATGGCAGCACCGGCGGCTGCGGCAGCTTTAACGCGGTCTGTGCTGCGCCCCGGGGTGTCGTCCGGGTCAGGGTCGTCAATAGAATCGTGGCTGAGGGCGCTGCTGTCGTCAAAGTCATTGCGGGCCTCGCGATCTCGGCTCTCCTTGCTCCTCATGCTGTCGCGCGGCGTGACAATATTCTTATCAATGGCTCCAGACCGTCGCCTATCGTTCGCGAACTCATCCCTCGAGGCTGTGGTTGCGCTGGATGTGGTCGAGTCGCGGCGAGTCCCGCGCCGGCTCTGTTCCCTCTTCAACGCGTTGAGCTCTGGGAGGATGAGGCGGCGAATGGCGTCCTCCACCGTCTCAAGTAGTTTGGGGTTATTGATCGACGACGCCTTCGAAGCGCCGGACCGGATGGAGTGTTGGTCCATAGACCGATGACTTGGTGCGAAGGCGGAAACCACGCTAGAATCTACTCCTGAAATGAGTGACTCGCTATGCCCCTTGGATCTTCTCCGTGGTGACTTTGCGCGCTCAGAATACTTCTCGTCTTTGGACACGCTACTCGTCCGGCTTTTGCTCGACCTGTGCTTGCGGTCCCTGTCTCTGTCCTTGTCTCGGGTCTTGGATACCGAAATCCTGTCTCGCTCGCGGTCCTCACGATTCTCACGGCCCGCACGACTCTCGCGGCTCTTACTCCGGAGCTTATCGGCGGCGGCAGCAGCTCCCAGCCCCGCCGCAGCGCCGACGAGATAGTCGCTTGTGCGGGAAGGGCTCCTGCTCCTGGTACTCTTGGCCTCGGACATTCCAAATGACGTGGCCGGTCCGGACCCGTCAAGAAAACTGTCGGCCGGGATGGCTGAAATCTCACTCATGGCGGGGTCTTGGTAGCTGGCTTTGCTATCAGTCGCCGGGATTAGAGGGCTCGCCGGGCGGCGACGGCGAGGGTTGCCGGTCCGATCGATCTCAATGTCGATGGGGTTCCGGCTGACGTTGCTCTCCTCCGTCGCCGAGGCATACGAGCCCGCATCCTCCATGTCGCCGCTGAGGACCGAGAGATCCTCAACTTCGCTGCGAGCAGGCACGGATCGACGATTAGGGCTCAATTTCCTCGTCTTTGATTGTGTGATTTTGATGCGATCCCGATCCGATCCGCCCCTGGACCGGTGCTTGCTGCTCGGTCTTACGCGGACGCGGACGCTCGGTTTCCTCGAGCTTGTGCCAGATACACTGCTCGTCTTGCCACCTTCGAAGTATTCGATCAGCAGGGAGGTCTGCGATTTGCTTTGCCGATGCCCCGTCCTGATGGTGACGGGGGTTCCGTCGTCGGGAAGCGAGTAGGTGGACTTGTCGTCTCCGGGTTTGGACACATCGGTCCCCAAGTCGCTGAGAGCGTAGTCGCTTGCAACGTAGTCGCTTGGGGCGCCGGTCATAATTGTCGAATTGGTTTCGGTGGGCGCGGGCAGCGGCGGCGGCGCAGATCTCTTTTTGCTCCCGATGCCCATGGTTGCGTCGAGAGCCAGTGGGCAGCTATTAGTTGGTTAGGTATCAGCGGGCCCTCGGTCCGTCGTCCAATTAGTCCCTTCCACGGAGTCCCTCGCCGACCGTTTCGAGACGAGCGGGATTGGAAATCAGAGGCCAGCTACAAAACAAGGAAAAAATAAAAAAGTAAGACGCAGTGTATCCAGAGCAAATATTCGTAGTCGACCGACTTCCGTCAAGATGGCATCGGATGCGGGAAAATCTGGCGACAACGTGGGGAATGTGAGCAGGCAGTCGTCCCATAGGCAAGCAAGCCTCGAGGGGGGGGAAATGTCGCACAGCCCGTCCGCCGGTAAAACGAGAAGAGGGCGCCCTGAGAGGCGACACTGGAAGAATGGAAGTGCGATGATCGTACGTACTGCAAACGGGTGCACAAAACAATGGGCGATCGGGGAGGCGGCCTGTCAAAAAGCGAGAGGCGGGCGCAAGACACAGGCCGGGGCGTTGTTGAAGCGGCAACCACAGGGCGCCGGAAGAGCGGGGCAAGCCGCTGCGACGGCAGATCCAATCGCAGCGTCGGGGGACTTGGCGACTTGCAGTAAAGACGGGGTGGTCGGCTGTTGGTGATGCCTCGGAGGGGACAATCGAGACGTGCGCCGAGGAGTGGTGGACGATGGCCCAAGAGAACCGTTCCCGGGATTGCGGCGACGAGAAGTGGCGGATTTGCGCAATGCGCGCAGGCAGGCTCTTCTCCTTCCTTGACTTGCTTCTCTGCAGTAAAACGTCGGCCTCCGTCTGCTCTGCAGACCCGAGGAGGGGCCTATGGGAGGCTTTGTTATGGTCCAGGAGTGGCCAGGATTGCTTGATGTGCTGGCGGTGCTTGGATGGAGCCGGCCAATTGCGCGTGGAGTCTGGGGTCTCTGGTGCAGCAACGTGCAGCTTGAGAAACGGCGGAGCAGAGAAGAGACGACGAGGCTCACGGGTTGCTGCAGGCGCAGGCAGTGCTCGGAGGGGAAGTTATGGGCTGTGGAGCCAAGCACGCGGGAAGGCGTCGAAAAAGATGAGACAACTGGAACCCCGAGAGCACGTCCCGCAGATGCAGGTATTAATTTGTTCCTGCGATGGTGTTGCCCAGTGCCAAAGGAAGGGGAAAAAACCGAATGAGGGGACGAGCATGCAGATGTCGGGATTCGACAATCGAGGAGGCTGGGTTGGCGGTTTGTTGACATTCAGCTCCGTCTCCCGCCAAGAAAAAAACCGGCAGGGCACTGCTTGTTCAAGGAAGTGGGATCCCACGAAAGAGACGAACTGGGCAGGCTGTTGGCCCTGCTCCGCTCGAGATGGGAGACCCCACCGGGCGATCTCTTGGCCCAAAGGGTGCCGCTTCCCGCTTCCCGCCACCGTCACGCCCCCAAAATCCCAAAATCATGCCCAAAAGGACATGACTGAACTAACCCCAACCACTCGTTCCGAATGCCTCCCAAACGAGAGAAACGCGGGTTGTCCGTTCCAGCAGCGTTTTCAATCTAGCGAAGTCAATATTGGGGACAAACGGTTCGCCGCTTGAGAGACGTCAACCCGAGCTGATGGATGACGCTTGCGCTGCTTCCCTTTTTCTTAATAACCTAGTTGCCAATCGTTTTGTTCGAGTCCGTGTGTTTGCAGCAAGATCCCGGGTCCTCGACTTCGTCATCAGGGACCAGGTCCGATGAAGCCAGACGCTAAAGTCGAGCTCAGATTCAGGGTCCCGTTGTTATTGCTATGCTACCTAATCGCGCCCCCGCTGTGGAACGACAATCTTCGAGAAAAGGCTGATCCCATGTTTCATAGAACTGGATGCGAGGTTGGCGCTATGGGGTTCGCCTCGGTGAAACATAGCGTAAACTTACAGATGAGAAGTGGTGGTCCCAGGTTATTACAGACCGAGTTAACTAATAGCAAGACTATCAGCCACGGATTGAAGACAAAATAGAAAGCAGAGATTAGAGGGTACTTCATCGATATATACCAATATTGGAAAGACGGTCCCAGTTGACACTTGGTATCAAACCGCGGTTATCAAGCAGTGGTCAACTATATCATCTACAACATCGTATCAACGCTGGTATTCCTTCTAAATAAAACTATCGGCTGTTTTGGCCACAAGACCATAGAGCATAATTCCAAAGAAAACATACATGAGGCCCTCCGATTCAAGACACGGTCTGGGGCAAGGCACCTCCAAAAAACCCTGGGTTGTCTCCTAACCAAAACGCCCAAAGGAAAGTTCTACTAGACAGCAATGACGGCACAGTCCCGAAATTCGCAACTGGTTTACTTCTTAGGCCTCCGTTCCGAGATGAACTCAACCTCGGCGCTGCTGAGAATATCTCGGACAACCGGGTTCTCCAAGTAGTGGATTCCAAACCCGCCTCCAAGCAGGATCTTGAGCATCTCGACTCTGGTATGGAGGGACCAGGTGTCGATGAGCAGGAACTGGTTGTAGATACGAATCTTCTCCCGATACCCAAACTCTCTAAAATCGCCCTGTTCGTCGGTCCTGGACCCGCCCGTGTGCGGGTTCGGCCCCGACCGGCCGGCCGTGGAGTAGCCCGGCCCCTTGCCACGCTCGAGCGAGGTGACAATGCTGGAAAAGCTGGAACGCAGGTTTCTCCGTCCCTTTTTGGAGACGGCTTTTGACGAGTCGCGAACAATTTCGGCCATCCGGGTCATTATCCGGTGCTGGTTGTATTGCATGTCGAAACTCTCACCCGTCTCCTCTTCGTAATCACGGGCAGCCTCAAAGAGGAGCGCAATGTTGACTCCGGCGCCGGTCTGAACATCGGGGTCTGAGCTGTCGAGCTGCTCCATGAATGCCTCGATGGCCGTCTCACTTTGGGCCGCCAGGTCATCCAGATGGCTCGCCACAAATGCCCAGGCCTGGAGGGCCGCCGTCACCACTGCGGCGTTGTCTGCCGCGGTGACCGAGTGGCCATCGCTTTCGATAATCTCCATGAGGAAGTCGAGAACCTCCTCTGCAGCCTCGTTCGACCCTCCTCCGTAAGTGACAGCGATGCAGAGGGCGTGGATCGCCTCAATCTTGTTGTTTTCTTCCTCCGCGTCGTGGCATGCCGCTTTCAGTATCGGCAATGCTTGCTCAAAAACGGTATCCGACGAACAGGTGAGGATGGTCAGAGTGAAGGCCTTCAGAGCCCGTAGGCGTTCTTCGTCGCTGCTGCCACTCTTGATCTCCCTGAGGAAAACGGGCATGATCTCGGCAACGGATCGCTGGAGCTGGTTCTGGGCAAAGTGGTGCTTCAAGAGGTGGTTGTATCCCCCGAGCGTAGCTTCACGTCCCTGTACGCTGCTGCGCTTGCGGTCCTGGAGCTCTGTGACTCGGTCCTGAAGCCGCTCGACCCATGTCGTAGTGCTTCCTACATCCTCATCTCCGTCGACCGAGTTGGCACTCATGGTCATGATGTCGTCGTTCTCCGAGTCGCTAGCAAATTCATCCTCCGACGCGTAGCGGCTGCCAGGCCGCGAGTTGGCCCGCGAGCCTACGCGAGAGTTTCCCGGGGAGCCATTTGGAGAATGGTTCGTCGAGGAGAGGCCAGACTCTGGTTTCAAGCGGGCCTTGCGGGATACCGTCTTGCCCGACCCAAGGGCGCGTCTTCGGAGTTCAGACATGTTCTATTGATGTGTTGCAAGTGTTCCTTGAAAAAGGCGATACCAGGTGATTTGCGTGGTGTGTGGTGGACCTGCGCCTGGCCTTGCCGTGCGTGTTTAGGTAGGTACTTGGTTGGATTAAGTAATATGGGTGGCGGAAACTGAGTGTTGCGTGAGTTCTCGGAGCGGTCGGGTGTTTGCAGTCGGCGGGTGATAATCCATGAGGATAAATAACAAGAGAGTTAGAAAAAAGACAAGGTGTGGTCCCGTCTGTGGCTTCGGTCGCTTGAACACACGTTAATGAATCACAAAGGTAATGCCTTCCGAGTCCGGATTTCGACTGAATTGGACCAGAACAAAAGGAGAGTGACCTCGGGACATGAACATAAATAGTCGACCCAGAGAGCCAGAGCCTTCCTTCCAGGTTGTCAGACGCGGCAGAAACGGAACTTGCACATGAACAGGGCTTGTGGACCAGGTCCCAAAGAGTGACGCATGAAAGCGCCACCCACCCGCTGCAAGGGCCAGGTTTGACGTTGATGGCGGGGTCAAGCACCCTGGCCCAGGCAGCCTGGGCGTCTGTCGCCTGGAGACAGCGACCAAACAAGCAGACACGCCACACCATGCCTCATCTTCCAATCGTCACCCCATTCTTTACTTTTATTTGACGTTATTTTTTTTCTCATTTCCTATCCTCTAGCCTCTATCGTTCTTCCTTTTTTTTTTCCTTGTCTTTTTGCTGTTTCTTACACTCGAGCCACTCGACGAGGTTTGAGGTTGTGGAAGGGAGTTGTGCCCAGAGTCCATCCCACCTACCCACGAGCCCACCTGGTAAACCTTGGCACTTCCATGGTCGGGAGTTAAAGTGGTTGCATGTTGGCTAACCGAATTGGGCCAATCCTTGGACCCCGCGGGACATCCTGGATGTGAGCAGTCTGGCTAGGGGGGCCACGAGCAACCTCTTAGTTGATCTCTCTCGTCAAAATAATCTTCTATACCGTTCATTTAAAGCCGAAGACTCTGGTGCCAAGTACCTATGAGCATTGTTCAGCAATCATCCTCTCAGCTTCGCTGTGGTTTGGGGGTCCAGTCAACCAACCACCATGCGAGAGTGGGGCCATTGCCAGGAGCCAAGGAAGCATCACGATAAGATTGTGGGCGGCACCTCTCCATGCGCCTTGCTCGGGCATGTGCGGAATACTGCGTAAAGAATGGAAGTGTTCTGTCTCGTTTACGCCGTAATTATCACTTGTATAGATGATACTTTAATCTGTGGACCGGAATGTTTTGGGTTGTGACTTGTGTGAAATTCATTGTTTCGGCGCCTGAGGCTTCCCGATCTTATCGCAAGCCCCGCACCCGCACCGCCGTTGCCCAAGAACTCCGATCCCATGACCGCAACATTTATAACTGACCGTCCCTCGAATCCAGCTACGCATTTCCTTCCTCCATGGTGGTAAAAGGGAATCTCGACTCCGTTGGCAGGAATCACTCTGCCATCCCCTCATCTGCAATCATATCGCAACCGACCAGTGCAGCCTTACGGCTGTCGACCCCGTGTCTCTGCCTGGGCACCCCACCTTCCGAAACCGTTGCAGGGCTTCCTTCCTGCCTGATTACCTCGAGCCAACACTTGACACTCCCGTCCCTTCTTTGAAGCCCCCATTTCTGAATATTTTATTCGAATCCAAACCGCCAGCACCGAAAACTCTCGTTGAACCGCTGACTCGTAGTGCCCTCGAGAAGGGCACTTGCACGAGACTTAAGCGGACAACTCTCCGTGGCACACCGACCAACAACTCGTCAATCCGCACCCACCCGCAGCCGAGCTCACTCGAACGTGGAATCCGCTGCAACACGGCATTACCTGCACTTGACTTTGAGCTCGACTCGTTAAAACAGTCCACGCGACGCTCGAGAGGTCCTCGGGCCCGCATCACTCACGATGAGCACTCCGGTCGACCCTCACAAATCGGGTTCGTCATCACCCCAGTTCCTGCCGTTCTAGACCTCGAGCCTCCGTACTAACACGTCCCGACTCTAGTGGTGCTCCGCCTCTCCGCAGCTCAGTCCTCAGGTGGCGATATCCTGTTTCCCGAACGCCGCATCACCTTACACCAGGGCAAAGACACTATCACGATCGGACGGGCTTCCAAAATATCCACCAAAGGCTTTGTCGCGAGCGCCGAAAACGCGTGGTTTGATAGCCCGGTGATGTCCAGACTGCATGCCCGATTATCGGTCAAGATGGATGATAAGGTACGCTGCCGCACGTTTCCAGTTTTTATCGATGTCCTAACTGTCGAACAGAAGATTGAAATCAAGGACCTGGGCTCGCTCCACGGAACATTTCTGAACGGTGGCCAGCGTATCTCAGCCGATGAATATGTCGAGTTACGGCATGGAGATGTCTTACAGTTTGGTTCACCGATCTGGCGGGGCAACGAGCAATTTGTCCCGACCACGGTCAAGGTCGGCGTCCAATTTCCCACGCGGTAAGAGCTTGTCCGTTCATTCTAGTCTGTTGATTGCTAACCCGTCTCCTAGTGACGGCACCAGCACCTTCCAGGTGCCTGACGAGTCTGAGGACGAGTGTCTCGATGATTCTCAATCCAGCGACAGCGTTGTGATGATCACTTCCAACAGGTCCCATCCTGCGGCACAGAGCATCCCCGCCCAAGTCACCAGACCTGAGACGCCAGTCATCGATTTGACCGGCGCACTTAGCGGTTATCGGCCTCGACATTCCTTTAACATGTCAACGCCGTGCGGCTCTCAGAACCGCATCCAGGACGCCCGGGAATCGGCTAGCTTTGTCGAGAGCCAAGATGAGACGGCAGAGGACGTCATTTATGATCTATCAACCAACTATGAGCTTGAGGATCCCGTGGCCGACGCGAATCCAGGAGACAGAACTCTCGTATCTGACGACATGACCGAACTTGAATCAAGCGGATCCCCGAAGACGGGCGTCAAACACGGCTGGTACGAATTCGATGAGCAAGACGACGGGCGGGACGACGGGCAGGACGACGAGCAAGACGATCACAAGAGCCTCAGTGAACGCACTGATGACGACAGCCAGATCGATTACCCGGACGAAGACTCCGATAGTCAGATGGATAGTTTCGACGAAGGCGTGAGCGACGAGGACATGGAAAGCGTTAGCACGGACGATGACATACAGAATAATGTAGTTGTCGAGGCCGGCTATGCTTATGGGTCTGAGGCGTCGGACGCGTCGGACGTGTCGGACGACGGTAGCCTAGACTTGGATTCCAGGACCGGTAAGTTCACTTTGGTTTGTTTTCCCCCAGGTCTATTCGTTGACGTCATCTAGCCTACACTGCTTGGGAATATTCGTCACAGCATCCCCAATCTCTGGAGTATCCGGAAATCGTTCCGTTAATCGACTCTCTGTCACGCTCGCCCGCGCCTTCCAACCCAAGTCAGACTGTCCCCGGGGCCAACACTGTCGCCAGTATCGACTGGTTGCTGAACAGCGACAAACCACGGCAGCCAACCCCGGGCCTTGGACATGAGGAAACGATGCCATCACATTCGTCCCCGGCAACAGAGGCGGCTGCGGTGCTAGGTGCTAGGACCGGAAAGATCGACTACTTCCTGGCGAGAGAAGACAATAAAATGGCTCTGGGGGCGCAGAAGGCTACATGCCAGCGACCGACATCCGTGCAAGATCTTTGCAACGAGTACGAGCCTGTTGATGGACTGGGCAACTACAGCTCGGCGGCGCACCCGGCCACGTCGTCCTTCATCTTGCCGTCCGCGGAGAATCTATCTGACCCTGTCGAATCCGGCCCATTCTGTGGATTTACGCCATGCGAGCCTCGGACTACAGGTTCGCCCGTGAGCATCAGCGAGGAAGTGTACGGTTGCTCTCGTCGGACATACGTAGGCATATCGGACATCGTCAACGCGAACCAGCAAAACCCCTCTGACAAACCCGAGCGGTCATTGGAGCAAATGGAAGTAGGCCGAAAGGCAAAGCGAAAAGCAGAAAATATTTCAGACACCACCGATGCTGAGGAGCGGTGGGCTGAATCCGCCTCTAAGATACCTTCTCCAGACCCGTCTATCGACGAGAGGAACACGCACCCCGACACGCACCCCGAGCCCCCAGCGGAGACCGTTCAGGAGCCTACCAAGCCGTCGGACCACGACGGTGAGCATTCCACGACCAGAGAGCCGCAGACTCTCGAGAGGCCTGTGAAGAGAGCGCGTATGATGCGTGTCGCAGAGCGTCTGGGATATGCTGCTCTTGGCGGCGTCACGGCTGGGGCCATGATAGTTGGCACGCTCATATACACCGCCCCTACATTCGGTTGATCTCGGCGCCGGTGACGACACACCCTTTTTCTTTTTTTACTATTCCCCGAATTTTCCTTGACTTCCTTTTTTTTGCTTTTCCCACATGGAGCCTTTCCGAATGAGGAGGCGGCCGAAGGGAAACGGGAGGCGTTCGGCACACGGCTCATCTCCTATTACTTTGTCTAGGGACACGGAATGCAATCATGACGGGCGGGTCTGGTCTGGCACGGCCTTGGCGATGGGGTATGGGCAAGGGGAAACGGTATGGGAGCAGGACAAGGTTATGGCATGGTCTGGCGGGTGGCATCACGGACGGATATGGGGCGCTCACTGCCAACTTACTTCGGCCCTTTGAGGGTCGTGGATGACGAACTTGGGCTCTCATCTCATTTCCTTTCCCATACTATCGTTCTTTGTACGTGTTAGGTTCGATCGGTATACTCGCTCTCTCTATCAGGTACTATAATGGTCATCTGCGTTCTTTTCTTAATTGGGTTCGACAGGCTTGGTTAAGGGCAGATGGCCTACTGCACTTGTCCACTATCAATGTGGCATATATCTGATTCGACCCGGTGCCGTTCAAAAAGGCTGCAATATCGGTCCACACCACCGAGCTCATGGCTCTACCAAGCCCGATCTTTGCCTCCCTAGGAGGAGCGTGGTGGCACGTATGGTCAGGTGATCAGGGTTGAGTGACCGCCTGTCTACTCCTGCCGAACCGCTTCGGACGGAGGAGTATTCTAGCTGCCCGGGCAGGAGTGTGAACAGACCTAGGCGGGCAGGGAGACGTCCATACACGTTCCGTAGTTGCCGCCAATGACGGGCCCGGGGGTCATTAAGTTGGGTCTGAGCTGAAAACAATAGGAGTAGTTGTCTGAAAGACGTGAGAGAGTCGAGTGAACCTTTACTATCGACATATCGCGCGCAATAGCTGAACCTTGGATAACTTGACGAGAACAAAAAGGTGATGACGATAAAGTCGGATGGCCCAGAGAAATGGAGAGATATTGAAGAAGAAATGGGATGTGTCTCAGTACCCAGAGAGGCAACGCTTCCTTTCCCATCCACAGTAAAGCAACCTGCCAGATTGTCTACCCGCCCCTCTCTTTCCCAACCCACAACCAGGCCAACTTGACCAGCACGACCCGATCCCGATCCCGCACCAGAATCCCCCGCTCCTCCGGAGATAGGCAACGAGGCTTCCCTCCGCTCCTTCCACAAAAGGCAACTCCGCGCCGTCTACACCGAACGCCTCCGTGTACCGGAGCCGCCGTGACACCAAGCCAGCCACTTCGGCAAGGCAGAAAGGCAGAGCAAGACAAGAGAGATAACCGCGGACCGCGACGTCGCGCGGTTACACAGGCTCCGACGGGGAGCACGGAGTGCCCCAGATCGCGCGTGCCCCTTTCCGCCTTGCAACGTTGCGTACGACATCACATCAAGCCATGGAGGGATGAGGGCGAGAGAGGATAAGATACGGGAGGGTAAGAAGAAGACGGGAGGGCGCCGAGACGACGGGAGGGCGCAGAGGGAGCAAGATGAGATATCGGAGCCGGCCCGGAGAGCCACGACAACGGGAGAGAGAGAAAGAAAAAGTATACCGAAGTACCACTTTGTCACCCCCTTCAACCCCAGGTTTTCGGCAGCCGCCCACCAATAATAATAATAACAACAACAGCGACAACCATGTTGCTGCTCCCTGCCTTCCACCGACGCCCGCTTGCATGTGCGGGACGGGAGGGGGGAGACAGCAGCAGCAGGCAAGGCAGGGCCCGAAGAACCCTTGCTGTCGATTATGCACGCGATGAGCGGCACTTCGGGAGGAGCGGCGTCAACAAAGGCCACGGGCTGCCGGTGTTCGTGGTAACGTGGCCCGAAGTCCCTGCAGCCGGTAAGGCTATGGCAGCATCGGGAAGATGACAGAGTAAGAAAGCTCGGTGGCTTCTGTCCGATATGTCGTGAACGTAGAAAATGCCCCGTTGTGAATCCTAGGTTGCGCAGGAAAGGGCCCGCTGAACCGGCATCCCGCGGCGAACCGGAAAAGAATGCCACCGCGGGTTTGGTGGCAGTGATGCCCCCGTATCCGCCCCATACGTGGTGTTACCTCCAGTTGAGAGAAGGACTTGCTCAGGGATGGGTATCATGACGGAAAGTCGCGGAAGGATCGCGACCGGTGAGCTTGTTTCTCCGCGTTCGCTTCATCGGCAGGTCGTTTGCCATTTTGTTCCACCTGCGATAACCGTGATTATCTTTCCTGATTCCGGCTTTCCATAAACGGGAGATGCATTCCTGCCTCCATGACATGAATTTGACTGGACACCTCCAAATGATAGCCGCGGACCTGGCGTCGATGCCATGCTAGACGTGGGGAAGGAGAGTACGTGCAGTATGCACGTAAGAAACGAACATTCGATGTGATACCCAAGACAGGACGACATGTCAGAATGCGAATGCGGAGACACGTGTTGGGCTTGCAGGATCGGTCCGCACCTGTCGCCCACTCAGACAGGGTCACTCTTTTGCAGTGGCAGCATTGGGGAAACGGGTCGAGACGGGCTAAGGGGTGAAGTGGTGAGGGGCGAGGATGGCAATATCAGATAATGTGAAGTATGAAATGGTAATTATGACGCAAAATGCCGCTCACGATGGCCCTCCTGAGGGTGACAAGCTTGCAGACCGACATGGAGTATCCATGTTGGGGTTGGGCTCTTGGGACTGGTCTTGATGCGGCTGCAGCAGCCGCATTCGCTTCCTGGCCCAGTCCCCTCCCACCTTTTTCCTTGGTACCTTTCTCATCGAGCCTCGCGAGCCGGACCGGTGTGACATATTATTCCCACACACCACATTTATCGGCGGGGGTGGCTCTCTCCCAGGTCTTTGGGCTCTCGGCTGTCCCATTTCCCGGGGCTATATCGGAGGACATCACGGAGTCTCTCTGATGCTACCGGCCCCGAATGGAAGCGGCCCTATCCTTGCTAATGACCACGAGAGTACTGAGTCCGAGCGGCCCTGACTCGTCCGGCTGGTTCAATCTCCATGAGGCAACTCCGGGACTTGCTTTCAGGATTAATGACCGAGATATGTCCCCAATTGATAGGGATTACTGTGAAAGGCCGGCCGGCACATGACAACGTCGTCCTGTACATCGTGGATCCTCGTCACGTACTGCTAGCGCGGTAGGCCGGCTTTGGTAACGAATAGCGTTTTCTCGCGATGACGTGCTTGAATTGGTTGCACGGAGCCCATCTCGAATACCATCCGAAGATACTGGCGAGGACCGGTGGCTGAGAAGTTATCGGCAGTTGCTTTCCGGCTTGGGTGACTCGGACGTTGCGGAAGCTGCCCAGAGAGAGACCCATCGGAGAGCCATGGCGGAAGCGCCCTCGGACAAGATCGCGAGTCTTCCTGCAGAATTCCTTGGAAACATGTGTCACCCACCCAATCCATAAAAACATCTTCGCTGAGAGTAAAGAGCCTTTAGCCTGATTGTTTCACCGGCATGCCCTACGTTTTGGAGCCATCTCTCCGTGTAATGAGCGTGCAAGTAGGTGTAAGGTGGGTGGGTGATATGGGCTCGCTGAAAGGGCAACGGAACCCGGCGCTCTGGAACCAGGTTCGGGCCTCTGCATGTATACCTCGCTTTTCTCCGTGGCCGCTAGCGTAGTAACAGGAAAAGCAAGGGACGGCCTCGACCCGTCGTTAGCTTCACTGCGTGCTCAACTTGGAAGCCAAGTGCGGGGAAGAGAAAGGGGTGTTGCAATACGTCCTCGATGAGACCTGACACGGCCTTTGGGCGCCACCTCTTGGGGCCGGTGGACGGTTTCTATCGTCCAAGGGAGCATGCGGATAGCCGCAGGTGGGATTCTCTGCCTTGTCGAAGGACAGGAAATGTTCGTTGGCAGCAGCCCAAAAAGGTGGCGGCCTATAAGGATGGCAGTCTCGAGGCTTGGGCTGCGGCTGGTTGCATGGGATTCGCAGGATTTCGGCTTCAGCGAGCTGACCATTGTATGGGTGTGCCAACTCACATGCATCGATCGCCATCATTCCAGCAAGCTTGTAACGGAGCGTAGACAAGGCAGTCGGGGACACAGATGCCACTCTAGGCAAGGGTGAACTTAACACATCCTGACTCGGTTAACCGCTCTGGGTTGACTCTGAGCGTGGGCGGCCCCCAGGTTCCTGAATGTCTCACCACCCGTCTTGGTAAACGTGCCATCTTCACAGGCCGGAGGCATATGGGTAACGGTACTGGGATGGCTCGGCTTGGCGTATAACCATGATCAGCAGACCCTCTGTCCTGTTTGTTTTGGGGATGTTATTGGCTGGTGGGAGATCAAAAGATCCGATAATGGGCAGGCGTGCGAATCGCGGTTGGCGGTAAGTTCATTCGTAACCCTCGTGGTAGAGGAATCGACGGTTCGACGCCCCAGGGAGGAGACCGTGTCTATATAAGACTGGTTCGTCTCCCTGGTTGTTGGTTTTCCGGTGCCATGAAACTCCAGTACATCTTCAGTATCAGGCTGCTCATACTATCGCAATATCCACACCGTCGTCAGTACCAATAGTATCCCTCACCACGATATACCTGATTTAATGGAGTCCGAGGCTTGTGGTTGCGTCCGGCTCAGCGACGGCCACCTGTACCAGCCGGGGAACTGTGCTTCATGCGGGGCAAGCATGAGAATGTATGACTCTGGCCCTCGTTCTAGCCTTCATGATGGAGCTGACTAGCGTAGAGGCTGCTATCGCTGCAATGGAACAGGGTTGACATGGTATCCATGCACCCACTTACAGTCGCATGGGATGCAAGTTGCCCTATCCGCTTGTTCGCCGGACGGCTCATCTTATGGCCACAGGAACTCCTAGACGGCGGCGGTTCCTCGCAGAAGTATACGGAGATGATAGCTCAGGCTCCAGGGCCATGGCTGAGTTCGGAAACGCGATAGGCTATCTCAGGTAGGTTTAGGTGAACAGGCGATTTGGGCAAGTTGGGGCGATGGGGCGAGGTTCTCTTTTGGCGGCTTCTTGTTTTCTTTGATGGCCAAACTTACAGGCGCTGTTGAACACGGGATCTTGCTTATGAACGGCGCCGGGTCACTCGACTCGGGCCCATGAGGGTTCAGTGCACTTGCATAGTATTTGAGCGTTATGGGGTCATTTTGGCTATTCTTTGACTTTCTCCTAGAAGCTATTAGCACGTTAGCATTCACTATCGAGTGTATACTTAAACACTTGTTTCTTCTCCGCGAGTTTATCCGTGGGCATCCTCGCCTGGTATCTTTGTCGGCAAAGGAAAACTGGTAAAGTATTTCCGACCTCACTGGTAGTGCTAGGGTAGGGGTACCGAATATAGGTATGTACATCACTCGCGGCGGGGCTGGTAGGAGTCCGGTCTAGGTGTCGTGTTCATGATTTGAAGATCTTCGTCCTCGGCATGTTCGACTTGCTCTCATTCCGCAGTAGGCCATTTCCCAGGGACCGAAACTAGGGACCGGGGCATAAAAGGCTAGCCAGCCTTTTCGCGTGAGTGAAGTAAGAAGGCTGATCACTCGACGCCTTGCGGCTGACCCGTTGTCAGATTGCTCGATCGAAGGTGGCCGATCTTGCAGCGGCCCGATCGCTGTGCGTTGACTTGCAGCAGTGACCACCACCACCACCACAAGCTAATATCCAAAACAGCGCGATCTGATCTGTTCGAGACGTCCTGAAGCAAGACGTTGAACTCCAACATGCTTGCGTAGGTAGTGATGCCGGCGCCCCGAAGGGCTACCGGGGCGACACAGCATCAGCAAGCCACAGAACCGGAGCCTGTATGACGAAGCCGATTGGACGCCATCGTCCCCCTCGATGTGTCGACCAGGCAGGAAATGTGAGAAGTGAGAAGTGTGATGGTTTGGGTTTCCACAACAGATGCATCTTGCTCATTCCGGCCACCACAAAATGGCTGGGAATGTAACGCCGGAGTTTTGAGTCAAGCACCTGCCACCAGCTTTTCCCTCACTTGAGGGCTCTTCACTCCGCAGCTGCTGAGATGCACCGGGCTAGTTGAAAGAAGAAGTGAGAGGAATAGGGATATAAAAGTACCTAGGTTCTCGGAGCAAGTGCCCACTGCCAGATAGGTTGGTACGAATTGAGACCCAGCTGAGATGAGGGAAGAATTTTGGAAATCCAGGTAAAATAAAGGGAGAGAGACAGGGATTTGCCACTCAAAGAATGCATGAGCCGAAATTCAAATACCCCCAAAATTGAGTCTCCCAAAATTCGATTCAAAAGATTCTGAAGTCCCGCGTTTGGATGATGATCGGGAAGTTTGTATGTAGTTATGTACATACGAGAAGCCCCGAACTGGGAGACTCCGACCCCCGCAGCTCCGCCAAGCCCAGGTCTTGTGCACTGTGGCCCCGCTAATTCAAGGTTCCAGAACCCCGTCGCGAACTTCCAGTTCCGTTCCGGAGCACGGCGGATTCAGCCTCGCCCTCGACGTGATAACATCGGCAGTGCTGCTCCACAACCGAATCTCTCTGAAATCCCTCTTTTTGTGCTCTTGGAGCCGGTTATGGGCTGCTAGCTGTCGCCACAATGTCGGTCATACTTTGCACAGGTAAGACAAACCTCCAAACCTATTGGCAATTGCCATAATAAACTCCAAGGAACCTTGAGAATGCTGGTTGCTGATGCATCGAAATAGCTGGTTACGACCACACCATCAGGTATGCCCGTGCTATTGAAGCGCGTCCGGACCTAACGCTCGATGTGGTCTTAATAATCGCAGCATTCCGCTGACACTCTTCGCAGGTTCTGGGAGGCACTCTCTGGAATCTGCTCCCGAACCATTCAGCATCCCGATTCCCAGGTCAACCGACTGTGCATCTCCCCCGACAAGCGCCACCTCGCGGCTGCTGGAAACCACACCGTTAAGCTGTTCGACATTCGCTCTACGAACCCCGCGCCTACCTCCGTCTTCGAGGGCCATACGGGCAACATCACGGGCGTGGCGTTCCACTGCGACGGCAAATGGATGGTCACGAGCTCCGAGGACGGCACCGTCAAGATCTGGGACACGCGCACCGGCGTGATCCAGCGGAGCTACAATCACGGGTCCCCCGTCAATGATGTCGTTATCCATCCGAACCAGGGCGAGATTATCAGCTGCGATAGGAGCGGCAGCATTCGGCTCTGGGATTTGGCTGAGAATACCTGCGCCCACCAACTCATTCCCGAGGAAGAGGTCTCTGTGTCGAGTGTCACCGTTGCCACTGACGGCACTCTCCTCTGTGCAGCCAACAATGCAGTATGTACTGTTTTGCTGCTTTCCCGCGTGCTACACGAACTGACCGCCGTAGGGTAATGTCTTTGTTTGGCAACTTGTCCAAGCTTTCGAGCGCACCCAGCTTGTCCCAATGACCCACTTCTCGGCACACAAGGAGTACATCACTCGTATCCTCCTTTCCCCCGACGTCAAGAAGCTGGCCACATGCAGCGCCGACCATACCGCCAAGATCTGGGAGGTTAAAGAGATGGAGCCGGCTGGTCCCAACGCCGAGCCGCGCGCCTTTCCACTCGAAGCCACCCTGACGGGCCATCAGCGCTGGGTCTGGGACTGCGCCTTCAGCGCCGACAGTGCCTACCTCGTGACGGCATGCAGCGACCACTATGCGCGCCTGTGGGAGCTGCACACGCAGCAGATTATCCGCCAGTACAACGGCCACCACCGCGGCGCCGTCTGCGTCGCGCTTAACGACTACTCTGAGACCCGCTAGGATCCGTCCGAGGAGGAAGTCAATTTTGAGACCGACATGACGCTCGAGACTGAGAGCGGCGCCCAAAACGCCCAGTCCCGCGCGGGCTCCGGACAGCAGCCTCAAGCTCAGAGGCGCCAACAGGTCCAGCGCCACCAGATCCAGCGCCGGCAACCCCAGCAGCGCCAGCAGCGCAGGGCCCCAGTGCGCAGAGCTTCGCAGCAGCGCCGCCAACCCTCTGGGCTTGGCTCCGGCTCCAGGCCCCCAGCCCAGCAACAGCCGGACAGTTCGGGGGCGCTGATTTCCACGCAGCTACCCCCCGCGGTCGCAGCTCCGGTTCTGTCCTACCAGCACACGACGGCTATGGGTGTAAACCACAGGGCCGACCCCCGTTTGTCGCCCATCGCCCGATCCGCCCCGCTGCGCGTCCCGCTCCCGAAACCGGTGTGGGAGCGGGGACCCGTAATTTAATCAGATATATGTTCCAGCCCCGTGTTCAGCGGTATCTTTCATGGTCGAGTTTGGTGGTATTTCTCTGAAGTGGGAAGATGCTGGCTAGGATGATTTTCAGCACGTGGATTGTTTTTCGCATGGCACCAGCGCCGATGCGAAGGGTTTATATATACTCTTTTAATGCTGTTCAGTTCATGGATGATGACCCATTTCGCATACGTCTTCCTCCTCTAGTTACGTATGCCGCATGGTTGTTTTCAACCAACCGCCTGGGTACATAGAAAGGATTTTCGAATCTCATTCCAGAATGTAATGGCTCAATATCCGGCTACACAACACTTCTATACCCAAATCCACCGCGCCAAACGCCACGCGTGCCGTTATAAACCAACTTGTCGTCCCTCATTACCCCCTGAGAATATCATCACTCTCCACCCCCATCCCATGTAAGTGTATGTTCCCCAGGTATGTGCCTTTATATCCTCCTCCCGGACCCAAGCCCGCAAACCCACAAGTAACCCAACCACCCAAGTAACCCAACCAACCCAGCTTCCACAAGCAAATCTCACCACCCACCCCACCCATCATCCTCATCCGTCTGCTTCGGCTTCATATCAATCTTCTTCGCCACCGTCTTCGGCTTCGCCGCAACCGTCTTCTTCGCGGCTGCCCCACCACCGCTGCCACCACCAGCAGACTTGGCCAGCCCCTTCGGCAGCGCCTTGGCGCCCGTCTTCTTCTGCGCCTGCGCCGCCAGCCACCCGGCGAAGTCCGGCTCGGAGCCGTCGTCGAAGGGCGTCGCGCTCGCGCTGGCGGGTTTGGTTTCGCGTTTGGGGAGGGTGGTTGTGCTTGTTGTGGACTTGGTGGGTTTGTTGTTGCTGGTGTTGTTGTTGTCGGGCTCAGCGAAGAAGCCCGCCGCGCCGGCGCCCGTGCTGTCGTTGTCGTTGTCGTTGTTGCCGTCGTCGTCGGCCATGTCGTCCATGTCGCCCCACGCGTCGGCCGCGTCGTCGTTGTTGAAGTCGTCGTCTTCTTCTTGTGGGGGGTCGTCGTGGAAGGGGTCTTTGTAGGCGAGGGACGCGGACGGGGTTGGGGATTTGAGGGCCTGGCGGTGGAGGTTGGAGGCGGAGGATGTGGAGGGGGTTTGGGATGCCGTCGCGGGCCGTTGCGGGGGCGGCGCCGCGGCCGAGCCGTTGACGGGGGTGGGGGAGGATTGGATCTCGCCTGCTGCGGTGGATAGCTTGTTCGTGAAGGAAGAGATGGCCCAGCCCGCCCAGGAGGCTGCCGCTGACTCGGCCGGTTGCGGGGTGCTCATCCTGGGCCCGCCCGCGGCAGACACGGCGCTTTCGGGTGGGAGAACCGAGTCGGGCATGCCGGCTGCCGCTTTCTTGATCTTGCCCAGGTAGACGTCGACGGTTTTGCTCGCTTGGTCGCGGATGAGCTTTTCCTTGTCGATAAGCGAGGGGCAGACGGCGGGCACGATGCGGAGCGCGCAGTCCTCGTCGGAGAAGTAGTCTGATGTCACGGAGAGCGCCATGAGAGACGCATTCCGCGCGTGAACAAAAGGATCTCTGAGTGATCTCGTGAATGCGGCGATCAGAACCTTGGCTCTCGAGGAGGTCCCAAGGTACTTGGCAATCTTGCCGAGACAGATAGTTGTATTGGTGCGGATGCCAGGTTGCTCATCGTTGGCGGTTTTGGCCAAGTATCTCAGCAGCTCACCGTTAATGGTCCGATCTGAGAGCTTGGTGATCAGCGTGAGTACAGATTTTAGTGTCTGTTCCCTGACGACGGGCGCAACATCTGTGAACCCGGTAACCTAGACTCGAATAAGTATCGAACTGCACAAAAGAAGCAGACCAACTCACTATCTGAGGAAATATCTTATCATTGACAATTTTTTGTGACAGTCGATCGATCATCAGGGGCAGGTTGTCTAACAAGCACACTCTGATGGCCCTGTCGGGGTTGCCAAACAGCCGAATCAAGACGGGAGTGATCTTCGCCTCGAAGTCTTCATTTGACAACTTGGTGGCAATCTTCATGACTACTCCAAATGCTTTTGGGCCACCGCCGCCGAATTCTACTGATTTTAGCAATTCGGGAAGCACCTTCATCTTGAAGAAGTCCTCAGGGAAGTCGTCCGTAAGTTGCTCCAGGTCGCTGGATTCGTCAGCACACAAGGTCTAGACGAGCGATTAAAAATCAAACACTCACTCTAGAAAGGCTTCCCGTTCCTCCTCCGACTTGACACCCAAGTTCTCGATCCCGTCGGTGAGTTTGATGAGTGGCGAGTCGAAGAATGAGCCGTTCCGGCGGCCTTGTTCAAGGAAATGGGCGACGCTGAGCCTCGCCTTGGGGTTGGCGTTGGTTAGGCGTTTGTAGCTCGACTGCATGCTGGGTGGGACATTCTTGGTCTGGCCCGCCTGGTCGCCGCCGTTGAAAGCGCCATTAAAGACCTCGAAGATCAGGGCGGCGAACTCGTAAGCATCAACGGCCGAGTGGGGACTTCGTTTGATGGCATCCCACCCCGACTTTGCTAGCTCAGGCGGTGTGTACCGTCCCGAGTCCGGCACAAGGCTGCCGTAGGTCTGGTGGGTTGGTTAGCCTTGACAGCACCGAATGGAAGGGGAGGCTAAGACCCACATATACTACGGCCTCGTCGTCTTTGACGTTACTGAGCACCTCAAAACCGCCGAGCTTCCACTCGCCGCTCTCAGTCGTATAGACAGAGGCAACCTTGAGACTACCGTGGACGGACGATGCCTCGTCGTTGATGAACTTGATTGTTCTCTGTCCTCCTCATTAGCCCAGGCCCGGGGTTTTCAATATCCGATTGTGTTTCTCTGGACGCACCGCGACGCTGTAAAGGCCCCATTTCGCCGTTTCGGGACTGAGACTCTTCCGCTTGACATGCCACCGTAGAGGTACTAGGCGCTCTGTCGCGATGTAGATGTATGAATCTGTCTTTTTCAAATTTATCAGCCCCAGGCTACGCTCGGCTACCCGGTGCGCATCGTACCTCGACCGTGTCTAGAACCTTAATGACGCCGGGGTGTCGTAGTGTTCGTAGCTTTTTCAGCGCGTTCTTGGCAAGGGGCAGGGCGGAGCGGTTGGTGGTAATATCGAACGAGAAGATGCTGCAGTTTGAGCCGTCTTCCTACAACCCAGCGTCAGCCGAACGGTTCTCCCTATTTTTCCGGAGCATAATAGCCATGTTCTATCGCATACCCGTCGTGTACCGTTGTGGAGGGTCCAGATGGAGGGGTCGAGGTCGACCTTGTCGCCAAAATTGTAGGGGAACGGCGGCCCCTTGGCCATCGCCGAGGCAACAGCCGACTTGAGAAAGTCCATGGCGGGGGCGCGTATATGTACGGTCCGTGTTCGGGGTTCTGAGAGAGGCGCTTTGTCGTCGCCGTCGTCGTCGGCTCGTCGGCTCGTCGAGGGGAAATCGCGAAAAGGAGGCTATCGCAAACCCGCAACCTGTTATCGCGGTTCGCTTTCTACATTCTTGGCACGCTAATCCAAGTACAGTAGGCGGAAGTGCTTTCTGCCACATCGGAAAGCTTGTCTTGGCGCACAGACCACTACAGTTCCCTGCAGGAAGCCGCCGCTCTGTCGTGTCTGTGTTGTTTCCCTTCGTCCCTTCAAGTTCCCCACCACGTTTTCCCCCAGAGGTAGAAATTGTTGACCCGCGTACAAACTCCATTCGTCACACAACAATTAACCTTGGAGCTTCAACTTGCAGCTGGGCCAAAAAAATCAGGCGCCCGCGGCGGCTTCGGCAAAATCACCATATGGTTACATTTGCTTGTAATCGCATGCTCATGGTCAGGCGGCCTGCTACGTGGATGATCGAAGGGTGGTGAGCGAAGGGCGGTTGGCATTGCAGCGAGGCACTGATTGTAGCCTGACTACGCTGGCTCTGGGATTTGTATCCCCTACCGTCCCAATTGCAGAGGTAAGCAATTTCGTCATTATCCTTGATCCCCTCACCCCAAGCAAAGTGTCAATGATGAGCAAACTGGTAAAAGGTCCGACAGTCTCGCGCTCCTCTGGTTTTGTGGTTCCGAGCGACACGGCTGTTGCGCCTTGGCGCGCCCGGCTGCCAGTCTCGGCTCCCACACGCTGCCTCAAGACAGCCGGTAGCATGAGGTCTGGCGGTCGGGTATATCAAAATACGTCCGAGACATTTGTCAAAGACGCTGCCACTTCCCGGAGTCTGGCTTTCATTGATTTCACAAGGCCGGACCCAAAGGCTGTGGTAGACAAGGAGGAAGGGGAGAGGCAATCAGCCTCGGCCCTACCGACTAGTTCGCCCATCGCCCCCGGAGCCACGAAACCGCTGCAGCTGTGCTGGATGACGACCGAAATTGACTGAAAAGACCTGAGACACACTCATGATTTTGATTTTGAGGGAGATTTGAAATCAAACCCGACCGGCCCCCGTCGGGACGCTGGACTAGTGGCGCTAACAGACTGTTGCAAATCACAGGACGCGGCGCGAGGCTGTTTGAAGGACCACCTCCCTAATGCCCCGTTGTAGACGATGCAAAGAGTCAGCGGCGCTCGACAAGCCGCTGTTTAAGTGCATTCACTGCGGCAGATGCTATCATTCCGCATGCCACCGTCCCCATCCACAAGGGCTCATGTAAGCATTTCTCCATTCTCGGTGTTGTACAGATTATTCCCTTTCCCTTCCATCGTCCCCACACGCGTTCCAAGACCCTCTCGCAACCAACTCCTCTATCCCCTGCCTCCCCTGCTACGTCGACCCCGGCGGGCCACCACCAACCATACAGAGGGCGTCCAGCAGCGCCCCCCCCACCCTCTTCCCATGTAGCCTATTTTCCCGCTCAGCCGTATTTTATTCCATTCCCTCTGCCTTACGCTTACCTCGCCTCGCCTACCTCATTACAACACTCATTTTATTCTCTAGACCAGTCAATTGAAGTCGCTGTTTAAAACCACCGTCCACTGACCAAACGCGACAGTACCAACTGGGTCTGCAAGCGCTGTCTTGCCGGCCAAGAAGGCCAAGTAAAGCGCCGCCGCCTCTACCATGACAACTCGCTGTTGTCGTCGCGGGCCGCCTCTCCCAGCTCCGCATCTTCAAGCCTCGATAGCTTCCGTCGCACCAGGATGTCGCCATCCACCACCGCTGCTATCAATCCCAGTTCCTCCTTCACAAGTCACAGGTCTGGTGACTCAACCGGGCCTAGTATCATTAATTGCTCCTTCACTGGATGCCCCGCCAAAATCGATGGTAGCCGCCAGATCCTGTGCGAGGCCCATCTGCAGGTCTTCTCCAAAAGTGACAAGAACGGGGACTCGGGCCAAGCAAATGGCACCCACGCGACACAGGGCCCAACGGGCACCTCGGACTCTCCTTTTCGGCCTCTGTCAGCCACAAATCCTAGAAAGTTGCTGCCAGAGACTGACAAGGACCGGCCAATCACAATGCGCAAAACCGCTGGGAACCCGCCCCAGCTCGACGCGCAACAACTAAGACCAAAGCACAGCACGCCCCTCTCTCGCGGCGGGTCAACCAGTTTTCCGCCTTCATCGCGGCCTTTGGCCCCTCGCCCCCCTGCCAACTCGCCCCCGGCGAGTCCTGGGTGTCTTCGGGATGGAGAGTCCGCTAGGAAACGACATAAACTGTCGCCATCCCCGGGGCACTCGCCAGGGTCAAGAGTGAATGGGGCGGTGCCACTCGAGCCTGTTCGAAGCCCGCAGTCTAGCCGTCGTGCATCAAACCTGTCTCCCCAGGCTGGAAGAGCGCGAGAGAAGGAAGCTAAGGGCTGGCCAAAACCGAGCTCCAGGCATCCCGTGAGGAGGGTACCCGTCGGGCTGTCTAGTCTGCGGTTTATCGGGGGCCCGGAAGAGCCTACCCCCGGTGTGCTTTCCGAGCAGTCAAGTTCCGGACTGAACGGGTCCGCTGGGAATGTTCATCGGCGCAGCTCCGGGGGGTCAGAGTTGTCCCCCGACGGGGAGACGAAAGACTACTTCGGGAGGAAGAGGAGTAGCGCAGCTTCGTCCACCACCCTCACGGAGTCGCTGGACTCATTTGGTCAGGCGCGGCGGCCCTCGGAGCCCTCGAACGGGAAAAGTAATAAAACACGCCCCGAGGAGAAAGGGCTGGATGCCCAAACTCCTCACGGGCCCTTCCAAGCCAACGGCATCGCCTCTTCCAAGCCGCCCGCTCGGAAGATGCACGTCCCCATTCGGCCAGCACCAATGCCCAAAACCCAACCCGCACAACTCCCAAAACCAAAGAAAATAGACACCGCCCGCTTCGACGCCCTGATCTACTCCCAACCAGGCGCCTCCTCGCCCCCTCCCGGCATAGACCTAACCCCCACTAACCCCCCACCACCACCACCGCCACTACCACAATCACAACCACAACCCTCAACCAAACAACCCACAACCAACACAGCACCAGAACCCGCACCACCAGAGACCCAACCCCAGGACGAACCCCTCTACCTAGCCATCGACCCGCGCGTCCACTGGCCGCAGGCGCACTCGGCGGCCTGGCACGCCGCGAAGCGCGCCGAGATGCGGGCGCGCGGGAACAGAAAGGCCAACTTTGGCCGCGCCGCCCAGTCGCTGCTGCGGAGGCGGCGGCGGCGCGAGGCGGGGGAGGCGGGGGGGCAGCAGCAGCCGTTCGAGGAGAGCCTGCCGGAGAAGATGGCGGAGAACCCTGCGTGGGTGAGGGCTTTGAGGAGGTTGAGGGGTTTGCCTGGTGCGGGTGGTGTTGGTGGTGGGAATGGTGGTGGTGGTGTTGGTGGGGGGTCGGTGTCTTCGGGTGTGGAGGAGGAGTGGGCTGGTGGTGGTGGTGGTGGTGGTGGTGGTGGTGGGTATGGGAGTGGGGTGGAAAGGAGGGCGAGGAGACATGGTGGTGGTAATGGTGGTGGGAGTGGTGGTGGTGGTGTTATGGGCAAGAGGGTGGGTAATTCGGGGGTGGTGGTTGTCACTGGGCTGAATGGAGTGCACATGGAGTCGATGAAGCGGTTTGATGAGAGTGGGTGACAGATGGGAATGGGGCGCAGATGGGGGTGAGTAGTAGATGGGGGTTAGAGGGTGTTGGGTTTTGGGGGACGGGGGTGGTGTTTAGGCGCTGGTGTGCTGGTGTTGCGACTGGTACGGACGGCGGGGTGGAAAGGCAGGGAGGGCGGGCATGGATGGGATCGGTGGGTCTTGCATGTGAAGGCGCATTGCTTTGAGAGAGAGCAGCCGTTGTTTTTTGTTCGCTGCTGTTAGCTGTTATGGAATAACTACTACTCATGGCAAGGTGGTTGCTTTTATTTCTGGCGTGTGGCGCTGGGGGAAAGCAGCCAGCTGCCTTTCTTGTGGCTGGGAGCAAGAGTAAATAGTTTTATTGACATGGACATACTGGGGAGTTGGGTGTGGTGGAATGGGTAATGCAAACGGGGAAGTGTTTTTGGGTTCAGCCAAGAAGTGGTGGCCTCGCAAAAAGCGCTCTAGCATACATGCAGTAGTGGCACGGCAAGTATTTTACTTGGGCGAAAGGAACATTTTTGTTCTTGTGTGATATCTCTACGCTGCGTACACAGCAAATTAGTCTGCCGCCAAGATTTATCGCTCAGTGCCCAGGGACAAAACGCAAAAACTACTTGTAATGAGAGGCAATGACCCCAAAATAGTCCAAGGTGTGGCTTACAGTCGGGGTGCTTAGGCTCATGTTTCCTGAGAACATACAAACGCCCTAGTCTAGTTTTCCTTGCACCGAACCGTAGAGCCATGCTAGCGAAAATAGCTGGAAGTCGAGCCGTTTTTTAGTTATATTAGGAACCCGACTCCGTACAGATTACCTACCTAAATTAGTCGGACCTCATAAAAATACAGTTACTGTGGTATTAACACTGTACGACACTGTAACAGGAGAATCAGTTTGACGGGAGCCGAGTCAGACTCTCCAACTCCGCCTGTGGCCTTGCTCGCCTTCTAGCTTGCTAAAGGATATTGCGAATTCGGTCAACCAACCCTATAACAAGAAATTTGCCTTGCCTTAATTCCATATCGCCATCCCTTCGGTCCTGCCTGCCACTTCGCAAGACCGAACGGTCAAGCAACGAGTCTCAATTCTCAAACCAACCATCAACACCATTACGGTGACCACTGAACGGCAGCAAGGCAGCGCCCTGACGCCTAATACCTCCGTCATACATGCAATTGTGCTCGAATCACACAAGGTCCACTGCGACGAATTGGAACAGTACGGCTGTATTGCTACCGGAAGCCGTGGATACGCCACTGAACTGAAAACTCGAGGATGTCACGTCGATACTGATTTAAGTGTGTATTCTGTTCACCAAAACTTCGACAACAACTGCCACAGGCAGCAGGAGAATTGAAACCCGACGCCGTCTCTAACGGAGACAAGCACGAAGAACCACCAGACCGCCACCCCTTCTAGCATCCGCCCGGTGCCAAAGCGTTCAGGTACCTAGTTTTCAAGTTAGGAAAGAGAAATTACGGCAAGGCAAATCGGGAAATTGGACAAGTACTTACTGGCGAAGTTGCTGGTCTTGTCGCAGCTCACCATCGTTCCAGACGAGGACTTGACCTGCCCACCGCATTTCGTAGCGTTGGTGGGATTGTTGTATCCGCAAGAGCAGTTCCAGTTGTTGACAAGGGTCGGGGCGTCCTCGATAACAGCCATGGTGAGTGGGAGTTCTTTTTTGAGTAGGAGTGTAGATAGCTTAGGAGAAGTTGTTCAGTTGATGGTGCGAGAGTTGACCTGGACATGCTGAAGGGGTGGAAGTCGAGGCTTTAATAAACGAAGCAAGACGGGGTGTGAGTCCGTGTGACCAGGTAGGGAGGACGAAGAGGTATGTTTCTCGCTTTGTTGGCTTCCATGTTGGTGATTCAACCGTCATACTGCTCTGCACCAGATTCAAAGTTGGTCTCGATGTGCCCGTCGGCGTGCCTGTTGGTGTCTCTGTTGGCGACAAGAGGGCATTCAAGCAGCCGCAACACGCCCCAACCAATGAAATCAATATGATCTCCTGTCCCGGAAAGCAGCATGTGATGGGAGATGCGTGCCACACCGCCTTTGTTTGGGTGCGCTCACCATATTTCTCCTCTCTCGGGCTGCTCCCTCCATTCTCCACGGTCTAGCGTGGGCAGTCATCTCTTCTTTGCCGTTACAAATTTTGCTATTAATTTTGACATATCGTTCAAACAATAACAACAACACAGCAACTGATGCTCAACTGGCCCGACATGGAACCACCTATCCACGTGAGAGACTCAGTTCAGCAGATCGATGCGGACTCATGGCTCGTCGGAAGGAAGCACGTCCTCCGCCGCGCCCAAGGTCCAGCAGAGGGACCTTGCCTCTGGGTGAACCCCAGCAACACTTCGTATTACACGCTCACCGACGCCCCAGTTCCCCAGCCTGCCACCACCCCGCTCTTCCCCGACGGACACGCCCGCCAGATCCACGACGCGGGCGACATATCCGCCGTATTCAGCTTCGCCAACGAGATCATCATCAAGATCAGGCTCGCCACCGCCTCAACCCGGCGAGAACCCGAAACCCTCGCGTTTCTCTCAAAACAGAAACTCAGCTTCGACATCCCCACCGTCCTCTCCCACGCCGAACACGCCGGCAAGACCTACCTGATCGAGCCCTTCGTCCCCGGCACGCGGCTCAACGAAGCGTGGTGGGACATGACAGAGCAGGAAAAGGAACACGTCGTCACCCGCGTCGCGCAGGTCTGCGCCGACATCAGGGTGTTCGAGTCCGACGCTTTCACTAACTCGGACGCCAACTGGATGGACCCGCTGCGGGAAACGCCCGACGATAGGGTGGGTGTCGTGCAGCAGCAGTGCGTGGCGCTGGGGATGGACTGTTCGGTGTTTGTGCTGGCGCATAACGACCTGGGGCCGACCAACATTATTGTTGATGGGGACCGGGTGGTGGTGATCGACTGGGAGATGGCCGGGTATGTGCCGTTGGAGTGGGTGCGGACCAAGTTTGCTATCTGTGGTGTCTTCGGCGTGGAACGCGTGCACAGGCAACCTGATGGCGAGTGTCCAGTGCGGGTTGAGCGGAATGGTGAGTATCCGATGCGTGTTGAGAGGGGGCTGGGGGAGATGGGGTTTCCGGAGGTCACTGCGGCGTATAAGCGGATGGATGACATGCGTGAAGTGGAATGGAAGAAAAGCCGGCCGTGGCTTCAGTGAGGGGACAGCATCAGAGGCTTCAGGGAACACACCCCCTTATACTGCCAGTGACATCCAATACTACAACCCGCCCTCGAGACCTCCGGAGAAAAAGCCTTAGTAAGTGAAGGGAAGATTCCTTCCTCGCTCCCATAGACGCAATTTAACTGAAGTTTCGCTCCAATGAAACCAACTGTGTATCATGCAATAGACAAAGTCAATGAGTGAAACAGCAGTAGATCAAAACCTCTTTTTTATATTCCAACCCCCCTCCACCATCCATGGCAGTGACTTCGGGGTATACCGCCTCGAGCCTAGTCTAGCCTTTATCTAACACACACAACGCCAACAAATACCACCACTCACTCACTCACCACCACTCACCCCTCCCCCACCACTCAAAGCGCCCCCTTCGCCAACAAATTCAACGCGCTCCCGGCCAAGATAAACTTAGCCTGGTCCTCACTCACCGCATGGCGCACCGGCACATCAAACACCTCCCCACCCCCCCCCTTCTTAGTCACCCTCAGACTAACCTCCCCGCGCCCGCCATTCCTCAGCATATCATACAACCCCACCGTCGCGACGGCATCGCCGGCGCCGATACGGTCGTAGTCGGCCGGGTCCGCAAACGTCAGCGGCACGACCCCCTGCTTCTTGAGGTTGGTCTCGTGGATGCGGGCGAAGCTCTTGCAGAGGACGATGCGGGCGCCGAGGTAGCGGGGCTGGAGCGCGGCGTGCTCGCGCGCGGAGCCCTCGCCGTAGTTGTGCTCGGCGACGACGAGCCAGGGCCGGCCGCGCTGCTTCCACTTCAGGGCGAGCCCGGGGATGGTGTGGCGCGAGCCGTCGGCGCCGTCGTCGTAGTCGTACGCCGCGTTGACCTCGCCCGTCTCCGCGTTGACCGCCGTGTTGAGCGTGTTGGCGCTGATGTTGGCCAGGTGGCCCTTGTACTTGAGCCACGGCCCTGCGGCGGAGATGGTGTCGGTCGTGCACTTGCCCGTCACCTTGACCAGCACCCGCACGTCCTCCAGGTCGGAGTCTGGGAAGGGGTCGAACGGCTCGAGCAGGGCGAGCCGCTCGGATGAGGGGGAGATGGCGACCGGGACTGACGGGTTGGGCGGCTGCGACGCGACGGCGAAGGCTTCCTTGCCTTGCTCGAAGGGGGTGAGAGGGCCCTCGAGGCCGCGCGGGGCCGGGAAGCGGAACTCGGCGCCCGAGGGGGTCGTGAGGGTGTCGGTCATGGGGTTGAAGGTGGTGGACCCTGCGTAGGCCATGGCGGTCACGATTTCGGGGGAGGCGAGGAAGTTCATGGTGTCGGGGTTGCCGTCGTTGCGTCCGCGGAAGTTGCGGTTGTACGAGGTGAGGATGGCGTTGGGGGTGCCCTTCTCCACGCCGTCGACGCGTTTCCACTGGCCGATACACGGCCCGCAGGCGTTGGAGAGGAGGATGCCACCGGCCTTGGTGAAGTTCTCGAGCGTGCCGTCTCTCTCGAGGGTTGCCCGGATTTGCTCGCTGCCGGGGGTGATGTAGAAATCCGCCTTGGGCTTGAGGCCGGCCTTCTCCGCCTCGCGAACGATGCTCTCGACGCGCGTCATGTCCTCATACGAGCTGTTGGTGCAACTGCCAATCAAACCAGCAGACAGCTTCTCGGGCCACTGCTCCTCCTGAACCGTCTTCTTGAACAGGGACAGCGGGATGGCGAGATCCGGGGTGAAGGGGCCGTTGATGTGGGGCTCAAGCTTGGAGAGGTCGATCTCGATGAGCTGGTCGTACTCTGCCCCCTCGTCGGCCTTGAACCTGAAGTGGGCGTCCTCACCGGCAGCGGCACCGGCGCCCCGGAAGTTCTGGAAGATGTTGGCATTTTTGCTGGCCTGTTCCCTCCGGGTCGACTTCAAGTACCGGCTGGAGGCTTCCGTATAGGGGAAGATGGACGTAGTAGCACCGATCTCGGCTCCCATGTTGCAGGCTGTCGCCATGCCCGTGAGGCTCAACGTGTCGACGCCGGGCCCAAAGTACTCAACGATATAGCCGGTACCACCGCGGACGGTGAGCAGCCCAGCGAGGTGGAGAATCAAATCCTTGGGGGATACCCAGTCGTTCAGCTGGCCGGTCAACTTGACACCCAGGATCTTGGGGGCCTTCAACTCCCAAGGAGCACCGACGAGCGCCTCGACAGCGTCCGCACCGCCCACACCAATGGTAATGGTAGTGAGCCCACCAGCGTTGGGAGAATGACTGTCGGTTCCGAGCATCATCAGACCAGGCAGAGCGTAGTTCTCGAGCACGGTCTGGTGGATGATGCCGGCTCCCGGGGGCCAGAAGTCGATGCCGTATTTCTTGGCGGCCGACTCGAGGAAGTCAAACACCTCCTGGTTCATCTTAATACCCGCCGACAGGTCGTCATCGGCACCGCGCTCGCCCACGATCAGGTGGTCGCAGTGGATGCTCGCGGGGATGGCGGTCTGAGGCAGGTTGCAGGACATAAACTGGAGCAGGGCCATCTGGGCGGAGGCGTCCTGCATGTTGACACGGTCAGGCCGTAGCTTGAGGTTGGCGTTGCCGCGGACGTCGCGGCCATTGTTGGTGTTCTCGGAGAGCAGTGACTCCTCGACCTTGTCCAAGTGGCTGTACAGGATCTTTTCGGCGAGCGTTAGCCGCTGTGTGCCCAGCACCCGGCGGACCTCGGAGTACTTGTTGTAGAGCCTGTCGTACGTCGGGGGTAGCAGGGGTCCGTTTGAGTATGGTCGTGTGCCTGCGACTCGGCGGAGTTGTTGTGCGTGGAAGGCCCTCTGAGAACTCTGTTAGCGACTTTTTTGTGTAACAGAGAATATTTGTTAAAGACGCACCTTCAGGGCCGCGCCTGACCGGCTGGCGAGATCAATTGACCTCATGGTTGCTATCCCCGTTGCCAAGTGCGTCACTGCTGCCGGGCTCAACGAGGGCGACGGGGAAAAAAATATCGGGTTCCGGGCATGGCAGCAAGGGTCTCAGGTCTCCGATTCCGGAACCGAAAATCTGGGGAACCGGGGAGGCGGGTCGGGTTGTGGGTGCTACTGAGCCTATCACGGCCCGAGCAATGCTAAGCAGCAATGCTCAAGTAAGTGTAAGTGTTGAAGCATAATGCCAAAAATATCAAACGAGGTTTTAACTAGTTAGAAGCCGGCGATCTGACCAAAATATCAGATTGGCGTGTAATGATAGTTCCCTGCCTTACATGAGTAAAAATATACGGGGATATTTGCAATATTAGCAAAGGTAAAAATCATATAAAGGTGCCTCCAAAACCTACAACCATGAGGATTCATCAGTCTACCTGCCATAAAACAAACACACGCCGGCCCCTTCCCACCCCGGCCGATCTAACCCATGATCAACCTCGACCTCTGTACGCCATACAACGCCTCTCAGACAATCCCCTGCCTTTTGACGCCAACAAGAAGAGCAAAGTAGTTAGCCGAGTAAGCAAATATAAACCTCGCAGCAAGAACAACGACGACTTCCCTTCCAAAACCCCTCTCACAACCGACGTGCAAGCCATCCTCAAGAAGTCCGCTGCCTCTTCAAATCCGGCCCCTTCCCCATCCCCCCACCAATCCCAATCCCACCACCACCACCGACAAGAGTATTACTCGACACATCCCCCAACGGCACCCTCCCCATCCCGCCGCCATTCACACCCACACCCACACCCACACCCACACCCACACCCGCACCCGCACCATAACTCGGTCCATCCCCCCCCGCAGGCCGCTTGACAGTCAGCGGACGGAACTGCCCACGGTTTCCCATCGGGCTAGACGAACCTGGGGCGCCGATCCGTCGCGCGTGATCCAGCTGCGGGTTGACCATGTTCCCCGTCCTCGGTCCCGCGGCGGCACCACCAGCACCAGTAGCACCGGCGGCGGCGGTAGGTGGGCCGGGACGAGCAGCAGCAGCGGCAGGCGGGCCGGGACGGGTAGCAGCAGCAGCACCGGCGGCGGCGGAAAAGCCTTGGGCATTCCCCGCGCCACCACCACCAGCACCAGTAACAGCAATTCCATTAGCATTACCGTCAACCGCTGCGTCGTCAGTCTTGATCCCGGGCACGTGCTGCCCCTGTCGTGTTAGTGGTTTGCTCGCTGAGTGGTCGACCCCTGGCGTCCGCCGGATCGAGGGGCTTTCCAGACGCGGGTTGAAGACCTGTCCCGGCTTGCGGTCAAACTCGCCCGATTTGATGGCCTTGTCGGAGACGCCCTTTATCGCGCGGGCGGATAGGAAGCCGCCGGCTTCGCCGGCTGGCGGTTCAGTGTTGACATTGGCGTGGCCGGGCTGGGGGGGTGTCATGTGGATTGGGGGGGGTTGGTTGTGGTTTTGGTTAGCGTTGTTGGGTTGGGGCTGGGGCTGGGGCGCGGGACGAGTCTGGTTGAATTGCTGCGGCGGGCGAGCGGCGCCGGGAGGGCCGCGGGCGGCTGCTCCAGGGAAGTTGTTGGGACCAGGCCTCGCGGGTTGCTGGACCGGGGTTTGTGGCGCCTGTCGCGGAGGGTTGTTGCCTGTTGAACCTGTCCTTGCTAACTGTCTGGCTGGCGGTTGCATGAGATTGTTCCCCCCATTCTTCGGTTGGTTGTGGCCCACGTTAGATACGCTGGACTGGTTCGATTTTGTCTCGTTTGAGTTTGGCAGAGCGATTTCGTCTGGGTTACCCTCGTCGGCCATGTTGAAGTCTGCCTCGTCCAACTCTGTGAAACGGTTAGTTCACACTGAGCAAGATCAACACTTATACCAGCTACTTACCCTCCAGAAAATCCTCGAAAGACTCCTCGGTCGACACTATCGTCATGATTAGCGCACGTGTCTTCTCGAAGCATACCCGGGCTTACATTGGGGTGGCAGTGGCCGCGCCGGGGCCGCCGGTTTTTCGTCCTTGGGCTCCTCGACACTCTTCACTTCCTTCTTGACCACCACGTAGTCTGGGTGCCGATACAGACGACTCTCGTCAAACTTGGGCGCTGGCGCCTTCATCTTCTTAGCGTTATCCAGAAACGCCTTGTCATAGATGCAGTTCCCGAGCATGTTGCCAAACTGTCGCATTGCTCTCTTCAGCGCGTCTGTGGTGGCCTCTTTCTTGGCCTTCTCCCAAGCCGCTCCCTTCGTCCTGGCGTTGTCACTGAATGCATACCCAACATCCTCACGGTACGTTCCGTCGCGCAGTGTGATGCGCATGGTGACAGACAGGCCGACGTTGACCTTCCCATTCCCCTTTTCCTCCTCGTAGTCTTTTTCCATGCCTACGACGGCCGAGGACCACCCGTTGAAGCCGAAGATTTCGTTGGCAAGCGTGATGCATTTGTCGCCGGGAATGTAGAGATACTTCGAATTCGGCCCCGTATTCCCTACTCGCGTTGAGAGGAACTCTGGGCCGAGCTGTTTTTTGAGTTGGCTCTGGATCCTGGCGGCTTCTTGGGGGGTGTACTCGAACAGGCGTTGCGGGGGCTCTTCGAACATGTTGGCAGCCTGCTTATGCTGGTCGCCTGGGCTGTATTACACACAGATCAGCTTCTAGATCACTAAGTGGGTAGGTAGACTCTCGCATGCGTCGACGGGTAGCGACGCGATGGAGGAGCCGGATGGTAACATACGCGGGCATTGTGACGACGGATTGTATGAGAGGTGATCTCGCACGAAACTCTACAGAGCAGTTTCGAAGGGATATGAGTAGAGATCAATTCGAGAGTGGATCTGGTCCTGTGTGAGGTGCCTGTGGGACTGCGTGCCTGACCGCGTGTTGCGGGCGCGACGCGGCGGTGGGGCACGTCCACCACAGGCTGTCACGTGAATGGTTGCCCGAGCGCCGTCACCTCCCCTCACCCCACCAAACACTGCCATCCATCAGGGACCAAGTGTGCTGGGGCTCAGGTTGCAGCTGGCGCCAGCTAACCGGCCCCAGTCAGCGACTCCGGACGTTTTGGCCTCACAACGCCTGCAAAAGCCCACGACATGTAACCCACAATCACGGTGGAATAGATTTATAGAACGCAGTATGGAATTCACGAGAGATATAGATCAGAAACCGGGTAAATATGATCTACCTAGAAAATACTGCGGGCCGGAGCAGGCCCCGCCCCCATTCCAGCGTTGATCATCGACACAAGGCGGAATAATACTCGTAAAGATATATATACCCGCGTGTCGGCGCCGGTTGAAAGCTCGGGATATCGTTTGGGTGGGTATGCTCATAAATCGGACATGTAGGGATGGAAAGGAGAGCTCAGAACCCTAGTGCCCTAGACGAAAGAAATGGCACGGAACAGTAACCCAGCGACGATTTGAGTGTTGCTGGATATCGACAACACAACGGTTCATCAACCGGGTCAAGAACCGGTAAAGAAGGTGAGCGACAAAAGCACGCATTAGCCACAAGCATGGAAAGCCAAATACCTGCAATTCCTGTATGTACCGCATCAGACAAGCCCAGAAAAAACACACTAGTCCCAAACTACCGACCACCCGACGACAACAAAACGGACCGCGACAGGGCCGTACAACCAGAGATACAAAACTAGACTTAACATCTCCGCCGACTCAATGATTCCTCCGCTGCCAAAAGCTGACGGTGCGGAGCAAACCACCAGTACATAGGAAAAGCTAACGATGGATATCAGAGGTATGAAGGAAAATATGAACGCCGTTGGCCAACCCCCCTTCCTCAAGCCCCAAAAGTCTATGCCTCCCATCCGCGATGCCCGGTGCAGAAATTAAAAGAAATAGTCGTGATGTCATCGGTGATGCCAGCGAGCGCTCAAACAGAACAATCAGACTGGCCAGTCACACTCATGATCGCCGCTTTTTACCAGGGGCCGACACGGACGGGCGAGCCGTAGTTGCCGCTGATCAGCTGGTTCAGGATCGAGTTGGGGTCGGACAGCCCGGACGCCGGGGCGGCGTTGGGGTTGTTGCCGGCCCAGGGCACCTCGGTCGCCATGGCGGCCATCGCTTGTTCCATCTTTCCGCCCGATTGCTCGTTGTGCTTGGCCAGTCTCTGGTCCCAGCCGCCCGTGTGCAGGACGAATCCTCCTCCCCTCTTTGCGGCCTCGGTGATCACAAGCGCCCATGCACCCGATATCTCGTCGTATGCATTATCCTTGTGGTGTCGATATTGTTGGCTCTCCCAGTCCGGCAGTTCGTGGATGACTTTCGTCGCAGCGTCGAGGTATTGTAATGAGATGTTGGTCTGCTGTTCGACGGGCGGGAGGAACTGGGGTGTGAAGTCGGAGATGGCATCGACAAGCGCGGCCAGAGGTTGCTTCACCCGGAAGTATGTGTAGTCGGAGCTGGATTGGCCGAAAGGGACCGCAGCCCGTAGTTTTGCCTGATAATCGCCCAGGACCTGGAGTGCCGAAGCGGCCGATGGCCGGGGCGCACCCGTGATCACCTCCCGGCCGATATCCGGATGCCGCTCGCAGATGGTCTGGAGGACTGTGCACAATTGTGTGTTGTCGAGGGTCTCGAGAAGTCGGGGTAGCGATAGCGGGCGGCCCGCCATGTCGGCGCCGCCTCGGGGTTTCTTCGCCGGCCTCGCAAGCTGTCGCGAGGATATCGCCGGCGAGCTAAGTGGCGAGAGCGACATCTCATCGCCATCGTCGTCGGCTTTCCGCTTCCTGGACGCCATATTGTATTGCGGTACTGCGAAAGGGTCAATAAATCTGACTCGGGGCTCCGGTGCTGCGGAAAATAGCCGTTTCCTGCTCCTTATCATTGTGTATCACGGGGCGGATAGCGTCCGGGAGAGGCGGAGATGGGAGTGTCAGGAGACGAGCTTACCAGGGAGCGTCGGTGGGAGCCGAGAGGTTTCGCACTGAAGGGGAAAGGTCGGGGGTTGCGGCGATAAAAGGACGCTCATTGTTCGCCCAGCGCAACGTAGCAAAGTGACTAGCCACCAACGAGCTGGCGGGACGACAAACGCCTGTTGCGATTTGCCGGATTGTCCAGCTCAGTGAGTGAAATGGGGGAGGTTGAGACGACAAGGCCTGTGGGGTGGGAAAATTGAGGAGGTGCTGCGGCGCAAAGCATCCATCCAGGCTCGGCTACCCCAGTCCAAGCAGCCAGTCAGGGTGTGATGTGTGGCCGAGAGGCAGAAGCAAGAAAGTGGAACTGCGACGAAAGTCACCGCTCGTTTTGGCCTTTGTTGTGGACGCAAGGGTTGCAAACTAACTGTGCCTGGCATTCCATTCTACAAATCTAACTACAAATGGTAATTTGGCCGCACGGCCCAACTGGCACATGCACCCGTCGCTTGCCGTGTGGACCGTTTCTTGCTCTCCACTGTGCAACGCTTGAGCGCCGCACTTCGTTTGCCCCGAGAGCGAACAGCAGTGGACTCCGCTGGTGTATTATGGAAGCAGGTTAATACAAACCTGTTCATACCCGAACCAGGGCCCTGGCACATGTGTGTAGCCGCGAGGAGTGACAACGGAGCCGTCGAAGCCGTCATAACCGTAACTAGCCAATTATCGAGCACAACTCCTCCAGGTCGCCCTGGATGCTGCCGCGTGGCAAGGGAGGCTTTGTACTTGGACGTATTGCGCACGCGAGCTGCAAACGGGCCGGCCTCGTCTCAGTGGGAGCGACGTCAGCTTGCTCGTTTGCTCGACCCCAGAAGCGAGCGTGCGTCTGATTGCGACTGATGTGAGATGCGGGAAGCTGCGCCTCTGCGTTATTACCAAAACAAAGACGAGGGTTCCAGGCCAGTCCGGTCCAGGTTTAGGATTTATCTTGATGCAATTCAGACCACCTACGCCCATAGGTGCGTACCTGCCGAGGTATTATGGCGAACTTTGCAATCGTGCCAAACCTCCATACTGTGTATACCGTCGATGTCCATGGTGAATAGGTCCACACCTGGGTAGGTATGGACGATAGATTCGCACTTACGGTCCTTCGTGGAGAGTGGAGGTAAGACTTGCGTATCAACACACATTCGTTGTTCATTATTGGTAAACCAAGCTGCCCATGTGATGCGGCATTCGATAGTATCAGTGGCTGACAGAAAACACCCGACCAAGGTGGTCTTGGGTGTGTCCAGTCCACGCACATCCATTTGGAGAAGCTGGTGGTGCACTTGGCTGGACTTGGAGTGGGTTGGGGATGCTGCCCCGCATTCCGGGCCTGGAAGGTACGCTAAAAATGGAAGCAGAGCGCTTATCGCTTATCAACCGGGAAATTTTCGAAGAAGTTCAGGGCATCTTGTTGATGGGTCTCGGGGTTGAATTGACACAGAAGCTCTCACTCGACCAACCGGATAGCTCACCCCAGATCCATCATACACAATGGCAAAGAAAGACCCAGAAGAGATCGTCTTCGAGGAGCAGCAGACCGACGCTTCCTCCAAGAAACGGAAGTCCGCCCTCGACGAAATACAAGTCGACCTTTCGCTCCCTGAGCCTCCCTCCAAAAAGGCACGCCGTGCGCTCAAGAAGGGCAAGACACTGCCCGTGAAACCGACAAGTGACGACGAGGAAGATGGCGAGGATGGCAAAGCGGACGGGGCTAAGGATAGCAAGAAGAAAAAGGAGCGCTCCCCCTACGGCGTGTGGATCGGCAACCTGCGCTTCACCGTCACCAAGCCCGAGCTTCGCAAGTGGCTCGTTGACAACTCGGGCGGCAGCATTACCGACGAATCCATCACCCGAGTGCACATGCCCATGACCAAACCCGCCCCTGGGCCGGGCCCCAAGAAGGCCCCCGAGAACCGCGGTTTCGCCTACGTCGACTTTGCCACCTTTGACGCCAACGTCGCGGCCATCGCCCTCTCCGAAACCGAATGGTACCGCCGCAAGCTTCTCATCAAGGATAGCAAGAGCTTTGAGGGGCGGCCGAAGAAGGAGGAACCCGCAGCCGTCGCAGCAGACGGGACTACGAGCAAGGGGGCTGGGTCAGACGCCAAAGCCGGTGGCCCGAGTGCCGGCGCCAGCACCAAGATCTTTGTGGGCAACATGTCGTTCAACACTACCGAAGACGACTTGCACGCGCATTTTGAAAAGTGCGGCAAGATCCGCTGGATCAAGGTGGCCACGTTCGAAGACTCGGGCAAATGCAAAGGATACGGCTGGGTCAACTTCGAGGACGCCGAGGCGGCAGCGTGGGCGGTTAAGGGGTTCGTCAAGGTCCGCGAGACAGTCGAGACGCTGGAGGATTTCATGGATGTAGACGACGAGGATGCCAAGCCAGCCGGCGGCGAGGAAGCAGAGGGCGAGACCAACGACGAGCCCAAACCGTCCAACGAAAGCAACGACGAGGGCAGCGGGGCCGACTCCGACTCCGACTCTGAAGACGAAGAAAACAAAACCCCCAAGAAGAAGCCCCAAAAACCCACCACCAAAGAACCCGCCCGCATCCGCACCCGCAAGTGGTGGGTCAACCAGCTCCTCGGCCGCAACCTCAAGATCGAGCTGGCCGAGGACGACCAGACGCGCTACCACAAGCGCTTCGGCAAGGGCGCCACCGCAGCCAGGCGGCAGCAGGAACAACAACAACAATCCGAAAACAACCCCCGACAAAGGCCCGCGGGGAGACAGGACAGCAACGGGGAGCAACAGCAACAGAACGGCGGCAAGGAACAAAAGGCCATCAAGTACCAGGCCGACGTCAGCGTCGCCCGCCTGACGGGCGCGCCGGTGGCGCACCAGGGGAAGAAGGTTACTTTCGACTGAGCTTGGTTTTGCTTGCCCGGCGAAAAAGAGAAAGGAGGGGTTGGGGGGACAAACCCAACGTGGTAGCGTATCTGCGAGACAAGTCGGGATGGTGCTGTTTGATTTGGCTGGCTGGATTCACTTGACGAGTTACCTGCCAAGGCACCTAAGGGGGTTTGTTTGTTTCTTGTTCGGTGTCAAGAGCTGCGTAGTTATACCCAACATATATGTAGGAAGATATCTACCACCGCGCGGTACTTGCTGCCTACAAAGGAGTTGCGGCCTACTTACGAATTGCTATCCATCTACGAGTTGTTCATGTCCGTTTATTGTGTAGACGTCTCCCAAGCCAAGGAATTCAACATGTAGGTTAGCATCGTCCATTTGATTGTGCCCGGGCAGGGGAACAACAGACAAAACTTAAGACTTTCAGCGTCGGCAGACACACTTCACAGTCCTCACAAAACAGCACTCCATGCAAAGCAAAGTTCAGATTTCTTATTTCCCTAACCTAGCCGAGGTAAAAACAGACATCAATCTGAGCAGTACATCCTGCGGGAAGCAGACCTGGAAGGAAATGGTAAAGGAGAGCAAAGCCGTAAATAAGACTGGCCGCGAGAGAAGTGTCGAAAAACAGAGGCTAGCGAGGAGATTCTCGCATGTCCGAGTTCAACCGGCGATAGATAGCACGTTGTTTGATAGCAACTCATGGTGCTTACCGCAGTCCGTGTCCTGGCTTTGCCCCGGTGGTCCCGTGTACTGCTTTGGAAAGCCACGACGGGAAGAGTAGAGAATCCTGAGAGAACGACTCCGGTGAAAAGCAAAACAAACCATGACCCTTTCCCCAAAATGGCAAACCCAACCAAAAGAAGCCCAATGTCCCAAATAACCCCATGTATTACCCACTTGCGAGTAGTGCGCCGTTACTTCTTCAGGGAGTGGTTGCCGCCGAAGCCGAACTCCTCGTCCGAGGCGTCAAGGATGTCGTACTCCTCGTCAGTGAGGAAAGCGTCCTCAGACCCGCCCTCGACCCACTCGCTGTCCTCGCAGTCCTCGTACTCGTCCTGAGCAGAAACCGACTCGGTCTTGGACGCCCCATGGATGCTGGCAACAGGCGACTCCTTCTCCAGCTTGGGGAAAATCATCTGGCTGTGCTCAAGCTCGACCTCCGGCTCAGGCTTGACCTCCGGCTCAGCCTCGACCTTAGGCTCAGCCTCGACAACCTCGTTGTCCTGTTGCTTCTTCCGGATGACAAACTGAGGGGTTTGGGGTTGCGGCAAAAGCATCTTGGGCTGCGGTGGAAGCACATCAGGCTGCGACACCTCGGGCTGCGGTGGAAGCACCTTGGGTTGCGGGAGAAGGACCTTGGGCTTCTCAACGACGACGTCGCACCAAAGACGGTGGCCAAAGCGATCGCCCTCCTTAGTGGTCAATCGCCAGTTCGACACGATCCTGCCGGCACGCGAAGGGGTTCTGAGGAGCACGGTGAAGGGGAACTCCTCGCCGGGCTGGATGGAGGCGTAGCAGATGGTGGATTCGCACGAGAACTCGACATCCCGGGTGGCGGCAGGGTGGTTAGAGTCGAGGTGGCCCATGTAGTCGCCGCCAACAAACTTGACGGAGCAGCCGGCCGGCCACGCAACGTTGCCGCTGTTGCGAAGGACCCAAGTCTGCTCGAAGACGTGGTCAAGGCCGAAAATGGTGCCATCCTGGACGGTATCCCGGACGAAGGTGGCCACGAGATCCTTGGGGGAGACCGGGGTTTCCTCAGTCTTCTCCTTCGCCTCCACTGGTGGTGGAGAATCGAAGGTGGTCGGTTCGTAAGGGGTCGGCTCCGGCTTGGGAGAGCATGGCCTCTTCATCTCGGTCGCCGGCGGCAGGGACGTTGGGGCGGCGGGAATGGGCAGGGTTCGGAGGCGGGGAGATGCCGAGCCCGTAGGCACGGTCCAAGTGCTTGCGGCGGGAGAACGGGCCCTAGGGCGGTCGCCCATGACCGGCATCTGTCGGCCGTTCAGGTTCTCACCGGTAGTGGTCACGCTGACATGGCGCACAGGTGACTTGAACTTGATGAGAGGGTGGGTGCGGTTGTGAGAGTTGCCAGGGCTAGCCTCGCACGACGCGCAGAAATCGGTGTCGTCGCAGACGGCACACTTGAAGCGGTCGCCCACAATGTAGGTGGAGTTGGTGCGGGCGTCGGAGCACAAGGGGCCATCGCAGCAGATGCCGACGTGAACGGGCCGGTTCATCGCACGGATGCGAACACCGCCATCGTACTGGAGGGGGTCGTAGACGGGAACGAAACGATGGCCGGGGTGGATGAAGCTAGCGTTTACCACGCAATCGGAGCAGTAATCCCAATCAGGGCAGTCCAAGCACTTGTGGCGAACGCCCTTGACGCCCTTGTCGCAGCCGTCGCAAATGGCGTTGTGGGGTTGCCCACGGCCAGCGGGGAGACGGCGGGCGACCTCGTCGTCGAACCTGGTGCCCTCGACAGCCGGGACGAAGGCATGCTTGGGGTGGTGGCCGTGGCGGTTCTTGGCGAAGCAAGACCGGCAGAGGTCGAAATCTTCACAGGATGTGCAGTGGGCGAATTCGGCCTCGGGCAACTCCTGCACGCAGCAGTTGCAGGTGCGCATGCTCGAGTACACGTTGTCGTTGAAAACCGGGATGATCCTTTCCGCAACTGATACCGGGTCCGCGGCCGGCTTGGGCTGGGTCTTCTTCGGCTTGGGCTTGGGACCCAGGCGTTCTGTCGTGCTGTTGATGATGACTCCGCTCTTGACAAAGCGCTTGATGAGCCAGTGGTTGGCTCCCTTGCATGTGACACCCTGGTTGACACAAGTCTGGCAGAGGTCAAAATCGCCGTCGTCGCAGGTGGAGCAATGGTAGTGAGCGTCCGGAATGGTATTGTCGCAGCTGTTGCAACACACGGCGAAGTTGGTATGGATTGCCGGGCATTCCACATTGCAGGGCGGTGTTGGGGGCGAGGTGGTATCGGGCTGCACCGGTGATGGGTCCTCCTTAGGCGCCGGCGCTGTCGCAGAGGTGAAACTGCTCATGTCCGCGTACACTACCGGCACCAGAGGCTTGGTGTCGCCAAATTTGAAGTCGGTGATGGCGGCAATAGCGCGGAGAGCATCCGACTTGGCCTGCTGCTTGGCCTCACATTCGGGATCGGTGGATCCGGCGCTTGGGTGGCTTTCCTCTTCCTCCGGTTCGTCGGCGACCGACGCCGGCTTGGGGCCCTGCTCCTCCTCAGGCAAGTTCCGTTTGACTGTGACGCGGAGCTTGAGCTTATGCTTAGCCTTGGCAGCGCGGTATAGCTGCTTATAAACGGCTACGTTGGTCTGGTCGAGCACGACGTAAGCAGAGCCGGAGTCGGAGTAGCGCTCAAAGACGGCCTCGGTGTCGTCGGGCAGATTCAGTGCATTTCGCAACTGCAGAGCGGCTCGTCAGCGTTGATTCTCCAATAAAATGCCATGCAGCCGGCCGAAACCGAAAGCTGAAGCTGAACTTACCTTGGACTCGAGCACATCTATGCCGACGTCACGAAGTGCGAGCTTGAACCGGCGGGGATGACCGTCGAGGCTCAGCTTGACAGTGATCGGCGTGTCGGGGTCGGCTTGCGCAGCGGACGCCATCTTGAATGAGCGGCGACTACAGAAATGGCACGAACCATTCGGTCAGTAACTAATGATGAATGCAGAGGGTATTTTGATGGATGCGAGTGCGGCTGTTGCTGGGCTCATGACGACGGGACGTGCGGAGACGGCCCGGCGCGTGGGACAGAAAACCAATGGGGTTGGTGCTGCAGAGGGACGGAACTCACCCAAACGCTGCTTCTCAAGCGATGCGAAATCTTTCGCTGCTCTCTCGTCGAGATGCAAGCAGGGAAGTTGTATCCTCGTAGTATGTGCACGCGATGGATGAGGCTGCGTTGAATAAAGTCGGGGGGCGTGTGCGTTTTGCAAGAAGGAAAGAGAAGGAGGTCAGGTTGGCAGGAGCTTTCAGGTGAGGAGATAAGTGGTCGGAGCTTTCTGCATTTGAGGGGGTAGGGTACGTAACATGAACAACGGCACAGGCCTGAGGGCAATCGGATAGGTGACGGGAGTTCGCGGCTGCTGCAGGTGCAGGGGAGGTGGGTATGATGTACTTAAATGTGGTAGGACGAGTTGCCCAGGCAGACAGGCGACTCGCATTTGACGGGAGGCGAATGAATGGAATGGCTCAAGCGGCGAGCTGGCGGTGAATGAATGGGAGCGTGGGAGCGAACAGCCGGGGGTCGATGCTACCTTGGTGGCGTTATGGTGTTAAGGCCGGGCCAGGGCCCCGGGTGCGCGTCAGGCGGCCGAACCTGCTAACACGGCTTTGGTCTCTCCCCTCTTCCGGCGAGTTGCCCCACCATGTGCGCCTGGCCAGGTCTGGCCAATCCGATGCCGTCGCATCCATGGGACGACTTCAAGCCGTCATCTCCAGCCCACCTGGCCTTTGCCCGCACGCGCCCAAGCCGCCCTGCTGCCACCCAAGCGTCGGGTGCCTGGCACAGTCGCCGCCGTCACAGAACTGAATGGGGTAATTGTCAGCGAGCGGCAGCCAGACGGGAGCGGAATTTTCTGGGTTGTTCAGTTCACAGTTGACGCTGCGATTGATTGATTTTACTGCCTGGGTTGTACGGGATACCTTGCTTGTTTTTAAGGTTCACTAGGCGTTCTCATTCTTTTGCTGCAACATTACGAATACCTGTCTCTCTGTCTCTCTCGGGGTGCTTTTCTCCAAAAACATCCACGGATGGCGCCCGGGCATGAATGCACCTGTGAGCGGATGTTTGCTCCGCAGTGGAGTTACGATACCAAAGCGCTGTTAGCGCGTGGGGCCAAACGTGACGTGGGGCAGCTGGCGAGGCCCGCCTCGAGATCTGGGGCCAAGCGGAAAAGACCCATGCAGGCTGTCAAGCTCTCCAAGATTTGCCCCACCAAAGCCCACTTTCCTCGCCGCTCTTGCATTGATCAGCAACGAAAGCAGCAATCGGGGCGCGCCGGGTCGGTCTCACACTCGGGCTGAGGGGAAAGACGGCAGGATTACGTCGCTGTCTCGACCGACCGACGTCAACAGTTTGACTCGAGTCCCGAGGCTGGCGTTTCCATGGCGTAGCTGGAACACCCCGCAAGTCCAACCGCAAGGTTTATCGCAGCGTCCGGGTCGGCGGTCGGCGCTTGTAAAAGGCGAAGCGGCGAGCAGCACGACAGCCGACACTACATAACTATCTGAATCGTCCTGTGTAGTTCCAAGGTTAATGATTCAGAGTTTGGGCGTTGCTGCGGCCATCCGATCGTCAAGGGTCGGAGACCGGGCGGATTGCTCTCGGAGGAAAGCGCATGTTGCGTGCGAGCGTGCCTAGGTGCGGGACGGATGGCCCGATTGAGACGGATGGGGAAGGTCCTGCAGTGCATAATTGCTGCATTCGCGACCACCCGTGAAGTTGGGGCAGCATCGCATCGGGCCTGGACATACAAATTATTTCAATGTTAATAATTCAAGTTCTCTGCACTACCGGCGAAATCAGATGACTGCGCTTGGTATCGGGAAGAAACGGGTCAGAGAGAGTCTAGAAGGTTGCATCCCAACGAACGGTGGGTGGGATCGATCGCATCGTGTTTTAGATGACGGAGGAAGCACACGCAACTAAGTTCAGCCCCCGTTCTACAGCCTACCCGTGGCGCCCTGTCGTGCACCCTGTCCGCGTCACTCAGGGCTCACTTTTGGTGTGCTCTTTGACGCCGCCTTTCTGCCCAATCGAGGTGCTGACGGCCGGTACTCAGTGTATGTATGTACCTACTGCGTGATACAGAATACTCTCGGGTCGCCGGGCTGAACGTACTGGGTAGGACAGCATTCTAGCTCGAACGGATGAAACGGTTTTCCCGACCTTCGTTGAATATCAGTACTTTTTTCTGCATTTTTCTGCATATCCTCATTTGGAGGATGTCACCCCGCAGATAAGCAGTCTTTAGTCTGTTGGGCTGCGAAATGGAGAGCCCAAAGAACCTCAACACGGCTACGAAGTACAGACTCGCCATATGGTGAGACATAGCCCGATAGCCAAAACGCTTATTACATACCATATATCTAGTATACACAATTACTGTTCAATACTAGCGCTGCTAGGCAGGTAGGAAGTCAACAACACCAACAACACATCACGAGAATTGATTACATCACCAAGCCGTAACCCAGGCGCCCCCCGCCAGCCCACGACACCCTCACGAGTCAATGATAGCCTCCAACGCCTCAGCCAGCGCCGTCTCATCATACCTCACCTCGGGCCTCCTCTCGGCGCCCCCGCCAAGGACGACCTTCCCAGCCACGCTGACGCACTCGATGCCCAACCGACTCAGCTCCTCCACGTCCACCACCGGCCCACCCGCCGGCCCACCCGCCGGCAGGCCCCGATCATCCTCCAGATAGACCAGGTGGCTGACATAGTCCCGCAGCACCTCGTCCCGGCCCACCAGCTCGGGCCGGCGGCTCTCGACGCACGCCCGCGCGATCGCCGCCACGAAGTCCCGCGCCGTCATCGGGTCCGCCGCGGGGCCCGTCTCCCGGTCCAGCTTGCCGTTCAGGATGAGCACCTTCCGGCGGATGGTCGTCGTCGTTTCCTGGGTGCCGAGGGCCTGCCCGACGCGGCGCAGCACCAGGCTGGGGATGATGCTGGTGTAGAGGCTGCCGATGCTGTAGACGACCGTGTCGGAGGCGGCGAGGGCGTCGACGACTTTTGGGTTGGCCGTCGGCGCGATCTCGTGCCCGTACGGGTTGATGTACCACATCCGCTCGATGCGCGCCGGCAGGTCCTCCTCGTCCTCCTTGGAGAAGGCGATGTTGGGCCGCCGCAGTGCTGGCAGCGACCCCGGCAGGTTGGCGTCCTCGATCCGGTCGTGGTCCGCCGCTGTTAGTGCCGGCGCTACTTGCATGTCGTCGGGGAGCGCGGTTGGTGCTGACGGGTGGCTGATGGCTACCTGCCCCGCGATGGTGCTGCCGTCCCGCAGTCCGGCCGAGATGTGGTGGGTGAAGTTGGAGTTGATGGCGGGGAGCACCGAGACGGAGGGCGGGATGGAGCAGATCATGGAGAGGAGGTAGATTGCGGACTCGAAGGAGCCGGTGAAGATGCGGGCGCTGGAGGGAGGTAAGTTAGCGAGGTACAGTACCCGGTGTGTTCAGATGAGAGAGAGAGAGGAGAGCGGCTTGGGAGGGTTGTGATAACGTACCCGGCTAGGAACATGTTGCCCACGCTGGCGCTGGCAAAGTCGAATACGTTTGGCGGCCGAGCTCTCTTGACGATCTCTAGATTGAGGGTGTTCAAAACCGAGCGGATGAGCTCCCGCTTCGGACTCGAGATGAAACCCCAAAGCAGCGACCGCGACTCGACAATGTCCAACCATTCTGACCGAGCCCTCAGAGGGTCAGCGTCCAGGCGGTGCTCAAAGAACAGCTTGAGCGCCGACATCTCCTTGTCGTCTTCATGGTTGGGAATAAGCCGGACTAGGCGACCTAGAATAGGGGTTAGATCCCCCCCTTTCATTCTACAACCGCTCCCAACTCAGGACTCACTCCGGATATCACCAACACCTGCACAACCGTGTTAGCCAGCCACCCAGCCCGACCTTCTCACCACCATCTCTAGCTCTCATGCACTTACTCGGCCCACCGACAAATCTAATCAGCTCTGACGAACTACCGCCGTTGTCGCTGATGGGGATGACGTAATTCAACTGGCACCGTCGCTTTTCCACAATCTTATTGAACACATCCACTAAGCTATTCGCCGCCGTGCCTTGAAAAGTGATGCGTCAGTTATTACTCGTACTTCCGGGATTCCCTGCTGACAACTCGCACAAACCTCCTGAGAAGACGGTAATCCCTAACCGTTTACACCCATTATTGCCGTTGGTGGCGTCAACGATCAACGGGGCCATTGAGGGGGCGGTTGTCTCGTAAGCGGTGTAAGGATATTATTATTGGGGTGACGAGAGGTGATGGGGGGTGATGGTGTTGATGTTGGCGGCCGGAGAAGGAATGTTGTGTTATCTGACCGACTGTTACATGTGCCCCTGAATGATAAGCTCACCATTACACGACGGGGTCAGCCAAGGCATTTATAGCGTTACCATAAAACCAATTCAGGAAGCTCCGCCCGCTGCCACAACACCGCCAAAAGGCATGAACTTCCCAGCCAAAGCAAGCACTCACTCACTTACTCAACGTGTCAACATCGTATTTCCACCTCACCAAAATATGATGAAACAAGCTTCAGGACAGATTTCCCAATCCCCCATAGAACGTAGCACATGGTCGTCGTCATCGGCAGATCTGCGGAAATTGTCCAATTCCTTGATCATCGTCACGAGGGATACCGAAATGAGGCTATGTTCGGACATTGTCTCCGGAAAGCCAGATGTGTAAAATTAAACAAAAAAAAACAAAAAGAAAAAAAGAATATACATCACTTTTGATATCCCATCAAACAAGCACCAAACCAAGCCAAGCGAAGCAGCCAGCGAGGGAGAAAAGCAGCCAGAAAAGCAACGCCGCCTATGATTTGAATCATCAAAGCCTAGCCCTGACTAGTTAACGTATCTGAGAACCTCCACGGGCCAGCGCCCTTCCTGCCAAACACTGTACTATACCACCTTCCAAAGCCTAGTGCTATGCATGAAGCAACCCAGAACGACACAGTTGACATGACAAAGGGAACGGACATGAACTTTGATGCGTCGAGTCCAACTCCATCAGCGCCATGCGAAGGAAAAAGAGAGAGAAAAAACGAAGAGGACAAAAGTGACGCGACTACAGTGCCATGGAGAAAGGGCAAAAAGCCACCACCTAGGGAGACAGGCGACACCACAAAGCCAATTCCCCCACAGCAGCAAAAACAGCGGCAAGCAATTCGAAAGACAGAACAAAACAAGGGAGAGAATCATCATAGTAGAAGCCGTGTCGTGAGACACGTCCATGCCCACACCCCCCCTCGAAGAAAAAAAAAACAATACCCTTGAACCCACTTCCTCGCTCCACCCAAACCTCACAGTAAACTCGCTACGATCATCAACGATTGCCCCAAACCCCGCAAAAAAGGAGTGTGTGTGCCAGATAACTTTCCTCCTCCCCCTTCACCAGACTCTGTAATATCATCATCACCTCCACCCGCAAAAGAGAACGGATATAGCAAAGTTGTCCGCATGGTGCCAACCGAACACCCGACAGCAAGGCCGAGGGTTATAACAATGACCCGATGCCGGGATGAGTTGGAGAGGTGAAGACGCTGGCTCGTCCCACCTCTCGAATGTTGGATTAAAGATAGAGCGGATACTGGCTGATTCTTTTTCATCTTTCCTAACAGTGTCCAGTAGTAGTAGGTGTGTGAATAGGTAGGCAGGGAGTCGTCCATGACAAAGCAAGGCTCTTTGGATGATCGGAATCATTCGACAGTCCCCAAAGCTCGTAATATCCACACCCATCCTCTTCCTCCTCGTCCTCCTCGTCCTCCTCCCTTCTCTTCCCTTCTCAATCCTCACTCTTTGCCACCTCTTTCCTCCGGCCTCGACGGGGCCACCCCACTCCCGACCAAATATCCCACCTTTTCGTCAGAGCTTGCCCACTCCGGCGGCGTGGGTAGCGGCGGGGGGCGTAGGGCAAAGGGAACGCCTGCCGGTACAAACTTGCCTACAAGTCCGGCGTCCTACTGGGGATAATAGGTCATCGGCTGCTGGTAGTAGAATGTGTCTGGGCTGGGCGCCATCATGGGGGCGGGCGCCATGCCCACCATGCCAGGGCCTGCGGTATAGGGCTGGGACCCGCCGGGGAAGGAGGGCGGGTATCCCGACATCGGGGGACCCTGTGGGTAATATTCATAGTAGACCGTGCCTTGCGACTCCCGCGCGTCCACCATATTTTGCTGCTGTTGGGGTGTGCCTTGCCCGGCAGGCTGGGCGGGGGGCATCTCGCCCTGACCGGGTTGTGTGTACGGAACCGCTTGAGCTTGCTGTTGCGTCGCCCCTGGTACAAAGGTGGGGGCGGCTGCGTTGGGGCCCATGTTCGCGTTGAACGTCTGGGGATAATAGTAACCTTGCTGCGGCTGCATTGGCGCATATGGCTGGTTGTAGAAGCCGGGTTGGGCATAGGTGTTAGGCTGGAAGGGAGCGGCGTGAACTGCGCGCTCGGGAATTTGAGACAGGGGCGTAGACGACGAGAATTGGGACTGATACGAAGGGTGACGGGCGTGGGAATCTTGATGATAACCGTTGGGCAGCTGCGGCGGGACCTGCTGATGGAAGGCTTGTTGATAAGGGCCCGGCGCGTTTGTGGCCTGCTGAACGGGCGACTCGATGTTCTCGAGGGAGACGGCTTTCTGCGGCCGCGGTTGGTGCATTGGGATGGTGTTTGGTCGGCTCTCCTGAAACGTGGGTTTCAGGGGAAGAGGGTGTGTTTGGGGCTGGGGTAGTTCGTTGATGGACGCCTCAGGGGCCTTTTGGTAAACATCCGGCCTAGGAGGCATAGGCATTGTAGGCACCGGCGGTTGAGCGAAAGGGGGCAACCGGACGACGGGCCTCGTGGTGTCGGCCGGGAGGGGGGGTCGTGAGATGGTGGACCCCGTCGGCGAGAGCATGAATTCTCGGCCAATATCAGGAGCAATCGACGACCGGCGACTGAGGGCGATGCTGGGAGAGTACATGCTTCCCCCATACGCGCTTCCGCCCCAAACACTCGTCGCACGGGAAAATACGCCCGACCCCAGGACAGAGCGCGGGTTCTTACCCCGCGTCCGTTGCTGGTTCGGCCGCATGGCCCGTGGGATGAAGATAAACGACCTGTCACTCGCCGGGAAAATGTAACGCGGCATAACGGGCGGGTCATGGTACGGGATGGAAATCCGAACAGGCTTGTCGCGGCGGAGAGGGGGGCGGTGATCCGGGAGCTTGGTGTATTGCTTCAAGGCAACGCCTGGGAAGAGCTTGGGAGGACCGAGGGACGGGATAGACACCCTGATAGTCGTGTTGCCGATGTGCTTTTCGGTCGACATGGCCCTGTTGATTGCCATCTTGCTGGTCGGTGCGGTTGGGATGATGCCGTTACCGTTCGGGGGCCCTTCGCTGTTGGGGAGATAACGGCTCTGCCGAGGGGGTTGAGGGGCGGCGACCACTTCGTGCATGTCGTGTTTCCACAGCCCATTGGTGACGGGGTCCGGAACGTTATGTACCTGACTGGAAGGAGCGGTCAGCATCAGTGGCAGCGAAGGCATCCCAAGGCGACGGAAGGACGGCTCGACATACCTGATAGGAGCGAAGTGATTCCCAAACGCCCCTCGCCCGCGACCACGGGCTCCCCTGGGGAAGGGGCGGAAGCCATTCGCAGCGGGGCCAGCATGCCGGTGGTCATGCAGGAAGAAGGCGCCCCGGTTGGGGACGAAGGCTGGATCTTCATCCCTCTTCCGCCTGTACTCCTCGTGTTCCCGCCGTTTTATTTCCTGTTGCGGCAGCCGGGGTCGTTGCTGGGCAGCAGCGCTTGAGCTTACGACAATCGGTGCGGCGTCCTTAGCATGCGGTGCATGTTTTATGTCGTCAAAGTGCATTTCTTCTACCCTATTTTCCTTATCGGTAAGGGACAGTTTGCTGAGCATGGATTCGGCATCGGCTATTATGGGTATGACCGGTTTTGCGGCTGGACTCTTGGGCGGCTCAGAGCCGGTCCGGCGGCGAAACCCAGCCTTCGCGTTGCCGTTGCCGAGGGGTTTCCGTGCGCTGGGCAACGTTGGTGAGGCATCGTCGATGTTACTCGTGTCGCTGTCGTCGGCGGGGTCGTGTTCGTCGCTCGCGATCGAGCCATCCGTCACCGAATCATCATCAAGGTCGACCAGTGATTCGGGGCCGCCTTCGTCCTCGGCCTCGTCCTCAATACGGCGGCGCTGGCCGATAATCTTCCTGCGCCGTGTGCTCGCTGCGACCATTGTGTGGAAGCGGGTCCCGAGCTCGGCGATGAGTCGGTAGGGAAGGGGAGGGTGGCACCTAGGTGGGCGCGATGGTGCGGGGAGCTACGATGACGTTGAGGCAGCTCGATCTTATGTGTCGTGGGTAGAGCAAGTCGGACCTCTGCGGGTTGGTCTCTCTTATCTGTCCCGGAGTGAAACTTGGAGATATATCTAGGTAGATAGGGCCGAACCGTCCTGCGGTTGCAGAATCAACCGGAAGTGGAAAGCCGCGGAGGCAGTGCAGGTCAGGATTCGAGGAAAGAGCTCACGGGCCCAAGGCGAGCCGAGAAGGATACTGTCGGGACTGTGTAGGCGCGATCGAAGAGGGGAGCAGAGGCGCAAAGTGCAGCTCAAATTTGGACAGGAGACCCTGGGTCGGGGCTGCCAGGTAGCGCAAGTTTAACCAAGTGCCAGGCAGGGCTGTCCAAGTCAGAGAGAGCGACCGTGCTCCCAGCGAAGGAATGGGAGTGGTCAAAGAGCAGAACGGAGCAGCCAGAGGCGAAGTTGCTCCTCTAGTGCTTTCCAAAAGAACGGATGTTTGAAGAGACGCGAATTGGTGAGCCGTGGCTCGGACTGGGCCTTTGAAGCAACAAGGCTGCGCGACGGATGGCGTTGTCTTTTTTTTAGACTGCTCCTCACGGAATGGAGTTGAATTGAGCCTGGAAGCAGAGGGTGGCTCGGGCTGACTGCTACGGTAAAGTGGCATGGTAAGAATAGTGTCTGACCTCTTCCGGTTAGTGCATCCTGGTGGTCTTGACCAATGCGGGTTGGTTCAGCAGGCAGGCACCCGATGGGCAAGAAAAGCCAAACTCCAAATGCAGATGTCGACCATGGAAACCTTGAGCCGTCAACTGTTGGAACGAAACGAAAGTTATCATGAAACCCAAAGAAACTGTATTTTACTCCATTTACTTTTCTTCTTTTACCCCGTTTCTTTTATTTGTTTTTTTGGTCGATTTCTTGTTATTGGTTCTTTTTACTTGATTCCTTTCTTTCCTTTCGAGTTCGGCTTTTTTTGGCCAGAGGCTGGCAGGGCACTCCCATCCTCAGCGCTTGCGAGTCACTCCGCTTCCCTGCTTCACTCAACCACCACCCATCATCGACACAATCAGATCCGGGGTCGCCACAGTTTCCTTCTGCATTCAGGCAGCGATTACCTTTTGCATTTAATATTTTAGTTATACATGTGTAACAGGCGCAACCAACAGAACGTCGTGCCGGTCATATGCCGAATTTCTCGCCTGCCACGCTTCCCGCCGCCAGAGGAACGGAACTGGAGCGGGAGCGCGATGATGCACAGAGAGGCCTTGGCTGCCTAGAGGAGCAAACCGAAACCCGATTGCACCTTTTCCGGAACATTTTGTCGCGTACAGGACCGTGTCAATCCCGTGTAGATTAATGACAAGTTTGAATGAGCTTGACCAATCGTGAGAGCCCCCTCAAATGCGGGCGCCACCTCCATAATGATGAGACGATGGCGTTGGTTTGCATGGAGCACGTCTTCTTGAGTCACCCTCCAAAAAGCCCGGGGCTACCGGGAGCGCAGACCAAGCTTCGAAGGCGGCCTCCACCATAGAAGGAGCTGGTTCTAAGCTCATACTAGTTCCAGACAGGACGCAGAGCTTCGGACGACAGCATGACGAAAGCGCCCCGTGGCGGACTCCCGTCTCGAACCCTCGGTGTGGAGGGCACCCGCCGGGTCCGCATTGCAACGACGACACCCCCCCTACGAGTTCCTAGCACGTCCAAGACGTCACAGCTTCAAAGGATGCCAGATAAGGGAAGGCTCCGAGGATTGTTGCCTCCTATCTCGGGGGGTGACGAAGTCCCAGCTGTAGTCTCAGCTTCTCGGGGTATGTCATCTTTGATTGGTGTTCCGCGTTCAAGCCTCGGCCGTCTCGTTTCTGTTGTGTTCCCAAGGGGCGCAAAAGCAGACACTCAAACCTTGTTCCGGAAAGCTTGCGCCAAGTTAGTACGTGATACATAAATACGGTTCTTGATATCTACAGGCCAAAGCTTAAATTCTTGGCCGTAAACTTGCTTCGCCTGGTTTCACTTACCAGAAGAGCTCGAGTTACACGGTAGACTAAATGTGGAACTAAAACTGCTGAGATCCCAGCTCCCGTCAATAACTTATCAGTTCCCAAACCGCCTTCTATTCTCACTTACGCCTCACCTCCAAACCCCGTGCCACTTCAATCGTTTATTGTTATTGACTCCCCAACAAGAAGAATCAACAACCCCCACTTAGTTCAACAGCAATGAGAAAGCTTATCCCCTCACAAGTGGGGATGAAATAAACCCCGCCTCGAGCCCGCAGTGCCCATGAACCGCTCTCCACCCCACCCCCAGTCAACAAAACCAGCACACCATACTGTGTAAACCCTCACTCCACAAGCTCGAAATATCCACAAACACACTTCACGGCAAGGTGGCCGAGCGGTCTAAGGCGCCAGGTTCAGGCCCACCTGAATTCATAGATCCCACAAGATTTCCTGGTCTCAGTAATGGGGCGTGAGTTCGAATCTCACCCTTGTCATGATAACTACCTATCTATTCAGTGGAATAAATCCATCTTTTTGTGCTGCCCGGCTTCTATTCTTTTTAGTAGTTGGAAACCTCTACCGTAGATAGACCGACACTGGAGGGCGTGGGACGGAAGAAACAGAAGCTTATCTGGGTTGGTATTTCTTCTTGTTCACAAGGGACTAGCACAACAAAATAAAAAACAGGAAACCTCAACATCAAACCCAGCGAGTAAACACGAGTTACCAACCAACCCCTTCAAGTGCCTAGGTAAATACTGCCATACCTCTACAATGCCCCCCCCCAAAACAAAGATCAGGGGGGAAAACACCCCTTACTCATTCCCTCTCCTGAAACACTATCGTAGAGACGTCCCCATAGCCCTTCTTGACCCCCATCTTCTTGCGCTCCTCTGGCGTCAAAGGTTGCAGGTCATACTTGACAGGGCGCTCGAATGGTTCGATCTTGCGGACAGCACCGAAGCGGTTGTTGCCCTGGTCCCAAATCTGCAGCATAATCACCTAGTCAGCCATCACAAGCTCCCGTGGGTACGAATCACTCTGCCCGCCCAAACTTACCGCGTAGATCGACCGGAGAAAGGTGTGGCCGAGAATGTCGAAGGGGTTCTCGCCGCGGGACTGCACGCCGCCGTAGAAGAATGTCTTGTTGGCCGGGGCGAAGATCAAGTCCTCCTTCTGGATACCAAACTCCTTCTCGCCGACGGCGATGCTGAAGTCGGGGAGTTCGTCAACCGGGATGCTTTGGGGGATGGTCCAGCCCTGGTACTCCTCGTTGTACTCGGCGCCCGGGATTCTGGAGTAGAGGGCGCTGCAGACATCGTCCGAGACGAGGGCGAGGGTGGTGCCCGTGTCGCCGATGGCCTTGTTGCCCTCCATCGAGATTTGCTCGCCGTTGACGCTGGCGTGCTCGCTGGAGAACATCCAGAAGCCCGCCGACTTGTCAATGCCGGTCCAGGCAATCTCCTCGCCAGATGACTTGACAAGCTCCTCGTCGATCCAGCCGAAGGTGAAGAAGGACCGCCGGTCCTCGGCTCGGTTGCTGTACATGGCCGACGTGAACAGCTCTGCCTCTGTGGGAATGTCTTCCTGGACGATCATGTTGTCGACGGGGGTGAGCTGGGGATCCGGCTCGCCGTTCAACTGGACCGTGTTGATATTGTAGAACGCGAGGCCGAGGATGCCATCCATGGTGCCCTCGCTAAACTGCGCCGACATCTCGTTCGCGATCTCGATAGCTTGCCGCTTAATGATGATGCCGCCTAGCACCAGAACATCGGTACCGACGGTGCCCGAGGCCGAGCTGCCATCGCCGTACTGGACCTTCCAGGTCTTTCCCTCGGCAAGCTCGAATGACGACGACTTCTTGTGATCAAACTTCTTGTGGCTAACCTGGGTCACATCATTTTCAGCGTTGGGGCGTGTCATATGTCTCGGGGGAGCATACCCAAAGGTCGGCAGAGCCGGTGTCAAAATCCAACATGACCTTCTGCACCTCACGGCCAACGCCGGTGCCAATCGTGACCTCACAAAGATATTCGGCATCATTCTGTTGGTCCTCGGCAGTGACTTCCCCGGCCTCTTTCTCATCCTTGACTCTCTTGAAGAGGCCGCACCATATATGGCCTGGCCTGACTCCCGGCGCAGCGCTGGGTGGGGCGTCGTCGGATTTGATGAACTTCTGGTAGTAAGGACCAGGCTGTGTGGGTTGGAAACCGAACCGGTTCAGCACCGAGACATAGGATTTGGTGCCGTGGCGTTTGTAGTTGCTGTTTGGGATCGCCTTGACTTTGTGGAGAGCCATCCTCTTCCGCAATTCGGCATGGGTCTGGTAGAGCGCTTCCTCCATCCTGAGGAGTGGGATTGCTTGTGGCGGTAAAGGAGTTGGGCGAAGCGGCAAGCTGAGTGTGTCAAGAGAGATCCGAAACTAGTAGGTCCAGGGAAAGTTGCCGAGTGTTTTATGCAAAAGGAGAGAAACGAGCTGAGTGAGTCTGGAGCGAGGGCGGCCGATTTAACCCCGGCGGAAATGAGAAGAATTTAGGAAGGTAAGTAAGGGAATATTGATTGGATCAGGAGATTCATGGGTGTAACCATGGCCCATGGAAAGGGCGAGTGAACGGTTGCTGGGTGGGAATTATCGTGGCACACTTGGAAAGTGTGGTAGAGTACCGGCTAGGGGTGTGAAGGACAAAAAGGTGAAGGCGTGCTTATTCGGACCTTCTCTCGTAGGGGTAACCAAGGCAACCTAGCAAGCGGGTAACCATGGAACATATAACTTAGACCCCGGGACACATTGGGAAGGTACCTTGGACATGGCTGGCGTGGTGTATCCCCATATCACTCTTCCCCTACGGCACTGGTTGGTTTAAGTACTACCTCAACTTACCGAGGCCGTGAGAGGGCTGATTGAGTGTTCGCTGGCGGACACCTTGTGGCCATGTTGAAAACCCGAACCGTGTTTCATGGGCAGGGTAAAAGGTAGGCGAGATATGGATTTTGATGGGCCTTCACGACAATGGCGGTTGATCCAGTTTGACTTTCCCAAAGAAGAACCCCCTCACCCCATTGCTCAACCAGCACTCTTCACCATCAACGAGGGAGCCCGCTAAAATGGTGTCTTCAACGGCAATTGCCCTGACCTGTGTTAGGGACGACTTGCCAATAGGCATGAAGAAGCGATAGGATGTTGACAAACCTCTCTAGCGCCCATCTCCTTGTTGTACCGCTTTGACCACCACTTCCATCCTTCAAGCTGTACTCCTTGCTCACGGCTGGTGTTGCCCACCTTCCATCCCTCCAGAAGTAGGGCGTCGTCATGGAGCCTTCCATGACGGCACCATCAGCTTCATTGATAATGAGAACTTCTTTCTTGTCGGGGAGGTTGATCTGTGCCCGCTGCCGTGCCCCGTCATAAGCCACTCGCTTGGTTGTCTTAAAGTGAGTGTGCTCGGAGCGAGTCGTGATCGGAGTATCGACCAAAATTTCATAGCCCGTGAGCTTGGATGGCATGGTTTGATCTGTGTCTTTATGCTCTGTCCCTTCTGGGGGAGGGAGGTTTTCCGGGAAGAGGTTTGCAAGGGTCGTTTCCGGGACCGGGCCGGTGGTTATGGATAGCTCGCCATCCCTCGCAATGGCTATCTTTACTCTCAATGCAGACTGTTGATTCCCCCCGATGTTGCTTTCGGCAAGTTCTACTAATTGTTTCAGGCCGGCATCCCCTTCGAGAACCTTCACAGCGGCATTCCAGCCCCAATGGGTGGCTGCTCGGAGCATGCGATCCCTGTGATAGTCGAGCATGTAAAGGGGAGACGGATTAGCCCAGTTCCAGCCAGCGTAGTTGAGCTTGCTGGCCGAAACTTGCAGCAGGGCTGGGTCATAGCGGAGGGAAGTGAAGAGTTGGAAATCGTCATCCATTGTCAATGCTAGCCGAAATCTGAACCTTCGGGTGGTCGGTGGAGAGAACTGGTAAGTGATGTGGTCCTATTGAGATGGTCGTGTGAAGGAGGGGTTGGCGATTTATGTGTAGATCTGTATGTAGGTAGTTTGTATTTCGTAAGTAGGTAGTTGATTTTCAAACCTTGCTTAAGGTAACCTGCGGATAGTCGAGTTCACTCAAGCGTCGGAATACTAATTTAGGTACGAAGTTATTTGGTTAGCTTCATGGCATGGGGTTACCCCTCGCCCAGCCGTCCTTGGCCTGGGCCTTATCAACATGTTTCATCCGGGATTTTGTGAAGTGACGAGGGTACGAAGTCCAGCTGGGGTCACAGGCTTGTGCCAAGCGAGACAGGCACGACAGGGCCTGGGTAGGCGGGCAGTTCGGAAAAACAGTGTCACGGTCCACCTCCTGCAGCGAGGGGACGACGTAATTGGGCGGGCCCGATCTTGCACCGATTTTTTTTGGTTCCAAGCTTCGGCCGAGGACGCCCGCCAGGCGAGTCCAGCTTTCCGTGGTGCGCACCTGCATCATCATTGTTGAATTGGTAACAAAACATCGCGGTCACTTGACGGCATTTACTCTCCATTCCGACTGCCCTAGACATCAAACGTCGTGGGATTCCTCTTTTGTCCTTGACCTTCAATTCCAAATTTCCATCTTTCGCGGCCCAACTTAATCATGGCTACCATCCCCCCCCCGACAAGCCCCATGGGGACCCCTTCGGCACCAATACCAGCCGATTCGTCACTGTGGGATCGCATCTCGACATGGGTCTCGGAGCACAAGGCCGTGGTCTACACTATTGCCGGTGTCGCCGTTGTCGTCACAACTGCCGGCGCTGTCTACTATGTCACCAGCGGGCCTAGCGAGGTGAGCTTCTTGCCCCCCCGTCGCCGAGCTACGGAAACGCTGCCGAGTCCAGCACCCCCTCCCCCACCCATGCTAATAATTGGCCCCGTCGACAGGAATCAACACCCAAGCTCAGCAAGAAGGAGAGGCGGAAACGGAAGCAGGCCGAGAGGGATGCCGAAGCCAGGTCCACGTCCGCAAAGGACGCCGTGTCTCCAGCTGCCGCGGGCAAGGCTGCTTCTGTCGAATCTGCGGACGAACTACCCGAGATCGACGAGGCCTTTGTCCAGGGTCTCTCCGAAACCGAGCGTCAGCAGTACGCCCAAAAGTTGAAGGAGGCCGGCAACAAGGCCTACGGCGCCAAGGACTTCGAAAAGGCCATTGGGCTCTACTCCAAGGCCGTGCTCTGCAAGCCCGATCCGGTCTACTACTCCAACCGCGCCGCCTGCTACAATGCGCTTAGCGAATGGGACAAGGTCGTCGAGGACACCACCGCTGCTATCAACCTCAACCCCGAGTACATCAAGGCCCTCAACCGCCGTGCCAATGCCTATGACCACCTGGGCAAGTACAGCGAAGCGCTTCTCGACTTCACCGCGAGCTGCATAATCGATGGGTTCCGGAACGAGCAGAGCGCACAGGCTGTCGAGCGTCTGCTCAAGAAGTTTGCCGAGACGAAGGCGAAAGAAATCCTCGAGACAAAGCCGTCTAAGCTCCCGAGCTCCACGTTTGTCGGGAACTACCTCCAAAGCTTCCGCCTAAAGCCCCGTCCGGATGGCTTGGAAGACTCGGAGGAGTTGGAGGAGGATACCGGATTGGGCCAGCTGCAGAAGGGGTTGAAGGCGTTGGAGAGCAAGACGGGGCCGGGCTACGAGGAGGCTGCCGAGGCTTTCGACCAGGCCTTGGAACTTGGCGATCTCGACGAGCACGAAGCATACGCCTACAACCTTCGCGGAACCTTCCGTTGCCTGAAGGGAAAGCACGAGGAAGCGCTGGCGGATCTGTCCAAGAGCATCGAGTTGGACCCGGAGATGACCCAGAGTTACATCAAGCGCGCGAGCATGAATCTAGAGCTTGGTAAGTTTGGCCGTTCATGTGATCCGTAACGCATGACTGACCATCCTAGGTTCCCCTGAGAAGGCTGAGGAGGATTTCGCGGCTGCCCTGTCCAAGAACGCCGAGGATCCTGACATCTACTACCACCGGGCTCAGCTGCACTTCATCAAGGGCGAGTTTTCCGAGGCACAGAAGGACTACCAGAAGTCGATCGACCTCGACCCCGACTTCATCTTCTCCCACATCCAGCTCGGTGTGACCCAGTACAAGACGGGTTCGATCGCCTCGTCCATGGCCACTTTCCGCCGCTGCATGAAGAACTTCGAGAAGACTCCCGACGTCTACAACTACTACGGCGAGCTGCTCCTCGATCAGGACAAGCACCAAGAGGCCATCGAGAAGTTCGACACGGCCATTGAACTCGAGCGCGAGACCAAGCCCACGTGCATGAACGTGCTGCCGCTCATCAACAAGTCCCTCGCCGTGTTCCAATGGAAGCAAGATTTCTCCGAGGCCGAGAAGCTTTGCGAGAAGGCTCTTATCAGTACGTCACTCCCTTTGCTCACTCCCCCGCACTCCAATAGGCACTTCTTACTAACATGTGGAACTAGTCGACCCCGAGTGCGACATCGCCGTCGCCACCATGGCTCAGCTGCTCCTCCAGCAGGGCAAGGTGACCGAGGCCCTCAGGTATTTCGAGCGTGCCGCCGAGCTGGCTCGTACCGAAGGCGAGCTGGTTAACGCGCTCTCATACGCTGAGGCTACTCGGACACAGATCCAGGTCCAAGAAAAGTACCCCAAGTTAGCTAGCAAGCTGCAGGGTATGGGCCAGGGCCAGGCCATGATGCGGTAAACGTTGTGTTCATAGGCGAAATTGATGGCCAACGTTGATCAATCACACAGCCAATTCGTCCATCAAACCATACTTAGTTGACTGGGATGAGCTTTGGTTATGTAAAGGGAAAAGAAAAGTGCTTGACAATGTGACCTGGCGGTGGGTGAGACATATACATCACCACCGGGCTCCTATGTCTCTCTTTATATACCTTATCTCTCGGGGGGGTAGAGGGATTTTGCTGCGTTTATTCTGTACGATTGGGAAAAGGGGAGGGGTTACCGGGGAGGCAAGAAGTCCTCCGTGAAAAGGCGGTATCGCGGAGGCAGACTCAACAAGATTTTTTCACGCAAGGGTCTCTCTGTCATGGTTTGCGCGGGCACCTGAATCGAGATTGGGGGCACCTGGCGCTGTAGTTGTAAACGCGTACCTCTAGTAATAATACTTCCCTCAAACATCCTTGTGTATGCGATTTGACCGGCCAAGGTAGTCGGTCGCGGGGACAACGCCGATACAGTTACAACAAACACCTCGATGCCAAAGCTGCCTCCCCATCCTCATACACCACCACTCTTTCCCCCTTCTAGACGTGAGTCAAAAGACACCAATGTATTCTAAAACGGTCGTTCTGAAAAGAAATCATTACTGAGTGTCAAATACACATGTACGCTAGTGTCGTACGTTATACCCGTACTTCTTCAAGCCTCCCCCACCACATAAAACTAACATAGCCCAACCCGCCCAAATTTGTACCGAACAAAGTATGCCCAGGTGTGTGTAGCCCACACAGCCACCGCTAGGTTATACCGAAAACACTCTGCCCAACGAACTCATTAGAGAACATACAACGTGAAAGAACACCCAGCCCACTCCCCGGGGCTTCGCTTCCATTACCCATCGCCCGCCCCGTGCTCGCGTCTCGCACATCCCTTCCCCCGCCTCTCCCGTACATATATAACAGCCCCCCGCCCCCAACCCCCACCCCAAAACCTCCCCTAAAATCGACTGGACTACCCCTGCCCACCCACTCACTGGGTACCGTTGTTCGCAGCATCGGCCCCCGCCTGGTTAAGGCCGAAGTACAGGCCGACGGCGAGGGCGATGATGATGACGATGAGGACGCAGATGCCGAGGCACCACCACTTGAGCTTGCGGGCGCGGAGGGCGCTGACGGTGCTCTTCTTGATCTGGACGTTGGCGCCGTCGAGCTGCTGGGTCGTCTCCTCGGCCTTGGTGGCCACGTCGGCGACCAGGGCTTCCTGCTCCACGATCTGGTTGTTGAGGATCTCGAGCAGCTCCAGCAGCTGCAGGATCGACTTCTCGATCTTGATCATGTCGTTGTGCCGCGCCCGCACGCTGCCGAGCACCGTCGCGCCGTGGCCGCTGCGGTTCGTTCGGAGCTGGAATAGGGGTCAGCGATGGTTGTTTTGGATTATGGGGGTGAGGGGGGGAGCAATCGGCGAGAGTGGATACGTACAGCAGTCTGGAAAATGCCCTCGTCACCCCAGTCGGCGTCGGCCGCCTGCTGCACCTGCTCCTCGGTCGCATTTGGGTTGACGATGCGGTATTGGCGGGCGATCTGCTCGCGGAACCGCTGCTTGTACTGCTGCTCTTCTTCTAGGAACTTCTGGATCGTGTCCTTGAAGTCCGAGTTGAGGCTCTCGAACTGCCGCTTCTTCAGCGCGAAGGTGCTGTCCGACGTGCGCTCCGTGTCGGTCTTGAGTTGCTGGATCTGGCCGCGAATCGACGTGTTCTTGACCTGCGTCGCCGCTACCAGGTCGTCCAGCTGCTGCCGCGCCCTGTCGTCGCCACTGGCGAGCGCCTGCTGGTGCAGGCTCGCGATGTTCTGGATGCTGGTCGTCAGACCCTTGATGTCTTGGCGGATGGCCGATACGCGCTGCAAGAAGTCGTTTTGCGAGAGGAAGTTGCCGCCGCCTTGTTGCTGTTGCGGGAGTGACCCGTATTGTCCTTGTTGCGGCGAACCGTACTGCTCTTCTGCGTAAGGTGATCCATACTGCTGTCCGTATTGTTGCCCATATTGCTGCTGGGGAGAGCCGTATTGTTGTTGCCCATAGGAGTGCATCTCATGCTGTTCCTGTTGCGCAGCCTGCGTCAGCTGCCAAAATCAATTCGGAATCCGGGGGTGTCGCCGCATGCTTTCGGTGGGTTGAAATACTCGTCCGAATCGCAAAGCATCCCGCGCGACCCGGGGAAATGACTTACTGGCTGGCCGTAGCCGGCCTCAGCACCCGGTCCCTGGTTGTAAGGGTTGTAGGACATGGCCGCGCAATTGGATGGCCCTTTGTTGCTCAGTATCGGTTTCGCAGTAGCCGAATTATTATCGCGCCCGCTGAAGAAGGGGGGATGTGTAGTAGCGCGCGGTTGTTCTTTTTTTTCGTCTAACAATGACGGGAGGAAGAACGGTTGAACAAGGCGGGCGGCCAGTCAGCCTTTTTGGCGAAATTGGCTTTCCTGGGGTGCAGGCAGCTGCTTCGCCCTTCAAGCTGCTGATGTCTGCTGTGGCTGGCGGTCGATGGTCTGTGCCAAGAATGGCAAGGTTTGGTCTCCACAGCATGCTTGTTCCACATTTCATCCCCACTCCGGGCCAGAATTTGGATGATGCGCCGTATTCTTGACTCCACTGTGCAGGGAGAAGATCTCACTCAAGAAGCGTTGCGACTGCGAGTGGAGAGCATACTGTGTATTCGTACAAAGAACACGATAAATGCACTGACCATTGACCAGCAAGACAATCTCCAAGATCACCTACATCTAATCTTTTTCTTGGTCTTCTATAGTTCAATTGCATCGAACTCCCCGCTCGACAACATTACTTAGCCACAGAACATTCAAGATGGCGTCACGTAACGAGGCTGAGGGAGTGGACTGCAGGTCTCCACCTTTTGTTTTGCCTTGTGCGACAAGCGGATGCGAACTCAGCCTTGGCTTGCGTGGGTGTGTCCATGAGACCCAACGGCCCGGGGTGGGTTGGTTTTCTCCAACGGGACACCTGCAAGATAAAATTCCGTTGCCGGTCCGAACTAACTTGACTGTGGCTGACCTGTCTCATTTTGTTGGCTCTTGATATATTCGTACATGGGCCGGTTATTTCATCCCATGCCGCCGATTTCTGAGTGATCCCCTAAGAATACGATAAAACGGCGACTGCTGACATTGCCATGCACGATTGGCTTGAATGCCTGCAGATCTTTCCCCCCAAAACATGCTACCATCGGATACGCCGCTCAGGTTTCCACCGGTGCCTCTCCGCAGTCCGTCTCACGCCCCTTCACGCCCTTCAATCCGGATAACCACCACTTCAGCTTGGTGAGCAGCGATGAGCGGCACTGGCATAAAAAGCGACACTGCAGCTTCTAGCATAGAAAGGTCGCCTTTTCTCGGCCTCGTCTTTTTTCCGTGCCCCTAGACCCGCTGTCGCCGGGGTGGTTATAGCATGTCTGTCGGTTCAACTCACGTTCCGTGGGACGACTCAGAGCGTGATTGTTGACCCCATTGATGATAATGCTGTGACATATGCTGATAGATGCCCTATGAAGCAACAAATCCTGCCTCAGAAATAGTTCTTCTTTCTGCTCGTGCGGGTGTATTGGCTAAGGTGCCACTCCACGTCCGCATCCTTATTCTCTAGGGTGCCCATCGTGATGGAGAACGGCCTCATGGTGAACCGCGGTCCAACCTCGCTCAACTCGACAGAGTCGTAGCTCGTCCTCACGTATACATGATGGCGCACTTCGATACAGTCGTCCTGGTTCATAAATGTGATGACCCTGTTGCCGGCCGTCTTGCTGGCGGTGGCGTCCCGCGGAGGGAAGAGGTGCTTAAGGACCTTGACTATCCGGCGGCCGAGCGGGGACTGAAAGTTTTCGAAAATCAAGTGGGGATAGCTCTCGCTGACTGTCCCTTTTATTGACCGGGGGATATCCGCTCGCAACACCACGTTGTGCAGTGACGCCATCAAGGTCGGCCCGTGGGGGAAATGGCTGATGGTGATTGCCGTTGGTGTACCGCGGTGCTCGTGGAGGAGAATAACATCGCTGAGGCGTTCGCTTTGGGCGGACCGCACGAGTTCTGGGAGGACGAGGTTTCCGCGATTCAGCCGGATACCGGTCGGGAAGAGCAGCCGTATTTCTTTGGAGAAAGACATCAACCTGGAGCTTGGGTCCCGTGAAGTTGTCACCAGCACCCTCGGGTCTGGATCAGTCAGCAGCTGCCCGACAGCATGCTTCTTGTCCACCATCAAACACATACCTACGACACCCGACAGCTCAGAGTATTCGTCGTCGATGTCGAGCGATTCGTCGCCGGCAACGTCCCGAGACGCATCGTAGTCATAGTCCTGCCGTAGCTGCTTGTCGTTCGCAATCTCTGGGTCTAAAGGTTTTCCCGACGCAAGAGCCGCTCTCAATTGCGCCCGCTTTTCAGCAACTTCGGCGTCGCGCAAGAGGAGCGCTCGCCGGTAGAGGTAGTCTCTCCTCTGGCGTGCTTGTTTGCGCTAAAGATAGGGTCAGCATAGAGTTCTCTAGTAAATCAGAATAAGAAGACGCACAATCATTTCTGTCTTCGGTGCGCCCCAAAAAGCGAGAGGAAGTCGAGAGGATCACTTCCAAGATGGCATGTAAAATTTCCCTGCGAGGCTGAACAACAGGGGAGAGTTTAGCGCGACGTTCGGCTGTGGGGCCGCTGCAGTGGAGGGGTCTCCGCTGAAAAAAAGTCGAGAGCACAGACCCTACGGTTCCAGGTTCCTTGTTCTTGCCGACATGCGATTTCTCCGCCCCGCCACTTGCAGCATCTCCTCGTTGCAGCGTGCCACTGCCGCCAAAAAATCACAACCCACCGCATGCGGCAAGGAAGCGGAAGATTGAGGACGAAACAACACAAACATACAAACACATTCGGAGCAGGAAACCAACATATTCGCCGAATTGCGAGTTTGCGTCCGCTTGCACTTCTACTAGCGATAATGTGACAGCTTCCACGCCCGCTTTCTCAATCCTAATTCGAATACCGAGCCGGCACTGCCCGCCCTATATAACATCTGAATTTGTCCTCGACAGTGGTGACTCGTAGGTCGCGTCCGCTTCAGCCACCCCTCCCTTGCACGCCGATCGTGTATTGCCACCATATGCACTCGGTCGATGCAGCGCACCTTGATGCCCCGCGATTCGACGTCTTCACACATATCACTTTTGGTTGAGCTACTGACAATCCCTCCTCATTTATAGCCGCCACTGTCCCTCCCTTGCTCCTCCGACATGGAGGGCGCTTTCACCCACCTCGGAAACCACCTCGTTTCCGATTCCGCGGCCGCCATCAAGGCCGGCTCCGACGATCTATCAAACATCGACCCAGACGAGGGCCTGCTCTACGGTGTTTATGGAGGACGTGGCGCCCGCACCGGCCTGGGCAACGCCAGGCGCCGCCAGGATGACGACGACAACGAGACCGAGGTCTTCGACGACGACGACGAGAGCTTGGCCAGTGTCCCCGTCGATGGCATGAAAGGCATCAAATTGAACGCCCCGGAGGAAGAGAAGGAGCTTCCCGCCCACGCTTGCGCGTGAGTAATGTCCGCTTGGTTCGATGGAAAAATTGGCTGACAGATCCTACTAGGTACTGCGGCATCCACTCCCCCGCCAGCGTCGTGAAATGCCTTGCCTGCAACAAATGGTTCTGCAGCGCCCGCGGCAACTCGAGCTCTTCCCACATCGTCAACCACTTGGTACGGGCCCGCCATAAGGAAGTCCAGCTTCACCCACAGTCCTCCCTGGGTGATACGATCCTCGAGTGCTACAACTGCGGTACCAAGAATGTTTTTATGCTTGGCTTCATTCCGGCGAAATCCGATACTGTCGTGGTTCTCCTCTGCCGTCAGCCCTGTGCCGCAAGCACCTCGACCAAGGACATGAGCTGGGACATTTCGAGATGGCAGCCACTCATAGAAGACCGTTCCTTCTTGAACTGGCTCGTTCAGCCGCCCACCGATACCGAGCAGCTCCGGGCGAGACATCTTACCCCGCCGATGATCGCGAAACTCGAGGAAATGTGGAAAGAAACCCCAGGTGCCACCGTGGCTGATTTGGAGAAGAGCGCCGGCGTTGACGACGACCCGCATCCCGTGCTCCTGAAATACGACGATCCCTACCACTACCAAAACATCTTCGGCCCGCTTGTCAAGATGGAGTCGGACTATGACAAGAAGCTCAAAGAGGCGCAGTCCGAGGACAACCTGCAGGTTCGCTGGGACGTCGGGCTCAACAACAAGAATGTGGCTAGCTTCATCCTGCCCAAGATCGAGTCGGGTGACGTCAAGCTGGCTGTGGGTGACGAGATGAGGCTCAAGTACAAGGGCGATCTCCGTAACCCGTGGGAAGGCGTGGGCTACGTGATCAAGATCCCCAACAACCAATCGGACGAGGTCACGCTCGAGTTGCGGAAATCGGGCAACGACAAGTTGGTCCCTACCGATGTCGCCACAAACTTTTCGGCCGATTACGTCTGGAAGGCCACGTCGTACGACCGGATGCAGTTCGCCATGAAGACGTTCGCCGTGGATGAGATGAGTCTCTCGGGCTACATCTTCCACAAGCTGCTCGGGCACGAGGTCGCAGTGGCTCCGATGAAGACGCAGATGCCTAAGAAGTTCCACGTCGCGGGTTTGCCGGAGCTGAACCATAGCCAGATCACGGCCATCAAGACGGTGCTTTCCAACCCGCTTAGTTTGATCCAGGGTCCCCCGGGCACTGGAAAGACCGTCACGTCGGCGACCATCATCTACCATCTAGCCAAGATCAACAATAGCCAGGTCTTGGTATGTGCGCCATCCAACGTCGCTGTTGATCAACTGTGCGAGCGAATCCACCGCACCGGCTTGAAGGTGGTCCGTCTGACGGCCAAGTCTCGCGAAGACGTCGAGTCGTCTGTCAGCTTTTTGGCCCTTCACGAACAGGTCCGCATGAACGATTCCAATACGGAGCTCACCAAGCTTGCGCGTCTGAAGGCCGACCAAGGCGAATTGTCGTCCCAGGATGAAAAGAAGTTCAAGCAGCTGACTCGTGCTGCCGAGCGTGAGATTCTCAATAACGCGGATGTCGTGTGCTGCACCTGTGTGGGCGCTGGCGATCCGAGGCTTTCCAAGATGAAGTTCCGGAACGTCCTGATCGACGAGTCGACGCAATCTGCCGAGCCAGAATGCATGATCCCGCTCGTCCTGGGATGCAAGCAGGTGGTGCTGGTTGGCGATCACAAGCAGCTGGGCCCCGTCATCATGAACAAGAAAGCGGCCAAGGCCGGTCTGAATCAGTCTCTGTTCGAGAGGTTGGTCAAGCTGAACCTGACACCCATCCGGCTGAACGTGCAGTACCGAATGCACCCCTGCCTCTCGCAGTTCCCATCCAACATGTTCTACGATGGCTCGCTGCAGAACGGCGTCACGGTCAGCGAGCGGCTCAGGACGGATGTCGACTTCCCCTGGCCGGTTGCCGATATGCCCATGATGTTCTGGTCAAATCTTGGCAACGAGGAAATCTCGGCCTCTGGCACGTCTTACCTCAACCGCACCGAGGCTGCCAACGTCGAGAAGATCGTCACTCGTTTCCTAAAGGCCGGCGTGAAGGCGCTCGACATCGGTGTCATCACCCCGTACGAAGGCCAGCGCAGCTACATCGTCAGCACCATGCAGAACACCGGCACTTTCAAGAAGGAGACATACAAGGAAGTCGAGGTCGCGTCTGTGGACGCATTCCAGGGCCGGGAGAAGGACTTCATCGTGTTGTCCTGTGTCCGTTCCAACGACAATCAAGGCATTGGTTTCTTGTCGGATCCCCGCCGTCTCAACGTCGCGCTCACTCGCGCTAAGTACGGTCTAGTCATCATCGGAAACCCCAAGGTCCTCTCCAAACACGAGCTGTGGCACCATCTTCTCGTCCACTTCAAGGACCGCAAGTGCCTAGTGGAGGGTCCTCTTACCAATCTGCAGACGTCACTGCTGCAGTTCAGCCGACCCAAAACCGCCTTCCGCCCCCCGCGGTACCCTCAACAGGCCCAAAATCAAAACGCCCCGAGCGGCTATCCCAACGGCCGATACAATGGCATGAACGGGTCGACTAGGGATTACGAGACGGGCTCAATGCTCTCGTTTATTCCAGACGACGTGTCGTCTATCCACAGCTCTGCCCTCGGCGGGGCCGGACTGAGCTCGGCCTATCCGCACATGTTTTCGAACTTCCACCCCGAACAGTGGCCTGGTTTGCCGGGTGTGGTCGCAAGTGGCCGCCCCAGCGCGAAGGGCCGGGGTCGCGGCGCTGAGAGCATCGCGGGCGAAAGCGTCGCCAACAGCGAGTTCACCGACGCCAGCGCCAGCGTCATTGGTGCCAAGGGCGTCGGGCAAGGTGGGGCCAGTCTCGGTGCCGGCCTTAGCGAGGCGATTGGCGCGGCGAGGCCGACCTCTTACAGTCAGAGCGATCGTCTTAAGCAGTACGTGGAGAGCGGGGGCCGCATGGGAGCAGGCAACGGATACGGACGGCGGTTTGACGACGATGAGAAGAGCGTCAGCACCGCCTTTGCCAGTCAGATAGGATCCGGGTTTGACTGAGACCCCAGAGGGAATCGTTGGTGGTTTACTTTCATGCAAACCAAGGACAGACACAGGCATTGCACCGAATCCTAGGAGCAGCAGCCCACCTGCCTCCACCCTCCGGACCCCGTCGAGCACGCGACGTCGGGCTCATATGGGTCACAGAACTCGCAGTCGAGGGAGAGTTGGGTAGATGCTTTCCAAAAGCACACCCTTCTCGACCGGCCGGGAGCTCGCCCTTGGGCCGTTCGCCGCATATTATTGCCAAGCGTTGGCCGAGCCATGCTGCTTGACAAGACTCGTATGAAGAGCCCAATCAGCCTTGGCAGCTGTTGGCTGCAAGCCATGTTGCTGGGAACTCTTAGGCCGGTATGTATAGCGGGACAATTCAGAAGGAGTAGCTCATTGAGCTGTTTGGGGGCAGTCGACGGAGCAGCCACCGGCACTTGGTGGGAAAGCCCATTCTGTTCTGCGCCCGGGAAGTCGGAGGACAGACTTAGCAGAGAATGAATAGGAGGGAGGGGAAGAAGTCGCTCATTTTCGGCCGAGACAAACGTTCACTTCACAACAAACGGGAGCTCTGCTCAGCTCAGAGCTCCTGCATGATCCAACTGCCTTCAGCCACTCATTTCTGGGGCAGTTGTTGGCTTTACCAGATTGATTAACTAGCACACAAACAAACACAGACAGAGAAAAATCAGCATACATTCGTTCTTTCACCGAGAGTGCATTACGGTGACTAGCATAAATGTTTCACATGTCAGGGGTGACACATTGTTTCCACCATTCTCTTGCCAACAACAATATCCTGTGCTTTCAGCGGCTAACTCAACATCGAATAGCAATGCCAAGTCCCACCCACAAGACGCGCGGGATCCACGGGGCGCTTCCACTCACCACTCCGATCCGGACTGAGGGGTGAAACACAAGCAGTTTAACTCTTGGCGGGGCACCACTCGTAACCCGTAAGTTGTAACGCTAGGGGCGTCTTAAGCGCGAAGTTGCGTTCAGAGATCTTGAATTCCAAGACCCGCAGTTGGCCAGACTAAGCCTCTTTCTTGAAATAGACGGCCCCGTTCCGCCTTCTCCCGTTTCTTTTGTCCTGCCGTTCCTTTTCCCTTTTTCCAGTTAGCCAATGTTGCTGCCCAACTGCTTGCCACTCGTATCGGTTACTGAGCCAGCTGAATTCGTGCCCCGGGACCATTCGATCTCATCCACGTACTTGTACCAAATAAATACGTTGAGATTGCCACCCGACTGCAAGCGGTCTGCTCTCCACCACATCACCACTCCTCTAGAGAGATCTCTCGACATCGCCCTTGAGCTGACCCTTCATATTTTGGGTGTTTCTGTCATTTACGGCCCTTTTTAACAAATCGGATATTTATTTACTTTTATTAATATCAAGATGGCATCATCGGAAGCTACCCCAGAGACCGCCGCTGTCAAGAACGGAGCCGACCCGGCGGCCAAGCAGAGCATCGAGAGGAAGCCGGTCGCAGCGGGGCAGTCGGGATCCCCGCCCCCGGTTACGATACCGGCGTCGTCAGCAACCCCATTAGCACCCGCGCCAGCACCCGTTCCGGCACCCGCTCCGGAAACACCAGAAAAGCCCGAGGTTACAGCAGTAACAGCCGATGACGGCGTCAACCCCCTCGACTTTGAGGGCTCGGTCGAAACCAACCACGACCTCCCCACACTCGACACCATCCGCAAAATCGACAACTACACGGTGCTAGACCGCGATGGCAAATCCCACACCTTCCGGAGCTTGTACACCGGCCGCCACACCGCGCGACGAGTCCTAATCATCTTTATCCGGCACTTCTTCTGCGGTGTAAGCCCACTCCCACCCACTCCCACCTCCCTCAACCTCCCTCGATCAACCAAAAGAAAGAAAGCAAAAAAGACTTATACTAACCCCCCCTCCCAAAGAACTGCCAACAATACCTGCGCACCCTCTCCGAGTCCATCACCCCCCCATCCCTCCTCGCCCTGCCCCACTCCACCTTCATCTGCGTCGTCGGCTGCGGCGACCCGGCCCTGATCGACATGTACGCCGACGCCGCCGCCTGCCCCTTCCCCATCTACGCCGACCCCACCCGCCGCCTGTACGCCGAGCTGGGCATGGTGCGCACCCTGGCCCTGGGCCCCCGCCCGGCGTACATCAAGACTCATTTGGTGAAGTCCAGTGCGTTGAGTGTCGTGCAGGGTTTGAAGCAGATTGGGAAGGGCTTGGCGTTGAGGGGCGGGGATTCGAAGCAGGTTGGCGGGGAGTTCTTGTTTGAGCCGGTGGGGAGGGATGCGGTTGGGGGGGGGATGGTCGTGGCGACGACGCCGGTGGGGATTGAGCCGCCTAAGGCGTGGACGACGACGGCGGGTGATGCTGGTGGTGGTGGTGCGGAGGGGGAGGGGGAGGGGAAGAGTGGGCGGTCGGAGACGAGCTTGGATGGGAAGGGGGAGCCGGATTCCGAGGGTGAGGATAAGGTTGTCACGTGGTGCCATCGCATGCAGAATACGAGGGACCATGCCGAGGTGCCGGAGCTGATGGAGGTGTTGGGGCTGGATGGGGATGGGAGGCCGGTGGGGGATAAGGAGAGGTGGGAGCGGGCGGTCAGGGAGCGGAAGGGGACGGGGGTGAGTCTGGCGGGGCGGACGAGTAAGGAGGTGGGTGTGGATGGCACGGTGCTATAAGCTGCCTAGTAAGGCTATTGGGTGAGAAAGAGGATGGGCCCTCGAGAGTGAGACATGTCATGAGTTATGTTTGATTTAGGCTTGGTATGGTGTTTGGGGCGTGGGCATTGTGTTTGTTAGATGTGAATGATACCATCTTCCCTCTACAGTCCCGCAGTGAGAATATGTCTCTGCCCATTTTGGTGTTTCCCTAGGACCTAAGTCTTGCGTGGCACACACAAACCTTTACCTGCCGGTTTGCTGTGACGACCGGGAGGTTGCTCCGCGGCGGCCACAGTCGTACAGGTACGCGTTAATCTCAACAATCAGCTACGTGGGCCGTATCTAAATGTTCGAGAAGGGGTACAGCAACTCGGTCCTGCAAACCACAGACTGCAAGTTGGCCTGCGATATCTACGGCAGATCTGCGGTGATGGGCCCAGCCTCTTAATGTGTTGCTAGCAGCAGATAACCGAGTGTTGGTCGTGGTGAGGCGTGGACGGCATGTTGGTCTAGGTGATACTTGAACAAGTTTGCTCGTCAAAGCTTCGGATTGTTTTGCCAGTGCAACGGATACCACGTTGTCAAGCCGTTTTGGTGAGAGGTGGTACTGGCAGACGGTAATCGTTGTTCCCTGGTACCGTTAACTCCTTCTCTTCCTTGTCTCAGTTTCCCTCTCCAAACCTTCATCTTCACAAGTCATCTTGTAAAGTTCGATTCAACACCAAGACGATGTGAAAGTAGCCAACATGACACCCCTGTGCGCCATTCCAGGCACTCCCGACCTCTATGGCATGGGCATCCGCGTCTCGTTCTACCTCTTATGGTTTTTCGTTCTCATCGGAGAGCGGTGCCATGAACATCACGCCCAAGTCCCCCGGGCTGCCGAGCTGGTTCTTGCCTATGCCGTCTTTCTCGGCTTGGCCATGGCGGCCTCGAGCGGGTATCTTTTCGCTGCCGAGGTGTATATCGCCCTACTACTCATCTCGACGACGGTATATCTTCTCGTCCCCCGCCACACCACTGATCTAGTTGCGTGGATCCGTCCAGACCTTGGGATCGGTACCCAGCGTGGCAAATTCGGTTTTATGGGAGCTGCTCGCTGTCTCTTCGTTCTCGTGGTCATCAGTCTGCACATGTGGTTTTGGGGCGCCGGTGTCGACTCTGAATCCATCAACCGGAATCTCAGAGATCAGGGCGGGTGCTGCCCGTGCCAACCGCCACAGGAAGTTGGCTTTGCCTTTGGGAAGGTCGAGATGCGCAGCGGTGGTTTCCGGGCCATGAATGTTCTTTTGATGTTGGCGCTGCTCGCTGGGGGGGTGATCATTGGCGCAATGAAGGCAGGGTTGGTTAGGAAAAAGAAATCGAGACGCCAAAGGAGAGCTAAGTATGCTACCAGAGTCTTTTTTTATTGTTTGCTGGACTAACAGTGACAGTCGATCTCGGGTTCGCATCTTGAAAGAGGTTGAAACATTCGGCGGCCTATTAGTTGCGTGCATTCTCGTCGCCGCCATTGAACTAACCATTCAATGGAACGGAATCTCAGCTGCCGTCAACCAGGTAACGACGGCTGCTCAGTTAATACCCCTCGGGATCGTCGTATCGTTAATCGTGGTATTTCTATACGATCTGAAAAACAGTTCTGCTACAGATGGGAGTAGCAATGGCGGGAGCAATGGCGGCAGCAGGAGTTATACCAGCAGCAGTGGTGCTGGTAGCGGCAGCAATGGGCGGTAGCAGCAGTTCGGGCGTAACTTCTTGTGGCCCATCCTCGTCCTCTGGCGGCTGGAGTGACGCTGTAAGATACTCAAGGTGTGTATACCGGAGATGGTTGAGCAGTTGCCGAGAAGAAACACTGACTGAAGGCGTTAGGCCCTGGCCGACTCCTCCACGTCCATTTCCTCCACCTCCTGTGCCGACTTCCGCCCGTACTTCAAACCCCTACCCCCCTCCTCCTACGGTTGAAACCGTCACTTCCGATTCAAATCCAGCCTCTGCTGCCGCTCGGAACTCCAACTCCAGTTCCCACCCCCCAGGTTCTTTTCATGACCCTGCGCCCAAGTCTCCTCCTCAAACGCCGCCAGCACCACCTGCCGCAGCTTCGGTGGCGGAACCCGAGGCCACAGCCGGCAGGTCACCTCTAAAACCCAGAATTATTGAAGTATCGCCTCCAAAAAGGCAGCGGCCAAAGGGACCAAGATCCATGTGAAACCCTGGGTAGCATTCACCGAGGCCACCTTAGACCCGCGCTCACAGTCTGACTTTTGGAGGAAGGGTCAGACGTTCACGTTGGAAGCAATGTCGCCATTAACTCACTGTCTTCAAGAGCTCCGTCACCAAAATTACCAAGTCGCAAAACCCGCCGAACAAGGAAAGCTCTGTTCAACTGTCCTAAACCACGCGCACCGACCGCTTTACCCAATATCGGGAATTATTTCAAGATCTACTACCTGCCTAACTTTTGGGGGTTTATCGACTCAGAATGGTGTGATGATTTGGGTAGGGCAACTTGCCCTTGGACTTGATCGCGCCTTCCTCGAGGTAGGTGAATCAGGCAACCAACCCAGGCACATGAAAGTCCTTGACAAAACTCTAATAGTTAAGCCGAAGATCAATTCTCTCTACCGTTCCCGAATACTTCGTACCAGTTTCAGACGCCTCTCGATAACACAATATCACCACTTGGTATGGATTAGAGCGTAACCAATACTCGCATCTCTCGCAACATACCTTGACCATGCGTCCATCAATCGATAGGCCACTCCTTGAGGAGCCATGGGCTAAGAGACTGAGAATAACGAGATCCCGAAGTGTCAAAGCCCAGGAACGGCGGGCCTCTGATCACCTCCCCTCTCCGAAGCCAACGAACCCTAGCAGCACCGACAACGTCTCGTCGTCCTCGTCATCTGTTGACCACAAGGCACACCAAACGCAGAATACAGCCCAGTCTCTCCGAGAACGCCTCGCCCCACTGCCCAAGAAACCCACGCCTTTATCACCGGTTAAAAATGTGGCCGTTAAGAAGCCCCCTTCCAAGCCTTCCGTCGCCCCCTTTTTCCGGCGCATTGAAGCCGCCTTCCAAGACAAGCCAGCAACCTCCACCAAACTAAACCATACACCCACCGCAGCCCAAGCCTCAGCTCGCTCCCCATCGCCCAGTGCAGACGACCTAATCCAACAACTCAAAGGTTCTATCTCCCCCCAACCCCTTTTCCATCCCCTCCGTTTCCCCAGCAACCAACCCCCCCAAACTAACCCCTGACGCCCCACCCGGCGGCGGCAACGAGCAGAACACTACCTCCAAACCGCCACGACCCTGCACAAGAGCGCCACCTTACGCCTCGCCCAGACGCACGCGGACCTCACCCGCCAGCTGACACAATCACTCAGCACCAACGGCGCCGCCGACGCGGCCTTCCTGGACGAGACGGAGGCGCGCATCAAGAAGCTGGCCCAGCCGCTGGACACGTTCCGGATCCGCTCGCAGCAGCGCGGCGCCGACGGGGCGCTGCGCGCCGAGGAGGATAGCGTGGGTGACTTGGTGGCTCGTGCCGAGGACCAGGTGAGGGGGTTTGAGACGGAGGTGGCGGGGCTGTGGGCCGAGTGGGCGGCGGCGGAGGGGGAGGTGAAGGAGTTGCTGAAGGGGGTTGCGGGGTGTGTTTCTGGTTCTGGTCCTGGTTCTGGTTCTGGAGGTGGGGAGGGGGGAGGTGAAGAGGGTGTTGGTGGGGTGGATGGGGATGATGAAGGGGAGGTGATGGTGAAGCGGTTTAGGGAGGCGATTGAGCGGGAGATTGTGGAGGCTGAGGAGGAGGTGGTAGAGATCGGGGAGGAGGCGGTGGGGGTGATGAAGGATATTGAGAAAGTGAGTTGGGGAACTGGGTCGAGGGGTTGTTGGTTGCTAACAAGGGAGCAGGATTTCAGGAAGGCTACGTTGCCTGATTTACACACGTTCTTTCAGTCCATTGATGAGCCGTGAGGCTGCCCGGGCGTCGGGCTGGTAATTTGGTGGAATTTGGGGTTGCCTGTTTGTGCTGGCATTTGATTCAAGTTTTGCTTTTTACTATGTGTAGCTTATGGCTTGAGAAGTTGTTTGAACCAGTTCTCCCAAGCAATGTGGAAATCGATGGAGATCATGAATGAAGCTCTTGGAGGCCAATGACACGGCACAGCGCTGAGTTCTGAGACATGCTTGCCTTCTGTTTCTTCGTATAGTAGGTTTCAAATCTGTAACTATGTTTCTTGTGGACGGCACCAGAGGTCCAGACTCAGTCTAACTTCAGCCATGAAGGCGGGGTCCTGCATGGTGCTTCTTTGGGTTCACCCCTTCACCGAAGTGGCCCGTCTCTTTGTTGTTCCGCCCCGCACTCAACTCAACGAGGCTCGGGCACGCCTAATGCTAAGTCAGCCCGGCGCAAAGTGTCGCAACTTCATGAGCGATATCTCTACCAATAGGGCCGTGCTCGACTCTGGAGAACTAGACGGCTACTCTCACACTCGCTATGGATACGGTATGTTTTTCTTTGGCTTCCCAGCCCCTCAATGGGAGGTGGGTATACTGAACTTCTAACAGAGTTATAATGGGGAACCCGGTGAATATGAAGCCATGGTCCTCAGAATAATCGAAGCGGTGGATAGAGATAGAATTATCAGGTGGAAAGCCATACGTCCATTTGTCCCTGGAAGCATATACATTGCTGGAGTGGAAGTTCCAGTGGCAGAGCTAAAAAGGGAAGGGGGTTCGGCGATAATCTCGGCCGGGAAAAGCGCTATGGTGGTCTGCATGGAGGCCAGAGTCGAGGAACTTCCGGACTCGCCCGAAAAAGCCGGTGAATACGAGGCCATGTCCTTCAAGAGGATCGAAGCGGTGAACAGGGATAGGGTAATCATGTGGAAACCCCCATCTCCGTTTGTCTCTGGATCTATAGAAATCGATGGAGTGGACGTTCCGTGCCAGGAGCTGAGAAAGCAGGGGGGGTCGGCGATAGTCCCATCGGGGAAAAGCCTCGTGGTGGTCCGCATGGAGGTTAGGATTGAGGACCTAGACTCGGTCGTTCCCGCATTGTCAAGTGGACATGGTCGTGTATGGGAGTTAAGTTAGGAGGTGAGGGTGGTTTGAATGCGTTGGCGTTGACAATCGCGTCGTTCTCACTTTCGAGACGGATGCATTTGTATCTCATGTTGATGTATGTTTACCAACTCTAAGTCTGAATGCCGCTAATTCATGACATGCTCAACCGCCCACCCCAAACGCCTCTTCCCAAAGTCACTTTTGGCCGCGCGCTACGCGGCGCCGACGCTAAGCAATGCAAGACAAATAATACCCGCAAAAGGAAAGTTACTGCTGCTCCTCGACCACGACGCCCCAGGGATGTTGCTCGTTGCCGTACATGATGTCGGTCATCCAGCCCTTGATCTTGGCCGTGTACTGGCCGCTCTCGCCCTTGGCCATGGGGATGTGGATGTCGTGCTCGCGGTGGCGGATCTGCGAGACGGGGCAGATGAAGAACTAATGGTGTATGTCAGTCAACAAACAGCTCTCTAACAAAAAATAATAAAAGGGGGGCGCATACCGCTGTGCCGGCCGCAAAAGACTCAATCAACCTGCCCTCCTTATCCGCCTCGATCACCTCATCAATGGTGTACTTCCTCTCCACAACCTCCACCTCGCCCTTCAACCGCTCCCGCGCCAGCTCCACCACACTCCGGCGCGTCACACCGTCTAGGATCAGCTTGTCGTCCAACGGCGCCGTCACCATCTCCAGGGCCCCCTCACGCGTCCGCCACACGACGAAGAAGTTGCTTGCACCCGCCTCAGTGCAGTAGCCCTCAGGCCCATACAACCACAAGATCTGGCCGAACCCGCGCGAGCGGGCCTCGTTGGTGGCGAGCAGACTGGGCCCGTAGTTGGCACCGACCTTGGCATACCCGAACCCGCCGACCCAGGCGCGGATCATGTCCTCGGGGTTAGTGTGCAGGCGCATCCCGCCCACGGGGGCGTCCATGCGCGGCATGAAGGACGCCGTGATGAAGAGCAGGGCCTCCTTGGGCGCCTGCACGCCCAGCTGCGGCTGCGTGCCGATCACGGCCGGCCGCAGGTACAGGTAGGACCCGGGCCGGCTGCGCGGCAGCCACTTGGGCCCGTCCACCGCCATCAGCGTGAGGATGAGCTTCTCGAGCTCGGCCGGGGAGAAGCCCGGCAGGGAGATGCGTAGGGTTGACATGAGCATGCGCTTGGCGTTGAGGTCCGGCCGGAAGAGGCGGAGCCCACCGTCGTGGCCGCGGTAGGCCTTGAGCCCCTCGAAGCATTCCGTTGCGTAGTGCAGGACGGAGGCGGTGGGTAGGAGGGAGAGGGGGCCGTAGGGCTTGAGCTCGGGCGTGGCCCAGCCCGTGGCGGCGTTCCAGCTGACGGTGATCATGTGGTCGGTGCAGATGGTCTCGTTTCCGGCGCAGGCGGCGACCTCGTCCGGGACGGCGCGGGCGGTGGGGTCGGCCCGGGTGATGGTCAGCTTGGAGGCGTCCAGGCCCGGGAGGGTGCTGGTGCCGTTGCCGTTGATGTGGCCGGTGGCTCCGTTGGTGTGCCCGTTGGTCTTGCCGTTGGCTAGGGCCGGCTGCTCGGCCATCTTGTGCTCCATGGCGGTCGAGGTGAGGTCCTCTCCGGTGGGCTTTTGGGGGATCATGGTGAATATTCTGTGTTGTGTCTCTTGGACTCCTTAAAGATGGTGAGTGCCGGACAAAGGATGGTGAGTGAGGGCGCAAGATGGCAAAGGGGAAGGAAGGAAAGTTAAGGAGTTGAGGGATTCGGGGAGTCACGAGGGGGGCGAACCAAGACTTTTAAGTCTCGGTCCACAAGCTCAAGTGACTACAACCTGAACTAACTAGTACCGGGGTGCGGGTTGCGGGTTTCAAGGGCATCCGGCTTCAACTTTTGATGACCCGTGACCGATAGGCCAATTCTTTGCCCTTCCGACAAGTTATCCGCACGACCAGCCTCGTTGACAATAGGGCGTGCGGAGGCCGCAGGGGCTGTACATGTGCATATGTGGTATGTACATATGTACACTGGCAAGGAAGGTAAACAGTGCACAAATTCTGTTCCTGCAATACCGAGATTCCGGTTCGCTGTGCCGGAGGTTTCCGCTCTTGGGTGGGCGGTCTCCCATTTCTCCAGTCTGATTTGCTAGATAACCTTCTGTGTAGACCGTATGATGCAAGAATAGCAATAATGCTCCCTCACTAACCTCCCTACCTGTAGTTATCTGCAAGGGCTCTGACACTGTGTTTGCCGCATATACTATTCGTATGCAGACATCGGCCATTTACGGCATCCTCCCCGAGTTGATGATACCCCATCGGGGCTCCGAGAAACGGAGTCCCGAGTCAAGTCACCTACTATATTAAAAGTGGCGTTGGCTGTTCTTTTGACATGGCGAGAACGACTTCCTATTTTTGAGAACAACTTGACTCATGAGCGGTGGCACGGTGGGACTCGGGGCTCGTCTCGAAGGAATGCGGAAGGACCGAGTCGCGAGAGGTGGAGTCGTTTGAGGGAGGCCGAGTTCGCAGGCGAGTCCCTGCAGAGAGACTCGAGATGCAACATTGGACGCGTGACAGATTGTCCACTGGGTCAATTGATGAATTTATCATCTCGATGGTGCTTTGGATCCACAGAATCCCGACACAACGCGCTGGAAAGCGTTGCGCTTTCTTGTCGAAGGGGCAGGGTCAAACTTTCGAGAAGTGTTTATCAATTGGCCCGTGTGTAGCCGTTGATAGGCGTGGCAGCGGAGAGATACCGCCGCACGTGCAGAGTGCACACCACCCAATCGGGAGCTTATCGCAATCGCCTTTGTGCCACCCCACTCTGCCCCACCACGATTCGAAGAACTGCCCCGACCGCCCCAAACAACTCAAGCTCTGCCCCGCAGTTTCACAGCGCCGACTCGTCGTCGCGATCGGCACGCTAGTTGGCCGTTTCGTGGCCGTGTCTCACCCCGTCCGTGCCACCCGATCCAGGTCGGAAGCGGTGTCGCTGCGGGATTGGGGGTGAGTGGGAGCGTTTACCGAGAACCCGGGGCCTTTGCCCGGTCAGCTGGACAATCATTCAGTCATTAACAAGTCATTGCGCACTCGCCTCCTTGCCAGCTTTTCTCACCAGGTTTCCCCTCTTCACACCGCGTTCGGGGCGATGGTTTGAGCTGAGACCTTAAAATGGGGGTGTGCGTGCAAATCAGCCATCTCCGGCCACCGTTCCGGGTCGCCGGTGCCGTCGCCGGTCGAAGCTCCACGTGGAGCCCGGTTGTCCACCGGAACCGGCAAGGACGTCAAACATGTCCGACACCTGAGGCCTCTCGCCAACAGCACCAGCCCTACACCCGCCCTACACCCCTCAGCATCCTCACGAAATTTGACACGCGTCGGGGTCGGTTTCCCGGCACGGCCGCCAACAACTCACAACTCACCGTCGTGGCCTCAGACCCCCCTTAGCGCCTTGGTCGGCGGTGCTGAACCGGGCTACTCTCGAAATGTCACAAAAGAGGGCCATGGCCCGCCCCCGTTTCGCTCCCACGGATAAATACGTCTCCGCAACGAGTGATGCCAGATGGCACGACGGGAGCAGAGACCTGCATGATGGGGGCCTGCCGTCGTGATTGGGCCCCCCACTCATGGAGCCATGGGCGATGTGGTGCGGTTGTGGCCCAACCTCTATGCCTGAACTCAGCTTTCACAGACACACTCCCGAGGTCTGTCCATGATGATGCTACCGCTCTTCTCTCCTGTGAGAGCCATTGTGTTTTGTTTTTAAGGCAATTCTTTGTAGTTTTACCCCTGAAACAGTTCTTGATGGTTTTGATATCCGTAAACCCGCTTTTTCTTTCTCTTCCTCCCCCCCCAACCCGCCAACACCGCCATGTCCAGAGACGCCAAGGACTCTTCTAAACCCAAATCCGACGGCCTCCGACAACCTCAAAGGAAGGACTCCCTCTCATCTGTCTTGTCATGGGCTGTACTGCAGGGCAAGATCACAGCGTCCAAACCTCCGACCTCGTCTTCCTCGTCTACCCCCTCACCCGCTCCCTCACCGGCAACTCAGCATCACCCCGGCAACGGCACCAGACCGCGTAGACACAGCCATAGCACCAGCATCGACTCAAAAACGAAGGCACGTAGAGGTTCCACAGCATTTCGAAGATTTTCGTTTTCGTTCTCGACAACGAACCAGGATGGGGCTAGTACTAAGACGAGACATTCAAAGACATCATCCATGACACCAGACCCGAAAGCTTCGCCGGGGACCTCCAAGGCCGGCAAGACCAGCTCCGAGAAAGTAAACAAGGCCGCCCCCGACAACCAAGATGGCAAGCACAACCCGACTCCGCCCCGGCCGCAGAGCGCTGGAGACAAGCCAAGGTAAATTTGTTGTTTATGTTGGTTGTTTATGCCTCGTTGTCGTTTATTAACGCCGCCTCTCTAGATCCCCCTTATCGCCCATGCCCATGCCTAAATCTATCCTCCGGATTTCCAGCCCAGACGGTTACAGGCGCCCCCGCCAGTTTGTCTCCCCAGAAGCAGCAGGAGGCGAACCCGCCAGCCCCGGCCTCCCTCCCTCCCCCGCCACCCCTACCTTCGAAACCGTGCTATCAGCCCCCGACTCACCACCTCCTCCTACGGAATCACCGCCCGCATCCCCCATCCCCCGGCCCATGTCCCCCGGCGCGACGGTGCGCTTCGCCAAGGCGACCGTCCACCGCGTCGAGGTCGGGCCCGGCCGCCGCTTCATGCCCGTCAAGCGCAAGAGCAAGAGCACGCTGACCTACATCTCGCCCCTCGACCCGGGCGCCCAGAAGAGCGCCCCCAAAACCATGCTGCAGAGCCCCACCAAGCTGCGCCGCCACCAGGAGAACCAGGCCGCCATGGGCCGCTACTGGCTCCGCACCGAGGAGGAGGAGGCCCAGTGGCGCGCCGAGGCCGAGAGGCGCGCCGTCGAGGAGGCCGAGCGCTATCGTAACGAGCCGGCCAGTCCGGCGCCGAGACCGCCCGTGGGCGTCGTGGCCAAGGTGGATGGGGCGGTGAGCAAGAGTGGGGGGGAGATCGACAAGCTGCCGCTGTTGGATGCCGGGCCGGTGGGGTTGGATATGGTGGAGGAGGAGGCGGCGATGGAGACGGAAGACGAGGATAGCGAGGACGAGGCTGGAGCGAAGTGTAATGTGGAGGAGGACGATACTGCGTCGGTCACCTCGAAGTCGTCGAGGAAGTCGGTCAACCTGAGGCTGAGCGCCAGCAAAACGATGCTGCGAGCCGCTGGGGCGGCCGCATCGACACCAACGGGCACCAAACTCACAGAAATTAAATCCTTCTCTGAGAGACTGGCAGAGAAGCAAGCAGAAGAAGAACGCCGAAGCCGACCAGCCTCCCCGATGACCATCCCCACCAACCCCGGCGCCGAGAGCTCCAAGTCGGCCCGTTCCTCCTCCAGCTCCCTCTCCAAAGAGAAGCCGGCCGCAGGTGCGGTATCGGCCCGCTCGAGCAGCGCCAGCACCGACAGCAATTCCAGCTCCAGCAGCGGCGGGTCGAGCTCCGGCACGGCCGACAAGCTCTCTAAAACCCTGTCGCGGGAAAAGGAGAAGGAGAAGGACAAGGCGAAGGACAGGCCAAGAACGCTCTCGTTGAGCAGTTCCAGATCGTACATGAACCTCCGGTCGGCAAGCGGCAGGTCGCGGGAGCTGCGCTCGGCGAACCACACCAGCAACAGTACCAGCCATGGTAACAGCAACAACAGCAGCAACATCAACACCAACACCAACACTAACAGTCACAGCCACAGCCATAGCCACAGCCACAGCAGTAGCGGTGGCAGCAGTGGCAGTAGCACCAACCATTTGCATTTATCAGGGCGCAGGGGCAGGCGGTATTTTGACGACCACAAGCAGGGGATCACGGCCTAATTTTCTTCTCATTTTTGATGATACGGATCACTTCATGGCGACGGCGTTCCTTGCATTCATTTCTTATTTTCTCCCATGTTCAACCCACCGGCGGCACTCTGGTCTTCCCGTTGTCTCCTCAGGCTCCTTTGATATGTTCTCGGCATCTCGGTTCGGTCTATTGCATGGCATGGTCTAACGGTTATGATTTCTGGTCTTTTCTTCTTTTGTGGGATTCCCTATTCTCCATTCCCCAGGCGCTTTTATATCAGGGGAGGTGTCAAGAGTAGAGGCAGAGACAGGAGAATCTCTTTGTCATGATCCGGCTCGCGAGTACGGCTATACTACTATGCTATACGCTCAGACTCTAACCCCCATTCGAATGAATACCAACGACATTTCCATCCATTCCGTTATGCAATGCTAGGATATCTTTCCATGCCCAGAACCCGCCATCCGTCCAAACGCCAACCCTTCCGCCCACATACCCACCAAAGCCATTTGATACCTCAACCTCGGGGCCACTCCCGCCGTCGCATTTCCCAGCACCCGCTCTCTCTCCTCCCCGCTTCACGTCCTCCGTACCCTTCACACCGCACACCACACCAAACCACACCACACCACATCGCATCCCACCACACACCACCACCACCACGCCCCATCACATCAACCCACTCAACACAACCCTCCCCACACTCGCCATCTCCGCCCGCGCCCCCGCCCGCCCCGCATCCTCAAACTCCCTCACCGCCGCCTGCAAGAACAATTTCCGAATCCGCCCGTCCGCCTTGGTGAACAGCTCCGCAACAGCACCACCACAGTCGCGCGGGGCCGGCACCAGGCTCAGCAGCCGCGAGTACGTGTCGATCAGCACGTCGCACAGCGTGGCGAAGGTCTCGAAGAAATCCGGGTCGAATGGTAATGTGGGCGTGAGGAGGTAGGTGTATTCCTCGCCGGGGAGGAGATCGACTTCCGAGGCGCCGAAGGTCATGACCCCGCCGTGGTGCGCCGCCTCGCCCGCCGCGCTGCCCGGGGCGGGGGTTGGGCCTGGTGTGGCGGTTGTGGTGCCTGCTGCTGCTGCTGCTCCGGCGGCGTTTGGGCCGCCGCCGGTGTTGCTGTCGACTTGCTCGAGGGAGTAGCCGACGTCGCCGTCGCGGCCGGCGGCGGAGCTGCTGCGGCGGCCCTTGGAGACGGGGGCGGCGGCGCGGCGGAACATCTGCGGGATGCGCGTGCGCGTGAGCGAGGTGGCGGCGATGCCCGTCTCGGTGTGGATCTGCTGGAAGGCGTCGAACTCGGCGAGGAGCGTGTTGAGCGACCGGAGGAACTCGATTGGCGTGTTGGAGTTCAGGTCGATCACCGCCGGTAGGGAGATTCCTAGGAGGAGGTAGTTGGTCGCGCGCCGGCCTAGTTTGCGCGCGTCGAAGTAGGGCATGCGCAGCAGGTCGGGCTTGTCGAAGAGGAGTGTGTTGAACCAGTAGATACGGCCTTCGTGCCTGTTTTGGGTGGTTAATGCACTGTTATCCGGGATTGGATGTGGGGAGGAGGATGTGGGGAGGGGAGGCTCACGCCTTTCGTAGATAGTCGAGGGTTGATATCCTCTTGCTGGCGGTTTCTTGTATGTGCTGGTGGACGACGTTCAGCTCACCGCCCTGCTGTCCCATGCCGGCACCACTGAGCATAGACCCCGAGCCGCTGGCATTGTAGCCGGGTATCGGCGTCGCGGCACCGCGGCTGAGCATCTTCGAGAGGCCGTCGTTGGTCTTGGGCGAGGGGTCGGGAAGCGGTGGGACGGGGTCTTCAGAATGCAGCTGGGTCGTAGACGGGCGGTGGGGAAGAGTGGAAACGGCAATTCCGCCGCCATCGGCCGGTGGCCCGGGATTCGAGGTGGCCGAGTCGGCACGGCGCCTGGTCTTCTTGCTGGGTGACGATGACGACAAGAAGACGAAGGACGATTTGCGGCCAAACGAGGGCTTTCGATCCTTCGTTAGCGTCCTCGGTTGACGGGCAGTTCCGCCGGTAACTTCCTCGCCCGGGCTCGTCGGTTGCTGGGCTGGTTTGCTGGTGGGGGAAAGCGGGGGATTCGTGTTTGTGTTTGTGTTTTTGGTGTTGTCGGTGCCGCCGCCGCCGCCAAAAATGGACGAGAAGAAAGGGGCGGCCGACGGTGTCGGAGTGGCTGCCGAGCGCTGCATGTCGTGCGTCTTTTAGAGTTAGGCGGCCCTGTTCAGGTAGCGAAATGCAGCGCTATCATTTGCTGTTGCGGTTTTAGCGCCCCAAATCCGGCAAGAGGCGCCGCTGGGCTGGAAGGTGGGGTGTAGGTTGGGAGGGTCCCGTCTTCGCAAGGGCTGGACGAAGGTCGGTTGAAGTTTGAAGTGAGCTTGGGGAAGAAAACCAGCTTCAAAAAACGACAACGAAAGAGGTTGAGGCTCGGAATAATATTATACAGGATGCACGAGGGAGGAGGGAAGTAGGTGGCTGCGGTCCACTGTTATAAAAAGCTTCTCCCATGAATATGGAAAATCGAGGGTCGCGCAACTTCAGGGATCTTCCACGCGCCGTGTTCCGTTGACAGGGTCTCTTCACCCTTGTCGTCCCATCTCATCCACGGAAAGAGAAGCCTTCGCGGCATGAAAAAAATGGCTTGGATGGGTTGCGATTCAGCCGCCAGAGACAAGTCACATAGTCTATCCAATCGCCCTGCGGTGAGTCTGTAGATCCCCGGATAAGCCGTTGATGGCTTCCCGAGGTAGGGAACTAGGTATGTACTACTACCCTGCCTGAGAACGGCGAAGCATTGTGTGATTGAGTCAGTGATTCGGCAATCTTGTCTGACCGGTATGTCGTCTGTACCTCGGGTGGCACCCATCACGCTGCACGAGAAAGCAAGAGCTACCTTACTTGGGTTCCATTCTTCCACCTTCTAATTTTTCGGGGCAGACAGAGTTTCCAGCCGAGACGCGGCACCTAGCGCGCTGCGGACCTCTCGAGGGGTGGGGGAGGGGCAGGAGGGGCAGTGATGGATGCCCAAGAACCGGAGCTGCTGATGGGCACCTTTAGGGCCTCGCTTGCGGGCTGGATTCAAGCTCCGCAATCGAGTCGGGTCTCTTAAATGAGCCACCTTGCTTTTCATCACCAACCCCTTTTGTTATCGAGAGTTATTATCACTTGAAACCGGTACGCCAACACGGATATCTTCCACCCATCGCCTCAACGAAGTGCCATTGCCCAGGTCAAGCACAGTCCTGCTTTAAGCCCTCGACCAGCCCGCGCCTCAGTTCGTGTTAGAGCCAAATATTTGGACCATGGCTACCGATAATGTACTTCCGCCCGGTGATCCTGCACCCGAGCTACTCGAGGGGCGTCTCTGGGTTGACGGCTGTTTTGACTTCTTCCACCACGGTAAGGTCCCACCAGTATCCCGCGGCTAGACCATAGCTAGTTGCTCATCCCCGCAGGACATGCCGGTGCTGTAGTCCAAGCCCGCCAGCTGGGCGACGAGCTCTACGTTGGCGTCCACTCCGACGAGGCCATCCTCGAAAACAAGGGGCCAACCGTTATGAACCTCAAAGAACGGTGAGTAACCACCTCCCTTCACCCCCATCCACCCCCACCCCACACACACCTCCCCGGGCACTAACCCCAACCAACCAGCCTCCTCGCCATCGACGCCTGCCGCTGGGTGACCAAGTCGATCGCGCACGCGCCGTACGTGACGCAGCTCGACTGGATAAGTCACTTCGGGTGCAAGTACGTGGTGCACGGAGACGACATCACGTCGGATAGCAGCGGCGAGGACTGTTACCGCTTCGTCAAGGCCGCCGACCGCTTCCGCGTCGTGCGCCGCACCCCGTCCATCTCCACCACCGACCTCGTCGGCCGCATGCTGCTGTGCACCCGCGGCCACTTCATCCAGTCGCTCGAGCGCACCCTCGCCGGCCTCGACGGGCCCGGCACCGAGGCCGAGCGCCGCGCTGAAGGTGAGGCCATGACCGAGCGGGTTCGTCTTTATGCGACCGATGAGACCGCCAAGGCGCCCGGCGCCGATGTCTGGTTCTGGGGGGCTGAGAGCGGGTTTAGGGAGTTGTTCAAGGGCGCGGGGCCGAAGCCGGGACAGAGGGTGGTCTACGTGGATGGCGGGTTCGATCTGTTCTCGAGCGGGCACATCGAGTTCTTGCGGCTGGTGACTGAGGCGGAGGAGGTGCTGGCTAGGAAGGACGGCTGGTACTCGGAGCAGGCCGTGAACGAGAGGAAAGGCAAGGGCGCCGACTACGGCCCCGTGTTCGTCGTGGCGGGCGTCCACGACGACGCGGTCATCAACAAGTGGAAGGGCGTCAACTACCCCATCATGAACATCTTCGAGCGTGGTCTATGCGTTCTGCAGTGCCGGGTAAGTCTGCTTGGAGCTGTTCAAGATGGCTTTGACTAATGAGTTTACAGTACGTCAACGCCGTCGTCTTCGGCGCCCCCTTCACACCCACCAAGGGCTACCTCACCTCGCTCCCGTGGGGCACACCGGATGCCGTTTACCATGGCCCGACATCTTTCATGCCCTCTACCGAGGACGTCTACACCGAGCCCAAGGAGATGGGCATTTACCGCGAGATCGGCCATCACGAGTTCGAGGACGTCAATGCCGGAACCATCGTGCAGAGGATCATGAAGAGCCGCGACATGTACGAGGCCCGGCAGAAGGCCAAGGGGATGAAGGCCGATCTCGAAGCTGCCCACAAGCAGCGCGAGCTACTTGAGGAAGAGCAGCGAGCGAAGGAGGCGGCGCGGTAGAACACGCGTCGTTGAGCCGTGGTCCGGAACCAGGTCCTTCGAGTTCTTCAACCACGAAGTGGGAACGGCAGGATAAAAGGAGCGTGTGGCTTCAACAGGCCTCAGAACTGTTATTCGTATAGACGGTCTTTATAGACATCAAACCAACAAACTATCTAATATTGAATAAAATAAAATAGAGGATTGGACAGTCCATCAGATACCATAACGCATTGTTGAGTCATCAACGGGGTCACGCGACGATTTACGCCGGTTCCACCTCAGAGCTTGACTCTATAAAGGTTTATCATCACCTAGACTGTCCGATCCTTCAGAACCCGGCCAAGCAGCCAGCAGCGTGAACAAGGGACCTCCTGCGAAGCCTAGAGTTTGTGTTTGTCTAGCTGAGTGCCGACCGCGAGACACGGGAACCGAAACGATCCTGTGTTGGTTGAAGCCCCCCTCGCACCAAGAATGAGCCCCGTCGAGTTACTCGCCGCTGTTTCCAGACGGCGAGCAATCGCATTTCTGTGAAATCTTGACGAAATCTCTCGAGCCAGCCATGACGCTCCCAGCCCAGACCGGACCAGCGGCAGCCCACCATCAACCAGTTACCCCAGCGACAGGTACAGCAAATCACGCCCCAGACAGCCAGAGCGCGGACTCATATCTTCGTCCAAGTGGTGTCCGGCCCGGGAATCGGACTGCTGTAAACCCTGCACCAGAGAAGTCGGCCGACTTTGGAGTGGATGGGCCGGGCGGTGCCAGACAGGCAAGGAACAGACGGCCGAGATCAGCCGCAGTGCTTCTATGGCGGCGCGTTTCCGCGACCAGCTTCCGAGTGAGAGAAGGTGGGTGTCCGGGGACTTTTCCCAAAGCTTGTGTGAAAAATGAAAGAGTGAATAACTCTCTCCGTGTGTGAGCTTCGAATAGCGATTTTTTGGACGAGGGGGGGCTTGCAGAAAGAGGAAAGAAAATAAAATCGATTTTCAGAGATCGAGATTTTTTAAAGTGGTGCATTTTTCGGGAAAGTGGGGCAGCAAGCACGGTCCAAGCTTTGCTGCTGCAGCTAGTAGGGGTGTGTGCCTAGCAAGCTAGCGAGTTGAGGCTGGGAATCCAAGCTCAATTCCGTCGAAAAGCATCCAAAGCGTCAACAGCAGCAACCGACCTCTGCTGTCAACACATCAGCTCCACGACAACCACATCCACATACATTGTCGATTACGCACGATTTGCCCAACCGAAACCAGAAACAACAAGCGGCGAGCAGTTAATTGAGAAGCCACCACGATGGCGGGCCTTTTCGGATCGCAGCAGACGGCGGCGAGCAACACGCTCGGCGACCTGAAGCAGGACGTTGAGCTCGGGAGCCCGCCCGAAGACAGTATCTCGGCCCTTGCTTTCAACCCAAATCCGAACGACCAAAAGGACTTGCTGGCCGTGGCAAGCTGGGACAAGAAAGTTCGCATCTACGAAATCATGAGCAACGGTCAAGGCCAAGGGAAGGCCCAGATAGAGCACGACGGCCCGGTCTTCTCGGTTGACTTCTTCAAGGTGGGTTAGCATTGCTTTCAATTTCAGTGCGGAATGAGGGTCTGACGGTTTCAAAGGACGGCCAAAAAGTCATCTCGGCCGGCGCCGACAAGCAGGCCAAGGTCCTCGACCTGGCCACCGGACAGACGGCACAGATAGCCCAGCACGACCAGCCGATCCGCTGCGTGCGGTATTTCGAGGCCAACGGCACACCGATGGCAGTCACTGGTTCGTGGGACAAGACGGTCAAATACTGGGACTTCCGGAGCCCACAGCCCGCCGGGTCCGTCACTTGCCAGGAGCGCGTCTACACGATGGACGTACGACAGAATCTTCTGGTCGTCGGCACCGCCGATCGGTACATCAACGTGATCAACCTTGGGGAGCCGGCGAAATTCTACAAGACACTGCAGAGTCCGCTCAAGTGGCAGACACGCGTCGTCAGCTGCTTCACCGACTCACAAGGCTTCGCCATTGGTAGTATCGAGGGCCGTTGCGCGATTCAATACGTCGAGGACAAGGATTCCGGGTAAGCGACTTCTTTTTCTTTTCCAATCGACACGTCCCCCGCCCCGCAAAACTGTTGACTAACCTCCCTCTCTCCAGCCTCAACTTCTCGTTCAAGTGTCACCGCGACCCGCCGCAGGGCAGCGTGACCAACGTGTACGCGGTCAACGACATCTCGTTCCACCCGCAGCACGGCACGTTCAGCACGGCGGGCAGCGACGGCACGTTCCACTTCTGGGACAAGGACGCCAAGCACCGGCTCAAGGGGTACCCGCAGGTCGGGGGCAGCATCACGGCGACCAAGTTCAACAAGACGGGCAACATCTTCGCCTACGCCATCAGCTACGACTGGTCCAAGGGCTACCAGGGCAACACGAGCAACTACCCCAACAAGGTCATGCTGCACCCCGTCCTGCCGGACGAGTGCAAGCCCCGCCCCAGCGTCAAGAAGAGGTAGAGCCCGTCGACGACGCCGCCCCGGGGCCAGCGAGGATGGTTGTTCGCGCCGGAGGGGCCCGCGGAGCCCGCGGAGAGCGACATGGTGCCGAGTAGTACGGAGTACGATGTAGCGGCGGCTCACATGAGCATGGCGCGAAGGGGTAAGTTTAAGTCGGTAAAGTCGCGCAGGGTGTGAAGTTGAGGACCAGGGAGGGAGTGAAAGATACCAATGGAGATAACTAGTACACTTGAATTGCTGAGAGAGTCGGTGGGTGGTGGTTAATGAGGTGAGTACGTGGGCAGGCGCAGGGTCGAATTTCACAATGGCGAGGAAAAGGGGCTTCCAAGACACCCAGGCTAGATAGGTAGGCAGACATTCTGCATTCTGAGACTCGGTCCGTGGCGAATGTGAAATAAAACAGCCTGAAGAAAGCCCGCGGTTGAGCACTGGGCCCGCCTTTCAAGTGGAGCAATTACAACCATAGTAATATCGTCATGCCATACAGCAACAACAACAACAAATCATGCACTTCCCACCACCTAAGCTAGAAACCCATTTTCTCTCCCCCCAAAAATCACCGCTCACCACCGTCACCCAACCCCAGGCACCCCCTAATTCAAGCTCAAGCGGGCGCAGCCCCCTTCCCCCCATTCCTCCCCGCCGGGCCGAGCACATCATCAACCATACCCCTCCACAGATCACGAATCATGCCCGCGCCCATCTCATAACTCTCCTCCGCCTCCGCCTCCCTACCCAAGAGATGCGCGAAGCCCAGCTCGACACCATCGACCCCCATCCCTTCGACCTCGGTCAGCGCGGCGGGCAGCACGCGCGACGGGTCGGCCGCCACGACCAGGATCTCGGGCTGCCGCAGCGGCTCGTCGGCGGCTTCCGGCTGCCGGAAGTGCAGCGGCGAGGGGGAGGCGTTGTCCGGGAGGAGGGGGACGCGGATGTGTGCGTAGGGGTCCGTGGTGCCGGTGGTGGGTTCGAAGAGGTCCGGCAGGATGGCGCGGTCGATGGTGCTGAAGGTGGGTGCGATGGGTTTGGGGGCCGAGTGGTGGAAGGTTTGCATGAAGGGGATTGTTTTTGTGGTCATGGCGGGGGTGGTTTTGGGGACAAGAGGGCGGTGGGGGGTCGTGGCGGCCGTGGAGTGTTGACGCTGGGAAGGGGGGGAGGTGTGTTAGTGGGCTGAGCTAGACTGCGTTTTGGGCGTTTTGATGGTGGATGCTTACTTCGGAGGGCTCGTCAACGGCGGGCTTGGTTATCCTGCCCGCGCCGGTGGCTGCCGCAGCTGCTTTTGATGCATGGTTGAGAAGGTGGCTCGGCCGGGCCACGGCGGGTGTGGTGCTGAAGCAGCGGGCAAGTTGGGACACGGGAGCTGTAAGTCGTGATGACATGGCGATGGGGTTGTGTGGCTCGGACGGATTTACGGATAGTTTTTGGGTGGATTTGGTTGATCGAAAGCGATCTGAATCGGGATGATAGACAGGCGCAGCAGGAACAATCGGGCAAGCAAATGCTTTGAGTGTGGCAGACGGAGGGGAAGCTTTGAGCACCTGACTCAAAGGGGGAAGGCAGGTATAAGTGACCAAGCGGACTCCGACTGGGGAATGGTGGAAGGAGCTCCCGCCAGATCAGCGTTGCGTACCACAAGTCTCCCACCCCTCACACTTCCCTGACGCAGGTGGGCCGCTTAAATTTGGAGCCATGGCCTCGACGTGGTTGCACAACGAAGCTTGGATAAATCGTCGTGCTGCACTGGCAGTCTGCAGACGAGACAACAGCAACCATTGGTGTTACGTCCTGGATTGTTTCATGGTCCAATGGATCGAGGCCCCATGCCGATCGGGTCTTCGATCGTTCCGGTCCCTATCTCTTCCCACGGCACTGATCTCTCGTGAATGCCGCCCCCGAATTTGGCATCGAACTTGCTCGCAGCTCCAGACTTTTTGCCCATGCGCGTCTCAACGATACCCGCCGGTTTCGCTCACCTCCCCTTGTCGCTTTCATCTCGACAATCCCAACGGACGGGGCTGTCAGCTCCCTGACCCCGGCCAATTGCGCAGCGCTGACTGGCGGTGAACCCACATTGTTGAGGGAGCTTGGGCCATCCAAGGTCCCGCCCATTCGGAGGCGGTCAACCTTCAACAGCTGGCATGAGACCTTATCTGTATCGAGTCTAGCGCTGGTTCCGGACTCCGTCAACAAATCTCGGGTGCAGCAAACCGAGTGCCGGACCGTTTCGGACCGAGTCCCGGCCACCTGAAGAACCCAATGATGGATCCCACGTTTTCGAGAGAATTGTCCGAGTCATCCGATATCTTTGGATGGCCGCCCTTGGCGTGATTTATCCCGAAAGAAAGGAAGAACGAGGAAAAGAAGGGAAAGAAGATGGTTAGGGATTTAGTTATATACCTATTCTATCTGATCTGACATCTGACCGTCTGACCACTTTATCAGGGTTAGGGTTAGCTATAACCCCTTTCGGCATCGGAACTCCGTGGTTCTCCGACCCCGTGGGGTTGTCGATGACTGACATCCGTCAGAATGGGGTTGAGGCGGGTTTCCCGAGGCCCCCATCATCAACCTGGTGCCGTGCCAAGGCCGCAGAGCCGCAGACTCCCTCGGGCAAACAGGTACGAGCTGGAGAGAGGGAGGCAAGCACATGCCGAGGGCGTGGAAGATTCCCCCCTCCAGTTCCTCCTGTTTTCCAAGGACCTTGGCAATGGCTACTGTGGAAAGCAAAGGTGTAAGTGGATGAGACTTTCACATGTGTATACCACGTGGTGGATATGGACTTGTTCGAAACGGTAAAGTGGACAGTAGATGCCAAAAGATCTGACAAAGACGACGCGAAGGGGAAGCTAAACACCATGTAACATTATAGTTCTCTGCCATACCTAGGTACTCAGCCACCAAATTTTCCTTTGTATTCTGTTTGAAAAAACAAAGCTAATACTGCTTCTGTAGCCATTCCCTTGTGAGAGCATGAGCACCCTTCCACCTCACCCTTCCACCTCGAGACGACCCAGGCCAACTACGGCTATCCCTAAGCACAGCCGCACCATATACCGCCGCCTAGTCCACCATCGTGAAGGTGTTTGTTGGAGAAGCGAGCAAGAACAGAACATGCTCGCACCTTGTTGTGATTCCCTCCTACCTGTTTTCCCCGTGATACTCAGTGTGCCTGCCCATTGTCACCGAATGGCATCCCCCAGATTACTCGCTGGTGTCTCCTTCCCGTAGCCATGCCGTAGATCGAAACGCTAACACCACGCCCTGGTCTGGTATTTGCCTCTGGGGAACGAGGGGCATGAGAGCCTGCCCAGCTTTTCTAACACTGTTATCTGCTCGACTTGGCCGCATTCCATTTTTGTTGATGCGGACTTGCTCTAAACCGCCTCGACCGACCATCAAATATCATCTTTTCGAGCGACAAAGCAGCCGAAGCAGCATAGTCATTGCAATATATTCACGATGAGCGGTTGCGGTACTGCTGACAATCCTGTTTGCATCGAGGAATACAGCTACGATGGCAAACCCGAGCAGATTATAGGTCTCCTCCTAAGGGGAACCCCGACAGAGCGCGGCAAAACGTACGGACTATGGTTGAGAGATGAGATCAGGGCGAATGTCACCCGGCACAGAGGGCACCCGCATTTGCCGTCGTGGTGAGTCGAGAGCTTCTAGAAGAACCAACGAGGAAGCTAATCGTTATAACTAGGAGCTTTTGCATCGACATGGCGAAAGTGCACTACATACCCGGCCTAAAGAAATACTGGCAGAGTGGGTGGATGGAACTGCAGGGAATGTCGGAAGGCAGCGGCGTCCCCATAGAAGACTTGGTTGTCCTTAACGCATGGGATGACCTCGCGGCGCTCCAGATTCCGCTCGCGGAACGCACGAGTGAAAGCACCACCGCCTTCTTTTCCAAGCGGGCGACGGCCGACAAGGTCCCCATCCTTGCGCATTCGTGGAGCTCTTTGGCGTACCCGGCGGACGCGGAACTCCTAGTCTGCCTCGAGATCCAATACAACCCCTCCGAAGAGAAGCCCAACATCTTCATGGTGACCGAGGCGGGCAGGATCAGCGGCTGCGGCATGAATGCAAAAGGCGTGGCGGCGACGGGCAACTGGCTGCTCTCGACGGACGACATGAGCCTCGGAAAGAATAGCAAGGAGTTTCCCATGACGTGCTTCGAGCGCTTCGTCCTTGAGTATGCTAGCGTCAATGGAGCGCGAGATGTCGTGGATGAGACCTCCCGCCACAGCTCGAGGCATATTCTCGTCGCGGACGGAGCTGGATGTTCAGCTTCTCTGGAGGTCGGCCCGGAGCACATTTTCTTCCACGGCGGCGAGTTCGGCAGCAGGGCAATTGTGCATGTAAACCACTTCCAGTCATTCGATGCATTCTCCTGCCGCCGCGAGATAAAGGATCGGTACGAGGGCAAATACAGCCAGTTCAGGCTCTCCCGATTCAGCGAGCTCATCAAGCGGAACGATGCCGATGTGTCCATGCAGCAGATCATGGGCATGTTCTCAGACCATGAAGGTAAACCGGAGAGCATTTGCGAGCACGGGGATAACTTCTTGAGCCCCACGACGATGGCGTTCGTCGTGTTCGACATGAAACGGCGGGTGATTTCGGTGTGCAAAGGACCCCCGTGCGAGGGCGCCATGTCGCACTTCACCTTCAGCAGGGAGGAGCACAGCAGGGAGGAGCACGGCAGGGAGGGGCACTGCAGGGCCAACAAGAAGAAACCGGGACACGCCTACTATGGTGATATGGACGACAAGATGTTTCAGTCGGAGCTCGACAAACTGATGGCGGCTGCGAAAGCGGATGCCGCCCGCGAAGGCGGTGCGAACATGCCGCTCACCAACGGCCCCGTTAGCGAGGCTGCCCGCTCTCCGCCCCTAGCTCCAGTTCGGCAGGACCTTGTCACGATAGCCGCACAGGGCCTCATGGCCACGGATATGGACTGGGACGACACGCCGCCCCCGGCCTCTGACTCTCCCCAGGCTCCGTCTCGGGATCGGGCTGCGTCTCCAACCAAGGGCGTGTTGGCACCGCCTGGCGGAGATAGGAGCAAGCTAGGGTCGAGCGACCAAGAGAACCCCAAGCGCAAGACACCACCAACCTCGCCGGTATCCGAGATATCTTCACTTCAGGCGCTACTCGGTTCGGTTTCGAGCGGGAACTTGGAGAACCAAGAGAGTGGTCGTCCGGAGAAGAGGACCAAGTTCTGGGATCCGGCTAGGGATGAGGTGCAGAATTAGTACTACCCCAATTATGGCTTCACCGTGTAGAATTTGTAATGTAGTAACTTGAGGGGAAAAAGAAAAAAAGAGAAAAAAAGACGTGAATCATGAACAGGAGGAAGCTCCGGAGTGAAGACCGTTCGATGCCAAGGAGTGATGCACGCGACCCCTGCTCTCCTCTCCCCCCGGTCCACAGCTCGTTCAGCCCAATGGGCCGCACCCAATGAACGGGCAGCCTGTCCCCGGGCCCTGTTTGAGCAAGGGTCCAGGCCGCAGCCACAGGCCGACCGGCATTCTTTGTGGTCAAGCTGTCCTCAAGCCATTGGTGATGCGCCCGTGTTGGTGCTGACGAACCTTGAATCTTCAATTCGATCCCCGATCCCCAACTTCTTGCGCCTTGCTGCGCGCACTCGTTAACTAGCGATGCGCATGCGAATTGACCTCTGAGACGTTCCTTTACCCGACCGACAGACTCGGAAGTCACCCTCCCTCCCCATTGAGGGGCTCCAGCCCGAGCCTAATTCTGGTGTTGGCGCTGCACCGACGAGGGACACATCTCCCCACGACGAACAACCCGAGAAACTACCTACGAGAGCAGTGACCGCGCGGCCACACCACCACCGCCATGATGAACGACTACGACGAGAAGCGCCACCTCGACGACGACTCCTTCGGCGCAAAAGGCGGCATCGTCAGCGCCTTTGACGCATTCCGTACGCCTCTCCCCCTCCCCCTTGTCCATACCCCCACCACCACCACCAACACCACCATACTAACCACCCACCCCCCCACCCCATAATAGCCAAAGCCAAACCGCAATACGTCACGCACACCTCCTCGGGCGGCAAATGGACGGTGGCCATGGCGCTGATCAGCACGATCCTCTTCTGGACCGAGCTCTCGCGCTGGTGGCAGGGCACGGAGCAGCACACCTTCGCCGTCGAGAAGGCCGTCTCCCACGTGCTGCCCATCAACCTGGACGTGGTGGTGCGCATGCGCTGCGCCGACCTGCACGTCAACGTGCAGGACGCCGCGGGCGACCGCATCCTGGCCGCCGGCGCCCTCACGCGCGACCCCACGGTGTGGGCGCACTGGGTGGATGGCCGTGGTGTGCATCGCCTGGGGCGTGATGCGCAGGGGAAGGTGGTCACGGGTGAGGGGTATGCGGTCGAGCATGATGAGGGGTTTGGCGAGGAGCATGTGCATGATATTGTGGCGCTGGGCAGGCAGCGGGCGAAGTGGAGGAAGACGCCGCGGTTGTGGGGGGCCGAGGCGGATAGTTGTCGCGTGTTTGGGAGCCTGGAGTTGAATAAGGTGCAGGGGGATTTTCATATCACGGCGCGGGGGCACGGGTATATGGAGTTTGGGGAGCATCTGGATCATAACTGTTCGTCTTCCCTTTTTCTTTTTCTCCTCCCCCAACTCACGCGACCACCACGCAACTAACTAACCAACCCAACCCCACCCAACCACAGCCTTCAACTTCTCGCACATCATCTCGGAGCTCTCCTTCGGGCCCTTCCTGCCCTCGCTGGTCAACCCGCTCGACAGCACGGTCAACACGGCCCCCGGCCACTTCCACAAGTTCCAGTACTACCTCTCGGTGGTGCCGACCACCTACAGCGTGGGCCACCCGGGCGAGCGCGGGTCGTCGGCGCTGCTGACCAACCAGTACGCCGTCACGGAGCAGAGCGGCGCCGTCGCCGAGAACACCATCCCCGGCATCTTTGTCAAGTACGATATCGAGCCCATCCTGCTCAGCATCGTCGAGACCCGCGACAGCTTCTTTGTCTTCCTCATCAAGGTCGTGAATGTCGTCAGTGGTGTGCTGGTTGCCGGTCACTGGGGGTTCCGGCTGAGTGACTGGGCCAAGGAGGTGTTGGGTCGCCGTCGGAGGGGGCATAGCGAGGGGATGCTGGGGAGGAAGGGGGATCATTCTGAGGAGTAGGGCTGGGGCGGGTTTGGGTGGGGGAGGGAGGCGGTATAGATAAGAGTATTTAACTGCGTTTTTGTTTTTGTTTTTCTGTTTGGTTATATGGGATTTTGCATTGCTACTTGCGCGAACATTGTAAAGTACGCCTCCACGTCCGCTGTCTTCCAGGCCGGCTTTTTTCCCTCACCCATCTCTTTAACTGTGAACAGAATGCCGCCTGTGTCGTACTGATTGTGGCTGCCTTTCAGAACAACAGCTGTTACACTTGGGAATGATACGGGAAGAGATAGTTGGCCGCTCCGAGACTGGACGTTCATACCCCTTGGCGTGGGTTATGGGTGGGCTAACTATAAATTGCCGAACCCGGGGGTAGGATCCTGTGCTACCAACCTATTTTCAAGGTATGTAAGCAGGATGTTGCATCCGATTAGAGCCTGCTAGTACATAGAGCCAAGGTAGAGTTTAGTAACATTGGATTCTACTACTACCATACTTATAAAGGCCACAATTATAGGAACCGCGTATTTATGTCAGCGGCTGCAGGTACTCTGGGCGGTAAGCGTGCAAGGGATGCATTCAGACCTCCTGACTTCCGATACTCCAACTCAGGGGCAGTTTCCAGGAGGTCACCGAACAAATCAATAACCTACCAACAACGTAGCTTAGAGTGAGTACCTTGCTGGGTGAGAATGAGGATGCGGAGAGATATAGGGGGCAAAGTTATAGGAAATCCTAGCTGGGAAGCTCTGGAGCGGGAAACCTTACGAGGTAGCCAGGCGTACGACGATATCACGGTAGCAGGTCTTCGGCAGATGATTGGGCCCATGACTTCTATATTCAATGTCATCCACCATCTCGGCGTCCCGAGTGACTCTGACTAGTAATGAATGTGACTAAGAAATCCGCAACTATATCCGAACTGCAACGGCTGAGCAGCCGTCATTCACTCATTGATGCCCTTGGAGTTCCCCCTTTCCTGGACGTCAAGACATCCTCATTCAGTCCAGCACACGTTTGAGCCGGGACCGGGCTGGCACTGCATGCGGCCACCGCTGCAGGCCCAGCAGCCGTAGTCGCCGAGGCACTGGCACTTGCCCGGGCTGCAGTCCGCGTGCGGTGGCTTAAAGGCGCCGTCACACCTCTTATCCACACCTCCGGAGCGGCGCTCGACGACGGACTATGATAGGAAAAGGGTGTCAGATTGGGCATCATGTTAATCGGGTTCCGGGGCGGCTTAAGCTTACCGAGTCGAGACCGACATAGACGAAATCGCCGTCCTGGATGGTTTCGTTGGAGTCAACATCCCTAGTGTTGGCAGTCGGGCTGGCGAAGACGCCGACAGCCGCGGCGGTAAGGAAGAGGACGAGCTTGCTTGAGAACTGCATTGTTGCGGGTGGGACTTGAGAGTGTTGAGTTGGTTTGATGAGAGTGTGATGAGGATGGTGAAAAGAGCAGAGCCAGACTGGGGACAGAAGGCCTCTTTATAGCCATGTTTCCATCGCCGTCAAACCTCGCAACATCAGTAGAAGGAGACAAAATAGAACGGCATCATTCCTACGATTCTCACCTGCCTCATTCAACGTGAACTCCCTCCCTCGCATAAAGCTCAGCCTCGAGATCAACGTGGAGGACGAGGTTAACCATCCCTCGCACAACTTCCACTGGCTTGACTCAACGTCGACGGCCTTCCTTTCGGTCTTTGTTACCAATCAATCTCGGGGTCAAGATGGGGTCCGAATCCGAGGTCGACTATCCTTCGTACAACTCACCGTCTTGACTCAACGTGGACGGCCTTCCCTCGGTCTTCCTTTCTTACCAATTCGCCTCGGGGTCAACATGGGGCCCGGACCCGGGGATCAACTATCCGCTAATGCACTCAGTTTCGAGATCAACAGGAGAAGTCTACATACCAGGACTGTTTGTGTAACTTGAACTTATTGAGCTGTCAGCATACCCCATATAAACACCAGAACAGAGCGTTGAATGGTTGCACGATATTGAGAAGGATTCGACGACACTGCCATGCTCCCCTGTAGTCATATTTCGTCCACCAACCGTAGTATTATGTAAAAAGATTACGCGTATAGCGTCTTGTTACCCGGGCACTACCAGGTTCCTTCAACAATGAATCATCGTCTCGGTTCACTATGTCAACATAGAAGATACGCCGCAGTGGGACCTTCTTGGTTGAACCCCTTCATAGTGCAGCCGATAGCGTCGATTTACCGGTTCCTCGTGCATCCATGTAGTTACCAGTTGTATAATGGTTGAGACCAAAAGGAAGCGGCCAGGAAAGGCGACGTTCGCCGGACATCTCGCCGCGACGAATCACGACCCTGGACTTAACGTTTCGTTACCTATACGAAGTACGGCAGAGCTGATGTCGATCATCTCCGTCTGTTGCGTCAGACCAAGTGGCTGGTAACGTTAACCCTGTGTAGAGCCCGACTCCCTATGTACCTAAATTGGAGTATGGGGCCTCTGAAGTTTGGGGGCCGTTTTCCCCCGGCCCCCAAGACTTGTTTGAACCTGGTCGGTTAGACATGTGGCATCACCAAATCCAGCATGCCGAACCGCGTTAACTCACTGATGCTCATCAGTTTAGGCACCCTCTGCCCAATTTAGTGACTTGTGTTTCTTGTTCCCAATAGGCAGCCTGAGCGCTCACCCGAATGCCTTCCTCGTGCAAGCTCGGTCCTAAGGAGCTCCAGGAAACGAGTGTTGGGGCACCTACCTAAGGTATGAAAGAATGTTGAGAGATACGTGCTGAAGACCGCACCTACCTTCCACAGATCTTGTCGCAGTATTGGTTCAACATGAGGAATGCTTTGCGAGTTGGATCCATCCACACGGGATTACAGCAACAAACTCCTCTGCACCTATCAATTTCAGGGGCAATCCACATCCCACCCCGAAGATCAATCCCTCAACACGTGCTCAATACCGCTCCATCAACCACTGCCTGCGCTCGTCCTCGCCCATCTTGCCCAAAAACCCCAGCTCAAACTCCTTCAGCGCCACGTACCTCTCAACAAGCTCCGCCCCCATCATCTCACACAGCTCCCCATCCTCCCTCAGCGCCGCCAGCCCCTCCTCCACACTCTCGGGCAGCATCTGACTCACGCCCAGCTCCTTCCGATCATTCGCCGTCAGCCGCGCCGGATCGATCTCGCAGTCCCCCCACACCAGCACCTCGCGGTCCACCACCCCCTTCACGCCCGCGAACAGCACCGCCGCCACCGCCAGGTAGGGGTTGGCGAGCCCGTCCAGGCATTTCAGCTCCCAGTGGGCGCCGTCGACCTTGCGCAGGGGCGTCTCGCGGTTCTGCGTGCCCCAGGCCACCCACCGGCCCCCCGACCAGGTCCCGTCGGCTACGCGCTCGTAGCTCGCCGGGCTGGCGTAGGCGAAGGCCAGGATTGCGCGCAGGTGCTTGAGGATGCCGGCGTATAAGGGGCGGTAGAGCTCCGGCTTGTCGCCGCCGCTGCTGTCGCCGCCGGGTGAGGAGGACACGGACATGTGCATGTGGGAGGCGGTGCCGCAGGCGTTGGTGAAGGGCTTTGGGTGTAGGGTCATGCGGAAGCCGGCGGCGGTGGCGAGGGCGGACATGACGTCGCGGGCGTGGAGGAGGGTGTCGGCGGCCTGGACGGGCGGGTAGGGCGGGAGGACGAGCTCGAACTGGCCCGTGGCGCTCTCGGCGTGCAGCTGCTCGACGTAGATGCCCATGTCGGCGAGGGCGGCGACCATGTCGCGCAGGAGGGTGGCCACTTTAGGGCTGGCGAAGTACCGGCTGACGGACCAGGCGTGCCCGTCGGTGGTGAGGGACGAGTAGTTGTGGGGCTTCTTCTCGCCGCGCTCGAGGAGGAGGAACTCGATCTCGAAGCCGATCAGGAAAGAGAGGTTGTTCTCGGCGCCGAACTCGACGGCGCGTTGGAGGATCGAGCGGGGGCAGAGGGGCACTCGGGCGCCGGATTGCTGGCGGAACTCGCCGTGCAGACTGATGTGCCCTTCGATCGGCCCTCTCTTGAGGGAGGAGAAGTCCGGATGGAGGCGGTATTCTCCCGTCGGAGATGCACCGGGTACCATTGAGTCGTTCTGGAGCAGGCCGAATACGGCGGCGGTAATGCCGATATCCGTTGACTTGCCCTCGTTAAGGAGGGAGGCGAACTTCCTGAAGGGAATCATGCGCATCCGTTGCGACGCAGTGAAGTCGTTCCAGCAAATCCGGACAAAGTCGGGGACCGGCTGGTCCTTCAAGAAGGCGCGAAGAAGCTCGGCGTCGCTCTGATACGCACCCTGTGCGAGAGCGCTCTCTTCTTCCAGTTCGGAAAATTCAAGTTCCAGGTGGTATAACTTGTTGGCGTTCTTGAAGAGGACATCCCGGACCAGGTCGACTGCGGCCCGCCAGCCAATGTGGCCGTTGCGGACGTAGCCAGACAGGACCTGGAAGTGTTAGTCAGAAGTCGGGCGGACGATTCAGTAGAACCCACTGTTTCAAACACTTCGCGCATCTGAATGATGGCCAACAAGTATGTCTCGGGAAACCAGTGGCCATCGGTGCTCCAGAGGATCTTGGACCATGGGCAAAGCTCCAATATCTCGCGCAGGATCCGTTCTTGGCCATCCTGGCTCACACAGGGAAACACCTCACCGATATCAGCATAGACATTCTCGTAGACGGATGCCAGATACCCAGCCTCGCGAGTGAAGGGGTAGCCAGCGTGGAGAAGCACAATGGGGATAGTCGGGTACATCCGGATAAAGTTTTGTAGGAAGGACGGCGAGGAGCTGGGCAGGGCGAGGTCATTATCTCCCAGACCGGTATGGAACTGGATCGGCTTCTTCTGCCCGGCAGGACTGAGTTGAATCAGTTGAGCGGTGCGGTGCACTATCAAATCGTTCAGGCTCTTGGTCTGCAGTTTCTCAAAGTTCAGGAGCGCATAATTGGCGATGATCTCCTTGAAGTCCTCACGCGCTCGTTCCTCTTGGATCTCGTTGGTCTCGTTGGTAATGTCCAGTCCGGTCCGGTAGCAGATGACCGACTTGAAGCCAGCCACGTTAGGGTCCTCGAGGGCGGTCACGATCTGGGCCTCGAATTCCTGGGTCCATTCATCAAAGGCATCGTCATAGACGTCGCCGGTCCCAGTAGATTCCTTGCATGCACTACCGATCTGGCGGATAATGTCGGCAGCGACTTTTTCGATGCGCACAATGCGCTTGCATTTGCTCCGTGTGTAGTCGTCATGCCATGAGTACGCATTAGCACTATCCTCGGTATCTAAGCCGTCGTCGACGAGAATAGTCTCGATGCCGAACAGGCAGTCAGCGGTCCAATCCTCGGGGCAGTCCAGGCGCTTTTCCTCGATGGCAGCCACAACCGACTCCCTGGGATTTTATTAGAATTATTTTCTCGCAGCTTAATAGGCATCACCAGAAAGTTCCTACCAAGTGTAGCCACAACCCAGGACAGAAGCTAGCTGGCGGACGGCACGAAGATGGGGTAGTGAAGTAGTAGCCGACTCGATTGCATCACCATTAGCTTCGGTGGTTATGGCCAAAAGGGGCTTCTTGTTAAAAGCCTCCGACTTGAAGATCGGGTGTGCGTGATGGTCAATGATGGGAGTGCTGCGAATGGCTCGAGCGACGGCGTCGATCTGGGACGGCGTGGCCGTTGCACGCATACCAACCCACGAAGCCATGTTTGGAAGCGCTTAGGAAATTACCCTGATGATTGATGCCCGCTGCTGGGGAGGTTAGTTGATAAGAAGTTAAGAAGTGAGGTTGTACAGATGAGGGGTTGTTATGTTTGTGGTTTTAGATGTCAGTAAGCAATGTCGCCAAGACGCGATGATGCCAGTATGATCGCCTTGGGCTCGAGCACACACAGTATCGCCTCGTAAGGTAGGGATGCATGGAGCTCAGTTCAAGCCGTACCCTACAGTGCAAAATAGGTAGTTATTGTGACGGCGCATTACAAAAGGAACAGGTCCTAGGTTGTTTATTAGAGGCGCTGAAGATGCCCAGAAACAGGGTTCCGGATAGTTATTAATTTATCGCCCTTGTATACAGTACTGTATAGTTCCCTGTGAGGTTCCGATAAAGTCCATGGAAGCCAGAGGTCATTATTCATGAAGAACCAGATGGGAGAGTCGGGGAAATTGATGCCCGAAGCCAAGAGCTGCGGGGGTTCGACCCGCCCGAGGACGGGAACGACGACAGTAGATCTCTTGGCACTTTATGTCCCGATCTCGGTTTCTTTACAGGGTAGAAAATGGAAGGGCAGGAAAGGAGGCATTCCCGCTCAATCCAAACTCTTGCAAATATTCAAAAAGTGCTGGCCAAGCCTGCTACTGTGTAGGTAAAAATGGAAGACGTCATTGTCCGGAGTTTGGAAATTATAGGTTCATGTCCAGAGCACTCCGGAAACGACGTTGGCTTTGGAGATGATAGTAAGACGGGTAGGTATCAGATGTCTGTTTACACAGTCGGATGCAATACGACGTCCAATAACACTCCTTTCCTCAAAAGCCTTCGGAAACCGCAGACAACCACCACGAGTGTCGGAGCTCGGTCGTGGTTGACAGGCTCTACAGGGGTCTGCCGACTTGGCAATGCTTGTTTGCCCGCCAAGAGGCAAGAGTGTCGCATCGCAGTCCTGCAATTCGTCGCAGTGGTGGGGATTGGCACAGGCTCCAAAACAAGCTTCAGATGCCGAGGAAAGCCAAGCGATCTAGGTGTTTCCTCGATTGAGCCCATGGACGAATGTCACGTCATCTGCAAACCAGCTCGATATTCTGAGCGAGTGACAATATGGTATTTTTTGATGGACATACACAGTACACAGTAGCGCGGGCACGAATTGGCCTTCGGATAACCTTCCGGATTCCATCGCCTATTCCAAAACAGTCCCCACTGATCAACCAGCGACGACGCGTTCCCTCCATGCAACTGTCCGAAGAGACCGGTTTGGCAGCCGACTATCGTCCCACAAAGAATCGGGACGACCCACACTGGAACAATGGACTGTTAACCACCTCACCGTATTGCTACCAAGATACTATTATGTACCTTGTACCTCCGAAAGGAACACAGCCGCAAGAGCAGAATGGACTCCATTCAATGGAGTTCACGTTCCCACCCCAAGCTAGCACCCACACCCGGGCCCACGGCAACACGGATTCCAAGTTTTCCCATCTCCCTAATCTACATCTGTAACTTCGACCATCCGAAGGAAATATCGTGACACCGCACCTCCTCTTTGCTTTAATCATCCAACCTTTCATCACCACACTCTTGGGAGAACCTACATTTGCACTCCTTTTCCGCGTGTTGCGCTTCTCACTTAGTCACTCGCTTAGTACCTCTGTATCTTAACATGATTTTGGCCCGGCTCGTGATGGGCGCCCTTGCTGGGGCTGGGGCTGTAAACGCTGCATACAGCATCGCGTCAGATGGTGCGTTGCCGTCGCTCTCCGGCGATAACATTATGCAGAGACTGACAAGCGACCGACAGCCGATATCAAGCGAACAGCTTCGGACGTGGCATGGGATCTCCTGCAATACTACAAAGGCAACGAAACAGGACAGACGCCTGGAATCCTGCCCGGCCCTCCCCCAGCGGGCGATTACTACTGGTGGGAGAGCGGCGCCATGTGGGGGACGCTGATCGATTATTGGAAGTTGACGGGCGATGCGACATACAACGACGAGATCACGAGGTCGATGCTTTGGCAGGTTGGGCCGAACCGAGACTTCAAACCGCCCAACGTCACAGCCTCGTTGGGCAACGACGATCAGGCCTTCTGGGGCATGTCCGCCATGCTGGCCGCCGAAAACAACTTTCCCAACCCTCCGAAGGACCAACCACAGTGGCTGGCGCTTGCCCAGGCCGTCTTCTACACACAAGCCACCCCCGACCAGCACGATGATACATGGTACGTCGAGCCCACCCTCGTTTTCTCCCGATATAGCCATTTTGTGAATCGTAGCTAACTTTAGGTTGGATAGCAACGGCGGGTTGAGATGGCAGATTTATCTTTCGAACAACGGATACGACTACAAGAACAGTGAGGAGCCCCCCTATAAACTCTCGCAAAACATACCTAACACCAGCAAGGCATCGCCAACGGCTGCTTCTTCAACCTCGGCGCAAGACTCGCTCGCTACACTGGGAACCAATCATACGCCGACTGGGCAGAGAAGACATGGGACTGGATGAGGGGAGTCGAGCTCATGGACGACGAGTACAACATTTACGACGGCGCCCACGTCCAAACCAACTGCACCGACATCAACCGCGCCCAGTTCTCGTACAATAATGCCGTCTACCTCGAGGGTGCTGCCTTCATGTATAACTACGTAAGTCTTTGTCTCAGCACATACATACATAGCCAGCCGAACCGTAACTAACCCCAGCCGCCACCACAGACCAACGGAAGCGAGAAATGGAAGCAGCGCGTAGAGAGCCTCGCCGACGCAACAATCAAGACCTTCTTCCCGGACGACGTGGCGTACGAGATCGCGTGCGAGGAGCACATGTCGTGCACGGCCGACATGCTCAGCTACAAGGGCTACCTGCACCGGTGGATGGCGGTGGCCACGCAGGTGGCGCCCTTCCTGTCCGGCAAGGTGCTGCCCGTGCTCAAGAAATCGACCGAGGCCGCCGTGTCCACCTGCACGGGAGAGGCCAACGGCCGCACCTGCGGCTTCAAGTGGAACACGGGCGCCTACGACGGCAGCCACGGCGCCGGCCAGCAGATGAATGTGCTGGGGGCTGTGTCGTCGCTGTTGATTGCGCAGAGCGAGCCCCCCGTGACTAACATGACGGGCGGCACCAGCAAGGGTGATCCCGAGGCGGGGACGCACTCGGATCGGAATAAGAAGAATGAGTTGCGCCCGATCACGGCGGGGGATAAGGCCGGCGCTAGTATTCTGACCATTCTTGTTATTGTGTCGGCGGTGAGCACCTTCGGGTGGATGAGCACGGGAGTGTAATGGCGTGTGCGGTGAGGGTTGTTGTTGGGTCGTGGAAAATATGGTGGTGTTGTGGTTGGTCGTGGTTGTTTTATTTGTTTCAGGCCTGGCGTTATTATGGCGTGTGGATATCCTTTTGGTTGTTTTGGTTTTTGACGTTTCTTGTAGTTAATCTATTGCCAATCCACCCTTACTCCATGGGATGGCCTCCATGACCTGGACGGATTTTCTTCGTTTGTGGATGTTCCGTGTGCTGCCGCGGACGTTGAGGTCGGAGTCGGTGCCTTTTATCGCAGCTGCCGTCATGACCAGATGGCGCGGATAGCCTTGATGACCTTGCAGTCCGCCTTGTGCCCACCCTCATTCCACCCCTTGGCCTGGCACTCCTAAGCACCACAGCGTTAGGTACTACTCCCCCAATCGGCTCCATCCCCGGCCCCAGCAGGATCAAACTCACCTTGCAACAGTACTCGACCTCCCCACAACCAGTACACTTCATCAACGCCGCCTTCTCCCCCCCAGCCCCATCCTTCCTCGCCTCCCCACCGCAACTCTCACACCCCCTTTCCCCGTCCCCATCCCCACCCGCATCCCTCCCCCTCAACCACCCCCCCACCCTCACAACCCTCTCCACCCCCTTCGTCCCCCCACTCCCCTCCCCCTCCGCCTTCCCCCCTCCCGCCGAAGACGGCACCACCCTCACCCGCCCCTCCTCCTCCCTTGCGATACTCACAAACCCCTTACTCCCGTCCCCCTCCTTGGGCGGCGTGCGCCTCACCCCCGGCAGAACCAGCGTCGCGCCGCGGCGGTAGCCCAGCCGGGCGAAGTCGAGGGTGTCGGGGCCGGAGGCCGGGCGCGAGCCGAAGACGATCGCGAAGGAGGTGTTGGTGGCGTCGGTGCAGATTAGGGTGGGCTTGGTGAGGGTCATGTTTTGGTGGATTTGGGCGAGGAGGTAGTACTCTTCTGATGAGGAGGATGAGGGGGTGGTGGTGAGGGGGAGGGAGGTGAAGAGGGGGAAGGTGGTGGGGGAGGTGAAGTCGGGGAGGGGCATTGTTGTGGGTGGGTTGTGGGTGGTGTGGTGTGTCGTTGTGTTGTGGTGTTGTGGTGTTGTTTGTGGTGGTGGGTTGGTCAGCGGTGAGGTCGGCGTCGAGGTGAGATGCTGGCTTGATCCCGAGTCTCCTGCCAACAACTAATCAAATTCCCGGTTTCGTGGCGCAATGGCTAGCGCATTACTTTCCGGTTATACCAGCTGGTAAAGGCTCTGGGTTCGAATCCCAGCGAGATCGAACAACATCCGAGTGAAAGCTTGGAATTTTGAGTTTTTTTGATGCATTCTGTGTCGGTTGCCCCCGCTCACCACAGGCGGGGTTGTTTATGCTTGGTTGAAGTGCTCCACCTACAGCTTGGCATGGCCCTGGGGTACGGTACCATGCATCATAAGGGTGATGTTGCATGAGAAGGCTCGGTTGCATGATCCAGTTGGATTTGTTACTTAGGGACTACGCCTGTACTAGCATTTCCTCTCTCCCTCCTCTGCCTACTCCTTCAACGTGATTCCTCTGCTTCCTCCCCTTTCGTCGCTTCAGCCGCTTTCCCGTGCTTCAACTCGTACATAATGTCCGTCCGCATGGTGTACTTGATACCGGCCAACACATCGTCCCCCGAGTGCAGCAACCTCCTGTGCTGAAAGATGAGCACCCGTCCAGCCTTCGGGTTGACGTCGATCCTCCTCTTCTCATCATTGGAGAAGAAGGTCGTAGCACCCCCGACCAGATCCGCCCCCTCCACCTCGGCCTTGGAATCATTCAGATACAGGTGGATGGTGAACATGGTCCGGATGGTCCTCTCCGGATCGCTGGTATCAGCATACGCCGCGTCGCAGTGTGCTATCATCACTCAGTCAGCCTTACGTACTCGCGAAGAAGAGAAAAGAGAGGATCCCTCCACCCTCCCACCCCCCAAAAAGAAACCAAAACTCACGCTTAAAAAACCCGCCCTTCCCATACCTCAAAAACCGCATCCTTTCATTCACCCTCAAAAACACCCACCTCGCCCCCTCCCACTCCTCCCTATCCCTCCACCCAACCGGCCCCACCAAATCCGTTTCCCCAACCCCAATCCCCCCAAACCGCTCCCCCACCCCCTCCGCCTCCAAACACCTCCTCCAAACCCGATCCACCACCTCCTGCTCATCCCACACGATCCTATCCCCATTCCGATACCCCTGCTGCAGCATCTCAAACCCACCCCCGATATTCACCAGCGCCGGGCCCCAGGGGTCATCCACCCCATTCCGCAGCTCGCCGCCCTCTTCACCGGGGGGCGGCACGCTGGCCTCGGCGAGCGCGAGGAGGGTGGCGCACTCGGAGGGCGAGAGCACGTGGTCGAGCACGGTGGCGTAGAGGCCGGCGTACTCGGGGAGGGCGGTGGTCGGCCAGGGGATGGGGGTTGCCGTGATGGGGCGGGCGTCGGCGGGTTGGGTGGTGAGGAAGGAGGGGGGGATGGGGACGGCGGTGGAGGCGTATTTGGTTTGGATGGGGGTGTTGTGTTTGTGGGGGGGGGAGGGGCGGACGGGGGTGGGGGTGTAGGCGGCTTTGAGTTTGGCGAACATCTTCTTGGTTGGGTTGGTGAGTGGTGGGGTTGGTTTGATGGGCATTGGCTGGTGGGACTTCGTAGTTGTGGATGGGTTGGTTGTGGTGAGGGGTGCGGGACAGCTAGGTGAGTGATATAGAAATCTGGTGTCAGATGATGGCACGCGGCCTTGTTTGTGTCAATGTTGATGCCTGCGGGAAGTCCTGCGGCTTGGCACCAATGAGTCCTTCTCGGGGCTTGTGAAAACCCCTGTCACTTCCGGACGAATGTGAGCAGTCATCCCTGGGATCGCAGTTGAGGACAGATTCAATCCGCAAGAGTGACACAAGTTCATGAAGTTCTCAGCCTCCGGTTTGCGTTTGCTACTCGGCCCTGGCAACGTGTCAGTTCAGGGACCCATAGACAATCGATTCAACACCACTCACACCGTGGGAAATCCGGAAGCCTGAAGGTGATCACCCAGGCAACCCTCATGATCATTCCGTTGATTCATGACCTAAAGTGTGGCCATGTGTACGAAAATGCACTCTAGCCAAGGTATCTCCTCTATCTCTATGCCATGCCGCCCAAGCCGATCCCGTTCTGGTACCCAAACGCGCGCTTGACGCTAATCCACAACTCGAACGCCTCCAGCTTGATGCCCACCCTCATATAACCTAGCCACGCCGCGAATAGCCTGATGGCGTTCGGCGGCCAGTAGAGCGATCCCCGCTGGCGTATCTCCTCCAGCTGCTCGTAAAACACCGTCCGCATGCAGTACCGCGCGAGAATCAAGAATTGGCGTGCCGGTCCTTGTCGCGTGTGCAAATTCTCGTCCAAGCTTCGCGTGAGGTCGTTCGTCTTGAGGATGAGCAGAATGATGCGCGGCACTTGACCGAGCATCTGCACGAGGTCCACAAGCAAGCCCTCCTGCAGGGCGCCGCTCATCGTCTGCTGCTCGGTGGCCTCCTTGGGCTTGGTGATGGACGAGCTGACGACGCTGAAGTCGCGCCCCGTGATGGCCGAGGCGAACAATGGAAATTTGTCCTCGCCGATACCGGCGACCTCGTTCACGTACTTCTTCATGCGCTCCATGTCGCCGTCGATGACGGCCAGCCACATCTTGGCGTACGAGCGCCGCAGGGACTTCGGGATGTCCCGGTATAGGCCGTGGTCGTACAGGATCACGTCGAAGTTGGCGCCGCGCCGTGACGGGTTCTTGCGGATCGCGATGTTGCCCCCGTGCGGGTCGCAGTGCAGCGGCGCGTCATCCCCAAAGATCATCTCGTTGAATATCCTTGCCAGTGTGGCCGAGACCTCGTCGCGGTCGATTTTGCTCTCGTCCATGTATTCGAGGTCGTCGAGGCGACGACCCGCTTCGCAGGCCATGACGAGGATGCGCCTCTTGGCCCAAATGACATCCGGGATAACGAGCGGGAGCTCGGGGATGCGCGAAAAATGATCCTTTGTGCGCTTCGAGTTCTCCGCTTCGCATACAAAGTTTAGTTCGAGCGGAAGTGACACTTCGATCTCGGAAGATAGCCATTCGAGGTCGTATTCGGGAAAGAAGCGTTTGAGGGTCGAGAAGGTGAAATTGGTGAGCGACATGTCCAACTTGGACCATTGCTGCAGGCTCGGATGCTGGACTTTGACCGCCACCTTCTGCCCCGTCTCCTTGATTGTCGCCAGGTGCACCTGTGCCAACGATGCGGCCCCAATGGGCTCGGTCGAGAACTCGGAAAAGTAATCCCACAGCTCACTGCCTGTATCTTTCTTGAACATTTGCTCGATCGACTCGAACGAGGACACCGGGCACTTGTCTTGGAGGGGTATGAATGTCGTCGTCCATTCGGGGGGTAGGAGGTAGTTCATTGCGCTCTGCGGCAGGTCTGTCAGTGCGAGCTCTTCGTTAGGCCCTTAGGGACTTACCAAGTGCTGCCCCAGCTTGATGAATATCCCGCCATTTCTTTCAAGAACCTTCAAGGTCCTGTCCGCGCATCGCTTGTGGCAGGCCTTGAGTACGTGTTCCCTTTCCTCTACATCGTCAAGTTTATCCCGCTGGTTGAGTGTTGTTCGGTAGCTGTCATCGTTTTAGTATTTCGCCCGCCGATGGCTAGCCGTCAGAGAAGTGCTTACTCATTAATACATAGTACAAGAGTGGACGCCACCCTCCCCGAACGCTCCATGGCTTCGTATGTATTCTTGACATCGTCCCCGACCGAGAGCATCATCGCAGCCGCCCCTCCCCCGGCGGTTGCGAGAAGCACCGCCGTCCGCCGGCGCGATTTCGGCTTTGGTGATGTTCCGAACGAGGGTCCTGCAGTGCCATATCGCCTTGGAATCGGTGCTCGGGGGAAGTTGCCGGTGGTCGGTCTGGGGACCTGGCTGCGACACCGGGCGCACGTCCAGCCCGCGCCGAGGCGCTTCGCGAAGAGTGACGAAAAAGGTGGTTTCAGCATCGTGTGCGGTCGACGTCTCTCATTGCAGGTGTTTCCTAGCGCTTAAGGAAGGTGCACGCATCTCGAAAGGTGGACGTTGGGGCAAACTTGCAGGACTCCGCCGCAACAGCAACCCCTGCCCTAAATTTCGAGATTGGCATCGTCACATTCATTCGCAAGATTTTTGGGGACCGCGCCTCGGCGCGTCGGGTGAGATCGGACCAGGGGGCCTGTCATTAAACTATTACGGGTTAGGGCTGTATATGGGCTCTCGAAGGGCTCCAAGCACTTTCTTCCAAGGCCCGGGTTAGGGTTTAACACCCCGGTTCAACACCAACAACTCCCATCATCATCAAAATCCCGAAGCCAACAAGCCACCAAGAACCACACTGTTTTATTTCCCTCTTTTATTCTGGGACAATTGTATGGACTAATATGTACCTTTTGAATTGGTCCAACCCAAACACTTAACTGCAGCCACTTGGGTAGGTACTGAGGAGTGAACCTAGCAAGTGCCAGCCAAGAAAACAAGAACAAGCTCACCGTGATGATGATACGGGTCATAGGTAACAATACATATATCACCTACCTACCTACCTAGGTATGTATAGAACTCTTATTTGGAGCATTGACCCTTATTCATGTGTCTCTATGTACCTACCTAGGTATATACAGGACGTCAAGAGTCATTGACGTCATTGACATCATCCTCCATCCTTGTTACCTGACACTCGTTCGAAACTTGTCTCTCCTTGCAGTTGTGGTGGTTATTTAATTATCCAGCCCAACCCACCTGCCTTCCACTCTCCTTCAACCACCAGCAAACGACAGCGTAAAACAGTCCAGCGCAAAACAATTCAGTTCCCAGCACATTCACACACTTCAGTCAGTAAGCCGGCCACATCGACGAGTTAATACTGGTGAACTTTTGACTAACCCCCGACTTAGAAATGTCCGAGTCCAAGTCCGACAAGGTTGACAGAGTCAAGGCCAACCTGCCCCTTCCCGAGCAGCCTCCCGTCCCTGGAGACATGAAGTCAGCCAATATGAAAACCACATCTAGCACAGGGGTCTCTCCAGGTGACGTCTCGACAGGTCCTGGCGTCACCGCTGGCCTGCGAGAGCCAGCCTCCAAGGACTCCAACAGCATCGACATGAGCGGGATTGGACGCCAGGGAAAAGAGGGCCTAGAGCACCCTCCCAAGGATGCACGGAGCTGATTTTCGATATTGGAACATCCTCATGGAATAGGATGGTACTTGGAAGAAATGGTTGGTGATGAAGTTGTGCATATTCTCATAAATTAATTAGGTGTGTGTACCTAAATAGAATAAAATACATTGGCCGTTCGCCTGACTCCCGGTGATCATGCCCCCCTGACTATAATGCTCCAGAAATTGGAGTAACAGAACTCCACACATGAGGTTGTCGAGGCCTTCATCGCTATTTTTAACCCTTTTCATTCTCATCCAGTACTTATCACCCCTGCAGCACATCACTCCAGAGTCTCCAAATAACCAACAGCATATGGCATCCTCTACACAGTAGTCTTCATGGTCGTCCCATGTGATGAGCCAACCGTGCACGGGCCACATGCTCGCCCCTGAATAAGAAAAGGGGGGAAAGTAAACAATGAACTAGGGAATGCGACTCAGGGGCGTGAGTGGTGGTGCTTCATGGATTTGGATGTTAACGTTCAACATTCAAAGATAGTGCGGCTGAAGAGACACTAGACACCGGCCAAAGACCATGTGCTTATACTTCAAAGACCCGGCTGTGAGTTTCTCTGCGTTCATTTACCCCTTGATGTTTCTCTTGGGCATGCCGCTGACCTTTTGAGGAGAGAGGATTTGGGCAACATCGGTGATTGATTCTCGTTTTAGAGTTGTCGGTCTAAAATCACAAATACCGGGGTACCGGTCTGATGTTCAGGCACACTCTGAACCCCCCCCTCTAGGACCCGCTTCAGTCACTGTGCCTGTCCTTTGGTACTGTCCAGCTTAGGGTTGAGGGCTCTGCGCCCTTTTTTTTCTAGCAACTGCAACTGCAAACTGCAACAGACGTCGGTCCAGCAAACTTTGAGGACCAGAGAGGCACAAATATCTACTACATTTCCTCGCCTAGAAAGTTTCTCTCCCCATCCCCCACCTTTCAGCAAGGGAAGAGAGTATGGACCTCAACTCCAGGCCTCCAAGAACGTCCACATCACCGCACACTACCCCGCCACCGACCAATTCTTCTTGACTAGCATTTGACAAGGTCGCTAGCGCAGATCGAATTTATTCTTCCTGAGCCTTCGCGTGTGCTGGTCGAGTTGGTTCTGCGCGAGGCTTCAGCAAAGGTAAGTATACCGCCCTCGCTATTCCCACCCTCACAACCCTCAAACATCGACTGACGGAACGATATTTTCAAGCATCGCCGGTATTTTCTTTTTCTCTTGCTCTCTTTTCCTCTCTCTACCTTCCAGGTTCTTCTTCTTCCCCCAGTACTTGACCTCACCTACGGTAGGTGCTATTTTCCTTTTGCTGGTAGTCGCTGGTTTGCTCCTTCCCTTCCGCTTCTGCTTTGGTGACCCCCTCCCCCTTCCCATTCGAGTCGCGCCTTCGGGCATTTCCAAGCTGCGCACCTTCCCGCTATGTGCCCCTCGATTGCCGGTCCCCGACCGGCAAGTCCTCCAGTCTCCTTCCTCTTCCATTGCATCTTCTACTCTATCCTCCCACGCCACCATTACACCATCGCGCCATCGCAGAAGCTCAGTCGTTTCTCATCTCCTTTTCAGATCTGACCAACCCTCAGACCGTTTCTCTTTCTCAAGTCTCTTTGGGTCAGACTCGACCTACAATTCACAAAACCAAGTCCCCCTCAATTAACCAAGTCGGTTAATATTTACTTTTACTTTCCTTCTATTTCAAGCTCGACTTTCACTTCGTTGGTCTTACCTAAGGCACGGAAACCAAGTCCAGCCATCACCATGAGTGATCTACCGAACCGCCTGCCTGGCCAGGCACCTGAAGGCCAGTCGGCTGCCGATATCGAGGCCGCAATGAAAGCGGAGGGCGCCAGACAGGCAATGATGGTCGGCCGTTTTTGCTCATCCCATCTATGTTCTCCGTTGCTGACCAGTTCCAACAGGACGATCTCGGCATTGCGCGCGTCGAGAACTTACCCTTGGACGATGGGTCCCGCGACCGAGTCCGCGGTCAGCGTGGTCACCATGCTGAACCCGACCCCAATCGACGTCAGCCACCGCTTCGAAGGTCACCGGCCGGACCGTCACTACCTGGTGTCAACGGAGCCGCCTGGGGCATGAATCAAGCGTGGCAAGGTGCGTTGCTCCTTGCTTGAAAATCCGGCCGTAATGTGCTAATATTTCTTAGATGCTATGGAAGCTAGGATCTTTGATGACGATGATGCCGAGGCTGTCAAGGACTTGGACGACCTCGGCGGCGGGAGACTGTATGACACTGGTGATGGTTCCCAGAAGGCTCGGGTCAGCCACATGACGATGCGTATCCTTAACCAGCGTAGCGTGCGGTCAGTATTGTGCCCAGCCCTGTTGACCACTTCCGGTTCTAACTCTCTCTCAAGGTCTGGCCATCAGCCTGTCGGGCGCCCAGCTGCCAGCAAGGGAGGTCGCCCCAGCCAAGGCCCGGCCGAATTCGGTCGGAACAACATCTCGGCGGCCGCCACTTCCTCATCTCATCGGGGGAATAATAGTCGGGCGTCGGCACCTTCGGCTAACTCCAAGCCCAAGGCTAACAATGTCAACCCGAGGGCGAGACTGGCAAACCAGCCGCGTGCCCGGCCCAGGCCAGCTTTGCCCGTTGCGCCGCCTATGCCCGAGACGGCCATTGACCCGGATGCTGCTCTGTCCTTCGAGATCGAGAACGTCATCTTGAAGATTGTGGTCAAGTTCTCCAGCCGGGACATCAACCCGGCGTTGCCTGCATTGGTCGTGCTGTCGACAGCCGCGCCCCCCGAGCTCGGATTCTTGACCGTCGTCATATACAACAACAAATATTGCGAGTGGGCAATGTCTGCCTGGCTCGACTATTCCACTGGTGACGACAACCGCCTCGGCATTACATTTCAGAACGGGGGCGTGTATCAAGGTTACGAGCTTCAGTTCGGTAGCCAAGATGGCCTCAGGGAGTTCATGGCCGCAGCGAGGGCACTCCAGACAGGAAAACACCCAAACCAGGTCGGTTCTGCTTCAGTGCCTGCTACGACTGTTGTTACGATCCCAGTTAGCAACATGCTGGCACCCGAACCTCCCCGCAAGACTTTGATCCCTGGCGATGTGAGCCTTCAGGCCGCGTCTCCCCAGGCACCAGCTCCGCAGAATGTGCCTCCCGCGACTCGTACGGCGCCCGGCCCTATGGCTCTCGCGGAACCAATTGCGGTACTCGCAGCCCCCGACGTTTCCCAGGTACTACCGCCGCCGGATGTGCCTCCCGCAACACCTACGGCTCTCAGCCCGGTGGTCGTCCCGGAGCCAACTGCGGCACCCGAAACTCCCGACGTGAACGACACTGATGCAGCATCCATGAAAGCTTTCCGTGACGCAGCCATTGTCACTTGCCGCACGTTGTTACAGTTCTTTTACCACAGTGGCGCTGCTGGTGGCTCAACTACAACCGTGGGAGACATGGACCAAACGGCTGAAGGGATTAAGTCGGGAGTCCTGGAACACACGATGGAGAGCGCGAGGGCCATGGGACTCGGCGAACAAAAGATTCACATGCTCAGGGATGCAATCAACGTATACTTTGCCCCCCAGCCTACTCCCCAGCCTACCCCCCAGCCGGTCAGCTGCGAGGTGCAGCGGGCCCTTACTATCCCCCGTCGCATTTACTCGATTGACTTCCTGTTGTCGAGGCGGGATGCTGCAGTCAACCCCCCCAGGTCCTTGCCTAACATTCCGGGCTTGCCACAACCAGGCTCCTCGTCTCGTGGCCGCGCCTCCTCTCACCAGAAGGGGACCGTTGACCAGTCCCAATTCTCTAGGTCTGCGGATGCCATGCAATGGGTCCTCAGGGAAGCCCCGCTCACGAAGCCAGAACCTAAAGAATTCAAGTCGGCGCCGGATACGACCCCCAGGGCCCCTGAGAATACCCAACCCACTGCACCAAACGTGGTAGGCCTTGGTGGAACTCCAGATACGGGCCTGAACAACTCACGCTGGGCATCTAGCGCGTTAGAGATCAAAAACGCAAACTACTTCACGGGGCCAAGGTACGAGAAAACCTGGGCCAAGAGGACTTATCTCGAGGAACTTGCCCAGCTCGATCCTGAGACGAGGATAACGGCACCCACTGAAGACATGATGGAATACTACTTCCCGCTCCCAGATGCCGACAAAGCCCAGAGTGGTTCCCAGGCCTCTGTTGTCGACGGAAGCCCGGCACCTGGCACCTTGGGGGAGACTTACAAGATGGAGCATCTGAACACTGACATGTCTCGCCTATCGATTCGGTCACCGACGGCACCCAGGTCGCGGTCGGCTAGGTTAGCTGCTTCTGCCGAGACGTCAGGGTATGCCGCCCGACAGTTTCGGGAGCTCTGCGCACAGCCCACATCAACGGTCTCAACTCCGTCGGCAATATATCTTGAGGCTCGGGCTACGTCACGCCCTTCCACCTCGGCAATCTCGAGTCCATCGACGATCTTAACACCTTCAAAGATGCATAGTGCGGCCCAGACTCCGTCACCCCCTTCGGCCATGACACCACCGTTGGTCTCCGCAGTCTCAAGCCAGTCGCCGGCCTCGACTCCGTCGGCAACATGTCTCGAGGCCGAGGCTACGCCACGCTTTTCTCAGCCCACACGGGTGATTTCGGCTCTCCCGGCGACGTACCTCGAAACCCAGACTGCGTCACGCCTTTCCACCTCGGCAATCTCGAGTCCATCGATGATCTTGACGTCGCCAACGATGTCTAGTGCGGCCCAGACTCCGTCACACCCTTCGGCCATGTCACCACCGGTCGTTCCCAGAGTCTCGAGCCAGTCGTCGGTCTCCATTGCGGAGGTCCCAAACAGGCTGCGCTCAGAACACGGGCCCCAACCGCCCGCCCTGGCCCAGACAGAGGCTTCAACTCCACCTGGGCCTCTCAACCCGGCACCGAGGCAGTTCCCGCTTGTGCCAGCTCAGCCCCCCGCACCTCCGGCAGCTCAGCCTAGAGTGCGCGGCCTTGCGGCATCTAGGCATTCGGATGGCACTGCACCAACCAGCTCGGGAAAGTTCAACTTTTACGTCCCTCATTCCGCGCGGCAGTAACGGGTGACCCAACCACCCAGTCACCAATTTGTGCAGTACCACAGCTTAGGCACCGACATTGGCTGAGCATGATGCTTCTGATTCTTCCGAGACGAGGTCTCGGTGTCACAAAAGGCCTTTCGGGATACACGAGACATGTATCTTGAGGATCTCGAGGCCTTGTTTTTCATGGCCCCACAACAATCTGGCAAGGTACCAACACGGAGGTTAGTTAACCTCTGTGTTGGTTCCCTCGCCATCTTCGATTAATTTCACCGCCAAGGGGTCAGGCTGACCGCATCCTCAAGATTATGACGCAACGCAACAAGAACTACCTCCCCTACGCAATCCACCCCAACAGCCGCCTAGGCGTGTGTACGCGCAACCAGGACCTGCTCCCGCACCTGACGCCCTCTTGCGGTTCTGCTTTCGGTTTTTTTTCTTTTATTGCGCTTATTTGGCTGAGGAGACCTTTGGCGTTTACAGTCTGGGCTGGTTTGATTTCGGGGTGACGGCGCTCAGCCTCATCGCATCATCACAGCGCCATCACTGCCGCCAGTTTGGAGGTTCGAGCGTAGGGAGTCTCATGACAATCATTGTTAGGAGTAGATAAAATTGGGTGTAGGAAGCGGGACTATTTGTAATTGTAGGTTTAATTAAAATTTGTTTGAGTCAACTGAGCCATCTGTGGGATGTGATGTGGTTGATGACGTCTCAGAAACTCATGTTTCCAGCCTATGGAGCAGTAATGGAAACTTCTGTATTCTCGCAGGTGCCCTCTTCCACCCCCACCACTCTCTCTCGGCCCGGCCTCCGGGTATAATGGGCCTCATTGGTGTTATCGAGGAGTTGCTTGCTCTCGCGGAGTTGCTAATCGTGACGAACGTTTATCATGTGGACGCTTCCATCGCCATCTCGGAACTACTCATAAACGAATAAAGCAGCGAAATTGACTGTCGACGACCACTTCCGTCTCCGTCCGTATGTACGCACAGCCAGTAAGCCAGCTACTCACCCCGCCATCCCCTCCATCTCGCTAGCCTAACCCACGTAGGTAGGTACATAGTCTAAGATAGGTACCTATACCTAGCCCGGCCCCACAGCCAAACACAGCCCAAACACAGCCCAAACACAGCCAACCTACCTAGGTACTCAGGAAGCCCACCCCCCATCCTCGCTACTCTCCACCACCTCGTCCACGTCCGCCCGCCGCAGCAGCCGCGTCACCTCGGCCCCGTTCGGGAGATCGTTCTCTACCGCCCGCCGGTCGCCCTCTGCTAGCGTGGGCGCCAGCCCCGCTGCCACGTGCCGGGCGGCGAGGCGCTGGCGTGCGATGGCGGAGGGGACGGAGACGAAGATTTTGAGGTGGAAATGTGGGTGGGCGCGGGACCAGGGGGGGTGGGGGAGGAGGAGGTCTGTTTTTTGGTGTTAATGATGGATATGGAAGGAAGGGGGGAGTGGGGGGGGGGGGGGGGGGGGGGGGTTTGGAAAGGGGAAAGGGGGGAAAGGAGGTAGCTTACAGTTTCCTTCGAACACGACTATCCGGTGAGTTGGCTCTATTGCAATGTCATTCTCCTTTGGGTCCTTGGTGGCGTGGTCAAAGGAGGGAGCGAATATGGTGGTTGAGTCAGCGGTCAGTGGTTCCTTGAGGCGCTGGACTAGCTGCACGAAGCCCTCGCCGTCGAAGGTGAACTCGGCCCCTCGCCGGGCGTGGGCGGTTGCCGGGTCTGGCATGGCGTCCAGCTGCGCACGGGTGTAGTGGTAGCCGTCCATTGGTAAGAAGGCGGCGACGGGGGGGTTGTTTGGGGATTGGGCTGCGTGTCGGGCGTTCAGTGCCGCTGTGAGGCGCTTGGAGAGGGTGGTTTTCCCTGGGAGGCAGTTAGTGGGAGTTATTTGGGTAGAATAAGGGGCCGTGCCTGAACCGGGGATACCGGCAATGGCGATCACTGTGAGGGTGAGTTAGCAATCCTGTTTTGTTTACTCCGAGCATGTATAGTACATTCGGAGCAAGTTGTCCCTATGCTGGCCTCTTCCTACGCACAGGTCTAGAGCATGCCGCACAATACAGGGTAAGGGTATGGACTTGACTCACGGAAGCGCGTGTCACTGGGAGTTTCCAGAAACTTATTCCACGCCTTGTCGAGCAGCCGGTTCAGTGTGTCGTCCATGGTAGCCGATGGTGAGTTTGAGTGAACGTGTGGTTGGTGAGGATCGCGTTGCCCCTGAAAGATCTAATTGCCCGTCCAAGTGAGGACTAAACTCCAGCAGCAAAAACCCTAAAGAGAAAGAGAGAACCACTTTCGCAAGTTGGGAAACTTGCTCGGTTCTAGATGCGGAGCGGAGTTGGAGAAGTGCCGGAGGCGGAGGTTGTTCGCGGCACGGCCCCGATTTTGGCTCCGCACGGCGGCCGAGTCATCAAAGCCGAACTTGATCACTTCAATACAACATCACATCTCTGACATAACCCACGAAATAACCACCCATATCTGGAAAAATACACCAAAGACATAATAACACATTTTAAGAAGAAAGCCCGAGTGAAAAGAGCCTCATTACTTACCCCTGAGCCCCAGTAACTCGACGCTGGTTAAACCCAAAAATCTCCTCACAACTCACACAACACAACACAACCACCACAACCACCCTCGACACCATGGACTCCGAATCAACAGACCCCAACCTCATGCTCCTCTCCCTCAACCTCTCCGACTCCGAACCCGAAGAAGCCGCCGCCCCGGGCAACACCACCCCCACCACCACAACCGCCCCAACAGCCGAGTACCAGCCCACCCGCGCCGAACGCACCGCCCTCTCCGAAGAAGCCTTCCAGGCCCTAAAACAAACCTACCGACCCAAGGTCGAGAACGGCGATGTAATAATAATCCCTTCTCTCTTCCACCAAGTGTGAAAAGCAAAACAAAACAACCCAAATACGTACTAACGAGAACCAACCCATGACAGATCCGCAGCACGATCCCCCTCCCCCTCCCGACAACAACACCGCTGCCCAAACCGCAGGCCCAGGCCCTGCTGCACGCGGCCGAGGAGTTGTATTTCTTCCGGCGGTATGCCGAGGCGGCGGCGTTTGTGAGGCAGGTCCTTGGCGAGGGTGGTGATGAGGATGGCGAGGGTGGTGGTGAGAATGGGGATGGGAATGGTGAGGGTAAGGGTGAGGGTGAGGGTGGGGGTGGAGGAGAGGGAGGGAGTAAGGGTAAGGTAAAGACGAGGACGACGAGGAAGGGGAGGGGGAGGGGGGTGATTGACGGCGAGACGAGGCGGTTGTTGGCGTACTACCTGGAGAGGTGCGAGGCGCGGGCACGCGACGGGGGTGGTGGCGGGAATGTTGGGGTGAGTGTGAGTTGAGATTCGGAGAGAGGGGCAAGGGAAAGGGGTGGAGGTAGCAACGGGCCGTGGCTAGTCAGTCCGTTGGCGACCATCAAGGCGATAGACTCAACTTAGTCGAGGGGATGCTCTTTTGCCTCTGTCAAGGAACGCAGTCACAGGGGCAAAACTGAAAACGAAGTGATTGTGCAGCGGAGAGTATCCTCTTCTCTTCACATTAGGTCGGTCCTCTATAGACTCTCTAAAATCTTATCCCTGATGCCCAAAGGCATCCGGGTTCTATCGTGCCGCCATGCAAACCGGCAAGAGGAGAGGGGTCTTTCTTTATACACACAACCATGCCCAACTCCCTCCAATTGCTGACTCACGGGGTATATCCCGGGACTCCGCAAAACAAATAAAACAGCCCAGCCGTGTGGTCTTGTAATGGTCTGTACAGACGGCGAGGGGAATGCCAAAAAAATCAACCGTGACGCCATGCTCCAAATCTCGCCCCGCAAACATCGCTTCTAATGCCGCCGTTTTGATGACCGTTCTTTTCCTCTATCCGGCTCCCGGGAGCGCCGCAAAAATGCAGGCCGGTCCTGCCCAGGAGATGCAAAAAATTCGCTTCGTTGTCCGTCGTCGTAGGTGTGCCGCCCCTTTCTTTGTTGCTTCGGGTGTGCACGTTTCGTTGCAGCCTTTGGCTCCTTTCTTTCTTCCTCCCAATTACCGGTATTCAATACCACTGGAGCTATTTTTGGCGCCGGCACCGTTCCGGAAACGGCGAGGCGTGATGGGGTGGGGGGAGGGAGGGGGGTCGCTGCCATGATATTACACGGCGACGGCCGCTAGCCGGATGTTGCTGGCTTGCGACTGGATCATCATCATGCGTTCGCGCTCGCGCTCCTCGGCAAAGACGCGGCGGCTCATGGCGAGGACGGCCTCGAAGCCCTCCTTGCCCTTGACGGCGTTCTCGTGGAAGCGCTTGACGAGGGTGTCCTCGATGCGGTTCTTAATGCGCTGCCAGCCGCCGCAGAGCGCCGTGATCTGCGCCGACTGCTCGAAGGACGTCTGGTGGTCGTTGAGCGGGCGGTAAACGACCGTCTCCTGCACGTTGATCAGGTTGCTCATCGTGAGGTTGGCCGAGACCATGGTCACTGTCTTGCTGCGCGGGTCGACGTATGATGTCTCAAACACCTGCGACTCGTCTATGCAGCCGCCGAGGAGGCTCTTAAGCCAGTCGGGCGCCGTCTGTCGGCAGGTGATGAGGCGCTCCGTCCGCAGGATGCCCGTGTCCGGGTCGACCGCCCGGCTAACTGTGTCGACGGCGATTACGTGCGTTGATTTTTGGTTCCATGGGCAGTACTTCCGCCAGTTGGCGGTCGATACTTCCTCCCAGGAGTAGTTGAATGTCTCCGAGTTCGAGAAGACTTTCATTTTCTTTCTGTGTCTGTCCGCCTGGTGTCGACGAGTTTGGGTGTGCAGGCCGTTCGTCCGGAGACTCCGGTTGCGGTCGCGTGCCGAAGGAGCGGACGCGGAGAGATCGGCAATCCAGGAGTTTGCGGTGTGGAGGTCAAGCGATTGAAGTAAAGCAGTTCGCAGTTCGACAATCGGCCTTCGCGTTGTCGGGTGGGTGGCGATGGGGTTTTATGGTGCTTCTTAGGTAAGAAAGCGAATGAGAGGTCGTTTGCGGCACATGCAAAAGTGGGAGATTCCAACAGCCCGCAGAGGGGTTTCGGCTGTGAGTCTTTTTGTATGGATAAATTTTGGCGACTGGGACCGCGAAATCTTATCGGAATGGGAAGTGGCAATCCCTGCCCAAAGCCATGCTCGCTTACCTATCCAAAGACGGTAATTGCAGGGGTGTCGTGAAAATTTCTCGGACGAGTGCGGATGGGTCTCGAACGCCACGCCAATCAGTGGGGGGGTATTCTTGAACGCTGGCACTGAACCGCTTGGTAAAAAAAGATTCGGGAACGCCTTTTCGCCATCACCATGATTCGGTCACCATCACCGTCTGGAACCTGGAACCTGGAATCTGTGCGTCATTGGAACTATTTGGAAACACCGATTGATCCCCACGAATAGAACGGGCGTCACACGTACATGCGGAGTTGTACTATGTACATTCGGCTTTCAAGCGGGGCATTCCTCATTCGAATTTATGACGGTCTGGACCGTTGGCAAGCGGTCAGTGGCACTGTGCCGGACCAGCGGTGTCGGTTCGGCCATTGATTGTGGCTCCGCGTGCGGAGAATCGCCAACGGTCGAATCCGCATGTCCACGTTGTACAAGATGGCCATGCGTAGAGGCCCGATGCACATACGCACAGCTTTTCGCTGCCAGCACCGAACGAAGCGATTAAAGCCCGACTCTTATTCAGACAGTTGGTTAGAAGTCCTCTCCACGGCTAATGACCTCCTTCACGGTAGGTCGGATGAGAATGGTCTGCACAAGTTAGCCGAGAACCCCTCTCTGGGGCCGATGGCGGTCACTCACATGCTCAAACTGCGCCGTGTATGAGCCTTTCTTATCCACCAATGGCGGATACGACTCGATGATGCCGTTCGAAACAAGGTTGTTCAACTACAATAATCAGCACGTTTTCGCTTCTCGAGACCGCCGCAACTTACCCCGAGCAAATACTTATCTTGGCCAAGACGGTCCAAGTACCGCCTGCAGAACGGCAGCGTGCCAAAGTTCTTGTTAATGACGCTCAATAGCGACTTGGCCGAGCTCAGACGAAGATCGACCTTGGGCGCATCAGTACGCTTGGCGTAGTGCGACACCTCGCCCTCCTCGTGCACGAGGCCGTTGCCCGTGCTGCCAAAGGTCTCAATAGCAAACACATCGCCCTCCTCCATCTTGGTCATGTCGTTACTCTTTACGATGGGCACGCTCTTTCCGCCGTGGATGTTGTACGGAAGGATGGTGTGGCCGTTCAGGTTGCGGATCGGCTTGACCGGGTAGGTTGTGCCGTCGATCTCGACCTCGTAGCTCTCCATCACCTCTTGGATGACCCCGCCAATCTCACCCAGCCTCACGTCGATGCCAGCCTCCTTGATGCCCGCGTTGGTGGCGGCCTTTACGGCTTCCAGGAGCGGGTCGTACCGGGGGTTGAAGGCCATCGTAAAAGCACTGTCGACAATATTGCCATTCACTTGGACGCCGAAATCGATCTTCATCACGTCGTCCTGCTGGAGTGTCATTTTGTTGCCCGCGTTGGGCGTGTAGTGCGCTGCGCAGTGGTTGATGCTCAACCCGGTGGGGAAGCCCATCCCGGCAATTAGAGCATCGCCCTCCTCCAGGCCATCGTGGCCGACAAGGGCGCGAACCGAGTCCTCGATGCCGTTGGCAATGTCAGTCAGTGACTGGCCGGGCTTGATATTCTTTGCCGCCCACTGCCGGACCTGACGATGGACCTCGGCGCCATGGCGGTAGTCGTTGAGGAACTCGCTCTTCAGGTTGTCAAGGTGGCGCTTCTCCTCGTTGGTCGTGCGGTAGGCGTTGTCGTTCACGTATTCGACCTCCTCGCCTTTGGGGTACTTCTTGTCCGGGAACAGCTGCGAGATCAGCACCCGCGGGGGGTCGGACTGCTGTGTGGGGTTCTTCTTCTTCTTCCTCGGCTTTCTCTTCTTCTTCTTCTTGGCGGCACCGGCGGCGGGGGCAGAGGCGTCTTCTGCGTCGTCCTCGGAATCGTCGCTGTCAGCCGTAGCTGCATCCTGCTTGGGTTTGTTGCTGGCGTCCTCGACTGTGCGTGGTCAGCAACCATTGGTTATTCCATCCATTGCACGTCAAAAGGCATACCACTCAGCTGGCTGAGCTCGCCTGTGGGGGGAGCTTGAGCAGCCATCTTGGGGTTCTGAAGCTTTGCTGGAGAACCAAACGGAATCCAGAGGGTTGAGCCAACAAACGGCAAGTTATCTGATGTTTTGGGTAACCCTTATCTCAGTGCTCAGACCCCTTTTTTGTAGCGTGGCAGGTGAGGAAGACACTGGCCCACTGAATTCTGCAGTAAATTCGTCGCACTTGTCCTGAACCGCAGATGACCCACCCTGCCCCACTTTTGCCCAGAATTCCGAAAAAAAAGGTCTGAGAGCATTTTCAGATCTGGGGGGGGATCAGGGCACGCAGTCCCATACAAAATGGAAATTTACACTTTGAACACTCCCGAATAGCTCTACGGCCATATATCGCCATAGAAAATAAAATATATGCTGAAGATCGTCGTCTCTTTACGCATATAACGGTACAATTAGATTGTTTATACCATAAAGTGGTGTTGAATGACGGGTCTCGAGGTAACGATTTGATCGGGGCACGCGGTTAACTTCGTTCGATGACCCCCCTTGAATATCCGCAATACTGCTTCAAATCTAATGCAAGTTTGCATGGACCTTGGCATAGTGTATCCCGACCTCCGGGAGCTATTTTTACCTACTTACAGCGTTGTTCTTTATATTTATTAGCTAGCTGGGTATAAGTAGTAAAGTCTTTTACAATTCTAACTACCTATCGAGCTAGTTACTATATTAAAACTGGTATAGCCAGATAGCCCTGAACTTAGAGATTAAGACGGTAATAGTAGTTTACTTCTATCTATCGTTTTGATATTACTGTTGTTGTTTGTAGAAATTTACCCTCGAGAGCCGTGTTCTGACCCCCCTGAATATCTGGAAATGCTCTCAGACCAGTATTGGCCGAATTCAGGGTTGTGGGGTAAACAGGTGGATGGAATATTCTAATTGGCTGCACCCAGCGGCGCGCAGCGCTAAGCTCAAAAAGGGCCAAAATGCTGGTCTGAGCACTGAGATAAGGTAACCCCACCATCACTTTTTTGAGTTACACGCGGGGCACTGTGGCCCGGGCGCTGTAACGTACGTAATACCGAGACACGGGAATTTCTCGCCACGGCGTCACGTTGCTGGGCGCGGCCTTGGCGGCGCCCACCCCTCGCTCATGCTCGTTCACCCATTTCGTCACTAATCTCAAAGTGGGCCACACTCAGCGATAGCAACAACAACAGGCGGCGAGGCGAATTCCAATATCAGCTTCCTCGACGCCTCCCCCCTCCCACGCCTCTCTAGACCATGTGACTAGCCATTAGGATGCGGCATGCCACTCCGCTTCACTCTCACGAGCGCGGCCTTGACCGCCCAGTTGCCCGCGCCAACAGCAGTATGGAGCTGCCATCGCTTCTTCCACGCCTCCCCGCGCGCCCTCCGCCTTGAGACCAACGCCGGCAGCAGCGCCAACCACTATGAAACCCTCAACGTCCACCCGACCGCCTCCCCAGCCGAGATCAAAAAGTATGCTCATCTCATCTCCTCCCACCTCTCCCCATCCCCTAGCGGGGCAGCTAACCACACCAACCCCCCTCCCAATTAGATCCTTCTACCACCTCTCCAAACGCCACCACCCCGACCACAACCCGTCGGACCCTCACGCACCCACCCGCTTCATGCGCATAAGCGAAGCCTACGCGGTCCTCAGCCACGCGGACAAGCGCGCCCGCTACGACCGGCACCACGGCCACCACCACCACCCCCACCAAAACCGCCCCCCCGCGGCGGGGGCGTCCTACCACAGCACGGGCCCGGCCGGCGGGCGCCCGGCGTCCGGCCTGGGCCGCCGCCGCGGCACCTACCAGGGCCCGCCGCCCAGCTTCTACCGCAGCGGCGGGTGGGGCGCGCACGGCGCCAAGCGGCGCGCGGCGCACGAGGAGAGCACCGGGGGCGCGGGGTCCGGGTTTGGCACCGATGCGCATCCGCACCGGTATTCCGGAGCCGGGGCCGGTTCGGGGGCTGGGACTGGGACAGGGCCGGGGACGGGGGGCGGGTCGGGGGTCGGAGCGGGGCCACCGCCGCCGCCGCCGCCGCCGCCTCCACCGGGTGGTAGTAGTGGTGGTGGTGGTGGTGGCGGATTCGGGTTTGGTGGGACGGGCGGGATGGGCCCGGGGCAGGACCCGTACGGGCACCGGGACGACGTGCCGCACTTTGACCACGAGGCGCACGAGCGGGCGCAGCGGCGCGGGGACGAGCGGCGGGCGCACCGGCGGGCGGCGCGGCAGGGGGTGAATATCGACCAGCCCGAGTCGGCGACGACGGTGAGCTTCCTCGGGGCGGCGGCGATCCTGGCGATCGTGGTGTCGGGGCCGTTTCTGATCTCGGGGGTGAGGGATTGGATGACTGCGGGTGGGAGTGGGAATAGCTCGTCGAAAGGCGGAGAGAAGGAGAAGGCGAAGGGGAATAATAGCAAGGACAATTTGAAATGCAAGGAAGGTGGGGGGAGGTGATGTATCGATATTACACCGAGTTGTACAACCACCATGCATGCATTTACAAGATCACCCACTTACGCCGCGGAGAATCAGATGGATCATCGCTAGCAATTCGCATATGCGCTGCTGAGGAGTCTACTGTACAGTACAACATGTCCCAAACATGCACGCTGAGTGAATTGATACATGGCTACCGGTTGTGCCCAACCAAAGGTGACCTCCCCGGAGCTCAGATCGCGAGACTCATTCCCGACGCAAAACCCAACGCAACCCTATCTAGCGCCAGCATTTTACGACTCAAAGGTGAAGCTCGTGCCGACCTGTTTCTTTTAGTTAGCGTGGTCACCCAGGGTCCAGCATAGAGCGGATCTCTCTCACCTTGTGGGTGGCCTGGTCGAGCTTCTGGGTATCAAAGGAAGCGCCAACACCGAGGGTGACGCCCTCGCGGAGGAGGACGTTGTAGGCAAGGGCGGCGACACCGCGGTCGTTGATCTTGCCCTGTTTACAGAGTTAGCATCCTGTGACGGCTTGCTGGGCGCAAGGACGAGGGGACGTACCTTGACGAAAGAGACGGGGTCAAGGCGGTACTTGGCGGCGACCTCGAGGCCGACGGTGTTGCCGCTCTTGGAGTTCCAGGTGGCCTTGGAGCCGGCCTCGACCTGGCTGTTGACCTTGTGGTAGTAGCTGGCGGCGAAGACGCTGAGGTTGTCGGTGGCCGTGATGGCGGCGCTGTAGGTCAGGGCCTGGTAGCCGACGGCGGCGCTGTAGCCGGTGACCTTGGCCTTCTGGACGTCGTAGCCGGCCGAGGCACCGGCGAGGAAGCCCTCGTGGCCGACGATGGCATCGATGTTGGCGGTGGGGCCCTTGAGCAGGTCGACGAAGGCACGGCCGTGGAAGTTGGGCTGCTTGAAGTGCAGGTTGAACTTGGCGCCGCGGGCCTGGGTGGCCGGGAGGAAGGCGAAGACACCCTCGGCCTTGAGGCCCTTGGTGAGGTTGTCGGCCATCTCGACCTTGGTCTCCAGCGTGTTGGCGGTGTTCCAGGTCTGGGTGAGGGTCAAGCCTGCGCGTGTCCATCCCGTTAGCACGTATGACGGGTCGCGCGCGTTGAGCACCACCGTCCACTAGACGGGGCCCTGGTGGAAAGTCGGTCCTAGGATGGGGCCCAGCTGGATGCACCAGTCGAGGGGAACCGATCGTTGGATCCGACGAGTCGCATCTTGGGCCCGGGCTTCGTTCAAGGAGCGTTCGGATTTACCATTGGACTTGTCAACGTATTTGCCCTCGATCTAGAGATACCAAACACCAATTAGCATCGCGATCGAATCCCTGAGCACGAAGCCGGGTGGTAACGTACCGTGCCGCTGGTGGCATTGTCGTGGCTGCTCTTGCCAGCGACCTTGAAGGCGACATTGTTGGGGGTGTTGCTCTTCACCTCGAGGGTGCCGGCAGAGAGGTGGTAGAAATCCTTGTTGAGGAGCTGTGGAAGCGTGGAGTCAGTCATCTGCCCCTCGCGCTATTGTTGGGCAAGCCCCGCGAGAAATGCCGCTTCGGCGCACAAGGCCGCGCGCGCGAGTTTCTCGGAGCTGCATCGCACGTACATCGTTCGCCGCCTTGGCGATATCCTGGAAAGCCGGAACAGACATGGTTGCGGTTGTTGTAGAGGGGTTGTGGATGTGTTTGGGAGGAAGGTGTTTGGGAGGAAGATGAGCAACAAAGCTCCGTTATTGTCTTTGGGGAATTGTTGGGGAGGGAGGTGTCGGAATGAGCCCGCGATGTTACGAGAAATTTCTCTAAGCGCTGTGATTGGCGGTTCGGGTAACACTTGTCCCTCCAAAGCTCCGGCGGCGGCCACTGACGACCAGGTGTTCTGAAACCACGTGGGCCAGGGCTGAGTTGTGGTGAATTCAGGGACCCTAACCCCCTAACTACGGCGGAGCAATGAGGGAGAGAGCCGGCTTGGAATGTGGACTTCACTCGAGTGGAAGGGGGTGCTGCTCATTCTCGTGGCGTCCGTTCGTTTCTAGAGAATCTACGAACGTCTATCAGAATGCCAACTCAGACGCTTGCAAACTACGTTGCGCCCACCTAGAGAACCAATCAAGCTTCCTTCGTGGATCGAGGCTGCTCTGACGACTTGGGCATTAATCGATCATGCCTTGTATCTCGGCAGCGGACCGGATTGGACCAAGGTGAGGACTTCATGAATGCGAGGAAGACTCTAACAAGAAGCAACGTGGCGGCCTCATCCAAGCGGTAAAAGCGGGAGAGGAAACCCGTGAACACATCGACGAATCCCTTGAACCGATTCTGTATTCACAATAGCTGGTTCTATAGAAGAATCCCCGAAACCAGTCATCCAGAAGTCTCTATGTACAAACACGATATAATTTGGTCAGCTTCAAGCATCTTCGTACTTGGCTTGATGGACACCGATCGCCCTGTAATAAAATGGTCAGCCCAACCCCCACCCATCGCCGCCACTCCCAGAAAACACCGCACTTACCTGCCGCTGGGGTCGGTCTGCTTCGACCACTTGGGGGTCCAGCGCATGACGGTCGAGGCGCACGACGGCGGGAAGTGCTCGTCGAACATGGTGCGGTACCAGTACCTGTTCCGTCGTCAGCATCCATCACACCCAGTCCGTACTGACCACGGGGTATACATACGCCTCCTTGCTATCCGGAATGTCTGAGCCCCACTCGGGCTTGGGGTTCTTCATCATCTCGTCGGTGACGTGGATCTCGGCGTTGTCCTTGAGCGCGTCGATCCACCCGTAGCCAACGCCGTCCGAGAACTGCTCCTTCTGGCGCCAGAGGATCTTCTCGGGCAGGTAGGGCTCCGTTTCAGGCTCATCGGTGGTGTCGAAGGCCTTGCGCAGGTACCACTTTTCGAGCTTCTCGTTCGTGATCATCTTCTCTTGGGGGTCGAGGTTCATGGACACCTCGAGGAACTAATCCATTTGGTCAGCTTGGAGATACTGGGTTAGAGGCCTTCGGTCTGCTTACCTCCTTGTCCAGGAACGGCACACGGGCCTCCAAACCCCAGGCCGAGGTCGACTTGTTGGCGCGCAGGCAGTCGGCCAAGTGCAGGTTCTTCACCCGACGGACGCACTCCTCGTGGAGGGCGGCCTTGTCGGGCGCGTTATGGAAATAGAGGTAGCCGCCAAAGATCTCGTCGCTACCCTCACCGCTGAGCACCATCTTGATGCCCATCGCCTTGATCTTGCGCGAGAGCAAGTACATGGGCGTCGAGGCGCGGATGGTGGTGACATCGTAGGTCTCGAGGTGGTAGATGACGTCCGTGAGCGCGTTGAGGCCGTCCTCGATGGTGAAGGTCATGACGTGGTGCTTAGTGCCCAGGAACTTGGCCACCTCGAGCGCAGCCTTGTTGTCCGGCGAGCCGGGAAGACCGATGGAGAAAGAGTTGAGCTGGGGAAGGAAGGTCATGGTCGACAGCTTGTTGTCGTCATCAATGCCGACGAGCCCTTCACCCCTGTCCGCATCACCCAATCCCTCGGCGGCGGTCCCGTTGGCCGCTTCGGCCAGCTTCCTCAACCTCAGGGTTTCCCGCTGTGCAATCGACGCAACCAAGCTAGAATCCAGACCGCCCGAGAGCAAAACACCGTACGGAACCTCGGCCATGAGACGTTTCCTGACTGACTTCTCGAGCGTCTCCCGCAGCAGCTTCAGATCCCGGGGCTGCTCCGGGATCTTCTCGCCATCCCACCATGACGGTTGGAAATACCTGGTCCACTCGCCCGTCGCGCTGTTGTAGATGTGCCCGGGTGGGAACGACTCGATCTTGTCGCACACGGGGTGCAGGGACTTGAGCTCGGAGGCGAAGTAGACAGTGCCGGGTTGTTGGGATGACCAGCCCTGGTAGAGGGTGGTAATGCCGATGGGGTCGCGGGCGGCGATGGTTCGGTCCAGCTTCTTGTCGTACAAGACGAAGGAGAACATGCCATCGAGGTGCTTGGGCGCGTCGAGACCGTATTCCATGTACTACCCACGGGTCAGCACGGGTCATCCTCCCCCTGTTGTTCCTCCAACAAGATATTCCTCCCCCCCGGGGCACTCACTAGAGGAATGATAACCTCGCAATCCGAGGCGGTCTTGAAGTGGTAGGGCTCCTTCAGGGTCTTGCGAACCAGACGGTGGTTGTAGATCTCGCCGTTGACGGCGAGGACAATGCTCTCATCGGCATTGGTAAGTGGTTGCGCTCCGCTCTCTGTTTTCCGTCAGAAGTTGCTCCCAAGTCTGAATGCGCCGACAGAACCTACCAACGCCGACGATGCTGAGCCGTTCATGGCACAGAACTGCAAGCGTATCATGTTAGCGCTGTCTCAAATTGAGCAACTTTCGGCATTTCTTAGCCCGGGGCGCAATGCATACTCGTGTTGTGGCAGGTGACATTGCCGCCTATAAGAACGCAAAGGTGTCAGCGCGCTTTCCCGGTTGTTTATCTCGTGCGACTCGGAAATCGGGCGGGAAGGGGCAAACGCACTCCAATCAGGTCCCCGGTGACGGATGCTGCGAGATAAGCGAAGTCAATTGCGCCGTTCCATTTGTAGATCTGGGGTTCAATTTGGGGACAGCATACGCCTTGGAAAGCTTCAGAGCAGTCGACTTGAATTTGGCCACATCCGGGTGGCTATTCGCAAAAGTTAGCGGGTGTGCTGCTTTGCAAAAATGTTGTCGCGACGGAGATGACTCGGCAGGCAGAGCGCGATGGCGGGGCAAAACTGCCCCTCCATCCAGGGGCACGGCGCAAAGCAACGCGACGCTCCTGTGGACAAATCGAGAGGAACGACTCACTTGTGACAGGCGAAGATGCCACACATCTTGAATGTTTGATTCGGGGGACTCTGTTCGTCAAGGCGGCTATGGAATTGGGACCTGAGGAGGAATCGCGGGCGTTGAGGAGCGGAGCCTACTTGTCGACGTCAGTGAGAAGACGAGCCTTTATGCCAGTTCTCAGCGGTGCGGGGGGACTGCAGTCGGTGGCAGAGAAGGATAGATGGGGATAAGTGGACGTGGGGAGTTGTTCGTACAAGGAAACCACAAGCAAGCCGAGTGGGATGATGAGTCGGAGAGTTGGAAAGGTGTGCAAAAGTCAAGAGAGAAGAGTCACACGCCTCCTCAGAAAATTGTGTGGTGTCCAAATTCGGCTACTTTCGATACATCCGCTGTCTCGCCCCCGGGACCCCAGACCACCGCAAATTTTAGGTACTCGACTAAGGGACCCGGTCCCAGGACCCGGCCGCCCAGCCGTGTCCACCGCCCGCTGTCAATTAGTACATATGAGCAAGTTGACCCGCCGAGCTGGGGACGGAGCTCCAGCAATGGACGACCGGAGTCACAGTCTCTGGCCGATGTCGGGTGTGGTGTTGATTGGCCCGCCAATTCGGCTCGAGTTCCACTTCGGCCATTACCTAAACAAGACTGATAAGAAAGAAGAGAGGCATGGACGGTTGAGCGAAAATCTGCAAGATGACAAGGAGTCACACGCGAGGCGCTATGTCTGGAAAGGGGGCGACGAGAGTGGCGTCGGAAACCGCAAGTTGAGAAGCTGAAGTCGACAACCCAAAGTATCTTGGAAGCGTGAGATCAACTTCTTAGTTAGTGGGGGTCCAACCAATCAGTTGATGAGCCGCGTGAGCCGTAACTGAAGCCCACGCGGGGTGAATGTGACGCAGGACAAGAGGGTCCATCAACACCATCGCATCTCGGGCCGCATGTCATGGGGCCGACGATATCCATATTTGTTTTCCTATGGGAGTCAGCTTGGCAAGTTCCGTAATGGATTGGGCTGTGCATGTACCCTTGGAACTTCCGTGTTGCACAACCATGCACAGTATCCCTTCCGTTCCCCCAACACGCCCCAACCCAAACCAAACATTCGTAACTTGCAGTTCAAAATCATCCCGATGACTCGTGCCGTTGAACTCCAAGTGCTGTATCGCCCACCGCCATTGGTATCCCTTAACTCCGTAATCAGAACCCCATTCCCGGCCTCATCCCATTGACACCGAGCGAAAGGTCAACCAGCTTAGCCCTTCTACGGCGCCGCATTCTCCCGCACGATCTGCTTGATGCGCCTCTCATACTGCACGCGGTCCCGCTTGAACATGTTGTATGCCTCAGCCTGGGCCGGGGACTCCGGGTTGGGGTCGTCGAGGAGGTCTTGGACGCCGAGGAGGATTTGCTTGATTGTGATCGCCGGCTTCCACGCCTCCTCCTCGTTCAAAATTGAGAGGCAAACTGTACCGGAGGGGTAGACGTTGGGGTGGAAGAGCGGTGGCACGAATTTGCCTGCACAGAGGGGCGCATGTTAGCTGTGTGACCGGAGGTGATCGCGAGGCGCGCGGCAGCTGGACCGACTTACACTTCGGGGGTTTCGTGGGATATTCTGTAGGGGATCGAGCGGTTAGCGGTTGTCATGGCTTTTAGTCAAACGCGGGGAGGGGGTGCAAAGGGTTCGCGTACCATCCGGAAACGTTACCACCAACTTGAAGAGGCCGCCCTCCCAGATAGTCTTCTCCTTGCCAGGAATGCCACATTCCCAGATCTTGAGGTCAAGCACTCCCTGGGAGTTCTTCTGTGGCCGAGCATAGAAACCAAACGGATGGTCTTTGCGCCACTGCTTCCTAAAGCGTGAAAGGTAGATTAGTGAGGCTGTCGCAAGCCCATATCCACACAGGCGTGGTCGCCAACGTACCGCTCCTCCTGCAGGCGATTCTGGCATAACGACATTTCGTCCGGTATTACGAATGCTCGATCGGTGCGGGGTGTGCTTCGATGAACGAGTAGTCGTCGGGGTGTAGAGGCGAGGGTGGTCGTGTGTGGGGAAACCGGTTGATGGGAAAGAAAATCAACAGACAACAATCCTACTATCCCGCGGATTAGGCATGCGCAGTGGGGTAAGTCAGCAGAGCAAACCCTTGAGCGGGAGGCACGGGAGATGGATGTTGTCGTGTTGAGTGCGCGCAAATGATGAATTTCAAAGCGGCGCAAGGATTCACGTCGATGGCCGAAATTCTGACGTCCGCACGGACCGGCCTGGCTGCCTTGCTCGGCCCCAAAATGGAAGGCGGAGAAGGGCCCGGCTCGGTCCAAGGTGGGGTGGTGAGTGTGGGGCAAAGCAATGGGGGTGTTGAATGTGGGGTCGTTGCACGAGAGAGAATCCCCAAGCTAGTACTCACAAGAACATAACGAAATTATGCTGATCACCCAAAGTTTAAGGGGAGAAATTGATGAATTTGAAGAAATTACATGGCAACTAGCAGGAGATACTCCAAGTAACATGAAATATACTGTCTTTGGGGGTCCCGGCGGTCACAAACGACAGATTCCACCCGAAGCTCGGTTAACCAACTTCGCTGATCTCCTCCCGCCCACGACGGGGCGGGTACCTGCCTCGTAGAAAATACCTATCTACCGTGTAATGGGAAACTGAATGCTGTTCTTTTGCGATGAGACGGGACGGACAGTGTTTTTTGGACCCTGCATACGGAGGATTACATCAGACTAACAAGGCCCCTTTTCCAACTGGGAGGCACGAGCCGGCCGGCCCTCGGTGGTGGGGCAGCGGCTTTGGCACATGCAAATCCCAAGCCTGGGATGCCACCTTCTCTCCAGAAACACGCCGCTCTGGGCCTGTTCCTCTGCTCTTCGCTTACCCCAATTTCATTGCTACCCTTCTCCCGAAATATCTCCAACGTGGGGTTTCTACCTCGGTACACACACACTCCTTCACCCCCCCTCACAGCCCACACCCTACCTTACAAGACTGTCACTTCGCTACTATGGCTTCGACTGCTGGAGATATCGGCGCACCTGTGAAGGATGTAGAGAGTCACGCGCCTGCCGTGGCGAAGACGGAACCGACCAACGCAGCGACAGTAGAAGATGTAGATGATGATGTTCCCGACCCGGACGAGGATGACCTGGACGATCTTGATGGTAGGCCTCCGCCAGAGCGCGCAAGATAGGGGCATGTGGGCTAACTGCCTTGGCTAGATATGCTCGACGAGTTCTCGGCGGTGAAGGTCGACGCGACAAAGCCAGAGGTCCCCCCAGGGCCAACGAAGCCGCCTGCTGCTGCGGCCGCTCAGGTAGACGAGGAGGAGGAAGGCATGGATGAAGAGTTCGCGAAGCAACTTCAAGCCGGCATGGCAGACTTACTTGGGGGGTTGGAAGATTCGGTACGTGTAATGCCCAGTGTATGGCACACATGCGCCGCTAAACATATTCAAGTCGGAGATGCAAGCCCAGTTCGAAAGCATATTCAAGGAGCTCGGCGCTTCGGCATCAGCGAGTGCAGACAAAGCTTCGACAGACCCCGCCCCACCGACCGCCAGCGCCGGCCCTTCGACCGCAGGCCCCAATAACACGGACGCTTCCTTCCAAGAAACAATCCGACGCACGATGGAGCGCATGCAAACCTCGGGTGACCAAGCGACAGCCGCGGCCACGGCCGAAGGCCCCGAGGATCTCCTCGCCGAACTAATGAAGCAAATGCAGGGCGCCGGGGCCGACGGTGGGGAAGGCGGCGAGGAGGAGTTCTCCAAGATGCTTATGGGCATGATGGACCAACTCACGACCAAGGAGATTCTGTACGAGCCCATGAAGGAGCTCGATGACAAGTTCCCCGAGTGGCTCCAGAAGAACCGTGAGAAAACATCGGCAGAGGAACTCAAGCGGTACGAGGAGCAGCAGAAGCTGGTGAAGGAGATCGTCCTCAAGTTTGAGGAGCCAGGCTACTCGGACTCCCACAAAGCACATAGAGAGTACATTGTCGACCGAATGCAACAGGTGAGCTGGACATCCATTCACTTTGGTACCGATCTAACCCTGGCCACAGATGCAAGCCTCGGGGTCACCTCCGCCCGACCTCGTCGGGGACATGCCCTCGGCCCAGGATGCGTTCAACATGCCAGACGAGTCCTGCAACCCCCAATAGCGTCGTTTAGGCCCGTGATGATAAGAAGAGCACTGCAGTCACTTAGGATACATTACATAGCGCTGTCAGAAGCCAAATTGAATTCTAATACCTGAACTCAATGCAACCGCCCACCCAACGCCCCGTCTACCAGATATTACCCCCAAACGCCGACTAATGTGTACACAATGCCCCGGCATTCAAACTGGGCACCCCTCTACCTAAGTATCTTAGGGAGGTAGGTATCAAGTCATCTCCACGTCCTGTGAGTAACCCATCCCCAGCCCCGCGCCATTCTCCTGCCGCTGCTGTTGCTGCTGCTGCTGAATCAAATCCATAAACAGCCCGTCATAATCCTCGTCGTCCGAGAAGTGCGCCGACGCCCGCTTCTCCTCCATATCCGACACAAGCGCCTCCAGTTCGGCCTCCTCCTGCTGCGCAATGGTGTCGGCCATAAAAGCGTCGGCATCTCGATCCACATATCCTCGCGGCGGCTGCTGCTGCTGTTGCTGTTGCTGCGCCTGCATGCGCATCTCCTCTTCCTCCTGCGCCAATAGATCCGCGTCCACCATGCCTAGGTACTGCGCTCCCTCGGCCGCTTTGATCTGGTTCCGCTCGCGGGTGAGGCGCAGCCACTCGAGTTTGAGGAGCTGGTTGGGTGAATTGAGTCAGCCCGCGTATCCTAGTATGGGGGGGGTTGTGGAAAAGGGTGATCAAGGAGTGGCTTTTAGGGAAGGGAAGGAAGGTAAGGAGGGTAAGGAGGGTAAGGAAACAAAGGAGAGCTTGGAAACGAACCTCATCCTCCCCGCCACGCATCTCCCACCGCTTGTCCTCTTGCCGCTGCCGCACGTTTTGGAAGAACAGGCGGCGCCGGCCCTCTTGGGCGTCCTCACGCCGTTTGAGGACCGGGTTAGGGCGCGGGTTGCGTGACGCAAAACGGAATTTGCTGTTGCTGCTGTTCGCGTTGTGGTTTTCGTTGTTGGTGGGGCTCGGGTAGAATGATTGGGCCCCTTGGGTCGGGGAGGACTGCGTTTGCCGCAAGCGGGCGTTGAGGGAGTTTGAGTTGCATGGTGAGAGAGGTTGCGAGATTGTTTGTTGTTGATGTGAGAATGGCGGCGGTGATAATGAGGAGGCTCGAACTGGGGAAGAGGAAAGGGGCGATGGGAAAGCCGGTCGGTGGGTATGGAATTGCCCTTGACCGGGACGGCCGAAGCTAATTGATGGCGGGGTCTGAGGCATGGCCGCGAACATTGTTGTGGTTGAGGTTGGTTAAATTGCAAGAGCGAGGTTTCTCACTGAGCAATGATGGATAAAACTAAGTTGTTGGTGGAGTTGGTCATGCCATTGTTGGAGTGCGGCAAAGCAGTGGGACTCTGTGGTGGGATAACGTTGGATGTCAATCCCGGAGAACGCGAGTCCCCTGCACGCGGCGCGCTCTTAGAAGCGCGGTCACGCGCGGCGAGTATTGTTTAATGGCAACATGGGCGCACAGACCCAACGTGTAATTTCGATGAGATCATCTCGTAACTTTGAAATGCACTAACAGATTAAGAAACAGGGGTCTGTTCCACCTTGGCTGGGTTAGGGTTAGGGTAGCACATCATTCAACGCCCGCTGCTTTCTGAGACTTTGGGTTGCTGTTGCCTGCCTGAGTTGCATCCTTGAGCAGGAACTCTCATTGAGTACCTATCACTGTAAATTGAGTTTGGCCGTTTTCAACCGAGGTATTCAGGGTGTTTTTTTCTCCTCTCATGTGAAATGGGGCTCCCGCCTGCAGTACGTATAATATCTTCTGCCTCTTCCAAGTCCAACCGTTAACAACAGGACAACTTAGACACCTGCTCCTTCCCGCTTCTTGATCTCAAAAAAGCCAAGCACCCAGCAATCGCAAAGTCAAACACCAAATCAACCATTCAGGGGATCGAGCCAGTTTCATGCCACCCCACGATTTGCTACTTCGACGCCCAGGCCGTCCTCAACCCAGACAGGGGCCGCCTTTGCTACCCCAGCGCTAGTCATCAAATCCAGAGTGCCTAGGAATCGCTCGACCCAGGATATCATTGATGATAGCTCGCCCATATCCCCTGAAGATGGATCACCGTCCGCCTTACCAACTACCCATGATGCACTCCCCGAACCCATCGAGGTTGACTCCTCCCTCATTCCACAGTCGCTTTCTCCTGAGGGTCCTGGAGAGGGGCGGCCCCCCAAACGCAGGAGAATATCAATAGCCTCATCGGAGCCCGAGGTAGACCCGCTGGTGAGCTCGCAGAATTCACAAGACACCGACCTCGGCTCTCTACCGGACGCGCCTAATGACTACATCGCATCCTTCTATTCGGATGTGGAGGACGAAGATCCCGAGGCTGATGATCAGGGCACAATCGTCTCACCCACTCAGTCCATCCCCTCCTCCCCGACACACCATCACACCCCCGGAAGGGGAGAAGATAGAGAAGAATCAGATCTCGATGACTTGGAAAACGACGCCGAAGCAGCAGCAGACGCCGAAACACCTAAACGCGCCGATACGAAACCCGCCTTCCGGGTAGGACCACGCTTCAAACTTACCGAACCGCCAGATAAATTCGCACCCCATTTCGACACCTACATGTCGGCAGACATCTTTTCGCCTCAACGGCGGGGGACCAAATACCTCCCAGGGGGCCTGGCCGCAGAGTTACGTGACTGGCTGGTGGATGTGAAGGGCGGTGTCGACGGCGAGGGGGAGGTCAAAGCTACTTCTTCTGCTCTTAGTTTTACGTCTGGTACTGGTGCGGCGAGGGTGGTAGTAGGTGAGGTTTCACGTGGTGGCCCAGGGATGACCTTGATTTCCGGGAGAGTAATGGATGAAGAGGCGGAAGGTGGGATACAGGAGGATGTGAATGTGAGGGTGATCTTGGCTGGTGAAGGGAATATCGAGGAATTGGGAGGGAAAGGAACCGGGAACAGGAATCAGGTTGCCTCTGGGGCGGTGGTTGCTATTGCGCCGCCTGCTTGGGACGTTGAGCTTGATGGGCAGTGGGCAGTTGCGTACCGCTGGGAGGTTGTGAAAGGGGCTCAGGGGAGTGATGGGTGAGAGCCGACCATAGAAAAGTGGGTCCGTAGGGGGCTTGCCCGGGCATCGATATCTTCGATTGTGTCTTGGCAGGCGCTCACTCTCAAACTCACTGTCTCAAACGCGAAGCTTGACTTGTTGGATCCCCCAATTGATCAGGTTCAAGGTTGGCACTTCCATTGCGTCACGTCACTTGATAGAAGTCGGATCCTACTTTGCCAATTGGGTGGTTTCAAGTGGTAATTCTACCTCTCATCGAACTCGAGCTTAAGATGCTTCTTCCACGTCTCGCGCGGTCTTCACTGCATTCACTGCGGTCAACCGTGAGACCTCGGCCATGGCAGCAATCATATAGCACAGCTTCCAAAAAGTCTGACCCATTAAGGATCCTTTTCTGTGGCTCGGACGAGTTTAGTTGCGCGTCGCTGAAAGCTCTGCACCACGAGCACAAGCACAATGCCGACCTCATCCAGTCCATCGACGTCGTCGTGAGACCAAGTAAGCCGACGGGAAGAGGGTATAAGGTGATAAGAGAAGGTGAAGAATCTACGTACATTTATTTCAAGCGTTGGATTTTGACATGGCGATAGTTCCTCTGCGCGGGCTTGCAGAACAGCTTAGTCTACCCATTCATGTGAGAGACACATTCACCGGTTGGGATGTAAGTGCCTTTCACTCTTCCTTGTCACTCTTATCATTGACTGACAATCGGTAGATGCCCAAACCGGATGGCGACCCCATCAACCTCATCATCGCCGTCTCCTTCGGCCTCTTTGTCCCTCCTCGCCTGATCCACGCCTCCAAATATGGCGGCCTCAACGTCCACCCTTCCCTCCTCCCAGAGTAAGCCATCCCCTTCCTCCCCTTTTTTACTTGACCCTCCAGAAACACCCCTAACCCCACCCCCCAAAAGCCTCCGCGGCCCAGCCCCAATCCACCACGCCCTGCTCGCCGGGCGCCAGCACACCGGCATAACAATCCAAACCCTCTCGCCCGACGCCTTCGACCACGGCGTCCCTCTCCTCCAAACCCCACAGCCCGGCATCTCCATCCCACCCAACTGCACCCCAGCCCAGCTGCACGACCTTCTCGCCCCAACCGGCGCCGAGATGCTCGTCCAAGTCCTACGCGCGGGGCTGCACATCCCGCCGCACGAGCCATATCATCATCAACAACAACCACAACCACAACCCATCCCACCCCCAACATCATCATCGTCATCATCAACAACAACAACAACAACAACAACAACAACAACAACAACAACAACAACATCAACAACAACGACAGCACACCCAACCCGCCCCCAACCTCAAACAAAGCTACAACACGCCCCCAAGATAACTCCACAGGACAAACAGATCCTCTGGACGGCGCACGGCGCGAGCGAGGTAGTCCGGCGGGAACAGGTGCTCGGGTCGCTGTGGACACACCTCGGGCGTGCCGGCGGCGGCAGCGGCAGTGAGAAGCGGGCGATCCTGGAGGGCTTTTCCGTTGTGAAGGGGCCGCCGGCGCCGTGGGTGCGGCGGGGTGGCGGCGTTTCTGCTGGGAAAGGTGGTGCTGGTGCTGGTGCTGGTTCTGGTGCTGGTTCTAAATCTAGTGGTGGTGGTGGTGGGGTTAAGTCGGGGGATGTGAACTGGGAGGGTGACGGGGTGGTTGTGTGGGTGCAGAAGACGCCGCTTCCTCAGACGAAGGAGGCGAGGAAGGCTGGTGAGCCGCTGAAGTGGGAGACGGAGAGTATCACGTCGAAATACTGGCTGGATTCGGAGGGGGTTGTCGTACGGTTGGGAGGGTCGTGGTTAAGGATTGGGATGATCAAGGTGGAGGGGTCGACTTCTAAGCCTGCGAAGGTGGTCCTCGAAGGGTGGGGTTCGAGGTTAGTGTAATAGTGTAGTAAGTACTAAGTAAACAACGTTGTCAGGTCTCTCGACGGAGAAATTCAAGGCTCGTGACAAGTCACATCCCAGCAAAACGCCCGTAAGCATTGCTCGCTAAACCGGACTGGGTCCATCAAAATAATTGAGGCTATATAGTACAATGCGGTATGCCGACCGCGCCATCGCGTGCTATCCCGAAGCATGAACACAACGTGTGGAAAGTCAAATAGAAGGCAGCCCCCGAGCTAGATGGCACCAGCCGGAAACACCTTCCGCCAAGATTATGGGTTCCTGCAATGCATATTCGCAGGTGACTTCCTCACTCCATCAAAAAGATTCCCCTCGGGTCTCATATCTTACAACTCCTTGTGAGACTTGTTGTCGTCGACGCTAGAGCCGCTCGACGGGGTTTCGGTCTTGCCCTCCTCGTCCACGGGGCCCATGTTCTCCTCGAAGACGGGCTCGGGCTCGTTGACCTCGAACTTGGTCTTGAGGTTTTCGATATTGCTCGACAGACTACTGCTGTTGGAGCGGCGGCGGGCGTTGTGGAAGTTGAAGTCTTCGTCAACCACTTCGTCACCAGCGTTGCCCCTATATCGTGCGTGAGTAAAGAGAGAGCAACATTCAAGGTGGACATCGACTACAACTTACCAGTTGGCCCGACCACCGCCATTCTTCTTGGTCTTCTTGGGGTCGGCATCAGCAAAGCCGTTCTTGGCGAAGAACTTGGGCAGCGACTCATGCGGGAGGACGGTGCCGTCGGCCAGGCCGGCGTGGTCCTTGTCGTTGAACTTGTGGGAACGAGTCACTAAAAGCTACTAGTTAGTTTGCAGTTGCGATGGCATAGTGGCCGGGAATACTGGGTCTTACTCTTGATGGATAAAAGTCGACGAGAGGGTAGAAGGGGGCCGGTGTGGTGGTTGTTATTGTAAGTGTGGCTGTTGGGGCGAGGTCAGTGTCGTACAACGATGCGGGGTTTGCTGCTCGGGTAGGTGCTCGAGCAACGAGGGGCTGCGGCTTGGAGCAGAATAACTTACAGTTCAAGGGTATCGGTTGATTCCAGAGAGTGAAAGTCGAAAATCAGTGACTAGTGGTCTGGATGATATCACAAGTGGTGGTCTGGTGTCCCAGTGATAGTTTGTGATGGAAGAAATCGAAAGTGGTGACAAATGGTTGATGGGTTGTTGATGAGTCTGGTCACTGAGAGAAGCCGGAAATGATATGAAGCAGAAGATGGGAGCTCCCAGCCTTTAAGAGGTATCGGGGATCGAACCAAGGTCCCAATGGGTGACTTGGCGTCGACCAGTCATATCTCGAATTGATCAGGCGAGCAGCTCCAAAGGGAAAGAACAAGGGTGGTAGAGGCGGGAAACCGCAGCAGCGGGGTGGCAGGCAAGGAGGCGTCACGGCGTTGAGGGAGGAGGGGAGTCGCGTGATATGGTGTTAGCGGGTACAATGAAAGCGTGAGTCTGGGCTGACTTTCCACTCCTTCAACCGTCACTCAATTCCCTGATCTGCACAATGACGGGCATCGAAAACCGGAGATCTTGGTCACCGAATCATTCAATTTACCCATCGTAGGACTTGCACACTCGTTACTTGCCAATTGAGGCCCATTCAGGGCCCTATGGGCCTATCTGCCGCAGCTGTCCCTTTATGCGTTGCGGACCTCGAACTGATTCCTCGCCCGTTGAGAGGATGCCCGAACCTGTGTGACATCAGCTTCTCCACCCAATTCCCAGGGGACTCTGGTCTGGCCAGGATGCCCAGCATTTTGCGGGGTAGCGTGACACCATGCTATTGTTGGCTTAGCGCCTTAGCCGACTGCCCCGGCTGGCATTCCATCGTCTCTCTCTTGTGCATGCGCTGGAATCTTCCATCGTCATTGACAGACCACCAGGTTGATTGAAGTGAATGGTCCGTTGAATTCAATGAAAAGAAGTTGTTACTGACCTTAGAAGCCCCATCCTGATATTTATGTGTTTCACTGAGTTCTCGGCATTTCGCTTTTGATAAAAACTTCCGATGTACATACGATCAGGCCAGCTTTTCCGGATTCGTCTCATCCATCCAGGCACCCAGGCAGTCAGGGTCCATCAAACAGTCATCCAATGACTCGGCATGGCAGACCACAGCTGGGACCAGCCGCCAAGCCCAAGGGTCGATGGAGAGTTCCGATGCAAGTCTCGATTCCAGGTTACGCGTCTCAAGGGATCTGCTCGGCCTCCTTGTTTCTTTTCGTTGTTGATCCTGTGGCATGAAGGGGTGCTCGCGGTCTTTCCTGACTTGGCTCGATTGGCCATCACATCCTCCATCCAAATTCTGAAACTTACTGTGTACCCACATCTTGCCAGGTCCCGCAGAGTAAAACAGTGAAGTCAACATTGGGAAGGAGCTGGTCTCGTGACATGGAAGGCTCCTTGGGCGTGTCTCGGCACTGCTCGGCGGGAATCGCCCGAGCAAATCGGCCCACATTGGATATTGTGGCGTTGAGCCAGAGTGACCGACCCAGCGCTATCTTGATTGTGTGGGTATGGAAAAGCCAAAATGATTCAAAGAGTGAAGCCGTCATAGGTTTTCCATTCCATAAGCTGGTCCTTGAGGAATTGATCAACTTAGAGCGTGGGAGGGTGGCGGCCGATATCGGCCAATGCCGTATTCAATACCAAAGCGTTACGAACTGCAGTGTACTGTGTGTATAAGATGACTGCAGCCGTACAGTTCAATATTGCAGGTTGACGAGGCAACCCGCACTATCAGCCATTTCCACAGCTCATAAATTCGTCAGCCTGAATTGAAAGCAGTCGATCTATGTTGTAGAAGTCAGCTTGCAACATATTGGATCTTCTCGCGTGGTGCGGACTTACACGCACGTCACGGGCCACCCGCACTGTGCTGAATGAGTGGCGACCTCTGCTTGGTAATACAGCGATTGGGCGACAACTGTATCTCCGCTGTAAAAAGTGAGCAACTCCACGGAAATTCTCCCCATTACCAATCTTATCGCCCTGCCACCCCTCCTCCAAAACCGATAACAACCACAACAACCCCGAACCCACGCCGTCCAGTGCATCACATCACCTCGACCTTTTCCCACCCCATCCATCGATTCAATCACCACCACCAACTCCATCACCATCAAACCTAACCCAACCCAACCGCCCAAAATGGCCCCCGGCCTAGATCTAACCCCCGACTTCCACCCCCCCACCACAACCACAACCCCACCATCCACCACAACCACAACCAAATCAACCGCCCAACGAACCCTCCTCCTCGCCCCCCCCCTCCCTCGCCGCCCGCGAAGACCGCCTCGCAGCGCTCTTCACGTCCCACCCGCGCGCGACGACCGACCTGCAGATGCTGGACCGCCTCGCCGCCGGCCTGGTCACCCTCCCGCCCGCGACCTACGACCTAGTCCTCGTGCTGACCGACGCCGACGGCGCGCGGCGCGCCGAGGCCGCTGCCCTGCTGGGGGATCGTGCGGTGTGGGGTAGGCTGGTGCCGGCTGTGAGGGCGGGGGGTAGGGTGGCGAGTGAGGATGGGTGGTTTAAGGAGTCGTCGGTTTCTGATGAGGGGGTGGTGGGGGGTGAGGGTGATGTGGCGGGGGTGAAGAGGGAGGCGGTGTTGGCGGGGTTGGTTGCGGGTGGGGAGGGGTTTGTGAAGCCCGAGTATGCCGAGGAGGAGGCCGTGCCGTTGCGGTTTGGGCTGGGGAAGAAGAAGGCTGCTGCTGCTGCTGCTGTGAGTTCGGCGGGGCCAGCGGTCGGGGCTGTCAAGGTGGCTACGGCTACCTCGGCCGGGAGGAAGGAGGAGGTTGCGATGGTTCCGCCGGCTGTGGCTGCTGCTGCTGCGCCGGCGGGGGTGGGGTTCGTGGACTTCAGTGATGATTTGGATTTGGACGTGGAGGATGACGAGGATGTGATCGATGAGGATACGCTGCTTACGGAGGAAGACTTGTGGCGACCGATCCAGCAGCCTCCTGAGTGCCAGCCGCAGCCGGGGAAGAAGAGGCGGGCGTGCAAGGACTGGTAAGCTTTCCTAAACCACCTCCCTAGGCTCGCCCAAGTTACTAACGGTCACAGCACTTGTGGTCTCGCTTCGAGAATGGAAGCCGAGGACAAGGCGCGCCGCGAAAAGGCAGACAGCGACCTCAACACCCTAAAGCTCAAGTCGGAGGACCTGAACGAACTCGACTTCACCGTCCAGGGCAAGACAGGGTCCTGTGGCAGTTGCTACCTGGGCGACGCCTTCAGGTGCTCTGACTGCCCCTACATTGGTCTACCAGCATTCGTACGTCTATCTCAATTGTGCTACTCTTCATATGAACCAGAGCTAACGCATTCGAACAGAAACCCGGCGAGGAGGTCAAGATCATGAACAACACCGTGCAGTTGTAAGGAAAATAGCCATGGTGTGGAGGATATGGAAAACCATGATGATTAGACACGGCATGGGCTTAGCGCTGATCGCATAGGGACGCGGCCTTCGTAGCCTGCTCCCACCGTTGAGTAGGAGGATGGCTCGCCGATTTCTTTTGTCGGGGGAAAAGGATTGTTTTGATACCTTTAGATTTTCGAGGTCATAGTTTGGCAATACCGGTCCAAACTAGGACAGGGAGGATGGGAAATGAACTACATACAACCACAATGGTTTAACCCGGTTAATGGACCACTTGATGTGACTCACGGAATAGCCATTGGGATGCGTTGCCCAAGGTGGTTTTCCCAACAGTGACTAACACGCAGATATTGAAGCATTCCATTCCCATTTACGCCATGGCCCAACCCATCGATCTACAACGCGCCGCCCATGAATGTCCTATGTACGAGATGAAACACCTTATCTTCCACACCTCCTCACCCAACTGTTTTAACAGATCATGAAGCCCCAGCTGCCTTCTCAGTTCCCTTCTCATTCCCCTTCGCGCCTCCTGCGTTCTTATCCTCCTCCTCCTCCTCCTCATCGTCACTCACATCCCCAAGGCTGTACCGCGTATCTTCCTGCCCCTCAGCAGGCGAGCGCACATGCAGCGAATCCAACTGCGTCTCGTCAAAGTCACCGGCCTCGACGTCCCCCCGACCCCTCGCGCCGCGGGGGTTGCGGAAGCCCAGCCTCTCGGACGAGCTGGAATTCCCACCCATCCTGCCCGCGGCAGACCCGTTCTCGGCGCCCGCCAGGCCCTGGTACCCACGCCTCTTGCGGCGCTCGCGCCAGACAAAGTAACCCCAGGCGGCGGCGGCGACGGCGACGATGACCAGCACGATCTCGCCCGAGCGGCGGTAGGCCTCCCACTTGGCGGCGCTCAGCTTGGCCTTCTCGGCGTCCTGATCGGCGGTGCCGTTGCCGGCGGTGCCACCGACGGTAGTCTCAGGCCCCTTCTCGCCATCGAGGCGGGAATCGGTGGGGTCGCCGCTGATAGAGCTGATGTCAACGCCCATGAAGCGGTCGAGCATGTCGCGAGTGCGGCGCGGGTAGTCGAAGGGTACCATGTGGGAGGCGTTGTAGAAGACGACGTACGTGAGGTTGCGGGCCTCCTGCCAGAAGCCGGCGTCCTCGCCCTCAAAGGTCCAGTCGCGGCGGGGCGCCCAGTTGCCCGGGGAGACCTCGAAGCCGCGGCCGCCGTTCCAGGCCATGCGGCTAATCAGGGCTTCGGTACCCATGTGGTTGCAGATGAGGTCTTCGGCGCCCGAGAAGAGCATGATGGGAATCTCGCTGAGGATGTCCGGGAGGAGATCGATCGAGGGCTTGGCATTGACGGGGTTGAACTTATGGCCTACTTGGCCGTCGCATTCGGTCCAGCCGGTGACCTTGTTGGCGTTGACGTGGAGGGCTTGGACCACGTCATGACGGCGGAGGTACGGAGTGACGTGGGTCAGGTCGGCTGGCCAGTTCATGCCGCAGGATGGGTAGACGTCCTTCAGGCGCACGTCATACATGTTGTAGCACTCGAGCTTGTTGTCCTTGCCGCGCGTAGCCGTGAGTTTCAGGATTTCTTGGAGGATCTTCTCGCATTCCGCCTGGTCGACGGCGCTCTCTCCGACGGCGAGCTCTTTTTGGCAAATGCGAAGCTGGACCTCGAGCTTGTTGGCGATGTCGCTCCCCTTTTGCACCAAGCCCTTCTCGAAGGCGAACTGGAGGTACGCCTCGTACTGCTCGGGCGGCGATATCCAACCGTTGCCAATGAGCAAGCCCTTCAGATTCCACTTGTGATTTGTGCCGGGCAGCTTGTTCCGGGCGAGGATGTGTTTTGCGATGTAGGGAATATACTGGCCAGCGTACGACTCTCCGGCGAAGTAGAGCTAGACAACGGCGTCAGCAAGCGAGAGAGAGAACGAAACATAGGGTGACCCACATCATCGTGTTCATACTCTGGGAACAGAGCATACCACTTCTCCATGAAGATCACAAATTGTTCGGCCATCTCGTCGAGTTCGCGCACATAGGAGTCGGTATCGACATAGCTATAGCCGGTGCCAACCGGATTGTCGACGAACAGCACGTTCGCAAACTCGTTCCAAGCACCGTCGTTGTAGACCAGCGTCTTGTCGTCCTTCAGTCGGTAGGGGCCGATCTCCATCAATGCGCCGTCCTCGGAACTGCATCCCGGCCCGCCGTTCAGCCAGATTACGGTCCGCTGCTTGTTCGCAATGTGCTTGTTCTGGAAATGCCAAAAGAATAGGTTGCCATTGGTTTCGGGGTTGATTTCGATGTGCCTTGAACCGCCGCGTCAGCTTGGATCTTCCTTCAGTGTTTCCTCCGTCCTTGCAAGTGAAGCTTACCCAGCATGCATCTTCACTAGAGGTCCCTCGGGTGCGCCGGGAAGCGAGTGGACGAAGTAGTCGCCGGCCGCCTTATCGGCGGCAGCTACTGTCGGCGTCCATGGGAGAGTGAGGGCGGCGACAATGACAGGCAGGTGCCTCCAGCAGGCTGTGGATAGCCAGCCGGGAGCCATGATTGCGCCGTTGCGCAATTCGAAGACGCGCGGCAACAACGAAGTTGTTTAAATGACCGAAAAAGGGCGATGGAAATATCTGGCGACCTAACGGTGCCAGAGAACAGTCATCAAAGCGACGCTAGGGTGAAAGGAAGCAAAAATCGAGATGGAAAAGAAGTGTTGCAATGCGGGACGATGTGTCCTGAGACGGGATGGAGCACTGGAGGCGGCTGACGAGTACCTCTTCGTAACTATTGCGGCTTGGCGGTCTGGGCCCTAACCTAAGCGGGAAGTAATAAGAGCACACGATATCGCAGCCTGAGGGCCAAGGTGCAGTAGCGAATGGAGGAATGGAAAATGAATATGTACAAAATAATTATACGTTTATACGCAGGCAGTTATGTGTTGTGTCTCGTTTCCCAAATCTTCTCAGGCAGCGGCACAAGCACAGGGCAGTGAGGGCAGTGGAGGGGTTTCACCATGCCGGAGCCAACGAAACAAAGCTGACCCTCGCCCCTTCCGGAACAGGAGCTGAATAACGTGCCGCATTCCTGAAGGCTGTCTGCCTTTGCGCATTGTCCAGAGCAGCCCCTTGGAAATCCCCCCGAGTTGTCGGCTAGATTGTATGTACATACAGGTCCTTCGCGTACCGTGAGCCGTTTGCTCGCTCGACCTTCGTTGGAAAAGCAGGATTGGAAACAGACATCCCCCGGTGCCTGCCCGAGAATTGGGAACACATCGAGTGGGGCCGATCTGCCGGCTCCGGCTTGCCAAGGCATCTTGGCATCGGGCGCTATTTCTGTTGTTGGGGAGCGATGCAGGCTAAAATTTCCAGACTGCACCACGAAGCCTGTTCCTGCATGTCTCGGGTATCCAGCAAGGGTTGAATACCAATATCCAGTCAACAGAACTTAGAGCCCTGCTCCATCCAAATATTTGCATATTTACTATGGCTGCCCGCAGCAAAACTTACATTGTCGAGCACCTTGACCCTGAACTGGGGGCCTGGTCGGAGCTGGAATACCTCGCTATCGCCCGCGAGTCGCAGGATACGGGGGCTAAGTTCTGCCTATCATCTCTCCCTCAGGCTTTCAAGGTCCCTGGGGAATTAGGAAAGATCCCTGCTTTCAAGGCAGAGAGGCAGGGCGTCGAACAGCTCTACGAAGGCGAGAAATCACGAGTGTGTCTACTTGATCCGGCGGCCGCCAGTGATCTCTCGCCTGAGGACGGCGATAAGTTTGACACGTTCCTCTTTGGTGGCATTCTAGGTGCGCGTCTTGTCTTGGATCGCCCCTCGTGGCTTCGGACATTTACTGATCTTGCGGTAGGAGATGATCCCCCGAGAGACCGGACATCTGAGCTACGGAAAAAGGGGTTCGAAGGCCGCCGGCTTGGGCCGGTCCAGATGACTACCGATACGGCTGTCAGAGTTACTCGGCTAGTTGTCCAGGGGAAAAGTGTGTTGCACTGGCTCGTTTTTAAGCGCACTACTAACCATGCTTCAGCTCCCTTGAAAGAGATTCCCTACCTGGATTACCCAGAACTCAAATTCAACGAGCACGAGAGCACTGAGATGCCGTTCCGCTATGTCAAGAGCGAGGATGGGAAGCCGATCATGCCCGAAGTAAGTCCCTACTGCTCCGTCATTTAGTCTGAGCCATTTCAGTTCGCTAACCAAATGGTAACAGGGCATGGTGGACCTGATCAGGAAGGACTCCGACAAGGCAATTGATGACATGTTTTGATTCGCAAATCTACGACTCATTTATGAAATGAATGAGACCTTCAAGTTTGTGATACCTCAACCCTTGGTTATGGGATGTTTGCTCTATCTTGAGATCGAGGAGCGGGGTTATCCTTCCGTGCCTATCTTATCTAAAACCCCGCTGCAGCGACCCCAGGCACACTCCCTCCCAAGGTATCTACCTGACCCTACCTGATACCAGTAGGCGAATCGAGCTGCTGGACACCAAGGTCCTGAGAGACGAAGAGCACGGAACAACAAGACAGAGAGTTGGCGAGCAATTCACATCATGGGGGAATCGCCTCCGCTATTTGACATCTACCCTCCCCTGATCAACACGGCGTGTCCATGGGCAACAACTATTGACGACCTGAGACTCCTCCATAAGTGCCCGTCAACAGGCGCAGTCACCACTCGAACGTCCCTCATCAACGGCTTCGATCATAACCCAGAAAAGCACCAATACGCCTTCTTCGACGCAGCCCAGGTTGGGTCAGCTCAGAACGCAAGCATCAACTCACTCGGTTACAGCCCACTGACGTTGCAAACCTACCTTGGCCTAATCAAAACCATCTCGGACGAACAGTCCTCCAGGTCCAGCAAGGGCTTCATCGTTTCCGTCACGGGGGCACCAGTGGACATTGCCGCCAGCTACAAACTCATAGCCTCCGCAGCACGCGACGTTCAGTTCCCCCTCGCCATGGAGATCAATCTCAGTTGCCCCAACATCCCCGACCTGCCGCCGCCAGCCTACTCCAAGGAAGCACTCACGACCTACCTCAACCACCTCCACCAAGCCATCGTCGAAACCGCCAACAACGACGACGACAACACCCCACTTATCCCCGTCGGCCTCAAGACACCACCCTACACACCCACTCCACGCAATACCACGCCCTCGTCGCCGCCCTAGAAACCGCCACCCAGACAGCAGGAGGCGCCTGCCCGATAGCCTTCATCACCGCAACCAACACCCTCGGCTCCTGCCTCCTCTTCGACCCGTCACCGGCACAAAACCCCAACCCACCAAACCCCCGCATGCCACCAACCGTGCTCCCCGGCCACGGGATCGGGGGTATGGCCGGCGCGCCGCTGCACCCGCTCGCGCTGGGGAACGTGGCCACGCTCCGGCGCATGCTGGACGAGCGGCCGGACAAGCTGGGCGGCAGCAGGGTGCGGTTGATAGGGGTGGGCGGGGTGGGCGACGCCGCGGGGTATGCGAGGATGAGGGCTGCCGGGGCGGACGTGGTCGGCCTCGCGACGGGGTTGGGTCTGCGGGGGGTGGGGGTGTTTGGGGAGGTGGAGCGGGGGTTGGAGGGGGGGGGGATGTGGTAGGGGGTTTGTGGGAGGGAGGGAGGGGATGGTGGCAGGTAGGGTATGGTGGCAGGTAGGGTATGGTGGCAGGTAGGGTATGGTGGCAGGTGACGGAGCGGGATTGGATGGATATCTTCGTTCCTGTGTCTGGCCGAGGGTGTTTCTGTGTGTGCTTGATCGTGGGGGTGCCGGGCGGCGAGGGCGTTGAGGGCGCTAGCTCACGGATCCAAGGGGAAACGGGCCTTCTTTTGGGCTTTGCGTCGTTGTCGCGGTGCGTAGTCGTGCTTGGGCTTCTACCGCGACAGGGAAGGGATCAGGGGACCCTCCTCGGCCTCGGAAGAGGGATCCCGCCGGCGTTGGTGGTTGCCATCTCCATGTCGGGCATGTCAGCTGAGCCCTTCAGAAGGCGTACCTGGCTGCGTGAGCAAATGACTGGTCCCCCGTTTCCTCGACTCCGTGATCCTCCTGTTGTCCTCCTCCTCCTCTCCACTCGTCGCAATATTTTCGACCGAGGCACGACGACTTGGCAAGACATGCTTGGTAGCGAGTTCTCGAAAACGGGAGATTTCCTAGCCGTCGAAAAAAGGTTCCACAGATAACAAACGACTTATACTTGGTATCCGTAGGCAAATAGTTATCCGCGCCAACCGGCCAGAGTTTGGGTGACGGTAGGTCAGCGCGTCTGACCGGATCAACCATTCCCCTCGTTTGCCTCTTCTTCGAGTATCATTAGCGACCTCGGAAGGGCAATTCAAGAGTGATAACCGGGTAGGCATTCCCCAGGGTATATCAGTCCAAACAGGGTGTCTTCCCGTTCAAGCCGTCGGTTCTATGTCAAATTTGTATGGGGTTGTAAACCGACAGTGACGCGGTCTCGGTCGGCCGGATCTTAACCTCACCTTTCCAATCAACAATGTCATTCAGGCGTCTGTTTCAGGATCCAATCTTCTGGCCCATTCCGGGAAGACTTTCTGCGTGTGATCTCTTACTCGCTACTTGAGTTGAGCGCATTATTTCCCGCTTCGATAGAGTGAAAGTACACGGTCTGTTTACACGATGTCACTGTCCTCCTAAACCGGCTCGTCGCAAGTGTCGTCAACCTCTGACGGGAATTTGGGATTCTATTCAGCCTGAAATCAACATGGCAGTTGAACACGGGGTGTAACGGTGAACGGGATGCGAACGGCGTTACCAGACGCCGTTTCCCGGACGGAAGGTGGCGGTATGCTGCGGTGAGATCAGCTCGAGGAGTTCGAGATGTGGATGGAATCTGAGAATCCCGTCCCCTTCCGTGTGTGGAAAGACCGGACGGAGGAATTTGTGTGTAAGACCATGTCGACGATGCGCGGGCGGACATGTGAACGCGAAAGGCGGGTCTGTAGGTTGGAACGGGGATGCGAGGTTCAAGTTTGCCCGGCGCTGACCCAGGCGAGCCAGGCCGGCGGAGGTTGAGGAATCCGGGCCGGCCTAGCAGGTAATGGCCGCTGGAATTTAGCGGCCTCTCAGGGGCACCTCGCTGCTTCCTAGGCCTGTCAACCCCTGGACCGGGGATCTCCAGTGGTGAATCGGGCCTTCGCAGCTCTGCACGGATACGGAACCAGGGCTCCCAGTTTTCGGCTGCTGTCATTGGCGGACTTTTAATCAGAGATTCTCCAGAGCTGGAGAAATTGTGGGGATTATGCGGGGTACCCACCTCTCCATCTCTCTCCAAATCCACCTCGGGACCGCGACCATGCTCCCATGTAACGGTCGGCCTGGCCCGCAGCGACGACGAAGAAAGACGGAACCTTGGAAGGAATCGCAAGTGAGACCTCAATTCTGCCCGTCACTTTTGGTCGACGCGATTGGCCATCCTATTCCCCGGAAACACCGTGTCTTTTATTTCTAACGATTCTCGAGGTTGTAATCACCGCATGGAGGAATGGCTTGGATCGTGTAACTAAACGATAAACGACATCGGACCCGGACGGGCAACTTTTTCGAATCGAAGCTGAACAAAGCAAGGCGTGGGATCCAAGCATCACTGCAGCTAACAAGGTCCCTCGGGATCGCGACTCCACTCATCCCGTCAACCAACCAGCCAGTCAGTATTCCGCCGTTCCCATTTTCTCTGCTCGGTGACCACGCCGACGGACGGTCCGTCCAGCTTCCCGCGCCTGAGCAGCCACGCAGCCCCCGACGTCTCATCTCCCTTTTCTCACTGGTTCTACTTCGTACACAATCGCAACTGGGAACGGAAGACGAAGTTCGGCCAAATTTCCATTCGCCTTGGCATAACCACCGTCTGCTGCCTACTGCGACCTTCCCAACGACCTCAGTGCCCTGAAGCACTTTCGACCTCCTGATTCCCGGGAATCTGTTACTCCAACGCCATGTCACGGCAAGCCCCGGTGTGGTGATAGAACCCCTGTTATCGCCGGATCGTCGTTTTTGTTGTCCTGGCCCGCTCCGTTTCGTCCTTCTTTTTCCGGTTGCGTGTCCCCGGCTGTTTTGTGAGGCTCTGATGCCGGGATCACTCTCTCGCCAGTAAGCCCTGTTACGGCATTGTGCTCCCAGGGCTGCCTTCTCGGCCACTCTAAACGAGCTTGGGCCGCCGTTCACGCTGTCGTCGCTCAGTCAATACCGGAACACCTCGTCTTCACCTTTCTTGGAATTGTCCTCCTCCTGAATATCGGCCGCCAAGACCAAAGAAAACGGCGCCCGCAGCAACAGCACTCGAGAGGCGACGCCGAAGATTGAGGGCGGAGCGTTCGATCACGCGCGGCACTCGTCGACATCGCACCACGTCGCAACCTCGCAGCTGCTTATCGCTTTCGAGAACTCCCAGGCTCCATCTCGTCGACTGTTTCTTGTATCTGCCCCTTGTGCCTGGCAAGAATCCTACGCCTCATCTAGATAACTTTTGCAGGTACGAGACTCGGGCCATGCACCTTAGGCCTCCTTGACATTCCCTCACTCCTTTCTGGCTGGGCTGGACATTGGCGGTGAACGTCGAAGAGGAAGCAAGCAACGCCCGCGCTAGTCGAGGAGCGAAAGCGCCCATCCATCCCAACCTAGAGATCTCCTAGAGCTCGGTCACGGTTTACACGCCATTGCCAACCGGGACCGTGGGAGTCATCATGGCGGCGGTGCAGCAATTGGAGCCTATGCCGTCGCTGGCACGGCCGCAGAGCCTGAATGGCAATCCCTTCGGCAACGACGTTGATATGGAGCGCTCATCGCCACCGATTCAGCACGGCATGCCGTTGTGCAGCGAACCAGAACGAGGAGACACCAGGATCGCCGTCATCATTTACGGCCTTGGGCAGGAGAAGATCGTTGGTGTCTTTGCCGAGGTTTTGGGGAAACCGTTGAGGACCAAGAACCGCTTCGAGGACGTCACCCAACACGATCAGGACTGGGTCATCGGGATCCCGGCGGAGAGCGCAAAGGGCGATATTGCGACGCGTGATAGAGGACTAATTGTTGCCATCAACGCCCATTGCACCGGCCTCGGCATGCCCCCAGATGTTTATCTTTCGGCTCAGTGTGATTACGAATTCCTCTACACGGAGACCCCTTTCTTCCGCCGAGATCTTGCTCGCTTCACCTCACACATCCTCGGCCAGCTATGTCACCACAGGGCGCTCATGGCAAAGCCGAGAACTTTTATCATATCGACCACCTTCCCGGACGTGCATGCTGCCTTGCCAAACATCGATATCCTGACCGTCGGCGCAGACGCCATCGAAATTCGCGTCGACCTCTTGAAGGAGCCCTTAGGCAACGGCACCTTCTCTAATATTCCCAGCCTCAGTTATGTTGGCGAGCAGGTCATGCTGCTCCGCCAAAGGACAGAGCTTCCCATCATCCTCACGACAAGGTGTACTAACGAGAACGGGAGGTTCCCTATGGATAATCCCGGGTTGTACTACGACTACCTCTATCGAGCACTCCAATGGGGCGTCGAGTACATCGATGTCGAGCTTTGGCTTCCAGAGAGCATCAGGAAGAAGTTGTATGAGCAACGAGGAAACAGCCGCATCATGTCCGCCTTCCACGACTTCTCGGGGAATTTCAGGTGGACGTCGGACCGGGCCGAGACCATATTTTTGGAATCACAACGCTATGCAGACTGCGTGAAGATGATCGCCATCATCCACGACCATAACGAAAACTTCGAACTCGAGTACTTCCGGTCCAAGATCAAGACCAAGTATCCCGACTCGGTACCCCTATCTGCCGTCAACATGGGCGAAACGGGTCAATTCTCTCGGACACTCAACAAGTTTTTCACACCCATCACACATCCTCTCCTACCCATCATTGCGGCCCCCGGGCAGATGAGCGCGGCCGAGATTAATCAGGCGCTGGCGTTACTGGGGCAGTTGCCCAGGAAGAACATGTACGGCATCACTAGCCCGGCGATGCGCAGCGCCACGCCCCAAGCCCCTTTCTACGAGAAGTGTTTTAATGAGCTAGGCCTACCGCATCAGTTCGCCGTCGTGGAGTGGCAGCCAAAGACGTCTGGTTGTATCGGAGCATGGTGCAACCAGAGGAATTTCGGCGGTGCTTACTTCAACCCCGCTGTCTCGTTCAAGAGCCTAGCGAGTCACAGCAAATTCCTCGCGTTCCTCAACAACGGGACTGGCCCCACTGTCAGTGAAGCAGCCCGGCTCATCGGTATGGTCGACAGCATCGTCGTACGACCAGCTGCCTCGAGCGCCCCGGCATCCGCCCCATCGTCGATCCCGTCGAGCCCACAACGGCACCACAAGAATGGGGACTCGTACACCCCCCTAGGCGCGCACCAGTCTGGCCTCCCCCCCAACACCTCTCTTGTCCTCGACAACGCCTCATGGAAGGGCATCTTGAGTACCCTGACCCGCGACCTTGCCCCTTCGGCGTACTTCGGATGCGCCGCCGTCGTGCTCGCGTCCTCTGCCGAAGACGCCGCCAGCGCCCTCTTCGCCCTCAAAGCACTCAAGGTCGGCAAGGTGTACACGGTCGGCTTCAAGACGCCGCCGGCATTCGGCAAGGACCTCCTCATCGAACCCTTTACCAGCCTCGAAAGCATCCAAAGAGCGCGGACGGTCGGCTCGAACGGCGCTGACGTCGGTACCGGCTCGCCATTCCTGGTCGTCAGCGCGCTGGGCCCGGAGAAGAGCACGCTGGTGGGGATGCTGGTCCGGCTGTTCGGGTCTCGGGGCTCGGCGAATTCCCGGAAGGTGTTCTTGGACCTGGCAGACCGGTCGGCCTCAAGGAAGGGCGACCCGGGGTTGATCGCCGAGCAGAGCGGGTTTGCGGCATATGGCGCGGCCGATGTCACTGCCTTCACGACGGTGGAAACGTTACGCCTGCTGGTTGGGCAGAATGTGCCGTACAGCTTTGTCAGGCTGGCCAGTGGCCGGACGTTGTTCTGAGATGATGTCAGCCATCCGTCTCCCCGAGTGTTGTGAGAGCAGTGTATGAATTCCAGGACTCGTTGCCTCGTCGGCGATATTAAAGGTCAGCACGAGAAGACTTGCTGCCAGGGAGAGCAGCCCAGGGCTGGAGCGTTTGCTCTAACGCAGCTGTTACAGATCGGCGCGGTCATCCCGACGAACAACGAAGCGACGAGCACGAGCACCACGTCAGCCATCCACTTCTAGACAACACCGAGGTGCACGGCCGACATACCCGATCAAAACGCACGACGTCACGACGTACAGTAACCCCGAACAGCACTCATGACACACGATATGTTTGTTGGAGGATCAATCGACAGGGACTAAGAAAGGAATTCTTGTGTGGTGGAAGGTGGTCAACCGGCTAGACCAGAGCGGCGGGGGTTTTTCAGGCGCGCAAATGTTGGATGGAAATGAGCATCGGTGGTGGCGGCCGCATGGATTGTTTATCGGGGGGCGGGTTGTTGACGGTTTTGCATGTACGCCCCCGGCCCCCTTTTTTGCATGTACAGGTATACAGCGTGGATACGTTTGGATTCTTCTTTTTTTCTTCAAGACATTTTCCTACCCTTTCTCTCACCCTCCCTCTTCAGCAGCCGTACGTCCGGTCCAGCCACGCACGCACGCCTTGCATTATCCCGAGATCCCGAGTTTTGCTGGGCGATGCGCGCAGCGAGCTTGCCTCACTTACCTATGGGGCGGGGCTGTGGTTCGGTGATTTATCCTGAAGGGGCATGTCAGGCCGCCCGCCGGAAGCATGTCGGCGACTGTGTTTGTGTGTGATGGGCGTCCTGGCGTCCTTGGTTCCTCTCGTTCTCGCTCATTCATCGACGCTGTTTGAGCTGCAATCCCTACTCATTACGACACAGGTATAAGCGAGGGCGGAGGAGGCGTTGCCAGGACGGTTTCTGTCCCCTTCCTCCGGCCGCCGATGTACACACTTGCCGCTTGGCAGTGCCGGCAGGCATCGACTAGCCCTGGAACGGGCGAAAGGCACTGGGGTTGCCTTCCGCCTTTTGTCTCCAGAAACAGCAGTTTGGAAAAGGGGAGCTTGATGAGTGTTTTACGGCTGTCATCGTCGGTATCAAACACACATTGAAAGAAGCCGGATTATGGATTAAAATAGTACCTAGGAGGTGATGGCTGCGGGATCTAACTAACGCCAAGGCTTGTGAGACCTGGTTCACTCAAACCTCCCGTGGGGAACTCTATGTAGCATTGTGTATTGTGTCTTGAAAACGCGAACCCGAGCCTCTGTTCCTGAACGTCTGGCTCGTGAAAATTAAGGTCTCCTCTCTGCCGGGTACTAACCGGGGTTGGGGGGTGTCAGGACTGGGACAGACGAGTGTGTCTGCAGGGGGTGGGTGATGGATCAGCTGAAGAGGTTAGTTACGAATACCGAGTTGACTACGCTATTTCCAGCAAGACTGCAGCCCTCAGTCCTCGGCAGTCGTCGGGGTGAGGGATATGCATCGGTGATGGGACCTGTGGTTCCGCTCAGGAAGCGGGGCTCTCCCACCACATCGCTCGATGGAGATGCCGTCGGCGGAGTGTTCAAAGTTGTTCGTTTCAGACTCATTGGGCGGGTTCGGGTTTAACAGATGTCCTCAGCAAAAACTTGGGTCGACCTGGGAAGAAGTCCGGCCCTGGGTTTCGGTCTCCCAGTCCAGCGGTTTCCCTTAATCTCGGGTGTTGTTGGCCCACAAGCGGCTGCCCTGGCACACCGAACGAGATCTTCGCAGCATGCATTTCTTTGCCATGTCCTGTTACCCCCCCTTTCCAGAACAGGCCGGACACCAAGTGCAGATGTCGACCAAACAGAATCGAACGAAAATAACTTTAACGGCTTAGAAGCCCGAAGAAACTGTATTTACTTTTTATTTTATTCGATATCTTTCACTCGGTCTCTTTTTCTTTCGTCTTTTTACTGCTTTTTTGGCTAGAGGGTGCCCGCAGACATACTTTTCCGGGTGTGTTAAATGCATCAGCCAAGCTTCGAAGGACGTCACCGAGAGAGCCTGCCCGGTTTGCCGTCAACAAAAAGACAGAGAGGCGTTTTGTGAAGCCCCCCTCAGGTGTGACACCCGGGAGACGTGCCCGTGGAGCCGAAAGCACGCGGCTCCCTTGCGAGGAGAAGCGCGGACGGGGCCGTTTCGGTCCGATAGGTCCTGATGGGACATCTCCACATTCAAAATCGGGTAAGGGGAATCGGTCGGTGGCGCCCGGCAGCTAGAATAGTTAAGCTTCGCCTGGCGACTGACAGGAATAAATGCCGCTCTCCCTTGGCGAGTCTAGATCGAAGGCCGGCCGAACGACCGAAGGATCTCTCAGTCCCTTGGTGTTTTGATATCGGGGAGAGACGGCATCCCACTGTTTCAGCCCTGTGCCGTTGAGCTCGAAGTGTGTGGCTTTTTTTGGTTGTCCATCCCTCTGGACCGTTAAGCGGGCCGCCAATGCCCGCCCATCGATGATCTGATCCAGATTCTTGGGAGGCTGGCGGAGACTTGGCGCGACAAACCGGTTCGCATCGGGCTCTCCTCGTGGTGCTCAAACAGCTGAGGATGAGTTACACAGTACCTCTACTCCAAGTTCACCGGATCGCAAAGCTTCCAGGTACCCAAGCGCCGAATCCCAGCAATGGTTTCTCAATCGAGATGTGAGCGACCGACGCACGCACTCAAGGCACCAAAGAGTCAACTCGGGCTTCCAACATCCGCAGAATGCCAAGGATCGACGATGATTAGTGGAGATGGCAGGGGCCACCCCGAGGCGCTCGAGATTTGCGGGGTGCAGGGAACGGATGTGGTGCTTAAGCGAGCAGCATGGGCGGCGCTCACATCACCTTTTTTTGTGGCGGACCTTCGTCGTCTTTGGCTCGGAGAAAGGTGCAGCACCGCCAGACGAGACTGAGGGGGAAAGTAGCTGATCTCAAGCCATTAAACCACTCTTTTCACCTGCCTATGTACATACGTAAATAAGTTCAGTGAGGATAGGTTTAGGTATGTTTGTCTGTACATACCCCTTCCCCCATCTTTGACAGTTGAAACTGGAGTCTCGCGTGGCACAACCTGATCCAGACCGGGATGTCGATTGGCAGCTCCAGAAAAGCTGTGCTTCATCGGGCAACTGGTGAACGGAGCAGAACATAACCGGGATACAGCCTCGATATTGAACCCGTCTGTGCAGACGAAAGCGGGCTGTCGGTAGATGTGCCGCCATTGGAGCGGCAAAGGGGCGGATATTGCTACCTCATCAGCAATACCGCGCCCCAATTACGTCGTGAAAGCATCGAGCATCGCGAAGTCCCTTGCAGTCAGGAACAGACACACGCCCAGCGCACCCAAGCACCCAGGTGCCAGGTCTACCATTGCCGAGTGGGGCACAGAGTCTGCTCTCGTTTATGCACCTTTACTTGGAAGCGTCGGGATTAGTGTGCTTGTCATCGCCCTGACGAGAAATCCGGGGAAGCTGTTTGTCGCTTGTCGAGGGGTGGTTCCTGAGGTCTCATTGATGACTTATTTGGGCGGCAGCATCGCTTGGCTCTGAAGGGCGGGAGCTCCGAAACCTGCAGACAGTTAGATGCCAAGCCTGCCAGCGTCAGTGGTTCCGTTTGGAACAAGCAGATGACCGAGGAGTAGTGCTGCTGGCTGGTAACGAGTTATTAACTCCCGGCCGGTCAAAGCACCCGACACGTCTATGAGTCCGGTATGTACAAATAGGTAATCATGGAAGAAAAAACTTGAAACCGATACGGATACGGCTAGCGGGCGTTGCCTTTCCTGTCGATTGTCTGTGGAAACCGTGACTGTGACTGGGTCTGCTTGCGAGACTGCCACACTGCGTGAATCCAGCCAAGGCTCCTCCTGTGGAGGGATGTGGAGAGACTCGCCCAAATATGCAGGTGGAGCCGGCCGAGGTCTCCGCAGGTTCATCCTTCTTCAACAGGGACCTCCCTCCACAAACCCCACACTTCCACAGCACCACCGTCCCATCCCCGCACCATCCATCCGGCCATCTGTTCTGCAACCAACCCCCGGGACGGGATTGCACCCGCCATCTGTTATACTCGTGGATCATACCTTATGGGATGGATTCAGAGCTTGTTTGACATTGAATTGTTTTTTTGAGTCCCGAATTCAAACAACATACCGATACACACCTCGCACCTTACCTTACACAGTACGGAATACACATCTTTCCACGAGCTCTGCTTCCCTTTTCTGACACTCACGGAGCACGGCGCATTCCCCTGTTCTCGACATGGCCCCGGACAGGGACCAGTTTCGCTCGAATCCCAGCAATTGACCCTCCACATTTCTGTTGCGAACCGCCTTTCTTCTCCGCAAGCTCTCGCTGTCGAGCGCTGCATCGAATGCCACGAGGCAAACACCGTTTGATGGTATGTGCGCAGGGCAACGAAGCTGTCGATGGTGCGGTGAAGGACGCCCCATGACCTGCCGACCCCCCGGTCTAGGATGAATGTGAGGGTCTCCCCGTTTAAATCCAGGACAGGGCCACATGCAATTGCCCCAAAAACACGCGGTGCCCCCTTTCATACCCGGCTCCTTACCCGACGCCGCGTTTTTCGTCTTTTCCTCAATTCGACTGCCTACACTATTCTCTGCTTCTCTCACACAGCTGGGGGTCGACCAGTGTCTGCCTACACAGGAGGAAGATATCTCCGCCTCCTCGGCGTCCCGGCTGTGCGAGGCGCCTGTCTGCCAATCGAAAGCTGGCGCGCCCATGTTCGACTTCCTGGGCAGTCAGCTAACACGGCATCCTGCAGGCAAAGAAAGGAACTGTAACACCGTTTTCTGAGCACCGCCTTTATACCCGGGAGACATTGCAGCAGCCAGCTTCCACCACTCCAACCCGACGACTCGCGCAGCTCTAGCTAGCAACACGGAATCGGGCGGCAAACGGACAAACACCGGGTTCCTAGGAGCAACTCCATGCCGAAACCCTCCCATACACCAGCCCCGCCACGGAATCGAATCGAGCAGGGCCCAGTTTCGTTCGACAGCTGATGAGTTTGCGTGACACTCTTCTCAAGCAGAAGACTACCCCACGCCGTGTTCAACAATTATCTATCCCGAGGAACCATGCCCCAAAGTAGACGGTGACTGTGCAGCGTACAGTTTCCTGGTGGGAATCTAGCACTGCACTTCAGGCGAGCACGGTGAAGACACCTCCGACACCATGGCTCAGCCCTACGAACCCAGGGCGGTAACACCGCTGCCTCGCATACCGCTAGCTCCCATGCCGCGGCCCCAAGTCAGCATAGAACGCCTTCCCACGCGCCGCATGAGTAACGAGCCCCGTGAATCCATGAATTGCAAATCGTGCCGGAAGCGCAAGGTACGTGGGCGGTTTGGGTGTTCTACGGGCGCCACCGGCATCACCAGCTTCTCTATCACAGAGCCAATCTAAGCAATGTGAGCTAATGCTAGGGGATGCAGATAAAATGCAACCGGCTTCGCCCCGCCTGCGAGGCATGCCAGGTGTTCCAATGTCCCTGCATATATGGTATGTCTCTCATTCTGACGGATTGACGTTGCCACGCCCCCCGCCTTTTCTCACACGCAGCCATAGATGCCGTTCCAAAGAAGAGAGGTCCAAAAACCGATGTATTGGAGGCTCTATTGAAAAGGGTGGATGGGCTCGAAGCCCGACTCAAGGACAAGAAGGCGAATGCTGAGGCAGAAAGCTCCGAAAGCGCTGTGGTGGACGCCCCTGAAGCATCCGCTTCAACCCAGTCGGCGTCAAACGGGATATCCGGGACGACGGCCGATGATGCCCAAGAACCTCAAGACACGATCGTATTTTCTCCTGTTGAGCCGAAGTGAGCAGCCCATCTTCTCGCGCCGAATCGTGCAATCTAACGTAGCGCAGTGAGCAATCCCCCGACCCCCATCCGGATACATTACTCGACATCTACTTTACCCGTTTCCACGACAAACCCTTCTACATTTTTGATGAGTCCACCTTACGGCAACGTTTGCAACTAGAACAAGTACCCGGCTACCTGATCCACGCCATCTATGCGGTAGCTGCCAGGTGAGCATAAAACGCCCAGCTCTGCTTGTCCTCTTCACTGACCCGAGCGCTAAGATATGCGCCTCACCCGAGTGGCTACCAGTCCGCTGTGAAACTGAGCGAGGAGTATGCCGCCAAGTCAAGATTGGAGATGGACACGGACGACCCATCTGTGGACGCGCTACAGGCCCTAGTACTTCTTGTAACAGCATTCACAGCCTCGGGAAAGGGAAAAAAAGGCGTACATGTTGCTGAGTATGCCATTTTTCAACCCATCTACAACACCAAAACTGACTGTCTTGTAGCAAGCGCTGTTGGGATGGCTATGGCTTTGGAGCTGCATCGGGAGTTGGACATGAGCGCTCGTGTCACACCAATCGAACGAGAAAGTCGCCGAAGGCTGTTCTGGACTTGTTACCTTCTCGACCGTTTTATGTCCTGCGGCTCGAAGCGCCCATCCCTGATCTCGGACCGGGCCATACTTTTACGACTCCCGTGCTGGTTTCCTAGCCCGAATTCGATGCCCATGGAAGGGGACTTCTTCCAGAGCTATACGAACCTCCAGCACCTGCAGGGCGGAGGCAAAAAGGCCCAGGGAAGCAACGGGATGCTCATAGACATCTGTCGCATACTCGGCACAACGAATCAGTACCTAGCAGCCGGCGGCGTCAAGGGCGATTCTCATTTTCCATGGCACTCGCTATCTAATCTCTCCAAGATCCGCCAGGACTTGGATGTGTGGGCGTCAGGAACAGAGGACGTCTTTTCGAGCGTGGAATCTCTGTTTGGACAGCCGGATTCCACGGTGCTTGTGCTAAGCAAGCTGATCTATCACCTTATTCATTGTCTCATCTACCGCCCCTTTCTGCCCATCGACCTTGCGGAACTGGCAGGAACTGGCCAACACCAATCTTGGCAGATCGAAGCCACAAATATGTGCTTTCTGCACGCCAACGCCATCGCGGAGCTCGTGGAACTCGGCAAACAAACCGCGTCGGTGGAGTGGCCTGCCTTCGTAGGCTACTGCATCTGCACAGCCGGCACAGTACACATCCATGGCGCTCATTACAGCAGGATCGGCTCTGCCGGCGACATGAACGTGTTCAGGTCCTCAACCGACTTCCTGTCGAGGGAGATGCAGCAGCTGAGCGAGCTGCGATACGCGTGGGCAAGTGTTCAGCATCAGCGTGAGACCCTCCAGGGAATTTACCACGCACATTCAGAGCTGGTCAAGAGCCTTTCCCAGAGCCCGATGCGGTATTCGCCGGTATTCACCCTCGAAGACTTCTTCGACCGATATTCCAACATTGGAGGACCAGGAGGGCAAAGCTTTAGCTTTGACTCGGCGAATCTGAGTCTTGCCGATGTTGTCGTGGACTTCACAACCGATACGTATCCGGGCCAGGACCTCTACGCACCCCGAGTCAACGCCTCGGACCCCGGACCGTCTCGGCCAAACCTCAAGAGGAAGAACACAGCCCCATCAGGCCGCCCGAGGCCAGACCTCAAGAATCTACTGTCCCTCAACAACATGAACCCCCCACCCGCACCGTCCTTATCCACACCGTCGACTGCCAATAGGCCGCTCTTCTCACCGGCGTCGCTACCACCCCAGCCATCGCCCGGAATCCTACACACCCCAACACATGGTTCCCTACAGCAGAATCGCCGCCTGAGCATGTCGCATGGATCGGTAACCGGCGGTGCCAACGGAGAAGGCCTCGCGGGCTTCTCGCTCAATAACGGCGCGAGTAACCAGGCAGCAGACTTACCGCATGGATTCCCTAGCATGGGCAACAGCGGTTTCAATCCGTCCTTTAATTTTGGCCAGCTCCCCGGCTCCACACCCGGCCCCAGTGGCGGGCCGCAGAGTTTCGACCCCATGTTTGGCGGGTTACCCACCAATGCCTTTGGCACGCCTACTCCGTGGCACGGCGACGAAAACGGGAGACCGCCCGTCGTAGGGGCTACGCCCAAGGATACGAGCCCGAACGAAAGCGCGGCCACGACGGGGCCGGGGGAGGAGAAGGATCCATTCCTCAGCTTGCTAGAGCAGCTAGCCGAGAATGAGTCGTTTATGGGTAACGGGGGTAATGAGTTGGAGTTCTTCTTAAACGGGGCCCCTGCTTCAGGGTAATGGCGAGGCGGGTAATGATTTCGGGATGGGTGCACTTGGATATACCCGTATGTGGACATGAGCGGCGAAAGGGGTTGGTTTTCTAGCGCGGAGTTGGTGAACGGTGTTTGTCTTGTATAAAAGGGTACGGGTTGGATATGTACAAACGGTCTTCAGGCAGCTACTCGCCAACTAAAGGTATTACGGGTACAAGTACGTTGTTGATATAGGTATTTTGATAGCATCTAACTCAAGATATTGATCTAGCCGTGCCTTTTTCCGGTCAAGGTTCTTGTATCCTCACGTTGACCAGTGAATCATTATTCGTACTCGACACACAACTTTCAAATAAGGTACGCTCTAAATCGCAACCAGTTCCTGGGGTATCTTTATCGCAAACAAACCGACCCCAGTACCAAATCAACGCTTCTTACCACGCCATGCATCATCATAGTCATAACCATCAATCATCCTTTAATCATCCAATATCCTTGTATCCAAAACCTGATTCTCCCAAGGCGCCTGCTGGTTCTGCTGCTGCTGCCGTTGCTGTTGGTCATGGCCACTCAACCGGTGACCAGACCCAGCATCAGGAGGAGACAACGATCCCCTCGAGCCCACCCAACCCTCCCCCAACCGCTCCCCAAACAACACACCCCCACCACCACCCTGCCCACTACCACCCTCCTCACCCCGGAGCTCACCACCCCCCTCCACATCCCCCCCTGCCCCCTCCACCCTCCTCCCCATACTCCCACTCCCACTCCCACTCCCACCACCACCACTACCACCACCGGGCCCCTCCCTCGGCACCGGCGGCACATCCGCCAACACCCTCCCCGCCCTCACCACCCCAAGGAACCCCGGGAAAACCCCCGCCACCGCCATCAGCGCCACAACCACCACCATCGCCACCTGCACACTCCCCCCCTCTTTGATAATCCCATACGCCACAAACGGCCACACCCCGGGGCCACACCCGCCCATGGTCAGCCAGGCGGAGGCCTGTTTGGTGCGGACTCCTTGGCCGCGCAGGCCGAGGGAGAAGATTAAAGGCCAGATGGGGCCTTCGGTGAAGTAGAAGAGGAGGATGGGGATGGTGGCGGTGTTGGGGTTGGTTCCAGTTGTGCTGTTGGGGTTGGTGGTGGTGGTGGTGGGGAGGAGGACGGTGACGAGGGCGAAGAGGGCGGAGAAGGTTGTGCAGAGGAGGAGGAGGGTGCGGGCGGTGGGGAGGTTGCGGGTTAGTTTGATGGTGGTGCTGGGGGGTTGGTTGTGGTGGTGGTTGTGGTGGCGGGCGGAGAGGATGCAGATGCCGCCGGCGAGGAAGCGGGAGAGGGCAAAGGCCGTGTGCGCGATGAGGAGGTAGTTGGGGATGGAGAGGGTGAGGGAGGCCGGGCGGAGGCCGCTTTGGGTGGTGGCGAGCGCCGCGCCGGGGTCGGGCGTGAAGGAGGTGATGAGCTGCTCGACGAAGAGGGACATGTTTTCTTGCGCGGCGACGTAGCACCACTGGGCGAGGACCGCGAGGCCGACGGTCCAGGTTCGGAGGGATACGCCGCCGATGGATTTCTGTTTGGGGTCGACGGGGGAGCGGGAGGCGAGCTCGGCTAGCTCGGCGTCGCTGACCTCGGGGAGCGGCATGTAGTAGAAGAGGAGGGCGAGCAGGACGGAGAGGAGGGTGACGGAAAGGTAGGTCCACTGGACGTCGATGAGTGTGGTGGAGTCGACGCGGCCGCGGCCGTCCTCGAGGCGGGCGACGAAGAAGACGCGGTCGGCGAGCAGGCCGCTCAGCACGCTGCCGATGGCCTGGACGCCCTGGGCGAGCAACAGACGGGCGTCGGCGTACTCGGGCGTGCCGCACAGCACGAGAAAGGGGTTAGCCGCCGTCTCCAGCACGGCCAGCCCAAACCCAACCACAAAGGTGCTCGCCATGAACCCGCCGTACGCGCCCACCACCGCCCCGGGCCAGAACATGATGGTCCCCACCCCGTACACCAGCAACCCAACCATAAACGTCGCCTTGAACCCGCCCACGGACTCATCCCCCGCCTGCTTCCCCCGCCTCCTCTTGACCCTCACCCCCTTGGCCCTCCTCCTCCTCCTCTCCCTGTCCCCACCACCCCCAACCCCCCTATCACCACCACCACCACCACCACCCCCATTCCCACCCCTAACACCCCCTCCATCCCCACCATCAAACGGAGTATCCGGCCTCGTCCGATGATGCTCATCATGCCTCAACAACCACCCGCCCACCAGCAACGGCCCCAGCAAATACCCGCCCCCGAAATACATCGCCGTCAGGCTCAGGGCCTGGGCACGCGAGATGTTGGCTACTGCCGCCACCGCGCCGTTGAGGGTGTTGAGCAGGCCATACGAAAAGCCCCACAGGAAGAAGAGGATGCTGGCGAGGGTGCCGTACCGTAACGATTCGGAGGGGGTGGCGGTGAGGAGGTTTTTGGCGCGCGGGAGGGTGATGAAGGTTGGTTCGTGGTTGTTGGTGGTGGTGGTGCTGTGGCGGGGGTGGGAGGTGCTGGTGCTGAGGCGGGAGGTTGTGGCGGTGGTTGTTGTTGTTGTGGGGGAAGGTCGGTGGGGGTGTTGGGGGTTGGTGGTGGTTGGGTTGGAGGGGGAGGTGGTGGAGAGGAAGTCGCGGATGGAGATGTCGTCGGAGGCGGAGGCCGGGGTGGGAGCGGCGTCGGCGTCGGCGGGCGGGGTTAGGGAGAGGGTCGGTGCTGGGGGGGTGAGGCCCGTGGTGGCGAGCATGGCGCCGATCGAGGTGCTGCCGCGCTGCTGGTGGTCGTCCTTGGTGGTGCTGTTGCTGCTGCTGCCGGTGGCGGTGCGGGTGCTGCTGCGCAGGGTGCCGTCCGGGTCGACGAGCATGGCCGGCAGGATGCGGATGATGAGCGGCTTGAGGGTCGGGATGCAGGCGCAGATGATGCCCACGTTAACCTCGACGGCCGACCACATCAGCGAGAAGGAGGCGTTCCACGAGAAGCCGGCGCTCCGGCCGAAGGTGGCCATGGGGTCGGACGAGGACGTGGTCGGGACGTGGTCGATGGCCCGCTGGAGGTAGTAGATGCGGACGACGTCAACGATGGTCACGAAGATGCCCAGCGCGAAGGTCATGACCAAGATGGTCTTCTGGCGCGGGGGCAGCCGCATGCCGGTGAGCACGGGGATCGGCAGGGCCAGGATGGCGAGGTCGGTGGTGATGTTGACCGGGGCCGAGCAGATGAACTCGGTGAGCAGCGGAATGCAGCGGGCTGCCTGGACCCGGATGTCCCAGGCCGCGTGGGTCGGCTGGCACTGGAAGATGTTCATAAAGGTCAGGATAACCCCGGCGACGTTGACGATACCCAATACCGCCCACGACGCCAGGCGGAGGACCCTCAGCGTGTTCTTGGACAGACGCAAGTAGAATATGAGGATGGACGTCTTGGTCGCCATCAAGGCCGGGTTCTAGACGGTCAGTCAGTAGACTGGAGATCAAGAGCAGACTCGGTGGGTACGCACGTAGAGGATGGAGAAGACATATTCACACGTCCTCAGCACGGGCAGCTTTTCCGGCTCGATATCGTTATCATGCCTCCCCAGGCCGTTCTTGGTGCCGAGGTCGATGCTCATGCTCAGGAACACGGCGAGCAGCCAGGCCAGCACGATCGTGTAGTCGTCCCATGCGGTCCGGCGGACGATGCCAGCACGGGACACGATGCGAGCAGCCACGAACAGGGTCGCTAGGGCCAACGTGGCCGTCGTCACGGCGAACACGACGGGGCCCCGGTTGGGGAAGTCATCCGCATCTTGTTCCCCCGCGTCCTGGCTGGACATGATGGGCGAATAAGATGGAAGAGGATGGGGTGCGGTGGGTGTTATTGCAGCGCTGGAGTCGGTCTCAGTTGGGACTCCTCTGAGGCCGTCGCCAGGCCCTGTCCTGTCGAAGCTCAGGGACGGCTCGGCGGGACAGCAAGAGGGTGTTCTGATGACGGTATATGGCTGGTCCCGAGGCCATCGCTAAGAGGACGAGTGCTGTCTAAGTGCTCGGGGACACCGAGGTTGGGGGGCGTCGTGGTTGAGGCAATATTGGGCACCCAGAATGAAATGTCTGGTGGTTGCAGCCGAGTCTTCAGAGGCGTTTCCGAAGAGATGAAACTTGAAGGTAGGCTTATTCACACCATTTCAAAGCATGACATTTTATGGTGTCACGAGTCAGGATGTGGGTATCCCTGAGCCCTTGGGAGGGTCTGGAGTTGGAAATTAGGGCCGGAACGGTCGAGAAGACTTGTAGAACTTAATAACTAGGTGCCTTGTAACTAGGTGCCTTGTATTTTGGAAAGAGGAGTTTGAGGCACAGGTTAGAGAAGAAGATTTGGTTGAGTGAATCCTCCCCAATCTTTACATGCTGTGCTAGCCTTGACCTTGCCAGCATTGCCCAACTCTGCAAAGAACTCACCGCTTTCCAACGTCGCATTGAACTACTTACAGATTACTCCATGATAAAATGGGCCACCGAGGGACAGCATGTTAATGCCTGCCGAGCCTGCAGAGTAAGCTCAGGCAGAAAATGGACAAATTCAACACTGACGAAGCGGGTACTTGTGACTGGTCGAAGACAATGACTTGCCGGAAATCCCTCGTTGATTATTTGATCTGCAGCACGGCAAGCAAGCCCAGCCCAGCACTTTGGCGTGCTTGCCTCGCACAGTTTGCACGCACTGCCTCGCCAGCCACAAGCCAAGCAGCGATGACATCGCCAGCAAGTATCCTGTCCAATCAGGATGGGTGCCGTTGCGTCCCCTGGTCCCTGCTCGCCTCGTGTCGTTCGTTCGTGGCCAAGGCGCTGGGGTGTCTTGGCAACGGTACGTACATGTATATACCTGTCGGATGATGATGTATTCTGGGGAAGGAGTTCGAGGGATCGAGGGGTCGAGCCGAGGGGTTGGTTGGTAGCAACGAGGTGGTTCACCTGCTGGACCCTCTTAGACCCCGTGGGGGAGCCATTGGCCAATGGTAGATTTCGGCCTCTCCCAATTTTGGTCCTTGAGGAACAATCATGCCTCCACTCCACGGTCCCTCTCATCAACCGCCTCCTCAAACTCCCCATCATCCCCTGTCTCTGCCGCCTTCCATCCCGTCCCTGCCTGCATGACCAACACCAACACGCACATAGCGGCCGCCGACTTGTAGAGTACCTCCAACGCCCGCTCATACCCAAATACAGCAACCTCCCGCTCGGCCACGTTCAAAACCCCCTCCTTCCAGACCACCGCGGGACTGCCGATCAGCACGGTAATCAATTTCTCCCTCGCCTTGCCCAGGCCCTCCCCGCCATCCAGTCTCTCGAACCCGCCGACCAGTGCATCACGTAGTGTCCGCGTAAACACCCCGCCGCCGATGGCCGTGCCGAAACTCCCGGCAAACCCGCGGAAGGTGGACAGCAGCCCGGTGACAATAAAGTGCACGTCGGGGCTGGACAGGTACAGGAGGTGCGCCAGGGTGTAGTTGAGCGCCGCCCCGGTGCACAGTCCGTTAATAAAGACGACGGTGACGTACAGCCAGGTTGACGTGGCCGCGTTGCTCACGAACGCGAGTACGAATAGCGTTACTGAGAACAGGGTTAGGGACAGGAGCCCGGGAAACCAGAAAGACCCGGCATGGCGGATATGCAAGGCCCCGACAATCAGGCCGCCGATACCGAAGCCGGCGTTTGTGGGAATCAGGACGGAACCCGCGACGGCAGGCGACAAGCCGCGCACCGCGAGGACAAAGATGGGCGCGTAGAAAAGCACCGTCCAGCGGGCGGCCATGAAGCCGAGCTGCGAGAAGCAGGATAGTAGGACACCGCGGGACTTGAGCACTGTTAAGGGGAGGACGGGGTCCTTGGCGCGGGACTCGACGAGGAGGAAGACGGCGAGGGTGATGAGGGAGAGGGCGATAGGCAGCGGCTGAATGGTGCCGGAAAGGCCGTAGAGAAAGAGGACGATGGTGACGGTCTAGGCGGTTAGATATTATTTGTTTAGAGAACAAGGGGTATTAGAAAGCCATACCAAAGATACCGCGCCGGCGTAATCGAGACCGGCGAGCTTCTGCAGGGTCGTTTTATCCTTGGCGTTTTCATCCGTGGCGAAATGGGGGATGCTGAGGCTGACACCGAGGCCAGCGAGGGCCGCCATTGGGGCTTGGGCTCCGAATAGAAGCCTCTGTGGACGGTTAGCAACGTTACCGTCCTATAAGCAGCCATGAGAGTGTTGCTTACCCATCCAAGTACCGGCAGCAAAGCGCCAAACACCACGGCACCAGCCGACACACCGAGCGTGAACCCCTGAACGGCTGTTAGCTCCAGACTCATCAGCAGTGTCACGTAGCACCCACAGCGTTGGTCAATCCTATCCACAGCCCCCTCCGCTTTTTCGAGGTAAGCTGGATGACGAGAATCATGCACAGCGTCATAATGCCTCCGCTGCCGATACCTAGCATGACTCTCCCGAGGATGAACACGGCAAAGGTCGGCGCCACAGCAGTCACCAAGGCTCCCACCGAGAAGCACCCCGAGGCTAGCAGGACCATGGTGGCCGGCGAGAAAATCATGGCCAGCCTACCAGCAAGCGGCGCTACCGAGGACATGCTGATCATGTAGGCGCTCGTGAACCACATGGCCGACTCGTAAGCGTCCAGGTCGGCGGCAATGGTGGACTGGGTGGTCGAAATGCCGCTCATATTGCTGGCTGCATTGTGTTAGTTTTACAGCGCCGGGTTGTATTGTTTGTGCTGCAGTAGCACGGTGAACTCACCTTGCAGGAAAATGAGCGCCCACATGCTGAATACGATGCAGGTTGTTCGCTTCCAGCCCAGCGGCGGCTGCTCCGGGATGGGGCCGGGCTGCCGATTGCTTGCAGGTGAACCATCCCGGGCGGTTATCGAGCTGGACTCGGAGCGGAGGAGAGGCGTGTCTTCGGCCACGGTTGGTGATGTTGCCGAGCTGTCATCGTCGTCGCCGTGTCGACGCGTGTTGAAAGGGGTCGTCATGGCTCAACGATTGCAGTATTTACATTAGGCCCGAATGTTCCAGACGCGCCACATAGGGTCAATTGAACGAACCAAAGTGTCTAAAGAGAGAATTGATAAAAACGAAATTGCTCTCGATGTTTCACATTGTGTTATTTTTCTTTGGTTGAAGGTCCGGAGACTTTTAATTGATTTGTAAGTCGAGCCGGGGCAGGTGGAGGACCGTTCTCTCCGCGCCTTCCTTCAGGTTATGGATTCATATTTTCTCCCTGTTAGCGGATGGGGTCAATTGACCCCAATTAAAGTTTCAATTGGATTAGCCCACTGGCAGTCCAATACCGACCTCGGTTACCGTAAGATTTCAAGTCCTCACGAGAGACAACCCCAATGGATCGAGATCTGAGAGGATGCCCATCACAACCCTAACCCTTTCGTACCATCACCATTTCTTCCCCCCACCATGAGATCCCGAGGATCTGGTGAGCCCCTCCATGCCCAATTCGAGTGCCCCTCCATGATAGTTACTGTCACTCACAACGCACTCATAACTCACCGTCCATAACCCACTCAACATCACAACCACCCCTAACCTAGGTACCCACCACCCAACCACCACCACCACCATGCCCCTCCAAGACAGCTACACCCTCCCGGCGGCCGCCGACATGCACGTGCACCTGCGCAACGCCCCGGGCCCCATCGCGTCGCTGGCCACCCCGACCATCCGCAGGGCGGGAATCGACACCGTCTTCGTCATGCCCAACCTGGCGCCCCGCCCCGTCGTGTCCGTCGCCGAGGCCCTCGCCTACAAGGACGCCCTGCAGCAGCTTGATAGTAGTGTTACCTACCTCATGTCGCTCTACCTGCATGAGTCGATCACGCCGGATGTGATTCGCGAGGCGAAGCGGGCGGGGATCGCGGGCGTGAAGGTCAGCCTTTTTTTTTGAGAGAGAGTTCTTTTGTTTGTTGAGTTGGTGGTTGACCGGCGGTAGGCTTATCCCAAGGGTGCGACCACCAACTCGCAGTGGGGCGTTGTGTCGTTTGACCCGTTTCATGACGTGCTGAAAGCGATGGAGGAGGAAGGCATTGTGCTGAACCTGCATGGTGAGGTGCCCAGCAGTGCCGCCGACGGGGTGACGGTGATGAACGCCGAGATTAGGTTCATACCGGTGCTGAAGGGGCTGGTGGAGAAGTATCCGAAGCTGAAGATTGTCCTGGAGCACTGCACCTCGGCCGATGCGGTTGAGGCGGTTAAGGCGTTGGGCGAGAATGTCGTGGGGACCATCGTAGGTTTCCTTTCCCCTCCTGAGTGACTCGATACTGGTGCTGACAGTGAAGACCGCCCACCACCTCTCCCTCCTGGTAGACGACTGGTCCGCCAACGTGGTACGCCCCCCCGGCCCGTCCTCCCTTTTAATATCTGTCAGCTAAACAGTGTTCAGCACCATTACTGCAAACCCTCCGCCAAGTCCCCCGAGGACCGTCGTGCCCTCCTCAACGCCGTCGTCACCAGCAACGGCAAGTTCTTCCTCGGCACCGACAGCGCCCGTACGTACCGCCCCCCTTACCCTCCCCTTCCCGCGCAACGCTAACATAACCCCGTCTTTAGCCCACGACATCACCTCCAAAAAGGGGAAAGGCAACACCGCAGCAGGTGTTTTTACCCAGCCCTACGCCATCGGCTACGTATGCCCCCTTATGCTCTTAATCCCCCCCCCCCCCCACACCAAAACCAACCAAACCAACCAACTAACCAACCCCCCCCCAAAACACAGGTCCTAACCGCCCTCGAAGAGGCCATCACCCGTGGCGACATCGCAGAAGCGTCGGTGACCGAGGACGCGCTGGCGGGCTTCCTGTCCGGGTACGGGCGGCAGTTCTACGGCGTGGCGCCGGCGGCGCGGCAGATCCGGGTGACGCGCGGCGGGGCCCGCGTCGAGGAGTCGCTGCGCGGGGAGGGGGTCGAGATCGTGCCGTTTCGCGCGGGCGAGACGACGTGGGGGGTGGAGTGGTTGTAGGGGTGTAGTTGTGAGGGTTGTTAGAGGGTGGGAAAGGAGTGTTTTGGTGGGCTGGTTGGGAGGGGGGTTTTAGGCCAAAAGAAAAGTTCGGCGTATAGAAACATGTATGGGGCCGTAAAATAGGTTGCGAGGAAAACTAAAAGCATACTAGATACCAGTGAAAAGTCGAGGTGGGAGTTGATAGAGCACATGGCGAAGGCCGCCAATATAGAGAAAATATTGTGGGATTTCATGCATTTTCTCCCGTCCAACCTGTGATAGATATGCTATGCCGCCAAAAGCCCCTGGTACCTAGGTAGTGTATAAAGTCAACTGACCTGCTTTATCGCCCGCCATCCGACCAGATCCCGAGAACGCCATCAGTTAACACGATAATATTCATCCTCATCATTCACTCACAGCCATGCATCTCCCGGCCGATTGGCAAATATAACTCCACACATAACACACAAACATCCTCCCCCACCACACCCCGAGCTCTACGCCCTCGCGGTATTCACTCCCCCTCCCCGAACCTAGGCATGGGCCTGGGCCTGGGCCTGGGCCTGAACAGCAGCAGCCGCCGCCGCCGCCGCAGCAGCACCCCCGCCAGCGCTCCCCGCCGTGCCCCTCTTCCGCTTGACCGGTTGATAAACATCATTGAAGTTCATCGACACGCCCAAGAAGCGCATATCCACATCCGGCTGGTAGGCCAAGTCGCCCAGCAGGATCTGCAAGCGCGCCTTGAAGCTGGCGCCGAGCTGGCGCAGGCGGTCCTGCAGGGCCGGCAGCTCCGACCTAAGGCTGTCGTCGTCGTCGTCGTCGCCGCCCGGGATTTCTCCGGTATCGCCGTCCGTGTTGTTGAACGAGTCGTCGCGGGGTAGGTCGGCGGCGGGGCCCGACAGCTTGGGCTTCTTGTTGCGGTGCAGGTGCAGCATGTTGACGGCGTCGGCCTCCTGCCGGCGGGTGAAGTCCGACAGCGACCAGCTGTACAGCCCGTCGACGCAGTCGCGGTAGGCGAGCATCGTGCGCAGGAGCTCGCTTAGCTGTACCATGTAGGAGTTGCGGTCTTCGGAGGCGGCGGCGCTGGCGGTGGTGGCGTCTGGGCCCTGCTGGGCGGCGGCTTCCTTGAGGGAGTCGTGGTATTGCCTGCGGCGGGCGCCGAGGAGGCCCTTGTGGGTGATGGCGGTGAGGTATTTGGTGTGGGCGTTGATGAGGTCGTCGAGCGTGCAGTCTTCCTTGCGGATGTTGGTTTGCAGCTCCGTCCAGCTGGACTCGATCACTTCGAAGAGGATGTAGTACTGCAGCTGGCCGACGAAATGCACCATCTCGGCTAGCACGCCGCGGGTGCTCTTCCAGATCAGGAGGACTTCTTCGTCCGAGGTCTGGAGGACGCCGCGTGAGCCGGTCATGCACTTGCGCCAGGTCGACGACAGAGCGAACTCGACACGCTTCACGCGCCAGAGGAAGTTGAACACTTTGAGGTATTGGCGATTGCCCCATTCGGTGACGACCACGTCAACAGGGGCGTCGATCTTGTACTCGAGTGTGAAACAGTCCCAGCCGATGTCGCCGTGGCTGAGCTGGAGCATGCGGGCATCGAGCCGCCTGAGGACTTCCTCGCTGTCGTACTGTGCGTTGGAGCCGCGGATGGCGTGTTCCAGCTGGGCCGTCAGGGTGTGGCGGTACTGTGCAAACGCCGGCCGGTCGAGGTTGGCCGCGAGGGATTCCATGAGGAGGGCAATAAAGTCGCCCTGGCCGAGAAGAATATAGTTCTTGAGCGCCTGTAAGTGGTCAAAGAGGCGGAAGCGGGTGCTCATGAGGTGCATCAACCGCCGCATAGTGGTCTTGTATGCTTCGTCGATCCAGGTTTCCAGCGTCGCGGTGTCGCCGTAGCTGAGTGGCTTGGACGACGTCTTGCTGTAGGCGTCGACCCACTGACTATCACCGCAGCTGTGGCGGATGAAGTTGAGCGACTTTCCGATTAGAAAGACCTTTTGGGCGAAATCCGCTGTCGTGATACTGGGGACCATGCGATCGACGACTTCGTACTTGGAGTTCCAGACACTAGCCTGGCCCTTAGCCTTGGACTCCTTGCGGTCCTCGTCGTTGGGGCTCTGCTCCCTGACAAAAAACTCCAGGTGCGGGTCTAGTAGCTCTCCATCATAGACCCAGCGCCGGAGGATATCGTAGAATGGCCGTGTTACATCGGCTAGAAGGCGCTCCGCAAACGCTGCTACGACGGGATCGCCATGGGAGGTAGAGAACCCATGTATCATGGTGATGATTTGCCCACCGTGCTTGGTTTTGCTCTCCTCCGCGATCAGTGACATCAATCGCAAGCCCATGGTCGCTTCCCGAGTCCACACGACACAGCGCTTGAGAGTGACGCCGGCCTTTCCAATCCCCCCACGGGGAGCAGACTCGTCAACTGCCGAGAGGGCCCTTCGTATCTGTGCTTCGAGGGTCGCAACAAGAGTGAGGTACGATCGGAGCTCATTGTTGATGGCGGCTCGCAAGCTCTGGCCAAGCAGCCCCTTCGCCGGAGACTTGACGAAGGATACTAGTCCCCGGTACAGTAATGAGGGCTCGGCTAGAGTATGTAGAAGAGATATTATCGGCGCGGGGAGTGTAGTGGGTAGCTGTAAAACGGTTTCCTTGGCGAAGGGGAGAGTAGTGGACGACAGCCCTTGCAGTGTATAGGGCAAGTCTCTTAACAAGCCCATTTCTGTCGGCTCAAACTCGTTTGAATTGTCGGCTAGCAGGGTGGACTTTATCGAGACATCCCTTGCAGCCTTCTTTGGTTGGCTGTCGGCCGGGGGTGGTGGTGTTGGTGGTGTCTCCTCAGTCTGGGTGCGCTTGGGTCTCTCTGTCGGCAGCTTCTTCAAGCCGCCCGGCGCGAATGCATCGCTCACAGATCCTTCTTCCGGAGTTGGAACAGCGCTGGCTGCCCTTGGGCGCCTCTCCTTTTCAACGGCTCGCGGGGGCGGTCGTTGCGCGAGAGGTTTTGGCGGGCTCAAGGGGAGGGGTTCGTTGGGGTCTGGAGAATCGGAAAGCTGGTAGAGCAAGAACAGTATCGCCCATTTCTGGGTTAGAACTGGTAATGACAGCAGCCTTGTGTAAAGGTTGGAGAACCTCAGGGCCTGGCTGGGGTTGCTCTGGATCAGCTTGCGTTTGATCAGGTCCGAGGCATGGTTGACGTCGGACGAGACAGCAGGAAAAACCTCGTGCCTAGGGAGCGTGTTAGCGGCGATTTATCTTATACCTACAAGAAACCGTGCATGATACTCACTGTTCAATGATGTCACGAACGAGCTCGAAGGATTCATTGTGCCTTTCCTGCGCTGTCTGCTCGTCGTCGTTCGGGTTGATGGGCACCAAATGCGTGATCAGGCTGTCGATGGCATTCGAGACGTGGTTTCGATTGTTGTTGGCCATGACTGCATGTTGTCGGGTTGTAATGCCGTGTTGTTTAATGTCGCTAGGTGGGCGGCGGCAAACTTTATTTTGTGTGTTTCATTGCATCGCTGTTCGTCGTTGACGACTTGGAGGGGGACGCGACGCGACGAGGGGACAACCTAAAGCGCTAGGTGGGCCAGTGAATGAATGCCAAGAACGTCTTAGCGGTGTTCGATCGCTGAATTTCACCCTTGTGGGGGAACGGTACCCCCGACACACCCAACCCCTTGGTGCTGGCTGAAGTACCCCACGCTGCCGCCACCCGGATTCCCGCTGCCACGCCCGCTGCCCTTGTCGCTAGAAGCTCCATCAAATTCGACCACCACCGAACCCAAGACCGACCACTTCAGTTTGGCTAGCGGACGACAACATCATCCATTCAACCACGCCACCATGCCCGATCCATCAATTTGAATCCGGGATTTTGATCGCATGAGCGAGATCTACATTTTGATGCGCAAATGAACGCGGCTTCGCCCCACGATTGTGCAGCATCTCGCACGCGACGGTCCTGACGCCCTTCTTTCCGCGCTCTCGCCGACCGCATCCCGCGCCCGCTCGCTTATCCGTGGCCGGCCACACCTACGGCGAGCTCCCACCATGGTCGACATTAACCCCGCCGCCCTGAGTCGGCCATCCATCAGCCTCTCAACACCGGTTCTCTCGAAGCAGTCCATCAATGTTTCAGTGCCGTCAATACACAAGGCGCCAAAAACTAGCCAACTTATACCGGCCCGCATTGACCTCGAGCCCATCTACACGGCTCTGAAAGCCGGCGTCGGCGCGGAGCAATGGTCCACCTACAAAGAATCCATAACCAATTTTCTAATCGGTACTACGCCGCCACCTAACGCCCATCTGCGCCAGCTGGGAATGCGTATGCTGACAAGTCTGGTGTAGGTCGCCTCAACCAAGCCGAGTTTAGCGAGCGCATCGAGCCCATACTCGCTTCTCCCGATGGCTCCAAAGAACACCTCCACAATCAGCTCATCGCGGCCATATACGGCAATGTCACACGCGAGATGCCCGACCAGGGCCTTGCGCCCTGGGTTAGCACAAACGACAAGCCGTCGCCGGCGACCGGGAGCAAGCCCGTGTCCGGGGATGCTGCCGAGCGGAGGTTAAAGGGAGAGGTCATGCAGCTCCCAGCGCGTGACCGGAGGCGCATCAAGGACCTTGCACACAACGATGTGAGCCAGGGCATGCAATGGAGTATTGCAGGATCCATGCTGACCGCGCACCTCAGTTTGATCCGTACGAGTCGCTCGCCAACGTGTTTGCTGACCAGGCCCGGATACGCCCCACCAAAGCGACCGAGGTGCCTGCCAGTGCGGGCGGCGCACTCAGCCGGATGAGTATGCTCACCACTCCCTGGCGACCGTTGCATCTGGCTGACATCCTGAAGATTTTGATCTCGAGATCAGGAAACGCTATGCGCAACCATTAGCCGTCGAGTCGGGCGAGTTCCCAGATGTCAGCAATATCGAGGCGCGGATGCTACCTTTCTGCTACGAGGCGGGTCTTGCATCCGGGCATACACCAGACGCAGCACAGTTCATGTCGATTGCAACCGAGACCTTCATCAAGGAGGTCATGTCGTCGATATTTAGCCGCACGCGAAGCAACCCACCGGGCGACTCGGGCAACGCCGGGTTCGGGCCCAATAACACCTGGATCCAAACGCACAAATACCGACGGCAGCTGGCCAAGGAAGAGGAGGCATTCCAACGGGGCGAGGTCACGCGCGATAAGACAGGGTTATTGCCCGTCGAAGCCAAAGCCGCGAGCGAGCGGGGTCCGCTGGGCATCGCCGATCTCCGGCTCGCACTGGAGATGGGCGACTGTGGCCTCGCAAACTTTCCCATCATCAGCACATCAGTCATCTATGGCTACCGGGAGGGAGAGCTGGAAAACTGGGACGATTACACATACGTGGATGGCCGCGACAGGATTACGGACCTGGACGGAGACATCGAGATGGGCGGCGCCGAGGGCAACGGCATCGGACAGGGACCTGAACCACTTACTAACGGGGTTTTCCATGGTGACCATATGGATATTGACAATGACATGTGGTGGGAGGGCACTGCCATGTCAGAGAACATGCTCGACACAGTTCTGGATTCTTGCTTGGCTGTTGGCTGACTCGGTGCAGAAGGTCGACGGTTCGGCGAGCGCTATATACGAGCGATCATCTTTTTTTTTCTTTTCTTTTTTTACTGATTACACAAGGAGTTCCACGGAGTCTCAAGGACGGCGTTTACGAAAGGGGCCGCGGTGGGCGGCGACCGGCTGCTTACGCATTGCATCGGCACAGTCATATTTTCTTGGTTGCGACGTGCCCTGTATAACTTCTTAGGTGGACTCAAAAGGGGTGGCGGGCACATTCTGGCGTCGAATCGGGGGCATACCAAGGAGCTGCTAGGTGCGGATGAAAGAGGGCTTTTTTTGTACTGTATTTTTATGAACGATACCCGGAAACGCCCTCGTGGGGACTAGGGGGGGTTGATAGTTTTGGTCCTCGGCCGTATATGTACCTACCTCGGGTACCCAGGTAGTTAAAGCGAAGATGATATTCGTATGATTACCTCTGCGTGTCAAGTCTCTCATGCAGCTGAAGATGAAAGTGGCTGACATGGTCTCACAGGGCTGGTGGTTGGTGTTCACACAGTTCCGAGACAGTAAGTTACAGGGGGCTCCAGCAGGGGTGTCGCGTAACTCGCTCCCCAACTCGTTAATTGGATCCGCCCACTTACACCCCCAACGCGTCTCTCAACGCGTTTTCCCCACCATATCAACCCTGCCACCTACGCTCTCCTCCACCCATTCTTTTACACCAAGCACCAGTTCGAGGGCAGTTCCTAACATACTCTCCTTAACCTGCTTTCGACATAATATTTTCGACCCTAAATACCCTCAATTACGGGCACAATGACCTCTTCTAGGTCTCCCTCTCCCTCTCTGCGCCGCTCTCGCAGCGTGTCGCCCACCACTGCCACGACGCGTCTCATCCAGCAAAACCGCTTCGGTGCCCTCTCCGATAGCAGTTCCGAAGAAGATGATGCCATCCTCCGACCACGCGGGAAAATGGCCGCCAGAATGCAAGCCCGCGGGAGCGAGCCACAAGAATCAGAATCAGAAGCTGAACCAGAAGCTGGGGACAACGCGAACACGACGCGAAGCAGTCCGCCCAGGGAGAAGATTTCTGGCAACGGAAGCAACCAAAATGAGGCCGAGGAAGAGGAAGACGACGACGAAGACGTTATTACTACGCGCCCTAGGAAGCTGAAGTCCAGGCCAGAACGCAGCTCTACCCCAGAGCCAAGGCCACATCAGGCCGCGTCGTCACCCGGTCCCATCATCTCGCCACAGAAGGACGCCCCCGGCTCTCCCGGGCTCTTCATCTCACCATCCAAACCTCAGTCTCCTTCCGCAGATCATAGTGATGACGGCCTGCCCAGTCCAACTGGCTTGTCGAAGAAGCCCGCGTTCAAAGCCCTCGTTGCTAGGAAACGGCAGGAACGCCTCGCCAGGGAGGCCGAAGAAGCGCGCAAGAAGGCTGAAAGGAGAAAGGCAGCCAGCTATGAAGATGACGAGATCATGGCAGACGACGAAGACGACAACATCACCGACGACGAGGGCGGGCGCAAGCTCACCCAAGAGGCGGCCACATCACGCCCTTCGCGCAAAGCTAGCAAAAAGGCGCTAGAGGAGATGAACCGCGAGACGCAGCGGTTGACCCGGAGCCTGCAGCTCGCTCACGAGGCCAAGGTGAAGAAGAAGCTTTCCAAGTCGGCCTTGTTTGAGCGCTTCAACTTCAAGCCTGCTGGTGCGGCGGCATCAGTTGAGGAGACCGCGCCGGCCGCGAGCTCAAGCCGTGCTCCGACCCCAGCATCCGTTCAGCAGAGTGATTCCGAGATGAAGGACGCTGAGACGCCGCCTAGTTCACCGCCGGTGGCTGAAAAGGACGGCACTTCCGACGACGTCCCGCCCGCGGCGACAGAGAACAACGGTGATGAAGACGACTTCCCCGTTCTGGACGAACTCGTCCAAGAAGCTACGGCGTCCAAGAAGCTCGACAAAGGCAAAGGCAAGGCAACAGCTGCCGACTTAGAACAACCCGCTGTCGAACTCCCACGGAAACGCAACATTCGCGTCAAGTTCCCTCCCCTCCAAGCCAACGCCGCCGCTCTCTCCGTCTCCTTCGACGCGGACAATGATGATGACGACGACGACCTCCAAATCGTGCCCAGCCGCAAGTCCAAGCTCGACGCCATCTTCGACCGCATCCCCACCAACCAAGCCAAACAAACCCACTCCCTGCAAGTCCTCCGCCGGCTCGCCCACCTCGACGACCCGGAGAAGAAGCCGGCGCCCCCCTCCCGCGCGGGCAACAAGCTCAAGAAGCAGCAGCAGGAGCCCGCCATCACCGCCGGCGAGCTCCACGCCAACCTCCTCCAGCGCGCCCGCCACCAGGCCAAGCTCGAGCGGGACCGCCACTTGGAAATGCTGCGGGCCAAGGGCGTGCATGTGCAGACTGCCGAGGAGCGGGAGCGGGAGATGCAGGATGTGGAGGATATGGTTGCCAAGGCGAGGCGTGAGGCTGAGGAGATCATGGACAAGGAGCGTGGCGATGCTAAGGCGGAGAGGAAGAAGAGACGCAATGCCGGGGAGGAGGATCCCCTGGGCTGGGATGACGAGAGTGATGATGAGGACTATGAGGAGGAGGTGGTGGAGGAGAAGGAGGTTGAACTATCTGGCTCCGAGGAGGAGGAGGGAGAGGAAGAGGAAGAGGGCGAGGGTCTGGTTGACGATGCTGCTGAAGAGATCGTGGAGTCGTCTGAGACTGAAGAGGTCGAAGAGCAGGCCGCCAACCAGGACTCTGATGAAGAGCTGCCTGGCTCTATGCAAGTCCGACGCAGGGCGAGAAAGCACGTCACCATCGTTACTGACGATGAGGATGATGCTGAGCCTCTTGTCAAGGCTACGCCCCGGCCCAAGACTCACTTTCCCAAGTCGCCGTCAGTCCGCAACAATGAGTCGCCGAGTGTGCCAACATCGGTCTTGCGGTCCGCTACCAAAACCTTCATCCCGGGCCTTCCTGTCGCCGGGCCTGCTGGTCTGGGGCTCACTCAGATCTTTGCTGGCACCATGGACGACAGCCAGATGGGGACAAGCCAGACAACGCCCACCCAGCCACGGCCCACTTTCGACGTGACCGCCTTCCCCGACTCCAACTTCTCCCAGACCGCACAAGAGGCCGCAGAGGCTCTGATCCTCGACAGCCAACCGAACCGGGAGACACAGGCCGAAACCCAGGGCGTGCAGATCCGCTTCTCGCAGTCCCAAATGCACGGCTTCGACACCTTCTTGGAGGAGACCGCAAACCCGACCCAGATGTCGGAGCTCATCGAGCCAACCCAGGACTCGGGCTTCCACGACTTCTCGCCGCTCCGCCAGCGTTTTGTTGAGCCCCCGGCTTCGACTGTAGACACAGTCCCTGCCGGTCAGACTCAGGCGGAGGAGCAAAGCGAGTCGCCTCTGGTGCGCAGAACCGGGAAGCTCAGGCGTAAGGCCGCGATTGTGCCGGCATCGCCCAGCCGTAACTCCGTCGCGGGCGAGGACGAGGCTCCCGAGGCTGACGAGTTCGGCTTCGGCACGACCTCCAACAATGCTTTCGCCGCCATGAAGGAGGCTGCGCTCAAGGAAAAGAAGCTCAAGGAGGCCTTTGACAAGAAGAAGAGCAAGGCCCGCGACATGGTGGAGGAGCAAGCCGAGGAGTCCGAGGACGAGTACGCCGGGCTCGGCGGTGCCGATGGTGAAGACAGTGACGATGATGATCAATCAGTCAAGGAGATGATTGATGACGAAACTAAGGAGAACGAGGGCGACGAGAGGAAGCTGGCGGCTTTCTATGCGTAAGTCGAAGCCACTCCGCTCTACTTCTGAGTACACAAGCTAACTCCCACAGTGACCGCGAGCGTGCCGATGACGAGAAGCAGGTAGAGAAGCTCTTCCACGACGTCACGACTGGCCAGCTCCGGCGCAAGCGCAACGGCAACTGGGACGACCTGTCCGACTCGGACGATGGCGGCGAGGCCCGCCGCCGCATGAAGCGTCGCCAGTTTGCCAAGATGCAGCGCACCCTCTATGCCGACGAGCGCATCAGCAAGGTGGCCGAGAACCCGCGCAACCAGGCGTTCATGCGGACCATTGAGGACCGGGGCAGCGACGACGAGATGGATTTTATCTTTGCGCCGCCGCCGCCGCCGCCGGGAGCGGAGAGCCAGGAGACGCAGGCTTCGGGTACCGGCCCAGCCGCTGTCATCCCCAACAGCCAGCCCCAGGCGGCCCCCGTGTCCAACCCTCGCCGCACCAAGGCCGGGAAGAAGCCCTCCAACATCGGCGAGATCCGCGAGTCGCTCTCCAACCTCCTCGACGAGCCCTTCAACCCCTCATCCTCCCTCATCCCCGCCACCGAGGCCGGCTCCTCAGACGACGAGGCCCGCCCCCAGTCCTCCCACAGCAACTCCAGCGCCTCCAGCAACAAAGAAAACCGCAACCCCCGCCGCAGCAAACCCGCCCCCGCCATCATCGACCGCATCAACCTCAAACGCAACTCCTCCACCGCCTCCACCGCCAACAAACTCGCCTTCACCTCCGCCACCACCTCCACCTCCACCACAACCACTTCCCGAGGAGGAGGAAGCGAAGGCACCTTCAAAGTCCCCGCCCTCCTCCGCCGCGCAACCACCAACTCCCTCCTCTCCACCAGCAGCAGCAGTACATCCTCCACCTCCAGCGTGACCAACACCAACACCAACACCCTCGCCGCCCGCACCGCCGCCGAGAGCATGAAGATCAAGAAGCCTGCGGGCAAGCGGTCCGGCGTGAGCTACCTCGCGCGGGAGACGGAGCGGCGCGCGGCCGTGGCCGAGGCGGAGCGCCGGAGGGAGGCGCGCAAGTTCCGTGGCGCGGAGGGGCGCGGGAAGGCGGTGGGGGGGTTGTTTGGGGGGGGCAAGTTCGAGTAGTTTTTCTTTTCTTGGGAGGGGGCGGGTGTTGTGTGGGAATGGGGTTGGCTGTGGTGTTGGTTGGGGGTTTGTGTTTGGGGCGTTTTGTTTGGGGGGTGGTTGGCTGTCGGGTTGGCTGGCTGGCTGGCTCTGGCCGTCTTGTGTGAGCATTGTTGGACAACGTTGCGAGGCTGTTTGTCTTCGTTTGTAGGTGTTTATGGTTTGGGCTTGGTCTGGCTGGATAGGGCAGGCAGGAGGAAGACTTGTACAGAAAGTTGTATAGCATGGCATGGTCGGAGTTGTATTTTGTTTGGAAATGGATCAGGTAATGGGAGGCGTTCACTCCAGGAGTTGAGGTCATGCAATAGAAGCCGGTATCAGCTCACCCCGTAAGGTCGAGATCCTTAAGTGACTTGCACAACTTCTTGGTCCATTTTTGGGATGAGGGAGCTGGGAAGAAAGAACTAGGCAGCACCAAACATCCACCAACATTCTGCATGGGCTACCGAGATCCCCACGAGATACCACAGCAAAGGCACAGGCACCATACTACCCCACGAACTCGCGGACTTGCATGCCAGGGTGAGCACACGTGTGGCATACATAGTTGACATGTCAAGACCCAAGAACACAGGCGGAGTAAACTGATTCAGATGATTGAATACTCATATCAGACGCGAAGCGCCAACTATCGAACAACACTCCACAGCAACAGCCATCCCCTATCTTGATCGACAAAGGAAATGATTAAGTAGGTAGTAGTACGTACATACAGGGTAGGTCTTGTCGCTAAATCGTGTCATGCCGTCGTATTGTCGTGATGATCCTCCGCCTGCCGCCAAAAAAACAAAAGAAAACAGTAAGATGCGAGCGCCGAGGCCTCCCGCCAATGTGTGCCGCCAATGTGTGCCGCCAAAAGCCAATCCATAGCCAGCCAGCAATGCAATGCCAAACCTGCCGTAGTCTATACACGGATGCATGGATGCTTCTCATAATACACGTCTCCGAACAAGAGCACCGAGACGAGACCGGTGTCGGGGAATCCCCAGCACCCATAGTCCGAAACCCGTTGTAACTCCAAAACAAACGCCCGAGGACGCGGGTAAACGTTGCGTCCTCGACATTAACCTCCCCAGTTTGCCTTTCCTATCCGTCGCCGCGGAAGGCCATGCGTTCCTAACAGCGCCGGATCGTTAGGTCGCCTCCGTTGAGGATGCTGTTTCCCAAACTCCATGCCCAAGCACAAAAGAAAAAACATGGTCGAGCGTGTAGCGACGCAGGCGGCGATAAAATCCCAGTCCGCGAATAGATGCAGTCATGATGGTCGCTGACGCGTGTCGACTCATAAGCGAGCATGGCGTCGTTGCGAGGACGTGCCGAAAGAATGTTGGAACTGCAGGACTTCGCCGGTCGCCCACGTGAACTCCCACAACTCAACCCACACATCAACCAATCCCAAATAGCCTCGATATCCCACCGCCATGGATACCAAGCTATGATAGCTGGCCAATTCAACTCCGTACTCCGACATATTCTCCTGGCATGCCACGCCCCCAAAAGAGTGGCGGCATATCCAGCATCTTAGACACAAGAGCAGATGGTGTGCTCCAAAATCAACAGGGTGTGTCGTATCAGTGTTCAAACATCCATCATCTCGGTGTCGACGAGCTCGTCAACAGAGGGGCCAACATGGGGGCCCCAGTTGCCCTCAAACACCGTCGCGCCGGCAGTCCGCTGACTGGAGATCCAGGCTACAGGCTTCGACTCCAGAACCTGCTCAGCAGTAGGACGATCAGCCGCGTTGGGCTCAAGCATCCATGTGACGAGGTTGTCGAGGGAATGCGGGTCGTTCGGATCCAGCATGAAGCTGGGCGGACGTTGAGGTTCCGTCCGTTTTTGTGCGCCGAACAGATTACTCGCGTTGTGTGTCATGGCGCCAAAGGGCAAAGACCCGCGACGAGGACTGATGCCAAGCCCAACCTCGGCGCCGTCTGACACCTGAGAAATGCCGGAATCATGGGCGAGAGGCAGGCCGTTGGCATCGCGGGTAATGGCACCGGCTTCACCGCATGTGAGCGGAGGGACTGTGCTCAAGTCGCCTGCACGGAGAGCCTGCCAGGTCGGGCCATTGTCGGGTAGGAAAACGTTGCAGGCAATCTCCAGGATGATTAGGCCGAGGGCAAAGACGTCGGCAGGCTTGTCAAACTCTCCGCGGAGAATCTCGGCGGCGATATACTCGCGGTCGCCTTCGCCGTCGATGCCCTTGGGGGCCGGCCAGCTCGTTGCAACGCCAAAGTCGCCAATCTTGAGATAACCATCGAAAGTGATAAAGATGTTGGCGGGCTTGATATCAAGGTGAATAAAGCCTGCCTGGTGAATGGCAGATAAACCCTAAACTTTGTCAGTAATACGAACATTCAAGATTTGCGTGCTTTAACTCACCTGAGCCGTCTCCAAAAGAATCTTCCAGATTCTGAAGTCATCCAATCGACCGGCCTGTCCAACAACCTTGAGGAACCCATCCAGGCTACCCTCGCTGCAAAACTCGGTCTGAATGTAGAGGTGACCGTTGTGGTCCCAGCTGTCAATCAACTGCACAACCTTACTGGAGTGGCGCAATGACTGCAAAACAGCCACCTCCCGAAGCTTTGACTCGCGGTCGTGCACGCCTTGAAACGGAACCCGCAGCTTCTTTACGGCGTAGACCCTGTCAGAGCTCGGGCTTGAAGGCGTCCGTGGTGTGCTCGACAAGGTCATCATGAAGGAGCTAGGGGCGGCCGATTGGACAACGCGGTACACCTGCGAGAATTCGCCCTTGCCGATAACTTCCGACTTGCTAAAACGGGAGACCAAAGACTCGTCAACATCGCTGGGGCTAAGGCAATTCCGAGGCGTGGTGCTCGGTCGGCGACCGGCAAAGCTCGAGAAGAGTTGCCGTCCCTGCGAGTTGCTGGGGGTTGCCGGGGTCCAAGAAACCCTAGCGTTACCGTCCTGCGAGTTCGAAATCGACAGGCTGCTTGGGTCGGGGGGAGTCATCGAATACCCCGCCGCGTCTTGCGGAGTGCGAGGTGACACGGTCTCCATGTTCAAGGGGCTCGCTGCCGAGGGCCCATCAGCCTTGGCCACCTGCTCGGCGGCACTATTGAGCGACGCAAAGAGAGCCGGCGAACTTCTCGCGGGAGCGGGCGTGGCAAATGTGACAGGATGTGAGCGGCTTCCGGCCACTGAAGCGAAGGAAAAGCCGAGGCAAGGCGAGCCGCTAGAAAAAGGAGTAGAAGGCCGGGGTGGGGCATCAACAGAGGGTGAGTCGTCGTTCTGCAGTGCATCCATGCTCGACATGGCGGCATCGGATTTGGAGCTCGCGTTCGTGTCTCTCGGGTCCCTACCCAAGGAAAAGATGGGGGCGCGGGCGGCGAAAGAACGCCTGTCTCCAGGCGACTGGCCACCCTCCGTCGGCGCCGTGAGTGACTTGAAGAACAAATTCTTAGTCGGAGTGGGAGGGAGCTCGTCCTGCGCTTCGGGGAGTTCATCGTCATCCACGCTCAACATGCTCCCCTTTCTCGTATGGCCGGAGCGAACTTGCTGGAAGAGGAGGCTGCTTGACTTGTCCGGAGTTCCAAACAGGTTCCCGCGAACGGGCGCGGCGACCGCACTGAACGGCGTTGAAGGGCTCCCAAAAGAAATCCGGGATCGCCGTCCGCCACTGCCACCCTGGGGGGGGAATGTGGCCGAGTAGTAAGGCTGCTTTTTGCAAGGCGTATCCGGCATCGTGCTGACCTTTGTCCTAGGATGCTCGAGTGGACCGTCTCCGTTGCGGTTCATCTTGGAAACGAGGCCAGTTGACATGAAGGCCGACTGCAACGGCTTGGCTCCCTTGTAATGAGGGGTCGAGGTCCCTTCCGCATCGTTCGCCGGCGGAAGAGATCCCGGGGGCAACGACTTTGATAGAACATGTGGGGAGTAACGGCCGCTGAGTCGGGAACTCCTCATCGGGGTGGCTCGAGGTGGATGAGGATTGTGACAAGAGCCGGGACAGTGGATGAGGGTGGTTGGTTGTGCGTTGAACCGGGTGCGGCGTTGCACTCGGCATGGTGGAAAAGGGGTTTGGTCGCTCCTCGGGCGGAACATACTGATCCAGCGAGAGCCTAGGCCTGCTGCGAGCGACCGGCGTGCCAGGATCAGTCGCGAGCTGTGCCAGCTGCTTCTCCCCTGCACGTCGGCCCAAGGAAGGTTGAGTGTTGCCATGACGTTGCTGCAGGGTGCTCCTGCGGAGGGAAGACGTGCGCTTTGGCATTGGCGACGCCACCGAGTCGCGGAACGGCGACTGGTAAGTACCAGTCAGTTCGTATTCATGGTTTCCGTCCTCATGAATGTCGAAATTCTGAGGCGGTGGCACAGGAGTCTGGTCGAAAACCGAGGGTTCATCAGTTTCAGTAGTCGAAATGCCGTGGAGACTCCGTCGCTTTGCGACCGGGCTCCCAAAGCTTGTCTGGTCCAGGCTCATGGCGGCGTCGCTCCGCTTGAGCGGGCTGACGGAAATCGAGGGGAATGACTCGTTGTTGACCTCCATGAATTTCGAGACGCCGGTTTTCGTCGACCCCGAGACGTCAAGATGCATCGAGTGGCGTGATGGCCGGTCGAGATTCGCGCGTGTCGCGGGGCTCAACGCAGCGGAACAATCTAGGAAAGTCGCGTTCTCTTGGCCCCGCGATTCGGCGAGAGAGGCTGATGGTGGGATGTGATTGCCCGAATCGGGCGAGGGGCCGAAAACTCGCTTGAGGGGGCTCTTGGGTGACATTCGGGATCGTGATAAGGGGCGTGTCATAGGTTTTGACCGCAAAGAGCGCACCGAGAGTTTGATGTTTGGTCTGAAGGGAGTCGCAGCTGACTGCAGCTGGGGTGGTGCCGAATGGAAAGTCGGCGAGAGTGGTCCGGCCGAGAAAGCTGGTGTCGCGGGGACAGTCGTCGATGGGATTTGTTCGAAAGGTGCAGTCGATGTTGGGGTGGGTGATTGACGTAGTGCAGTTGAGTTGGCTGCAGGTGATGCAATTCCCGAGAGTCTGAATTTTGATGGTGATCGTGAAAGAGATCTCCGGAGTGACCTTACAGTTGAGCTAACATCGACGTGGTGAACATGAGTTGGCGAGGGAAGCGTAAGTGTGCCCCCGCTTCCGCTTGAAAAAGACATGGTCGCCCGGTCGTGCTCTTGTGCGGACAACAACCCAATCCAGAAGCTACCGGTCACGGGTCGGGACGAGAACCTTGGTGGCAAGAACTCGGTCAACCCTTCCAAAAGACAGGTTGATCCTGGGAGCTCGCGACCTCAGACGATGTATTTGGTCGATGCACGCAGGCAGCTTCCGGTGCAAAGCAATTATCGGACAAGCGCTTAACGGTGAACAATAGCGCTTCGTTGTGGTGGCTGCTTTCGAAGAGGCGAAACCAGTCGACACTCGAGACAGAAAGAGGGGCAAGATCGATCGGAATTGCTGGAATCTTTGTTTTGCTGGCAAACAAGTTCTTGCCAGCAGAAGGCTGGGATAAAACGAAGTCGAAGGGCGCGTGGACACGTCAGATCGGGTGGCCGTCAGGCATTGTTGGGATCGGTCGTGACTGCCTGTTGCCCAGTTGGCTGATGGAAACAGTCCTCCAATGACTAACACACTCTCAGTCCTGCCTTCCTTAAATTCTGTTTCTGTTGTTGGCCACACACATATCGGAGAGAAGGTGCGGACGGGATGCGTGAAGGGTGAATAAGGTATCGGTGTTGTTCGAAGCTTCCCGCACCTTGCGACTTGGGTTTGGCGGGGAAAATGCCCGGCCAAGCTGGGATATCGGTTTGCGATGCGATCAGCGGGGTTGGCGCAATGATGGACCGGCTGTCTTCCAAGGGAGAAAGAGGCACAGGAATATCAACGGCGTTGCTGAAGGATCGCAAGATGAGACCGAATTCCAATGTTGAACTTGTTGGCAATCACAGCCAGTGTGCAGACAAGAAGGAAACCCGAAGGAGGGCAGATCGTGCGGCGAAGCACAAGAAGATGGGACGGCCGACTGTTGTTTACTTGGCGGGATTTCACGCGTTTTCGCGTTCAATGGACGCGTTGTGCAAGGGGTCCTTGTCGTTCCTGACGTTAGCGTCGTACCAGCGGCCCACACCAACCGGCTAGGCCCACTGGGGTCTCAAGGGTGGCGGGAGAGAGGCTTTGCCACCTGCAGCGCGGCTCCCCCTCCTGCAGCCTCGCATTGTTCCCCAGAGGACTCCAAGAAACGGCCCATCAGTGTCGTCACAAGCGCAATTTGCGGGCGGCCGGAACAAAGGACGAATGGCATGACAGATGGATGTGATATCATATTGTCTCGAAACTCCGTCTTGCCCGGCTTGTCTCTCAAAACAAAGCCGAATGTGCCCATTCTTTGCATTCTTTAGCAGCACTGAAATGATTCTATCCGTACAGATGTACATACTGTGTAGCTCTTCCCCCGCACCATCAACCTCACCGCTTCGGACAACCCGGATGGTTCCCCATCATGCCCATGCTCGCCATGTCCCACGTTCGAGACTGAGAGCGGTGAAATTTTCCATTTCAGTGGCAGTCAAAAGCTTCCACGGGCTTGGATCAGACTTGAGTGGTGCCCAAAGCCAATCAAATACGAGAGACAGGGGAGGCCTTCCACAGCCGACGAGAAGAGTGTGTGTGGGGTTGAAATGCAAGATCTGCTAGATTCACACCGCTCGCTCTCTCCTCGTTGGACGTCACTGGAAACAAAGCTCTCCCACCCTCTCAGAATCAGCAAGTTGCCGTGCGATGACAGGTCCCGGTCTCACCAGCTGCCGCGTGCAAGAATGCAGGTCCGGGCTTGAAACGTGTGTGTGCGGCTATCACATGCCTTAGACTAAAAAAAGGGACAAGTCTGTATTGTGCCCCCTTCAAGCCCTAAATATGACCACGTCTGGCCGCCTTTTAGGCCCAACTCAACGTTGGCGTCATTCTCAGTCAGAAATCGCATTGCCACCGCCACCTTCGCCCAAAGATGAAACTGTCATCATGATCAATGCCAGTGGACTCTGCCTCAAACACATGGTGTTGGCCTCAACCATCGCAAGCTTCTCGAGCTCCTTTTATTTTGTTTACTTTTGGCCAAACGCGTCGAAAAGTAAATATCAACAACAAAATGTTGGACCGATCGCGTCTGCATCTTTCCCTCGCTTGGCCCTCTTCCAAATTGGGCAAATCGTGACAAGGACGCCACACAACTGAAAAAGAAAAAAAAGAGCAAGAAGAGAACCCCTGGTGGCTCCCATCCCGCCAGGCCGCTTTCTGTCAGAGAACCCGTGCTCCACCACGGCTTTTCCCCTCTTTCCTCAACGTCCGCTTCCAAAGTTTGGCCCCCTCCTCAGCAGCGAACAGCGAATCCCAACGAGCGAGGGGGCGATCCCAAACTTCCGACTGGACGCCGCAGACTGACCCTGAACCCTGATCACCAAACGGCCCACGGGGAACGAGGGAACGGGAAAGAATGGAGACAAAAAGAAAAAGATCGACGACATGACGCGGAGAGGGCCTGCACGCCCTGCCACCTCTTTTTTTCTTTTCTTTTTTTCTTCCTTTTCTCCCGTCTTGTTGTTGTGGTTTCCTCTTTGGGATCGCGACCGACCGCGTCGGGACCGCGTCTGGGTCCCCACTTCCCTCTTTCCTCTTTCCCCTCCGGCGGGGCCGCGCGCGAGCGGGCGCCCCTCCTCCTCCCCTGCAAACGCCAAAACTCAAAACAAAGTGCTGACCCCAGAATCCCGATTGATGCAACTGGAAAATGAAACTGGCTGACTGGTTGGCTCGGCCGGCGGTCCGCGTTTGGTGCTGCAGCGCTGCTTTGCGCTTGCTTGCTTTGCCGCCGCCGATCGTCCCCAACCAAGTTGCCATCCCGCATTCCTTGGCCTCCAACCCGCGTCATTGTCTCCTTTGTTCCCGTCCCGGTGGGAAGGACTGAGCCAGTGATGACAGGCGGTCCGAGATCCATAGTTCATGCACGAGCGCGGTCTAATGCAGTGGTTAATCCAAATCTAGGCGAGTCCCCTTCATCTTGCATTGCATCCATCGAGAGGTGAGGTGTGTGAGTGGCCCCCCTACGTACGCTAAATCGGGGGAATGCACATGATGCGGGACGGACAAAATGGAAACAAGTAAATAAGAGCAGATTGCAGGAGCACAGAAGCCAAAAACTGCATTTAGATGCATGATGGTCCTGATTCACACTAATATTGGGAGATCACATTTCCTTTTTCTCGTCGAGGGCCTTTCCGTATCTAAACTGGGCAAGTAAACAAATGACGCCATTCTCAACATCTTCCTGTTGTGTATTGACGCATATTGACGCATGTTCATCCATCCTCATCCATTCGCCCGGAGAGAAACTCCGCCTCGCGCGATAGCCAATGCCCGCGCTCTCGGAAGCAAGATGTACTTCGTAGACCAAGTACATACATACAGACCATCACACCGCCTAGTCTACCCAACCACCCAACACCAGTCCCCAGCCTTCCATACCTGAGGCAGTGCCACTGAACTTCAGCTCCCCCCCCCCCAAAATCCAAATCAAGCCCACCGCGACCGCATAAACTCAGCCCACTTCCCAACATTCTCCATCCGCTCCAGCAACACCCCAACATCATCGACGCTCCGCTGCCGCCCGTTAGGCGCCACCATGTTGGTCTCGTCCAGCACGTCCTGCGAGTCCACATGCACGTGCCCGTTCTCCTGTATCTCGAGTGTGACGTGGGCGGTCCTGTCCCTGAACGGAAAAACGACGCGCAGCTGGGGGACGGGGAGCATGGTCAGGGTGAGGTCGATGTTGAGGGGGGTAGTGTTTTCCTCTTCTTCTCTGCCCTTCTCTTCGGGGGCGTCCTCGGATTTGGGGGTTAATAACGGGTTGGCGAGACGATCATAGTCGTCTTGGTTGGTGGTCGTTGTTTCTGTGACGGTGGTTGTGGTGGGCGGTTTTATGTCGTCTGGGTCGAGCAGGCGGGAGGCGTTGGGGTCTTCGACGAGGCTGCGCTCGAGCAGGGTGGCGAGGAAGGCGTACTGCCTCAGGTAGGGGAGGATGGTGATAAGTTGTTGGGGGTGGGAGAATGTCATGGCCGTCAGGGTCCGGCTCGGGATCGGCTTGCTTACGTAGAGCGTGTTGGCGTGGTTCTTCAGAGACAGCTTATCCTGGCCCGGTGCTGCGTACGCCGTCTGTCTGTTGCAGGTCACCGTCCTCGACCCCGCGACTGCCTCGGGTTCCTTCCCTGGCGGGTAAGGGAGAACCAAGCTGTCAAACGTAGCCAACTGGTTAAGAGGCGTCTCGTCTATCATACAGCCCAGCTGTTGAATTTGCCCCCACAAAGTTGTTGGGATGTGAACGGGCGGGTCGAAGGTGGCGTGGAACACGGCGTCGGGAAGACGAGGCCCTAGGATTGACGGGTCGGGCTGCATGGGATCTACCTTGGTCTGGTCTGGCGTGGGAACAAATGTGCTCTCCGGCTCTAGCCAATCGACGATTGGGCCGCCCGTATGCAGCTCATCCGGAAGAGGCACTTTCTCAACGTCGGGTCCGATCCATTTGTCGGAGATGCGGACGGGATTGACGCCGATTTCCCTTAGAGGCGCACAGCCGACAAGTATGCTCCATACTTGTTCGTTCTCCTCGACCCACTGAGCCATTTCAGGGCTCGTCGGCGGCGGCTGCAGTCTCCTCTCCATCCAGTAATCAAGAGCCATACCTACTCGCCCCCTTGTGTTCATAGTTGGCTTCCCGCTTCTCGTGCAGAGGACGAGACTCTCCAGGTGCTCCTCGCCCTTGGCCGCAGCTGCGGGGTCCCCCCGTATTTGCTGTAGCTCCCAAGCGTGAAGACGGCAGAGGCTTTCGTAGATGCCGGCCACAGCCTCGTACATGTTGAGTCCGGGGCTGATGCTCAGCTTATCCAAAATAGCAAGGCGCTGGAAGTTGGCAGCAAACTTTTCGAGCGACTTGGTAAGGGGGCTTTGGCCTTCGAGAAGTTGCAGGTCTTTGAAGAGAATCTTGCCAGCGGCTTCGGCATGCTTGTTGACGATCTCTGCGGAGTCCGGAAAGCTAAGGTTCACCGACTGTACGATGTTGTTGCAAAACCCGATGAGTAATTCGAGGGCGGAACCGGCCACTATCAGCGTCTTCCTGTCGTCGCCACCCATCGAATTCTCCCAGATGAATTCGAGTTCCAGTTTCTTTGCCAGTCTCTCCAAGCCAGCCTCACTAACGAGACCTTTGCTCCGCTTCGGCAGGGTTAGCCGGGCCTGGTGCAGGGTTAGACTTCAGGGAGAACATACCCCGAGGATGGCAATAACGCTGTCCAGCCGCCTTGCTCTCTCATCCTCGCTGGCTCTACCCAAGTTACCGAGGTTCTGGAGATCCATCCCCAGGGAACTCATGTCCAGGACGCCGAGGGCGGCGGCAGCCGACGGGCTGTCGTAGTTAACGGGGCCCGTCGTGGAGCGGCCCAAGGTTGCGGTCGGCGATTTCTTAAATTGCTGGGGTGATGACCGTGGGCCATGGGGAGAAAAAGCGGCGGCGGCCGAGAAGGGTGTCGAAACTGAAGGGGTCGCGGCAGCACCTGGTTGGGCCTGCGAAGGGGTCTTACCCTGCGACAATGGGTGCTTCCCCGGAGTTGGTGTCGACATGGTGGAGGTTGGTTATGTGAATTGATGTGGAAATGATTCAAGTTAAAATGTCAAAACATGCACCATCCACGAGTTTCTTTGTGATGACGATGACGAATCGATGTTTTCCGCAATTTATCGACTCTTCTCGAAGGCCCGAAGGGCAATCGTAAGTCTGCAACGAATTCACTGTAGATTTCGGCAGACTAATAATTTACATGAGTGCAAGGTGCGGCTTGAAAACGAGTGTAGTTGATAAGTTAGGAAGTTGTAAATGGAGGTTGCAGTGAGCGAGGAGCTACGCCAAGCCATGGACAAGGCGAATCGGAACCCGAGTGAACAGAGGTTCGGTACCTAACCCTAACCCCTCGCCGTTGCGTTAAACCTTCCAGGGGCATGGAGCGAGCAGATCACAATCAAGTAGCATCCGAAGGTCCATCATCTCTCATGCTCAACTTCCGTACGCGCCGGCTCCCAATGGAACATCAAAGCTACCATCAAATCCGGAGAAAAGACCGATTGCCTCCAGGAATCTAGGATAGCAGAAGAACGTTCAAACTGCTTTTCTCCCTTCAAGACCCCAAAGTGCCACAGCCACTCACATCAAGCCCCTGTCCCTGTTCAGCTACAGGGGTTTTAGCGCCGACGCTCAGTGGCAGCACCGACAAACACCATGAATTTCGCAACAACCCCATCATCAATCATCACCGACCCACTACAATACCCCCAGACAGCCACGCCGCCATCGGCCGCGCGCCCTCAACCACCCCAACAAATCCAGCAGCAACAGCAGCAACAACAGCCACAGCAACAATTACCAAAACAACCACCACCACCACAACAGCAGCAGGCCCCACAGCCCGGGCAGCAGCAACAGCAACAGCAACAACAGCACCTCGCTATGAATGGTGTCAACGGCGGCAACATGCCCGGCCCTGGCATGGTTCCCTTTCCCGCCCCAGCCGGCCACCAGGCCGAGCTCAACTACATCTACGGCATGGTCGAGGAGCTGAGCCGCCAGCTAGCCGACAACCAACGCACCCTGGAAGAAGTCGTCTCGGGCGTCGGTCGCGTGCGCAGCCGCGCGAGGACACACTCGCTGGGCAACGATGAGCTGGTCGACTCGGCCGGCGATGAAGTTAAGGGTACGTAAATGACAACCCCCCCCCCCCCCTCCGTCTGCCGACCCCTCTCCACCAGATCAGCCAGGCCAGCGGCAGCAAATACAACATGATCTAACATTCCCGTGTGTGTGCCCAGCCCAAGAACCCAACCTCGACACGCTCATCTCAATCCTCTCGGAGGCACTGGAAAAAGCCAAATTCTCACGGGACGCCAACGCGGCGCTGCTCACGCAGTACGCGACGGTGATCTCGGCGATGCTAAAACAGTTCCACGACTACAAGGCCAAGCACGTCGGGGACGTGGCGGCGTGGCACCGCAGCTACCGGGCGCAGCTGGCGGAGGCGCGGGCCGAGAACTGCCGGCTGCGCGAGCAGATCTGGGAGATGCAGGCGCGGGCCGGCCACGCCAACGAGGCCCTGCGCGGCTTCCGCGGCCGCTACGACGAGGACGGCGCCCGCTGGGACCGCCGCGTCGACGCCAAGGCCGTCCGCCAGGAGCTGCGCTTCTGGAAGCGCATGGCCATGCCCCACCTGCCCGAGGACGACCCCTACTGGAGCGACGACGACGACTTGGTCGATGCTGTCGAGAAGAAGCGGGATCTGGCTGAGAAGCGGCAGCTCGAGATCACCCGGCTGGTGGCGCGGGAGCAGCTGGCCGAGGGTGCGGCCGGGCAGGGGGATGGAGCGGAGGACGGAGAGGTGCCGCCCGAAGTGCCGTCTGCGCCGGGCGCGGGGCAGGGCATGGTGATGGGTGGGGTGCCGATGCAGAGGGAGGATTCGGGGGCGGTCATGCTGCCTACCCCGCCGCCGAGGCCGTCGAGTGCTGCGAGCAGTACGGGGTCGTCGGGGCAGTGAGGGCTTTTGAGCTCCCCTCCCCCCCAGTTCAGTTGCTTGGCTAGAAGGGCTTTTTCCGTGGGTTAGATATACGTTATGCATGATTGGAGTATGGAAGGACACTGGATGGGGGACATGGCGTTGAAGAGAGACCGGCTGTATATTACATGATATCCTGATTAATATAGGTAACCCGGAAGTTTGAGGATTCAAGAAAGCCAGTTATGTTTCTACGTGGTGGGTGTTGCTGCAGTCATAATCAACAAATAGGGGCCATTCCTAAGTGGCATACTTCGTACGAGTTTTATTCTCGAGGGGCATCTAAAAAGGTGCTTAGCTTTGTTACGCCGATCAGCGTCAATAATACCCGGAGTATAACAGATTATCAAAGATATTTCGAGTCGACTGTCCTTTTTAATAAACCCTTTTCCTTGTTCCGTTCAGAGAAGTAAGGGATAATAACCTCGGGCTGTCCGCAGATCTCTTATATAAATTCCCATAAGGTAATTATGGGGTAAAACGCATGAGTGTACAGATTATCACATAACTATTGGTGTGTAGGTACTATAGTTAATGCCTTTCCTCTTGTAAACATGAGGCTTTATTTATTTCTGTTACTTAGATATACCATCGGACTTAATCGTAGTTAAGAAGATAATTCAGTTGAGTTCATTAATGGTCTTGCGGTGATTCACAGATGAGAGGCGAGTATGTAAGTTAATAATAATAAGATAAGGAAGAAATCAACCAAGTATGTAAGGAGGCATATCACCGTCTGGGAATGGAAATGGGTGTAACATACCATAACACAATCACATCCGATCGACCATTCGTGCCCGCAGGATAGCACAACGCTGAGCAGGCAGTTCAACTCGCATGCATATTATTTCCACAAGCACACATGCTAAGACCTCCGCGGCAGTGTGATATACTGACTGGAGATAGGCTATCTCCGACATGCTAAGTCCATCCTGCAACCCCCCTCAAAGTCAAACGCCTGCTAAAAGCCAGGCGGGTAGGCGGGTATATGTATGTTGCTCGATCTACGAAGTACCCTTCCACCAATTCCAGCATGGTATAACCTCCCGCCGGCTCGCTCACGCGCCCAAAACAAAAAAAAAGAGAGAGAGGATTGTTGAAGCACCACCTTTCCCCGGTTCCCTCCCCCATTCCCTCCCCCTTCCCTTCCCTTCCCCCTCCCCCCTCCGAATTAAATAAGTCAACCCCCCACCGCCATCTCACCCCCACTCCCACCCCCAACCCCATTCCCATCAACCCCCCCCATTAACCCCCCTCTCAACACTCTCCACCCCCTCCACCTTAACATTCGCCCTCGCCATCTCCTGACTCTCCACAAAGCGATCCCAATGCGCCGGATCCGCGGCCCTCAACCGTTCCCAAATCTCCTTCCTGCGCGCCGTGAAAACCGGCACCACCCCTTTCTCGCGCACCTCCTTATCCAGCTCCTCATCACCAAGCTCTTCCAACAGATCATGCAGAACACGGGCGTGGTTGGGGTCGTTGCCGACCATCTCGAGCCCCGACGTCAGCAGGGCGTAGTGCTCGGAGCGCAGGGCCGGGTCCGGGTGGTCGGCGACGACGCCCGCGCGGAAGGTGTGCCCCGCGCGCAGGATCCGGCCCTCCTCGTGGGCGAGCGCTTTCGAGCTGAGGGAGAGGAGCGAGTTGGAGCGGGAGAGGCAGGGGGATTTGATGGCCGTGGGCGTGGCCGGGTCGGGCTCGTCTTCGTCCGACAGGGAGTTGGTGGTGGGCGCGGTGGTGGCGATGGTGGGGATGGATGATGAGCCCGGGGAGAGGCTCGGTTTGTCTTCTTCGGGGGTTTCGGTCGCGCTGTCGGGGGGGTTGGACACGCGCGTGTCCGGGAATTCGTCCTCGAAGCGCTTGATGATGCCGTTGAGCGTGTTGGAGAGGAACATGAGGCGTTCTGGTGGGTGTGGGTTAGTGGGGGCGGGACAGCGTAGTGAGGAAAGGGGGAACATACGGTAATTCTGTGTATCATCCGCCGTCGCCCTAGCCTTGTCAATGGCAGGCTGCAGGCGCAGGCGGATCTTCCTGGCGCTCATAAGCAAGTGCTTAGAAGTCTCCTTCGCCTTTCCGCTGCTTGGTATCGCACGCGGAGGCTGAGCCACGCCGTTCTCGACGTCGCGGATGAACTCGCCCGACTGGCGCCGCGACTCATCGCCACGGTTCTTGAGACAGCACGTCAGCGCCCGGACAACGCCGGTGCCGCCAATCACGTAGTCCTCATCGGGCGCGGCGTCCACGTCGGCGTCGATGTCCGTGGACACCGTCACGTCGTGCCCGACTAGCCGCTGTAGGGCATCGGGATATTCGGGTTCGTGCTTGGCGAGCACCTCGGCCTGCGCCTCGGCGGCCGTCGCCGCCGCCAGCTCCATGTTGCGGAGGCAGTACGCCACGACCTGCTTGGCTAGAGCCTTGACGAGGTCGCTGGACTGCTCGCTCGGGACTTCGATATCGACAGCCACTAAGCTGGGGGACACCCTCGCAGCGGCGAGCAGTGACGCAAACAGCGCACACGCCTCCTCCTGAGTCTCCTCCGACTTGGCGTTCGTTGTGAGCTCGACGAGCCGCGGGTTCTCTAGGAAGCTGACGTGGGCGAGGCCGATGATCTCGGGGAGGATCTCGGTCAGCGCGATGACCTGTTCCGGCGACATGGCACAGTCTACCAGATGGATACGTTTAAGGCACGCCATCTTGGGTAGATACCTGCAGGACCAGTTAGCAAAACCTGCCTACACAGAGCTAGGTGAGAGCAACCTACCTTCTCAGCACGCACACAGCGCTCGGGTCGGAGTCGAACAGCTCCTGGTTGTGCGACAGGTCAATGAACCGGAACTCCTCCAGCTTCACCAGCGTCGGCAGCAGTTTGCACAGCGCCGACGGCGTGAGGTTGCAGTCTGCCAGGCTCAGCGCTGAGAGGGGGCAGTTCTCTGGCGTCAGGGCATCCGCCAGCGTGGCGAGCCCATCCCTCAGATCGTTCCCTCCCAAGTCGAGACCCTCGCAGCGGCCGGTCTCCAGGAATCTCGCGACATGCTCGAGACCGTCGGCATCAATGCCATTATTGGCAAGGCCCAGCCGCTTGACGCCGCAGCGGAGGAGGCCATCGATAATCAGCCCCAGCTGCTCCGTGCTGATACCCGTCTGACCCAAACCCAGCAGATTGAGCGTCGAGCCCCCGAGCCTCTCCCCTAGCGACTTGGACAACAGCTGGCACAGCGTCTCCGGCTGGCGCCTCACCGGCGTGGGGCTCCCGTTCACAGCAGCCTCAGGCGCGGCCGCGGGCTGTCGCGGGAACTGTATCCCCGACAGGTCCAGGCTCTTGAGCGTCCGGCACAGATAAACAAACAAGCAGATATGCCGCCACCCCTCCGGGCCGATCTTGTTATTCTTCAGCACCAACCGCTCCACCACGCCGCCCTGCTCGGCCAACCCATCGACCCCATTATTAAGCGGCTTCCGGCGCCTGCCCGTGGGCCGCCGCGCGGCGAGCAGGCCGGCCAGGACGACGCGCAGCCCTTCGTCGGTCAGGCCGCAGTTGTCGAGGACGACCTCGCGGACGGGGACGACGGCGAGGTAGTCGCCGAGGGTGAGGAGGTCGGTCAGCTGCATCCAGTAGCCGGCGAGGTCCAGCCGCTCGACCATGCCGGGCTCGGCGGCGCAGTTGTCCGGGTCCGTGAGCTGCTCCGTGATCTTGCGCAGGATGGGCGTCTCCCGCAGCTGGCAGCAGCGGCGGTAGATCCGGACCGGGTTGGTGGTGGGTACCGTCTGCGTCCTGGGCGTGCCGGGCCGCGGCGTCGAGCCGCTCGAGGAGGTGTCGCTGTCGTAGTGCAGCTCCATGGGGATCGTGCCGTTGACCTCGGCTTGTTTCCGGCGTTTTTCTTTTCGGGCTTTCCTCTCCTCTTCGTTCTTCTTCTTCTTCTCCTTCTTTTTGTCGGTTGAAGTGGCCTTTTCGGATATGTTGTCTATGCTTGGTCTCGGCGGGCTGCTGGACTCGACGCCTTCTTTGGGTGGCTCCTTGGGCAATTCTTCACCGGTGGCCTTGACCTCGCCGTCTACCTCTTTCTGCGCCTCGATGGTTTTGGGCTGCTTCAGCGCTTCGCCCTCCCCTCTTTCCTTTATCTTCTTCTTCTGGTCCTTGTTCACCCCCTTGCTTCCTTTCTTGCTTTCCGTCTCGTCGGCGTACCTGGGCATGGGCGCAATCTCCACATCGACGCAGAAGGCCACCCGCCGGAGCTTGGACTGGTTGAGGCCATTGATGTCGCAGCGCTCCCTGTGTGGGTCGACATTCAGGACGCGCCGTTCGACGAGGCCGTGGTTGTGTGTTTTTACGTTCGGGTTCAGCGTGCCGTTGGAGGAGGACAAGCGCCGGAAGACGTGTAGCAGGCCAGTCTGTGTCGACTTCGGTGGCGCGGGTGTGTACGGCGCCTCGCCCTCGGGTCTCGAGCCATGTTGGAGGACGGCGTTCTTAGCTGGGGTGACCTTTGGCACTGAGAATTCGGCGGGTTTCGGCGATGTGGTGATCGGCTGCGGAGGGCTCTGATGGGCGCCGCCGCTCCCGGACGAGAATTTGGACGAGATGTTGGAGAACCACGAGTTTCGGCGTTGGGGGGAGGGTGTGGAGGGCAGTCGCTTCTCGTCCGAGGCTGTCCTCGCCGAGTTGGATCGAGTCAGCGCCGTCTGTTTCTCCTGCTCTGGCTGACTGCTATTATCGACCGCGGGCGCCGGGGCAGATTTGGGGGCGGGGCTCGGGGCCGGAGTGTCGTTGACCGAGTTGGAGAGCGATCTTGGCCGTGCTGTTGCATTCCTCGCAACTTTGTCTGCAAAAGGTATTCATACCAGATTAGTCAAATACTTTGAAGCTCCGCGTCACTATTTCGCTTCCGTGTGAAAACCCCCCGGGAGATAGGTGAGGGCGATGCGCAGACGCTGTGGGATGTGTATGCGAACCTTTTGGATTTCCGTGGGTCATCCAGCTTACGTCCAAGCCTTGAGCGTGCTCCATCTTGACGTCGTCGCACCACAGCTGGCCGATTCGACCCCCTCAAAACAAGTGTGCAGAGTTATTGCACGATGCGATGCAGTGGCTCCCGTTGGGCCAACCGAGAACGGAGAGAACCTGACCAAATCCGAAATGTATTAATCCGGCCGTTATCGTCTTCGGTTCAAAGGCCTGGCGAAGTATGGTATGTATCGCGTTTGCTCTTTGTCGGCGGGACTCCGTCACTGCTGCCGTATGATGGTACTAAAGACGGCCATGGCATCGGTCAAGCTGAACTCGATTATTATCGTGGTTGATGTCGTCGTGGGATTATGCAATCAAGATGCGCCGGGGGCGGCTGCTCGCGTGCCTGTGATTGCTAATACACGGCGGTGAAACCGGGGTCTTTTTCCCTTTTCCGATGACAATGCTGCGCGCCGGACAGGGTTTTTTTTATTTAATTTTTGTAATCCTCCTCTTTCTTCTCGTCGAGGACGGCGGCTGGGTTTTGACGCTTGTTCACCGCGGTGCGATCACGTAATGTAGCTGAGCTGAGGAGGTCACTGCTCTGAGCGGGGCAGAGTTTCGGAGGTGACGAAGGGGCACCTCTGCGGATCGTGGTGCTGAGAATTAGGTACTGAAAACACAGGCTCGTCTTGTTGAGTCAGGGTTGCAAAGTTCACGGTGTATGAATGGCGCGTGGTGCCACGGCAAGAATATGTACCGTGTGTAAAAACTACTCCAGTCCAGATGCCCAGAGGCCAAGAAGCGACTCTCTCGTGGCGCCCACCATTGCAGATCGGAGTCCGGAAATTGAGCGTCTCTCACATCATAGCAAGGAAGCCCGCGTGCCCGCGTGCCCGCAAAACCGGTGGCGTGGAACGTGCGTTTGAGAAAGGGCGGCGGTGGAACTGTGGCCACACTCCTGAGACTCACTACCTGACTATCCACTACCGTTGATTCGGCCCTGGGTTAAGGGTCCCAACTGTGGCCATCCTTGTTCAACACCGTCACTGCTGTGCCTCTGCAGACTGTTCGAGCCGTGGTGGGAGCTCCCAGGTTACTAAACCAACATAGGAGAAAGCTAGTGTGACAAAGGCTCGTCGCCCACCGGGAAAAGCCGGAAGACCGGACTTGGACGGACTGCCCGAGGTGTCGCACAGTAAGCGCGAGGCCGTCGAGGCGAGCACGGTGTGTCTAGCCATCGCTCGTTCCATTCGCGACTCGAGCATGCCGAGAAGAAAGTCCAGCATCGCAACCCAGCCAAGCCTGAGTCCAGTTGGTAAGCCAAGAACACAGCAAACCCGAACAGCGGATTACAAAACTTCGACGAACGACTGGCGGGATTACGCTTACCCGCAAACAGCGCCGTTCAAGGCTGTGGGCTCGTACGATATGATGTTCCCAGTCACCGGCTTGGTAACGAAGTCTCGTCGCTCGTTGTCCCAATTTGGCGAGCATTCACACCTGCGGTGTCCGCATGACCTCATCAGCAGCCGAGCCTTGCTTGTCTGGGCTGGCAAGCCAGCCAACCAACCAGGTGGGTTTCAATGCAAATCGCACACACCACCAGCCTGCGCCTCGCGGGTTGCCTCGGCGGGATTCATTCGAGCATTGAGGTTTTGTGGTTGCGTTGGAAGCAAGCAAACGGCCCGAGAAGTGCCATGAGTGCCACCGAATACGGATGCAAACCTCCCAACGTCAGACATCCAAATCACTGGTTTTTACATAACGCGGCACGAGCGGCTCCTGCATCACACAGCCCAGCCAAGAGATCTGGGGATCTGGGGTCTGGATCTCGTTCGTCTGCACATGCTCAGAAGTTGATTGGCTTTTGGTGAACCCTGGTCATTACCCCCATGTGCCCCGCCCAATGTGTGAATCAAACTCCTAAAGAACAAGCAGTCATGAGCCTATTGTGTAGACGATGTGGCCATTTTCTCCTATCAAGAAAGCCGTTTACTCCTCCCGGAGCTCGGCAATGCGAGCCTTCACGCGCTCCTGGCGCTCGTCGTAGGTGAGCTTCTTCTTCCTGTACTTGAGCGACTCCTGCTTCCACTCCTCCTTGGTCTTCTTGGGCGCGTCGCTCTCGTACTTCTTGAAGGGGTCCTCGCGGATGGCAGCGTGGGCCTCGGCGTAGAGCTCCTCGAGGGCGTCGGCTTCAACCTCGTCCTCAATGTACTTGACGAACTGGCCCTTGTACCGCTCCTCATCGTCGTCGGCGAGGGTCTCCATGTACTCAGCGACGTGACCGCCGAGGATGTACTTCTTGAGGGTCTCGGCATCGAGCTCCTCGGACTCCATGTCGAAACCGGGGAAACGGTTCTCGGAGTGGGGGACGAGGATGCCACCGTCGGAAGCGCCCTTCATGACACCGAAGACACGGGCACCAGTCGAGGTGCGGGCAAGGCCGACGTCAAGGTTGGCCTTGAAGGGGCGGCGCTCACCATCGTCGGTCTCGGCGGCCTCGGTAAGGGTGTACTCGCCGTCAGCCTCCTCGACACCGGTGAAGTCACCGTCCAGGCCGAGCTTCTTGAGGACACGGCGGGCGAGGAGCAGGCCGGTGGCGTAGGCAGCAGCCCAGTTGGTCAGGCCGTGCTCGATGCCGTAGGCGCGGAGCTCGTGCGAGTAGGCAGCGGCAAAGACCTTGTCGCCGTTGATCTCCGAAGTCACGATCTGGGTGATGATGTCCCGGTTGGTGAAGCGGACGACAAGGCGGTACTTGGGCGCATTGTACTTGTTCTTGGCCTGCGAGATCAGGCGCTTGCGGGCATAGTAATCGGTCTTGCCCTCTCTCCTGCGCCTGTACTTGGTCTGGAAGCGGCTGCGCGAAGTCAGTACTCGCCTGAATATTTTTTCAAGTTATTCTAAACGGGGCCTCACCTGTAGTACGCGCTGTTCTTAACCAACTTGTGGAAAGTCTGGTTTTCGCGATCCCCGAGTCAGCAATTTGCGCTTCAGAATATTTCCCCCGTCCGAAGCATCTTGCATTGACTCTCCAATCCCATCGGTATGTATTGCAAAATCGAATCGGCGTGCTAACTCACCATTTTGACGGCTTGTCGATGGACGATGCGTTCTGAGGCAGGTCGACACACGGGTTGCAAAATCGAGAACGAAATTCGCGGGCAGTAATATTTGGTGGGCTAAATTTCACCCCACAGCCCTAAGCTGGACTGGGGTGGGGGACGAGGGCGTGTGAGGGGCAGGGTTGGCGACGAGCCACGCGAGGTTTGTTACATAAGCGACTGAGTATCCCAGGGTTAGGGTCCAATAAAGTGCCAAGCAGAAAGGAAACGCCTTGAGAGCGCGTCTGAGCCGAGGTTCGGCCCCGCTCATCCCCGGCCCGGCATCTTTCAAGAAGGCTCCGGGTTGAATTCACTCTCAAGACAATGACTTTGTTAATCTATACATTTTGGTGTTGCGATTCTGGATTTACATAGCAGTAGTAGTCTGTGATGCTATCTGAGGAATTCCCCGTTGAAGTCATTCTCGAAGCAATCGACGACATGGCAACAACAACTCCCTCGAACAAGCGGCCAAAGGTCATCCTCTTTGACATTGGCGGTGTGTGTGTAAGTCATCTCAGATGCTCTCTCACACCATGTCTCTACTCCCCGTCCCCCCTAATTCTAACAACCCCCCCCCAGGTCATCTCCCCCTTCCAATCCATCCTCGACTACGAACTCAGCCTAGGCATCCCCCCCGGCTGGGTCAACTACTCCATCTCGCGCACCGCGCCGTCCGGGTTCTGGCACCGGCTCGAAACGGGCCGCATCCCGATGGACGCGGCCTTCTTCGCGGGCTTCAACCGCGACCTGCACGACCCCGCCCGCTGGGAAGCCTTCCACCGCGCCCAGCGCGCCCGCAACCCCTCCCTCCCCCAAACCACCCCCCCACTCCCCAAGCTCGACGGCGAGTGGCTCTTCCACGACATGATGTCCTCCGCGCGCTCCCCGGACCCGTGGATGCTCCCGGCCCTGAAAGCCCTCAGAGCCAGCGGGCGGTACGTGGTGGCCGCGCTCAGCAACACGGTCATCTTCCCGCCGGCGCACGAGTTCGCGCAGGCCGAGTTCTTCGACGACCCGATCCGGAGTTTGTTCGACGTGTTCGTGTCGTCGGCGCACGTCGGGCTGCGCAAGCCGGATCCCAGGATTTATGAGCTGGCGCTGCAGCGGGTGGATGAGTTTGCGAGGGCGAATGCGGATTCGGAGCGGGGTCGTGCGTTGGGGTGGGCGGAGGGGGTGACGGCGGGGGAGGTGGTGTTTTTGGATGATATTGGGGAGAATTTGAAGGCCGCGAAGGCGGCTGGGTTTGGGACTATCCGGGTGCCGCTTGGGAGGGCGTATGAAGCGGTGGAGGCGCTAGAGGGGGTGACGGGGTTGAAGTTGGCGGGTGACCACCCCAAGGTGCCTATCAAGCCGAATTATAAGGGGAGCAAGGCTAAGATGTGAGTGGTATGGCCTGGATTTACTTTTAGCGTGCTAAGGTTACTGTGACGATTGTATGTAATACCCAAACTCGCTTGATGTATTCTTTAATCTCATCATTATCTGTTGTTGAGGCTGTCCTCAGTTGCCGTTAACAGCTCACCAACAAACCCCTATCAAAGTTTCGATGATAATTGCCTGCACTCGCCACTCTGCGCACGGAGTAAGGATCGTGAGCGGAGGAGCGGAAGCTTAGATGTTATGACCTCCTGCTCTTGAGTGAGCAATAACGTCTCTGTGGCCTAGTGGCTAGCAAGACTCCACCCGAGACCGTCTGGTCCTCTGGCGCAAGCTTAAAACTCAACCTCAGAGCCTCGACATAATCAATATTTAAAACGTAAATTCCACCGCCAATGCTTCAGTAAGAAGCCGGTTGCTTTATTTGTGCTCATCATCACCTCATTGCCAAACCTGCATCTCCTCATCTTAATGAAACCCATACAACAAGCACACCCTCCCCCAAACGCCCCCAACAACCCAACAACCAAAAACACAATGCTCTCAAATACCTAACAAAAAACATCAAGCCGAAACAACCCCCTGCCTCCCTCCCCTCCCCCTCCCAGCGCCGCCCCGCCTCTGCTGCCCCTGGCCAGGCCTGGCAAGGGTATACTTGGCAAAGGCCCTCGCGAGCGCCTTCTTGCAGCTGACCTTCTGGCTGCCCACAAAGCTGTCGACGGTGACGGCGATGGCGCGGTCAATGTCCTGCGACGTGCAGTACTCGGACAGGCGCATGCGGCAGAAGGCCTCCGAGATGCGGATGATGGCTTCGAGATGGCGGACCTGCGGGATGATTGTGTGTTAGTTAAGGCTTTTGGTGGGGCTCACAGGCTGAAGCTGGGATAAATGGGGAGGTGGGGTGAACGATGGCAACATACGGTGATGGGATAGGCGCCCGTCGCCAGACTCTCGCGACGCATATCGGCGAATAGGCGGGCTACCTTGTCCTCGTCCATGTGGTAGAGCTTGGGCGAGCAGCGATCGCGGGCGTAGAGGATGTACTTGCGCAGCAGCTCCTGGGGGATTTCTCCCTCCTTGTTGCGTTCCGCGGCAGTGGATTGTGTGTCGGTGCGCCCGGAGTCGGCCTCGACTTCCATTGATTCGCCGCCATTGCTAGCCGCCGTTCCCTGTGTGTGGTGGTTTGTCATGGGGTGACTGCGACTGTGAGAGCCGACGATGAAGCGCGCCAGTCGCTCGTCCTCCTCGGGCTCTACCGTGTCGCGGACAACACAGAGGATATCGAAACGGGAGAGAATGGGCTCGGTGAGTTCGACGTTGGCTGAAAAGGGGATGGTTGAGTTGTAGCGCCCACCGATGGGGTTGGCAGCGGCGATGATGCCGCAGCGGGCTTGGAGGGTCGTGACGATGCCAGCCTTGGAGATGGAGATGGTCTGCTGCTCCATGGCCTCGTGGATGGAAGTACGGTCCTGGTCGTTCATCTTGTCGAATTCGTCGATCAGGCAGGTGCCTTTGTCGGCGAGCACCAGCGCGCCGCCCTCGAGCGTCCACTCACTTGTCAGCGGGTCTCGCCGGACACTAGCCGTGAGACCGACGGCGCTGGCGCCCTGGCCGGTGGCAAAGACGGCTCTGTGGGCCGTCTTCTCGACATATTTGAGGACTTGCGACTTGGCGGTACCCGGGTCGCCGAGGAGCAGCACGTTGATGTCACCTCGGATGTGGTGGGCGCCTCTGGTGTTCTTGGCCACGCCACCGAAGAGGGATAGGGCGACTGCGGTCTTGATGTCGGTGTGGCCGTAGATACTGGGGGCCATCGAGTTGACGACCTTGTCGACGATATGGGGGTCCTTGGATAGTTGACGGATCTTGTGCTCGTCCTCCTCGGTCATGCGGAAACCGGCCAGCTGGTCGTGCGACTTCACAACGTTGTTCGCCTCGAGGATGGTGGCGAAAACGGGGAAGCCGTTGCGGTTGTTCAGCTGAGCGTCGTAATTGTTCTGGTAGATGCCCGTGACCTCGATCTCCTCGCCGGGCTTGGCCTTATCGATGAGATCCCAGAGCAGAATCACCTCGCGATGCCGGGGAAGACGGCCGGCGGGAACGGTGCCCGGAGACTCTTGAAGGGTGAGCTTCTGGTAGTTCCGGTAGACGGTCTTCTCCGAGTTGAGGGAAAAGGGGCCGCGGGACTGGCAGCTCTGGCAGTACGAGATCTTGACTTCGACGTTCGACTCTTGCTGGAAAGGGCCCAGGGTGATGCCGCACTTACCGCAGTCAAACTTGACGTACTTGAGCTGCGGGAAAACACCAGACCGCCTAGTCACGACTCCACTCACTCGCACAAGACAGTTGAGGTGGGATTGGCGAAGCTGGCGGAGGGTGTAGTGGACGGGGAGGTCAAAGATACGGACGTGGATTTCGGAGTGGATGCGCTCGTAATCGGGGTAGTGAAGTAGGACGACGTCCATGGCTACTTGGTCGAACAGCTTGAGCATCGCGGCCGGGGCGTTGGCAAGGAAGTAGGCCAAGATGGCTTTCGAGGTGGAGAGATGCTCATATGACACCTCCAGAGTCTCGGCGTTGATCTCACCAAGCGTGCGGATGCGGTTGCCGTAGACTGACGAGCCGCTGTCGTCGGTGTACTCGGTGAGGAAAGCCTTGAACTCCCTCTTGATGGTTCGCTGCACGGCTGGCTGAGCCACCCAATCGGTTAAGCTGGAGGCCTTGACATCGTGCAGAGCCTCCAGTGAAAGTTCCTCGTCCATGATATCGGCATCCATATCCTCGTCGGGGTCCTCATCGTACCGATGCCTGCGCCGGCGGGGCTGAGCCGTGAGATCGATATCGCCGTCATCGTCCTCGCCAGGAAGGAAGGCAGCGGGAATGCGCTGTCTCCGGGCAACTTCGCGGTCTCTGCGGCTGAGTTGGGCCTCCAGGCGGCGTCTGTCGCCCAAGTTCATGGCATCAAAGTCGCCCTCGTCATCAAGGTCGATGCCTTCGTAGGCATCGTCGGCCCTATCGTTGTAATCCCGCTCGAAGCCCTCTCGGAACAGGTCGACATCGTCTTCGGCCATCTCGTCAAGGTCATCGATGTCGTCTTGAATCTCGGCCGCTTCCTCAATGTCGTCGTCGTCGTCACCGCCATGGGCAATGTTGAAGGCGGGCGGGGAAGAGGGCATGATGGGGCTCGAGGCGCCGCCTACGGAGGAAGCGGCATCGTCACCATTATTGCGAGCACGCTTCCGGCCAGCTCTCCCAGGCGGCATACCTCGGTTCGCCGAGGACGGGTGCTCGCGAAGCGGGGAACTAGGGTCATTTTGTTAGGATGTGGTTCGAGGAAGCAGAAGCGGGGGAGGGGGGATAGACATACCTCATTATTTTTTGGTGGTATTTTTGAACGTTACGGGTTCATAAATTGAGAAGTCCAGTAAGATTTGGTGAGAGACAGGCGCTTCGGTGGTTGCAGGTGCGAGAGACACTGCGTCTTGGAGTTGTCGAGGGAGTTGTGCGGAGGGGTGGAGGGACGGGATGGGATGCAAACTCACGGGAATTGGGCGTCGAATGCTTGCTCCCCCTGTTTTTCGCGTCGTCCACTGACCGGACTTGAGACGCGCTTTCGCGACACCGCTAAGCCTAATCTGGGTGGTCGCGTAAAGTGATTGCTTCGAGGTGCCCCCCTGCACAGTGGGGCACGGGCGCCTCTTCGATAAGATACCGTTCTGTTAACCGCGTCACATTCGCAGTGCAGTGCAACATGGGATTCCATTTCATCCAAACCGACAGAGACCTCTTCCTCTTCAAATCAATCATCGCCCTTCGATACGATCCGTTTTATTCATCTCCCGATACGGATCGGATACCGCTGTCTTTACATTAATACAACAATCCTGTTTTGTCGATCGACCGCGATGCAATCTTCGATTCCTCGACCGTCTGTCGCCGACAGCACCGACTGCCCTGACGCGCCCGTCGCGGGTGTCAAGGCCCGCACTGAGAGCATCTCTCAAAAGTCAGATAACTCACAAACTGCTGCTGAGTATGTGTCTTCGAACAGGTTGGAGTCGTTTTGTTGATGCAGAGAGTAATTGACATGTCTCTAGCTTCATTCGAGATCAGCTGCGGCTCGAGGCCGATGCGCGAGAAGCACTACCATTCGTACGAACATCGCCACATCAAACACGCCGACTCTTGACTAACGCGCTGCTAGAGTATTGATCACTGCACGAATCCCCTTGGTCCTCTCCGACAGAGCGTTTTCGCCTGCATGACATGCAACCCCCCGCCACCCAACCCCTCGGATTCCTACGATGCCGCCGGCGTCTGCTACGCCTGCTCGGTCCAATGCCACGGCGAGCATACCCTCGTCGAGATCTTTGCCAAGCGGAACTTCACATGCGACTGCGGCACTACCCGATTCCCCAAGTCGAGCGCGTGCACTTTGCGCATCCACCCGCAAACGAGCCTTAAGGGGGGTGTTCATTCGGAGGAACCGAACCCAAACAACAAGTATAATCACAACTTCCGGAACCGCTTCTGCGGCTGTCAGTGTGATTACGATCCCTTTGAGCAAAAAGGTACCATGTTCCAATGTCTCGGGTTGGGGACACACGAAACGGGAGGCTGTGGTGAGGATTGGTGGCACCCTGGGTGTGTGGTCGGGCTGGGCCCGAAATGGTTCGAGAACCTGGCGGAAAACAAAGTGAAGCCAGAAGTTAAGGATGTGAACGGCCCGCTCCCGACAATTAACGAGGATGCCGAGGCCACGGGGCAGACTGGGAACGAGACGAATGAACAAGCGGAGGAGGATGACAACGACCCCCCGCCTCCCCCAGGTTTCCCCGCGGAGGACGAGTTCGACGGTTTCATCTGTTACAAGTGTGTCGAGACCCATCCGTGGATCAAGAGATACGCTGGCACCCCCGGGTTCCTGGAGCCCGTCTTCCTCAAGCAAGGCAGTGCAGGGCTCGAGTCTGCTTCGGCAACGCCCCCCGTTGTTGCCGCCCCCGTCGTTACCAGCACCGGGGAGTTGGATAGCGCTTCCAAGAAGCGCAAAGCCGACGACGAAACCGACTCACAAACCTCTAAGCGCCCAAGGAGTGAGGTCGATACAAGCGAGCCATCGCTATTGCCCACTTGCAAACTCGCAGGACTCCCGCCACCCCCTGCAACAACCACACCATTCTCTCTATTTCTAACCCCGTCCTTCCGCACCAATCTCTGCCATTGCCCGTCATGCTTCCCCCTCCTCGCACCGCACCCGCAGCTCCTCGAGGAAGAAGAGACGTACGAGCCGCCGGCGGAGGAGGACACCGAGGACAACCGCAGCAGCAACGGCAGCCTGCTGGAGCGGGGCGAGAACGCGCTGCGCAACGTCGACCGCGTGCGCGCCATCGAGGGCGTCATGGCCTACCAGCACCTCAAGGACAGGCTCATGCCCTTCTTCCAGAAGTTCGCCGAGAGCAAGCAGGCCGTCAGCGCCGAGGACATCACCGCCTACTTTGCCAAGCTGCGTGGTGACGACGAGGCGATTCGGGAGGCCGGCGAGCGGGCCGGGAGGGAGGGGCCTAGTGCGAGTGGGAGTGGGGATGGCGAGGATCCGAGGCGGGAGGAGAACGGGTACTGAAATTCTTTGGGGTTGTGATTAAATTGGGATGGCGTTCACTGGAGGTTGGCTGTGTTGAGATTGGGGGCGTTTGCTTGCCCTCGGGCATATGTCGTCATGACGGTCGGATTTGTGCTTTTTTTCCGCCCAAGGTTGGGTGAGGGTGATGATTGAGCCAATTTGCAATGATAGCCTGGGAATTCTCCGGGGAAAATGACTGTCTTAAATACCTGACTGTCACTCCTACCCTCGGAATGCCCTCGTGAGCCTGAAGCGAAGCCACCAACCACACTTCTTACGTTAAACCCCCCTGAGCTACGACGTCACGCCACAAAGTATGAACTCTATCCCCTATAACACCCCAACCAGCCGAAGAAGAGGTCATGTTATGTGATTCCTTGTTACTATATAGCTAAATTCCTGAATATCTTACTCGTTATCAGCCATCGCCTGTTTTACGGCGTAGGAGATTAAAAACTTAACAAACATACGGGGTTTCCCACGCCGTTTTGTATCATCCAATCCATCTATACCCGAGATTTCTAGAGGAAACTCCCCAGTAAGTGAAGCCGTGCTTGTGGGCCCATTTCTAAGAGCTCGGCGAGTACGTAGTCTCTGATAGCCTCCCTCTTGGGCCGAGCGATCCACGATCTGTCGCATTCAAATCCGGTGGACGAGATGGATGCATTTATCACCCACTACAACGGACGTTACCGTCATATTGCCGTTCATCATCACGCCTTGTGCACCACCTCCCCTTGCCGTTCTCACATACGACACAAAAAAGCCACCGGGGTGGCAGACCAAATTCGCCATCACTCAACCACCCGAAACTACCCAAGTCACTCGCTACACGTCCACGAAGCCGGAGGAATTGTAACATATGTGTATTGAACAGCCAATCTCCAATCCCCGCCCCATCTATCAACCTGTCCCTCCTCCCATGCCATCTAAACCTATTGCGGGAGATGCTTGGGGTGTCATGTATGTAGTAGCGGCCCAATCCGTATCAATCATATCCCCAGTCCTTCCGGCGCCAATCTAAATGCAAGATTTCATTTCGTTACCCAGGCGAAACAAAAATGCGGTATGTGATCCGGGGTGTATATGAGATATGCTCTGACAAAAAAAGAGGAAATGGGGTGGGTGATTTGGGCGGACAGAACCTCCCCGAGACGAAACTCCTCCAGAGAAGAGCAAAAAATAAACACCACCAACGGAAAAAGCGCCGTAAAACCCCGACATATCCACTCAACTCCGGCTCCAGTTCCATGATGCTCCCTATGCCAACGTTGCTCATTACTCGGCCCGCAACACCACTCGGCCCTCAACACCACTGGGCCCTCAAACCCACCAGGCATGCCACAATCAATGCTTTTTATATTTCTGCCGACCACCAGTTAGCACAACGCGAACAAACAAACAAACAAACAAACCACACAAACAAAGCAAGTAAAACCAGGAAAAAAAAAAAACTCACAGCCTCAACCCGCCTCCGATGCATCGGATCGAGCGAGTTCGTCGCGCCCAGCAGCGTCTGCCCAATGGCCTTGGTGGCGCCGATGGCCGGGCGGAGGATGATGGTGGGGGCCTTCTTGAGCACGGCGGCGGCGGCGCCCTGGGCGCCCTGGCTGTCCATGACCTCGGCGGGGACGGCGATGATGGCGTCGCGGGCGACCGACAGGTCGCGCGCCAGGCTGGCGTAGGCGCCGCGCACGCCCTGCACGATGCCGAGGGGCTGGTCCGCGTACAGGCTGATCTTGCGGTGGACCTCCTCCTCGTACTCCTCCTCGTCCCAGTCGTCGCCGAGCACGGCCGCGACGGCCGCCGCGCTGCTGCTGCTGCCCTCGCCGGTCTGCTGGGGCGCGAGCAGGCCCTCGGCGCCCTGCAGCGCGTTCTGCGTGCCGATGGCGAGCTTGGCGCCCAGCTTGACGACCTCGGTGCCGGTCGTCTTGGCGAACGCCGTGGCGCCCTTCCTGAGGCTGCGCACGATCCGGCCGTCTTTGCGGTACTCGCGGATCGGGATCTCAATCAGGTCCCGGAAGCCGGACCCGGCGTTCACGAGGGAGCGCACGGGTGCCAGGCCGGCGAGGACACCGGGCAGCTGGTTGCTTTTGACATCGGCCGTCCAGATATCGTTGAGCTGATCGCCGAGCCGGTCGAACCCGGAGACGCCGTACAGGATGACACGGCGGAGAACTAGTCGGGCGCCTTCGAGGATCATGAAATTCATAAACTCTGTCGTTTTGCCCGAGCGTAGACCGGCGTAGTCGACTCGTTTCGGCTTGAAGTCCAGCTTGACTGGAACGCTGTTGACCACAATCCGCTGGATGAAGGGGACGTCACTCGGGGAGGCGTGGACCGGCGCCGTCTCGTCTCGGAACGTAAAGAACCTGGTGATGAAATCGAGGGCGTCTTGGTCAACATGCAGCCTCAGGGGCAGAATGGTGGCGCTGATCACCATCTCGGTCGCTGGCGTGTCCACGGGCCTTGTGGTGATGATCTCGGCATGCACCATGCTAGCGCCCAATTCACGCTCGCCGGCGTCGATGTCGTACATGGCAAACTTCTTCCAGGTCGACTCTGGGACGTGGTCAAAGACGTCAACATCGCGGAGCCGGATGTCAAGTGAGTTGACTGTCTCCCCTGAGCCCGGCGGAAACATAACCATGTCCACGTTCACGCCCCTGAGCTCGAAAGTGATCTTGTGACGCTTGCTCCGATCCAGCTTGAGGCTCTTGGATCTGCGGCGTTGCCCCGCCGTACGGAGTGTCGACGTTGTGGCTGTCGAGGTTGCAATCGACTCCGTGTCTCCAAAATCCTGCAGGCCGTGGTTGATCGCCTGGGCGAGTTCTTTGGGATCACGGTTGGCCGGGATGCCAATGTAAATGGAATTGAAAAGGCAGTCGCCAATGACTGTTTCGTCCTCGTCAAGGTCTTGGTCGTAGCCGCCCCTGCGATCCGTCCTGGTCCGCCGCTCATATGCCTTCGCCTCGACCTCCTGTACGGCCTTGGCGATCACCTCGCGCGTGCGCGCCCAATCGTAGCCATCGAACAAGTGCCAGATGACGTGCACATCGCGAACGCAGACCTTCAAGGGGCTACGCTGGAGCTTGAGGTCGTTATGTTGGTCGTACTTGTTCGCCTTGGAGTCCCAGCGATGCGCAGTGCCGCGGGCAACCGGTCCGTTCTCAAAGTAATCGTCTTTGATAGAGAGGTCGCCGGTGCTGACTTCTAGCCCACTACTGCTTGGGTTGTCGAGGCCAGTCGTGCTGAGAAGGACCCCATCGTTCGTGTCTTCGAATTTGGTCCCGCCTTCTTGGAGAATTGAGTCAGACGTTGCATTGAACAGCTCTTCCTGGACGACCCCCTCCTCGAGATACTGCGAGTCAAGGTTTAACGGACTATCACTTGGCCCGCCGTCAAAGTCTAGGTCGCTATCGGCATCGTCTCCAAGCTCCTTAGCAATCTCAAAGTCATTATCAAAGTCGTAGTCGCCTTCGGCTTGGCCGAACGCCTCCGCCCGAATAGAGGCTAACAAGTCTTCGACGGGGACAACTGATGTCCGATACTTGATTTCCTTGCTCGGGGGCGTGGGCGGCGTCAGAGCGTTGGCCAACGCGATGAGAGTTTGCGTCGAATCCGCACAAGTTTCGAGGACCAAGAGGTCGTCGCGAACTTCAACCTCCAGCTGGGTGTCACCCTCTGAATCCTTTGAAACTGTCACTGTTGCCTTTGCTGACGAGATCTGACAGATGTTGACGTATCCCTTTGTACATAACTCGGTAACTTGGGGTGAAGGGGCTGCTTGTGGACGGCGCGTCGACGCGAAGCGGGCTCCGGGAGATTCGAGGATGGATGTATCGTCGATCAACAAAATAGCAGCTCGTTTCATGGTCGTTACTGCGGTGATATCGTGCGAGTTTGGCGTCATTTCAAGATGTGCATCGGTGAGCACAACGGTCAGCTTGGACGCCAACGCAAGCGGGTTCAAGCCGATGAGGCAGTCCCGGAAGGCGATGTCCACCTTGAGTGACTTCGAGGCCTTGGCCTGGCCCGTTGATGCCAGCGACCCCGAAGATGCTTTCCTGATGACAGTGTGGGCTTGCTCTCCCAGGCTCGCAACGGATGCGGCCAACCCGGCCTCATAATCCTCCGGCGTAGCATCCTGACTGAGGTTTAGAACGTCCATGATGGTAGGGACCCGGTATTCTAAGCCCAGCCCAATCAGCTTGATCTTGAGGACTGGTTCGATGTCATCAATCAGTCTCATCATGAAGACCGGAAGATTCTGCAGCGTGCCGTTTGGAGGCGGCGAAGTCATCACCAGCTCCTCGATTTTATTTCGCGTGACGGCCATTTCGCCAACGGCGACGGCGGCCAACTGGGGCATCGAAATATGTGCCACTTCAAGGTTGCTGAGTGAGGTTAAAACGGCACCGAACCGGCCGCCAACATCAACACGGCATTCAGAATGTTTGACATGGCATAGCGTGAGAAGGCCTGGCCGATCATCCTCGGGGAGATATTTCGCAACGGTCCCAAGCCTAGCCAGGTCATCGACAAGACTTGGGAGGCAGGTGAGCTGCTGTAAGTTGCCTGCGTCAACTCTGACCTTCCCAATGGCCAGGGAAAGAACAGATCCTTTCCTCCGTTGCCGCAGCAGCGTGTCCACCATAATCTCATCTTCGTCTTCGTCGAATTTGACTTTAGAAGGGGTGATGAGCTCAATGAGCCTCTCAAGGTCCTTGGCCCGGGGCAACGACAGGAATTCGGCTCTGGTGTCCAAGACCTCGCTTACGATAGGAGCTTCGGCTCTGGAATTTTTGAGGTATGGTCCTGATAGTCGTATCCTGCTCAGATGTACCCCAAGGCCCTCTTCTCTGCTGACCAATTTAAGGGCGCTGGTGTTCAGCATCACGCTACAGTCCTTCCCGATTAGATCGACCCGGAGACCGTTGATGCGCAAGTCGGTCTTGTTCTCCTTTGCAACGGTTCGATCATCAGGATGAATTGGCTCGTCAAATCGGACACCCTTGGGTTTTTGAATCGGCTTGGCCGGAGTTTTGTCTGCCCCTGACTTGTTGGCGGTGATGGAAGCCCCCATGTTAAGAAAACTGCTGAGCCCGCCAAACCAGCTGAACATTTCATCAAGCCTCTGGAGATCTAGCTTGACATGGAGGGGCAACGTGTTGACCTCCAGACGCGACGTCTCGGGCCCCATCGTCGCCTTGACCGAGACATCCTGGCCAGCGGAGGGGAAGGTGTTCGCAACAGACTCGAACATCAGGACAGAGCGGTCGAATGAGATGATATCATCATTCGCGTACCCGAACTTCAGTTTCTCGATGCTAAAGTTCATCTCCGTTTGTGGGCCTTCGTTGGAGAGCGAGCCCCTGATGTCAGCAAGCTGAGCTTGGAGTAGCACATCAGAGCCCAGGTCTGTCGTCCTCTTCTCGAAGAGCCTGTGAGGGACATCGGCCACGCCTGCCAGTTTCTCTAGAAAAAGTACAGACAACTGTTCAACGGTGATTTTGATATCCGGAGATTTTGGAGGCGGCTTCGCTGTTGCAGGGCCAACAGAATCCTTCGACCCACCTTGGGCTGCTTCAAGGAGCCGGGCGACAACCATGGCCAGGAGAAACCCAATTGATGCGTCGAACTGGATATCTACGGGTTTCAGTACGATTTCAATGGATGGATCGACGGACGTTTCCTCCGCGGCTGGTTCGTTGACGGGTATAAGCTTGGGGCTCGTAGTCGCCGCGGAATACATTGAGAACGCTCCTGGCATGTTCGGGGATATTGATTTGCTGAGATTAGGGGCATCGGCATTGGCGTGTTTGTGAGTTGATGGAAGATAGACCGAAATCGAGCTAAGGGACAAGAGTTCCTTTACCAGACGTGTTGGCCCTCGAGGAGTTGGGATATCGTCTTGTGCGGGTTCAGGTTCCTCTACGGAGGGCTCCTGTGCATCAAAGCTGGGGCCATCCCTCTCGTGGTCTTGAGATGGTGAGGCCAGGGAATCACCGGCTTGGCCGTCTTCGTGGAGAGCCGACCGGGTTGCTGTGAACGGTTCAGTTACAGTTTCATGCTCTTCAGCGTCTTCGAAGGCATCCCAGGCACACGGCATGCCGGTGCGCAGCCCCTGAGACCCTGTTTGGGAGAACGCGCTCATGTACATGCTCTCGGCATCCTCGTGGCTGTAAATGTGTGATTCGGCCAGGTCATCTCTCGCCGAGCCGCTTGAGCTTGAGTGGACGGAGGCTGCAGGAGACGGGTCATTGGAGAGAGAGAAACCCTCAGGAGGGCGCAGAAATGGCTCCGATTGCGCTTCTCGCCCCGCGGTCGACCAAAGTCGGGGCGAAGGCTCGAGAACCGCCGACTTGGCATGATCCCTGACGGTTGGTGGAGGTGAGCCCCGGTAGACGGACGCCCTTGGAGTGGATAAGGGTGATGTCTCATCAGCCTCGCCTCGGTCGTTGTTGTCAAAACTGTATGGGATGTTGAACGCCGCTTCGCTGTCCTGTAGCGGGTATTGACTTTGCGAGAGACCATCGGAACTGGCCATCGAACCGGAGCTGACACTGCGGGCAAGCCCGGGCGGGGAAAATGTGGCGGTCTCATTGAGCACGGGCGAGCGGGAGGCCACGGATGAGGGCATTGACGTAGACCTGGCCAACGAGGAGAAGACGTTTGTCTCAGTTATCAAAGCAGCCCGAATGTTGTCCAGTAGAATATGGCGTTTGCCCTCCTTGTGGACGATTGCGGAGGCTTCATCGGTTGTTTCTGCTGTTGAGGTTACGCCTTCCACGTTGATGTTATCCAGCGACAGCTGGAAAGTAACGAGCTCCGGAACCGAGGAACTGGGATCAACCGCCACCTCGACGTCCACCTGAAATATAACGCTCTGTACGCGAATCTGAATCCTATCCACGATGCCTTGGAGGAAGTCGGTCAAGAAAGCGGGCAGCGAGAGAGTCTGCCCCGTGCCAACCGTCAAGTCGTCGTCACTTTCGGATCCGCTAGCGGCCATGGAAGCAGCGAGATCCTGGGTTTCGGCGGCGAGGGCTTGCTCGAGCTCCTTCTTCTCTGCCACAGGTTGCGTTTCCAAAAAGGACTGTGCGAGGTCCGCAGCTGTCGGTACGGCCTCGGGACCGGCTGTGCCCCGCTTCCCCGTATTTTGTCCATCCTTCTCTTTCTTGGACGCCACCTTCAAGCGGATGTCGACACCGTCTACTTCGGCCGTGATGGGGCTGGTGTAAAAGTCCATGGGAATCGTGACCCGCAGGACGAGCACCTTGGCCTTTTGGAGAGAAAAGGTTGGGGGCAACCCCAGCAGCCTCTCGAGTTTCTACGTAGAATTGTGTCAACCCCAGTATACACCGTGATACGCGGGCGGCGCATCCGGGCCACCTAGAAAACCTACCTGAAGAACCAGTCCGACATCCCGAAACTCTAGGACCGTATTTCGACCGAGGGCAAAGTCGAGGTTCTCCAAATCAAGCGCTTGTGTATCGAGTAGGTCCAGTCGAGAGAGAGCAAAGCGAAGTAGCTGCTTCGCCATGGACGAGCTGCGAAATGACTGAAAGAAAGATGCCATGATGGGCCGTTGCGGTAGTGGGTGCCGCGACGGGCACCTGGAATTGCGAGATGGAAGTTATCGACGTGGGGGGTTGTGGTGAGTGGCCGTCGAACAAGTGGGCGAAATCGTAGGTACTCGAGCGAGACGGAAGACGGAAGAGAAGAGGGGCTGATGTGTTTTGGGCCACTGTGGATTAATAGTCCAGCAAGGTCGAGTACGGAGGACGTAAAAAGGCGGCCGGACTGGTCATGTTGAGACGAGACGGATCATGATTACTGGCATTTCGCAGAAGTCGATCGATGCTCGGCCCCGAACAGCTAGATGCAGATGCGCTCCCGGTCTTCTCTCCGGTGACGGGTGACGGGCGAAGAGGTAGACAGAAACAAAGCCTATGTTGCCAGAACACAAGGCGCCGGGTGAAACGGCACAATTAATGCCGTGGTCGTGTTGTGCGATGGAAGAGAAAAAAGAGTCAACCAGCGACCGGGGGGTTTTGAGGGAGGAAGGCAAATGGGTGAAGTGGTTCGCAGGAGGTCGAGGTCTGTCGGGTGCAAGACGACCGACCACCCGTGACATGGAAGCGGTTCAGTGCTCCGAGTGCAGGTGTTGGGCAGAGAGCCCAATCAGTTGATCGGCCTTATCACTAGCGTGAGGCGTGGGGAGAGGTACAGGGATCTGAGACCCCACCTCCGGACTCAAACGCTCATCGATGACTGTGCCGGACTCTCCGCCTGTGGAGACGCCCACTTCGAAACCTCACCAAGCTCGACGACAGGCCGAAAAACAACAACTGATATTGGGCAGACAGAGAGGGGAAATGAAGCGAAAACGAGCCCCGGGACTTCTCCGAGCCTCACATCCGACGTGGCCATACGCGAGCAAGGGGCAATGATTAAACATCCAATCCATAGCGACTGCTGCCTTGCCGTTAACTCGACCTCTCTTCGAGTCGCCGGCTGTGAACACTGTGGGCTTAGTGGACTTGCCCCGTTGGCCAGAATAGGCAATGCCGTACTCGACCATATCAGATGACCAAGGTCTCGAGGAAGGGGCGAAACCCATGGAGAAGACAAACAATGGCTTGGACCGTGACTAGAATGTTTCATATTTTTCTAAAGAAGGGGGAAAGAAGAGGACCTCGCCAGGGGCAGTAATAGTAAGATCTACACAGTATAGGTAGGAGGAAGATGCGTAAGAGCGCCTTCATGCAATGCAAACGCCACCAATCCAGAGCCAAATGTCGCGAAACCGCTGACCCCGCAAACCTGCGCCTACCAAAAGCCCTAACCCTGTATCTCGGCGCCTTTCTCCCCGTCAACCACAACCCCAACAACCCCTCTCTCTTTCTCCTTCTCCCTTCCCCTCCAGTATCCCTGCGTTATCCTCCGGGCAACGTGTTCGCCACTCCAGTAGGCACCCGTCACCGTCCCCAGCGCCACAAACGGTGCGGTGTGCTCCCCCGCGAGCCAGATCCCCTCCTTGGGCACGCCACTCCGCATCGCGATGACGTCCTTGTCGCCTTCGAGAAGGCCAGTCTGGAAGTTGCTGTAGCTTCCGTTCCCCGCCAGATCATCGTCCAGCCAATCTGTGGCGAAGCATGCCGTGGGCTGACAGTCCGCATTGGACTCATCGTAGGAGGGGAGGCGGGAGTAGTATGGTTTGAAGTAGTCGTAGATGAACGAATCTTTCTCCTTTCGCGAAGGGAGTGAGCGGAGGCTAGAGGTGAGATGCTGCGACTGCTCGCCGTAGAGGTAGAATAGCAGGGTCGGATGGGCTGCGGCCCCGAGCGAGCCCAACTCGACGATTTCGCTGAGGCAGCGGTTAGGGTTGGAGTCCTGTGCATAATTTGGGGCGAGCCACTGGCAGAAGCCTTGGACTATGCGGCTCTCGCCCGGGGACGGGCTGAGCCAAAAGGCGGTGCCGAAGGAAATGTAGACCTGGGAGACGTTAACTTGTGTAAACGTGGCATTGATGAAATGGTGGGACCGACCTTCTCTAGGCTGCCGTAGCCAATGTTTTGGATTCCCTGGCATAACCGGTCAGGCAGAGGCGGGGAGAAGGCTTGCAGGTTCTTCTTGAGCCAGCCCAGCGGGCAAGTGACGACAACTTCGTCAAACTCGAGGACTTGGCCGTCGGCGGTCTTAACCCTGGCCATGTTATTTTGTGCCATAGACTTGCCGTAGATCTCGGAGATGCGGGTTTTGTAGCGGATATCTGCACCGTCGATGGCCGGTTGAGCAACCTTCTCCAGAACTTTGTTGTATGTCCCTGCGCAAAAGAGGTTTTCTAGGACAAATTAGCGAAATACGTCAAGAGGGAAGCCGAGAGAGTGTGCCTTACCGCCCTCGATACACTCCTCCAGCCAGAAAAACTTGAGACTCTGGGTTCTAAGAGGGCTGCCGACAAAATTACCCCATAATTCGGCCATGTGGAGGAGGAGGCGCCTTTGCCTCTGATAGTCCTCCTGGGTGTCCGGTATCCTCTTCACAACCTGCTCCTGGAAGAAATCCAGCAGTGACCTCCCAGGGTCGATATTCGCGCCATGCTTGTTGGAATACTCGAAAGCATCCTCGATGATGTCCCACATCAGGGTCGAGTACTTCTCTCCCTCTTCGAGGGGAAGCAGCCGTCCATCCTCGTCATAAATGCACGAGTGGTTATCCCAGACGCCAACCGTCGTCTTGGTCTCCTTGACCAAATCCATGATTGGGTTCTCGGTCGTACCATGAATCCAATTCGCACCGATGTCTATCAAATGGCCATTGGGTAACCTCTCCTGGAAAATCCTGCCACCGAGACGGTTCCTCGCTTCCAACATTGTGACGCGGAAGCCATTTCGGAGCAGCACATCGGCGCACTTGAGCCCGGCAAAGCCAGCACCAACTATCCCGACATGTGGTCTTCTACTCGGGTCAAGGGTCTCGAGCTACAGCAAATGTCAGTGAGTGCTAAGTTCCAGCGCACCGTTAAGGTCGTAACTCTGAAACATCACGACGTATCCTCCACTTGTGCACTGCAGGAGTGTTCCCAGGTTGGATTCTGCGGTGAATGGAATGGAACCGAAGGACTATTTTCGGGCTGGGTGACAAATACCTTTAGGACACTATCCATGATACTCTGCCTCCTTGACGAGACACCGTAAAGCCGGGAGGTTTTGAGGTCCTGGTATATCCTCGACGTTTTCTTGCCTGCGGCGCTGGTGACGGACATAGAATGAGCATCCATACTGATGGTTGAAACGATGCGCGAGATACAAGACGGGCGGGTAAGGGCAAGGTCAATCTCTAAACTTGAACAGATGTCAAGGCAAGTAGGTAGTCAGTCTGTTAAAAAGGCGCAATGGATGGACCAACATCTCACAAGCGAGAGGCCATGATGGTCAACTATATATGCGACTCGTCATCTGCGGGGCCGGGGCCCCGGGGGTAGTCAAAGCGAAAACGGGGATGAGCAACAGCTCGGTCAAAACTATCCGACCGCAAGCATTCCAGTAGGACGGGGCGGCGGACACCCAACGACCTCGGTGAGGAGAACCACCAGGTGGCCATGGCGGAGTGAACGGGAGAGGACAGGCCGCAAAAGCCGATAAGAGACCACAACCACGCAAGGATTCTGACACAAAAAAAGCCATTGCTTCTGCGAGGCACGGCAATCTTGACAGCGCAGCGGGTGTGGCAATAATGGAGCCTCATTTGGCAATCCCGAGAGACGGGAAAGATACGGATAGGTAACTCACCAACCTTTTCTGCCGGGTAGACCACTTGGTCTCGCCGCGTGCCTCCATCTCTTCAGCGAATTGAGCGAGTGGCCAATGACAAGCGCGCTGCTGAGCATGCCATCTGACACCTCAAGCGACTGCGGCTAACGCGGGCCAGATTTAAGCAAGGCTGGCTCGCTGGTGACAAGCGACAAGCAACAAGCGACAAAGGAGATCGACTCACCGCAGCGGGACCTTCGGGAGCCCCCGCAAATGAATATGGTAAAGAGCTGCCAACTCAGCGTAACGCATATCCTGAGAGAGACTGCGGCTGGATGATGAGAGCTGAGAGCAATGTGTTTCAGCTGTTCCAGCCAAACAAAAGAAGATCTGGGCCGTTAGTTAGCGGGGCTCATGCCGGCTCGAGGAAAGAGCCAACAGGACCAGATCCGGGGAACCCACCCGCTGTCAACCAGGCTTGATAAAGCAACCGAAGAGTTCACACTACTATACACATACACAGCAGGTGATTCTAATAAATACCTAGGTATTCTCCATAGGTTATCAGTTACCATTTTCCTATTGTTCAATCGCGCATGAGCGGCCTGCACAACCCCCTCAGTACCTCTGTACGAAACGCAACCCTGGCCCAGGGAAGAACCCGTTTGCGGTCAGAACTCCCGCCAAACGTAACACCGGAAGCCCCCGGTTAAGGGCGGGGCATTTACGGCGTTGGCGAGGAGGCGACGAGCGAGGGGTTGCAACACGAAGAAGGTATCTACCTAGTAAGTCTCGGTGCTGACTTCGTTTTGCGTTGACTGTATACCATAGGTAGTTATGAGGACAACATCAAGCAATGCTGCGAACGCCAACCTCAGGCTGGCAAAAGAAAACCGAGGAGCAGGGTGGAGGGTTATCAATGACGCGAGTGGCTGAGACATCTCACTCTTATTTGGTAAAGACCCCTCAATCCCAACAGGCAAACATCAGTAAACGAGTTGCTGGATGGTAGTTTTGCCAGGAAGGTATGAAAACAACATACACAGTAATTCAGGAAAGCTGTCTACACAGTCGTGTACTGTATAAATTGCCCCACCCGGCTCTCGCCTCCGATCTCTTGAACAATGAAATCGAGTCATGAAGGGGATCGGAAGCGTCTCTGCCCGCCGCCAGTTGGCTTGCCCACCTGTCGCACATCACATGCGCAAACTCCAGGATGACCGGGGTGCGAAGTCAGGGCTTCGGCTGCAGCCAATCACAAATCCGGTATTACATCTCTTGGCATGCTCCCCACGTTGGAGCCCCAGGTTCTCAAAACGCTTGGGAGCCGAGGCAGTCCAGGGGGACAAGCCGAAGCAAGCCTCCAAAGTCCGACCGACCAGCCGGAAGGCGCTCTTGGAACCCCTGGTCCAGGTAACAACGCCAGGAATAAAATGACGGTGCTGTCAGCTCTGCAATTCCAGTGACACTGTCCCCTTTGTTCGTTCTGCTCTGCCCCTCGTGATACCCTTTAAATCCTTCAATCCATCAGAGATCGAAGACCTTCCTCCGCCGCACCGCAACCATGCCTCTCGAAGTCCCCTCCAAGACCTTCACCCGCGCCGAGGTCGCCAAGAACAATACCGAAGACAGCACCTGGTTCATCATTGACACTGTCGTCTACGATGTCTCGGATTTCCTAGATGCCCACCCGGGCGGCGAGGCCGTCCTGCGGCAGGTCGCCGGCACTGACGCAACTGTCGCCTTCTACAACCTCCACAGGCACGAGGTGTTGCAAAAGTACTCGGACCTGGCCATCGGCACCATCGAGGGCGAGAAGCAGTCCATCGTAACCCCGGCGCTCGGCGAAATCTCGACCGTGCCATACGCCGAGCCGCTCTGGCTCACCCCTTCGTTCAAGTCGCCCTACTTCAGCGACAGCCACCGCCGCCTGCAGCGCGCCATGCGCGAGTTCACCGACCAGTACATCACCCCCGAGGCCCTCGAGAAAGAGCGTTCGGGCGAGTACATCACCCAAGAGCTCATCGAGCGCATGTCCAAGGCGGGCGTCCTCCACATGCGCATGGGCCCCGGCAAGCACATGCACGGCGTGAACCTCCTCAACGGCGCCGTCGACGGCAAGGAGTTCGACTACTTCCACGACATGATCTGCTCGCAGGAGCAGGTCCGGGCCGCCTGCCGCGGCTTCCAGGACGGCAACATGGCGGGCATGGTGATCGGGCTCACGTGCGTCCTCAACTTCTGCAAGAACGCGGAGCTCAAGAAGAAGGTGACGGACGAGGTGTTCTCGGGCCAGAAGAAGATCTGCCTGGCCATCACCGAGGCCTTCGCGGGCTCCGACGTGGCCGGGCTCCGCACGACCGCCACCAAGACCCCCGACGGCAAGCACTACATCGTCAACGGCACCAAGAAGTGGATCACCAACGGCGTCTTCTCCGACTACTTCGTCACGGGCGTCAACACGGGCAAGGGCCTGTCGGTGCTGCTGATCGAGCGCGGCGAGGGCGTCGAGACCAAGCCCATCAAGACGTCGTACTCGCCCGCCGCCGGCACCACCTACATCACCTTCGACAACGTCAAGGTGCCCGCGACCAACCTCCTCGGCGAGGAGAACAAGGGCATCTACGTGATCCTGTCCAACTTCAACCACGAGCGGTGGACCATGGCGTGCGCGACGATCCGGTACATGCGCCTCGTGGTAGAGGAGTCGCTCAAGTGGGCGCACCAGCGGCTGGTGTTCAAGAAGCGGCTGATCGACCAGCCCGTGATCCGGCAGAAGCTGGCCAAGATGATCGCGCTGTGCGAGTCGCACCAGTCGTGGCTCGAGACCATCACCTACCAGATGTGCAACATGGCCTACTCGGAGCAGGCCAAGCACCTCGGCGGGCCCATCGCCCTGCTCAAGATGAGCGCCACCCGCGCCGCCCACGAGATCGCCGACGAGGCCGTCCAGATCTGGGGCGGCCGCGGCCTGACCCAGACCGGCATGGGCCGCGTCATCGAGAACTTCAACCGCACCTACAAGTTCGACTCCATCCTGGGCGGCGCCGAGGAGGTGCTCGGGGATCTGGGCGTGAGGCAGGCCATGAAGTTTATGCCCAAGGCGGTGCTGTAGAAGAAGGGCGGGGTTTGTTGACATCATTCCAGGTTGTTGTACATAGGACAGAGGTGGCTGGTGGTATCATCATTTAGCATGGTCGGATAGGCATTTTGGTGTTTTTTCTTTCTTTCTTGGGAATCCATCAACTTTCTCGCTATTACGCTGTTGACACGTTGACGAGTGATCATCAAATTGGCTAGCACTGGCTTTCACTGCATTTCCACACCACACGACAGAGAGAGCAGCGTCAGTAACCCCGGACCGTTATCATTTCTATGGAACCTGAGATGAGCCCCATTTCCGGTCCCATGATCTAGTCGTTAATCCGTGAGAAAGAAAACCGAGAAGCCAGACATTGCAACGAAGCGAATGCAGCGCTCCACCCGATGAGAGAGACTTGAATGCAAACCTGATAAGGCAGCCCTCGCCGTCCCGACGCCAAAGATGGTCAAACTTTTCCGTTGCCCGGTGATCCGTAAGTCGTGATGAATGAAGTGTCGTAGGGTTGTGGAGAGTGTGGGGAAAAGCAAAACAAAAACTGCGGAAAACCATGGCTCCAAGCCGAGAATGCGGCAACAACCGGCCGAGGACATTGCCAACTGAGAGGGTATCCAGGCCACTGAGATACCAGCAATACAACCCGTGGAACTCCAGCGCGCGAGCACCAGACAGATCCACCAGAAAGGTAGTGTATAGCGCACCCGCATGTCGTTCAACCTCCATTGGGACCGCCAACTACCCAGCGAGTCCCCTTGTATCCTCTTCTACCTCAATCGTAAAGAGCTAGAACAAATCGCAAAAGGTTGACCGACCGGCGAAAGAACCGGGGTCATCGAAGGTAACGGCGGCCGCGTCACGTCCGCAACTTAGTTCGGGCACTGAGACTGGACGTGGCCAGGCTGCTGGCACTTGTAGCAGATCTTCTCGCCGCCAGTCGACTCCTTGGGGCAGTCGCGCGACACGTGGCCCGAGACGCCACAGTTGTAGCACTTGCTGCCGTTCACGCAGTCGCCTGTGCCGTGTAAGTAAGGTTTCTTGAACGAGAGGATACGTTCGCCACGACTTACGAGAAACGTGGCCGACGCCGCCGCACGAGTAGCAGGTCTTCTGGCCGTAGCCACCACCACCGTAGCCACCGCCACCGTATCCACCGCCACCGTAGCCACCACCACCATACGAGGGTTGGCCGCCCTTGCTGCAGTTGCGAGCAATGTGGCCGATCTCACCGCACTAAATTCAACGGTTTAATAGAGAAACTTCGGACCGAGGGGGTGGGGTGGCGCTCACCTTGTAGCACTCAGCGCCAGACTGACCACCGCCGCCCATAGGGCCGCCGCCGCCGCCGGTCGGGCAGTCGCGGGAGATGTGGCCGGGCTGGCCGCAACGGTAGCAAGTCTTGGTGTCCTTGGGGCCCTCGGGGCAATCACGGCCTGGTTTATTCGAGTTAAAATGTATTCATAAGTGCAACGGAGAGCAAGGGTACTCACTCATGTGGCCCTCGCCTAAGAATCGCAACTTCTCGTTAGTCCAATTCGCCGCCATGAGGCTAGGCGGGCAGTCCAGAGGAGCTTACCACCGCAGTTGTAGCTACAGAAATGGTCAGCGATTGAGGAATTGTCAGGATATATGGCGAACGGTAGCTTACCACTTAGCCGCACCCCGGTTCGGGCAGTCACGAGCCTAGAAACATCTAGTTAGTGGCCGCAGGGCAACATCGCGATACTCCCTCTTGATCGATCTCTCCGGGCTCGTCGACGGTTTCATACCTGGTGAGCAGTTTGGCCGCCTAAAATCTCTCATGTCAGACGATCTCTCTCCCCAACTCAAGCAGGAAGGGCGGTTTCAGGTGTTGTGTGGTGCGGGTAGTGGTCTGCGAACGCAAGCAGACGACCTTTCGACGGGTCCGCCGCTGTCCAACCCATTGCTGGGTATTGGCTGGAATGACCAATTTCCAATTGTTTCCTTGGACGGCCCGTCGCGTTGGTGCGTGCAGAGAAGCAGCAAGTCGCACGCAACGAGCGATGCGCCGACATGCGGGGAGCCAAGATTTGACCATATTCCAATGCTCTGCAGTTTCCCGCGCGCAGATCTTGCGAGATATCCAAACTGGCTCCCTGACCAAGGCAGCCGGTATCGCGATGCTGTGCACCATGCGTGTAAAGTCTCGGGGATGTGGGCGTGGGTGGCGGCAATTGCGCTCAGAGCCGCGGGGCAAACAGAAGCCAAAGCGAAGGAACTGCGATGGCAAACTCACAGGTGAAGCAGGCCCGGCCCTGGGAAACGTTGGAATCCATCTTGAATATGTGGTTGAGGGTGGTAATCGAGTGCGGGTTGGTAATTCTACGCAACGCGTTCACCAGTCAGTTCTGGTGGTTTGTAGGTGGCGAGGAAGTTTCCAATTGTCTGCGGGATGCAAAGTGTTTCGGTATTGGAGAGATTTTGAGCGGGAGTGCGCAAAACCGAAAAGGTGGGGTGACCCTTGGGTGTGGGGTAATTTTCACTGACCAAAGTGGGATTTAACTAGCGTGTGGAAAGAATGTGCAACACAAACTTGCCCGCGATTGATAAAAAGTTTGTTACGATGTTGGGGAGAGGAAGGAAAGCCGCGGGCAATAGGAGGGGCAACGAGGACTAAGTACTGTTCCAGGTTTCTCGATAAGGCAGGTAAGGCAGGGAGTCGAGGCGAGAAACATGAATGAAGGAGCGGGTTCACCTGGCAGAAATGGATTGCTGTGATTGAATTTTTCTGGACGTGGTCGTTTTGTGTGGGGCAACCCCTGCCGGTGTTCGAACGCCTGGAAAGTTGGCTCAGTCAAGGATTGTTCAATGGTCTCCCTGCCTCCCTCCATAATGAGCCTTGCTCCCAGGTTGCTGTGGGACGGGCGTGGCATGGCGATTGGGATGCCAGCCGGGATACAGAATATTGAAAACGGCCCCAATGCAAGAATTCTCGGTTGAATGCAGCTTCTGCGACAAATGAGAGGGAACGTGCCAGATCCTCGCGCCTTCGTCCCCCCCCCCATCCACATTGAGCCTCGGTACTACCTGGGTATCATCAACACAGTGCTAGTATATCGGACGGCGTCGGTGGCGTTTCCAGGTTCGGTTGCCCTGGTTTGGGCCTGCAAGCAACTTTCAATTGTAACAAGTAGGTCGTGTATTGGGTCTTTCATCAGGGGAAACCGCAGCGGTATCCTCATATCCCATGTCAGTTGGTGTGCTGGACCCAAGCAAAGCATGCGGGTGACTTGCCCCTGCATCAATAGGTGCGGATCTTCTCGTCTGAGCTTCCATCTCGTTTCTCGAACTTCCCGTGTTGTCTTCCTTGGGGCAGTGCTCCAGCTGCAGTGAACCAATGCGGACTTGATACGTGGCGAAAGCCGAGCTGCTTCTCCATTTACATAGTAAGCAGGCGTCTCCAGGGAATTTCGACTCTGCTCATTCCTGAGAGTCCTTCTTTCATCCCCTGCCGCTGCCTTCCCAGGAGTTGTTAACGACGGTCGTTCGATCCCATCGCACCGCAATCGAGGCATATCGAGTGTCTTTCGGAAACTCCCTACCGTTCGGTTTCTTTGCCGTTGAGACCGGCACTCCCTTTTGGTCCTTCCTCGCACTGATAGGCTATATTACGAGGGGAGATCACGAAGATCCAGGGCGGCTGCTGGTGCGTCTCCAAGGTGGCTGGACCGGAGCGACGTGCTGGTTTGCTCCGAGCCTCAACCCTTGCGTGCCACTCGCTAGGGTCGCATCCTCCCATTCGGGACATCTTCTGGAACTTTGTTGGAAGCATGTTCGCAGATGATTTCTTGGCCGCCTTGTTTGATTGTCCGATGTGCAACACTCCAGCCAGCTGCGAGTTATTGAAGTAGATGGGGCGGTGGGACATCAAAGGGCGGAGGAAACTGGCCAAATCCCCCCCCGTTTACACTTTCGACCGCCCTTCAACCTGATGATCGGGGCCTTTGGCTCTCGGCTGTAGCTCAGCATCGCCTCAGGATCTCGAATGTGACGGCCAAGCCCGTCAGAAGGTCGAGTGACGCCGAGGACCAGAGACGCAATCTGTCAACGGCAGCTGTCCGTAGCTCGGAAGTATGCTATCCGCGCGGGAAGGGCAAACAACCCATCCAGGGAAAGTAATCGCGGCCTGGAATGGCGTGTCTGCTGCTCAAGTGGCTGGGGCTGTGGACGTCGCTCTCTCGGGGCTGCATCGCACCATTGGGCCGGCTGGTTGCATTCAATCGAGTTGCCGATATTGCTGTCCCAACGACCGCAGGCCCGTGATGAAGATAACGGCAAACAGCTTGGCCCTGAGTTTACTCTTAGTACTCCCGACGGCCCGAACATTTCTGCGTCGGCCGAAAAAGGATCGATTCTAAAGTGGCCCGCGGCCATTCGAGCACACAGAAACACAGAGTGCCCGTCCTCATCAGCTTTGCTTTGCATAACACGACAACTTAGTTCTGGTTAGAAGCACGGAGAAAGAGCTGTTGGTTGCAATGGATGCGAGACACCAAGATCTCGAGACGCACGGGCGGCAGGACCTGCTTCTCCGATCACCCGGACGGAAAGAGAAAGGGCGACGTCGAGGCCCTGCGGAATGTGGGGTCGGCGTAGACACATTCAATTGGCGGAGCCAGATAATGAAAGCCCGGCCCCGGACTTCTGTTCCCAATCGCGTTTCCCGAGACCGGATATGGCGCGAAGCCATCCGAATCACATGATAAGGCGCGTCTCGTCGATATCTTGGCGTCTTTAAACCCCTGCTGTATTCGGGGGAGCGCGTCGCGGGACGGACTTGGTTTCCCAATTCCAAACCCTCACCCACGCTGCCGTTGTTTGTTGTTTTTGTCTTTTTCTCAGTAGCAATCATGGATTACTGGACACACAAGGGGAGACCTATACTTCTTGCCGCTCTTGAAGCAGCCTGCGACTCAGTCGAGGAAAACCTCGCTGTTGGTGGGTAAAGCTCTGCAGCGTTGCTGAGATCGGAACATGCCTTTAAAACTGACGTTAATTACCTAGAAATTCAACAAAGATATGAGAAAAGTCATGAATCACTCCTGAAAGAGGTCGGTCGACTACAAGCGGCTGCGGAAAGAGTAGACTCGCTAGAAAAAGAGAACCAGTCCCTTGTCCGGGAACTCGGCCAGCTCCGAAGCAGACAAGAGACTTTACCACCTCCAGCAGCACGCCCTGCGCTTGCAAAGATCTCGGCCAACACCAAACTCGGCTCGTTGGCTGCAGACCCTTCAAAATGCGGCCCCGAGAAAGCGACAGATTGGGAAAAGGAGTTCTCAAAGCTCGCCGTGCGACACGCGACTCTCGAACGACGGCAAGAGGAGATACATCGATCGGCGAGGAGGTTCCGGGCAGAGCGAGATAGCTGGACAGAATACGCCCAGTCGTTGGAGGTCAAGATCGAAAAACTGGAGAAAAAGGTCCAGCGCAACAAAAACGCGGATGATCGCGTCCCTCCCTCCAGCAGTGCTAAGCCTCGGCCTACTTCAGTCAACCAACTAGGCCCCTCTTCCGATCGGATAGTTGTTGATTCGAGCACCGTATCTGAGCCAGATCAAGCGATCAACCCCAAACCACGCGGAGATCCTACCCGAGAGTCCATGGGGGTTGAAGAAGTAACGCCAACGCCAGCAACACTTGTGCCAGGATCTCCACACTCGACCGGCGAAGAGACGCAGGATGGAAGCGATGGAGTGGAAGAGATGCTGCGTCTACCGCAGGGCGCACCTACGGGGTCTGCGGTTAGGATCAAGGAAGAACCATCCTCGGATGCCCCGGTCATTGTCTCCGAGAGAACAATACGCAAACGGAAACACACGGATGACGACGTGGGTATGCCGGCTCCTCCCCGCAGGATTAAGAGCGAGCAGAGCACTAGCTCGGAACCCGTCATCACAGGCGAAGCTCCCATCTTTTGTCCGCATGAGAGCATTGACCTCGACGAAGATGAGCGTGGGATGCCGACACCAAGGAAGCAGCAACAATGGGAAAATCGGCATGCCCTTCGAGAAGATAAAGACGTTGCCCCTCCAGAGCAGCGCCTCGGCGGAGCACGCTCGACCGAGGAACAACCCCACGGCCTAGGTTTGCACCTTGATCGGCCGACTGCAGCAGCTTTATCTCCGCATAGGCCATCGAGAGCACACAAAGACCGCGAACCGCCTATTAGAACAGGGTGGACGTTGGATTCGGGGATTGCAGATGTCGCTGAGGAGACGTTCGAGTCGTTCTACTCTCTCAAACCGCGGCAGGCTGAAAAAGGGCCGACGCATCAGACACCGTTGCAAGGCCGCCTGCACTCGCTTTTGAACGACAACTCACCGAAGAAGTCCGGTGTTTTCCTCTCTCCAGCCCGCCTTCGCCATGGCAGCGCGAGTCCTCGTCTCGACAAGGAAAACGTTGAGAATAGGACAGCACAAGAGACCGAAGAAAGTAGCGACGCTCTTGTTAAGCCACCCCCGATAGTTAGCGCTTCCACAGTCACTCCTCTTCGGAAGCATGGCCAGGACAAAGGCAAACTTCCTAAACCTGGCCGACTGCGGGACCGGCCGCTGGCGGGGCTACGACCGGAAGATTTCAAGGTCAACCCAAGGTCCAACAACGGGTACAACCATGCCTTCGACGAGGTTGTGCGCAACAGGGAGGAGCGGGCGGAACTCTCCGGGTGCACCGACCCCAACTGCTGCGGCAGACAATTTCGAGCGATGGCGGAATCGGAGCTTAGCGCTGGCGGGCCGGGGGTCCTCTCACGGGTGGCCGACATCAAAATGATGGAGAATTACCTGGGCACTGAAGCCGATCAGCTCGTCGAGATGACCCGCGGGGAGCGACAAGAGACCTGGCTCAAGGCCAGGATCCAGGATCTGGCTAATCGGTTGGGGAGGCACAGGCATAGGTTTGCCAGGCGGCCGTCGCCACCAGGGTATTGGAACCCGGATTTTCCCAGCACGCAGGAGATCGAAAAGAACAAGGAGGAAGCGGAAAGGGCCGAGAGAGAACTTGTCGAACAGAGATGGCGTGAGGCGATGCGGGGAGGGAGGTGGTTGTTCAGAGACGAGTAGGGTGTTAGCGGTCGAGTTCAGCAGCAGAAGGACCGGCTTCCGTGGGAGACTGGGACTCGGGAACAGTACCCAGCCACTCAGAGCGCCTTTTATATGCAACATCGGTGCTGTTGGTCTCGCAAGATTGACCAGTTAACTAACGCATCTCGTGACCACTTCTTTCGCATTTGCTTGCCATGCATGACGGTGGTAATTTGTCGATCATCCCCGAGCTTTGTGAGGCCCTGGTCCACGTCATGAATCCCGCCTAGGGAGTGGAAGCCTGGTGAATAGAGCTCGGGTAAGGCCTGCAAAACAGAGAACAAACGGAGGTAACCTCACCCGGTTGTCTCCTTTTCTCTTTTCTTTTCCCTTTTTTTTTTTTTGTTTTGTTATTTTGCTCGTCCCAGGGGTTTTTCTTCTTTTTTTTTCTAATTTTATTTTCTCTTTATTACCTACCTCTTTCGTCTGCGTCCTGCGTCGTCATGTATTCGGAGGGAATACATCCTTAAATGGAACGACGACAAATGTAACATGGAACCGAGAGGTACCAAAAAGGCTGCATTCAAGCAGCCGAGGAGGAGTTAACCTTAACCCTTGCCTCGTGGTTTGTGGCCCGAGCGCCGACCGGGCGTTTTGCCGCCTCTGTCCAGTGTTTGAGCGCTTCTTTGCTGTGACGCCCGGGCTGTGGTAAATTTTGGAACAATCGTGTGGAAACCGCAAAAGTCCACCACCAGCACCAACATCGTCTCCTCTTGGCATGCCCTTGCCTTTCTCACCAACCTAAGGGCTGCCCAATGCGCCAAATCATTTGATCCTTCCGTTTTTACCCAATCGCGCCGACTGAATGACAAGATCAGTGCGAACCTTAAGAGAAAGAGCCCACAGCAACGCACGGTAGCACCCGGCGCCATCATAATTCGTAATAGTCAGCAGCAACTGACCGAACCTCCGTCGTGCGAAACCTCTACCTGGACATAGGGAGTCAGGGCAAGCGCAGTCTCGAACCAAATTCTCTCCGTTCCCCAAACCGCCTTCGCTTTCTATCCTTGAAAACCACATCGGCTACAAACCCATTTGCGTCACCATCCACGACGCCCACCCGCCCAACTCCTTGACGAGTTGCTCTCTCCGACCCCCAGCTTCTGCTGGATTTCCGACTCGCGACTCTTCGCCGCGGTGGCCCTCACATCGAGTGAGCAGCTACCGCAACAACCACAACACTACACACCCCCGCCGGCATGATGAACAATCGGGGGCATCTGCCGGCTGGGCAGCAGGTGCAGGGCGGTTCTGATATGGGCCCCGCGCCCACTGGTCCTCCGCCTCGCCGTGGCGGTCGGCCCCAGCATTACCCGCCGGCCCATGCCTACCATCACGGTCAACATGGTCATCATGGCCACCACCAGCAACATTCAGGCCAGCCGATGTATCCTGCCAGCTACATGGCAAACCCTTACGCCAGCGCCCACTACTATGCGCCTCCGCACTACCAGAACGGCGCCATGCCCGGCCCGCCTGGCTACATGCCTTATCCCAACACCGGATACGTTCGATCGCCTCCGGCAATGCAGCACTTTGTGCCTCTACAACAGGCCTACGGCCGTCCACCACAACATTCGCCGATCGTCTCCTCGCCGTATCACCCCCCACCGGCGGTTGCAGCACCCGTCGTTCCCCCTATCCCGCACACACCCTCATCGACGCACTCGCATGCTGTGCCTCCACCCATGACTCCCCCGGTCCAGCAACTCCATGAATCTGCCCAGCTCCCGGTACCGATCACAGTGCAGCTTCCCCCGCAGCCTGCTCCTCAGCCTGCTCCTCAGCTTGCTCCCCAGCAGGAGCCCCAACTTGGGTCCCGGCCAGTGTCACAACAAGAGGTCCATATTCCTCAGCAGATATCCGAGCCCGTTGCCAAGCCATCTCCGACTACTTCCGTTTCACCCCCCAGACAACCCTTCAGACCACCGGTATGTTTTGGCGGAGCTGTGTTTGTTCGACGTGCATTCAGGACCCGTACTGACCCCTATTCAGCTTCCCTGGCTATCGCAGCCCGACCTCCCATTCCCCCAGCGCTCGTCGAAGCTGAGGAGGAGAAGAAAATTGCTAGGGGCCGATGCGGAGAGGGTAGAGCTCCCTGGGCAGCATGCACCCGGTGCTGAGGGTCTTGCCCAAAATGACAGATCTCAAGGCTCGGTTGAGGTATCGCAGCGCGTCGCTGGCGCTCCCGCAAAGACCGAGGCACTTGCTCCCGGTGCTGATACCCCTCCCACTCAAGATCAGTCGCCCGAGGCCGTCGCAAGCTCGACGCAGCCACCCAAGGCGTCTCCCGTAGCACCCGCCACCCCTACGGCCGTGAAGCCTGCGGTACCAGCAGTTCCGGTTGTCCCCGCCCTTCCTAAGGCTAGCCCCAAAGAAACCAAGGCTTCAGCGAGGGTCGAGAAGAGCGCCACCGAACCCAAACCGGCTGTCGCCACTTCCGACGAGCAGCAAGCCGAATCTGTCAAACCGCCCGCCGAGAGTATGAATGGAGCTGCCGAGGCTGTCCAGCCGGCTCCCGCCTGGAGCAAACCCAAGCTTTGGGCCGGTTTGTTTTCCAAGCCTGGCGGTGCAGTCGCAAGCACGAGCTCCGCAGGCGCGGTTGCTCAGGCCGAGGCCAACGGCAGCACGGCAGAAGGACCGGCTGTGGTTCCCGGAGCCGGTAGCTTTGCGAAGGCCAACGCGAGCTCGCTAGCTCAAGCCCTACAAGCCTACCGTCCCAGTGCCCCGGACAGGCTTGCCTTCTTGGAGCCGAGAGGCCTCGTGAACACCGGTAATATGTGCTATATGAATTCGGTAAGAACATCTCGTCGTGTCACAACCCGGTCATCTCTAACCCTATGACAGGTGCTGCAAGTCCTCATCTTTTGCATTCCTTTCTTTGACTTCTTAGACCAAGTCAGCAAGAAGGCCGCCCACAGTTTCAAGAGCGAAACCCCTCTCGTGGATGCCATGTGGGTATTATTCTAAGCCTTGCGTTATACTGTGCATTTGCTCATAGCAATAGGGTCATGTTCATGCGCGAATTCAAGGCAATCGACTCTGCTGCGTCGGCCGACCAGCTAAAGAAGCGCCTCAAGAATGAAGAGTACGAAAAATACGGCGAACCCTTCACACCCGAGTTTGTTTACGAAGTCATCCGAAATCTCCCACGCTTCGCCAGCATGAGAGTAAGTGCTTTCAAACACATGAAATGCGAATTTAATACTGACAAGTTGCAGCGCGGCCATCAAGAGGACGCCCAAGAGTTCCTCGGGTTCCTGCTCGAGGGCCTCCACGACGAGTGCGCCCAGGTGATGCGTGCGGCACCTACCTCGACTGTGTCTACGGCCCCTCCCTCGCCCACCTCGTCTCGGGCGAACGACTCTGTGGAGGGCACCGACGACTGGCTTGAGGTTGGCCCCCGCCAGCGGTCTGCGGTCACGAGGTCTTCCGGTCACTCCCATACGTCGTCGCCGATCAACAAGATTTTCGGCGGGCAGCTCCGCTCGGAATTCCGTGTCCCGGGAAAGAAGAACTCGGTCACGCTCGAACCGTACCAGCCGCTCCAGTTGGACATTGGTTCCCCCGAGATCCGAAACATCATCGATGCCCTCAAGGGCCTTACCCGACCCGAGGTGCTTCACGGCGACTTCAACTCGCCGCACGGCAAGGACGTCCGGGCGACCAAGCAGGTCTTCATCGAGTCCGTGCCGCCGGTTCTAGTTCTGCATCTCAAGCGCTTCCAGTTCGATGCCGAGGGTTACGGCGGCACCGTCAAGATCTGGAAAAAGGTCGGCTATCCGCTTGAGTTTGAGTTCCCGCGGGAAGTGCTGTCGCGCCAGACCCGCAACACCATCCTTGCCGAGAACTCGGGCGCTCCCCGGTACCGCCTAATCTCAGTCGTCTACCATCACGGCAAGAACGCTAGTGGCGGGCATTACACTGCCGATGTCCGCCGCCAGGACGGCCGCGAGTGGATCCGCATTGATGACACGGTCATTCGGCGGGTACGTGACGAGGATGTTGCCGAGGGCGGTGCCGAAGAGAACCCCAGCAAAATTGACGGACAGAGAGACGCGAGCAACTCGGCTTCCGGCAACCGTTTCCTCGGTATCAACGACGAGGATACTGGTGACGAAGAGGGTTGGAAGCAAGCGGCCGGCGGCAAGAAGTGGAGCAGCGTTGTCAACAACGCACCGTCGGCTGCCACCAACGGCCAGAAGGCCAAGCAGCAACACAAGGAGAGCATGAAGGAGAACAAGGTTGCCTACCTGCTGTTCTACCAGCGGGTCTGATCATATGGCCGTTTGAACGGAGACGGACTCGTATTGGCACCTGAGGCGGGCAACATGGTGATATAAGATGGTCGGGCACACCATCATGAGCGACATGGCGTTATCGAAGCGGTGGTCTTGACTGATGAACCAACGACCCTCGACATGACTTCGATGACGGCTTCGGCGTTGGGTTGCTACCAGCCGCTATCGGATTCGGGGATGATGTCACGGCCCTCCATGAGGAGTTTAAGGCGTCAATAATCCTAATATCGGTCGATGGAATGTTACCATCGCACATCCGAGCTGCCCAACCATAACCGCCGACATAACCCCCGACCCCCGCCCTACCCTTTTCAGCTCTGACTACTTACCGACCACCACCTACCTATATACCTTTCACAGCCTGCCTCATCCAGCAACCTCCCCTTCCGCAACACTCCCTCTCATCATACAATACCACCCAGCAAAATACCACCCGTCAACCCATTGGCCAACTGCGCCCCAGAGTGGCCTGGGAGTTGGTAGGGGGTGGAGTCGAAAACGGCCAGCAAGCACTGGCAAGTGTATCCGTTGGCGAACAATCAACATGCCCAATATGACCGAGGCTATGATATATGTGCGATGCGATCACGTTATATCTCTAGATAAGATTAGCGTATTGCGTAAATAAAAATTGATCTTCCAGCTTGTGGTGGCTAGTGGTTGTGAGCGTCGTTGCAGTGAGGCTATGAACCCTGAGTGACCATGCCTTGTACGGTATCACATTATGGATGGTAGTTGCTAAGGGAGCGCCATCCTCGCCTGCTCATTCATACTCCCATTTCCTTTTGAACTTTCCTTTGAACCCCCCCCCCTCTCAAGTTGTTTGCCATTCCCCCCCCCCCCCCCCCCCCAAAAAACCACCATCAACACTCCAACCCCCTCTCCCCCTCCCACCGCCGCCTCTCCTCATCAGCCTCCCTCCACCATCTCCACGTCTCATACTCATCCTCATCATCATCCTCCCCATCCTTATTATCCCTATCACCACCCTTATGTTTCCCCCCATCCACATCCCCATCCCCACCCTCCCCCCTACCGTCCCCCCCAACCCCCTCCCAAGGCTTCGGCACCAAAATAAAATGCACCGCCCTCACCTCCCCATCCCTCCACAACGCTGCCCCATGCCCCCCCTGCCGCCGCCGCATCGGCGCCAGCGCGTTATACACATACGGCAGCGCCGCCCACCGGCCACGAAACAGAATGCTCAGCAGCGATTGCTCGGCGAAGGGGAGCTGGGCGGGGGTGCATTCGGTGGCGTGGTCGCGGAGGAAGGTGGTTATGGTGGTGAAGGTGGTGGGGGAGGGACGGAGGGTGAGGAGGCCGCCGTTGAGGAGGGAGAGGTTGGTGGACGGGGGAGGGGGGGTGTGTTGGGCCGTGGTGGGGGAGGGGTGTTGGGTGGTGTAGGCGCAGTTGGCGGGGGTCCAGGTTGGGGGGTAGTGGGGGAGGTGGTGCGGGTTGCAGAGGCAGGCGTCTGGGAGGTTGGGGGCGGAGGGGAGTTAGTTTGTGGTTGAGTTGGGGCAGTGACAGTGGTCAGGGGATGGCAACATGTAAACAAGTACATACGGGTAGCCGCAAACAACCGGTTCTCCTCATCCAGCGGCACGTCAAACAGCTCGTCCATGTTGCGCCGGACCAGCATGTCGGCGTCGAGCATCACGATGCGGGAGTATCCCGTCAGAGAGAAGACGGCGAGCTTGGTGAAGCAGACACGAAAGCGCGGGTCGTGGTCGTACGAGGTGTTGTTGCCCCCTCCGTTCTTCGTCTTACCCCCTTCGACAACGGCTTCCCCTTTTGGTGGAGGTCCTGGACAGAGATATGGCACATGCTGGATGGGGATATCTCTCGCCGCGAGGGCGTGGAGGGTCTTCTCCGGGAGGGACCCGGTGTACAGGGCCACGAGGGGGTATTTGGACTTGACTTTGCGGAGGGAGAAGACGAGGGTGAGGAGGCCCGGGAGGTATGAGTCGTTGGTTATGAGGGAAGCCCAAACTACTAGTGTTAGTGTGGCTGTGGTGTTGGTTGCACAGGGAGTATGTTTACTCTTGTATGAATCGACAACCTTCTCAGTAGTACACATTTTTGAGAACGGGTGGGGTGGCGAGGAAGGCTAAGTGAGACCAAGATGAATCACAACTCAATATAATTATCGGCCCTGAGACATCACGGGCACATCGGAGTATATCGGTAAAAGGGCAGGGCTTTCGTGTTAGCACTTCCTCTTTTCGAGTGTTAAGCCGGATACACATACAAGCGATATGACTCTTACAATGATTAACCACAGTGAGAGGCACCTCATAGAGTACTTCGGGGAGCCTCCCTATTCAATCAACAGTTCTGAAGTCGACGCCGGCTGACTAGGTAGTCCCTGGCTGCTCTTTCTTGACGTCACCAAAGGGACAAAGCACTGTAGTGGAGCCGGTAGCCTCGTTGACTGACCAGCGCCGGGGCGCCCTGAATTAGGGGAATGAGCCAGGGGCTCTCAGAAGACCTGGCCGGGCACTATCAGCTCACTGTGACCGGATATCGAGCATACAGTTTGTTACAACCACCCGGAACCGACAATGACCGCTGATAACGCACTTCCAGTTATGCCTATATGCAGGAGTGATGGAGTCTATGCGGGGCTCTCCAGATTCCACCCACCCAAGGCACCCACGCAGGGCATCCCCCTTAGGCAACCTCAAACCCACGAGAATCGTTGATTCCTCGCCTCAACCTCTCCGCCTTTCGCGCCCCAAGCGGCCTGCATGCCAAAACTGAGAACCGAAGCTACATAAGCACCCAGCCTTCCTCGATAAACGCCTCGCTCAGCACGCCCTCCTTGGCCCCCTTGGGCGGCACAAATTGCCCGCCCACCAGACTCCAGCCCTGGCCTTTCATGGTACTCCACTTCTCCTGCACCTTGAGCCGCACCAACTCCCCAGCAGCACGGGCGTCCTCGGCGCTGTCATGGCCCATGGCCTTACCCTCAACTTCCACCTGGATCGCTTTGTTGAGCTGTGTCTCCATGAGCATCTTGAGGCCGTGACGCATCGGTAGGCCCCGGCGGTGGGGGTACAACAGGATGGAGTCGACCAGAGTCGGGTGGATTATGCGGACTGCGTTGAGGTCATTTTCCAGACCGTGGCCGATGACGGGGGTGTCGGGTGAGATGAGGGCGAAAAGCAGATCGCGTGCTACGATGGGCGACGAGACGATTTGCATCTTCTTTCTCGATTTTGGGTCCGCTCTTTTGACTGCACGCTCCTCTTCCTGCTTTTGCGTTTGATCTTGGGCACTCTTCTCAGCCGACCACGGCTCGGCGTTGACAATGTCCTCGGGCCATACGCCAGAATACCTCGAGTTGAGATCTAGGATCTCCCCGACAGGTCGGACGAGGACGTCCAGCAGCTCCCCACCGTCGGGCCAGCTAGTAGCTGTCAGGCGGATCAGCTCCATCCCGCGAACTGTGTAGCCCATCTCGCAGTCGAAGCAGACGGCGCGGTCTTTGGGCGCTAGGGGATTCGCTGGCGTTTCGGCAAAGGGGATAAGGGACGCCAGCCGCGCTGGAGACGATGTCTTGAAGACGTGAGTGTTGCCACTCGCACAGCCCGACGACTCCCCCACCACCTGCTGGCAACATCGGTACCGCCTAGCGGGTTTATCGAAGTCGCCGAGTGTCCGCTCCGGATAGTATGCCCGGCCGGGATGATGGAGACATTTGCCTCCCGACGTCAAGGCCCCGTCTTCCTCGCGGCGGCCGGGAAATACTTGGAAACGAGTCCTACAGCGATCGCACACTTCGTATCCTAGCGAGGCCTCTTCCCCTTCGCGTGCCTTGGTGACCTCCTCCTCACTCGGGGAGGTCGGAACATACCCCCACTGGGCGAGCTTATCGATCGGTGTGCGTAGGTGAGTGAGGAACTCGACCTCTTGCTCGGGGGTGAGGCCCGTCTCAACGATTTTGGGAGGGCCAAGGGCCGGTTTTCTGGGCGTCTTCGATCCTGGCGTCGCCGGGGTTTGGTTCTTTTGGCGCTCGGCGACGCGCTCGTCCCGCCACTGGCCAGGGGTCATTCGTTTATAGACCATGATGCGATTTTTAATAACGTTCTGGTAGATAGACGGCTTTTCGGTTGCCATTTTCTGCTCCTCGTCCAGTGCTAGCCAGATGAGCTCCTGGGCTGATAGAACGAGCATCTTCTCGTCGTCTTTGGCGTCTTTCTTGAGCTCCTCGTTGAGACGGTGGAACTGGTCATGGAGGAGCTTGAGGGCCTTATATCGAAAGTCATGGGCTGCTGGGGCCGCCGACTTCAGGTGGCGGGGGTTGAGCGTCTCAGGCTTCCTGGGTGTGACCTTTTGTGGCGTAGTGTGTTGGGGTGTGGCCTTTCGAGGCGTGACATCTTGGTTAGCCTTTGTTGTTGACGTGGAAGATGTGACCGATCCCAGTGATGGCTCGGCTGGTTTTGTGACCGGAGCTGGAGGAGCTGGATGACATGGAAGCGGAGGCACCTTTCGCTTCAAGGGCGGGGGTGAAACTGGCTGTTTGGTGGAGGAAGGCTCTGGTTTTGTCGATATGGGCTGCGCTGGGGCAGGCGCAGGCTCAGAAGAGACCTTTCGACGCTTTCGTGGCCCGTCTTCGTCCTGGCCTCCACCCCCCGCCTGGGCTGTGGGAGAGTCCTGATCCCTGGTGTGCTGCCATGGGCAATTTGACTTGGTGCAGCTGTCCCCTGTGGGGCAGGGAATCAACTTGAAGTTTCGTAGAACGGCATCCATCGCGTCAACGATGGGAAATTATCTGACAATGAGTCAGATGGGTTGATCGGTGACCAGGTCACCAGGAAGACGTGGTTGTGGAAGAGGTATCAGGCAAACCATGGGTGGAAAGAGTGGGAACAAACACACGAGAACCAGGCTCAGGGTATTTCCTTTCTGTGGCTGATCCCGAAAGGAGTATTTTTGAGGATGGTGTTGAGATCGAGGAAGGCGTTGGGGGAAGTGGAAGTAGTGGTGAATGTAACGAAGCGGTTGGGATCTGGAGGGACGGTATAGGCAAGGCGGCAAGGCCTTTGTGGTTCAAAAACTGAACTCGAGAGATAAAATGAGTGTATGAAGATTTCGGTTGATTAGGTCCTAGGTTGCCACAGATGGGTTGGTTTCGATTCCTGCAAAGGCCGGAGCTGGCAGCAAAGGTGGAAAGGTGGAAAGGGCGAAACCCAGAAAGGTGAGACTGGTCTGATGCAGGAGGAGCGATTGGAGACCAGCAATTGATTGAGTGCGCAAGAGGACAGGGTGCACTAGTGAGAAAGAAGCTAGAAGAGGGTATCACAAGTTTGAATCTGGAGTTGCAGAGCAATAAAATGCAAATGGAGACCTAGAGATGCTCAGCTCGTAACAGAGTCACGTACCATGCTGCGATGGCTTTGTTCAGGTGATGGATGTTTGGAGTTGGTGTCAGTGAGGCCTGCCAAGAGACAAGCACGCAGCTCGCACGGCAACCTGCACCAAGCTGCATGCATTTGTGGGGCTCCGTTAACAGCCCCCCTGGCCAAAAAAAGCCAAAGTCTAAACAGAGAAAAGAAAAGGAACACAGCAAAAGACATCAAACAAAATAATTCGAGTGAAGTAAACGTAAAAGGAATATATACAATATTTTTAAGCCTTTGGATAGCTTTCGTTTCGTTCGGACAGTCGAGGTTTAGTCGACATCTACACCTGGAGTCCGGCTTTTTTCTTTTGAACCCTTGTTACAGTTCGCACTGGTCCAATTATAAGACAAAACATCTCGAGAGAATTAAGAGGAGCACCTGGACAGCTTAGCGCAATGGCCAAGGGACTACTCGTCAAGGTAGGTAGCAAATGGCCGTGTTACTCGGTCGGTCTCTCATCAGTATGCCTCAAGCGGTAGGCCTCTCGTATATGTTAGTGACTGGAGGGGCAGGCAGACCCTAGCAGTCCTCAATATTGGCTGCAATGGAAACCGGTGCTCATTCTCGTGACAATCCGAAGCGGGGAATAAACAGCAGTCATGGCGTAGTAATACACAGTCCTCCTTATCCGATTATCGTTTCATATCCACCAGGCCTCCCCCTCCCGTCTATGGCCTGCCCACATTCATCAACAGATTCGTCCCCTTGTTACCGCCCGGGAGATATGCCACGTTCGGGTTGCTGGCCAATGTCTGCGCAATCTCTCGGCTCGCCTCGATCTTACGGATCTGGATCAGACCGTCGCCCGACTTGGCAATAGCCTTGCCGACGGCGTCGGCGCTCTCGGCTTCACCCTCGGCGCGGATGACGTTGGCCTGGCGCTCCTGCTCGGCCTTCTCGACGATGAACCGCGCCCGCTCGGCGTCCTGCTGGGCGATCTGCTTCTGCTCGACGGCCTTGGTGAACTCCTTGCCGAACGTCATGTGGGTGATGGATACGTCCTCCAGCGCAATGTTGAACTCGCGCGCCCGCTTCATCAGGTCCTGCCGGATCCGGTCCGAGACAGCCTCACGCTGTGTGATCAGCTCGGCCGCGTCGAATTGCGCGACGATGGACTTGAGCACTTCGTTGCCGATCGAGGGGAGGACACGCTCGTCGTAATCTTGACCGAGGGACTGCGGGCGGGGTTAGCACGTTGTGGAAAGCAATTAAGGCCGGACAAGGGGGGGAACTGACCTGGTAGATCTTAGGCAGTGCCTTCACATCGGGCCGGTGCAGCACTCGGAGCGTCAGGCTAACCATCTGGAGATCTTTGCTGCCCGTCGTTGTCGGGATGATGCGGGGCTTGGTGCGGACGTCGAAGATGATGGCCTTCTGCAGCCAGGGAATGAGGAAGTGCGTGCCCTCGGCGGTCACCGTCTCCTTGACACCCGATAACCGGTCGAAGATGACCGCCCGCGAGCCACCCTTGACATCGTAGATGGACGCATTGAACAAGCCGTAGCCAATCGCCGCCGGAACCGCGGCCGAGTAGAGGAACCCGAGACCTCTTGCCGCCATTTTGGAGTCTGGTGGTTCAGCAAACGCTGATGTCGGCTAGGTGGATTGGGGATCTGGTGGGGTTGAGGAAAAGTGCCGGCTGTTGCTCGAGCTTGTCGCCGTGGTGGTGGTTTCTGATTTGCTTCGACTGCTTGCACTCGCAAATCGATGGAGCTTCTGCAAAAGTGGAGCCGCAGTCATTGAGAGGGTTCCCCGGGTGGTCCGGGCGTGGCAAGCTTGCTCGTTTGCTCGAGCCTGGCTCGAAGGCACTAGCCGCATTGGGCTCGGCCCTGTCGACTGATTTCGACTGCAAACCACCAAGAGCTAACCGGACCCTACGCTCGCAACAACCGACGACCCCCCTCCAACGCGTATATCTCGATCCCCGATTCACAATGCGTCCTACTCAGTACCTCCTCGGAGGCGGCGGCGGTGCCCCTATCGGCACCCATGGAAAGTCAGTTTCCCGATGACGTGGTGGGCCTTCCATGCGCCTTTTCCTGAGCTAGGGAAGGACCAGCATTCAGGCGCATTGGGAGGCCAATTCTTCACGGGGGCTCTTGCTAACGGTTTTGCAGATACCTCGGCGACTGGGGCAACTTTGGTGAGTGACATCCGAAGCGAGTCGACGTCGATGGGAGGGCTGGGAGAGTGCAGTGTGGGATACGATTCAAGTTGGAGGAAGCTTGGGGAGGAAAGACGACGACAGCGCCGTATTCGCCCCGAAATTCGAGGATCGCTTGTCTGACAGAGTTCTCCAACAGGTGGCATGAAGCAGAAGGGTATCATCTCCTACGGCATTGCCCCCAACCGCCAGTACCCCCCTTGCCGGTGCTGCCCACGACGCCTTCTTCAACACCTGGAGGCGCTTCAGCGCACAGGTCCTGTACTGGGCCCCGCCGATGATTGCCGGTTACTACATCGTGAACTGGGCCGTTGAGAGGTACGATTTGCATTTCAACAGCATGGAATACTTGACCCTAACTAGCTGTTAGGAACCACTACCTCAACTCGAAGCAGGGCCGCGCCGAGTTCGGTGGCCAGGAGGAGTAAGGGAGCCATAACGAGGGATACCAGTCAGGAACGAAACCGTGTGAATAAATAGACGCACTTGTACACCACAACAGAGATGGGAGCTGAGGATAGACCCGGTTGCTGCCCGCATGCCGTCCCCTGACTCACACATTTTTCAAGATCATGTCGTGATCCGCTATGTGCCTATCCGGTCTTTGCGTGAAGAATCGAAAATGTTATCATCTGGTTCTTTACGACCGGCCTGAAGCACCTTCAACTAGCCGTTAACAGATCGGACACCTTGCGTTGTCTCCAAAAAAAGTTCGAGCCGGAAACTCCCGGTCCCCGCCAAATTCTCGGGGTTGTCCGCCTCGACGAAGCCGCACGCAAGCCCACTGTGTAATTTGTTGAAAGCCACCGAGTATTGCGTTGGTTGAATCAGTTGTTGGCTTCGAATTCGTCCAACGGATACGACTTCTTCAGACGAGGGTAGGTAGCTGTTCAACCCCTCCCTTGGTAGGCACAACGGAGACACACAAAATGGAACATTTCGATGCCAAGCCCGACGCGGGCTTCGCCCATATTCGTAGCTTTTCAAGGCGATAAATTAAATCTGCAAGCAAAGCAAGTGAAACACAACTCAGTGTGTCGGTTCGTGCTCGGAGAGGGTGGGGGTTCTGTGGATCCGCCCGAAACTGCCCGTCTTCGGGTTGCTCTCGGACTGGCACGTGAAGAAACTCGGCCCTGCGACAGGGGGTCCCTTTTGTTGAGCAGGCCAGGATGACCTGCTGATGAACCTCTCACTAGCGCCGCGTTTTCCCCCAGTAGCGCCATTGCCGGTTTGGCAAACCCCGGAATCCGAGCAACGGGCAGCATAAACCGTTGAAGCAAGGTGAAAAGACCTGCACTGCGACTTGGCTTGCTTTTGTCAAACCGTTTTCCTCGAATTGCCTTCGCTTCGCAGCAGGCGGGCCTCTGAGAGGCAGAAGAAGGTTGGGCTCCAATCTGAAGGGACCGAGGCCGATGACATCGCCCGTAACGAAGTACCCGTCCCATCTGATCTTCAGCACGAACCCCCCGGTCGTCAGTTACCACAATTAGGTCCCTTGCTCCCTCACCATTTTGTCGGTATCATCCTCCACGTCGACCGCACTTTGCACCGAGCGAGCCCGCAAACTGCAAACTCGAATAGGGTACAAACGGCAAGAGCGGTCCCGGTGCACTGAGCGCATAGCGTTTTGATTTTTGGCCACCTGGCCCGCGAACCACGCCATCCATTCAGTCCTGCTGGTTCGTCCAGTCGAGTCCGCCCCTCCCCCCTGGCCCGATCGCACCTCGTCCTTCATGGCCTTCTCGATGTCGACGGCAAGATGAACTCCCTCAACATCATCTCGGCCCGAGTCTCCCCTCCGCCGAGCCCAGGACCGACAAGATCGAACTCGCTCAACGCTCTAGGATTGGGGGTCAGCTCCGACGCCGACGGGCCGCAACAGAACCAAACCGACAGCGCGTTGGGCAACGTCAATGAGAAAGATGGATTGACGACCGAGCCTGACGACTTCCGGCTAGAGAACCCACCAAATAACGACCGGCACCACGAATATGCGATCGACGAAACAACACCCCTAATATCCCAATCAAAGGTCCCCAGCCCGCGGGGCTCGCTGTGGGCGCTCTACCCAAAGCGTATCGTAAACGCCTTTGTGGACTCGATACGGTGGGTGCTGTCGACACTGGCGGCGCCCGGCGTCTATTTGTACGCCTGCTTTTGCGACGAGAACGGGTACTTTGCGCCGCTGAAGCAGCTCGCACGGCTGTTTGGTGTATACGGGGGCGATGCGAAGAGGATGGCGTTGGACTACCACGAAGGGATAGCTGCGTCCGAGAAGCGCAGGCAAGGCACGGGCGGGGCAACCGGCGGAAGCGGGCGAAAAAAAAGTAGAGTATTGCGCGTCGTCGGGTCGAACGGTTCTTCGTCGTCCGGCCTTTCGTCGGAATCTGAGTCCGACCCGGACCGTGAGAAGAAGGGTAGCCGTCGAGGCTCAAGTGGAAGACACCTACGCTCCAAGTCACTCCCGGATTCCGACGAAATCGCGCCGGCACAACGCTCTATAAGAATCAAGCTCCACTCCGACGAAGCCTTGCGGCAGAGGAAGCACCGGAAATCACAGTCGACCAGCGCGCGCGGAAGCGGCGGGTCCGGCGACGCCGTGGACAGCATCTCAGCCCAGCTAAAATCCCCAACCTCGCCCGCCGGTGCCCTAACCAAGTACCCCAAGACGCCGGCGCCTCCGCGACCGTTGATACCCCGCCGGCAACCCTCGTACATCAATAAAAATGCAGAAATGACCGACGTCAGACACCAGAAGACATTGATCCTGGACCTCGACGAGACGTTGATACACAGCCTGTCTAAGGGCGGGCGGATGAGCTCGGGACACATGGTGGAAGTGCGGCTCAACACGACATACCAGAGCGCGGGAGGGCAGGCGGCCGTCGGGCCTCAGCACCCGATTCTGTACTACGTGCACAAGCGGCCGCACTGCGACGAGTTTCTACGGCGTGTCAGCAAGTGGTTTAACCTGGTCGTCTTCACGGCGTCGGTGCAGGAGTACGCCGACCCGGTCATCGACTGGCTCGAGGCCGAGCGCAAGTACTTCTCGGCCCGTTATTATCGCCAACACTGTACCTTTCGCCACGGTGCCTTCATCAAGGACCTCAGCTCGGTCGAACCCGACCTGAGCAAGGTCATGATTCTCGACAATAGCCCGCTGAGCTACATGTTTCACCAAGGTCGGTAGTTTATACCTTCCCTCCACCCCCTCTTCCAAACCCGTGTCTACTACTCATCATACTCACGCCCTTCTTCCCAGACAACGCAATCCCGATACAGGGCTGGATTAGCGACCCGACGGACAGCGACCTAATGTATTTGATACCCTTCCTAGAAGGACTGCAGTACGTGTCTGATGTGCGCGCCCTCCTGGCCCTGCGCGGCGGCGAGGACGGGCAGCACATGGCTTGACGTGCGTGTGGTAGCGGATAGGAAAGCGGGGGGGGGGAACATGGGGCATTATTTGGCATTACTCGGATGGGGGTGGGCACATTTCTTTTTTGGAGATAGGCGGCAGGGGAGGCAAAAGAGTTGAACGTTTACAGAGCGGGCAAGCGAAGGCACAGGCGGAGTGAAGCGGCTCGTTCGTGCTGTGTGGTGTATGTACATACATACCTCGGCTGGGGAGCTTTGTTGTTCTCTCCCTGAGCATCTACAACCTGACCACATCACGGAACGGCGTAGTAACTCTGCCGTCGCCGAGCGGCTTCCTGGTAATTGATCCTCTACACTACTCACTTTTCTGGTTTCACAAGTGTTGGGGAGCGTGGGTGACCGGATTGTCAGTCAGTGATTGCTGTAACAGACGGAAGAATCAAACTGCCGGGCCTGGTAAGATTCTAAGCTGCCACCTGGACCTGTTAGTACTCGTCCAATATCTCGGAGGTGGACGTCCAAACGCTAGAATAACCCTAACCCTTCATCTACAGGCTGATAGGGCCATTGAATTGACCTTTCCGAGACAAGGCAAATCAACCTAATGCAAGGGGCAATTCTCAACCCCTCCACATGATTAATTAAACCTTGCGCGCCTTGGTATTCAACGACAGTCTTCCCCGGGAGTTACAGATGGCGTAGGTCCCTGGATCCAGATCTCTTGGGCCCAGTGTGAAAGGCAGCCGCCAGGGCAGCATTGGCCCGAGACTGAGAATCCCCTCAATTGCGTCAGTAATTGGAACCCCTCTCTCAACCAAGCTTCAAGACCAGCCAAAGTGTGCAGTGGATCTGCCTGACACCCCGGATATTGAAACTGCCGCTTCTGGCCGCCGTTTGCTGCCGCAGTTCGTGCAGGAAAGCGCCGGCGACCCCGTTTAAGCGTTTTGGTGGGGCGGCCAGGCCCGGGTCGAATATGGTGACGTCATAATACAGCTTCTCAAAGGTGGGAGGCCAGGGAAGCTCCGATGCGATGATGTTATGCCCATGGTGCTTCAAGCTCAACCGGACTAACAGGGTGGAGGTCGGCGGTGCCCCTTCCTACGACAGGGCTGGATGTGTGACGCACAAAGGGAAGGAGAGGATGCCAGGGGGTGACACCGGCCCTGCTTCGGTCCTCCCGCTTGTGCTATAAACCAGCTCGCCCTCTAGCCACTCACCTAGCACTTGCCTTTTCTTCATCTCGTACACCACTTGGCCAAACAAACACCATCCAATCTATTCACTCTCCATCTGAAGAGACAGACGAACATTCTCGATTTCAGACTTCCAACTTCAGAACAGATCTCAACCACCCACCATGTCTCTGCACTGTCAGTACCGCCCCTCCTCACATCATCCCGTACCCCTTTCCGTTTCCGGTCCATATCCCGACAACTTCAGCTTCAACATTGGGGCCAATGAGTCAATTGAAATCTCGAGGTCAACATCACTCGAGGCCCGATCTCAGAATTGGATCGCGGATACCCGACCGTGAGAATTGGCCTCCCTCGTTTGGGATATGCCGCCACTCGAGGGTTGCTTGATGTGACCCAATCTGAAGTGCGGGGAATCAATCCAATTCTGAGGTTGAGCTTTGGGAGGTGGTCAACCCAAGAGACAATGGAGCAATCAGCAACACATAACAACAAATGGTTTTCTCCAGGAAGCTAACCGGTTCTCAGATCTCCCCGCCGTCAAGCCGTCGGCCATCGCCCTCGGCACCGTCTTCAACCACGCCGCTGAGCTGGCCGTGCTCACCCCTCTCTTCGGTCAGACATACCAGCGCGCCAAGGCGTCCAACACCAAGGAGGAGTTCCTCCGGTCACGGGAGGCAACGGGCGCCGCCATCGCTTGGGGTACCGCCTTCGTCGGCTCGGGGTTGCAGGCGTACGGTGTGGGTGCCCTCATCAACGCCACGGGCACCCTCAGCTATAAGGGTGCGGCCTACTTGGGCGGCCTGATCTTTGCCGCTACCAGTGCTCCTACCGTACGTTCTTTACCCATTACGGGGATTGGGGGGTTGTCATGAAGGTCGGGGTAACGGCTTTGCTAACATCGGCTACAGTTCATCAGCCAACTATTCGTCGAGAAGCGTGCGCTGGAGCAGGTGGGTGTCAGCGTTCTGGCCAAGCTGTTTGAGACGGTTGGCCTGTCTGTCTTTATGACCTGGTGGGGAACACGCACCAACCCGTTTGAGCAGTGAGTAGTCCAACATCCGTCCCATGAGCTGGCCATGAGATGCTGATAAGACTGCAGCACCGGCGCCGGTGGCACCCCCCTGACCCGGAGCGCGTTCCGGTCCGACTAAACGGAGAGAAGGAAACAGAACGGGGTTGACATTCTTTAATTGCATCGAGCGCACCCAATAGAGTGACCTCGGGAACAGAATGGGTTGTGGTTTCGCGCGTTCTTTGGCTGTAATCGTACTCCGGTGTTAGCATTCAGGAATCTGGAAACTTTGATCACACTTGCCATTTTCTCTGCTTCGTAATTGCGTCCCATTTCTCGTTTCCCGGTTGCAAATACGCTGCTAGCCTAGACCCATAACAAGAGAAACTTTTCATTTTCAATATCTACATCAGAAGCCTTCTGGCTCCCCGGAACCCATGCAAAGTGCCAAACCCTCTTAACGCCATCCATTAGACAAGAGAGCCATAAAAACCAACGGAGCAAAGCCGGCCAACGTGATCAGTCATACAGCCAGCAGGTGATCAACACAGGCAATCCAACTGAGAGTTGCCGTTGCGATGTCCTGGAACCGGTCCATTGGGCGAGACCGGGTCAAGGACGGAAGGAGCCATGGACAGGCTAGCCATGGCAAGCCCACTTGGTGATGGGTGGACTTGCCTTGCTTTTGCCGTGTCAATGCGCCGAGACGAAAGCAGCTTCCCCCTTCGGATCGAACTCAAGCGCTCGCTGCCAGCCGCGCCTTCTCCCGGTCGGCAATCTGGAGCGGGTGGGTGCCCTTGACCCACGGCTGGACTTGGATCTTCCACTGCTTCTCGGCCGTCTTGATCAAGTCCTTCCACGAGTCGAGGTACTCCTCGGCGCTGACCTTGCCGCTGTCGGCGTCCTCCATCTCGGCGTCGGCGTCCTTCTTCTTGCCCTTGTCGCCGCCGCTGCCCGCGGCGGGCTTCTTGCCCTCGGGCTTGAGCATCACCACGCTGGTCGCGCGCTTGGTGCACGCCGCCACGCCCAGGTCGGCCCGCGACCGCACGTACAGGTACGGCACGCCGTGCTCCTCGCACAGCACGGGGAAGTGCATGATGACGTCCATGGGCGAGATGTCGCCCGCGATGATGACCAGCCCGGGCGCCGCCACCTCGCCCGACGCCGCCGTCTTGGGCGGGCACTTCTTGATGGCCTTCTCGCACTCTTTTACGCCGCGGTGGATCGACTTGAGCTTGGCGCCTGCGGGGAAGAGAGTGAGGTTAGCATGGAACCTAGGTACGTTCAATCAATCAACCGCGAGGGATCTGCTGGCTAGCGTACCCTTCTTGATCAGCTTGAAGATCTTCTTGTGCGTCTTGTCGTCGGCGAGCGGCAGCGCGAACGGGACCAGCTCCTCGGCGGGCTTGATGAGGTCCTCGGGGTCGACATCGGCGACCTCGTCGTCCTCGAACGCGGCGGCGGCATCGGCTTGGAGGTGGGCATCGAGGGCGCGGGCGAGCTTGTCTTGCTTCACCTTATCCTTCTTCTTGTCCTTCTTCTCTTTGCGGACGCCGTCGTTGTCGCTGCGCTTCTTGTCCTTCTTCTCCGACTTGTCCTTGCTCTTCTTCTCCTTCTTCAGCTTCTTGTCGTCGACGACCTCGACCCTGTCCGCGGCCGCCATTGTGATGGTTGGTATTCGCGAAAGGGAGATTATGTGTGGGATATCGGAAGTCTAACAGATAAACCACTAATGGCAGGTCCGGTTGGTAAATGTTGGAAGATAGATGCTGGAAATTCGTGCTAAAAACAGTTATCGCTGTCTCTGCTTTCACGCCGAATCGCTCGCTCTCCAGATTTTCTGAGCAGAGTCGCCATGCCAAATTTTGAAGGCCAATTGTATCGCCGCTCCGCTTATCTTAGCGTTGCATTCCTGATCCTGGTGGGCGAGCTCCTCCGGTGTTTAGCCGATCAGGGACAGGAATGTGGGATGTGCGGGGCGTGCATTGAGCCCCACCGTAATTTTCTCGACACGGGAGCTTGAGCATGTCATTGACTCACATTCCATCCCTTCAAGATCCTTTTTTGAGCCAACCTACCACAAACTGCCCGATTTTGGACCACATCCTACCCCCACTATCACCGAGGATTCTCTACAGCATAGAAAATCCTGGACCCGATCCGCGACCTAGATCGCCTATTATCCGTGTTTCCACTCCCAACGCGGGGTCCTTGGAACGCCGAGCTGCCGACAGTTCTGCCCCGCGATCCATCACCAAACAGACAAAGCCATGGCTCCCTCACAAGCGGCCCATGTGCCCACGCTGGACAACTTAATAAAGTCGTTTAACAACCAAACCCTCGAGGCGTCGATTGAATCCCTGATTTTGTAAGCTCGGCTTTTGGCACTACACTGTGCCCAGCAACTAACGTTAAACCACAGTCTCCTGAAGAGGCGCCAGGTCAAGGGCGACGAATGCGCCAAAGCAACCGCACACATCCTCCGACAGGTTGTCGCCAAATCCAAGTGGAACGATGTCGACCAGCTTCTGTCTAGGGTCCAGAGCGCTGGGTCGAGGCTGGCTCGGGCTGCCCCGATAGAGCCTGTCATCGGAAATGTGGTGCGACGTGTCTTGGGCTTGATCCGTGACGAGGCGACCGAGGACAGGAACGCCGACGATTTGGCTAGCGAGGCCGCTTCCGACATCCAGAGCTTGACTCCGAGCACCAACCCGAACGCTCATCCCCCACAGCGGCCCGCCCACGTCCCGGTGCGCCCTTCTCCTTCCGTCATCTCGACAGGCCTGCAGGTCTCCAAGTCCATGTTCAACCTCCTCTCCGTTGCGAACCCCGGCGACTCGCCAATAACAGGGGCATCGACCCCAATGTCACAGGCTCAGCCAGCCAGTGTGCATGCTCTGCGTTCCGAAGTCATGGACGGAATCGAGGAGATCTTGGACGAAATCAACCAGGCCGACGACCAGATTGCAGGGTTCTCGGATATCCAGATCCATCCTGGTGACTACGTGCTGGCCTACCAGCCATCAAGGACCGTCGAGAGGTTCCTTATCAAAGCTGCATCAAAACGGCGTTTTACTGTTATTATCGCCAGCCATGCGTTTTCCGACGGGGCCTCCGAGCCTCCCTACGCCATGCTACGGAAGAAGCTCAACGCGGCTGGAGTAAACACAATCAACCTGGCGAGCAACGGCCTGATGGCGTATATCCCCAGGGTCAACAAGGTCATCTTCAGCGCAAAGGCCGTATACCAGAACGGAGGTCTGCTGGTGGACAGCGGTTCCTGCATTGCTGCCCAGGCAGCGCACGAATACCTCAAGCCTGTCATCGTTCTCTGCCCCGTCTACAAATTCTGCCCCGAGGATCCATCAGACGAGGTGTCGAGGGGCGAGCTAGGCAACCCGTCCAGCTATGTGAGCTACGCAAATGGCCCAGCGGTAGACGCGCTCGAAGTGGAGAATACTGTCACAGACTACATCCCGCCAGAGCTTATTGATGTCTACCTCACCAATCTGTAAGTTTCCCTTCGGGTTTGGCCACTTGTTGATATGGCTGACGTTTGCCAGGGGCCCTCAAACGCGGCATCATCTTGCGAGCATCCTCGCAGACCACTATAAGACGGAGGATATTGGCTTCTCTTTGCAACTTGGCGAGCCATGAGGCTAGCCGGTATTGGCACATTCGAGCCGAGGCCGCCAAGGACGCGACAGCTCTTTCGTGGCCCTAGAAATGCATCGAGATTTGGCATCTGACGACTTACCCGAATGGTCCCCCTGGAACTAACAGCATGCTGGGGAGGTGCATCATTCCCATACCACCCGGCCGCGTAAGCCGGGTGCGGATTGCGTGGGACAAAGCTGCGGGGAACAAGGGGAGAACCCCAACAGCGGGGCGATGTCAGCCAAGACCTCCCACCTCAAAGGCCCAATCGTCGGGTCTTGGCGAATGAGAGGTCGGACTTCTGACGTGGGGCTGATTAGTGAAGCGTTCCTGAGCTTACGCCTCGCCCGAAGCTGAGGGCGCCAGTGACTCTTTTGCGCATCCAATAAACCATATCACCCCACCTATTCCTTCTTTCCATCGCGCCTCTTTGTGTGCAAGTGTCGTGATCCCCAAAGAATTTGACATTTAATCAGCGGGACTCCATCCAAGTGGCAAGCCGGCGACATTCTTCAATCCTGAACCCTTGCTCATCACAAGCTTGGCCCTCTTACACACCAGCATACTCGCTCCATCATGCCCTCGCACCCGGAGGACATCCCTCCCCCGCCTTACACTGAGACAGACATCTTCTCGAGCTCGGGGCGAGACGCGCACCTCGCTGACGACACCTCGCGGTCCACTACATCCACTAACGGGGATGTCATTTATACCCCGCCACTCACACCTCGGAGTTCGTACCAGTCCAACTTCGCTGGTGAACTCGACCATGGAGCAAGCTCGGCTGCCGCTGCCTACTTTGAGACACGCCCGCCTCCCCTGCTGAGCAGCCAACCACACATCGTACACTCAGTCACTGTCCTCGCGGGATCTACCCCGGACAATCTGCCCTATCCGAGCGAGCTCGGGGCCCGGGACGTCCGGCTCGAAGACTGGCTGACCTTCACCAACTACCTGCTACCAAACCACTCAGCAACCACCAACGATCAAATCATCGACCGCAAGCTGCGGGCCGAAGCCATGACGGCCACCAACACCAACCCCGGCAACAACAACGACGACGCCCGCTCGCAGTCCTCGGGCCGGAGCCACGCCGAAGCCCACCTCAACCGCATCCGCTCCCCCGTCGACGCCGACACGGCCGAGCACCGCGAGAACGTCGAGTCCACCGTCCGCGAGTGGAACGATGGCTTCTTCGGCCCCCGCCGCGTCACCATCCGCGTCGACCTCGAGCCCCTCCCATCCTCCTCCCACAACGACCACGGCGACAACCGCGGCATGACCGAACTGCCCCCGCAACCCATCCCCGAAGAAAAGGGCCACCACCAACCCATCCCCGGCGCCTGGGACACCTCCTTCGACCAACCCAACCCAGATAGCAACCCATCCGCAGCACCACCAACCGACCCAGCCCCCCGGCGCGGCCTGACAGGCCTCTTCGCCGCGCGCGCGGACGCCATCGCCGCCGCCAGGAACGGAGCCGGAGCCGGACCCGGCCATGGATCTGGCGGACCGGGTGCCGGCCGCGGTGGCGGGTTCCGTTTCGCGGGCATCAACGTGCAGAACGACCGCGTCAGCATCGGGAATACCTTTGTTGCCGACGGCCGGACGGGCTCGTTGCGTATCGGCGGGATTGTGGCGGATGGGAATGGGATTAGGATTAATGGCCAGCCGATGTTTGGCGCGGCTGGGGGGCAGCAGCAAGCACAGAGTGGGGGGGAGAGGGGAAGGGGGGGGCATGGGCGTGGGCATGGGAATTGGGGGCCGCCTGGGTGGGGGATGGGCGGGCCTAGGGGGGTTGGCGGGTGGGGGGCTTGGGGTGGTGGTGCTGGTGGTGGTGGTGGTCCGGGGGGGTGTGGACCCGATGGTAGGGGTGGTAGTCCGTGGGGGATGCGTGGTGGTGCTGGTGGTGGTGGTGGTTGTGGGAGGGGTGGTCCACGGGGGAGGATGGGGTGGTGGGACGCTGGACCGGGTGCGGGGGGTGGTGAGGGAGAGCAGGTGCGTGGACGGGGTGAGCATCGGGACTCTGGTGAGGGACATCAGTCGCGGGCGAACTCTGCGTCGAGTGCGTCATCGAGGTCGTCGTCTGCCCATTCCGAGTCGTCGGTTGGGTCGCTGCCGGACTATGATGACTTGAAGGATTCGCAGCTGCCGGTCGCGAAGCAGTACCTCCAGGAGTCGCTGCACCGTCCGGACGAGAAGATCACCAAGGAGAAGGTCAAGCACATCAAGGAGCAGATCAAAGCGGCAAAGAAGCCTTCCGGCCCGGCCCCGGTGATCCTTGACAAGACGGCGCTGAGGCGCGAGGTCAAGGACCTCCTCCGCGACTGGAAGCAGCTCAAGAGGCAGCAGAAGCGGGACCGCAAGCAGCTCCAGCGCGAACGGAAGCATCGTCGCCGGCAGGAGAAGCGCGAACAACGCCATACCAAGCGCGAGCTGAAACGCGCCGCCAAAGAGATGAAGCGGGACATGCGGCGCGGCCCCTTCGGGATTCCCCCTGTGCCTCACGGCCCTCACACAGCCCACGCACCCCACGCAGCTCACGCCGCTCACATAGCCCACGCAGCCCAGACGGCAGCTCACACAGTTAGCGCCGCTGCCACAGCTCACGCAGCCCACACGTCCCACGCAGGCCGCATGCCTCCCATGCCTCCCATGCCTCACATGCCACCCATGCCCCCGATGCCTCCCATGCCACCCATGCCCCACCACCCACATCACACACCACCACCACCGCCACCACCACCACCCGGGTTCGACCACCACTCCTTCAACCCCTGGGCCAGGCCAGACACCACCACCAACACCACCACCGCCCGAGCACCCGGCGCCTGGCCGGCAGACGACAACCAAAGCACGGGCGTGCAAGACGAAGGCGTCGCGGGTGGCTACGCGGCGTCGCAGGCGAAATACCAGGCCGCGTGGGAGATGGAGGCCAAGGTGGCGGCCAAGGAGGCCGAGCTGTTGAAGCTGCATGAGCGGATCGCGGAGGATCATTTTGGGGATGGTGGGAGTGGGAGTGGTAACGGTGGGGGGGAGAAGGGGATGGGGAAGATGGAGACGGAGGCGTTGGCGGTGGAGAGGGAGATTGACGAGCTGGCGAGGGTGATGGAGAGGTTGAGGACGGAGGCGGACGAGGAGTTTGCGAGGGAGTTGGCTGAGGAGGAGGAGAGGGCTGTTAGGCGGTAGGTGGATGGATGGGGGTTTGATCGGAGGTTTGAGGGGTTGTATACCGAGAATACATATGTATAGCGTGCGTTAGTCGACTAGCGTAATCCCGTCTCATTTCGAGTTTACTTATAACAAAAACACCTTGCTATGCGCCCTACATTGATGGCGGCCTGGTCTCCTATAGCCCGAAATATGCCAACAACAAACCGACTTTTATTTCCTCAACGCCGTGCAACCATCTAGTGTTTACTCTCGTCCTTCTCTATCAGCTCGCCTACACCAAGGCCCCGCCCAACCTTGACTTTGATCTTCTGGTCGGCCTTACTCCCCTTGGCCGGGTCCCTTCCCACATCGCCCACGGCCTCACCCTCGTCCACATCCTCGCCCTCGCCCTCCTCCCCCTCCTTGAGAGCCTTCTTCTTCTTGTCCTTGCCCTCGTCCTCCTCCTCGCGGAGCTGCTCGCGGATGAAGTCGAGCTCCAGCTTCATGCAGAAAGCGTCCTCGCCGTCGGCGTAGTATTTGCTCTCCGTCTTTTCCGTCTTGAACCCGAGCGTGTCGCGGTACAGGTGGATGGCGGCCTTGTTGGACACGCGCACGTGCAGGGACACGTAGTGCCCGCCGAAGGTCTCGACCATGGCTTGTTCTGTTGTCCGCCCCCCCCCTCGTGCATTAGCATCCAACCGGACAGAAGAAGAAAGCACCAAAGCAAGGTAACACAGCAGGGGAGAGAGCGGGGGGTTTCTTACGGCTCTGGCGCATCAGCTTCTCGGCGATGCCCAGGCGGCGGTGGGTGCGCATCACGGACAGCGACGTGATGTGGCCGTGCTGCACGCCGTCGGCCGGCTCCTCCTCCATCTTGGCGAGCACATAGCCGACGATCTTGGGGTAGTCGTAGGGGGTCTTGGGCGGGCGCGACACGTCGACGGCGACGTACGACAGCTGCGGCCACGAGAGGGCGTGGTACAGGTAGTACTTGAGGAAGTAGTTCTCGGGCAGGTTCTCGAGGTTGGCGTGCTGGATCAGCGGGATGTCGGACGACCGGAGGAGGCGGATATCCATCGTGTCGGAATTCGAGCGGAGAGAAGGACGAGGAGGGGGTCGGGGGTTCGGGGGCCGGTGGTCGGTGGTCGATGGAGACAAGGCTGTGATGCTGCGTCCCTGCGGTGCTGCGTGCTGAGGTTCGGGTTGAATGCTGAGGGCCGAGCTGCTGTGGGGACGCGTGAAATTCAACGGGCTGGCTGGTGGGGGTCCCTGTATCTTAGCCGCGCAAATGGCGGGGCAGCTCGCCGCCGTCTTAACCGACATCACCGGGAGGTGCGGGGCATTCTTCTTTTTCCCCAACTCGCACGATGAGGAGGCCACTTACACCGGCGGGGCTACTGTGTCCACCTGTTATATTGTGCATATTGTATAATTAGGGACCTCCGTTTCAATTTGACATGCTATTAACTCTGCCTGTTCCTGTGTCTTGACCATACGCTCCTCCATTTCTCACCGTGCTAGGTCGTCTCGTTCCTTCTAGTAGACTCGACCTCGAAATTGAAAGCCAACGGGAACAATAGGAACAATAGGGACAGTAGGATATACTAGCACAATGGCGAGATCTCTGGAAGGAAAGCTCGGTATTGTGACCGGTGGATCTCGAGGTTGGTTTCCCTCCCCATCTACATCTACGAGACTAAACCTGACTAACTAAACCACACCAGGCATCGGTGCCGCCATCGCCGAGAACCTCGCCTCGAAGGGCTGCAATGTGGTGATCAACTACACCTCGGCCTCCTCGACCGAGCTCGCAGCCTCCCTCGCCGCCCAGCTCTCCTCAGCCCACAACGTCCGCGTGGTACCCGTCCAAGCCGACGTCGGCACGCCCGCAGGTGCCGCCACCCTCATCTCGGCGGCGAAGGAGAGCTTCGCCGGCGCCGACTCCCGCTTCCAGATCGACATCCTCATCAACAACGCCGGCATCGCCATCAACGGCACCATCTCGCAGGTGAAGGTGGAGGACTTCGAGGCGAGCTACCGGGTCAACGTGCTGGGCCCGCTGCTGGTGGTGCAGGCGGCGCAGCCGTACCTGCCGACGGACCGGTCGGGCCGCATCATCAACCTCAGCTCGGTGTCGTCGTCGACCGGGTTCGTGACGCAGTCGGTCTACGGCGGCACCAAGGCGGCGGTCGAGGCCATGACGCGCTCGTGGGCGCGCGAGCTGGCCGCCAACGCCACCGTCAACTCGGTCAACCCGGGCCCCGTCGAGGGCCCCATGTACGCGGCCAACCCGCCCGAGTTCATGGAGGGCATCGCCGGCTGGGTGCTGCACACGCCGCTGATGAAGGCGCGGGAGGGCATTGACAGCCCCGAGGTGGTCAAGGACGCGAAGGAGAGCGGCGGCCGGCCTGCTTACACCAAGGAGGTGGCCGGTATCGTGGGCATGCTGTGCGGTGAGGAGGCCGGGTGGTGTACCGGGCAGGTGGTGAGCGCCAATGGCGGGATGATTATGCAGTAGACGGGATATTCATAGAGTACCTTACCTAGATTAGAAGGACTGGGTTTTTCTCTTGCTAGTTTCATAGAGCGCCGCTTAGCCGGGCTTCTCTCAGTCGGACAACCCTTGCTGGGCAACGGTTGCCATTAGAAATCCGACTTGTCAAACCACCGTTCATCCCAATGCCTCGCTACTGTACTTCGGTACCTAGCCCTGCCACTACCGAACGCGTGGAGGAGAGCCCGCCTGTTCCGCCATCGCCGGGGTGCGGGGATCCTGAATTTTAGCCCCGCGTTGCAGCGCCGACCCCGCTATAGTCGGGCAATCTTCAACGCGCGTTCACCCCGCGGTCCCTCACCGTGCTGACCATACATTCACCGCTTAGCATTACCGCTCACTTAACTCTTACCATCTCACACACTCTCTCGCTCTCTCACTACCACTATCTCAAACCCACCCACTCACCCACTGAAAAAGAAACCCTTAAAAGAAGCAGAACAACCACCACCACCACACACACACACGCACACACACACACACACACACACACGCACACACACACGCACAAAACTCACCATGACAACCACCGCCCAGCAACCCTTAGGGTCGGACGACCCCTTCGACACCCTCCTCACCCTCGAAGACCAGTTCTACACCGAAGGGTACGACCAGGGCATGGCCGACGGCCTGGTGGCGGGGCGGGCCGAGGGCCGGCAGCTAGGGCTGGAGCGCGGGTTCGTCAAGTTCGCCGAGAGCGGCCGGCTGCAGGGGCGGGCGATCGTGTGGGCGAGTCGGGCGGGGATGGGGATGGGGCGGGAGGGGGGGAAGGGGCAAGCAAAGGGTGGTGTTGGTGTTGCTGGGGAAGGGGGGGATTTGGGGGTGGGGTTGGGGTCGGGTTCTGGGTTGAGGGAAGGAGGGGAAGGGGAAGGGGACGGGCAAGGGCGAGAGGATGGTGTTCAACACAATGGGGACGCCACAGAGGTCGCTCGCGTGCTCCCTCCGTTACCGGACAACCCCCGCCTGGCGAAGCACATCACCACGCTGTATGCGCTGGCCGAGACGGAGAGCCTGTCGACCGAGAACAACGACGAGGCGGTCGACGACTTTGACGATAGGCTACGGCGGGCACAGGGGCGGTTCAAGGTCATCGAGCGGATGGTGGGGGAGGGGGACAGCGGGAGACCGAAGGGGGACGGGCAGGGGGACGATCCTGGGGCTGGGCCTGGCAAGCGGGAGGGGGTGCCGGATGTTTGAGGGGGGTCGGCGAGCGGTGTTTGTAAGTGTCTGGGTTGGTTATATATGTCAGGATGTAGCTTCAAGACAACACTGGAGCAGGGCTTCCAATCGGCTCGAGTTGGAGTAATCAGGCACAAATAGCACCATAAAACAACGGCACATCAACTCCAATGCACGTCTCTATTCTACCCCTGCCGCGTTATATACAACCCTCTACCACCCCCCCGCCATCTTCACTCTCGCCCAACCCTCATACGAACGACCTGCACGGGTAGCTGTCTCTCGTTAGCCTCACATGTCACTCACTCAGCCACGACCAACGAGGCGGAAACTCACGTATCGGGGTACGACTGCTCCGTCTCCAGGTTGAACTTGTGCACATCCCACTCCCCCGACGCAAGGCTCTGGCCGCTCGGCAGCGGCGGCAGGCCGCCCGTCAGCTCGAGCACGCGCTTGGCCGCCTCGACGCCGCTGCTCTCCAGGTAGCCAGCGACACCGGTCTCCTTGCCGGACGCCTCGGCGGCGACGAGGGCCTTGTCGCCGGCCTCGCCGACGAGGTCGACGCGGGGCGCGGCGGCGCTGCCGACGGTGAGCAGGGCGACCTGCTGGGCCTGGCCGACGACGCTGGGGCGCGGGTAGGCGCGGCGGGCGTCGCGCTTCCAGTACGGGTTGTCGGCGATGTCGCCCGCGGGCAGCGTCACCGGGTCGTCGTACTGCTTCGGGTCGTTGCTGCCCGGCGCCGGGAACCGGTTGTACGGGTTCAGCGGCACGCCGTTGGACCGGTTCGGGTCGATGGCCGTCGCCCGCCGGATGCGCTCCCAGATGCCGGTCGATTGGACGGTGTATTTCTGGGAGGAGGGGTTAGAGGTGTTAGAACACCATGACCAACTTCGAGAGAGATAGGTGGGATTCTCGGAATGGGAATCGCTCGGGGGGTATGGCGAGGGATAACTATCGCTTCCGTGGTTTTTGCCGGTTGGTTGGCTGGGGCTGGTGAACTCACCTTTGTGATGCTGACGGCGGTTTCGCCGGCAACCTTAGCTGCCGCTTTGGACGCCATGGTGGCAGCAGTAGCGAATGTCCGGACGAGATTCAAGGTCGAGTTGCTCGATCCGCTTGTCAATGTGAGCGAGGCCCGGGCGTTGGTGGGACTTGGCTTCAAAGCTCCCAGGGCCTCAAGGGCCGATGTTCAGCCGCCGGCTGATGAACGCATTGGCCACTCGGATGAAGAAGCAGCGGCCCAGACCAAACCGGGGTGGCATGGACCACATCCCCTGGAGAAGACGGAAGCTCTTTTTTGTTCTTTCCGAAGAAGAGAAACCGGTCTGACAATGACCGAAATTACACCATCTCACATGACTGCAGACTCTTCATTTCATTCAACGATGGCTTGGTTGCCGGGCTGCGGAAGACGATCGAGGTGGAACTGACTAACTACGGAGTACACAGTACCTACTGTGTAGGTAGTTATGTAGTGACACAGTCCTTTGCACCGCTCAACGCGCAACGGATGGATGGAAACTTGATAATGGATGGTGGAGCGGAGGGAGGGAAGGCTTGTTTGCCTTGGGTTTTAACTCGCCGTCTGCGGTTGCGACCAAAATCCCCCAACTCCCGCACCTCCCGCCTCCTCCATTTTGTTTGGGGATACACAACTGCGGGCGAGGCTGCCGGGCTGCCCCAGGTCACCCGTATCTGGCAGGCCCTGTTACGGCAACTTCCCAGGTTCCCACGGACCCTTTTTTGGCTCCTGCTGCTTGTGCTCTGCCGCAGCGGAGCTCCATCGCAACCGAACCCCCCCTCCCCTGGCCTGGCCTCCTCTGGGGCCGTCCCCTTCTCTGATTGGTCAGCGCCTGCGCAACCAGCTCAACGTCCTGTTTACCACCCCAAGCTCCCGACTTCATCTTTTTCCATCTCTCTTTTCATTCTTGCCGTCAGCTTTCCACTTTCATCATATCGTGGTCGCAACATATTGGCGACCCTCTTCCCGCAGTATTTCATCATCCATTGAGCACCCTCTTTCCCTCCTGTAAGCTGTAAGCCGCTGCGCGCGTAAGCTCTTCATCGCCCATCATGCCCATGGAACTGCGCAAGCGCAAGGAGGCTCCCGCGCCTCCTCCGGCCCCGGCGCGCAAGAAGACCACCAAGACGGCAAAGACGGCCAACACGGCCACCAAGGTTAAGGAAGCCGTCAAAGAAAAGGTCGCCGCCGTCGTTGCCAGCACCAATGGCTCTTCCGACTCTGCCAAGCCTGCCGTCGGCGACACCATCAACCTTGACAGCTTCGGCGGCGAGATCGAGACCAACGAGGGCACCAAGACCACCCTCAAGGCGCTGGTCGATGAGAGCAAGGCCGGTGTGGCCATCTTCACCTACCCCAAGGCCTCCACTCCAGGCTGTAAGCCAACCCATCCCCCATCCCCAGAATATGGCATCCCCCCCCTTCCCACTCTCCCCAAACACCCCTATAGTCATACACATTCCCCCGTAAAACCACAATAAACAATCCAAAAAAAACACCCAACCTAACCCACCCCCCCCCTTTCACTAGGCACCAAACAAGCGTGCCTCTTCCGCGACGCCTACGCCGAGCTGAGCACGGCCTCGGGGCTCGCGCTGTACGGCCTCTCGGCCGACTCGCCCAAGGCCAACACCACCTTCCGCACCAAGCAGCGCCTGCCCTACCCGCTGCTGTGCGACCCGGGCGCGACGCTGATCGCCGCCGTCGGCCTGCAGAAGGCGCCCCGCGGCACCGCCCGCGGCGTCTTTGTCGTGGATAAGGCGGGGAAGGTGCTTGCCGCGCAGACGGGCGGGCCGGATAAGACGGTGGATGTGGTGAGGGAGGTGGTGGAGGGTGTGGTGGGGGAGGATGGTGGTGCTGGTGGTGAGGGGAAGGAGGGGGATGGTGTGTCGAAGGCTGAGGTGGAGGGGGAGACGAAGTCGGAGTTGGAGGCGAAGGAGGCGAATGGGAATGGTGAGGCTAAGGGTGAGGAGAAGGAGGACGAGAAGGAGAATGGGAAGGACGAGGCGGAGGAGGAGGCGGAGGAGGAGGCTAATGGGGAGGGAGATAAGAAGGAGGAGTAAAACGAGGGGGGGGGGGAGGGGGTGACGGTGAAAGGATACCTAGGCAACGAGGGTGCGCACTTGGGATTTCCTTGCTCAGATGGTTGTTTTCTGTGCTCTCTGTTGGATGGTTTGGGTCGAAAAATGGCAACTAGGCAATGTCTGTATATAATATCTCTTTGAAGTTTCCTTTTTTTCTGATAGCAATGGGAACTGGGTATCTTTCTGCCTTTGACTGAACACCCTCGAGACATCTCGACCTCTCCCATCGTGTGAAGAACCCGGTTTGTATCCATCGCGTTACCGGCGCCTCTCATCGTCATGTTGTTGCTGTGGTGGGTGCTGGTGCTGGTGATGGTGATCTCTCTGTGTCCGGTATATCAGAATACCATCAGAGCCAGCAAGCCAATAAATAAATAATAAAAGAGAAATAAATAAATAACGGAGAACAACAATATGCGACACAACAAACAGCGAAGCTGTCCATTCCAGCAAACAGCAAAACAACCGACTCACCGCATTTCGCCTTGCCGCGCGAATTGACGACCGCGTGTAGCTAGAGCCAATCAATCAGCAAACTTCTCATAATATCCAGATTCGCCCCAAGGGAGAGCATTCTTCTTACAAAAACAACAGACCAGCCATGGTGAAGGCGGCCACCGGCGCCATGATCGTCTACATGAAGTCAGTGTTGTGCATGTGCAGAATCGGTGGGATTGGATAATTGGAGGTAAATACCTTGGGATTAATGTTACGCGACATGTCTCATTCTTTGCCGGTTGGTAGGCGCCAACTCAGTATATAGTGGTTGGCGCAATTTTAAGTGAGGTGAGGTCCTGGTGTTTGGGTTCGGAATTGGTGTTGGCCAAAAGCTTTTCAGGGGTTTCGGGAGAGGGCCCGGTAAACTGGAGGCTTCGAAACACTCAACTTGCAACACAAAGAGACGTTCAACTCGATTTTTACCATGCCAGTGTTGTGTTTAACTGTTTAATTAAGGATTGACAAATAAATCATTTGCCAATGATTAAGTAGGGCAATACTGTCAGGTACATCCACACTCACATTTGCAATACACTACAGACTGGTGAATATATCTCATAATCCCCTCCCCTCCCCTCCGGTCTATATATGCATATATGTACAAGTACACTACCCAGAGCAAAGCCATCCCAAGCCCTTTCCACCCTACCAGCCCCAAGGGTATGTGGTATGTATGCATGCCCCCCAACACAGCACAGCACAGCACACCATGGTGCGGTGTTGTGCTGTGTGTACAAACACAAAGCAAAAGCCCAAAATGAAAGCGCTCCCTTGAAAGGAATCAGCCGCCCGGTTCCCAGTGCCCCTTAATCGGAGATGCCTGTCCGTATGTCTGTCTGCCTGCCCGCTCAGAAAAAAAGGTGGAAGAAAAAAGAAAGAGGCCACTTCCTGTGGTGAATAAGAGAACGAATACCGCTTGCTGCTTGCTGAATTGGTTGCTAAAGACAACTGTCCGCCCGCCCTGGTCTATTGTTGCATCGCACTTCTGAATAGGGGTATCGTATCGTGTCAAGAGAACTGTCATTCCCGACCGTTGTCGTCGAGACGGGGAATGGTGAATGGATGGAGATAGGAGGGTTGGGCCATTGCACGAGAGTGTGCTGAGGGTGACGCCCAGGAGGAACGGTAAAAGTCGATAAGGTGATTCGCATCGACGTCTTTAGAAGAAAGGTGGCTGTTCAGAATTTGAAGAGTGTCCCTTCCCAGCTCATGCTCCGGGAAACCCCCCCTTCAGCAACTCAAGCTTCTCCCTCCCGTCCAGTCGCACATGGTTGAGGCGGCGCATCACGTACTCATACGTGAGCATGGTGACGGTAGCAGCCGGCACAGCACGCATCATGTTGGTACCCAGCCCAGCGTAGAATGCCCGCCAACCCTCCTCTCGGAGCATTGTCCGGACCGTCGAGACGATGCCCCTGTACTTGGGCCCGGCCTGTGGTTGCTGGGATGCTCCATTAACGCCCGGCTGCACGCCTCCCATGCCCTCCATGTATTCGTGTCCTGGGATTGGCCGCCGTTGGGTTTGCAACCTTGTGCGGATGACCTCGTGTGGATATGTAGCGCTGCTGGCGAGGATCTTGGACATGATCGAGGCCGAGAGGATGCCGAACCAGTGCGCCTTGTCGTCTTCGCCTGCGACGGGCGCTGCGCCCATGCCCCGGCCGGTGAACTTCACCTTGAGGTACTCGTATGCAGGAAACTGGACGGCGACGTGGGTGAGCCCGAGAAGAGCCGGCGTAAGGCCAGAGTAAAACGATAGGATGCCCTCGGTCGTGTACATCTTCCGGGCGGCATCCAATGTCGACCTGTAGTGCCATGGCTGATGTAGTGTCGGTCGTGATGTCGGCGTATTGGCTCCTTTGGGGAAGAGCGAGAACTGTGTCCTGTCGTGGCCGCCCGATTGTGACATCAAACGGGTCTTGATAACCCAGATTGGGTTCGTGACTATGGTGCTGCTGCCCCCAGCCACGATGGACGACCAGAAGTTGACGACAAAGCTGTTTTCTGCAGAACCCAGTTAGCACCAGGACCGATGTTTCCACCCACGGGCAAGGAACCTACTGTGATAGTCGCCCAAAAAGAGCTTCGTCTTGTTGTAGACGGTGAACCATACCGCCCATGTCGGTAGATATCCCATTATGATGGGGCCCAGCCCTCTGTACAAGCCCCTGAGTCCTTCCTGGTTCCATATCACACTTGCTGTCCCGAATAAGCCCTTGTAGATCCTGGGGTGCCCTGACCCGTGTGTTGAAAACCCGCCCTGTGCCTGCAACTTGGTCTTGATGACGTCGAGCGGGCAGGTGACGATCCCTGATGTGAAGCCGCCGATTGCGCCCGACAACGCATTGAACTGGGAATCCGAGGCGTTGACAGCCCATCGCTCCTTGAGGGTGAGCTGAACTGGGCCCGGCATCGCTTCACCAGCTGCTAAGCCTGCCAGACCTGTCCCCTCCGGTGATGAATCCGCCGCCCTAGACTGCGATACCTGGGAGCCAGGCAGTGCTACCCCATATTCTGCCCCCGATGTAGGCGCAGATTGTCCGTCGGGAGATAGGTGTTCGTTGTGAGACATGCCGCCCTGGAGAAGCGGCAGGATCGCAGTCGTCGGTGGGTGGTTTGCAAACGCTCCTTCGATTTCGGTTTTTTTTGGTAAGGGTCGGGGGGGGGTTCAACGGGGTACGGAGTAGGCGTCTCGGTTTAGTGCACAAGCCGAGGTGATATCATTGAGCGGCTGTGACCAGTGTGACGGGATTCTTTGCCTGCGATTCCCTCTAATGCCGATGTGCGGGGAAGGCGCCCGCGCAGGCAGGGGATCGTGACTTCTAGCGATTGTCACTTCTCATGGACTCAGGTGCGGGGTGCACGGGGTGGTTTATGGGATATCCAAGTTCGGCTTGGAAGATCTGGGCGAGCGAGTGCGCCCGATTGCTGGGAAACTGGGTTGAGAGTTTCGGAGGGCAATGGGTGGGACTTTGAAAGGGAAATGCGCTTGGCGGGTGCGGGTGGACCGGGGGGATGGATTGCACAATCGGACGCTGCGGAAAGCCGGTGAGCGCCGATGATGGGGGATGGGCGGACTATCCCCGGCTCGAGGATTGAGTTGTTCGCTGGAGTTGGCGGTCTGCCAACAATGGGTCTCGCTATTGGGTCTCGTTTATGGTCCGATTCGGAGGTTGATTCATTCGTGTCATGCAACAATTGCGCTGCGCAGTGAGCACGAGGGCAGTTGATGGTTGGGAAGTCGGGATACCGAGGTGCTGCGGCGGGCCGTTCGGGCTGCAGTGTCTGAAACAGGAATGCGAATCTTTTGGAGTGTAAGAGCGTGGATGCAACCGTCTTTCGCTCCGCAATGCGCTACGTCAACCACCTTCTCGAGGTATTCTTAGAATCATTGGGTGAAATTGCCTGTCAGTGCTGTTCCGTGTACAAGTAACTTAAATTGCAAACTTGAAGCATGCGGCGCTTTAAGCTTGTAGACCCACGTGAGCAGTGCTTTTTGATGTGAACGTTATCAACAAAAAGAGCGAGAATTCTTGTTCCCGCTGACCCATTACCTCATCGCGTTGAGTGGGTGTTGGGATTTGGGGTTGTCACGTTGTGTATGTAAGATACGTAAGCTCCCTTACGTTACACCAAGAGTTCCGGCGTATTGTTACCATCCCGAAGATTCAGGCACCAAACCAGGCAGGAACGGTAATTCCCGGGAACAGCTTCGAAGCGCAGGTCCACGGGTCTGATTTCGCGGCAATTTGAATTCGAGAAGCTCAACACGCCCCCCGCGAACAACCCACAACCGCCGCCATGTCTGTCGCGCCGTCCTTGTACAATGCCATCTCCAAGCGGCCTTGGCTTGCGAACATGCTCAAGCCGCTCGCCGGCTGGTACTCCAACGCCGCTGGCTACCGTCAAATGGGTCTGAGGTGCGTTGGACAGCCCGTTGCCATTCTTTGCTCGCCCACCACCACTCTCCCCCCACACACCACATCACACCACCACACACCACATCACACCACACCAATTGCTCTCCCCTCAACCTTACATTGGCAGCCACAGGCCAAACAACCTAACTAACCCCCCTCCCCCAACCAAACAGGGCCGACGACCTGCTCGTCGAAGAGGACGAGGCCGTGCTCAAGGCGCTGGGCCGGCTGTCGCCCAAGGAGAGCTACGACCGCATCTACCGGATCCGGCGGGCGACGCAGCTCAGCCTGCAGCAGAAGATCCTGCCCAAGCACGAGTGGACCAAGCCCGAGGAGGACGTCCCCTACCTGTCGCCCATCCTCGAACAGGTCTACGCCGAGTCCAAGGAGAAGCACGCCCTCGACACCCTGACCGTTCTCAAGAAGCACTAGAGGCAAGGTGGGGGTGGGTAGCGATGGTTGGTGGGAACGGGAGGAGGTCGTGAGATGGCGAGGTGCGCGCTTGGGTTGGGGAGTGAGGTTCGGTCGGATGAGAACTGTACTTTAGGGGAGGGGGGGTCATGCCGCGAAGGGCGCTACGGGAGGCCCCGGTGAGGGAAAAATAGAGCTGCCGCCGTTATTCGAGAGGACGAGCTGGCATGTATGTGTATAACCTCTGGTTTGACCCGTCAATCAGACTCGCCCACCCAATTCACTTTGTGCTCTCACCATTTGGCTGGAAGAGGATTGACTCGACGAGCCCATATCGCCGCTTCAACACAAAGCTTCTGGCTGAGTTCAAGCTCGAGTATTTGTGACATGTAAAACCCCGCCGTATTTACGGCGTGTTCTGGTTTTGCTCTTCACATATTTTTTCTCTCTAACACTCAGCCGGGGCCTACTAGATATAAAGTCACAATAATATGATTACCCTACTCTTCCGGCCGCCAGCCAAAATAGTTGTTTGTATTGCAAGAACCCCATTCACGCCAAAGAAAACTGCGCCGACGAGGAGAGAGGTGATCGACCCCAAAAGACTCAACCAAGCGCAGTGAGACAGACTCCTAACCTCATCCAACCATCCATCCGTAACAGCAGCAAGCTGCTGCCCCAGTGACCGCCTAAAAACAGCTACCGCCAATTTTCCTACGTTTGTATGTAGCATTGAACTTTCCAAATTCAAACCCCTATCATGCGCAAGCCTGCCCAACACCCATACTACCCAGCAGTTGCATTAATGAGGCACCGCCTCGGTTCCCGTTCTGAAGTGCCCGCGACACGGTTAAGAAGATGAAAATGAAGCCAACCCGGAGGAGACCTCGAGAGGTCGGCTCGGTGTTGTCGAGTGTTATGCCACATCATGCTCGTCACTTCGAAGGAGAATGAAACAGAGCGAAGAAGATGCAAACAGTGAAGAGAATAAACAAAATCACGTCTTAACCGCCTAACGCCTGACCCCCCAAGTTGGTGAGGTTCTGTTTCGAGATGCGTCATGGGCTGTCGTACAATAAACCAGGGAAATATCGCTTCCTCTGGGGACCGACATCACGGCGGGTTGGTTTCCGTGGGCCGGGTCGGCGAAGGAGTGTGGTCGGCCTATACGTTTCCGCCCTTCTCATCGGTGTCGATATGCCAGACGACGTAGTTGGGCAGGCCGTAAACGCCATACCCAGCGCGCTTGGCCATCTTCGCAAAGCCTTCTGTTTCGGCCTGGTTCTCGAAAGCGTAGCACGGAAAGTTGATCCCTGTATCGTGTCAGCACAGTGGTGACCGCCTTGAAAACATTCAACACGTACCTGATCTGTGCACGTCGGCCTTGACGATGATGTTGACGCCGCCGACGCCGTCCAACTCAATCTCCTGGTCCTTGTTGTCCCGCCAGTCGCCCATCCTGGCCATGTACGTCCTCCCGGTGTCGAACTCTTTGTAGCCTGAAGCAAGGTTAGTTTACTTGGCCCGTGGAGCGGCGCACTTATCGTAGACACGTACCCTCAACAAGGATAACATCCTTTTCCAGGCTCGCAGCTAGCTTGCGAGCCTTGTCGGACTCGACCCACGAGTTGTAGTCGACTGCACCAATGGTTAGCTGAAGGTCGAGCACGGAACATAAATGCTGAACCCACATCTGCCTTCAATGTCGCGGCCGTCCTGATAGCGGTGGAACCAGATATCTGCATGTGGTCAGTCCATATGTCAAACAAAGCCTTTGACGGTTGTGTGTCCATACTGGGAACGAGAACATCCCGGTCATGGGCAATGAAGTCCTCGATGATCTTCTCGGGGCTGTCGACAATATCCGCATCTCTCCAATACACCCACGAATGCTCAGGCTTGAGCGCCGTGGAGAGGAGGTAGTTTCGGGCCTTGCCCAAGGCTTTGCGCCGTGGCGCTTGGGCCTTGAAGCCGTGGCGGTCCTCAACATCCTGGCTCAGCGTGAAGCCAAAATCCTTTTGTACCACCATTGCGCTCCTGAATGGGACGCTGTCTGGGCGCTTCTGGATCCGGTCGAGCTCCGCGGCGAGCACGGCCAGAGTGTCGTCGGTGGTATCGCTGACGAGGAAAGCGAGGTCGATGAGGTGGTGGGGGTAGCTCAGCTTGGCGACAAGTTCAAAGTATTTAGAGAGGTACCGAGAGGCATCCTTGAGCGGCGTGAGGATGAGGACTCGCTCGTTGTTTTGCACGGCCTTTGTCGTGGACTTGATGGGGTTCAGGTCGACATGCTGGATGGTGGACGAGTTGATCTCGAGCGGGGCATGGTGGTTGAAGATGACGGGGGTACTGAGGTGGGCGGTCCACGACGCCTGTTCGTTCGGCGTCATCTCCATGGGTGGTTTTGAAGGTCCCCAGCAGTAGAACCTGTTGAGTGGGGTGGGGTGTTAGTGATATGCCATGGGAAACCGGCACCTGGGGAGGGTATTGGGGACCGGGGAGGTCGGACCTTTGCATATCAGGCGCAGAGCTTCTGATGCCTCGCCATAGCAAGACTATTATGCCGGCGAGGGCGACGAGAAGCAGGAACCGCGACCTGGTGAACAGCACCCATATCGCCCTCGTTGGTGGTAGACTTGATCTCGCAGCTTTCCAGCTGACGCCGCCCTTAGGAAGCAGCATTATTAACGCTTATAGTCGCCCTCAGCGACAGCAAGGGCATTAATGGCTCGGCTGGTCGGTTTCAGGGCCGCCGTTGCCGTGTGTCCCCTTGGTGTTGTCTCACGACACGAACCAATCCAACCTAGATTCGAGAAGAGGACCGCGGGGGTTATCGCAGCTCAGAAGGTGGCCAGATTTAGTGCGACACTAGTTAGGCGACGAATGGCATGGAAGGCCTCGAGTGCGAAGTATTCGATGCGATGCGACGTCCAAACTGCCAAAGTATCGTCTTTCGTTTCGCCGGGCGCGAGACTGAGGTGTCGTGGCGGCTTGGGTTCGTCTGCGTTCGTTGAAGCCGCATGCGTAAGCCCGGCTGCCGTGAAGAGTCGTCGAGGGAATGTTGCGCGAACTGGTTCCAGGCCTTGTCGACAGGAACCATCCAATGCCCGCACCCGCCTGTCTCGGTAGGGGAAGCGCCGGGATTAGGGGCCTTTGGTCCACTTTTGGTCTGGGCCAAGCCACTTCCGCCATCCATCCATTGCAGAATCTCTGGCCCCCAGGTGACAGTTTTGCCTCGACCTCGCGAACAGAGCGGTCTTTTTTGAAGATTGGAGACAGTGCCTTCAATCGACGAAGGTCCCGTGTTAATTAATCTGTACACAAGCCAGTGGGTTTTGGTAATGATAAGTAGTTTTTTTCTTCTTCTTTACATGCGTTAAGCCTGGAGTCTGATCCTTAAGCTCCACGAACCCTTTCCACCCCGCAGTTCAGTCAAGTCCCCTCCGCCGCGCCGTGGGAGCGACCTGACTCTGGCGGCAAAGATTGCGGGAGCAGTAACGGGGCCAAGCCGCTATCTCGTTCGATACGAGCTTCCTCCCGCTTTTTTGATGGTATTCTGAGATCTTGAGCATCTCGAGCATCTCAAAGAAGCTCCTAGACTCGAGTCCCGCCCGTCTCTGCGAGCCTGCAAGGATGGCTCAAACAATTCGCGGGCCCGAGATTTCCTTCCAAGCATCCGTCGATCACTTGGTCTGCACTGCCATCTTCCTGCATCAGCACCAAGTGTAGGCTACAGGCTATTTCGAGACCGTTGCTTCGGAAATAGTTGTTAATTTCATGTCCCTCATCAGCATCAGAGCAGACCTAGAATCTTATCGAAACCACGATTCCCACCATCGAGGTCTGGACCCTCGCATTTGAAGTCTTGGTGGACCCGAATGAACGCGCTCAGGCACGAACCTTCTTGGCTTCCAGGCAATTGTTTCCAGAAGCCCGCCTTGGCATGAGACACACCGGGGCTCCCGTCCCGCATCCGGAGGAGCAGCACGCAACCCCAATTGCGGTTTGGCGGCCCCGGGTGCCACGTGAGCAGGCGCGGGGAACGTGATGACATCTCGAAGGGCGCGCGTCTCACGGCAGCAGTGGAAGGATAAAGGGAACTCTCCGAAGATTAGGTAAGATAGGGAGGGTCTTCTCTCCGGTTTATTGCGACGGAAACAAAAACAAAAACAAAAACATTACCGCGCCCACACACTGGACACTCACTCACATCTTCACCTCATTGATTGTCATCGCCCTTGAATAACCAAGTTCGGACTTGCCTCGTAACCCCGCCATTACTCCCTCGGACGTTCGTTTTAGGCCCTCATCTCCCAATCAAGAAGTCTGACTTTCGACCTCCCAACTTGCCTCAAGATCCTGCAGTTACCATTCCTGCGTTTTCCTTTCGAGCGAGAAACCGAGAACAAGCTCTTGGTTCTCACAACTCGAAACTAGTCCACGGACTCGGATTTTTGAACACAGACCGGAAATATGGCATCACGGAGATCGGCTCGGCTAGCTTCTCTGGTCACGAATGCTGCGATCGTTGAGCCGGCGTCTCCACCAGCACCTTCAGTGGCATCAAGAAAGCGAAAAGCGGCCACACAAGCCCCGGCAACTGGGGAGACCGAAAAGGCGCCGTCAACACCACGAAAGCGGCGAACTAAAGGGACGGATGACGTGCCCGAAACGCCCACACCTGCCGAAGTTAAGCTTATCACGGAGGGTGCGCACACAGCAAAGCCCAGACCTGCCGCGGTCTCCCGTCTAGCGGATCCGAACCGTACCAACGCGGTCCTCCGTTCTCCCAAGACATCACGCATCATTGCGTCAACCGCAGTCGAGCCTATACCCTCCAAGCTCCGCGATGTCATCAAGTCTACAGTACCGGCGACGAGCGCCACCACTACAACAACCAGCCTCCTCGAAGAAGCCTGCGCGCACCTGATCAAGGTCGACGCGCGCATGAAACCGCTCATCGACGCCCACCACTGCCGCATCTTCTCGCCCGAGGGTCTCGCCGAGCAGGTCGACCCCTTCGAGGCCCTCTGTAGTAGTATTATCTCGCAGCAAGTGAGCGGCGCGGCCGCCAAAACCATCAAAGGTCGCTTCATCGCCCTCTTTGACCCCACTAGCAACAGCAGCAGTAGCAGCACCACTACCACCACCACCCCCTCCTCGGAACCCGCCGCCACGGCCGACGACGTCTCCGCCAGCACCCCCCCCTTCCCACGCCCGGATGCCGTCGCGGCCACCGCTCTCGAAACCCTCCGCACGGCAGGCCTCTCCCAGCGCAAAGCCGAATACATCCAAGGCCTGGCAACCCAGTTCGCAGCCGGCGAGCTAACGGGACAGCTGCTCGCGGACGCGCCGTACGAGGACGTGCTGGCGCGGCTGACGGCGGTGCGGGGGCTGGGGCGGTGGTCGGTCGAGATGTTTGCGTGCTTCGCGCTCAAGCGGCTGGACGTGTTCTCGACGGGCGACCTGGGCGTGCAGCGCGGGATGGCGGCGTTTGTGGGGCGGGACGTGGCCCGGCTGAAGGCTAAAGGGGGCAAGTGGAAGTATATGGGCGAGCGGGAGATGGAGGAGGTTGCGGAGCGGTTTCGCCCGTATAGGAGCCTGTTCATGTGGTATATGTGGCGCGTGTTGGAGACGGATGTGAGTACCATGGAGTCGTGGGGCTGGTGAGGCGGGGTGGCGATGGGAAGCGGAAGGTCCCGTGGGTATGGTTTCGTGTACCCTTATTGATTGGGGGGCACGGTGGCCTCCAGGAGTCTCCCTTGTGGGACGTTCCCGGCGTGTTTTGTCATACCGCTCAGCTTATCAGGCTTTGCCTGTGAGACCTCACCGGGCTTCTTCACACAATAGGCGTCGTGTCGGGGTGGGAACAGGTGGTGGCACCAGAAAACAAGCTTCCGTCAATGCATCGTGAATGCCGTTGCCAGAGTTCCCTGCCGATCTTCCACGGCGCTCGTTGGCCTGGCAGGGGCTTTTCCCAGTTTGAATTCCTGCTGAGCGCCGCGCTACGTTTCAGAGGGGATGATCGGTCGCTCGCAGTCTTTCGGTCTTTCGGCCACGCAACTCATCGGTGGTTGGTCGGGCCAGCGCGTTGCCCGGAGCATTTGCTTGATAGGACGGCGGCCTCCCGACGGACCGGCCGTGCATGCTGCAGCTCGCCGCCATTTCTGTGTGGTAGCACCTTGCACAAGAGGACGGCGTGTTAACGGTGGCACAAGACAGTGTTGTCAAGTTCAAGGTGCATCTGGAAGACGATGACGCTCAGGCTTCGCTGAGGCGCTCCGGGTTGCCAGCGGCCGGCGCCTGGAGAGCATGCATGGTTGGTGGTGTTGCCCTGCTGTTGACCCCCTTTCGTGAGGACGGAACGTTCCGTATCACCCTCGGCCTGAAGAACACATGTGAACAGCGCAGTTCGCGGTTGGATGAGAACGTGCAAACGCCCAATGTGCGCAACATCAAGCTTACGCAACTACGGGAGGCGCCGCTCGGAGTTGTCGCACCGGAACATGCATACATAACAACACTGAGAGGCCCCGTCCGCTGGAGCAGAGCACGAGCCAACTTCGCTCGGTGGTGGCGATTTGGGTTCGGAGCTCCATGATGATGGTTGCCGGGTGGATGTCCATTACGAGCTGACTGTGGTTATGTACCTGGTCAAGAAGAATTCTGGAATGTCGAATACGATCTTGTCTGTGCAGATATCCCCGTTCAGCACCAGAGCAACCAGCGCTGGGGCATGAATCATCGGACTGGCCGCAGCTTGAGATCGGACGACACTGGGCGGCCAGAACTTGCGAGCAAAAAACAGGACGAGATTGGCAGGAGATGGCGTCTCAATTGTGCAAATCGTCCGGGTTCGATTGGGCGATTTGAAGTCAGGGGGCGAATGAGATGCGATGGCTCGATGATCGGCTTCAACCAAGGTGGGGTGCGACTTTGGGGGTTCGCTTCGTGTTGACAAGGTGACGAGCCAATCATGGATGGTGAAAGACTCATTTGGTCGCGCGGTCTCTGTGCCCGTTGCCAGCGTGCTAGTCCGGTACCATGTTTTGAAGGTTGTGTGTGGCTGGAAGGCGAAACCGAAACAATGTGAGGACAAGAAAACCCATCAACTCCTGGTTGTTCCGCGTCTTGTTTCGTGCAGACGTCATCCACGAAAAGCAAGGCAGCACGGCAGGTGGCACATACCTCCATCGAAGGTCCGCAGACTGCTGTGCCGGGATCAGCAAATCGGGATTACCTTCCTGCAGGCTACTGCAAGAGCTGCACCCGTCTGCAGATTGTTGCATCGCGAATCACTGCGCCTCGCGGGACGTGGTAAACAACGGCCCAGACACGCCAAAGGACCACCAACAACACCAATGATTTGGCACCAGCGGCAGTGGGACTTTTTTTTTCGATCGAAGCGACTCAATGCGTGACCGTGGTGGGGTTCAGAAGCTTGGAGAGCCCGGACTCAAGAACCGAACCGAGGAAAGACCAATCTCGACCCCAGCAAAGATCAGCCAAGAAACGCCATCGACGTCGGCGCGGTCGCCTGCCACCGAAACAGAGAGCAGCTCGAGGACAGCACAGGCTCGGCCGAGCTGGGAAGTTGGAACGGGCTGTCAGGGGAACCTTGTTCGTTCAAGGAATTCGACCCGCAACGATGATACGGTCCTGACAATGACCAGCCACTAGGGCCACACCTTCATCTCGCCAAGCTCGGATCGCATTGGGCGTGCTCCCGCGCCTCCAAGTTGTCCGGTGCCCGGAAAGTCGCGAAATATCAGTGTGTAAAAAAAGAAAGAAAGCAAATAATAGACTTTAGTTAGGGAGTCTCGTAGTTAACTAGTTTATGGCGGCTGCCAACGCAGAAGAGAGGATGAGGATCCACAGTGCAGAATGGACCGGATTTCCCAGCCCCTGAAAAGCTGAGACAAGCGGTTTCTGGGAGGCACCGGGGGCGCCTCGGAGCGCGCAACCTGGAACTGTTCAACTGCCAACCTGCAGGGGGGCGTGCCCGGATGAAGGCGGCCCCACCAGAATAATTTAGCTCCAATTACCCCCTTCCTGGCAGGTTTCTGTATTTTCTGCCCCTTTGGTCGAGACTCTCCCTCTCAATTCACGCCTCTCTCCTTCCCGTTTTACATCAACTTTTTCCCTCCCCTCGTTAGCTTTTGCTTCAGTACACTCGTTATTCTCCCGTGGAAGAAGAGGTCCAGCCACGACCGCTCGCCCGTTTATTCACCTTTTACCACTTCTCAAAACCTCGCCTTTTCCGGCATATCCGCATCGAACACAACCGACCGCGAGGAGTTTCGACGACATCAACCATTCCATTAAAGAGGTGCGTTGGCATTGGAACTCCAGTTGCATGGGCAGCTCGGAGGCAAGCAGACAGAAGAACGAGGACGTTGTCATCCGCGCCCCCTTCCTTCCTTGAAACCCTCCACTGCACCAGAGCCACGAGTTTCAACTTCTCACGAGTCGAGTCTCATCGTAACTGGGCCCATCCCGCCTTCCTGATATCCGCTTTGGAGTCGCAAACTAGGTCCAGGACCTGACGGCAGACGGAAGGCAGAGGCTACCCGGATTCTCTAACACGGAGATTCGGTATACGGGCCAAGTCAGTCGCACTGTCTGCCTCACGGCTCTCGACGCGTCTGCTTCGGTAGCGGTACCTGGGTTGTGTGAACCAACTCCCAAGCAACACCCTTCAACTCGATCTTTTCGTATCCCATCATATCACCGCACCTGCATAGCCTTTTCCGGCCCCACGACGGGACTGGCTGCATCGTGGCTTAGGACTATATTCTAACAGTGAGCATCAACAGACTTGACCAAGATGTTTGTTAAGCAGCTTCTTCCCGCCCTCGCGGCAATCGGCTCGGTCGCAGGTGAGTGCCCATCGCATGGGAATTTGGGCAATTGGTTCACACGCTGACTGCGGTACAGCCCAATCCGGGACCTGCACCGTCTCCACGACCACCGTCAACAGCCAGGCCGAGGCCACCAAGCTCGCGAGCTGCCGGACCGTCAAGGGCACCGTCGTGATCGGCTCGGAAAGTGGCGCCACCATTGATCTGTCGGGCCCCGAGGAGATCACTGGCGATCTCATCGTTCGCAACAACAGCCAGCTCGCGACCTTCTCGAGCTCCAGCGTGCAGAAAATCGGCGGCAACTTCAAGCTGGAAGAAGCCACTTTCCTCACCTCGCTCCAGTTCCCCGAGCTCACCGAGGCCCGGTCGATCGAGTGGGTGTCGGTCACGCTTCTCAACACCGTGAGCCTTGGACCTTTGACCAAGGCCGACAACGTCAGGCTCAGCGACACCTTCCTGGACACCCTGGACGGCTTCGCGCTCTCCAGCGCCAAGTCGTTCAAGCTCGACAACAACCGTCGTCTTTCCGAGTACAAGTCGAAGCTGACTCAGGTCAGCGGCGAGCTAATCATCCAGGCCAACGGTCTCGATCTCGATGTCGACCTGTCGGACCTGATTTGGATCGCCAACATGGAGGTTGCCAACGTGACCCAGTTCTCCGTCCCGGCCCTCAAGGTCGTCAACGGCTCCGCTCGTTTCGATTCCAACCTGTTCGAGTCCTTCAGCGCCCCCAACCTGACCCACACCGAGACCGGTGACATTTCGTTCGTCGGCAACGGCTTCCTCCAGAACATGACCTTCCCCAAGTTGACCGAGATCGCCGGTGGCCTCCTCATCGCCAACAACACCGGCCTGGACCGTGTCACCTTCTTCCCCAAGCTGACGAAGGTCAGCGGTGCTATCAAGCTCCGTGGCAACTTTACCGAGTAAGATTCCCCGTATCCATCCCGGCAGTGTCAAGACTAATCTCAAACCAGGGTTGGCTTCCCGGAGCTTAATATCGTCAGGGGTGCCTTTGATGTTTCCAGCACTGCCAACATTGAGAAGTCGTGCGACAAGCTCAAGGAGTCTGCTCCCCGTAGCCAGGGTGGTGATGGCACCATCGAGGGCGTCTTCACCTGCACGTCCGACAACGACAAGGCTAACGAGGATACTGACGGGTCGACCTCCGACTCTGGCGACATCGACGGCAGCGATGATGATGAGAACGGTGCCGCCGGTCTTGTCCTGAACGCCGCCCTCTTCGGTCTCGTCGCCGTCGCTGGCCTCGCCTCGGCTCTCTAATGATGGATGCCTTGTCAATTTGGGAACCTGGAGTTTACTTGGTCGGGCAATGCGAGTTCTCTGCTACGGACACCAAACCACGGCCCCCCTATCTTTCCTTTGAATGACTGTCGAGTTTTGTTTTGCTCCCACTTGTCTGGGCTCTCCGCATACCCCGTCACGCGCGCCGCGCAATACTACATACCGCACCGCTAGACTTAATATCTCGATAGAGACGCTGGATTTGTTGATTTGGCTTCCTCTCCGCCCACGTTTATGTGACATGGCTTCTCCCTCGCGTTACTGTCTGGATGGTCAGGGAAAGATGGCGTGGGTGGACAGAGTCAACAAATTCTGGCGTTTCTGGCGTTTGGTTGGGGGCCAAGGTAGCGGGTCATTGGCCAGGTTGAGCTTGGACAGGACGATTTTGGTATGTGCGGAGGTCCGATTCAGTCACCGGACGGTAATCAGTCGATGTGTTTGTTCAGTAGTTCATCTGCTTTGTATGGAGTTTCTCTTAGTACCTTGTAATAATGGGGTGGCCGTCCTCGTAGTGTTGAACTTGATTCCCATCAGTTGGTGTCCATGATTGTAGATCTTCCAGTGTTTGTCAGATTCGCACCCTGTGATACCCAGAAGTTGTTTATGGGTTGAGCTTCCCCTTCCTAACTCGTCTTAGATTCCACATCTTGTACGCTGTCGCTAGATCTTGTGAGATGCCAACAAATGCCGTTCCCATGACTTTGAATCTGTGCTACCCTGCGAGGACGTTATGCCAGTCAAGCGTGCTGTCACTATCTTGGTTTATTTCCGAGTAGACGTCCTGGCGGGCCTTTATCCATCATACACCCCCTCCTCAAACTTCTCCTCATCATAAAACCTCGCCGCAATCGCATTCCCGTTGAATATCCTCCCCTGCAGGGCGTTGACAGCCTATCACCAACCACGTTAGTCAGACCGTCTGTCGGGGGGGTTGTGATACCGTCAAAGGAGACCTGTGTACAGGAAGGGGGAAAAACAGGGGAATCGAGACGCCGGCGACGAAAAGTCGCAACCCCGAAAAACGAAACGCAAGAGGAACGCCAACTCACCCTCAACGCCGAAACCCCCTCGACAAACCGAATAAACACCCTCCCCCCTTCCACATCCACCACAATCCTCTCCACCCGCCCATACCGCTCCCCACACTCCTCCCCAATCTCCTGCCCCAACCCGGCCTCCACCTCCCCCTCCACATCCCCCATCCCATCCAGCATCCGGTCCAGCACCACCACAACCGACATCTTCCCCACCCCCCCATCACCACCAGCACCACCACCACCACCACCACCACCACCACCAACCCCAGCAGCAGATTGGTTCTGGTTCTTAACCTTAGGCGCGATAATCCGCCCGCGCCCGCCCGCGGGCCCAACAAACCCGCCGCCTTCGGCATCCGGCCGGCGCTTGCGCTTCTCGACTTGCACGCGCAGCGCCGTGGGGATGCCGGACTGGGCGGCGCCGAGCCCGCTGCCCTTGGTCCAGCCGTATTTGGCCATGAGGCGCTGGGCGAAGCCCTTTTGTCCGGGGCGGGTGGTGCGTTCTTCTTCGGCTTGTGGTTCTGGGTTTGTTGATGGGGGTGGTTGTTGGATTTGTTGGGTTTGGGTGGTGGTGGTGGTGGGTGGGAGAGGGATGGAGGCGTAGTTTACTTCGGGGTCGTAGTCGGTGTCGTCTTTGTCGATGTCCATGGCGGTTGTGTCTTCTGGGTTCGGGGGTTGTGAGTAGCGGACCGGGGCGCGGGAGATGGTGGTGTTGTCTGTGTCTGTGGGTGGTGGTGGCGGCGGCGGGGGTGCTGGTGATACGGTTGCTGGAGGGGGTGGTGGTGGTGGTGCCATGCCTGATAATGCTAACCGCCGGGCATATGCGTCGTCGCCGGTGGCATCGTCCGCTACACGGGGCGGCGACATCGGCGGCGGCGCAAAGGTGAACGCTGCCGGAGGCGCAAACTGATCTGTAAACTCGGTCAACACCCGCTCTCCCACAACCAACCAAACAACCAACCCCCACACATCCACACAAAGCAGAGCAGAGTAATCTGTACTTACTCCCCAACCCCACCCTCCCCTCCCCCCTTTCACTCCCCTCCTCACTCCCCCCCCTCTCTCCCCTCCCCCTCCGATGTGCATACAAAACCGCCTTCCAGTCCCTAACTTCACGCACGCGCTCCTCGCTGCGCAGGTACTCCTCGACGTTGGTGGGGCGGGCCGGGTCGTACAGCTCGTCCCAGTCGGTCTCGCGCGGCGCGTCGTCCCTCTTGTTCTTCTTCTTGCGCCGCCCGCCCCGCTGCCGCTTCTCGCCGCCCGGCCCCCCGCCACCGCCACCGCCGCCGTGGTATATGTACTCGTCGTCTTCGGTGGCGGCCCAGTCGGCGAGGGTGCTCCGGTTGGGGGCGGCGGCGGGTGGTGGGGGTGCTACTGCTGTTGATGTTGTTGTTGTTGTTGTTGTTGGCGGTGGTGGTGCTGTAGTGGTTGACGGGATGCCGGGAGGGGCTTTGGGGAAGGCGGGTTTAGGTTTGGCGGAGGGTTTGTTGACTTGCGGGCGGCGGATGGGTTGGAAACGGAGGGCTAGGAGGATTGTTAGTTGAGTATCTTTCAGGGAAATAGCAGACAGGTCTCGCCCAAAACATACCTGGATCAATGGCCTTCTTGGCCGGCGCATTATCCTGCTCGTTCTTGAAGAGTACTGGGTCGCGCGCGATCGAGGCCGAGGGGTCGGTGTCCAGCAGATTTGCATACAGCGACATGCCGCCGCGGCTGGGCGGTTGCGGCGGAGGGGCTGCCATGCTGTGACGGTTTAGGGCCTAAGCTTTGAGAATGGCGCGCACTGAGAATCCACGATCGTGTTGTCGTTGACGAGGATGTAAGGCTAAGCTCAGCCTTGTATGTATGTACGAGCACAAGGCGAAAGCAACCTTCAAGGTCCCAGGGCCCACTGAATGCGCTGAATTTAAGTGGGACCTCAGCTCCTTCAGCGGGTTCGCTAGTGGGCCGGATAGGAAGGTCGGTCCTTTTCCATGTGAAGGAAGACCGTGGGACCACGAGCAGTTGCCCCTTTTTGTTCTACTCATGACAGATATATGTTCAGTACTTTTTTTTTTTTTTTTTTTTTTTTTTTTTTTTTTTTTTTTTTTTTGAATGTTGGATATTTGAGACGAGTTCGATCCTGAACTCCTGCTAAAATTGCTATCATAAAGACATTTAGACTCCGCTCCCCTAAATGACCTTTCAACATGCGACCCTTGAGTTCCTCCCTGCCCTTCCGTATCAATACAAGGTAACCCTTTTCACGCCTAGTACTTCCTCTCCTTGGGCAACTTCTTTGCCTCCAAGACATCCACATCCTTCTTATCATAATAATGCCCCCCAAACTCGGTCAACCACCTCGCCTCGACGGGGATGACCGACCTAACATACTCCCTCGACGTAACGACTAGCTCATGGTAGATAATCACCTTGGGCGGCGGGTCGATAGACTTGACCACACTACTGGGGTGCACATACACCGTCATATTGTTTTTGAGGGTGCGGTACCCATCGCCGCCACGGTTCAGCCTGGCGGCATTGAGGAAGAAAGCCGAGGTTAGGGCACGCAGCACAGGCTGCAGGTTGGAGATGCCGCCGCACGACGAGGTGGCGCCCTCGAGCACGCGGTCGCACAGCTTCTCGAGCTGGTCGCGCACGTCGCGGGCGCGCGTCAGCGAGCGCTGCGTGAGGAAGTTCTCCTTGGCCCAGATGGGCGAGTAGTCGGCCTCGACCCACTGGTTGTAGACGTTGAGCAGCGTGATGTGGTCGCCGCCGTCCTTGACCGTGAACCGGGCGCGCGCGCTGTCGGCGTGCACCTTCTTGTCCTTGGGCCGGAAGAAGAGGGTGGCCACCTCGCCGAGCATCGAGACGACCGTCAGTACTTCTTGCACGCACTCCTCCTGGGTGGCCGCGATGAGGGCTTTCGCCAGCATAGGCTCTGCGGGAAACTCGCCCATCTGTCGGCCGACACGAGTAAGGGCGCCGCCGCTGTTGAGGGCGCCGAGGGCGTAGAGCATGTTGAGGGACTTGATGAGGAGCTCGGTGGGTGGCGGGTCGAGAAAATCGAACCCCAAAAGGTCGTCTATGCCGAGGGATTTGAGCTGAAGGACGACGCTGGAGAGGGAGGTTCTTTGAATCTCGGGCGTCGGGGACTCGTCCATCTCGGAGAGGTAGGCAAACTTGGTGTAGAGGCGGAAGCACTTTCCGGGCCGAACACGACCGGCTCGACCCATCCGCTGGTTTGCCGCTGCCCTTGAGCAAGGGACTACGGCCAGTGTTGACTGGCCTGTTGTGCCGACCGGGCTGAATGTGTTCTCCTTGGCGTAGCCGCAGTCGATGACATAGACAATACCGTCGATTGTCAGTGATGTCTCGGCGATGTTTGTTGAGAAAACAACTTTTCTCGCTTTTGGTGGTGTTGGCTCAAAGATCTTGGCCTGCAGTTCCGAAGGCATGTTTGCGTAAATAGGCAAAGCTATGATTTCGGGTACTCGACTCCCAAGTTTACGTTTGATATCCTCTACCCGCTCGCACGCTCGGTCAATCTCTTCTTGACCCGTCAAGAATACGAGGATCCCACCCTCAGGTTGCGTTGCATGAATTTGGAAGACAGTGACCAGACTCGCCTCCAGATAGTTGCTCTCAGGCGCCGACGTGTAGTAGGTTTCCACCGGATGCACACGACCGGGGATATTGAAAATGGGCGCGTCGTCAAAGTATGCGCTGAACTTCTCGGCGTTGAGCGTCGCAGAGGAAATGATCAGCTTCAGCTCTGGTCTGGCGCGTGTGAGATCCTTGATCAGTGCGAGCAGAATGTCAGTGTGCACCGTTCTCTCGTGCGCCTCGTCGATCATGATGGCCGAGTAGCCCTCGAGCGTCGGCGATGTGACCATCTCCCTGAGGAGCATACCATCCGTCATATACTTGAGGATAGTCTTGTCGCTGGTGCAGTCCTCGAACCGGATTGAATAACCGACTTCGTGTCCAACCTTCACGCCCACCTCGTCGGCAACACGAGCAGCAACACTCATTGCGGCAACTCGACGGGGCTGTGTGCAAGCAATCTTCATGCCATCCTTGGTGAAGCCGGCCTCGTGTAGGTACTGTGGTATCTGCGTCGTCTTACCCGAACCCGTCTCACCGACCAGAATGAGGACCTGGTATTCCTTGATGGCGTCTAGAAATGCGTCACGATACGCATATACCGGTAAACTCTTTCGAACCTCTTGTATCGTTTTGTGCGCCTTCTCCGCCGCGTCGATCTTGTCCTTCAGGGCCCTCTGTTCCTGCGTCAACCCATCGCTTGGTTGGGCATATTTGGCTGCATCTCGGACAAAGGTGATGGCGTCCTCGTCCAGTAGGAAATCGTACTCTCCTTCGTCCTCGCGTTCGCGGGATTGTATCTGTGACTTCGCCTTGACCGTTTGCTCCCGCTCCCACTCCTCGTACTCGGTGACATGCTTCTCGTTGCCGTACATATCCTTCTCTATATGGCGTTTGTAGAGAGTGTCCTCCTTCTTCTTGCTGTCGGCGCCGTACTGGTCCGGTAACCGGTAGCCGTCTTGGTAGTCGTCGATATGGGCGCGCTCCTCGGCCAAGCGCAGGATCTCGCGGTTCTTTGCGAACTCGGCCTTCTCGCGCTCGGAGAGACGGACCCCTGACCTCAGCTCTGCGGTTTCTTCTGCGACTTGTTTCCGTAATAGGGCGAGCCTCTCGGTCTCCCTCTTTGCGAGGTACTGTTGGCGCGACTTGAGCCGCAAGTCGGACATCTTGGAGTCGTCACGTTGTGAATCCCTCTGGCGTATCCTCGAGGGGCCATCTTTGTCATCACGCGGCGACCGAGACCGACGTCTGGGCGATTCGTCACCATCGTGTCTTCGACTCTTGTGTCGTCGCGGCGATCGATCACGAGACCTCGACCTATCGCGTTTGCGTTCCTTCCTGTCTTTTCTGTCTCTCCTGTCGTCTCTCGAGGAAGGCGCAGGTTCATCGTCCATCGGAACGAACGCATAGCGCTTTGACGACATGATTGCTGGGTATGGGCGCAAATCGGGAGCTTGGTGTATGTTGACTCGGACGGCTCAGATGACGATGGCAGGCAGGCATCGAAGAGCTGCGACTCGACTTCCCCAGCGCCCAGCAAGGTCCCAAATTCTTATCTTATCATTTGTGCTTGGCTCTGCAGGACGCCCCACCAAATTCCAAGCTGCACCCCAAACGGGAGCTCAAAGCAATGACAGGACCAGCTCGTGGCTGTTCAAATCAAGACAACTATGTACGTAACTTTCTCTCGTTATTCTTCTACCATCGGAAAATCGCTCGAACAAATGGACCGTCATACACTTGGATTCGGTGAAGACATGGATTCGAAGGGTTAGACTCAGGAAAGAGGATTCTGCTTACTGTGTACGTTTCGCCTGTCCTTGGCGAACTCGACGAGGCCTGAAAGGTTTGAAGAAATGACGGACAAGCGCAACTCGCAGGTTCCCTATGGAATGGAGATTCAGATACGCCCGCCCAACATCAACAGGATCCCATTCCCACCGCCAACGTCTCACCCCACGTTCCTCCTTTTCTATGTCTTACACTCATGACCTATACCCACGTCTCGCGTATCCCCATCTTTCTTTTCCCGGACAATTTTGAAGATCTGCGAGTCGGGTGCAACCTCATTTGTGTTAGTGTGGCATTCTGAATGTCAGACCCACTCGTCTCAAGTGCAAGCGCGGATTGTGTCATCCGAGTCCCGTCCGTGAAGCCAACGGCACTCGGCCCACCTCCGACACACGCCCGGATCTCGGAGTCGCGAAGCTTATAACTGAACCAACTATTAGACTTACACGACAATTGATTTATTATTTTTGTACCACCAACCTTTACGTTCTTTTACACGCTCCTTTAAAGCGACCAAACTGCACTTACCCAAGGATCTCGAAATCTGGATAACACTGTGAGACACCACCGACACTTTCATTGGATTCGGCTCGCAGACACAACAAACCGTCCACGATGGCTGCCGGTCTCACGCTACAAACAGCCATTAAGGGCACACCGGACTCCACCGTCGTGATTGTTCCTGGGAGCCAAGCCTTGACTGTCACCTATAGGGACCTCGTCTCCGAGACGGCTTCGTTCCAGCAGAAACTAGCCGCCATTGGCATCGCCAAGGGATCTCCCGTATCTATCGCAACCGTCAACTCGTACGAATTCATCGTATCTTTTCTCGCCGCGTCATGGCAGCGCGCTATCGCCGCTCCGCTCAACCCGGCCTACAAGCAGGATGAATTCGAGTTCTACATTGACGACGTCAAGTCGGCTATCGTCCTCGTTCCCAAGGGCGCCTACCAGAGCGCTAGCCCGGCCGTGAAGGCTGCTCAAAAGTTCAATGCGGCCATCGCCGAGTGCTACTGGGATGCCGCCAAGAAGGAGGTCGCCCTCGACGTCAAGGAGCTCGGGCAGCTCCAGGGCAAGCCCAAGCAGCCCGTCCTCAAGCCGGAACCCGAGGACATCGCCCTGGTCCTCCACACCAGCGGCACCACCTCCCGCCCCAAGGTCGTGCCCCTCTCCCACCGCAACCTCACCCGCACCATGCACAACATCCAACAAACCTACCAGCTCACCCCGGCCGACCGCACCATGCTAGTCATGCCGCTCTTCCACGTCCACGGCCTCCTCTGCGGCCTTCTCGCGCCCCTCCTCACCGGCGGATCCATGGTCGTGCCCACCAAGTTCTCCGCGTCCGACTTCTGGCGCGACTACACCACCCACAACGCCAACTGGTACACAGCGGTCCCGACGATCCACCAAATCCTGCTCAAGAACCCGACCCCCTCCCCGCTGCCCACCATCCGCTTCATCCGCTCCTGCTCCTCCCCGCTCTCCCCGACCGTCTTCCACGCGCTCGAGCAGACGTACAACGCGCCCGTGCTCGAAGCCTACGCCATGACCGAGGCCGCCCACCAGATGACGTCCAACCCGCTGCCCTCGGTCGGCGCGCGCAAGCCCGGCACCGTCGGGCTGGGCCAGGGCGTGGAGGTGGTCATCCTCGACGCGGCCGGCGCCGCAGTCGCACCCGGCGCCGAGGGCGAGATCTGCATCCGCGGCGAGAACGTCACGGGCGGCTACCTCAACAACGCCGAGGCTAACCGCACCGCCTACACGGCCGAGGGGTATTTCCGCACCGGCGACCAGGGCCGCAAGGACGCGGATGGGTATCTGGTTATCACGGGGCGGATTAAGGAGCTTATTAATAAGGGGGGGGAGAAGATCTCGCCGATCGAGCTGGATAATGTGCTGACCCGCCACCCGGCCGTCTCGGAGGCGGTCAGCTTCGCTGTGCCGGATGAGATGTATGGGCAGGAGATCGGGGTGGCGGTGGTGCTGAAGCCGGGGGTGAGGTTGGTTGAGGGGGAGTTGAAGGCGTGGGTGGCGGAGAAGCTGGCCAAATTTAAGGTGCCTAAGAAGGTGAGCGCATTCGGTTACCTTCTTTGTTTCATACTGTTTGATACTGACGTGCCCGGGCAGGTTTATTTCACCGATATCATGCCCAAGACAGCGACGGGCAAGATCCAGCGGCGGATTGTGGCCGAGACAATGCAGAAGCAGGAGGGCCGGGCTAAGTTGTAAAGCGCCCCTGGTTGGGTGGCTGTTGTAGGAATGAACAGTACTTTGTATGTACATAACTAGGCGTCTAGCGTGATGGCGTGTTGTGTGACCTACGCTCCTAATTTAAGTACGGAGGAATGTTTGAACATTTTTTTACTACGTTTGCTCTTGTTGTTTCTCGCTGTGCTGGGAAGGGGCCTTCTTCACGGGTACCAGACGCGACACAGCTGGACAGCAACCGAGCCCAAAAGAAAGTTTGAACAGGTCCCGATTCCGGCTGTAGCCAGCTTCGGATCGCCAATTCGGTTGGCAAGGCGGCGACGAGGCTGTCCACCGATACGGTGATTGTCAGGCGCATATCAACCACGGCCACCTCACCCAAGACACGTGGCGCAAGTGAGACCGCACATCAATCAACCTTCACCATCATTCCGCTTGCAAGCTCGGGAGTTGCCAACAATTGGATGGCTAAAATACAACAAGATATTCCGAATCCCACTTAACAAATAAAAGGCACAGCTAATTCAACAAACACCGAAAGAAAGGGCGCCCAAGTTGAGGCGGGCGAAAGAAAAAGGCAGACATGATCTCTTCCAGTAAACAACTCGGGGATAACACAACCACATCCCCCTCCCCTGCTCCTCCCGACCACACACCACCTTCTGGCTCTCCTCCCCTACATGGTATTGATTTCGTCTCAGCCCCAACTCGCTCGTCTGGCCAACCGGCCCGCATTAGCCACATCTACCCATCCATCCATAACCACAAAGGAAACAACCACCGTCCGTCCCGCCTCTTGCGTTTGTGTGTGTGCGCGTGCGTGTGTGTTGTGTCAAAAATGAGTGAATGCGCTGCGTATCCAGCCTGTACTTCTCAACCACGACGGTCCGCTCGGTCTACCCGGCCACGGTCTACCCGGCCAGCATCATCTTGCACTAGAAGAAGATATACCCCAGCAGGAAGCTGACCAGGCAGAGGAACGCCACGATCCCGACCGGCACGCCCTCGGTGCCCCTCGACGATTGCCTCTCCGCCTGCGCGAGCTTCGGCGTCCCGCTCCCCGCGCTGCTGTTGTCGTCCGATTTGTTCCCTGCCTTGCGCTGCCGCAGGCCGCTGGCCAGTTCGTTCTTGAGCGACGCGGCGGTCGCTTCCGCCTTGGCTGCCCGCTCCTTGAGCTCCTCGTAGGTTTCGGTCGCGGCGGATCGGACGCTGCCCGCGATGGCGGCGGGGGCGGCGAAGGCCGTTGCCTGGGTAGCTTGTGTGGATTCGGGTTCGTGGCTAGGCTCTTCTTGCTCGTGGTAGGAAACGGCGGTCGTGTCCTCGAGGACGGTGGTGTCGTCCTGCGGAGAGGAGTACGCGGGAGGGGCGGTGTCAGGGGTTGCGTCGAACTACACAAAACGTTAGTTGCTGTCAGAGTTTTGAGGGCCGTAGAAGAGGAACAAACCCCATTCGTAGCCGTCTGCCGGACAGGGGTAGCGAGCCCTTCGTTCGGCGCAAGCCAGGCGACCCGGATCTTCTTTTCCTGAACTGCCGACTTCTCTACTCCATCCCACTGCACACACAGGCCGGTCAGTACATCTTCTTGCGCGTCAAGGTGTTTAGACCCACAATCTGTGTCACGTTTGTGAATTCCTTGTCGGCAGTGATCATGACGGATTGGACGAGGAACTTGTCACGACATTTGGCGTCGGCCGGGGGCTCCTGCTTCATTGCCTGCAGGAGGACTGCGAGGGTCAGTACGGCCCTCACTGGCATAAACAAGTGATTGTGACTGACCAGAAACCTCGACTTCATGCCCGGGCTCGATGCGGCCCGAGTTTGGCCGAACACAGTACCTAGACGAAGAGTTAACCTCGGCCACCGACCGGCATCCGTGTCGCGGGCACATACTGCTTGGGCGCTGTCGTTTTGACCTAGGTCTGTAAGAAAGAGAACCAAAAAAATACGCCGGAGATTGGGTTCGGGTTACCTTGAAAGCAACAGGCGACGAGTTGGGGTTCTTGATCTTGAGGACCTGGGAAACCTCCACAGTAAAGGGCCCTGCACCGGTCAGAAAATGGTAGACTCGGTGGAGACTCGGGACAACATACTGCGGAACCCAAGTTCCACGGGGTCGATTTCGACGGACATGGCGGCGGTCGTGACTTTTCGAGAGGCTCGGGGGGTTTGGCAAATGTTGTCGGCGCAGTTTTAAGGTTTAGGGGAGAGACAAACGGAACCGAGCGTCACCAGCTAAAGTACGGATGGGCGTGCGCTAAAGTACTAGTCGTTCGCGACGTTCGTGTTGGGAGAGGCTCGAATAGGTCAAACGGCGGATCTTGTGGCAGATGGAATCGACAGTTGGTCGCAGCGTGCGATGCGTGTTACAACATTCCGGGCACGTTAACGGCAAAGCTGGCGCTGCGCTGGCGAGATTCCCAAACCCCGGGGGTCCGTGCTGATCGACCCAGCACATGCTGTGGGGCCTTCGCTGGAGCCCAAGAACAATCACTTTTGGATGACTAATTTAGATAATGTTAAGGGAGGAAATGAGCTGGGCGGTCTCGATGACGTCTGTCTCGCTGCCTGGGTAAGGTACCTTCCATACCATGCCGTGTAAAGGGACATGGAGGTCAGGCAACGCCGACTTCTATCCTCTTCAGAGGCTTTGCTCACATTGAGAAACCAGGAAATGGTTTCAACTTCAGGGTCAATAAACAATATATATTCGAAAACAGCCCTAATGACATGTGGCGAATCTAGAATTAAAGCGTAGTTCCCTGAGTTCCCAGCTGATTGGATTTGTCGCCCCAAGAGGCCCAAATCATCCCAGGCATCTGTTCACGGAGTGCTTCCCCGCCTGCCTTCTATAATAACCCGCCTCAACCTTTTCAAGCGGCTCTCCGCATTCCGATTTTCAACATACGAACATCACCACTTTACCCATTTTACTTTGAACACATCAACTTCATCAATCGACAAAATGACCAAATCAGACCTCGATCTATTGCTCGAGATGGGCTTCGATCAGGCCCGCGCCGAGATCGCAGTCAAGAGAACCGGCGGGTGTTAGTCTTCAATTGCACGCTTTCGCGCGCTTCCCTGGCCATCTTCTTTGATACTGACATCTTTGCAGTGCAGCAAGCCTTGAACTGGCTTGAAGAAAACCAAGACAAGCCTCTGGAGGAGTTGCAAGCTAACCAAACGGCCGCCGATGCAACTGCGGCCGAGGAAGAGGGCGGCGCTGCATCCATTCCCTCAGGCGAGACTGCGTCATCGCTCGTCTGCAATGAGTGTGGCAAAAAGTTCCGCAATCATTCCGAGGCCTCTTTCCACGCTTCGAAGACGTACGATATCTGTTCGTTTCGGTCACCTTCTTCATGCTGACACGTGTCACAGGGACCACGCAGATTTCTCCGAATCAACGGATGAGATTGCGCCGTTGACTGCGGAGGAAAAGAAGGCCAGACTGGAGGACCTTCGCAAGAAGCTGATGGAGAAGAGGGCGACCCAGTCGGTCGCCGATAAGGAAGAGGCCAAGCGAAACGAGGTATGATGATCGACCCTACTTACTGTACCAGCAGTTGCTAATCACACCCCTAGCAAATTCGCCAGAAGGCCACCAGGGAGTCTCACGACGTCAAGGAGGAGCTCCAACGCAAGGAGCAAATCAAGGAGGCCGCCAAGAAACGCCAGGAGAAACAAGACGACCTTGACGCGAAGAAGCGGATCAAGGCCCGGATCGAGGCCGACAAGCTCGAGCGCAAGCGCCGCGAAGAGGACGCGAAGGCGATGCGCGAAGGCAAGCCTCTGCCGGGACAGGCAACAACACCAGCTACCGTGGTGGCTGCTGCGGCTTCCATATCCCGATCGTCCGCCGCTACTGCCCGGTTGAGGCTCCAGACCAAGAACGGGAACCTCATCAAATCGTACCCCAGCGAGACCACGCTATTTGAGGTGGCCCAGCAGATCGAGGAGGAAGTAGGGCACCAGGTTACGAGCTTTTCGACAACTTTCCCCATGAAGAAGTTCGACGCCGGTGTTGACTTTGGGCAGACGCTTGCAGAGGCTGGTTTGGCGCCTAGCGCCGTGGTGGTGGTAAAATAAGATTGTTTGGCTTGTTTATCATCCCCAGGAAGCATCCAAATTGGCAACGCTTCGATGGGTCAGGAGTTTAGGTATCATAGCGGAAGGCGCTGGAGGCGCTGGGGGGGTTTTCAAGATCTTGGGTGGGCCTGATCTTTCTACGAAGGTTGCGGCCCAAAATTGAACACCCTTAACTTTTCGTGTTGTCTTTGCGCCCTTTACAGTTACGCCCTTCATAGTACAAGATCGCCTACGAAGTCTGCGGCCAAAAGTGACTTCCCCCCTTGATACCGTCGGACCCGTAACTACAAGTAACCCCGCATTCCCACTCCCGAACTCACGAACATTACAGGGGTATTCGACCCCATCGACGGCGATCTCGCACCTTCCGGCAGCCGTCAACCGTTCTGTCCCTGACCCGTCGGTTGCCGCTCACTAATCGGGCATTCTAAATAAGCCGGCTGCGGGCATAAGACTCGCCATCTAATGGCCTCACATCTTCGAAACCTCTCCATCCGAGCCTTCTCTCCGTCTCGCATCCGCGTCTTGACTCCCATTTCCGGAAGAATCCCAGTGACCCCATTCCGCCTCACACAACAGCGCAACACCATGGCTACGGAAACACCCAAGAAGATGGAGTGGCTGGTCGTCATCCCCGACTTCCCCGGCGCTCAGGCGAAGAGGCTCGAGGTGCGCCCGTAAGTAAAAGAGAGAAAAGAAGACCATCCCACCAGCCGTCACCCCTTTACAAAGCCCGACTTTACTAACCTCTCCTTGTTCCCACCGCAAAGTCAACACTTCGCCGGCCTCGGCCCCGCCAAGGAATCCGGGCTGTTCCAGATGGGCGGTTCGTAACGTCTTTCTTTCCCCACACTCCCCTCCCCCTCCCCCATGTCTGACTAGAGCCCATATGACATGAAGCCGATAAAAGCTGAAACTAAATAAACAAAAACACAGGTGCCGTGCTCAACGACGTTCCCACATCAGATGACCCGTCAACCTTCTCCTTCGCCGGCAGCACCATCGTCATCCAGGCCTCGAGCCGCGAGGAGATCAAGGAGGTGCTGCGCAAGGACGTGTACACCAGCTCCGGGGTTTGGGATGTTGAGAATGTGAGTAGCTCTTCAATTGTTTATTTCTCAGGTTCAATCTCCCTGTCTGGTTTTACTTCTGTTGTGTCGGGTATGTCTTGGGGAATCATGTGTCGTGGTTACTGACACCTGGTACTGTGTAGGCTCAGATGTGGCCCCTCCTCTGTGCGTTCCGCAACCAAAAATAAACGGTTATCAGGGATGCGGGTTCGGGGTGATGTTTTGTAATTGTGAGGCCGTGACGATGATTCATCGCACAGGCATGGTACCGTGCGCGAGCTAGCGGTATAACGAAGCGGTGCTCCCGAATAACTGAACTAAAATAAACATAACCTTCCCAAACCAATGCCCCGCTAGCCAGGCGTTGCCGCCTCCATTATCCCTCATAATGCCTGCTCAAAACGCCGCGCCACAGGTAACCTAAACAAGGAACGACCATACTCATACAAGAGCCCTGGGGCCTTATGTGGCGGTTTGTGGAGCGGGCGACTTGTCTTCGCTCTCCTCCAGCTCCTCGGCGGCAAGCCTCAAGTCATAGTTGAGGTCGAAACACTCCGCGAGCAGTTCGCTGACGCTGCCCTGGCCTTCAGGGATGTCGCTACCAGCCATGAACTTGCCATCCACCCTCATGTTGTCGATCGAGTTCAACTAGGAACTGTCAGCCAGCCCAGTCACGGCAACAGGGGGGATGTAGGGGGCGGACCTTCATGCTGTACGGGTACAGCTCCCTCACCGAACTCACGCCTCCGTTATTCTTGACCTCGATCAGACACCGCTTCAACGTTTGCAGCTGGTTGTAGATGGGCAGCAGCGCCTCCGACACGGGCTCGGACGAGTTCATGAGGTAGTAAATGTAGCCGTAGCTGCGCCGGATAAGGTATAGGAGCGTGCGCTGAACGTAAAGCTCGGCCGGCTGGCCGTTCTGGTCAAGCCAGTTGCCGTCGACACGCGCCTCGTCAATCTTATCGAGCTGCCGCTGGAAGTCGTACAGGTCCGTCTCGCGCAACGACCAGGCCTGGGTGATGGAGAGCTTCTCGAGGTCGTTGCGGATGTTGATGAGGATGTCGTATTTTTCCTTGAAACTATCCGGGATCACCCCTTTTCTACACCGAGGATCAGTACCTAGTGTGGTGAGATAAGTTTGGGAGCGTGACTATACCTCTCGAGGACAATGTCCGACCACAGTAAGCACCGACCAAGGAGTGTTGACACAGCATCGCTGCCCTGAAGCTCCTTGCCGTCGGCGTCCACAAACTTGCCATTCACCATGGACTCATCGATTTCTTGTAGCTTTGACTTGAGCTTCTGCACCTCGGTTGTAGAGAACTGCTCTTGTGTCAGCACCAGTTGCCACTTAGGTGGCCTCGACTCTTACCTTGGACTTTGTGTTAGCGAGCGACATCGACCGCATGACCGAGATTAGTCGCTCGTAGATGACCTGGAGCGGCTCCGCCAACTGGTCGAGTTGCTGGCGCAAACTGGCCAGCATGGACTTGCACAACGCTTCCCTGTGTCCCAATAACTCCACGAGATAGGGGGAGTGTGCCGAGTCTCCCTGCTCTAGGATACTCTCAAGCCGGCCGAGTGTGTTAGATATGCTGGTGAGATCCTTGGGGGAGAAGAGGCTCGCTTCCGTCAGGTGGTCGAGCAGCCGTTTGATGGTGGAGGTGAGCGCGTACGCCGCCGGCACCTCGCTCGTCCGTCCGATCGTCATGAAGAACAGCGAGATGAGCTGGAGGCAGCTTTCGAGAACCTTATCCACTGTGAGGATGGTAAGTCAAAATGATGGGCCACAGACATCGCCTCGTTCGACATACATCGATTCTCCCCCTTGTGTTCCCCTTTTCGGATCTCGTTCACTTGTCTGACCTGCTCCACCAGCTGATCCTGCAACTCCATGACATCCTGGGTCCTGATGTACTTGGTGCGGTCTCTCTTGAGAAGCAACAACTTGTCCTGGATGACTGTGAGCCTTTCGAGGATCTGCCGCTCCCGCTCATCCTTAGGCATGGGGACTGCTGGAGTTTCCATTGTGGCTGTTGTCAGGATGCTCTCTCCGGGGGGTAGAAGGCTGTCGGAAGAAAAAGTGACCGTTTGTCCCTTCAAGAAGGGGGCCCTCGCTTTAATAATCTTGGATCGGGAGGGTCGGAATGTTGTCCGCGTGACTGATCAGAGGGCCGATTTACTTTAGACCACACTTGCGCCACTTCATCAAGCTCGTGGGCGAACTGGAGGTTGAGAGATTTTAAAACTGAATTGGCACTTCTGCAACATGGACCAGAAATCGATCTGCTTATGGGGACAACAGAGCTCTAATTTGCCGGTTGGCACGGGGTTCAGAGACGCAGGTTGCAACTTCTCAGCTTCTCGTTCGACTTGTTCGCGACGTCAGTGGTGGGGGAACTGTGGAAGGTGGGGTGTCAGTACAGGGACCCTGGTCGGCCTTGGTCTTTGGGGAAGATCTTCTCCACTCTGTGGCTCGGGCTCTGGGTCGAAAAAGTGGCGAGGGAGAGGAGGAAAAAGGGAGTGTTCATGCGATAAAGTGACTACCTAGGAATGGAACTGAATAGTTACGCCCCATTACTGTTTTTTCTACCTGCCTACCTCTCCGATAGGCTTCAAACAAAGATTCACTGAAAGAACAACTCCCCTGAAGAGGGAGAGAGGGAGAGAGGTGGACCTCTTTTGGTTAGCGTGGTCTATCAGGGGGTCCAGCCAATGGCTTGTCCCCCAGGCCAATCACAGGTGTCGAGGTTCCCAGCTGTTCAACAGCTGTCACTATTTAAACTCCAGCCGGCGGCCGTAGGGCCACGCTATTCTGTTTTCGTATCGCCCACAACTAATTATTTTCCCGCTCGCGAATTTCAAGCTCGGTCTCTACATCCCACGTCAACAAGCCCTTCGAGTCACAGCACTTTGCGCCTCGACAACCACAGTCACCATGTCTAACGCTGAGCTGGCCACTTCGTACGCGGCGCTGATCCTCGCCGACGAGGGCGTCGAGATCACCGTAAGAACCCGCCGTGCGGCCTCGTGCGGAATTGCGCGGGCGCCGAGAACTCGAGAAGCTGCGCAAGGCTAACCGTCAATCCCAGTCCGACAAGCTCCAGACCCTTATCAAGGCTGCCAACGTCCTCGAGGTTGAGCCTATCTGGGCTTCATTATTCGCCAAGGTACGAAACACCGATGCTGCACACGAGTTTACGATCGAACTACGGGAATCGAGACGAGCAGGTTGACTGACTGGGACGTTTTTGCATTGCAGGCTCTTGAGGGCAAGGATGTGAAGGACCTTCTCTCCAACGTCGGCTCGGGTGGTGGCGCTGCCGCCCCTGCCGCTGGTGGCGCTGCCGCTGCCGCTGGCGGTGCTGCCGAGGAGGTCAAGGAGGAGGCCAAGGAGGAGGGTGAGTTTTTCCCTTGCGAACGCTGGCTGCAAGGCCTCGGGTGTTTTCGGATTGCTGACAGCCACTGCAGAGAAGGAGGAGTCGGACGACGACATGGGATTCGGTCTCTTCGACTAAACTGGCATCGACTCGGGCAAGGCGTGGTTTTGACTCCTCGGATTCCCTTTGTTCTTCCAAAACTTGCATGGCTTTGCGGCGGTATTTCGCACACACGACCACAGGGATGGAGGCTATGATATCGGGGGTCCGGGTTCATCGGCGTAGCTTTACATGGAATCTGAAGATGCGCTTTTGAGCAACTGCTACTGGGGTTCGGTTGGCGCGAGCCGACTGGTCCCGTGGGATCGGTGACGACGGCCACACTAGGGACAACCTTCGGAGTCGCGGTTCCAGCAGGTTTGGTTGGACTTTATTCTTCGGGATACGCCATACCGTAGTGGAAAGTCCAAATTCGAGTATTGATGCAGTAAACACGCTTGCCTGTGGTCCTCTTCGCCCATTCTCGGATACCCGCGGCTAACTTATACCAACGCCAATATATGGGCATGTTCATGTTTGCGAGCATGCGTTAAAGTACAGATTACATGCCTCCCTGACACAATACCAGATGTTGTCTTGGGAATGCCAGTGTGGGAACCTTTCGGCGACGGAGATGACTCCCGGGCCGCGGTCCACGGAGATCTATACACACAAGTACTCGCCCAGCCATCCCTCAATACCATCCATGGTTGCTGCCACCGGGCTCTTCCCGGGTCTTGTTCTCCTACGTCGTCGATTCTATACGCTCTAGTCGGCCCTTACCCGTAGCTCTCAACAAATTGAAGAGGAGCTGTGGTGCTATACGCAACGCCCCTCAGGTCGGGAAACCCCAATGTCTGGAAGCTCTTCGAGAACCCCCGAGAAGGTTACCAGCCACCTCATGGACAAAAAAAGCCGAACTCCAAGTGCAGATGTCGGCCATAGAAACTTCGAGTCCTTGGCTGGAGGAATATAACGAAAGTTATCCTGAAGCTTAAAGACTCTATTTACTCCATTTCCTTTTTTTCTTTTTTACCCTCTTCTTTTACTTAACTTAATTTTCTCGATCTCTTTTCATTTATTCTTTTTGCTTGATTTCTTGCTTTTCTTTCGAGTTCGGCTTTTTTTGGCCAAGAGGGTCCCAGCGCCGGCTCAGGGAGAAGATCAGGGTTCGGGTCCGTGAACCGAGTCTTGGCACGCCGAGTCTTGTGGGCTCGATGACGAAATGGTTTCCTCGGGAGATGTGAGTGACAGCATCTGCAACTCACTATTCTGGGTTCTCCAAGCTTGAAGCGGCTGCATGTATCTTCTTTCTATGGACCCTTATGGAACTCATCTTGCGGCCCAATATTTACATATATCGCAAGTCTTTTGATAAATACCTCGATTTCCAATAGCGAGCGTCAAGTGTGCCCAGTAAGGATTGCGGGGGAGGGGTAAAGTCGATCAGCTGCAAGAGGCGGCCGCAGAATGACGAGTTTTAAATCCCAGGGATTTGTTCTATTGGTGAGGGTTCCGAGGAGCGTTTCACAGCTTAAGCTTGACGGTAAGACCTATGACAAGGTTGGTCGTTGAATATGGACCGAGACGCCCAACTTGCAGACGCTGCCTGCCCAAGTCATACGAGCTGTCGTCGGCTATCACAGCTGAAGCTTGGGCGGTCCGCTTCCCGGCATTGCCCGCGAATGTTCGCTACAGGCTTTGGCACGCCAACTGCGAAGCAACGAGAACTAGTCAGGTCACAAGGCTGCGCCTCGTACCTCGCGAGTTTCGGTGTTCCGTGCCGGTTCACGCCTGTCGGGCACTGGTGTGGAGCTACCGGCCGCATCCGACTCGACCCCGTGGGCCGCACAGTTCCCACAAGCCTCGTGCGCTTGCCTTCTGCCACCGTGTTCTCGAAGTTTTGGGGGTCCCAGACTTCGGATGAGCCACGAGGTAATTGGTTTAAGTGCCAGCGGTGCAACATGGTGGGTCATTCGGCAAGACCTTGATGGGTGCACAAGACCTCCTGTCTCCAACTGAGTGTGGCTGCATGCCAGCTACCTCAAAATCTGCAAGGAGCCGGCCGCTATTATCTTCGACCTCGTCGCTGTCGGGCTTGGGGGCTGTTGGCCTTTTGTGAGGGACGGCTTCCAACCGCTGTCTCGAATATTGTTCCAACATTGCGGCGTAGTTGAGGGCGGCACAACACATCTAGAAACAGCGCCCGGAATCTGTTGGGGATCACATCTCACCCTAGCAAGCCGGCCACCTTTGGAGGCCCCCTCTTCTCTACCAGTCTGTCTCAGGGGCAGACCGTTTCGTTTCTCTTTTTTTCGGCGCCCCTCGTCTATGTAGGCCAAAAAACTGCCTTAATTTAGAGTGAGAAAGGATCTGGCCGTGGTACGGGCCGCCCCTGGCCAACAGACTTTGGCGATGTCGCGAAACCCGGAATGAGGCATCCTGTGTGAAGTCGGCGACCGCGCCGCAGTTGGTTTCTGCAAGCCACTGCAGCTTTCTGTTGCTGCGAGTAATAACGTAATGCCGCTACTACTTCAGTTGTGCATGCGGGCCAAGGTCTGTCAGCACCGCACTGGGTGCCCTTGCGCTCAAGGCAGGCGCGTCTCACCCTCCCGCACCAGCCATCCCATGCCCCCTCCCCCTTCCCACCTTCCTTCGGTCCACAGCCCCCCTCTTATAGCACCTTCCCTTGCTCGCAGCCTTCTCTTCCCACCCCGCCTTGCTTGGAACCTTTGCAACTTCCACACTTCGTTTTTTTTTGCGCTTTTGCGATTTCATTTCGTGCGATACCCAACCGCGCAGACATCCAACTCCCCTAATTTGTTTATGCTTTTGCTTACAACTTGATTATTACCGCCGACATTAACTGGTTGGGAAACCCCACCTCTCACAACCCTCCAGCGGGTGTGACGACACTCACCAACCGCCATGCCTGAGGTGTACCGCGAGTCCCGCTACATGCGGGAGCGGGATACGTCTCCCTCTGACGATGAGGGTTACAAGAGGACGACAGTGCGCCGGTACAAGGTGACGCCCGATCGCGTCGAGCGTGTCGAGCGTGATGTAGACGTCGTCGAGGAGGAGCGCCGCAGTCGCTATGCCCCCATTCGCCGCTCCAGCCGGGACGATGTCATCGAGGTGGACCGTCGCGTCGATCGCCTGTACATTCCCGAGAAGCCCCGGTCGACCTACGACCCATCTCCCCATAGCGCAACCTACGTTGAGCGCCAGGTCATCGACCGTGAGCGCGAGCGGGAACCTAGAGAAGACCACTACTCGAGGGTCGACCGCGTCGAGTACCGTGGGGATGGGCCTCGGAGCGCGGTTGTGGAGCGCGAAAGAGTCATCGAGCGCGACGAGCGGGACCGCGATGATGACTACCGCCGCGGCAGCGACCGCGGGAGGGCCGTGTACGAGTCCAAGGAAGTCGAACGGGTTGATCGCCACGACGTTTACTCGCCAAGAGAATTTGAGCGTCGCTCGTACTGGGACGACGAGAACCAAACCGACGTGCGCGTCGAAAAGAGAGTCGAGCACCGGGATTCACATGGCGGCGAAATCCGTGTAGAACGCCGGGTTGAAGAGCGCCGCGATGATGGCTATCCCGCTGGAGGTGCCGATGTTGAGCGCTGGCGCAAGGAGACCGAATACTACGAACCCGCGCAGGCTCCCACTCCTATCGTCATTCGGCAGCGCGCCCCAGAGCAGAAGATCATCCTCCAGGAGGCCCCGCCGGCCACAGTTGTCATCCGGGACCAGGCCCCAGATAACCGTGAGGTCGCTCTTACCCGCCAGGAATCGCGTGATGGCGAATACTATTACCACCGCGAGTCTCGTGAAGTTGGCCCTTACCGAGGGGACCGTCGCGAGGAGGAGTATGCGATGGCGCGCTATGACGACGACCGGCACCGCCATCACCATCACCACCACCATCACCGTCGCCATCATCGGGAAGGCTACAGCGACGCCGAATCCGACGATGGCTACTACATGAAGCGCACCGTCACCCGGCGGGAACGTAGCGCATCGAGCAGCCCGCACCGCAAGCGCCATATCGCGGAAGGGGCCCTCGCCGGGGCCGGCATCTCAGCGATCCTCGCATCTAGACGCGACTCACATGGTGAGTATAAGCAAAACCGCGGTCGCAAGGTTCTTGCCGGTGCAGCCATTGGCGCCCTTGGTACCGAGGTCGCGAGGCGCGCACATAGTGCTTACCAAGAACGCCACCCCGACGAGCACGAGAGAGAGCGTTCCCGTTCTCGCTCGCGCCCTCCTCATTCCAGGCTCAAGACTGGTCTTGGGATCGCTGCTGTTGCTCTCGCCGCCGCCGGCGCAGCCAAATACTACCAGAGCAACAAGGTTGAGAAAGAGGAGATGAACCGCGGCCGGGCCCTCCACCGCGATAGTGACACAGACCGGTCTCCCAGCCGGAAGCGGTCCAAGAGCCGGGCCTCTTCCATGGCCAAGGCCGGCCTGGGTACGGCCGCCGCCGTCGGGCTGGTACAGCACTACCGCCATAAGAGCAAGTCGCGAGATGGCAAATCGAGGGATGGCAAGAGCCGCTCTCGATCGCGCCTTCGAACTGGTGCCGAGATGCTAGCCGCCGGCATCGCCGGCGCCGGTGCTAAGAAATTGTATGACCGCCGCAAGGATAAGAAGGAAGAAGAGGAAGAGCAGGATCGAGAACGCGAGCGGGAGCTCAGTGGCGATGATGAGTATTACGGCCGTGACGCGCGCGACTACCACCGCCGTAGCAGGAGCAGAAGTTTAACTCGGTCCGGACCCACGTACCCCGACGGTGACTCTTCCGTAGCTGATCCTGAGCTAGGCATGGTTGAGTACGGGGCCCACCCCCTGTATGCGGACCCCCCACAACGAAGCGAGAGGGGCCCAGCGGCAGAGGGGTATGAGTCTGCGGCAGAGGAGAGGAGCCGCAGGCGGAGGAGGAGGCGTAGTGGGACATCGAGAGGCGACGACGATTACTCTGCGGATAGTGAGACGGAGACGGACCATGACAAAAAAACGGAGAAGAAGCGCAGCGGGAGTAGGCTGCGCGACCTTGCTGCTGGTGCTGCGGCAGCTGGCGCAGCAGCCATTGGTATTAAGAAGTATAACGACAAAAAAGACAAAGGGAAAGAGAAGGAAAAAGATGAAAGGGACCGCGAGAGAGATAGGGACAGAGATAGGGAGAGGGATAGGGAGAGGGAGAGAGACAGGGAGAGGGAACGAGAGAGGAATAGAGAGAGGGAGAGGGATAGAGGGATGGAAAGGGACCGGCGGCGTGAGTGAACCGACCTGAGAACACCCCCGATTGGCTTGCTGACAACCACTAGGCTACGGTGACGATGCTCCGCCAGACGGCTATGACAATTATGGCCGCCGGGCTCCTTCCCCCCCTCACGCGTCTGGTGGTTACTACAACCCCCCACCAGTGGTTCCTCCAACCGCCCCGGCTCCAACCAACGGCTTCACACAACACCCCAATGTTGCCACCACCAACCTCAACCAGCACTACCCACCGTACCCACCGGACTCGGCCTACACTCCATACAGTCCGCCCGTGCCTGGACCGCCCCCGAATTCGGCTGCACCGTTCGGCCCTTACACGCCGCCCATGCCTGGTGCGCCCCCGGATCCGAATGCAGCATACACACCATACACCCCGCCCATGTCGGGTCCGCCACCGAACCCGAACCCGGCTGCGGCGCCGGGACCTGTGCCTCCACCGATGCCTCCGCCTTCAAACCCCACGGGCCCTGAACATGTGAGTGAAGCTTTTCGTGCTGGTCGTTCCACTCTAGAGCCAGAAGCTGCCGCTCGCTCCGTTGATGGTGACAAGAAGGGTGCGTCCTCTCGCGCTTGAGAGACTAGACCCCCTCATCGCACTGCACTCGAGGCCTGGACTGACTGTTTATGTGCTCGTAGATCGTGTAATCCCCTCGGACGCCTCCCCCCCTACAGGCTCGACAAGCTCGGAGATGGAACCACCAGACACGCCTCGCACGTCCAAGTCTGTCATCTTCATCCCGTTGTCTCCCAAGTCATCTGCTACGCTCCGCCGCCACCACGAGAGCCAAGCAATCAAGTCCGAGACGGAAGACATGGCAAGTGATAGCGATGACAACCGAAACCGTGGCAAGGGGCCGGCCGATGGCGAGCCTGACAAGACACGCCGTCGCCGCAACTCAGATACATCTTCGGACCGCCCACTCCCCTCCAGCCACCGGTCGCGCGACAAGGATGCTACCTCGGAGACCGATGACGAGGATGCAGTCGAGATGCTACCAGATCGCTTCGACGCCCACGGCCGCCCGCTCGACGGGTCCGGTTCCTCTCGCGGCGGCGGTTCGAATTGGCACAGCCGGCGCGGGGACTTTGAGTACCGGAGTCCGCGCGGCGCCAACGGGACCAACATGCGTGGGGAGTGGGGTGTTGCTGGTGCCGATGCTGAAACGGTGGAACGCCTTGTGCGGGACGTTACTGGAGTGTTGGAGGGCAGGGGCAGCTGGATGGGATTAATTGGCGGGATTCTGAGTGGGAGCTTGCTGAAGGGGCCTGGTGGTGGTGATGATGATGGCGAGGACGACGATGGCAAGGGTCGAGGGAAATCACCCGATCATGACCGTGATCGTAGTCGAAGTCGTGATCGTGACCGTGATCGTGATAGAAGCCGGGACGGTAAGGACGAGGACAAGCGGAGGCGAAGGAGAGACGATGATAGGGACGAGGATAGACGGCGACGTAGGAAGGATGACGACAATGGGGAGAGCAGTAGTCGTAGGCGGAGGGAGGATGACGAGAGGGGGGAGAGCAAGAGTCGGAGGAAGCGGGGGGAGGATGAGAGAGGCGAGAGCAGTAGACATGCAGAGGATCGGCGGACTCGTGGGGGGGAGAGGGATGGTTATGACGACGACGAGGATGAGCACTATTATGAGGATAGGAAACGGAGAAGTCGGGGGAGGGGCGATCGGTATGAGAGGGGCGTGGGGAGGTCACAGACTTGGGGATGAGGTTTGATGGCTGATGACTTTATGATTGCTCTGATTTCTGCTCTTTTTGCATGTTTTCTTTTCTCTACGCTAGATATGATGCTTGGATGTTTTCGGTCACAGATGCGCTGGACTAATAGTTCCTCTTTTTTTTTAAGATACGAATATCATGATTTATGTCGGTCCCGCCTTCGATGTTCTCGTCACACAAAGTAATATGCAGATCGATCTGGACATGATACTCTATACCCAAAAATGGGGTCATGTGCAACTACCGTGGTATATGGTTCTAACGTACATAACCCGACCGCTCTATAACTCATCGTGCTCCTCGTCATGCATAACCGGCTTGTCGGGCCTCCCGCTGTCCTGGTGCAGATCGACGCCCTTCTTCGCGCGCCACTTCTGGAACAGCGCCCACAGCTCCTTCTCCATGCCGCTCTCCATCTGGTCCGGCAGCACGACGGTGTACTCGACGTACAGATTCCCAAACTCGGTCTTGTGGTACACGCTGTCGCCGTCCTCGTGCCACTTGGGCATGCCCTCCCCGGGCACCGTCTCGACGTGGTTCGGCTGCACCACCGCGCCGCGCTCGCGGCCGAGCCGCACGACGTGCCCGTCCAGGTGGGTGACGTTGCGGGTCCAGTCGCCCATCAGCGCCTCGCGCAGCGACAGCACCTCGCGCCAGAAGAGGTCGTCCTCCTTGCGGCGGAAGAAGACGCCGTCGACGCGGTCCGGGTTGTCGTCCCCCTCCAGCTCGGGCTCCTTCTCCACCACCTGCACGATCAGGTCGCCCGCCACGTAGTCCGGGCTCGCGTCCGCCTCGTTCTCGTACGCGATCCGCACCCCGTCCGCCATGCCGCGCTGCACCGTCAGCGACACCGTCGCCGGCCGCCGCACCACCCGCTCCCCGCCGCAGGCCTTGCAGCGGTGCTTGATGCTCTTGCCGCGCCCGCCGCAGGCGTCGCACTGCATCTGCACCTGCGTGACCATCCCGGGGGCGAGCTGCTGGCGGACGGTGCGCACGCCGCGCCCGCCGCAGGTCTGGCAGGCGTGGACGACGCGGTCGGCGGCGCCCGTGCCCTCGCACTCGTCGCAGATCTCCTGCTTGTTCCACTGGAACTCGGTGGTGCGGCCGTTGTAGAAGTCGCGCAGCGACACGGGCACCTTCACCTCGACGTTGTGGCCGCGCCGCTGGCCGGGTTGGCTGCCGTAGTGCCCGCCCCCGCCGAAGAAGCGGCTGAACAGGTCGAACGGGTCGTGCCCGCCCCCGCCCCCGCCCCCTTGCTGCTGCCGCCGCTGCTTGAGCCCCTCGTACCCGTACTGGTCGTAGATCTGGCGCGACTCGGTGTCGGAGAGCGCCTCGTAGGCTTCGGCGACGAGGACGAACTTGTCGTGGGCTGTTGGGTCGTTGCTGTGGGAAGGGGGGGGGCGGTTGTTAGAGATGGGGTTGCGTAGGAACGAGGGGGTTGTGTGCGCGATGGAGCTGGCGGACTCACGGGTTCTTGTCGGGGTGGTATTTCTTGCTTAGTTGCCTGTAGGCTGACTTGATCTGCCTCTCCGATGCTTGTTTGTTAAGGCCGAGGACCTGGGGGTGTTTGCTGTTAGAGAAAGGCTAGACTTTGGAGATAGAAAGAGGGGAAGCCCAAACGCACCTTGTAATAGTCCTCGGCGCAAAACGCAACCTGTGCCAGGGCCAAAAGTGGCAGCAGAATGGTCTTGAGTAACCTCATGATGGTATGCGCCGCGGCCGCTGTGGCCAGGCTGTTAACTTGGGTTTGCAAAGCTCAATTGGTGGCGGGAAAAGAATCAGTTGACGGTGTATTTGGGCCAATGTAGGCGTGATTAGGACCGTAATTAGAGAGCGACAAGAAGTGGGAAGGAGAGAAGTCGAGGGGGGGGAGAGACAGAGTTGACAAAAGGTGTATGAATATGGCCAGTAATGGACATGTAATCCGTAACTTTGTTGCCATCCAAGACTTCCGTTTTTAGTTAGATGCGAATGGTTGGTTGGCCGTGCTTCGCCTAGCGTGGAATCCACGTGTCCACCAACCAAGCACATCTCAGCCTCCCGACCACCGACCCAATTTTAATTTTGCTCCTCATTCCTGGTCTCCCGCGTACTTTGTAGGACGTGCCACCTCCCTTGTGCCTTGTTGGATCGCGAAGTCAACCTCTTCGCGATATACTATGTATAACTTCCTACCCTTGGCCTCTACTCAAGGATAAGGTTGGGAGGCCAATTAGGCAGTTAAAAATATCGAGAGTTAATGTTACATTGTTTCCGCATTGGCTCCAATGTTGTGATAGAGAATACGGGCTCCACGAACAGTAGCGTCAAAGCCAAGGTCGACATCATCTTTAAGAGCTTGTGGATATTTGTTTCGTTTCGCTGGCATATACAGACGCCGAGGTCTCCTTTGCAAGGAAAGCCGATGGTAAAGCTGCAAAAATACTGCTTCCCAATCTATCCTCGTCCGTAACCCATACACGCTCCCCGATGTCTTGCGCAGCAAGACTAGTTGTCATTCTTGCGGAAACGTCTCTCCTTGTCCCGCAGCTCCCGATCCTGCTCAGCCAACTCACGCTCGAAATCATGGCGCCGTCGATACAGCTCCTGATTCTCCCTGCGAAGGTCCTGGTACTTCTTAAGAAGCTCTTCCTTCGAGCGCTCAGGTTCGCCTGAAGCCCTCTTCGCCTTTGACTTTCTGGGCTTCCGAGCGTCTTTGATATCCGCCACCAGTTGGTTCTCGCAACCCTTCTGGAGAACTTTGGCAATAGTGATGAGAGGAATACGGATTTGCGCATCAACGTCGTCGCCATTCCTGTGTTCCTTGTAAGTCATAGGAAGGAGGGAGGGGAGGACCACAAAGAAAAGGAAACACGTACGCCGTGCGAGTGAACGCTATGGATAGAGTATGGCCAGGGGGAAGCAAATCGGAGGCGTGAACATCGACGCTCGCGGACTGGTCCGACAAGGGCACCTAGTCCATGACCGTCTGGATGTTGCCATTCCCATCCCGAATCCACATGCTGATAGCAGAGCGGTCCAGGGCGCTAGCTGTCTTGCTAGCACGATCCGGACCACGGGCGTAAAACACGTCGAGGCAAAGGACTACCTGGATGCGACCCTCTTTGAAGTACTCCTTGTACCGTGCCTCCAACTGGTCTCTCGTGAAGCGATGAGCATACGCAATTTCGACAACCAAGGGCGGGCAACGGTCCCCCGGTTCTCTAAACATCCTGAAAAGAACGGCCACATCGGGGGCCATATAAACTGTAGGAGACTCTTCATCGTCTCTAACCTCGGCCCTGGCGCAGTAACATGAACCAAAGAGCAGCAGGAGGGCCCTGCGCCGGGTCCATTTCTGACGGATCTGTCCCGCAATCATGTTCGTCAAGGCGACGGAAAGATGGCGGTGGATGAAACTCGTTTTCTGTTTGTAGTAAACTACGCCGCAGCTGTAGTCGGACGGGCCTGGATCTCTGCGGGTTTCCATCTCTAGAAGCTCAAGATACTGTTCGGGTGAAGCCTTGAAAGCCATGCCTCCGAAGGGCTCGCGGGGAGAGTCATCATCGAGCTCCTCCAGCTGCTGGAGCAAGTCTTCGAAGCTGCCCAGAGCATTGTCGCGCGGGAAGCGATCCATGGTGAGTTGAGTCGAGGACTTATCCAAATACCCTACAGGGGGGAAGTGATGATTTGTGGGAAGGAAGATGGACCGAGGAGGTGCGACAAAATGAAGAGAAGGGGCTCTGTTTAGGTACCTAGGTACTTACCCCGCCATTGTCTTATCGCGACTCGAGCCACGACTTGCAGAGATCTTGACATCTCCTTCAGGTTCACTGCACCGTGTAAACATTCCAAGTTGGAGCGCTCTTGCCCTCCGACGACGACCTCTTACACTTCCAACCCTAACCCTGTCGAGCAAGACAACCGTCCTTCTTTCAGTCGCCCACCCCACATGAATGCCATTGCGTAATAAAGTCACCGGATAAGAGTAGGGCCATAGGAATGTCTCCGGAGTGCCTAGCTTATACTTTCTCCCACTCACATCGACTCTCACTCTCCTTCTCTCACCTGCAACCTTCTCACTCACTGGTTCCCCCCCCTTTTCACCCCCCTTCTTCCTCCCCCCTGATCATCACCACCGCCACCACCACCCCCAAACAAACAAACCAACCCCCCCAACCAAACCACAACCATGCTCCCCCCAATCCTCGCCTCCCTCCTCCACCCCTTCCATTTCATGGCCCTCGCCCTCTCCCACCTCCCCTCCACCATCCTCGCCGCCCTGCTCACCCGCGACCTCAGCACGCTGCTCTCCCCGAGCCGGCTGCGCGCCGCCTGGTTCGGCCGCTTCTGGGCCCAAGTCGGCCCCCTGGTGCGGGCCAACGCCGAGACGAAGGTGATCCCGCTGCTCCAGGGGCGCGTGACCTACGGCGTGGTGCCGTCCTCACCCTCACCCTCGCCCACCGACACCGACACCGACACCGCCCGCGGCGACACGCCCCAGCAATCACAATCACAATCCCACCCCCAGGACCAGCAACCACACCCCCACCCGCCCGTCTCGGGCACAGTCCTCGAAATCGGCCCCGGCTCCGGCATGTGGACATCCCTCTTCACGCCGCGCCACCTGCCCGCCATCCGCAAAGTGTACGGCGTCGAGCCCAACACGGGCGTGCACCCCCTATTACAAGCCCAAGTAGCCGCGGCAGGTCTGTCGGAGACATACGAGATCGTGCCCGTCGGTATCGAGTCGCTGGCGGGATCCGGGCGGGTGGCGCTGGAGAGCGTGGACAGCATCGTGACGGTCATGTGCCTGTGCAGCATCCCCGAGCCGCGGCGTAATATGGCGCAGCTGTACGGGTACCTCAAGCCTGGGGGCAGGTGGTATGTGTATGAGCATGTTAAGTGCTTTAGGGAGCAGGGGTGGGGGATGCGGTTGTATCAGGGTGAGTGACAGGCTTTCCTTTGGTTTGGGTATCAAAGATTTGTCCCGATCGAGCGGGCATTCGCTGATTTGCATCTAGCCTGTCTGAATATTATCTGGCCTCAGCTCATCGGAGGATGCGAAATGTGTCGCGACACTGGGAAGTGGCTTAGGGAGGCCGCCCCATGGAGCGACGTGGACCTGCACCGGATGGAAGGAGAGGCCTGGTACTTCACCATGCCTCACATCATCGGCGTTCTCACCAAATAGAGCTGTTAGACCATCGAAGGGCGTTTGGTCCTCCGAGTTGGCGCTGTCATGCTCGCTTTATATCTCACTTGTACATGTGCCAAACACAGTGGTCACAAATGCATAGAAAGCAATACTCCCGAGTCACTGAGTGAAGATTGGCCCTAAGCCTTCCACTACCTGACTATCTCGGGTGCCATATCCGTCCATCTATCTCCCTTGTCATGCGGCCAAAGCCCGTAGAAATGGCCAAAGATCAGCCAAAGTAAACGACTAATGCCCCGTCAAAGTAAAAAGATCGACTCCCACCCCCCAAAGATAGCCAGTCTCATGATCGAGTTTACCAGCCGCTGGGGTCAGCAGCTCCCGAGCTCCAGCCGCCGTCGCCGCCATCGGCAGCACCGGGAACATCGCCAGCGCCGCCGCCATTCTCGGCACCGCCATGGCCACCACCTCCGTAGCCGCCATCGGCCCCATCCTCAGGGACCAAGGGGTTAGGGCATCTAGACTTGTAGTGACCCATCTCCTGGCAGTTGTTGCACTTTACACGCGAAACTACGAGGTGATTAGCAATGACTCAGTAAAGCGACTTGCGAGGACTCACTATCGCGCGGCTTCGGGCAGTCTTTGTTCATATGGCCAAACTCATCGCAGTTGCGGCACTGCACCAAGGCCATGTTGCGCGGCTCGGTGCAATCACGGGACATGTGACCCTCCTGGCCGCAGTTGCGGCAACCACGGGGACCACCCTGCGGGCAATCGCGAGAGAAATGACCCACTGGTCATGGTTAGCAACCCCTTGGCCCCTATGGAAACGGACACTTACTCTCGTTGCACTTGCGGCACTCAACATTCTCGGCCGAGCGGGGCTCAGTACACTCAGCAACTTTGTGACCCGATTGACTAGAAAACTGTCAGCATACCGCATCTTAGGCACTTTACGAAGGGAGACAAACCCGCAGTTCTTGCAGGCAAACTTGTCAACGCGCGGAGTAGGGCCTTGAAATCTGGTCAGCTAACATCACACTCAAATGTCGGTGCAGGGTAACTTACAGTCGCGAACGCGATGGCCGGGCTCGCTGCAGTTGAAACACATGATTTCGAAGGCATTAACCTTCTCAATCTTCTCCTGGGGGCAGCTCTTGGCGATGTGACCAATCTCGTCACAGTTGCTGCACTTGGGAAGGCCGCCGTAAACGACTTCACCGGCGTCGGCGAGGCGCTCAATATTCTCTTCAACATCCTTCGGCCAGAGCTCGCGGTCCCGCGGGCGAGGGGGGTTCCACTGGAAACGGTAGGTGACCGTGTACTTCTTGTGGAGGCAGCCTTGGAGATCCATGTTGGTGAAAGTGGAAGCCAAGGTCTTCTCAATGGCGATGAGCCACACCGGAACATCTTGGGCACGGAAAGCGCGCTCCAGTGCCGCGTACGTAGCATCAGGAGACGACTTGACGTAGATCTGAATGGCCTCTTTGACATCGTCAATGTCGCGCTCCTTGACGGCACGCTTGATGAGGGCCCAGGCTTCCTCGGTGGACATATCCGCAAGGTGGTCGCGGTCGATCTTGCGGGCATTCTCGCACTGGCTGATTGTGTGGCCTGCATTTCAAACAGAGTCAGCAGGCTTTTATTGCCATCACATCCTACACCAGTGCCATACCAGTCTCGCCACAGTTCTTGCAGACGCGGTTGGGGCAATCCTTGACGACATGGTCGGGGGATTCGCACTCTTTGCACAGCATGGGCGGCGCGTTGGGGCAGTCCTTGCTCCAATGGCCCTCCTCGTTGCAGCGACGGCAGGCGCCATTCATGACGCGGGGGGTAGGGCAATCAGCCTTGTTGTGACTAGGTACAACATTGCGTTAGTCGTTCCAGTTTGGTTGTTGGCCGTTCGAAAGAGCGGGATAATTTACCCAGGTTCGCCACAGTTGAAGCAGGCGCGATCGCCGCCGCCGTTGCCAGCGTTCTCATTACCACCATTCTCTGCGCCAAAGCTTTCGCCGCCTGTGGCAGCGCCGGAACCGCCATTGTTCCAGTTGCCGTCGTTGCCATTGCTGGTACCCCAGGAATCGGCAGCGGTAGCATCACCGCCACCACCACCCCAGTTGTTGTCCCAAGTCATGATGGTTTTGTGTTTGGGTTTGCAATGTGACTGTAGTATCGGCGTCAGAGAATTTCCCAAGTTGGAAGGAGTATGGGTCAATTGGCGGAACAAGCTAGCAAGGTTTGACCAAGTAAAAATGGGAAGCGGAAAGGTAGAAAGTGCGGAAGTAAAGAAGGCTCGTGGAGCCCTTGTTTCCGAAGAGAGAACGACTAGTGACGATACCTGCAAGACGTGGAACGGGAATTCGAAATGGAGACGGAACTCATATTGGCTTACCTGAGTTGATCTAGCTGAGGAAAACAGCAGTCGGAATCTGAGACGCGATTTGAGTTAGCCTTTGCGAACACCCCATACCACTTTGGGCCCCGCGATTATCGAAAGTGAAAAGAAGGAACAAGTTGGAGGGAGACGATAAGGTTACCTGCTTTTATGAGGGCCTCGATAAAATCGATCGATAGCCGGAGTGTCGAGCGATTGGATTTACTCGAGGTCGGGTTGTGGTGGGAACTAAGAAGGAACGCAGAAGCGGGAAGAGAGGGCGGCAAGGGAGAATTCCAAGTGGAAGGTGGGAAATTTTGGCAGAGAAAGGGCGACAAATTTAAAAGTCACGGTGTGTTTGCGAGTCAGAGTTTTCGCTTTGGGTGAGAAGGAGGCCGGACCACGATCTGTGCCCTCTCTCGCGACATTGGGAAGGAGCAGGCCGGCACAGGTGACATATGGAACTTCCATATTTCAGAATGATCGCGCGGCAACAATTTGAGCTAGGAAAGGAAGGTGCAGTTTGTTCACCACACCTAGGCAGTTGCGCAGTGTTGCTTGTGATTCAGCTCTGGCGATAATCCTTTGGTGTTTTAATATCAGCAATTAAAAAAAGGGGCAAAGTAAACAATCCTCCAGGGGTATCACTGTGCGAGCTACATGACACACGGCCCGTAGTTATTGACTAAACTTTTCGTGCATCCCATTCTAAACATGGGGAATATGCATGTGCAAGAACTCATGATGCTCACTGGGACAATGAGAGTACAATCGCATCTTGTATCTGTGAACTGTTCCGGACCCGATAGCTATCCAGTGCCAAGTTGGGTAACAGTATCTGCAGCAACAAGCAGGTTAAAGTCTTGGCATCCATGTTAAGCTCTCAACGCTTTCTCTTCTGTTAGGTTTATGCATAAGGTATGGATTTTGTTGGTTCGGAGGTTAGATAGGCAGGTAGTGGGTATTCACACTGCAAAGGTATTACGAATGCCTGATGTGTTTTAATTATTTTATTTTATTTGTCTCTTGCGACCATTAATTATCACGGGGTTTCCAGTTCGGCCCTATTCCTCACCTACCTATGTTGGGCCTCTTGACTCACACCGAAAGAGGGAGGTGAAAGATAGTATTGTGGCGGCTAAATGGAATCAATGGAAAGTTCAACCGCTAGCTCCAACTTGTTTGTCTCCACGCGGCCCTTCTCGCCGGGAAAGAAAGTCAAAGAAGGGAGTTTGTAATCCTCTTGCAGCCTTCGTTGGATCTTTGGATTGCCAGGTCCAATAAAGATTCTCTCAGAAGGAGCGTGATGGTTGCTGGCAAGGCCAACCCCTGGACCCAGCGGAGGGGTAACGGCGGGGAGCTGAACCACCCCGCTGCCATGCAGGTATCGGCGCGACTGATTCCGTAACACCAGTTGGTGGGGGATAAGAGGTCGATCAAACTCGTTGGGGACCTTTAAAGAGGCATTAAGCTTTGGGAACAAACTCTGCCTTGACGTCTTTCCCAAGCCGCAACATAAACCCATCACCTCAACGAACATCAACCATGTCGAAGCCTGACAACCTGCCAGAGATGGAATACCGCTTCCTGGGCCGCTCCGGCCTTCAGGTCTCGGCCATCTCTCTCGGCGGCTGGCTGACTTACGGCGGGCATGTCGACCGCGAGGGGACGTACGCCTGCATGAAGGCCGCCTACGACTGCGGAGTCAACTTTTTCGATTGCGCCGAAGGGTACGCCGAGGGCGAGTCCGAGAAGGTCATGGGCGAGGCTATCAAGAAGTACGAATGGAAGAGGAACGATATCGTCATCTCCACCAAGGTAACCCTCGCCGGCATTCTTCGCACTCGATGCCCGCATTGACAGTTTCTCAGCTTTACTGGGGCGACGCCTTCAGCAATAGCAAGGTCAACAACCGGGGCTTGTCGCGTAAGCACATCATCGAGGGCATGAACTTGTCGCTCGAGAGGCTGCAGCTGGAGTACGTTGACCTGATCTACGCCCATCGCCCGGACCGGCACACCCCCATGGAGGAGACGGTGCGCGCCTTCAACCACCTGATCAACACGGGCAAGGCGCTGTACTGGGGCACGTCGGAGTGGAACGCCGATGAGATCGCGCAGGCGTGGCGGTACGCCGACAAGCTGGGCCTGATCGGTCCCGTGATGGGTATGTCGATGTCTGGCTCCGAGTGAAGGGTGGCCCGATAGCTAACTGGAACAGAACAACCGCGGTACAACATGCTCGAGCGCATCCAAGTCGAGAGGGAGTACGCGCACCTGTACCGCGAGGTCGGCCTCGGCCTGACGGTCTTCTCGCCCATGCGGCAGGGCATCCTGTCGGGCAAGTACAAGAACGGCATTCCGGACGGGACGCGGTTTGCCCAGACGCAGGTCGAGTTCATCGCCGGGTTCTGGAAGCAGACGGGCAAGGCCGAGTTCCAGGCCATGGCCGACACGGTCAGCAAGCTAGAGCCGATCGCGGAGAGGCTGGGAGTGAAGCAGAGCGTGCTGGCCCTCGCGTGGGTGCTCGCAAACCCAAACGTGAGCTCCGCCATCACGGGTGCCAGCAGCCAGGCGCAGGTCTACGAGAACATTGAGGCAGTGCGGGCGTACAAGAAGTTGACGCCCGAGATTATGAAGGAGATTGATGAGATCCTCAACAACAAGCCGCCGACGGTCACGATGAGGTATTAATGAAAAGGTAAAACAATGTAGGGAAAAAGGAAAATAAACAAATATGGACACCCAGTGTGCCAAAATGTATTGCCCTTGCCTCGAAAGCTGTGTTTAGTTGAGGATGCAAAGAAAGGCAGACTCAACAAACATCGGATGATTTGCGCAACGGACAGCCCACCTGGATGGGTTTCTGGAACGATCAGTCCCCTTTTCGATTGATGGAGACAGCCAATTTGCCAGGAGAAGCACGGACTCGAGCGGCCCTGAAGAGTCCAATTGGTCCCCAGATTGGATGCCCCGCTAACTGCCAGGGGAAGCCCCGCTTCGTGCCCCCGACAGCCACGCGTACCGAGATAGCAGGGCGGTGAAATATTTCCAGTGGAAGCTGCCGATAGACTTTCAAACATCCATCACGGTGCTGTCGCTTGTTTCGATTCCTACAAGCAGGCCGCCGTCAAATATCGGCCTCCCCTCGACCACCATGGCTCGCTCCGTGACAGCGACGACGAACGGCGCTTCTAAGAGAAAGGAGCCCGCCAATGGCAAGGTCAACGGCCATGCAAACGGCAGCGCAAACGGCGAAGCTCCAGAAGCAGAATCACAGGTCGACGATGCAACCTACCGCGACTTCTTCTGGACCTATACCGAGGAGCCGCATCGGACGAGGCGCCTTGCCATCATTAAGGCCCACCCCGAGGTAAGAACAGCATCACATATCACCCATAATGAACAAGTTAATTGACCGTTGCTGTGCATTTGCGTACTAGGTAACGAAGCTATGCGGTCCTGAGCCCCTGACCAAATACGTCGTCGCCGGTGTCGTCGGCCTACAAGTGCTGCTCGCCCATCTCTTGCGCGACACCTCCTTCTGGTCATGGAAGTTCTGGGCCGTCGCATACGTCTTTGGCGCCACTTCGAACCAGAATCTCTTCCTCGCCATCCACGAGATCTCCCACAACCTCGCTTTTAGGTCGCCCATGGCCAACCGCCTGTTTGCCATCTTTGCCAACCTGCCCATCGCCGTGCCATACAGCGCTTCGTTCAGGGTATGCTCTCCACGACGTTACTCTCCTACATACGAATACTAACCCCTCCAGCCCTACCACCTCACCCACCACAAGTCTCTCGGCGTCGACGGCCTCGACACGGACCTTCCCACCGCCTTCGAAGCCATCTTCCTCGACTCGATCCTCGGAAAGGCCTTCTTCTGCACTTTCCAGATCTTCTTCTACGCCCTCCGGCCCATGACCGTCTACCGCGTGCCCTTCACCTGGGTGCACGGCGTCAACGTCGCCATCCAACTCGGCTTCGACTACGCCCTCGCGTGCCTCCTCCCGGGCTACTTCACCTTCCACTCCGTCCTCTACCTGCTGCTCTCTTCCTTCCTGGCCGGCTCGCTGCACCCGACGGCGGGGCACTTCATCGCCGAGCACTACGTCTACGAGAAGATCACGCCCGAGGCCCGGCAGCCGAGCAACAACATCCCCGTCCCCGAGACCTTCAGCTACTACGGCCCGCTGAACCTGGTCACGTACAACGTGGGCCTGCACAACGAGCACCACGACTTCCCCGCCATCCCGTGGACCCGCCTGCCCGTACTGCGGGAGATGGCCAAGGAGTTCTACGCCGACCTGCCGCAGCATCGCAGCTGGACCTATGTGCTGTGGCGCTTCATCTTTGACGAGGAGATCGGCATGAGGTGCCGCGTCAAGAGGAAGCAGGGCGGGAGAGTGGTTGGGGGAGGGTCCACCACGGCCAAGGTGGCGAACTGGAAGGAGAATGAGATTGAGGCATGAAGCGGGGGTTGTTGCGGCAGTCATGCTGGCATGGTTTTGAGCGCTGAGCGTTGAGCAAGTTATAGACTTGGTAATGGTGCATGTAAGATGGGGTTTGTGTTCGCTGAGCTGTCAGATATCGTATAATACATGGGGCTTCTTGAGTGGTTAAAGACTGGTTTCGGCCGTCTCTTACACCATGGAACCCAACGAAGTTTCACTTCAAAGCGATCATGACACGACTAAAGCTAGTACCGAGGGGGAAGGGCCAGCCATTGTAGCGACTCTACCTCAATCATAGTCTGGGAATGTGAAATGATGCCACAACAAATTGTCATCCCTCAACAGTCCTCTCTCCCCACAACCGCCCGGAAGGTTTTATGTGTACCGTACCAGTTCCACATCTCGGGTTGGTGAGACATATCGCCATGTGAGATGTCAACTCCAATACCTCTGCACACAGGCAATTATTCTCCGCCCCGCTCGATGTACTCTTCGGGGGGCATACAAGGCGCTGTTGGGAATACACAGGACTTCAAGGTCATAACAAAGGTGTAAAGCCCGAAAGCTCAGCTGTCGCGCGAGGCACATGGCGTTTCTTTTGTTTCTTTCTTAGAGTGATACCCCCGATCGTGGCACAAGCTGTCAATGTACAGCAACCTAACTCCCTTTTTGCCACCCCCAACCAGCCCAGAGGCCCAGCCTGGCGTTGAGCACCATGGGATAGAGCACACACACAAGCACAAGCACCTGCATAGCTGATCCGTGACCAGTGTGTCCATGCACATGTATCCCGCCTTGGGAGAAATACAAAAACCAATAAATTTAGTAACTAAATCCCATAAGGTCCCGTCTTTTCCCGTCCATATCATGAACTCGTGGCTATCATTTCTGACCTTGTGTCCAAGACGTCTAAATCCTCGTACATCAAACTTGAAAAGAGAAGGCGGGGAAGGGTTGTTGGGTGTACATGAGACATGAAAATAACAGGGTGGATTAGGTAGTTCGTCAAGTGTAAACAGTAATAGACAACGCAAGGAAGCATGGGACTGAGGTGGAATAGATGATGAAAAGGGAATGGGCGGACGAGAGAGTTGGTACAGTCGAGGGCTTCCACGCCACTCGGCGCTCGTAGAGGGATTTTGTACCTTTGCCCAAGAGAACACAGGCCATCCAGGAAGTAGGAAAGCGGGGAAGAATACAGTAGTAGAAGACAAAGTCGGTTCCCATTATGATGGTGACCAGGCCCTGAGGCAGTTGTAATTTAGAAGAAGAAAAAAGGATCCTAAACAAACACGGGAGAAACCGCCATCCGCTGTCCGTAAAACCTCGCGCGCCTCTGCTTGGTTAAATCATCGTAAAGTCCGCCCTGCTCCGACCGGGTAGTAACTTCATTCTTGAAAAGGGAAAGGAGCAAAGGAAGAAGAAAAAAACGTAAAAAGACGTAATGTAATCATCATCAACAAATCGCTTCTTTCTCTCTGTCTCTCCTAGTATGTGTCGAGTGCCTTTTTATGCGTCTCTCCACCGACCCAGCCACCAAAGCAGCAAAAGAACGCCCCCAAAATCGCCAGCCAGCCCAACTCCCGCTCCATTCTTCATGAAGGAGACGAGAAACTAAAAGAAAAAAAGAAGGGGGTGAAAAAACAAAAAAAGTGATTTTGTCCATAGTACCATGCCACCACGCCATGCACGCTTGCTTGCTTCACCGATTCAGTCAATATACAGAACCAACCCGCTCCCAATGAACCCCCCCTTTCCCTTCCCCCCAAAGGTAGGTCCCAAACCCGACCCAAAACATAAAAGAAAAAAAAACCAAGTCTGCGAAGATCTTGACAACAATCACTCATAATAACAAAGGGAAAAAGATTGCGTCGCTGGACGCAGGGCTGAAAACAAAGTCAAAAAGCCCCGCTTTCTACAAAGCAACAGAAATCGTCACCTCCCCGTCAGCAGGGGGTTGACTCCCACCACCACCACCACCGCCCTCAGTCCCATTAGGCTTGAGACCGGGGGGGTCATTCGCCGCATTCGGCTTGACGGTAGTCTTGCCGGAGATGGTGGCGGTGCGGACGCGCTGGCTGAGGGGCAGGGTGTACTTGAGGACGCCCTTGAGGATGAGGGTGAACTCGTCGTCCATGATGCGCTCCCAGCGCTCCGGGCCGCCGTAGGTGCCGTTTCCGGGGTTCTTGAGGCGCACCTCGCCGCTCGAGTACGAGATGCCCTTGTGGAAGAAGGAGCCCTCGAACGAGAGCGCGCTGTCGAACCCCGTGATGGTGCCCAGCCGCATGTTGGGCGCCGCGTCGTCGGGCGGGGCCGGGTCTGGTTCGGCGTCGAGAATTTGCATCGTGTTGCTTGCGCCTTCGCTGTCCGCCGGTTTGCGGGGCGGCGGTGGGCCGATCTCGCCCGGGTGGGTGTAGCGCCACCATTCCGAGTCGGACATGGCGTGCGGGGACTTGGCGAAGACTTCGATGTCGGCCGAGTCGACGACGACAACCACGACGTTGGGATTGTGGGCTTTGATAGTCAAATCGAGCATCAGCTCCTGCTGGCTCGCCACGACGTGGTCCATCGAGACGAGCTGGATGCCGGTGAGCGGTTGGGATGTGGCAAACATGAACCCGATGGCACCCGAGACGACGAGGAGGAGCATCACGGTGAGGACGAGGCAGCTCGCGAACCGGTTAAGCACCGAGGGCGCCGAGCGGTGGTAGGTCTGCGCTTCGATAGACCGCATGGAGTGCCCGCCCCTCCGGCTCCTGCCAGAGCGTGATGATCGTACCGTCCCAGACCCAATGAGAGGCGTCGTCTCGTCGTCGGCACCTGTGGTGTCGTCAAGATCGTAGCCCATCGATAAGTGCGTCCCCCGCTTGCCGTTTGCCCCGGTCGTGGCACGGTTGGCGAATCGCGGGCTTGGGGGCGCGGACGATTGCCGCGAGTTCATATTCCCTGGGGCCAGGGATCCGCCGAACGGGCCGTGCTCGGCAAACAGAGAGGGGTGGCCGTTGCCGCCGCCGTTGCGGCCCCAGCGGCCGAAGTGGTGGTGGTGACGGGCGGTTCCCCGGGCAGAACCGGCGGTGCTTCTCCCGGTGCCCCTGCCGTCGTCCTCGGCAAACCCGCTGTCGCTGTGGCCGTTGGTGGCGGACGAGTTTACAAACTTCATGCTCTTCTTGGGTACGACGGGCGGGCCGTTGGCTTCCATAACGGCGTGAATCGAGCGCATGCCGGCGCGGTCGATCTGGCTGGCCATCGAGGTGGTGCTGGGGGTTCGCGAGTGGAACCGCATGGGCCGCTCGCGGGCATCTGGGGGGTTAGAATCGTAGACAAAGGTCTCGTCCGAGTCGGACGAGTTGGCCTCTTCGACGGCGCTCGCGACCTTGGCCTCGAAGATATCGGCCTTGGACGATGCTAAGCGATGCCTTGTCAGTAAGCTGCTCATCTGGTACATGACCATGCTTTGCCTGCGGGAGTGGGTTTGACGAGAGCGACTATCTCCTTCGTCGTGGTGCCATTTTGTCGGCGAGACGGACTTCTCGGCCGATGAGACGACTGATCCCATGGACTGATAATGGCGTAACCGGGGGAATAAAGCAGCTAAATTCGGTGGCTCACCATTGCCGGCCGTCACGGTGGGTGTCTTCCGTGCCGGCTTCTTCTTCTCCTTCTTTGGTCGTATCGTTTCCGTGCTCCCCTTTGTGCGCAGGCTGACGGTCGAACCTTGCCCTCCCGTCCCCGGGACGAGCGGGGCTTGTGGAATCGACGTCACCGTCTCTGTCTCGACTGTCATGCTCTGCAACGAGCCCTCACCGGTCTTGCTCTTGGTGACACCCTGCTTGATGCACGTGCTCGACTGCCTGCTCGTCAGAGGAGGTGCGCTTATAGCTCCGCTCCGCCGCCCGGTCTTGATGTTGTCGGTATCGCTGCCGCTGTCCCCCGCGCTTGTCCTTCCCTCGCCGTTGTGGGAGAGACCGAGGCCTACGGAGTCGGCTTGCGACGTTTCCGAAACCATGCTGTCGTCGATTTTCTCGTGTATCGACTCCGTCGGGCCTCGTGGGGATCCTATCGGGCTGACTTCCTGCACGGTCTCGAGGGTTGATGTGCTACCGCCTCCCCCGCGCGCGGGTGTCCTCCCGCCGGTTGCAATATGGAGGTCTTCGGCGTCCGTGTCGGATGGCAAGTCCGTCGGAGGGGGAATTGGTGGGGTGGGGCGCTGAACGTTAATCAGGGGTGCCTCCGGTTCTGGCCTTCGCGGTAACCCCATATTCGGCTTGTGGAGGATGGGCGGTGGAGATCGTAACCTCGGGGACACGGGCCATCTGGGCGACTCTCGCAAATGTTCCATCGTGGTGGGTGACTTGACGGGCGCGCCCACATTAGAGCTCGGATCTGAGGTAGACGGGAGGAGCGTAGGGGTGCTAGCGGAGGAGAGAGATTTGGATGCTGGTGCTGATGGGGCGTTGGTCTGCTTTGCGGATCGCGAAGGACTGAGGTCTTGCTGGCTGTTCTTCCTCGAGCGGATTCCGGAATTCGCTGATGAAGTGCGAGAAGTTGCCGTCCGTGACAGTGGCCTGGTGGGAGATGGCTCGCGTGATACGAGGGGAGACGGCGCGGCGGACGACGAAGTGGACGTGGCAGATGCCTGGGACGTGAACTTGGACGGCCCCGACTCGGTCATTGGGGTTATTGTCGCCGTGCTGGCAGACGATTCGCGGGTGTACGTGGGGTGGACATCCTGGCTGGCATCAGGGACTTCCGACGTCCCGGGCGATATGTTTGGTGACTTGTCCATGTCTGCATGCGAGCACTGGCACTGGTTGGAGTAAATGGGAAGAGGGGAATGGTGGCTCGACCTGAGCCACACATGCCACGCTTAGTCGTCGTCGGGTTGGGTAGAGGCCAACTCTGCCGGGGCCAACGAATCGATACAGCCCGCCCAGGGCGCAAACGGAGGCTGTCGTGGGCGGGAATGATGGCCCCAGTGGGTTTGGGGGGGTTTGTGTGGTGTAAACGGGTGGTGTGAGTCGTGCGACGGTGTCTCGGCGTGGGTGATGCTTTGGTATTCGGTTGCAGGTGCAGGTGCTCTCTTGGGTGGAACAGGAAATTGAGCGATTGACGGATGGTCGGCGATATCAGGGGATTCTCATTTGTTGACAGAGTCAGGCAACTGCTTTGTTGACCGGAACAGGGTCGGGCGGCGCGGGATTCGATGTGTGGAGGGAGAGTGATGGAACACAAGAATTGGGTGGATGATGTCGTTGGTCCAAGGTCCCAAGAACGCCCACCAAGCTTCTCGTGCAATTGTGTTGTTGCAGGCACACACACGGTGGGGAAATCTGAAGAGCGGTCCGGGGGACAGAGGTGCGCTGGCCCGCCTTTGACCCGTTTTGGGTTTGGACTTCTCGCTTCGGGGGACCCGAGCGCTGGGACGGCGCCTGAAATGGCCTGCGCGGCAGTTGACGGGCCAAAACGGCGCAATCCTGCCCCAAATCCAGGGTTTTCGAGCCGGCTTTTCTTTTCTTGCCACTCCAGTCAATTTGGAGCCCCGCAGGCCTTGACCCTCAAGAATCGTGGTAATTTTGCTGTTCACCCGGCTAGGCGGAGGATGCTGCTATGAAACGCTTCAAGGGCAATAAATAACTTGCTAACGGAAGACTTGCTCCGCGAGGTCCCGGTGCCTGGCAGTGGCACAGTACGAAGGTTACAGTGCGAATACCAACCGCGACGTTTCCCAGCCCAAAGGTTGTGCAAGATCCCTGGTACCTTGGTCGGCGAATGAGTACAAGCGTGGAGATGGATTCCCACAAATACCCCGCGAAATTAGCCAGGTGATCATGTATTGCCAGGTAGCGCGTGTCTCACCGCAAGTCCTTGGAACATCGGTAAGGACCCACCTGTTCTGATTCCAGAATTTCTTCCCCGCCAAATCCGAAGGGGCGCCCCAGAAGAAATGGAAGGCTCTGCTCCATCTTCAACGGCCCGGGTGCTATTAAGGCGGGACGCGCTGTCAACAGGCGTCGGCCGTCGATGGGCAGTCAGGGTGACATCGACGACAGATCGGAGAGTGAGGGCAGCAGATTTTGAACAGAACAATGACGCCATGAGCGAGTCACGATATTGAAATTGTGCCAATTGTCTGAATTTTGCTCCGCGCAGCGTTACAACGGTTTGACCGGTCAGTAACGAGCATGGCTAGACCAGTTGTTGTCGACTCATGACAGCCCAGAAATGCGCTCCCTTTCCAGTTTTCTCGGAGAACCGAGGATCGGGTTGGACACAACGGGCCGCGCCAGATGCACCCAGAACCAACTTTTTCACCTTGCCACTTGGTCGCCAACAACAACCCAAGTTGGTAATGAGCGCTGGCTGTACCAAGTAGTTAACTGCTTGTAGTCTTTGCGACTCGGCCCCTCAGATACAAAATCCGGGATTGGCACGGTGGTTGGTTGACCCGGCCACGCCGGCTTTCTTCGCTCTGTCTGCTCTTGCTCATGAAGCCAAAATCGTCAACCACTTGGTGTTCAATCTTGATGACCAGTTGATTTGTCGACGATCCTCTAAACAGTTCAACGGCTGCCCCACGTGAGCGCGAGGTGACCGTTGCCCGGTCGTCTTCATCGAGTAGGATCAGCGTTTTCTCCAACGGAAACCGTTCTCGTCCGAACACCCAATTGAGACCATCAACCATCGGACGAGACACGGCGACAATTCCGACTTGAAGCGGCGGGTTAAAAGCAACGCGCCGGTAGTCATCCTTCCTTCCCGCGAGAATGGGAAGTACAGGTCTATCAAGCGTGCCATTCGTAAGACTCTTCAGCCTCTCACAAGCGGACAAGTGGACGGTGGCACACCGCAACGCGCCACAATCGGGCATTTTGGGTGTCATCAACCATTGGTTTTGTCAGCGAGGACAAAACCGTGAAGGGAACTCCGGGGAAATAAAAGCCTCGTCTGCCTGGTGACCGGCGAATGCAAAAGAAGCACAGAGCTTCCTGTTCTTGACGATGGCTTGATGATGATGATGACGAGATCCGCTCCTCCGTCTTGCGCCTCCGTCCGGAGGATCCGGGGGCGCTGACAGTTTTCCGGCAGGGGCCGACGCGACCCCACCACGCCGTTGGCCCAATGCAAGGGACGGTCAGCAGAATGGTCAGATTCTCACAGGGGCAAGCACCGTGTTTGCTCCGTAGCAAACTTCCTCCGTTCCTTCCCTGCTGGCTGGCTGGTTCTGAGGGAAGGGAGAAACGGCGCAAGGGAAGAAGGAAAAAAAAAAAAAAAAAAAGAACTTGTCTCGAGTGGGCCCACCATCGCCCGCCTGCTCTTCCGGAACCGAGAACCCCAATGGTTCGTGCAAATCTCAAAACCGCGCAAGACCTCTCTCAGAGTTCGAAACCGATGCCAACGGCCGTGTGACACGTGGTGCGGGTGGGAACGATTTTTCTTCTCTCCGACCCGCGACGCACCAATCCCCATGGGGGATTTGCGCAGTGGTTGCACGGCTGACACCCACCCAAGTGCGACGTGTCGAAGGGCTTGGTTTTCCGAAAGGCTGTGCGACAAATAGGGCTGGGTTGGGCTGATAACTCGCTCGCCAGTCTTCACTTGGAGCCTTGGAGCCTTGGGAGGGCACTCCCGCCCGCCCCGCTCCTATTCTTGGGGTTGGTCCAGCGGCGCATGCTCGCCATCGCCCGAACCGTCGCTCACTCTGACCAGCCGAGCCAGCCCGCGCAGGAACCCGCGCTCGTCACTCGCTCCGCGCCGCCGCGATGCAGCAGTCGTTGGTCTGAACTCCCACACATTTCCAAACCTGAGTCCCTGAGTTGGCGATGCTGTCTCTGGTCCCCCACACTTCATGCCAGGAACGTGGGCTCGTTGTCGGTTCTGATGGGTTGACGGCCAGGCAGGGCTGAAAGGTGCTTCTGATGGAAAAAGTTCTTGCGCTCCAAAGGCCGAAGACGCTGCAGCCCCCACGGCCTATTCAGGATTCTGCTCTCGAGACCCCCCGTTTAGGGAATACGCTGATGAGGTGCTCTTCCCGGGTTGGGACTGGCCAAGAAGCGAGCCGTACAGATGGAGACGACGCAGCGGTACGCTCGAGAGCCAAACTATTCACCCGCCCTTGCAGATTGTGGGAGAGGATTTTGTTGGTGCTGTTGGGCTCGATGGGACTATCTTCGTCCGGGAGGAACCTCTTGCTACGCCAGGAGTTGTTCCTTTCTTGCTGGGTAGAAGAAGGGTTAGGGATAACTACACCAACCGAACGCCATCTTCTGGTGTCGGGAGCCGAGGGTGAAACCACTCCCAGTAACTAACAAACCCGGCCTCTTGATATAGTCATGTCAAAAATCCTCGATTTAATTATGAACTACTGTGTGATATTTCAGACTGAGAGTAAATGCTTGGGACTTAATATGGGGCCTTGTGTGTCTGTCTTCGCATGTTCGGAAGCGAGTTGCTTCGTTGCTTCACTGAAATCTCAAGTGAGATTACTATGCATCATCCCTTCCACTTTAAACCCCCGAATTCTCGAGTGAAGTCGCATAAGGGGACAATGGCCGGGATAGCCCCCTCTTCCGAGAATGACGCCTTACGCCCTCCGACAACCGGTCCGATGGCCGAAGCCGAAGTTCGGTGAGTCACGAGTAAACAAGGAGTCACTGAGTCCAAAGGCATAAAAGCACCCACAAGTGTAAGCAACCAAGCCAACTCCGTGGGAACCCGGAACCCCTCTCATCAGCCCATCAGCCCGCCCTCACCATGGACCTAAACTCAGCCTACACCCCGGCCCAAGTGGCCGAATACCTCGCCCACATCGGCCTCCCGCCCTCCTTCCACCCCTCGGCCAACCCAACCCTCGACCTGGCCTACCTCACCGCCCTCTTCACCCACCAGCTGACCACCATCCCCTACGACAACCTCTCCATCCACTACTCCCCGCAGCACGCCATCACGCTCGACCCGCAGGCCCTCTTCACCAAGATGGTCACGTCCCGCCGCGGCCGCGGCGGCTACTGCATGGAGAACTCCATCCTGTTCAACCACATGCTGCGGGCCATCGGGTTCGACGCCTACCTGTCCGGCGTGCGCATCCGCCCCCGCGTCGGCGGCGTGCCGCAGGGGGATTCCTACACCGGCTGGGTGCACCTGGTGAATATCGTGGCGGTGGCGGGGCAGCCGGTGCGGTTCGCGCTGGATGTGGGGTTTGGTGGGGATGGTATGACCCGGCCGATGCCGCTGGTGGAAGGGGTGGTGCATCATAATTCGATTGGCACGCAGGAGGTCAGGTTTGGGAGACGGTTTATTCCGAATCAGAGGTTTAGGGGGGAGGGGGCGGAGAAGATGTGGGTGTATGAGGTGAGGAATGGGGCCGAGAAGGAGTGGGTGCCGTTTTTTGCGTTTCATGATCGGTTTGAGTTTACGGAGGCGGATTTTGGGAATATCAACTGGTATACGTCGCAGGCGAGTGAGAGTCATCAGACGTGGACGACGTTGGCGATTCGGTTTTTGAGGGGAGTTGCTGAGGATGGTACGGCGAGGGTGGTTGGGAAGGTCATGATGGCGGAGGGGGTCATCAAGGAGAATCTGACGGGGAAGACGCGGTTAGTCAAGGTGTGTAAGACCGAGGAGGAGAGGGTGGCGGCGTTGGCGGATCTGTTTGGGATTCACCTGACGCCAGAGGAGGTTGTGAGTATAAAGGGGCGGCGGGCCGAGTTGGTGGGTGATGTTTAGAGACGTAGGCGGTGACTGAGGAAATAGAGGGAGAAGAAAACCTTCGGGTTTATTTTCATGTGTCACATTCAGGTTCCGGCTGGACTACCTACCACCTTCTTCGTCAGAGTTGGGATGGCGGACGGGAGATGAGCGAGTGATAGGAAGGAACCGGACCAGAGAGGGAGAGAGTGAGGGCCTTTGCTATAGCAGGCTCGCGAAGCATGTGTTTAAGGACCACCGCCGAGGCGACAGCGGCTTAATTAGCACTGGGGGTGGTCCTCTCCCCCGGGCAACGGAGCTCCCCAAGGAGGTTGCGGGTCCGAGCCATGGCCCGGGACGCTTTCCAGCAAAAATGGGGGTGCGCCCCCTTCTCTTGAGACGGAGTCAACCCCGAAGGGTTTCGTAGCCGGCTACCTTCCTCCGGGGAGCTAGCCGGTGAGCTTTTGCTTTTGCTCCGTCCGCCACTTGCTCCCTTTCCTTGTTAGTGACTAGGTACGGCAACTCGTTTCCAACAACCATGTCGAATGTCGGATGTCTATCACATAAGGAAGCGGTCTCATGTGAACTCGTGCTGGGGGTGGCTGCCGTAGACTTGAGTAACCCGGTGAGATAAATATAGTTGTCCAAGGGGACCGCGTCGGACATCCCTCTCACAAACACACGTCCACGTTGCACAGCGAGAGGAAGCGACAAAAGCAGAGCAAACGATATGAAAAGCACCGATCTATCCTATCCATGACATCGTCGTATATCCTATGTGGCGGTCGGTACACATCAATCATCCATGATTCGGGGACCATACATCAACGCATTATAGGCCATGACCGTTTCCTCCACAACCATCACCACCGCCACACGACAAGAGCGAGACAGGTGGATGGAACCGAATCCCAGGCAGGCAGGCAGGTAGCCAGCCAGCCCAAACAGAACCGCCTTCATCCACCCACACACCATGCAGCCGTGTACGCCCCGCCACCACGCCATCAAAAAATCATCGATCATGGTCCATACATACCCAAACAAGCCAAGTCATAGATAGGCGTCAGCCCGCCAGTCCAGTCAGTCATGCCACACCGGTTTCCGACCCCCCCTTTCAATCTCAACCCCCACCCCAGTTCTCTCTCTCTCTTGCCCATTCACTGCATTGCACTCAAACTCACTCCCTTATAACCTCTGCAATCCCCGGCCCCCCACCAGCACCGGCACCGGCACCGGCACCCACACTCCCATCCTCCTTCTTCCCAAACGCGCTAGTCGCCCAACCAACCCAGCTCTGGCGGCGCGCGGCGTTGGCGGCAGCATTGGCCTCGGCATTCTCCTGCACCAGGCGCAGGGGGCGGGGCTTGTTGCCGGCGAAGGTGGTGCTGTTCTTCTCGTGGTGGACGGAGCGCGGCGGGCTGGCCTGGCTGGGCGGGGTGCTGATGCCGTCGGCGCCGCCGGTGGAGAAGGAGACCGAGTCGCCGCTGGTGCTGCTCGTCTCCGACTTCATGCCGGGGAAGTTGCCCCCGCCGCCGCCGCCGCTGCTGGTGCGGTTGCCGGCGCCCTGCGGAAGGAAGAAGTTCTGGCTGGAGCGGAGGGAGGGGGAGAGGGGCCCGTCGGCGGCCGAGGGGCCCTTGTACATGGCGTTGACGATGCTGGCGGCGCCGGGGAGGTTGGTGTATTGGTCGCTCATGGGCCGGCTGCGGCGGGTGCTGGTCGTGCGGGACAGGCCGATGGGGATGCTGGGCGCGGTGTCCGGGTTGCTGATGGCGGACGAGTGGTTGGCGGACGGCATGAAGGTCATGGGGCGGGGCTTGGGCCTGGGTGCGGTGGTGGTGGTGGTGTTGCCGATGGCCATGGACTTGGCGCGCTGGAGGAGGGAGGCGCCCGAGGCGGGCTTGGGGGGAGGCGGCGGCGGGAGGTCCTTGTTGGTGTCTGGTGTGCCCTTGAAGTCGCTGGACTGGTCGAGGATGTGCTCGAAGCCCTGGTGCTGCAACAACCGCTCGATGATCTTGTTGATGTAGAGAGTCAGGGCCTTGTTCTGATCCTTGACCTTGTTCAGCTCCGACTCTAGGAGCCGGTGCTCGGGGTCGTGCTCCGGGGCATGGTCGTCGTTGGCGCCGGAAAGTTCGTCGGCAAGACTGGTGCCGTTGGCCCGGCCCTCGAGTGCGGCGAGTGCATCTTGGTTCGCGGACGCGGCGGAGTAGCTAAAGTCGTTGGTGGCGAAATCCCCCTTGAGGGTCCTGTCCTGGAGCAGAAGTTGATAGCTCTCATTGTCTTCCATCAACCTCGCGTTGGCAACACGCGCCTCCATAAGCTGGCGCTCAACATCCTGCAGGCGGCCGCCGTCCTTGTTTTGGGACTCGACCAATTTGAGTTGCGCCTCGGCGAGTTCGAGCCTCAGCGATTCAATCACCTTGTCCTTTTGCAACAAGAGCTTGGAGTTGTTGCGCGAGTCACTACGTTGGATCGAACTCGGGGGAGCAAAACTGCCGTTGTCGATGCTTGGCGAGCTGTTCACCGCTGTTCAACGAAATCAAGTTAGCGAGCGTTGCTCGAAAGCGAGAGCAATGGGAAAAACGCACATTGCCTTGTTGGCCGGTCTTCGTCGAGATTCCTCTGTGCCAGACTGTCCTTGAGCCTCTGGATGACGGTTTGCATTTCCTCCTCGCGGTTGGCCATATCATCCTTCTCCTTCATCATGGCACTCCGCTCGCCCTCGTAGATGGTCTCCATCTCGCGCATCTGCCGGGCGGCCTCGCGCTTCTCATTCCTGAGCGACTCAATCTGCTCATCGCTCTCGTGCACCTTCTCCTCCAGCTTGGCCTGCTCCTTCAACGCATCGTCCAACTTGCTCTGTATCACCTCGGTCTGTCGCTTGTAGGACTCGAACCCGGACTCGGCCTTGGCTAGCCGCTCCTTGAGGTCGTCTATTACGGCTACCGTTTCGGCGCGAATGGCCTCTTCACGTTCGATATCCGGCGAGTTGGTGCCCCTGCCGTTGATCATGGGGCCGTTGCTGAGCATGGACTCGCGTCGCTGGTGGGCAGCGGCACGTGCGGAGACGGGGGTTCCGGTGCGGGTCGAGCGAGTTCGGGCGACGCCAGCGCCGCCTGGGCTGCCGGCCGACGTCGGTGTCGATGCCCTTTGGCCGGGGCGCTGGGGGGTTCCTGTGGGAGTCTCGCGGCCTGTCGCCGGGGGCTTCTTGACAGCGCTCGCCATAGTGCTTATTCGGCTGGGCGACGATCGGGACGCTTGGGCTCGCAAAAACCGCGCGATGCGGTCAAGGGGGTTGAATCACGGTGTCGAATGTTTACTCGGGAATAGCCAACTCGAAAAATACGTTGCGTGTGGTGTTTGTGTCTGTGTTTGTGTGGGAAACAATAGTTCGAGAACGGGAAACGGCGGTCTTCGGCGGGAGGACGCAGAAACACGGAGGATTGTATTCGCTGGCCCACTGCAACCTTTCTTGACCGGGCGACGGGCGTCGATGGGCGCGGTGGTGGCTCTTTTGGAGCCAGTGGCGGTCCCAGGGCAGGGGAAACGTGTGCTGTGAGACAAGGGAGTGCCTGTCCAATCAAGTCATTTGCTCTCATGCCCCTTTCTCCCCTCCCCAACCTTCCAGGGATCTTGCCCGAGGCCGTGTTTCTTTGTGAGACAAGGGAAAACGGTCTTGTGTCTGCACTTGGTGCCCGTTGTCTTTTTTTTCGCCTTTTCTCTTGAACCAACTTGCCAATACGAATAGTCAAAGACAACTTGTATCATTGAATGTGTTTTGTTTTCAAACCATCCACACTTCCAGTTGCTCCCCCGCCTGTGTTTCACCGCCAAGCTCCACCTACCGCAGTGTTCAGGGAGCTAACTGCATGCATGGTCATGCAGAATCGGCTGCAGCTGCCGCCCTTTGACCGCTCCCTGAACCGAGGAACCTCACCTCCGCGTTGCACCGATTCCTCGAATGCTGCTTCGATGCCCGGAGATGGGAAGAGGCGTCTCGGCGGTTTGCCGAAACGAGCAGCTCCCATCGCGCATCATGCAGCCAGCCTGGTTCAACGTACCAAAGTAGGGCAGATCTTTCGTGCGTGGTGCGAGCAACTTGAAACATACACGGTGACTACCTAGGTACATGGAGAGGGCCCGCGAGTCGGGGCGAGACTCTTTTGTCAACCTCGAGTTCCGCTCGAGTTTGATTATGATAATTTGGGATTCAATGCAACACCCGGCCCGGAGCACGGGAACGCGGCCCAAATCGGCCTCAGGCCGCAACATCGAGTATCCTTCCACAGCAGGACGTCGCGTGCTTCGAAAACGTCACAATTTTGACCGCACTTGCCCTCGAACTCATTGGGCGCGAGAGAGAGTTGTTGCTCGTGGGCCGTCCGGATTAGGTCACCGTCTTTAGCCTAGTGTTGGCGGGACACCCCAAATTCCAAGTCACAGAAATACTACCGAGAGGCTGGAAAACCGAGTTGTCATAAAACTACGACTAATCTACGGAGTGCCTCTTTGGGCGTCAACTCCGGATGTCGAATGTGGCTGTAAAAAGCCGGATATCGCCAAGTCGTCATATCATTTTTTCCGATCTCAGACCCGAACGCCGTATGAATGCCAACCGGTATTCCCGCCTCGCCCCTAGCCTTAAGCCTGCTGGACTTAAGCCTGGTCGCTGAGGATGTCACTGTCACCAGCATCCAGGATAGCCATGGTGGAGCAGCGGAAGAGCTTTCCGCAGGCGGTGCCGAGCTCAATCTGTCGAGGGGAAGAGTAAGCATACGAACAGGTACCCTCCAAAGTCTGCAACGAGACTTCTTCTCTGGGTAGGCTGGAAAGACGGGGTCTTCCCAGCCGGGAGTAACGAGTAGAAGCCTATGTTGACCAACTCGTAGAATCGTGCCTTCAGGGGGGGTTAACTCACGTTGGTGCCGGTGTAGTGGTGGACGGCGGTCTTGGACATCATGGCGTAGCTGTTCAACATGTTAGCGAACAAGCCATTGTAATTTCGCTTGCCGAATGTCCGGGAGAGCCGAAGCGCATATCGACGGATCAACGAGGCGTGTTGCCCTCGGAGAGCGTTGCCGCATGCGCCCCGTCCATTCCCTTCCATCCTGCAATGTTGGTCGCCACATACTACTCAAGCTCGGACTTGCGGAGGGGAGGCGTGTTGGCCTAGGAATCTGTCAGCATTTTGAAGTGACTCATGATCGGAGTTATGGAATTACTCACGGAAATGAGGATGAGCTTGGCCTTGCCGCTGCGGAGAGACTTCAGGGTGCTGCGGTAGCCCAGCACAACCTTGCCCGACTTGATGACGAGGGCAAGCTATTCACAATGTTAGCGAAAGCGCGCGCAACAGCCGAAGTGCAAAACGGACCTTGCTGCCGATGGACTGCGCTTCCGACTTGGACTTCTTGGGGGCCATTGCGACGGTGCTGTGGTTAGTGCGAGGGACAAGAGTTGAAGTTGGCTCTTGGTGGTGATGTCGTCGTCGTTGGCTGAATGGTCACTCGAAGGAAGGGAAATCGCAAGTTCGAAATATTCTTTTGCCAATGTGGAATTCCCGCCACAAGGTGGGCTGAGTTCTCATTGGCTGAGTAATGGGTGCGCTTGCAGCTCCTCGAAACCCTAACGGCTCCACTCTGTTCCGAACGACTCAGCCGGGGGGATTATGAATCCGGGATTGGTAATCGTGAGGCGAATTTCGATTTGGTCAAAAAAGCAGCGGCTCCCCGACCATTCCCCTCACCCAACACCAAGCCGACACCCATAACCGTGACATCAGAGTAAATCAGTCACAATGGCGCGCCGTCCTGCTAGATGCTACCGGTACTGCAAGAACAAGGTAAGCATTTTGCAGCTTTTGCTCTCCAGGTGCTGTTCGAGGGACCTGCGCACACATTCTCGTCGAGGAAACGGGCAGGAAATAGGCAAAGAAACAGGCGAACGGATGGACCGGAAATTCTGGAATGGATCAGGAAGAGGGGGGTTTCGCGTCTATGGTTTACTTTCGGCCAATTTTATCAACTCAGATCGCTAATCGACCCTCTTTTCTAGCCGTACCCCAAGTCGCGGTTCAACCGTGGTGTGCCGGACCCCAAGATTCGCATCTTCGATCTCGGCCGCAAGCGCGCTACCGTCGATGACTTCCCGCTCTGCATCCACCTTGTCTCCAACGAGTATGAGCAGCTGAGCTCCGAGGCCCTCGAGGCCGCCCGTATTTGCGCCAACAAGTACCTCGTCAAGACCGCCGGCAAGGAAGGTTTCCATCTCCGCGTCCGTGCCCACCCGTACCACGTCGTCCGCATCAACAAGATGTTGTCTTGCGCCGGTGCCGATAGACTGCAGACTGGTATGCGTGGTGCGTGGGGCAAGCCCAACGGCACTGTCGCCCGTGTCAACATTGGCCAGATTCTCATGAGCGTCCGCACTCGTGACACTAGTAAGCAATGCCGAGTTTTACTGCGAGCGACCCTAGAGGCTAACCATCATCGCAGACCGTGGCTTTGCCCTCGAGGCCCTCCGCCGCTCCCAGTACAAGTTCCCTGGCCGCCAAAAGATCATTATCTCCAAGAACTGGGGCTTCACTCCCCTCCGTCGTGAGGAGTACCTGGAGAAGAAGGCCGCTGGCCGCGTCAAGGTCGACGGCGCCTACGTCCAGTTCCTCAGCAACCGCGGCAACCTGGAGAGGAACATGAAGCGCTTCCCGGATGCCTTCACCGCCTAAAGGGTTTCGTGGGGAGACGGGGAATGGTTATTTGGCTTCGGGGTGGCGTCAACGGTCATTTTAGGGCTGAAACGAGAGCATGTCAACTAGCATCATGGTCTTGATTCGGCATAGCAGTCAATGGAACCATTCAACCAAAGTGGTTCTCAATGGACAGCAGGACATCAGTGCATTCTTTTCTAGAGTTATGTTCCTGGAACTTGCGTGACCACATCACATCCTGAGTCGCCGATGCGTGCCACCCACATCCTTACCAAACAACAGCTACGACTAAGGGAGGAGTAGTTGGAAGCTCGGAGAGGCAAAGGAGGCTGAGTTAAGCGAAAACGGCAATAGTTATACCAGTCACGTCTCATATTACTGTGTAGACGGCTGTGCTAGGCGTTGTCTGTTATTTTCCATTTACGGATGAGCTCTTGACGCGCTGTTCAAGCAGAAACCGAGCCAAACCTCGTTTGGAATGGTCGCAAGCATGGACATGAGATCTCGTTCAGGTGGATCGTGTAGGGAGGGCATGTTTACTGCAACAACTGGCCGTATTTGCCTTCCAGATCGGACGGAGGCAATGAAGTCATCGGGACTTGCTGTGTACATTACTATGTGGGTCCCACTTTGTTGCCAGGCCCTGGGGATTGTTCGGAATCATGACACTGGCTTCATCTAATTTTACAGATATGCCCAGACAGTTTCAACTGCGTTGACAACTGGGAAGTCTTGTTGGAATTCGGTTGATCTTCTGGACACGTCGCTGTGATAATGAATGCAGCAGGGTAGTCACATCAAGGTGGCGTTAGTGATGGAGTGGGGTGGTTGGGATGAGGTTGGGATGAGGCTTTTGAGACAACATCATTACACCATCAGTCACATCTATGAGGTAGCGTTAGGATGTACTCCGGCACCGGATGTGAAAAGAGGGGGGAAATAAAAAGAAAAACGGGTGCCCATGACAAGTCCATCACGGCCAACCGGTTTCAGGCGAAGCCAGAGCAAAAGATGTCGACAGAAAGACGATGGGTGGCTGGGAGGGTCAGGCGATGGTGGGGCTAAACAAACAGGGCTTCCGACCAAGCACGGCGCTAGCATCCCGTGTGTTCCCCTCTGTCCGCGGTGATCTCGTGCTTGTGTGAGCTTGGCCTAGAGCCGCCCCCTCCCCCAACAAACCGGCCGGGTCGCCCAGCTGGTTCGTTCCGGGGCTTCCAGGTTCTCCCATCCCCTTTGATGTTTACTTCGTCATCTACGTATTTTAAGATATTTTCCTAGTCCGGGCTTCCCGTTATTTTTCTGCATCTCAAGTAAGCCGCACCTTGTTGCTGAGTGCCAGTGGGTTACACGACGCCGCCGCAGTCAGCGCCTTGCCCTGAAGACTGATATCGATATCATCCCCCGTCATCCACATCGTTGGTTCCCGGGCCGTCGTCCTGTTCCACTTCTTAAAACGAGATCCTGGCTTGATCCCTTCACCGCCTCAGACGAAATACGCGACTCCGGGCAATTTCCAAAACTTTTCGAGACAATTGCGCTGGCGGCCGCCTCCCCTACCCAGCGACGTGGCTGCTGCTGCGACTTGCGATAACGTTAGATAACACAAACCCGACGCGTTCGACCAACGGTTTCCGGGGCTACACTTGCCGTTACCACACTGATACCTCCCACGACTTGCAAATTGTCTGGGACATGCACCATGGCTTTCCAACAATCAACACGGCAGCCCGTCCAGTGGGTGGACCGCAACGAACCAGGGCAAGGAGAGGCTGCAGCTCCCACTCCACAGAACCTCTCAGTGCCGAACGAGTCTCAGACATGGGTTGTCTTTACTCCGGGAACTGACGCGGGAACCACGACCACGAACTCAACCTCTTACCTGAACTCAGTCCAAGACGGCCAAATAACACCGGGTAGATCGAGGATCAGTGACCTCGGCAGCCTAGACACCGTTGCACGGTCCGAGTTCGATTTACAAGCCGCCTCAGAGGTCATATCAGCAAGCGTCGCCGAGGAGGACGCCGAGCTCGACAGCCTCGACAGCCACCTACCCGAGTTTCGAATTGTTCCAAACCATTACAGCCAACCCGAGGTTGCACATGCGGCACCGGTGCTCCCAGGGCATGACGGCCTGGGCTCTTTCCGATTTGAGACTCCAGGCATGAGCCCCGAGGCTCAGGACCGAATGTACGCCTTCGAGAGATTTAACCCCAACCGCGTGGTGCACAAGCCCGAAGGTTTCAATCTGGCTCAGTTGGAAACCCAGACGGAAGAGGCACAAGACTGGGAGCGCAACCACAGGATAGAGGCCTGGCGGCTAGAACAGAGCCAGCTGCTCCTCGAAGACATCCGAAGCGAGGCAAAGAGGATACAGCAGTCTGAGGAGTCGATTCGCAAGGTTCAACACACAGACAGCATGCAATCGGAGGTGGCTGAGAGGAGCGTTGCGGACGAGGAGGCGGCAGATATCAACCTCAGCGGGGCCGATTGGCATGACCAGGATGAGCCAATTCGGAGCGGGGCAAAGCCCGGCTCATGGAGCCGAATCGCGCGGAAGTTCATCTCTGACGTGATGGGGGTCGATGACAAGCTGCTCGCGGTCCTCTTCGGGGATGAGGTTCCGGACAACGATATGCTCTCGTCGACGCCTCAGGCAACCCCCACGGACGCCTTCGCCCCCGCACCGGGCCGCATCGGGTCGGAGTCATCGCATGACTCCGAGTGGCAGCTGCGCATGCTGGACCGGATATCCAGAGAGCTTGGCGTGCTTGTACACCAGATGTCGACTCATCCTGGTGCCTTCTCGACCTATACACGGGTGCAGCACATGGCTCTGCCGTATGCCGGTCTGCCTGTTATCCCCGAGATGCCTGCCGACGTGAGCGATGCCGGGCAGAGGATGGAAGACAGCGTCCCGTCCATGCCGCAGTTCAAGCCCACCGTGGACCGGACGGCCGACCTTCTCAGTGCGCGGCCCTCGGTGACCCCCACACCTTCGGCCCCATCTGCTTCCGACATGACTCCGAGTGATAGCCAGCACACTTTCACGCAGCAAGAGTGGGAACAGGATCTGGACATCCGGCTGGTTTTCCGGTACCTGCGGTCCCGTTTCAGCTCGTCCCGCCAAGCATCGCCGTCCTTCTCGTCGGGTACGTCACACCTCGCCACCTCCAGCACGCAGGACATGGCGGCCAAGGCGGCGCGAGTGCGTCAGCATCACCCCCTCGTGTCCCACGCACACACGCACGGGTACCACCGAACCCGCCCGGTCGAGCGGCGCACTTTCAAGGCGACAGTGCCGTCCAGCCCCGTCGCGATTCGACACCCACCTGCGAGCTGTGCGAGTCAGAGCACCCGGCGGTCTGCGCGGAGGAGCAGCATCTCGTCGAGACAGTCGTCTCGCCACTACTGGGATATTGGCGGGTCCATCAAAACGGGGAGCGCCATTGCGAGCACGGGTCCGATGGGAAGCTGGGGCGAGGTCTGAACGGTGCTGCGCCAGCCAGTCGTCACCTCGTAACCGCAAGGGACGGCGCCCACCGCCGCAAATGATGGTATTGTATTTCCACTTCTCACTTTTCACTTTTTCTCTCGCGTGGTACTGGGATTGCAAAGGAATGGATGGGGCGTTGTGAATGACGGGGAAATATGGAAACATGGGGAACATGGGAAACATGGGAAACATGGTCGCATTCACTGCATTTAGATACCACAAGAGGTAGATCTCGAAACACAAGATGCATTTACACCCTGGACATCCAGCCCCGGATACTCGCCTTGCGATTTCACTGGATGCTCGTTAACCCCGGATTTGAATGATTGGGACGGTGAACGGCCTTTGCGCCGAGGCTACAGATTACTGCGTAACGACCTGTATCAATACAGTCATTTCGTCCGCCCTGCTCTTGTCGCAGCTTGTGCTGCAGGAATAGGTTTTGGGCCACACAAGCTTGTTCGCCTCGGATCGGGGTTCACACAGGAACGGATCGCTGTGAGAAGCTCTCTTGCTTGCATGTTCCCTGCCAAAATGCCACCCTGATGGCGCCACCCCATGTTTGAGTAACCCTGGAGACTGCAAGTCACCGTCGAGGGCGGCTCTCAGAAAGGTGGAAAGGTGGAAAGCAGCAGCATCGCTTGCGTGGAAAGAACGGTGAAGCCGCTCACCACGGTACCTCCCCACTTAACGCGTAGCGACGCGACGAATGTGCAGGGATCTAAAGTGGCCTCGTGCCAATCAGACGAGTCCAGGGTGACAGCGAATCGAAACAGACAGGGGCCCTGCAACCAATTCCCTTGCGGCCCGCGCGGACCACCTCTGCCCTGACGCGTTGCGGAGAACGGGCGTCCAATGGCGTCCTCTGGCTGCGCGATTGAGCAGCTCCCAGGCACAACAAAAGACAGCCAGACGGAGCTGCAATCGGGCCTGAGGATGGCACGAAGTGACCTTTCCTTCCCTCGCTTGAGTGGTATCTTATCTTTTCGGACATAACATCCCTGTCCCTTCCGACGCATGGTCGAGTCACCCGTTCGCCTGATGCCGCGATGCAACTCCGCAGTTTGACAGGGATGCGAGCTCCGCAATTCCTCCTTCTGGCTGGTGGGCTTGAGCTGGGCGCTGGGGGTTGCCACTGGGCGCCCTCGAGGTGCTTCAGCCAAAACGAGCCAAAACCAGCCAAAGTGGCCGGTGCCCGCACACACCCACCCTGCCACCCCGCCTTGCATTTCCCTGCGCGCTCCGCACCGAACCTGATTCTCCCGACCGACCTGGGTGCTTGTGAAAGTTGCGACACCTTCCGAACGCCAATGCTGCCTTGCGCCTCACTTTATTTTTGCGACTTGCGATCAGCTTCCATCTGATGCGCCTATACGCCTTTCGAGTCAAATCACCCCAACCAGACGCCTTGTTTTACCCGAGATATATAAAGAGTTCGTTCCCGCGCCTTTTCTGCCTAGATTTCCTGGTATCCCACCTCTTTCGTCGGTGTGGGTGTGCATGGGAAGCTTCCCGCATTGCTCCGCGCCGTTCTCTCCCGCTTCCCGGGCTTCGGCTGGGTTGCGACAACCAACGTATCTTGAAGCTAACTGATCCCATGAAGCAGCACCATGTACTAAAGCCGCCGTGCTTTCGTCGCGAACCAGCTAGCTTGGTGTTGGATCGCACCGGGACCCTCCCTGCCTCCCCGATTCTGCGATTCCGTCCCTCGCTGCCGTCGCTGCCGAACTAGCTACCCCCGCCAACCCGACTCCCACTTCGGTTCCGTCCGATCGCATCTTCTCTCAGGTCTCCCCTCCTATACATCAGCTCCGAGAGATGGTTCCCCGAGGCCCCAATGGCTGCCAAACCCTTTGACATACCCACACCGGGCAGCGCATACGCTTTCGACATCTACAATGACGCCCACGCGCTGCGGGCGCCAGGGCCCGCACTTCCCGGTGGGCCCTGCAACTACACGGATCCGACGCTCCCGCGCTGCGGCTGCCGCCGGTTCTGGAGCCGCGCGTCCCTCAGCGGTGGTGTCTTCCAGGAGAACGGTGCGCTCGCTGAGCTCTGCATGTGCTCGCACCATGCGTGCTTCCACGAGGATGCCCAACCCGGACAGACGCAGCCATCGGCCACGGTCAATGCCCCAGGACAGGAAAACCAGAAGCCCGTGACCAACCGGGCGCCGTTGAGCCCGGTCCAGCTTCCCTCGTTCCATGTGCCCGGAAGCCGGTCGTCGCTGGATTTTACCCTGCTGGACTTTCAGGCGTCCATGTCTGCCCCGCGGGTAGAGGCCGTCAACCCCGCCCCAGCTACGGATCCCCATCCGGGACAGGACAGCCCAATGCCGGATACGTTTAACAACTGGGGAGACCTGGCCCGGTCTCAAGCTGGGCTTGCCAATGGACTGCCACCGTTTCCCACCCAATGCTTGATGTCGCCGCCGCCTCCGCCATCCACTGTTGCCTCGAGCCAAGCGAGGTATCTCCGGCCGTTTGCCGGGCGTGGGCTACATACACTAAGTGGTGTCCCTGCCCCAAGGCCAGACTCGCGCCAGCAGGAACATATTAACCAGGACGACGATGTTGAGCCGGCACAGGACACGGGACATGACCCAACGGATTCTGCTTCCACTCCCAAGGCGCTACCATCACAAGACCGTTCGGTGTCAGGCCAGGATGGTGCTTACCAAAAGCTTTCAGACAAGGTCGACACGCACGAACAGCGGCTCGACCGGCTCGAAACGAACTCCTTTTCCGTTGCCGGCCACGAGGACTGCCACGATAGGCACGAGAATGTCGACCTCCGCGTTACTGAACTCGAGTCGCGGGTCGACGAGGTGGAGAAGATCCTCAACGATAACGGCAGCGTCGTGAGCAGCAGGCGGACGACCAAGCAGGACGGCGGCGCCGACGACGCCACAGCCAGTGTCGTTTCCGTCTCGACCGACGCCACCGTGCTTGCTACGAACCGCGCCGAGGTGTACAGCCAGCTGCAGCAGCTCCAAGCGCAGGTCAGCCAGCTCCAGGCAGCCGCGATGCCGTCATACGCGAAACCCTGGGCGCTCGAGGTCGTGTTCCTGCCGTTCCCGCTCAAGGGTGTGTGGCTCAGCTCGAAGGAGTTTGCCAATCAGCGCCGGTCCATTGGTTCCAATTTTGAGGACTGGACACAGATGCCCAACACGATCAGCAGAGCAACGCCGGACCCGCAGTCGCCCAAGTTCCAGGAGTGGGCGGGACAGGGGCCGGAGTCGAATTGGCTGCTGCCGAGGGCATTCGCTGCGGGGCGCGTTGTTGACCAGAGGTTGAAGAGCCGCGGCTTGATCAAGACGGTCCATGTCCGGGGCGCGGACGCCCGGAGTGTCCAGCTCGCGATTCACGATGCGTTCCAGGACGTGCTGCGCATCTCGTCCAACTCGGACGCGCGGTCAGGGTTCGCGCCCGACTATCCCCTGGCTGAGTACCTCGGTCTGCGGCAGTCTTGGGTGCCGCTGCGCAAGCTCCACAAGGACTCGCGGCTGCGGTTTCTCTCGCCGGCCGAGATGGCGACGCCCGCGCTCTGGGACTTTACGTTCCTCGTCTCCAGCGTCGTTATGAAGGCTACCGGCGTCCAGCGCCTCTACATCACCCAACCCGAGGCCTATCTCCAAGATCACCCGCTCGGGCACCATGCCCTAGAAGCAGGCTGGACTTGGCAAAAGCTGCGCCAGCTGAGCAGGGTCTACCCCGACTCCCAGAGCGAAGCAGACGTGCCCGAGGCCGACGCGCTCGAGGAGTGCTGGAACTGGAATGACCGCCTCGATGAGTCGCCGAGTGTGACCGCTTCGGCCGTCAGCCTCCGCCAGTCCATCCACCAGCGTGCCTCGCGCCGCTCGTCGACCGAACCCTCCGGCCAGTTCTACACTGGCGTGCAGTCTCCCATCCTTTCCATCGGCCCCAGCCGCTCCCGCGCACCATCGCCCCTCATTCAGCGTGAGCGCAAGGGCTCCTTGCCGCCACACATTCGCACGGGGTCCATCCCACCCGCCCATCCTGCCATTCTCTCCCCCGCCCAATCCCGCCGCCGGCCGTCCCACGCCGCCGCAACACCCTACGAGCGCCGCTCGTCCCCCTTCGTACCCCGCGCCAGCCCTCGCCCCAGTCCCCGGGTAGGCAGCAGCAGCCACGCTCTCAACAACCATCCCCATAGCATCGCCATCCCATCCGCGCCCGGCGCCGGCGCCGTTCCCAAACGCCGCTTCACCCGCTCTCCGAGCCTAGTACCTCGCAACACCCCGCGCTGGAGCCGGACCAGCATGAGCCGCTCGCCGTCGCTCGCGCCCGGTGGCATCTACGGGTACCAGGAGGAGCGCGAGCGCGAGAACAGGGAACGGCGCATGACCACGCCCTTCTACTACGCCACGCCGCACAGCGAGGCCATCCCCGAGTTTGGCTACCAGCGCGCGGGCAGCCGCGGGCCGGTTCCGCCTGCCGTTGGTGGGAACCATGGCTTGCGCATGGGTGGGTATGACGACGAGCTTGGGGATGCGGAGTACGGGGACGAGGAGATGGATGATTTCACGACCGGGAGCGAGACGGGGACCGGTGACGATGACGAGGAGGCAGGCGACAGCGAGATGACCGACCACGGCGGCCATCACCATCACCACCACCACCATCCCAACCAGCGGGGGTATTACCAGAGCCCGCACCACGGCGGTAGCAGTGCGCGCCGACAGATCGGAACGGGGTCCTTCGGGTTCGGCACGGACGGCGACGAAGCCGACCTCGACATCGACGTGTACCAAGACGAGGACGAGGACGAGCTGGACGGCGTCGACACGGACGCGGGCAACACCACCGATAACCACCCCAACCACCACCCCAACAACAACAAACAACAACAACAACAACCGCTCCGCCCGGAGGACATACCCTGGGCCGGCATCGAAGACGCCATCGCCAACGGCGGCGCCGACCCCGACGGCGACAGCAACATGTCGGACGGCGAGAACGTCGACCCCACCACCTCCCAATCCCAATCCCAATCCGCCTCCACCTCCCTCTCCCACTCCTACCAATCCCACCAATCCCACCACTCCCATTCCCTATCCCAACACTCCCTCCTCTCCCAATCCCAAGCCGCCCAAGACGCAGCCCTCAACATCGCAATCCACCAAGACGGCGACGACCACGACCACCACCTGCTCCTGGACATGGACGTGCTTGCCGCCGCCGCAAACCATGACCACAACAACGCAGATGATAACGGTGACGGGGACGATGGCGAGGCCAGCAGCCAGGCGCCGAGCGAGTACTCCAGCAAGCCGAGCGCGTGGCAGCTCGTTGCGCCTGTGCAGGCGGTGGCGGGCGAGGGGGATGTGGTGATGGGGCAGAAGGGGGTTGTTAGTGGTGTTGTTGGGGTTGGTGGTGTGGGGGGTGTTGGGCAGGGGTCGGTGATGGGGTTTCGGATTCATGAGGATGGAACGGCGGGGGTGCCGGCGGGGGAGGGGTTGTTGGATACGCAGTGGGGGTGATTATCTATATTTTTATGGCTTGGTGTTTTCTTTTGTTTACCTAGGGATGGATGGATGGATGTTGGGAGGCATATACGCAGGCAGGCATATACGTTTTGGTCTTTTTGGATATCTTTTAACGGGTTGGCGGGACAAGCGAGCGATGCTTTGGGCGATTGTTTCATGGCTTGGTTGGCTGGTTGGTTGGCTGGTTGGCGTCGGGCTGCATGGGGTCTGGAGATACCTACCTACTCACTCTCTGCTTACGCTTGTATGGGTACGATGATAGAATTCCCATCTCAGTTTTGAACAGCCGGCTTCGTTTGTCTCGTCGTGCTTGAACACCCCTGATGGGGGTATATATGTCTTCGTGCTCCTCACCATAGTATCGAATCCATGTCTACATATCAACCCATAACATTTTCCAGCTCCGAACGCCAGCAACTCCAACATGACCCATGATATACCTACCACCTCACGAGAAATGAATCCCTTCTTCGTGGAAAGCTACCGAGCTGCGTTAGCACCGATTCACTTTTCTCCCGATCAACGACAAACTTACCAAGCAACATCTTCAAAAAGTCATTCTGATCGCACTGCCGAGCCCGCTTCTCCCCCAAGGCGGTGCTGGTAAGCACCTTATTTACCTTGGCCTTTACCACCAGCGCGACCTTGGACTTGGGGTTCCTGCTGGGTGTCTTGGCAGCCTCCTTGGCCGCGTCGGCATCGTGGAGCTCCTTGAAGAAGGCGGGCATGTCCTCATCCTCGTCCTCGTCTTCGTTTTGATCCATGCCCCCTGTGCCCTCTTCCTCGTCGCCGTCTTGGTTGTCGTTGTCGTCCATGTCGACGTCCATGTTATCGTCGGTGGCGGTGACTGCTGCGAGGTCGGCGGTGGCGATAGACTCGTCGATGGGGATGTTGTTTAGGGAACAGTAGACTTTGTAGTTCTGCTAGGGGTGAGTGGTGGGTTTGTGGGGGTGGAAGGAAGGGTGGGGACTGACGCGTTCACACATTGCGAGCACTTCTTTTACACTGAAGGCGGCGCGTAGTGTCTTGTTTTTGCGGTTGCTGGAATTCATCTGTTAGTGTAGAACGCTGGTGAGGCGGGGAATGCCGGATACGCACAAAGCAATCCGGAGTAGACCGTCGAACTCCTGGGGAGGGGTTAGCGACTTGGGGATAGAGCTTGGGTTGTGGATGGCATACGTCAAAGGCAATGTTTGGCCGCGCTGACCCCAGCTGTTACGTGGTCAGTAATTCCCCTGGTAGCAAAGGGGCGGTGTCCTACTAATGGCTCTATCCTGACAACTAAAAGGGGTTAGTAATTTGGCTCCAAAACACATGCTGGGTAACTTAGGCAACTTACCATCGCTTTCGACCTTGGGTGGAGGCTTAAAGTTCTGCTTTCCGACTTTCTAGGGGGGGTCAGCCTTTCCGCCTTTCCTCTCCTCTTGCGCTCCATAATCCAGCTTACCATGATGTGTTTACACGAGGCCCAGAAGTTCACATTGACGCTCAGCCTCGAGTATAGGGCATCCCCCGGCTTCGCAACCAATCTTTTCGCAAACTCTCTTTGAAACTACCAGACAGTCCACCGTCAGTCCATAACCTCCATGTCAATCCTGGAACACCCACCATGAGCACTGCCACCCTAGGCGGGTTCGGCATAGCTAGCATCTTGAAGATGAGCGGACTGCTGATCTGGTATGGTGTGTTGGAAATGAGGGCGTCGCATGGGGGCATTTCGGGCATTTTGATGACGTCCCCAAGGATGACCTCAAGCTTCTTGGCCAGGGGCGTGCCTTGTACGCGCTTTGTGACTTCGGCACCCATTCTCGGATCGAGTTCGACTGCGTGGGTCAGCTATTGTTGGGGGCTGGAATGATCTGGGGTGGATGTTCCGTACTCGCGATGACCTTCTTTGCCTTATCGAGGGCCCGGACCGTGACTGTTGACAACCATGTCAGTTCCCGAAGGGTTCCAGGTTTGGGGGAGGGTGAAACCGATGCCGATAGCGGTGCTTACTATTCCCGGTACCCGGACCAACCTCGACAACGACATCGGTGGGCTTGAGGTAGGCCTTGTCGACAATGGCATCGCTGATGCCGGGGTTCTTTAAGATATGCTGGCCAAAGTCCTTGTCGAAGCGGAAGATGTTGGTGTTGGAGGAACTGCCCTTGGACGCTTTGCGGTCGTAGGGGCCATTACTGGCCCCTCCCCGCTTCTGCTTGGCCGCCTTGGGCATGATATCACACTCTGAAGCTGAGGACCGGGTTTCGGGGTAATGGTGTTTTCGTTGCTAAACACCAATGAAATGTTCGCTCACCGCATCACCGCCAATATTTTTTGGCCTGGCAGAAAAAAAGACCCCGCCAAAAGCGATAAGATAGGGCAGCCAGGACCGGCGAGTGAAGCCACACCGCTTGCCAAGCACCCGAGCCGGGAAGAGGCAGCCGATCTTCTTGCAGCCCAAAACCGCGGGTGGGCCCGCCTGTCATCAACCCTGTGCTTGCCCGTAACTGTAACACTCGGCTCGTGAAGCACAATTACACAGCCTCGAACAGCCCAGTTCGCACTGAACGGCCACGCCAGTACGCTGCCGCAAATGCCGGGAGCCATAGTTAACAGGACCCGACACTTATTACGCTTGCGTCGACATACGAGGTCGTTGTTTCCGACCTGAAACGATCCATGGCCAGCGCTGACGTTGCCCGGGCTGTGTATGCCCCTGTAATCTGTACTTGGTACAGATCTGTCGTGTATTTCAAAGACCCACCGTTTGCATCCCCCAAAAGCATGCGAGAACTGACGTAACCAGCCGCGTGAGCAATTGCGGCGTAGCGGCGGAGCTTGTCCCCCAAAGGCAGACTTCATCAGATCCAACGACTAGCCCTTTCCTCGAACCCCGGTCAATTTGTTGGTTGATCTTGAGCCCCATCGCATCACATCACTGCATCACTGGCGCCATCGCTTTATAGGCCTTGGATTTGATAAACTTTTTCAGCTGGTGTGGGGTTGCACCCGATTGATGGTTGGTTGTGTATTTTCCATAATTATCACTTCGTGCCCGAGTCGAATTCAAGATTCCCAACGAGTCGGCAACAACCTTGGAGTTTAGGCTCGAGGTTTCGGCTAGGTACTGATTAGGTACATACCTAGGTACCGATATTCCCATCCCAACTAAACAAACACCGGCACCATGTCAATACGCGTCATTCTGGACAACCCGCCCGAATTCTATACCAACCTGGACTTCATCAAGGGCGATGTTGTGCTCTCCCTCAGCCGTAATGAGCACGTCGGCGCCATTATCGTCAAGCTCGAAGGCGAGTCCAGGACAGCTCTGGAAGTGCCCAGCGACAACCTGGGTATGGGCATCGCCGGGAGAGACCGGCTATCTAGCAGCGGGGACACCCTGCACGAAAACCACAAGATCCTGTACAAAGTCGGCCAAGTCTTCCCCGATGAGAATGCACCGCCGGCCGCCTCACCTTATCTTCTCAACCCCGGACAGCACCGTTTCCCTTTTCAGTTCAAATTCCCCTTCAACAATGCCTGCGGTAATGCGGAAGCCATGGCCCGGATTGGCGGTGTTGTCAACACCGGTGGCATGTTTGGGGTTGGCTTCCGGGTAATGGACGGGACCAAGCAGCTGATGTACTCACACGTCACCAAGACGCTGCCCCCGAGCTTCACGGGCTTCCCAGGAGAGGCCGAGATCCGGTACTACGTCAAAGTAACAATACAAAGACCCGGGATATTCAAGGAAAATTGGCGCCACCAGATGGGGCTCAAGTTCTTGCCCATCGAACCACCGAGGCCGGCCAAGTCGAACCAAGAGGCATACGCCAGGCGGCCCTTCACCTTTCAACCGAGGAGCCCAAGTCCGGCGCCGTACCAAAAGAAGCGCTCTTCTTTCTTCGGAAGGCACGGGGGACTCTCAGCGTCTGCTAACGGCCGGTCAAGCGGCCCGCCATCACCCACTCCCGGTGCCACCGCTCCGTCCATCGAGATGTCTGCCCGCCTCCCACACCCTGCCATCCTCACCTGCAATAAATCGATACCCTTCCGCTTGATAGCAAAAAAGCTGGTGCCCGCACAAACCGACGTGTACCTAATAGCAATTCAAATTGAGCTCATCGGCAAGACCACAGTGCGTTGTCAGGATTTAGTCAACACCGAGATGAACCGCTGGGTCATCCTGTCGCGCCACGGCCTCTCCACCCTCGTGTCCAAACCCGAAGACCCCGTGGGAACGGAATTCGTCGTGCCAGACATACTCTGGAATGACGCCCCCTTACCCAACACTGTCATGCCGAGTTTCCTCACATGCAATCTCAGGTATGTTCCTTAACTTCTTCGGTCTGCATGAGACTCATCCACTCACCCACTCACCCCCACTAGACGCGACTACCAGCTCGAGATCAAGCTCGGCTTAGCCTGGGGCAAACCCGCCGTTAACTCCCCCAGCATGTTCCTCGGCCGCGGGAAATTCGCCGACGCCGCCGGACGCCCGCAAGAACTGCACCTCAACCTCCAATTCAGCACAATCCAAGTCTACTCCGGCCTGGCCCCGCCCGCCGAGCTCGTCCAAGCAGCCCGCAACCCGCGACCCAAACCAACTCAACAACAACAACAACAACCACCACCCAAACCCCAACGACCCTCCCAGGGGCCAACAGCAGCAGCAGCAGCAGCAGCAGGCCCCTCCACATCCACCTCCACGCAGGCGAGCGCACCACACCTGCCCCCGCGCCCGGCACAGACCGCCCCGACGCAGCCCGCCGACGCGCTCTACCCGCCACAGCTGGGGCCGGGGCAGGCCAGCCCGCCGTACGACGACGCGCCGCCGACATACGAGGAGGCCATGGCCGAGGAGATGACGGGGCCCGTGTTCCCCGGCGCGGCGCGCCCCGCGTATAGTGGGGTGACGGATGAGAATGGGCCGAGTAGTCTGGGGGCGGTGGGGGGTGGGAAGAATTAGGGTTTTTTTTTTTGGTTGGGATGGGAGCGAGAGGGGGGGGCTGGGTTGGGGACATCAAACCGTGCATACACATCTTGCAAGTACGGGTGAGGAGTTGAGAGCCGAAATCGAGGAAGTCGTGCTGGCTGTGCTTGGTTCAACCTGGGTACCTAGCTTGATCCTACTTAAGGGGGGGGTGGGGGGTTGTTTTGTTGGGTATGATATACCACGGCGTGGAAGAGTTTATTGTCTTCTTAGCGATATTATCGGATATAATTAGCATCGTCTTTGGGGTTGGTAGGTTGTTAGGTATTCGGAGCAACTTGCTCTCACCATCGTGTATCCGCGCCAAGTCCTGGGTCTCATCAATGCGTGCCCGTATGCCTTATGGACAAAAAAAGGCTGCTGGGTTCCGAGTGGAGATGTGGACTAAACCTGGCTTTAGGAAACCCAAAGAAACTGCTTTCTCCATTTACTTTCTGTTATAACTCGGTTTATTGTAATCAATTTCTTACACTTAATCTTTTCCCTCTATTTCTTTTACTTGCTTTCTTCTTTACCCTTGGGAGTTCAACTCTTTTTGGCCACAGGAAGCTCGAGGAAAAGTGGAGTGAAGTCAAGGTTTAGCGAGCATTAGTCAACACCTTATCTTGACTTCAGACTTAACACGTATAGTTCCGCGCAAAGCTTAGCATTAGCTCGCAAATCGATCCATGCTGAAATTCAAAGGGTTCCTTGAACATTCATAAGAGGCCTCCTAAAACTACTTAGCTATCTACCACATACAAGTCAGCAACATACCACACAGGCGGTCATCCAACCACCATCTTCCAGAAGAGACAATTACAAGAATACCGGTCGAGCCGGGTTGATTCTCTCTTCCTGCAAAAGGAGCAGTATCTTACCCGCCTCTACCAACGCCGCCTCACCCCCGAACTTCGAAACGGCCATAAGATATGGTAGAGTCCAGCCCTGACGGCGAATCTAGCGTCGTCCTACTTGCGTTGGGAGCTTCCAGAGCTGCCGGACGGTCTCTTGGAGGAGTTGGCAGAGCACCTTGGATACGAGACCGATGCTTGGCTCTCAGACGCAAGTTCATCTCACAAACCACCCGGGATATATGATATATGATACCCAAGCACGGAGCATGATCAGTTCCGAAACCCCTGAAATGATGGACAAAGTACAATCGGGATGTGGCCGTTCCCCCCGAAGCCTTCAAACGACCAATCCTCCCCCGGTGATCCTGCTTTAATGTACCGCCCGTTCACCCGAGTCTGTTTCTGTCTGAAGTTTGAAGACAGTTAGCCGTGTCATAGCTTAATCTGTTCCGTATCTTCGGGAGTAAGTGAACAGAAGCGTGTTTGACTTTTGTTGCTCGGCAGTTGAGCCAAAACCGCACTGGCCATTGCAGCTATCGGTCAGCAAGAACAATCTTCAAAGAAGGCGCCCGGGCCCGTGAGCTCCTTCTTTTCTCAAAATGCTTGGCCCGGGTAGGGGGGTAATCAGTTACTGTGCACGCATTTCTTTCCCATTTCCTCCAATTTCTCATTGTGATTGCAACTCGGTAATCAGCGATGGCTTCGCACATAAGCTCCAACTTGGCAGAAGGGCTGACAGCGCCTGCTGCTTCTGAGAGCAATTGTCATCTGGGGCTGGTAATTATTTTGCCTTATTCTTTTTTCTTTTTCGGTTCCGTTTATACGAATGGCAATTGCTAACACGCCGTAGGTTTGGCCATGCGTTCGCACGATCGAGGATGTCCTAGACTACGTCGTCAATTCTCGCCAAAGCAATACCGGATCGATTATCGGCTTCCACTGGCTGGCGAGCGATGTGCACCATCTTTATCAACAGTTGAATGCCAGGCTGTTTGACCTCGCCGAACCGAAGGTTCAACGGTTTGAGTACGATTACGAATCCCAGATAGTATATCTCGACATCATGGATGAATCCCCAATTCATCATCACGTTCGAATGAGGCTCCGCGACCACATCATCGCCGACCTTGCAACACTGATTGCCGTTACGGATGGTCCATTAATCCGCCAGCTGACACGCTCCATTGGGGAATATGATCCGATCCCCATCGAATTCGAGAACAAGCTCTTCAAGCAGGCCGATCTTGCATTCGGTCAGGTCGGTATCCTACCATCTGTGGTTTGCGAGGTCTCGTAGAGCGAGCCCCGCCAACACATGTGGAGGAAGGCACACCAATATATCGATTTGTCGGGCGGTAAAATCCGAGCCGTTCTTATCCTTGACCTTCAATACTCCGGTATGAAGAAGGCGTGGGTGAGCTTGCTCACAACCGACGGCTGGGCCCAGCATCACGAGGTCTGTTATGACGATGATCTCGACAAACAACCTATCGGCCAGGTCGATCTGTATCTTTCCGACTTTGTCGACCCCGCTAGTCTACCACTCGCCTGTTGTCGGTCCTCTACTGCTGAATTGACTGGGATTACCAAGTTTGTCGTCCTTCTGCTGTCCGAGACGATGTAACAAATCTGACCCTTTACACTAGGAACCCCGCGATCACTCTGACATACGACGGGCTGAGGGCTATCTTTCGCAGGGCTCGCCACTTATGCAAGCCGACAGAGTGTATTAGGGAGTCCAGCGATGAGGAAACCCTATCCATGGAAGCAGAGCGGTGTATCGCTGAAGCAGACCGACATACGGCTGAAGCAGACCGGCAAACAGCTGAACCAGGGCAGCGTATAGCTGAAGCAGAGCAGCGTATAGCTAACGCGGAGCAGCGTATAGCTAGCGCGGAGCAGCGTATGGTTGAAGCAGAGCGCCGTACAACAGAAGTGCGTCTCGAGACCGAGCAGCGTGTGGCTGAAGCGCGCAACGAGGGCCGTCTCGACATGGAGCGGTGCATATCCGCTGAATTCGAGCGGCGCATGGCTGCGGAGTTGAAGGCGCGTGAGACTGTCGAGGCGGAAAGGCGTATGGTTGATGCAGAGCGGCGTGTGGTTGATGCAGATCGGCGTGTGGTTGATGAAGAGCGACGTGCAGTTGACGGAGAGCGACGTGTAGTTGACGAAGAGCGACGTGTGGCCGACAGTGAGCGGCGCGTGGCTGATAGTGAGCGGCGCGTGGCCGATAGTGAGCGGCGCGTGGCCGAGACCCGGCGTGTGGTTGCCGAAGAGCGGTGTGTGGTGAGTTAGAACGGCGGCTAGCTAGATCGCATGGAGGCCGGGTAGCATTTTGCGAAGGTGTGATGCCTGGTGGAGATGGATGGGTGGCAGGCAAGCACCGGAGACAAACTTCATTGCATAGGTGCTTAACCCCTTTTAGACCGGGAGCTCTGCTAATTTGGCCAATGGTCCTACAAGGAGTCTGTGACATTGCGAGTGTGATGTGAGTGACTGAAGAAGGCCAATGAGTTTTCCAGGAACCACAACTTCTTCGGGCTAAAGTTAGGGTTGATTTGTTCCACATCTGCATTACGTTCTTATGTGTTTGTGTCCGTCGGCTTCAGCTGATTGATATATGTATGTACGTTCGTATGCATATATTCATGAGGGCTGATTCCCACCGATTTAAACCAGCAAACAGCAAATCTGCCGGCTCACCCAAGTCCATACCCGTGGCCGTTGGCCCCCCTAACAACGTGGCTGTGAAGAAGAATAACTGAAGAAGAACAAGGCCACGGCACCGCTCATCCAAGTCTGCAGCGACCTCAGAGCCCTTCACCCACAACAGCGCACCCACCCACTCCAATTGCCAGGGAGGAAAACACCAACCAACCAACCAACCAACCATCAAACCGTTAACCGGACCACACGGCCGGGCCGGGCATGGGGAAGTCCCTGTAGCCGTTGTAGATGTTGTAGTTGGCGTAGCCGTCGCGGGCCTTGTAGGCGCCGGGGAACTTGACCGTCGGGCTCGGCTTGCCGCTGCCCCCGTTGACCACCTTGATCTGGAGGCAGGACACGTAGTGCTCGGGCTGGTTTACGTGCGAGCGGTGCACGCCTGTTGTGCGGGAGGGGGTTAATTGGGGGTTGGGAGATGGGGTTGGGAGATGGGGGGCGGGTGTGTGTTTGGGGGGAGTGGAAAGGGGGAAAGGGGGAAAGGGAGGGGAGGTGGGCTTACCGATGTGCTCGAAGCGGGCGAGGTACTCGCCGTTGGGGGTGTTCTTGGGGATCTTGGCTGCCAGCTGGTTCTTGCCGTTGCTGCACCAGGCGTTGCTGTTGATGGTACTGATGTCGGCGTTCTTGTTGCAGATACCCTCGTGGAAGATCTTGAACCAGTCACCGGATCCGTCGTATGCCTTGACGTTGTCGTTCGGGGCCCGGGAGAGGTAGACGAGGCTGGGGCCTGTAAATGACATGATTAGTTGAGTGGGTGTACTCGATGATTACCATCGACACAACCGGAAGATTGGAGGATGGGGTTGTAGCTTGGTACCCGCTACTCACCAGGGTGCTGGAATTTGGAGTTGGCGGCCAGACGGACACGGATCTCATCGCCAGCGTTCACGGTCAGAACCTCGGTACGGCCGGCGCTGGCGAAGGCGTTTTGGTTGCATCGGGAGTCAGGCCCGTCGATGGTCGAGCTATCGCGGAGGTCGGCGGCCGGGTTGGACGAGAACTTGATGGGGTTGTACTTCTTTCCCCTGGAGGACTCCCGGACGTATTTGTAGTCGGGCTGGACGGCGCCGTTGACGATGTTGGTGTCGAACCAGTAGTGCGCCGAAACCCCCTGGGCCACAAGGGCGGCAACGGAGAAGGAGGAGAGCTTCATGTCGATAATGTAGGGCAAGGGACTTGGATCGGTTTTGAAAAAGATGCTGGCAGATGGAAACCTCTGAAGCTAGAGACTCTTGACCACGGTCCTCTCGGTGGCCGATAGAGAACCAGGTTCTTGCACTTCTTGAAGACGGCTATGCTGGTGATATTTATATTCGATCTCTACGAGCTGATTTCCCTCTCGCTGGGTTTGACATCATGCCGTCACGAACTGATGCCTCCAGCTAGCAGCCTCTCCTTGCCCGTCAATCCCTCGCCGTGAACAGCGTTATCGGAGCCAAGAACGATGTCTTCCATGAAACAATTTTCCCACGAACCATGAGACCATGGCGAGGGACTGTTGCGAGACCTGAGGTTCTTGGTGAGCTCCGTATCTTGCCTTGAACCAAGATTGGGCTCAAAGGGGAAGCACGGAGAGATGAGCCGAGATGTGTTGGAGGGGGGAGTTTCTAGGTGGAAGCCTGATCCCTGATGAAAATACTCTTTACCCGGCCGTGGAGTTGGATCGACGCAGTCCGGAAGAAACCGCAATGTCACGCTGAACTGGGGCGGGATCAGAGTAGTATCATGACCGTTAGAAGGTCGTGAGTCAAGTGCGGAGGGGAGTCCGCTTACTCGTCTTGGTTGAGGGAGTCTCGGTACCATAGAAAGTCAACGGTTACAATTTGGCACCACCCCTCTGGAGTTCGGATGCAATATAAATGGCCGAGCCTGTTATACCACAAAGCGGGCCAAAATGCAACAGAGGTACATACCTATATACATCCTCTGACAGTCTGACCTCTCTTCTCTTCAACTGTCTGCTGCTCTCGGAATAATACTCGAGGAAAAGATTCGACACTAATTTAAAGGCAGCAGTAATTCAAAAGATGGTGGCTCTGGTCCTCTTTTGCTCTAATTGAATCAGGACTTATAGGTTGCCCACGAGATTGTTGTTGTATAGGATGCGGAAGTTGGCAACGTTCGTGTTGGTAATATAGGTACCCAGGTACCGAGTAAATTAATGTGCAACGGTCTGAGGTTAAGACATCGTGACGAGCTACTAGTAGGTCTTTCTGTAATAATGAACACTGAAGTCGAGGAAGAGGAAAGAGAGCAGAGGAACCGCTCAAAACCCGGGGGGGCGAAAATGATCATGATAATACCATCACCGGTAGCTAGCTCTTTCTTCAACTTGACCTCCTCACTATTTGATCGCCGGGTTGCCTCTTGCGGCAACAGCGGCCTCGGGAAAGCGAGTCAAGTCAGTCTTTGCGGTTTATTGGCGGAATTTGCAGATGCCGTAGACTGATCCTATATCATTGTGCTTGACGTACTTGGACTTGCACTTGTCCACCGCCTCCGCTTCCCACCTCTCTAATATCTCGGATGAGGGTGGAGAGCCCCAAGCTGTGAACCTCCTGAGCCCGATACGGTATGGAAATCGGAGCCTCGCTCGTTGGTGCGCCTCAACCGCAGCTTTGGCTCTGCTCTGTAACTAGGTAGTGTTGCACTCCTCCCCCACCCCCTTTTGAGTCCAAGGTAATATGCCGCTACAGCCAAGGTAGAGAGTATTGGGTACCCCCATCCACATTCATTCATGGAAAAAGTTGGTTTTGAATCCACCAATTGCCTGTCCAGACAGGTGGAGGAAGCCTAGGGAACGTGATCTCCCAAGAACCAACCTCCACGATACAATCACAGCTGAGTGAACGGGTGATAGTGATGCGTATCGAGCGGAAGCAACTTTAACGACCGAGTAGCTAGGGAGCGAGCGGGAACAGCCACTAGAGAGACACTCGGAGGCGCGAAGCTCGATGGACGCGTTCACGAGGTCACGCATAAAATAGGGATTGGAATCCGCCTCTAGGGGCCTAAGAAGAAGAGAAGTCCGAGTCAAGGACAAGTCCGATCCGACCGATTCACAATGGTAGTAGGACTCCGACAAATCGCGATAGCGTGCCTCGCCGGCTTCTGCGCCCCGGTAGCAGTGCTAGCTCAGGCCGGCACCACCCTTACCTTCGCCGATGAAGCCAACGGCCAGGGTGGCTTGTTACTCGCCAGCCCCTCCGCACCACCGGCCATCCTCATCTCGGCCGAGGAGCTGGGCCCTGCCTCCCGCGCCGTCAAAGACCTCGCGGCGGACTTTGGCCGCGTCCTCGGCAAGAACGCCACCGTCACCACTGCCACCACGGTGCCTAAGAGTGGCGATGCGCCCGCCATCATCATCGGCACGCTCGGCAGCTCCGAGCTGATCGACCAGCTAGTAAAGGATGGACAGCTCGACGCTACTGCCATCAGCGGCAAGTGGGAAGCGTACGCCTCCCAGATCGTGACCGACGCCGAGGGCAAGCCCGTCGCGCTCGCCATCGCCGGTAGCGACGTCCGCGGCACTATCTTCGGCACCTACGACCTGTCGCAGCAGATCGGCGTGTCACCTTGGCACTACTGGGCCGACGTCCCGCCCAAGAAGCGCCAGTACATCTTCGCGCCGACCGTCTCCAAAGTCTACGGTTCCCCGTCGGTCAAGTACCGCGGCCTCTTCATCAACGACGAGGCCCCCGCGCTCTCCAACTGGGTTACGGGGCGGTTTCCCAGGGGCAACGGCGGCAACTCCTTCACCTCGCCCTTCTACGCCCACGTCCTCGAGCTGCTGCTCCGCCTCAAGGGCAACTACTTCTGGCCGGCCATGTGGGGCAAGATGTTCTACTTGGACGACCCCCAGAACGGGCCGCTGGCGCACGAGTACGGCGTCTTCGCCGGCACCAGCCACCACGAGCCGATGGCGAGGTCCGACGCCGAGCAGAGCCGCTACTGCCAGCCGTGGGACTGGACGCGGAACAAGGCCAACATTCAAAAGTTCATGACCGAGGGCGCCGCCCGCAGCAAAAACTGGGAGACCATCTACACGCTGGGCATGCGCGGGTCCGGCGACGCCGCCTCGCCGACGCTCAACGCCCAGACGCTCGAAGAGGTCATCAAGTGGCAGCAGACGACGCTGGCGAGCACGGTGGGGAAGCCGCTCGGCGAGATCCCGCAGGCGTGGGTCATGTACAAGGAGGTGCCGGGCTACTGGCAGAAGGGCATGGACGTGGGCGAGGACGTGACGCTGCTGTGGACGGACGACAACCGCGGCAACATCCGGCGCATCCCGACCGCCGAGGAGGCTAGCCGCAAGGGCGGCGCCGGCATGTACTACCACTTTGACTATGTCGGCTCGCCGCGCAACTACAAGTGGATCAACACCATCCAGCTGCAGAAGACTTGGGAGCAGATGCACCTGGCGTACGAGAGGGAGATCCGTAACACCTGGATCGTCAACGTTGGCGACCTCAAGGCTTTGGTATGTTGGTCCTTGTCTTTTCATTCCTCGACTCTGGTGGTAGTTGTGTATAGTGTTCCTCGATTCTATCAGCCTCCTGCTAGGTACATCCCCGACTAACACCCGGTCACAGGAGCTGCCACTGGACCACTTCATGGCCATGGCGTATGACATGTCCAAGTTCAGCACCCCGGACAGCACCGGGTCCTACCTCGTCGACTGGGCCGCACAGCAGTTCACCACCGAGGTGGCCGAGACGACGGCGCAGATCATGACGACGTACGGCATGCTGTGCGCGCGGCGCAAGTACGAGGACCTCAGCACGCAGTTCGGGTTCAGCACGTCCGAGTACGACGAGGCCGAGGCCAACATGCAGGAGTGGCTGGGCCTGCTCGCCGTCGCCACCGAGACGCACGACAGCCTGCCCGACGACGCGACCAAGACGGCCTTCTGGGAGATGGTGCTGCACCCGGTGCGGGCCGGCAAGAACGTCTTTGAAATCTACACCAACGCGGCGCTCGGCCAGCGCTACGCCAACGAGAGGCGGCTGGCCACCAACGAGCTGGCGGACCGGGCGCGGGCGGCCTTTGAGGACGACAAGGCCCTCCAGAAGCAGTTCCACAGCATCCTCGGCGGCAAGTGGAACCACATGATGGACCAGACGCACATCGGGTACAACAACTGGCAGGAACCGGCATCCAACTCGATGCCGCGGCTGCCCACGCTCCCCGGCGGCGGGACCGGCTTCGGCGTCGGCATCCAGGGCAGCGGCAGCACAACCTCTGGCAAGCTCACCACGGCACCCATGACCCCCTTCATGCCGCCCGCCGAAAAGCGCTGGATCGAAGTCTTTCTCCGCGCCAAGGGCCGGCTGCAGTACACCATCAAGGCCAACACCACTTTCGCCAACATCACCAACGCCTCCGGCACCCTCACCGACACGGGCCCCTCCCAGCTCCGCAGCATCATCAACATCGACTGGGCCTCGGCACCAGCAGGCCAGTCGGCCGTCGAACTGACCGTCACCTCGGGCTCCACCAACACCGCCGTCATCATCCCCCTGCACAACACCCCCGCACCACCCGCCTCCTTCACGGGCCACATCGCCTCCAACGGCGTCGTCTCCATCGAAGCCCACCACTTCACCCGCATCCACCACCCCTCCCCCAGCACCTCCAACACCACCACCTACGCCACCATCCCCTCCTACGGCCGCACCCAAGCCGGCATCAAGCTCTGGCCCGTCACCACCCCGGCCCAACCCTCCAACTCCCCCAACACAGACTCCACAACCCCGTCCCTAATCTACCGCTTCCACATCCCCGCCCGCAGCACCCGCCTCCGCGTGACGCTCTACCTGTCCGCCTCGGAGAACGCCGACGTCGCCTCCCCGAACCGCTACACCCTCGCCCTCGACACCCGTCCCTCCGTTCTAGTACAGCCTACCCCCCTGTCAGCAGACGCGGGCGCCGAGCCGGCGGGGTGGTCGACGGCGGTGACGCGGAATGCGTGGGTGACGGAGTCTGATTTGGGCCAGGGGGGAGGGGGAGGGCAGTTGGAGGCGGGGGAGCATGAGCTGGCGGTGAGGTTGTTGAATCCGACGATGGTGCTGACCAAGGTTGTGGTGGATCTCGGGGGGTTGAGGGGGAGTGAGTTGGGGCCGCCGGAGAGTTTTCGGGTTGTTTAAGGTTTGTGATAGTGGTGGCGGTGGTGGTGGTGGTGGTGCGGGGGGGGGGGGTGTGGGGAGGATGGGTAGGTGGGTGGGTAGGTGAGTGAGTGAAGGGGAAGGGAGGGGGGGACGTGTCCGGATAGGGAGATTGCGTTTTCCTTTTTCTGCTTGGTAGCTACGTACCTAGTTTGTGAGAAATGATGTATCTATTATTGATCTCCGTTCGCTGCTGTGACCGCGGCGCTAAGGTCTCACCGAATTTCAGGTATGTGACATACGCTCGTTTATTAGTTCAACGAGCCGTGGCTCTTGCAGTCATGCCCTCGGTCAGAACAGTTTGGTTGTGTGGGAATTAGTTTTCCGTGATTTGTCGACTAGCTATGTGGCTGGCCAACTACCTGTTCCCCGTCCCTTAACTTGCCCAAGACTAGCACCCTCGCTCGCTAGCTAAGCAACACCCCCGTTTTCTCAACACTCGCTAAAAAATAGAAACTGAAAAAAAAACCCCATCCCCCTGCCGGTGCTGACCGCCGCAGCCCAAAAACAAACACCAAACCCCATGTTGTTGCCCCGGTACCGCCCAGTGAAACGAACTCCAGCCGTGATGTGATGCAAATCCGAGAAAGAAAACGTAAAATCAAAGAGATCATCATGTGCCGTAACGAGTCATGTTGTGCATGTCGTGATCCAATCGAGTCGCCTCTCTTTATTATGAGTGGAACGATATCTTCCCGAAAACAACGCTGGCTTTTCCGGCGTTGTTCCGGTCTGGCGATAAGTATAATGTAAAGCCGCGTGTAGTAGTATGCGGCGAGAGAGAGCCACAGGTTGATATAATGGTGACCTGGGCAGACCGAATGCCCGGGCGGAAAGCACATCGAGATGGACCATCTAGTCAATCTCGATAACCTCCACCTCTCGCCTCGGCGCGGTAGGTACCTGCACCGCCTTGCCCTTGGCGGTAGCCGCGGGCCGCGACCCATGCCGCTCTTCCTCGTCACTCTCCCCGTCATCGTCCGCCTCGAGCACAACGGACCAGCTCCCGTCCGCCTTCACACGCAAGCACTTGGTGTGCAGCCTGCCTTCTTCCTCCAGCTGCGTCCTGACGTTGAGCAAGAACCCGTCGATCCGCAGACTGTACGGCCGTGCGTCCTTGGAGCAGATCGGGCAGCGCCACTTATCGGGGTTTGACGGCTCGCCGGGGTCCCGGCAGTCGCACTCTACCTGCCGATGAGGGCACTTGACTGGTGTTTTTGACGGCCGCGTGTTCAACCAGTTCTCGAGGTCGAAGCACTCCATGTGCGTGCACGTGGCGCCACGCGCGGGGATCTTGAAGATGGTCGAGCTGAAGGGGTCGGCAAGGTCGATCGGCAGATCAGGCGCCTCGAAAGAGACTTCGTCGTCAAGCGATGAGGTCAAGCGCCGCTTGATAGTCTTTAGCGTCTGTTCTTCGGGCGTTACGCCCCGCGCCCAGACGTCCCTGACTGCGCTGGAATGGCTGAGTGTCTCGAGCATCTCCACAGCTAGGTGGCGGTTTTTAACCTGCTCACCCTGCGGGCCGTGTATAGCAACCAAGAGCACGTTGGTACCACAGACGATATAGTCAGTGATCTCCGTAGGTTGATCTTTCCCATTGTGCCGTTGCCTGCGTATGTCGAGCGCCTTGTTGTTGAGCGTCATGTGAATGTACGCTGGCCAGTCCATCTCCAATCCTACCCACTCTTCTTCCCTAAGCGGTCCGTTCGGGCCTCGAACTACGCAGCACCGGATTCGCCATCGGAGCGCGCCGTTAAAGTGCTCAACTACCGGCAGAAGGGCTGTGGGGTTCTTCGACTTGGCCGCTACGAGGGCAAACTGCTCCTCCGTCACATCGAACCGGAACTCGTACATGGTCTTCTTGGGAGCCACGGGAGTCGGCGCAACCGAGAGTGATTTCACAGATTGGTAGAATCGTTCCGTCTCGCCGTCCTTGATGACCCGCTTCGGACTGCGGACATGGGCTTGGTGCAGCGACATCATGACCGATTTTCGATCCGCCGGTTCGTGCGGCCACTCCGTCCGCCCGATCATTGCGCCCTTGGGCGGCAGCAGGCGGTCGTTCGCCGTCACAGTTCGCTGCCGTTGCTGCGCACCTCGCTGGATCTGGTGCGTTGGGGACTGAGCAGTCGGGGTTGACCCAGGGTGCGCCACACCGGCGACAAAACCTGTCGGAGACATTGAGGTTTGTATCTGTTGCAGCATCCAAGGGCTAGGCCGTATCTGCTGCAACCGGGGGCTTTGCGCGGGATGAGTCGTACGGTAAGACGGCGCGTTGCTAACTGGCGACTGCGTCATGGGCTGGGGGTTGACCTGAGCGGGATTAGACGTGCTGATTTGCAAGTTCTGCACATAGTGCTGCTGGTTTAGTTGCTGGTTTACTTGCTGCGCGCGCAGTTGTTGCCCTTGGTTTAGCGCTTGTTGTTGTTGCCAAACGAATTGCACCGGCTGTGGTTGTTGGCCCCAAACATTGCTAACCGCTGGGTGTTGCGGGTTCGAATGGGGAGCATTCCGTATCTGCGGATGAGATGTCGATGTGTTAGCACCCAGCGATGCCATCTGTGTTGGACCCGTTACGGTTGGCGTTTGGGGAGTGGTGTAAGGGTTTGTTGCGGCCGTGGGTGCTTGAGGCGATGGCGGCAGGGCCATACTCGGGTATAAAGCAGGCAAGTAATTCGGGACGGAGTAAGCAATGGGGGCAGCTTGGTGCTGTTGTGCATTATGCACCGGAGACATGCGGTTTGGCGGTTGTGTCTGCCCTTGCATGGATGCGCTGGCTTGTTGTTGGAGGGGAGCGGATGTGTTCAGCATTGGCGGGGAGCGAAGGTTAGACTGGCCTGAGGTCTGGCGTGTTGCCGCCTGGACTGTTTGCCTGTAAAAATGGATGAGCCCGGAATTTCGCTGCTCGATCTCCCCCGCGTGGGTGAAGGGCACTAAAAATTGGTTGTTCTGGCCGGGAGCGCGGTGCCTGTGCTGGTCTTCCCGAAACGCCTGCTCCATTGGGCCGCCAAATTGGCCATCTGGCACACCTAGCCGCCTTCGACAGGCAGTGAAGAGAATATACTGCAGGACTGGGGAGTAACAACTCAAGCGGCTCAAGAGCTCGTCCACTAGAAAGGGGTATTTTCGGTGGATCGCCGCTATGGCGAGGTTTCCGTAATCCTTCACCAGGGCGCTGAGGAACCTGGCGATCTGCTGGATGATAACGCCACCGTTATTCCACCGATCGAACTGTCCCAGAGGAACAGGAAACCGGGAGAACCACTGCTGGTGTGGCGGCGATATGAGCTGATTTTTCTTAAGAACAGTTTCGAGTATCGCAAACGCTTCATTCACGGTCGACTGACTTAGCGGTATACACGCACGGACATCCTGCCTCTTGAGAGACCACATGGAAAACAGCTGGTGCAAGAAGATGAAGAAGGTATCTTCGGTCTTGCATGCCTCCCTGAGCAGCATGATCCTCGGTTTTTCAACGCTGCCGTCGAGGGCCTGTTCCCCCCCTGAAGCCTGAACATATTGTTCTAGCGTTGGAATGAGCGGAGGGATGCATGCGGGTGGAACGGACGGCATGTACGCGGGTGGAATGGACGGCGTGTTTCTGCGAACAAGTTAGCACATTATCGCTGTTACCGCTGTGTTGAACTTACTCTGTGCGCCGTCGTTTCGCTGGGGGAGGAGGCGGTCCATGTTCATGGGAGGTGGACGATGAAGAAGGAGGTCCTCCATGGCTGACATTCGGGGCGTGTGTGTTCTGTCCGGCTTCAAGTCGGTTACTCGGAGGCTGTAATATATGCCCAGGCGCAGGAGAGTGGCTCTCGGCCTGAGGGGTCGCGCCAACACTCCCTGGCCTCGGGATCTCCTGTACGTCCGGGGTACGAGAAGGGACATGGACGAATCGGGCATTGGTGACTGGGTGTGTTGCCGGTGCCGAGGGTGTTATGGACCCCATGCTGTGCGCATCGGCGAGAGGGGCAGGGGAGGATTTGGGGCTATCGGGCAGGTTCGAGAGGGCAGGGCTCGGCTCGTCGGTCGGGGCGGGTGACGGGAGAACGGCTGGGCTAGGTAAAAGACAAATGTTAGCGTCGGCTTGTTCTACCCAAGGTGTAGGGCGGTGAGACAGTGTAGCACCTGCAACACAGGCTTGCGACGAAGATGGGAGCGGGCTAGCTTACCGTTGCTGCTGCTGCTGCTGGTGGTGCTCCTGTTGTTGCTGTTGCTGCTGTTGCTGTTGCTCTTCCTGTTGTTCCTGTTGTTGCTGCTGCTGCTGCTGCTGCTGCTGCTGCTCCACCTGCTGCTGTTGCCGAACAGCTTGCGCGGCAGGCGGTCGAGGGACGGCGGGTCGGGGAGCACTGGGTTTCCTTGTTGGTGCACCAGAAGTCATCCATGATGGCTGTCGGCCGCCGAGAAAGGCGTTAGCGGTGGCATTAGAGGACGCGATCTGGCTGTTGGAAGCGACCGAGGGACGGGGATTCGCGGCCACGGTGGGCTTGGGGGGTGGCATCGTACTCTATTCTCCACCCAAACGTCTGGTCGCAAAGCGACAGGGGATGCTCGGAGACTGTGGAGTAGAAGTCAATCTAAGGTGTGCAAACGGGCTTCGGGCGACAAAGCCGGGTCGTGGCGGTTGCGAGATTGCGCAAGGCGGCCATGCGCGAGGATCACGCACCATGGATGGGAAACTTTGCGGATGTTGTTGTGTGCGGAAAGGGTCGAGCCGGGTCCAGCGAGGAGAGGCAGGGCAAGCGCGCAAAAACCAGAAGCCAGTGAATCGAGCTAAATGTGACGGATGCCCGCACCGGACGGGAGGGCGTGGCAAGAACGGTTGTTTCTGCGAAGGGAAGTCGCAGCTTTCCACCTTGCAGCCAACAGACAACTTAGCGATGGAAGGTACCTCACTCGGCCCCACCTCAATCTTAAGAAATAAGGCCCAAAGTACCTGACACAGAATTTCCAGGTCCGTTTGGCATTAAATAGGTCTGAAGTCTGTTGGCGTAGAAAACGATAGAAGCCGAGCTGATAGCGGCGGCCTTGATGTTTTCTATTTATTCCCAGGTTGTTGGTCTGCGCGGGATGCTGGAACCAACGGGTGTTTGGGGTTCTGGCGATGGCTGTGGTTGCACACACCATCGGGAACACGCTTGCCCAATCAGGTATTGCGTGTCTCAAGGCGGAGGAAAACCGTTGCATGGGGGGATGGATATTGATGGCCCAGATTCGTTAGCAAAAAGCTACCGTCTATCTATTGCATGTACCGGGCAAGCTGTGCGATGGATCAGTCGGATGCAGAGAGTAAAATCCGATATATCTTTCGTTTGCAGAAGTTCTTTTTAGAGGAGAGTTCGTGAATCATGATCCTTCCCGGCCGTCAACGGGACCGTGCCGCTGGAGCACAGGGATGAGAACCAGGACTATCAATCTGCGGTTGGTTGGAGCAGGGGTTGTGAATACTCCGACACAGACGGGACCAACGTTTTCTCTTCCACTGTTGGCATAGGGTCGGGTACCTGTCGAAGAGGCCGTTGTGATAGTGGTTCAGGTTGTCAAAACGGCGTTATGAACTGATCATTCCCTGTTTGTCACCCTGTTGTGGCACATCCGTCACCTCCAGGATTATGTGTGGACGAAGATCGGATGGACGGTTGCATGGAGCCTTCTGGACCCCAGTGGCAGATAGTTACCAGGATCTCCCCCAGAAGCGGGGTCAGCTCCTGAGGTTCCAAGGCGAATGGGACGAGACCGCTCCAGCAAAACCAGCCAAGGTGCCAAGGTGGGGCTGGGCCGAAGCTGCTGCAGGCAAGAGCCAAAGAGAAGAAAAAAAGTTTTGAGCAGCAATCGCAGCAATCGCAGCGCGCAGCCCCAGATCTGAATCGGAGCGCAAACTCAACGACCGAACAACCCCCCCCAACCCCTCCACGGCCGGATTCCAACAACAACAAAAATGGCGGCAGAAGTGCTACCGCTAGCACAGGTGAAGCTGCCGTCGGGGCCCAGCCCCGTCACAGCCGAGCAGCGGTACTGGAGGTCGTTCAAGAACCAGAAATCCCACACGTCGACGGCGTCGTGGCCCATTTCGCACATCAGCTTTCCTGCTGCGGGCGCCGCACTATCCAATTCCCTCGTCGCAGCCACCAAGCTCAATGACTTGTTCGCCGTGACTTCCGGGCCCCGTGTCGACATCTTCTCGATCCGCAAGCGCGAACCCCTCAAGACCATTGGCCGCTTCGACAGCGAGGCACACTGCGGCGAGATACGGGCCGATGGCAGGGTGCTGGTGGCCGGCGAGGACTCGGGCCGGATGCAGGTGTTTGACGTGGGCGGTGGGACTCGGGCTGTGATACTCAAAACGTGGCATATCCACAAGCAGCCAGTGTGGGTGACGAAGTGGTCGCCCACCGAGCTGACGACGCTCATGAGCGCCAGTGACGACAAGACGGTTCGGTTGTGGGATCTGCCCTCGAACAACCCGAGCCGCATGTTTACGGGTCACTCCGACTACGTACGCTGCGGCGCCTTCATGCCGGGCGGGAACAGCAACCTGCTGGTGTCGGGATCCTACGATGAAACGGTCCGGGTCTGGGACGCGAGAGCAGCAGGAGGCGCCGTCATGACCTTCAAACACGCCGACCCCGTCGAACATGTCCTCCCGCTGCAGTCCGGCACAACCCTCCTGGCCGCCGCGGGGAGTGCCATCTCCGTCCTCGACCTCGTCGCAGCGAAGCCCCTCCGTCTCATTACCAACCACCAAAAGACCGTCACCTCGCTCTCCCTCGCGTCCGACGGCCGACGCGTCGTCAGTGGCAGCCTGGACGGCCATGTCAAGGTATTCGAGACAACCGACTGGAACGTCGTGGCCGGCTCCAAATACCCCAGCCCGATCCTGTCTCTCTCCGTCATCACCGCCGGCGCCGCCCAAGAAGACCGCCACCTCGCTGTCGGCATGCAGTCCGGCGTGCTGTCCCTGCGCACACGACTCTCGGGCGCAGCCGCCGAGAAGGCCCGGGATCGCGCGGCCGTGGAGGCGGCACGCGACATCGGCACCGACGCCCTCGAGAAGCTGGACGCGCAAAAGGCCAAGCGGAAGCGCGCGGCCATGACCAACAAGTCGATGGACCTGCTGGGCGAGAGCGTCGACGTGATCATCCCCACCGACGCACAGGGCGGGCGCGGCGGGCGGCGGGTCAAGCTCAAGCCGTGGCAGCGCAACTTCCGGCAGGGCCGGTACGCGGCCGCGCTGGACGAGGTGGTGGACATGAGCGACGCGCAGTACCAGCCCGTGACGGCGCTCACGTTGCTCGTCGCGCTCCGCCACCGCTCCGCCCTGCGCGAGGCCCTCGAGGGCCGCGACGAGATCACCGTGCTGCCCCTGCTCAAGTGGGTCAGCAAGCACATCGCCGACCCGCGCTACTTGAGCATCTGCGTCGACGTGTCCTTCCACCTGCTCGACATCTACAGCGAGCATGTCGGTGGTAGCGCCGAACTGGCCGCGCTGTTCCAGGCGCTGCTGGGGAAGGTGTCCAAGGAGGTGGAGAAGGCGCAGATGGCGATCCAGACGAACGGGATGGTGGAGAGTTTAATGTTTGGGGCCATGTAATCGGGTGTGTTTGTGTGTTGTGTGTTGTGTGTAGGCGGGGGAAGAGGGGGGCTTACTTTCTTGCATTGCGCCGGCGTTCCTGGTTCGGATTCGGAAAAAGAAAATAACAGGCTGTGCGGATGGTGCCGTGTGTTTTGATGGCTGATCGAAAGAGATAGAATGATACCTACAATGTCATACCAATATGCTGGAGTTGGCTGCCAGATGTGGTACCATGCCACCATCCGTGCAACGGTCTCACCGTTCAAAAGACCAATCATCGAGGGTCGATATCGACTGAGACCTTCACTTATCATCGTGATCATCATTACTGTGATTCGAAGGGACCCTAAAAGGAGACTCTGACCGTGCCCACTGCGCGGGGCATCGCCAAAATTGTATATAGAAATACCAACTCAACCACGATCTTGGTCCGACAACCGCCTTCTCTCCCGTGTCAATTTTGGTCGCCCTTTTCCTCCTCGTAGGTCCTCAGGCGCCCTAGGAGTGTTAAAGCGCCAGTTTCCCCATCAACCGCTGTCCATACATGATTCGAAAAACAGTACCGAGTACCCCTGTCGCTTTCACTTTCAATCTTCTCTTCCCCCCCCGCCACCATCACCGCCAAGCGGCAGTCATCAATTCATACCCCCCGCTCACCTACCGCCCAACTCCGCCTCGAGACCCTGCATGACGCCATACTCCTGGGGCCGCGGATCCTCGGCCTTCCACTGGTGGTTGCCGCCGGCAGGCAGGGGCACCTGCGGGGCGGGCTGGGCGCCCCCCTGGCCACCGGCGCCGGGGACGGTGCGGACGAGCTGGCGGAAGCGGAAGACCTCGTCGAGGATCATCTTGCGCATCTCGGCGACCTCGTCGACGATCTCGAAGTCGAAGTTGAAGGTGACGGGGCAGTCGGGCTCGTCGGAGGCGTCGTGCCAGATGGACAGGTAGGGGTGCTCGAGGGCCTCCTCGACCGAGATGCGGCGGGTGGGGTCGAAGGCGAGCATGCGGTCGAGCAGGTCGAGCGCGTCCGGGTTGGCGTTGGCGAAGAGCGAGGGGAACGACTTCTTGGCCATGTACGGCAGGTTGCGCACGTACTCCTGCGCCCGCGGCGACCCGATCCGCGACAGCGTCTCCTCGTTGGGCGTCCCCAGGATGTGCAGGATCTGGTTGAGCTGGTCCACGTAGTCGCGGCCCTTGAAGAAGGGGCGCCCGCCCAGGAGCTCCGCCAGGATGCAGCCTACCGACCAGACGTCGACTGAAAAGTCGCGGGTTAGCACACATGCAAGGGAGAGGAGAGGAGGGACATGGGGGGCGGGTGAACGTACTCGCTTTGGTGTAGTTCTGGAAGCTGAGCATAATCTCGGGGGCGCGGTACCATCTCGTCGCGACATACTCGGTCATGTAGCCGGCATTCTCCTCCGGGTCGATCGAGAAGCCGCGGGCGAGGCCGAAATCGCAGATCTTGAGCTCGCAGTCGGCGTTGACCAGCAGGTTGCCCGGCTTGAGGTCGCGGTGCAGCACGTTCGCCGAGTGGATGTACTTGAGCCCGCACAGGATCTGGTAGATGAAGGACTGGAAGTGGGCGTCGGTGAGCGGCTGGCCCGACCGGATGATAGCCGCCAGGTCGCACTCCATCAGCTCTGTGGGGGGTGGTCTGTCAGCGGGGGAAGGGGGGGGGGGGGGGGGGGGGTTTTGGGTAATACAGGGGGCAAGTACCCTCGTAGAGATATGTCTCGTTAAAATTGTCTGGTCTGGGGATGTCCATGTCGTAGAGGCAGGTGATCTGAATAGCAACAAACATTGTCAGTATCAAGGAACACACAAGGACATTGACTCGAAGCTCTCACGTTGCGGTGGCCCCTGAAGTGCTGCAGGAGCTTGATCTCGCGCAGGGCGCGCTTGGCCAGGATCTTCTTGCTGAAGACATTGGTGACCTTCTTGATGGCGATTCCCTCGTTTGTCTGGTTATTCACTGCCGCGCTTCAAATGTATTGTTAGTCGCGTTGTCCTGGCACTCTGGAGACGAGCCACATGCTGCTGCTGCTTGTGATAGCGATGATGCGGGGCCGCCGAGGAGGCCACCGAGAAAGAGGAGAGAGAGCGAGTGCATACCAGACAATACCATAGGCACCTTGTCCCAGTTCCTTCGTCACGGTATATCTCTCATCGACGATGAAGTCCTGGTTAAAGACCTTGAAGATCTTGCGGCCCTGTAGATCAGCCATGGCGAGTGTGTTCTTGGTGTTGCTCGTCGTCAGCTATCGCAATGTGTCGGAGGGAATCCCTGACGAAGTGGGGAGGGCTCCGTCCGAAAAGGAGGGGCAGCACAAAGCGAGCTGAACTGAAACCGTCAGGCACAACAAGGGACGAAGAAAAGGCGCGGGGACAGAAGCAAGCCCGGGGCGGTTTCGAGTGGCAAAAGAGGCACTGGGAGACGTACACCACACTCGAGAACACGGATGGGGGATGGGATAGCAAAGCCTCGGTCGTATTTATTTGGAAGAGATGGAGGCGCTGCTCGCAAAAAGATGGAGGGGCTGAGGGTTGATCAAGCGCATCGCTGGGCCCATCAGAAGACGCTCTGCGTGCAACCTCGACCCGCCAAGAAGGTCGGTCGTCAGCCTGTTGGTCGGCACGGAGGGCTCTGCAGGGTGTGATGAAGCTCGAAGGAACAGGGGCAACAAGGGACAGCTTGGAGCACAGCAATCGCAGGCAGACGCTCACAACACTCCAACAAGGGATGGCGCCCCACAGCTTCTCCCGTTTCAGTCGTCGGCTGGCCGGGTCGCGAAGACGAGTCCCCGCTTCATCAACCGTGTTCTGCCGTGTTGGTTCGGGCGTCGTTGGGCCGTTGTCTGATTGGCGCAGTCGACCTGACTTGCAGTTGATCACCGTTCCGACCTCTGTTACGCGCGCGACAACTTGAGATTCCACGCACCAGGAAATTACACGCTGCAGGTGATCTTGATGATTTCGAGCCGAGTTCCGAAAGGTGACGGATCGATGTTCCATAGTTAGTTATCGTCGCAAAACGCCGCAGCCTCGCTCGCACTTGTGTGCTTGTGTGTGCCCAACAAGTCACACGCGACAGCGAGGATCGACACCAGCCAAATCCTGCTTCGAGCATGCGCCCCGCAGCTGAGTGGAAAATGGCCGTCTGAAGTTGGGGAGGTTCGGAGGGTGCGAGGTCAAGATGGGAGAAAGAAGCGCCCGTCAGGCCGCCGCAACGTGCACATTGGGTGAGAGCTGGGATGGAACCCTGTGCCCTGGCTGAGATGCCGGCGGCCTGCCGGTCTTGGGCCACTCAGGTGGCCGTAGGGCTGAGGCCATTTAGGGGCAAAGTGCGGGGCTGAACGACTCCCATCGTCCCCCGCCTGCTCGTCTCGAGCCTGGCTCAGGTGCGAGACCAACGGAATGTGTAAAATGCCCCAAATTAGAACATGCGCGCGTGGGAGCTGGAATATAAAAGCCACTGTTACCCCCTCGGGCTACACAGCGTTGGGCTAGTTTGGTTCAGCCCGCAAGCTCGGCATCAGAGAACACCAGAGCTGAGCATGCGCCGCCAGAAAGGGACCAAGCGACCTGAGAACCAACCGACCACTTCGAAAGCGATACGCCATTGGTATCTTCGCCTTCCCCGTGCGGAAACGCCTGCATTACCGGGCATCAAAGCCGAGGAGGCTCCACGTCGGGGAATACCTCGGTGAGGAAATTTATCGAGAACCGAGTCGCCTGCTCATACGCCTTTTGGAACCCTTGCCTACCACCGTAGTACGGGTCGCTGATGATCTCGGTCTTACCGGTACCAGAGTACTCGCCAAAGAGCATGAGCTTCGCCTTGCTGTCGGGCTTGCGCCGCTGAATGCGCTGCAGGTCCTCGAGGTTCCCCCGGTCCATCGCAAAAATGTAGTCAAAGTTGTCGAAGTCTGATGCATTGACCTGCCATTTCCGTCAGATTGAGCACCGGCAGCCGAAAAGATACAGCCAAACCTTCCGAGCACAATGCACATAGTCGATGATGCCGTGGCTCTCGAGAGTCGACATTGTCCGGTCGTCTGGTCCGTCGCCGATGTGGTAACCACCTAGATGAGAAGCTATGGTGAGCGCGCGGAATGGCCGGACGGACGCCAATGGAACTCACCTGTCCCACAGGAATCAATCTTCCCTACGAGGTCGCTATACGGTTCCTTCCTGGCCAGCGACTGGAACACACCCTCCGCCATGGTCGACCGACAAATGTTGCCGAGACAGACGAAGAGCACCGAGAGTTGATCCGACATGGTAACCTGATTTGTGAAAAGAAAAAAGAAAGAAAAAAAAGGGACTCTATCAATAAAAGGCCAGTGATGCCAAACGCCGATCCCGAATGTGATTCCAAATGCAAAAGCAATCGATCCCAACACAGCTGGAGAGAGAGTTGAAGATCAACCTCCGGATCTCAGATTGCCGAGGAGGGGCAGACTGATAAGATCCGAGAAGCGCAATGGCGGGGGTGGAAAGGGTTAGGGATGATTGCCACGTGTTGTGGCTGCCCACCCGAGATTACTCAGTCACGTGCAAGCAACTGCAATGTGGGCAATTGCAGGCGTGCACAGACCAACCGCTCTCGCCTATTTATCTGCGCCCCGGCTCCCACATCTTCATCCTCTTCTCTTCTTTTCTTCTTCATACTTACCTTGATTGGGTACACCTGGATCATGAAGCAGGGGTACCAGAGCGATAGGCCTGCATTGCACATCGTGGAGCCCGTCGTTCTAAATTGTCCTTCGGGGCCGTTTCGGTCGGAATTTTTGATGTCTTCCTCTCTTTTTCACTATGAGCTCGGCGATGCGTCGGGCCATGGAGAAGAAGGGTTGCTGCGCGTTCGATGTATGTAGGTAGATCCATCTAGCTTTGGAACTATTCTAGCCTCTAATCGGCGTCAAGGTGCAGTCCAGTACCTCTACGAATATTTGTGTGTTCGTAACGAGATACCAGGTGTGTACCTCGGTGCTGCCCCTGGCCAGAATCAACGAAGATACTCTGAAATCTCGTCCTGCTTGTTGCTGGGCGAAGTGGGATTGTCTGGCTTCCATGTGGCCGGTCGGGTAGTTCCGACCCCTGGTGCGCTTGTGTACGTCCGGATACCTGCGGGCCAAATCACGCAAAGTTGCGCGACTGCAGGGGCTCAGTCGCCGTATGCATCCAACAACGGCCGCTTGGGAGATGTGAGCTTCAACCGTGGGGCACCGCCGCCAGATTTGCCCGTGCCGACCCCGCCAGCCATCAGATGTCAGTGATTGATTCATCAGCATTCAGTTCCCATCTTGTGCTCGGCCGTGGATCGTCGCCGATAACTCCGCCCCGATCGTTGGACGGATGCATGGCATTTCGGTGAGCTTGGTAGTCTCCACTCGCACGGAAAGATGCCTCGAAACGATCCAACCGTTTGAGTTGATGCTCAACCATCACCGAGGTTTACTCCGCTTGTCAAGAGGCAGTGACCTCCCCAGTACCTAGGTTGAGAGGCGAAAGAGAGGCTCGCTCGCTCGCTCGGATCACGCAAGATGCTGCAGAATCAGCCTGGCGCACGGTGACCCTTCCACGTCATGTATTCAGTATCTTCCGTGAAGCCGCCCTCTTCAGCGGGGTTTTGCAAACATCATTCACTGCAGCACCAAGCCTTTTTATAACCAAATCTGCCGTGAAACCTCTCCCGTCTCATCCGATGCAGGATAGGTTTATGATCTAAGAGTCGAAGCAGCTTTCCAAGAATTGCATCCGAGCAGTCCGAATTTACCGTTGATTAGACGGCATCCCGGAGTGAAGAACGAGATAATATCCTGCACTCGATCCCCAGAACCCGCTACTTGAAGGCCATCTGGGGCGAATGCAACGGATCCATCCAGTTCTCCATCCCCCCCCTCCCTTGGTTGCCTTTGCCGGCAACACCCGAATTTGACTTAATACTCCGAACCATCGCCGTCGAAAAACGGCAAACATCTGTAGAGTCGGGTTCACTCACTTGCCCGACTAAAACCGCTGGTAGGGCAACTTCTGGTTTCGTCCTTCACTCAAAAACCGGAAACAACCAAGCGTTGCCACCATGGTCCAGCAATCCTCGCAGCGGCGGCCAGTACAGAACAGCGAGGTGTATGTACTGAGCCAAGTGCCACCGTTCCCGCCTCTCTGCCCTCCTTCGCCCATCACTCCCGCCGAAGACTTTGACGACGCACCCGCCGATGCCCGGAGTCTTACCCAGCCGGACATTGCTGTCTGCGGCAAGAGGCTGGCCATTGAGGAACGCCTCTCCCGCGCTGTGCACGTCATCGCCACCGAGACCGCCGCGCTGCACAACCTCACGCATCTCTACTCCACGGACAGCTGCGCGCGCGACGGTTTCACTCGTGCCGCCGACACCATCACCAGCCGCCATGGCAACGGCGGCAAGCTGGTAGTCATTGGCGTCGGGAAGTCGGGTCACATCGCCAAGAAGCTCGTCGCAACCTTCAACAGCTTCTCCATCACGGCTGTCTTCCTTCATCCCACCGAGGCCTTGCACGGCGACCTGGGCCAGATCTCGCCGCATGACACGCTTGTCATGATCACCTTCTCGGGCAAGACCCCGGAGCTTATGACGCTCCTCCCGCACCTGGACGTGTCCCTTCCGCTCCTCGTCCTCACCTCTCACACCAGCCCCGAGACATGTGAGCTGATCCGCTACCGGCCCAACGCCATTCTCCTGCCGGCACCCGTACACGAGAGCGAGACGACCTCCTTTGGCGTGGCCGCGCCCACCACCTCGACCACCGTGGCTCTCACCGTCGGCGACGCCCTCGCCGTTGTCGTGTCACAGGAACTCTTCCCCTCCGTCGCCTCCGTTTTCTCGCGGAACCACCCCGGCGGCGCGATCGGCGCCGCTTTCTCGCAAAAACAACCACAGCAACAGCCACCAGCGACACCATCATCGCTACCGGCACAACCATCGCTAGCAACACAACCATCGCTAGCAACACAACCATCACCAGCGACACAGCAACCACCAACACCCCGGCAGCAACAACTACCACCCACCGTATTCTCCGCCCCAACAATCTGCACCCTCATGGTCCCCTTCGCCACCATCCCGACCCTCAAAGCCCCACCACGCACTACCACGGACACCACCCCTCCCAAACCCCTCACCGGCCTAGACGTCCTCCGCACCGGCTACATCAGCCCATCCGGGTGGGTGTGGGTGTGCCTGCCCCCACCCAACAACAACAACAACAACAGCGCGAGCGGTGATGGCGAGGGGGCGGTCTCGCCGCGGCGGATCCGACGCATGGACGACGCCGACGTGGCGCGCCCGCTGGATGAGACGGGGGGGCTGGTGACGCCGAGGCGGGCGTTTGTCTCTGTGGAGGCGGGGACCAGCGTGCAGGTTGTGCGGGAGCGGGTTTTGGGGTTGAGGGCGGCTGCTGCTGCTGCTGAGGGGGGTGAGGGTGAGTATGGGGATGAGGCGATCTTGGAGGTTGTGGATAGGGGGGAGTGTATTGGGTTGGTGGAGGTGGGGAGGTTGTTTGAGGAGGAGGAGGCTTGATTTTGGTGCTGTTTACGGATGTTTTGTGTGACTGACGTGCATGGATGGGATGAGCGAGACGGTGTCATTGGTTGTGCTGACTGAGCGTGCGACCTGGTGTTTGGGCATAGCGTTTTCTAGGTTGTGATTTTTGATGGGGCTTGTTCATGGGACTCGGAGGCAATTGTTGTTCTTGATTGTCATGGTCTGACTTACATGGGTGGAAATAGTGTAGTTTTTTGGAGATGGGATGACGGGCCACGGCCGCATCCCGAAGCATCTGGTGGTACATTTGTTTTGGTAGCACTGCACTGCATGCAGATGTTTCATGCGCATCTTGGTAAAGTCATACAGTCAAATTTAGGGTATTACACCACTCCCGTCCCAATACAAATCCTTACACCCGTGCTCAATCCTCATCGCTACCACTACTCCCCGAATCGCTCTCCCCTTCAGACTCCGAGTCCGCTTCTGATTCCGCCTCTGACCCGGAAGAACTGCTGCTTGAGCTCGACGACTCGGCCGCAGCCACACCGACCCCCATGTCCATCTCCTCGTCCTCGGACTCGCTCTCGCTGCTGCTCTCCTCGGACCCGCTCTCCCCAGACTCGGACTCGGACGAGCTGCTGTCATTGTCGTCAATCGCCGTGCGCACGTTGCGTAACCTGCGCCGTTTCGCGGGCTGCTGAGACCCGTCGCTGCGTCCGGTGGTGGCCGCGTCCGCGACGGCGGCGCCCCGCCCCGACGAAGCCGACGACGAGGATGTGCCCGTTGGTGTCGCCCCAGTAGCTTCCGAGGTGGTGCTTTCCTCGCTGTCCGATAGCTCGTCCACCACCAGCTCCGCTCGGATCCGCTTCAATAGTCGCTGCTTGATCTCGGGCGTGGCGACCCGCAGGACGTATTCGACCTCGTCGAGGGTGCGTTTGCCATTGGAGTTCTTGGAGTCGCTGTTCGACTGGCGGCGTTGCTGGTGCTGTTGTAGGTCTTGTAGGAATCGGGATATTGTCTCTTCGTACTCCTTTTGTTTGGTCTCCTTGTCCTTGAGGGTGGCCGGGAATGCGCCGGCGCCGGCCTCCATGTCTTTCTTTTTGGTCTCGGCCGCTGTTTCCCGTAGCCTTGTCCGTACAAAGCCCTTCAGATCGCGGATGTACTGGTAGAAGATGGGGATGTCGGCTGACGGCACCTTGTCTTCGTCGAAGAGGTACTTGATCAGCAGGGTCTGGTGGTTCTTGTTGAACTTCCACGAATCCCTCGCCGTGTGCCACTGGCGGATGTAACTCAGAGACGGCTCGAGGCTGAAATCGGATTTGGTGGCGTTGCTGGCCTTCTTCGCCTTCTTGCTCTTCGCCTTTTTCGGTCCGGCCTTTTCCTTGGCGCTGTCCTTGGTGTCGTCGGCAAACGACACGGACTTCCTCAATGATGACGGTGTTTCTGGCTCCGCTGCTGATTGGTTCTCTCTTCGCGGCTTCTTATTCGGCGTCTGCGCATTGACGGCGTTTGACGTGGACGCAGAGGTTGGCAGCTTTCTTTTGAGCGCACTCGCGGGACTGCCGTTTGCGCGGGTTTGGTGGGCGTTGGGGGTTTGCGCAGAGGGCTTTACCCGTGAATTGGGGCCGGCCGAGCTGGGGATAGCCTCGCCCGATGAAGGTCCCTTGAGCTTGAGGCCCAATCGCTTCCAGGCTGGGACATGGGCGGACATGGTGACGACTGGAGGGAGAGACAGGACAACACAGCGAACGAGGCTTGTCGGGAATTGGCCCAGCGGGAGGGGACGGGTGGTCAGAAACGGGGCTGCGGGATTCTACAGCAACGGTTAAAACCTAGACGGGGCCAAGCAACGTGTTTCCGAGACCCAAGTTCGTCGAGAGGGCTGGAATTGGAACCCTGGGTGGTATTCCTGTGTGTCTTATTGGATGTGTTTCGTGCTCTTTCCTGAGCCTGTTCATGCCGCCCGCAGCAAATTTCTGCCAGATGGACCTTTATCGGTACCCGACGCAGGGGTCTTGATGGAGATAAGATCCGGCGGCAGTGGGGTTCCATGGAGAGATGGTGTTTGGTGGGTCCGGTTTTGTGCCAGGCGGTGGGGGCTGACCCCAGCCTTGCCGCCTAGCATTTGAGGCACCAGTGTCAGCTCCCCGTCTGCCTTGCTCCAGGCAAACCGCAGCAACGCGTCAATCGCTAGGGAAGCTCCCCATCCAACAACGAAGCTCTCCCACCTTGACCCCCTCCAACTTCTCCAAACCACAACCCCGCAAAACCCAGTCTGGTCCGCTTGCCTTAGACTTGTTCCGCATCGCCATCACACGACACAAGGTTTCATAATTTATCGTCTGTCAAAATGGCAGGTATGTTGGGTTCCCCCGCAACCGCTTCGAGTCGATGGCAGCTCCGAGCTCCACCCACTTGACCACGGCTAACACCAAGGCATAGGCAACGCTGGTTATGACAGGCACATCACCATCTTCTCGGAACAGGGAAGATTGTTCCAAGTCGGTACGTACGGATCCAAAACTATAACAATGTGGGGCAACTACTGCGGCTGTCGGTTCGGTTGGGAGTGAGGGTTATGGTTGGGCTGGGAGGAGGTTGGAGATGCGGGTGAAGACAAAACCGGGGGTATTTGGGTTATGCTGATGGATGAACCTACAGAATATGCTTTCAAGGCGATCACAGCGGCAAACATCATGTCGATTGGTGTGCGGGGTAAGGACTGCGCTGTAGTCCTGTCCCAGAAGAAGGTGCCGGTACGTCACGCGAGGGTTCCATCCGCGGAAACTCTCCAAGCTGACGGCGCTACCAGGATAAACTCATCGACCCCTCCTCGGTTTCGCACATCTTCCAGATCTCCCCGTCGGTCGGCTGCGTCATGACGGGCTCGATTGCCGATGCTCGCGCATTCTCGCAGCGCGCGCAGTCAGAAGCCGCGGACTTCAAGTACAAGTTTGGTTACGAGATGCCCTGCGACGCCTTGGCCAAGCGGTTGGCCAACATTAGCCAAGTGTACACGCAGCGGGTACGTGGTGGAAGGTGGAAAGAAAAGGGACCTTGGCTGACCCTTTATAGGCGTACATGCGGCCGTACGGTGTTGCGACGACGCTGATATCGCTCGACTCCGAGGTAGGGCCCCAACTGTTCAAGTGTGATCCTGCCGGGTACTACATCGGGTACAAGGGCACTTCCGCGGGCCCCAAGCAGCAAGAGGCGCTCAATCATCTTGAGAAGAAGCTCAAGAACAAGGACCACGCCCCTGGGGACTGGAAGGAGGTTGTGGAGCTCGCCATCACCACTCTCAGCACCGTCCTCAGCATGGACTTCAAGAAGACCGAGATCGAAATTGGCATCGTCGGAGGGCCGCGCGCTGACGGAAAGGAAGGGACGTCCCCGGGCTTCAGGCGGCTGACTGAGGATGAGATCGACGAGAGGTTACAGGCGATTGCTGAGAAGGACTGAGACGACGCGGGAGAACACTACCGGGTTCGCAGCCAATATGCTCCCGGAAGCCGGTGCGATCTTCGTTGTGGAGGCCAACCCTGGATGTGCTAGGCGGAGTGGGATATCGCATTGGTGAGGTTGATATCCCCGAATACCACGTTACTTATTCCTCGTCCAGCCATGACACCGACATGCAGCCTGCGGGGATGGAACCCCCAAAATAGAGCGATGCTTGCCAATGAACATGATCTCAATGCGGATCAAAGGGCCGTGCTAGAACTCAAAAGAGGGTAGTGGAACATTTGGCGGGGGGTTCCTCGAATTGAGTTGTGACCTTTGGTCGGTGATCATCAGATATGCATGTCTGCTTACAAAATACCGAGAGCCCACCGACGCGCGGTGGCGACGGCCCGGCTATCTCGCCGTTGATGACTGCATTCATGCACGCCAGAAACTACCCGGGACCGTGGGATCCAGATTTACCCACGAGGCTGAGAAGGGGAAGGGGGGGTTGATCTCGAGCCTGCATGTCGGAGTGTGTGGGATGGGTCCTCGGGTGCATGCAAGGTAAGGTTTGGGACCCTGTGAAGCTGACCGACAACCTCTTCTCATCGTCTTGGCGAGGGTGTCAACAACGGTTCAGATCGGGCCAAGCCGACACTTTCCCACCGTGATGAAGCAGCCCTCGGCCGTGACTGGACGGCTGATTTCTCAATGGAGGCCGTTCAACCCCTGGGAGCGTACCGGCCGAGGTAAAAAATGAGGACGTCCTGATCGATTGTTGTTCAGCTCAGTCCGATCCAGTGACGGGAGTTGTTGAACAGCAAAGGCCCATATGTGATTGGTTCCCGACAGACAAGCTGCCTCCCGACGAAAACTGGACCAACGCCGGGGGCTTGCCGCATTTGGGGCTGGTTCGTTCGATGGCGCCGCTGAAACCTCGCCAAAGTTTCCGCATCGGGGACCCCCCTGTCGAAACATTTCCACATCTGCACGACGACAGAGTCCAAGCCACGCCGACCGGCTGCTGGGCTGCTGCTGGACGATATCTCCACTCCCTTGGCACCGCTCTCCGATCTGAGGATCCGGCCACTTGGGTGCTGCAGCGGCAGTGATACTCGGAGGCATGCTACCCTGGGAGCGTGGAAGCAACAGAAAGGGCATGGCACCTCCGGACGATCGTGGCAGCCCTGCACCTCTCGTTGCGTCCGCTGCACGTCTACCCAGCCTGACCAGGGCCCGTTTCTGAACACACCGTTGCAGCCGTGGGATCCGGCGGTCGGTTTCCCCTTGGGTCTTGCGCCGGTCAACTCCCGTTATTGGGCGGGACGATGAGTGATGTGGATTCACCGCATGTGCATACAGCTCTGTAGGGGCCTTGCGAGGCTGTCTCTCCATCAGTGGCGTCCGGCTGCTCGATACAGATGCAGGAACCAGACAGTCTCCCCACCGAGACAGCATGGCATCTACCCGGCGCCCCGGGAATGGCTGGTAACACCGAGGGACATGTCGCCCTAGTCGATGCGGGTGAGTCGAGGTGGCAAAGTGTAGACGTTGTTGAGGACGGGGTCGGGGACGACACCCGGTAGTCCCCTCCCCACAGCGCTCGCTCAACTGATGTTCATCGTCAGGGGAACTCAGACGCTGGAGTCCTCACGGCTCCTTTACTAGCTCAACGGTTTTGGGATCCGCGATGGCAAATTCTACAAAAGCCATGGGGGGCCACCCACAAAGTCGCCATCAGCCTTGAAGCCATCATCACCACTCCTCTACGGGGACGCCAATCTCTTCTACTTTCAGCCTTGCGCTTCTTAATCTGCATAAACTGCACTTCGCTGTCTGTCTTGCTTTGTTTTCTTGCCCGTGGCATACTTCACTCCTTCGCATCCCGCCCGACCACCGACCGAGCAGTATAGTGTTTGTTGCCTCATCGGACTCTTCCCTAATACCTATCCCACAAAAAGTCGATAAACGACAACACAATGGCGGACGGACGTATGTGATTATCTCCCATCATTGCCACCCACCCCCTCCCCGGTCCTACCACACCCCCCCCCCCCTTCTCCAACCCTTGACCCCCGTCTCGGATCGGGTCTGGCCGCCCCCCTGGTGCCCTACGGGGCGTTGGTCGGACGCCACCTCAAGGGCGGCAATACCACAACGGCACGGACTAACTCGAAGCGCCGGGAAACAGTCAACGAATACCGCACGGCACGCGTGGCCGAGCTGCTCGCGGATTTCCGCACCATTCAGTACTACATCGCGGCGGCGGACTGCAACCCGGCCGACATGGACGACTACTACACCGAGGGTTGGGCGGTGCTCCGGCAGTGCGCGCTCGACGGGCAGCACATCCTCAACTGCGCTGCTGATGTGACGGTGCCGTGCGCCACCGGCGGGCCGGAGGAGCAGGCCAAGGCGGAGTTGAAGCAGTGCGTTGTCCCGGGTCCTATTTTTTTTCGACCACTTGGCTCTCTCGCTGTCCACCACGAGTTGTCCCTCTAACCCCTTGGCTTTGTGTCCGGCAGGGTCCTTCTCGACGCATACGCGCGCAGGCATGAAGGGCAAAAGATTTATCTCCGACAGGCGGCAGCACAGCGCTGGATCGAATGGCGGGACCAGATCCTCATGGGCGGCAGGCCGCACTCGGGCAACCAACAACAACTGAGGGTGGTTGATCAGCAGTTGCGAACAGTACGTTCCCTTCTCCCTCACCGCCGAACAGGCATCCTGCTCCGCCCTCCCCTTTCCCTCCTTTACCCCTTCCCCTATCCCCTGGCCGCTCTGATCCCTGCTGCTCCATACCGACCGCCATCGTTCGGATCTTGCTTACACTTCCCGCAGGAGCTCGCCAACGTCACCGACGAGGTCGTCTACCCGGAGCTTCAAGTCTCCGACATGACCATGGGCCGCTGGACGGCCGAAGACCCGAGCCTGCGCGCGGTACAGCGCTGGGTGCGGACCAGGAGGTGTTAGACACACGATACAACGACACGACCGTCACGATGATACCCCCGAGCCTGAGTGACGACAAGACGATATCCACCAACCCTCATATACCCCCCACCACCCCTCTCTGAACGGATTTGGCTTCTCTCGATGATGCGGGGATCATCAACTTTAATTTTCGCCCTTGTTTCTCTGGGAATTTCTTTCTTTCTTTCTTTCTTCTCCGGGCTTACATTCCTCAGGAGCATTTGGGACAGGGCATTAACAAAAAAGGCTGGGTTAGATTCGGTATTTTTATTGCTATTGGGATACCACTCGGAAAACACGCAGGGAAAACCGGACATTGTACGGCGGGGCGGGTTTCCATTGTACATGTCTTCTGAGCGGCGCGTCGGGCACGCTTCCGTTTGTATATATACGTATGCCCTGTGGCAGGGATGCAGTTGGCATGCAGGCAGGGAAGCTGGGACTGCCTGGAGCAGAGGGGACGATTCAGGAGAATAGTAGGACCGAAGTGGAGATGAACTCGTACATGGACATGGGCTTTGGTGATATGTTGCGGCAATGAAATCTATCGATTGAAGCATATGCAGCAAGAACGACGATATCGGTATGAGAAACAGCCCACACAACACCCCCGACTCCCGTCCGGTTCAAGCAACGTTCTTGCTCTGCACGCACAACGCAATGCCGCCAACCGACAGCAGCATCCCAATCATCGTATCTAACCTGGTCAGCACCGCGTCTGTCGAGGGGACGGAAACCAAAACGTACCTCGACTGATAACCTTGCCCTCCACCCACCACTCGCCCACGACCGTGAACAAGAACGCCAGCGTGTTGACAATCGGCACCGTCAAGCTCAGTTCTGCCCGCAGTTAGCATTGGCACCCGCGCTCCCTCCCAAGACAAGCAAAGCCCAACCGCCAAAAAACAGACACCAGGCAAGCAGCCAAAAGTCACCAACCAAACAAGCCAACCAACCTCCCTTCCCTCAAGAAAACAAAAAAAAACAAAAAACAACATACCAGCCTTCCCAATCAACAAAAAGAACCACACACTCCCCGTCAGGTTCAGCACCAATGGCACCGCATACCGCGGATTCCGCAGCAGGTCCACGACCGCGAAGAAGGCCTTGTACACGCGCTTGCGCACGCGGCTCTGGCGCACAGCCGGCGACTCCAGCAGCGGGTGCGCCGGCGGGCGGTGGTCGCGCGCGGCGCGCCGGATGAAGGGCGTGGTGAGGCCCCAGGCCAGGCCGACGAGCAGGAAGGAGAGGATGAAATTGATGGCGGGGGGTTGGGGATCCTGGGGGTCTTGGGGGGTGGTGGTGGTGGGCATGGTGGGTGGTGGTGTGGTGGTGTGGGTGGTGATGGTGAGTTTGGTGGTTGAGGGTTAGGGATTGATGGTTTGGGATTGGGATGGTGATGGGGAACGGCGTTGTGGCGGATGGCGGATGGAGCGGGAGAGTGGGTCGGTCGGTTTAAGCTGTTTTTGGCGTGAAACAATGCCGCATTTGGGGTAGTGTGGGGCATTAAGTTCATGTTTGATTTGTTTCCATTCCCAGAAGTTTATTATTTGTTTAAGATGGTCCTTTGCCGGTACGCTCAAAATGAGGGAAACTCGCAATATTACAAAATCACCATCACACCACCACAATACCCCCCTCACCTATTCCGTTCCCACCCCGTCTCCCACTGGCTCTTGAACCGTGGAAAGATGTGCGCCTCGGTATTAAACACCACCTCCTCCAGCGGCAAGAAGTCCGTCGGCGAGAAGAGGAGGTAAAGGTATTTGAGTGTCTCGGCCTGTTCACTCCAGTCAGCTTTCTGTTTTGAAACACAAAAACGCAACCCCAAAAAGGACTACTCACCAGCCAAAAACTCTCCATCTCATCCCTCAACGGCGGCGGCACCGTCCTCACATCCCCAACCGCCGTATACCCCCTATCCAACCCGGCCTTGGTCCACTCCCTAAACGACTCAAAGATCTTCCACCCCCACTCCCGATACACCGGATCCCCCGTGACCCTCCACATGACATACAAGCTCTCCACCGTCTCCGGCCGCTGCAAGTTATGCGCATCCAGCGGCTTGATGACAAAATCCCTCTTCCACCCCTTCAGCGAATCCCTCTGCGCCGCCGCATCCCCAGCCCGATCCCCCGGCCGCGGCCTCAAATCCCGCTCATCGACATCAAACCACACAATCTCGGGCGCCAGCCCCGACGCCGTACCGGCATACATGCCCCAGCAAGTCTTCATCAGATCCCGCGCGAGCGCCAGCTCGGTCTCTTTGCGCGCTGTCCAGGTGGGGTCCGCCCGCGCGTGAGCCACAGTGTGCCCGCCCGTCGCGCCCAGCGCGATGGCGCCGGGCAGGAAGCACACCAGGTGGTCCATCTTGGGCGAGAGGGGCCCGCCGATGCCTTGCGGCAGCTCGGCGACGATCTTGAGGTGCGAGTGGCGCGTCGTGGTGATCAGGTGCGTCTCGATGCCGGCGAGCGCTTCCTGCCACATGGTGAGGTAGATGGGTTCGGAGGTTTGGAGGTGTTGCTTGATGAGGTATTCTGTGGAGGGGGTGATGGGTGTGTTAGTTGGGGATGGGGATGGGTGGTGGGGGGGAGAGGGAGGGAGGTGAGGTTGGGGTGGAGGGGGCTGACCGTAGTAGGAATCGCCGCGGCTGCCGAGGCGGATCTCGGCGGTTGTGAACCGCCCTGTGTCGGGATGCACGAAGATGGGCAGGAGGCCGGCCTCCATGGCGTTGTCGTCTAGCACCTGCATCACCTTCTCGGCTCGGCGCCAGTACCTCTCATCGCCGGTGATGTGCGACAGGTACTTCATCTCCAGCTGCAGCGTGGCCGCCTCGGCCATGGACGACGAGCCACCGTCCGCGTGGGAAGGTAGCCCGACCTTCCGGCCGAGGTGTACGCTGGCGTAGGGTATGCCGGACCGCGACTCGTAGGCCGCGAGCAGCCGCTCGGCGAGGTCGACCGCTTTGGTCAGGTAGATCGAGTCCCGGCGCGAGGCCACGTCGGGGAGACGGCCGGCGAGGTAGTGTGCGCTCAGGAGCCCGCCGAGCATGCGGATGGTCGTCTCGAAAGTGTTGACGTCCTGGTCCTGGTCGTAAGTGAGACTGCGGTGCAGCCACTTGCGTGACTCGGCCAGGGGCTCCGTCAGGTTCATGATCATCATGGTGTCGAGGCTGTCGACGATGATCCACCCGAGGCCTTTGGGGCTCATCTGCGAGCCCTTGCCCGAGACGGGGTGATACCGGTCTTTGCCTGAGATGGGATGTTAGTGCATTGTCTTGGAGCAACCGGAGGCGGCATCATCTCACCCCAGGCATACTGAGAGTATGCTTCCCAACTTGTGCTAAAGGCCTCCTTGACTTCTTCTCGCCGGGCATCCCAGTCGACGTAAGGGGCGGCGTGGTGTGAGAAGCCAATCGGGTTATCGGCATACCATCGACCCAAGCCCCATCCGAGGGCGGCGGTGGCGGTCAGACCAGCAATGATATACTTCACCGGAGACCGTACCCGTGACGGGGGGGTCGGTTGCCGGCTCGGTCTCCGTGGGCTTTTTGTTTTCCTGCCTGCCATTGTCAATTGCGTTTGTGAGAGGAAGTCTGGGAAGAAGTCAAGCCAGAGATGTTCAGCAATTCCGTCTCCTGTGGCAGTTTATGGTTTTTGGGCTGTTGGGCCACCCTTGTCCGTCATGTAACTCGCGCGGGCTGTTGGCGCCAACGGGCGCCTCGGCGGGTGCGCATCCCGTTGTGACTGGCTCGAGGGACGATGCATTTTACACAGTTCAAACAAACACTGTGAGACTGCAAGCTCCAGCTTTTGAAGCGAGAGGGCAAAAGTCACCTTCAACCTCGGATTGGACTCCAGACATTGCATTTTGGTGTCGGAGCGGCTTGTTGGGTAGAAAGCATGCATCACACCGCCAGGAACAGCGCGAACACAACAAACCCCCTATAATCCCATCGCAGCCTCATCACCATGCCCGCCATCATGCCTCACGTTTCACACAGCCCCCTTTTTGCTTGCTGCGAGGGAAAGTGATCGACACGCTCAGCAAACTCTCTGCGATGGCGAATGTTTATCCTCCCGAGACCGACGAGGACGGCGTCGTGACGTCCTGGGTGCCACTTGCCACCACCTTCACGCCATCCGTGGGCTGCGAGAGCAAGTTCCGCCTCAACGGGATGAGCCTCGTCGCCTACGACCCGGGATACGGCCTCGACATCGACTCCAAAGTGAAATGCCAGCCGCCGGCGGTGACGACGTGGTGGGAGCAGGGCCGGCTCGGTCGTGGGAACGACGAGGGACACACCGCCGCCAGCATCGGGCCGCTCAAATGCCCAAATGCGTGGGAAACGGTGGCCATGTCGGTGAACGGGATCAGTACCCACGCGATGTGCTGTCCGCCGTGAGTGGAGCCGAGATTTCAGGAGAAAGCCGCCAGATCATGACTGACAACACTTCTCACCAGGGACTACTCGCTCGCGAATGGCGTGTCTGGCATGATTGCTGGAGACTGCCGGTCCGACATCCCCTCGGGCGCGGTCCTGACCTATGCGTCAACGCCACTAGGCGATTCCGACGGGTGGACAATCGCCACCACAACCCTGAGCCGACGCTCTTCAGTCGGGGCCATCGCTGTGGTGGGATGGAATATCGCGTTCGAGACGACGTCGACAACCACCACATCACCCGCCGCTTCCAACACCGACTCGACTCCGTCCCCCTCCTCAGTCACCTCGACATTCTTGAGCGAGTTGGGCACTGCTGGCCCCACAGTAGGGCCGGCGGATGCAGGGTCCAGCGGCAGCTCGTCGGCCGAGACATCATCCGGCTTGCCCACTGGTGCGGCTATCGGTATCGGCGTGGGCGTTGCCCTAGGGGTCGTCGGACTCGCTGCGCTGTTTGCGACCTTGTACTTGATACGGTACAGGAAGAGAAAAGCCGAGGCGGCGGCAGCGGCGGCAGCAGCAGCATCGGTTACACAACCAACCGACAACGGCTACCTCCCACCGCCGCCGCCGAAACCCGCGGAGGCTTACGGCCCGCATGAGTTGGTGTCCGAACATGTGCGGTATGAGATGCCTGTCTCGCAGCAGCAGTATTATAGGCCGTATGAGTTGCCATAGCGGGAGCCGACACGGAGTAATGGTGGGTTCGGTTTGAGGCGGAGGGTGTTGGATAACTTGGATCCATGAAAGTCATGATTTGAACGGGGGTTGGGGTTGGGATTTCGTGTCGATACCACTGCATTTGATTTGAGCTGGGAAAGGCGTTCGGTGCTGGCTTTCTTCGATTCGATCACAATGTATTTTAACGTTAATCGGTGAGGGATGTCCGTCATAGTCCGGGTATAATGTTATACGTGTTGTTAGTTGACGTGGTTGATGATCGATGTTCTCGTCGGTTTGCATCCGATCGAGATCCACTCCATCGAGTTCTGGCCAGGGATGACCGGAGCTGGAAGCTTGGCAGATGGATCCGCATCCGCATCGCATTCTGAAAATATGGGGCCTTGCCGCAGGTGCGGGGCACAATGGCCCAGCCTCGCGCATTTGCGCCATCGCTTTCGCATGCCAGCCACCGAATCCCGCTGCCCTGATTTGCGACGCGCAATGCCTCCCACACCCAGCCACTGTGGACGCGAACCACCTAACCTTGGCTGCTGGCTTCCCCTGGCGCACGTCAACAAGCAGGGCCATTGGATCCCACTTGCATGCTGCCATCTGCACCTGTGCGCTCCCTGCGACCAGCACCCAGCTGATTTCGGATGCTTTCATCTCAAAACGAACTCGGCGCCTTTCTCTTTGCGTTTTTAGTGTTGGATAGGCCACTTCGTTCCTTTATCTGTCGCCAGCTAACTGCATATTCCGAGTCTTCTTTTTTGTTTCTTGTTCCAATTTGAGCGACGGCGGGGTAACGGCCCAACTAACCTTAGCTCTGACTCCAAAGTAAACAATCCATTCAACTAACGTTACCCCATCCGGCGACCTCCCACCTCTCCCAAATTACTGCGACGCCGGGTCATGGTGTAGCCCCGCGCGGCAACACAGATAAAATGACGACCAAGTCGAAAACTCACCCACTCAACGGGATGCACACGGCCGGCATCTTTTCCGACATGAGCGCCGACGGGCCCGAGATTGGCACATTGGTGTTGGTAGTCGACCGAGCAAAGAACCTGCCGAACCGCAAGACGATCGGGAAGCAAGACCCCTACTGTGCGGCCCGCTTAGGGAAAGAAGCAAAGAAGACCACAACCGATATCCGTGGCGGCCAAACCCCGAAATGGTAAGTGCCAACCGCGCTCTTCCCATCACTCTGAACCCCCTACTGACCGAGCGATCCGGTTGCAGGGACCAGGAACTCCGATTTACCGTCCACGACTCGCCCGATTACTACCAGCTTAAGGTTTCGGTATTCAACGACGACAAGAGGACAGAGCTGATCGGAGAGGCCTGGATTGATCTGCGCGACATTGTGGTGGGTGGCGGGGGTCAGAGCGACCAATGGCACCAACTTGCGTGTCGGGGCAAGTACGCCGGCGAGGTCCGCATCGAGATCACGTACTACGACAACCGTCCTAAGCCAGAGAGGCCCGTGGTGAAGGCGAAACCGCCACCCCAAACCGAGGTCGAACCAGCTCCAGCCGCCGCCGGGCCGAGGCCGGTGCCTAAGCGCCGCCCGTTGCCCTCGGACCCCATCACTGGAAAATCCCCAGCTCCGCCGTCGCCTGTACCAGAGCAGGGTGAGACGCCGCCTCGACCTCAGCCGAATCCCGCTCCCGTCCCTCACCAACAACCGGAGTACTACCAGCAACCGGACCAGGGCAGAGAGCTCGGGACTCCGCCTCGCCGCGCCGAAGCGCCTAACCAGTACCGGACGCCTGAGAGGCCCGAGCAGCACGCGGCTCAGCACGACCAGGGCTACAGCCCACACCGACAGCAGCCGGCGTATGACCGCCAGGAATCATACGAGTTTCCACCGCTGAACGACCAGAGACCTGTCGCCGATGACCGGCCGCCCCCGCCCCCCGCCCACAGGAGCAGGACTGGAAGCAACCCTTCGATGAACGCGGCGTTCCAGGCGACGCCACCAACCATGCGACAGGATGTGCTGAGGAGCGAAGCCCACCGGAATTCAGTCTCAGGAAGCTACCCCGGAAGGCCGACATACAAGGCATTCGACACCGCTCCTGCTGGTCTCCCCGGCTCCCAGTACTCCAAGGCGGACCCGGGCCAGCCACCCCGGCATTATTCTTACGATGCCGGTTACGAACAACACAGAACTATGCAGGCCACTGTCGAGGATGTGCCCGAGTCACCCGAGTCCATGAGCAACCCGAGGAGGACCTCGGGCCGCTGGCCGCAGCTGCAGCCTCAATCACAGTCGCAGCCCCACCTCGAGCGGGACTACGACATGACAGCTAGTCCTGCGCCGCTCGCTCTTTCAGGGAGGAGCAGCAGTGAGTCAGCGCAATATCCGCAGGACCCAAGACACCAGGGTGCGAACGGCTATCCGATGGTTGCGCCCGAGATCCCACAGAGAGAGTCGCCAGACTATGCGCCAAACTATGGCAGGCACTCGGAGCCTTCCCTACCGTTGCACAGCGCCCACTCGACCCAAAAAGCGCTGACGTACCGGGGCGAGCTTGACGACACCTCGCACGGGTTCCCGGTATCTCCAGTACCGGCATCGCTTGTTCCGGGCATCGACCCAAACATCGCCCAGGAAGTCCCAGAGCGGGTCAGCCAGGACAGGAGACAGTCAAATCAGCCCCGCGGATACGCACAGCAAGCCCTGGTAGAAACGCCGCCACGTGGAAGAACCATGAACGATGGTTACGCCCACGATGGTACCGTTGTCCCATACAACGCCGCATCCGTCCATGGTAGGAACCCTGTTATGTACAGCAACGGGCCGTCGACATCGAGCGTCAACGTGGTCATCAAGTCGCGCGCCTACTCTCCCAACCCGCCGCGCGACCCAAGCCCGAACCCACATCACCAGCACACCATTCGGCGCAAGTCGGTCAGCCCGCGCCCACCGGTGGAAAGCCATCAGATGTCTGGCATCCCCTTCGGCCCCGACTCGTACGAAGCGTTGAACCCCAACACATCCTCGGCCGCTGTCAAAGATGCAGCCTCCTCCCGTGCTGACTACAGCGAGGCCACTGGCAAGATCATCACCCATGATGGCCGCGAAGTTGATCCCTCCGATCACCTCCCCATGGAGACCTGGGCACCCGAGCCCGAACCGAAGCAGCCGACGGCCGCGCCCGCCCGCCCTTCACTCGCCGGTCCACAACCCGTGCCCTCTTCGGGTCGTCGCCCCCTGCGCGTCGCGGGCCGCACACAATCCATGCTCCCGGCTGCCCCCTCGTCATCAGCCGTCACCTTCTCGGGCGGCATGACAGACCACGTCGAACCCATCACCACGGCAACGGCGACGGGACGAAACCGCCTGCAAAAGAAGGCCGCCTACCGCCAGTCGACGTCCGCCATCGTACCGATGATGTCGGGCGCGATCGGCGCACCAGCACCAGGGCGGGGCAGCAGCCCCAGCGAGAGCCGCGTCCTGCGCAAGAGCAGCGGCAGCAGCGGGCACGGGATGGAACCGGCCCCGCTCGCACCAATCCCGGCGCACATGGACAACTTCACCGCCCCGCGGGGCATCCCGCGCGCCGCGACGTTCGACTACGCCACCGGCGCCGAAAACCACGCCCCCTACCACGCCCACTCCCACTCGGGCAGCAGCAGCGGCGTCTACGGCACCTCCCCCGGCAGCCAGCGCCACGCCCATTCGTACGGCCACAGCAGCAACCCCAGCCAACACCGCGGCCACAGCCCCGGCCGGAGCCCGGGACGCAGCCACCAGTACAGCCGCAGCGGCGGCAGCGTAAGCGGCGGAGGGCCCCCGCCCATCCCCGCCAAGGTCCCGCTTGCGCTACCGCCGCCGCCGTCGTCGTCGGCCCCGTCTGCGAATGGCGGTGGGATGAGTGGTGCGTTGCAGTTGCATAGCAGCAGTGTGGCGAGGCGGGCGGGCAGTGGGATTGATGATGGGTATCATCATCATCATCATCATCATGGGGGGCAGCAGGGGTATGGGGGTGAGGGGGATAGGTATGGGTATGGGCATGATGGGTATGGGTATGGTGGAGGGGGAGGCGGTATGGGTGGTGGTGGTGGGGGTGGGGGAGGGAATATATCGTTGGAGGAGGAGCTGAGGCAGATTGATATTGGCACGGGCAGGTCCAGTCGGAGGCATAATGCGGGGGGGTATGCTGCTGCGGGTGGGGGTGGGCAGTTTGGGGCGGTTTATGGGCAGGGAGGGTACTGAGATGGAGTGTGGTTTGGTTCCCTGGGGGGGTTGGTGTGGGTGGTTTGGTTGGGGAGGTGGTGGATTGAGTGGTTTGCTTGCTTGCTGGGTTTATATAGGGAGGGCTGGGGTGGGTTGGTTGGCCTCGGTTAGGTTGATCTGGGCTGGTTGATCTGGGTTGGGAAACGATGGGCTACAGTAGGATGGTGTCATGGGGGGGTGACGAGGGATTAGATGGGCCGGTTTGGGATGGGTGGGTTTGATCTCTGTTGGAGAGGAGCAAGTCGGTGGGTTGGTTGGGTATGCGGGATTAGACGGGCTCATGAAAAGACGGTGTGATCCCGGACGGGCATGGTGGGAGACCTGACGATATCAGACGGGCGCATGAGGAGACGGGATGGTGATGGGACATGGTTGAAGAAGCGGCGGCGTTTTGTTTTGTGTGTACACAGGTTGCGGCTTGCTGTTTTCTCCATCTACCGTTTGGGTCGGCCGGGTTGGCGTTTTGCCATTTGCCGCTTTTAGATTCTACATACCATGTATTTCTCGCAGCTGTGTTTAAATAAAACTTACAATGAGTTCCTTTGGATTATTTGCCGTGTGCTGGAGCTGGTGTATTGAGTTGTTGTTTGAGGCACCAGGCAGGGGTTGATAGATAGTGACCGCTCAGCGGGCACGACGATCCATGACAAGGACAGGCTGAGCTGTTCTTACTTGGATCAACAGCAAAGTGCCGGGTTCTTCAAGGTAGTTTGAAGGTACTTTGTACGAACTGACCCATCCCACTCACCTACACTTGCCCTCTCAGCCGACCTACCGGTTTTCCTTGTCCCTCCAGTCCACCTCCCTTTGGCACCACTGCCAACAACATCCCGAACCATGACTCGGACGGATTCTGGCAACGGGCTTATGGCACCTCACCCCCGCGCGTTAATCCCCGCCACTCCAACCAAGGGTCGGGAATAAGACTGCCCCGTGGTATTTTGGGCACTGCTGCCGGATTTATAGACGACGACAAAGACACATACGGCCCGGGCTGGTCAGCAGTGATACGGCGCCTCGCGGCAGAGAACAGCTGCTAATTATGTTTTGGGCCTCTTTCTTCCTTTGGGCAGGTGGTTGTGTTGGGGGTTTGAGGTCCTCATTTCCCCTCCCCACCTTTTGCTTTCTTTCTTGTGGGGGCTGGGTGTGTGGCCGCGGCACGGGTTCGATGCATGGTGTTAGGCACGGCAGGCAAGCGGTGAGGGGGGATCTGGCTGGGGGGCGGTGAGGGACGGGTTGCTTCGGCTGGAGTTGGGGTGGATGTCAGTTCGTTGAGGGCCTGGCAGACGGTGAATTGGTTGTTTTGTGGTCTGCAGGGTATCCAGACGACCGAGGTTTACAGTGTTGGCTGCCCTGATCTTAGCTGTCTCAAGACCGCAGGCGTGGATGATGGCCCTGTCTGAATGGTCGTAGCCACAAGCAAGTTCTGTTTGGATGCATACACAGGCACGAACGAAGTAGGCTGAACAGTAAATGTTGTATTCCCGTATACAACAACCCTCTATGCAAGAACAAAAAACTAAAACCCAACAGTATTTTCCAAATAATAAACGCCGGCCCATAGATACCCATTGACTTCCGAATCCTATCATTACTGATGCCTCATGCTGTAAAAGAGAGGGTATATCCGAGCGAGAACCGGACAGGCGTACTGTGTACCAAAAGCCATGCCGGGAATAAAAAGGGCAGATCTTTGCCAAACAAAAGCATGGTTGGATGAAGGAGCGGATGAAGAGAAGGTGTGTGATGCGTGTGTGTGTGTGTGTGTGTGTGTGTGTGTGTGTGTAGGTGCTTGAGATGGCGTCTGAGTCGATGGTGAGTTGGTGTGGTGGATGATGGCGAGCATGAGATGATCAAGAGGTGTTGGGTGGTTGGATAAAAATAAGCCTGAGTGGCGTCCCGAATCGAGGGTTGGGATGGCGGCACAGTAAGGGGTTCCCGCACCCGCCTCGTCGGCAACCCCAAATCCGTTCTTGGCCCCAATATCAACCAACGCGTGCCGCGTCATGTGCCTTTTCCCACGCCGCTCGGGCGCAGACTCAAAATCGGGCTCCCCCATCATGGGCGTTTACCCGAAGAACCAGTAGTAGGTGGCGTATGGCACGCTCTGAACACCGGCACCAGCGACCGAGCAGGGCTCGGCAGCACCGCCGGCGGTGATGACACGGAAGACGGAGCTCACGCCCTGGGAGTGACCCTCACCGTTGTCGTCGAGCTGCAGCCATGCGACGGCGCCGGTGCCGATGATGCCCTTGTCGGCGTTCTTGGGCGCGGTCTTCCCGTCGATCTTCTTGACAGCCGCCGTGAGGCCAGCCGCGGAGAGGTCGAACACGGGGATGCTGTTGATGTCGAAGACGTGGTGGCCGAGGAACTTGGCAGCGGGCACGCCTTCGACGCTCAAGTCGGTGGGGTCGGGGAAGGGCGTGTCCGGGTCGGCTCCATATTCGGAACCGGGGAGCTTGTTGAGCGGGACGGGCTTGCTCCAGAGCAGATTGGCGGGCAGGTTATCCCAGAGATCCGGCCTGATGCCGCTGTTTCTTGTTCCCGGATAGAAGCTCGTGACATCGTAGAGCATGGCGACGGCGCCAGTTGCAGCGCTCTCGGCCGTGGACGATTCGCAGGTGTAGTTTTGGATGCCGTGGCCGAGAGCAATCTTCTTGACCACGAGGCCGGCGGCCGGCGCGGCAAGCTCCTCGCCTGGACCTCGTTAGTCGTCGGTATTCGCGGGTGTGTCTAGTGGCAAACTCACCTCCTCCGATCTTGGGGAGGGTATATTTAAGGGGTGGCCTGCACCCGGGAGCAGCAGACACCACTGCCGCCAGGGCAGCAAAGAGTACTGTTGTAGCAGAAACCATGATGCTGGGTTGATGTCTCTTTGAGGAGGTTAAAATATGTGGAAGGGAGGTTCGTTGACGTCTGGAAAGTAGCCTTTACTGAAGTATAGAAGTGGACCAATACAGAAAAGAAAGGAACAAGACAGAAGAGGCGATGGAAGTCGAGCTGTGTGTGGAGTGTGAGGTTGGGATGAAGCTGGTGGGATGAAGAGTCCTTATATCTTTCCCGAGTGGTAGGGTCGACTCGTGGGAGGCGGCAGGGTTGAGATCCAACGATCAAAGAGGCTAGCGGTGGCTTGCTGGACCGCAGTAGTCGACGGCACCGGAAGCTGACCAGGATGGGTGAGGTTGAGCAGCAGGAGAAGGGCACAGGAATGCGAGGGAAGTCAAAGAACCTGCAGGGTTGTGTTCTGTGCTCCTGGTGCGCCCACATGCTGCACGAGGAGAAGGGTATCGAAACCCCCAAGACAGCAGAGCGCAAAAACACGGGGGGGGGGGGGGGAAGGGGGTGGCATGACCCCTGCGTACCATGTAGCGGTACATAGCTTCGCTGCGCAAACACTCACTCGGGACAGACAAAGCGCAGCCGAAAGACGTTTCCGCGGAAGGCCACACGGAAGCGATGCCAAAAGCCTCACGGAGCGAAGCCGTGGGGAGGAGGAAGACAGTCAATGGTACGGGAGCGGCACGGGGTACGTACTCGGAGCCATCTTTGGTCTCGAGAGAAGCTTCCTGTTGGCTGGGGAAGACAGGGGTGCCCTGACACGAGCGGCGGCAGGCGGGAGCCGTTTATTAAGGCACGAGATCCCTGATGGCCGCTGCGTCGAGGGGAACAGGGGTCGAGCAAGGGTGGGTGGGACGGTGGGATGGCTGGGATGGCAGGGGCTTCATCAATACTGCAACCTCGAGGCTACGAATACTGTGGACGATGTTGAGGTCTGTCCGTCTGTACCCACGTCCTCGGTCTTCAGCGTGCCCGACATTTGCCAAGCAGAGGCATGCTCGTGATGTGCTAGTTGTTTGAAGGAGAGAAAGCTGCAGTTTCGTTTTTTGTGATGGAGCTGCACAAAGAATTCGGCTGAGCAAGCTCCGTATTGCAATTTGCCTCGTGCGGGCGGAATGGAGATTGAGCCAGTTTGGTTACTTGCTTGCCGTATTCCCGGACGTCGACGCCACTGTCCGGACAAATTGCTTAACAGACGGCGTTAATACGAATCTGCCATGGCGAATCTGGGAGACGATGGGACGGGGAGCCGAGAAGGCGGGGCGATTCCGATCGCTGGCCCGCGCTCACGCCCGGCTCTCATAGGGTTGCGCTGCAGGCGCTTGGCCTCGACAACGGGCCTCACTGGGGACAAGTAAAACTTGGGAGCGGTTGTCTGCTGCGGTGAGTGAAATGAGGGGTCTTCGCTTGGTGAAGGCGGCGGCAACACTGGAAGCTCTGTGGCTTCTCTCGGCTTTGAGTTGCCGTGGCAGGTCTTCACCGTCTCCTCCGACTACTACTCGCAGTGCTGCGTAGGTTGATGACGTGGTGTTGTGAAGCAAGCATCAACCCATCCATCCATCCATCCATCCATCCATCCATCAATTCACTTGCGCTGCTGCGTCCGTCATGCCCAGGAACCAACATGCATCGACCTGAGGCACGGCTGTTTGAGACTCAGGTGGCGATGGCCCGCGTGTCCGTTTTTGATGCCGGTTTGGTTGGTGGTCAAGCTAGGGTGGCTGGAGTTACGGTAGTGCAAACTCAAGGTTCGGTGGGAAAGACAGCAAGACCGTTGCAGCAGCGCGCTGCACCCTCCATGGAATACCAGTGAGTGCGCGGCTAACTCATCTGGCTTGGCTGCTTGGCGTATTTTTCAGGTGTCCCAGTGGCCGACCAGCCGAGTGGGAAGGAAGCTTGTTTCTTTTTGGCATGGTGTGATCGGGTCTCGCTTGCGAGCTTCGCAATTTATCTGGGAAGAACCGACAGACGGAGAAACAGATCTTGTCAGGGCTCATGAAACGTGCCAGTGGGTGATTCCGTTCCATGTGTAAAATCTCGATTTTTGATGGGGGGGGTTGCCTGGAAGGGACGCCCCAATTCAACCTCCGTGGAAGTCGTGCAGTTTTGGAAAGTTGACCTCCCTTGGCAACTGACGGAATGCTCCAGGCACAGACCCGACACCCGGCACCACCTGCACAATTCAGACGAGACCCACTGTTGGTTTGGCCCGTGCTGCTGACAGGAGGTCCGCCTGCAGCTGGCTGAGACCAAGCTCCCGCAGGAAGGAGCACCCTCAACCTGGCAAGTATTTCAATTTCTTTTTCGCAAAACTCGAAACTCAACAAGCTTTGAAACATTGAATGCGAGATGGATGGCCGCCCTGGATGTTATTGTCTCACAGTTATGATCTTCCCGATGGATCATGGTGATGTGCAGAGCGACCCAGCATTTGTACATGAGATGACACAAGGCCCTGCCTGCATCCGGGGAGAGAGGAAGGAAGAATACACGGCTCATCCTTGCGGTACCTCCTGTCAGGTACCAATCCATTGCCATGGTCGTTAGGGATGGGTCGAACCTGGGTTGGACCAAGTTGAGATGATCATGGCATCAATCAACGAACATCGCCCGAGTCTTCAGAATCCCGTTGACGTGGATTGCCGGCTTCCATGCCAAGAACGGGAGTCGATCGTGACTGATCTTCACCAACACTGCTCAAAATAGCTAGGGCTGCCGCTATCGCCAAAATCTTGGCTTCCAGAACCGACCCCAAGCTCCCACGGCCCGCACGTGGCAGAGACCACCAGGCCAACTCGAGACGAACCCGCACAACTGCGCCATCCCTCTTGCTGCTCCCCGAAGCAAGCCCCTTGCGCCTTGACCCTGCTTCCCCGGTGATGCGCAAAAGACACCAACCAAGACACCAACCGAAACAAACTCATGAGGCTCCCAGGACGTTGGTACCACCGAGATCGGTGGGTTTGTGTTGATCGGCACCAGCATTCTCGAAACAATCGCCAAATCGCCTCACGCTCCTGTTTCGTTTCAAGTCTGTGTTCTGTCTGTGTGCCGTACATATGAAGCCCCTGGAAACACATCGCACAGACCACAACTCAAAAAACAACCAGCATCGCCGGTCACCACGTGCACCGGCTGATTGCAACTGGAACAAGACCTCCTGGACCCTAAATCCCGCATTTCAAGGTTCGCCGGATTTCTCATTCAATTTCGAAAGGATATGTTGAAATCCGACCAGCCACCCACTCCCCCGCGTGCACTGACCCATTGGTCTTCGTCTGGATCTGGAGGGGGGAACCGCTCCAAGCGGCGGACTTCTCTGAGCGGCCCGAGCTCGGATCCATGGACTGCGCCGCGAACCCGCAGAGGTCGGAACAAATTGCCATCCAAGATCACCCCCCTGGTCGGTCGCGAGAGCTTCGGTGCAGTCCTGGATCGGCGAGCGAGGCACGAGGTTGTTTGGGACGCAGTCTGAAGTACGCCGAGTTACTTACTCCTTACACAGTATCTCGCGCTCGCCATGGGATCCCACCAAAACTCAACTGGATGGATCAAAACAAACAAAGCGGGCGTGCCGCACCAGTAATTACGCACCGGATATTATTATTCCATTGAGCGGCAGCAAACGGCCTTCCCCAAGCGGCAGCAGCCAGAAATACGCACAATATTTCGCGAACGCCGTGTAACCCTCTCCACGGGTCGGCAACTGGCACCTTGGCAGCAGCAGTGGCCCGACGGGCGGCCGGAATGACCAAGATCAAAGTTCGACTCTTCGAGCAGGCGATCAATATTGCAATCTCTTCGTCGCGTGTCAATGGCTGCACAGGATCCCCGCTCCTGTGCGTGTGCGATCTGGTGGCGCAAGGCCGGCCAATGGGGGCCGCGCGAGCGGTGCATCCGGCGCTTAGAAGCGCGTGGGCTGCAGTTATTGCTCCCCTCCCCCTCCCCGGCTTTGTCGTCTCCCGATCCCCATCCGGACAACCATGAGGACGTTTGCCGGACAGCCGCGACCGCCATCTCCGCGGGCCAACAGCCTGACTGGGGGTTTCCTGCGCAAGAATCGCCGCGGCTACCGGATCCTTCCACGGCGGTGAGTGCCCTTGCTGCCGCGTCTCTCGTGAGCCGAGGGAACTTTCCACCCGCATGCGGACGACCACCCAACATGCATGCCTGCGGCAGGAAACGGCAGAGATTGGTCCGTTGGCGCGACTATCGACTCGATAGCCGACCCACCCGCCGTCATGCTTCGTTCCTCCCGCCAGAAGTTCCATGCCTCTTCTGGACGCGGATAACAACGCCCTTTGTTGCTTCTGCTGACGAGAGCATGGCAGCCCCTCCCGGGATGGCTGTAGCACCGCTGGGCTGCAGCGACCCATTTGGCTTTTCACATGACGAATTGCTTCTGCAGTCCCGGTGCCGTTGGGTGACAAGTTGACAACTGACCGGCGACGTTGAACCAACGGCTTGACGGAGATGTGACCCTTACTTGGGCAATGCCGGAATGATCTGATAGCCACGTCACTCCTGACAGGGCCCATCTGTTGTCCTCGACGAGGCAGTTTGTCCGCAACGAGGCCAAGCCGGCTGCGGTGGGGAAAGTGTCTTGCCCGCACGCGTTTACTCATCCAAACGGGCCCTAGCGGAGGCAGTCCCAACAGGCGGACTCCCCGAAGGCCCAATCCCGGGGCGGCGGAGCCGAGCGTCTATGCAGTTGGCTCCTTCGCGCAGATCAGATACTGGGTCTTTGGATCCGTCGACAAGCGACAGACGCCAACAAGCGGGCTTGGCTGGGCTCTAGGCATGCACGTAAATCCTCTTGAACAGGCTTCACATATGATGTAGCACACTTTGTACTGGTACCCTGCCAGGTTCCTTGTAAAACGGAGCTGCGACGGCGATGAGTGGGTGATGCCGCTGGCTGGGGCCGAGGCCGAGACCGTGGCGGGGAATGGCTGGGGTTTCTAGAAGGAGCCTTCCCACCGAGATAACTGCTCGCATGGGGTTTCTTGGTTTGCTCGACGTCTACCTACGGCAGCGGAGCCTAGAGAGCTCGCCCTGAGACTCGGCTGCAAAGTTTGCTACATTACGTGGCAGAGGGTGGTTCGCCTCGTGATGCCGGTTGGCGAGGGCGAGGTGAGGGACCGAGAAGTAGCAAGGGGCAACGGGGTGTTGTTCCTGAATCCCAGGCTCTCGGGGGGGCAGCCTTGTTGAGACAAGACGTCGAATGATCTCGTCTCAGCCAGCCTGCATGTACTCGTCTCTCTCACCTCCTAAAACGTAATCAAAACTGGGGACTATCTGCCGTGTCAGTTGATACTAGCAGAAGGGAGGTAATTCAAGTTGTCCAGTGTCACTAAACCGTGGCTTTTTGACACTGGCGTGGCGGAGAGAGACACTCAAAACGCCCCCGCAACACATCCCATACCACGCCTTTCATTCTGCGGCACCTACTTACTCTCTCGTCACCGTTACATGATACAGCCGACCCGCCCAAACATGTAACTACCTGGTATCCTTAGCATCAAACAAACCAATTCCTCCCCTCCCCTTCCAACCCCCTCCTCAGAACCCACCACCACACTCTGCCTCACCGCAGTCACAAGGTCAACATCCCGCCTCTGCCCCGCCAACCAGGCGGAGAATCCGCCCCCCGTCACCGCCTCCGACCGGGCGTCAACTGCGGCAGGCCCGATCTCGCGGCCCGGTGGGTCCCACCTCAGGTTAGGTTTTGGTAGGTTGGCAGGGTAGGCAGACACCCATCTCCCGTTTCTACTTCTCTATGTACTCCGTCCTGCGGGATTGATTGATTGATTGGAAATGTACAAGGGGATGGAATTCCTTCCCTTCCTTCCTTGTGGATTCTGACTACCTACCTACCTGTAGTTTTTCTTGCTTGCTTGCTTGCTTGCTTGCTGCTTCGTCCCCTTCCCCGCTACATGCTGCCGGGACGCGTGTCGGCGTTTATTGTGGGCGTGGGATTGGTAGGTGGGTGGCTTTGGTTGTGGGGGGTGGCGCTTTTACGTTTTGGTTGGAGCCTTGGGTTGTTTGGGCTGTCGGATCGGTCGCGGGTAGTGACAAGTGTTGGGCTGGGTGGAGGTTGTTCGGGGAGGAAGAGGCTGATCATGGGGTGTTTGGTGCCTTGGTTGGGTTGGTGGTGTTTTGGTACGGTGAGGCGTTCAGTTTAGGTACTCTGTGAATGCTGGTTGACGCCGGGGGCTGTGAGCTAGTTTGTTCCCCCCCCTCCCCCCCCCCCCAAGAGTCCGTCTTGTGACTGCTAACATGAAGGCCCCGCGTCTGCTTAACTTCAGCGGAGAGTCACCCGATCATTCGAGCCCCTCGCACGAAGAAACCCGGGAAAGGCGTCTGTTTTACTGGAGCTGTTTCTGAGCATCATGGCGTGTACATATAGTCCTTCCACGAATCCCAAACGAACCTGCTTAGAAAGGCCGCGGCGACTTCGGCAATAAGGTTGCAATAAACCGACTCATTTCTGTACTCGCACTCCCTGATATCAACTGTTGCCCTATGCGGGCGTGACGTTGATATCTACCCGGCTCTTGTGAGGGTGAGTTCGGTGCGGCTGTGGCCATTAATTATCGTCTCCGTGTCCCTAGTGAAGTGATAAGCCATGGTCGGTAGGTTCCCCGGGCTTCGGTGGGTGCTACTGACACACATACAATCATCAGCCACAAGAGAGTATCTAAACTCAATATGGTTGAGCTTGAGGATGCTAATAACAAGACACTTAGAAGCATAGTCTATTACTTATCGTTCAAAAAGCAGAATCAGCAACACTTACCGTTTGACAATCATAGGTGGACGGCGTGGCATCCAGGGGCTGGCAAGCTCTCCGTAATGATCAGTGGGCGGGTGAATATATATGGACAGTGAGCTTGCTCTCGTTCGGAAGATAGTGTACTGTAGTCTGATACCGGCCTACTTTGTCCCACCCACAAGTAGATCCTCGCTCCACCGTATCAATACACACCGTGGTGCGTGTTCACAGTTCGACAAAGACTTCCCTTAAGTGGAAACCGCGGCCGCAGTCCCAGTAGACCGGACGAACGGTGAATAATGATCTCGATGATTCAGTGACCGTCGAAGTGTGTAGGTAACCTCGTAAGCCACAGTGTTTCGGTTAGCGGTTATCATCTTGTGTTGTAGCCGGGGTTGTTAAGCTTCCTTAACAGATTCGCACGCTTGAAGAAAACACAGCGATGTGGCAACGACGGTTTAGTCTCCCACCACTCCCGGACTCACCAACCCCCTCAATCCCCATCGAAATCGAGGTCATCGGGCCCCCGATCGGCGGTCATATTGTTGCAGTCTTTCTGGTCGCACGTTCCGAGGACGGCCATGGCTTTGTCCTGCGAGTTGGTGATGAGGTTGGGAAATATTTGGGCGTACTAATGATAGGTGTCTCTGGGGTAGTCAGTGCGATAAGGGGGTCCGACTGAAAACCGGGCGAGTGGAAGGGGTCGGTACGAGGACCGCCAACGGTGGCACATCCGAGTAAATGGCGATACGAAGTTGGTTCATGCAACGGGGCGAAGGTGGGTGGATTGGAGGCTATTGTTGTTGGACGCATAACGTGATGTTTTTGAAAAAGAGGCGTAATAATGAATTCGGCGGAAGACCTTAGGTGGGTACCTATTACTATTTGGACACGACGTCAATCTTGATTACGTCGAAGCCCTGGAAGTATAGGGACTAGAGGAGCCTCCTCTACACTCGAAAGCCGCCTTGCTCATCTCGGCTTGCAGTAGGTATTGGCCGCCCTGAGAGGATCAAGAGCGTTGAGATGTTTCGGCTAGCGTAGAGGTAACCTTTCAGGTGACTGCCAAAGCGTGGTATTGACGGGTTGTAATATAGATATGAACACGACAATTTGCACGAACGGTTTGTACGGTTGCCTCTTACCCAAGGTTGGAGACGAGGACTTTGGAAAGGGGAGGTTGTTGACTAAGTTCGTAGTGATCAGTTAGAGTGAGAACATAGAAGGAGGAGGAGGGAGGGTGTCTGATTCCACCGAGCATGGTCAACACCAGATGGGGAGCCTGCGGGTGCGAGGATCGATATAGAAGCAGTACTGACTGTTTTGGAGACAGGGTGTCGACATTCAAGCAATGGGTTTGACTGGTTACCGTATGACAGTAGCACGGTCGTGACTGAACTCAGTGTGCTCACATTCCTATTCTGTGATAACACTGAATTTTAGGAGCTTTTTATGCGACAACTCGCAATGGGCGAGGTAATTCAGGTAGGTACCTACCTATTATTTGATGTCTGAGGGAAATGCGCATAACTTTGACAGAAGTCTTCTACCTCCTAACCATCCAGGTTTACTGCCACAAGGCTAAAGGCCAAAACCCGCCCAGAGCTACCTAGCCGTCGGAGTCCCGAGTTTACCATTGAGATAATTGGATAATGTCAGACCGCTTAGATGGGCACGCGCCGAGAAAGACCAAACGAAGAACGCCGAGTTTCGGACTTTAACGAGAGCGGCCTGGATCTTCAGTATTGAACCGTCTGGGCCTTGGTACCCATTGAGTTTACAGGAAATGGTAGGTGTGTCTACCACCCGTTTCGACTTGTTCGCCAACGGGAGCCGGTTTTCTCTTTTTAGTGATCCGAGACTTGACGTCTACAATGATAAATTTTCAGATTTGCTTGGCCTCTTACATTACTAGAGCTTTTGGAGCGGCGCGGAGGGGTTTCAGACGGCCACTCAAAGTGACGAAAATAGATAGTTAGGTCAGTTTAAAAGAAGACCATGCCGTTCAGGGGCTGTTGTTGACTCTGGCGGTGTTTGGTTGCGAGGTAACAACCCTAACCCTGTCGAACCCTACAAGGATGGACAATTAGGTCCCATGTGTCGTTTGGAGTTCTGGAGTTCGGAGTTCGGAGATTACCAACTCCGGACCTCGGCTGACTCGTCTGACTCGTCTGACTTTCAGCTGGTTCCTGAAGGCTTGGCGGGATCCTCGGTTGGATCGACGTGAAGCGTGGCACGCCCCTCTCGGATCCCGAACGCGGTGTTCACAAGCTTTTCGGCGTCGACTGTCTCTCTCTGCTGACACCCGGGACTGGCGCCAACATCCGAAACCCCCTGAAACACCCCCACTGCGATTGAGGAACCCACCCACGCACTCGGGTCTCAACAGGAAAATATGTCGGTATAAACGTGAGCCGATCTACCCGACACAATGCCTGTTCCTGGTGCAGACTCGTCGTCATTCTTTCTCGCCAAGTGCGGCAGCACTCTTTTTTGCTTCGGTCGCAGCGCGCTGCTCTGGGTGGTTGTTTTTGCCGTTTTTTTTGCTGGGCGCTTTGCGAAATCGCGTTTTTGGTGCGCGTCGCGCTTCCGCCGAGGGGAACAAGAAACCTTGATCGGATCGCGACTTGGAAAGGGGAAAGAAAAAGAACAAAAAACCAGCCAAGATGGCGGTCGGCACGCTCGCCCTCTTCTACCCGGTGTTCCTGCCGATGAGCGCGGCCATCACCGCGTATGCAGGGCATCGCGCGATGCACGTCGACTGGCGCACGCTGCTGAAGCACTTCCTCACTGGACCCGGCCGCACAAGCCGGATCCTGCTCACCTTCTTCATCCTGCTCAACTGGAAGAGCATGCCTCTAGCATGGACTGTACGCAAAGCCACCACCCCACCAACCCCTTCCACCCGTCATCCTCGAAACTAACCCCCCCTTTTCCCCCCAGGTCCGCGTCTTCCACTCCTTCATCTACCACGCGCTCCGCCGACCCAAGACCCTCCCGCAGCGCGCGCTCTTCCAATACAGCATCACCTCCTCGCGCACGTCCCTCCTCGAGACCGACTACAACATCCACAAGAGCAACTCGACCTACTTCGCCGACCTGGACGTGAGCCGCTCGCACCTGGTGACCCACCTCCTCGGCCCGGGTTTACCCATCATCGGAGCCAACGCGACCAACAAACTCGTGCGCGACAAGCAGGGGGCCGTGGTCAAGGGCAGCCTCGGGGTCGGGCTGGGCGCGGTGTTCTGCAGCTTCCGCAAGGAGATCGCGCCGCTGCAGGGGTACGAGATGTGGAGCCGGCTGCTGGCGTGGGACCGCAAGTGGCTGTATATCGTGACGCATTTTGTGATCAAGGGCAAGGTGCGCCCGAACGGGGGGTGGAGCGGCAAGGGGAAGAGGAGGGCGGGGGCGGAGAACGGGAAGCTGCCGGAGGACTTTGGCAAGTACGTCATTGCGACGGCGGTGAGCAAGTACGTGTTCAAGCTGGGCCGGTTTACGGTGCACCCCGCGCTGGTGATCGAGGCGTCTAAGCTGCTGCCCGAGAGGCCGGGTGAAGGGTGGACCGGGGGTGAGACGGGCACGGGCACGCCTGAGGACCTGGGGGATTTGGAGGGGCTGGAGGGGGATATCGAGTGGGATTGGAAGAGGGTCGAGGCGGAGCGGAGGAAGGGGCTGAGGTATGCGGACCACTTTGCTGCCCTGGACGGGACAAACTCGTTGTTTGATGGCGGTGAGGACGGCGCGATTGGGAAGTTCCCGCTGGGGTGAGGCGGACGGAGCCCAGGAGGGCCTGTATTAATCATATTTTGTACATTTTCCCCATCAGTACAGTACATATGGGTGGTGCATTAATCATATTTGGACATTTTCTCAATCACGTGGAGGCGGTCGGTTCGCGTCTTTGCTTTCAGGGCTTGGAGTGACTCAATATCCTGCCACTGTTTTAGGATCACTAGCACAAGGATGATAATCGTAAATAGAGGACGTCAGCCGCTGATTACTTCACTAATACGCTTCGCAAAGCGATTTACAGGTTCCCCGGCTGTCGAAGGACCAAGGCTACAACGTTATCCACCGCGTTGCCGCGGCCGGCCGGACTCTTGAGGTCAAACTACGGCGTAGCCCAGAGCTCGACAAAGTTCGTCATCTCTCTCTCTCCGTCGCCAGCAACCAGCTCTGAGACGTAAGCGTCCGAGATTTTGAATTGGAGGAAACGCATGTATTTTCCCGCAGCCGCGATGACAAAGACACTAGCAAGTCACATGTGTTAGTTACTTGCACACTCACGGTGGGGGGACAGCTACCAAGGGGTTATTACTTACTCCTCATCTGGCCGATCATCTTCGCCCGCTCGGGCCGTCAGGCTGAGACGCAGCGCCAGGGCCTCGCACGTTAGCTGGCCGAGGATGCTGTCCGTCACCACCGGCAGCCCATCCTTGACGACATCGAACTAGTTCCTAGTTGCGACGAGAGCCGGGCAATGCATGTGGTCGCGGTTGTAGACGTTGTTTCCGCCGAGTCTATACGAGATTAGCTGGCTGTCGGCGGTAGCGCGCATCTTTGCCCCGGTGCCGGTCCGCGCGGCCAGTTCGAGGGGCAGTTGCGAGAAATCGACCAAGTGGGCGGGTTTAACACCACGGTACGTATCGTGTTGCGGCGGGCAAGACCACACGACGGTCTGGATGAAGGATGACGCGATCCTGACCGTGGCTTGTTCCGCGTTGAGCTTAGAGACGGAGGACGGAACGACGTAGCCGGGGTTGTCGACCCCATCAATGTCGCCATAGTGCGCTAGGTCAGCCCACAGGTTCCTGAGACCTGTTCCATATCGGTGACAGTCCTCTGTCGAGGTAAGATCCGGATCCAGATAGTCAAGCCCCTCTAAGAGGTCCTGAATCTTTTCCTGGTTACGAGCGTCCTCCATGCCCTTCTCAAACCCACTCCGAAGGGCGGGTAACATGTGGTTTGACTCATTTGTTCCCTTGCGGACTAGGAGGCGTGCCGCACGGAGCTCGGTGGCCGACCATTTGCTGCCGTGCGGGATGTCCTTCCACTGGTTGATGTGCTTGGCCCCCGCGCTACGCTGGCCCTCGAAGGCAGCAATGTCTGTGATTGTCTCAAAGTAAGACATTTTGTTGTCGTTTTCTCGTGAAGGTGTATTAGTCATTGCCTGATCGATGTGGGTGGGATCATGTCGGCGATCGCGCGTACACTAAAAAATACTAATAAATGGGAGGAGCCCCTTAGTCAAAGACAAAGAATACCCCGTGAGTTAGTTCTGGTGGCAGCCGGCCTGTTTGGCCCCCACACAGCCGTCAAACAATTTTTTGTTCTTTGAACACTAGGACTGCAAACAATCGGAACGACAAACGGAGCTGCAATCCGAACAAGTCCTCAAACTAGATGCATACAATGTAGGTAATCTTCGTTTTCCGTCTTCCTATCAGTCCTTTTCTTCCTTACCATCAGCTTTTTTTCCTTGCCTGGATCTTGATATTTTCCTTCGAAATCCCTTCTTGTTTCTCTGTTTATATTTTCCCTTCCATCCCTCTTTCCGGGTAATAACTACCTATATACAAAGTGATTACCGAGTTACCTACCTATTTTTCGTACTGTGGACGAAGTCGTCGAGGAACAACACATGGAGTTGTCGCCGGGCACTCACTTCCATATCCAGACGCCAAGCCCCAAACGATGAACTCCTATTTGTGGAAGCCCGAGTCGGCAAGATTGACGGAGCCCCCTGCGGGATCTTCGCTGGCGCCAAGCGGGCATTTGTAGCTAATAAGTGGAAGACACAACTCCGATTGCATTACAAGCACCTCCCAAGACAACTAAAACCGAGACATTTCCACCCATGGGTTTCACTCATTCACCGCCGCAGCCTTGATACCCGAGGCCAAGAGCCCAACAACTCATGCCCCCCCAAAAACGAAATAGAAATGAATTAAAAAGCAAGATGGCTGCACTTGGCTACACTTCAAAGTTTGAAGCTCAAACCCCCATTTCCTCTTTTCAACTCCGAGTTCTCCGAGTTCTCCGAGTCATCCGAGTCCTCGCCAAAGGTTCAAAGTCATTTCAAACGCATCAACCCCCTTAATCACCCCCCTCAGCCGCCAAGATGGCCCTCCAACAACCACAACAACAACAAGCCAACGTGGCCGAAATCGACCAACAACTAGCCTTCTTCCAAGCCATCCCCTGGTGCGCCTCCCACCTCTCAGACACCCCCACACCAGTCATCCGCCCATCCCTCTCGCAGCGCCGCCGCAACGCCCCCGGGGACGTCTTCTTCTCCCACACGCTCAACGCGCCGGGGGCCATCCCAGCGCTGGTCAACTTCCACGCGCCCCCATCCGCGCACGTCGTCGCCGACCCCAAAGGCCCGCTGGGCCCGGAGCCGCTCATCAGCCGGCTCCGGGCCCTGATCGCGCTCGGCCCCATGCTCAACGGCTGGGCGGGCGTCTGCCACGGCGGCATCGTCGGCACCCTGATGGACGAGACGGTCGGCCAGCTGTTCGTCGCCAACCAGGACCACGGCCTGCTGCCGCAGGACGTGCCCGTCATGACCGTCTACCAGAACATACGCTTCGTCAAGCCCGCCCGCACCGGGACTGTGCAGAAGCCGGCCGTGGTGCTGGTTACCGCGCGGGTGGTGAAGAGGGAGGGGAGGAAGTTTTGGTTGGAGGCGGATGTGCAGGAGGAAGGGGGGGTGGTGCTGGCGAGGGCGGAGTCGTTGTTTGTGACGCCGAGGTCGATGTTGTAGGCTTTCTTTTTGGGTTGGGTTTGGGTTGTTGGGGAGGGTAAGGGGGGTTGCATCATGCATTATCATGGGGTGAGATAAAACGGAGTTCAGGGGTGGGGATACAACGGTTTGTTGTTAGACATATTAGAGTTGTCTGCGTTTCATTTTTTAACAGTGTCAGGGTCTTAGAGAGAGCATTGACTGGTGGCTATGTAAACAAATCCAACCAATTCATAACCAGACGTTGCCCAGCCGGAAGGTCAACACCGAGTACAACCCATCTCCATCGCCAATGCCACCCCGATTTCATGCACCCCAGAACCCGGACGCGCACGAAACAAAACCGCCACGGCAGTCGGGGTATTAGCCTAAAGCAGCCAACTCCCCTGAATTTCCACGAATCCAGGTTCGGTTGGTGTGAGAGCACCTTGTGTTAATGCCGACTCGGTACCAATCATTCCGCAAGCCAGCCGGGATCCTCCAAAGTATAAAGAGACCTCGAGCAGACCAACTTCTGTGGACACCACCACCACCTAACCACACCCACAACCAACCCCCCCACAGCCGCCACCATGCGCGTCCTCCTCACCCTCCTCTGGGTATTCACGACCCTCGGCAGCGCCGCACTCACCTTCAGCCTGCAGCGGGCCGGCAACCCGAGCGCGGACCAGAACGACGCCTACCAGCGGATCCAATCGGCCATGACGCAGGCGGTGGCGCGGTACAACCGGCTGGCGCCGCGGGCCAGCAAGGCGCTGACGGTGCAGTACGAGCCGTCGGTGGCGACGGCGGACGGCAACTTCAACGGCAACATCCGGTTCGGCTCCAACCGCGCCTACATGAACGAGCGCACCGCCCTGCACGAGATCTCGCACACGCTGGGCATCGGCCAGACGCGCGCCTTCGATGACCGGTGTGCCGCCAACAACTGGCCCGGCGCGACGCGGCTGCTGCAGTCGTGGGATGGGCAGGGGGCCAAGATCAATTGTGGTGGCGGGCATATTTGGCCGTATGGGTTGAACTATGATGATGAGATGAGCGAGACGAATGCGGAGAGGCATTGTTTGTTGATTGATGCCATGTTGGCGGATGGGCTGGCGGGTTGAGCGAGGGGTTGTTGGGGGTTTGAGAAAAGGGGTGATTTGTTTGGAATTGGCGGACGGGGGGAAGTAGGGGGAGAGAAGGCGGTGGTTCTGTCGCAAAAACAACATCGCAATTGTGGGTCAAGTAGCAATTGCATATTGTCACATACAAACGAGCTCGAGACAACAGGCAAGATTTGAACAACAGGACAGACCCGTGGAGTTGGGATCGAACGTGGGATTTCTATGCCATTGGGCTCGGCCACTGACCGCTGTGTCACGAGGGTTCGTAAGTATCGTAAACAACATCGCAATTAGAGGTCAGCGTGTCAATGGTTCAGACGGAAATTGTGTAGGATGAGTTGACGTACTACATTCATTACAGAAAGATACCGACCGTTAGTGAATGTCCTGTGAGAAAAGAGCAATGATGTAGCCTAGATGGGGAGGGAGTAGTGAGGGGCTTAGGAGGAAAAAGCGGCTAGAAAACAGAGGCTGAGAGAAAAGGGGGCTGAGAAAATAGAGGCTGAGAGGAAAGAGGCTGATAAAAAGGGGTTGAGAGGATAGAGGCTAGAAAAAAGGGGCTGGGAAAATAGGGGCTGAGAAAAAGGGGGTCGAGAAAACAAGGGGCCGGAAAAAGGGGTTAAACCCAGCCTTCCATTCCACCTCCCACATCTCCCACTCCCCATTCCCTCCTAGCCCATCACTCCAACCATACCCAAATCAACCCGAAGCCACCCAGTCCCGCGCCACCACCCCACCCGGCATCGTATCCATCCACCCATCCACCTCCTCCTCCACCTCCCGCTGCAGCGCACACTCGTTCGCCTCGGAGATGGTCTGCACCGGCAAATTACAGAGCTGGTCATTGCTCGAGCAGTCGCGGTCAAACGTGCGGGAGAGGGCATCCCCGCGCCAGCCAAACAGATAATCCGCATGGTGACCGTAGCCCACGCGGTCGCCAAAGCTCCACACGAACGGCTGGCGCCCCTCCTCAACCGGCCACAGGTCCGGGTCGTTGAACGGGCGGGTATCCCAGCGGATCTCGAGCGCGACCTGCGGGATGTTGACCGGGTGGGAGGGCGGGCAGGTGGCGCCCTGGTGGTAGTCGGCGCCGGCGGCCGGGTAGGCCACGTGGCTGCGGTGGTCGGCGCTGTCGAGGCTGCGGCCGTCCCAGCAGGGCGGGAAGGACAGCGTAGTGAGGATACCCTCCGGGCAGGGGCCCGCCGGGAAGGCGAAGCTGAGGTTGGTGAAGCGCGTGTCGTCGCGCAGTAGGCATGTGTAGGTGATGCCGTGCAGCGGGCTCGGCTCGCCGGCTTCGGTCGCGAGGGGGGGTACCGCCGGCGTGGTGAGGTCCGGGTGGCCGATCTGCATGCGGAAGCCGGACGCGAAGGCGCGGATCTTGACTTTTTCGGGCTCGATGAACTGCGGGAAGTAGTAGATGGTCATGCCGCCGCCGCGGGCCTCTTCGTGGAACAGGGCGCCGAGCTGCTTGACGCGCTTGTAGGAGCCGTTGCGGGCTTGGAAGTACATGGCGGCGGTCCAGTAGTTGGAGAAGTCGTCGGTGAAGGTGCACGTGGTGCAGGTCGACCGTTCTGCCGGGCCGCCGGCCGGGTCCATGGTTGCGTTGAAGGCGTTGCCGCCGACGATCTGGTGGAGGTGCGACGTGCCCGTCACGCCCGGTTGGACCAAGCTGGGTCTCGGGTTAGCCACCATGCCCGGCGGCGTGCCATTTGTTAGTGTTCTAGCCGTGTACAAAAGGTGGGCTTACGGGTCGAGCCGGTCTAGGACCAGCTGAGAGCACGACATCTTGAGGGACGCGGGGTATGCCATGGAAAGACCCAGGCTGGCTGCTATACCGGTTGCCCGCTGCCACTTCATCTTGTCTCAGCGCTTGGATGTAACTTGGCAAAAGAAGAGCGGCAAAAGGCTAGGTGTGTTGTGTTCCCCGGATGGGTTGGAAGCACAATTCTAGGTGATATGCAGAGGCCTCTGTGCTCCAGTACCTAGGGATGGGGTTGGATATTTAAACACACTTCTGTCATTGATAGTCTTCTAGAACGTCCTGCAACAATCTAATTCTAGAGCGAAACGGGGAGTAAGCATTCTCCTGCCTCCGGCTTTCCGTTGGTTATTAATACCTGATCCACGGCAGATATGTATTAACTCGGCCGTGTAGGATTTAACCATCCCCGCACTACCACCACACTGATAAACCGTTCCACGGTTGTCGATTGGGGGCCATTTTTACACGCCAATGGTAGTTTCCGCCACATAGCAACGATGCCTTCGAGCTTCTCTCTTGTTGCGAGGACATAGACATACGCTGGCTGTGGTTTTCCTCAGCGGAGCTGGGTTCTGGTATCCTTTGTGCCGCTGGCTGTCAACTGAACTCGATACTTTCGGGAGTACCAAATGCAGCTATACTAGATGTAGCTTCGTCAGCGGGAACGATGCTCGGCCCTCACGGACATCGATTAGCGATTTTCCGCAATGGCTTTGTGCTCGACAAGCCTGAAGGGCAAGTTGCCACGCTTGTTCACGCCGCAACGCTTGTTCACACACAACGGGGTCTTTGACTGACGGAGACCATCAAAGTTAGCAATCCTCTAGCGAGCAACTCAATACCTATTTGGGAAGTCTATGGGTGATATCACTTGTGATTTGCCGCCCTTGGAACTTGTGCCGCGGAGTTCCTTCTTCTGTTCATTGTCACTAGGCTTGTTGGACGGCACGCGCTTGGCCATTTGATGCCTACCACATGGTGTCACAACTTCAGAGCTATTTAATGGGCCAGTGACACGCTGCTAACGATGGTGAATAGTATCATTCATCATCAGCTCAGCTACAGGATAACACAGAGACAAACAGAAATCAACAACGCAAAGCACACCAATTACACAACGTAACCGACGAATCACGTAATCGACCGATCATGGATCAGACTGAGAACACGCAGGTGGAGGTGGTTGAGAGGAAGATTGCGGTGTGGACCTTCAGACGGTCACTCGAGCCCCTTGCCACTCGGCTGGAGGGAAAGGTGCTCAGGGCCTCATGGGAGCACGAGGGCTACTACTGGGGTGTCTGGGAGCCCGAGCGGTTGGAGATGGTCCCAGATAGTGAACGCCGACCATGCGACGCCAATATAATCCACAAGGAGTCGGAAGAGGATTACCCCTTCTTCCGTTGGGCTGAGGGGGCACCCTTTGTTAGCATTGTGGTAAACCCACGCGAGGGCAGCTGGGAGCGGCGTACCACGCCCCTACGCGAGACGCACGATGTCCTGACGGTTGTTAGGCCCACCAAGTTTCATGTGCCCCCGGTCATCTACCACACATCACGCCATGGTTGGGAGTGCACCATCATTGGCCAAGTCCAAGGGCGTGCTCTCGAGTTCGCCATTATGGATGTGGCCGGGGGCGGAGTTGGGTGGATCGAAGACTCGACGTCTCCCGTTCATGTTGCCGAAGTAACGCGGATCTGCACCCGCGTGGCTGACCAGGTGGTAGATGCGGTCGTAGAGATGTCCCAGTGCACGGAGAGCAAAGTCTGCGGTTTGGACAGAAAGGCCTCTCCCGATCCTCACTTTGCCAACATCGGCACGGCGGGGGACGAGGTGCTCTCCCTGGAGGAGGTGGCCCGGAATTGCAAAGATGCCGGGATGGATCCTTGTGATACAGTGCTGGGTCCCGGAAATCTGAGCGCTGAAAACATCATGTTGGACAAGGACGGCAACTTTGTCGGCTTTTCCGGCCTTCTCTGGGCTGGGTATGCGCCCCGCAGCTGGGTCCAGCTTGGGATGATTGATCCGAGTGACTCGTCAGCAGCGGATCTCCGAGCGTACACCTGCGCGCTACCAGGACCGCGTGGGGTCAAACCGGGCCCGGGTGATTCGATTCTGCTTTTGTGGCAAAAGATCTTGTCGGAGAAGTTGGCCTCCAAAGGGTTCCCAAAGCTAGACGCCTATCGCCTTCGCTGGCTTCGGCGGCAGAAGACGGTAACGGATGACCTCGAGCGAACTGAAGAATGAAGACGAAAAAGACTGAAAGGTGACATGATAGCATAGATAGGATACCTCCCTCACAAAGAATGCAAACCCCGCCAAACAGGCGGGCTCTTCGAACGGACGTGATTCTCCATATATAACCCCAACCCCCTCAGTGAAAAGGAATGACAGACATTGGATGTTGACTGCCAAGCAGTGGGTGAGTCGGGTGACGGGACGCCAGAGCTGATGCGACTGCATGGCAATAGTTCACTGTTGACGACTACCTACCTAAGCAGATAGTAATCATAGAAGTGTCACCACCAAGGCTGAGTGAATTAAGAACATATGCGGAACAAACAAAAACATACATGACTTGGAACGACTTGAAAGGCAAAGCAAAGCAAAGCAAAGCGGTCTATTTCGTACGAGCGCCATCAGAGAGCGTGCCACAGTGTCTATCCATTCCATTGCTCCCTCCGCTGCAACCCGTTAGGTGATGAGATTTGGAGCCTTGGTGTAATCCGCAATCTATATAGACTTTGACCCATTTCGCTAGCCCATAATGAAACAGCTGTAATCAGTCTAAGCACGAAGTTCTACTGTATCGGTAATCACATAAAAAGCAGTTGGCTCAACCTGACTCCAGAACTTCCAGTTTGTGTGTTCCCACATCTTCCCCTCTCCCAAACCCAAAACAGCGCCAGAGATGGCAAAATAAGGAAAGTATGGGTGGCCTTGACAGCCCCCACTTCTCAAGCTCCCTTGCATCCCCCTTCGTCACCCTCTTCCACCTCGATCTTGAACGCCTTCAACACCTCGTCCCCAACCTCAATGGCGTCCCGCCTGCTCACCCTACTGCACACCAAGAAGTGGGCAGCATATGTTCTCGCCCCGTCCGTGTATAGCCGCACCCTCTCCCCCGGCACACAGTAATCCACCGCCACCACGATCTTGTCCGCCAGGTCGGGCCGGCGCCTCTTGAGCTCCTCGCAGGGCGGCAGGCCCGAGGCCCACCTCACCACACCCGCCTTAGGCACGGGCACGTACACCAGGCGCGACCAGTACTGGGCGCCCCTGGTGCGGCCCTCGCACGCCGCGTGGTCGAACGACCGCGCCGCCAGCCGCAGCCGCTCGTGGTCGCCGACGGCGGCCAGCATGTGCGCGGCGAAGAAGTCGACCCCGTACGTGTGCCGCGACGGCACGCTGACCCGGTACCCCGGGGGGCGCGCGTTGATCTCGATCAGCTTGCAGGCGGCCTTGTCGCCTCCTCCTCCGGCCGCGGCGGCGCCGCTCTCCGTCTTCGGGGCGAGGTCCACCACGCCGCCGCCGACGTCGCGGTACTCGCAGCCCGAGCGCACGACGCGCGCCTCGACGTGGAACACGCCGGTGCGGAAGCCGACCTTGACGAGCAGGTCGCGCAGGGTGTCGCGCACGACGGCCTGCTCGCGGTCGGGCAGCGCGCTGGGCAGGGTCAGCGCCTCCGGGCTGAAGGTGTCCTGCACGGTGGCGTCGCGGCGGTCGGCCTGGCAGGGCGGCTCGTCGGCCACCTCCCAGAAGAGGACCTCGCCGTCGAGCAGGACGAAGTTGGCGTCGATCTCCGGGCCGTCGAAGAAGGGCTCGACGACGGCGGCGCTGCCGTGCCGGGATGTCGCCTTTTGCACCGCTAGTGCGAGGTCGTCGCGGCAGGATACCTTGCTGACGCACTCCGAGGACCAGCCCTTGGTGGGCTTGACGATGAGCGGGTAGACGGGCGTGAAGGCGGGGTTGGTGCCGTTGGCGGGGGTGGATAGGAGGGTGTTGAGCTCGTCGACGCTGGTCACGCGGGCGGTGTGGCCCGGCGCGTCTTGCAGGAGGCGGGAGCGGTACTTGTCGACCGAGGTCTCGAAGGCGGAGACGGGGCTCGTGGGGAGGCCGAGCGCTTCGGCGACGCGGGCGGCCGTGACGAAGAAGTTGTCGGACAGGGTGAAGACGCCGTGGATGGGGAGCGGGTAGCGCGTGATGGCGGAGATGATGCGGTCGGTGACCCCAGCGTCTTCGGTCATGTCGGTCGCAATGAAGGCCTCGCGGTGCAGGCGGTTATCGTCCGTGTTGGGCTGCAGCCAATGCCCTTCGTCGTCGATGATGACAAGGTCGAGGCCTAGTGCGCGGGCTGCGCGGTAGATGGGCCCGCCGGCGGTGAGGTTGGGTCGACCTCGTATCAGGGCAAGCCGCTTGCGGGCAACGGGGTGCGAGGTAAGCCAGGGCGCATTGTTGAGGCGATCCCGCAGTTCGTGGGTCAATCCCAGCAGATAATGTTGGAGGTCGAGGATGGAGACCGAAGCTTCGAGGTCGCCCCATTGGATGACTCCCGCTGCCTGCTCGATGAGGCTGGCCAATCCGTCCTCCGAGTTGGCCGACGACGAGGACAACCTGCATGATGTGTACTTCTTGGGTGCGGCAATGCATTCTTGGATCTTGGAGATGGGGAACGGGAAGTCTTGGAGACGGAGGCGCAGAAAGTCGGAGCGGGCGATATAGCCGTCTGTGGAGGGGAGAATGGCCGTGAAGACGGAGACTCCGGCATGGGCCCAGTTGGATGGGCCGAGGCCGAGGTTTGTGAGAGCGTCCATGAAGCGAGAGGGAGGTTCTGAGTGTGGTTGTTGGCCGTTGGCTCCATTGACCCCGCTAATATTGCTGCCGGGACGCAGCGGTAGTTGGTTGTATGACAGTCGTAGTGAACTGGGTAAGAGGATAATGTGAACGATCGAGTACAGATCGCATAGTGGAACGATCTCCCAGAAAAAGGGGCGGGAGAGACTACTGGGTCCTGTCATGCGTCAACGAATAGTCTCCGCGTCGGGCATGAGATGCGACTTACCGTTGACGGCGCTCAAGGGCGAGGGCGGCGTGTGGAAAGGCGGATAAGTTGAGTCCGTATCCGAGTCGAAGGCGCACCTCGGGGGCCAGCCGTTGACCTGACTCGGCAGTATTCCGACAGCCATGGCGGCGATGGTGGCTCCTCGAGTCTCGGCGTGGACTTTGACGTGAGACAGAGATGATGGTGTGAGGAATGGATGATGGATGGCGTGACCGGCACTGGAGACTACTAGTAGGGGAAGTACTCGAGAAAGATCTAGACTCGGTACTGGAGACTCGAGAAAATGGAGAGATTAAAAACGTGTAAAGTGGTCAAATATGTGAAGTCAGGCTCGCTCGGCAGAATTAGTTACAAAGATGAATCTAAAAACAAAGGCCCCCGAGTCGGGTGAGGCAACCGTGTCTCGCTTTTAGAGCAGCCTGGCAGCCCTGGCATGTTCGGTTCACCGCTGGATGCGCCCGATCCCGGAATGAGATTGTGTGGAAGAAGGCACAAAAAGCCGGAACAAACGAATCAGTGGCAGGGGCGGGAAGGGGCAGCCGGGGAATCTGGGTGCGGCAAACGGAGATTTGAGAACCTTGATGGTCTCCACTGCGATCAACGAGATGATCTGATAACCGGGCCGCTTGGGCCTCCCAGTCACGCCAGTCTGTGCCAGTCCACCCGAGCAGGCAGTCAGGCACCCATCCCCTGTTGGCAGTCGCGCCGCTTGACGGTTTCCCAAATTCAACAATTTCGTGAGAACCCTGACGGCCGAGGACCTTGATGGCCACCCCTCGTCCCCCTCCGGATTTCCGATTGTTTGGCATTGTTTGCCAAAAGTGCGGCCAACTGCACACTGCCAACTGCCAACGGCCTGGCAAGAGTGACAAAGCACCCCATCGAGGTGCAACCCAGTCTTGCCCTGCACCAGCCCTGCAGCGTTCCGCATCGTCGAATTGGGCAGACAGTCAGGCGCCGAGTGTGGACACCGCAAAATGCCGCGCTTGAGTGGGATGGAACGCCAGCAAGTGCGAACTGCCACTCTAGCGGGCCTAGTCGGACCCCCCCCATTGCCGTGGGATGCGCGGGCAAGCGTGGAGGTCGCATGAAATATAGCCAGTGATCTCGGACCTTGTTTGTCTTTTCCCACCCTTCCCTCGTCCTTTCGTTCTCCTTTTTTGCCTGCCTGACACATCGAGTTGGGACGGATTGACGCCGGCGTGGCCTAGTGCTTGTTGACCGAGAACCCCTGGATCCATCCCCAAACCCCCCCAAACGGTCGAACCTTGAAATCGTTAAATACTCAACCAACTCTCCCTGGAAACCCAGGGCGTCCTCCTCCCAGGATGTCTCTCCTTCCTTCGTGGCTGCGGTTCGGTAGCCCTATAGCGAAAATGGAACCCTGTCCCTGCGCCTCCCACGACTCCATCGCCATCGTCGAGAAGGCCGACGTCCTCCACGACCAATTAGCCGACGCGAGGACCGAAAAGGTCCAATGGCTGGTTCGGAGCATTGTCGAGACCCATTCCGACCTGCTCAAACTCCCCCATTTCCGGCCGGGCATTGCCATCAACAAGCTCCTTGGCAACCTCGTGTCTGTCTGCTCCGAGATCCACGACCGGGAAGTCGTCGACAGGGTACCCCCACCCACCGGCCGCATTGGCAGCACCACCACGGCCACGCCACGCACGGCTAACAAGTCGAAATAGGTCCTCTCCCACGCCCGCGTGCAGGCACTTCTCCCCTCGCTCCGCCAGATTTGTGCCCAGGCCGAGTCCTGCCTCGAACTGCACTGGACCGAGCACATCCTCGCCACCAAGGGGACCCCCGAAGAGGTCCTCGCCCGCCTCAAGACCTTCCCCTACTACGAAAACTACCAAGAGCTCACCCGGCTAGAGCTCTGCTCCATCCTGTCCGCCACCAAGACCGCCCCGCGCCGCGTCGCATTCATCGGCTCTGGCCCATTGCCCCTAACCTCGCTCTGCCTGCTACAGGCCCTCAAGCAGGATGCACTGCTCACCAGCCTATCAACCCCCAACGCCGAGACGAAGGACGCGCAGCCGGTGATACTCAACGTCGACTACGACTCCGGCGCCATCGCCGCCTCGCTCACCCTCTCGCTCGCCCTCGGCGAGGCCGGCCGCGGCATGGAGTTCATCTGCGCCGAGGCCACCTCGAGAGACAAGGACCTCGCCGAGTTCGACGTCGTGTACATGGCCGCGCTCGTCGGCATCACCCAGACCGAGAAGGAGGATATCGTGCTGCAGGTGGTCGATCGCATGCGGCCCGGGGCTTTGCTGGTCGTGCGTAGCAGCTGGGGCTTGCGGACTTGTCTCTACCCCGAGGTCGATCTCGCCACGGAGACCCTGCTGAAGAGGCTGGAGTGCTGCGTCGTCGTGCACCCGTACGGGCAGGTGGTGAACTCGGTTATTGTGGCGAGGGTGAGGGGGTAGGGTCTGGTGGGTGGGTTACACGTGGAGGGGTGGCATTTTGGGGTTGCGGGCGGCAGGGCGGGGATTTCATTTACTAGAGCTGGGCGAGGTGCAACGGGAAAAGGCGGGATGGCATATTCGACGGGTCTTTGCTGACCGATTTCGGTGGTTACATTGCAGTTCATTTTTGATTCACTTGACGAGAAATAGAGGGCGCGCGGAGAGTTCAAACACGGTGATGGGAGACGGATGTCAGGCATGAGATTAAAGTACCTACCCAAGGAATTAGCTGAAAGGATTTGAGACGAGCATTTACGAGCACAAAACATATCGCAATCAGACAACAAGTCTCAAGTCGTGGTTGTGGGCATGCATTCGCTTCAACTTCGAGAGTGCCAGCCGCTGTCTGAAGTGACGATGAGAGACTTTCGCCGCCCGCGGCTTACCGAAAAGAGCACGAGCACAAGGAGGAGAGATGTGGAGGGGATGCCCAGTGATCGCAGCGGGGTGTGGGAAGACGAGCGGGACGGCCCGGACAAGACTGGTCAACTCGCCCCCCACGCCCCCGTCTTGTGGCGTGGTCCATACCTGGAGAGCTTTCAGCTAATGTCATGACAGCCCTGCTGCACGCCGACGCCTTGGGAAGCCCAAAATGGCATCAGTCGCATCCTGGCTTGTGATTGGTATGGTCTGAACCCCCGCAAACGCCGCCCCCGAAGCTTTTCTCACTTTTCCCTCCCTCTCATGAGTCATGTGTACATACCTAGGTACCTAGGTAGTAACTCTTGGACCGAAATAACTTGCGTGGGGCCATCAGCCCTTCCTTGTTGCGGTTGTCAGTCACTCTGCCTGGCAGATGGAACCAGTCTTCGTGGGGGAACCTTTCGGAACGGATGATAGATACACCATCCCTTGTCACAGCTCTTCTACCCCTGTCAAAGTCGGCGGTTATTTGTCGGGATATCACAGACGACACCTCTTGACCTTCATAATAAACGGTTCACAAGTCACCAAAGAGGAAAGCACAATCGATAATATGAAGCAAAACATTAATTCTATAGTTTACTAGGTACCTAATTGAAGCCTCCCATCAGAACACTATTAATCCCTATCTGAATCCCCATCCCTGATCCAGGGATGGTTCACCACCTCCTCCATGCTAATCCTGTCCTCCGGCCGCCACTGGAACATCTTGCCCAACAAGTCCGCAAACAACCTTATATCCTCCCTGCTCATAAACGGTTCACACTCCAGCTGATCCTCCCCATCCTCCCCCGTCTGCATGTGACGAAACCAATCACAACCCAACTCCTCGTACTCATCCCACTCCTCCTCCACCGTCCACGCCAAAAACCTCAGCCGCACCAACAGACTCTCCTCCATCCAATCCCCCGTCCCGCACATCTCCTCCCTCCTCACCCTCTCCCCCCAGACCCTCTTCTCCACCTTGGCCCCCTGCGCAACCTTCCTCCTCGCCGCGGGGCCCCAGCCCCGCGCCCAACCCGTCGGCGGCGCGCCCAGGTAGGAACGTAGCGACCGCAGCACGCACCACCCGCCCCGGCCGCTGTCGCAGAAGGGGTCGATCCCGCAGACCGCGGCGAACATGGCCGCGCCCAGCGACCAGACGTCCCCGGCGCGCGGGTCGGGACGGTCGCTGGGGGGGTTGGTGGTGGCCCAGGTTTCGGGGGCGGCGAAGCCGTTGGGGGGGTGGGGGGTGAGGATGGGAGTGGGAGCGGGAGTGGCGTTGTTGGTATTGTTGTTGGTGTTGTTGGTGTTGTTGGTGTTGTTGGTGTCGGGAGTGTACTTAACACAAGTGTCAAGGTCAGCCAGGGCAATGGTGTGCATCGTGTACATGCGGCGGTCGTTGGCGACGGGTGTTAAGGCAGGGATGCTGAGCGGCTTCGGGCGGAGGGCGTACTTGGGCATGCCGGCGGGCAGCGAGGGGTGGTTGTACCTCGCGGAAGTCGGGCCGTTGCAGCTACACTCATAGCCGGGCTGGCGGGCGTGGAGTTCGGCACACAGCTCCGGGTAGTAGCCCGGGTAGTAGTCGGCGACCTCGTAGGCATGGTAGTCGCTGTCGTATTCGCTGTCGTAGTCGCTCTCGTAGTCGCTGTCGTAGTCGCGGTCCCGACGTTGCCGAGCGATGATTCGGTACACTCGCTCGAGATGCCGACCGCCAACAAGGGCGTTAATTTGCTTTTCGGTCAACTCGTGGATGGTGTCGTTGACCAAAAACAGGAGATTGCCGGGGTGGATGCGGCCGTGGCAGAACCCCTTTTTATGGAGCAGGTGCACCGTCTTGGCCAGCTGTCGGCAGAGATCTCTAAGGAACATGGGTTCACGCCGGCAATGGAATGCTACATCAGATACCCGAGGCCCCAGGAGGGGCTGCACGGCGCAGAGATGGCGGCCGTTAGGCCCGACGACCCAGAAGTGCCCAAGCGATGTGGCCAAGATAGATGGTTGTTCCGGGTTTGGCCGGGTTAGCTTCACGCTGGCAAGGTCCTCGTGGGAGGATTCGGCCGCGTAGATTTTGATGGCACGCCATTTACCCAGAATTACATCCCTGCAAAGCCACACGGTGGCTTCAGCACCACAGCCTAGCTTGTTTACCACTTTGAAGCGGCTATCTAAGACATCATCGATCAGGATGGGGTGGAATCCGCCAGGATGGTAGTTGTTTATTTCTTTCTCCATTCCAACGCCCGCATGATACGGATACGTCAGTGGCCCCGGTGGAGTGATGGGGTTCTCCATTGTCTTGTGCGGCTTGCTTGAGATGTTTTGGTTGTTCGAGTCGTGGTTGCTTATGGTTACTGGCATTGGCTAGGTAGTTTGAGTGAGGAACCTGAAACTCTGATGCCGAAGTCTCAACACTCAACTCGTTTAAATGGCTTGAATGTTCAGCCCGTTTGGTCTTGGCATCGCAATTTCCTTTGTTGTTCTAACAAGCCAGGGGTGGGGTTGAAACTTGTTTCTTACAATGGCTTTGTATGCCTAGTTGTCTTCCTTTGTTCTTTCGGCGTGGCTGGGGGCCATGGGGCTTGAGGATTTGAAAGCTGGTGTATCATATCTGCTTCTTGCATTTGCATGTCTGGCTGTGACTGGACCCAAGGGAACTCATCGCAACGGCTGCAAAAGCGAAACTTCGGTGGCGTTGTGTCTTGCCGCTGAACGGGGTTCCCGACTGTGACAGAATATTGTCACAAATCTCTGAAATTAAACCGAGCCTCCTTGGTCCCTCCCCGTCACATACGCTAATGGACCGGCGGACATGGTGAGAGTATATTTCAGACACGGCGGTGCCTGTCTGGTGCCCGTCTGCTTAGCCAGTCCAAGTGTTGTCGCCCTTCTCATCGATCCAACCCATCCCCGTCGTGTTCAAGTCTCAATACATTGGCCCATTATTAGTCATTCACTTCCTGCGTTGCATATTCAATGCAGTCTATACAGTCCATGACTCCACAACCTGGTGACAGATACCAGCCCGGGACAACGCCTCCAGGTTGCGGAATCTGTCCTCGCACGCGCCACAGCAACCAGCCTGGAAGCGAGGGCCTCACAAAACAGAGGAAATGGCCGAGGAGTCGCCATTACACGGGGTATGGCAGCTATGAAGACCCATGGGTACGTTGGAAGCCTCCCCGCCTCAGATCTTTAGCCCTGGGGCGACTACGTTAACGATAGAGTGTGGTGTAGGTTATCTGGACCACATATCTCCCCACAACCCTCTCCGAGTACGATTCCATCACACGCGTCTGCAGGCAAGAGGCTATCAACAACCACTTCACCTGCGTGGCCGTGAGGAGCTCAGTGCACGGTGGGACAGGCAATGTCAGCCCTTCCCGGTGGTGCAGTACCAACCACCCGCCTGTAAAGGATAAGAGGATTACTGTTTTTATGGGCAAGTCTTGGTCGACCTGCCAGATTGAGGGTCATATATATGTTAGTCAGTCTGGCGAAGGCATGCCCGTCACGCGGGTAGACTGCGAGGCATGCGGTCTGGAATGTTGGCACATGCCGTGGGACTGCCTGCGTCTGGATCATGGGCCAGATGCTTGCCTTCGGAAATTGTGGGGTTGATTGGATTGGTCTAGGAAACAGTATTTCTTGCAACAATTTGAGATAGATCACTATGTTACATGCAAGGAGTGGGTTATTCCCGACGTGTCATTATGACGGTTTGGATACTCGTACTGACAATAAGACCAGAGACTCTAATATATTAGGGCCGTATTCACAACACATTGGAGAAACAAACGGGAGGTTCGTTTTTATGCCCTCTTGGCTCGATATAACTATTCGATTGCAGGCGAGGCCTTCACTGTTCAGTAATAAGCGGTCATTTGGGTCATCATACTTACATGGTGCAAGGGCTCCCATAGCCACTCCGTGGAGGTAGGTATGTCGGTCGGGGCGGCCCTTGCTCTGGCGCCCCCCCCCATATCCGTTCCGCAACCTCCTACGTTAGGACCACCGTGCTCCTGCAAACTTCCTGTCATGGATGAAGTGTATTTAGGGGCTCGCTTGATTTGATGGGATATATTAAGGGTTAGGGCTGAAGATGGGAGCGTGAGCAGGCGGTGTGCGGCAACTTACCCCTAACCCTTTAAGCCAGGCTTTTCGAGTTCTCTTGAAAATTTAGTTTAACATAATTAGGTGGTACCTACCTATCTCTCCAACCAAGGCATCTTAGTACTTAATATAATCGGACTCGAAGTCCCACTTCGCCCTCACGACAATGCACGACACCGAAAAGGATGGCACTCATACACAGCACGCCCACACCCACAGTTGACCCTTCAAACCCTAATATATCACGATGGGATGATATTGGGTTAATGCTCATCCAGGAATTCATCTCCGAAGATGATGAGGCGACCATGATTGACGCTTTTCACGCCCAAGATCCGCTCTCAGAAATCCAAGGGAACTTGAAGAAGCGAATCAGCCAGCATTTCGGCTACCATTTCGACTACACCACGTTCGGAGCATCAGAGACACGCTTCACCCCCGTTCCGGCCTACATCACCAGCTTCCTCCCCCGGTTGCCCGTCCAAAGCCCTCTCCCCGACCAGTTCACCGTCCAGTACTACCCTCCCGGCAGCGGTATCCCCCCGCACGTCGACACCCACTCCATGTTCGGCGAGGCCCTCTACAGCCTGTCCTTCGGGAGCGCCGTGCCGATGCAGTTCCGCATGTCCGGCGCCAACGACGCGCGCAAGATGCGTCTCCCGAAGCGATCGGTCCAGCAGCAGCAGCAGCAGCAGGACGGGGGCACCACCGACCCCCCCTCCGCCTCTCCCGCCGTCCCCGGCGAGCAGCACCGGCAGCCGGACGACGAGGAGCAGCACCCTGTGTGGGAGGTGCTCCTGCCCGCGCGCTCGCTGCTGCTCATGACGGGCGCGGCGCGCTACGGCTACACGCACGCCATCCGGCCGCGCAAGACGGACCTCGTCGGCGGGCGCACGGTGCCGAGGCAGGGCCGCTACTCGATCACCATGCGCAGCGTGAAGAGGGGGGACGAGATCGGGTGCGGTTGTGCGTACCCGGGTGTCTGCGACGCCAGGATTCGGGAGGAGATGGCCGCGGCTGCGAGGAAAGGAGGGGTGGTGGCGTCGGCAGAATGAGGGCGTGTTGCTGGGGGATTGTTGGGGCTCGGGCTGGCACTTCCTCCCAACTGGGTAGTCGGCTCGAGGTCGGGGAGAATGCAGCCACCTCAGAACGCCCAACTCCATTTTTTCCTCACCGCCTACCTCGATGGGGGCGGCCGCAGCTGCAGGACAAACGTGATAGGACAATGTGACGGGGCAGAGGTGGCAGGACAACGACGTCACTGGACAGGAACGCGCGAGACAAGAGGCAACGGAACTGCGTGGTAGGGCAATCCGACCGGACAAATGCGCCAGGACAAGTGCGCCAGGACAAGTGCGCCAGGGGGCGGTCAAGCGAATGGTGTTGTCCTGCCCCTCTTGTCTGCATTGTCCTCGCCCAGTACCTATGTACCTTATGTATATGTCCAAACCGCCAGGCCATTTTTATTTAACTCTGTCGAGTCCCATCCGGTTTCCGATTGCAAGTTTCCCCCTCTCCGCAGACCAAGACCATGTGCCGGTATTCGGCCCAGGCCATTTCGTCCAGCTGCCCAGCCGAAGACCGATTGGACTCGCGTGGCGCTGACATGGCCGATTGCCGGCCTCCTGGATTTGGGTCCGAACCTGATTGGTGGCTGCGATCCTATCGCATAGAAAGCTATTTTGCCGACCGTGACTCGCCCTTCGCCTTCCCGTGCGATAGGTTCCGAATTTACTCAGATGAACCGAGAAACCGAGCTATCGCAGAGATTGACGGCGTGGCCGCAGGCTTGACATTTCTGGACAAGCTCGAGAATCTCATCGATGTATTTCCTGAGCGCGGACTCCGCGGGGGGTCGAGCGCTACCGACTTAGGCCTTAACAACGATGACCCTTATCCTAAGGACTTAGATATACATGGGGATGACCACCAGTGGTGAGTATTCTTGATGGAGCATTATCACCCCTTTCGCAAAACGGGACGGTGCTGACCGGCGCCAGCGCGTTGATTCATGGCAGCATCCAAGTTGACCTCCCGGCAGAGCCCAATCTCGATGAGTCGTTCGGTTCCGAGCCGGATCTCGATTTCCCCGTTGAAAAGACGGGGGATGTTGGCAAAGCTTGGAGGGGGTTGGGGTCTCTGAGGAGAGGTATGAAGGCCGAGTTCCGACGCTTCAACGAGGTGGCATCCCGGGCAGCATCAACTACAATGTCCAGGCTTCGCTCAAAGTTTCCTAGTTCCAGAGCGTTAGCAGATTGTGGAACCCTAGTCTACCGCGACGTCTTAGATGGCCTTTGTCCGAGCACTCTTGAGGAGATTTTCGCCTTCGCCAGCTTATCACACGCCATGTCCCGGATCCTGGTGCGCCAGAAGCGGATGGAGGACGCTCAGGTGCTGTTAGGGGTGCAACGATGGAGAGATTGTATCGGCAACGTGGATGAGAAAAGTGTATTTGATACCTTGGCGTCCGAGATGTGGCCCTCCAGTTGTATGTTTTCGACCCAGCCAGAACGGGCTGCATCTGGCTCGCTCTCCCAAGCCATCCCTGGACTAGAAGGCTTGGACAATACGTCGCAGTTCCTGAAGAAAGCAGCAAACATCACTGCCACCGAGATGGGTCACATTCCCGGCGATGTATCCCACACAGGCGACACTGGCCCCCCACCCTCCAGTCTAGAAGACGACGTGCTGAATATAACGGAACGCACCGCCGAAGAATTCAACTTTTCTCAGCTCTGTCGCTTTGGAGACGGCGACCCCTACCTGCGCCCAATGAACATCGAGCCTCGAGAGCTTTCCAAATCTTGTGGCCCGGATCAACCCATCCCCGGATACAACCCGCCGCATTTCCATCGCCCCCCGTTGGGAGGCCACAGTCCGGCGTCAAATCAGCCCCCTTCTGATTGTCACACCTCGCCAGTTTCATCCTCTTTGCCAAGCTCCTCATCCTGTGGCCAGCGCTTTTATCGCTTCCCGGTCACTGACGAAGTTTTCGACTGCAAAGCCATCAACCTGCGAAACACCGTCACCTTCCTCGCTGTTTTGGCCTTTGCTAGCGATTGGGGCGATGGCTTTTACCTATTCTCTGGTAGCGGCAAGACGGCAGCACACAACAGAACTGGATCAGCATGGGCTAGAGAGCGCTCCAAGACAGAGAGGAAGCTTCGGAGGGAGTTCTTCGACCCCCTCAAGAAAGTCGGGACAGACGATGCTGGCTTCCTAGCACTGCTGGCGGTAGCCAAGAGGTTTGTCGTTCTCGGTTTGCTCGGGACGAAAGATGAGGTTCAGGATTACTTGATCGCGATATCCAAGGTAAGACGGCCACAGAACTTAACATTAGGCTTCGCGGAGCGCGGCTGACCGAAGAGCTAGGAGTTTTTGACGTGCGGGGACAGACAGGCCAAGTTTGCCCGCTGGGTATTATTGGGACAGTCACCCAGCTCGACGGCAGCAAGCAGCAGCAAGCCCGAACAACAAAATAAACGCCGCAAACCCTCCGAGAGGCAGCTGGGCGACGGCGGTCCCACAAGAAAGAAACAGTAAGTTAAGGGTTTGCAACCACTCTTCAGACATGACATGCTGATCAGAACACCCAAGGTGCATCTACCGCTGCGAACATCCGGGGTGCGGAGGCGAATACCATTCGGCGTCCGGGCTGTCCAAGCACAAGAAGAAACACCTTCCCGTCACCGAAATTGTTCGCTGTGATGTGTGCGAATACAGTTCAGATAGACGAGACCTTGTGCGGCAGCACTTCCTTCGACAACATGGACCAGATTTGCCGCCGTATCTTCAAGAGGTACGACGGGGGCATCGGTAGGAGGGAAGAAAGGAATATTTATTAGATGTAGGTACTGTGCCGACTTCTTTCGACTTGAAGGTGTTACTTTTGGATGGCTTCTCCCAGGCTGGCCACTTTTTATATCCAACAACTTTGTCGATAGAAGGTTAACGGGGCGTCATCCGCATGGACATGTTTTGGGAAGTAAAGACAATATAGACCATTCTCAATTATATCACTTGGTCCGATTTTAGGCAATGTGTGGATGGCCGTGTGGCTACAACCATCCCGGATGACGAGAAAGGTGAATAAGACTTAGATTACAACCATATCACGCTGGGAGTTGTTGGATAAGTAAACCAAATGACTGCGTCAACCTTAGGAGACAAACTATAGGACATCTAAGGTAAACCTTTGGGCACGTCCTAGCAGGATCTCCGCCAATCTAAACCGTGCGCCCTGTTGTTGGCCAGTACATGAACTTACATGACACTAGGGGTGTTTGAAGAGTTGCTAGAGGCACTGATGGACTTTCCAACACTAGACATGGTTATGCTCAACACAGGCCTTGATGAAATAGAGTGACAGTTGTATTCGGGTGCTCCAAATCAAAGTAAGTAGGTAGTGTTTCCTCTTTTGCAAAGGAGTTAGATATTCGTAACTACCACTCTCTGGATTAGCAGCAGCCAGCCCCTTACATGGTTCTTTTCCTACTCTTAATCCAGCGCTCAGTGATCTGGCCTACCGTCTCCACACTGGCCAAAGCCGCCGCCGACAAGGCGACCCCCATCTTCTTCCTGCCGTCCCCGCCCACCAGCGCAGGATCATAATACCCCGGCATCAGATACACGGCCGAGCGGTCCTCATACACGACCCACCTTCCCCGGCCCTTCTTCTCCTCCACCATATGGACAAACACCCCATGAGCGCGCCTCTCCCTGCCCGCAATCGTCTTCAGCAGCCCCGCATCCACCGCCTCCCCGTCCACCGTCTCATACCCGTCTGCAACTAGCCCCTGCCAGTCCTCCCACCCATCGTCCCCGGCACGTCCCACATTCACAGTCCGCGAACGGGAGCGGGAACGGGAGCGAGAATCGGAACTGGAACCAGGGCTGTAACCAGAGCCAGAACCCGAACCAACACCAGCCAACCCCAACCCAAAACCACCCCCCGACCCCAACCCCAAACTCGAACCCGACCAACCACCACCACCACCACCCCCATAACCACACGCATACCCCCCCAACCCCGTCCCCGCCCTCACCCCGGCCTCAACCCAATGCGCCCTCAGCGGCACCAACCCCAACCCAATCCCACTTCCACCGCCAGAAGAGCGCATGACGGCGCTACCGCTGCTGTTGCTCCTGTTGCTGCTGCTCCTCGGCCGGTCACAGGCCGCGCACAGGCCGTCCCAGGGGTAGAAGCGCTTGTAGCCGCGGTCGGAGCCGCGGCGGCGGGATTGGCGGAGGAGGGTTGCGGGGCAGGAGAGTTCGGGGGGTTCTTGAGGGCTTTCTTTTCGGTGTTGGCGGGTGGGCGTTTGGGTGGTGGTGGAGGTGGAGGTTGTAGTGCTGGAGGTGGTGGTGGTTGTGCTTGTTGTGGGGTGGGTGGCGCGGTAGAGGGAGCAGTGGTCCCAGTGGGGTGCCGGGCGGGGGATGCGGGCGAGGAGGGCGCCGACGTGGGTGTCGTGGGGGTTTGGGGAGGTCAGCGGCTTGAGGTGGGCGACGCTGGTCGAGTCGATCCATACGTGGTGGCCGCAGCGTGGGTTGCCGCGGCTGTCGACGGCGGTTGGGTCGGGGCAGTGGCACCAGGGGTGTTGGGGGATGTAGAGGAGACACATGGTGGTATCTTGTAGCGTGTGAATGCTAGCAATGTGGATGATGGGTGGTGGTCGCTGTTGGGTCTCACCGCGCGGGTTGGGGGTGGGCATTGTTTATTAAGGCTTAGCTATGGTCATTATTCCTATTGCTGTTTTATATACACAGCCAAAGGATTCAACACGTACACCTTGTCGAAGTGATAAAGGAGTCGTTGTCGTTCAGGGGTAACCCGGGAGGTAGGCAGGGGTTAGGGTTCTTTGAGCCACTGCTGCTGATAAAGAAAGCGTTCGCATTCGAAATCAACAACTGTCCGTAGCAATCCCGAAAGGGGAAGACTCCCTGGATTACCGGGGCCCTCAGTAACACCCGAGAGAAATTGGTTCTTTTGTGATTTTACTCCGTGGAAACAACTTGCGTTACGTTTGAGTATTGGGGAGCGTACAACTCGAATCCAATGTTAGTACCTATTAACCACAAGACGGTTTGATCAACTGACAAAGCTAGGCAGGCAGAGGGAAGCAGGGATTGAGCGGCTAGAAAAGCCACCTAACCAGTACTAGGACTAACTTCTAGCGGCGAGATAGAATAGAGGCTGCCGAGACATGCACGCTACTAGATCTAGGTAGTAAGAAGCCTGACGTCGTAACTGCCCCGTACAAGTGGCTTGATGACAAATCGGGCAGTTCCCCGAGACATAGGTCGGGCTACCCCAATTAGTCTCCGAGCAACGTCACTCCCTCATAGTTTCACAACTGCAGCTCCACGAGTAAGGTATTTCATAGCCACGCCCTCTCCCAAACCCCGCCTTTCCCTTTCTTCCCTCTCCATCACTCATCAACGGCATCACTCATCCACTGATTCCACGTCACCATCAAAACCAACCAACCAACCACAACACCAATCCCAACCCAACCAACACCACCACCACCACCACCACCACCACCAAATCCACTCCACGCACCATGTCCCCCCCCACCAAACTGCACCTCCCCACCCCCCTCCTCCCCCCCTCCTCCCTCATCCTCGTAACCGGCGCCAACGGCCTGATCGCCTCGCACGCCGCCGACCAGCTCCTCGCCGCGGGCTACCGCGTGCGCGGCACGGTGCGCTCCGCGACCCGCTGCGCCTACCTCACCACGCTCTTCGACGCGCGCCACGGCCCGGGCCGTTTTTCCTTGCACGAGATCCCCGACGTGACCGCCCCGGGGGGCGTGTGGGAGGGCGCGGTGGCGGGGGTGTCGGCGATCGCACACGTGCTGGGCGCGGTGGACCTGGCCGTGCGGGACGCGGATGCCGCGGCGGCGGCGGAATTGCCGTGGCAGGTGGGGCTGCTGGAGGCGGCGGCGAGGGAAGGGGGGGTTAAAGCGGTGGCGTTCACGTCGTCGGCGTGGGCGGTGTGGACGCCGGATGCGGGTAAGAGGGTCAGGTTGACGGGGGGGAGTTGGAATGAGGAGGCGGTGGCGCTGGCGAGGGATAAAGCGGTGGCGCCGGAGAGGAAGGGGTTTGCCGGGTTTATGGCGTTTAAGACGCTCATTGAGAAGGGGGTGTGGGAGTGGGTGCGCCGGGAGAAGCCGGCGTTTGCGTTTAATACCGTGTTGCTGGATACGGTGCTGGGGGAGTGTCTGGATCCGGAGAATCAGGGGATTCCGAGCACGGCGGGGATGGCGCAGTGGGTGTGGGAGAATATCCACGTGGACACGCTGAACATGATGCAGCCGCAGTGGTTTGCGGACTGTCGGGATGCGGGCCGGTTGTACGTCGCACTGTTGGCGACGGCGCCGTTGGTGGATAGGGAGCGCATCTTCGGGTTTGGCGCACGTTATAGCTTCTTCCGGGTGGCCGAGATCCTGAAGGAGCTGTATCCGGAGCATGCCGACAAGATGGCCAAGGTGAAGGACCTGGGATGGGACCAGACTGAGGTGCCGAACGAGCGTGGAGCCGAGCTGTTGGCGCGGCTGGGCCAGGAAGGCGGTTGGCGGACTCTGGAAGAGAGCGTGAAGGAGAACGCCGAGAGCTGGCTCAAGCTGAAGCCGGCCAGGGTGACGGACGAGAAGTATGTACAGATTGGCAAGTAATACCAGAGGGTACAGTGGTATCATAGCTTTGATGGTCTCGTGATAGCCTTAGGCCCATTTGATAAACACACTCGCACTTCTTAGGCATAGCGACTTGTTTCAAGAGCAAAGTGTATGGTGTGTTCCGCCACGCCACGCCCTTAAATCGGCATAGGCTGGGGGTTGTTGCCAGCCGTTTTGTAGAGATCGCGTAGTTCAAACGCCTCGTGACCACCCTCGGGTACTTCTCCAATAAGGCGGGCTGGCTGTCCCGCGACGATACTGAAGCTCGGGATGACCATATTAGGGGGAACGACGGTGCCGTCGAGGATGCGCACGTATTCCTTGATGATGGCAAGCTCGCCGATGGAGACCTTTGCGCCGATGTGGACGTGGCTGCCGACCGAGGCGGCCTGCACGACGGAGCCGGGGCCGACGAAGACGTGGTCGCCCATGCGGAGGGGCATAAAGGTGAATGCGCTGTGATGATGCATGGTTAGCATGTTTGCTGTCGCGAGTAGTCGTCGTGGTAGACAGTATCAGAGAACCCGGAAGAAACACACCCATTGTACAGGCGCCCTGGTGGACGCAGACAGCAGCCCCGGCTCAGGAAGCAGTAGCGCCCAATGGACACGGCCGTGTTATTCGGGGCAGCACCACTCGCCGACTGGGACGATGCCTGGATAGTCCGAATCAAGTCGCCCCGGATCATAACCTCGGGTTGAATGACGGTCTTGCCGCCGAGCATGATATTTTGGGTCCCTACGAGCGTCGCCTTGCGAGCCACTTTATTGCCCGTGTCCGTCTCGATGTATTCTCCCCTCGGCGGCCTCCGTGACGACATTTTGGCGGTTTTGTTCGGTTGTCGGCTTGGTGGGTTTCGAATTGCGGGTTCCGAGTCGTTGGTTTTGAGTCGCGAGTTTGAGTCGTCAAGGTGCTTGTTTTTTGGTGTGGATGGTGGTGCTCGGTGATTGGATTGCCCAGGCGCGAGCTTCCGAAGGTCGCGTCGCGTGGATGCTCGAAGGCGCCGAGACAAAAGCGGAGTGCGGGGCATCACAGTGGGGAAGCGGATCAGCCAACGTGCCAAACCCATTTGAGCTGGCTCGCCTGGGCCGTCCCGAGTCCCGTCGCGCACGAAGCCGAACGTTGACGCTGATCCCCTGCAGTGCTGTGTGCTGTGCCGTATCACTGCTGAAATGGCGTTTCAAGGATCCATGCCCTGCCTCTGTATGCACATAACGACATAGGTGGAATTTTGTCAGGGCACGTTCAGGCATCAGCATGTTGACTTCCAAAAGACAAAAGATGAAATAGAAGAAAATCAATTCTACATTTTCACACACTCCGCCACAAAGCTCGAATGAAGCACCATGTCTTCGACAACTCTGCCCCAGTCAGAGCAAGGGAGTGAATTGCCGACGAAACAGCCCCTCGACATAGCCGACCTCTTCCGCGAGCTGCAAGAAACGAACCGGCTATTGAGGGAGATAGTATCGCAAAAGGCAGCCGACCAGGACCCATTCACCGACGAATCACTATCGCCGCGCACGACTGATGAAGGGACGAAAGGGTCACCTCCTGGCTCACCGCTCGAGCCGGCTGTTGTGAACACGAGCACAATTCAGCTTGTCGAGGACCTCGCCCGTAGGGTATTCGATTCGGATCATCTAGAACATCTGGACTGGTTTCGCGATCTCACTCTTTCACGTATTTCAATAGTCAAAGAATCGTCACATGGCTCGCCCGATATCCAGTCGCCGTATCAGGTCCGACTCTTGGCCAACTTGACCGACTCTCTCGGCCGAAGAGCGAAACTTGACGGGCAACCGCTGGAGCTATGCTGGGACTGGAGAACTGGTTCAAGAATGCCGAGAGTGCCGCTGACCGATGGAGAAGTTGAGAACCTCCGCCGCCAATGGCTCGTCCGGTTCGATCTCGACCGCTCAACCGAGCGCGTCTCAAGGCAATCTGGATGGATTCTCGGGAGGGAACCCCGTCGCAATGGCATTCTGTGTGCCTGTCCCCTTGTTTACGGCCCCGGTCACGCGCTCACGTCGGCAAACTCGATTCTCGATGAGTGCCACAAGGCCAAGGCTCTCGTGAGCAAGATGGCATACCCCGAACTCGTCAGTCCTGGAGCGCTCTGGTAACTAGGACCTGCCCAGGTGGCCGCGACCCGTCACTTTGCCTCCATGCTTACACAGAGATACAGGCACTTCACTACGCCTATATGGGCCAACGGAACTCTTCCTCTCAGCCGCCTCGCACTAATCGCTGCTGTGTGTCTGGTGAACCCGGAGGAGGAACACGAGACGGTGCACCAATTCTTGCACGAGTTTTGTGCTCCTTGGAAGCCTCTACGCCTTCGTGGTATGGGCCGTGAGTTCGGCGGCTGGACTGGCAGCAGCGAGATATCTTACCAGCACACTATCCGCTGCTTCTCCAACGTCACCGTTACCGACCAGTCCGACTTCACACCTTATGTCCGTTGTCATCGCGAGTCCGGCGAGTTCCCAGCTCTTCCGGGAGCGCCAACCACTTCGTTTACAGAACGCCGCATGTCCGTACTGTGCCGCTGGTCCGAGTTCAACGACGAGCTGTCCTTCACCATTGTGCTCCTCGGAGACTTTCAATCCGTGAAGCAGGAGGCTCAGGGGTCCAATGACTTGTTTACCGACTGGAAGGACCGCCACTTTACTGCACAAGGCAAAAATGCCGGCTACCACATGCTCCAATCCGCCGTACACCGCACGCTGATATCCTGGGAAAAGGAGTGGTCTCAATGCCTGGATGTGTTGGGGGACACGGTTAACACGAATGTGAGCCTACCGTTCTACGTGGTCTAGAAAGTCCACCGCTCACGCTTGCAATAGCTTCACGATATCCTAAGCGACGAGACCAGTAATCGCCTCATGTTCGACACATCCTACGCCCGGTCCCGCGTCTACTTCAAGACCCTGGAGATGCTCCGTATCTTTGGCGATACAATCCGGGAGACCGGTCGAGACTTGCAAGAAATGGATCCTGAGCGCCTTCTCCAGGGCAGCTTTCTGCGCGCTGGCTGGGATGCTCGGTACTTCCTCAGGGACGATCCGGCCACAGATAAGGCGCTGTGGAAAAACTGGCGGATCTTGTCCGAATTTCAAAAGGGGGCAGAGGAACGTTTAATGCGGCGTATTACGGAGAAGACCGAGGAAATAAAAAGCTTGAGAGACGGGGTAAGTGTTGAGCCTAGCATATTGGGAATTGCCATCGAAACAGAATCTAACCTCTCAGCTTTTCAACGCGACTTCGCTCCGCGAGGCAGCCAGATCGACGACCATGAACCGCTATGTCATCGTCTTTACAGTCGTCACCGTTCTCTATCTACCTCCGAGCCTAACATCGGTAATTCACGTTATCCCACACGCATTCCTACTATCAAGACCGTAACTAACACCATCGGCAGTCACTCTTCGGCACGCCGCTCTTCGACGGGGAAGACCAGGCCGAGACAGTAGGGCGTTTCAGGACATCGACCATCATCGTCTGCGTCATCACATACGTGATCGCCTTCCTGCTCCTCTGGCTCGCGGACAAGTGGGAAACCGCCGGGTCGCTATACCACGAAGCCCGCGAGTTTGCCGCCTCGACATGGAGCCGACTCAAAGGCGACGGGGAAGACGAGGATACCAACCACGCCCACGCCCTCAGGAACACCATCAGCAACAAGCCACCCCTCACACCAGCACCCACCACCGACCGAATAATGAGCGTGTAACATCAACAAACTACCTACCTACCTACCCTGGCTAGGTAGGTAGCCAACCAGCCATCCTGCAACCCCCAACTCCCCATCCAGGGCTACCACACCACAAAATACAGCCATAACTACCTCCCTTACCTTAGGTACCTAGGTAGGTACCCAATCAACAACCCTCCCCACCCCCCACCCACACCGCAGCCTCATACCCGTCCATCCACTCGACAAACTCCCCGCCCGCGCCCGCCCACCCCTTGATCCCGCCCGCCAGCGCGAGGCTCTTCATGTCGCTGTCGCCCGCCGCCGCGATGTGGTCGGCCAGCCAGCCTGCCGCGCGGCTGCCGCGGCCTTTGGAGGAGCCTGAGCGATGGGGTGTTAGGCTGGATGTATATGGGTGTGGTGGTGGTGGTGGTGGTGGTGGTGGTGGTGTTTTGGGAGGGGGGGATGGGGGAAGGTGGTATCTGGGTGGGGTGGGGGGGAAGGGTGGAAGGGGGCATCATACCGCAGTAGAAGATGACCTTGCGCAGGTTGGCTGCTTTGAAGGTGGCGTAGATGGTGGGGAGGGTCAGGGGGAGACTCTGCGCGGGGAGGTTGAGCGAGCCGCGGATGGTGCCGCCCTGTTTTGGGGTGTTAGTGTTAGTTGTTTGCGGGTGTGCGTTGGGTGGGTGTGGGGATGGGGGTGGAGTGAGTGGCATGGTGGCCGGCGTGGTGGTGGTTGGTTTATGCTTAATGCATTTGTTTCAGATCCCCGAGGTTCCGCATACCTCAAAATCATTCCGCCGCAGATCGATCAGCACGAAATCCCGCTTTTCGAGCGGCGTCGTCTTCAGAAGCTCGAGCACTTCCTCCCGCGAGATGGTGACGACGTCGGATTTGGGTGCGGGATAGGCCGCGTACCAGGGCGCTGGAGTGGTTGCGTCGGTGGTTGCCATTTTGGATTTTAGGTGTCTTGGGAGAAAGGGGTGGATTGATGTTTCGGTTGAGGAGAGATGTTGTGAGGGGTTCCATGAGATTCGGCGTGTGAAAAGGGGACCTGGGGGGGCTGAATCGGAGTTGGGTTATGGTGATTGTGTCACTACTCACATTTGATTGGTCCGTTTGTTGGAGTTGCCGAGAGGGTGAAATAAAGGGGAGTTGAGCGACAGGACATGATTATGAGGGAGATGACGAAATCTTTCGACCAAATGAATTGCAGGGGGGTTGATACAATGCTGTTGACTTGTATGATTTTATATGTTTGTTTCTTGTTTATGCAACCCGGGTCCTGGTCTCGGTCCCAAGAAAGCACCGCCCTAAGCTATGCTAATCACGCCCGTGGCTATCCGGCTGTGACGTGGTTCTAGACGATCTCTTGTTGATGTTTGTGTTTCGTTTCCCAACAACCATACTCTACGATCTCGCCCCCTCCCCCCCAAAGGCACAAACTAGGACTGACACCGTATAACGTACCAACCCACCCAAACGCCTCATTTACCCTGTCGTCCTCTAGCACACTTGCACACCCCCAGAATAGATGGGGACACAGCAGGCTGGGTTTCCATTCTCGTCAAAAAGTGGCGTGTTCCTCGGCGGGTTGAGGGCCATGCAGGCTGCCTTAGCGGAGGCCGCGACGGCGGGGTCGATTTTGTAGACAGTGTTTGGCACGCATGCTGCTCAAATCCACATGAGTTAGCCGTCCGCTGCGTCTTCCCCTGTGCACTGCGTTTCCGTCAGGGGACTTACCCGGCGGCGGCGGCGGCGGCGGTGGGTTTACTGGTGGCTGGTTACACGAACCACCCCAGGGCTGGCCTCCCATAAGCAAGTTGAGGCCGTTGGTCCAGCAGATTCCTGCTTCGCTTACGCCAGCGTAGGTGGCCACAGCCGCGAGGATCAAGCTTTGGGTTTTCATGTTTTGGCTGTAGGCGGAAGCTGAGCGCGAAAGGCTAAAGCGGGCGATAGCTAGAAGTAACTAGGAGAAGAGCTATGCGGCAGACGAAAGGGGGAGGGTGGAGCTGAGAGCGAGCTGCTCCTGTCTTATAAAAGCGTAAGAGTTCCGAATGTACCGGAAGCTCACGGCCACAGACATAACTACCTAGGTACCTAACATGGGTCTCCTCTTTTCCTCCCCTCGACCCCTCTCAGCGTATCTGACACACGCATCATGGGAACACCGAGCTGAAAATCAGCGGTGAGTGACGCTCCTAGTCCCGACGGAGACCCCGTCCCGCGCACTAGGTGTCACTTCTCATCGGTCCTTCTTCTGTGTGCTCTGTGCCGCCGTCCCATGCGTGGGCCGTGATACGGCTTGCGTAAGACTGTTAATCGCATCTCTTTTGGGGTGTGGGCCATTCCCAAGAATGATGTGACGTTCCGGGTCTGCATGTGTTCATCCGGTGAGTCTCCTAAAGCAAGCTGGGAACATACAATTCGCACAAACGTCGGAGAAAAAGCATGCTGTCATTGTCTTAGGCCAAGAGATGATCGATATGCTTAACTGGACTCTGAAGCATAGCCTCATGCGTTCCCCGCAGATTAACGAAGCCCGTAGCGCAACAGGGTGCCCGAAACCCATCGGATGGTCCGTGTTGCTTCTGTTCTGGCGCGGGGTGTCGCGAATAGCATCACACGGCGCTTGGTGAAAACAAGAGTTTGTTTCTGAGGCCCGTCCCGTGCGGCTGGTGGATCCGGGATATATCCCCGCTCGAACCAGTAAGGGTTAGATCGGCACCGCGGACGGCAGCTGAATGCCGCCGCTAAGGCTGAAGTCGGGGATGCCAAACTGCAGGTCTGAGACCCAGGTCTCAGCACAGACCTGGGACCTGCTCCCTTCGCTGGTCTTTGTTGTGCCACCCCCGCTGTGATGCGGTGACGAGACGCCTGACGGCCGCAGCCCGACACCGCTGACCAGTGACAGAGGTCGGGGTTGTTGTGTTTCTCCCTGGGGCCGGTCGTTCGGATGTCGGGGGCGGGCACGTTAAGGACCGGTCATGAACTGACTATAAAGAAAACCGGAGAGGCTCTCTGGAATATCAGTAGTGCTGCGTCCGCCGATAACCACACCTAGCTTCTTAACAACCACTCCCCGACAGCAACATGAAGTCCAACTTGGGCTTTGTTGCCTCCAGCGTCCTGGGCCTGGCACTCCAAGCCGGGGCACAGGGCGGCACACAAAATCCCTTTGGTTCAGCAAGCAACAACGCCCTCAACGGGGGCGGGTTAGCTGGCAGCCAGAACCCATTTGGTAGCGGCGCAGCCGCCGTCCCAGCAGACTCAACTGGTAGCCAAAACCCCTTTGGTGGCTCCGGCTCCGGCTCCGGCTCCGGCTCCGGCTCTGGTTCGGCGGGCTCGGGAGGTAGCCAGAACCCCTTTGGGGGTGGCTCCGGCTCTGGCTCTGGCTCTGGTTCGGCGGGCTCTGGAGGCAGCCAGAACCCCTTTGGGGGTGGCTCTGGTGCTGGTTCCGGCACCGGTGGGGCTGGATCTGGTGGTTCCGGCGCTGGCGGCTCTGGCTCCGGTGCCGGTTCTGGGGCTGGCTCTGGTGCTGGCTCCGGTTCTGGTTCGGCAACTGCGGGAAGCTGCCAGTGCCCGCCCGGTGGAAACGCAGCCCCCAGCGGCCCGCGCCTTGATGTGCCGGGATGCCCAGCCGTCCGAGCCGCGGACCCGACAGGGCAGACGCTGACTTATGCCAACTCACCGATATGTCACACGGGTAAGTCTTCCAAGCTACGCCATCCTCCGGGTGCTTGACCGGCACTTGTTAACTAATCGGTCCCGGGAAAACAGGTGACGGCCAGCTGTACCAAACCCCCGACGGCGCGACCTTCTACATGCAGTGCTGCACCCACGGCGCCGGCTCCAGCACCGTCATCACTAGCCTCGTAACCGCCGACTTTGGAGAATGTATGAACGAGTGCAGCAAGACGGACAAGTGCAGCAGTGTCACGTTCCTGGCCCACGAGGAGTCGTGGTCGGAGCCGCTTCACACTTGCACCCTGAACACGGACGGAGGATTCTCCTCCGGGGTTTGTGGAGGCGACGTGCACAGTTACGCCTTCGTCATCGACCCGCCGGCCATTGAGTCCCCTGACTCGGCGGGCGTGCTCTGCTCGACCGAGTGCCCCTATGCCAACGGCCAGCTGTATGTCTCGTCGGTCGGCGAGTCCTTCCAAATGGACTGCGGCAAGCGCCATGGAACCCAGGTCATCTATCGTGACCGCCAGCCGTCGCTCAAGACGTGCATTGAGGCGTGCGGGAAGCTGCTGGCGTGCCACAGCGTCGACTACGATGTTCACCGCCAGATCTGCTACTACGGAAAGCACCAGGGCGAGCCGACCATCGAGGCCCCCGGATTCGCAAGCGCCCACTCCATGGGATGCGTGGGAGCATGCTCCGCGTGTAGCGGCGGCCGTTGCCCGAGTGTGAGTTCGCCTGGTTGCTGATCTTGCCGGCCCCCAGGGGCCGGAATCTCCGGAATCAGTACTCTAGATAGGACCCGTTCAAGTTACTGACGAGAACTAGGACCCGGACCCGTCAGCGCCTCCTTTTGACAACAACAGCCCCTTGCCGCAGGATGACCCTCTCGGTAACGCGGCGCCGCCGGACTCCCTATGCCCGCAGCTCAACGGCCAGACCATGGACATTGGCGGTTCGAGCTACCGGATAACGTGCGGATTATCAACAAACTGCGTTGAAGACGGCTATCAGATCTTCGGCCCTGCCGCCGTCCAGCAAGTCACGCTCGACGAGTGCCTTCAGTCCTGCGCCACTTTCCCGACATGCAAGAGCATCAACTTCCTCAATACCGACTGTAAGACTCAATCAAGTCCCTGATAACCCTTACCGCTCCCGCTTCCCAAGTAACCCATCATCCTGCACCAAGCTAACCTACCGTTCTTCAACGTAAAGACAAGGTCGATGGTACGGCACAATGTGTCCTGAGGCAGTGCAACCCGGCTCCCGATGGCCCCGGCAACCATATCGCGGCGCACAAACTGTGAAAGGTCTTGAGGGGATGATGGCACAAGAACGACCGGCGCAGCCGGGGGGTGGACAACGACAAGTCCGATGGGTGCATTGTCTACCAAGTAGTCGTCGATGGGTGCAGCAGTAACGCTACTGGCATCAAGCCACGCAAGCCATTGCCTGGGCTTGCTTGTGTTGCCTTTGCTCGGGAGAGATAAAATATCTAGATACTCAAGTTGCGTTGAATTTTACCGCGCATATCGTCCACTTTTCAACGTCCTACCTATTGTCAAAGACATTCTATTATGGCGTGGAGTTGGAGTGAGCAATGGGGACTGACGATATGGGATCACCTTTCCCCCTGGCAACAGATCATCAGGAATGTGGAGATGCTCAGCCGAAGGATGAGATGGTGAGAACTGACAAGGTAGGTGGTCAAGGGATGTGGGGGCCCGAACCGAAGGAGGATCAGGGGGAGCCAAGCCCGAAACACAAGCAAACAAGGGGGTGAGGGCTCGGTCGATGATGTTCTTGTGCGGCAAGCTCCGCAAATCAAGGTGCTGCTAATGAAGCAGTCGTCAGCAGATTTAAACTATTCCCAATGCCGTCTGACCCAGACGGCGGGTATTGGGGAACAAACCACCGGACGACCGAGACCAGTCTTTTACCCGCCATGTTGTGATACCGACTCTGACTGCATCACAGAAATAGATAATCCGGGGTAACGACTAACGAGTGCCACTATCAGCAGGCCGGCAACCTGACACGGGCCAAGCACATAGAGTGCAGACCCAACCGGAACTCGGCAGCAGATGCACCAATCTGCGTCGGGGGCAAGGGACTGGAGTGGAATGCGGGAATAAACTTCGAGAACAACCCCCAACTGCCGAGGCAAGCGCCTACTTAATCTATACGACGACAGCCCACAAGCCCACATCTGGATAAAGCAGGGGGGAGGGACTCGTCATGCCCAGACTCGCCAGGGAGTGCCACGCTCGGCCAACGCAGCCAACGAAGGCAGGGTTTGGTTCGGATCTGATTCGTTTTTAACCGGCGTCTTGAACCGCCATTCTCGCCGGACAACCCGATTCGCCATGCTGACCATGATGGGCCATCATTCTCTTACAAACGGAGATTAAAATCCGGGGAGTAGTCTTGGCGGGTGGGTTGTGATGGCAGCATATGCTAGGGGGGAGGCCAATCACGGCTGCTGTGAATGTCAGGATGTTGTATGGGCGATATGGGACGGGGGATCGACCGCTGACGATACCTCCTTCCCCCATGACTTAACGAGGAAGCGGCCGACCAACGGGTGAATACCGATGATGCGACCCGGATATTGATGGTGCCTTCTGCGTCACCAGCCTCCGAGACCCAGAGCCGGCCCATGGGTGGGTTCATTATTCGTAGCATGATCTGCAGAGTGCAGACCGCTGTGCTGTAGGGCAGGGGCGAAAGGGGGTGGGGAGGCACGGGAGGGGGCGAGCGAGAGAGACGATCAACAAACCTAAATAACCCGACCGGGAGCCGCCTTCTGATCCTGACTCGCTCCCGTCCCCAACGCGCATCACTCATCTTCGATCTGCGGACCTGAGGAGTTTCGGATCACCGCCGACGTCATGACGCTCAAGACCTTCCTCGCGAGCTTGCTGCTCGCGGCACCCGCCCTCGCCCACCCGGGTCACCACGAGAAGGTGTACGCACACTCGGCCCTCCCGCTCGAGCGGAAGTCTCTCGCTCACTGCTCGGCCCAGTTCAACGAGCCCGAGTTTGTCAAGAGGACAGTACAGATCCATGGCCAGGAACTGGCGCGGTTGAAGCGGTCGCTAGGCCTCGACACGAAGAGGTATGAATATCCCCCTGGGTTGCAGGTGATTGGGGAGGGTGTTGGTTGGGGAGGGTATGTCGTCGTGCTAACATCGGGTTCCCCTACAGGTCGAAGCACAGCCCGCGTGACTACGAAGAAGTTAACCGGATTGACCACAAGAGCAACAAGACGGTTTCCGAGGGGATGGATCTTAGCACGCTGTTCTCGGACGCCGGCGCTTGCATGCTGATGCCCGCGGTCGACCAGGGCCCGTTGTGTGAGTTTACGCCCGGGGTTTTAAGGGGGGCTTAGGTGCAGGTTCCTAACGAGATTTCTCAGACGTCAAAGGAGAGGAAGTCCGGAAAGACATTACCAATGGCGAGAAGGGTATCCCCTTGACGCTGGCCATCCAGGTCGTCGACTACAAGACCTGCGAGACGGTCCCGGAGGCCCACGTTGACATCTGGAGCTCCAACTCCACCGTGAGAGCCCCTGACGCCCTCAACCTTTTGTTTACTGGAAGCTGAACAATCACAGGGCATCTACGTCGGTGTGCAGGGCTACCCCGGCATGGGTGACCCCAACGACGCCTCCATCCTCCAGGGCACCACTCTCCGCGGCGTGCAGCCGACCGACGAGCACGGCATTGCTTCGTTCGACTCGCTCTTCCCCGGGCACTACGACGGGCGCGCCACCCACATCCACGGTGAGTCATTGTCATTCTCTGCCCCTACCTGCCCCTTTATCTTTATACCGCTTTATCTTTCCCCAAGCAAGTACCCCCCTGAACTCCTTGCTGACCCCCAACAGCCATCGTCTACCTCGGCGCGACCGCGCAGCCCAACAACACCATCACGGGCGGGCGGGCCGCGCACGTCGGGCAGATCTACTTCGACCAGGGCCTGATCACGGTCGCGGAGCAGCAGACGCCCTACAACAGCAACACGATGCGCATCACGCCCAACGTGAACGACTTCCTGTTCCGGCAGGGCGCTAACGGCGACGACCCGATCGTGCGGTACGCGCTGGTGGGCGACGACATCTCGCAGGGCCTGTTCGCCTGGATCCGCTTCGGCATCGACCAGAACGCCGACAAGCCCGTCAACCCGGCCGCCTTCTGGACCGAGAAGGGCGGCGTTATGAACCCCACCGGCCCCATCTCCCAGCTGCCCCCCGGCGGCTTCCCCGGCGGCGGCTGGCCTGGCTTCCCCGGCGGACGCAAGAAGAGGGCGGCGCGCGCTGCGGCGGCGGCGGCTGCTGCGAGGGCTGAGCAGGATGCTGAGTAAAAGGGTTGGTTGGGCTTGGACTTGGTCGGAGCGGGTGGGTGGTGGCGGGGAGTCACGGCTTGGTACTGAGCATGAATTCGTGTTGTATTCTGCTAGAGGGGAGATATCCTGGCGGCTTGGATGTATCGATCCATCGATTCAGGATAGCTGTCAGTCATTACCAGATAGAAATAACTGAGTTGCATCGACCAACTGAAGAGGCCCCGCAAACTCGCAATGGCATTCCGTCATGTATCTCAAAGCGAGAACCAGTGCCCCTGGGAGGCTCTCTTTTCGTCCTCGATGATGCATTACCTTTTATTACTAAGATGATGTTCTATTAATGTCTATTCCAATATGCATGCCTTCGCTGCTCTCCCCTCTCTCAGATCCTTCCTTCTCAAACCTTCAAACCCTCCAACAAGCCTGTCAAATTCTCGTCTCTCTGCATGCCCATCTGCTTCATCAGGCTTTTCAGCTCCAGTTGCAGGGCATCCAGGGCATGCCGCGTGTATTCAAGGCTTCCGGTCCGTTCAAGATGTTCGAGGAACAAGTTCTTCTGGTGCACTGTCATTTTCCCCGCAACATGTCGCTGGGAGAGTAGACTTTGAAGGACAACGGCGTGACCTTTGGCTTTCGACGACCCGATATCCGAAGACCCAGAATTCCCAGAGCGCCCCAGGGCGTGGATGAGCGGGAGTGAGTATTTTCCCTCGTCCAGGTCTTCGCAGAACCCCTTTTTCTTGGTGTACTAAAATGAGAGTCAGGAGCCGAATCAATGAAGAAACGCACATCTGCCGATGTCAAGTTCATGTAATCGTCCCGGATCTGGAACAAACGGCCCAGCAAGGTCATGAACCGTGTCAGGAGAGCCACATCCGGTTTGGTGGGCGAGTCCGACTGCATCCAACATCCTCGCCAGCATCCGAAAGAGTCCTGCCGTTTCTACCGTCCATGTTAGCTACCAGCCCCTGACCGTTGTCAAGCGGGGACTTTTAGACTCACTGCCATCAACCATGGCGAGGTACTCGTCCTCTGTGGGGCAGCTCAAGTTGCACGTCCACGCAAGATCGTGGCTCTGGCCTATATAAAGGTCCTCGAGTTCCTCTGCGGAAAGTCAATAACAAGCATTCTGTCAGCGGGGGGTTGAACACTGACGGCAGAAAACGTCCATGCACCATTGGCTGTCCAACTTTCTCACTTCTGCGAGGGCGTTGAGAAGTCTGTATCCGGCCGAGTTGATGGTTTGCATGGTCCCAAAGACCGTGTGCGTGGCTGGTTTGCCGCGACGCAGTTCAGTGGAATCTTCGATGTCGTCTAGCATTAGGGAGAAGAAGGTGGACGGCTTTCGAGATGATGGCAGTTTGCTGCGGTGGCACTCGGTACCAGCTGTTGGGCGCGCTGATGGTCCTATCACGGATCCCTTTGCCGGGCAGCGAGTCGATGTAGTGGGATGGTGCCTCGAGGGTCTATTCGGAATCAACCTTTTCCGTACTTTCGAACGGGGTCTCTAGCCTCGATTACCTAGGTACGTACATCCTGCTCAGGGCTGCAACGCCCCGCACAACCTCCATCTTCTGGTGGGAGACACCGTTGAGGACACCCTTGGTACCAACCCTGTGATGCTTGGCAATGCCGTTTGTGGCCTTCTTCTCCTGGCCATACTCCCAGCCGATCGTCTTGTCCGCCTTGATGGCTTCTGCCATCTCGAGCTGTGCTGCGTTCAGCTCCCGACCGGTATGATACCGGGGACACTGAAGCCCCCAAATGATGTTCCCGCTAATTAAGAACTTGAACACTTCGAGGAGGCGCTTGGCGTCGTCGCAAAGGTCATCTTTAATCTTGGATGTCTCTACAACGTGCACGTACTCGGCGGCATACTGGCTCGCTTTGGCACGGCACACCTCTTTCGCCTCGTCACAACTCATCGAGTGTTTGTTCATTAGCACCCAGATAGCATTCGTCACAGACGTGTGGCCGCAGTCGGTCGCGACTTTCTGCTCGCGTTCCCAGGAGTGGTAGTCGTTGGCGAGCGCGAACTGAAGCCACAACGGTGCGGAAAGCTCCAGGCACGTTTGCTGCTGGTCCACTGGGATCTCGAGGCCCGCGGCGAAGATGGCCAAACCGAATACTGCCCTGTATCTTTCGTTAGGGCTGGCTTCTAGCCATGCTCGGAGAGAACTTACCCGGAAGCGACGTTGGTCCGCCGGTACTCAAGGTAGTCCTCCATGTTACGAATCTCCCTCTCGCCATCCGGGCGGCCTAGCGCCGCCTTCTTCCACGAATCCATCCACCGGAAGGCGTCCTTAGCCCTGTCGGGGTCAACAACGAGCATGGCCCTACCGATCTCAGTAAACAGCCGCACAGCCGCCGGCGAGTGGCCCGCGGAAGCGGCGTCATCGCGACCCTTCTTAACCGCCTCGTACGCGCACAGCAGGTCGGCCATGCGCGGGGCGGCAGCGGCGGGCGAGTCGGCGTCGTCCATAACGTCGTCGACCAGGAAACTCATCTCGACCATGTAGCCGATGAGCTCGGCCCGGTCGGCCAGTATCTCCGGTGCGCACACCGCCGCAAAGCTGTACTCGGGCCCCGCCGTGCCCGTGTACCTCGACGACGGCGCGCTGAATACCTGTTCCCAGTCCTTCTGGGCGCGGAAGGTGCCGCGGTCGATGAGAGCGGCGTTGCGGTTCACGCGCAGGGGGATGTCGGCGGCTAGGCCGTCCAGGTTGGTGTCGTAGCTCGAGGGGTCGACGAGGAGCGAGTTGGGGTATTCCATGGTGATGGGTGCTGGGTAGTCGTGAAGTAGAGTTTGAGAAGGGAATATTAGATTTCCGGGGTTGATTTATAGTAGGTTTTGAACGTGATAACGAAGAATAGCGAGACGGACAGGTTCACGGCGTGTTCCGAACTTCGGCAGCAAGGGTCTGGAGGCCGCTGATATTAATGTAAAAAGAGTGCCTCAAAAGGAGTTCGGTGAGAAATCTACGCGATTTCACCGGAACAAAGAATACAACTGAAGTAGGGGAGTTGCTATCCGAACGGAGAGCTAGGCGGACCTATGGTGTCATGGGTACCCACCGTTTGCACTGATGAAGGAGACACCGCTTCCTCCGGTATTTGTACTCAAGCTGACATGATAAGGCTGACATGATAATAACTGACCGCCCTCGAGTCCACACATAATTGAAGGAGACGAGCGGGCCGACCCTTCCCTCCTCCAGGCCGCGTTGCAGATCTTGCCTGCCATTCTCAGTCGTCCATGGCATAGATCCGTCTACTAGCCCCATGGCGGTGGCCTGAAGTGGTCTGATAATACTCCAAACCTCGATCAAGTGCGGGCGCTTATGGAGATGCGAAGGGGGTGTATTGGACGCTTTTTTCCTGGGCACAGTTCAGCTCGCGACGGGTGCGCTAACAGATTCATTACCATGCTCTCAGGGTTGGCTCGGCAAAGTGAGACATTGAGACACGACTCAGAATCGGACGGAAACGGGGTGAGACATGTAGATTGTTCAGCTGGTTAGGTATTTTGTTGGGCTAGCTAGCGCCTTCACTCGGAAGATTTCAACCATGATTCCCACCAGATGGCCTTACAGTTTGCCGCTGGTTGCGCCGTAGACTGGAAGAGAAAGGGGCCGAGGGAATGCATGCGAAGGAAGCTCACTCCAAAGTCCACACTTCTTGACTCAGTTTCGAAAATTTGTCACTCCCAGGTATGGGGGACTACGAATTGTAACACACGTGTGTTTCGGATGAGAGCATGAGCGACAGACAACATGACTTGACAAAATATCAGTCTAGTAAGAAGAGGGCAATGTGACGGACCTGGTCTGGCGACTTTGCACATATAGGGATGACAAAGCTCGGTAGTATTTGTGTCCGGGTGCTTGACAGGGGATAGTTACCTATCCTGTTGTCATGGGGATAGTATCATCAAATTGAGGTATCCGCTAGGAACAAACCGGAGTCTTGGCCCCAGGCAAGATTATTGAAGTAAGTCGGCAATAACATACCTAAATGAATTGGGACAAATTCCATGAAATATCAAATCAGGGAGGAAAACCTCATAACGTCGTTGACAAAACTATATACCTTACTAACCAAAGTATTTACTCACGAAATTTAAACTTCACTAACACGCTCACCATGCTCCGCCCGCAACTCCAGTCAACTCACACAACATCCGCCCACCTCAGCGCCAGAGAACCCAACACACTCACCCAACCCTCCCAACCAGTCCCTTCTGATCAACCCCCCACTATCAACCCCTTAGTTGCCGGCGCGGTAGTTGCTCCAGAAGCTGGCCATGCGAGCCTGCTGTCCGGCGGTGAACTCCTCGTAGCACGAACTGAAAAGCCCGGGCGTTAGCACACATGTCTCACAGCCTCACCCCCACCAAAAGAAAAAAAAAAGAAAAAGCAAAAGGTAAAGAAAAGACTCACTCATAAGTGTAATCCATGTAGTTATGAATGGGATCCACGCCCGCCTGGCTCGGGCACGAGTCCCTGCCGATCGGGCACCCACTGCTAGCGCTCGCCTGGGCCGGGGTATCCGACACCGAGTCACCAGCCCCGTAGCAGCCGCCCTGGAAGGTATGGTACAAACCAAACCAGTGGCCGACCTCATGGGTGGTGGTCTGGCCGAGGTTGTAGTTAGCCGTACTCCCACCGGGGACGGAGCTGCTCAGCACGGTGCAGCCGTCGCGGATCTGGGTGGAGGAGCCCGAGGTGCCGCCGCCGGCCTGCGGGAAGTAGCAGTAGCCCAGGTTGCTGCCCATCTCGGGCAGGAAGTAGACGTTCAGCGCGCTGTAGCCGCCCTTGCGCAGCGCGCGCTTCATGGTCATCTCGTAGCCGTTGTTGTCGTCGGCCCAGGCGGCGTTGGAGGTGTGCGTGGTGCCGCGGAGGGTGAATTGGAAGCCGTGGGGCGCGTAGGCTTGGTTGAGGACGTTGAGTTGGGATTGGAGGACCGAGTCCTAGGGGGGTGGTTGGTGGTTAGTTGGGGGTTGCTGTTGGTACTGTGATGGTGATGGTGGTGGTGGTGGTGGCGGTGGTGGTGGTGGAAAGGGGAGGGGTTCTTACGGAGACGTCGTCACGGCTCGAGGCATACACGACGTGGAAGTAGGCGTCCACGTTGACGGTGGCCTGGATGCTGAAGTTGCCCGCCGCCCTGAACTGGGCCTCCTCGGCGGCGAACTTCTGCGAGATCCGGATGTGCTCGGCATCCGGCTCCGGGGCGCCGCAGCCGAAGCCACGTGAGATGGGCTTGGTCTCGCGCGAAGGGGCAGCCATGGCACCCTGGGCCGCAGCCACGGCAAGGGCAAAGGGAGTGAAACGCATGATGAGAGATGTGGGGTGGGGAATGCCGGTAGGTAGGGAGGTTAATCTATACAAATTAATGCAGAGGCTGATGTTATAGCTGTCATGACTCCCAGATGTGGGCAGTAATCTAGACTCTTATACAAGAACCACCCGAGGCTACGGTCCGAGCCTCCCCGCTCGTTCTCGGCCACGATGCCGGATTGTGGAAGGTCGATCACTATGCGGCCCCTTCTACGGAGCCTGGTCTGCCTTGTATGCAATGCCACCCTCGATACGGAGATGCAATCAAAGTGCTTTCGGCATCTTCCTTCCTGATCCGATCCAGCCTTCCCCGAGATGGGGGCCGGGCCGCTGTGGGGTCCGATAAATGAACATTGGACCTCCCCGATGAGAGATGGCTTGTGCTGTGGCTCATGGCTGAACTCGTATAAGGGGCAGTATGTGGTCAAGGGCGGTGGGGGCCGTCGGACGGTCGGAGGGCCCAGAGCGGCCCACGAGGCCAGAACGGGGTGGTCCGTTGGGGTCGGCCAGGTCCGATGGTGTCGGTTGTGAGTGGTTGGATGCCACGGATGGCATGGCTAGGGTCTGTAGAGCATACAAGTGGCGACAAGTGGACATACTTGGTACACAGCTCACGGTAGTCCCTCGTCATCGAGATAAGCGACTCCACTAGCATAACTCCATACTTACTCTTGTCCCGGTAGTCGGAGTTGCCAAGGGAGCTGGCCTCGGCACCCCACGAACATGTACCGGCGGCAGCGGCAGATTGTGGTGACCTCCCCGATGAGGAAGGTTGATGAGACGGGTGTGTTGCGATCGGGGCTTGATTGGACCCGTTTGCCAAGCGGCCCCAAGCTGTTGTTGGCAGGAGTTTGAGTTTAATTGCGACGCTGGTCTGGGGCAAGAGAGGAGAAACGAGATGGAGGTTTATGATTGGACGTTTCAAACGGACAAATCTTCGAATCTGAAGCACATGTCTAGCCGACCTTCCAGGCAAACGATAACGTGCGTCGTCTTCTCCGGTTCCCAACCCGGGAGCGATCTTCATTCGGCAACACCGTACCCCTGAGTTCCCGACTTGTCGAACTGAAAACGGCCACCAGAACGTGAGGGATTTTCGGGATCTTCAGGAACGTTTGTGTTTGGATCGTTTGTGAGTAACACAAGTAAGCGAGCGCCCCCCCAACGCGCGTCTCGCGGCTCTCGCCCCCAATCGAATTCGGAGAAAGGGGCGGGCAACATACACGACACAAGGTTGACAACCAGGACAGCAACATTCATGCGAACGGGGCGACAAGGAACATGATTTATCCTCCAATATCCACGCGTGTTGTCTATTCCCGCCCAACGGGGTATATCTAAATCAATGCCTATGATTTCTACAACAGCACAGCACGCCATCGTATAACGGTATATCTCCCGACCACCCCCGACCCCCCCCCCCCCCCCCCCCCAAACGCCACTAATCTACTCAGCCTTGAACTCGTGCTTAGTAGCACCACCACCCCCGCTGCCGCTCCCCGACCCAGACCCATCGCCCTCCCCAGAAGTCTTTTCCGGAGCCACGACACCAGCCTCGCCCACGTGTCGACGGTGCTCGTCGGTCTGCTGGTAGTCGACGAGCGGCGCGCCGTTCCTGCCGTACCAGCGGGGCTCGGCCTTGGTCTGGTGGACGACGGTGAAGACGCCCTTCCAGCCGTCGTCGACCTTGTGGAAGATGTTATCCATCTCCTCGAGCGAGCGGTAGGCGGTCTCCGGGTAGAAGAAGTAGGTGCAGGGCGCCATGGAGGCGTTGATGACGGCGAAAATGACGTAGGTCTGGTAGCCGATGTTGTTGAAGGCGATGGGCGTGATCATGCCGACCAGGAACACGGCCGGCCACGAGGCCATGAAGTATTCCGTCCCGTTGAGGGCCGCGAGGAGGCGTGACATGAAGTCGCTCATGGCGAGGCCGCGGTAGATGACAGCGGTGTAGTAGGTGATGAGGTTGATGCCCGAGATTTGCTAGAAGACCTAGTTGAAGTAGGCTAGGAGAGTCCGGTGCAGGTTGCGGTTCTTGTCTATGGTGAACTGGTCGCGGTAGGTACCCTTGGATATCTCCAGCACCGTCTCCTTGATAGCGAGGAACTCGTTCTCGACGATGCGGTCCGCGTCTCAAGAGGGAATCGGTTCCTTGTCGGTCCTTGTTAGCGTTGGCTGGAGCTTGGTTGGTGAGTGGTGTAACGTAGTTTTTCTTTTTCAGATCTCGGGTTTTTCCGGTGGTCCCGACTCGCCAGAGACCGCCGCGGGGCCAGTTTTCTTTTCTGCCTTCTTTTTTTAGGGCAGAGAGATCAATGATCGTTGTCGACTTCCTGGTACCAACCGAACCAGAATGGCCGGGAAGGTGGCTGGCCAAACCGCCAATAGGTAAAATCCCGACAACGAGATCGGTGCTGCTGCAGCAACATTCATTTTTACCGCCCGAGTCGAAGGCGCCGTTCGCCCTGAGTTACAGATTACATTAACTCCGTGACCGGTTTCTGGACCTCTCACGCATCTTACCGACTGCCACCGCGCTTGGCGTTCCGAACCCGCGGCCCGGTCACTACAAGATGCCTTCCAATGCCCGAGTTGTCGCGGCCGGGACTTGGGGTTGGCTCTGAAAATGGCCGTACGTAAGGCTGAATTCATCCCATCACGAAAGAGGAAGCAGGGATTCGGGCAATCCACTCGCCTGAACTTCTGCAGTTCGGCTCAGCCACCGAGGTCACACGCCACTGACCCTTGATGCGGCCGAGGGGCGGTGTTGAGGGGGTTGCCGGAGCCCAGGGGTGAAGATGCCCAGAGGTTTGACATGTGTGCAAGTTCCCTACCTACACAGTACACAGTGTGGAACAGACGAGACAAAAAAGCCAAGCATGGTAGTGAGTCTAGGTAGGTACCTAGGTAGGTTCACAAATGAATTGGTAGTTCTGAATACCAGGTACACATTTGATACTTACCTCTCGCCGTTGTCTGCGGTGGCTCCATCAGGGCCAGCACAGCGTACCTACGTACCAGGCGGTATCCGTAAGTACCTCCAGGTAATCTGCCCATTGAGGGCGTCTTGCAGCCTTGCCGCTGTAAAATGCTGGGCTGCGGCACCACCGTGGCTGTGACTGGATGAGTCAAGTGAGGCTGAAGAACCGACCCCGCGTACCAAGTCTGAGGTCCAGCAAATGCCTTTCGGCCGTCCTTCTTACGACTGTCAACTTCGGCGCGAACAGCTCAACAACAGCCGGCCAAGTTAATAGAGAATCGAATCGACTCCATCGACAGAAGCTCAAAGATGAGTGAAATGCCATCTTCGTTTTCCGGGCCCGGGAATCAGGCCATGCATGAAGGGTCAATCGACGACAGATTCGTCGAAATGCTGGGCGGGAGTACGGGAATGACCCTCGAGCCTACCCGGAATTATTTCCGATCTGCACTGACGCCCTTTGAACCGCCGGTGCGGCCGTTGGCACTCATCCCCTTACCCCGCGATCGCGACTTTGTTGATCGTGGAGATATCCTCGACCAGATCAGGCAGCGATGCTCCGAGCCGGCCGGTCGTGTGGCTCTCGTAGGGCTTGGTGGCGTGGGAAAATCGCAACTGGCCATTGAATATGCTCACCGGGTTTCCGAGGAGCAGCCTGACGCATGGGTATTCTGGGTTCATGCAGGTACCCAGGCGCGCGTCCGAGAAGGGTTCAAGACGATTGCAGACGCTATCAAGCTACCCGACCGGAACCAAGCCAACGCCGACATCCCCCAGCTTGTGTCCAGCTGGCTGTCCAATGACCAGAACGGCAAATGGACCATCGTCGTTGACAGCGCCGACGACCGCAACATACTCTACGGTCCAATCAGCGACGAGACGCCCGACGACCGGTCCTTCGCCTCGTATCTACCACAGAACCGAAACGGATCGATTGTCGTCACAACCCGCAATAGGGATATGGCTTTCAGGCTGACCGGGTACCACCAAAACATAATCGAAGTAGGACCGATGGCGGAGAGGGACGCCCTCACGCTCCTCGAGAAGAAGTTGGGATCGCTGCCGGATTTAGATGTGGCGACTGATCTCGTACACGAGCTTGACCTTGCCCCGCTGGCCATTAGCCAGGTAGCCGCATACATGCGGGTAAGGAACATCTCGCCTGCCGAGTACCTCGACCACTTCCGGGCGAGTGAGGGCAACAGGATCAAGCTGTTAGAGCACGACGCAGGGGATCTCCGGCGGGATGGGGGCGCACCCAACGCCATTCTTACCACATGGCAAAGAACCTTTGAGCACATCCGGTCCGACCAGCCTTCTGCAGCGGATCTGTTGTCGCTCATGAGCTTCTTTGGCCCACAAGGCATCCCTGCGTGGGTTCTACACCCTTCTGGAATTGCCAACGACGCGATGCGACAGGCTAGAGAGGGGGATCCGGGCGACAGAAGCAGTGCCACAATCAGTGACACCAATGACGACGACGCAGACGAAGACATGGATGGCGCATTTGGACACGACGTGGCGATGCTGATGAATTACTGTCTCATCGTCGCGGATGAGACTGGGGGCAAATTTGGGATGCACCGGCTCGTGCAACTGGCGACGAGAAGGTGGCTGGGGGCGTTTGGGCAGCACGAAGCATTCAAGCAGCGATACATCGAGCGACTGGCAGCATCGTTTCCAACAGGGGAGTACGAGAACTGGGCGACGTGCCGGATTCTCTTCCCACACGTCCATGTGGCTTTAGGCTATAGGCCTGGTAGGGATACGGTCGAAACGTGGGCGACTCTTTTGCATAACGCGGGATGGTATGCATCGTCGCAAGGGGAATACGACATCGCAGAGCGGATGGTAGGCGAGGCATTGAAAGTACGCGAGAAGAGGCGGGGAAACGAAGATTTGGTGACTCAAGAAACTATGTTACTGCTTGCTGCTGTTCTTTCACATCAGGGCCAATGGGATAAAGCCGAGGAGCTGGGAGTCCTGGTAATGAAGACGAGGAAGAAGACTCTCGGGGCTGACCATACCATCACGCTAACTAGCATAAGCAACCTGGCGTCAACATACTGGAACCAGGGCAGATGGAAGGAGGCCGAGGAGCTAGAGGTAACGGTGATGGAGACTCTAAAGACGGTGCTCGGCCTCTATAATCCCGAAACACTGAAGAGCATGAGTAGCCTGGCGTTGACGTACTGGAAGCAGGGCCGCCTAGTGGAGGCCGAGAGGCTGTTAACGCAAGTGACAGAAATTTGCAAGACGATGAATGGGGACCAGCATCCCGAAACACTGACTAGAATGGACAATCTCGCGGCAATATACAGGGACCAGGGCCGGTTAAAGGAGTCCGAGAAGTTGTCTATACAGGTGATAGCAACTCGCAGGATGGTGCTCGGGGCCATCCATCCTGATACATTAACGAGCATGGACAGTGTGGCGTTGATATATACGGACCAGGGCCGGTGGGAGGAGGCCGCGGGGCTGCATAGGCAGGTGGTGGAGGCCCGCAAGGCCGTGCTCGGGGCTGGCCATCCAAATACCCTGACAACGATGGACAAGTTAGCGTCGATATACCGGAATCAAGGTCGGTGGAAGGAGGTCGAGGACCTGGAGAAACAACTGGGGGTGGACAGAAGCCTCCGTTCGAGGGATAAGCCGTTTAGCCAGCTTGGCTCTGTGGCATCCAGGACTTACATCTCAGATTCAGGATTTGTCTCGGGGACTGCGGGAACTTCTCAGAGCAGAAAACGTCCTCAAATGCAGGACACCGTCGACGAAGAGGCCGGGATTATTGCGGAGCCAGCGAGCAGTGGTGAAGATCGGCAAAGCCAGGACGCATCGGCATCTATAGCGGAAACCGAGTATTCGCTCGCCTCGAGCGTGCTCCCCGAACGAGTGGGCCAATACACCTCCGAGATGGCCTCTCTGTTGGAAGATGCAATGCCGCTAGGGCCTTTAGACGCCTCGACGCTGCAGGGACTGGAACAACAGCTTCCCGATACACTGAAGACCTTCGCTCTCATGATGGGTGTTTCTGGTTCAACCCCGGAGAATCGAGAAATCATGTATTTTGTGTACAAGCACCGAGAGTGAGTGCCCCAGAGTACCGGCTTAGGCTTCCGCTTTATTATCGGTTATTGTCGAGACCGACCTAGTGGCACCGCAGCAGATTATGCTGACGTTATATGGTAGAGCCGTCATTGATATGTTTAGGGCCAAGCACGCCAAAAACGGCGGCAGCAACGACGGCGACTTCGACGACGAGGAAGAGGAGGACAGACCCCGACCTGTGATTAACCATGCGCAGCCAATGACCCATGATGATATAATGAGTCGGTTCCTCTCGGATCTCGATACCACAGCAGGACCGGAACCGGAACTGTCGTCGCCGGACAAAGCGGGAGAGACCCGTCGGGTAAGCGAGGACATTGCCAACGAAGAACTTGAACCCGGCGACTTGCCGGATGTTGGAGATTACCGACACCGCATTGTCAAATCCGCAGCGTATGAATGGCTTCAGCGGGCTTTATCCTCGGTGACCACCCGAACCAATGCCGTTCCCGACCTGAGGAAGGAAATAAGGGACACTGTCATTCGCTCACTATATACCGTCGGCGGCGAGCGGAGGTTGAGTAGGGCCAGGCCCCCGGAGCGTTATCGTGTCACGGTCGAGATGAAGTGGGACCCGCGGTTGTTTATTGCAAAGCAGAAGTATGAGGAGGATCCGGGGGTCGCCGTTGCCGGGGCCGTCACCTTGACCGGGTCGGCCCAGGATTACCAGGCCGCCACCACTGAACAATACCTGTCACAAATTTGGCCGTCATCCGGCAGGCAAACGATGCAGCTACTTCAGCGTGTTCTCGACGGAGCGCCCGGCGATGTCCAGTCTAGTAAGCTCCGCTCTGAGTCTTCCCCTCGCTAAAATCGCACATTTCAATTGACGCCGTTGGAATTGAGCAACTGACTTCCTACCCCCTAATAGCAACCTGGCCTGACGAAACTATCGTTACAGCCCTAGCTGATGGCCCGACCTTTTTCATATCAGCCATGGGCCTAGCTCCGTCGATCGCTGAGGTCATTGAGCAGCTAGCGTGGCTGGGGGCCGCTCTTCAAACATCTCAGCAAGATCAAAGAGTGTGGTATTGTACCCCCAGCGTCAAACAGCTCTCTTTGAAAGGCCGGCCTCGTCAGACGCCTCTTGAATGTCACTGTTCCTTCCAGATCAACTTCGAATTCGAACCGGGAGGACATGACGAGGAGAAGAATGGACAGTGTTGGCATGGCATGTTCAGAAACCCGGTAGTCGTTCGCGGCTATCCGCTCGCGCGACGCCCGGCAACCCAAACCGGCCTTGAGATGCCACTCAACATGATGGCGCGCATGGTGAGGGCCACCCACGTGGTGCCGTTTGGCTCGTCATGGTACATGAAAGGGTTTTCATCCATGCTGGTCCTCACCGCGCTGATAGACGACACGTTTCTATGGCACCACGCCTATAACCGAGATGGGGCCCGTGTCTCCTACTTCGACCACAAGCCGGCCAACCCGCCTACAGGTATCGTCACTGCGTCGGCGCTTCAGAATGGCCGCCATGTCGTGGGTTGGTGCTCTGATGTGAAACTTTATGCGGGTGCGCTCGGTGATTCCAACCTCAACATTCGCGGTTCCGGACTCGACCGTCCCGGTGCGACGTGTGTGCTTGAGAAGCTTACGATTACCGGAGGAAAATATATAACCGGCGGCGCAACCATCGCCATCGGAGTTAGGGAGAGCCCAATCCACCTGGGCCGGGACAGCTATCTGAACAAGATGCGATGGGTTTCTGGCCAGTACGCCATTCTCTGGGACGAAGGGGATGACCGGGGATGGCTGGTAAATGGGGCAAGCGCACTCCTTCACCTGGTGTTTGCCACGCTGGAAGACGACCTCAAGTGGATGCGGAACGAACTACCATCTGACCAGATCCTGTTCAAGAGGGAAGACTTGAAGGGTCCTCCAGTACCCCATACACCCAGCTCGGCGTTGAAAGTGCTGCTAAACCCGGAAAATAGGGCGCTCAAAATAGTAATCGACGATGTCGAGTCTACCGACGGAGCGAAGGATAAGGCGGCGGGGAAGACGATATACACACGCTTCAAAAATGTGGTGGAGAAGCAATTCAGCGTTTTGGAGCAAATCATGGACCATCAAATCGAGATCGAGACCAGCCCCGGTCTGGACTTGAGATTCCGAACCCGAAAGTCGCTCGAGGGATGGGACTTCCGGGATTTGGCCGTTGTGATAAAGCAGTCGTCCATTTACGCCCGCGTCAAAACTCTTCATACAATCGCTCACGGCTGGGTTGACTTCGCAAGGGAGATCAAGGCTATCACCATTTTTGGTAAAGGGTTCGGGGAGATTATTCGACCAACGGATGCGGAGTCAATCTGTCGCCACTGGGCTCAGGTACCAAACGGGCGGTACTACCTAGCAGCGTGCATCTCGGATCTCAAAGGTATCCTGGGATCGGAGGATGGTCATGATCGGAGCGAGAATCCAATAAGCATTTGCAACGATCTACACTGGCACGCCAGGGAAGACATGTTCCGACCCTGCCAGTGTGGCAAAACGGCCATGGGCAAGACAAAGGTTAGGCACTCGGAGGACGTTGCTCAAGTCCTAGCTCCGTCCCGCATGCGCTTTAAAAGGTTCCGGACGAGCACGATTCGTACGAGTAACTCCGTCGACCTCAAAGATGGCGGAGCCGTCGTGTTTGGCTATAACTCGCGTTTCGGGTTAAGATGGCCGGATGAGGGCGACCGGGACCCTGAAGAAGGGGAAATCCACCTCGAAACCCACCAAGAAGTAGCCAGCGACTATCGTGACAGCGCCCTCGGCACGAGTCCAGTTCCAACCGCAGCTGACAGCTGTACTAGCGAGGTGCAAGCGGCCCTCCAGCCTGACGGAACGGCCGAAACCCCTGCGCCGTCGTCGGCTAGGACAAGACCTCTGGCTAGTAACGTAGCACAAGAGACTAGAGCCCGCGAGCCTGAAGAGAACGTGGAGGACAGGCCGCTCTTGCCGGGCCAAAACAACCACAGCCCTGCGCAAGTGGCCCTTAGCCAGACCAAAACCGACAATCGAGATGGAGGCTCAAGCATTGGTGAGCTAGGCAGGTCGACGCCCGGCCGCTCGGCCATTGCATCTGCCATCATGACCACATCTCCTTTCCAGAGCGGGCCCAGCGTATCCGGGGCCGGTACTCAGGGTGGCCTTGGGGACAGTGGAGGAATTGGCGAGCCGCGGACAAAGCGGAGGGAGCGTCTGAGCTCGGTTTTCACGGGATCAAATCCGGTGGCAGGGTTAAAGGGTCGCGTGAAGGAGTTATTCCGCCGCTAGGGTAGCGGAAGGATCTGGTCTGTGGGGATGGCGTTGTTTCACTTAGAATGATATACATGGAAAAGTTGATGAGGGTACAGGTTCCGCTCAGGTAGATGTATGGAAATGGGCCTCTGTAGGGGGGCTGGATATTGGTTATTCACCGCCACGTTGCCGGGGGAAATGCCCTCGGCGGCTCAGACCCTTTGCAGCACGTGGTACGACAGAATTAGGTCGACGACTTTGGTGAGGGCAAGCGGGAGACGATCGGAGTCTTGTGGGTAGGGTGGTGTGTGCCTTTTAAAATGCTATTTAACATTGGCTTGCGGAATAGGTAAGCATGTTCCTTTGGGTAACAGGGGAGTCCTTCAATACAGAAAGATACCATTCTCTCCTTGTCCTAAGCCGCTCGTACGGGGCAGGATGACTTGCCCTTGCCTCTACTCGAACTGCGAAAAGAACTCCCAACTCTCGACCGCAGAGAACGTCTCAGCCGCGCCCGGATCCATCGGCTGCGGAGTATGATCGCCATCAAAAGCATTCCACACAACGGGGTAGTCACCACAGCCGCTATAGGCCGTCTTGACGTGCTTGCCACCCGCCGCGGGCTCGGGAGGCGACTGGGCGGTGCAGCCGTTGTTCTTCACAAAGCGATCGCGCATCTGGCGGCCGCCGGCGATGGGGAGCACCGAGTCCTTGGTGCCGTGCTGGCCGTAGTAGGCGACGGGCTCGGTGCCGCCCACACAGCCGCTGATCATGGGGTTGCCGGACAGGGCGGCGACGGCGCGGATCTGCTTGCCGAGCGAGCAGGCCAGGGAGAAGGACATGGCGGCGCCGTAGCTGAAGCCCGTCGAGAAGCGCAGGTTCTGGTCGATGCAGAGATCGGCCTCGACCGTCTCCATGACCGTCTCGAGGAAGGTCACATCTTCCCTGCCCTGGTTGGCCCAGCCGTTGTTGAGCCCGTTGGGCGCGATGTAGACGGCGCCCAGGGTGTCGTTGGCGAGCGCGGGGATTCCGTACCACGGTAGGTAGCCGCCGTTTCCGACCGTGACCTGCTGGGCGTTGCCGCCGAGGGCGTGCAGGGTGAAGATCAGCCGGTACGGGTGGCTGTTGTCGTAGTTCTCGGGGAGCTTGACGTAGAACTCGCGGTTCTTGCCGTTCGAGGTCAGACTCAGGGGTGTCGTAGCCGCCGCGTCGGTGATGAGTTTAGGGGCGTTGCCGCATCCCGTCGACGGTGTCGCAGCTGTCACGCCCCGAAGGGCCGCGACGACGAGTGCCACTGCGGGCAGAATCTGACTAAAGCAGCGAGTCATCTTGTTGTTGTTGTCGTCTAGTATCTCGCCAAAACTGCAGGCTGACAAGCGACAGTCAGGCCGTCGTCTCGGGATTCGGGAAGGGATCCAGGGTCCTTGTAAGGAGAAGCGAGGTGTGTAGCGCAGGGGTCCAAAATAGGAAAACGGAAGAGCCCTACAACCATTAGATTGGTGGAATTCCCCGGCATTTTGTGCCTGTTTGAGCGGTAGCTACCGCGGTATCTATTTCCACGAGCCTGTCGTGGTGGTTGCTTGCCCTCGGCATTGGGGTTCGGCAGGACCACAGCGTTGTAGATCGGCCGTGGGGTGCATTGCTGGGGTAAGTGTTGGGGTTCGTGTGACTGGTTAGACGCCTTGTATGGGTTGTAACCCCTCGCCCACTATGCGGGTGATATTGACAAAATGCATGGCATCCTTTTAAAATCCGTGGTTTCCCTGGTATGAGAGGGGACGCCGCCCGGCAACCAAGATCGGCTCCTCGACGTCTCACATGGCACCAGACTCTGGTCTGCATCCTTTCCGTGTTCTGGAGCCGAAATGGCGGCTCTGTGCAGATTAAATTGGCCTTTGTGCCCGACTACCTGGGACTCAGGCTATTACCTATTCTAGCTCGGGGGCCCATCTTCACTCCCCTGGAGATGCCACTTCATCCGGCCAACCATTGCCGCGTTTGGGTGCCGCATCAACCGGGTCTTCACAGCAGTCCGGGTTTGTGTGGTTGACGATGCTGATCTTTAAATATTAGAGCATCGGGTCGCCATGAACTGAGTTGGAAGATTCGCAACCACGGTCACAAATACACTTTCATCATCTGTTCTTCCCATCCGCCTTGGACATCGCCCATCATGCGTCTTCTTCAGTCCCTGACGAACCTTGCCGCCTTTGCGGGCCTGGCCCAGAGCGCGTCTCTGCAGCAGGTCAGCAACTTTGGCTCGAATCCGACCGGCCTACAGATGTACGCCTATGTGCCGGACAACCTTGCCGCGTCGCCAGCGATTATCGTTGCCGTAAGTTGTACAAGAATAACACATAAACTTGTTCCCGACGAAGAAGACTGACCCCCTGTCTAGCTGCACCCTTGCGGTGGCTCCGCCCAGGGCTGGTACTCCGGAACCAGGCTCCCTTCGCACGCCGACCAGCTCGGATTCATCCTCATCTACGCTGGCACGACCAAGATGAGCAACGTATGTAACCCCGTCTAGTAGACATGGTCATGGTAACCGCGCTAACCTTCCCGACAGTGCTGGGACGTCCAAAACCCCGCCAGTCTGACGCACGACGGCGGCGGCGACGCGGCCGGCATCATCAGCATGGTCAAGTACACGCTCGACAAGTACCAGGGCGACGCGGCCAAGGTGTACGTCATGGGGGGCTCGTCGGGGGCCATGATGACCAACGTGATGGCGGGGTCGTACCCGGACGTGTTCGAGGCCGGCGCGGCCTTCTCCGGGGTGGCGCACGCGTGCTTCCTCGGGGCCCCCTCGGCGACGCCCTTCTCGCCCAACCAGACGTGCGCGCAGGGCCAGATCCAGCGCTCGCCCGAGGAGTGGGGCAACCTGGTGCGCAACTCGTACCCGGGCTACACGGGCCGCCGCACCCGCATGCAGATCTTCCACGGCAACGCCGACGGCCTCGTCCGCCCCGAGTGCGGCCACCAGGCCCTCACCCAGTGGGCTAATGTTATGGGCCTCGAGCTGACCGCCACCAACGCCGGCGTGCCTTCAGCCCAGTACACCCAGGAGGTCTACGGCGACGGCACCCAGCTGCAGGGCTTCTTCGGCCAGGGCGTCGGCCACATCGCTCCCGTCAACGAGCCCGTCATGCTCAAGTTCTTTGGCTTGATGACCTAAAGGGTGCGCTGGGCACGGTGTCGACGCGGCTCGCTGTGTGGGGACGGGGCAGAGCCGATGTATGGTTTATGACTGGTACATAGGAGGACGCCTCTGGCAAGCAATATAGCATATCATGAACCTCTACCATGATGTCCCAGCGGTACGCGTGTGCCACAAGGCCGTATGATGTAATACTGTACGAACGGTCACCAACCATATGACCGTTCCCAGTCGTGACAGGCATGTCTGACCTTGCGACCTAGCTCATCCCATCAGCGCTCGCGGTAACGTGGAGGTGCAGGGGATGGATACAACGGTAATTACTGTTTCCCACACTGGTTTTCTGCCGTGTGGCGCGGGAGTTGTGTGGTGGCTCGGAGGGACTGCGACTGACCGGCCCCTGTCACTTGTCGTGTCTAGGTGGTCACGCTCTGCTCCCTTAAGGCTTGATGCAATTTGCGTCCGAGAGTAAATAAGATGTTAGACCGGGCTAGAGTGCCGTGCAAGCGATCCGGACCGGGCGAGCGCACCAGCGTCCGTCCTGGCCTGGCTTCGGCCGTGGAGATCACTCTTGAATGTCCCTGACTAGGCGGGGTTAAGGCGGCTTTAAATGATCGATGTCAAAAGAACCCCGTAAGCCCTTGGGGAAATAGTATGATGGAAAAACAACTGGAACGGCGATGAGCCCCTCGGTGTCCAACATGCCATGGACAGGTGCCATATATATATAGGGTCCTTTGTCAACACTCTCCAAAGCCTTGTTTCGGGGCTGCCGAATGTCCAACGCCGTGCGAGTTCACTGATTGGGGGAACACGGGACGTTCATGGCGATGGGGGACGAAACGACCTTGTCGACACGAGGACGCGAAACACGCCAATAACTTGTTCTCTCGTAATTATCATGCAAACAAGCAGCCCGAGATGCGTCGCTGTCCCATGCAGTCGTGGAGAAGGTTGCTAACTAACAAAGGCTGACCGAAAAGTCTCTGGTGCCTCCCGACGATAGTTCGGGTATATGTTACACGTCTCGTTCGGCTTAAGTCGACATCGTGTTGTTGTTCCGGCCGCCAGATCGGGCAGGCCGTCGCTTTCAGACGTCACAGCACGTCGTTATGGGCTCGCCCATGGGGAAATATGCGAAACATGATTGGGACATGAGTCATGAAATGGGGTTGAAAAGTCGATTTGACAAATCCGAGCTGCCCGACTCGACCCCGACTGCCCACTGTTAATAATATCCACTCAGTGACAGGGTTGAACCTTTGTGACATTGCCGCGGATTTGACACGTCAGTGCCGAATTAGGTAGGGCCTTGAAACAGTCTCGGGCTCAACGCAACGTTGAGTCTATTTTTTTCAGGAAGGTCAGGTTACGGCATGTCCGGAAACTCTCCTGGACCCCGGCACTCATTTCCAGGTACCTCCCTAATTCGATCTTGTTGACATGCTATTACGCAAGTGATAGGTTACTTCAAGGTGGATAAACCCGCCGTTAGCCGGTCATCGGTGGCCGTCAGGGGCATTCCCGAGGTTCTAGCCGGGTTCTAGGCACGTAAAAGATCCACCATTGCCCCATCGTCGGTGAGTAAGTGGCGATATTATAGTCCGCATTACAAGCAGGCCCGAAGTGCCATGTACCCCAGACGGGACTGCGCCGCGACTCCACGATTTGATGGACCCAAGATGTTCGAATCAAGTTGGAACTGCCCGGCCCTTGTTCGAAATGCTCCATTCTTTCTCCGATGACGGATTACCGAGGCGAAAATTGCCCTGACTCGTCCCTGGAAAAATGAGACGAACAGGATTTCTTCAAATATGAACTCCCCCCTGACCACATTTCCCCGGATTTCTCTCGACCCGACCTCAACAACCTCCTCAACGAGGTACCATCCAGCCCAAAAGCTTGGCTTGTTAGCGTCCGGCGCGGCATTAATTCGACGCCGGCAAGGCCACAGCTGAAATCCTCACACCTCGACTCCCACTTCAGGGGTTCCGCTCGCTCCCCGTCGAAATGGTGTCAAACGCCCCAGTTGCTGGCCTCGGTCCAGATGTCTCTTCAGAGAGGAAGAAAGATAAGGGGCCCGACGACATCGAACCAGCCCCGCCGATCTATTCCCCGGACGGCGAGATGAAAGATGGCTCGGAGGAAATCAACTATCATACCCTCACCTGGTGGTACGCTCACTCCGAACAATGAGTCACACGTTAGGACCTTGAAACTGACTTTATTTGTAGGCAAGCCGGAGTGGTCATGATTGCGGAGACGGTGTCGCTGGGTATCCTCTCGCTACCGGCCGTCGTGGCAAACCTCGGGCTGGCTCCCGGGATTGTTGTGATGGTCTTCATGGGCGTGTTATCGACATACTCGGGCCTCGTCATGGGAGAGTTCCGGAAAAAATACCCCTGGGTGGAGAGTTTCGGCGATGCTGGCGAGGTGATGGGCCGGTCCATCGGCATGGGCAAGCTTTTCCAAGAGGTTTTCGGCTGGGCCCAGGTCATCTTCCAAGTCTTCGTCATGGGCAGCCATCTCCTGACATGGACGATCTGCCTTAACACACTCACGGACAGCGCGGCGTGCACCATCGTGTGGGGTGTGGTCGGCCTAGGTGTCTTCTGGGTGCTGAATACCCCCCGCACCCTTCGAGCGGCGGGCTACTACTCATTCGCCTCTTTCGCGTCCATTTTCACGGCGGTCATGATCACCATGGTCGACGTGGGCATCGAGAAACCCATCGGCACGACCAGCATCGAGGTGGCGCGCACCATCGGGTTCAGCTCCGCCTTCCTGTCGGTCACCAACATCGCCGTGGCCTTCAGCGGACATTCGTGCTTCTTCAGCGTTATGTCGGAGCTAAAGCAGCCCAACGACTGGCCCAAGGCCCTGATGCTGCTGCAGGTGTGCGACACGGTCCTTTACATCATCGTCTCCGTGGTGGTTTACATCCACGTCGGCCCCAACGTCCCCTCGCCCGCCCTCTCCGCCGCCGCCTCTCCCATCCTCAGGAAGGTTATCTGGGGGATTGCCTTGCCGACTATCGTGTTGGCGGGCGTAATCTTCGCCCATGTAGCTGCCAAATACATCTTTGTGCGGGTGTTCGCCGGCACGAAGCATGTCGCGAAGCGCACCGCGGTGGGCCGAATCGGCTGGCTTGGCATCACGGCAACCATTTGGATCATCGCCTGGATCATTGCTCAGTCTATCCCTGTCTTTAGCAACTTGCTGGGGCTGGTATGTGCTCTGTTTGCCAGCTGGTTCTCGTACGGAATCCCGGGGTCTCTGTGGCTATGGATGCACTACGGGGAGTGGTTCACGACACCCACGAGGACTCTCAAGTTCGCGCTCAACGCTCTACTGGTGCTGGTCGGCCTACTGCTGTGTGCCTTGGGTCTGTGGTGCTCAGGGGAGGCCATTGCTCACGATGGAGGGACGGAGCCATGGTCTTGCAAGAGCAATGCTGCGCCGTAGCTAAATGCCCCTTAATGATACTCTGTGTGTTCTACCTATTTGTTTTACCGCTATTCTTGTATTAAGAATGTGTGAGTGATAATCGCCGAAAGATGTTTTTGTTGATGCCGAACGATCGTTCTAATTTCAGGGGCGGGTTCAACAACTAAAGAGAAAGGGGCAACGGGTTATGGTTCGGTATGGCACGCGGTGCAGTCCAGCAACACACATGTAGCCGTTCCATCTGCCGCTGTCCGCATTCCTTGGCCGTCCGACCTACATCATTGTCCCGAGCTTCGATATGCCCACTCGGTCAAACCAGGTTCGATTCCCAAGACGCCGGAAGATCTCACGCATCCGCTTGACCAGCCTTTCTCGGTACCAGCCGGTGCGGTATTAATCCTTTATATGTTTTTAACCGCCGGCCTCCCCTACAGTACAAGCGGGGCTAACTCTGTGTCGTTGCTCACGCAACGACACGGAAGTCCAAACCCGAGGTTGCCCAGACGGAGAACCACAGACAGGGTGGAAATACAACACTCTCGACTGGACGGAGATTACATAAAGTATTAAGCACGACAAAGTGGCGCAATATCTAGCCAGTTTAGGAAGGCAGGGGTTCAAGAGTGTGTTTATGGTGAGTGCAGTGATGGTGATGGTGATGGTGATAGTGATGGCGACAACTGGCGGGCAAGCCGGGATTCCCTCAACCGCGGTCGGCTGGGGGATAATAGGATGAGAAGCCCAGGGTAGTCTCCCTACATGCGTTCTTCGCAAGGATGGTTGTCAACGGTGGTTCACGGAAGACAGGATCTTGGTATCTGAAATGGGGATTTCTTTCAGGGACCGGCCCATAACGAGCTAGCTCGCCAGCGAGTACCATAGCCTCTATGCTGTTTATCTATCTAATCCCTCCTTTGCTTCCTCACGACCTGCGTGGTATGTCCAGCCGAACGACCACCTCCTCTCGCCATCTATGGAAACCCGTCCAATGGCCATGGCGCAATGACCGCAACGTGTCGCTTTTAACGGCGCGTTGGGCGCGCGGTAGCGGCAGGTCTCTGCGCAGGCCTCTGCGCGTTGGTAGGGGGGGGAGCTTTATTAGCAGTGGTAGGAGGGGGTTTTCCCTGCGCAGTGGTAGGGGCAAGAGGCTTCCGTGCACTGGTAGCGGCAGGAGGTCTCTGCGCACCGGTAGGGGCAGAAGGCTTGGTTTGAGCAGCGGGCGGATGGGCCTTAACAGCAAAAGGCTTGGGCGTAATCCTCGCAGTCGGTCTCCTAAACCCGCCACGAGGGATGGCAGGGGGTCGCTGCTTTGCCACGGCCCTGGGGTCGGGTTTACCCGAGTTTGTGAAAGACGGGGCCTGTTTGGTCTTGGAGCCGCCCTTTTTACCGCCCTTCTTGCTAACGCGGCCAGACTTGCTGGTAGACGTGTTGCCCTTGGCCACCGGCCGGCCCGATGAAGTCCACGCCGCGTCCTTGCGCCTGAGCTTTCGGCCGCTGCTGGTCGTCACCTCACCCTCGAGCCATCTAGCGTAGCGCACGCCATCGTATCGGTAGCGCGCCACGACAACGCCGTACTCCGAGCGGGTGGAGTTGGGGTGGTTGCACTGGAGGAGGTTTCGGTGGTGCTGGATGGCGAAGTCGGCTCCCATCTTGGACTCGCAGGTCCCCGACGCCGCGTCCGTGATGCGATGAGCATGGAGAGGCCGTCCCAGGTCTGACGGCTTAGCGTAGACCTCGACGTCTCCGTCTTCTTCGGGCTCTGCCGTCGTGTGGTAGTAACCAACCCCGCCGTCTGCGTGACACTGTCTGAGCGAATGCGGGCACGAAGGAGTACCGGCGTTTATAGCTTACAGGCCTGAGCCAGTTGCTCGAAGTTGTTGGGCAAAATAGCACGCTCATAGACGCCGACCGCGTACGCAAAGCAGTTGGGAACTTGGGTCTGGGTGTCGTCGATAATTATGTAACTTCCGGGTGTTGCGTAGGCAAAACGGCTCTGGATCCATGCATCGAACCTGGCTTCCGGAGTCGCCATTGTTGTGGCTGGAGAAAGGTGGTGAACTGAAAAGGGCAAAAAAGGGGCTTTCTATAAGTTCAACTGGGTTGGAAAATGTATGGAAGTTGAAGGGTGGCGGACTGATTGTGTTCTGATGGCCAGAGTCTTTCCTCGAGCCAACGGCATGTGGCATTTATACAAATTTACAGTCTTAGATGTGCTCTTTGGACATCCAACACGCCATGATTAGAATTTGCCCTGGTAGCACAAGTTTCAACTGCCTCAGCCAGTTCAAGAAGCCATCGCTGCCGGCACGGATGTTTCACGCCTGGCTCTCAAGGGACGCCGTCGCCATGAGTCCGGCCAAAGGCCGACAGGCCGAGAGCGATACGGCCCATTCACCGGGTCACTGCCAGGGAAGTTCGATGCCAGTGCCACTGCCCGTATCCCGGCGGCGCCAGAAGGTGAGACGTTGGATTCGGCCCCCAACCTATCCAGAGGCGCAGGATTAGGGCACTGTACCCGAAAGTCCCGGGACAAAAATAGTTAGTGAGCCAAGGTCGAGACAGCCCGGAGACAAAGATTCCGGGCAGCATGGCCATGAGCCAAGATCCCGAACGCCCTTGGCCTCGACAGTGTTAATGTAGACTGCCCTGAAACAAGGCTGAATTGCATCATATTTTGGTGCCACCTGGGCAAGCCTGGCGTCAATCCTCGTGGATGCGGCGCAAGGCGCTTAAAAAAGCCAGGAATCCAAAATTCTGAATCATGTGTCAGTTCAAGGTACTTTCGTATCCCAGTTTGTACTACCGTACTAAGTTGAGGTTTGGGATCCACGTTTCTTGGCTGTTTGAAGCGGTATTATTAATACTTGCCCGGCCAGTGAGCATCCCCTGGCGCTCCGCGTCCGTTGGAGCTGCATTCTTTCCATTCCGTGGCATCATTTGTTGAACTTTTGTTCAATTTTGTCAGCCACCTTCTCGCCCGCCCGCTCGCACGTCCTACCCAAACTATTTTCATTGCACCTCTCAACACCATGGGATACTTCGAGGAGTATGACTTGGATTCACGATTTAAATCCGTTCTCTCGAGTTGGAATCCGGTGAGGGGCTACTACCATGTCGTTCTCGACTGGGACCAGCGGCGGGCAATCTCGGTTTCGACTCCTGGGGAGAAAGATGATGAGTTCGTTTTCGAGGCACTCGAGGAGCTTGTTGATGACCTTCCCGATGACGTCGTGCATATAAAGGTGTCGGAGGACTTCCATCTACTATCATCGTCTACAGCCGTCGAGGACGACAATACGATGATTCCCTTCTACCCTTCACCTACCGACTTCCCGCCCCGGTTACCCACAGTTCGCCGGGATCAGCTCACCGAAATTGACCGGCTCGGAGTTCAAACGGATCACACGGTATACGAGCTTGGGCCTGGCCAACCGCCAAAGCATGTTGTCTTCAAATACTACCTGAACGAGGGCAACATCGCCATGTTTTGGCACGAAATCAACTGTACTCTTAGGATTCCCGCCCATCCAAATATCGTCCCCTTCGACCGCCTTGTTGTCGACTCTGCCACTCCCGGCAGCCCCGAAAAGGTGGTAGGGTTTACAACCCCGTTCGTCGCAGGAGGTACCATCTTGGACAATGTCAGCCGTATCTTCAAACTCGACCACCTCAAGCAACTCACAACGGTATGCTGACACCGTCGCCCGGTAGAGGGGAAATATCCTGCTACAGCGCTAACAATCTCCCTCCCCTTGGCTCTCGTCAGACAATAGACTACCTAAACCTCCAACTCGGAATCGTCCACGGGGACATCTGCCTCTGGAACCTCCTCATCGACGTCGAGACCGACCAGCTCAAGATCTTCGACTTCAACATGGGCGCCAAGCTCGGCTGGGAGGGCGACGAGGCCCACCAGGGTGTATACGGGTACGACGAGGACCGCAACGACGTCAAGCTGGCCATCTTCACGCTCTACGAGCTCATCACGCGCGACCTCTCCTTCCGCGAGGAGAACTACCCGCACGAGCTCGACGCGGCCGTGGTGCTGGCGATGCCGGCGTGGGAGCCGCACCCCGACGTGCGCCTCGAGGAGGGCGTCGAGGTTGCCGAGTACCGGCGGGTTCTGGAGGAGTGGGTGGCTAAGCGCAAGGAGGTCGATGCGGGGTTCGGCAGCTACGAGCAGGCGCCGGAGTCGATCGACTGGCCGTCGCTGCCCGAGTTTCCGGTTGTGGAGTTTGTGGGAAGTATGACGAAGAGGCAGTCGCAGATGCGGCAGGAGATGATCAAGCGGGGCGAGCCCTTCATGAAATGGTAAGTGCTTTGGGTGATGGGCTAACGAGGTACCTATCTGGGAGTATGACTGATGTTTCGATGTAGGCAGCGCCCGCCAACCCGCCGCCTTCCCCTTCCAGAGGGACAACGTCTTCTTGCCACCGGAGAGATAATTCGGGATGGACCCAAGGAAGGGTGATGGTGTCTGTGTGCCCGCAGGTTCCCTGTTCAAAAGTGGGAGTGTCCAACTGGGAAAGCGGCACGTAAGGGGCGGATCGGACTTATTATTAATTACCTACCTAGGTACCTAAGGTAGTTAAATATGCTGTAACCTCGGAGGTTCACTTGTCACGCATTTTATACTTCGACACCGTCAAACGGCCCGGCTCTTAGACAGAATAGGCTCAACAGTCAGTGATCATGTGCGCATGATATTAGAAAAAAGCGGACAATCTATGGTATTTGAGTAGGGCATCTAAAAGAAAAAAGAAAACGTAAATTACATGCGGCTGAACACTACCGTCGTAGTACATGAGGACCCTCGTAGTATTAGTACCTCTCTGGCCACAACTTGGCGATCGAGTCCTGCACATACCACCGGTTATCCACCTCCCTGAACAAGCGGGCATAACATTCCACCCAGGGTTCCTCGAACGTCTCCACCACGACGCCCCTCGCGGTTGCAGCATCCAGCACCTTCCTGCAGGCCTTATGTGCGGCGCGCAGCTGCTCAAGGGATGGTTCTTTCCGGTGCTCGGAGCTCTCATCGGGCAGATCGAACAGGAGACTGATGCGCTTTAGGTTCGGAAGGAAGTTGGCATGGCCAAAGGCGGCCGCAAACTCGTCGAGATGCGCGGTCGCGGACACGGGCCCGCGGAGTCGCAGGGTCTCGATGTTTGCCGGTATGACGGCGCCTAGGAACGGCTCGCCTCTGGTTGACTGAAGGATCCTGGCGTATAGGGGGCTGCCGAGTGTGATTTTCAACTGCTTCAGCAGCGTTAGGCTGGGAAGTAAGGTCAGGAACGTGGACGGGTTGGTCAACGGTAAATCATCGTCCGAGGTTGAGTAGAGGGTGAGGTTTTCGAGACTGGTGAGAAGGTGGAACTTGGCGCTGGCCACGTAAGCCAGCATTTGGAAGGCGTCGTTGCCGAGGATATCGAGAGTCTTCATGGCCGAGGGCGGGCTGTCGCCGTGGTCCCGGGAGAGACTCGTACTCTCGCCGTGGTTATCCTGGAGCCACCTCGCCCATTCACCAGGGATAGAGTAAATCTCCATTGTGTGGGTTGGCGCGGCGCTGTTCGCGTCATAGCTGAAGTCCACATAAGTCGGCTCGGCGTCTTTCAGCAGATCCTCGACAAGGGGGCCCTCAAAACGGAGACCACACGCAAAGAGGAGGACAAGATGGTTGATCCTGCCTTCCATGATGGCGGGTGTTGTGATGCGCTCAGCAATGGCGTCGGCAATGATCAGCAGCTCCAGCGGCCAGTTGAGAGGAAACTTGGCATCGGTCCAGTCTTCGTCCCAGCCGGTGGCGACCTTCAGGAAGCGGAGCTTGGTGAAGTGCTGCCCCAATGCCTCCCACTCGTCGTTAGTTGGCACGTCTCCCTTGATGTGCAGCACTTCGGTCTCTCGATCAATCTCGGCCATGACGGCCTGCAGCATGTGAGTGCCATCCTTCCGCCTGTCCCCCCTGCAATTGGGTCCGTTGATTTTGGCCATGTCGATGACGGGACTCAGGCGACCCAGGTTTTCGTTGTCCCGCGATGCGATGGCAAGCCAAATCGGTGACTCGTAGCGAAAGGCAACATCACCCACATCGTCTGTCTCACGCGGAGAAGGGTCGACAGTGGTTCTATGGGGGTCGGCCCTGATCGTGGTTGTTTCCATCATGATGGGGGAGAGCCGAGGATTGTTCTGACGGGTTGCGTGGATTGCGTGGGTACTCGAGGATACCTAGGAGGGCGGTTTGTGTTTCACGTCTGTGAGGATTGTGAGAAAGTAGAGCAACGGCGGCGGCGCGTTTAAATACCCAAGATTTTGTTTCTGACCAGCAATGTCGTTAATGGAGCTGCTGTCCTCAACAGAGCTGTTCCCCGTGGCTCCGTCCTCAGCACGCTCCTCAGGCCTGCTCGACCAAGTGCCATGTTTTGAAAATGATTAATTGGGACGCAAAATATCGGATCGGCGAATCATGGGTGGATTAGAAGTAGGCTTTGTGAATAAAAATGTAAACCGTGGTTACCTGACTGAATTGGCAGGCGCGTTGCTTCCGTGTGAATCAGGCACTCGGCTCACCGAGCGCCCCCGATCGGGTTGTTTTACTTGATTAAGTGGGTCCATTTCCCAAATAGGTAACCGGAGACTCACTGTCTTCCAAGAAACTGCTCTCGTCTTCAGCTGACTCGGTCTCTATGTACATAGGTACCTACGAGCTACCTACACACGAGTTTAAACTGGAAAGCCGGAGCCCGCATTACACAGTATGAAAACTGCTGATTGGCGTCTCGTCAACAATCTCTTCCCTGGTGGTGCGGTCAGCCCCTGCAGTGAGGGGTAACGAAGTGGCAGTGCAGCCGAGCTCGGGAGGCCGTTCGCATTCGAACGTGACCTATAAACCACGGTAGGTAGGAGGTATACACAGACCCCAAGCTACCTGGTAGTTACACCAAACTGACGATGAATCAATTTAAATAATCCTGGTTCTAGTTTCAATTCACCTAAAGTGCCTATCCTCTTTTTCATTTTTCTTTCCCTTGTTGGTTTCCATTCTTTTTTCCTTCCTTGATCCGATCTTCTTTGAGTTGTTTTTTCCGTTTTTAATAACAGCGCACCCGAGCCCAGATCCCCCCCCCCTCCTAGTCATGGAAGCCGCAGGCACCGCACTCGCCGTTGCCTCACTGGTCGGCAAGACGGTCTTCGCCATTGCAGACATCTCAAGTGGTTACAAGTCTGCCTATCCAGAACTCGCTCGCGTCGAGAATAACCTTGTGTCCATCAGGGAGGTGCTCGACCGACTCCCCCGAGATGGCCACTCCGTGTTTGATAACGTGCTTAACGACCTGGCCAAAAATGTCAGGGATATCCAGGGGTTTGTCGACAAGAGGGTCAGGAAAGCGGGCGCAAGGTCCTTGCTGGTGAAGTTGGGATGGCACGGCGACCGTGTGAAGCTGGAGAGGATGGAGGCCGCGCTCGAGACGTCCAAGTCTACCCTCATGATCGCCATCCAGGCCTGCCAGTTGGCTTCCAAAGACGCGGATCGGAAGGAGCTTGTGGCTGGCCTCAAGTTGTCCATGCAAGAGACGATCAGAAAGGTGTCAGGCTATGAGTTCGGATCGGCCCGGATCCAAGACATCCGCGCCCATCTGGACTCGGTATCAAGGTCGCTTCAGGAGAGACGGCGGGGATCTGGCGCAGCTGGGACGGTGGCAGAACTCGACATGGGCAAACCTCTGACCACGTGGCCAACTTTCGAAGCCTGGTTGGATTCTTTTGCTCCCTCACAGGACGATGTCGAGCGGGATGAGAAGGCGCTTGCTGAAGGCCAGGGTCGACAGGCTGAGCAAGGGGGTGGAGTCGACACCGAATTTAACGTTGCTAATGGGACTCACGGGCAAGAGAGAGACCCGAACCTGGAACAGAGGCTAGTGAAAGTCTGTATTGTCGGTCTAGAGGGAGCCGCCTGCTCGATGGCAAGGATAATGACGCTGTCCCCACAGACAGAAATAGCGGAAGTTCTGGAGACATTACATCGAGAAGTGGGCAGCTTTCCTTAACATTCTTAAGGTTTAAAGACTGACGAGGCAAACACGCAGGCACAACGTGGGTGACCGGATTCCAAGTCGGTGACAATGACGACGATGCCCAGCTTGTTGGCCCCATCATTAGTCAGTCGGAGAGGTGTATAGTCACGGTGACTGATGGGACCTCTTCCTATGACGCATCCGCCGGATATGCCGTGCCATCAACCAGGACGAGACACTCATATCCTTCTTCAACCGCACTCTCATGTTCCGTGGGCCGTCCCGAAATGAGATATCCATCACTCAGACTTTCGATGCGATACGCGTGGTTGACAACTATCGTAACAGTCTGGACTGCGGCGGCACTCTCGGCGTGAAGTTGATGCGGACCACCCGGATACCTGATGACGGGAAGACCTATCACCTTCCGCAGGACTTTGGTCCCTTCCCACTCTTGTCCACAGAGGATTTCAAGGACACGCTGCCGCCGAGGATGAAGGACAAGGGGGGAGTCTTCATTCCGATGCTTCTTCGCGAAGCTCTGTTCCTATCAATGTTGCTACCATCGGACGGGCCTTTCCGTTCACTGTGGCCCGATTCTACCCCAGCTGACGAGCCAGCAAATGAAAGCTTCGCAATGAGGGTGTATGCAGGGAGGCTGAATGTCGTCTCGGCTGCGGACCCTGTTGGTTCACATCTCAACCCAAAAGAGCCCGAGCAAGATTACATCGTCGTACCAAAGCAAAGCCGCTTGGATGGCTTCACTTCTGTATCGGGCCACACCATGCGACAGTTCAATGCCGTATCGCTTGGTTCGAACTACTCAGCTGAGTCCCAAGTTTCGGGTGATGAAGTTGGTGGACTTCAGCTTCAGTTCGCGCCGAGGTTCAAGAGAAATGTAGAGTTCCAAGAGTTGTTGGGTGGCGCGCCTCTCGATATTACAGCTACTCCGCGGGAACTCGGGCCGAGGGTGAACGGTCTGTTGCTCATGGAGCCCAATTTAGACCCCGTGTTTTCTCCCCCAGTCTGGAACGCTCACAACCTTCGACCACCAGCCTTTGATGGATGGGGGTTTCGCGAAGGGGGGTACAAGGCTTCTAACAGTGAATTTCTATGGCCGCCGCCTTTCAGGCGAGACGCTTCCAAGGTTGGAGGGGCACCATCCAGCCAGCGCAAAGGAGACACCGAGAAAAGTACGAATACGGCTCCCCCCATGTTCGCAACTGGTGGGTTTCCTACGGATGCCCTCGGCGTGCCGTATCAAGAGGGAAGACCACACGCACGGCAGCCCACCCCAGAGAAGGCGAAGGTCGGTCACCTGGAGCCTGCGCGTCCGTCAACAGTTTCAGACTTGTTCGCCGCCGCCGGGGTGTCCTTTGGGACACCTTTATTCCTCAAACCCGTCCGTCCGATTACAGTTGACTTTGACGTCAAGGTCAAGATTCCACCCACTAAGCCTAGCTACGCGGTTGGCGGTTGGGCCAATGTGCCTATTGCCATGAAGGTGGCTGTCACAACATCGGTCTTTGAGGACGCCCTGTCATTCCATGATCGGGTCATGGCCGCAGTCAAACACCATTTCCGTGGTGTGGTAGATGAAGAGTACCACAACCTCAACTTCGGCTGTTTTGACTTGATGGGCGAATCGGAAATACGGGAAGTCTACGGCGAATCATTCCCTACTTACATGGCTATCCATCGCCTCTCCATCTCAAAAGCACGTTGCGTCGAAATGAAGATCGAGGAGCTGGTCTCATACTCGGAGCCTCGGTACAGGACGGACCAGCCCGAGTTCGAGCTGAGCTTAGCCCCCGGCGCGATTGTGGAACAACGGGTTTACAAAGACAGGACGCCCCGGCTTTGGAACTGGGATACAACCGCCGTCGTCAACGTTCAAATCCTCAACGCCGTGGCGTTTAAATCCGCTACCGGACTCAGTCCACCCATTCCGGCTATCTCCTTTGACGAGTATACGCGTGCCGGACTCCCACTCTTGTCATTTTACGACACCGACGATAGCGAGCCCCTACGTCGCTTGACGGAACCGAGCAATCCAATCCGCAGTATAGGAGATATCGACCGCCACCATGACTTGGCTGTGGGCGTCAGGATGAAGCCCGGCCATCGCCCGGTCATTTGCGCCATTTGCGAGCATCGACTCTGCAACGCGGTTCTTGTGCCGTGCCACCACATCTTCTGCAGCTGGTGCATCCGCTTCTCCATGACCGAAGACGAGGGTGTGACATGTGGTTTCTGCAGAAAGCCCGCGCCTACAGTGAACGTCTACGCTGCGGCCACGGATATCGACAAGGGGCCCGCACCCTCCGAGACGCGCAGTCAAGAGGGCGCGACGCCGGTGCAGAAACTCCTGGGACTGTTCGACCGGGACTCCGGACAGGACTGGCCTACACGGCCGATGCGTGAATGGAGGGGCAATCCGGACCTCGGAAATTTGATACCGATTGTCCCGCCGTCAGCACTGATGATAGCTCAAATTTTCCGCGAGTGGGAGATGGGCCTCCGGAGCGAGGCTAAGGTACAGGACCTGGCGATGGAGTTATTCACGGGTCTAAAGATGGAGGAGCGCGGCTCCGAAGACCCCCTCAAGGCCTTTGTCACGCTGGCTGCTTCAATGGAGCGCGACTGGGGAGAATGGGGATTTCTGGTGCAAGGTGAGCCTCGGAAAAAGCGATTCGGCCGTGGTGGGTAGGATATCCCCTCCTTGGCTTCGCATAATTAGGTACATGTAGCCACATCTCTGTCTACTAGGGTTATCAAAACCTATCATGTTTGTTCGGGCTCTAGACGCGATGGTTAAAGTGGCTACGGTGCGTACTACATTAGATAATTAGTACAAGCCAGCAATCTAATGCCCAACATAATACAAAACCCATCGCTTACAACCGCTCAGCTTCCTCCGGCTTCCAGATAGACGAATCGCCACCCAACTTCCTAAGGAGTAGTTTGAGTTCCTCGGTCAGCTTCTCCCGAAACGCCCTGTTGTCCGAATACATGATGCTCAACAGCACGTGGTATTTCATGGCATATAGAGCATTCCTCTCATAGAAATCTGTGGCGGGATCTGACGGGTCCACAAGTTCCTTGTACTCGTCCAAGGCAGGTCGGCCGAGCTTGTATCTTGGGTTGTAGCAGACGGCCAGATCAGCTACCGGTTCTGTTAGCAAGGGCGCGTTGCAATTTGCGGAAAGGCTGTCAGACAAACCTTCATTGTGCCCCCAGTACGCGCACGCGTCGAACAAGCAGAGTTCACCCGTGGCCGTTCTCGGTTTGATGTTTCCCGGCCAGAGGTCAGAGTGGAGGAGACACGGGATGACGGATCTGCCCTCGCTTTCGAGCGGTCCCAGGTACCTCGGAATGGCTTTCTCGAAGTATGCAGCCCTGAGCTCTGCCAGGGTCTCGTCCCGACCGTTGACCGATTCCTCCTGATCGAAGAGGCTCTTCATCTGCTGAGCCCAAAACGCCTCCCATGATGGGTTCCACGAGTTTTTGACGGGGACGTTCGCTAAATACGTCGTGACGTGAAACCCGAATTGTCCAGTTGGAGATTTGCCTTGGCTGGCGAGGTGAAGCTCAGAGACGGCGGTCGCCCAGCCATTCGCGCTCGGGACTTCGTCTCGCATCTCTGCAAACTCGCATAGGTAAAAATGGGTATCCGGTTCGCTGGCATAAGTTCCCCATGCGGCGGGCTTGGGTACCCGTTTGGGAATGCAGTCGTATAGGGCTTGCTCTGCTTCGAATGCCCCTTTCATCATACCCGCCCCGGTAGGCCCAGAGGCTCCCTATTTATGATTAACATTGGGCAACTAAAATATGACACTACGGGGCTTTCAGAATGCTAAGATGCTAACAAACCTTTGCAAAGAATTCCGTGGTGCTACCATCTTCCAACTGGGCCACGATCTTCACCCTCTTGACCCGTAGGCTTGGTCCCCCAGAACCCACAGAAAGGACATTGGAGTTGGGCGGGAGTTCTGATCGGGAGCTATGGTTAGATTAAACAGGGCTAGGTAGCTGGTAATATTCGCTGGAACCATCCACGGACATCCATTTGGGGTCGAAAGCGAGGAGGAACTCACTGGCAACAACAGCTTCATCTAACCGAACATTCTCCCCCAGCGGGTCGGCTTGTTGTGCTGTGGGAATGCCCATCCTTGAGATGCTGAGGTAACCGGGTTGGTCAACAAGGTTAAGAGGAAAGGTAAGAAGATGAACTAAGATGAACCACGAAGCAAAGGTTTTGATATGTATAGGAGGAAGAGTTCGGGCACTTGGGATGAGGACTGAAGTATCAGATGTGGCTCGGCCAACACTCCGCCAACACCCAACGGCCGAGGAACATGCATGTCGGAGAAGAGGGCGCAGCCGCCTTTGTTAATGCCGTTGGTATGTACCTGCATAACTACAGAGGTATGTCCCTCGGTACCTAGATACCTAGCGACCTCCTGAACAAAAAAATGCCGAACTGCGTGGAAGTGCAGATGTCGACAATGGAAACTTCAAATCTTCGACCCGAGTACATGTATAAGAACAAAGCGGAAGCGACCCTGAAGCTAGGCCCGGGAATTACCCACGGGTATTCGGACCCGAACCCACCCACCCGGACCCATGGGTCGATTTGGGTGACCCAAAAAGACCCGTGGGTCCATCTGGGTCTGACCCGAACCCACAACAGCTTTTTGGGTCCGGGTGGGTTGGACCCAAACGATTTCGGGTTCGGGTAGGTTGGACCCAAAAGCAGGATCCTCTAGTAAAATCTTAAATTTTTTTAGATAGAAATTTCAGGTCTACTAATAGTATTATTTCTTGATAAAAATATTTTTAGAAAATTGTAAGTATTGATGTAATCATAGGGTTTCGGGTTTTCTTCAACCTACAAAAAATGGTCCTGGGTAAGGAGGACCCACGCCAAGACTCTTTAGGTCCAACCCACCCGAACCCGTTTTCCATTCGGGTCGGGTAGGTAGAACCCAAATAAAGCTTGGCGGACCTATGGGTACCCGTGGGTGGGTAATTCCCGGGCCTACCTGAAGCCCAAAGAAACCGCCGCGGATTTACTCCATTTACTTTTTCTTCCATGCTATTTCTTTTATTTGAACTTTATTTTTTCGATTTCGTTTTATTTGTTCTTTTTACTTGATTTCTTACTTTCCTTTCGAGTTCGGCTTTTCTATGGCCAGGGTGCTCGCCGCGCACGCCAGGCTGGCCGGCACAGCTGGCACAGCTGGCACATGCCACCCATGCGATGGTTAACCGTCCATGAATGGATTGAAGCGCGAGGAGAGGGCTTGTGGTTGGTTGGACTTGCGCTCTGGGTCTTGATTCGCGGCCTTTGCATGGGCCGTGATGCAGGTCGGCTGTTGGGCGATTCGTGGTGCCGATTACGGGGCCAAGGGTGCCGGCCTGACATGATCGCTGCCTTGGAATCCCACCTGGCTCGACGGGGAGGATCGCGATGGATCTGTGAAAAGCGTGAAGTTGAAACTTTGAACCTTAATTACAAAATCTTATGTGGGTGCCATTGGAAGGACAAAAGTCGACTTGTTATTCAGTCAGTGAGAAGACGAGAGGGCGGCGAAAGGGTATACCGCAACCGGACAGATTACCTACGTTGAGTAAACTCCAGTGAAGGGACGACAGGTTCTAATCATGGACCATGGCAAGTCCCAAGTCCTTCACCCCTCTTTGCTACTACCTCCCAGGCAAAGACAATATGCGGCCGTTTAACTTCATGCTGACGGTTAGCCCCTTTTCAGGCGAGCATCAGTGACGACGAGCACCTCCAGTTGGCGTCACTCGACAAGAAACCTTCTCCACGGCGAAACACGTCGCTCGCATTTATCCAAAGCAAGCTCCGCCGGTTGAATGGCAATTCCCCCGGAGACAGAATCTTGTCTACCGTGGACGCCAAAGGCCCTCTTGGGTTGAACCTTCTACACGAGCCGTCAGAACCTCGAATTGACTTCATATTCGTGCGTGCCGCAGCTGTTGTTTGAACTCTAACGACTGGGTCTCAGCCTGACCGTTGCACAGGTACACGGCCTTTTCGGGGGATCAAGGAAAACATGGAGCTATTCCCAAGACCCGGCCATGTTTTGGCCCAAGGAGTGGTTGCCAAACGAGGTCGGATTTAGGCACGTCCGATTGCACAGCTATGGCTACAACTCGGATGGGTCGAGGAGGAAAAGCTTCCTCACCGTTCATGATTTTGCCCAGGCTTTGCTTGCCGACATCTACAACTCACCAGAGTTGCGTAAGCATGGTGATGTGGGGGTCCCAGCCAGCTGATCTCTTGTTGTTCATGGCTGACTGGAGTGTTAGACGCCGATCGTGTTTGTTGCCCATAGCATGGGAGGGCTGGTTGTGAAAAAGGTAGGGCGAGCTCGTCATCGCTTGGCCTACCCTCTAGGGTGAAGGGTTTCGGCGTCTTCCTGGCCGCCGTTGTTTCCCCGGTGGCATGCTAACATCCGCACAGGCTTACTTGCTAGCTGTCAACGACCCGACCTACAAAAGCATAAGCCATCGAATTCATACCATGTACTTCCTGGGGACGCCCCATCGCGGAGCCGATTCGGCCCAGATCACACGGACTATCCGGTATGCCGCCGGCCACGGGAGCAAAGCCTATATCGACGATCTCGTTCCCGGAAGTGGCGCGCTCAATGTTGGTCTTGATACTCTTGATACTTCCAGGCTCCGTTGCAAACGCTCTCATCACTGTCAGAACACTACGGCTAACATCTGCCAGCAAATCAACGACGAATTCCGCCATGTTTGTAGCAGTGTCCGCCTTTGGTCCTTCTTTGAGGGGGTGCCGACAGCTTTCGGCCTTCTCTCCTCGCTTGTGGTTGAGAAAGAGTCGGCTATACTTGGTATGTCGTATTCCACACCGGGTCGTCATAAGGGACTCGTATAGTTTGTCTAATCACGTTAACTCAGGGCTCCCCGGAGAGCACATTCAATATGTCGACGCCGACCACCGCCACCTCTGCAAATTTGACAGTCCAAACAGTCCAAATTATATTCTCCTGCAAAGAGCATTTCTTACCACCATAGAGGAACTTGAAGCAGACAGTTCGTTCTACCGCACCTTTCTGTTTGGTGGCCAGTTGATCCAACACGTCTTAAGGTTTATGTCAACGCCGTGACGAATACAGTGACCAAATGAAACAAGTTTCCTCTTTCCTTCAGGTAGAGCAGCGCCCCGATGCTTTTCTTTTGGCAATCAACGAAAAGCAGCATCAAGGTTCTTGTCAGTGGTTGACCGCCGACGATACATTTCAACATTGGGTCAACGGCCCGGATCCCAGAGGAGACGATGATGTGTCACAACAAACGTCATACGAGCTTGAAGAAGACGCCAGGATCTTGTGGCTCACGGGCCGGCCGGGTACCGGCAAGTCCGTGGCTTCCAGTCACGTTGTCAGATATCTGGAAGCCTGCAACCTTGATTGCAGTTTCTATTTCTTCAGACACAGCGACGAAGCCGGGTCCACCATTGCAGCGTTGCTTCAATCACTTGCTTTCCAGATGGCGAAGTCGAGCTACGAAGTTCGGCGCGCAATCGTCTCCATAGCTGAGGATGGCGTACGATTAAGCCATTGTGACCATCACATGCTGTGGAACAAAATCTTTGTCCAACGCATTTTCCGACTGGATTCGCTGAAACCCCAATTTTGGGTCATAGACGCGGTCGATGAATGTTCGAGCAACGGGACATCGGCGTTGGTTGCCATGTTGTCAAAGCTCGATCACACTACACCCATCCGAGTCTTCATGACCAGCCGACCCGGGGGGCAGTTAGAGAGATCACTCACACAACAGAACGTTCTGTTCAAGCAGTTAAGCACTGGGCAGTCCGGTTCACTGCGCGATATCCAAGCCTTCTTGCAAGCCAGGTGTCCACAGCTCCAAGACACCGAGTCCCACGAAATGTTCCTGTCGAACGTACTGTCCAAATCGAACGGCATCTTTCTCTGGGCCTCGCTCGTCGCGGCAAGGTTGGAGAATATATTCACCGTCGAGGATATGCAAGAAACCTTACAAACCATCCCCTCCGAGATGGATGGTTTCTACTCTCGCATCGCCGACTCGATTGTTGCATCGCCAAGCTGCGCACTTGTTACTTGCATCCTGAAATGGGTCATATGCTCGCCGAGGGCGCTCACGACGGGGGAACTTGCGGAAGCAGTCAAACTTGACATTGACCGTACCCTGGCAGCATCATCAGCACAACTAGAAGCCATCACAGGACATCTGATCTTGGTGGATAGCCAGTCCCGAGTCCACGTCACCCATGCCACAACGTCCAGTTTCCTGACTCGTCGTCGAGAGGGTCTCTGGATCGACCAGCCGATGGCGCATTCCAAAATTGCTGAAGTATGCCTCACGACGCTCTGCGGCGCGGATTTTGCACCACCAAAAACCCGTCGTGCCGCTGGTTCCGCCTCCAAGAAGGCTGCTAGCCCCTTGAATTCCTACGCCGCAGCAAACTTTGGGTACCACCTGATGCACAGCTCTCCTGCGGGTGATGCGCTTCTCATCCAACTCAACGCCTTTCTGCGATCGAACGTCCTGACATGGATCGAGCGGATCGCAGAGTCAGGCAGTCTTTCTACTCTACAGCAAACATCTCAGAGGTTGAACGCCTACCTGACCCGGCGAGCGAAGTATCACCCGCCGGTGAGTTTGGAAGTTCAGACGGTGTCAGGATGGGTAAATGATATCCATCACCTGGTCGCGGCGTTCCATTCCGCCCTCCTAGCCTCGCCATCTTCGATACACATTATAATTCCCTACCTCTGTCCGCCCGCTTCGATTATTCGGCAACTATTCGCCAAACCTAATAAACGCCTAAAAATAACCGGCCCTTTGGACGAGGATTGGAGCGATAGACTTACTTCCTACCTGTTCTCGGCCGAGACCAAGTCGATTGCTTGCTGCGAACGACTCCTTGCTGTTGGCCTCAAAAATGGCGACATCCGGATCTACGACACGGCTGGCGTTGGCACCTTCGAGGCCGTCGGCACTCTCATCCACGGCAAGAAGGTGAGGCAGTTGGCATTCGATCCATCCTCCTCTTTCTTGGCATCCTGCAGTGTGCGGAAGTTGATGCTCTGGGATATACGGCGGTCCAGCGGGCCGTCTTTTCCCTGCCTCTGGGCACAAGATCTCGACTTTACCCCAAACCAGGTGATTTTCGACAGGGAAGGAACACGCATACTACTTTCCGATCCTATACGATGTGCAATAAACTCATTCGAGGCCGTTTCTGGTTCCAGTGGTGGTGGAGCTATTCTCCTCCACTCATCACAAGATTCTGATTCCTCCGACAGCGAAGAGCAGATGGGTTCTTGGGCGGCCGCGGAGCATGTTTACATTGATAACGATCAAAAGCTGGCTGCTCTGACGTACCGGAACTCAACGGTCTCCATATGGGACCTGGACGCCATGGAGAATGTGGGCAACTTCGAGAGAGACGGGTACGAGGGAGTCTATTCATCCCCACCGGCTCTCGACCTGGCATTTAACCCCATTTCCGAGCTCGATCTGCTGGCCATCTCGTACAGCGATGGCGACGTCGTTCTGTGTAACCCCTGGACACTGGAGCAAACCGAAAAGTGCAATCTACCTCACTCCCTCGTTATACTAACCAGCACATCGGATGGCCGCGTTCTCGCTGGCGGTGCTGAGGATGGTGTCATTCATCTTCTGCTTTTCAAGACCTTACGGCCGCTTTATCGTGTCCAGCCACCCGACGCGCGCTCACAGCTATGCGGCCTCACCTTTTCGGCGAATAACCTCCAGTTCTTCGAGATCAGAGCGCAGTCCTGCAATGTGTGGGAGCCTCTCGTCCTGGTTACGGGGGATACATCCGATGAAGGCTCATCCGAACCGCAGAGCGAAGAGGTCCCACCGCAGGAGCCGAGTTCTTCTTCCGCCCACGCCTTCCAATGGCGCCAGAGAATAACCGCCATCCAAACGACAGAACGTGGACTCTTTTTCGTTGGGAGACAGGACGGCACGGTTGATATCTGTGACGGAAGCTCGGGCGAGGTTGTCAAAAGACTACGACTCCACGGCGGCTTCGCACGCATCAAGCAGTTGGGCTGGAATGAGGCCAACAATATCCTGCTCAGCCTCGACGCACACAGCCGCTGCATTGTCAGTCGACTGTCGTTTGATACGGAGCCGCAACCCACGGTGATACTGAATCATCGCGAACGGGACATCGTTCGACAAGCATTGTTGAGTCCCGACGCCACGTCCATACTCGTCCGTACCGATGCAGGTCTCAAACTCATTGCGGTTGCCCGGGCCTCCGTCTCAGCAGAGCTGGATTTTGCAGCAAGCTTCTGCTCGAGCCATCCTTCCAGTCTCTCGCAGTTGATAGCGTTTCAGCCGGGTAGGATTCACCTCTTCGACTGGGCCTCACTAGCCCGACTCTCGCCCGCCAAAGGGATCGTAGTCGCTAGCTTTCCGCCTCCTTCCAAGCCCTCAGACATCATGAACGGTGTTTGGTTCGGCCGCCCAGGCTCTGCCTACCTGGCCCTATGCGCCAACTCCTCAAACCGACATCGGCCCACTTGTTTCGCGGCACTGGACGCATCGAAGCTGGCACCAGAGAATGGAGAAGCAACTGAGATTCAGGTCCTCACCTCGCACAAGATACAAGTGCGCATAGTCGTCGGCGTGGTCAAGAACACGCTCTACTTCATCGACACAGCAGGCTGGATAAGCTCCGTCGGGCTCAAGCGCCTGCGCCAGGCCGCCCATTACACCCGGCACTTCTTCATCCCGCCGACATGGTACATGGGCGGCGATGTGGTAATCGCGGTGGTGACCAAGACAGCAGTGGCGTTCGCGAGGGGCGAGCAGTTGATGGTGTTTCATGGTTTTCTGGAGTTCGAGGAGAGGGTCCCGTTGGGAGAGGAAATGCCATTAGTGTCAAGGCCGAGCAAGGGCGGGACATCGAAGGAATGAAACAAGGAGAGGAATTCCCGGTCCAGGAAGACTTGTCGTAGCAACTTATTTCAACTGATTTGAACGATCGGTATTCACTATGTGAACGCATTGCCGAGAGAGTCCACATGTTGTAGTTATTAAGTATCCTGTTTCGATCTTTACAGCAAGTAAAGCCGCAGAAGCACTGGTGTGGTCCCGGACTGTGAATATAGAGCACATGATATTATGTCCCAAGGTATGGACCTCGCGTTAATAGAGTATGTGGATACGCTTTCCATACCAGAAACCCCCAAACGCAAAGGACTACCGGTCGATACGAACACCCGATTCCACTGACTGCGCTGTGAGTCTCAAGATGTTTCCCCGCCTTTGCATTTGGATATTTAACTCCGTAGTTGTAAGATAAATCCAAGACGCAAAAGATATTTTCTTTGGAGGTTGAAGATGATGGGTCAAAACCCTATACCAACTACCTCGGTATCTACACGTAGCCATGACGGACAACGGGATGGGCACGATATCAGCAAAACAGTCAGCGGCGCGGTGCACTGTCCGGTAGGGCGCGTGGACGGATTGGTTCCTCCACGGCAATGACATGCACCAAGTCGTGAAGAGAGAAGTTGTGCTGTGGAGACAGGTTTGTCTAAGTCAAGGAGGAGCAGTTGGCAGCCCGGTCCCGACGCTGAATTTGCCAGACCAACTGGGCCGGGACCGCGCCTGCCATCATGGCATGGAAATCTCGCTCTACACCTTCTGGCCGTTTAGTTAGAGCTCACCTTCCCACCTCGCCTTCCGTTTTTCGCGACCACCTTCTCTTCTTTCTCGCCCACCCTGTAAAAGAAACACCATCCCAAACGAGGCTGCGGGGAATACACCCATCATGTGAGCTCTGTTTTCCCCCGCGAGTCACGGTCCATGCTAACGAGAGCAGAATTCAACCATCCACCACTATCATCACCTACCATCCACGGTGGAGAGGTATGTACATACGGCCGGTGGCGGTGTTAGCCGCGGTGCCCCGCCGCATCCCTGTAAAGAAACACCATCCATAACAGACCTACCGAACACGCACAATTATAATGTGAGTTCGGTGTTGCACCGCGAGTCACGGCTTACAGCTACCCCTGGAAGAATTTCCCAGCTTGCACCATCTGCGAAGCGGCGCTGGCGACCTCGGCCGCGAGCGGATTCCTTGGCCCCGTTCAGATCGGTGCCCGGAGCTACGTCGACGGAACGCTGGGAGCAAACAACCCTGTCGAACAAGTGGAATGCGAGGCGTCTGACCTCTGGTGTCGTCCGTGCTAAGCACAGTAGAATGCAACAGTACACAACCACCACTACCCGCACTCTGGAGAGGTGTGGAGCCGATCCAGTCGCTTCGCCCTGGAATGATGATGGTTCTCTTGTCGAACTTGCCGGAGACAGACATGAAGCTGTCGAAACCTCCTGGAGGCGTCGCCCAGATCTCGCTGTGGTCGACCACCGGAACCGCTGTCACGAAATCAATGGTGATAGTATGGCCCGGGATCGGGGGTGTGTCGATGGGGTTCAGTTCGCCGAGCGGCGGTTGCCTGTTCGTTGCGTTTTCCTGACACTCTGGGCAGTGTCTAACGTATCGCGTGATCTGATGCGTCGCTCGGGCGAAAGACAAGTTGGCTAGGTCTTTTGCCATGCGTTTCTTTGTGTCTGACGAGCATCTCTGCTCTCTCTGTTGGTGTGTATTGTAGCAGCGCGCTGAGGGTGGCGTAGTTGGCCGTCGTCGCCCGCCGCGGAGGAGCAACTCCCGTGGAGGAGTAACTCCTCGTGCGGCTGATCGGCAGCCTGGGGCTAGGGGCGCCACGAGTCGGTAAGAATACATTTTTCACACACTAGTTAGCTCCCTACTAATACTGTGTTCCCGATGTAGGTAGGCCAATACCATACTGCCCCCCCCCCCCCCCAACAGCCCGTGCCCGGCCAGCACCACATGGGCTCCAAGATGACGCACCCAGCTAGCACCACGCTCACCGCTCGGAGCACATGCCCAGCCAGCATCACGCCCACCGCGGGGCGGATCGGCTATCCGGGGCCAGGGGCGCCGAGGGATGGTTAGAATACTTTCTATACACCGGTTGACTCCCTGCTAATACCGTGTCCGCGACCCAGATGAACCAATGCCACGCTTACCCCTAGGAGGAGCACACACCGTTGGGAGTAGCGGGTGTTTTGTCCGACCGCTCGGTGTTTGGAACCTAGGTTGCTCCCGACCGGTCAGGAAGTTGATTTGCTCCCTCAGCATCGTCAATAGCCTTGTTCCGATTAACGTGAATCGAGATGCTCTTTCAAGAATCAGTCCTAAGTTTCCTGACTAGGGGGAAATCCGCCTCTTGCAAATCCATGGTTGCTTGACGGCAATATCGGGGGAATATGGATGGCGATTTGGGAATCTCAGACACCCTGCTTAGCTCGGTAGACCTCTACCATGCTATTCAACGACTAGAACATTAGAAATGCACCACTTCCGTGTTCTCGACTTGATGGTTGATTAATGACCTCGCTAACCCCCAGCTACAGAGCAGGGGGCTACTTCGTACATAGATGATGGTTGGGAGCCGGCTTGCAGCAATAAATGCATCGATATTTATGGCCCCAGTGACGTCGCAACATTGCGGAAGGACACACCAAACATAATAAGCCATGGCCACTATATCAGTGAGGTCAGACAGCCCGAACGTCAGTCCGAGCGAGCCACTGCGGCACGTTGCCAAGAGACCATCGACTGCACTGCCCTGCAGCTCTGGTTCCACAACCTAGGCAGGAATGGCAGGGCTGCAAGGGTATGATGTCAAATCAATGGTCCTTACCATGGTATAACTTGGCGGCTTGCCCCTTTGCGTCTCAGCCCGAAATCTCAGCCCGACCTGAAATGATATTATTCTAATTACAAAATCATCAACAGCCGACGGCCAAGACCATCACCAAATCACCCCATCCGAGTAACGGCTTCAAATACATACCAGGAACACAGCACACAACAGACGCGATGGCAGCAGCGTATCAACTACCCCCAGTCCCCCAGCCGCTGGTTGTATTTGGTCATATGATCGCGAACCAGACTGTCACGCTAGTGCTCAAAGAAAAGTCATTCGACGACTTCACCATCAAGGGCCTCGACGGGATGCGATGGATGCACATTGAGGGCAAGATCGCGTCGATACACGGCCGCAAGAAGGTCTTCGACCCATCAGGGGCCCACCTCTTCGATATTGTCAAGGAACTGCTGCACTGGCACGCCACCTACAACTGCGAGGCCGAGGGCGGCAGCAGACAATACATGCAAGTGAAGAGCAAATTCTCATGTAAGCGACAGCCAGCCGGCCATCCAGCCATGCACACAATCCCGCATCAAACCAAACCCCAACACTCCAACACCCCCTTGTTATCGCCTCGCTAAGGTACATGTACCCAACTAACCACCACCCCCCTCCCACCACAGTCTTCAGCTCCCGAGCCAACGCGACCTTCACCACATCGCAGGGGATGCCGGCCAAGCTGGCCATGACGGGCAACTGGATGGACACGACGGCCGACATCGTCGACACGGCGAGCGGGGCGGTGGCGGCGCGCATCGACCGCAAGCTGTTCAACGCGCGCGAGCTCTTCCTGGGCCACCAGACCTACCACGTCACCATCGCGCCGGGCGTCGACGTCGCGCTCATCATCGCTATGTGCGTGTGCCTTGACGCGACGCAGAACGAGGGGCAGGGGGCGGCATGCACCATCTTGTAGGGGTGGGTTTGATGGGCGGGCGGGAAAGGGGGGGCCTTTGAGTGTAGATGTTGGCCAAATGTTCGAAACGAAGCAGCGGTTATTTTGTAGCTTAATCATAGGAGGTATAATATTTACTTGATTTCTTTTTCGTTTATTCCATTTCCCTTTTTTCCAGCCGATTGCTTTCAGTTCATTTTTCTATTCTTTCTTTACTTCGTTTTCTTCATTTCCTCTTTTTTCTCTTCTTTTAATTAATCATTTTGTTTCACCTTTTCTTTCTTTTACATTTCTTTTTCTGCGGTTGTCCTATTTTTCTCTTTTATTTATTGTTTTACCATTTTATCCGGTTTCCTTTGCTCAGTTTCCCGTACTCGAATTCCTACCTAGCCATGCACCACTAGCTCCATCGCCAGCTTGTCCATCGCCTCCCACTGGGCAGAATCCCGAAGCCTCCCTAACCAACTGGAACCGGTCGACGGTCGCCCGTCATCAGCCGACGGCTAGCAGACCGTCGGTTCCCATCAGCTGCCCGTCGACAACTGCCACTTAACGAAAATAAATATATTTATACTCTGACATTCATTTAATGTACATTCCCTTCACCTTCGTTCTTCTCTCTCCTGCTCACCCTACTCCTCACTTTGCTGGTTCCTCTCATTCTTGTGCGGGCGCCTCCGTCTCTTCTTCCCATTGCCATCGTCTGCCTGCTCATCGTCGTACGCTGCATCATTAAGACCCGTACAGAGCGGCAAAAATCTGTTCCTTTACCGCGCGACGTTCTCGTCGACAACCCGCCCAGTGAAAGGAGGGGCTCGGACGGTGTCGACTGGGAGATCTGGTGTGTCGTTGTCCTCAGCTACTTCTTCCTGCTCGACTGATATACAGTCGTCGTCGACCGCGATGTCGTCTTCCAGCTCTAGGTCCTCTTCGAGCTCCACGGCGTCTTCCGAGTCAGAGACGTCGGCATCGTCCGCAGAATCGTATACGCTATCGCAGCCGTCATCGTCTAGTTTCAGGGCAGGGTCCTCCTTTCCTCAGAGAGGGCAAACTGCTCAACAACTAGGTCATCATCTAGTAGGGCAGGGGTGGGCGCTCTGGCAAGAAGTCTTTTCGCATCAGGACCAGCGAGGTCCGAGACTTTTGCCTGCGAGGCAAGGCGCTTGTTTCCATTGCGTGTGGACGCCATTTGCGTATGGCGGTCTTTACCGGTTCGAGTTGCTGGAACAAGAATATCAGCTGTTGTGTTGGCAATGGTGCTGGCAGCGGCTTGGTGTCTGTCTCGAGGATGATGGATTGCAGCGGCGAGGGGTTCTGGAGTTAAACGAGGGGGGGGGGCGCCGCCATGAGTGGCAGTAGCACGCAATGAGGCTTCCAAGAAGTCAATCGGGGGGCTTGGTTACCAACGGGGGAAGGGCCGTAGTGGGTGGCAGCGGCGCACGATGAGGTTTGAGCCTGGGGAGCGGTTGCCCAATAAAGGACCGAAGCGCCATCCATCACAACGAGACATTTTGAATGTCGAAGATGAAGGTGTGCTTTAGTCTAAGTTAGGAAGGGGCTCAGTGTGACTCCCGGGTGCCAGAGCAAGGATCGACAAGAATATCAGCGAGAAGCTCGGGAGTGAACTGGTGAACTGGAGGAAGACACCACCTAATCCCGCGATAGCTACCTATTCATGGAGTCGATCAGAATTAAAAACGTTGCGTTTTCGTTTATACGTGATCGAAACTTTCCTGGGCTCTTCCATCCGGCTAACCCATAGGCTTTCTCCCGAATGCCAACTTGTAGGCAACACAGAAATGCAAACCAGGCAACCCCAGTACTGGTGCCCGAGAGCTCCGTTGCGGGCATCGGCTGAGGGAGTTGCGAGCACATTAGATGCTGACTGGGCTGACCGGGCGACACAGGTGTTCGTTAGCGACATGGCTCATACGGCGGCAATGGCGTTACGGCCACGCTGAGCTCACATGTGACCTATCCTGCGCACTCACATGTTTCTGTCGGCCGTGATTACTCACCTGACCCAAATTGGCTCTAGGAAGAAAGTATTCCAGATTACAAGCCGCAAAGCGGATTGGCGTCCGTCCGTCAAGCCGGCGTTGGCTCCTTGACTCCGCATCAGGGCGCCAGGACGAGAGTGGAGCAGCCGGAGCTGGAGTCGGCATTGTTGAACTGCTGGCTGTTGCCTGCTCCGACGACGTTCTTGACGCCGGCGTTGCTTGGGTGACTTGTGGCATGACGGCGAGGTTGAAATCGGCGTCAAATTGCTGGAGTGTCTTGCGGAATGGATACCAATCTTGCCGGTGTCGAAATGGAGCAAGCTACGATGGATGGCTCCGGCTTCGTCCGTGACATAAGCAATCCTCTCGCGCTCCATAACTTTCCGGACTGGAGTGAGGGGGGCGAAGAGCTGGTCTGGCTGTTTAGGCAGACCCCGAGAGCCTGAGAGCATAGACGGCAGCAGATTGGAGAAGCACACTGCCCTTGTTATGCAGGGATGGTCTTGACATGCCGTAAGAGCAAGTGACCATTTGGAAGAAGTTTGATGGATTTGAACGCTTCTGGGGCAGCTGGGGTTACTGTCTCTGAACACTTGGGGATCCATTTAGGAGACTGCCCCTGAGTTCCCGAGTTGGTGCATGGGGTCTTGTTGGCCCGCCAACCGGGCCGAGTCTCGAGCGCTCGATTCGAGATTGGACGCAACCGCACACAGTCCTTTTGCAGCGGTTGGATACAGAGTACCGAACTGCGCAATCCAATTATTAGATGGAGGAATTCAACCTGGGCGGACTTTCGGCTCCATTGCGCCGTCCTCGGCCCGAGCCATTGCCTCTTCTTGCGTGTAATTATGGCACAGTCTGGCTGATGCGCCGCGTGCATCGTGCATCTGGTTCTTTCACCCTCCGCGTGGCATTTCTTCTCTAGCCCAAGAAAGGAAAAAAAAAGCCGCCTCCGCGTGTAAACACCTCGAGTGTGCCATCCCATCACCCAAACACGTCCACGTTAGTATCCACGTGTAACTCCAGCTTAGTATCTCCGGCGCTGCTAGGTCCAGGCGCGTGGCCCTAGGGACACTCTAGTACTGGCTAGGCGCGTAGCCCCAGGGACACTCTGGTCATGTCCGGGTGTGTGCCCCAGGGACACTCCGGTACTAGCCAGGCGCCTGCCCCGGGGGGGTGATGTGGTGCTGTTACCTGGGTGCAGCTACCTTCATGCGTAATCTTGGAGATGACCTGGTACTACCCGGATGCGTGCTCTTGGGGGTCGGCATGGTCCCAGACGGGCGCACGCATGCTTCTATGGGGGCGCGTTGCTTAGCACGAAGCCGACGAGCCTTCAAAAAGTGATCTTACCAATCCCTGGCGCCTTTAGCCCCGATCGGCCGAGTAGCTCCGCAGTGAGCCGGTACGTGCTCTTCGGGGACGGCGTGGTACTGACCGAGTGTGTGCTCTTGGGGTGTGGCATGGTACTGGTCGAGTCGGTTGTTTTGGACTGTGGCGTGGTGCTGGCTCAGCTGCATCGCGAACACAGTATTAGTAGGGAGTGAGCCGGCGTTCGGGGTGAAGGCAATCTTACCAACTCCCGGCGCCTCTAGCCCAGGGCAGCCGATCGGGCCCGCGAACAGTTGCTCCTGCGCTGCGGGCGGCAGCGGCCAACTCCGCCACCCGCCACACCTCTCTAGTGTTGGGGGTAGTAGTGGTGGTGTACGGTTGCATTCTACTACCATAGGTAGGTAGTTAGCACAGACCGTGACTCGCGGGGCAAAACAGAACTCACATGATGGGTGCATCTTCCGCAGCTCTATTTGCGGTGGCGGTGTTTCTCTTGCAGTGTCGGCGGGAAAAAGGTGAACGCGGAAAAAGCAACGCGAAGTGGGAAAGCAAGCTCTAAATAAACCTCTCCCGACAATTTAATTCCGCTGCCCCGCTTCTGCCTAGCTGGAAGGTGCAGACTTGCCATGCTGGCAGGCGCGGCACCGGGACACGTCAGGTTGGGCTGGCAAGGCAGAGAGAGACGTGCATGATAATTAGCAGAAATCGAGTAAAATAGTCAACTAAATAATATTAACTAAACGAAAAAAGAAAGGGGAAAAAGAAAATAATAAACAAGAAGAAAACGAGAACGAGAACGAGAACAAGAGAAACGAAGAAGAAGGGAACGCTAAAAGCAATGAACTAAGAAAAAACGAAAAAAGGAAGTAAAATAACCGGGAATCAGATAAAAAGGAAGAAAAGAAAAAGAGGAAAAGAAATAGAATAATACTTTCCAAGTGGTTCAGCGCAATATTTATTGTCCTTTATAACAAGACTACCTAATGTCCATTCCAATACCAGCCACCCCTCATCAACCATCCTACTCTCAACTTCATTCCTGCGCCACGACAGGGACCACGACATTCTCCCATAGCCTGCGCTTATCGGCGTCCGGGCTCTTTGTCCACTGCTCCTCCACCTCGGCGTAGTAGTCCCACCAGAGCTTATGGGTCGACTCAATCACGTCGTCGCCGTACGTCCTGCTCTTCCACGGCTTGGCGAGGATGTAGTGCAGAATCTTGACGTCGTTATCCTTCCATAGGTCACTATGGCACGACCGCATGGGCTTGAGCGCGTTGTACGTGTACGGCAGCGGCTTCCACTTGTTGCGGTACACGATGGCGAGCAGGTCCTGGTCGAAGAACATCATCTTGGGCACGTCCGGATGCGTGTTCATCGCGTCAATGAGCGCGTCGTACGCCGCCTTGGACGGCTGCAGGATGACGGTGCCGCTGTTGAGCAGATGGTGGTTCTTTGGGCTCTGCTCGGTGATGGGCCCGGGCTCGCCCGTCTCCTTATCCGCGGCGGCGAACCCGCAGTTCTCTGGAATCCTACGGCGTTTCATTAACCTGGAGCGTACCCCGGCGTGGCCCACATGCGTGCGGCCTGCGTGGCGCAACTCACCAGTCCTTGCTATAATGCGCCACCTTCCGCGGGTTGCAGGTGCAGGCGTGGGCTGCTGCGATGAACCCGCTCGGGAGGTCCATGGTCATCATGTCATCAATGTTCTGGAGGATGATCTGGTCCGAGTCCAGGAGGACGATTCGCTATGTGTGCCGCATCAACACTATCCAGGCTGGGCGACAAAGTCGTTACATCGGTCGGCGGAACGCACCTCGTACTCGGTCATCCCCCAGGGAGCGAGCTTCTCCCAGGTTCCCTTGTTGACCTTGCCGTCCCGCGGGGCAGGCTCAATCTTGTCGACGACGATGGTGGGGATGCCGGCGGCGGCAAACGCCTCCATGAACTCGGTGTCGGCTTCGACCTCGCGCGTTACCATAATCTTGAGCTGGTATCGGGAGCCTGTCTTACGTAGCGTGTGGTTGAGAACTAGTGCTCCGCCAAAATAACCACGATTAGTGAGCAGCGTCGACCATATCTTTGTGGGGTTGTATTCGAAATCCATGTTGTCGGTGCCGCGGTTTCCCCCTCTTTTTTCGTTGCTGACCTGGACCGTGGAAGCCGAGTGGGAAAGGGCTTCGCAATACGGGGAAGTGTGTAGAGCAACGCTGGGACAGAAGCAAGCCTTCGCCGCTCAATACTAAAGCGGTATCGAGATTAGAGCTGCAACTTGACGTCTAGACAGGCACACACCTCCGGTTTGCTGGCGAGTAAGCGAGGGGTTTTCCCACCCAAGATAGGTAGGTACCTAAGTTTCCGACCTAACATACCTCAGTTTCCGACCCAAGGTTTCCGCCCAATCAAGCAGGCGAATCCGCGTGATGGTGCCCGTGCAATGGATGTGCACTTTCCTTTCGAGTGACACGGCCAATCTGGTGGCGGATCTCTTTACCGTGCGGGTCGGGTCAGGGGCTGGCCAAAAGCAAGGCTCTCCACAACCCAAGACTCGTCAAGGCAAATAATCAATGGAATCCAACCCAAGTCTAACGCAAATCGATCTCCCAGTCAACCAAGTGGACTGTTCGACTTGCCGCTAGCTACCTGTGTTGATGGTACACAATAACCTACACAGTTTAATGGGCTACCTCGCAATAGTACAATCATTACACGTTCACCACTTGCGTAGGAAACTCTACGTATGACACAACCGGTAAGTCTCGATATCAGGGTCTCCCCTCATGCATCCCCGTTGATCGAAGTTCGTGGGCCATCGACTGCTCAACCGCGAGCAAGGCCTTTTCCGCCAGGGGTTCGCCCTGTTTAAGGTATTCCGTACTCATGGATCGCTTTAAAGCAGCTCCCCTTTGCAACAGACAGTTACCTGTTCTTAGGTGAGGAGTTCTGTTTTGAATGGAGCGCTACGCGGGGGAATTCAGGGGCTCACAGGAGCAGGCTTGGAAGCATTAGGTATGTTACTTCATGTGCATTGAAGGTTTGGGAGTGCTGTACCAAAAGAATTTACAAACAACGTGTGGGTGGAGAGGTTCTATTGTCATTCTGGAGCCCCTGGAAGTCATTTGTAACCGGACCCCCTATGATCAGGTAGGTGTCCACTTCCCGCTCCCGTGGCCGGACTTGAAGCATTCACAACCCTCCTGGCGACACAGCTTAAACCTTGTCCTGCGTCTCGACAGCATGGGCAGTAACCTTCTCCTCGGGTTCGTCGATGCCGACCTTCTCGTGACGACGGGCATACTCGTCCTGCTCGAAGACTAAGGGGCGAGTTAGCCAACACTCCGACAAAGCAAGACAAATAAGAAACTTACGGAAGGCAAGTTCTTCGAGAGAGCGCCCAGACGTCTCGGGCCACAGAAACCAGATCAGTACTACCTCGACTAGGATCCAGCAGCAGTACACCAGGAGGTACTTCCACCCAATGGCGCTGGTGCCTACAAGACCATGTTAGTCAAAGCCGCTTGTGGCAACCCAATTGCCAGGGACTTACCAATCGGGTTGACGTTGGTGCCAAAAAACTGAGCCGCCTTGCCCCAGAACTGGAAGATGGCGATGCCGCGAGCGCGTTGGGCGTAAGGGAAGATCTCGACGAGGTAGGCTGCCTACCGTTAACACATCATCCCCAGACCAGCAACGACAAGCAATGAATCCCGACTCACTGTAAGTCAGCGCGTTGAAGGCCAGGTTGTAGGCCGGACTGTAGGCATAAATGAAGAACAAGCACAGTTTGGCGGCCACGTCGGACTTGTAGGCGATGAAGACGGCGGTGCACGTGGTCCAGGCGACGTAGACGGCCAGGATGGACAGGATGCCCGTCATGTACATGGTGCGGCGGCGGAAGCGCATGACGACCAGGGCCACGCCCACGCCACACACGAGCGACCAGCACTGGTTGCCGAGGTTGTACTGGGCCTGGAAGGTCGGGTCCGTGTAGCCGATGAGCTGGAGCACGTCGCCCAGGAAGTACGAGATGACCAGGTTGCCCGACAGCTGCGTGAACAGGCCCAGAAGCGAGCCGATCAGCAGCCGCTGCCGCATGCCGGGGGTCCGCACCATGTCCATCCACGACTGCTTGGAGTTCTCCATTTCGATCTGCAGCGTCGTCTTGATCTCGAGGATCTCCGCCTTAACGAACTCGGACTCCGCGTCGCCCTCGGCGTGGTACTTGATTAGCACCGCCTCGGCCTCCTCGATCCTGTCTTTGCTCATCAGGAAGCGCGGCGACTCGGGCAGGAAGAAGACAAAGGTGATCTGGAGCAGCGAAGGGGCCATCTGTAGGAAGGATGGGATGCGCCAGGACCAGTCCGTCGCAATCTTTTGTGTCCCAAAGGTCGTCCCTGCGGCGACTATGGCGCCGATGAAGTAGCATGCGTTGAAGAGCGATGTCAGGATGGGTCTCTCCTTCGGATAGCCAAGCTCTCCTATCAAGCAGCTGCCAGCTACAATAGCGTACGGAAGACCGAAACCGATAATCCCCCTAGCGATGATATACATTGGGCCTGGTCTGTTAGGTCCTGTGACAACATGATGAAAGGGGATATATCGAAATCTAGATGTATGTGTTGATGTATGCTAAATGGCTGGGGAAAAGGTGACGGTGTTGCGGACAACAATGTCTCGGTAGTCTCTGGCGCCACATGTAGGGCTTGAAACAAGTATGAAGGTACGGATTATCCGTTGTTCATACTGTAGCCCAAATATGAGGAGAAGGGGGAGGATCGGGAGGGGAACAACCGGGAGGGGGAGGATCGGGAGGGGGACAACCGGGAGGGGGAGCACCGAAAAGGGGGGGACTGGGAGGGGGTCAAGGTGGACGAAGAGGTCTTACCGTTGATAGATAACCCCTGAATTATCACTCCCGCCACCATTACCAAGGACCCTAGCAGTATAGTCCAGCGGCGTCCCAGATTATCGTTGACGAGCGGGATAAAGGGTAGACCGAGGACGGAACCCAGCGGCAAGGCCGAGGCGAGAATACCATTATACGCTCCGGTGGGATGACCAAAGTCTAGAGACCAAGTCAGCACCATAGGTCACATCAAAAGAAACAGGGCAAGGGGGGAAGTAAAATAGGAAGCACATGACGGGGAAGGAAGAAAAAGGAAGGGGGGAGGGAAGAAAAAGGGGGAAAAAAAGAAAAAAAGAAAAAGAAAAAAAAAGAAAGGAGGTTAGGGTTAGGGTTGAAAGATGAAAACTTGAGACTACTCACACTCCTTCCAGGCCGGAAGAAGCTGCGCAGAGTTAATAATCTGCGAGTCAAACCCAGACGTCATCTCTATTCCTATCACACACGGGAAGAGGAGGAGGTACATCCGGCGCAGGTTCGGTTTCTTGTACCAGGGCACCGGATCCTCCATCGCCATCCGATGGATGCGGTTGTCGTCATCTCCGCCGCTGCCGCCCATGGTTGCTAGAGTATTGTTCCGGAAGCTGTCGATATCACGAGGAGATGGATAGTCGAATCAGGGTTGATCACAAGCCTGGTAGGAGATAGGACACTTGCACAGACAGCGAGAGCCCTGAACGAAACACGAACCCCCTTATAATACGACAGCGGCGGGTCCGATGGACATATAAGAAGACACTTACAGCGGCCTCTGCTTTCTTTCCCCTCTAACACCCGTATCCCCGATGCAGGACCCATCCTGCTGGCGCGTCCGGCGCTCAGGAAAAACACCAAACAGGCAGGACCAAGGATGGTAGGCCGTGAGTTTACCGTTTACCCATCCTGGTCCCTTTCCCAGATTAGACCAACGCCAATACCATGAGGCCTTTCGCATTGGGCATATTGAACACTACCGAGCCAAAGCAGGTCGGTCCGACTACAACTAACAGGCTAGTAAACAACCAAGTTGTTTCGTCCCCTGTATCGACCGCTTATACACTTCCCTACCGGTGAAATATGCGAGGTTCTTCGTCCGTGTTACCCCCGAAGCAAAGGGCCGCTCCTTTCTCGGGTGGCCGTCTCCGGGGTGGATGCAGGACGGGAAAGAGGGAGCTTTAGCCGGGATCGGCATGCGCCCCCCAACGAGATGTGATCTCTGGACGCGTGGAGTGGCGTCGAGGCAAGAGATCCGGCCTTTGTGATGGCACAACCGAAGGAAACTCGCGCAGTCCCCGACGAGGAGGAGAAAACCTCGTGCGTCCTTCCGCCTCGTGCCGATTATGATGTTACATGAACCAGCTACCGTGGTGGGGCATACGGGGATAAAACCATCAGCACTTGTGACCCTGGGATGGGACTTTGCAGCTGGACTTCTGCCGGCCGAATCGGGATCTCGTCTTGGCCCCTCCTAGCGGTCGCTTCGAGAAGCCCTAAATCGATGCGGCAGAGGCTCGGCGTGAGGGCTAAGCTTTGCCCAGGACAATCACTACATACAGAGGAGTTACCGCGCCAAGGGCTTGGAAGCGTTTTTTTTCGGCGAGATTGTCGATTTGGGGAACAGGGAAAGAGACTACGATAGACAGTCCTTTAGAACGTCGATGTTTGAGGTGCTTCCGGCAAGGGGGCAACTCCACATTAGGAATCACCAATACCGCCACAAGAAGCCGCAAAAAGCAGCGGCATGCAAAGGGCAAAATAGCGCCGGAGACGGACCGGTGTGACATTGTCAGACAGTCAGTCCACCATTCGCCGCCCCTCTGACGGAGTTTGGCACCCCTGTCGGCCCTTTCGACCGAAGTCATGACGACGAAGGACGATGAAGACGGTCCAGCGGGTTGAGGGGCGTCACCCCTGTGCATCCGAGGGAAATATCGGCATTGGTGTTTGGCACAAAGTGAAAGCGGGTTCGAGACGAGCACCCCCTGGATTTGAGTAGAGCTCCGATCCACAAGATTAGAAGGTCCAATACATGTAACGATGACAAAGGTTATTTGGTTTTCTGTGTAAACTGCCCAGCACTAGATGATATGCAATACGACCACCGTTCCCTTCCAACAGACAACCGCATCCCCCATTCCCCCAACCCCCCCAACCCCCCCCTTTGACTCCCCGCAACACCAATGGACGACCCACACTCCCCATTCCGTCAGCACCGCAGCTTAGGCCGCAACAGCCCCAATACCCAACAAGCTAAGGCACCCTCTCCTACCAGCGCAACACAAGACCACGCACACAAAATCATTGGACCCACGGTCGAGACGGCCTGGCTAGGTATCCTAGCCCAGCGAGGGCTGAGCATCCCCCAACAGCACCCGCACTCGAACCTGCCCCGAGGGTGGGTTCATGGTGGGCTATCATCCGGGTGGTGGGGATGAAAGGGGGACGCGGATAGTGCGCGCCGTGACTTGTTGACTGAATAAGGACCTACCCAAGGGAGGTGGTGGTTCATAGGACCTCGGGGGGTGAGACTGATCTAAGGAGGGGATGGATGAGAAGGGACTGACCTGAGCTGAACTGATGCTAGGTTTAGGTGCTGATGGTCTGTGAATTGTTGCTGTGCTTCCGGGGGATATGATGCGAGGGGTCGATCCATGAGGATTAGGACCTTACATATTAAGGTAGCAAGTGGCAGGTTTAGGTATGCGAGGTCCCTTTGGGGGCCGTGTCTACGTGGGCCGGCGGGTAGTATTATGAGTAGTTGGATCAATGTGGCGTGGCCCGTGAGTCTCAGACGTTCAGTCCTCTGGGCAAATCAAAATATGCCCGTCAATGGAAGTGCAAACCTCAATGGCGAGTATGGAAATTTTCTTGACGCCAAGGTCGGGGAGGGGGGGGAGGGTGAAGAACATCACGTCTAACTCCAGCGGTGCTCAACAGTCACTGCAGTTGTACCGTGTTATTAGTTGCAAGCTATATTGCTATACGCATCGTTGAGTTGATAGGATATGTCTATCACATCCCAGAGACATACAGTAACATTGTCCAACTGTAGCACAACCATTCGACGGGTATCAAAAACATCCCCAACCAACATTATCGCCGTGTACCTAAGATCTCGCCGCCCGTCCTCCGTCTTCTATATCCTATCAACTGGACTGACCCGTCTCTATAGGTTCCTGGATTCTAGGCAAAACCAAACCACCCGTTCTAAGCATTCCCCTCCCAAACATCATATACCGGCGCAGCAACGTCGGAGAAGACCACCCCGCACCAGACCCGTCGGCCTCTCACCAGCCACTAATCGCTCTCGTCACCGCTCAAGTCGACCTGTTTCCTCCGCTCCTCCTCGTTCATCTCGCGCCAGGTGCTCCAACTGAGCATAACAAACGCTATCACGATCAGCAGCCCGCCAAACATGGCTGCTCCGCTCAACGGCGTGCCCGTCATGAACCAGTCGACAATGGCAACCATAAAAATGGTCAATAGCGACGCCACCGAGCTGAGCACCGGGCTGGTCAGCGAGATGAGCACGAGGAACGACCCCGAGAACAACATGTTCATGATGACGCTGATGAACAGCAGCCAGGCCGTCTCGCCCGTCGGCACCTCGAACGTCTCCCACCCCATCACGTGCAAGATGGGCAGCGGGATCCATAGTACGAGCAGCGTGAAGGCCCCCATCAAGCTGCCAAAGGTATTCGCGAAGATGACCCCCTTCGTGGCGTCCATCCCGTCGGGCGGGCACGCAAACCGCTTGTACAACACCTCGTACAGTCCGTACAACACGGACCCAACACCAATGATCATGTTCCCGGCGAACCTCGTCCCAGGGTCCACCGCATCCCCACCAGCACCCGGCGCGGCCGACGACTCCTCGGACGACCCGTCACCTCCATCCCCATACGCAACCACCAACACGCCCACGATGGCCACCGCAACCGCCAGCATCTTATCCACGCGCAGCCTCTCCTTCAGCAACGGCACCGAAAACGCATACGCAAAGAAAGCGCTGCAGTTATAAATCGCGGTCAAATCGCTCGGCGTCGTCATGCTCACCGCCAAATACCAACTCAACCCCGCCACCGTCAGCGCCGACGTAATCACGGCCGTCGCCTTCCCCAAATACGGCCACGGCGAATGCCCATACTCCAACAACCCACCCCCATGCTGCACAGCATGCACGCCCGCCTTCACATCCCGCGTCTCCACCACCAGCGCAATCCCCCGCACCGTCCGCCAATGCCCGCCCCAAAACCGGCTCCAGGGCATCTCCCGACGCTGCGCCCGCAGGATCAACAGCTGCAGCGGCCACAGCAGCGCCCACGAGCCGTGCGTCAGGTAGAGCATGCAGTAGGCCTTGTCCCAGCCGCGGTCGTGCTGGATGTGCGAAGCCAGGATGGTCTGGGCCGTGAAGGAGACGAGCGACACGACGAGGAAGAAGGCCGCGAACGTGTACTTGCGCTGCGCTTCCGCGCGCGCCGCGGCGGCGGTCGCGTAGGTCGGGCTGCGCGAGCGCATGGTGGTTGTTGTGCTGGTGGCGGTGGTGCGGCGCGCGAGGCTTGGTCGCGTGTGGTTCGGGTGGTGGTGGTGGGGGGAGAGGAGGTCGGTTGGGGCGGAGGCGAAGGAAGGTGTGAGGCGTGGGTAGGGGGTTGGTTTGGAGGTGGGGAGCGGGCTCGCGTCGCGGCTGGAGCTGCGGGAGGAGGGGCGGTGGCGATCGTTGGCTTCGTCGTAGTCGTGGTCGTGGTCGTGGTCGTGTTTGGAATTGGTGAGGAGGGGATCGGCGTAGTGCGCGTCGCTGGGCCGGACCATCGCGTACCAAGTTCGGTGGGTTTGTGGTGACGGTTGTGAGGGTGTGCCTCCTCCGTTCTTCTTCTACACAGTATTCGTTCGCTCGTTCGACGTTCGTCTCGTCTGAAGTCGACAGGGGCGAGGTTGCGGTCCGATCGCAATCTCACGGGTTTTTGACGATGGCTTCGCAGATGCCGATACGGTTCCGAAGCAATGTGACGTCAACCGCCATTAAGCCTGTCGGGGTGAACCGAAGCCGAATGTGACGATGTTGTTAATTGTGTACTGTAAAACGCGTTTGCGAACAAAACCAGCCCGAGAGACAACAGTCCGTGCAGTTGGTTTCGGTTGATGTCAGAATTGTTATCACCAAAATTAACCAAAAAGTCGCAGATCAGAGCAAGAACCCCTGGGAGAACACGTGTGTTCCAAAACCCGGAATCCGTCACAATCCCATCAGCTGCGGTACCCCGGGAGCCCGGCACGAGCCCCTGGCTTGTGGGGAAGTTGCCAATCAGGGGCTGCATCTCTGCGAGCGGTGCTTGGTTGTGGGGTCGCAATGAAGATCTTCCCCTTTTTCGAGCCGGCAGGCGCTGCCATCCTTCTGTCAGCGACGCGAGTCAGCCTCTCGTGCCCCTCAGGGGGAGTTCCCAAGACCGTCACCGGCGTCACGAGACCAGTTTCCACGCGATCAATTCGCAGTCAGTTAAACGCAGTCAATAACTTATAGTTGAACGTAAGGTAGCCAATTTATTTGCACTTAGTTCAATACGGTCAATCATTAGTCCAAGGGAAAGCAAGAAGGTAAATATGGAAATGTCGTCCTCGAAACCCAAACTGGGTTCCATCATGCCAAACGGCATCGCTCATTGTTACATCAACCAGCCATATTACTGGCCTTCTCTCGCGACTGTACGAGCTGCTCCAGCTCTTCCAACGCCCTCTTAACATGTCCCCGTTCCTGCCTTTCCCTCCCGTCGTCCACCGCACCCGAATTCTCTGGTACTACTAGAGAATCATCGCTGAGTTCGCTCAGCTCGGTCTGCACAATCGTCAGAACGTGTCGTGCATTGAGGGGCTTCCGATCCCCGTAACTGTAGGCGGCGGCGGTGCGGAGTATGTTTTTGATGGTGCGGCCCTGTCCAGCGAACTCATGTTAGTCACGGTCCACTTGGGAGTCTTTTCTCCTTTTTTTCTTCCACGCATTTTTCTTGTCCGTAGGTCCTATTTGTGTGGGATAGGGTGTATCTGTGTTTGTCGCCAAAAGAACAGATATAATTGTTTTTGACGTACATTGAAATTTAGCTCGCCGAGAGCATCGTACAGCTCATCTTCCGTCGTCCATGAGGCGTCCACGTTGACGCCCGCCTGCGCGTTCTTGTTAACCAGATCACGCCAAATGGCCGACCTCGCGGCAGCATCAAGCGCCGGGTATGAGATCGTAACGTGGATGCGGCTCTTGAAGGCCTCGTCAAGGTCTTGCTTGCGGTTGGTGGTGAGGAAGAGAACACCCTGGAAGTATTCAAGCTTGCGGAGGAAGACTGTGTGCGACATGCATTAGTTTTCCTTCCCTTCCCTTTCCTTCCTCCCTTTTCAACTATTTTTTGAACAGGAAAATTGGTTTGTCCGTAAAGAAGCAAAGACGATACTTGCCTCCAACCATAGCATTTCGGTCCATCTCGGACGAGTTCCGCTTGCATAGCAGAACATCGGCCTCGTCCAGTAACGCCACGGCGTTCCAACGTTTGGTGAGATCAAAGACACGGTCCAACCGTTTCTCTGCCCGATCCACGTCTGTGCTGAGCTCGCCGCCAGAAATGGAATACAGTGGGCGTTTGAGGTGGTCGGAAATTCCCTCTGTTGTGCATCTTTTGTTAGGTAGTTGTCCTGTTTGGTCAAGTCAAATAAAAGGATAAGCAGTAGGAATTTGTTACCAGCGGTCAGGGTTTTGCCGAGGCCTACGTCTCTACATTAACCTTGTCAGTATACCGGTCGTATCACAGCATATATGTCAACGAGGGGGAGGGGGGTCTGAGGGGCGCTAACCCATGAAGCAGAAAAATAAGCCCCTGCCCCTTGCCCGCCACAACGTCGTCGAATCCAGTATTGACGCTATCTTTGTGTCCTTCGACCAGACACTGAATGAGCTGTTTTGTGCTCAGACGTAGCCGCAACGACTCAAAGGCCTTCTTGCTCCAGGCAACTTCAACCAGCCGGTCGGCCAGCACCCACCGCCACCGTTTACTCTTAAGTCCAAAGGCCGGCACGAGCGCGGGGAACAACAGCATGAGCTGCTTCCTTGGCACACCCAGGACGCTCTCGACCGTCTTGGCCAACCCGTCCAAGTCCTTTGGGTAGTAGTCAATCTCGTCGTCGGGTGGCACTTCGGTATCATGGGCAAACGGCCTGGGCTCAAGGATCTTGTGAATGTCGAAATTGGGTGTGTGCTCCAGCCCACCCTCAGCCGACACCTTGCACTCCTCGCGTTGGCATTGCGGGTCGCTGCACCGTGACTTGGCCGGCCGGTATGAGGGCACGAGACCGCGTCCCGGCGACGCGTTTTGGCCCGTCTCCAGCCTGTGCCCGTCGCGAACCCTGAGATCGACGAGCTCGGCCGTGACGTTTACTTGGTCGTTGGTAAAACCTTTAATGTCGACCAAGACCCGCTCGTCAATCTATCGGGGGAGATTTAGCCATATTTATATAAAACTTCCCCGGAGATGCGTAGAAGAATGTCGGATCAAAAGTAAAGAAAAGGATACGGAGGGGGTATACCTGTTTAACCTTCATCCCCCAGGGAGGGGGTTGCGCCTCATCATGCGTTTCCTGGGCGCTAATTCCCTCCCACGCAGTGCCATTGTACGTCTGGGCTCGATACTCGCACAGCGTGTCGCCCAATACCCGAGTGACCAGTTCGGCTCTTGCCTTGAATGTTTCCTCCAGCTTGCCCCAGTCACGGAAATATTGGGTCGGGACGAGCCGGAGCTCGGAGATGTTATACAAGCGAATCGTCACCCTTGCCACCATGATGTTTTGGCGGACCAACCCCGGGGTGCTGCCGTTGCACCCGAGCCGGAATCCCGACACCTGCCACCAGTCTATCCCAAAGTTGTCGACGACTCGGCGCACACTCCGGACGACCCAGCATTCTTTGACAAAGTTGCCGTTAAAGACGACTAAACTATTGGGGGGATACAAAGTCCAAATCATGTCTCCCGGGACTTGGCCTTTTTCCGTATACCGAGCATGGTCCTGGATGATGCTCGACAAGAGACCATTTTTGGTAATAAACCCAGCAAGAAGCAGTAACTCGCGGCGGAGGTCGCTGTCGATGCTCTTATCCTCGGCGCGAGTCTTGATGTCCTGATGATAGAAAAACAACTCGTAAAAGGGCGACGAGATCTGGATGGGCACCGTGTCAAAGTTTGTGCCTTCGTATGTGCTACACACAATACTCCGCAGAGCGGCGCAGAGGGCCGGAGACTGGATCTCAATCTCAACCCGCACAAGTCGGGGCTTGCTCTCGAGGTCCTGGGAAATGGTTCTTCGGAGGACAATGGCGTAGCTATCGTAATCCTTTTCCTTGCGTTTGGTCTTTGGGCCCTGGGGGATGTATTGACTGGTTTGGAGGATCTGAATGTCGATGCCGCCGTCGGGGTTGGACTTTTGGTACTCTATAATGTCTGCAAAGCCCTTGGCAGACGACTTCATCTTCGCCCCGACATCCTTGTCATGGGTGTTGCCCTTTGGGGGCAGTTAGCAAAACAAACCATAGTACTGGCGGCCGCTTGTCTCGGTCAACCGATCCACCGCATAGTTTGGTTTACCTTTAGGTTGGGATCAGTGCCCTTTATCCCAGGGGTAGAGCCCGGGGCATCATCGATGGATCCTTCTGAAAATATATCCGGAAGAGCTGTTTCGTAATCTGGTACAGACATGGTGGGCAAATTAAAGGCCCTGACAAAGGCTTGATGAGACCATGAGAATGATGACCTGTGTATCGAGGCGTAGGACGAAGCGACTTTTCTTCTTCGCTGTCTTATTGAACTCTCTCATAGGTCCAAGAGCAGAAGGGAAGAAATTGCATCCCTGCCGGCTCTGACAAGATCTGGATTCTCGGTGCCGGGGGGAGTTCCCTAGGTACTTTGAAGCCGCGAGTGGGAAATCAAAGACGCAACCACGACTGGCAGACACAGCGCATGCATGATGCAGCTCTACTCTATATTAGGTACCTAAATACCAAGTGAGGCATAGTCCAGGTGCGCCAGTTCTGTTGTGTCACACGCCTATCTTGGCTGATTCACCTCCCCATTGGCCTTTGAATATGGAGGCCTCGGAGCCTGACTGTCGATCCAGGCCTGTTTAACTCAGCCCTAGGTCTGTTCACTGAACTGAGCAGGTTTGAGCAACAAATCAGAAGTGCGAAGCGACAAGCGGCCACATCATCCCGCTCTGCTGCGACAAATCTAGAGCTGCTAGGCCACCCAAGGCTGCCGTGCCTACACCACCAATACTCGACTTCAAGGAAAGTCGGTGAGGAAACAGAGCGCTAACCGTGACTATTTGCAGTATGCCCGCATACATTGTGAGGGCGCCGACGATGCCGGTCAAAACTAAACGTTTTCGTGGATGTTTGGGCAGCGATCGATGCCTTGGGATTTGGGAAGTTGGTCTGAACGTGCCTTCTCCCAGCCACTCACTCAAATAGGGAGGTACGTACCAGTGAGAGCCTTCTCCCAGCTTCAAGTTCTGCGCAACCGCTCGGCGTTAGCCAATCAAAGCGGGAAACATTATGTGCATCAGGTTCAGCTTTCGAGGAAAGTGCAAAAAGCCAAAGAAATTGAGGCATGGGGGGTGGGGGGAAAGAGCGGAACAGAACATGGAAAGAGTCCCGGGCAAAATGAGAGGTGCCAGCAGCTTCCACCGTTCCACGATCATTCCCGTCCCGAGGCTCTCCTGCTCCATCCCCCTCCCCGTTTGCCTTATCGTTACAAACATTAGCTCCGCCCCAACATCGAATGCCAACTCTGGCTTTTCTTGGGCGTTGGTATCTACCTACTCGCGACCATGGACACCGACCCTCAGTTACCGCGACCTGTCACCGCGGACAAGTCCAATAGCCCCATCACGACTCGGCTTGGCAACACCTTGAAAAGGCTCATTGACCGCATGGCATCTTCTACCCCGAGCGACGAAAACAAGACGAAAACCCCCCCCGATGACCGTGACAATCATGTCGATAATAACAACACCGATAACGGCGATGGGCCGGCCATGCCATCGCTGTCCCTCGATATTAGCAGAGCCGCCGTCGTTGACAAGGTCCACGAGCATCGTTGTTTTCGACAGCCCGAAGTTGCCCAGGACATTGAAGTCACAGACTTGCCGGTATTTGACAGCGTCACGCCTTATGGCGTCAACGGCGAGGTTCAATCCCAGCTATGGAGTAAGGAGGTGACGAGACTCGTCGTCGCCGTCAACGGTAACGAGCCGCCCGACTTCCCGAGCTCAGCCGACTTCGCCGTAGACTCACGGAAGGCCTACGAGTTGCTCGCCACGGTATCCGACATTGTGTTTCAAGCCTTGCACGTTGTGATATACGACGCCGAATGTCTCCTCGCCGAGCATTCTCCTTCCTACTGCGATCACGGTACTATGGAGAGAAGTCGCACCAGCTTGTATTTCCTGTGCAACCGGGACGATGACGACGATGATGAAAAGTCTGACTACGACCCCGAGGTCTTGCGCAGACACCGCGCCGATATTTTTGCCTTTGTCGATTTTTGTACTGCCATCTTTGCCCGCATCCTGTGTGGCGGCACCGAGAAAATGTCCGTCGCCGTCGGCATGGTTGCCCTCCTAGCCAAGATATCCACCAAGCTCAAGGTGGTCTCTGCCAACCTGCGAGACATTGCCCAAACGTCAATCGACAACGGCACACAGTACTCGCAGGCTGAGGGTTTGAACGACAAGCGTCTTCGCAGGGGAGGGCTACCACCAAAGCCGCCAGCCGTTGGGGCTGGAGGGGACTCCTCCCAAACCCAGCAGGAGGAGCAGCAGCAGCAACAACGACAGGATAGGTTTACGTCAGATCCCTTGACCGGCCGTGGGGGATCCACCGGTCTCGGTAGTGATCCAGAACAATGGAACAAGTTCTTAAGGTCTAAGAAGGATGTGCTGCGACAGTTCTACATGGGCCAGTGCAAGCTGCTGCGAGACGGGCTCCTCGAGACCTTTTTTCATCTTGTCATCCGGGTGCGGGGCAACAACAAACTCATAAGTCGATCCTTTACCCGCTACGAGCTCTGTGCGACCGTCTATGAGACGGGATTTGAGCGCTTCCGAACCTTTGTATTTCAGGACCAGACCGGTTACTTTAGCGGCAGTGGCCATTCTTACAACATCCGGTGCGCATCCCACGCTTTTCACATCACCAACGCCATCGTCATGCGCATCGAGCGTAAAAAGACAGCTGAAAAGACCACAGAAATGGACGGTGGCCATTCTAGCAATGACATGGGCTCAGACAATGAGTCGATTGGCACCCAAATTACAGCATCCTACAGTCGAGAGCGGGAAGAGCCAAAGGAGTCCGAATCCTCACAACTCACACACCTACAGCAGCAACAACAACAACAGCAACGACATATTCCCCGCATTTACCTTACTCTAGGGTCCATGAACAATGTTATTGCTGTCTTGGTTCCGCTCTTGTTCACAACACCGCTTCTTGTGCACAACGTGGCCATCTACCTCGCATCGACAAACACATCTGTGGTTCAAGAGACGGAACCCGTCATTGTGAGGCCGCAATACCGCGTTTCCGCCTTTTTCTGTTTGGATACCGAGGAATACCGCGAGGCGCAGCGGCAGCAGCGGGAACAGCAGCGGGAACACAAGGCTCGCGGCACCCACCGCAACTCGGACCCGCGATCCCTGTCCAACTCACTCATCCATCGTGGGGGGTTGCTCGCGGGCGAAAAGGTGGCCAAGATTGGTCGCGTCGGCACCTTTCCGTTTGTGACACCAGGAGACAACAGTGGTTGGTTATCGTTCTTGGGGAGGGGAGGAGCGGGAGGGGGAGACGTCCGTACCAGCCGGGCTGGACCGTCGGGAATGGCCAAAGGAGAAGGGGCGGTCCCGGCCCCGGTTATTACTAACTTCGACTCCTCGGAGCGTATCCGCAAGCACCGGAAACAGCTTGACATGGCCGGCGACAAAATGCGCGCGTGGGTACTCGAGGAAAAGGGCGTCATGGTGCGATGCCGGCTATACGTCACCACCGTCATGCTCGTCTGCACGGTGCTCGTCGTGGGCGGCATTGCGGTTGGCATCAGTGTCGGGGACCGCATCGCGGGCGTCGATCCCTTCAACATTACCACGTACTGCTGGGTGCTGGCCGCTTTCGTCGTTCTCGTGGCCAAGAGTGTGCGCGTGCACGAGTGGCCGTGGAACGACTTTTTGTATGACCGCGTCTTGTGCCGCAGTGTGTCGGAGCTGTCGTCAGTGACGAGCATCCACGAGCAGCTGATACTGGCGTACCTGTTGCAGACAGAGAAAACGAGTTTTCTAACCACGAGGGGGCCCTTCAACGCAGTGTTCAACCGGCGGTCCGACGACGGCTTCTCGATTGACCGGCCGTTGAGCATGTGGGCCATGTTGATTAGCGGTCTACTGCCCGTTGAGGTACATTCATTGTACGGGAGGGGGCTCGTCTGTCTGGATTTACGCCGGGGTGAGACATTTGATGCGGTGCCCAAGAGCCCGGAGCTTTGTGTGGCGTCTTTGGAGACCAATGCGAAGATGCGTCTGGTCTGTGAGCGGCTCCAAGACCAGGCTGTCAATCCGAGTACGGGAACGGTGCGGATCAGGTTGGAGCGAGCCGATATGGTGCGGTATAAGGCGGTTGGGTTTTACGGGAATGACAAGGCTGTGTTTATTTGATGGGATGGGGGAAGTTTGGTCCCGTCCTGGGCTATGTTGAAAGTCGGAAAGGCGTCAGTTGGTTCTGGGGTCGCCATGAAGACCTTCCCCTTTTTCCAATCTGGCAAACGCCGCCATCCGTCTGTCAGCGACGCGAGTCAACCCCTCGTGCCTCTGTGGTCGGCGAGATGAGTTTTGGGCCTTTATTGTGTAAGCTGGTTGTCATGTCATGTTTTGGAAACTATTCAACTACCAACTGGAATAATTGCGTTAGAGGGTCGGCCCGTCCCGCACCGGAACGGATTTGCCGTTGCCATTGTCAGACTCGGAAGCCAAAGTATTACGATGACTGGAGAATTGGGTAAACCGAAGGCAGTTCTTTATATCTGAGGGACAGTTGCCCTCAAGACCGAGTGAATAAATAAATAATTTTCTTGGAGATTCGGCAACACTGCGGTGGTTGAATATGTGGGGGACAATCGCCCTTGAAGTCCAGAAAAGTCCTCCAAGAAGTACCGTGACGGTACCGAACCGAAACCCAGGTGGTCCAAATACAGGTGCCAGTGCCTGAAGGAAAATTATCCCTAAGATAAGCCTCAAAATTGAGAAAGTTGAAGCTCCGTGGCATAACCCACTCATTCCTTCTCGCAGCGTTCCTTTGACAATCACAGGATCCAAGCTTCACTGAAGTGAATGAACATCACTGGCAATTCACTTTTGGGGACGGAGTGGGAGTATTGAGTTTGGATGGGACTTGCGTGGACTTGTCACATATCCCCTAACCCTAATCACGAGGTGTGCTGCCCCAGCATCTGCCCCGTGAATCACGTGCAGGGAAGGGCCCGGTGCACTTTAGGAATTCGCGTCGCGTCTCTTTTTCCCCACGCCAGACCACTACGCGTCTTTTCGCGACTTTCACTCACGCCTTCCTGTGCCAATTAATCCACCACTGCCCATTGGACGCTCCCTCCCCTGACTTCATCGCCTTCAGCCTTGTTCGGCACTCCCCCATCACGAGTTGCGCAACACCGAACCCCCAATCTTCATTCCTCCAACACCACCCGCAACCTCCACACCGACCATTCAACTCTCGCCGTCATCGCCAACCTCCTCATAATCCTGCGAGACCACACAATCCTCGCATCTCCCGTCGTCTGCATCTTAACCCCTGCGCAACACTTCCAACCCAATCGACAGAATGGCCGCCGACCACCCGAAGGCGGGGATATACAGCGCTACGTACAGCGGTGTAGGTGTTGCGTCCCCAGTTGTTCCGTCCCCTGGATGCTAACCATCTTGGTTTCTTGCAGATCCCCGTCTATGAATACCAGTTCGGCCCCGATATGAAAGAACATGTAATGCGCCGTCGAGAAGACAACTGGATTAATGCCACCCACATTCTGAAGGCTGCCGGGTTCGACAAACCAGCGAGGACGCGCATTCTTGAGCGCGACGTGCAAAAAGATGTCCATGAGAAAATTCAGGGTGGCTACGGGAAATACCAGGGTGCGCCCCCCTTCCCCCTGAAATTCGTGTCCTGCGTTTACTAACCATGCACTCCAGGAACATGGATTCCCCTCGACCACGGCGAAGCGCTGGCCCAGCGAAACAACATCTACGACCGGCTACGGCCCATCTTCGAATTCCAACCAGGCAACGAGAGCCCGCCGCCTGCGCCGAGACATGCCAGCAAGCCAAAGGCCCCCAAGGCCCGGCCTGCTGTTCCGAAATGGAACAACAAAGCGCAAGACCGGAAAGCCTCCTTCTCACACCCACACCACCAACCGGCTGTGGTAGTACAAGAAGAGTACGACAATACGAGCCAGATAAACGAGGATGATATCCCCGATAACCTGACTGTTGCCTCGGCATCATACATGGCCGAGGATGACCGGTACGACATGTCGCATTTCTCCACCGGCCACAGGAAGCGCAAGCGGGAAGAGATGCTGCAAGACATGACAGAGCAGCAGCATGCCGTGTACGGAGATGAACTGTTGGACTACTTTCTGCTCTCTAGAAACGAGCAGCCCGCAATCCGCCCAGATCCTCCCACCAACTTCCAACCCGACTGGCCAATTGATACTGAGCGGCACACCGCGTTGCACTGGGCTTCTGCCATGGGCGACGTGGACGTAATCAAGCAGCTCAAGCGATTTGGCGCGAACCAGGCATCTCAGAATGTGCGCGGCGAAACGCCGTTCATGCGATCTGTCAACTTTACAAATTGTTATGAGAAGCAGACCTTCCCGATGGTACTGAAGGAGCTATTTGGCACTGTGGACGCACGGGACGCGTCCGGGTGCACTGTCATCCACCACGCGACCGTAATGAAGAGCGGGCGTGTCACTAGCCACTCATGTTCGCGCTACTACCTCGACAACATCCTCAATAAGTTACAGGAGTCGCGATCAGCAGACGAGCTACAACAACTGTTAGACTCCCAGGACAACGAAGGCAACACAGCCGTACACTTGGCGGCGATGCGGGATGCACGCAAGTGTATCCGGGCGCTTCTCGGCCGTGGCGCATCGACCGATATCCCCAACAACCAGGGCGTGCGAGCAGAGGATTTGATCAAGGAGCTCAATGCCTCCAAGACCAAAGTTGCGCGGGGACCGGGACCACCGCAGCGCTCATCTAGTCCATTTGCGCCCGAGTCGCAGCGACACAATGCCTTCCGTGATGCCATGGCCGAATCCGATAGCAAGCTTCAGGCGAGCTTCCGCAGCGAGGCGGCAAATACTGTGCAGTCACGTATCACCCCTCTTGTCTTGCAAAAATTCCAAGACCTCGCCCAAAGCTACGAAAACGAGCTCGACGAAAAGGAGAGCGCGGAAAAGGAAGCGCGGCGGATCCTTCTCAACACTCAAGCAGAGCTGGCGAACCTGCGAACCACCGTCGCAGACCTCGAATCCCGCCTTGAAGCCGAAGAAGCAGCCGCAAAAACAGAAGCCGAGGCAGCCGAGACAGCAAAACAAGTCCTCGCTTACCTAACCCACCAGAACCGCCTGGCGATACAGGACGCCATCAACAAGGAGCTCGCGACCGTCAACGGCGACAGCAGCAAGCCACCCAGCGATAAACCCAACGGCCAGCCCTCCCCAGCCCAAGACGGACCCAAACCGGACGAATCCGCAGACGACAAGGCCTCCCCCTCGGACGCGCAGGAGCGCCTCCGCCTCGCGACCGAGCTGCGCACGCTCCTGCAGGAACAGCGCCGCGCCGAGGCCGAATACGTCGAGGCCCGCGGCCTGACTGGGACCGGCGAGAAGATCGACAAGTACCTGCACCTGCTCAAGTCGTGCCTGCCGCCCGAGGACCAGGAGATGCTGGACGAGAACCTCGAGGATATGATCAAGATGATGGAGGACGAGGCCGACGTCCTATCGGCGGCGGGCGGGGCTGGTGGTGGTGGTCCCGGTGGTGGTGGTCCCGGCGCTGGGGAGGCGGTTGGCGCCGCGGAGAGCGCGGCTGCTTCCGCGGGGCTGCCCGTGGCTGTGCCTATCGGCTTGGGCGTCGAGGTCTGAGTTGGGTCGTTCTTTGTAGTGCGGTTTTGACCCGGCCGAGCCGTCGTGTCTGCACCCACGCCCTTTGGGTGTGTTGTGCTGGACGGGGGCTGTGTTTGGAGACCTGCGGCGATCAGACTTCTCTGGGCCGGTGGACGACGCGTCCCTTGTTTTTTTGGGTTGTTCTCTTTTTCTTTTTGAGGGAGGTCGTTTTGCCGCGAAGTCGGTTGGTTGGTATTATCCCCATGTTTGTGGTCTGAACCGCTCATGGCGCTATTTTGTTGTTTATATGGTTGGTTGGTCTTTGTGCGCCATCCTCTTGATATCGGAGAATTGGTCGGGTAAAAACATCAGTTGTATCGGGATGGGCGTAGGATCTGCCTTTTCTTTTCTCCTCTATCCCTCTCGTTGTTGAGGCGAGGTACTTCTTAGGGTTTGGCGTTACGCTTACCGGGCTTGGGTCTTGTCTACTCGTCATCTTTTGGCACTGGGATTGTTTACTATTTCGTTGGGCGAAGGCTGGTACGGGACACACACATACCCGCAACGGCTTTGAGATAACTTGTCTTTTACGCTACGATACTTTTACACGAACACGTACGAGTTTAGCAGTCTACCTAGGAAGAATTGGCATGTCGCGTGCGCGTTCAGGGTCCATTTGCCCCGCGCGTATTTGCCCCTTTGACGAGCTTCGAGGCGCGGCCATGACTTACCTTGTCACCAACACGTCCTCAGTCCACGGCAGCCGGCCGGGCCAAGAAACAGGACGCGTTCCAGAGCGGCCTCTTTCCGCGCGCCAGTGGCGAATTGGCTCTCGTATAGCCGGGGTTCCAGAACCAACCGCTCGTCTTCGCCGGCCGCAAACCGAGGCCCGCATCCTGTACCCGATCCCCCTCTGTTTCCAGCTCTGGGAGATCCCCCCCCCAGGATCCATCCACCCACCGTCTCATGCCTCGAGACCCACGACAAGCAAATAGTTGGTCGAGGCTGATCGGGTGGGTGCGTGGCACAGCCTCTTGAACAGCGGTGAGGGAAGGGTCTCCTGTTGGTCTTCTCCCTTCCGAGCTTGCCCTCCCCGCTGCGCGGCCGCCTGGTGTTGATCACAGGATTTTTAACTCGGTGATCGTCCTGGAGATCGAGCGGGCCCCATATATCTGAAAGGTAATTGCCCTTGAGATCGAGGAAAAAGCCGCCTTGGACCCCGAGTCCCGGGAAACCTGAGGCAGTCCCGGCTCGCCATTGATCACCCGGCACTGGGAGGTATTGCTTTTCGCCAAGTGGGCGCGCCGTCGAGCTGCGTCTTGCAGGCGGGATGAGGGAATATCAAGGAAGCAGGGACCCGTGGTTGACGTTGGGGGTGTGTATCCAACAAGCAGGATGATCCTCCCTCTGCACCACCAGTCTCCCGTGAGCCGCAGCGGCGCAGCCCAAAGCTTGCTCCACCGGCAATCGACTTTGATGCATCCCTTCCCTGCAAGTCTAGGCCCGTCGTCGCCTCGAGTTTCTCGATCAAGGGCATCCGTTGGTGCCGAGAGGGCGGTCGCCAGTCATGGTCGAGTTCCGGTTTTCCCAGTCTGTTTGCGTTGACGAGTTCCAGCTCGGATGCCCATCACGCGGCCTTCGTGACGCTTCAACACTGCTTTACTGGTCCTCCTCGCCTGGCCTCAGAACCAATGGTCTCGCAAAGCGAAACGGCCCACCAATGGTCCGCCACCAAACAAGAATCCTCGGTGACCGCGTCCCTGTCGGGTTAGCACCGAGTGGTTGGTTGGCTCCTAGGGGTGGTTGGCCAGTCGGTATTGGCATATTGAACCCTATTCCGACGTCCCGTGTTTTGAAAAGTGCCGGCAACTGATGAGCGGGACACTCGGGGAGTCGGGGAGCCTTGAGGTTGCCCCAGTTGAGCCTCATGGTACGCGGTTGAGGGCCGGCAATCGAGGCCAGGCTAACCTGCGGCGCGTGTCTGTATGGCAAGAAATCGGAGTGTTACGCAACCTATTGCGTTGCTCAGCCTCATTACTCAATGCTAAGGTGGAGCTCTTCGCTGGAGTACTCAGCTTCTGGTGTTCCGCCCCGAGACGACACGGAACGCGGCCATAGCCAGGCTGGGCGGAGACCGCGGAGCCTGGCCAACACGCCCAACATCCGGGTGCATCGGAAGCTCTAGACAGCGTATCCTGGCCATTCATATCGCGATAGGAAGTCATGCAACTCGTCACGAGGCGCGCAATAGGATGCGCGGGCCTTGCGGCGGCGACCCGAAGGTCAGCACGATATTGGACGGATTACCGCAGAAGAATCCCCCCATCGTTTCCGGTCGCTGCGTCGTAAATGGGCCGCGGAACGGCAGCCACAATAAACGCGCTGAAAGGAGTCGTGAGGAGCCCGTCCGAGGACACGAAGTTTGGATGAAGTTGGCGTTGAGTGGCGGGTACAGGGGTTGGGGGCCGGTGGGCCTTGTGGCGCGCCAAAGCCATGGAAGCTGAGTGATTGCGCGGCCAACCAACCAATGGCCAGAAACAAAAGTCGCCTCACGAGCGGTCTCCCTCTCCGAGCTGAAGAGCGGGAACGCGAAGGAACAAGTTTTTCCGTCAAAGTGAAAATCTCGAAAGTAGCGAAACCTGGACATTTGTCACGGGCTTCAATGCCCAAATGGGAAAGGAAACTGGCGGTCAACGACATCGCCGACGGCGTCACTCGGCGTCGCACCAAGGGAAAGGAAGCCAAGCCCATGACCCTGCTCGGAGATGAGACCAGTTGATCCAATGCCGAAAACAACCATGCTTCGTGAGAACTGACCCCCCATCCCCCCGCTCCGGCAATTCCCCTCAGATAGGCACTCGAGGCACTCCTGCGGAGTGTTGCTCGTCGGCGTTTTTTGATCCCTCGGGTTCTTCTTGCCAACATGGAAGAGCCGCCTTCGCTTCAGAGCACAGTGCTCGGGCGAGGGTCCCGAAGTCCCTCACCAGGGGACCAACCTTGAAGTGGGGCAGCAGGGGTTTGGTTCGTAGGGCTGAGAAACGAGAGCGGGGCCTTGGAGATCATTCCTTGTTTGTGCAACGCTTCCTGTCAGCGGGATCCTCCACTCTTCTCTGGCAGGTGCCCGCCATGATCGGTCGACAGGTCGGGTACGAAGGAAACGAGAAACGTCGGGAGTAAGCGCCGTCGCAACTCCCCGAGCAACCCTTGAAATCGTTGGCCCACGGCGTTCCAACAGGAAGCGGACTCGGATGACCATGACAGACAGCGAAAGTGTTTTCGCTGCGATGCGAGGCGGGGCTAGATTTGAACTGAGCAAAGCAACCGTTGGACGGGATGCCCAGCCGCATATGGCTGCAAGCAGGATGGCGTAATGCGGGCGGCTGCAGTTTTTGTCGTGTTTGCCGCCATCTCCAAGCTGGCCGGGTAAGGTGTGTGGGCTAAAAATGAAGTCGAAGGGGAGAGTCAACAGGTTTTCGGAAAACCGTTATGTCTGTGCCGTACCTATCGCATGGCCCCTTCCGAACTAAGGATTGGTCGACCGCGGACGGGGTGATGGGATGCACACCCACGTCTTGTTGACAGGATTTCTCCAGCTCGCTAACAGTTTGATGAACTTGTCCAGTTGGTGGCAGGGTGATGGAATGAAGGCGGTGCGACGCATCATTGCTCGAGCCCCACCACCTACACGAAGTACCCTGAACAGCTCCCGGATCCCTCCTGCCTGTCTCGGCTTGCCTGTCCCGCGATTCCCTGCACGGTGCGTTCCCAGTTGTGAGAATGCCCTGCCAAGTGGACATCCCCGCCCCCAACCTTCTCTTCCTCCTTCCACGGGACCTGAAGATTTCTTCCACACAACTCGAGCTGTGCCTGCGTACTGCGGGTCGGCAATGCGCGTCCGGGGTGCGACCATCCGAACCTAGAAATAATCGCACCGAACTCTCAGCAAAGCGAGCCAATTTCGGTGCAAAGAGCCGAGCCATTCGACAGGGCTGGAGGGCTCTGACATCAGACACAGTAAAAAACCCCGCTCCTGTGCTGCACCTTGGAGAGATGCATGCACGCATCACGCACCGCATCTGTCGCCCCGATGCGAAGGCCGTCGGTCGTGCATCAGCAGCCCATGTGCGTCCTGCAGCCTCGGTGATCTTCAGGTTTAGTTTTCGCCAGATACGCGCTAACGCTTGTCTCAGAGATGACAGGCTTGGGCTGACACAGTGCATGCGTGCACAGGAATAACCAACCTTGTTCGGACATCTGAATGCGCATTTATCATTTATTGACGAAAAGTGCCCAAGGGGATCGGGAAACTCCAACTGGGAGAGCAGCGCGGACACAAGGCCCGCCAACTACGCGACCCACGACCGCAAGCCGGCGAGCAAATGAGTCGACGCTGCAACCTCTCAATCAAGAGGCCTCGCGGGCCCACGGGGGATGCGAGGCGCCGATCCGCCCGTGCCGTGGCATGTTTCATTCCCCAGAAAATGCGTGTGGGTGCTGACGGCACCCCCAGGAGGCTCAGAGCGAGCTGAAGGGCACAATGCTAGGCCAAATCCGGCCCTGCAACCAGGGACAGCCCGTTCCTGCGCGCCTCGGACTGGGGGGTCTGGGACACAGGGTCACACCCCGCCGCCCCTCGTGGGGCTTCACCAGTCAACTCGCGTCGCCTGCTCTTTTGATCTCACAGGGCTGCAGCTGCCGCAAGCAACCCAAGAGCCGCGACTCGCACCGTCGCTCGAGTTCAGCTCTTATCCGTCCCATAGACCCGTGCCACGAGGAAAGATGTCCTGGCCTCCGGGGCTCCGGGACACTCAGCACTACCAATTCGAATTCCACATCCGCCACTGTGGGCTGTCAACACTAGCAAAGAAGTCAGTCAGTTACGGGTGGCAGGGATTCGCTTTTCTTCGCTGGAGGTCGTTTTCCGTCAACGCCAAGAACAACAAGGCCGCAAAATGGAAGGGTGCGAGTTCCAACCCCCCCCACTCGACCACCGGCCTCCCAAAGGAGAGTGACATGCAAGCAAGGCTCACAGGGCAGGAACAAGCTTAATGCCCGCTCGCCAACCCGCGCTACCCTTGCAACACGCCGCAATCCCGCCGTCCAAGGACATTCTCATCGTGCTGACAGCTACCGTTGGGCAGGTGGCATTTTTGGACCTCCTTGGCCCACTGCTCACTTGCCCGAATCCGGGAGTTTTGATGTTGAGTCCCGGCAGCGAGTGGGCGTGCGCGTTGGGGCTCAGGCGTGCCCCTAGCTCATGACCCATCAACGTTGCACGGCGGCTCTCACGAGATTGGTCGGTCTTCTTGGGGTCGGCGTTCGGATGAGAGCTGACCTCAAGACTGAGGGGCTCAAACAAATCACACTAGTGCAGACAGAAGCTAGTCGGAACTTCCAACAGTATTGGCACTTCTCGATCCGATCTCCGCCCTGCAAACTCGCCAGGATGGCGGTCTGTGTCGGGTGGGGCATGGCGGATTTCGCAAGGGCAGTCTCGCCTTGCCAGGCTTGTATAAGTCTTCCGGATTCCCGTCTCCCCCCGACTTCGACACGCGAAGGTCTCGGAACGAGTCTGCCCCCCTCTCTAGTCGTTATCACAGGCAGGTCTCGCATTTGCGTACTCTCAGAGCCACTCTTTCCGTCCTTGGTGACTTGCTTTCCCACTTTCTTGCACTCCTCCCCGGACGAAACGCCGCGCCTCTCGCGCTTGTGAGACCTGACCCGCGCGTGTAAGTCCCTTTCCTTTTCGAGTGCTGCAACGCTATTGGACAATGCTGTCCCTGCCCCTCCGGTCGAGCCCTCGATGTTGACGCCAAACTGACGGGCAGCCTCACTCCTCCACAGCCCGTACATCCAATTCATCTCTCTGGAGAACTCCATGTTGATAAGGTAAGGCAGCCCTTGGCCGAGTTTCAGGCCCTCTGGGCGTCAGCCATCTAATGGTGGTTAGTTCAGCGCGAGTGGAACCTGCGCACGCCCTCCGTCGGAGATCCTGGCGCTGAAGCCAGCCAATTTCCGTGCCACCACCCGACTTCCAGGGACACCTGCCTGGACCACCCCTAGCTCATAGCGCCGGCCACCCACCGAGGCCGAACTTACAGCGGATTGGAAACGAAAACCCCCAGTGGCCCCCAATCGAGCGGTAATTTATTCTTCTTTTTTTCCCAAAAGGCATTGCCCAAATGCCAACCATAAAGTACCCTCCCAATGTCAGCACTTGGGAGGTACCAGCTCCAAGCCACTACTACCCCAAGGCCGTGAGCACCCATATATATCTCGCCATCGCCTTTCTTGCTATCTTGGTTGCGGCCCGCTTCCTTGTTCAGCGCAAACGTCCCTTCCAAACCCCTGCCCAGGGGCTCCAAACATTCGACGCCAAGTACAACTCAAGCAACCGTTTTCTGCTTACATCTGGCGGGGGAAAAGATCGGCAGCGGTTTGCTCCGATTCCCGAGCCTCAAAAGGGCGCGCAAGAATCACGAGCGGACCTGGTGCGGGGGTTCATCCCTCTGCGGGTTGTGCCCAGTCAGCTCGGAACTCTCCGCAAGCTTCCCACGATGGACGGGAGTGAGGGCGGGCTAGGGGAGGATCATTACCCATGGTCAGCACTAGAAGCATCACGTGGTGTCAGCACCACCAGCCCCAACCCGTCTCAGGGCCCCTCAACCACAGGTCCGAGCTCGGTAACGGTCACGGCATGGACAAGACGCAGCTGCTCACCGCGTACATCTTCACGGGGGTCTTCCACGAAACGGCACAGCGGTAGCTCAGATGGGATTGGGAGTCAGACATCCAAAGGAAAGGCAACGGCGCCCATGGCCGGGAGCAGCGGCCACATCAGCGATCGCTCAGAGGGCGCAGAGATAGGCGCGGGTGACGAAACGCCGGGTCTGCAGTTTGGTGACGAGCAGTTTCGTCCCTTGCCAACCACCGACTCCGCCGTCCCCAGGCACTTCTCGCGACCCCCCATGCCGCCGCCCTTGACGCCGCCGACACTTCAAGGCACCTTCTTCCCCTTTGAGGACCGCCGCCCGAGCTATGCCGCCTCGCTACCCCCAGCACTCGACGCGAGCTTTATCCACCAGCCTAACCCGGAGTATGGGGCCTCTTCTAGTTCTGCAGACGTAGTCAGCTCCAGCCCTCAAAATGCGAGCGCTTTTCCCCGCCGGAGATCCTACACCAGAAGCGTCCCCATTGGCGTCCCTATCCCGCCCACCACCGCCTCTGCGTCCTCTTCTGCGGAGACGATGACCTCCGGAAGCACGACAAACACCTTCTCCCCGTCGAGCTACCCGCCAACATCCCCCCTCCTCCCACCACCGCCGCCAGGTCAATACGAGCTACCGCCGTCAGCACCACCAGCGTACGAGTTTGTCGGCGGGCCAGGCGGACCGGGCGTTCTATTATCCCAGCAAGAGATCGATCTGCAAGGGGAGATCATCTCGGTGATGGACGATGCCGGACACGGGTGGAAACGGCATACCAGAGTATATGGCGGTGGCGTTTGCTTGGCGTGCGTTGCGGCCGCGGGGAGGGATGGCGAGCAGGGCGGGTTCTATGGGGACAAAGTGCCGCTCGAGGATCGGCGGTAGCGCGTCGCGACATCGATGTCCTTTAACAGCCTGCCAACAAAAGCGTTACGCAACCGCAGTTGAATATGGTGGCTATCTGGCGATGCGGGATCAAGGCGGTACTCGAATTGGCGTCGCAACGGGAAACCCTCGCTTGCAATTCAGTTGGTCGGCGCGACGAGGTCGGATTTGAGTTGCGGGCGGTGGGTCTCATGCACGCAGACGTCCGTTCGTTGTGCTCGCATGCTCGCGTCGGCTACTGCATGCTCCAGGGTGATTCCGATAGGTAGGCTCCTCCCAGCCGTACTCGGATCGGTCAAGTGGGGTTGTGGTTCTCTTCCGCGGTCCGTTGGGCATTTAAGAGACTAGTTGGTTCTTGTGGTGGGCCACAAGAGGTTGCACCCGGCTATTGCATTGCAATCTTGGAACGGTGGTCTATGGTACTTCTAATCGGGGACCCTTGCTTGGATATACGGTTAACGGGCACGGCAACCTGGGGTTGGGGTTTTCTTTGCTCTATGTAGGTGTCACGTTTAGTGGCTAAGACAGCGTGTTCGCGCCCGAGATGGGAGCGTCACAAGGATGTTTATAGTTCTGGTGATGATTATCATGAATTTCTTTTTCTCTTCCAATATTCTACCATGCCAGTTTCAAGACGCTGTTGTTTTCACATTCCTACTATCATGTGTATTCGACTTACACTGGCATGCATTGGTGGCGCTTCAATGTTATTGACACTTCCACAAAACCACAGCCTTCGTTTGAAACATTTACTTGGAATATACCCACCAATTACCCACCCCCTATCTTTGATGCAGTGTGAGGTTGACGAGTTCAGTATCAATCATGAGACTAGCAGCACAGTCAGATATCACACCACATCGACGTCCAGAACCAAATAACTAGAGTATGACACCCACAGCTAACCATGTTCTCAGCCATACCACCAATTGTACGTAGTTACAACTCAAAAACTTCACTTTGCCATCGGTGAGATTGAAGGTTACGCTTGTCCAACCCCCGTCGGCCGCAAACTTCCGAGCCAGCCACACTACCGCGTAGTTCAGACCGGCATGTGGTCTTTTCCCCGTGCTGCTGTGCGGCGGCGGCGCAGGCAACCTCTACGAGCCGGAGCTGCGCACATCAATCTCGTGGATAAATGGGGGCTCTTCAGCTGCCACTAAGCCAATGCGACAAACCCGCGGCGCGTCTTTCCAGTTCCGAGGAGCCTGAATCCCCGAACGCTATCGGCACACAACACCTGTATCACCCGTCCTCCCCCACCGAACGCGGATCGATATCACCCCCCATATCACCAACACCCTCTGTCTACGCACGTATCAGTGAGGCACAGTCGCGTCCTCCCCGGGCAAGGCTGACGGCGATCATGATGCAACTGTCCGTCCGGCCCCAGCCGAATGCCACCTCTCACTGCCCGCCCCAGGACTTGAACCTGAACCTGAACCCGAACCTGAAGAACCCCGTACCGGGGGCGGAAGTGGGTGGAAAATGCCGCGGGGCGGAAATCGGATGCCTAGAATTCTCACGTCATCTGCGCCGCGCCGGCACACTACAGTACACTAGTGGAGAGACCTGTCGTGTGTGGATGCCGTCGCCGCCCGCCCCCCGGCCCGGCTTGTTGGCACCCTAGGGGGGTGGGTTGGTTCGGGAAACAGGGGATGGGGCTCACGTCACCGCGGTTTACACTAATCAGTGATCGTTGATCGGTTGGTTGGTTTGTTGGTGGCTCTTAATCACGCCTGGCATGGGTTGGGTTCGGACTCGAAAAAGGCCATGGGGTCGGGGGCGAATTGTGGAGGAGTAATCGCGAGGGTTCAGGGGCCTCGGTGTGAGAAACAAGGCAATGATACTCTTTCCGGGCCCCGGCCTTGATCAATTACTCATCTGGCGTTGTTGGTACCGCGGAGATGGGGATTGCTGCCAGCCCGTGTTAGGAATGGCATCAGTTGAGGGATTTCGACATGTGTTTGTTTGTCTTGACCGAGGTGAGACGGAGAGTGACATGTACGCAAGTCTCATCCTTGGGTCTAACGCTATGTAGATACCGGCGGGAACTCGGACGAGCCGGACAGATCCATTCCTCGGCGAGGTTAGCGGTGAAAGTGGACACCGATTACCCCGGATTATCGATTTTGGGCGTGAGGCGGTGATCCGGGAGGATCGAGCGGAGATGAGATGAGGCGGATTGCTGACATCAACTTTGCAGTTGGCGCCTCCCCATCCGGTATCCGCGGATCATATAACCAAACTGGCAGGAGCTGTCAAATACAAGGGGTGAGGGGGTACAGCATGGCTAAACGTTTCGTGGTGAACAAAAAAACGTACGCAGCCCTTCGATATTGTGAAACTCCGCGTTGAGTCTCTCCTCAAAATGGATGCCGCAAAGGCCCTCATTACTGAGGCTAGAATCTTGTCCGTATCGTTGCCGACAGGGTCTGTAAGTAGGTAACCGTTATTAGCGGCGCAAGGCGGGTATCCACGAGCCGGGATATATTCGCTCACAGCAACGAGCCCTCTCCCTTCGGCTCACGAGCTTGAGCGGCTTATTTGTTGAAGCCGCTCTAGGGGGTAAGAGCGGTTGTTTATCGGCTCGGGGGAAGAAGCGGGCTGTGGATCGAGCCGATTAGGGGCTCTAAGCCGGCAACGTACCGTTAGCCTCCGGCTTACTCGCCTAGAGCTGCTCTTTTTTCTTAATCCGGGATAAATTCGCTCAAGGCGTAAACGGTAAGCCGTTCAAGGCGTAAGCCGTCAATGGTTTTTCTGTCTCGGCATAGGGCGGCAAGAACTCTACCCACGAGTCTCAAACCTAGGGAGCTGGTTTGACACTGCTGTTGGTTGGGCAAGGTATCGGTCTCGGGCACGTAGTTATCGATGATGGTTTAGATCAAGTCATTTAACAACTGCGTTGCCAGAAGAACCACGGGCTTCACCCCCGGGCGCATGAGAACCCCTTTCGCCGAGCTCGAAGCCTACCTCAAGCCCGTCGTGATACGGATCCTCGAACTCTGGCCCCAGCAGTTACCTGTCCGTCACTAGCATATTAAATATCAAGGACTTTCAGTTTCGAAGGGTGGGATTCCAAACCTGGTATAATTACCAACTAGAGGAAGGTGCCCTACTAACTTAACATCGGATAGCGGAGTGTCGCTCGAGTTGGGATACCTACTTAGTCGGTACAAGGGGGGTCTAGAAGCTGAAGGGTTGCGGCTTGGGAAAGAATAAGTTGAAAAAGTTTAACTCGACGGAAGAAACTATTAACAAGCAACCTCCCTCAGCAAGTCATACCCTAGGTAGCCGTTCATTTGGTTAAAGCGCTCATTACCCATTTGAAACGAATGATATATTTCGAAATAGAGTCGTTTAATCTTTAATTCCTAGAGGCAAGGCTCAAACGACTTTGAGCTGGTAACCTGGGGCTTATATGGAACAAGCTGCTCCCTCACTTGGAACAAGCGGAGAAAGTTTGACTAGCCGGCCGAGCTATAATATTGTATTTCTCGGCCCTTCCCTTGCTCCAGCAAGTTTCGACTCAACAAGATGACACTTCAAGTTGTCTACATCGGCTAGAGGAGAATCGTGCGCAGTTACGTGTGTCCTTACCTTGGTCTCGAGACCAAACACCTTTGGGAGCAATAGCCGGAACCCGCTCGCTGCGCGATGAAGAAGTATCTCTTGAGTATATTGCTCGAGTACAACGTTGAAGTATATCAAGCGTCCAAGTCTTCTCGACCTTAAGCGACTTCGAGACACGACACTATAACGTAACCGCAGCCCGGAAATCCGAATCCATGTAAGACGTGCTGTGATCTGGAAGATAACTCGAACGCTACGGAACAGACATGGCCATTCTTCTGCGCCGGCTCTAGCTTTGGGAAACCGACGCTTGAAGGCAAGTGGAGGGGATAAGTATCTGTTTGGCCGGTGGTGCGGATTTTATTACAGCCACACACCCTTAGGTACGTACCAAGGTTAGAGATTTGGTCATGATAGTCACGTTGAAGGATGGCTAGAGGTAACATCTAACGGGTTGCGCTATAGCACTTGCAGGAAATTCCAACCTAGGCACATGTGAGCGTTCGGAAGATACGACCGGTGAGCGCATAGCGGTGTCATGTTTGCCTTCACACCCTCATCTCGCACATGAGACGAACTTGTTGTAATTGCCCGAGAAGGCAATTCGAGTTGGTCCGGTATCCACTGTTCTTACCACCGGTCTTGCTACGGTTTCCCAGTTTTCGGCACGAAGTAAACGATGGGTTTTCCATCGGCCGGCCTGGCCTCCAAGGGACGTCCAAGTTGAGCACCCGACCCGACCCACCAACATAGACCTTGAACAGAAGTCTCTCTTCTAAACCGCATGACGATTAGCCCCTAATTTAATTTCCGAGTCATTCTGGAAGTATTGGTACTGTGGAGTTTCTCGCCTGTCAGTTCGGATGGTGTGTCATAGCCGCGCTCATGACTCAAGTTTGTACGAGCCCCTTTGGATCTGCAGGCTGTGCCCGGTGTCAGTTGTCCATCCACCCATCCTATGGGAGACTGCGATGGCGAGTCCGCGCCATCAACCGGTTCAGGTTCTCTTCGGACTTTCTCAGCCCAAGATGTTCTGGACCATGCGTGGTCGGAACTAAAGATGTAGCGAAACCCTGGGAACCTGGGAGCTTGACTACAACAGTACGCACGCTACGCTCGGAAAACGTCCGAACCCGAATCTCGGTGGCAAAACTGAGTCGTGCGGTTTGAACATCTAGATCAGGGGCCATTGTGCGGTCCAGCGTACCCCGTGCAGCCGGCCTGGTTCTAACAGCCCAAAGCACGCCTGTGAATACCAGGAATTGACATGTGGGTTGGTGATCGCTGCGTTGTAACTCGGGGTTGGAACTGGTAACTACACAGTAGACGCTCCAGAGGGTGCTGGAATGTTGAGATGTCGACGCTGCTCGTGGGATGAAGTGGCGTCAGAAGATGGTTCCTGGACGGGCCCGCTCTGCCACATGGATGTTCGCGTCAACGACCCGATCGTCCGAACGCCCGACAAAGCGCGGGGATTGCCGGAACGAGGCAGATAGGTCTGCCCCAGCTGAAAAGCGCGGCGCAGCAGTTGGAACTAGCTGCCCATGGCATGACAATCCGCCAGACTCAAAGAATCCAAGACATTCACTCGTTGTCGAATGTCGACTGTTCGTGGGTCCTTGTGCTCCCTTGAAGCACGAAATCGCGATGTCAATGCCACGAGTGGTGTAACAGCTCCATTCCCACCCTGTCGGGAAGATTGCGCAGAAGGACTGAGGAAGAGCCAACAGTTGGAGATCTGCGCTGGGGTTGAGTGAGGTTAAGCGCTCTTGCGTGCAGCTTGGCTTGCAGGCGCGCGCGCCATCACCAAGATGGTTGCAGCGGGGCTGGGGCTGGGGAAGTGATTCATGCGCGAGCATGCAGGGTCTGCAGGTGGTGTTTCATCGAGGCGCTGCCTGGGGAAATCGCATGCCAGCTGCGGGGTTGCCGTGGTTGCCATCTCTCACGGCGCGGAGAAAGGGGAAAGCAGGTCAAACTCCAGGGTGAAGGATGAGGGAAGATCGCCCGCGATTCTTGACGGCGGTGGTGGTGCCCGGCTTCGAGTGGTGGCCGGGAACGCAGGGCCCTGTTGCTTGGCTGCCTGGCTTCTGGGTCGCGTGAGATGGTGCACAGAACGTTGTCTTCGAGAGAGTCGTCCGAGCAAGATGGCCAATCGATCAAACGAGCGAGGATGCAGCCACACTGCAACCTTGTGCGACGCTCAGGGGGTTGCAGCCAGGTCCAGATCTGTGCGCCCCTCTGTGGCCCTCCTCTGTGGCCCCCCCTTGAGCTTCCTTGGAAAGCTGCTTTGGGGTCTGCCGCGATTGCCTTTGGGCAATGAATGACCTCTTTTCCGTGTTTCAAGTCTCTTCCCATGCTGCGAAAGGTCGGTCGATCATGTCTTCCGGAATTGGGTTTTGGTTACTGCCAAGACGGCCATCTCGCCGTTTGGTCCAGGACCCATGCCCCTGTCGCTAGGGCTGCCCGGTCGACCATGAGAGGATGGAAGCACGGAAGCCATCGTCGGGTGCCATCCCGATTGCGAATCGGCTGTGGAGTCATCCATGCCGTCAGTTCCAGGAAGCCCCCTTCCGCGTGCATGGATCGCAATCTGGAAGATCTCCAGCCATCAATGCTGGTGCAAGACTGGACAAACCCAGTCGTCCCGGTCTAGTGGACGAACCAAGGACTCATGTGGTGAACAGGATCGAAACGGGAAGCGCGGCAATGAATACAGAGTCATTCCGTACTGTGCCAAATGTTCGGATAAAGGGCAGGGCACAGGGAGCGAGGCGCTTCCCGATGTGAACAATCGGACGGACAGGGATTGGGTCGAGGTTGGCTCGGCAAGAATGGAGCTTGAAGCCGGCCTCGCGGGCCAACAAAGGCGTCGGAATGACCGCGGCCGATTCTGACACAGATCTGCCTCCCACAAATAAACGATGGTAAAAATAAAAGAAGGCTTGGATCGGGTGGGAATTGAATGAATGCAGAGCTCAAAGACGGGGTGAAGTGTGAGTGCGAGCGTTCGGTGATCTCGAGTTCTCCGATCACGAAAGGAAGAATGGAGAAACCAGGAAGCTGCGGCCAGATTTGCCCCGAGTTGCTGGAGCGCATGGCTTCCAGCTTTCTTGCTGGTCACGGCGAGCCCCCATTGGACTGTTTCGGAACAGGGAAGCAGAGCACCTCGCCAGATTCGGATTAGCGGCGGGTTGCGCTGGCCTTCGTTTCGTAACCCGAGGGACAAGGGAAAGTAGCAGTGGTTGTGAAATCACTAACGGCTAAATACGGAAGTCTTTGCAGAGGTTCGTTAGTTGGAAGACTCGCATTGTTTTGGGACACAGTACCTTGGCAAACTTCGAAGCGACCCCGCTTACAAGTATGTCATTCTCCAATTCGCGATGCATTCTGGCTTTTTGATTGGAGCCTGGCCATCCCTCCTCTTGCCCCAGCGTGGCAGCCACGGCGCACACACCATCTCGCCCTCCCCCCGTCTGCAAGTCCAGCGGCGCTCCATTCAATCACGGTGGCCCGCTATCCGCTCGGCCCTTGCCTGCGACAGGTTCCCCTGCCGCGGGACCCCAGCTCGCCGACCACTCAGGTTGCGACGCAGCTCCTTTGCCCCACCTGCTCTGGCCCAGTCTCCATCGATTCCAGCCTTCATCTCTCGCTTCCGACGAAGCCCTTCCTCCTCCTCCTCCTCCTGCTCCCTCTCCTCTTCGCATCACCAGCACACCACCCTTCCTTTTCGCGCTTTCCCTCTTCCTCCCTTCGTGGTGCGTCCCTGCGTCGTCGCCGTCGTTGCTCGTCATAATTTTTTGGCCTGACAACCAGAATTTCCCAATCATCGCCGCATTCTCTCGACCCACTGCACAAATCGCGATACAAAAAAAAGGTTAAAAAAGGAGGCATCTGGAAAGGCTCACCACAAAATCATTTTAATCCTTGTATTCTATTTGCGCACATATCATCCATTTCGTTGCCATTGCTCACGAGCTCCGGCCGGATCGCTTTCGTTCGCCTTTTCGACACGGCACAGGTTAATTTCCAGACCGACGACTGCTCGAACAACTTGAACTTCGACAACATTGTCATTCGACCGAGGAAAGAAGCACAGGCTACGAAGCCCGCACAAAGAAGCCTCAAGCATTAGTGCTTTCACAGTCGCGAGGGGATTGCCTGGTCCATCCCAACTGTTTTCTTTGACGGTTCGACTCGGCGCTGCGGCACAAAGCGCGACACTCGGCTCCGCTTCCCGATCGACTTTCGACTCAATTCTGCATCTCGCCACAGCCGAAGCATCGCTAGGAAGTCGCGTCTTTTAACAAAGACCTGCCTCCGTCATCTCAGACAAGTCGCCGACAAGCAACACTGGCCTACTACTCTTTCCTTCCACAATCGTTTTGCCCACTTTGACGCTCATTCAGCACACACAGCCCCTCGGCAACATCGTTAATACCATCCTCGCATTTTCAGCTGATCGGTTTTTTCAACACCCATTATTCGATTTGATAGTCCGAGACAAGGCATTCTCTCATCATCGTTTCTTCGAGCCTCTGCGAGAGACACCAAATAGACTCAGTTGCCGCAAGTCGAACGTTCGATCACGTCTTCTTCGCCGCGACAATTTGCATCAGTACTTTCTAATATTCACATCAACAACTTCGCGTCTTTTGACTGCCCTCAACATACATCTCTTCTCCGACCACATTTCGCGTCACGCCTGAGTCTTGATCACGTCGCAATGGACGCTGGAAGTCTCGCTCAGATGTCACACGCTCATCTCAACCAGGCACACGGCCTGACCATGGGCTCTGGTCTGGCATCCCGGAGGGGAGGCCAGAACATCAAGCCGCTTTCGTTCGAAGCTCTCAAGTCGCCCACCGAGCGAGACAACGGCGTGCCTACGCCGCGCACTAGCCGGTCCCATCTGCTGGCCGGTCTCCGCACTGCTCCCAAGTCGGCCACTGCCGCGAGCTTCCCGAACCTGCCTTCGCCGACAACGGCCATGCCCCAGGGCCGGAACCGCAACTCCATGGCTCCCGGAATGTACGACTCGGCCAGCCTGTATGGACCCAAGACGTCGATGCCTCGATTCGCTAGCCAGCAGCAACCCCAGCAGTCTCAGCAGGCCCAGCAGCAGGCTCAGCAGCAAGCCCAGCAGCAGGCTCAACAGCAAGCTCAGCAACAGGCTCAGCAACAGGCTCAACAACAGGCTCAGCAGCAGGCTCAGCAGCAGGCCTACAATCAGCAGGTTGCTGCCTTCAATCAGCAGTACACCGCCGAGCAGGTGCTGGCCCCGCCGCAGCTGCAACTGGATGATAACCGCGAGCAGATTGATCCCAATCTTCACGCCCAGCTCCTGTACACCAACGCCTACTTGTCCGACCAGCAGCAGCGCCTGCAACAGCAGCTCAAGGCCCTCCAGGCGGCGGCCCAGCAATTCCAGGGACTGAACATCAACGGTCACCCCCAGATGATGCAGCAGGGCTACCAGAACCTGTACCAACAGCAGCTGCAGAACGTTCAGGCCATGATGGCGCCGGCCACGCCGCAGGCTGGTGTGTATACCGTCTACGATCCCGTCACCGGGGCTCCCGCTCTGTATTTGGACCAAAACCAAGCCCAGGCCCACCAAACTCAGCTCAATGCTCAGCTCCATGGGCAGCTCAACGCCCAGCTTGCGAACCAGGCCCAGCTGGCGAACGCATATGCCAATATGCAGCAGCCCGCCGTCGGGACTCCGCGCCTCCAGGTTTCTCCTCCGCCCTCGGTCCCGAATGCATCAGGCTTCCGGATGCCGTCGCCGCCGCGCCGATACGATTCCCCGGCCGAGACCCACGCCCCTCTGCCGCCCCCGAGCGCCAACGCCTTCCGCCGGGGTCATAAGAAGACCCCGTCGGTCTCCAACAAGGGCCATTTGTCGATTGCGACCAACGACGAGCCCCTCAAGTCGACTGGCCCCAAGACTGCATCGTTCCCGCTCACGCCTTTGACTGCCGGTTACGGACCTGGCCAAGGTCGGGCTGGCGAGCACCCCGTCCGGCAGCCCCGGAACCCGCCCTCCATGGATGAGCTCAAGTCCAAGCCGACGTCCAAGCACGAAGGCAGCAAGAACTTTGTGACGCGTACCCGCCGGTCGGCCATCCACAACCTCGTGCGGGCTGGTCTTGAGAGGCGCAAGGAAGCCCGGAGCTCTGGCAGCATCAGCCCTATTTCGGAGAGCACCGAAGAGCTCGTCGAGACGCCCATGACGGATAATGACAGCGATTCCGGCCGTAGCGGGTCGGGCAGCTTGATTGACCGCGACGAGTGCAGCTTGCCCAGCTCGAGAACTAGCACTGGCAGCTGGGGTGCTATTGGCTCCGACCGGCCGAGCTCGCGGCAAAAGACGCATCGCTCCAGCGTTGACAGCGCTCCATCGGACTCGGAGAATGCGCCGGGCAGCTTCGCCAGTCTGCTTAAGAACAGCAACCGCACCATCAAGGCCGGCGGCGACGTGCACCGCAAGGCCCGCCTCGTTCTGGGCAGCTCTGAGAAGCGCAAGCTCGCTGTCTAGTCGACAATGGGATTTGGAGGATGGTGAGCCGGACAACCGGACCTTACGCTAATTCACGATTATGCCCATGTTTCATTCTTCCCATTTTTTCCTTCTCGTCCGCCTGTGGGCTGATCTCGGACTTGGGTTGCAGCGCCTCCCAAGTTTGGGGCGATTCCTTCGGCACGGACACGGCCTTACGAAGTTCTTTTTTTTCTTCGCGATTACCCTTCTTGAGACGACCGGGATCTGTAACGTTCGACAATCGGTTTACGTTTAAGGAACCCTGCTTCTTTTCTCCTTTGCGGTAGGACGGTGTTATTGTTGGTTGCATTTTTTGGGGAGCAATGCCTTGGTCTTTTTCGACTTCGATTCTCGGCGGCATCAAACCCTGCCGACTTTTGTCCCTTCCACTACGCTGGCATTGTGGAGGTCCGATCCCGTTCGGGCCCCGCCAGGTCGTTCGATTCCATTCTTACAGTCTTTGACCGGCACTCAACAGCAACCAAAGCTTGCCACGCCTCTTGGCGGTGCTTTTTTCGCTCGGGAACAGGCAGCCCGCAGCTGTACCGACCGTGGCAGTTTGGAGCATGGGGATATCGGCCATATGAGCGGATGGATGGGTAGCTGGGATAACGGGTGTTTCTTTTTGGGGAGAAAGCAATGCGCACAGGGTTAAAGGTCATTGCGCGTCAGCCCGGGAACGGAATCCTGAGTGTTGACGGTGTGGGCCTTGCCATGCAAGTATTAGGGGGTCTTTGAGGGGACGGCAACAAGGTTTGCGTTGGAGACGGGTCTTGACCCCCTCATCCGATGGGCGCCTGGTTTGCGATATGGGAGAGGGGCGTGCTCGAGATGCCGGACGACGGCTTGTAGCTAGCTACCCTCCTTAGTCTTCCATTCATTGTGCAGTATTGCCTGGTTTGATAGCACTTGAGTTTCCCCTGATCCGTGATGACTGACCTCGTCGCATGTGTATGTACTCATGCTTTCCGTCAACGATGAGCGTACGGAAAGCCTTGGTACTTTGTTGCACCTGTTTTGGCCGAGTTGTGGCTGGTGTGATAGGGGTCGGGTGGTCACGCAGGTGGGTGCCAAAATGTAGAGGTATCAAGACTTTCTGACACCCACTGACTACACCTTATTACACCGGACTTGTCTCTTGTTAGTAGTCGTGTTGTTTACTTAGGTGTTATACCCATCGTTGACGACTATACAACAAGCTGGAAGAGACACAAGTTCTCTATACGTATCATTACATTAAACAGTAACTAATACAAAGTCGTTTCGTCGTTGACATGAGTCGTAGGCGCAAGGGTCAAACCCCATCGAGTGGTGAGTTGGGCCTATATGGAATAAGCTGCTCCCTCAAGCAGCGGGGAAAGTTTGACTCGCCCGATAAGCTATATTGTTTCTCAATTCCCCTTGCTCCGGTAAAGTACCATCCCATCACTCCACCCCATTCATATTCTCCCACGAAAACTGAAACCGGATCCCCCGCTCGGCCAGCCGGCGTGTCATCTCGAGCAGCTCCGCCTCCTCCCACTCCTCCACCGACACGTCGTCGTCGGCCACCGACAGCCGGAAAAGCGCGAGGCTCGCCGCCGCGCGCGCCAGGACCGCGTCCCGCGCCTCGGCCAGCGTGAACTGGCCGTAGCCCACGTTGGCGCCCCCGCACTCGTACTTGAAGCTTTCCAGCCGCGGGCAGCTGGCCAGGAAGCCCGCGAGCGTCTCCGCGCCGAAGGCGCTGCGCCGGAAGTCGAGGTGGGTGAGCTGCGCGAGCGGGGCCGCGAGCCCGTCGTAGTCGTTGGCTCGGTGGAAGGTTATGGTGGTGAGGTTGGGGGCGGCGTGGAAGAAGGGTAGGAGCGACTGCGGGCCGATGGCGCCTTCGGTGTCCCAGTGGCGGAAGGCGGCGGCGCGGAGGCGCGGGAGCGAGTTCGGCCGGTTGAAGATGAAGAGATCGTAGACGGCGGGTGTGATATCGACGGCCTCGAGGTTGGGGCACAGGCTGGCGACCATGTCGAGCGGGGTGCTGTACAGCGTGCTGAACATGTTGGCTAGGTCCGGCATCTCCCACATTCTTATTTCATTTCTCCTCTCGTCGGAAACTCCGTCTTGATACGCCTGCAGCTCTTTGGCGAAATACGCCGCGACCTCCGGCGAGGACTGAGATTTGTCGGCGTCCGAGTAATGGTGGAACCACAGTGCCTTGACGGTTTGGGCGAGGTCGGCACGGGCGAGAAGTGTACAGGCGAGTAGGGGCCAGTTACGGTCAATGAGGTAGTGGTAGAGGTGCGGTGTAGCCGTGGCATTGAGCCAGCGTGAAACCAAGCAGAGGGAGGCGAGAGATGAGAAACGGGCCTTCTCTGCGTGATTCAGGCGCCTGTCCGAGTCCTCGCCCGCGTCCTCGCGCGGCTCCGGCGTACAGTACAGGCATAACGGCTGGATGATTTGACCGATGAGCTCAACGGCGAGGTTGTTAATACCCATCGTATCGAAGATAGATAAAATAAAATGAAAAGAATAGTATAATTGTGTGAAGCGGGACCGCCTCGATTCCTGAATGGTCGCCTTCGCTGAGAAAATCATGAATGTCTTGGCTCCCTTGCTGATGCCTAAATGGTGGTCGTTCTCTCCAAGGTGGCGGCGTACATGGTGTGTATTAACCAAGCCAACCCCCCCCCCTTTTACTGCATCATCTCTCCCGAGTCTCGAGTCACATTCGAAAAAACAAAAAATACCTACCTCATACTTCATAAAATACCTGACTGTGCCACCCACGCCCACGGCCTGCCCCAGTAAGTGTGAAGCGAAGCTTGGCGATACCCACTATCGCCACTACATACTTCTATACAACAACAACAACCCAACAACAGAGCCGACAATCTGCCCTCGCTATACCGCTATTAAACAACGACTAGCCATCGCCTAGGGCCGTCGACCTACTATACTAGGTAAGCTAACGGCCTTTAGCCGTTAACTTACTAGCTTGTAGTTGCCTGTGGCTCTAAGTTTAATAGCTTAGTTTATCTCTATGGCTCGGGCTTGGTTGTCGGCGATGTATAGTAGTAGTATTGCGGTATACCTTTACTGGGTACTAGCTAATAGTCATCTATAGAGGGGAGAGGTCCGATTTATATATACTAAACTATATAAACAATAAATATCTATATATTATAGATGTTCTACTATTGAGTGTAAACCTCTACCTACTCCGGTATAACTAATTGCGGAAGATAATAGGTAATATCTTTAGTATATGCCGTATAGTTGGCGTTAGCTTGGATATACAGAGCCTATAAGTTAAACATATTGTTAAATATAATGCCCTGGATAGTCTTAATACAGCTAATAGCAATATATATAAGCCTAGCTGTAAAGTCTTTATTAGATATATCTAGTATAGCTTTATTAAGTATTATACCCTGTAACTTATATACTGTAATAGCGTATATAATTGTTAGAGGGAACTATATATAAGTATAGTTACTATTACCCCTAAGGAAGTCCCTCTTACTATAGAAGATAGGTATAATATTAGTAAATTCGGGGTTGTTAAAATAGGGAGGGCCGATATACTGATTAAACTTAATTAGTATAATAAAAGGAGGTAGTGTACTAGGGTTAGTACTAGTCTACTATATAAAGTTATAGATTATACTAATAGATCTATTAATAAAACCTTTATTAATCTAGATATTCTCTATTAATATAATCTAGATATGTGACGAACCTGTCTCTGGACCCGTCCTGTTAGGGTTCAGTATCGGTCGAAGGTATTCTCTCAAGGGTGCTTAGGTTCGGTGCAGCCAAAGGGTGCACAACAAAGACTTGTCTCAACAGTAGGCTCTCGAGCTTGTAGCGAACTGTAGTTGTGATTGCTAACTGGAGAACTCCCAGAGCTCTCCAGAACGAGTGACTATATACTATCTAATTCCTAGGTACCTCTGTACCTAGATCTGCGTGATCCGTGGTGGGTCGTCAACAGATCCAGGAGGCCGAGCCCCTTGATCTGTTACCACTGCCGTGGTCTGTCCATAGATCATTGTAACCACCACAGATCTCCTTCTCATTGGTAGCTAGGCGTCCCGTCTTGATTGGCCCGGGACGCTGCCAGCGCGCCCCGCTGGCCGGCTGCATGTGACCATATCCGTGACACGATGCCCCTCCCCAGGTCTTCCGTCCCGGAAGGCTCGTTGGTTTTCCCCCTTCTTAAGTAGCGCCAACATTCTTTGCCTAACCCTGGTGAGTTTCGCTATCCTCTTGTCCAATCCTGCCTTCGTCGCCCGTCATGCCTCCTAACCGAGTGCGTAAACAGCGGCCAAAAACCAGTCGTTGTTCTCTGAAGGCCGCACAGCATTCTACAAACGGTTGCAGAGGCCTGGCTTCGGGATCTTCCGACTGTTGCTGAAGTGCTGCGATCTCGTAGTCTTCAGTCGGTTGGGAAGCGTGCCGTAGCGATCCGTCTGTCTGTTGATGTAGCAATGGTGGTGAGACTTCAGACGTGTTGTCGTGGTGATCCGCTCTCCTACTCAAGGCATCTGCTCGTGCGTTCTCTGAGCCTTTCTTGTAGTGGATCGTGAAGTTGAATTCGGACAGAAATTCTGCCCATCGAGTCTGTCGTCCGTTCAGCACCTTGGTGGTGGTGAAGTATCGTAAGTTCTTGTGGTCTGTGTACACCTGAACTTCGTGTGTCGTGCCGCTGAGGTATGGTCTCCATTCCTGAAATGCTTCGATGATTGCGAGAAGCTCCTTGTCGTGGATCGGGTAGTTGAGCCTTGGTCCTTCGAGTTTCTTGGAGAAGAACGCAACTGGATGAAGCTTGCCGTCCTTGTCCCTCTGTCCAAGTTGTCCTCCGATCGCGAAGTCCGAAGCATCAGCCTCGACTTCGAAAGGCGTACTTGGATCGGGCAGCATGAGCACCGGGTCGGCGATGATCGCATCGCGGATCCGCTGGAAAGCCTGCTCGTGCTCCCGCTTCCACTGGAATGTGGCATCCTTTTTGGTAAGTTCGTGCAGAGGTCTCGCGAAGTCGCCAAAATTCTTGATGAACATTCTGACGAAGTTGGCGAATCCGATAAATCCTCTGACCTCTGTGGCGTTCGTCGGTGTCGGCCACGTCTTGACAGCTTCCAGTTTCTCGGGTTCGATTTTGACCCATCCCGGGGAGATTTCGTAACCCAGAAATACTGTCTTCTTGACATGAAACTCGCTCTTGTCCTTGTTGACTGACAATTTGTGCTCGTGCAGTGCGTCCAGCACCTGCCGTACGTGTTTCTTGTGTTCTTCGAGTGTCTTGGAGTAGATGAGAATGTCATCCAAGTAACAGACTGCAAATTTATCGAGGCAATGTCGAATTGCGTGGTCGATAGCGGCTTGAAACGTCGCTGGTGCGTTGGTCAACCCAAATGGCATAACGAGGTACTCGTAGTGTCCGTAGGGTGTCCGAAAAGCCGTCTTCCATTCGTCTCCTTCCTTGATGCGGATGTGGGCGTACGCTGTTGGAAGGTCGAGTCGCGTGAAGTGTTGTGCTCCTGACAGCTGATCTCGAAGCCTCGAAATCAGTGGCAGCGGGTATCGGTTCTTCACCGTCTCGTTGTTCAACTGTCGGTAGTCCACACACATCCTGAGTTTCCCATCCTTCTTTGGAACGAAGAGGACTGGGTAGCCTGCTGGAGATGTCGATGGTCTGATGTGTCCTATCTCGAGGTTCTTTTCGAGATAGCTCCTCAACTCTGCATCTTGCTTCTCGTTGGTGTGGTACACCTTGAAAAATCTCAACTGGGCTCCTTCCTTGAGTCTGATCTCGTGATCCCAAGGTCCGTGGTCTGGTAGCCCTGCAAGATGTTTTGCCGTGAACGCCGGGTGCCCCTTGTAGTCGTCTGGGATCTGCCCCGTCTTTGCGTTCTTCGCCGTACCTTCGTAGTACGCGAACTTGTTGTTCCCAGGCTCGATGCTTGCTGCTTCGAGTTCCCTGACTTCTTCTGCTGCCAGCTCGATGCTTGCCGCTTCGAGCTGATTGACCCATTGTTCATGTTTGAGCATTCCGTGCTCGTCGACTGAGACGACGGCGATGGTTCGTTCCTCCCGTGCCTGCTTCTTTCGTCGTGTGCCGCTTCTTCCGGACTCCAGAGTGCGTGGTTCTGCACTGGCTGCTTCCTGCGGTGGGCCCGTAGAGGGGGTTCGTTCTGACCCGCTGCTCTTCCGTGGCTCCTGTTCTGCGCGTTCTCCCATCAAGCTGGTCGGATGCTCCCGTTGTTTCCGCGGTCGCAGATGGCCATCTCCCTTCCAGCTGATGTCTGGGTCGTAATCCTCATGCCATGGGCGTCCGAGAATCATGTCTTTCTTTGGTCCCATGTTCACGATGTCGAACACCACTTGGGTGGTTTTTCCTTCCACCTCAATGTCGAGTGGTTCTGTCTCTCGTCGTACCCATTGTGTGTCGAATGGTCCCTTGACGACGTGTGGTTGCTTCTTGATCCTCCATGGGATTCTGAGTTGATTCACAAATGTGGGCGAGATGAGATCCATCTGCGCTCCTCCATCCACTAACGCGAGGGCTTCGATCTTCCCCCATCGCGCTGTGATCCAGAGCCTGTTGTCTGGCTTGGTGCTTCGTACAGCAGCTACTTCGTGTTCGTCTGCTGGGAGGTCGTTGTAAGGCTTCTGCTTGCGCCAGTTCTTCCTGTACTGCGCAGCCTGTCTTCGTTGTTGTGGAGTTAAAGATTTCCGGGCCCCTCGGAGGGCCCTGAGCCGTTTCCCAAGCTCTCGTGGTGTTTCAAGGCGTCCCTATCCGCACCTTGGCTTGCGGCGTCAATCGTCTGGTGTTCTTGGAGCCATTGGGCCGCCCATGCCTCAACTGGGCGCCTCTCGTTCCTTCGGGATGCTCTCGTCCTCTGGTGTGGCTCCCTCTGGGATTGCTGTTCCATGTATCCCCAGATCTTCTCGTCGGCGTGTGATAGGCAGTCTGCGCTTCGGCATTCGTCGACTCCTACGCCTGTCATACAGCGTCGAGGCCAGGCTGCCTTGGGTTTAACCCTCAGCCTGCCCTCGTGAGTGCGTTGGGTGTCCCACAACATGCCTGCGGGAGCGTCGCCGCTGTCGTATACCCATCTGATGGGCAGGGGTTGCATTCCCTTTTCTTCTCTTGTGGGCCAGAAACTGTTGCGAAATTTGTCCTGGAAGTGGTACCGACATTCGTGCGTGATGCACTGGAACCAGGGCAGGTAGATGTGACTTTCTTTTCGTGGGTCCACCCGCTCGTGGTCTTCTGATAACAACTGGAATCCCTCCGTGTTGTTCTCGCCCCGAAAACCCCACCATTCAAGGTCGGAGGTCTGTCGTCCGGCGCGCACGATGTGCTGATGTCGCGTCCAGTATTCTTCCCAGCTCTGCTGTTTTCTTCCTTTCGCCGCATTCTGTTCCTGCGCGTAGTCGAAAAGTTGCTCGGGGTATCGTACTCCGTTTTCGTATCCTTCCGCCTCTTCGGTGGGTCCATCCCACGGTGTGTGGTGCGGAAGTGCCTGGCGGATGTCGTCCTGCAAGGCCTGTGCCTCTCTTAATGTCTTTTCGACGTGATCCCCGGCCCTGTTGTTGGCCTCGGTGATCTCTTGGACTCGTTCCCTGGCGAAATCGAGTTCCGCGCAAAGTCGTCCGTACTGGTCGTTCCTTCTCTGGAGAAGTTGCTCGAGTTCTTCTTTCTCTCTTGACAACTCC